ATTGTCGCCTGAATACTTTCCTTTGTGGCAGCCTTGGATTCCAGTGCAGCAATGCTGACCCAGGTGTTTACTGGCTTAAAAGTGGCTCTGCAACATGCATTTTGACAACCTATGTTGATGACTTGCTGCTGGCTGCATCTGATGACAACATCCTGGCCAAGGTCAAAACTGCCCTGTCTGCTGAGTTCTCAATGAAGGATTTGAGTCTGTGCAGCACAATCCTGAGCATCAATGTGCATCATATCTCTGATGACATCAAGATCAACCAGGTTACTGCCATCCAGAATCTGGTCAGCAAGTAAGGCCTTGAGGAAGCCAATGATGTTGATCTGCCCATTGCTGCTTCTGCCAAGCTTGGAGAGACTGCCCCACACCTTGCCAAGTGCAATGCCACTGAATACCACTCAATTGTTGGCTCCCTGCAGTACCTGGCCATGGTCACTCGGCCTGACATTGCTCTGGTCACCTCTGTGCTTGCATCATTCAACCAAGAGCCACTGATGAAACACATGGGTGCTGCCAAGCGAGTACTCAAGTATCTGAAGACCATCTGCAATATGGCCATTCACTATCGTCGGTCTGAACACCTCAACCTAGTTGGGTACAGTGATGCTTCATTTGGACTGCGTACTGTGGAAGCCATGGTAATTGGCTATGTATTCACTCTGGCAGGGGGAGCAGTTGCTTGGAAGTCAAAGAAATGTACTCTTGGCTTGCCACCTCAATCTACAGTTGAAGCTGAGACCATTGCCCTGACCTCTGCTGTCCATGAGCTCATGTGGCTACAAGACCTGCTGTGTGACATCCATGTACATGTTGACCCTGCCACCATTTTCTGTGACAATAAGGGTACTATCAACAATACACGCACTGGTGCTGTGACTGATGCCAACAAGCACTACAAGTCTACTCTGCAACTTCCTCATGCCACTCTATCTCAGCAAGTATATGATCTCAAGTATGTTTTGACTGTTGACCAAGCTGCTGACTATCTGACCAAGCAATTGCCCATAGATGCCTTTGTCAGACATCGCTCATCCTCTGGTATAATATGAGCACCTTGTCAGGGGGAGTGTTGGAATTTTGTTCTTAGTGGAACTCCGTCATGACGGAATTCCGTCTTGCATACTGTAAGATGTTTGCAAGACCAGAGCTTTCTAAAGTATCCTTCTGGTTTATTTATAACTTTCTTATCTTCACTTGCTGTCTCCTATATAAGAGACAGCTTTCCTCAGTCTCTTCACTTTCTTTCTTTAGCTTAGAACTTTATATTATTCTTTATTTAAATATAACTTGCAAAGCTAAGCAAGGAGAAGCTTTGCTCATATTTCACATTCACATTCTCTTTCTATAAATTTAAATTACCAAGCTTTTCTTCACTCTGCTTTGCTCGTTTTTCACATATGGCCTGCCCAAGTCCATTATATCTGTTAATGAGTGTGTATTATAAGTACACTAAGTTTATATTTCTAAAATCCCAGAAATGAGAATAGAGAAAACTAGCAAATGTTGTTCTACTCTTTTTATGGATGTGAATTTTTGTACTTACAAAGAAAAGGGCAACTGGTGGGCATTGCCTATAAAGGAAATCAGTGCCTATCAACATATGTGTCAAGATTCCTGATTCCATGGCTGGCAACTCTATTAAGAGTGTTCATATGCTGCAACACTCCTTGTATGAATTGAAGCAGCCCCCATATGTTTGAAACCACCATTTGAGAACCTTCCTATATGACATCCTTGTGTGGTGCCCAACACACATTTCAAGCCACTATCTTCCCTTTTCAAGAATCAAGATCACCATCATGGCCACTATACACATTTCTGTTATTGCTGGCTGACATCAAGGAACACCATGATGTTTACAGCACTGCCCACACAGCGCTGCCCCCTTTTTCAGTTAAGTAAGTAATTTTTAAGACTTGAATATATCGATTTAGACCCACATTTTTATAGAGCATGACACCTTGGCTTCCAGTACAGCAATGCTGACCCAGGTGTCTACCAGCCCAAGAGTGGCTCTGCAACATGGATTCTGACAACCTATGTTGCTGACCTTCTACTAACCACATTCGACACCACAATCCCGGCCACATTGGAAGCCGATTTATCTGCTGAGTTCTATATGAAGGATCTGGATTGGTGAATTGCAATACTCAGCACCAATGTATATTGCTTTTCTAATGGTATCAAGACTAACCAAGTCATTGCTATCCATAACCTGGTTAGCAAGTCTGGTCTTGAGGAGGCTAACAATGTTGACCTTCCCATTGCTGTTTCTTTCAAGCTTGGAGAGACTGTGCCACACCTTACCAAGTGCAATTCCATTGAGTATTGATCTATGGTCAGATCCCTGCAGTACCTGACTATGGTCACTCAGCCTGACATTGCCCTAGTCACCTCTGTGCTTGCATCGTTTAATCAGGAGCCACTGATAAAACACACGGGTGCTGCCAAGGAAGTGCTCAAGTATATGAAGACTAGCTGCACTATGGCCATTCACTATTATCAGTCTGAGCATCTAAATCTGATTGATCACTGCAATACTTCATTTGGTCTGTACACTGTGGAAGCCATGGTCCTCAGCTATATATTCACTTTAACTGGGGGAGGTCACTTGGAAATCAAAGAAACATGGCCTGGGACTGCCACTTCAATCCACAGTTGAAGCTGATACCATTGCCCCCACCCCTGCTGTCTGCGAGCTCAGTGTGATTCAAGACCTTCTGTGTGACATCTGTGTGCATATTGACCCTGCAACCATCTTCTGCAACAGCAAAGGTACAACCAACAACATGCACACTGATGATGTGACCAATGCCAACATACATTACAAGTCCATTCTCCTACTTCCCCATGCTGTACACACTCAGCAATTGTATTATTTCAAGTTCATCTCTACAGTTAACCAAGCCGCCAACTGCTTGACCAATCAACTGCCTCTAGATGCCTTTACAAGGCATTGTACTTCTGGTATGAAGTGAGCACCTTTTCGTGGGAACTATTTATGTTTGGAATTATATACAATATGTAAAAATAATTATGCCTTCATATTGTTTTCATAAACCCTTTCAAACATTATCCAATCAACATTGTTATTTTTCATATACTCTTGCGTTATGCAATGCCAAACTTTTTATATCTTAGTCCCTTTTATCTGTCTTCAAATTTTTATTTTCTGTGGTGAATAAATGCAATACATCAATACAAAAGTTAATGTCTGAAGGCGTGGACATTGTACATTTCTTTATTATTGCATTCTTCTAGAAGCAGTATTGACACTGCTTAGAAATGGCAGAATGTTCTTTACAAACTGAGAGACAAACACATGCAAATTTAACTTTACTGCGTTTTTCATTGTGCGAAGGCATTTCATATAAAAATGATGTAGAATATTCCGTTCAAACGGGGCGTTGTGTGGCTATTAATCCACCTTTCTGCAGATCAATGCACACTTTCGTAAAATGTTATCTAGAAGGAGTTAGTATTCGCAAAAATCTAGCTTTTTATTTAAAATGAAGCAAGCAGCAAAAATATAATTGCCTCTTCCTTTATAATGTGTGGCTGACAACAGTTATTGAAATTATAGTTATAATGCGGACAATACGAACGTAATTAAATTAGCCAGATATGTCAAACATCAATATCAAAATATTCATTGTTATTTTCAATTGGTTGCACTTGTATTTGTATTTGTATTCGTATTTGTAATGACCATTATTAAAACAGCTTTTAAAAGTGTACCATATACATTAATTGTAAACAAAACAGGAACAAAAACAATCACGCATATTTCCAATAAAAGCAAGCGCGTGATATTTACATGCAAATAAATAGTGAATCACAAAAACGGCACAATGGCAACGCCAAATAATTATGTTTGACACTCTAGTCACATCGATCCTACAATATTTTAAATAGGAAATGCCCTGATGGCAGCAATGCACTTTATTCTGTGGTGGGTTTATATTTTTTATATTAGTGAGGAAAGGTGAACATGCTGGCTGCTCATGCGTGTCGGTTGCGTGGTTTTTGCATTTTTTGCTGGGTACATATACGCAGGCGTTGCTATCTGCATCAGTCATGATGGTCAGCTGCAGTCAACAAATAAGAAGATCAATCCGCTTATCTTGGCTGTGGTGCATTACTCGGGAATATAAGACATGAAACGGCATATGCAGCGGCAGCGGCACGCTCGGCATTATCAGCAGCCATTACCCCTGAACTGCGCCCGAAAAAAGTTGCAATTGTATATGTGCAGACGTGAAACAAATGATTCGCCAGAACAATACGCGCTACTAAACTTTTTGGTTGTTGATATGCAAAAATACAGCATCGTGACTATGCAGATCTCTTGTTGCGTGATATATGGTGCATGGAATACACCGAGCCGGCTTGGATGAGCGATTGCCCAAAATATTTACATAAACATGCTTTTTCATGTGCAATAAAAATACAATTGGTCAAGCCGATTTGGCTTGTTGAGCTTGTATTTTATGTGCTTCGAGCACACACAGTCTGGAATCCGTCATCTACCCACCACACTCTTTTTGACGCAAGTGCATTTATTGCGGTCGGTTTGCTGGCTGGGTCTGGTTTTTACGAGCACGAGCGTGGAAGGCGCCAAGTCATCTCGGAGCTGCTTGCAAATAATGAATTATGTGCGCATTCAGTTTAATGGCCTTTTGCGCAACCGAAATGATTCAACTGTTCTTCCCTAAACTTATACTACTATCATTACTATCGCCTGAATCGCGAGTGCAAGGTCCCAAACAAGCTAAGAATATAGAACAACTGGGCGCCATACTGTGCCCTTGGCGCGCTCCACACAGATCAAGAATTTGTGCCGCATTCATGCGTAACGCCGCTTTGTCTGTTCCCACTCCATTCAATCCAATGCTTATCGATAGGGTCGATTCTCATCAAATTAATTGGACAATAAACAATAAACAATAAACATTGAGCAATTGTTCTTTATGCTGATGTGCGCTGGCTTCTTATCAACTGAATATCATCGAGCAATTGTGATACTTTTCAACCGCTTATGTGGGTTGCCAGTCAGAGTATATTGGCGCGCCGTTCCTTGGCAGTATTTTTTTTTTAAAAAAAGCAACAATGCCTGGCCTAACTTATTCGAATTGAATAGCAACACAAAACGCATAATTGCGCTTTCGCTGGGCCAAGCCGGCCAATAAAAGTGCTGTCCTCAAAATATAGTCAACAGTGCCAAACCTTTTGCACGCCTGCAAATGTAAAAAAAATAGCTTGGACAATCTTTTTCCGCAGCTTTTAAAGTCCGATTGTGCTTCGGAGTATAGGCCAATGAAAACGATTTGCCCACGGCTTGAGCGCGATCACACAAATACGTCATGCCACATTTCCTTCCAAATGCATTTTGCAAAACGATACAGCAGCGGAGGGGGGGTGTATACTGCCGCCACCATTAACCCACCCTCTTGTTGCTTCCTTTGCACATTCTCTAATTACAATCTGGCATTCATCAATTGGCAGCAAAGGAAAAAGGAACAACCGCGAGCACAAGCGTGGCCACGCTGCAATAAATATCGCAGGCGCCGCCGGCTCCATTTGCTGACAGACAACAAAAATAAGGACATTTATAACAATTCTTTTTCTCATCATCGTCCTTTTGTAACAACTATACTTTTTTGCTCATCAACCACAGTAGCTGCTGGTTATATTTCTCTTTGTTCTGTCGCTTGTTCTGCCACACCTTTGATTCTGCCTCTGCAAGCTCGGGAATTGCCGGCTTGCTGTAAAGTCAAATACTGTGTTGTCTCTGTTCCACGTTATCCCCGTGTCCCTTCTTCAAATCACACTTTTCTATTTTTCCTTCCTTTCATCTTTTTTGTTTTTCCCCCTCCTACCTCCCACGTTGGCAAGCGCCCTGTTTTTATTCTGAACTTTGCTCTTTACACACCACATTGTTTCTCTTTGGCGAGGGGCAGTTTAATATAGCGCATTACTAGCCAAATAAGAGGAGGTTTGACGTTTGGCGTTTGACACTTGTCATTTGTCGTTTGGCACCCGCTAGGTCTTTAGATTCCTAGCCGCACATTTTGTATTTTCATTTCTTAAATATCTTAACTTTTGCACCTGCACCAATCTGCACCAATTTGTACCAATCTGCCTACCAGCCAGCCAGCCAGCCTGTCAATCCATTTACCGATACAATAATTTAGGCGGTTTGGTGGTATACAAATAGAGGATCGCCAGTGCCACTGCCACTGCCTCTGTCTCTGCCTCTGCTGCGACACACATACACACACATACACACACTTGCACAAACCAACTTTCTAGCGATACGCAATGAGCTCCTTTGAAAAAAAGGCCGCCAACGAAAAGAACGCCGAGTTTGAGGACCACCATCATGTGGAGGTTAGCGACGAGCTGTCTCCCGAGCTCGAGGCACTGCTGAAGACGGAGCCATTAAATGGCCTGTCCGATGTGGAGGTTGCCGAGCGCATAGCGCAGTTCGGCAAAAACGAGATTACCGAAAAAAAGACCAACCCGTTTTTAAAGTTTCTGTCCTACTTCACGGGTGCCATTGCCTACCTCATCGAGCTGGCATTCATTCTGTCAGGCGTTGTTGAGGACTGGGTTGACTTTGGCATTATCGGCGCATTGCTCGTCATCAACGCTTTGATTGGCTTTATCGAGGAGTCCAAGGCTGACGCGGCCTTGGACGCGCTCAAGAACACCCTGGCGCTCAAGTCGCGCGTGTACCGCGATGGCAAGCTGGTCGAGGTTGAGTCAAGCACGCTTGTTCCGGGCGACATCATTGCAGTGCGGCTGGGCGATATTGTCCCGGCCGACGCGCGGCTGCTGGGCATCAGCGTTGATGGGTCTGACTCGGAAGTCAACCTGCAGATTGACCAGTCGGCGCTGACCGGCGAGTCGTTGCCAGTCGAAAAGAGGAAGGGTGACACAATCTATTCGTCGTCAATTTGCAAGCAAGGCCAAATGCTGGCGGTCGTCACAAAGACCGGCGCCAACACGTTCATTGGGCGCGCAGCCAACCTCATCTCGATTACAAACGAACAGGGCCACTTCCAGAAAATTGTCAACCAGATCGGAAACTTTTTGGTTGCTATCACGCTGACAATGGTCGTCATCATTTTCATCTATCTTCTTGTGCGGCGCAAGAGCGAGGTCGACAGGCTGAGAAAAAAGGACGTGTTTGATGTCCTGCGCGATGTGCTGGTGCTGACGGTTGCTGCTATTCCTGTCGGTCTCCCCACAGTCATGTCGGTCACCATGGCTGTTGGCGCCAAGCAGCTCGCAGCCAAGCAGGTAATTGTCAAGCGACTGACTGCCGTCGAGGAGATGGCTTCAGTGTCAGTGCTGTGCAGCGACAAAACTGGCACACTCACACTCAACAAGCTTACATTTGACGAGCCATACCTCAAGCCAGGATTCACCAAGGAGGACCTCCTGCTGTATTCATACCTGGCCTCGGAGCCCGGTGCCAACGACCCCATTGAGATGGCTGTGCGCACGGCCGCCAAGCGCGATGTGCCACTTCTTTCCGAGTGCACGGGTCACATAATTCCTGGATTCAAGGTAACGTCGTTCCTGCCGTTCAACCCGTCAACTAAGCTGACACAGGCAACTGTCATCGACCATCATGCCAACGAGACATTCAAGGTGGCCAAGGGCGCGCCTCAGGTCATAGTCAAGCTTGTCGGCGGCGACAACGAAGCCACGCATGCTGTAAACCTGCTCGCACGCCGCGGTCTGCGCGCTCTTGGAGTTGCACGCACAGTGCCAGGCACACTTGACTCGTGGCAGCTCATTGGCATGATTTCGCTGCTTGACCCACCGCGCCCCGACTCAGCCGAGACAATCCGCCGCTGCGAGGAGATGGGTGTTGTCGTCAAGATGGTGACAGGCGATCAGCTCATTATTGCCAAGGAAGTGGCCGCGCGCCTGGGAATGAACCGCGCCATTCTCGACGCAAGCAGCTTGACCGACCCGGATGCTACCGATGAGCAGCTGGCCGACCGCTGTTTGCACGCAGATGGGTTTGCGCAGGTCATTCCCGAACACAAGTACCGTGTCGTCGAGCTACTCCAGTCAAAGGGGTTGCTTGTTGGCATGACTGGCGACGGCGTTAACGACGCGCCTGCGCTCAAGAAGGCCAACGTCGGCATTGCTGTTCATGACTGTACCGACGCCGCTCGCTCGGCAGCCGATATAGTGCTTTTGGCGCCAGGCCTTTCGACAATTGTTGACGGCATTCTCACCTCGCGCGCCATCTTTCAGCGCATGCGCTCGTACGCGCTGTACCGAATCACGTCCACAGTGCACTTCCTGATTTTCTTTTTTATCATCACACTGGCATTCCGCTGGCAAATGAAGGCCGTTCTGCTCATCTTCATTGCTGTGCTCAACGACGCTGCGACTCTTGTAATCTCGGTCGACAACGCCCAGATTTCACGCCGTCCCGACAAGTGGCGCATTGGCCAGCTCATCACAATGTCTGTGATCCTGGGCTGCTTCCTGACTGCGCTCTCATTTGCAGTGTTTTTTGTTGCCCGCGACGTCTTCAACATTCCGTCCGACGCCGACAAGCAGTCCGACGACGAAACCAAGGACGGCCGCATGGAGACCATCATCTACCTCAATGTGTCCTCTGCCCCGCATTTTACAATCTTTTCAACTCGTTTGGCCGGTTTCTTCTGGGAGAACCTGCCCTCGCTGACGTTCACTGCCGCCATTCTGGCCACGCAGGTCTTTGCCATGCTCATATCGATCTTTGGCATCAACAAGCTGACGACCTCCATCGGCGCTGGCTGGGGTATTTCACTGATCGCCGTCTCGCTGGCCTACTTTGTCGTTCTTGATGCCATCAAGGTCTTTATTTTCCGTATCTGGAGCTTTGAGCTCACTGTCAAGCTGTGGCCCACACGCGCCCGCAAGGATCAGTTGCGCCACAGGAAGGAGCGCCGGGTTACAGAAGAGCGTGTCCAAGGCAATGTTGCCAAGCTGCGCAGAATCTCCAAGGCCATTTATGCGGTCAGCGCGTTCAAGAAGGCTGGTCAAAATACCGCTCGTTGAGACTGTCGTCAGGTTTAGCGTTGGCACCAAAAACAGGACCGAGACCGGGGCCGCTGTGACTGTTACTATCACAGTGCATAGCCAAATTTAATACTCTTTTCATACTTTACTCATTTCTTTGGAGTTTTGAAACAAAACGCCCTTTCATTTTACGCAACAATAGTCTTTTTTTTACTTAAAGCTGCGCAAATGAGCTGACTCGCTGATCAGCATTTTCTGAAGTCATGCGTGTCTAGATTAGAAATCTAATCTTTTTTACGCATGTCCCCATTACAAAGTAATAAAAAATACGAGCACAAAAAAAGATGCCTTATAAGCAAGGAACTATAATTAGGTGCACTGGACAATAACGTCCACACTTTGCTCAGAGAAAATAGATCCATAGATACACTTGCTCCTTTGACAAAACCCTGTCCTGTGTTAAGCAACTGGCAGCAATAACCGCCATAATATGTGGATAAATCAATCTGTGCACTGCCTGTGGGGATAATTGGACATAGCAGAGAGCGCCTCCTTGGCTTTGCGCCCAGCTGGTTCTGCTGCTGCTAAGTCTCTGCCAAATGATCGCATTTAATTTCCTACCTTTGACAAAAGATAATGCGCTGTTAACGCACTTTACCTTTTAACAAAATATAAAGGTAGGCGCGTAAACATAATCATCTCCAACGTTACCATGCAGGTTGGGGATTTGTTACAGTGTTATTTTTTATTTTCAAGTTTCGTTGTTTGTTTCCTTCGTCCCAATTTTAAATTCAAATTACCATTTGTTCTTTTTTAATTCACCCCTTTCACGTTGCTAATTTTGTCGAGCAAAGGCAAAATATCTAATACTACAGCACTGTCTTGGTCACCCATTTGACCAATTCACCCGCTCGCTTGCTCATTCGCTTACTCGCCCCCTCGCTTAATTCTCTTTACTTTTCTCATTGCTATATTCCAACCCAACGTGTCCTCATAGCAGTGTCACCTGCAAATTTGCCACCACAGCTGTGAATTCCAGCAACACTTGTTTATTTTTCTATAGTCAACAGCGCGCGCCATTCCACCCGCTTTTCTCCCCCGCACACGAACATTCTCCATTTGGCAATCTGAATTGCTATTTATCCGTATTTCGACTTGGAATTGCTGATTCCAGGCAATGAGCGCTGGTGGGTATCGGTTCATCGACGCGTCTTCACCAGCAAATGCTAGCGATCCAAAAGGTGAGTTTGAATTCGACCGCTTTCATTTTCCACTGGGACTCGCTTTGACACAGCCAAGGCGCTCAGGCGGGAATGGGCAAGCCCAAATTCCATGGCAAGGCTCTGTCTTAACTGCAGCTTTACTTCATATTATGCACATGTATGTATTAATGTCGCTGTTATTTTTTGCTCGGCTCGGTGGTAGGAATTGATGGCAGCATAAACACCAGCAGGAACAACCCATCATTGAAAATCCTTGTTGCGAACACCTGGCAGAATTTAAGTTCCGGCTCCGGCTCTGGCCATAAGCCGTTCCAAAGCAACGCGAGCTACATGTCAACGCCTCAGAGCCTGACATCACCGATTACTCGACACGATTCGAGCTGCGTATCTGCCATTACGGGCGCCGGCTGCAAGTCAAATATTTTGGTAAAGAACGGCCGCGATCCGCGAAGCAGCACGCATGGCCGTTCGTGGCGTGAGAAGCAGCAGGACGCCCTTGGCTTGTGGTTTTTGCGCACGCCTTTATTCGAGCATGACTCTTGCTCAACTCGCAGCCCTTCCAAATGTGTGATTGTCGTTTCGGATATGACTCCACTTGTGACATCGGAAAGGCTGCGCACGCACTTTATGACCTACGGAGCGGTGGGTACCATTCGCCTGGGCTATGACCCATCCACAGGAATGAGTATGGGTATTGCACGGGTGGAGTTTGTGTTATCTCCAAGTGCGCCGCATCCACGCTTAGCCGCAGCCGACGCAATCAGACAGGGCCAGATGGTCCAAGCCGGAGACCTGCCGGCAACAGTGGCCCTGGACCTTGGCGGCCACTTTGACGAGCTGCAACAGGCGTTCTTACGCAGAGCCAGGGAACTATCCCGGCACAATTCGGGCGACGGCGACGGCGACAGCGCCAGTGCAGGCGCAGGTGTAGATTCAATTGCAGCATGGTCTGCGCCTCAGCGGCCAGCGTCACCGTCGCCCGGAGTCGACAATGGCGACATGTCATTTTCTCGCCGCTCGCACCCTGGTATAAGTGCAATTAGGGTGCCCCGCTCGAGTATATCCTTTTCTCAGAACACAGAGAGCGACGTGATGCGCCATTTTGAGCGCTTCCGACCGACCGGTATTGTGCGCGATGGCGGATACTGGTACGTGTTGTTCAACTCGGACAGGGATGCACACAGATGCCAGCGACTCAGCGATAAACAGCGTTTTGCCGGGCATCCAATTGATGTCGATATTTACGAGCCAGCAGACAGGACCCGGTTGGCCGAGTTGGATGCCCTGTCCACCAGGCAGTTATCGCAGCAGCAGCAGTTGCCACCATTGTCATTGTCATTGCCGCGACCACAGGCGCCTGTGGTGCCTGGCCAGCGCGCAGCTACTGGGCTTGATTTGGAAATCAGCAGCAGCAGCACACCGTCGCTGGGTCCTAGCCGGAGCCAAGGACTGGAGGCACGCATGTTTGAAGAATCTGACCCCGAGCTGCATGAGCTCACTCACGAGCTGTTGCTGCGCGAATTGTCCGGCGCCTTTTTGCAAGACTTGCAACGGCAGCGGCTGCATGCGTTGATATCCGATTTTCTGCGGACGCCTAAGACCCACACAGCCATTGGCGGCTCTGGTCGCCCAACAGAGGTTAGGGGCGCGATCTGCAAGCAGCAGCCTGTAGACACCGCATCAATGCTCAAGCGGATGGCGAGAAAGAGTGCACTGAGCAGCGAGATGACAAAGCCCATAACCGCCGTCTTGGCAGAGCTCCCAAGCTTCCGCCGAGGTGCTAACGGAAAGACATCGTCTCTGTCTCACAAGGCTGAAAGCGCCAAGGAAGCTGGGCGAGAGCGCACGCCGAAAAGAGCTTTGCCGCGGGGTCGTTCAATGGACTCCAACGAATCTGCATCCGCGTCTAATTCTGCCTTTAGCGACGGCGATGACTCTGATGCGCCGTTTGAAGGCAGCAGAAATACCATGCGTCGACGCCTGGTGAGCAAGGGCACAACCAAACCTCCAAACATTGTACGTGGGCTTGGCAGCTCGGACGCTGAGCCGCACAAGATCAGCAGTGCGACTGCGCGCCAGCCCACAAGACGGCATGCGCTGGACAGCGACGGCTCGGCATTTGGCGATTATTCAAGCGACGAGGATGAGGCCCGAGCTCAGGATGACGACGGCGACGACAATGCTAATGACAATTACAATGAGGACATGGGTGACTTGGCTATTGTCCCGCAGCGGAGGGGCAAGAAAAGGGCACTCGAATCCAAGCAACCCAAGAAGGTGGTCCCGCAAAAGCGCGCTAGGCGAGTCAGCCAGATGCCAGTTGTTGAGTCGTCCCAACCCGGGACGCCACTTGCAGGGCTGCTGGGCATGCAAACACAAACGCGGATTGACGAGGACATGGCGCCTGATGTGCCGGTGCACTCAACAGGATCGGCGCGCACCGAGGGATATTATCCGATCAATTCTAAAATGAAGGGCGTCTACTTGCCGCAGCTGCATTCACAGCTGCATTGGGCCGCTAGCTTTTTTGGCGGCACTGATGCAGCTGTCGCGTCGCGGCTGCGCGGGTTTGCCGAGAAATCCAAGGGGGCGAGTAGCAATGGTCGCGGTGTCGGTGCCAGCGGCGCATCGGCCGACGGCACAGCCCGTAGCACTCGTGGCGGGGGCTCTAGCATGAGTGAGGCCAGCCTGTACTACTCGCTTTCCCATGCCAGCATGGGCTCATCGTCGCGCACACATCGTGCGACAAATAGGAAGCTGCGGGCCGAGTTCAGCATGGGCATCCGCAGCATGGGCGAGGGCAGCAGCGGTGCGGCAGGCGGTAATGTACCGGGCGGCAGCAGCGGTCTGGCTGGGGATGGCAGCACCGGCAGCAGCGGCAGCATTGTCGGCAGCGGCGGCGACGGCGGGTCAGATCTCTTGAGGTTTAACCAGCTTGAGTCACGGACAAAGCGGCTTCGTTTTTCCAAAAGCGCCATCCACGACTGGGGGCTGTTTGCCTCGGAGCCGATATTCCAGGGTGAGTTTGTGATAGAGTATATAGGCGAGCGCATTCGAGCGCAACTGGCAGATCTGCGCGAGGAGCACTACGAGCGCGAGGGCATCGGCAGTAGCTACCTGTTCAGAGTTGACGACGAGACAGTAGTCGACGCTACAAAGTGTGGTAACGTCGCACGTTTTGTCAACCATAGCTGTGAGCCCAACTGCATTGCCAAGACAATTGTGGCCGACGGCACGAAACGCATTGTGATTTACGCCAGCCACGACATTCAGGTGGGCGAGGAGGTCACCTATGATTACAAGTTCCCACCCGAAGAGGACAAGATCCCTTGCTTGTGCGGTGCTGCTAACTGCCGTGGCTATCTAAACTAAAGTGAGTTAAGCTGAAATATAGACACTGGGAAATGATATGGTACAGTAGTTGTCCTTTTTTGGTTTCCAGTTTACTGGTGCTTTTCTGCATTTGAGGCGCCAGAGCTTGGCGCAATTAGTCTGAATTTAATGACCGGCCTTTCTGAACTGTTTTTTTTCGTCAATTATGAAATAAATTATTCGGCAATAGCATTGGCCTCGTTAGCGCAGTGTGCACGATCATGGATATATTTTCCTCAGCCTAGTGCCCACGCGTGTATGGTTGGGGACACGCAACTTTGCGTGGTGTTTTCGCGTTTTAATGTTATTTAATTTGTTTTTATTGGGGTTTATTGGTGTTTTTATTAATGTGGCGAGTGTTGGCCAGACAATCGCCCTGTGGCAACCAATGCAGGCGCAGGCCAAGCAATCTAGGACAATTGTTTTGTTTGTTTACGTGCGCCATCTGCGCAGCGCTCTGATCACCAAAATCACGACATGTGCGCGCAACCACTGAGACCAACAGTTGTGAATCATATTTAAATTCTTTTTTCCTTGCTGTTGGTGCATGCTCAACTTTTCAACTTTTCAACTGTCCTTTGCTCAGTTCTTTCTTATTGTTATTGTTATTGTTATTTTTTTTAAAAATCCCTTCATCCAACGTGGTATTGCGCCTTCGCGTTTTCAGCAGTGCCTTTTTTGACTGCTTTTAGCCTTCAGTTCTGCAGCCGCTCTCTGGCATACACTCAACCAACAGCACAGGCCAAGCCCGCGCCCAAGCCTAATAGTAACGGCATAAGCAAATACGCATACACCCACACAGACAAACAAATATAGACATGAGGTAAAGTAACCGCTGCTCTTGCTTTGACTATGTATGCGCTGCATCCAAATTACACAATACTGACCATTCGGCTGTCTGCGCACCAGCGTTTGCGGTCATTCTTTCGTTTACGTTTACTCGCTTTGGACATGTAGTGAACGTCTGCGCCGTATACCGTATGATGACCTCAACACAACCGAAGGCGCGAGTCCGATGGGGCAGTTTTTCGACACACCCCGGTTTGCAAACACAGTGCCGTTCTTTCGCTTTCAGCGCTTTGGTAAGCACATCACCCACTCACTTTCACAAGAAATCACTTTCTTTTCAATCTACCCAAAAAGCTGCACTTTGGGGAGGTAGTCTTTCCGTTTTTTTCCTTCTCCAACGACTGGCGCGGCGAGCGGGCCTGTCTACTGGCAAAATATAGCACAGGGGCAACACCTTTTGCCTCCACCGCCACTGCCACCACTGCTGCTGGTGCTGCTGCTGTCGCTGGTATCACACAGACACATACTGCCGGTGCGCACGCCACAACAGTACCAGGCTATGTTGCAATTTTCAAAAGCAGCAGTGGTTTTCTGGTGAGGATGGCTGTAAGAGAAGATAAAATCACTTAGCTTGATGACTCAGCCGCGTCTCCCGTATGTGGGTTGAAGACAAATACACATATATTATTAGTTCATGGCATGGCATGGCATGGAATGGCATCGCATCGCATCGCATCGCATAACATGGCAGCTGTTGCTTGATCGCAGAAAGTTGTCGCTTGATTGACGCCATCGATAGCGATGGCGGCGGCGATGGTGGCGATAGTTGGGGAGATAGTTGGGGAGATGTCTGGCGCACGTCCCCCCTTTGGATTGTCAGATTGTCTTTCTTATTATTTTATTCCTCCACCCGTCTGCCAGAATCGCTGGCATTGGTGCAATGGCGAGACGAACGCTTGCATGATGCCGCTCCATGTTCATTGCTTCTCGCGCCGCCGCCGCCACCACGCGCGCGCTCAATTGGCTGATCGCGCGCGTAGCAAGCATCACCTCAACATCGTTCAACTCATTTGTCTCTTTCCCCAAACGCCGCCAGGCAGCAAAGGCCAACGAGCACAAATCGCCTCCCGCGCCATATAATTTTTGCTCTTGCGCGCCTTTTTGAATAGGCCTTTATTTGCCGCGTTCCTTCTTTTTACTGCCCGCCCCACAGTGTTTCTCTTTTTCTTCTCTCTCTCTCTCTACATCTCTCCTCCAAGCCCATTCCATTCCACGCATTTTGTTGCCTTCTCCCCTCATAGAGCGCAAACGCGTGTTCTATCTATTGCTCCCCACTGCACACAGCCTAACCATCCATTGTCTCTGCAGCTGCAATCACTCTAATCACCGCTCTCTGCCTTCACACATACACGCACACACACACCCATCACATATGCTTACACTAGGGCACAGCGATGCGCGCACCGACAGCGACCACAAGCTGGTTGTCGTCATGGTCGGCCTTCCTGCGCGCGGAAAGAGCTATATTGTCAAAAAGCTTAAGCGCTATTTGTCCTGGCTCGGCTTCCAGACCAAAATATTCAACGTCGGCGACCGTCGCCGCCTGGCCGGATCCACAGATGAGTATGAATGCCCGAGCAGCGGCCACACCAGCCGCGCCAACCACCCAGAGACAATAAGGCAAGGCGCCAGCAAAAAGAAGAAAAATCAGCAGCAGCACCAGCCGAATCAGCCGAATCAGCCGAATCAGCAGTGCGCCGACTGCAGCCGCTCCGGATCCTCACGGGCATTCTCTACAGCCGGCGTATGCGCTTCCTCGTGCGCGCATTGCGACACGCGGCACTCATCGGCGTTCTTTGACCCCAGCAACAAAAAGGCAAAGCAACTGCGCGAGCAGGTTGCCATGGACGTGTTTGAGGACCTGCTGCGGTGGCTGCAGGCCGGCGGCCAGATCGCCATCCATGACGCGACCAACTCGACGATCGAGCGGCGAAGCGCGCTGATAAATCGGCTCAAGAGCGAGGCCGATGTCAACCTGCTGTTTGTCGAGAGCATCTGCACAGACAAGGACATCATCAACCGCAACATCAGAATGAAGACGCAGAGCCCGACTACATTGGCATGGACCCTGACGTCGCCGAGGCCGACTTCCGTGCCCGTCTGCGCAACTATGAGAGCGCATATAAAAGCATCGGCGCGGCCGAAGAAAAGTACGACGTACAGTACTGCAAGATCATCGACGTCGGCAAGAAGGTCATCGCGTACAACATCCAGGGCTTCCTGGAGAGCCAGGTCGTCTTCTATCTGATGAACATGAACCTGGATCCCCGCGTGATCTACATCACCCGCCACGGTGAGAGCGAGGATAACGCGGCAGGCCGCATTGGCGGCGACGCTACGCTCGCGCCTGGCGGCGAAAAGTATGCCAAGGCACTGGCCCGCTTTATCGACCGCCGCCGCCTGGAGTTTGCCAGCGAGGTCGACGAGCAGAACCACCGGCTGGCGCAGTTCATGGCCAGCGGCAACAGCAGCGAGCCGGAGAGTGAGGCCTCGCAGTCGAGCTCTGCCAGCACTGAGTACTCATCGTTGCGCCTACGCATCAAGCCCGACTTTGAGATCTGGACATCGATGCTCCGCCGCACCATGGAGACTGTTGAGCACTTTGACTCGCAGAAATACCGCATCAAGAACATCCGCTCGCTCAACGAAATCTACGCCGGCAAATGCGAGGGCATGACCTACGAAGAGATTGCTGCACGGTACCCCGACGAGTTTGAGGCTCGCCAACTGGACAAGTTCTACTACAGGTACCCGGGCATTGGCGGCGAGTCGTACGCCGACGTCGTGCTGCGCCTGCAGCAGGTCATTGTTGAGCTGGAGCGCATTCGCCACTCAGTGCTGCTTGTCACGCACCGCGCGATGGCACGCACGCTGCTCTCGTATTTCATGGACGTCCCAACTACACACATGCCCGACATGGAGCTGCCTCTGGGCCACGTCTACAGCTGCGAGCCGAGGCCCTTCGGCAACTATCTGCGCGTATGGCGATACGACGCCGACCTCGACGCCTTCGAGGAGGTCGATGCCTCGTCCGCCCTGAAAATCCAGTACCCGAAGATCCTGGCTGGGTCGCGGCAGAGCACGTCTTCTGAGAACAACGACCAACACAACCTGCTGCCGTCGCCGGCCGAGACGTCATACTCAACCAGCCACTGAGCTGAGCCAAGGCTGGAAAATGGGCAGCGGAGCCAAAAAGGAAAGCGAGAAGCTGGAAGCGGGAGCGGAGCAGACCCAATGCAAATGCGAATGTGGATGCTAGCGCTAGTGTTAATGCCAACTCTGCTATTTGATTTTGAATATGCGCTTGCAATAGCCACAGCGACAGGCGCTTTATGTACATATTTTTTTTGGTCTCGCCTTTCTCTTTCTTTCACCTTTGCCATTGCCCATCCGCTCGCTCCTCATTTACCCTCCACCTATAGTAATTGGGGGAGGGTTAATACAATTTTTTCTTCAGTATAGCTGTTAACCAATTTCCTTTTCTTTATTTTTCCTCTTCTTTATTTTTCCTCTTCTATTGTTCAAGATAAAATTATTTTTTCAGCCACTACACCCTTCTACTTCTAATAGTGTCGCTGATGCAGGCGATGCGCTCAACGCCATTTATCCTGCTAGCCGGCCTTGTCGGGATCGACATGGCCTTGCAGCTACATGCAGCCGGCCCTACTCTGCACCCCATTTCGGGATTATCCGAAGTGCTTGCTGTAAGCGCTGGCACAGCAAAGCCAGCTCGCCAGGCCACACCAGCAACAGCAACATCGACAGAAATAGAAACACAAACCGCACACTTAATAGCACTCGCCCAAATTGGAGATAAAATACCCAAATCCAGCAATCAGCGGTGCCGACATGCAATACGCCGCTCACAAAGCTGTGCGTACATCCGTGAGCACTGCGCAGAATACGGAAGCGGCATTGCCAGCTACATCGAGCTGTACTACTGCACATTTGCCTCGCAGCATACTGCCGTGCTCACAGCAATGGTCATCTGGCTCGGCATGCTGTTTATCTGGCTGGGTGTCTCAGCATCAGAGTATTTTTCTCCCAATATCGGCACGCTCGCGGTGCTACTGCATCTCCCCGAAAGCCTGGCTGGCGTGACGCTGCTTGCGCTTGGAAATGGTGCACCGGATCTGTTTTCGACGTTCAGCGCTGTGCGTGCTGGAAGCGGCGCCCTTGCCATCGGGCAACTCGTTGGCAGTGCGTCGTTTATAGTCAGCGTGGTTGCAGGTGCCACGACCCTGATCGTGCCGCGGTACAAGGTGAATCGAATATCGTATTTGAGGGAGTTGGCGTTTTTCGTAGCGACCATATCCATAGTTGTGGTTATTGTTGTCACCGAAAGACTATCGCGTGGCCTGGCGCTCTGCATGGTCGGGCTGTACATTGCGTATGTGATCACGGTTGTGGCAACAACATACTATGAGGAGCTTGCGGCAGAAGAGCACCAGCAGATCTGCATCACACTCGACGCACCTGGCGAACCAATACCTGTGGAGTCCGGCGTGTCATTGCTCACGCAGTGCTACCCCCAATCATACGAGTCTCTTTTGATTGGCGGGGATGCTAGGCGGGCCAGGTCCTTTGGAAGCCGCAGCTTGGCACCTTTGTCCGAGAGCAGCGGGAGGCGACAGGCAATTGATGCCACCCGCGACGAACATTCCAATGAAGATGTGTGGGCGCCCTTCCTGCTCGAAGACAGATCCTTGTCTTCCAGGGCGCTGTACGAGTTTTTGCACCAACAACGAAAGTCGCTGCTGGCAGCGGCCGAGTGTAGTGACATTATTGGCGAGCTACGCGAGTCCCAGAGCTTCATTGATACCAGGGTTTGTTCCGGTTCTAATCTTGGCGCCAGTTTGGCTAATTCGGCGTGTGGGTCGGCTCAGAATGTGCTGGCTATGCACAATAAAGTTCGACCAATGTCGCCACCTTGGGATGAGAACTTGGCTTCTTGTTCAGAAGACTGCCCCGCTGGTGGCGCGCATTCAGGCTCGTCCGCGCTTTCGGAACATGCTGCCTTGAATTATCTTCAGATTGTGCATACTAGAGCTTTGCTACCCTCAGAACCCAGTCTCGCTCTAGATCCACCGCCAACTATAGGGCGGAGCACGCACAATTCCACATACCTGTCACCGACATCCTGTCAGCACACGTGTCCGTCGCCGACGTCTCAGCTTCAGCGACATGATTGTGGTCACTTGATAGCCCCATACTCAACTCTCGAAGCCTCGCCGACAGCCCAGAGTCAGAGCATGATTCCAACATTGGCCCTGGCCCATGCGTGTATACCAACACTTCGCTACTGGAAGGATGATGCTTCAATGCTCTAAAAGTATTTATTGTGTTTAGTGCTCTGCCAGTGTTCCTTCTGACGCTCACAGTACCAGTTATGCACGAGGCTCCCCCAACGCACCACGACAGCGCTTGCAACCATGTTCAGAGCACTTTATTCGCCAGAAGCAGCAACGAAGGCGAAGTTTTGCTCAGGCAAGAGCAGCAAAGTAATTACCAAACCATTTGTCCCGACCAACAGAATATACGACTATCACCAGCAATGAGCGCCGTACACCACAGCTGTTGCGTGGGGTTGGGTCAGACTTTGCTTGCAGAGGCCACCCAGCGGGCCGAAAGGGCGGTATCATTTGTGCGGTCGGTAGTAGCCGTGCTGTTTTTGTACGTTGCTTTGTATCTAGGCGGTTATCCCATCCACGAAGTCGGGCTACCCACTCAGTCATGCGTGGTGGCCGGCCTCAGTATGGCTTCGCTTCTTGGGAACTACCTCTGCCAGCGTCGTTTTCGCCCGCCATATTGGCTGCAGGTTACGCCCTGTTTTGTGGGGTTCTTTTGCGGTCTTGCATGGGTGTACATTGTCGCCGATGAGATGGTCTCAATTACGCAAGCTCTGGGAGTCATACTAGATCTGAGCGAAGAGATACTAGGACTGACCCTTGTTGGATTTGGCAACAGTCTCGGCGACCTTGTCACCAATCTGACTCTAGCGCGCATGGGATTCCCGATGATGGCAATAAGTGCCTGCTTTGGCGGCCCGATGCTGTGCATTCTTTTAGGCGTAGGCATGGCAGCATGCGGCACCATTTCAATGGGGGAGGTGGCGGCAGCGCATACTGGATACCCTTGACATCGCCGACTGTACTTGTCAGCGCTGCCTGCCTACTGTTTAACTCGGTGCTTTTTTTGGTGGTCGTACCGCGACAAAAATACCATATGACTCGTTCAGTTGGACTCGTAGCTCTGGCAGTCTACTTTGTCAGTATGGCCGTAAACATATATATTGAAAAGTAAAATACATAAACATTTTTTATGTCGCCAAAATTTTCAGTTTAAAGATTAACGAATATTCTAATTATTGGTAGTGGCAGTATATGGTGTAAGATTACTTTACAATATGACCAAATTTACCTGGGCAATACCGCTACTGTGTGCGAAAATTGCTTAAAACCCCGTCTTTGTTGCTACGGTAGCAGCACAGTTGGCCCTGTGAAACCACTATTGTCCAAAAGAGCAATACTAATGTTCCATTTGTAATGCTCAAACGCAAACATACGCGTATAAAAGCGGCATGGCTCGCTGCACAATACCACAGATACAAGCATCCAAAACATCTAACCATCTGGTCTTTAGTTTTCTTTTCATCTACCACTTCCAAACACACCCAATCATCTATTATTTCCACACTACCTGACAACAATGAAGTTCATTGCTACCATTGCCGCTACCATCCTCGCCGCGACGTCTGCCGTCTCTGCCCAGGCCAACTCTCCCCCCATGGGCGGTGCGTCTCCTCAGGGCGGCAACATGGGCCCTATGATGGGCGCTGAGGGCTCCGCTCACGCTGAGGCATTCAACGGCGCAGAATCCGCTGGTGGCCCCGCCGGTGCTCGCGGCAAGAGCATGTGGGCCTACCCCAACTACAGCGCATACACCGGCTATTCTCCCTACAGCGGCTATGGTGGCTACGGCAGCTACGGTGGATACGGCGGCTACGGCGGCTACGGCAACTACGGCAACTATGGCAGTTACGGTGGCTACGGCGGCTACGGCAACTACGGCGCCTACCCGCGCAACAGATACGTTGGCAGCTACTGGTAATTTCGAGTACTCTCGACTCGCCGTTTATCTGTAACCAGCGAGCACAGTAGCTAGCTGCTAGATGCGCCTGGATCGCTACAGTAGCTTGGGGTTTGCCAAACACATGCTTTTTATTCTTTTTATTCTTTTCACACGTGCTTGTTATTTCGGGCACATTATTATTAAGCGCGGTGGCTTCTTTTTTCAGGGCAATTTTGTTTTCATCCTGGCAAAAGATCCAATCAGCGTTTGTTTGAATTTAACACCAATATATACATATGCATATACATATACACACATACACAAATACATGAACATTATTTTTTGTAAATTGTAAATCTTATTAGCACAAATTTTTAAAAGTGAATAAGATGTATTGGGAAAAACTAGTTTTTTCCGCAAAGCGCAAAAGTAGAAGAAATAAGAGGTTTAGTTATTTTCAGCTTGGCGCTGCTCGAGCCCCTTAGAAATGCACTGGTTGATAAAGTTGCGACGTGCCTTCTCTTCTTCAGCAGAGATGCCAAAGTGGCCCATGATCTGTTGGCGCACCTGCTTTTTGGTGATGGTCATCAAGTCAGTCGTAGCAATGATTTCCCCAACGTGTCTGGCCAGCTGATCATCGGTAACGCCCGAGGGCCACTGCTGAACCTGCATTGCCTTCAAATCCCCAGGGGGGCTTGGTACAGTGGAATAATCCAAAATCGACTTGACGCCCGTGTCCATCGCTCCCATTTGGATAGCCGTCTGGTCAGTGCCAGATGCAAAGGTCGATGGACGATTGTACGCTGACATGGCAAACCCTTGCTGAGAGTGCATCGATGGGCTCCCGGGCACCGTCTGCATACCAGAATACGCCGTCGAAATACGTGGATCAGGCATGGGCATGCCTTGCTGGAAGTAAGAGCCGTCGCCAGCCTGACCCATGCGCGGATCCATAGGCGTGCTGGCAGCAGACATGCGCGCACTGTTAATAGTGGCCATATCATACGCGTTAAACTGCCCGTTGCCGCCGGACACGGGCTGGATGGGGGAGGAGCGGCCAGATGCCAGGTAGTCAAAGGTCGTGCCAGGGATGCCAGGCGCATTCACCGGAAGGTTGGTGTTAAGTGCCATGTTGTACCCGTACCCGTTGTCATAGTAGACTGAATTAGTACCCGCATACTCAGCCATTGATTGGGGCACGTTTCCAGTAGCAGAGCCAGGGCGGTTGATGAGAGCAGCAGCACCGCCAAATCGTGATCCGGTTTCCGAAATGTCGTACTGCGACTTGGAATTGTCCAGCATATCCTGTTCGTAGTCGGACCATTTGCGCATGGGAATAGATGACTTGTCAAACTTTTCGTTGTCAACAGTGTAGATATGCTTGCGGCCCGACTCGCCGACGACCATGCGCGTGTTGCCCCACGAGAAGTCGTCAAAGTGCCAGAACGAGTAGAGCGGGATGAAGAATGAGAATAGTGGAATGGCCAGAATGTATACAATCATCCAGCCGATGTGCTGCCACTGGCGCTTGAGAATGAAAATCAGCGCCTGCATGCCGTAAATGGCCGCCAGCAGGTACAGCGAGATGTAAGACGTGGTCGAGTCCGGGTTGGCAAGCTGGTAAATCAGTAGGCCAGGTAAATGATTGTAGCCGGCATGATGATGGTGGTGATAAGGTCGATGAACACGACGAAGCGCATCGAGAAGCAGCAGAAGCCGCACAGCTGCGGCAGGAACACCAGCTCGAATAGATTGTGCACGGTTGAATTAATCCAGCGGCGGCGCTGGGATAGCAGAACGTTGAGCTCCTCGGGCGCATTGGTAATGCACTTGGCTGCTGGGACAAACTTGTTCTTGTAATACGGGAAGTGCTTGAGCACAAGCGTGGTCAGGTACCGATCCTCGCCGAGATGCAGCAGGTTCTTCTCGTGAAGCGTTTCAACGCGGTTAGTCGAATAGTCGTCAATGATCTGGTTGGATATAAGCAGCGGTACGGGTGTACCCACGCTATCAGGAGTGCGCATACGGTACATACTAAAGCAACCTGGAAGACAAGTGACAGACCCAAACAGCGACTCGAAGGCCTTAGTCAGGTGGTGCGAGATAAAGTACTCGTACACCTGCATCATCGTGATCCATGAGCTCTTGGCGTTGGCCAGCATAGTCTCGCCGCAGATACCGATGATTTTAGTGTCGTTGTTCAGAGCGCCAATCAGGCGCGACAGCGAGTCTGAGAAAACCACAGTATCGGCGTCGATCATCAGCACAAATTCGTACAGCGCGGGGTTGACTCCAATGACATTCTTGACCTGGTGGAACATCTCCAGCTCAAGCGGCGTCATCGGCAGGTCAAAGAAGACCTTGTTGAAGAAATGCATCAACATGATCTGGGAGTCACGCTTGCCGCGATTGCCTGGGCGGTTGCGCTCGTGAGGCGTGCCAACCTTGGCCACGACTAGGTACGGGACGACGTGGCCCTTGAACTCGTACAGACCAGAGTATACCTTGGCCATGTTGTGCTCCTTGGATCCCTCACCGAGCGCAATGTAGCTCAGTGCCTCGGGCTCTTGGTCACTGCCAACACCAAGAATGTCAAGCACGATGCGCGGCGTCGGGCGGTCGTTGCCCGAGCCCATGATCATGCCGTCACACACAATGAACAACAGCTTGCGCTTGTCGTCGTACTTGAGCTCGGCAAGCGAATCAATGGTCTGTTTGAGAGACTCCTCACCCTCAGTGTAGCATGGCACATTACAGACGACAAAGTTGGTACCAGGCTCGGGGTCACGGCGAGAGCCGAACTGCAGAGCGGCGAGGAACTTGAAAAAGATGATGGACACTAGGGCAATTGTCGCAGCGAGCAGCAGGTAGTTGGCCGCATAGCATCTGGTCGACTTGCGCAGGTCAACCTTGCCCACGTAGAACGCGCCCCTCAGCACTGCGTGTGTATGGCCTTGGACTCAGGCTTATCTGCAAAGAACCGGTCCCACATATCTGTAATGTCCTTGCCGGGGTTCTGGTCAAACATGTCAAACACGTTGTCATCGAGGAACTTGCGAGTGCCCACGCTGTTGGTTGAGTTCTGGGTATCAGACACAAGGTACGGAACACCCATGTGGTTGATATACTCACTCAGGTCAAAAATTTGGTCATGAATGATGCACCGGCGGATGATCTGGCCCATTGCGTTTTTGGAGTTTCCGCTGCCCTCCAGCAGCAGCTCCTTGGGGTCGACGGCAATGTGGCCCTTGGCGTAGTTCTGGCGCATAATGCGCATCATGCGGAACTGGAAGTAGTTGTAACCCTTCTCTGTCGGGTGGCGCCACCAACGGTGGTCGTGGTAGTACGTTGGCGAGTAGAGTTCAGGCTTGGTCTGGAAGCTGAGACGCGGGTCCATGCCCTCGAATGGGCAAACAAATGACAGCTGGTAGGGGAACATACTAGACTGGTCACGGCCAACGTAGTTGTGGTCCATCAGGTACTTGAACTGGACGCCCATGTGGCTGTAGTCCTTGACGTCAAACACCTCGCCGCGGATGGCAACAAGAGCGTCATCAGCGGTGTTGTGCGAAGTGAGATCGGTGATCGAGTACACGTGTTGACGCGGGCAGAGGAGCATGCCTAAACCCACGATCCAGAAGATCACAACGCCACAGCTCCAAACGACGATCATGCACAAGGCTACCTTCTCGCGCCAAGCCATTCGCTGGTCGCGGCGCTTGATCCGCCCGCACCACCGCAAGAACACCGACGGGATCATCCACGTACAAAGCCATGTGAAAGCAACCCATGCCTTGCGAGCCGATGTTTCGGGGATCTCGGGCTCGTCCTCTGGCTCGTCCTGCGCCGCTATCGCCATCATGCTCTTCTTGGTGGTCTCCGGGTCGCCGGCCGAGAGTGGCAGGGTTTCCTCGTAGCCGGCATTAAAGTCGCGCTCGCTGGCGACTTCTGAAATGCCGTCGCGGTTGCCCATCCCCTGGTATCCGTCATCGTCGGAGTAATATGAGCGTGCGTCGGCTCCAGCGCCAAACATGCGGCCCTTGAGCGCGCGCATCTGCTGCGCGGCACCACTCATGCCCGTGTCCGAGCTTGAGTTGTGGCCCAGCGGCTGTGCGTTGAGCATAAGGTTAGCCTCTGACTGGTCGCCGAAGCTGGTGGCACACGTATCGGTAATGTCGCCGTAGCCCAGCTCGCCAAACTGTTGTGCATCCTTGTTCTGCTTGTGGCCCGTGCGCTGGTCACTCATCTCCATGCGCTCCATGCCGCGGATCGGGTCGTCGATGCGCCGCCAGGTCTTGAAATTGACAAACACCTTGGCCCGACCGAGCGCCATCTCCGCGTCGGAAAGCTGCAGCGCCTTCTTGAGCGCGGCGCACTTTGCAAAATCGTCGACCAGCGCCGGCCCGTCGGCCACGTACTCATTAATGACAAGCTTGTAGCGCTGACAAAAGTCCGACATACTGAGAACTGCCGAGAACTCCGCTGCTTTGCGCTTGATGATGTTGTCCAAGTCGAATTGGCCGATTTGCGCTTGGATGCGACGAATATCGGTAGCCCGTGCGCGGCCCTGCTCGTTTGGCTTAATACACAGCACAAACCAGGTCAGGGTGTCATCCAGAGTCATGACCATCTCGTTGAGCGCGCGCTGAAACTGGGTGGCCACGCAGTCGACCTTGGCAAACCGCGACGTAGCGCCTCTGGTTTTAGGCCTCATCATCGACGGCGAGCGCGTGGGTACAGAGGGAGCTTGTGCCTGGACCACAGCTTTTTCATCCTTGGGGTGTACCTCGGTAGCCAGGGTCTTGTTCGAGAACAGGCCAGCGACAAATCCGTTGTCCGTGCCGGGGTTCTCCGCCGTACCGTCGCCGCGGAACACAGCGACAAAGTCAGAGCTGAGCTGATCGAGGTTCTTCTCGACAAAGTCGTCAATGCTGTAGCTGACATCGCCCCAGAAATGCGACACAGTAAAGCTGTTCATCTCGTTCTTGCTGTCGCTCGACGAGTAGAACTGGTTGGCCTCGCCAGACCTGTGGTCATGCTGGCGGTTGAACGCCTTGAGCAGCTGGTTGCCGGCCTCGCGCTCGGACAGGTTAGGGTTGAACTCGCGCTGCGCCGACGCGTCCTTCTTCTTGCCTCCCTTGTCAATCTGCAGGTACTCAGCCGCCTGGCGGTCCATGGTGGAAAACAGACCCGACTTGGGCTTCATGAACAGGTCTAGACACTGCGAGCGGTTGGCAAACTCGACGACTGGTACGATGTCGGTGATGCCCTCGGCGATGTACTCGTTGCTGCCGGCCTCGAACATCTGGTGGAACAAAAAGTGGTGCAGGCGCTCGTTGGCGTAGTTTCTGCACAGCTGCTCATAGCCGCTCTGGCGTGCCGTGTACCATCCCGGGAAGTCGACCATGCTGATAAAGCTGCTATTGTCTGCGTCGTCCCTGCACAGCTTGGAGTTGAGGAACTCGACCAGCCAGTTGAACAGAAGAGAGTACAGGGAGCGCGCGAGGTCGTCGCGGCGCGCCGCTGCGCCCTTGCCATCGAGGTAGACCGTGAACTTGTCGCTGCCCACTTGTTTGGTCTGGATGGTCAGAAGTGACAGAAGGGTGTCTACAGGAATGCCGAGCATTTCACTGACGTGGATCGCTACGTCCTGGTTGCGCACAGTGGCAGCACTCTCCTCGCTCTGCTTCTGGTGCTGGAACTGCAGGTTCCCCAATGCAAGGATTGACGCCAGCACAGTAAATATGTGGCGGCGGTACTTTTGGCCCAGGCCGATGCTGCCCATGGCGGTGACCAGCTCCTGGAACCGCTCCGAGTCGCTGAATCCGGTGATGCGCTGGACCGTGCCCGGGCGGTGCAGATAGTCAAATGATGCCTGTGTGATCCCATACTCGGAGCGCTCCTCGGTGGCAGCGCCGTTGGTCAGATAGTAAAACACGTGAAAGCTGCGCTCGCCCTGGGGCACATGTGTTACGCGGGCCTTTTCCAACAGGTACGTGAGTGTTTTGGTGCCAACAGTGCGTCCGCGTTGGTCGAACTGGAGTTCGATATACGAGCCCATGCGCGAGCCGTTGTTGTGGACGGCCGTCTTTGCGTGCGAAAACGCCTCAAGCACAATATCGGCATTCTGGATACGCGAGTACAGGCGCGTGTCCTTCTTGGAGTGAGCACGGATCACTGAAAAAAAGCGCGTCACCAGGCGACGCTGCTCTGTTTTTCCGCTCCCCGAAGCGCCGCTATATGTTGGGGAAAAAGAAGGAAAAAACCAAAGCGAGAGTGGAGAGCATTGAGCAGGGGAATGCATGATAGGCGGAAAAGCAAAATGTTAGCACTTGTGCATGCTTGCCGTTTATTTTTTGTTGTCGAAATGTCAAAGGCGCAATGTATTGTCCTTTTGCGACAATATGCAAAAAACAGACAGACACACAGACATACGGACATTCAACCATACAGACAGGCAGTGTGCGGGGAAACAAAAATGGAAGAACACTTACATGAAACTGATGCTCTGGCTGAGGCCAGTGCGGCGCATATGAAGATACGCTTGCTCAGCCACCTTGAAGATGTGCGGCGGCAAGGGCTGGCGGCTGGCAGAGGTGTCGCGGTAGTCGTCTGCATATTGCAACGCGACCTGGTCGGAGGAGCTCTCCTGGCTCTCGTTGGGGTTGAAGGCTACCAAGAGGCGGTCGCCAATGTTGGTGTATGGCTGAGAGTGCGGGCGCTGCTCATAGCGGTCGACAAGGGTGCCGACGACCTCATCGTTGGTGAGTACAGACGCATTTTGGAGCAGGCTCAGATCATCGTTGTCCTGGACCTGCATGGTTGAGACACAAGTAGGCGCAGTTGCGGGGAGGAAAACGGAGTCCAAACAATAGGAAATAAATAGGGTTGATATTTGGGTTGATTGTGTGCCCTTGTTTCCGACAAAAGCAGGTACTGCGCTGGGTTTGGTGAGATGTGTGTGGCGCTGTGGGTGTATTCCAGCTGCCTGGGCCCAAACGACAAAAAAAGTATATAGAGTTGAGTGGCTTTTTAAAAAAAGATGAATGAAAGGATATCAGCAAAGTGGCAATAACACTAGACAAAACAAAATAAAATGGCCAAAATAAAGACAAAAAAGCAATGGCGCCCAGAAGAAAAGCGTCGCTGAGAAAGAGAAATTCTTGCTTTCTCTCTCTCAGTTGCGCGCAACAATAAACCGCGCATCATCTAATTTTCTCTTATTTTTACTCCTCTTTGCTGCGTTTTCAATGACAGTCAGGGCAAATTTTTTGTTTGTCATCTCCAAAATAAGAGGAGTGGTGATCGACCGAGTGTTTGGGCATACAATTGGCTGATATTTTTGGATTTTCTTGTTTTTTTCTTAAACTGTATGCCAAAAGCGCATTTTTTGTTTTGTGTGCAAAATAAAATTTAACGAAAAAATATTTAAATAAAATTGAAATAAAAATAAAAATAGAGATGTTGATGTAGACACTGCTGTTGACGCTGCTGTTGGCGCTGCTGTTGGCGCTGATGTTGATGCGGATAAATTTAAAGACGTTCGTTGAGCACCTCGTCAATGCACAGGTTGATGAACGACTTGCGCGCATTGAGCTCGTCCTGGTCCATGCTGCAGTCCTGGCCGACTTGCTGGCGCACCTGCTTTTTCGTGACGAGCATGAGATCCACGGTGCCGATGATGCGCCGCACCGACTGCATGAGCACCTCATTAGGCATTCCAGACGGATACTGAACAAGAGCGCTCTCTGCACCAAGCACCATGGGCGCCGCTGCGTATGCATTGACATTATCATTGCCATTGCCATTGGGTATTCCCAGAAGCTGCTGCTGTTGGGGCATCATATGCATTGGCATTTGCATGGGCATGTGGTGCTCGGACATGTACTGGGCATTAGCAAGGCCCATCCCTGGCAATGAAGTGTCGCCGACCATTTCGCCGCCAACCATGCTCATGGCGATGTTTACGTGCGGATTGTTGGTGATCTGCATGTTTGTGCCGCCGTGGTGGTGGTAGTACCCGTAGTTGTTGGCACCGAAAACAGAGCCTGCCACCGAGCCCGGTCGGGGCTGCCCATAGTACATGCTCGCGCGGCTGCTCATCTCGCTGCGCGCATCGTCCAACCGCGCCTTGTCCGGGCCGCTGTACATGATCTCCTCCTCATAATCCTCCCACTTGCGCAGTGGAATAGACTTGGGATCAAACACCTCCAGCTCAGCAACAAAGCGGGTCTTCTTGCCATCGCCGACGACCATGCGCGTGGTTCCCCACGAAAAGTCGTCAAAGTGCCAGAACGCGTAGAGCGGGATGAAGAATGAGAATACGGGCATTGCCAAGAGATACACAATCATCCAGCCGATGTGCTGCCACTGGCGCTTGAACACAAAAAGCAGCGCCTGCAGACCATAGACGGCTGCCAGCAAGTATACTGAGACAAGAGGCGTGTCAGAAGTACTGACAACTAGCTGGTAGATCAGGTAGCCCAGGTAAACCACCGTAGCAGGCATGACGATGGTCGAGACAAGGTCGATGAACACGACAAAGCGCATCGAGAAGCAGCAAAATCCACAGAGGCGCGGCAGAAACACCAATTCCAAAAGATTGTGCACGGTCGAGTTGATCCAGCGGCGGCGCTGGGACAGCAGAACTTGCCAGGTGTCTGGGGCGTTGGTCCGGCACTGCGCATCAGAGGTGAACTTCATTTTGTAGTACGGGTGGTGCTTGAGCATTAGCGTGGTCAGATACCGATCCTCGCCAAGATGCAGCAGGTTCTTCTTGTGCAATGTGTCGACGTTGTTTTCAGCGTAATCCTTTACTGTGTTGTTTGACACAAGCAGTGGATAGTTGGACTCGGGCGCTCGGATGCGATACATGCAGAAGCAACCTGGAAGGCAAGTGACAGACCCAAACAGAGACTCAAAAGCCTTGCTGAGATGATGTGAGATATAGTACTCGTACACTTGAATCATTGTGATCCACGTGTCCTTCTCATTTGCCAGCTGCGTCTCGCCGCATATTCCCATCAGCTTCGAGTCATGCAGCATGCATGACACCATGCGGTTGAGCGAGTCAGGGAAGACGTAGGTGTCAGCGTCGACCATCATAATGAACTCATAGAACGCGGGGTTGACTCCAATGACGTTCTTCATCTGGTGGTAGATTTCGAGCTCAAGCGGCGTCATCGGCAAATTGAAATGAACCTTGTTGAAAAAGCTCATCAGGATGATCTGCGAGTCACGCTTGCCGCGATTGCCCTGGCGAGTGCGCTCCCGGGGGGTGCCGACCTTGACAACAACAATGTACGGGACGACGTGGCCGGCAGCCTCAAAGAGGCCAGAGTAAACCTTGCCCATGTTGTGCTGCCTCATTCCCTCGCCGAGAGACAGGAAGCTCAGGGGTTCAGGGTCGATATCCGGGTCAGCGCCAAGAATGTCGAGTACGATGCGTGGCGTCGGGCGGTCATTGCCCGAGCCCATGATCATACCGTCGCAAATGACAAACAGCAGCTTGCGCTTGTCGTCGTAGTGCAGCGTGGCCAGAGACTCGAGTGTTGAGCGCAGCCCCTCGTCGCCCTCGGTGTAGCACGGCACATTGCAGATAATAAACTTGTCGTGCTCCTCAGGCTCGCGGCGACTACCTAGCTGGAGAGCCGCAAGGAACTTGAAGAAAATAATGCTCGTCAGTGCGATGGAGCTGGCTAGAAGCACATAGTTGGCAAAGTAGCACTGGAATGACTTGCGCTTGTCTACAACGCCGGCGTAGAACGCGCCTCTGAGGCACTGGTAGTGCAAGCGACGAGCCGTCGGGCGCTTTGCAAAGTAGCGATTCCACTTGTCGGTGATGTCCTGGCCCGGATGCATTTGGAACAGGTTGTGCACGCCGTCATCTAAGAACATGCGTGATCCAGTTTCATTGCTGCGACCGTCAGGTGCAATGACAAATGGCGCACCACGACGCTGGATGTACTCGCTCAAGTCAAACAGCTCGTTGTTAATAATTGACCAGTACCGGCGCATGCCGTTGGGTAGGCCGATGCCCTTGCCCTCCATCTCAATACGCTGCGGCTCAGTAGCAATCTTGCCACGTGAGTAGTTCTCGCGCATAATGCGCATCATGCGGTACTGGTAGTAGTTGTAGCCACCCTCAACCATCTCCGGGTGGCGCCAAAACCGGTGGTCATGCAGCCACGTGTCCGTGTATGGTTCAGGCTTGGGTGACAGCGCCAAGCGCGGATCCAGGCCAGGGAAGGGGCAGACAAACGACAGCTGCAAAGGGAACTTGTCGCTCATGTCGCTACCAGGGTAGTTGTTGTCGACAAGGTATTTGTTGTTGATGCCCATGTGATTGAATCCCTGGATGTCAAACACCTCGCCACGAATGTTGATCAGGGCGTCATCGGCAGTGTTGTGACCGCGCATCTCCTCGATAGTATGCACGTGCTGCTTGGGGCAAATGAGCATGCCAAGAACAGCAATCCAGAAGATAATCACGCAGCAGCAGAAGAAGATCAGCGCGCAAAGCGCGACCTTTTCACGCCACGCGATGCGCTGGTCCTGGCGCTTGAGCTTGCCACACCATGAGAGGAGTGGCGACGGAACCCACCATGTCAGCAGCCACACAATAATCATCCAGTACCGCCTCGAGCGCGTCAGCTTTTTAGACGAGTCATCCTCCTCCTCGATCAGATGGCCCTCATCCGGGCCTTCCTTAGGATCACCGCCCTTGCTGCCCCCGGCCTTGCTGGTACGGCCGTCAGACTGCGCATCATCGATTGTCTTCTCTTCGTCACCGATCGAGGGGATTCCACCATTCGACCGGGTGTCGATATTGCTGAGGTGCATGTGCAACTGGTGCCCCTGCAAAGCAGCGCTGTACTCAAAAAGACTGGCAATATCGGCTTCCTCCATGGCCTCGCTGTCGGGGAAAATCTCGACTTCGTCGTCCTCGTAGACCGACTGCAGGTCCTCAGCGGCCACTAAACCGGCGTTCTCCTCTTTGATGCCGCACACAAGCAGGCGCTCGCGCTCTCTCAGCGGGTCTTCGAGCTGGCGCCAGGCAAAAAAGCTCAAGAATACCTTCTTCTTTCCGATGGCCATGTCGATGTCGTCCCAGCCCATGGCGCGGCGCAAGGCCTGGCAGCGCTCAATTGAGCTGGACTTTTCCTTTGTGCGTACGTACTTCTTGATGGCCACATTATAGCGGGTCGTGAGGTCGCCATGCAGCAGCGAGGCAATAAACTCGGCATTCTTGCCGCGCGCAATGTCGACGATGCCATAGGCAGCCAGCTGGCGCTGAACGTGCTCCTTGTCCCAGGTGCGCGGCTCCTGATGGTCGTTGGGGTTGATGCAGTGAACAAACCAAGGGAGGGTCTCGTCGAGCGCTGAAATCAGCTGGGTCAGCGCGCGTTGGTACTGGGACACGACGCAAGTGATCTTGCGTTTTTTCTGCGGGCGCGGGTGGCTGGTGAACGGCGAGCGTGCCGGCATCATCGACTGCTGGGCGTCAATGATGGCGCTCTCCAAGCGCGGGTGGCCCTCAACGATTATTCCGCGGTCGTCAAACATGCGCGCGACAAACGGGTTAATCGTTGCCGGCGAGTCACTAGCAGACATTCCGCGGAACAGGGTGTAAAAATCAACACCCAGGTAGTCTGTATTGCGGTCGGCAAACTGGTCAATTGAATAGTTGACCTGGCGGGCAAAGTGGCGGATGCCAAACTCGCCTTGGCGCTTCAAATTGGCGTACCAGGGCTCAACGTCAGACTTGCCCTTGCTGGACGCTTGCTGGGCCTCGTTGAAGAGCTTTATCAGCTTGGAGTCACCCTCTTGGCCAATCTTTGCGCTGCTGTCCTTATCCTTCTTTGTGACCTTGGTAAACTTGTCCATGACAAACAGCAGGCCCGTGCCCGACTTCATGAACAGATCAAGGCATCCCGTGTTGTCCTTGTGTGCAACCGAGTTCAGAATGTGGTCGATGCTCTCGGAGACATACTCCTCGCTGCCAACATCGAATACGTGGTGGTTCATAAAGTGATGAATGCGCTCGTTAGCGTAGTTGTGGATGAACTGCTCAAAGTGGTTGCGCTTCTGGCTTTGGAACCCCGGAAGATCGAGAAGGCCGATGTGGCTGTTGTACACGCCCTGGTCGCAGCCCAGCGTGCTGTTGATCTTTTCAACCAGCCAGCCAAAGAGAAGGGAATAAAGGTGGCGCGCTAGCGCATCGCAGCGCGCGCGGGATCCCTGCGCGTCCAGGTACACAGTGCACAGCTCCCGCCCAATCATGCGTGTGTGGTAGGTCACCGCCTGCTGCAGGCTGCCCGGATCCACGCCCAAAAGCAGAGCGATATGCTCCAGGAGCTCGACATTCTTGACGTAGGCAGCTTCGACAATAGTAGTATCCTTCTGGTCTTCCAGCTGCAGATTTCCAAGCTCAAGAATAGCCGCCAGGACCTGGAAAATGCACTCCTGGTACTTTTCGCGGAGCCCCAGCGAGTGCATTGCCATACGCAGGTCCTGGAACTGGGACGAATCATCAACGCCTGGCAGGCGCTGGATGGTGCCTGGCCGGTTGAGGTACTCATAGTTGCCCTGGGTCAGCCCAAATACTGAACGCTCGTCCGACTGCGCGCCGTGGACGAGATAGTGGAAAATATGGTAGTTGCGCTCGTTGTCGGGTACGTGGGTGACGCGGTTGCGGTCAAGCATGTAATCGCAGTACTTGGCTCCCGCAATGCGGCCGAGCTCGTCAAACTGGAGCTCCGTGTACATGCCGACACGCGATGCATTGGCGTGGCTGGTTGTCTTGGCGTTGCCAAAGGCCTCCAGGATGATCTCGGCCTCGACGATTTTGTCGAAAATCTGCGTGTCGCGTCTGGCATGCGGACGGAGGAACGACAGCATGCGCACAGCAAGTCGCTTGGCCTCTGACTTTCCTGTACCAGTCTCGCCCCTATATTAAAAAGTACACATTTTCACAATATTAAATATTAAATATTAAATATTAGTACGCATTTATACAGCTCAAGTGCAGATATTTATATATGTGCATGTGTAAACAGTTGTTGTTATTTTACTTACGAAAAAACCAGCGATTGGTTTAGTCCAGTCTGCCGCATGTGCAAGTAGGCGTTGGCTGCCATGGCAAAGACGTGGGGCGACACTCCCTTGCGCTTTCCGGAAGTGTTGCGATAGTCCTCGGCATAGACAGCCGCGACAGAGTCGCTCTGGGACTCGAGCGCCTCGTAGGGGTTGATGGAGATAAGGAAGCGACTTCCCAAATGGGTAAAAGTCTGCGGCTCAGAGCCCGCAGTAAATCTGGCCTCAAGCTTGTTCGCAAGCTCGCTTGACGACAACGACACGCCATCGTTGCAGCGTGCTATGTCGTCACTCATAGTTGCATCCATTTTCAAGCTACGCAGGATTGGGCGTATAAAAATGCGTAACTATCTGTTTGGCACTAATAAAGTTGTTTAATTTGAAATGTGTTTGTGAAGGGCGTGCAATGATGGTAGCAATAAAAGTTTATATAGGCGAATCCAATGAAAGTGTGGTTTTTTTTAATAAAACGGGATATATGCAATTATTTTGGATAATGAACGCAACGTGTAAACAGAAAGGAAAAGAGAAAGCCAGAGAAAACCAAAAACCAAAAAGCAAAGTCAATTTGGTTGGCACACTCGTTCAATATACACAAGCCAGCCGTGGTGTTTTGAATATCGGTTTGAACATTCATCAATATGTAAAGGCGGGGTATTCATAAACAACTATACTAAATTGTAAAATTTTGGCTGGTAGTGTGGCCGCATTTTTTCAAGGTTTCAAACAAAATCCCGCAAATATTCGGGGGTTTAAGTATTACAATTGGTTATTTTCTCAATAGCTGTACTTCCATACACGTTCCGCATGTGTGCATGCAATATGTCTTAAATGCTCTTTATGTTATAAAATAAATCGGCAAGATCAATTTTGTTGACACTGCCGCTATTCCCCAGATGAATGGCATGGATGACAAATAAACATGCTTCAAATGAATCCAGCCAAGCAGGGCGCAGGTTGGTTTGGCACAAATTCGCACCTCCACCTTCTTACTCCACACATGCACGAAGTAAAGTTTATTTAATATAATGACTATGCTTTTAAAGTGTGGGGGCGAGTATAAATATAAAAAATCAGTAGCTTGAGATGATTGTACTGCTTCTCCACCGGATGTGTGCGTGTATGGTGCCAATACTGGCTGGGATGTTTGGAGTGGCGCTAATCGCGGGATGGCGCGATGTGGGGGAAGTGTTTTAAAAGAATGTGGGCAATAAAATGCGCAAAACCTAATAGGCATGCTGAGCAAAAGTGTGGCTGTTGGAAGAAATCACAATTCATTTTGCTCATGGAATGTTGAGCTACAAAAATGCAACATGGTGGACATCTGGAAGCCCCATGTCAAAACAAACGTGTGGCCATGTTATCTGCATGACACACTGGCAGAAATAAAAGGAAACAGGAATATTATTAAAATGTTCTAAGAAAATGTTGATACAAGCAGCCTGAACTGGCAGCGGTGATGTTAAATATCCCGATTAGGACCCAACTATTGTTATTTGAGGAGTGACAGTATGCGCGGTCATGTTTATATCACCAGCTTGAACCAAATCAGCGTCGGCCTTCAAATCACCCTCCGGAATGGTCACAGCAGGAGGTGGCATGTACTCGGTCGCCTTGGCAAAATCTTCGGAAGATCCAGTGCGCGTCGGGCCATTTAATGGGCTGGAGATTTTGACTTTAGAAAGGTTGGTGTCAGACTCCTCTGCTTCTGTCTCTGTCTCCGCCTCTGCTTCTGCTTCTGCTTCTGCTTCTGCTTCTGCTTCTGCTTCTGCTTCTACCTCCACATCGGTGGTTCCGGAGCTACTGTGCGAGTGTTGTATATTTATAGAAGCGGCTGCAGGATCTGCCGATGTCCGCATCGATAATAATGATGTCGTAACCTCGGCGAGCTCCATTTCGGCGGCATACTCCGCTGCAGCAGCCATCTTTGCAACCGAAATGGTCCTTGTTGGCTGTTTCGCCTCAATGTTCGGTGATAAAGCTTGAATTGAGCTGCTCTTGCTCGCCCTCGACAGCCTTCTGAGCGCGTACAGGCTGCTGCTGTTGCTCTCTTTGCTGGAAATTGTCGCCGATGTGCTTTTCCGCGACAGTCGCCTGGAAATGTTGATTCTGGGGCTATTGCTTGCGCTTTGTAGCGACATATCCCTTTTCTTCTGTGACAGGTTAATCTGGGCTGTTCCGCGGGCAATGTCGCGGTTTCCCTCGAGGATAAGCGTCGGGCTTGCGAGCACTTGGCCAAAAGTGTACTAAAGATTGACGGGTGGATAGAGGCGTGGAAAGTGCCCGTGAAAAGCGACATTGGTGTTAGTCAAATGGTTGGGTGGCAATCAAACGAGCCAATGGTGGCCTGAAGATAAACAATAACATGGCCTGTTTTTATGCTTCATGTTTCTTATTCGGACCAAGTTTGCGGGAGCGGAAATTGACGACCAAAATAGAATCCCCAAAACTTTGTGGCAATGGCTGAAGGAAAACCCACGCACAGGCTATCCGACGTCCAAAAACAAAAATATAGTGTTTTCAATTACTGCAGTGACACCTGCAAGGTTTGGACAGGCAGTAAAGTAACAGCAGCATTTAGCGCAAGAACGGCGAAAGAAATGTTACCTTTAGTTTTCCGCTCAACATTCGGGCCCAGCCGCGCACTTTGCTCGGCCGAACAACGACTAGTGCCTTCTTTTTGCGCGAATACTCGGTGTAGTCGACGTCAGATGTAATGATTGACAGGCGGCATGACATGCTAGAGAGTGTGTTGAGGCTGTGCGGCCGCTGGCGAGGGATGTAGCTGTCAAGAGTGTGCGGATACGGCAGGCACTTGGTGCTGCTGGTCGATTTGTCAACCAAGTTCATGAGCGTGGGCTCGCTGTAGTCTCTGCGCAGCAAGGGCGATGAATGTTTGGTTGGCAAGGGGGGAAGTGGCGGTGTGCCTGGCGGGTATACCGGGCGCCACGTAGAGTAGTTGTTAGTGTTGTCGGCGTCGGCATCATCTTTCAAATCGCTGTCAGTGGCGTCTACAACCCGGCGCAGCGTGGAGGGGACTCGTGGCGCGCTTTTCATAATGAGCGACTTACGGTTGGCTGTGTGCGGGCCAAGGCTGGATCGCGGCGACCGTTGCTGGTGACTTTGGTCAGCGTCGATCGTTGCGTTGCTGGCAGTTACTAGTTCTTGATGAGTGATTTGCGCGGTTGGTGCGGATGGCGCAGTGTCTGCTGATATTGGCTCCGTTTCGATGGGCGTTGGCTGCGCGGGTGTGCTTGAGATAATGGGCTGGTCAACCGTGTTGGCGGTCTCATTGTTGACAGGTATGTGGACATGTGCTTCGTCCTGAGTTACAACAGCTGGTTCGAGCAGCGACATGGCTGGGAGGGCGCACCAATCGGCGTGTGGTCCTTTAAAAACTTTGATAGTGCTGTAATAGAACAATTCCAACTATCTTAGTAAATCGGCAAGTGGCAATATAGTATTGCTGGGTAAATTATGCTCAATGATTGCTAAGGAGACAATAGCTCGGGCTATTGAGGAGTACTATTTAAGCACAGCAAACGTAGCTTGAGATGCTGAATAAAATATATTAAAAATGCTAGATAGTCACTACCGTGAACTGGAAATGCTGTGGAATATTATGAACAAGATCAAGAGGCAAAGCAAAAGAAGGCAAACGAAGAAGAAAAATAATAACCAAGCGTTGGGCAAAAGCAAAAGCAAAAGTGAGGAGAGAACCAGAGCCCGTACACACGCAAACGACGGGATAATGTTGGCACACAAAATGACGAAATGGAAAGAATATAAGGCATTGCGAGAATGCGCCTTGGGTAAATAAAAAGGATGGTAGCAGCAGCATCGACAGCGCTAACCGGGTTGCGACTATGGCAGTGGTTCAGCTATGGAGAAGGCGGCAGTAGCACTTGCTTGTTTTGGCGGATGGTGCAACGAGTGCGGCATAGCGCACGCTGATGAAATAGAGGGCGGATTTTCGCTTCCCCCGCATTTACCCAGCCTCACAGCGGTTTTTCGTGCTCATGGCGCACATTCTCGCTACGCATCCCGTGTTTTCGGCAGCATCCGCAGGGTGGATAAATTGCCCTTCCTTGGCCATTTTCGTCGTCATTAGGCCAGAAATAGCCTGGCATTTTTTGCCTCATGCCTTGTGCTTTGTAATAACACAGAGGACGTGCTATTTTAAGGCTCATTTCGGATGGGGCTTCGATGCGCCCTCATAATTCTGTTGAGCATTCAAAACAGCGCTAATTTGTTTTGCATTATTTTGGCGTCGGCAAAATTTCTTGCTTTAGTGGTGCTGCGGTCCAAAACTCTCCAAAGCTCTCTAAAACTCTCCTGAAACCTTGATTTCTGGAAGAAAGCTAAAAATGCTGCTGGAAAGCAAAACACAGAACCAGATTAAAACGGAATAGCCGAAAAATATAAAATGCATGCTCGTGCTGTGCGGGCCATCCCCATTTATTTTGCTGTTCTGAGAAGCGGTGAGCAGTCAGATCCGATCGATAGCGGTGTTTGTGAGTGGGCGAACGGGCTGGACTGGCTAATCAATCACACATACCCAAATAAAAACGAACACGATTGCGCCTCATGCGTGTGCTGCACCCTAGCCACTGGGCGTGTCGCGTGCCATGATGAAAGCAAAAAAGGGATCGTCGGACGCTGCCAACAGCAGTTGCACCGTGTCAGCACCAGTGCATAGTCTGACATGGAATTTTGAGTAACTGGCCACTGCTCGCAAGTCAGTATCTGGGATGTACGGCACAATCAATCCCCTGTCGTCTATTTTTTCTCGACAAGTGTCAAAATGTGAGCACAGTAGCTACCAGAGCAAATAGGTATATCAACACTGGCATGCCTTTCCCATCTTTCCTCTTCCCACATTGCACATTGCACATTGCACATTGCACACAATGCGCCGCTTCGATGCTGTATTGCCAATAGCCGCCATTGTTCGGGGTGGCAATAGTTGCGATATAAATCTATCCTCTGCAGCGTTGCGACGAACAATTGAAATGTGTGCTACGGCTTTTCGAAATAAAAGCCACCCATCCAGCCACCAATTTTGCCCAAGGTCGCCTTATTCCAACCCAGCATTTCTGCGACCGCACATTTGACGGCGGCGCCTGGCACCATCTCGGCGTGTTCCAGCAGGCTTTCTTGTTGGCCACCTTTTCTACATTTATTCATATTGTTTTAACATTCGATATATTTACCGTGCGGTATAGGCTGCACTCGACATTGCGGCCCACCTACACTCTCAACTGCACAGCACACACCACGCTTCGCTTGCCATGAGGGATATATGGAGCCCCACAGCCGCAAAGGCAGAAAGTACCGATGCGGACGCATTCGACATAATGGCTCCAGCAGCACAGCCTAGAGCACAGCTAGACAAAGAAAAGGCAGCTACCATTGATGTATACGGAAGCAAATATACAGAGTTCAAGCCAGCACAAATCGCCGACGGCGACGGCGCGGACGGCGGGTTAGATATCATCCGGTTCGTGGTCGAGGCCGACATGCGCGCGCAGGAGGCAACGGACAAGCCGGCCGACGGCGCGTACGCGTGGATGGTGATTTTCGCGTGCCTGATCTCGCTGATGCTATCAATCGGAATCAACGACGCATATGGCGTCTACCAGCAGCACTACCAGCTCAACGAGTTCCCGGACGAGACGGCGACGCTGATATCGTGGATCGGTACGGTGCAGTTCCTGGTCATGTGCTTTTGCGGCATTTTCTCTGGGTTCCTGTGCGAGCACTTCGACACGCGCGTACTCAATAGCATCGGCGCACTGATTATGGGCGCGGCGCTCATCGGCGGGTCGTACTGTACGAGCATCGGCGGGCTGATGGCCACGCAGGGGCTGCTCTACGGGCTGGGCGCGTCGTTCCCGTTCGTGGCCGGCACGTCGATCCCGTCGCAGTGGTTTACGCGGCGGCGTGGGCTGGCGACCGGCATTGCGCTGGCCGGCAGCGGCATCGGCGGCATGTGGATGGTCTCAGCGACGCAGGCAATGATCGACACGCACGGGCGGCCGTGGGCAATGCGCGTCACAGGCGGCGTGGCGATGGCGGCTGTGCTGGCCGTCAGCCCGTGGATGCGCGTACGGCTGGTGCCGGCCAGGACCGAGCACATTATCGACTGGGCGCTGCTGCGCGACGCGCGCTTCAATGTGTTTCTAGCGGCTGTAGTTTTTGTCGTGGCTGCGTATTTCGGGCCGTTCTACCAGATGCCATCGTACAGCGTCGTGGTTCTGCACAAGTCGCAGACCTGGGGCTCCAACATGGACACTCTGATGAACGGTATCAGCGTCGTCGGGCGGCTGGCCGCAGGCTTCCTGGCCGACAGCGTCGGGCCACTTAACCTGTTGATTGCCAACACCGTGTTGGCCGTGGTCAGCCTGATGGCGCTGTGGGTGCCGTTCGACTCGGTCGGCACGCTGTTTGCGGTCGACATCCTGTTCGGCTTTGCCATCGGCGGTATGGTGTCGGTGATCCCGGTCGTGGCCGCGCAGGTGTTTGGGCTGGCGCGGCTGCCGTCGATCATCGGGCTGCTGTTTGTCGGCTACGTTGCCGGCGGGCTGCTGGGCGTGCCGCCGATGAGCGCGCTTCTGGACAACGTCGGGCACCGCACCGACTACACAAGCTCGATCTGGTACATGTCTGTGCTGCCCCTGTGCGCGCTGGTGCTGCTGGTGGTGATGCGGCTGCTGATAACGCGGCAGTGGATGGTCAAGATTTAGGATTTGAATTCTAGGCTTAAATTTATATATATGCATATATGCATGCATGCATCGTGGGTACGGCTGGCGCGCGCGCAGTGGGGAGTGGCGGGCGGCTACCAGTGCTTGAGGAAGTCCTTGGCCATCTCATACGACCAGAAGCTGACGCCGATGGCCGGCGCCACCTTGAGGTAGTTGGGCACCAGGCCGCGGTACATGCCCAGCACGCCCTCTGCCTTGATCATCTTGCGCACGGCGTCGAAGGTGCTCGAATACTTGTAGTCGATGCCCGACATCGACGTCACCTGCATGCGGCGCCGCAGCACGTCGAACGGGTACGTGATGGTCTGCGCGCAGCACCCAGCCAGCGCGCCGCACACCAGCTTGCGCGTGCCCGATGGCGACGACTCGCCCGGCGGCGTGAAGAACTTGCGCAGCACCTCGTAGCACTGGAAGTTCAGCGCAATGTACGGCGCCACGCCAGCCAGAGTCGCGCCAAAGCCGCGGTACGTCGCACGCAGGCCGCCCTCGGTGCGGTAGATCTTCCCGAATGTCTCGACGATGCCCGGCATCTTCGGGATGATCGGCCGCCCGCGAGCGTCCTTGGGCAGCAGCTCGATGTTCTCCAGTGCGTGCGCTGTCTGCACGCTGATGCGCGTGCGCACGATGTCCAGCGGGTACGTGGCCGCAACCGACGCAATGCCGGCGCCCGCTCCGGCCAGCAGCCGCCGCGGCGTGTCGAGCTCCGTCTTGCCGTCCTCAATCAGCATCTGCTTCAGCTGCTCGTACGTCGCGAACTGCACCGCCGAGTACGGCACAATGCGCACGACGTTGGTGCCGTTGCCACGCATGTACCCGGCCATGCCCTCCTCGCGCCAGATCTTGGCCAGTGTCCCGAACACGCCGTTGTACGATGCGCTGGCGCCCCTAGTCTGGACCTAAAAGCTGGGGGAAGTTGAAAAGTGTAAAGTTAGCAATCGGCCAGTGCAGCGTTGGTTATGCTTAGCCTATTGGCCATCTGCCATCTGCTCTTGCCGATGGTTTCATACCCAGCCAAATGCGACGCTCAATGCCATCAGTTCTGCCTGATAATACTTCACAATCAGCCAGCCCTGGCCGGCTGGCCGACTTTCACCCACGTACCTGGAACAGAATCTTCATGCGCTCAAGCGGGCTGACAACCGTCCGCGACACCGCGCCCGACACACCGCCCGCTACCAGGTGCTTGAGCCATGTCACATCGCTGTTGCCGAACCAGTATCGCGAGCTCCACACGGGTACTGTTGTGCCCTCCGAAGTTACCAGTGCTGTGGACTCGCCGCTGCCTGTCATTTGTAACACTTGGAAAGTTTGCCTTTTAAAAGTTTGAGAAAAATAGGATGAAAAAATAAAGGAATGCAGCGGGAGTGAAGGAGAAATGTAGTCGGAAATTTTTTTGCGCTGGCTGGCTGCTGCTGCTGCTTCCAACAACAAAAATGAAGAAAATATATCCGACGCCAGTCTCTGTTGACACAATCTGTCGAGATAAGGGAATTTTAGAACCTGTGCCCAACCACCGGTTTCTGGTCTTTGCGCGGCAATATTTTTCTTTCTTTCTCTGCCCCAGCGCTGCGTGATCCTCGCTAAAAAGAAGGGAAAAAACACCCTAAAAATACAAAAATAATGCGCCATCGCTTTGGCACCGCCGCCGTGCCTTTATTTTTGCTTGTCTGCCTGACCTTGTGTGTCAATCTTCGCTTCCCTTTTACTTCACACACTTGGGCGCAAAAGGGCAAAGATTGCTTTTCTGGCTAACACACATAAACCTGCTGTTAACGCCAGTTTTCTTCTTTCCTTTGGGCCATTCTCCCACACGATGCGGCTCCTCAAGCCTATTTGCACAATCGCGATATCCTGTGCATATCCCCGGGCAGTTCTGCATTTTGTTTTCGTGCGAATTCTAGAAAGGCAAAAATTCAAAACCATTTTCTCACTGCCGTCGGCTTGATCAGATCAAATCAGTGATGATTTTTGATCTGCGCATGTTTTTTTTCTTTTGGCCAATTTTTTTCATTTTCATTTTCATTTTCATCTTTTTTTCGCCTTCGTTTTCGGTTTACACACAAGCAATGACTTGTCAGTGCGCGCCATGGGTTTTCCATGTTTGCCACAATTTTTTGTTCATATCTTAGCTTTTTTCTTCTGATTTTTGCAATCAGCTTTGCTCAATTTTAAACGACATCATTTCAAATGGAAGGCGGTCAGCGGAAACGTGTCAACAACGACAAACAGGCAAAGCCCGATAAGCGCGCCAGGAGCGACGCCAAGCCCACCAAGAGCGATGCCAAGCCCACCGCTGCAGCCAAATCACCCAAATCACCTAAATCAGTCAAGGCTAAGCCCGCCAAACCCGCCTCCACGGGCGCCGCAATCCCCGCTCTGCCTACGACCCAGCCTGCAAAGGACAGCTTCTTGATCTCGGCCGGCACATACGAGCGCCTCCTCTACGGAATTGAGGGCCGCTTTGTCGGCAGCCAGCTGACCCTCAATCCGCAGTTTATTATCCCCGCCCACACCGGCTGCATCAAGGCCGTGTCTGTTGGCGGTCGCTATCTGGCCTCGGGCAGCACTGACGAAAGCATTAGGCTGTATGATTTGAAGAAGCGCGTGGAGCTGGGCTCGCTGCACGAGCACACAGGCACGATCACCTCCCTGCACTTCCACGGCCATACGCACTTGCTATCGGCGAGCACTGATGGTGCTATCTGCATCTATCGCACAAAGGACTGGGAGCCCCTCAAGGTGCTCAGGGGACACAAGGGCGCTATCCATAGCATTGCTATCCACCCGACTGGAAAGCTGGCGCTCTCGGTTGCCGAGGACCGCACCATTATTATCTGGAATCTGCTTACGGGCAAGCGTGCCAGCCGCACCAAGACCCCGCAGCTGGGAGAAATTGTTGCCTGGAGCCCGTCTGGGACCACCTACGTTATTGGATATGCCACTGAAATTCAGCTGCACAAGGTTGGCCAGTCAGAGGCCATTGCCACCATCTTCTCATCTCAGCGCATTCTTTCCATACTCGTTGTCGCTTGCAAGGGCAAGGAGTACGTGCTCGCTGGATGCCAGGACAAGCGTGTGTACATATACTCGGCCGAGGGCACCGAGCTCGGATCTGTGCTGTGCCACGAGAACCGCATCAAGGGCCTTAGCAGCGTGGACATGACCTTCCCAGACGGCTCAATCCACACAATAATTGTGTCCGTCTCCTCGGACGGCCGGATCAAGGCGTGGAAGCTGGATGACATGATCGAATCAGTCTCGGTCTCGGCCGCAGACAAGGACAAGAACGAGGATGCCGCCGACAGAGAGGAAGTTGAGCCTCTGGCGAATTACAACGCTGATGTCCGGCTCACATGCGTAGCCGCCTCCAATAACATTTACCAATAATTTTTTCTTTGTTCACTCGCCCGCATTTTCTTGAGAATAAGATGAGCTGCAGCTTTTATAAAATGTTAAAAAAATGTATGTAGTTGTAGTTTTTATTTACTTATATGGTGACTTGCACTGTGCAAACATGTATTACTCCGCATCTTTTTTTGGCGCGGCGTCTATTGGAAGGCCTCTGGTGGCAGCGTGCCCCTGACCTGGGGGAACTCTGTCAGCGCCACTTGGTAGTTCCAACCATAGCTCTCGAGGCACTTTAATGTCCACTCCGCATTCAGGCCCGTTTGCTCCTGCAGAGCCCTAGCCATATCCTGCTGCTCCGGAGTGAGGCTCAGGCCCAGGCCACCAGCCTCGGCGGTGGCGCCGACAGCAGTGCCATTGGTGCCGCTGCTGGCATCAAGACCGGAAGACGCGGGTGTCCAACTCTCGAATCCATTGTAGCGACGGATAGTGAGCTGGTCGTTGGTAATGATACATGGGCTACCGGCTGCGGCTGCGGGAGACCCGGGGGGTGCCGGCGCCAGCACAAACGTGCGATCAAACGAGGCTCTATTATGGGTCTGCTGCTCGACAAACTCGCCATGGACAACCACGATGGCCACTGCCTGCGCCTGCCCTCCGGCATTAGGAACATCAGTCTGCCACGCATCAAAGCTGAATCTGTGCGGCTCTTGGATCGGGTGCTGTGTCGCCGGAAGCTGCGCAATGGTCTGTATAACAGCGGCCCTACCAACCACAAGGGCATTGATCCGCTTGTGCTGCGACTTTACGCGCGTCAGGTTGCGACTGATACGAATATACGCGCTAAAGTCAACATGCTTCTGGCTGTCCGGGTTTGTCTGCGCAAATTTGCTGGTCGGGTGCGATGTGTCGACCATTAAGGAGAACTGCGCAGTTTGGTCATAGATGTTTGCCAGAGCGCCGCGGTTGGCGTCATACAGGTTGAAGAAGCCATCCAAAAACACGTTGGCCAGGTCGCCAATGTCTTGGTTTTCGACAAAAGACTGCTCTGTTGCAAACGGCAGGTGCTTGGGTGCAGCGTCCTCGCCTGACGCTACCACCGTCGGCAAAGAAGCGCCGGGCTGGGCGCGCGGCGTTATTGGGTTCATGTCAAGCATGCTGATTGTCGGGAAACGCTGGTGTACCTTGTCCACATAATTGTGACCGCCGTTGGGCTGCGCGAGCTCGGCCTCGACCATCGGGTTCCCAGCAAGAATCAGCTCGCTCAGCTGCGTCAGTGGCACAGTCGACCCGATCGACGACAAACAGTCGAGACTGCTAAAGTCCGACAATATATTGCTCATCAATGACAAGGTCCGTATGTTGGGGAAGTGCAGGCCCAGATCGGCAATGCCCCGAAGCGAACGCAGGCTGTTGTTGGCAAAGCTGATCGCGATCAGACCAGGGTACATTTGAGACGCGATTACCAGGATGGCCTTGTACATTTTATCCTCCTGCTGTGAGTCAGTGCCCAGAGACATAATTATGTTGTCATGCGCAAGTCCGGACAGGTCTAGCGAGCTACCCTGCATGTCCACCCGTGTTTGCAGCAGCGCTATTAGGCGGTCCTTGAGCTTTAAGCTGTCGCTGCCGCTGGCAGCCCCATCACGGCCGGCGCCTCCTGTGCCAAACTTGACCGGGTGCGTTTTCAACTGGAAGGACAGCTTGTCGCCAGCAAATCGAATCCCGCTCAACTTCAGCAGCTCCTGCGCAATCGCCCTGTTCGGGACTGTCATGTACATTATCTCGCCGCAATAATGAATGTCTGCGATGTTGACAGGTCGACCGACCTTGGTGTCTAGAAACTTTATCAGCGATGGCTCGGTTCCGCCTCGCCACCCCTTCAGTGAAACCTGAGCCGACCCAGGACTACCTCCAAGCATTTTAGACTCACCAAAACCGACACTATTAATTTGAACCGCAGCAAAATTGTAGACAAAATGCAGAAAATTAGCTATTTGGCGTTCGGTCGGCTAGCCGTTTGAGCAAAGACACTAAATACACAAATAACTACTGAAGGTCAATTTTTAAATTTTTTACCTCCTGTTTTGATTAAAGTTTCCAAAGTTGCTTTTGTTGTCGTCGACAAAGCCCTGATCTGCTTGCTCTGCGTACTGGTCGCCGTTGGTCCCGAGACGCGAAAATACAGGGTTATTGTTGCTTCGGCCACCCCCTCCAAACCCGCCATCGCCCTGGCCACGACCCTGGCCGCGACCGCGCCCGCGTCCACGGTTGCTCTGTCCTCGAAAGTGGCTCATAATTTGTAACTCGGGTGAATAAAAGTCGATTCGTTGTCCTTGTTAAAAAAATGTGAGCTTGTAAATTCGATAAGTGGGTTGCTGAATACAATACTTCTCGCTGCGTTGGTATTGATACTCTGCTTTGGACTGAATGTATGTATGTGCGTTCGTGTGGGGTTGTGCAAAATCAATAATTTTTAATATAATGTGAGAAAAGAAAAGAAAAGTAAATGTTAATAAAATTGTAAATCCAAGACCGACTTAAAAAAAGCAAAAGAACCAAAAGGGCAAAAAGGCGGAGAAGGGCGACGACGCTTCTTGGCACATCATCAAATTGTGATCTTTTTATATCCGTTTTGCAAAAGTTGATTAGATTCTAATTAATAAATCAAGATGGCTCAGCTGGCAGTCGCACTATGTCAACCACGGTTGATAAAAATGGCAGTGCCTTGGCTTCGCTTCACATGGCGGCCTTCTTGTATAGCAGGCTCGCCGGCTTGGCTGTGTCATACGAGGACATCTCGTTGTTGATAATAATATCGGGGTGGGTCGCCGGATCCTCCAAGAAACGCAGCATCGATTTGTACTTTTTGACCGTCACGAAAATGCTCGCTATGTTTATGACAATTACCAAGAGGCTGACCAGAATAACCCAGTCACTCATCCAGCGAGTTCTTGAGCCAATGGACGTGGTGTGCGACGCAACTGCGTATGCAACCCACAAAATTATCAGCACTGACATCAACGCCTGCAGTCCAATGATTATCCGAAACTTTCTGCGCGTGAGCCGGAGCCGCATCGCGCGCATAACCTCAACATCATCCATTGTAAATGGGTGACTGGGAACTTGTTTTTCGGCAACAGTGTGGTCCATTGTTTTTTGTGCGTGTTAATTGTCAGAGTTTCGTAAAAAAATAGTAATTTAAAGATAAAAGTTGTAGGGGCCTTAATTACTGGGTACAAATGTATTGAAAATCCCAGTTGTGAAAAAAGTAGTGTAAAATTAAAAGATATTTAGAAATAACAACGCAAGACGAGGCAAGGCAAGGCAAGGAAAGGGGCAATGCAGGTTACCGAAATGGGTTGGGATGGAATGAAGACCAAAATTCAGAATTTGGAATACCAAGTACCTGTTTAATACAATATTTGGCGTGGAAGGACAAGATGTTTCAACCAACACTAATACTAAATTACACTTACACGCTTTTTAATATACTTTGGTTTGCGGGTGAAAGAAAGCGATTTCATGGATGTTTCAGGCATTTCCGTAGGTTCAAGACAAAGTTACTGTGTTTTTGTCACCGGCAAGCAATAGACATTTACTACTTGTTTCTCACCTTTAAATTGAAGGTACAGTTGTCAATACAAAATATGTGTTCTTACTCCACACATTTTTTGTAACCATCCACGTATGCCATAAAATCTGCTTCAAGTAAATACAAATACTGAAAATGGAGGTTGGGGAACTCGGGCCAAACAATTGATTATTTAATTTCCTCCCCGATTTCAATTCAGCTCACTCGGCGCTGTCGACATGATAGTGCTACCGGTCACTTTACCAATTTATACTTTGTTAATTATTTTTCTATCAATTGATATTAAAAATTCATAATACATAATGCAAAAGTTCCCATCAAATGCTACATAAACTGGCTCTGCTTTTCATTCTAGTGCCAAAATAGGATGAGGGCAAATGCCGCCAGGATCGCACTACTGCTTCTGCCGTATGAAGCCATTAGTTTTTAATTGTTGATTTGCGTCAATAAAGAGTGGGATACACATGACTATTTCAAACAAAAAGGCAGCAGCACAAATGCCCGCGATGTCGTCTCCAGAAAATAGCAATACAAACCCCTTGTGCATTGTTGGTGGGTTGCAAGACAAGGAAAGAAAAAAGAAAAAATAGGGTTCAAAAAAATTGGGCGCCTCATATGCCCGTCATACAGGATTTGCAAACAATTTTCATTGTAATTTCCATTTCAAGCATATCAAAAAAAGGGCAAAGAAAAGCACACCACTACTAAGCTGTGTATGTGATATTTGTCTGGCAATTGGCATTTTTAATTTTCTGTTATTTGTTTTCTCTTCTCGTCTATAATTGATACGCACATTCCTTTTTTATATTTGAAACAAACAACCTTTGATAATTTTTCTTAGCATTTTAGCCTTCTGCCTTATTTTGTTATATTCTTTTACTTTTCTTTTTTACAGTACGCTTCAAAGGAAGGCCTGCCTTTGGTGACAAACACAGAAAGATCACATCTGCTGCTTTCCACGCGGGCAGCCCACTTCAACTCGCAGCGAGGCTTTTTTTTATAAACACACGCACTCTTTTTTTGCTCTTGCCAGTAAAGTTAATATTCAATATTCTTTGTTTTTATTTAACACCCCCCTTTTCAGACAAAATATTCAAATTCCACAAATGGACGACGGGCCAGCCATAAATTCGGGCAATTCAGACACCTCCAACCGTCCCACACGTTCAAATGGCAGTCCTGCTGCCGTTGAAAAGGTTGAAAGCATATCGGAATTGGCCTTGACTAGTCATGTTTGTGGCAATACTGCGCCGGACACAGCGCCACAATGCGAACAGGAAAACAATGCATCACACGCGACAAAAGAGAATGTTGGGCCTGTAACTGCAACTGCAGATATCGGTGTTACTGCCAGCCCTGACTCTGCTTCCCTTTTTGCCTCTTCTATGCTAGCTACTAATGGCTTGGAACCCCCAAATGACACAGTCGCTATCGATATAGATCCTGGTTTGCAGCAGCCATCTGCGTCGGTTGGCTCCGGGAACGCAGAGGCAGCCCAGCAGCCCAATAGATACCATGTGCAGAGAAGCTGGTCGGCAAACGTGCGCAATGGCTTCTTTAGAATGTCGCTCTTTAATAAGATAAAGCTGTCGACGTATGTGCTGGCAGCATGGTCACAGGTAAGATATTTGGCGCATATTTAGTTTGTTCTATGCATTTTTTGGCAGAATCTGCACTTTGCGCAAGGATTATTTCAAAGAACAATTCTGCTGACATTGCAACATTTATTAGCAATGCAGCTATTAATTTTTACACTTGTACATGGTCAACTAATGCTATGTTTGACTACTTGCTTTTTTACATACACATATATACTCCACAATGGTCACTTATTTTAGATCGTCGCAGGCATTGTGGTTCTAGTTCTCAGTGCGAATGCGCATGAAGAAGGCAAACAGCTCCTGTGCATATTCGTTATACTACACATTGTCAGGCTATCCCTGTACTATCCGCTATATATAAGCAACAAGGTCCATTGTTACGGCGCGACATGGCCCAGCATTCGGGCATCCTCTCTCATAAAAACGTAAGTAGAACCAGCTAAATAACAGTGTATTTATTGTCTTGCTTATATACCATGCTATGTTTGACATGATTTAATGTAAACACGCCGCTTAAACAAGCACCAATGAGTTTTTACCAATAATGATAATAACTGCTTTCTTAATATTTCCTTTCCTAACATTTACTATTGTATTTTAATTGGGTTTCATTGTAGAGTGCAAAAAATTCTCGAACTGTTTGCCTTAGCCTTGTTTTTTTACGGCAACTATGCAGTCTTTGCCGACGATACCAGCAAGCTGACCGCACCGCTTCTTTGGAAACTATCCCTTGCATATATAATCCTCGGGTACATCTACCTGTGCTTGCCAGCCGCAGCCATTGCAACACTTTTGTTTGTCACAATCTTCTTGTTTGTATTTGACTCCTCGTTCAGGGAAAAGCTCACCCAGAAAAAGGGAGCAGACTCTTCTCAAATTTCGCAGATTCCACTGGTGAAATACGTCGACCCCCAGCTCCATCTGCCCGTGGCGTCCGAGTCTACACATCCCTCAGCTGACGGGGCGGCACCGGCGTCTGCAGCGGGGAACGACAAGGGCACGTCTGCGCCTCCGGCTTGCCTTGTGGCTGCCCAGACCTCTACATCCCTGCGCTCAAACGCGAGCCGTCGCCACGGCATCTCCCGCATCCACGTACTCAATCCGTTTGCGCGCCTTGCGCACTGGCTAACCCGCAGCAAGGGGCAACGTGCCTCCGAGGCAGAGCAGTACAATGTGCAGCTCACCCAGTCGATCAGCAAATTTACTCCCCTCGACCCCGAAGACAGCATGTGCGCGATCTGCCTGTGCAACTACGAGGATGGAGAAATACTCCGCCTACTGCCGTGCAACCACCACATGCACCAGGCCTGCGTGGATGAGTGGCTGCACATCAACAAGACGTGCCCGCTGTGCAAACAGGAGGCAATTAAGGTCATTGACTCCCAAAGGCCTGCTACCGAGACTACTCTGGCCCCGGCTTCGGCTCCAGCTCCCGCTTCAAGCGACACCCAGACCACAGCTGTTCCTGTGGCGTAATGTCAGCAAATGCAGCCCATTTTATCACGTGTATTTTTAAAACAAAAATGTTTGATTATTGATTTAATCATGAAATTGTGATCACTGCTTTTGCTGTTGCAAACCAAAAAAAAAATTATCTGAAAATTTGCTGATGGCTCCATTTTTGCCCTGTCTGCCCCAGCCGACTTCATACTTTCGACCTCTGTTGTTGTTAGCCAAGCGCACTTCTTTACTTTTGTATTCTCGCACTTTATTTACAACCAAAACCCCAAATTAAGCTTTTAATAAAATCATGGTAAAGTCGTACTTGCGCTACGAAGCACGCAGCGTGTTCGGCATCATTTCCAGCCCCACGGGAAACGCAGTGTTCGACCATAGCGGTAAGCTGTCGATAACACCAGCTCTGGAGAACGTCATAGTCTGGGACATCAAAAAGGGCACTCAGGTTGCGCGGTGGAGCGACAGCGAAAACAAGGCCGAGGTTACATGCATCGCGCGGAACCCCAACGGCAAGGACTATGCTGTGGGCTATGCTGACGGATCGATCCGCCTATTTGATCTTACAAACAACGCCGTAAACGTTATTCTGAATGGACATCGCGGCAGCATTTCGGCGCTTGAGTTTGATCCTACGGGTACTGTGTTGGCTTCGGGCGCGCGCGACACAGACCTCATTTTGTGGGATGTTGTCGGAGAAGTCGGTCTGTACAAGCTGCGCGGACACAAGGACGAGATCACGGGCATTGCTTTTTTGCCCTCGTCGAAGGATGCAGACTCGGCGCTCAACGCCAGCTCGGAGGGATACATTGTCACTAGCAGCAAGGACACGCTGGTCAAGCTGTGGGATCTCCGGGCGCGGCACTGTGTGCAGACACTGGTCACCCATCGCAGCGAAGTGTGGTCGTTGGCAGTTAGCCCCGACCGGCGTCTTCTGGTCACCGGCACGTCGGACATGGACATGCGCGTATGGAGTATCGATATCGAAAAGCTGGAGGACACTTCCGTTGACAGGAGCAACTTGTCTGCCGAGGATGCAGCCAAGAGCTGGGAGGCTATCACCGAATACGGCACAATCCAGCGGGCAAGCAAGGACCGCGTCGTCGACCTCCAGTTCCATCCGACCGGGTTGTACCTTGCATGCCTGAGCTCTGACAAGCAGGTGGAGGTGTTCCGCACGCGCACCCACGCAGAGATCAAGAAGAAGATGGCGCGCCGGCAAAAGCGTACTCGTGAGAAGCGCAATAAGGACAAGGACTCGGTGGATGCTGATGGCGACGAGAGCAACAGCGGCGGCAGCGGCGACGAGGCGGATGAAAACACCTCAGGGATTACGGCTGCCGACGAGCTCACCTCATTCAAGGTGATCCGCACCAGCGCTAAGCCCGTGTCGCTGGACTTCAACCCGACAGAGTCGGACATTGCTGCACTGCACAGGCAGAGCAGCCTGCAGATCCTCGTGTCTCAGAATAACAACTCGCTACACACGTGGAACCTGCCGATTCCGCCGCCAGGCAAGACCACCAAGCAGGCTAACCTTCCGGAGCCGTCGCTTATGAGCTCGATCGAGATGCTCGGCCACCGCTCGGAACCACGCACTTTGGCTCTGAGCTCCGACAATGAGCTGATTGCGTCGGCCGCCAACAAATCGCTGCGCATATGGAACGCGCAGACGGGCTCGTGCGTTCGCACGCTTGAGTGTGGAACCGCCCTCTGCGCCGTGTTCCTCCCGGGCGACCAGCTCATTGTTATCGGTACGAAGGAGGGCACCTTGGAGCTTTACGACATTCCGTCGGCGTCCCTAGTCGAGACCTTTGACGCGCACGAGGGGGCGGCATGCTGGTCGATCGACGTGCGCCCCGACAAGAAGGGCCTCGTCACTGGCGGTGCCGACAAGTGCGTCAAGTTCTGGGACTTTGAGCTTGTCCGCGAGCCGCAGGGAGACTCCTCAGTTGTCAGCCGCCGCCGCATGACGCTGGAGCACGTCAAGACGCTCAAGATGTCGGACGATGTCCTGGTGGTCAAGTGCTCGCCCGACTCGCGCCTCCTTGCTGTTTCGCTGCTTGACACCACTGTCAAAGTGTTCTACGCTGACACACTCAAGTTCTTCTTGTCGCTGTACGGACACAAACTGCCCGTCGTGTCCATGGACATCTCATCGGACTCGACGCTGTTGGTTACCGGCTCGGCCGATAAGAGCGTCAAGCTGTGGGGCCTGGATTTTGGTGACTGCCATCGGTCGATCTTGGCTCACCAGGAGCCCGTCACGGCAGTCAAGTTTGTCTGGGGCACGCACTACTTCTTCTCGGCCGGCAAGGACAAGCTAGTGCAGCAATGGGACGGCGACAACTTCCAGCGCATCCAGAAGCTTGAGGGCAGCCACGGCGACGTGTGGGCGCTGTTGGTCGCCAAGCACGGCAACTTCATCGTAGCTTCCAGCCAGGACCGGTCCATTCGCGTCTGGGACAAGACCGAGGAGCCACTGTTCCTCGAGGAAGAGCGCGAGCGTGAGCTTGAGGAGATCTACGACCGGGGCCTTGAGGAGAGCCTGGACCGCAAAGAAAGCACAATCGGTCGCGGCGACGATGAGGACGAGGAGATGGAGGGCGAAGAGAGCCAGCGCGCAGGCAAGGCGACGATGGAGACGCTCAAGGCCGGAGAGCGCATTATGGAGGCCCTGGAGCTGGCCGACGAGGAGCGCAAGAAGTGGCACGAGTTTGAGGAGCGGAAACGCAAAATGCCCCAGCTCAACCCGGCGCCGCCAGACACCAACCCGGTCTTGATGTTCGAGAAGCTGAGCCCCGAGGCGTACGTTCTGCGTACGGTCGAGCGGATCCGCGCTGCTGAGCTCGAGGACGCGCTGCTTGCGCTGCCCTTCAGCCGCGTACTCTCGCTGATGGCCTACATTGACATCTGGGCACGGCGCGAGTGGAACACGCCCATCACATGCCGTGTGCTCTTCTTTGTCCTCAAGACCCACCAGAACCAGATTGTGGCCACGCGCACCATGCGCGCCCAGCTGGACTCCATCCGTCAGCACTTACGTGCCGGTGTCAACCAGCAGAGAGACCAGATCGGCTACAACTTGGCCGCCCTGTCATCGCTGCGCACGGAGTGGGAGGAGAACGCCACGGCCCAGTTCTTTGATGAGAAGGACATCCAGAGCATCCTTGATGGCCAGCTCAAGAAGCGCAAATTTACAGGGATCAAGGCCTGAGTTGCCCGAAAATTTTAACTGGATTTCTACTTTATTTGTATATCAAAGACCAACACATGGAAATATACTTGTTTAAAACTTCAAAAATGAAAAAAATTTAAGTGGGCCTTTAAGTTTGCGCTCGCACGCTACCTTTCGCGGCAGAACTGAATCGCGTTGTGGTCGACATCGTAGGCGGCGCGCTCGAGCTTGGCACGCTCGAGCTTTCTTTGACCGGCCTCCTTCTGGCCCAGCTTAGACTGGATAGAGCCAACGAAATTGAAATAGGTTGAGCGATACTGGCTGGCGCTCTTCTTGTTGTACTTGAGCAAGAAAGTGTCGCGTGTGTGCTGTTGAACTTCGGCGGGGTCCTCATACACTATCGTTGAGGCGACGTAATTCTGGGGGTTCAGTTCACCATCAGTAGGAATGTGGATGTGGGCTGGCAGTGGCTCTCCTGTCCTCGGGTCGCGGTGCGCAACGCCGTGCCCAATGTACCTGGTATCATTAAAGTCGGAGATGAGCGGATAGCCGCCCGCTTCGGCCAATCCAGCTTCCATCGCAACATCAGTGGCTGCCTTGATTCCGGTACCGGCACCAGTTCCGACAATATTGGTGTATGCTAGGGTGCTCATCGCTTGTGCTGAATTGTGAATAGTATCTTAAATGCGTGGAACCAAAGTTGGTGTGCGGTATAGATGAAACGGCGAGCACACATAAGGTAAATTTATGCCGAGATGCATTTATGTGCGACTTATCACAAGATCCTCATTTTAATTGTTTTTATTTGCAAGATCGTCATCATCTTTATCTTGGTCGTCATGTGTACAGTAGCCATGCTCCGATTTGCTGCAAATAGGTTCAAAAATAGCATTGAAGCACACGCCATTGCTCTGAAGTGCCCCTCCAATTCAAGGCAAAAAAAGATGATTGATGGCTCTAAGCGGGAATGCTTATATGTATTATTTGCTACACATCGATTAGGACGGGGGCGAAAATGGTGCGAGCATATGACCTTCCATTAATTGGCTTTACATTTGCTTATTAAATTTTCCGATGTGAAATAACATATTGATTATCCGAACAGTGCACAATTCAAGTTTGTATGTCGAGTTGCATATTCCAAAAATCAAATTCAACATTAAAAATTAAAGATTAAAAAGATTATATTCAATATTATCTAGACGAATAAAAAGCTAATGAGTAGAGTAGCCACAATCAAAACCTTTGTCGTCGATACTGTGCTGGCATCTGCGTTAACACCTACACAGTCGTAGTCCCTGTAGGTCTGGCACACCAGGGTGGCATTGAATGTGTACACGTGTTTGTCCATCCGCGTGCACACCACCTCGCTGGCAGCCTTGTTGTACTTCATAAACAACGTGTTATATTCCTTTTTACAGTAGCACTGCATAAGCAGGCGCTGTTGCCTGTCTGATATCTGGTCGCATGTCTGGATCCCCGAATCGGATGTCACCTCTCTCATAACTGTGTCAGGGCTAAAGCTCATTTTTGCCTATGGCACAAAGTGTAAATTAAATTTAAGTGTAAAAAAAGCAAATATAAACACAACGAGCGGTACAAAATAGAGAAAGGGGCTTTGCTGGGCGGGTAGCGGACACGCAGTTTAAAGTATTATCCCGAGCACTTATTACTGCAAGTTTGAATGCGTTGAGGCTTTTTGCTCGAATATTGGTATCCACATGGTCACTTTGAACATAGGAATCAAATAAATTTACGATAGAACGGGTCTGTGCTGTGGGGATATATACATTCTATCATCTGAAGCGCCGAAATCAAGGCCTGTAAGTAATCCCCGCAATATATTTCGGCTTGGCCGAGAGGGAGTTGCGGCTCAGCCCCCATGAATTTTCCAAAAGAAAATTGCTTGCTTGAGCGTGAGCCCTGGCTGGCCAAATGCCCCCAATATATCGATAAAGATTGGGATCCCAATCTAAATTCCTACGTAATACTATTCCAAAATTAAGCAAAAATAAATCTATAACATCGACTCTGATATTAATTTTCGAGCCAAACTAGAACCCAATTGGAACCAAACTGGTATTGTACCTGCAGGCCTAAGTTTATTAAAATATGAGCTGCTTTGACTTGCAAAAAAATCCCTCATCTATTAATAGTCTTGTATTGTGTGGCACATCACTAAGGATCTTTAGCAGGTTTGTATGCTGTAGTCGGTATATACAATATTGACCACCGTCTGGCCTGTTTGTGTGTGCAGCATATTGCACAAATGCTTTAATGTTGTAGGGCGACAGCACTCAGAACAACCGAGCTTTGCATATGCGTGTCAGCTACAAAGAAGGTGAAACGCACGTAGCCCAGCCAACTTCGCATATGCGATAGCTTTTATATCTGATTGCCGCTTTTGGTCATTCATTCTTCGCTTTTAGCAGAGTGAATTTACGCTGAATTTCCTTCCAAACAAAGATACAACACGCTTGTTTATAGAAAAGCAATCATCTTTATCTCCATTCTCGTCCACTGTGACATCATCTGCACATCCATCGCCGCCGCGTGCAGGTGCTAGAAAAGCAAAAACAAATCACTCAAAGGAAACACGGAGTTTGCATGTACATTTTAAAACTACAAACAATATATTTTCTAAAAAAATATGCAAGAGTGCAAAAAAGAACAATGGCGTTGAATGAAAAGGGGACCGTAGGGCTTTTGGTGGTTTGTATTTTTGTATTTTACTGCTTTTAGAAAACGCCTGCTGCCTTTATTGGGCCAAGTGCCTTTATATCGTCTTTGTGTGTATAAACATCTCATTATATCCTTGGCAGCCGCTACTTCAACTATTCCGCGCAACCTATAGGCCACCGTTCAGTTCTCTTCTCTCCAAATTATTTTTATTTCTATTTCTCCTCCAACCACACTATCACTACTATCATTACTATTATTGCTTACGCCAGCATCACAGTTGCACTCCAAGTTTTCGTACCGAACCTACGCATCTCCAAAAGGCACACACACACCTTCAACAATCCTCTAAACTACCTCATTTCAAAACAATGCTGAAAAATATCGTGTCTATTTTCATCGCCGCTACCGTCGTTGTTGCCAGCACCAGCAGCATGACAACAGCCACTCGCGCATCCGGCTCCGGGGACATTTCCATGGCCGACGCCAAGGTAGAGGGCACTGGTATTGACGCTACCTTTGAGTTCATCCCTGCCGAAGATAAGACAGGCCTCCAGATGGTTATTTCTGCCAGCGGACTGAAAAATGGCATACTTTATCCGTACCATATCCACACCAACGTGGTTCCCTCCGATGGAAACTGCACTGGTACTGGTGGTCATCTGGATCCGTTTGAGATTAAATCCAAAGCCGGAACCAGCTACAAGTGCGACAAGACCAAGGCCCAGTCAACCTGCGAGCTGGGTGACCTGGCTGGCATGTTTGGCAACATGACTGCCGGTGCGAACGGCAAATTTTCTTTGCGTGTCCCTGACTCCATCCTCACGTTCTCCGGAAGCAACGCCATCCTCGGTCACTCTATTGTCATTCACGGCCCCGACAATGCCCGCCTGGCCTGCGCCAACATCACTGGCTATGCTGTAACCTCCAACGCCTCTGCCAACGAGAAGTCGGACAAGAGCAGCACCTCGGGCGCCTCTTCTGTCGCTGTTGCTGGCGCTTTGGCCGTCATGGCCGCTGCTCTTGCCATTTAGAGCGGCAAAAGATCCCTCAAAGCCCTTCTTTTTTTCCAAGGCAAAAGTACTAGATATTTGTTCTCTTTGCATCCCCTGATAAACACGCTATTTATGATGTCATAATATTTGCAAATCATTTATCCTTGTTTTTTTCTTTTGATACAAGTAAATCAAAAAGGTATATATATGCATGTGAGTATTTTGATAGCATTATTTTTATTTTTTATTTTTGTTATTATTATGCGCGCACACCAAGATACAAGAGTCAGAATGACAGTGTTGTCAAGTGCAAAACAAAAGAAAAAAGCAGAATTCTTCACTTCTGCATGTGTATGCAAATACACACGCGTTATGCCGAGCAGCATGGCTTGAGACCGCCAACAGACCGCCTCTATGCGTAGCCCAAGTCCATCTCTTGGGAATCTACTGCGTCATAGTCGACAATCTCGGGCTCCTCCCACTCTCCTAAAGCGACCAACCAAACGAAACATAACAAAATATGACAAAACTCCAACACGCACAGTTAGTTGCAAGGGTTAAGCGACAAAACGTAAAAAAATGTATTAAATAGTATTGTACTTAAAATATTTTTAGCATCAAACGTGTCTGCACAAATTTTCGGACACACACGTAATCAAGCAACTGAAAAATGAGAACTATTGTTTTTTTTAGTTTTGAACGTACCATTATTTCCCTGCAACACAAAATATACGGCCTGATCATCAGTAAGCCCGGCGGCGCCGACCAGGGCGCAGTCTTCAAGCGAGCGGAACTGCATGGTGCTATCCCCCTCTTGCTGGGGCTCCTGCACAACCAGGCGGACGCGATCCACAGTCAATCCGTCAAAGTCGCTGTCACCGCCACCGTGCTCCGCCAGCATTTCTAGCAGCCGGGCTCTTACGCTGAGCAGTGTCTCTTTTGACTCAGTTTCAATGAACAGCGTCATAAAGCCTCGCTTGAATCTAAAATAGGGCCTAGCCTCGCGGATATCTGTGTTTTTTGGTGGCGCCATGAATATATAAAATAATTAATAGTTTTATGTAATACAAGTAGGTTTAGTATAAAGACGAGGTGCAGTGAATGCAGGGAGGGCTAAAATTTATTTCCAGCGCGATACCAGTGTTTTTTGGTGTATTTTGTGCAGGCCGAAGCGGCGGGTATGGGCAGGCTCCAATACCGCCCATCCGCAGCCCCAATCCACGAATAGCATGATTTTGAGTTGACGCGCAGCAAAATATAGATTCGGGTTCGGTGTTCCCGTGGCACACAGCCGTCGCAGTCATATCATAAATAAAAATAAAAATAAGAACAAATATATAATTTGTAAACGCGAAACACAAAAAATAAAAAATATGATAAATGTTATGTAGCAAATACAGGGAAGGCAGCGGAGGAGGATGGGGAGGGGACGTGACAAACTCATGCTAGTGTTGCTGGTGGTGGGTGCTGCCTTCCAGTGCGGCGCTGCCGGCATACTGACTGAGGCGCGCAATCGAGTCGCCGTTGGTGCTGTTCTCGTCGTCGTCATCCTCGCTCTCAGTGATTTTGGACGGAACGGCGATCGCTGTCTCTTGGAATATCATTTCCCGGGGCGCGCCGACATTGTACTGCATGCTGTTGCGGTTGCTCCTGCCTACTTGCTTCAACCCGGCGACCTGTTTCTGGTCAAACTGCATGTGGGTCTGCTGCTGGCGATAGGCGCGGCCCGCAGAGTGAGAAGGGGGCATCATGCCCGGGTATCTCGGAGCATCCCGCTGCGTGTCAGCCCTGCTGCTGAAATCCGAGTCTGGCTGGCTATCCCACGTCGAGTTGGACGCTGCGGCCATGTCACGCACGCTGTTTTGAACACGGAGGTCGCTGCCGCTTGTCTCGGGGCGCGAGACCAGCGACCGCAGCGAGGACGCAGGGGTTTTATCTTCAAAAACACGCACTGGGTGCGGGGGGAAGTCGGACGAGAAGGATGCAGTGTCGGTGCCCGCAAGGCTGTTGGCAGAGTGGATATTGTCATCGCTAGACATGCGGTTAATGCCAGTAGGAACGGATATCGACAAATGTTTGTCCAGCTGGTGCGGCTTCTGCTCGCGGTCCGTGTCGTAGATGGCATTCTGCGCGCTCACGTCTGACGCCCGGCCGGTGCTAGCTGCGGTTAGCAGCGAGCGGGGCTCGGGCGCACCGCTGTCGTTGACCCAGAAGATATACTCAAACTCCACCATCAGCAGGCTGAACACGTTGCCTGTGATGCCAAGCGAGGGGGAGAATACGATGCAGATGTTGCGCAGCGTCATCTTGTTGATATCTACCTTTTGCACAATGCGAATGAGGTGAGCCATGAGCGCGCGGAGCAATGTATAGTTGGCTAGCGGAAGCTCCGAGACGAGGTGACCGAGCTCGTGTATGCGGTCGCTGCGGTCCGCCAAGTCCACCACCCGCACGAACCGTTGGTGCAAGCGCGTCGTCAGCACACTCTCGGGCAGCTCGCGGAGATAGGCCTTGAGCAGACTGGCCACTGCATGGATGTCTGGTGGCTTGGACAGCTTGAGCATGTTGTAGTCGCGGTTGCTGTTAAACTCCTTGCGCAGCAGCGTCAGTGCCAAGGAGCTCCCGGACTGGCGGTAGATGCCCTCCTCCAAGCATGCATTCTTGGCGTCCAGGTACTCGATGCAGCGGTACACAACTGCGGGCAGGTGGTAGTGCTCCCTGATTTTGGTCTGTTCAACCACACGCTCGAGCGGAAGCCCAAAAACGGGACCCTTGAACGGCTGGTTGCGCGAAAGCATATTCCGAGTTTCGTTGGCGGTGGATCCACGCCGCAGTCTCCTAGGGCCTGGCACGGGCGGAGTGTCTGGAGTCGCAACAATGCTGCTAGCACCGTAGGGGTTGATACTGGGAGAAGCGAGCTCGGGCATTGGGTAGTCGGCTTCTGCGGGCTTGCGCTTGCCCCACATGAACGTGATGCGGCCGCGCTTCTTCTCCTCGCGAGTGCGCCCATTGCGATTGCTGCCTTGGCCAACACTGTCCTTCCCATCGCCAATGGATGTGTCTTGACGCCCGATGCCCAGAATGTCGTCGGTGACGCGCGGAGTGTCGGTCGGAAGTTCCGGAATGGCCTCCTCCTCGTGCACAATGCGCCCGATGGAGTTCTTGGTAAACTGCGGTTTGTGGCTCCCAAGGCCCGGCTGCAGCATGCGCGAAACCTGCTCGCCGTAAGGAGTGCCGGCCGCTGGGCTGTCCTTAAACTGCGCGACAGGGGCTGCATTGGCCGGCGGCTGCACGCCTGCATGGACGTTAGTGAGGGGGAGTTCGGCTGCACCAGCATGGCTGTCTGACACTGGCTTGGAGCCTTGGCCGACAATCTTCTCGTTTGAGTGCGGTGAGTCAGTGATACTAGCGTAGGAGTTCCTATCGTCGATCGATTGGGAGGATATGTTGTTTAAACGCCCCATGCCCTCGTTCCCGTTGTATGACGAGTAGATGCTAGACTCGATTGTAGATATATCCGACGGCACATAGTTGTGTGAAATGCGGTCGGCTTGGTTGGACATGGACTCACTCTGGGCTCCCGAAAAGCTGGCCGAAAAGGGAGCAGTAAATGCTGACGGCGACCTGGCAAGCGACGAGGAAGATGTCTTGGGTCTAGCAACAGCCAAGGTCGGCGGCAGCGGCAGGTCGCTGTCGGCCTCTTGTATCGACGGGAAAGAGAGGGTTCTGTTCCGGGCCTCATCATCGCGCCTTGGCTGGTACGGGTGCCCGGCGGTCGCTGCAAGCGAGTTGACTGCGGGGACGTCCTGACTGCGCTTGGCATCGGTCAACATGCTGAAGCTGTTGGCGCGATCCACGCTATTCAGCGATGTGGACGCTGGCCATCTCTGTTTGACGAGCGGCGAGTTCACCTTGTTCATGCTGGCTGCACTCGAGTTCTGGTACCCAGCCCCAGACGAATACCCGTTGGTATCCTCGCCAGCTGCTACTGCGCCACGCTGGTCCTCTTTCCACCGGCTCTGCTCGATAGACGCGCGCGCGCCGTGGTCGTGCGTAAGCGAGGTCTGAATTTGCTGGAGCATCAGCACGTTTGAGTCCTTGCGCTTCGTGTAGCTGACGTACCGGTTGACCTCCTTCATGGCGCGCTCGGGGCCCTCGGCCTCGCGGACGATCACGTAGCGCAGAGCCATCACCCACTCGTCACGCTCACGGTCCGACTCTGCCCACAGCGGATGCGAAATCGGCTCCTTGCCCTCGCGCTTCGGGCGCTCCAAAATCAGGAATGCGTGGCGGAACATGTCAGTCTCTTTGTTGTTGCCCTTACCCCGCAGCGAAACTGCATCATCGCTGCGCGACTTACCCATCTTGACAATGGCACCAGATAGGTTGATTGTGCCGTTGATGCTGCCACCGGGGGAGTCGGAGTACTCGAGGACGGGTTTGTTGGACTTGCACACATAGTAGCGCCGCTTCCACCCGCCAAAGTTCTTGCCCCTTTTCACTAAGAAGCCCTCCTTGTGCCCGAGAAGAATGGGCATTTTCTTCTCTGGCTCCATGGTGCGATCCGTCGAGAGGAACTGCAGAAGCGGACTCTGGTCCTTGATCGATAGCAGCAGCGCCTTCTTCAGGTACTTTTCGAACCACAGCTTGCGCTTGTCGCTCTTGGTCGGCGCGTTGGCGCGGAAAATATCCTTGTCGGGCAGGCGCTCCAGCTTGTCGTCCAGTTTCTCCTGACCGATGACCTGGCGCAGGCTGGTATGGAGATTCAAAAAGTCCGAGTACCGCTTCTCGACCGTCCACACAACTATGAGGGGCTGTTGCGAATCGACGATCATCTCTTGCAGGGACAGGCCACTGATCTCTTTCCGGAAAACAACATCGATCATATAAACATTGATCTCCTTGCCGCGCTCATCAACCTTTATGCGTGAGTCTTTGATCTGAATATCGATGTTCTCCAGAGAGCTCAGTGCTGGCTGTCTGAATATTGCATCACTCATGTTCTGCGCCGACTTGGCCAAGAGTATCGCGGGGGAGCTGTTGTTCTCGTAGCGCGAGTTGCTATCTTGCACAGCAAACGGGAATGGTGACTGAATGCCGCTATTCTGGCTTGTTGACAGCCTGCTTGCGTCTTGGAAGTCGTATGAGTTCTGCTTCTCCGCCGGTGGGGCTTGTTGGTTGTTGTACGGCTGGCGGTTTGTGCCGTGTGTAACTGGTGTCCCAATCGATTGCGCAGCCGTCAGCGGGGTGGCTATTGGGGTGTCGTAATCCCATGAATTGCCCTTGCTTGAATTGGGCCCAAATGACGGGCTGGCGGGGCGATCCACGAGTGGCTGCTGGTTCTGCTGGTCAAGTTGCCGCGACTGCAACTGTGATTGCGGTTGCGATTGCGGCTGTTGCGGGGATTGGTTCTGTAGCCAAGCGAACTCCTCGGGCAGCGATTGCTGCTGATGCTCTTGGTATTGCTGCGAGGTAAGGATAATCGGCGCTTTCTCGACAAACGCATCTTCAGACTGCCGCAACTGCTGTTGCTGTGACGAGTTGCCCACGTGCTCATCATTGCTATTGTTCACGCCTTCATAATCCGTGGGCAACCAAGCATTGTCGTCGTCCTCGGGTTCACCGACAGAGGTCGTGGAAGCGGCTGCTAATATGCCATTAACAGCAGCACCGTTCGAGTGTACGGCAACGGACGCAGGGCGCAAAAACATCTCGTCGTCGGCGGACTCGTACGACTGGCCTGTTGGGTTGGTCTCTGGGGCGACGGGCAATGGCACAACCGGCGCTTTCGTACTGTAGCTGCTGATGACGCGCCCCACACTCCTGCGAAGGTGCTCGGTATCATCCTCATTAATAGTGACATCAGCGGGCTGCGACGCGGGCTCGGGATCCGCAGTTTCAACACGCCGGGTGGCATAGTAGTCGGCATTCCGGTTGCCCACAGCCGTTCCAAATACAGAGTCGTGCTTAGGCTGTGTCCTAATAAACGTCTCCTGGCGGTGATCGCCATCGACAGACACGGTCATAGAGGGCCCGCGCGAAGTGTCGTCTACAAGGCCGCTTATCTGCCGACCAGCGCCCCGCTCGCCGCCATACGAATTCTCGCCCTGCTCTTGCTGATTGCCCCACTCAGAGGGCCACTCTGTCCGGCGGATACTGTTCTTCAGGCTCTCCGTAAACGAGCTTCCACTGGCTGACCGTGCGCGTTGCTGGTGCTGCTGGCCCTCCTCACCACTTTGCGTCCATGGGACTGTAGACGGCTTGAACATTGGGCTCACAGAGTTATGGCGGGCAGAGTAGTCGGCGTAGATCTCGCTCAGCCGTGTGCTTTTGGTCCAGGGATGAATATTGGGGACAACCGAGGTCAGTTCTATGGGGGCAAGGCCATTAGGCAGCTGCGGCAGATTGGCAGCATTAGAGCCTTGGGATACCTTGCGCACAGCATTTCCGTTTTTGGGAGGCGTGCTCACACTTAATGAAGACAATCCCAGCGCGACAGAGGCCATGTTCGCCGGGCGGTCCACCGCATCAGCAACGGGTGTATTCTCAACAACGGGCTTGGGGAAGTCAAGCTCTGGCTGCTCAAGAGGGTCCATGGAGAACTCTGAGCCGGGGGCGGAGGGTGTATTATTGGCCGAGGCGCTCTGCTTGCGGGCAAGCTGATCCTGCAGGCTTTTGATGATGAACCGCTGGCGCTCGATGATTTTGCGAAGCTTTTCTGTCTCTTGCTTGTACGCGTCGCGCTCCTGCATTATGTGAATTATGTCCATGTCATCACTGACTGGAAAGTCGCCACTACCGTCGCTATCGACTGCCGGAATTCCTTCGGGAAACAACATGGTGTTTTCTTTGCTACTGAGTCAAAAAGGTGCAATGGCGTGCCACGGGTTGTTGCCGTTGTTGTCGTTGTCGTTGTGTGTGTGAAACATGTGCAAGGTGTGTGTTAATTTAGTCGGTATGTTAAAGTAAACGATATGCAGCAAGGCGTGTGAGGGGCGGCAACCCATTGGTTCCAAGATATTAAAGCATGCTTTTTAAAAGATACTACCTGGGCATTTGCATTGTGCCATACATACAGGCATACTACCACTACGGCAAGCAAACACACAAAGATTCCGGTAGACAAACAAACAAGCAAAGAAGAGCAGAGACAGAAGCAACTGCTACGTATAACGTCAAATAGAGTTTGACAAGACCGGCCTGGATTCTACAGTGCTTCGTTTGTCGCCGTTATGCTTTTGTGCTTTTGTGCTTGTTTCATTCAATTTGCATTGCACGCAGAGAAAAAAATAGAGGCATTACATAGAGCGCGCGACAATATAAATTCTGTTGGTGGGCGGCGCTTGTACTTACATGTGCGTTGTGGTGTACTGTTGCTAACAGGTCTATCTGACTCTACTCGCTCAGACTTGTGGACCGTGTCGTTGTTGCTGGTGTTGTTGCTGTTGCTATTGTTGTTTTTCCTTTTTTATTTGCTGATGAGACCGAATGCGTTAAATAAAACCAAAGCAGTGGAACGTACAAAAAGGGGTGTTGTATGTGTGGAAAAAAAGAACAACACGAAAAGGAAAGCAAATAGGCAAGAAAGAGCAAACAGAGAATATTAACAGCAGGTGTTGAAGTAAGGCGCACGCTCTGCACACAAATAAAGCTGGACGGACTGTGCGCGTCGAGAAGTGCAAGAGACTATTGAAAAAGAAGGGAAGGGGAAGTTGTGAACGGAAAAAGTTGAGAGAGAAAGAAAGAAAAATATAAATGGAAATGGTTCAAGATATGCTCAACTTGAAAATAAAGTCAATAATACTCGCTTGTAGAGCGAGTCGGTAAAAAAAGAGATAATAGGAAGTGTGGTGAGTAAAAAAAAACAACAAAAGAGTAAAAATAATAATAGTAGGAAGGGTTTTCTTGTCAATATTAGACCCAAAAAGAGAAAGGGGAGCGAAAAGGAAAATGAAGGAAAACGGGGACAGACAAGGCAAGACAAACACACATACAAAGACGGAGCAATTAACAGGTACAAGAATTTACAGTCTTACAAAGAAGATCTGAAGTTAAAAGTACTAAAAATGTTTATGATGATTGTCACAGTAAATTCGCGTTTTATTCGTACACCTTTTGTGGCACGATAGACCGACCGCGTTTCGCAGCCTGACTTTGTTCTCTCCTCCACGGATCGCCGCCAAATAGAGCCGAAAAGATGAGGATGCATGACCCAATCTGCAGACGAACTGGTTGGCACGTGAGCGCATTCACTTCACAGATAATTCGGATTGAAACTTGCCTCACCATACCCGGTATTCAGGCGGTGTCGAGTGCACGAGCAAAGACAAGACTGCCTGCAAAACTTTTGGGCCGACGGAGCGCATATTAAGGATGGTGAAAAAGTGCCAACTGGCAGACGGAAGTAAAACTGTGACATGGCTGCGGTGCTAACCTTCCGGATCATCCTTAATGCCCTGCTTACAGGTAATCGGCCTCCCCGTTTTTCATGCAAAAAGGCATCGTCAGAGTTGGCTGAACCCGAGTCTACAGCGACACCCGAGGCTTTGTTCAAACCCAAGCCAAAGCCAAAGCCCAAGGCCAAGCCAAGCGTGTGCGCAAGAATCCATCTGCCCCTACTTCTTCTCTTCAAAAGAAGCAGCGAACTGGATAATGCCTTCAACCATAGTGGTCTATTGCCACTAGTTTCCACACACCTTTCAGGTTGCTAGTCAATCTGGGGGAAGGATGTATTTACAGGATACTTATAGCCTCATTCTTTTCTTCAGCATTGAGTGGCTCTGTTGCTGGAACGCGCGCCGTATTTCTTACAAGACATCCATGAGCTTTGTTTTGGATGTATCTGATTGTGGTATATAAAATAAAGGACAAGGAAAGAGCTAGCTCGGCTGGTTTGCTTACAGGTTGTTGATGACGGCCTTGGTGAACTCAGTGGTCGAGTGCGAGCCGCCGAGATCGGGGGTGCTGATACCGTCAATGCTCAGGGTCTTGCTGACGGCCTTCTCGATCTGGTTGGCGTGGTTGTTGAGCTGCAGGTGGCGCAGCATCATGACAGACGACAGGATCAAAGCTGAGGGGTTAGCGGTGTTGCGGCCCTGGATGTCCTTGGCAACGTGGCGAGATCCAGGCTCGAAGATGGCGTACTCACGACCGTAGTTGGCGCCAGCCACAATGCCGGGACCGCCGACGAGCCCGGCGCCGATGTTGCTGACGATGCTGCCGTACAGGTTGGGCATAACCATGACGTCAAACTGCTGGGGCCTGCTGACCAGCTGCATGGCAGTGTTGTCGACAATCATGTCGTTATACTCAATGGTCGGGTACTCCTTGGCGACGGCACGGCAGGTGTTGAGGAACAGACCGTCAGCCAGCTTCATGATGTTGGCCTTGTGGACGATGGTCACCTTCTTGCGGTTGTGGCGCAGCGCATAGTCGAACGCGTACCGGGCAATGCGCTCGGTCTTGGGCCGGGTGATAATCTTAAGCGATTCGACAACGCCGGGGAACGACTGGTGCTCAAGACCAGAGTACTCACCCTCGGTGTTCTCGCGGATGATCACAAAGTCGACGTTGTTGTGGCGGGCCTTAATGCCTTCAACGTTCTTGCAGTGCGCGACCGACGCGTAGATGTCGAGCTCCTTGCGCATAGCCACGTTGAACGAGCTGTGGCCCTTGCGGATGGGCGTGTACAGAATGCCCTTCAGGCCAACCTTGTTGCGGTGCAGACTGGCCAACGCCTCCTGCATAAGTTTGTCGTTCTCGGGCGTGAAGCCAGACAGATCAAACTGCTCAAACTCAACCGGCACCTTGGCCGCGTTGAACACGGACTTCACTGCGGAGGCCGTCTCCTGTCCGATACCGTCACCAGGAATGAGGGTGACCGTGTAAGTTCCACCGTAGCACTTGGGGCCGACGGCATCCTATAAGAGTCAAAGGCGCAATAGTGTTTGTAGTGTGCAAAAATAAGTGACTGTGTAACTTAAATAATGGCGTTGTGAACGAGGAAGTTCAGTATTTACTGATTTGCCCATTTTTACAATAGTGCTCGCTGATACATAATGTCGACGAGTGCGGGGTGCCAACCAAAAGCCAATTGGTTGCTGTGCCTCGCGCTAAGAAAGAGCTAGCATGCTGCCAAAGCATATGCACTCCATTGCTGTCAAGCGCCGCAGCCATTGCAGCCCAGGCGCAAGTTGGGCTATCCTCGCGTGCTCGGACCAATTCGGCTTTGACTCCAGCGGAAAAACTCATCCTCACCCATAGAGCAAACAAGGCTAAGGACAATACAACTATTTATGTATAAAAACTTACCGCAACAACGGTGCCAATCGAGCGGACAGACAGGCGCGATGCGACCTACACAGTAGCAAATAAGTTTGTGGAATGGAAATGGAATGAACAAGATTAGTGAAAAATATATAAATGTTAAAAGCACTTGCGCATTTAGTCGAGCTCAACCTCTTGGGCTCATTCAAGATATTCAGACAAACAGCTCAGCGCAGAGCTTCGTTGCAGAGTGGGCGCTGTATAACTCCGCTTTCGTGTCCAAGAGCGATAATTACCTGCTTGAGGGTGGACTGGCGAGCAAAGGACTTGAACATGGCTGTAATAGGCTGTACAAGGCTAACTAAAATGTATGTGACAAGAGCTGTTTGAATATATATAATAAAATGAAAAAACCAACGAAGAGAAAGAAAGAAAGCAATCAAAAAGCAAAAAGGGTTCAATTTGTGGTGTGTGAGAGAAATTGTGCTTCTGCTGTTCAGATAACAGATGCACAAACCCCAAGGTTAAAGAGAAATCGATTTTTCCTAAATCCTTATCAGCGGGAACACCCGCACACCCGCAGCGGGCGGAAAGACGCACGGCGGCCATCATTGGCCTGGAAAGCCTTTTTTGTTGGGCTTCGTCGACTCTTGCCTCCGTCGACGTTCTGCGGCCTTGGTGGAAAAAAACTAAAAAAAATAGTTGCGGTGCTCTGAAGTCCACGCTAAAACACTATTTTGCTTGCGGCAATTCCGACCCTCGTTTTTTTAACCGGCTAAAGGCATTGGTGTAAAAGTCACCGAAAAATAATTTCTTCGGTGTTTTCAAGTTGACTCGCAATTCTCTGCAAAAGATTAAAAATGGACCTTCATTGCCAATAAATTAATAAAACGTGATTTTCTTTAGGCGGATCTCGTTGTGCTCGGATTGGATAGTCTGCTCGCTTGTATCCATGTTAACGGCCGGATCGTCGCGGTCCAGCGAAATTACCACGACACCGTCCTCGTGGCCAATGGCGACCGTGTTTTTGCTAGTGCCGTAGCCGATGGCCCACACGCAGTATATGTCATAATTGAGCGTCGATTCCAGGTGGTACGTGCTCGAGTTCCATACGCGGTAGGTTCCGTCCTCGCTGGTGGTCAGGATAACGGGTTGAGACGGGTGGTATGCCACTGCAGACACATTCATCGTATGGCCCTCGAGCGTCTGAACGCACGAGTTGTTTTGGTAGTCCCAGACTTTGACCAAGAAGTCGTCGGCACCACTGACCAGGTATGGCTTGTCCGAGCCGTGGTAGTAGTCGACTGAGTTGACGCCCTTGGTGTGGCCCTCGAGCGTAAAGTTGGCCACGGAGGACCCCAGGTTCCACACCTTGATAGTCTTGTCCAGGCTGGCAGACGCGAATGTGTTGGTGTCCTTGGGGTTGATCGACAGGCCCATGACAAAGTACGTGTGCCCCTCGAACACCTGCACGCACTTCCAGTTCTTCTCCCAGTCCCACAGCTTGATCGAGTTGTCGTCCGAGCCAGTCAGCACGTACGGCAGCGTCGGGTGCACGGCGATGCAGCGGATGTAGTCCTGGTGCGCGTCAAACGACACCACGCGCTCGTGCGTGTTGTAGTTGTACACATTCAACTGCATGTCGTCCGAGCCCGTGATGATCTAGTTTTTGCGCGCGATGAATTTGGCCGTGCGCACAGGCAGGCCACTCACCTCAAAGCTCTTGACCTGTGTCTACGTCTCGTAGTTCCAGATATGCACCTTTCCGTCGTACAGTGACGCCAGCACCCACGGCTCGGTCGGGTGCATGTCGACGGACTTTACACGCTTCGTCCGCGCCAAGAGTTTCTTTTTGATGTCAATACGCATACCCTACATTTATGGTGGCCAGATTTAGTACAAGCAAAGAAGAAATAAAAACTGGTGCTTTGGTTTTAGTGTGTTTAGCAGGTCTGTCGGGTATTGCGTGTGCTTTTTTTATATGTTGGTGGCTCCCACCGTGGTTGGATGTATTTTGAGTTCGACTAGTAATTTACCATTATTGTATAATTGCTGCTGATGCTGTCGTTGTTGCAATAGTTTTATGGATAAAAATGATGGAAGGAATGAGCGAAGAGTGTGGCCTGAACCGCAAATTATATACTGTTAAAGTGGAGCAAAAGCAACTAAATATTTGGAAAAACACGCCTTAATTATACTATGTATTTAATATGATTTGTTTTTCTGTTTCTTTTTATTATCCTTTCTCACTACTCCCAGAAAATATTTGCTTTAAAATTATATGCGGCTTTGACATACTGGGATAGAAAGTAGACAACATCAGGTGCTGCTGATCAAATTTAGCGGCACCTATTAAAAAATTTTGCCAAAATAAAAATCCTCGAAAATAAAATGGACGTATCAATTGCGGCTGACTGGGGCGCAGGGAGTAGCTGCCAGTCTCTGGGGCCTGACCTGGTGAGATATCAAAGAACCAGAGTCGAAGGCAAAAGTGCAGCTCAGAAAAGTTGAGAGGCGCATTCACAATAAAATGGCAATGGAGTTCTCTGTTATAGGTAATGGGAAAGAAGATTACATACTAGAGCATATTGTTGTAAGTTTCATATTTGTATTAAAACCAAATAGTTTGTATTTTGAGTTGTGGCAAACTGTCAGAGACTGTTGAAGATCCAAGATGCGCTGTAATTATTGCTGGACTAGTTCCCGGTGATCGCTCGACTGATCCACCCATCATTCATTTACTGCAGATGTAAGTAACCTGGTAACCAGGATATAAACACCGCAAAAACGCAGGTTATTAATAGCTTACTCTTTATTTTTATTTCAGCTTAGTTATTCATTTATCAATACAATACACAACCTAGGCGTGTGTATTTATTCCAGGGCCTGCAAGTTGGAAAGCATCCAAATTGGTCAGAACCTGTTCAGCGGCAATGTGGTGGGATGTATGCTGGATATCATTGGGGGATTTTGGTGTGTTCTTGGATGCAAATAATCTATTCAAAATATAAACGGTGACATTGTAAATAGAGTGCATATTTTCACATTAACATGCAGATAACCATTTCCTTTTCAATAATAATGAGAAATGATAATTGAAGTGTTTATTATTAACGTGGTATATTCTTTAAGAGGATCTGCTGCTGCTGCTGCTGCTACTGCTGATATTGTAATTCGTTTGTTTCAGGATATTTAGCGTCACCAGCACGCACTATTTTCCCAAATCAGGCGGCAGCGGCGGTCTCCTCTTGCTCGGCTGACGGAGTGGCCCCGTGAAGCTCGTCATCGTCGCCGTTGCTGCTGCTTCCAGCCTCAGCCTCAGCCTCAGCATCTGCCACCGACTCGGCAGTCTCTGTGGCCGCACCAACATCCTGGCTGAAAAGGTCCTTGGTCAAGTCCAACTTGTGGTGGGGGTATTCACTCGCTGGGGTCGCCTGGTTCTGTCCGGCGACGGCCGCCGCAACATCTATGCTGCGTTCATAGTTCGGGAATAAGTTGGGGTAGTCACTGGGGCTGGCAATGGCCTCAGCGGCCTTGTTCTTGCCGACCTCCTTCAGAAGCTCCTTCCACCTGGGCACGGCCTCGTCAACCTTGGCCGGCAGATACGTGCGCGCCAACAGCGCAGCCTCGGGCACCCGGTCAATGCGCATCAGCAGCTCAAAGCACTTGTTGGTCTGCTTGAGGGACTGGTAGCAAGCAAAGGCGATATTGTTGGCGCCCGCCGTCTCGGCCATCTCGGCCAGCTTGGCCATACCCGCGGCATTTCCGGACGACGTGTACAGGAGCAGCAGACCGCTCAGGTCCTTTGCCTGCAGCATGCAGCGCTCGGCCAGGTCAAAGTTCCAGGTGCGCAGCGCGCAGTCGCCGACAATTCGCCATTTGGCCTCGGCTGTACTCTCCTCAGCCAGCTTGTATGCCGTCTCCAGCTGGTTAAGCTGCACGGCCAGGTCAAAGCGCTGCTCAGGGTCGGTGGTCACCTCAAGGGCCAGCTCCTTCATGTCTTCGGCCTCGAGGAACTTTGCGATCTTGGGGCGCTGGTCATCGGGAATCGATGGCAGAAGCTCTTGGGCCGCCTCCAGGTCGCCGCGCAAAATTGCCGTCTGATACTCGATGACGGGCAGCGGCAGCACGTAGCTGACAATGTTCACGTCCTTGTCCGCGAGGTACACGCGGTTGTCGCGCGCGACGTACCCGAGCATAGCCATGGACGTGTCAAAGTGCGAGATGGTGAACACCTGGCCGCCCACCAGGTAGTTGAGGCGGTTGGCCGAGTTGGTATAGATGAAGCAGTCGCCGATCCAGCAACCAGACTTGACGGACTCTTGGATCTCGGCGATAGACTCAATCGCCTCCTCGACGCCCTCCTCGCTCGTGCGGTTGCCGTTCTGCTGCGCATGCTCAAGGAACGCATCGCGGCTGTAGCGCAGCACATAGTACGATTCCTCGGTGACCACGGTAAAGAGCTCACCACTCTCAGACCAGAAAATGCTCTTGGGCTCGACGTCGATGCGGCGCACAACGAGCTCGGTCTCCCAGTCGAACAGGGTCAGGGTGCTGTGTTCTCCGCGCACGCCGAGCAGGCTGCCGCCAAAAATCTCCTCGGCCGACAGACCCGAGGCCGCGAGCGCCGACGTGGCCGGCCGCGACTTCTCCTTGAAGTTCTTGTACAGCTTAATAGACGTTGCTGACTCGCGCACAGCGTAGTCGTTCGAGTTCTGCGCCCACACGAACTCGAGACCCGAGCCAAACGACTTGTTACGCCAAGCAAGCGCCGTGTAGATGATGTACTCGCCATCGCCGCACACCACGACGAAGCGACCGTTGGGGCTGTGCTTCAGCGAGTAAGGATACACTTCACAGCTGCCCAGGTCTTTGACGGACATAGGGATGCGCTCACCGTCAGCAAGTCCTGAGTCCATGCTGGCCTTGACGTTGGTGCTGCGGATCTCGTTGTGCTTGGACCAAATGATCCGCCCGTTCGTATCCATGCTGACGGCCGGATCGTCGCGGCCCAACGAAATTACCACGACACCGTCCTCATGGCCAATGGCGACCGTGTTGTTGTTAGTGCCGTAGCCGATGGCCCACACACGTTCCAAGCCATAGTTGTGCGTCGATTCCAGGCGGTACGTGCTCGAATTCCACACACGGCAGGTTCCATCCTCGCTGGCGGTCAGGATAACGGGTTGAGACGGGTGGTATGCCACTGCAGACACATTCATCGTATGGCCCTCGAGCGTCTGAACGCACGAGTTGTTTTGGTAGTCCCAGACTTTGACCAAGAAGTCGTCGGCACCACTGACCAGGTATGGCTTGTCCGAGCCGTGGTAGTAGTCGACTGAGTTGACGCCCTTGGTGTGGCCCTCGAGCGTAAAGTTGGCCACGGAGGACCCCAGGTTCCACACCTTGATAGTCTTGTCCAGGCTGGCAGACGCGAATGTGTTGGTGTCCTTGGGGTTGATCGACAGGCCCATGACAAAGTACGTGTGCCCCTCGAACACCTGCACGCACTTCCAGTTCTTCTCCCAGTCCCACAGCTTGATCGAGTTGTCGTCCGAGCCAGTCAGCACGTACGGCAGCGTCGGGTGCACGGCAATGCAGCGGATGTAGTCCTGGTGCGCGTCAAACGACACCACGCGCTCGTGCGTGTTGTAGTTGTACACATTCAACTGCATGTCGTCCGAGCCCGTGATGATCCAGTTTTTGCGCGCGATGAATTTGGCCGTGCGCACAGGCAAGCCACTCACCTCGAAGCTCTTGACCTGTGTCTGCGTCTCGTAGTTCCAGATATGCACCTTTCCGTCGTACAGTGACGCCAGCACCCACGGCTCGGTCGGGTGCATGTCGACGGACTTTACACGCTTCGTCCGCGCCAAGAGTTTCTTTTTGATGTCAATACGCATACCCTACATTTATGGTGGCCAGATTTAGTACAAGCAAAGAAGAAATAAAAACTGGTGCTTTGGTTTTAGTGTGTTTAGCAGGTCTGTCGGGTATTGCGTGTGCTCCTTTATATGGGGGTGGCTCCCACCGTGGTTGTTTGCATTTTGAGCCCGGCGGACACGTTACCATCTTTGCAAAATTGTTGTTTCTGCTGCTGCTGCTGTCGTTGTAATTGTCCGTTGGTGCTGGTGCTGAAAATAATAAGAGAAAAAATAATGCAACTGTGGCGGCCGGCTGCAAGTATAAAAGATAGATAGATTGAAGAGAACGAATTGAATTACAATAATATAAAAGGTTGGCTAATTGGAGTAAACGAAAAAAACCAAATGACCGGAGAAAAAAAACGCTGTCAATTGAGCTCTTTTCAGATGAGAGGCATTCAAACTTGCCGTCTTTTTTTTTTTTTTAACGTGTCATGTCGTTGATGCTGTCCAAGAGACGCAGCGGTGTGTGCATGTTTTTTAGCGCTCTTTTTGTTCTCACCTTGCTGGCATGCAGGGAATGGGCAGTCAGCCAAGCCCATTTTTGTTCTTGATGCGGGTGATGATGCCAACAAAAAAACCCCATTTACCATACAATATTAGATTGGCGTAATCTGATCACACTACAAGTAAGTTTCTGTCATCATCATCGTCGTCGTCGCCTACATCAATATCAAGCCGACCGGTCAGCGAGGTTTGGTCCTTCAGCACACGCGCCATGCATCGGCCTACCTCGTCGTCCCAGCGGGTGCGCATGCAGATAGCCAGCTGCAGACACACAGCCAGCGCGACACCGACGCATATGCCGTACCACAGTCCCAGAACACCAACACGCGGCGCCCCGTACGTCAAATAAATCCCAAGCGGAAAGCCAACCAAGTAATAGGCCGGAAAATTGATTAGCGCGCCCGAGTCCTGACGGCCCAAACTGCGGAGCACGCCCGACCCTACGCTGTTGACGGCATCGATCATCTGGAACAGTGCGCACGCAGGCATGATTTGGGCTACAACGCCGACAATCGCGCGGTCATCCGAGTACACGCGGCCCCACCACGAGCCAATGGCCAGGCATACCACCAGGGTGGCCAGGCCCACAGCAAAGCTAGCAACAATGCCCAGCCACGCCGACAGCTTGGCGCGGCGCGAGCGCGCCTGACCAATCAGGTTGCCGACGCGGGTGCACACGGCGATGCTCAGCCCATCGGGCACCTGATAGGTCAGCGAGCACGTGTTGACAATGATGCTCTGCGCTGCCAGCGTAGTACTACCCAGGTAGCTGGCGGCCAGCACCAGCAGATCCAGGATCCACCACTCCGAGCACACCATGATCATCGACGGCACCGCGAGCTTGAAGTACTGCGGCATGGTGTACAGCGCGCGCACGGTCCACCCGCCCCACACGCCACGCACATCGCTGCGCTGGACATATGCGACAATCCCGCAGAGCATCAGAAGGTTAGTCAGCGCGTTGGCGTACGCTGCGCCGAGAAATCCTTGTCCAACCATCGGCGACCATACCAGCATGAGGCTGGCGGCGAGATGCACCGGCAGGCATGCCAGCAAGATACATGTGCTAACATGCATAATGCCCTGCGCCTGGAGGAAGCGCTTGATGCACTCGAAGCACATCCACGCGGGCGCACCAAGCAGCATCGCGCGCACGTACTGGCCGCACAGCGCTGACACAACGGCGTCCTGCTTGAGCCAGACAAGCACGCGTTCTAAGTGCCACAGCGCCGGCGCAACAGTCAGAAACTGGACGCACATAGCAATGAGCCCGCGCTGCAGATGGAACCCCACCAGTTTTTTGTTGCGCGCCGCCGTGAATGCTGTCGAGCAGTATGTGTCTAGCGCTGACGCCAGCCCGATGGCCGGCGAGTACATGACCACCACCAGCGTCATGTTGCCCAGAGCCGCCGCCGCCAGCTCGTCGGCGCCGATGTGGCCCAAGACAAGCAAATTGAAAAATCCAAAGCTGTACTGCAGCAGGTACGTCAGGATCACTGGCGTGCTGGCGCCGGCCATGTGCTTTGCCTCCTGCCACAGTATCGTGCTGGCGCTGGCTGCGTCGGCAACGATGAACTCGCCAGTCGGCGTTCGCGCTTGCGAATCCAGGGTAGTGGTGCTCGCCGCCAGCAGCCATGTTGACTCTGCAGTGATGTTCTGCCCGGGCGCTCCTCCTTGGTCTCTGTGCGCGTCCATTCGGCGGAGTTGTGGCTGGCTAGGGGCGGTATCCAGTAGTATAAAAGGGTTTTGATGTGGAGGCGAGTGCGCTGCAACAAGCAATAAATGAGCTGAATGTGTGTGCGCCTGTGTCTGTGCTTGTGCTTATGCGCCCAAGAAAAGGTATTCGAGTAGAGTTTTGTAGGAAATGGAAAGAAAAGCATGCTTGTCTGTTTGCAATGCCCCCCCCCCACTTGCCGCTGTTGTCTGGTATTGTCCGGTATTGAATTTTGCCGAGAGTATGTGAGAAATAACAAACTTTTTTAATTTGCTGGCTTTTCATTGGCTGATCAAACACGATTTTAATGTTCACAGTCGCTTCTCTTGAAAAGTTTCGCTGTTGTTTTCTCTGTTGGATGTGTCGGTGTGAGCAAAGAAATGCCAATGTTTACTTTTAATGTCATAAAATTTGCCACAGATAAAAAACATATGAAGGATCAATTGTCGATATTGACCAAAGCAGCCTCCTTCTCAATACGCAGAAAGGTCCATTGCCAGCGGCGGTAAATCTCCAACACGTTGAGCCAGAAGCCGCCGTACGCCATCAAGTCGATCTGCACATAGGATGTCAGCTTCATAGTCCAGGTGATTCGCAGCAAAAAGTCCACGGCCATGGCCACATAGTACACCTCGGGCGATCCAAAGCACAGGCGCGGGCGCAGGAACCGTGGGAAGCCGCTGCGCCACGCCACGCTGCCATTGTCGGCGCTGCCCGCGTGCCAGGATCCAGGCATCCTGTCGCTGGAGTCCAGGGCATCCACGCTGACGTTGTGTTCCTCGTTTGACACGGCCCTCGGCCTCCGCAAGCGCTGCTGTTGCTGCACTTGGGGCACCTGTGACAACCGCGGTGACGACGGTGGTGCAACAAGGTCGGACAGCTTGCTGCCGTTGTCCATATGGCCCAGGCTCCAGTCAAGCGCCACATCCCAGTAGTACGAGTACAGCGAGTTAAATGCCACAGACACAATCCACATACTGAAAACCACGCGCAGCGCCCAGTCTGAGTACTTTGTCTCCAGGGTTCCGTCCACCGCTACGCGCCTCTGTGTCGCCGACAGGCAGATCACGGGAATGGACGACGCGTACTTGACTGCATTGGCAAAGTGCCTCTGGCCATCGCTGCCCCCGGGCACCGCGCGCACATACTCGTTGACGCACTGGCGCAGGCGGAACATGTACGGCAGGGCCACCAAAATGGCGCCAACAATGCCGGCATCGGCGCACGCGTTGGCCGCCCTCTGGTTACGCACAAGCTCCTCCAGACCCGCGATGTCGGCTGAGCTGTGCTTGGCCGGCTGCGTGCGGCCAAAAAGCGTGCTGAATTGGCAGGCGACGAGGAACAGGTCGGCGAAGGTGCGCGCGCAGCTGGTCAGGATGTCGGCCATGATGACGTCGGACAGAAATACGGGCTCGGACAGACTCGGCGTGGCTATGCGCACAAGCAGCCCGACAAACTGCATGCGCACCGTATGGCACAGCACCCGCTGCGGCATCGCCACCAGGGCGCCAATGACAACGTAAGTGACCAGCGCAATGTACGTTTGCATTCTCGGCGACGTTGCCACAAGCACGCACAGCAGCCAGCCCGCGAGCGATATGCAGCTGAGCACTGTGGCCAGCCGGAACACCTTCTGGTGCAGCCCGTCGTTTGGCGTGCCCCTGTCGGCCGTTCTCTGCGCTACTGGCAGCTCGCTGAGCTGCAGAATTCGCCGCACCTCGATGCCCGCCATCGAGAGGTACCGCAGGTTGGCCGCCCAGCCAAAGGCCGCCAGGAGCGTCAGGAAGAGCACCTGGAATGCGGCCGGAAAATACATTTCAATTAGAGTTAATGCGCGTCGGAGAAGTTATGAACACGCTCAATTCGCAGCATTACGCCTGAGAGCCCGCAAGCAAGAATAAAATTGTTTATAATTTGTGGAAATTAATAGCAAAACATTGAACGAAAAGAAAGAGAAAAGGATAGTAATTGTCAGCTCAGCGAGGATCATCGTCTGCATGTGTGCATGCGCGCGCGCGCTTTTCGCTTAGCGTCGCGAAAATAGAGCGGCAAAAACGCACTGTTCGTGGATTCTTCATCGGCCTCACCACCCACCTCGCCTCGCCTCGCCTCGCCTCGCACCTTCTGCACACGTAGTTGATGGGATTTGTTCTTTGAAGCGCCCTACTCAAGGCGCTTCAAATACGCGTTCCAGCCGGCCTCGCGGTAGCGCTGAGCCTCGGCGACGGCATCCTTGCCCGGGCCGTAGATGCCACGACCGACAATAATAACATCCGAGCCGTTCTCGGTGATTATCAGCTCGGGGGTGCGGTACTGCTGGCCAAGGGCGTCCCCAGAGGCGTGCAAGCCGACACCCGGCGTCATAGTGACCAGGTCGCGCTCCTCGGTGAATCGACGTGATCCAATAAACCCAAAGACAAAGTCGTTTCTGACAGCCATCTCGATGTTCTTGTCGGTGTACGCGCCGGTCGCCAGCATGCCCTTGCTGGACATTTCGGCCAGCAGCAGCAGCCCACGGCCCTTGGGTACTCCGACCTCGGCCAACCCCTGGATAATGCCCTCGCCCGGAATAACATGGCAGTTTGTGATATGCGCCCAGTCAGCAATGCGGTACACGCCCCCGCCGTACTGCAGCTTGACTGTGTTGCCGATATCCGCAAACTTGCGATCTTCGAAGATTAAAAAGTCATGCTTTATCGACAATGCCTGCAGCTGCTCGACCAGGTCGGTGTCAAAGTCAGAAATCACATCGATGTGCGTCTTGAGCACGCATATGTACGGGCCCACTTTATCGGCCAGAGCAAGGAGCTCGGCCTTTGTGCTCACGTCTGCTGCTAGAGAGAGGTTGCTCTGCTTGCGCTCCATCGTCGCAAACAGCTGCTTGGCCACCGGGTGCTGGTGCCGCTCGCCGCGCGAGGCGTAGGTCTGTTGCGAGAAAGAAGCCATTTTTTGCTTGCTGATAGGGCCGCGGGTGTTGCGAATAAGAGGTAGTTTGAGAAAAGTAAAGTTAAAAGAGGAGAGGAGTGCGCGCGCCCTGAAAGAACAGATCCCGTCCTCCATTTGGCGGCGAACATGTCTGATCAAGCGCAACCAGCGTGCCAGCTGATCGCTTGAGATAGCACGATTAACAAATCAGGCAACATACAAAAGGCGGCAGCGTCATTCCTTTTGTTGTGAATACCCCCTTTCTTGACCTTTTTACATCAATTTCGCAACTGCAATTCAATTTAAAAACATACAAGAGCTTAATGAGCGAAGAGCGAATGTCCCGCGCACGCAGCACGCAGGCGTTTGGTGGAGCGCAGCACCTCATGGGACTCCAGCTGTTCGTGCGCCTGGCCACCTTCAGCACCACTGCAATAGTAGTGCACCTGGCCGGGTACTCGGCATTCGGCGTAGCTTCCGTGCAGTTTGAGCTTTTGCTCTCGACTATTCTTTTTTTATCGCGCGAGGGCGTGCGCAACGCAGTGCTGCGCATTGACCAGACAGACCGCGGCTCCAGCCAGCCGTCGGATCAGGAGCAGCGGCTGATCAACGCCGCCCTGCTGCCTATCCCCGTCGGGGCACTGCTGGCCTGTGCGCTGTACGCCGTGTACTGCGGCGGGGAGGAGGCAGGCGTGCCGTACTATGGCGCGGCAATGGCTGTGTATGTGGTGGCCGCCTGGGTCGAGCTATGTGTCGAGCCGCTGTTTGTGCTGGCACGCGCGCGCGTCCTGTTCGCGGTGCAGGCGCGATGCGAGGCCGTGGCCGTGTTTGTGCGGTGCATGGCTGTGGCGCTGACGTTGTTTCTCGGAAGGCAAGGTGGCGACAACCGCTTCCGGCTGCTGGCGTTCGCTGTAGGGCAGCTGGCATACGCGCTGGTCATTCTCTGCGCGTACTCCTGGATGATGGCGCCGCGCCTGGGGTACGCCCTGCACAGATGCTACCTGCCACGTCGCGTGCCCATTGACGGCCAGCCGCCGCAGCTGGTCGGGCGGCGCACCGGAGAAATAATTGGCGTATTCGTGGGCCAATCACTGCTGAAACACGTGCTGACACAGGGCGACAGCATGGCCATGGCGCGGTTTGCGACAAATGAAGACATGGGTTTTTTTGCGCTGGTGTCCAGCTACGCGTCAATACCTGCTCGCGTCCTGTTTTTGCCGCTTGAGGAGGCCGCGCGCGCTGTGTTTGTGCGCTGTGAGCCAAGCGTGGCGCTGCATGTTCTGGCGACGCTGGCGCGCGGGCAGCTGCTGCTGGGATGTCTGCTGCTTGTTTTTGGCACGCTGTATGCGCCTGTCTTGCTTCCGCTGGTGGGCCAGGATGCTGCTGTGGCTCGCGTGCTGGCTGCGTATTGCGCATACTTGCCCCTACTGGGACTCAATGGGTTTCTCGAGGCCTTTGTGCACTCTGTTGCGTCGCGCGGCCAGCTGGTGTGGGTCAACATATGGATGGCCGTGTGTTCTGTCATCTACGTGGCCGTCGCCGTGCTGATGCTGACGCGGTGGCGGATGGGCGCCCTTGGCATGGTTCTGGCCAACATGCTGAACATGGCCCTGCGCATCGTGTACTGCTGCCACTTTGCCTGCACATGGTTGGTTCAGAAGCAGATGCAGCTGCCGCGCGTTTGGGATTTGGTGCCTAATCCGGCCGTTCTGCTGGCCTGTTTGACTGCTGGTTCTCTGTCAGCTGCGACCATTGGGTACATTGAACCGGTATCTGCACTCACCCGCCTGGTCACCTTGGCTGCCGGCGGAGTGCTGGGGTTGGGAGTGCTGGCTGTCATCTGGAGATGTGAACGCACATTTATCAGTGCTGCGCTCGCGTTGAGATCACCGGCCAAAGTTAAAACAAATTGAATAAGGCTGTAATATATCACGGCGTTTTTTCCTTTTCTCCGTTTTGCTTAGATAATAGCAAATTGCGAAATTGTAATTTTTGATTGAACAATTATATTCAGGCATATGCATATGATATGATATACCATCTAATCTGTATGATGCATGCTGCTTTTCTGCAGTGATTAATTGTCTGTTTGTTAAGAAGTTATTTTTGTGGTTGTAATAAATGTGTTTATTTATTAACTAGATAACTAAAAAATATCAATACCCTTTCCTCCACGTTGAATGAGTGGTTGTTAGCATCACACCAACTGTTTAGGGTTCAACACCTGCTTGTACGCCCAAAGGTCGGCGACAGTCTCGCCGAACTTCGGGCGAATGCTCTTGCAGAACTTTCCATAGTTCGTTGGCATCATCTAGATGGCTGTCTTGCCTAGACTCTCGCGGGTCGAGCTGTCAGAACTGTTCTTCATGAAGGTGACAACCAGGCTGATATTTAGCTCGTCGCTCGTGTACACCGACTTGAGTACAAAGAAGCACACGTCAAGTTGGTGGAGGAAAGACCTTGTCTTTTTGTAATTTCCGCTAAACTCAACCTGTACTTCTTTGCACTTAAGTCGGTGTACACGAGCGGCGAGTTAAAAATCAGTTCAGCCGTCACCTTGCTCAAGAATGACGCAGACCATTGGACCCATGAGCGTCTGGGCAAGGCAACAATCTATTTAATGACAAACCAACTATGATAAGTTTTGTGAGAGCATTCGCTCAGAGTTCGGGAAAATGGATGCCGACCTCTGGGCATATGATCAGCAGGCAGCCCTGAAGCAGTCAGGCTCCACGCGCTCGTATGCCGCGAAATTCTGCGAGATCACAAACCATGCTGCGTTTGAGATGAGATATCTCAAGATGTCATTTTTGTCAAACCTCAAACCAGAGGTCAAGGAAGTGCGCCTCAAGGGTGTATTATCCCTCCCTGGACGCCCTCATTGCCAGTACCATCAAGATCGACGAGGTTATTGTTCACGAACCAGCCACACCAACAACAGCCCACCCACTGTCCCCATGTGCCACCAGCAGCCCACCCACATGCTATGGAGGTCGATGCAATCTGCCAATGCCAGGACACAGCAAGAAATAATCTGCCTACAAATTCAATCTGCTACTGCTCCTTCGCCTGCTACTGTCCCTGCAATCAGAGCCCCACTACCCTGTTGCACAGACCGAAGGTATAGAAGTGGATGTTGAGGCTGAGAATCGCAAAATAGGTTTCCACCTGCATGGCGATTGATAGGGCACTGATTGGATCATGCTGGCATAAATTAGGGAGGTATTACATTGATGCCCAAACACACTCCCCATTTTGCAATGCACACGCATGAGTGTACACACACGAAAACCACAACATTGACTTGCCAAGATACCGATCTGCTCGCAGAAGATCCAGTTCTCCCTAACGGAGCGCACAATTGGCAATGTGCACAACAAAGACGACGAGGCACATATATAAGATGAGGCCGGCCCTAGTAGTATTTTAGAAATATCAATAATAACCCCTTTTATAAATTCAACCTCATTTTCTAACACTAGACAACTAGTGCTCCCCACACCCCCTCTTATTACAACAACCCGACAAGTTTAATGAAAACTGCAATAATGATATACTAAAAAATAATTATTCGATTAAAATAAAGCTAAAGAGTAACTGCATTAATCATTCGTATCGCTCTGCTATTTATATTGTCAGTATTGATACCCACACACCCAAATATAAAATAAACTGTTGATTGATCTATTGATCGATCACAAAGGACAAGCTGGATTATAATTGTGCCGCAACTGTCACTGCATAACTAACATTGGAAAACTATTCGAGCGAGCAAAAACATTTTGGGATAATGTTCCAGCTATTACTATACAAAATTCAGTACATTTAATTGCCCAAGCGTGTAAGAGCAGTGATACGCTCACGGAGGTTACTGGTTTAAAATATACAAAAAATCCATTAGCTTCAAAACATTTATTAAAGTTTTAACAATTTTTCTTTCTCAATAAGCAACCTGTAATCATCATGTATAAATATTATAAAAAAGCAACAGTTTCTGTTTCCAATGATTACTTTTAGTGACAAGTTGATTTATGTATATTGAAAAGGACAATCGGGAAATAATATGTGACAGTTTTGGCGCAAGCTAAAGCTGAATAGGTACAAATACTTTTATAAATAAAACAAAGCGCTGCTTTTTCTAAAACATGGCTTGAATTGATTAAAGAAGCACCGCAAAGCCGTTGCTTTTATACCTTGGCAACGACAAAGCTCTCCGCAGTGCAAGGGTCAGCCTTGAATTTGTCCGAGCGATGGGACACATACGCCTTGAGCTCGCAGCCGGCCATATCGGGGACAACAAACGTACGGACCTTCTCTAGATCAACCACATAGTTTCCGTGCTTGGTGTGACTACCCATTGAGCCTGTGCGATTTCCCTTGTAAAAGTTATGGCCCTTCTTTGATGTCATGACGCCACGCTTGGCTCCTCTGAATAGACCGCGAATGACCTCTTGCATTGTTGTTTGTGAATTAAAAGTCGAGAGCTGTGGATTGGGAATGCAATAAATAGAAGAGACAAAGTATGCAGAAATGCGAAATTCGGGTTTTGTTGCGCTCAATATTATTTTTATCTTCCCTCATAAAGCTGATATTAATTGGGTTGATTTGCGATTTGGTGATCTGTCAGTAATTTTTTGATATGCCAGGCCAAATGGCAGAGCAAAGAAAAAAAAGTGAGAAAAAATATGTACCTTTTTTTTGCTATTCTGTTGTATTTAGTGTCTCTCGCTAATATATATATTTTCTTTTCTTTACGTTTGCTCGAAAGTCGCAAATTGCATACTCCTTTTCTATTCTTTATTTACCCCCTCCTTTTCCTTTTCATATTAACACCTCAAATAGTCTGTTGTTCGAAATATGGGTGTTCAAAAGAAGGAGGCCTCCCGGCCCAAGTCGGATATCCCGACCAACCTGAAGCTCAAGGGCGAGAACTTTTACCGTGACCGCAAGAAGATTAAGTACATCAACATGCTGCGTGGTGGCAAGGCAAAGTACGACAGCGCTGGAAATCTCGTCAAGGCCGCCGACTTCCAGTCGAGGGATGCTGCGCCGGCGCGCGTTGAGCCCAACCGCAAGTGGTTCGGTAATACCCGCGTTATTGGACAAAAGGCTCTGGAGGAGTTCCGCGACCAGATGGCCACCAAGATCAACGACCCGTACCAGGTTCTTCTGCGCCGTAGCAAGCTGCCGACCAGTCTGCTACACGACAACACAAAGATCGGTCGCTTCAACATGCTGCAGACCGAGGCATTCAGCGATACCTTTGGCCCCAAGGCACAGCGCAAGCGCCCCAAGCTGAACGCTGACGGCTACGAGCAGCTGGTGCAAAAGATCACAGACTCCTCGGATAACTACGACCACAAGAAGGACATGGATCTGCAGGAGAACAAGCAGACCGAGTACTCGGATGCTGCCCGCGACTGGTACTTTAGCGCCGGTACGTCAAAGCGTATTTGGAACGAGCTGTACAAGGTCGTCGACTCTTCCGACGTTATTCTCCATGTCTTGGATGCGCGCGATCCCGAGGGTACGCGTTGCCGTCACGTCGAAAAGTACATCAAGACCGACGCGCCTCACAAGCACTTGATCTATATCCTGAACAAGGTTGATCTGGTTCCCACATGGGTGACTGCCCGCTGGGTCAAGGTGCTTTCGCGCGATCACCCGACGCTCGCGTTCCATGCCAGCATCAACAATTCCTTTGGTAAGGGCTCATTGATTCAGCTGCTGCGTCAGTTCACCAAGCTGCACTCGGATAAGAAGCAGATCAGTGTTGGTCTGATTGGCTACCCCAACACGGGCAAAAGCTCCATCATCAACACGCTGCGCCAGAAGAAGGTATGCACCGTCGCCCCGCTACCCGGAGAGACCAAGGTTTGGCAGTACATCACGATGACCCGCCGCATTTACCTCATTGATTGCCCCGGAATCGTCCAGTTCTCGTCCGGCGACACTGAGGAGGACATTGTGCTCAAGGGATCTATCCGCACAGAGAGCCTGCTGGCGCCTGAGGACTTTATTCCCGACATTCTCAAGCGCGTGCGCAAGGAGTACGTCCAGCGCCAATACAACATCGACAAGTGGGATGATGCCACTGACTTTTTGAGTGAGCTGGCCAGGATCACCGGTAAGCTTAACAAGGGTGGTGAGCCTGACCTGCACGTTGTGTCCAAGATGGTTATCAACGACTGGCTGCGCGGACGCCTGCCCCACTACCGCGCGCCGCCCGAGTTCAGCAAGCCCCTGGTTGGCTATGTCAAGAGGAAGTATGGTCCCGACGACGTGGAAATGCCCGAACTCAACCCCAATATGGTTCCCATCGGTACCCGGCCTGCAAAGGAGGAGGTCGTTGCCGAGGAGGAGGTCGTTGCCGAGGAGGAGGATGACGTCGAGGAGGAGGATGCCGAGGATAGCGACGATGGTAACAAGAAGAACCGCATCAACCTCGCCTCGCTCAACATTATCCAGCAGTTCAGCAAGATCCCTGTCATGACCGACTACTTGCCCATGGATCTCACTGGTGACAAGGAGCTCAGAGAGGAGGAGCGCGTGCAGGCTGCCGAGCTCGAGAAGCGCAACAAGGAGGAGGCCGAGAGGCGCGCCAAGAGCGGAAAGGCCGAGCCCAAGCGGAAGAGAAAGGCTGCTGAGATCGACCAGGACGACGACGAGGTCGAGGCCGACTGGGACGAGGTCTTCCAGAGCGCAGTCAATGACGAAGCCCCCGAGGTCGACTCGGAGCTGGAGTCTGGATTCTCTTCTGCCGAGGACAGCGACGAGGCTTCTGAGGACCAGGTTTCGGAGAACGACAATGCCAGCGAGAATGAGGCCGAGGCCAAGTCTGCTGCCATGGACGATGTTGACAGCGAGGACGAGAAGCCCACCAAGAAGTCGGCTCGCATGAAGACCAACAAGATGAAGGTCGGAAAGCACTACTATCCTGATGCCAACATCAAGAACAAGAACCGCAACAAGGTGCGCCCGGTGGCACCGGAGGAGATGGTCAAGCGCATGCGTAAGCCTGGATCGTGGAAGGTCAACAAGAAGAAGTAGACTTGACCCGCTATTACCAATAAAAAACTTTAATTGGTTTCTCTTTATATTCATTTCATTTCGTTTTTATATCTCGAATACAAAATTTACAATACAAAATTAAATAATGTTTGGCATATTAATTGAAAAATAAATATATATATATATAGAACTCGAAAGAAATATAAAAAAATAGTGGTGTAAAATGTACTTGCTTGCTCGTTAGCTTATTCTGTGGATGACTTGCTGTTTGCCTGTGCGTGCGCACTTTCGATATCCGCGACAAACGACGAGACAAAGCTACTGGCGCAGTTAATCAGGACCTGACGGTGCAGCAGGTTCCACCGATCAAGCTTCTCTTCGTCGCTCATGAGCAGCGCGTCCTTGATCGCCTGCGCGATGGCCCTTGTATCCATCGGATTAACACCCAGGGCGCCGCCATTGAAAGCACCGTACGTGCCGACAAACTCGCTGAGGATCAGCGGGGAGTGCTTCTCGCGCTGACAGAGCACGTACTCATGGGACGTCAGGTTCATGCCGTCACGGAGCGACGTGATCATCATGGCGTCGGCGGTCGACAGCAATGCGAGGTAGTGGCTATAGGGGATGTCCTTGTGGAAGAAAACCACGGGCTGGTGCTCGATAGTGCCAAAGCTGGAGTTTATCCGATTGACAACGTCCATGACCTGCACTTGCAGCTCGTTGTGCTCGGCCGTGGTCAGGGCAATCTGGATGAGCACGGTCTTTGAGGCAAACTCGGGGTTGTCGTTCAAAAAACACTCGTAGCCAAGAAGCTTTTGCCGCACGCCCTTGACATGGTCGAGCTTGTCGCGGCCTACCAGCAGATGGTTTCCGGCGTACTTGTCCTTGAGGAATTCAATAAGCTCGCCAACGGATGCGTTGCTCCACTTCTCCTCCACGCCGGCGGGATCGAGCCCCATCGCGTACTGGCCGACCACGACGTGGCGGCCGCCTTCTAAAATAAGCCCATTGGCCGAGCTCTCGACCCCAAGCACGCGCCTGGCCGTCTGCACAAAGTGGCGCTTGTACGCAAACGTCTAAAGAGGAACAAATTAAAATAAAACAAAGCGCTGGATTAATAATTCAATAATTGATCCCCTGACTTGTGCGTGGGAATAAAATGAATTGACGATATGACAACATATTCGCCGTGCATACGATACATGGTGCCTGATCACGCAGCAGCCACAAACAAATTGACTTTACATGCACAAAGATAATAGGGAAAGGGGGCATCAGAGATAGAGATAGACACAATGATAGGGACAGGTACAACAAGCATATGGACATGTGTGAGCAACGTACCTGAAGTCCAACAACATCGGCACCCAGCATGCCTTCCAGCAGCTCTCGGCGAACATGCAGACAGCGGAATATCTCAGAGCTGGGGAATGGGATGTGGAGGAAGAATCCGATGCGCGCGTTGGGCAGGCGTTTGCGAAGGAGCTTTGGCAGCAGCATCAAGTGGTAGTCGTTGATCCAGATGATGTCGCCGTCGCGATAAAACTCGGCTATGCGATCGGCAAACTTTTTGCATGTCGCCAACGATGCCTCGTACGCAGACTTTTCCCATCCGTGCCATTGCGGCATCTCGGGCATTATGTAGTGAAACGCAGGCCAGATGAGCTGCTTGCTGAAGCGCCCGTAGTGGCCCTCAAACTCCTTGTCTGAGACAAACACAGGAAGTGTCTCGAAGCCGTCCAAGAGCTTGTTTGACACAGCTTCCTTTCGCTGCTCGGACCACCCGTCGGTGGAGATGCCGAGCTCACCAATCCACACGCGCTCGGCAAACAAGTCCAGGCTCGCGTTGACAGCGTTGAACAAGCCAATGTTTCCGACGTTTAGATGCTCAACAACAAACTGGTCACTGGTGCCGGGAACAGTGGCCACTGCGCCCGGCGTCGTAGTGCCCGACAGCGATTCCTGGCCAGCCTCCGGCTGATACGTGTTGATCTGCAGCCCGGTGAGGGAGTAAGAAAGAATGTCCTGCTGCTTCTGTTTTTGCTGCTCTTGTTGTTTGGCAGAATCGGCCGGCAGCGCGCTGTCAACATTAGCGTTGCTGGCAGCACTACCTGGTGAGGCAATCACATCAGCCGATGACGGCGCTGCGGTGACTGGCAACAGCCGGTGGTCACGCAGAAGCCGGCCATTCTTGCTGACCCCCGTTTTGCGCTCACGCTTTTCGCGAAGCAGATCCATGTTCTGCTTGCGCGTAAAGTCAAGCGTGTTGGGAGGCGGCGTGTGCGCTCCGGCCGCTTCATCGATGTTGTACGCCAGCTGGTACGCACCAGCTTTTCCATTGCAAAGTGTGTTGCTGGCAGTGGCGGTAGCGGCGGAAGTAACCGCTGGCGCTTTCTTGTTGCCTTTGGTGTCTTCGGCACAAGTGCCAAGACTGGGCGAGGGGCCAGAGACATCGCTTGAAGCCACACATTCGTTGCCGTTTTCTCGCGAGAGTGGCGCCAGATTGATCGAGAAGGTCGAACGGCGGCGGCTGTGTGGCTGCCCGCTGTGGCCCAGTGGGGTTGTATGTGTGCGATGGACGCTGCTCCGGCGCCCGCTCCATATATGGTTGCGCCCGGTCGATCCGCTGCGGCTCATTTGCCGCTCGTGCACCTTGTTGATGCCATCGTGCGTTCCTGGAGGCGTGGTCGCATTGCTCGAGCTCTTTGAGACAGGCGGGTCAAAATTGACCGAGTACGGCGCAAAGAGCGAGACTACAAGAACTCTGGGCTCCATCGTGTTTATATTGTAAAATATGCGTGTTGTGATACTGCTGTTTGTGTTGCTGCTGCAAATAAAAATAAAAAATAGTTGAATTCAACTCTTGACTTTCAAAGAGGAATGCAAATACGTGTGAAAAAGTAAAGTATTGAAAAATCGAGAAGGAAAGCTTGCCACAATACTGGTGAACGAGAAGAATGAAAGGGTTTTGTCTCGGATTAAAAATATTTTTGATGATGACGATGATGCGCGCTTGGCCAGAACGATGTACAAAAAATATGCCTGGGAGCAGGGGGTGGCTTTTAAAGCGCATTTGCTATATGGGAGCGTCTACCACCCCAGCCTATCATTGCATCTGCTTGACAAACTTGGAAGCAAAACCTCGTATTCTCATGACGGCGGAAACAGAGAAAAATCGAAGTGTTTTTTTTAGCCTTTGCTTCTGCTTTTTCTGGTCATTCATTCACACGAAGCAAAAACGCCGGTTGCCATTGCACCATGACATCACGCTTACATTAAATCATCACCCGCCTGTTAGCCACAAAATACCCCTGTGGCCCTGAAACACACACAGCCAGCTGCGTGTCTGCAAGCCCTTGGCTGATCTGAAGAAAGATTGCCAATGACCATTTGTTCTCATTCGACATCACCTCTCTCACCTGCCAAAGAAGCTTCTTCAGCAATGTGGCTGCAAAATCTTAATTATTTCTCACCTGCTTAAAATTAATATACAACGGCAGGCTGCTGTTGAGCCGTGTTGTGCTTTTTTTTCTTGAGGCGCATTCAATACTTTGTTTTTTTGTCAATGCGACGCTGCGGATTGTGTTGATGTGAGCCATACTTTTGCCGGCTGGCCCATCGCCGGTGTGTCTGGATCGGCAAATTCTTCGGGGACAAAATGTGTGTTTCGGGAAATAAAATTGACCCTGCTTTTTTATATTTACCTTCAGATCATCCAAATATGAACACGACAATCATAGCAGCGGCGACACGCATAGCCAGCAGAATGCATTTGCCAAACCGGTTTCCGCTTGCGCCGATCAAAACGCCAAGGTCTCCAGGCCACCACCAACAGGAACGCCTTTCCCACACGCACTCGCGCAAGGATCTCGCTAGCGCCGGCAAAGCAGACCACCGACAAGAGCCCCCAGCTGTTCGGGGCCCAGCGTTTCCCTATTTCAGCCAGCGCGATGCAAAGTTTCTGTTTACTGCGACCAAGCCTGAGCAGTACAAACGCCTGAGCAATCCCGAGTTTACGTTTGCTGGCCGGTCAAATGTGGGCAAATCATCTCTGATCAGCGCCGTGCTGCGATCCCAGAGTCTGGTCAAGACATCGAAGAAGCCAGGGCACACGTCCACTTTGAACTTTTTTGGCCTGACCTCGAGCACGTACCCTGAGAGTGCCATTACTGTTGTTGACATGCCCGGCTACGGATTCCGCAGCCGTGACGACTGGGGGCAGTTCATCATGGAGTATCTGTCGACGCGCAAAGAGTAAGTGTCGCCGGAACCAAACACAAACTGCACGCCAAAAATTGCAAAAAAAAAGAGGGACAGTTTAACAGTTGTGTTTGTAATTGTGTGTGATTTCTGCTGTAGGCTCAAGCGTGTGTTCCTCCTCGTCGAGGCCAAGGTTGGAGAGCTTAAGACCACTGATTTGAGTTTTCTCGAGCTTGTCGAGCAGTATAACGTGCCGACGCAGTTGCTGCTAACAAAAACTGACAAACTGAAACGCACTGATTTGAATATAGTCAGCGGCAAGGTTCTCAGGGCCGCCATGGATGTCGCCCCGACAGCGGTTGTTCCGGAAGTCATTTGCTGCAGCTACAAGACCAAGGTTGGTGTTGATGCCATCCAGGAGGCGATATTGAGAGCAAGTGGCGTAGCCATCTAATTTGAAACCTTATATAGAGCGCATTCTTTTTTTTCCCGATACTCTAAAAAAAATTATAAAACAAAAATAGTAAATATATTTGTCTAACAACGTTTGCGCCATTCGTCTACAATGTACTTTACGCATATTCTAAGTGTCTCCTCCGCTGGCATATCGGACGAGCAAACCGCAATCTTGCCGCCCCACGAGTCACCGCTGGTTGTGGCGGCTGTGCTGCAGGCACCGATACCGTCGGGATTGCCCAAACCGATGTCCAGGTGCGCAGCGATAACTCCTGCGTTGTATTTAAGGAAATTAGGCCAAACGAGCTTGCCAAAGTATCCTGGTGGGTCGACCCACAGGCCATCCTTGGTGGCATAGCCGGAACGAGCCTCACGCCTTGCCTTTAGCGTTAAATAACGAGCATAAACAAACAAGCCAGTGTCGCACATCTTTCCAGGATGTGCTTTCATGTCGCCGTTTTCGGTCACCGACGGGTCATGGAACAGAAGAATCCCGTCGACCAGGATGATCGAAAAGGGAATATCTTCAGTCTTGCCAACACCGAGGCTGTTCAGCACAGACTTGCGGATGGATTCGAGGGTGAGAGATGTCAGCAGATTGTCGACATTGCTTGGCGGATTAGCCCACTGCGAAGCAAAGTGGTCGCGGATATTACCAGCCTCAGCAGCGATTTCCTGGGTTTCCAGCTGCTTGCGTACACTACAAATGCTTTCGGCCAGCTTTTCCATTTCGAATGCTGCGGGGCAGTCCCAGTCTTTAAATCCAGTCTGGCTGTCTACAGGGATTTGGTTATCGGACTAAAAGAAAGCACAAAATATGATGGATTTAACAGATACAAATAAATGGCTCAACCCAGCTTGTTTTCAATGACAATATGTATGTGTATACCTTGTAAAAGTCGTCCTGGTGGATAATAACCGTGTGTGGGAATAGCTTTAACAGATTCAATGCGATTGTCGTTTTCCCAGAACACGACGGCCCCGATAGGCCAAGCACAATGACCTTTGACATGACTATGAAAAACAATAAATATAGCTAAATGGGCTGCTAGGATGAACAACCAGATTAGCTGCAGTATTAAAAATATATGACCCTACAGCATAAGTGCATTCAAGTATGGCACATCAAGAAAAAACATTTATAGCTGGCGTTGGTGATATTATATTAACACCTCAGCATACTTCCATCGCCAGGCAATTAGACCCAAGTCTGGGGAACTCCTGACCCCGCCTCCCTTAGAATAATTTTAGTTATAGTGTCGTGTAACCAGGTATGCAATAGAGCTCATGACGGGCAAGGCGGCGCGGTTGACAATCAGCTTCATTCATCAACTTTAATTTTAGCCTGTTTTACATCTCGCTCAATGAATCTATTTTCTCTCTCCCTATAGCTGGTGTAGATATGAGTTGGTCTCTAATAGAGCACATCAAGGTCAAGATAGCAGGTTTATAATTTTTGACTGGCTTTGGCTCAGGGAGCAGTAATTTTTTTGCCTTGTTGTAATAGATCTATTTTATCTCTATAGCTGAAGTAGAGCCAAATGTATCTGCTTTCATTTTGCTGCTATGGAGGTGTAGGATCATCACGCTGTTATCAATCGACCAGGTGTCTCGCCCACTGCAGTTTGCCGTTCGAGATACGGCAGTATTCATTGGAGAGGCTCGGCGCATGTTTTGCTGAGAGGTGGAAAATTGCTGACGTATGTGGACCGGCTGGGAAATGCACCAACATTATTAAAACATACCAAAAATGGCAAAAGGCTGATTGCTGCAATCCCCAGACGCTCACTATGCCACATAATGTGCTAGATATGCTCGATGGATTTTGCATGCAGTATTTGGCTGTTTATAAATAAAACAAACTTTTATTTAAAAAAAGTGGTACATTGCGAGGTACCACGGTTTGAATATTGCAAATCTACCAAAAAAATGGATATGGATCGAAAATAATTGCATATCAAAATCAAACCAAAAGTAATTTCTAAATCATTTGCCTGTGTCCTTAAATCGCAACTATACTTGCACACATACATTGACAATGTGTGAGCACACTGTGTGCTTGCAACTTTGCTTTATCATTTGTTTGCATATTATTTTTATTAGCAGTTGTTTTTTATAGCTATACATTTTTTGGATTTTATTTTCATAAATATCAAACCACACCTCTTTACCCTTTCCTTTCCGGTCTTGCCGGCTGGCGTTGGCGTTGGCGTAGGCACTGGTGCTGGCTCTGACGTTGGCTCTGGTGCTGGCGTGCCAACTTCTAACACTCGGAGGGCCCAAGCGGGTGTTGGTAACATTAATTCCCGTCCATAGCCCGTTGCATAACCTGCCCAGATTGTTGCACATTGCTGCGTTTGCCTTTGCCATCTTTTTTGCCGCACATTCACGCCTAGGCGCCATCAGTTCGGCCAGATTGCTTATGTTTTCCTTGAACTCCCCCAGGCCCAAGTCAAACCTATCGTCCATCCACAACTTGTAGGCCTTGAGTAGGTCCTTGCCTAGTTGCTCTAGTATCTCGGTGTGGCCGCGAGCCCATCCGCTGTGCGCATCCACAATTTGATCAGCATGACGATCAGCAATGTTCAAGATGCAGTGCACTGACTCGAATGCCAGTGCGTTTGCCTTATCCCACTTATTGAAGGAGGAGATGGTGCGTTGCTGCTGGTCAATATTTTTGTCAGATTTTGCAAGATTATGGCAAAGGTAGGCGGAATTGGGCTTAACAGCATGAGTATGAGCGGCCTTTTAAAGTAGCTTCCAGAGATGGTCAGAACAAGCTGCGGTTGCTTTCAATTACCCCATGAACCAATTTTTCTACCCAGGAGGTGGCAAGCTTTCTTTGCAGCTCGTCCCTTTCATTAAAAGCAGCGCTGGTGGTAGATGTAGCCCCGTGGAGCTGTGTACACAGTTCCCTCATCTTAGCACTGGCACCATTGGAAACGGAGGTGGTAGCTGTGGCAAGCAGCTCGCAGAGCCCCTCCTTTTTGCATTGGCGCCATTGGTAATGGCGGAAGTAGCTGCGGCAAGCAGCTCATGGAGTATCTTTTCCTTGGCGCTGACAAAATTGGCAGTGATGGCAGCTGTGGCAAGCTGCTCGCAGAGGGAATGGTTCCAGTAGTGTACTTTGTTGAGCTCCTTGCAGAGTGCCTCTTTTTCGGCATTGGAATTGTTGGCGGTGGCCTCAGCCTGCTCTGCGTGCTTACGTAGCTTATCCATCTCGCAGCGTGCTGCAACAAGATCATTGTAAACCTTCTGGCACTCAGAAACCCTCATCTTCGCATCGTCGGTCAAGGCCATGTGCTCTCCACTTATCTGCTCGAGCTCATGGATCCTATCTTGTGCGATGCTGAAATCAGTCTTCACTGACTCGAGGCTTGTGGATACCGCATTGGCGTAGTCGTTGTAACGCACATCCAAAGCCACCTTCCTCTTCTGGGCTTCCACAGTAATGCGGCGGATTTCGAGGTCCTTCTCCATCACCTCAATAATCTTTCTGCCAAGCATTGGGTCTACTGCCTTGTATTTCATTTCCAAGTGCGAGCAGGAAAGGCAGGGTGGGTTGGAGAGAGCATCCTCCAGCTTTGCAGGCATGTTGGCAGCACGTGAGTGAGGTGTAACAACCCTCGTAACTTGAGAGGACATAGTTGAATCATAAATGATACGAAAGCATACGAATGTGCGTGTGCGAGTGTGCGTATGTGTGCTTATTCTTCAAGTACTATATAAAATTTCAAAAAAAAAGTCAAGAAAAAAAGAAAATGTAAACAAACCTTGGCAGCAGCAGGCCTTTATTTTTCCGCTTTTTATTCTTTTTTCTCTGGATTCCAGCGCAACTAATTCACTTGAGCAAACAGGTTTACAAGCGAGTGTCATTTTTCAGCTTGGCGCGCTTGGTCGGTAGTCACTAAAGATCGGCTAATTGTTTTTCGAGTTAATGTCACTCAAAATGTGGCTTAGACTTTTATATTCAGTGGTTTTCAAGGCCTGCATGGCCATACCCGAATCCATAAAGGCAGAAAGCAGACTTGGTCTTTTCGAGCATAGTCAACTTTTATTTTAAATGATAGATATCCTTTTATTTATATCGATATTGGGAAATGCTGTATGTGACTGCCAAGTGACTGCTCCAGATGGCATGCGCTTGAATGTGTCTGCATATTGTCAGGTTTAACTGCAAATCTGGATGTGGATATCGCGATATTGTTGTAGAAAAGCATATCTCCTCATAACATCACATTGTCTTTTTACTTGTCTGCTTCTGAGTACAAGCAATTTTTTTAAAAAAAAACTGATCAAAAGTCATGACAATTGTGCCATCCTGTTTAAATTTTGGCTCAAAAGTAACGCAAAGATATCCCCAGGTTATATGAATCCACAAATTCTGCCCTTTTTATCTATGACATATGTATTCTCGATAGCCAATGTATTAACTAACGCTCAAATGACATAAATGCAAGCACTATTTCTGAAAATTAGTTCTGTTAAAACAAGCAATTGGAAAAATGCATATCGAGATAATCGATTAGCCTCTCAACCAAACATATTGTTAAAAGCTCAGCTGAACTGTCAGACCGGCAAAACAAACGCTAAAAACAGTAGAAATGGTAGAAACAGTAGAAATCCCCCCGCAGGGACATTGTCTGCTGCTGATCGGGTGCTGGAGACGGTTATCCTTTTCTCCCTCACAAACGGAGACCAAAAACCGTAACAACGTACTGTTGGATCAAAAACTGCGTCGAATTAGCTATTCACAGCATGGCGCTGTACTTGCTCGATTTGCGACCATCGTGCTTTAATAGAATGTGCCTGCCACAGTGACCAAAGGCAAATTCTGCTTAAAAGCTCAATCAATTAATCGTCTTTTGGCATGCTTTCGTCGGCTTTATAAACAAATCATTGGCAATGCCGCAAGTACCAAACAATTACAAATTGATAGGTTGTGCTTGTTTTTAACGACTTCGATAATATTAGTGTCTGCATACATATTTGGGCAACTGCTCAGCTCTACATATAAACCAAAATCGGATTGGAGCATGACATTGCAATTGTAAGTTAAATTAATAACCAGTGGACAATCGGTTTTACATTACACGGCTTCAATAGTTACAGCAATAGTGATGAAAAGAAAAGTGTTTTGAAAATACTATAATATAAAAAAATCAGCTATTAGAACCAGCTGTTCTTGGAATCGCTGTCCATAGACGGAGGCATGTGCGACATTGCGTTGCTGTTGGATGAGAATCCACCATTGCGTGAGGTACCGGTAGGGTTGCCACCGCCAGGACGGGAGCCGAAGCTGGAGCTGGGGCCACTGGACTGGCGGAAGTCGCGGTCGCCGCGGCTGAACTGCGAGCGCTGGTCGCGGAAGTTGCCTCCACCCCTGGAAGAGCCGCCACGGCCTCTGCCACGGCCGCCAAAGCCGCTGTTCTCACTAGCAACGGAATTGAGCCAGGATGGCACCTCCTGCTTAGACTCGTAGAGCAGATCAATAAGTTTGTGTGCGATGACGCGGTTGCCACGGTTGAAGAAACTGGTGGCAATACCGGTGTTTCCGGCACGACCCGTGCGGCCAACGCGGTGAACGTACTCATCGATATCAGTAGGCAGATCGTAGTTGATGACGTGACCAACGTTGGAAATGTCAAGGCCGCGCGCAGCAACAGCGGTAGCAACAAGAACAGGGGTGCGGCCAGTGCGGAAGCTCTCAAGAGCACGCTCGCGCTCGCGCTGGGTGCGGTCACCGTGGATGGATGTCGCAAGGATGTTGTTGTAGTGCAGCTCCTCGCTGAGGCGGTCAGCCATGCGCTTGGTCTCGACAAAAACCAGTGTCAGACCCTCGGTATTAGTGGAAGTCAGCAGGTCAAGCAGCAGCGACATCTTGTCGCCGTCCTCGACGTACTCAATGCGCTGGGTGATGTTGTCGCTGGTGGAGCCGACGCGGCCAACGGTCAGGAAGATGTAGTCACGCAGGAAGTCCTGAGCCAGCATCTGGATGTCCTTGGGGAAGGTGGCCGAGAACATGAGCGTCTGACGCTGGTCAACGCCCGGCATGTCCTCCTTCTCGACGATGCGGCGGATCTGGGGTTCGAAGCCCATGTCCAGCATGCGGTCAGCCTCGTCGAGAACCAGGTAGCGGATGTTGCTGAGGCTGATCCGCGAGCGCTCGATCAGATCGACTAGGCGGCCGGGCGTTGCGACAAGCAGGTCGCAGCCGCGCTCAATTTGGCGCAGCTGCTGGCCAATGTCAGCACCGCCGTAAACAACGCAGGGGCGTACCCACGAGCGGTAGCAGAACTTGCGCGCCTCCTCGTAAATCTGGGAGGTCAGCTCGCGTGTAGGCGACAGGATCAGCGCAATCGGGTACGCCTTGCGCGACCGGTACCCACCGCGGCTGTCGGCCGGAGCCTCGGCTGGTCCAGTGCGGAAGGACTCGTTGAGGATGGGGAACAAAAAGCCTCCGGTCTTTCCCGAACCGGTCTGCGCGCACGCCATCATGTCGCGACCGGCACGGCCCAGGCTGATGGACCACTTCTGAACAGGCGTCGGCACGGTGTAGTTCGACAGCTTGATGTTCTCGCGCAGCAGGGGCTCCAGATCAGCCTCCTCAAAGTTGATGATAGGCTCGGGCACGTTCTTTCCCGACGACTCGACGGGAATGTCATCGTACTTCTCAAAGTTGATACCCGTCTGCATGCGCTCGGGATCATTGACAACGCCGTACAGCTCGAGCTCAATGCGCGGGTTTGACTGGCCGTGCACGTGCTTGCCGTTGGCCCACAGGCCCTGGGGCCCGGCGCGGGTGGCGCCGGCGTTGCCGCCGCGGACATTGTCGTCGCGGCGACCGGCCCAGGTCGTGGTGCGCGCCATGGGCTCGGCGCGGCTCGACCATCCCTGTCCGCTGCGTGCATCGGCGGAGTCAATGCGAGCTCCAGCCGGGGCCTGATCGACTGATCCGGCGGCGGGGCGCTCCACTGAGGGGCTTCTGCCAATGGAATTCGGGTTTCCGCTCCACGACGCTGTGCGCTCGAGCGTCGCGTTGGGCAGAGGTTTGCCACGCAGATGCGGAGGAACGTAGGCCTTGTGGGGGGCGCCAGCAGGACGTGCGCTGCTACCGTTGTTGGTGGTGGTGTTGGTGGGAGTGGGGGTTTGCTTGTCATTTGAGCCATTAACACCCAGACCAGCTAAAGAGGAGCAGGTAGATTGCAAAAAAATTGTGGTTTAGTGGTAAAATAGAAATTCAAAATATTTAATACAATAACAAGTTCAATAACAGGCATAAATTACAATTATTCTTACCAAATTGCCGATCTAGGTTTCCAGGAACATTTTGGTTGTTGCTTCCAGTCATAATAAGGTGCTAGGTGGGAAAGGGTCAGATGAGTTATTTGTAAACGCTCGGCGAATCTAATTTTGGTTTACTTTGCAATTGATAATGCCAAGTAGATTTCTATTTTGGTGCTATTTTTTCTGAATTAGGACACTCCGAAAAAAGTGGGTAAATATGAGAAAAAAGATAAAAAAAAGAAAAAACTATATAATAATAAACGTGTAAAACCGTGTATAAGAAAAGGAAAAGAGGTTGCAGTATTTTTTTATCTCTTTAGGCGCTTGTATCAAGCAGCAAAAAAAAAACTGAAGTGCGCACACTGAGCACCTTTTTATTCTACATAATGCTTCTGTTGTGCAATCATTCTTTTTTCTTTTTTCTTTGCCTTTGCTTTGATCCAGGCGCGCCATATCTTGGCATTCAAAATACTCCAATCGGGCAAGAAAAAAATGTTGGGGACGATGGCGAAAAATTTTCAATTGTGGCCATTGGCCACTATTTTCGTAGGTTTTGTGTGATTGATTACGCAGCTAATCAGGAAATGCACGAGCACACGCTGTTCGCGTCCAAGCGCAAAAAACATGGCATCGCGCGGGTTTGGCGTTAGACTTTGCCTGCCTAAGCTGATCAATGTGGGCCTGCACAAGGCGTGAAAAATAGCAGTCAAATGACGCAGTCACTGCTAGTAGCCCCTGAGCGATGATGTCAGAGCCAGCAAGCAGCTGCTCGTGTAATTATCCCAAATCACTCCTATGTATTTTGCGATTACCAAAGGTAATTAGACGCAATTCATCCTGTATTGCAACCATTTCTTATCTATGTCTTGGCGCATTTTTTATTTATCTTTAAGTGCGTGTGTAAAAACAATGCAGCGCTCATTTTTACCATCTCCTTTTCGGGCTTGCTTGACCACATGGCGCTTTTCAAGCACTTGATTGTCGAGAGAGAAAAATTATATTAATTTGTAGAGCACGCGGAGACTTTCCTTTATGCCTGCCGAATATAATGCGCCAAAAATCGAGGTCAGCTGGTCCCGTTGATAAGCCTGGCAGCAAATCACAAGGCAAATAAAATGACTGACTAGGCAAATGACATATTCTGGATTGTCATTAAAAGCGTTGTCTAAGCTTAAAGATAGGAAATTGAAAATTGCATTGAGCGCTTGCAGGCATAACTTCGGTTTAATGTAATTGTTTAGGCTCGTATCTTATCTATGCTTTTAGCGCACAATGTCAAGTGCAAATGGGCCGAAAGTGATCTAACTGCATAAAAGGGTGGCTGTAGTTTCCATGTCTTTGTGCAAACCACCCTTTTCACCTTAACAGAGGTTTTTTTACACCACATATACTTATCTACCAAATTATCACTTGAACACCAACGCCCTCATTTATTCGTTTTCCATTTATTATTCACGCTCATTGCACAAACAACATTTGCTTAGTAATTGCCTTGGACAATATAGCTGCATATTCTGTTGATCCCGCAGCCCACGATATATAGTATTTAGCTGCAGACACTGTAAATCCTTAATCTTAGGACGCAAGTCGCAAGACGACAAGACAAATATGTCCCAATTTAGCATTGATAACCCCTCGGCAACTCTGCCCAAGCTCCCTGTCCCTGAGCTCCAGGATACTATTTTACATTTCAAAAACGTTGTACAGCCTTTGTTCGGAACAGCCGAGTTCAAGGCATGCCTGGCCAAACTGGACCACTTCGCGACCACCGATGCACCTGCTCTCCAAGCACGCCTCTGCGAGCGCGCAGCACATCGCAATAACTGGCTAGAGGAGTGGTGGAATGATTACGCGTACTTTCTCAACCGCGCGTCGCTGTGCTTCAATGTGAACTATTTCTTTGGCTTTCGCCACACACAGCAGCCGCAGGCACAGGCGCGCTTAGCTGCAATCCTCATTGACAGCGCGCTGCGTTTCAGGGATGATTTGGAGTCTGGAAGCCTCGAGAACGACAGTATTCGAGGAAAGCCCATGTGCATGCACCAGTACCAGTATATGTTTGCCACCTGCCGCCATCCTGGCGAGTCTCGCGACTGGACAGAGGTATATTCTGCCGAAGAAAGCCGCCATGTCGCCATTGCGCATAAGGGCCGCTTTTTTGCTCTGCATCTGCCGACCAACATGGCTACAAACAAAAGCGACAGCGACCGCTACACAGCTATTCGGAGTATCGAGAGGTAAGAGTATAATTAAAAGCACTTAAGCGTACATTGACCACCATCAATTACCGCTTCTAAGTACACGTAGCATTGCTTCTAAAGATTTTGGCACTCGTTTCGACCTCCTTGTAGCCAGCTGCAAGCAATTATTGACACCGCTGAGCAGCTCGATCGCTCAAAGTCCATTGGCCTTCTGACCGCCGCGTTGCGCGATGACTGGTATGCTGCACGCGAGTGCCTATCACAAATCTCTCCCGAAAACGCCGCTAGCCTGCGCATTCTCGAGTCATCGGCATTTTTGGTCAGTCTCGAGACATCTGCACCAGCAACTCACCAGGAATTTTCGCTGGCCTGCCACTGCAGCGACGGCGCGTCCCGCTATTTTGACAAAAACTTTCAGATCCTGGTGTTTGCCAATGGCCGCTACGGATTCAACGGCGAGCACTCATTGACCGATGCCACGACCGATATGCGTCTCTGCAACACGTTGGTCGAGGACACTGAGACTATATGCAACAATATCTCCAACGTCTTGTTTCTTGCACCGACCGACCCGGCTGGTGCCGACAAGTGCACTGTCGACGAGCTTAACTTCGAGTACAGCGGCGAGCTGCTGAGCCATATCCAGCGGGCTGCGGACTACTTTGAAGCCACAGTAAATGGCCACGAGCTGGCCACGCTTGTGTTTGGTGGCTTCGGGAAGAACCAGATCAAAAGCATGAAGGTCAGCCCCGACGCATTTGTGCAGATGGCCATGCAACTAGCCTACTACCGCAAGCTGCGCCATGTGCCGGCCACGTACGAGTCGGCTTCAACAAAGGCCTTTATACGCGGTCGTACCGAGACCTCGCGCTCTGTATCCGAGCACAGCGTGCAGTGGTGTCGCATGATGGTTGACCACCCCGAGATGAGCAGCTTGCACGCAAAGTCCGACATGCTCAAGCAGGCCATTCTCAACCAATCAAGCTTTACTGCGCTGTGCGCCAAGGGCTTGGGTATTGATCGCCATCTGCTCGGCCTCGAGTGCGCGCTGCTGCCCGGTGAGCCCAAGCCCGAAATATTCTCCGACCCAGTGTTTGTGGCATCGCGCCATTGGAAGCTATCAACCTCGCAGATCAGTAATCCAATCCTGGATGCATATGGCTGGGGCGAAGTTGTTGACGATGGGTTTGGCATTGCCTATCGCATCAACAACGACGAGTTGAACTTCAATGTGGTCAGCCAGTGCATGGGCTCAAAGCGCCTGTGCCAGTACCTCTCGGACGCTCTGATGGACATGCGATTCTTGCTGACCAATGCGCACAAGCTGCCGCACGAGATTATGGCTGAAGTGAACGCCGTCGCCAACGTGTTGACCTCGACCAAGCTTCTTTCATCGTCAGTATCGGCCAAGCCTTCGCCGTCACCGTCGCTGTCGCCGTCTTCCAAAAACAACATAGCTGCAGAGTCAAATGAGGCAAATGACAGCCGATTTCGCGACACCTGCAACCTGCATGCTGAGGCGACTAACACGATGGTGGACGGACTGGGGCAGCTGCCGTCGAACGAGGTAATATGTGCACTGGGAATCCGCCTGTCACGTTTTGTTAGGGAGTCGCTGTCCTGGGCGCTGCCCTCGACCAGCAGCTAAGCTGACGGCTGGGCCTGCCCTTGCACACACCATGCCATTTCACATTTTATTAGTTGTGCTTTACGCTCTTTGCCTTTTCACTGCTTTTAAAAATGTTAATATACAAAGCGCAAAGCGAGCCAAATCTAATGTTTTTCATGCGTACCCAAAATTGTTCGCTCTGAACTTTGCCGGCGTTGATTTTGTGTGTTTGATCTGCGCCGTATAAAAAAGAGGCGGGACTGAGAGCAGGCTCAGAATATATATTTTTAAACCTTTATCTCCTCGCGCTGTCTTTGCCGCTTTTATTCTGTGTCATTAGACATTTGTTTTGTTGTTTGATCTCGCCAGAAACAGCGCGTTTATCAGTTATCCGTCTACTTCTTTTCACAAATCATCACGGCGCAAAATACAAATGGTCGAGTTGACTTCGTTTCTTGCCGACAACCCGTTCTTCTCGGCGGGATTCGGCCTTATAGGCGTGGGCGCCGGTCTAGCAGTTCTCCGCCAGGGCGCCAGGAGGGGCGCCGACTTGATGCGGCGCCAACTGCTAGTGTCGATGGAGATCCCTAGCCACGATAAGAGCTACCAGTGGGTCCTGGGTTGGCTGAGCCGTCGCGGGGCCGAGACCATCCGGGCTGCCGATGCGGGCGGTAAGGACATGACATGGGTTCACCGACGAATTTCCAAAGCCGTGCTGCCGCGCCACGTGGCCGTACAGACCAGCTACAAGCAGCACGATAACGGCAGCGTATCGACAAACTTTACAATGGTGCCTGGCCAAGGTAAGCACGTGTTTTTCTACCGCGGAATATTTATCCAAGTGGACCGCCAGCGCAACGCCAAGATGATTGACATCCAGTCAGCCGCACCGTTCGAAACCGTAACGCTGACCACCCTGAGCAAGGATCGCACAGTTTTCTCCAGGATCCTCGCCGAGGCCCGCGAATACGCCCTGTCCCAGAACGAAGGCCGGACAGTGCTGTACACGAGCTTTGGTCCCGAGTGGCGGCCCTTTGGACTGCCACGCAAGCGGCGTTTGCTCGAGAGCGTCATCCTGGACCAAGGCGTGAGCTCGGGCATAGTCGATGACGTCCAGGACTTTATATCCAACGGAAAATGGTACGATGACCGCGGCATCCCTTATCGCCGCGGATATTTGCTGTACGGACCGCCAGGCAGCGGCAAGACCAGCTTCATCCAGGCGCTGGCCGGCGACTTGGGCTACAATATATGCATTCTCAATTTGAGCGAGCGCGGCCTGACTGACGACCGTCTGAACCATCTGCTGTCTGTGGCCCCCGAGCGGAGCCTCATTTTGCTCGAGGACATTGACGCAGCATTTAACCGCACACGCCAGCAATCAGAACAGGCGGCCTACCAGCAGTCCATGGTGACATTCAGTGGCCTGCTGAATGCCCTGGATGGAGTTGCGTCCAGCGACGAGCGCATCATATTCATGACAACAAACCACATCGAGCTCCTGGATCCTGCCCTGGTGCGCCCCGGGCGGGTCGACGTGAAGGTGTATTTAGGCAATGCGTCGAGGCATCAGATTTGCCACATGTTTACTCGCTTTTACGGCGAGGATTGTGAAAAGCTGGGGGGTGCATTTGCGGACAAGTTAGAGGGGCGGAGCGTCAGTACGGCGCAGCTACAGGGGCATTTTGTCGTATACAAAAAGGGTGCTCAGGATGCCATAGACAACGTTGGCGCACTGATAGAGATGACGAGTAACGCTTAGCGCCATGTTCAAATGATTTACTTTGTTGATCCGTGCAACAACCGCGTAACTGCTGTCGTTAGAATGTAAATCGAAACGTTGCAAAATATAAACTATTTTACTTTAATTTATTTAAAAAAATAGCCAGTCTTTTTTATGTATCAGCAACTGAAAACGAAAGAAGAAAAAACGAAAATTTATTAAAACATGTTAGACACGCGCCGACACAGGCGATGCGATTAGGAAGTGGGTTGGATTTAAAGGTGATAAGGGTGAGGGTGGGTTGTTAGGGTGGTGCGGGCCACACAGGAGAAAAAAGGCAATGCTTATTTTTTTGTTTAAACAACCTCAGCGGCAGAGACCTCGGCATGCGCATTCTTCCTGCCCAGTCTTTGTCCAACGCCGGTCATCTTGCCCAGAGGGTGATAACCCGTCTTGTAGATGACGGCAAACGTGTTGTAGATGGCGACGAGCGAGGCAAAGAAGGAGAACCATCCGCCAGCCTTAATGGCGGTTCTGCGCTCGGTCCAGGTTCCGCCGGCAAGCAGAATGAAGGACATGAAAAGCATGATCATAAATCCAGTGGTTCCGGGGGAGTGGCGCACGGTGCCGAGCGTAATGACCAGAGTGATGAGCATCCATGCGAGCCAGAATGTGCCGGCAGCATGGCTGACAGTCTTGTCTTGGTCCAGGGTGTTGTAGATGTTGAAACCCAAGATAGAGAGATACCCGACAGCGCCAAACATGGATCCATACAGCGTAAAAATTGTTGCGTGGACGGTGTCGTTGTTGGCAAACGCCCACATTCCGCTGATGAAAACGACGAGGCCGCCGATGATCAGCGAGGTTGTGGCCAGGGTGGCCACATTGGGGTCGTCAAAGGGCAGGCCAATTGCGCCGACGTAGAAGCTAAACGTGAACAGGGAGACACCCAGAGCGGCCCAGCCGGGGCCGCAGGGATCAGCGAAGGGGCGGAAGCGCGGCTCATCAATGCCCTTGTTGTAGCCGCCACCGTTGTGGTGATGATGGTGATTGTCCGCGGCGGAACTCGAAATGGGAACAGTGACTTGCTCGGCCATTGTAACGAAAAATAAAAAATTAGGATATGTAGCTCGCAGATATATGTGGTGAGAAAAATTGGGTTGCTAAGAGCGTAAACAAGACAGAAAAATGATGAAAATCAGGGCAGACTCGCTCGATTATAAAGTATCTCGTAAAAAAGATATGTATATATGGAAAAAAGAGTGCGATAATTATCAATGCTTGATAAGAGATGTGTGCGTGTCGAGACGGGGAGGAGAAAGGGGTTCCTTATAAATGCCGGAGAAGTTTGAGAGGGAGGGCCACGGTTGCGGAGCACGTTGCAGGAATTAGCAGTGCACAGAAAATAAAAATGCAACAGTGGAACAAGGGCAGATGAATCGTAATGAAGCAGGTCATTATTTTGTGTTTTGGTCGAATTTAGTTACTAGAAATTGGGAGCAAGTGTAGGCAATGGTGATGACCAATTGATGGCATTATGCGCGTGCGCAAAAAAATACAAGTATACCACTTTAAGCCTATATAAAATGACATCATGGGGTTGCGACCAACGCTTCTACCCAACTCTCCCTCTTTCCCTCTCATTATGAGGTGCTTTCGATATGTCCCTTTTTTGCAACTTTTAAATATAAAAAACACAGCTCTGGTGGGGGCGTGCGCGAGAGAGATGGGGATGCAAGTAAAATTGGTGTGGCAGCAAGGGATAAAGGCAGGGCACGCTTCGCAAAATCCTTGATATTGTTGTTGGAAGTGAACAGGGGCAAAGTCTTCTGTTGGACAAGCAATTTTTTATTCGAGGGAGGAGGGGGTGTTTTCGCTCCACCGCGCATTTCGCTAACATGTATAATTAATTGTTTACTGCTACCCACAGTGTATAGTGTGTGCACTTTTTGTGCGCGTCTACGTCCACCGCCACAGGTTTTGTTTTTCCATGGGGGTGGGTGCCAGCAATGGCTGGGAAACATTCATTCCATTTTAAAACAATCGAGCCTTGTTTTTTCCTTCATCACATGTGTTTACAGGCTTTTGGTTCTCAGCGCCCGATTAACACGCACGTGCTTCATTTGAACACGGCAGAACAAGAAGCAGGGCAGGGAGAAGCAAAGCAGATCCGCATCAAACTACACACGCAGACACGCGAAAAACATTTTCTAAGGCAACGTTGGTTGTGCAGCAAAAACGAGTTTTTACCCTTTTTCCCAAAAATGAATTAAAGTAAACAAAACAGCAGTAATTTGCCGCATTTTTTAGTTAGAAATAAAAACGTTTCATGTTAATTTTTTTACTGTTCGCCCGACTTGTGAACAATGACATCGTCAATCTTCAGGATCATCTTTACCAGCTGGGTGGCAAGCAAGAACTGCTGGCGCTTGGAGATCAGGGGGTCAAAGACAAACTGCTCCTTCATGTCGTTAATGCCTGTGTCCATACAGTCAACACCAAGGCTCGAGATACCCTGCTTGATCTGCTGGCTCTTGACAAACGACAGTGTCTCGATGGACGGAAGACCACTGTTCTCGGCCAGGGTCATCGGGATGGCATCGAGAGCACGGGCGAACGAGCGCATGGCATACTGCTCAATGGTCGACACCTGGTCGGCCTCCTTCTCGACGGCAATCGAGCAGCTGATCTCAGCTGCAGCTCCGCCATACACTACGCGGTTATCGACAATGAGGTTGCGCACCACGCACATGGCATCGTGGAGCGAGCGCTTGGCCTCATCGACAATCATCTTGTTGCCACCGCGAACAAAAACGGTGACAGCCTTAGAGTTGGCACAGTGCTCGACGATAATCATGTTTTCGTTTGTCGTGCCAAAGCTCACCTCGCGGATGGTGCCGGCAGAGCCCAGCTTCTCGCTGGTAAGGTCCTCGAAGCGAGGCACAATGCGGCCGTTCGTGGCAATGGCCAGGAGCTCGATCTCAGGGCCGCCAACCCATCTGATGGCAGGCAGCTTGTGCTGCAAGAGCAGCGAGTTGGCCTCGTCGTCAAAGCCCCACTGGCAGGCAACAATGTTGGCGCCGCAGTCCTTGACCTGCTGAACCATCTTATCAAAGGTCTCGCGCTCGTACTTTTGCAGCTCCTCAAACTCCTTGACGTTGCTGATCTCCAGCTTGTGCTTGGTTTTGGGCTTTGGCGGCTCGAACGGGCATGTCAGGATGGCAATCTTGGCGTCCTTGATCTCCTTGGGCATCTGCGGGTGCGAAAAGTCCTTGTCGATAATGACGCCGTGGACCAGGGCGGTATCGGCCAACTCGCCGCCAACCTTGCCCTCCATCTTGATCAGCTCAAAGTCAACGTCCTTGCGCTCGAGGTCGGCGACAGCCAGGACAGCGTCGACGGCAATCTGGGCGAACTGGTCGTGGCATTTGTTTACAATCTTGCTGCCCAGACTGGTCTTTGCGCACTTGAACAGGTCGCTGGTGTCGTCTTTGCTCCAGGGGATAATGTCCGAGACCTTGTCCAGGTGGGCGACAGCGATCTTGCACGCGCGCTCGAAGCCGTCAGAGATGCGAATGGGGTGGATGCCGCGGTCAAGCAGCTCCTCTGCCTGCTCGAGGAGAGCGCCAGCGAGAACGACAATGCCAGTGGTACCGTCGCCAATCTCCTCATCCTGCGACTTGGAAAGCTCGACGAGGAGCTTACCGATCTGGTTCTCAATGGCCATCTGCGACATGATGGTCGCTCCATCGTTGGAGATGGTGATGTCGCCGTCGGGGGAAATGAGGATCTTGTCGAGTCCGCGCGGCCCGAGGGATGTGCGCACGATGTTGGCAACAGTCTTTGCAGCCATGATATGGGCCTATTTTCATTCATGTCGAGCGGAAGAGTTTGGTAGCAACAGGTGCAATTATTAGCAAATGTCAAAAAACATAAGGCTGACATGAAAATAATGTGGGGACATAGAATATGTCTATTGATACCGCGGCCTGACCTGGTCTCTTTGTGCCGGCCGGCCGCTGAATCAACTGTCATCTTTGTTTACCTTTGTGGCTTCAATACCGGTCTTGCGGCTCTTCTTGTCCTGCTCACGGACAATAATGAACGGCCTGCCGTACTCGTCGGTAGTGTAAATTGCGCTCATTCTAGGAAGAGTGTAATTAATGGGGTGGCTGGCAAAAGGGTGGTTTGTAATGCTGACCGAGAGACGAAATGACGCGCTGGCAAGGGACAAGCAATAATAAAGAAAAATGTGAGATTAATAAATAAGTGCCAAAAATTAAAGACCAAATTGAGAAAAGCGAGATGACAAAAGCAAGGAACTGAAAACGAGAGCTCAAACAAATGCAAGCAAATGCAGCACTCTCGGTCGCAGCTTGACCCAATTCACAGCACGCAACAAACATTTGGAAGGTTTGGAAGCCATACGAAGCACATGGTTGTGATGGAAACCTCTCAGAAACCCCACGCATAAGTAAAGGGGAGCGATAATTTTAGTGGAAAGTAAAACTTTTTAATCGGCCGCCTGAAAATTAGGATCAGCGGAGAGCTTGAGCTTGAATGGATAATTTTGTTCAGGCTGTATTACAGAAACAAATAGCTGTCACTGGGGTCTTGACTATGAGCTTGGTTCTTTTGACTCTGCGCGTATCCTTTTTTGTTGTTGAATAGGATCTTGGCTGGACTTGGATAATGCTGACGAGTACTATGCCACAGCAACGCCTTCCAATTCGTCGACGCACTGCTTGGCCGTGAAGCTGCTCGGCTTTTCCTTGTTATTGTTGCGGTCAATTGACATACCATCGGCATACCAGGTATGCAGGCATACCTTGGTGCACCGCAGCAGGCTGTGGCAAAAGGATCTTTCTTAATGATTTTGCTGGCAAGCTCAATTGGCCCACATCCGAGACTGAAAGTTGCTGCTACCACTGCTGTCTGCCCGACGCGTTGTTTTTATCTTGCTGCCGGATCCTATGCTGTATCCTTGTCCTTTGGCCATCGATACTTGGCTCTGTAAGTCTCGATGATGTTGGCTGACAGGGAACCAACAGGCTGCGGTGCATCAGTTTCAGTGCCGCCGTCCGTGCGCTTGGGATTGGGCCTGCAGTTGGACTTGCCGATTTTGTGCGGATCAGGCATCCAATAATGTTTCTCTAACTCGAAATGGCATGCCATGCAGAACTTGTGTGTCCAGAACTCGTCGATTAGGAGCACTTTGAAGCCGTGTCGCAGCATCTCGCGCCTGCCAGGGTCGATGAAAACAGCACAATCGATCCAGCTGAGGATGCCGTCACACATCAGATCGTCGATGTAAGGGAACCGACTGTCCCACTTCTTCCGCTTTTGTTTTTTGTCTTTTTTCGACATCAACAGCCGTCCCAGCATCAGCACCCTTCCAGATCTGCTTGCATTTTTCGGCGGCGCTTGCTTTGACAGCAGGCTGAGCGGCGGGCTAGGCGGCGGCCCAGCATTTTTTAATAGAATTTTTAGTACTTTCTTTATTTTTTGCAAATAAATTGAAATCGTAAAAAATTCCAACAAATTATGAGAAAATACTGACGTTCATCACAACCATGCATCCACAAAATCTTCGAATTTCAATGTTCTGATCCGTCCAAGGAAAATTACAGAAGCGATCAAATTATTTTGGCGATTGATCCTCGAGCCATAGAACATAGCCCAGCTAAAAAAAAGAAAAAGAAAATCATATGCTGCCTTTGTTTTATTATTTTTGTTTTGGTCGACAGCACTTTATTTTACCAGCTTTGCTAAATTTCACAATAAACACCCACATTCAAATCACTTATTTTTATTTTTATATCTAACACAATGTCTACAAGTAAGGGTGGGGCAAATGCCAAGCAGACGCAGCACGCAGGCGGTGACCAGCGGCGGACACACTTTGGGTCACTCATTTTCTGCCCGACCTGCGGAAACCTCCTGGACAGTCCCGGTGACCAAGACCACATTGTGTGCCACGCATGCGGCGACGTGCAGGAGGGCGCTCAGTTTGAAGAAAACGAGACGACCTCTCGGTCTCACGACAACGCGTTCCCATCGCGGCTGAAGAACAACAGGTCATTGGTGCACGGCATCGGCGAGTCTTCGGAGCGCGTCAATGCACGTGTGGAGGAGCAATGCCCGCAGTGCGATAGCAACGAGATGACATTCTACACTATGCAGATGCGGTCGGCTGATGAGGGCCAGACGGTGTTTTACTCTTGCGTCAAGTGCGGACATGGTTTCTCAATCAAGAATTAGAGCAAGGGTGGGTGGTTTCTTTGTCTGGTGAGGAGTTTTCGTGATTTTTGTAGCTGGTACTAAGATTAAATCAAAAATAAATTAGCGTAATGCTGTGTGATGCGATTGGGGGTGGAAATTTGGGTGGGCGGCATTGAAAAGGAAAAAAATTGCACGCAGGCCACTGAGATCATTTTTTTTATCTTTTTCCTGACGCTTTCTTTATTTTTCAGCCTTTTTTTGCTGCTGCCCTTCTTTTTTATACAATTTCACAACTCAATCTTAATTCATTGACCCAAAACACACCAAAATAGAAACAAGAGTCGGCGATGGTCAAATTTTACCAGCAAAAGTATTCATACGAGTAAGTAGCCACGCGCCCTCCGTTGAACGAAGCGACACAAAAAACGAAACCCGATTTTTCTTTCCCAGCACCCTTTACTCAAAAATTGCCATTATCCAACGTGCGCATTGTGTAGATATTCCTGGAATACCGTGTCGTTTGCGTTTCTCAACCGGTATCCGAACCCCTTTGCCACGCACGTCCTCACAGTGGACACGCTCGACCACCGGCTGGATGCACAAACAGGTGAGCTGCACATTACCCGGCTCCTCCGCAAAACCAACTCAGTGCCGCGCTGGGCGCGCAGCATAATGCGCGGAAACGACGCTTACATTCTAGAAGAGGTGACCATCGACGCGCAGAGCGGCAAGCTTGTATCCAAGACGCGCAACATCACGCACACACGGCTGATGAAGGTCGAGGAGACACAGACTTTGCTTGCTGACAACTCGGGACACACGATGTGCAAGAACGAAACCAGCATTGTGTCGAATATCGGATATGGGCTGAACTCGAGGATCGAGAATTTTAGCCTGTCTCGGTTCACAGATAATCTAGTCAAGAGCCGCAAGGGCATGCATTACGTTCTCGATTTGGCGCAGCGGAAGGGGCTGTTTGGACAGCGGATGCGGCTAGATCAGACCGGCGCGCCTTTGTCGGCATCGTCATCCGGAACCACCCTTGTGGATTGATGCTGGCAGAATGAGAAAGAGCGAGTACAACTGTCGCCGAAAAGTAAAAAAGAAACATTTCCTTTTATCCCCTGTATTCTAAAAAAGACCGCTGCTTTCCAACGATCGCAAGCAGCGAAATTGATAATTTTTTTTCCATAAAACACGCCAATTATTAACACTTGTTGCACTTGAACATGTATAATGGATGAAATGGGCCACATCAAGCTCAGCAATGCACGTGCGTGTGTGGCTCGGACGCGCTTTAAATTGTTTTTTTGGGTGTCGATCCGCACAAAACAATCGGAAGCAGAGCCAAAAGAATCATTTTTCTGCTGCTCAAAATCACAATGCGTGAGGAAAATGACGCGTTCCGGTGGCCGACCCTTTTGTTTTTTCCTCTCTTGTTCCAAAGCTCGGCGCGTTTGCAACAGCGGCAACTTTTCCACATTAGTGTACAATTTTATTCAATTTCTGCCACTTTTATTTCTATTTAAAACAAAAAACATTTCTGTCGCAGCGGAGAGTACAAACAAACAAACAAAAAACGCGAGAGCGCGAAAACGGAACGGTACTTTTTTATTTTATTTTTTTCATTCCAAAAAAATCCCCCCCCACGCGGAGCTGGCAGGCCCAAAAAAATAAAAAAAAATTGATGAACCAACCGAACACATCGCACGAAAACCCAGAGAGCCAAGACGCATACAAACGACCAGGCCATCAGAACCCCACTTCAGCCGATAAAAATAAAAACACCACATTTGCTTCTAATAAACCCTTCAGCACCAAATACCACCTATTTTCGAATCGAACCTCCGTTAACATTGCCACAGCGTTTGCGCGAGCCAACCTCACGTCGGATACGATAAATAGTCGACCAGCACATTTGCGGGAAACGCCCCTTTCACCTTCGCAAATTCCCATAATGACATCGCAAAGAATCAGAGAGGACGGATTTATCCTCAATGACCCGAGGAAGAACAGACTGGCGGGACAGGGGCATGTTACCGGGTCGTATGGCAGTGGCGTGAACCAGGACGGGGATTATATGAACCGGGCGGGGGAGTTGTTTGACGAAGACCCGTGGTCGAAAAAAGATGAGCGGCAGGAGCAAAAATACCGCCCTACTTGGATGCAAAGGATACAGGATGACCCCTCGAATTTATTCTTGCCCGGTGACGCAAAGGACCCGCCCTCCATAGCCCTGGGCCGAGCGAGCCAGGCGGGCCACGGCGCACCATCACAGTACGAGCGCCAGGAAGACAGACATGTCGATCCAATGTTGCGGTTTGACCGCGAGACAGATAACAGAGCGCACGATCTCGTGCAAGCGCGGATGGCACGAGACAACAATGGCCGCGGAGCCGCCTCGTCTACGTATGTTTACGACGGCATTACAGGCAGTACAGCAGCAAACAGGCGTGTCGGCAGTGTTGCTGGCTCCGTCCACGATGGGCCAGAGGACCAGCACAGACGGACGGGGTTGCACAACAACATGGACAGGGCTTTTGGTAACACAGGCGGCGGCTCGATCTACGGCGACATGGTCAATGGCAGCGGGCGGACTCAAGTGCCGAAAACTTCAAACTACGGCAACATTAGTAGCAGGCTTGCAGAGCATTCGGACGCGCGCGGACCGCCGTTTGCCAAGAGCTACAGTATGGGTCAGCCACAAGCCAATACCTCGGGCGACATGTACAACGACATCACACACACACTCCATAGCAAGCGTCCTGTCACAGCCATTGGGCCCGGCAATAACATGAACACGGGGTTCGAAGATAGTTACAACAACCAACACGACAGCAACCACTACAGCAACCAACTCGGAACAAGGCTGCACTTTGCCCCGCCGCCGCGCCCTGTGTCGCTAATGGGGCGGAACGCAACGCCGGGGAACCGCGACTATGGGGGCGGCCTGGTTAGGAATGTTGTGCAGACACCGTACACCGTGCGCATCAAAGGGCCGGGCGCTTTCCCAGCAACAGCGCAGCGGTTCTCGCAGCGCAAGGCTTCGGACAGCCGCAACGCCGACGACAACGTGCTATCACCCACGGTTGCACGGCCAGGCGTGCAGGCAGGCGATATGCTGGCGTCGCACAGGTACCTCAATCACGGCGCTACGCACAGCGGGTGGGGTATGTATGGCGCTTCAGTGCGCGGAGACAACGATGGGGGGGCTACAGAGAGGTCATTCAACGGCAGCATGATTAGCAACTCGACAGACGCGGCGACAGTGATTGGCGACAACCCAACGCTGCTTCGGCGGCTGTTACGCAACATTGCGGCCAGCTGGACGGGCACGCTAGCCGAGCGGCTGTCGTTTGTTTTATTAATGCTGTATTTCCTTGTCAAGGAGTCAGTCGCCATCTCCTTGCGCTTTGTGCTGCACTTGATTGTCTCGTCAGTGCGCGGCTCGGCGCGCTCGTTGGCTGCGCTTATTGTTGTTTCGCTAGCCGCAGCGCTTGCCACGCAGTACACGCGGCCGTTCACTACAGGCCTGGGCTCTGTCTTAGGCCCAGCGTTTGGCTTGATTTTTGGCAGCAGCAGCAGCTCTAGGACGTCTGCCACAAAACCGATCGCGCCCATGTCGTCCGAGGATATTGCGCGGCTGGGCGGTGCCGGGTCTGCCGTGGTCGACCGGTTGCAGCAGGTCGAGAAGACACTGCAGCAGCTGTACATCCTCGTTGACGAGCTCAAAGCGCACCAGGCTGAGGACACTGCCGACGCGCGCGACGCGCTTGAGCGCCTGCAAGCCGAGCGCCGCACGCTTCTCGAGAGCATCCGCGGCGACAAGCAGCGCGTCGACGCTCTGGAGCGCGACCACGCGTCCATCAAGCGCGACGTGGCACGGGCCAGCGCGGTTGCAGCCAGTACGCACGACGTGCAGGCGCTCCGCCGCCAGGTCGACAAGCTGGCCAGCGCAGCCAAGGCAGCAAAGTCAGAGAGCGGTGGTCTTTTTGGATCGCGCGGGTTGTCTGCCTCCGCTGTGCGCAAGGTTGTCGACGAGGCTATTCGCGCGCACGAGGCTGAAATGCGCGCAATGATGGCGCCTTCATGGCTGGAATCCGACGGCGACGCGGCCTACGCCAACGTCGCGCGCATGATTGACTCTGCGCTGTCGCGCTTCGCCAGCGATCGGCTGGCGAAGACTGACTTTGCGCTGATGTCTGCCGGCGCGCGCATCATACCTGGCCTGACGTCGCCAACTTTTGAGCCGCGCGTGCGTGGGCTTGTCCGGAACCTGTTCCGGGTATTCGGATCCACCTCGTCCCTGCCGCCAGCAACCGTGTTGGACCCATCTACGCACATCGGCGAGTGCTGGCCGATGCGCGGCAGCTCCGGCCAGGTTGCTGTGCACTTGGCTGCGCCTATCGACATCACCGAATTTGCGCTCGAGCATGTGCCCAAGGCCATGGCCATTGATTGGCGCTCGGCCCCGCGCAGCGTTGAGGTGTGGGGATACGTTTTGCAGACAAACGCTAGTGGGTCGTCCTCTGCGTCTGCGTCTGCGTCTGCGTTTGAATCTGCGTCTACCCCGGCTTTTGCCGACTCTGCGTCTTTTGACCAGCGCTTAGACAATAGAGAGCCGGCTCCAGTGACATCTGCAGAGCCTGCCTCACATGCCATTGTGAACCCGCCTTTTGCCGCTTCTGGCTTGGCCTCGGGCGCTGCTCTCGGGAAGCTGACGCTGCTGGCCACATACGAGTACACGCCCTCCGACGCCGAGCCCGTGCAGATTATCCCCACGTTGCCACAAGCCGAGGGCCGCCATTCAGACGGCACAATACGCGCCCGCACAGTTATTCTCAAGATCAATTCGAACTGGGGTCATCCTGATCACACCTGCATCTACCGGTTCCGCGTTCACGGCTTCCAGCCCTTTTTGTAGTTGAGTATGGCGTTGTGCTTGCTTTTTCATTCATTTCAATTTATTATCCTTGAAAACATCATTATGCATAAAAAGGCATGGTACATAATATATCTGCTGGCACTTACCGTGTTGTGTTGACATACTGCATTTTAATTTGTACATCATTATATGTCTTGTCCAGCCAAAAATAATTTTTCTACTTCGGGTGCACACGGCAGCCATACTTTACCCATGCACATATGCGATCCCTGAAACACGCAGTATAGCGTTAGAAACGCAACAATGGTCTCCCTCTTTTACCGATACATTAATTGTGTTATCTGTAAATCCGAACAATACAATTTGTGGCGAATCATTCGACGCAGATACATGGTGTTAAAGGTTTTTCTATAAAAAAAATAGGTGCAAATATCACAATCTGTACTCTTCAACCGACTATTCTCTTTCTTGCATGCCCATTGTGCATATATGTGCTTCTTCGACGACTGACAAAAAGTTGAAATCCTGGAAAAGGGGGCGTCAAAAAATGGCGCGCTAAAGCATTAGAGTAGAATACAAACAGGAATCAGTATAAATCAAAATTAAATTGACTGGGTGAAGAATAGAAGTGCAACTTTATATTTCAAATAATTGCTTTTTCTCTTAGCTCCTCCAAACTGTTTTGACTTTGTGTAGACATCAGAATAAACGTAATTACTTTTATTATATACGAATTTAATAAATTATAGGCTTACATCTCCTACCCTATGTTAGTCACGCTGCTGCTTTAATTTATATTCTTCAGCGTTTCCTTTACTTTGTTCTTTTTGTCTTTTCCACCTCTGCAAAGTCATTGCATTATAATTTGCCCACTTTTTCTGGTCTGCCGTTGCCCCCTTTCAAGCGCATACATCATCGCACAGAAAGATTCGTTTAATTTAAATACGCATCTTTATTCTCTTTCTTTTTTATTTTAGTTTTCCCCTCACATTGATCACTAATTTTTTTTTCAACTTTAAGTCCAACCTTACTCAACCACGCTTTGGTTTTTTATTAATATTAGCCATGTCCGACAATTACTTTTTGGAGCAACAGACGGAATACGAGGGTGGCGCTGGATGCAAGTCGTACCCGGTGCATGTATACAAGCACAAGGCAACAGAGTTCCGGGTTGTTGTGTGCCAGGTGCCGGGCCTGCTGTGCGGCTTATCCGTGTGCATACCCACTCTTTGTTCGGACCACCGGGGTTCCCCGCACACTCTCGAGCACTGTAAGTTTTGCGACAATAAAAGTACAACTATAATGTGTGTATAAGAAATATTTCCAATTAAATAAATGTTTTAACTACATGTATGGTTTTGTATCATCACATGTTGTAGTGGTGTTTTGTGGCTCCGAGAAATACCCGTATCGCGGATACATTGATTTAATGGCCTCTCACAACCTTGGTCAGCCCATGAATGCGGCGACATATAGAGACATGACAACGTACAAGTTTGTTGGCCTTTGTCAAGAAGGCGCCGCCAATGTTCTTCCTGTCGCACTTGACCACATTATGCACCCGATTATTCATGACAACCACTTTGCCACTGAGGTAAGAGGGCTACCCTGTTTGTTTTCTGAGCTTCCATCCTGCCCACATCACCATGCTTGCTGTATTGTTCTGTTGTTGCCACACATTTTTAACATTTATCTTATACATTGCATTATCGCTGCTAATTTGTGGCAGCAGGTACGCATTGGCAATATTGTTCACTGTTTGCATATAAACATCAATCAGTGATAATGTTTCTTATGAAAAACTCATTTGCCACTATGCACATTCACGCAGCTATTTCTCTTTTATACAAAACCAGCCATTCTATAGAATTGCGCAGCATGACGCGATGGCGCCTATTTTTATTTTGTGCAAAGCACCTTGGTTCATCATGTGTGGATGGATGCGCACTCGCATTATGCGTTGGCAGACGTGCAATGTCGAGTCTGTTCAAATTAAAGTTGCTTATTGGTTTTCCTTGGCCTATGGCGGCTTTATCGCGCTCACATAATTTCCAATATCTGTACAGCTTATGTTTTTTATTAGACAAGAACAGCTGGTCGTCGAGCGTGACGTGTCAGCGGGATATCTTTTTGCAATTAAATTTAGTGGAAAAATATGTAAACAGCAAAACCCTAATTTTTTTGCTTGTTTAGCAAAGCACGGGCATTTCTTATTAATTTATTTGACGACCCGTGCAAATGACTGGACAATTCACACCTTGTCCTCTTGTACATATTGCCTCCGACTTCTCCATTGTTGTCTGCTATTTGAAGCGCGAGCCATATATTGTATGTCTGCACTGCCTGTATGGCATGACTTATGTTTGTTACTTGTTCTTTGCAATATCAAATAAAATGAGTGCCGTTAATTTTTTTAAGCAATTTCATATTAAAGCAAATAATGCTTACTAATTCACTAGGTATTCCACGTCGACCAAAACGGCCGCCAACAGGGCGTGGTGCTTAGCGAAATGAGTGACTACGAGTACGATGAGGCTTCCATACGCTCACTCTCGCTGATGCAGCTGCTCTACCCGCCAGAGTCCACCTACTTTTGGAAGCACGGTGGCATGCCGCAGGTTATCGAGACTCTGACTCTGGCGGACATCAGCAAGTACCACAGCGAGTTTTACAACTACAACAATGCTACGCTCTTCCTCATAGGCGCTTACGACAAGTGTCCCGCTGCAATTTTCGAGGCGCTGGGCAAGCTGGACAACGACATTATGGCATCGCCACCATTATTAAGGCGGCCCATGCCTCCAATGCGTACTAAAATAGTTAGGTCCCGCCAAGACCTCGTGTTTGCCTCGGAGAAGACACAGACCGGAAGCATGGGCTTTGCTTGGGAGGGTCCGCCGGCTGAGGACTTGGAGACCGTTATGGCGTTGGAGATGCTTTTTGACTATTTTGAAGCTGATCCCGCATCGCCGCTGCGCAAGCGTTTCACCAACCGGGCAGTCCCCATTGCCGGCGACTTTAGGCTAGTCTTGGAGCCGTATTTTCCAACAATGATCAATCTGAGCTTTAGCAATGTTCCGTTTGCATCATATACATACCACGCAGCGGCGGCGGCGGCGGCAGCACCAAGCAAGCGCGGCAATTCTTACGCGCCAACCGAGTACCCGTCGCTCGCCGATGCATTTGGTCCGATGGACCTTTCCAAGCTGCACGACGATATCAAAGGCCTGTACGCCTCCAACTACTACCGCAAGCAGCTAATAAGCACACTGAAGTATGTAGTCACCCACTGGTTGTCCGACAACTGGGCAGATTTTCATGCATTTATGGCCAAGCGTGCAGCTATGTTGGAGGCCTCATTTGCAAAAAACAACATGGGCGACAAGCACCCGCAGGGAATTTTGCAAATGCTCTCCCGCGACGCCATCGCTTTCCGTTTTTCTCCAGGTTCCGCAGATTTGGCCCAACCAACGTTCGCGTCGCGTGGCAAGCAGTTTTCCATGCGCAAAAGCCTGCTTAACCAGAAGGATCATGTATTTTGGCAGTCTCTCGTGCAGAGATGGCTTTTGGATGGCCCGATGGTGCACAATGCAATGATCCCCGACCCAAAGTACTACATCCACGTCGAGGCTGAGCGCAACCTTTCCCAGCGCAACTACATTGAAAGCAAGACCCCCGAGGAGCTGGCTGCTATGCATAAGCGCGTAGACAAGGCAATTGCTTCGACCAAGGTATGCATCCCGCCGGAGGTCCTGGCCGCATTCCCGCCGACACCAGACATTGCCAAAGTACCCATTCCAAAGTTTTTTGGCTACAACTACCAGCTTGGCAACGACAGAGAGTTTGCGCCTTCACCATTTGGTATAGGTCGGGTGGTGATAACACCGGCCAACGAGGAGTCTAGCTTCCGGATTTCTCTCCCGCTGGCCGGACTTGCCAGCGATCTGTGGCCATATCTTCCCCTGTTTACCCAACTTCTCACAAGCAGCGTTGACCTAGTTGTCCCGCGCCTGGCAATCGAAAAAGCTAGCCAGAGTTCTTATCTGCCAGCGCTCAAGCCGTCGGAAATGTCGCAGGTGTATCTGAACAGCGAGCAGGTGGACAGATTGATGAGCCATACGTTGACCAAGTACAACGTGTTTCTTGGAGACCGCAAGCACCACAAAGCCGCCGACTATTGGCCATTCGAGGTTCTGACGCTATATGGGTCGATGCCAAGCGCCAACTTACCTGGCGCATTTAATTTGCTGGTGCTCAAGCTTTTGTTTGGTGACTTTGGCGTGAATGCCATTTTTAAAGCTGCAGACAAGGAGCACAAGTGTTTGACAAGGAAAAAAGGAACATCGGAATCGCTTCTCATCGATACATTTCAATGGATCAGGATTCCCGGATTGCTGGATGCTCGCACTATCGCATCTGCCTCTGCCAACAACACTTCCAATGTACCAAATGCCGACATCTCGCGTCCACCAACCGAGCCCCTGGGCCGCGCGCTAAACCTATATCACCAGGTGGCATTCCTATTTTCTGTGACCAATGCATTGACTGCAGCCATGAGCGGCAACAGACTGGCCACTATCCGGGCCGACCACATTTGTGATGCAATCTTGCGTATCCGCAAACATTTTGCTCACTGTGTTGCAGGGACCGGCATAATTCATATCGCCAGGCCGCAGTCAATCGAAGACACAGAAGCGCGAAAACTAACTGGCTGCCTGATCAACGACTGGGAATTTGTCTGCAAGTCGTGGCGCGAAGCCCACCAGCCTGTTGCTGTCGCCCCCAACACCCCTCCCTTTGAAATATTAACGCACTGCAGAATTACCGGCCCAATAGAATTGCCTCCGCGCAAAAGGCCACGCACAAATATACTCAGCGCTGCGCTTGTCAAAAGCACTTCTCTCGCGTATTCTATTGGTAACCGCCAGGGGTCTTGCAACTTTGTGTCTCTACCATCGTCATTGGGCATACACGTTGGCTTACCCAATCTACAAACATCATTTGTAGGCGTCCAGGTACCGCTCACAATCCAGGAGTATCCTGCAGACACATCCGTTGTGTCTGTCAAAAAGCAGCTTGAAAGTCTTCCAGCAACAGACTACTACTCGTTGTGCTTGCTTATTATAATACTCAACCGCAGCGAGGGCCTGATTAAAAATGCCATCCGAAGCCGTGGTCATGCCTACGGCGTTGGGATCCACCCAAAGTGCGAAAACGGCTTTCTAGCTGTGTATATTAGCCATGCAGTCGACCCACAAAAGTCGATAGAGGCGCTATGGGAAACCATTGAGATGCTGACAACCGAGGAAGGCTGGAATGAATCTATAACTGAGTTTCAGCTCAACTCTGCTCGATCAACTTTTATGTTCCGCTGCTATAATGGATTCCCGCAGTGTGTGGCATCGGAGGATGCGTTTGCGCTATTTTGCGGCTTTACTGGAATCGAACAGTATTTGGTTTGGGTGCGCAAGCACATCGAGAACATTTCCATTGCTGATTTGCGCCAGTCTTTCCTTAAGTGCTTCAAGCCAATAATTGTTAGAGACAAGTCTGTTTCTGCGCTGTATATTGTGGCTACACCCGCATCGTTTACTAGTCCGGCCGGGAAACTTATAAAAGGAATGAACAAAAACCCGTATAACATTTTATTCAAGACCATACAGTTTGCATCACTTGACCCAGTGGTCCATATATAAACATCGTCTTGGTTAATATTTCATATTCTAAAATAAGTATAAGTTGTATTTTTTGCATCTAAATAAACCATGCGCATGAAGAACTTATGAATTGTAGCGAGTATGACTTTACAAAACAAAAATAGCTTAATGTCCCCAATTTTCTGGTCACTTGAGATAAAGGTGGTAATGCAAAACAAACGGCGGTCGCCAAGAGGGCTTGGAGCTAATCAGATTTTGGTTTATATGTGGAGCTGAGCAGTTGCCCAAATATGTATGTAAATATTAATATTATCGAAGTCGCTAAAAACAAGCACAACCTATCAATTTGTAATTGTTTGGTACTTGCGGCATTGCCAATGATTTGTTTATAAAGCCGACGAAAGCATGCCAAAAGACGATTAATTGATTGAGCTTTTAAGCAGAATTTGCCTTTGCTCACTGTGGCAGGCACATTCTATTAAAGCACGATGGTCGCAAATCGAGCAAGTACAGCGCCATGCTGTGAATAGCTAATTCGACGCAGTTTTTGATCCAACAGTACGTTGTTACGGTTTTTGGTCTCCGTTTGTGAGGGAGAAAAGGATAACCGTCTCCAGCACCCGATCAGCAGCAGACAATGTCCCTGTGGGGGGATTTCTACTGTTTCTACCATTTCTACTGTTTTTAGCGTTTGTTTTGCCGGTCTGACAGTTCAGCTGAGCTTTTAACAATATGTTTGGTTGAGAGGCTAATCGATTATCTCGATATGCATTTTCCAATTGCTTGTTTTAACAGAACTAATTTTCAGAAATAGTGCTTGCATTTATGTCATTTGAGCGTTAGTTAATACATTGGCTATCGAGAATACATATGTCATAGATAAAAAGGGCAGAATTTGTGGATTCATATAACCTGGTGATATCTTTGCGTTACTTTTGAGCCAAAATTTAAACAGGATGGCACAATTGCCATGACTTTTGATCAGTTTTTTTAAAAAAAATTGCTTGTACTCAGAAGCAGACAAGTAAAAAGACAATGTGATGTTATGAGGAGATATGCTTTTCTACAACAATATCGCGATATCCACATCCAGATTTGCAGTTAAACCTGACAATATGCAGACACATTCAAGCGCATGCCATCTGGAGCAGTCACTTGGCAGTCACACACAGCATTTCCCAATATCGATATAAATAAAAGGATATCTATCATTTAAAATAAAAGTTGACTATGCTCGAAAAGACCAAGTCTGCTTTCTGCCTTTATGGATTCGGGTATGGCCATGCAGGCCTTGAAAACCACTGAATATAAAAGTCTAAGCCACATTTTGAGTGACATTAACTCGAAAAACAATTAGCCGATCTTTAGTGACTACCGACCAAGCGCGTCAAGCTGAAAAATGGCACTCGCTTGTAAACCTGTTTGCTCAAGTGAATTAGTTGCGCTGGAATCCAGAGAAAAAAGAATAAAAAGCGGAAAAATAAAGGCCTGCTGCTGCCAAGGTTTGTTTACATTTTCTTTTTTTCTTGACTTTTTTTTGAAATTTTATATAGTACTTGAAGAATAAGCACACATACGCACGCTCGCACACGCACATTCGTATGCTTTCGTATCATCTATGATTCAACTATGTCCTCTCAAGTTACGAGGGTTGTTACACCTCACTCACGTGCTGCCAACATGCCTGCAAAACTGGAGGATGCTCTCTCCAACCCACCCTGCCTTTCCTGCTCGCACTTGGAAATGAAATACAAGGCAGTAGACCCAATGCTTGGCAGAAAGATTATTGAGGTGATGGAGAAGGACCTCGAAATCCGCCGCATTACTGCGGAAGCCCAGAAGAGGAAGGTGGCTTTGGATGTGCGTTACAACGACTACGCCAATGCGGCATCCACAAGCCTCGAGTCAGTGAAGACTGATTTCAGCATCGCACAAGATAGGATCCATGAGCTCGAGCAGATAAGTGGAGAGCACATGGCCTTGACCGACGATGCGAAGACGAGGGTTTCTGAGTGCCAGAAGGTTTACAATGATCTTGTTGCAGCACGCTGCGAGATGGATAAGCTACGTAAGCACGCAGAGCAGGGTGAGGCCACCGCCAACAATTCCAATGCCGAAAAAGAGGCACTCTGCAAGGAGCTCAACAAAGTACACTACTGGAACCATTCCCTCTGCGAGCAGCTTGCCACAGCTGCCATCACTGCCAATTTTGTCAGCGCCAAGGAAAAGATACTCCATGAGCTGCTTGCCGCAGCTACTTCCGCCATTACCAATGGCGCCAATGCAAAAAGGAGGGGCTCTGCGAGCTGCTTGCCACAGCTACCACCTCCGTTTCCAATGGTGCCAGTGCTAAGATGAGGGAACTGTGTACACAGCTCCACGGGGCTACATCTACCACCAGCGCTGCTTTTAATGAAAGGGACGAGCTGCAAAGAAAGCTTGCCACCTCCTGGGTAGAAAAATTGGTTCATGGGGTAATTGAAAGCAACCGCAGCTTGTTCTGAGCATCTCTGGAAGCTACTTTAAAAGGCCGCTCATACTCATGCTGTTAAGCCCAATTCCGCCTACCTTTGCCATAATCTTGCAAAATCTGACAAAAATATTGACCAGCAGCAACGCACCATCTCCTCCTTCAATAAGTGGGATAAGGCAAACGCACTGGCATTCGAGTCAGTGCACTGCATCTTGAACATTGCTGATCGTCATGCTGATCAAATTGTGGATGCGCACAGCGGATGGGCTCGCGGCCACACCGAGATACTAGAGCAACTAGGCAAGGACCTACTCAAGGCCTACAAGTTGTGGATGGACGATAGGTTTGACTTGGGCCTGGGGGAGTTCAAGGAAAACATAAGCAATCTGGCCGAACTGATGGCGCCTAGGCGTGAATGTGCGGCAAAAAAGATGGCAAAGGCAAACGCAGCAATGTGCAACAATCTGGGCAGGTTATGCAACGGGCTATGGACGGGAATTAATGTTACCAACACCCGCTTGGGCCCTCCGAGTGTTAGAAGTTGGCACGCCAGCACCAGAGCCAACGTCAGAGCCAGCACCAGTGCCTACGCCAACGCCAACGCCAGCCGGCAAGACCGGAAAGGAAAGGGTAAAGAGGTGTGGTTTGATATTTATGAAAATAAAATCCAAAAAATGTATAGCTATAAAAAACAACTGCTAATAAAAATAATATGCAAACAAATGATAAAGCAAAGTTGCAAGCACACAGTGTGCTCACACATTGTCAATGTATGTGTGCAAGTATAGTTGCGATTTAAGGACACGGGCAAATGATTTAGAAACTACCTTTGGTTTGATTTTGATATGCAATTATTTTCGATCCATATCCATTTTTTTGGTAGATTTGCAATATTCAAACCGTGGTACCTCGCAATGTACCACTTTTTTAAATAAAAGTTTGTTTTATTTATAAACAGCCAAATACTGCATGCAAAATCCATCGAGCATATCTAGCACATTATGTGGCATAGTGAGCGTCTGGGGATTGCAGCAATCAGCCTTTTGCCATTTTTGGTATGTTTTAATAATGTTGGTGCATTTCCCAGCCGGTCCACATACGTCAGCAATTTTCCACCTCTCAGCAAAACATGCGCCGAGCCTCTCCAATGAATACTGCCGTATCTCGACCGGCAAACTGCAGTGGGCGAGACACCTGGTCGATTGATAACAGCGTGATGATCCTACACCTCCACATCAGCAATTAAGTATTTTAAGAGTTAATTTTATTAAGCCAACATGCCTCCCACTAAGCATGTGCAAATAAACGGTATTAAGTTTAAGCGATAAACGTATTATTGTAGTAAAATAATGCAAAACAAGATATATTCATTTGTCTAGTGAATCAGAATATTCAAGTTACTTGCAACAATTTTTCAGCCAACCCATATTTTTACTTTCACTCTAGTTTGAAAAGGTTATGCATCGGTCTCACTCTGCCAATACATCATATTGTTTCCTATCGTAAAATTGACAAGTATTTCTACAAATTCATCCTTAGCTTTTTTGCATATACAATACAAAATGACATTTAGGCGTCTATTTTCTACAGCTGGTCGATTTGCGTATACGATATCCAAAGGAGCCGTGATGTATGCCATTCCAATTGCATGCACCTGCCACACCGCCTTCCATTATATCGGCGAGATTTCTCCAGTAAGTAAAGAAACATTTACGCACCGCTATCCTCTTAAATTCAACCTAATAGGTAATCAGAAAATTCAAACTAATTATTCAATAATATAATTCAATAATATAGTCATATGGGCCATCAATGTTGCCAACCTTAAACGTGAACGGCGACAACCTGATAGTATCGCGGTTGGGAAACTGGCGGAACAAACTGAGAACAGGCGACGTCATTGTATACATATCGCCGACTGATCCGCACCGACGTGCAGTCAAACGCATTTTGGGGATGTCTGGAGATACAGTATGCGTTGATCCGACAAAAGACGAGCTCGAATACGTACAGGTGCCCAAAGGCTACGTGTGGGTGCAGGGAGATAATCACTCGTGCTCTACGGATTCGCGCACGTACGGGCCGATTCCACTGGCATTGTTGTGTGGCCGGGTGATGGGTTGCGCGTGGCCGGAACCGCGTTTGATCAGAAACACAATGGAGGTTGTTCCGGGGCAGTTTAACAAGCAGGTTTAGGGCAGAAGTTATTATCTGGGTGTTTTTTATAAATATGTTTGTGTGAATGCTTGCAGTTTATCAAATATGAAATGTGCAAAGAAAGAAAAAGAGATATTGATTGCATTTGATACCAGTTGCTGCTGTCGTTTACACTTTGATCTGAAATTCATTATAATAAAAAACATATGCTTAAACCTTTAGTAAAAATATTTTGAGAAAACTCTTGTAGTGGCGAGTGGGATATAAATAACGCCAAGGGTCGTCGAGTGAACAAAATATTTTGAACATTTGTACTTCTCTACTTTGCTTTTTTATCCTTCTATTTAATATTTATAATATTTTCACACTTCAATTGCGCGCTAGTACTGAAAGAACCCCTCCCCCCATCATGCTGTTCAATATGCCACAGACAATCTTTGCACTCCTGGCTCTAGCCATTATTACAGCGCCAGTGGCTCTCGTTAGTGCCCAGCTCACTATCACCACGACTCTCCCCTCAGCCCTTGTGCCTATAATAACGCCCATCAAGTTCAGCCCGGTTATTGCTACGCCCACCCCGACAACCCAGACTACGACTGAAACCCTGGAGAACACTGTCATGAAGACGACCACGAGCCACAACACGCTGACGTCGCTGCCCAACACGAGCTCGAGCACTAAGACAAAGTCCAATGATCATAATACTTTGACGTCACTCACCAGCACTAGCTCCTCGGCTACTGGTCCCGCAATTAAATTGCAGTATGTGGCTATTCTCGTCGCTCTTGTGAGCTGCGCTTCTGCGGTGGCTATTTTTTAGGAAGAAGATTTGAGCAGAGCATCTGCGCAGAAAAAAACTGCACTTTTTAATTCAATTTTATTTTACTTTAAATAAGACGGGTATTGATTTAAATGTGATTAATACCCGGGTATAAATTTTTCTTTTAAAAATAAAAATTCGGTTACGAGGATGTCACCGCAAGTGCTGGTTTCAAAGTTGCACCGGTCTTGATCTGGCGGCGCGCCTCATCAATAGTGATAGCGGGCTCGCCGTATTTCGACTCAGCGCAATTTTGATGATACTTTTTCCCACGAGTCAACACGCACTGGTTCTTAATAATACCGCCACACTCAGTGCAAAGCAGGCCATTCTGAATATACCAATGCCACTCGCACAGGGGCTGGCTATCATGCTCATAACACACGTCGCCAATAAATGGAGACTGGCAAATAGAGCACACGAAGCAGTCCGAATGATACGTGCGGCCCAAAGCCACCGCCATCTCGCCAGAAGTGATCTGCACGCTACAAGCGTGACAAGAAGGTGAGAATCTCTGCAAGTAGTCGCGTTGGCAGTAGAACTTGTCACTGCCCAGCGGGTCTTGCAGGTACCCGCCGAGGGCATACAGCGGAATACTACAGTCCTCGCAGGCAAAATGCGTCACGTGGAACCGCTTCCCTAATACATTAACGTACTCGTCGCCGAGCGCCGTATGGCAGGTATCGCATTGGTGCACAGCAGGCTCAAAGTACCCCTGCGCCTCCTCGTCATTAGCCACGGCTTTGAGTGACAGCGTATCGTCCTGTAGCGTCCCCGGGGCGCTACGCGTAGCGCCGATCCCCACCGTGGGCGTTCCCATGGCGACATTTAGACTGCTGTTTGTGTCGCCGTCGGCAGCCTGGCTCAAGATATTCTCGCAGCTCGTGCAGCAGTATCCAATCTCGCTATTGAGCGTCGCCTTGGTGGCCATATCCAAGCCCTCATCCAGAGACATACCGCAATACGCACAGACCAAACTCGACATTGACGTCTCTGTGCCCAAGAGACCCGGGCCCATGGTTGCGCGCTTCCTCCTGTCCTTCAACTTCAAATCATCCGAGCTATCGCGGGCCAAAGATGAGGTGGGAAATACCCCAGGTACGGATGATAGCCGCCGGCGGTGCTGGAACTGTTCGTCGGTGAGCCGCGATAGGTGGCCTGTGGACGCAATGCGCGGTCTTTCTGTCATTTGAGATTGCTTTTTGAGTGATTCCAGTTGGCCTGTTAGCTTGCACACTATGGCTTCGATGGCTTCGCGGTCTCCTGTGCGCAGGGCGTCGGCCAGTGGCTGGCCATCCTCGAGACACTCTGCAAACTGCTGCTGGGCGTGTGTCAGTGCTTGGTCCGTCGACATTTTATAATTACAATTACAAGGTGTTTTGTATACGAGTGCGAAAGTAGGTGGGTGTTTTCCTGTGCGGTGAGGTTGGAATAAAGAAATGGCGGGTTTAAAGGTATATAAGGAAGTAGGAAATATTAAGGTGAATTTGCATCGATGGCGAAAAAAAGAAAGCTGTAAAAACGAGTAAAGAGTGTTGAGGATACGACAAACAAAGCGTTGTTCGAGAACGAAAAAAAAGAAAAGAAAAGAAAAAAGAAGAGAAAAAAGGGCTTTAAAGAGGGTGGTCTTCTACGTTTGCGCAAAGATCGAGAGTCTGGCTCCTGATTGCTCGCTAATTCGTGGAGAGAAAAGAGTGGGAAAAAAATGTAAACACAAACAATGGTGATTCCATTGAACTGCTGATGCCGCATATGAACAGCACATGTGCACAATTGCATGTCTAAAGTTGCCGAAACGAACATGTGTATACATGCGCGCATGTATGTCTTACTTATATGCCGCGCTCAATTGGCTGGGGGAGATTTATAGGCATTGTTTTGGCTAAGACAAAGTGAAAAATATATGCCAAAAATTCTAAAGCTATCGCTGGGTCGCACAGCGCTCAGTCAAAGTCTAGATCCTGGTTGCAGTTCTTAGTCTCAGCAGTCTAAGAAAGCAAGGCAGAACTAAAGCCGGGCTTTTACTGGTAGTTGTGCAGGCCAATGACCTCGCCGTCACCGCCGTCCTTCTTCTTGGCGTCGTCCGAGCGGCGGTTCTCCAGCTTCTGCAGGTACTCTTCCGACACGTTGCCCGCGACATACTTGCCGTCAAAGACCGAGGTGTCAAAGCTGGTGATCTTGGGGTTGAACTTCCTGCACGAGTCAATGAGGTCGGACAGGTCCTGGAAGAACACGTAGTCGGCGCCAATGGCGGCAGCAACATCGCTGTCGCTGTGGCCAGCAGCCACGAGCTCCTTCATCGAGGGCATGTCGATGCCGTAGACGTTGGGGAAGCGGATGGCGGGGGCGGCCGATGCAAAGTAGACCTTCTTGGCGCCGACGTCGCGCGCCATCTGGATAATCTCCTGCGACGTGGTGCCGCGCACAATCGAGTCGTCGACCAGCAGCACATTGAGGTCCTTGAACTCCGTAGGCATGGCGTTAAGCTTGCGGCGCACGTTCTTGCGGCGCATCTCCTGGCCCGGCATGATGAACGTGCGGCCAATATACCTGTTCTTGTTGAAGCCCTCGCGGTACGGCAGCCCCAGCTCGTGCGACAGCTGCAGCGCGGCCGCACGGCTCGTGTCGGGTACTGGGATGACAACGTCAATGTCCATGGCATCGCCCATCACCTGCCGCACCTTGCGCGCCAGCTTGACGCCCATGTCCAACCGCGCGTTGTACACCGGAATGCCATCAATGGTCGAGTCGGGCCGCGCAAAGTACACGTACTCGAAAATGCACGGTGTGATCTTCTCCTCGACCACCAGCCGCCGCCGCGTCACGGCGTACTTGGACACAATGACGACCTCTCCGGGCTGCACGTCATCGATGTCCGTAAAGTCCAGCGCGTCCAAGACCACGCTCTCCGACGCAAACATGTAGTCGTAGCCGTCGGCCGTCAGCGACTTGCGCCGCCCAAATACCAGTGGCCGGATCCCGTGCGGGTCGCGGAACCCAATGATGCCGAATCCCGCCAGCATCGCTGTCGCCGCGTACGCGCCCTGGCACTCGCTGAACAGGCTCTGGATTGCCGTGAAAATATCCTGCTCGTTGATGCGGAATTTGCCTGTCTTCTGCAGATTGTTTGCAAAAATGTTCAGCAGCAGCTCGCTGTCCGAGTCCGTGTTGATGTGCCGGTGCGCATCGTAGTCGAGGAAATGCCGCAGCTCGCTGTCGTTTGTCAGGTTGCCGTTGTGCCCCATGACGATGCCGTAGGGGCTGTTGACGTAGAACGGCTGCGCCTCCGAGTCGGCCGGCGTTCCGGCGGTCGGGTAGCGCACTAGAAGCTCACACAGAGGGAAAGAGGGTGAAAACAAGGAAGGGGCGGATGAGCTGCAGAGTGAGCGTGTTAGCAAGTTTGAGTGGAGTGATGTTTGTCTAATCCAACAGATCAAGCAATCAGTATATGCGCGCATCAAAAGTAAAATAAAGAAGTAATCGTGTGCGTGGAGTTATTGGCCCAGCCGATCTCTTCTCTCTCTCCATCTCCTTTCTCTTTCTGTCCTGGCCCAGCAACGACCTTTCCCCAACAAAGTTCAAATTTGGATCTGCAGATAGCATCGGTCGGGAACGGGGTGGCACTTGCCAAAAAAGACAGAAATAAAAAAGACAGATAGCCCGCAATGGAGAAAAAAGTCTCAATCACAGCACGCAACAGTCATTCTGGAGTCAGGAATATGCCGTGTTATCATGGAGCGGATATGGCAAAAAGGTACCACACGCGATCCCCCATTTTCAAGCAAGAAATACACAGTTCGAAATCACATTAGTTAGCCAGCTTACCGTGTGCCACGCCCATGTTTCCGGTGAGTGCCATCAAGCGCTGGGGAGTGAAGACGTCGCGCACCATCCCGTTGCCCTTGCACTGGAACAGCCGACCCTTGCTACCACAGGTGACAATGCCCGCAGCATCCTACATAAACAAAATGAGATGAAAAGTGAACGGATCGATACACTTGTGCGCGTTCATATTAGCAAATCTGGTTTCCGCGTTTTTTTCCGCCGTGCCACTCAGTATCATGAGGAGAAAGAAAGATCGGGGGGGGGGGGGGGGGGAGATATGTCTGCCTGCCCGCCACGCATCAAAGACAACAATGGTTTTGTGTGGCTGCGAGAAGACAAACGCCCAGCAAAACGCCCCCATACGATAGATCAGAAACATCCGGTACTTGCCTGACCGCGGTGCTGCAAAAGACCCAGGCTCTCGAGCAACTCACTCACTGCCGCCTGCGACTGGTCTGCCAAAATCAACGCTGAAATGCCACACATTATATAGATGTTGTTTTTTTAGAACGCTGTTATTGCTGTGTTAGTGAATATTAAAATTGTGAGTATTGGGGAGGAAAACAAGAGATGGGAAAGAAGCAAACGGACCAAAACAATACTGCTGACCCGAAAAAGGCAAACGGGAAAAGAAAAGGGCAAAAAAAGCTGTGCACTTTGGAAGACGAAATGCGCCTTCCTAAAACCAAATATCCCTTTTGTGCTTATAGAATCGAAGCATTTGTGTGTTCTCGTGCATTTGAAAAGGTGCATGCGGCGTGTGGTTGGCTGGCTGACTGGCTGGCTGGCTAGGTCTTTTTGTGCCTTTATCGCTGGGATACTAATCCTGTCTGCAGGATAAAATCAACGAGCAAAAAAATAGGATAAGGGCACACATGGGTCGATTCGCGGGTTCGAGGTGAGAAGTTGAGGAGGAGGGGATTTTGGGGAGGCATTATGAAATCGAGGGCAGCCCGGCAAGCGAAAGCCAGCGGCCATATTGGCTCGAACCAACCTTGGTCAAAGCACCCATCCATCGCGCAAGCTCTTCTCTTTTCACCGCGCTCTCTAAAAACAATATTTTGCTTTCTATCATTTTTTTCACACACCCACACACACCTTAACAAATCCTCTTCTCTTCAAGCACATTATCAACAATGGTCTCTCGCACTTTCTGGGTCGGTGGTAACTGGAAGATGAACGGCTCCGTCGCCGCCATCAAGGACCTCGCCACCACTTTCAACGCCGGCAGCTCGCCCTCAGACGTCGAGGTTGTCATCGGCGCCCCCTTTGTCTACGTGCACCTCCTCTCCGAATCCCTGCGCAAGGACTGGGCTGTCGCCGGCGAGAACTGCTATGTGGAGTCCAGCGGCGCCTACACTGGCGAGATCAGCCCCGAGATGCTCAAGGATGTCGGAGCCCAGTGGGTCATCCTCGGCCACTCCGAGCGCCGCAGCATCCTCGGCGAGTCCGACGATTTTACCGCGCAAAAGTGCGTCAAGGCCCTGGCTGCCGGCCTCAAGGTCGCCTTGTGTGTTGGCGAGCTTCTCGAGGAGCGTGAGGCTGGAATCACCCAGCAGGTTGTCGAGCGCCAGCTGGATGCCGTCATCAAGGTGCTCAAGGAGGAGGACTGGGCTAACGTTGTCATTGCCTACGAGCCCGTCTGGGCCATTGGTACCGGCAAGGTCGCTACGCCCGACCAGGCCCAGGAGACCCATGCTGCCATCCGCGAGTACCTGAAGAAGGCTATTTCGCCCAAGGTCGCCGAGGAGACCCGTATTGCATACGGTGGCTCGGTCAACGGCAAGAACTGCAAGGAGGCCGCCCAGAAGCCCGACGTCGATGGTTTCCTCGTCGGCGGTGCCTCGCTCAAGCCCGAGTTCCTTGATATCGTCAATGCCACCCAGTAATTTTAAATAATTTTCCCATTACCTTTTTCTATACTTGCAGTCTTTTGACTGGGAAGAAAAATAAATATTATCTTTAAAATAAAAAGCAATGTACAAGTTGGCCCCTCACATGGGTTTGTGCTGTTTGCGCGCAGTGGTCCTGTTTGCCGCGGTCCGGCGCTTCTTAAACAGTGCACCCATTGCGGCCGGGTCCTCCTCAGCACCATCATTGTTGATGTTGCCGATCTTGATGGCACCAGATGCTACTGTCTTCTCCTTAATTTCAAACTGGCTCAGCCGTTGCGGATTATTCCCATCCGCATCGTCGAGCACCCCTGCGCCGCTCCGCTTCACTCCCTGCGTACCCTCATATCGCGACAAATGGATCCTCCGACCGACACTCGACCCAGAGCGCGCAGCCTTACGCTCCGGCCGCACTTCTGCCGCCGGCTCTGGCTCTTCGACAACCTCCCACGCGCCAACAATGCCAGCATCGTCTGCCCTTTGGTTGGACTTGTCCTGCACGTCCGGCTCGCTAGACTCTGCGTGGCCCTTCTTTTCATCCTTTGCGCTTACGCTGGGTTTCTCGTCAGCTGCGGATGCCTTGGGAGCTTCGCCCTTGTTGCCAATGTCCCTGTTGTAGCTGAGCATTGCCGCGCGCTCGATCTTGTCCAGATCCGAGCGCAGCTTCTCTTCTGCTTCCCGCTTTTCCTTTGAATCGGTTTCGATCTTGCGAAGATACTTTTGCACGCATTCTTTATGCTTCGCCCCACGCTCATGCATATCCCGACTCTACAAAGAATGGGCAAAAAACGCGCATTTGACATTTGAGAGGTGCAAATAAACAAACGCACATCAGTTAACATATGATTTATTTTCGTTGTTTCGGACAATAATATTCTTCAATTTTTATCAAGACTTACTGATTTGTTGTCGTGCACAAAGATCTGGCAGTACTGGCACCAGTACTTGGTGCTGCGGTCCCATGGCGCCTTGCGTTGCGCCGACGAGGACATTATTGTCTTTTTTGAATGTTTTAAAGGCGGTGTGTGAGAAAATATAAAGGTGAATATGCGAGTCCGGGATATACTGCGAAGAAGTGAAGCTGCCCTTATTTGCAAGCGTGCAAATATTAGCTGGAGATAAATTCATCAACAGAAAAAGGCCAAAGTTGGTCGATAATATAGGGGTTAGGTTCACGTGAATAGAGTCAATTTTCAGCCCTGCCCCTTTTCAATCGAAGAAATTTAAACCAATTATATTTGCAATTTTTTGTTGTGTGTGTGGGGGGATAAAAAATGAAATGTGTTCAGGCACACAGATTCGATTTTCCCCTCCTTTTTTATCTGCCTTGATTGTTTTGTTTTGTTCCCCTTGCACTTTAATTTTCCATACCCTTATTATATTTCCATTTATAATTTGCAATATGGTCGACAGCCGAGAGACAATAGTCGTTATTGGCGCCGGGATAGTTGGTGTATCTACAGCGTATTTTACAATGAAGAAGCTGGTCTCAGAGCACCCGTCCTCCGCAACCCGCCCACGAGTCATACTCCTTGAGCAGTGCGAGCCCGGCTGCAGCGCATCGGGAAAGTCCGGCGGCTTCCTCGCCCGCCACTGGTCAGACGGCACCGACACAGAACAGCTTGCACAATTCAGCTACGACCTGCACGCCAAGCTAGCAGCCGAACACGACGGAGCCACCAAGTGGGGCTACCGACCGCTGGACACCTTTTCTGCCGAAATCGACCGCATCCCCGTGGCACCCTCCAAGCAACGCAAGAAGGGGCACCAAAGGACAGAGTCCGAATCCATCGTGACCTCCATCGAGGTCATTGCGCCGCAGCCGCATTTGTTGTCGCCCTTTGCCACAAATTACTCGTGTTCGGGGACGCCCAGCGCCCTTGAGGATATCCAGACCAGCACGCATGCGTCGATCTCGGTTCCAGACTTACAGGCTGTCAAGAGTGTGCCGCCGGAGACTGTGCCGTGGCTTAAAACCAACGTTTTGACGAATCTGCGCCAGGTCGGTGGCACTGGAAATACCGCGCAGGTTGATCCGCTGAAACTCACGCGGGCGATGCTCGCTGAGGCTAAAGCACTGGGACTCGAGGTTGTCCGGGCCAAAGTTATTGATGTGGCCGAAACTGGATACCGTCCGCCAGTCATTGAGCTCTCCATAGACAACCACCATACTATCTCGCAGGACATGCTGAGCATAATCAAGCCAAAGACCGCCGCCCAGGTGATGATGGAGCTGGACGACGCGCGCAACGTCAACAATGGCGTGTCTAGGACCACCAAGCCCTACGTTGTGGTACTCGATCAGGTGGGGCTGGATATTCCCGCTGACAAGATTGCCGTTGCCTGTGGCGCCTGGGTGACCTCGTGTCTGCGCTGGGAGGCCTTCCGCGAGGTTTCCGCCAGCCAGATCCCCATCCAAGGCCTGCGCGTCCACTACCTCCTGGCCAAACCAAAGGTTGAAATCCCAGCCCAAGCGGTATTCGCCGAAATCAACGGCACCGTGTATAGCGGCGAAGACGCTATTGAGATATACCCGCGGCCCGACGGCTCCGTATTTGTCTGTGGCGAGGCCCTTGACGATCCCGAAATGCCACCGCATAATCCTTTTGAGCCCGTGTACAGCAAGCATGCGACCAGCCGGCTCAAGCAGATTGTCAACGATGTCAGCCATGCACTGTCCTTTGATGTGATCCAGTATGGTTTGGCCTGCCACTTGCCTGTTCATGCGAAGGGCATTCCGGTGATCTCAAAGGTACCAACAACTAAGGGGTTGTATATTGCCGCCGGACATGGGTGCTGGGGCATCCTGAACGGGCCAGCCACTGGGCTTGCTGTTTCTGAGTTGCTGCTCGACGGAAAGTCCACCACGCTTGACTTGACAAACTTTAGGCTAGACAGGTGGTACTGAACAAACGAAACAAATAATAAACCTTATTTATATTTATATTTCCATATGCATGTGTATTTATTAATTTATAATATTTGTGAATTGCAAATAAAAAATGGAATTACGCTCAGTCGCGATGCTGGCAGATGGCTCTATTGCTGTAGTTGTAGTTGCGTCCTCAAGTGCCAATAACAAAATGTAATAAAAGTTGGTCCATGTAAATTATTAGATAAAGCGCGTCATGATTAATTTTATTTTTTGCAACTTCAAGAACGAGGACTCATTGTTGCGCTGTATCTGACCTGTATCTCGCTCCGGATGTTGTACGCCTGGCTAACTATCCGGCTGATATTCATTTTCGGCAGTCGCAGCAGCATCGATCTGATCTCTGACTGCTCCAGGTCCTCCAGCAAGTCCTTTAGGTGTCTGAGTATGGCCAGGCAGACAAACGGGTGGAACTCGATGTAGTCCGGCATGGCAAAGTAGACGTCCCACAGACTCAGCACACTGGGCGTCGGCAGTTCTTTGGACAAGAGGTAGCGCAGCCAAGAAGACGCCCACTCGCTGACGTCCAGCTCCTCCTCCTCAAAGTAGTTGTATAGCTCGGGCATCAGCATTCGGAAGTACGATAGGAACTGGGCCACGCGCTTGTTGATGTTGTTGTCTTGCGACGACTCGGCTAAACAAATGAAAAAGAATAAGTGAGCAGTGTGTGATTTTTATTTTGGCTGCAAACAAAAAATGAGCTCATTGTTTGGAGAAGCAGTGGAAGAATTTGCCAAACTGACAGCGAAACTTGCATTCAATGACAAAGGCATACCGAGATGATGATTACTTACATAGCACATTGGCCAGACGCTCGAAGCAGCTGTAGACGTCGCACTCATTCCGCATTGTAATGACAAACGGCGTGCAAACTGAAATGAGTGCTGGCGAGTACTCAACATGGTTGTGGCAGTTGATGTACGCACAAATGACGGCCTCAAAGATATCCGGCGCGGTGTGCGGGTCCAGCAGGACCTCCTTTTTTGTGCGCATCAGGTACCGATTGACCTCGCCGCGCACCCGTTTGCTCACTTCGACATTCTCCTTGTCAATATCCTGGTACGACTCGTAGCGGGCGCGGCGTTGTGTGAACTCGTTTGCTACGTTGTATAGCACAGTGGCAATTTGCGTGTTTTTTTGGGAGAGGGAAGGGAGCGAGAGATCGAAGTTTCAGATGAGATTTTATGGGCGGTATAAGCAAATTCACGATTTTGACAATGATGAGCTCATGAATAGAACATGTGCAATTGGGCGCATTGTCCATAGTGGCAACTTACATCTGTCTGATTTCTCGACCCCAAGCAGGTACTTCCAAACCTCCTAATTGGCCAGCAATGATGTATTAAAATAGCAGCGATGGTTAGAATCAACATGTCGGAACGCTTTTCCGGGCACCAATTAAAGTATCACACACATATGTAACAATTGAAAAAACAAGATCATGATGCAAATGAAAATCGTGATAATAATACTTCAGTCACACGTACAAAAAAGCATGTATCCGAATATGTTTCTTTTTGGCGATGACGATTGCTTGCCGCTCGCCGCAATTGGAATGACGATGATTAAATGCCCACAATTGGAGCGGAGAAAAATAAAAACAGGCGCGGAAAGTGACATGTGCACACCAAGTGCGCCCAGCAGCATGTAAGGTGAAAAAACAATTTGTTATAGCGTATCGGCTATTTTTTTCTGCTCGAGTGATTTTTTATAAAAAAAGGACCTTGGAACAAGAAACAGCTCAATAAGGTGTGTGCATTAAGCATAATCAAAAACAAGTTGTGAAAATAAACCAATCCCTATTTTTCACATTTAGAAACCCCTTTCTACACGCTAATGCGTGGGAAGGAGGTCAAAGCAGAAGGGGGAGAGAAGAGTGAGAGATGTGGATGCGGATGAGCTCCGTAGCGTTCCGAAAGTAAGAATATCTGGAAATTAAAGTTGTATCTTCCAGGCAGATGGGAACATAATAAAAAATATCCCAACATTTTGTTGTACTTACTCCGCGAATTTCGTCTGGAATTCCATGGCGGGCAAACTTGCGCAGCTTATTAACGTCGACAAACACCTCTGACTCGAGGACCTCGTCAAAGTCCTCTCGCAGCAGAGTCGAGTGCAGTGGCGGCGAGGCGCGGCGGCGACTGGGGCTGCTTCCTGATACTGATACTGCCGATGAGCTTGATTCTGACGATGCTGGTGGGCTCCGAGACATGGCTGTGGTTTGGCTGCGGTTCGGCTGCGGTTTTGTGTGTGTCTGTTGTGCCTTGTCGAATGAGCGAATTCAAAATTATATAGAGAAAAAATATAGCTAAGTTTGTAGCAAATAGTACAGGCAGTAAAAGGTATAAAATTAAAAACAAATGAAAATGAAAAATAGGAGCAGGCAGAGAAAGAGGGTGTGGAGGGGAAGGAGATAGGCACGGGCCTGCCGACTGGTAGATAAAAAGAATGAAAAGATGATGAAGAGCGAAACAGCAAAAGAGAGTTTTGGGGAAATAAGGTCTGGGTTTGTAGAAAGATAAAAAAAGCATAAGGGGATTATAATCATTTTTTCTAATATCAAAAAGCGGGTTATTTCAGCGAAGGAAAACTGTTGGATTTCCCTTGGATTTTTCCTCAATATTTTAAAAATACAACAATCAAAATACAAGGCCTTTTTTGTGACTTTGTATTTTATCTCGAGCTTTGGCCCCTCGCCTGTGGCCTGACTTTTCTTCTCGCCCTTGTAATGTTTTGAAGACAATGAATGATAATGGATCTGCACCGAAATGCGCACTTGCGCATCTGCGCTCTGTGTTCCTCCCAGGCGCGTTGATGCAATGCAATGCAAAATAGCTTATGAAGTTGTCGCAAAGAAAAGTACTACAAGAAAATATTGTCTCGACCGGGAATATCGCCTTTTCCCGCTTTCCTCCGGCTATCCGCATCCACAGGCACCATAACTGCCCGCAGCGCACCTAGCTGCCGCAGCCCCAGCCGCAGAGCAGTCAGCATTTCACTTCCGTGACGACATACCACTGCTTTTATTTTCTATTGTGCCCGGAAAGCCTGGCCCTCGCTTCCGATATTTCTTTACACACGTACGACTACCATTCGCGCTGACATCTTGCAGGCACAATCAGAGCCACAGGGCCAGAGTCAAATCAGCCACTTTTCCAGTCGAAAACGACATTATTAACAAAAAACTGGTTTTTGAGCATGGCATCAGCGCGCGTAAGTGGCGCCAGTATTCTAACGAGGCACTGGCGCAAGGCGTTCTACGGCATCGGCGCCTTTTCGGTCTTCACATTCACCACCGACAACATAGTGACGCTGCAGATGATCAGCGGGCGGTCGATGCAGCCGGCGCTCAACCCAGACTCGAGCCGGCTGTGGCGCGACATCGTGCTCATGGACCAGCGCGTGCGCGGTGGCATGTATGTGGAGCTGCTGAAGCGCGGCGACGTTGTCACATTTGTGTCACCTTCAAACCCAGATCTCCTCCTGGTCAAGCGCATTATTGCGCTGCCGCATGACTGTGTGGTTCCTCTGAGCAGCACTGACTCGTTTGTGAGGATACCTGCGGGTCAGTGCTGGGTCGAAGGCGACGAGTCCTTTCATAGCGGCGATAGCAACTCGTTCGGCCCCGTGCCCATGGCGCTGTTGAGGGGCCGCGTGCTGACGCCTGTGTGGCCACCGTCGAGGCTGGGCGCGCGCGTGGCTGGCATGCCCGAGTGGAAGAAGTCCCGGGTCTACGTGGATGGACGCACTCGGCTGTCCTCAGCCTCTTGAATTAATATGTTGGTTGATCAAAATCAATGCATATGAATGAATAAGCCCCAGGATCTAGATCCTACAGCTGAATTTGATTTAGAAAAAAAACCCCGCGTGATTATATTATGCTCCTTGACTTTTCGTCTTTGCTCTCTTTTTTATTTTTCTCCACTTAATTCTCTTTTATAAACTTTTGAAATCAAGTCTGCACTTTATAAATTCGAGACCCATGAGCAGCCCCACAAACGACAGCAGGTACGTTGGACATCTATTTTCTTTGCTTCACACGGGCGGGTGGCTAGCACACTTCTCAGGTTTTGATTGACTAACTACACCTTTGTTTCTTATGTTAAAATAGCGCGTCCAGGAAAAGACGCTGGGACGCGAACGACGAGTCCGACAAGGCGCCACCAACAAACCAATACGTTCCTCCGCCAATGGACGCGCCTCCAAAGAGAAGAGCCGGCGCATCAACTCTTTTTACGGCCAACATTGATATCAATAGCTCGACAAACCGCCAGTATCTGGCCAGCAACTCGGCACACCGCGCCATCATTGAATCAGCCGGTGTTGAAGTCTCGACCAAGGGCAGGTACTGCCCGAACACAGAAAAAGCCACCGATGCCGACCCTGCATTGCATCTACATATCGAGGCGCCGTCGCAAGAGTGCCTTGACAGGGCAATTGCAATGGTCGAGCGTCTGAAGACAGAGGCGCCCAGCGAAGAATCTGCTGGATCGTCGCAGGCCATGGCAGCAATGGCGCTGAATGACAGCAGCGAATACGGCGGCGTGAACCGCCATTACCGGCCCGGGTCTGCCTCGGGCTCTGCCTCGGGAAGCCACAGTGGCCGGCTGCAGGAAAAGGTGTTTGTAGACATGGAGTCTGAGCGTGGATTCAACGTGCGCGCAAAGCTCATTGGCACAGGGGGCGAAAACATGAAGTATATTCAGAACACGACAGGCGCCCGCGTGCAGGTGCGGGGCCGCGGATCCGGCTTTGGCGACGGCCCAATGGCAGCAGACTCGAACGAGCCCATGCATCTCTATGTCACGGCACGTACCGAGGAGGCCCTCACCCAGGCGAGGGATTATTGCCAAAGCTTAATTGACACTATCCGTTCACAGTACTTTGAGTTTAAGGACGGCGGCAGCCGGAGGCAAGACTACCATTCGCAGGGCAGCGGCAGTAGAGACTCCCGTGATCGCCAAGCGGGCCACTACCAATCACAGCGCTATGAATCGTATCCGAACGGGCGCTCCCAGCGGTCATACTCTAGGTCGTACTCTGGAAACCAGAACCAGCCCTCATCTGGATACTACGACCAAGCGGCAGCCTCCAATTACGACCAGCAGCAGCCGTACTCTGCAACCCCAGATGCAGCAGCCGATCCGCAATCGGCAGCTTTGGCTGGCGGCGATGCAGCTGCGTATGAAGAGTATATGAAATATTGCACGCAGTACTACCAGTACTACGGGACATACCCGGACCATTCCAGCTACTACAGCCAAACTGATGCGAGTGCGCCGGTACAGCCTGCCTCTGTGTCCGGTACCACTGCCGATGCGACAGGCGGCCACACATACGCGCAGCCCTCTGAGGCAACGCCATCCTCCCGCACGGCACCGACGCCAGAGGTGGTCGCGGAAATCAATGGCGATTACGAGGAAGGGTATCACAATGTCCCCCCGCCGGCAACCTACGCTGGCAACAACCAACAGGTATGAAACTCTACAGTGAACCTGTCTTGATATGTTGCGGATGCATCCTTGGTTTGTGACCATATAAAGTTTTTGCTCTGCTAAAAAACCCGCCAACTGACTCACCACATTTTGAAAACCTTGTCTGCAAAATTTGTCGTACCACTTTAAAACATACTTCGCCATCGTCACAAGGCTCAAATTTAAAAGAACAAGGTACCGCACTCTATGAACGGCACATTGCAAAATTCCCAATTGCGATTCCCTCGTCGCTGTATTACATTGCTCGCTCAGCACACTGTTCTAACATTACATTTTGGAAAAGTTTATTTTTTTTGTAGGAGCAGGCCAAAAGCAGATCCAAGAGCCGGCAACGCTACGAGTCCAAAGACCCGCTGTCATTGGTATTGAACAAGCACTCTAGAAACTAAATAACATAATAAATTTATTGTTAACAAAAAAAACTTTGTTCTGTGTGTATATCATATTTTTTTGTATATTTGCTCAAGCAGCGACAATGTCGTCCTGATTACCCGCAGCGGCAAACTGCTGGTTCTTGTTGACCTGCGCCAAGCATCTCCTGACTTCCTCCTTGTAATCGGCCGACACACAAATGTACAGCTGGCCAATAGCAGCCAGAATGACGCTAATGCTAAAGCCGAGCCACAGGCCAGAAACGCCCAAGGCGGGCGAGCCATACGTGAGGAACAGACACAACGGGAGTCCAATAGCGTAGAATGCGGGGAAATTGATCCATGCCCCGGCAGACTGGCGGCCAAGGCTGCGCAGAACGCCACCACTGACGCAGTTCATCGCGTCGGCCAATTGAAACAAGGCGCAGAGTGGCATGATCAATGCCACCTTTTCAATGACTTCGGGGTCGTTCGAGTACAAACGGCCCCACGAGCCAGCAACGACCACACAGAACAGGGACGTCATAGTGCCAGTGCATGCGCCCAGTACAATACCAACATTGGCAGAGACGCGGGATCTTTTAGCACGCTCCTGGCCCAGCAGATTGCCAACACGGTTGCTGATGGCGATGCTAAGGCCTGCAGTCAGCTGGTAGGTCATCGAACAAGTGTTGATGACAATACTCTGCGCAGCCAGGGTGGTCGTGCCGAGGTAGCTGGCAGCAATGGCCATGAGCTCCCAGGCGGCCCAGTCTGAGCACACCAGAATCATCGAGGGAATGGCCAGGCGGTAGTAAGGCACCATTGTAGTCACCGCGCGCCATGTCCACCCGCCCCAAGCCTCGCGAGCATCGCTGCGCACGCAGTACATCAGGATTCCAATCAGCATTGCCCAGAAAGTGATCACATTGGCCAGTGCCGCGCCCAGGAAGCCAATTCCCACGTATGGCGACCACACCAAAAGGTAATTGTTTGCCAGGTGCAAGGGCAGTACGGCTAGCAGCACGTATGTGCTGGATTTCATGTGACCCTGTGCCTGCAAAAACCGCTTAATGCACTCAAATGCCATCCAGGGGAGTGATCCCCAAAGCTGCATAGTCACAAATTTGCCGCATAATTGTGCTACCTCCGCATCCTGCTTGAGGGCCAGGAGTATCGGGGTTATGTACAGGAGCATGGGCAGGACGAGGAAAAAGTGTATGACAATGGAAATGAGACCGCGCTGCAGGTGGAAGCCCATCAATGTTTTATCCTTTGACGCCGTGAACGACGTTGAACAGAATGTGTCCAGTGCCGAGGCCAGCCCCACAGACGGAGCATTGACAAACATGAAGAGAGTCATGTTTGCAAGAGCTGCGGCAGCTAGCTCATTGGCACCCAGATGGCCTAGCGAGAGAATGTTGACAAAGTTGAAGCTGAACTGCAAAAAGTAGGACATCGTCACCGGAATGCTCCTGTAAAGCAGGATACCAGCCTCTTGCCTTAACATGTCCCGAGCGCTGATGTTATCTTGATCAATAAACTCATTGTAGAGCGTGGTATTTGATCTGGATGCAACAATGTTACCACCTGCCTCGGGAGCACCGACTGTGCTAATGCTGCTGCTGCTGTCGTTAGAGGTAGGATGTAAAAGAGGCGATGTTTCTGACTGACGCTCCATCGTGAGAATATCTATCAATAAAAATAAAATTCGAGTGCAAAAGGATGATCCAAAAACTGGGGTTTTTTTGGTTGCCTTGACTCCTCGATTTATACTTTTTTCTTGTCAGAGAAATTTTCTTCATCATGCAATGAACATACTTTAAAACAGTTGGAAAACGGGTTTAACACTATCCTAGAATCCCCGTGTCAATGCCAAAAAAAAGTGTACAATACATGAACTTTTTTATGATCGTGGTCTTTCCCATTTGGTATTTTTTAGATTGAATATTCCGTCCCCAAAAAAATGCAAGCGAATAAGAGTTGGTGAACATTTTGGCGCGTGTCCGAGCGTTCGTTCAAATAAAAATAAACAAAATGGCTTTAATGCACAGACAATGTTGACATTTTTAAATAAGTGGCTAATCTGCAACCCCCAAAATGCGTCTATGGGAACTTGTGCATTCGCATTTCTGCGAACAAGAAACAAATCAAATGACATTGATGGTGTGCACCAAGAAAGTATATTCTAATTTGGTTAAAATGGAATCTACTTACTGTCAATAATATGCCCTGGTGCGTGAAGTATGACATTACGTGTTTTAAATTGCCGGAAAAAATAATATGCGCAATTTCAATTTTAATATATTTCACACAATGTATCTATTTTTCTCTCATAATATGCGCAAATTCACCAGTCAACAGAACAGGGTTTGCTATTCATTGATATTTGCGTTATTCTTTGAACTAATCAAAAGCGCACCTTTGCTTGTTAGTTATGTTACGCAGCCCAAGGAGATGGAAGTAGACGCTGAGGTTGAAAGTCGTGAAACAAGTTTCCATCTGCATGCCAATTGACAGGGTACTAATTGGATTATGCAGGAGTAAAGTAGGGAGGCATTATAATGATGCCTAGACATGCTCCCCATTTTGCAATGCACACGCGCGAGCGCACACATACGAAAACCAAAACATTGACTTGCCAAGATACCGGTCTGCTCGCAAAAGAATCAGTTATCGCCAACGGAGTGCACAACTGGCGAAGTGCACAACAAAGGTGACGAGGTACATATATAAGACGAGGCTGGCCCTAGTTCTACTCTTGCTTCCCTTGATAATAAATCCCTTTATAAATCCATCACCTTTCTAACACTACCACTATAGTGCTCCTTACACCACCCTCTCTTATAACAGTTAGATGCTAGTTTTATTAAGTAGGCTCAACCGCTCACTAATCACATTGCAATCGGAGTCTAGATCCTCATCAAGATTCCCTGTGCCTTAGAACACTGCCAGGAGGCTGTATAATCCCTCATAGTACTTTACAAAAATAAAGTTATTTGTCATCCCCTTATTCACAATGTGTCCATGCGGGCAATATAATAGACGCATTTTTGTTTTAAAGCGAGCACATTGTGTTTTTTTATCTGTGTGCTGAAAATTGTTTTTTTTTTACTTCTTTTGCTTCACTTTATAATTTTGTAAACCCACCAGACACAGACAGTAACATTTACACACTCAATCACTGCAATGGTCGGCATTTACTATCCCCTGGCTTCGTCTCTCTTTGCGAACGGTATTTTTGCCGGCTTGGGATGCTCAATGAACTTTGTGAGTGTCCCTTGCATTAGGGCGTCGTCAGACCCTCTGTCCGTATTTGCAACCAACCTCAAGAAGGCGGCTAAAATTGGCATTATTACTAGCGTCGTTGGCGGTGCATCTCACTTATACGTATGGTACCGCACTGGCAACCCTATTTCTCTCTTCAATGGCATTCTGTCGTTTGCGATAGTTCCGTTCACCATTCTGTTTATCAAACCGCTCAACGACACAATGCTTCGTATGCACAGCGAGAAATCAAAGGACAGCCGCAAGATAGCGATGCTTGTAGACAAGTGGAACTCACGCCAGTGGGTGCGCACCATTGCTGGGACTATTGTTTTTGTCATCAATATCAACCAATGCCTGGGCCTTGGGTGCTATACACTGTGGAACTAGGCCGCGGCTGGTAACCAAGTTTAAATTTTTACAACTGTTGACGGCCATTAGAATACTTTTCAACCAATGACAGAGCAATTCAATCAATAAAATTACATTACATCTCGTCACATTGTGTCCGATATATCAGATGTCACTAAACAATTGGCACGCGAGAAAGCCCAAAGTTGCATCTGCGTGGAAAATGTTCCGTACCTCCAAACAAAACACGCTTAAAATTGCATTTTATCGCTGCTAATTGCTAGTTTGTATAACTTGCAGGTATAAAACTAGAACAAAAGGACATTCGCGAGGTTTCTCAAAAAATAATAGTGGCGAATATTTTATTCACGATCAATTAAATAACATACTTTTGCATTTTACTCAGAATTTATTAGCTGCAATTAACATGGAACCAAGCAACTCCGGCATTAACACTCGTATTATTTTGCGCGAGTACGCCTCCAAGGGTGTCAACTCTACGTCATGTTTTAGCATTGACAGGAGCCAGCCCGTACACAGTGTTGATTCCCTGTCTGAAGGCCAGGTGCTTGTAAAAACATTCGCCCTCTCGGTTGACCCACACCTGCGCATTTACATCTCGGCGCCCGAGGGTTCCTCCGGTTTTAACTCTCCGTCTGAGCAGCATCCGCTAGGCGAGCCCATGGCCTCCATCGGCGTAGGGACTGTAATTGCTTCAAGAAGCGTGCTGTTCAAGACTGGTGATCATGTTCGCAGTATGACTATGCCGTGGCAGTCGTTTTCTGTGGTTGCAGATTACAGCCTTATTAAGCTTCCTCAAAAAGAGGATGTGCCCCTTTTGAGCTACCTTGGCATGCTTGGAATGCCTGCGTTTACGGCATATTTGGGCATAATTACCATCGGCAAGGCCAAGGCCAGAGAGACGGTTCTGGTATCGGCTGCGTCGGGCGCAGTCGGCCAAATAGTCGTGCAGCTAGCCAAGATCCACGGCCTGCACGTCATTGGTCTTGCTGGATCTGACGAAAAGACTGCCTTTGTCAAGAGCATTGGCGCTGACGCAGTCATTAACTACAAAGCTTGTGACAATCTGGACGCCGCCATCAGGCAGGTAATTCCCCAGGGCATCGACATTTACTTTGATTCTGTTGGTGGAAGCATCCTTGACGCAGCCATTCTCAACCTCAATGCGTATGCGCGAGTGATCCTGTGCGGCTCGATGTCTTCATTTGGGGCTGACAAGTCGCTGACTGAAGGCGTCAAGAACCTTGACGCGCTGATCACCAAGGAGGTCACCATGAAAGGTGTGCTTTACTCGCTGCATTCTGGGACCCAGGATGAAATTGAATTTTTCCAGGAAATGTCCCAATTGGTCGAACAGGAAAAAATAACGTTCAAGGTTGACGAGAGATCTGGCCTTGAAAGTGCGCCTCAAGCGCTAGTGGACCTGTACGCAGGGAAAAACTTTGGCAAGGTCGTTGTCAAGGTGGAGTAGCAATTGCTTTCTTTTGTTTTTCTTTAATATATTCCGGAAACAATTTTGGCCGCGTGGCATACCAAATCCGTTCATTGGTTCTTGTCTGAATATCCTATCCAGAAAAGAAGGAAAATCTGGTGCTCCCAGCATTGACAAAACGCTGCTCATTTTGCAGAAGTAGGCAGCTTGGCAGCCTCCTTTGTTTAATCAAAAGAAGCGAGTACCAGCATGCTGTATGTGCTTTGCTCATGTGCCCCGCATCTTTCTCCCCGAATTTCCGTATCCTTAAAAATCGGCCGTCCTGAAAGAAAACGAAGATGCCAGATACACAGTGAAATATATATAAATCGAATTCAAACTTGATGAATAAGTGAAATTGGTGACAATAGCCTGCAGGTCACAAGGCGCATACGCCCTGTTGCGCTTGGCTACTCGCATCTATTTTTCTAGTTTAATTCTTTATTGTTTATTTGAGAAGTTTTTCTTGCAACAATTCAATTGCTTTGCACGTGGAGGGAGTATTTGTTGAATGGCAAAACTGGCCCCTATTCTTGCACGAACAGACATGATGCATCTATTGGCTTGTAATTTGTTGCTCTCGCGGGTACGTAATTAAAGAGGCTTTCGGACATTATTATAATACATTGGAGCGCTACTTTTTTCTCTTTCTTTTTTAATTTACTCTCTCACTTTCGCTTTTTGTTATTCCCTTGTTTCTTGTGCGGTTCATCAAAATCTAATATTCATTTGTACATTTATTGTTGATATACGCTTTTCATTTACTCGTTCGCTCGCTTTCTCTCACGCACAAACACATTTTTTATTGTCATTATATCGAGCTTCCTGAAAAGCACGCAGCCGCACTGCTTATCACACGCCTGGAATACATGTCACCCACGGCCAAGGCAAAGGCAAAGGCGAAAGAAGGGCCGGCCGATCAACGCAATGGAATGCAAGCACAGCGGGAAGGTGAAGCTGTCTCTGAGCATGCATCTGAGCGAGGTGATCGTCGTGCATCGTCGGTTTCATATATTTTCCAGACTAAGCTCGGACTTTTAAGCAGGTACCTGGAGGACCACACGACAATGTCTCAGGACAAAATTTCTGTGACGCCAGGACCTTCCGAATCTCTTTCCAAGAATGGCGCTGGCCCGTCGAGAGTTGCTGTGCCAGAGCTCGCACGAGAATCTAATGTGCAGGGGCAAAGAGGGAAGCAAACACTGCGCAAGAGCCTTCGCAACCCAAGCACGGCAAATTATGGCGAACACCCGGTCACATATAACGTACGTCCGAAGGACAGCGGGGGAGCAAACTTGACTACTATCCATGCCCATCCGCAGATATTGGGCGCGAAAAAGCAAAAGCGTCTGGGAATATTCAACAAAGGCAAGGCGGTAGTTTCCAACGGCACAACAGGTAATATGACGCACTCAGGCTGCCATCTTTTGCACTCATGTCATGTAGTAGATACAGCGATGACCGTGGGTATTGGCTCGTATATTTCAGACACAAATGTGCCGCCACCAACTGACAAGCGCGACGATATTTGCAATTGCCGGAATAAATTGGCGGAATGTTTTGCCATCATGTGACCACATGTTTGACTTGGCACATTGCCGTCGAATTCTAATTTGTGTTTAAAATGGTTGCTTAACAATAATGATATATATAGGGATTGCGTTTTCCGAGAGGGAGTTTCTGGCATCTGCAAACATCAACCGCATCCGACTCGATGGCGCAGAGCACGCCGCAAGAAACAATAGTTCACCAGATGCGCACCCTCAGTTGCACCAGGCACTCGCGGATGACGAAGAGGACGCAGATGTGGGCAGCGGCATCAGACGTGAAAGCGAGGTAACTGGCAGAAGAATGAGCGTGAGCAGGGATAATGTCGAAAGCAATTTCTCACAGCACGACCACCAATTGCCGATACGCATAGGCCCCACAAGTGAGGGCCCTCCTTGCCACAATGCGTTCAGACAGCGATGCAGATCCTATGGCCATGTATCAAACATACAGGACACTGCGTCTTCCGCTGGGCAAAACCACGCGCATTTTTCCGATTCACCATTTGGATCGCATACCTGGCTGTCACGGCAAGCTCGGAGCGTGCACCCCACACCGCCCGCATCTGCTGACCGCGAATATGTGATGTTTGGGGAGCATGTCAGTGATTGCGGGACATCACCGGTGGCCAACGACACGACAAACATCCGCTTCTTACATCAAACAGACTTTTGCAGTTCTTTGCTTCTCGGATCAATATCTGATTGTTTGAACGAAAATTCTGAGCTGCAGCCTACCCCGCTGTCCAGCAGCAACAGCATGGATCTGGACGTCAGTCTTCTATTTGAAAGGCAGGACGCGTATGCCACAAATCCCTCGAATTCAGAATGTAACATCAGAGACTATTCGCTGGATGCACTGTCTGGGTTTAACAGCAGTTTTTTTGCTTCTCAGGACCTGCCCTACAACAGGTGCGTAGGCGACATCACGGTCGACGACCTTAGAGGCAGCCGGAATGAAGTAAACACGCGCTCCTCGCTTCTTTACCCGCCGCTACTGTCTTACCACCACCAGCACCAGCAGAACTACGGATTACCTAATGAGGTGAGCGCACAAAGCTTTGACACACTGCCCGAGTATGCACCACAGTTAGAGATGCCGCCTCCGTATCTATCTATGCACAGCATGTCCTCTCTGGCCGCTGGAAACGACAGCATAAACGAAATTCGCCGGTTCAACCAGTCGCGCGCTTACATTCCAATATCAGCGTACCCAAACAACCTTTTGCAAAGAAACCTTCTGCCATACGGAGATTTTGCCATGACTAGCACCCCGCCATACAGCGACATACCTGTGGCAAACAGCTGCTCAAGCCCAATTGATTTTAGGTACTATCCGCGCAGAATGAACTAATCAATCAACATGACAGCCCAAATTGTAGTATTGTTTTGCAATTTTTGTAATAATATTACAACTATTATAATGATTACAACTATGACTTGACTCGTGTCAAGGACAAAATAAACAGACCCCAAGCAGTGACCAACAAAATGCCTATAAATACCAGATACAAATATCTCCGGCGAGGAATTTTGACAGCCACCTGCGCTGGGTGGCCAACACGTTTTTGGGTGTCCGAATCGCTGTCTGTGTCGACAGCGCTATCGGCGGTGTTGTTGGGGCATTTACTGACAGCAAGCTTTTTTCTGTCGGAATTGCGCCCTGTGTCTTTAAACCCCGAACTCCTCGATTCTTCAGCGCTGGTGGTCACATATGGATCCTTTGAATTCAGGCGACCGCCGTTAAACTTGTAGTCAATCGCGAGCACGGAAATGGCAACAGCGAGCAGGATGCCAGCAAACGCAGCCAAGCTAAGAAGCACTGTGTCGTATCGGTTATGGTCAGAGTCTTGCAGGATTCCATTGAGCATCTCCATAATCGTGACGCTGGCAAACTCTGCGGAACGGATCAGGCCAAGGGCGGCTCCAGCAACCTCGTGGTTGTCGATGACCAAATTCATCAGTGAAAAAATTGACGCCGGAACCATTGAGCCGCTGAAATTCATCATGATGAGGGAGACCATGATGGGCACCTTGCGCACAAACGTGATAAACATTGATGCCAGGAATACCATGAGAGAACCGGCTAGGAACATATTAAGCCGACGGCCAATGCGGTTGATGAATATACCGATAGAAAAATGAAGCACGATTGGGATGATGTGCAAGTACACAAACAGCCTGCTCGACTCGACACGCGTGTACCCCCACTCGGTCTCCATCATCTCTGGAACGACTTCATGAAGCGGGATAAACAGCGTGCCCTGGACGCTGATGCACAAAAGTACTTGCCAGTATGGTCCGGGGAGTGCAGCCAGACCGTCGATCAGGCGCCGGGTTTTCATCCAACCGCGCTTGAATGGCCCGCCAACTGCATCAACTGACAGTCCCGGCAAGGACACAAAAGGTGTTGTGGCAGATGGATGCTTCTCAGGGAACACAATTGCCGAGTCCTTGTCAGAAACAATGTCCTCCTTGCTCTTGCCCGCAATTTCTGCCGAGCTGTGACCTATACAATTGCTGGGCTCCTCCTCTGAATTCACCATGTCGACGTCGCGCGAGTAATGCGAGTAGTGGATGAGAGCATATGCGCCGAAGCACAAAAGACCAAATGCCGAGAGACCCGTCGCAAGCCAAAATGGAATTGTAATGTTGCCATTCTTGCTCAGTATGGCAGTGACAGCGGCTGGGCCTGAAAACGACATCAGGCCACTAATCGTCGCTGCAAAACCAAACGCCAATGGCAGCTGCCGGCCCTTAAACCATTTGAACATGATAACCTCGCCGACCAGAAGCACAGCTCCGCCGCCCGTGCTGTATATTGCGCGGCCAATGAGGAATATGCTGAGCTTTTTGGAGCCCACTCCAATTGCACACACGCCGTTCCCGAGCAAAATCAGCGTTATGGCCAAGGCACCAGCCAGGGGCTCGCCCATTGTGTCTATGAGAAGCCCGGCTACAAATGGAGATACTGTACCAACCACCCAGACCATCGAGATAACAGACGCCCATTGCGTGTTATCTATCTCAAGCTCGTGTTTAAGTGTGCTCTTCAACGGCGACAAAAGAGACGACCCCATGCGCTTCCCCCCTAGAAATGCAAATGTATAGGTAAAAATATCATTAAAACCAATACTCGAATGAGTCAAATGTCAGTCCCAACATGTATATTTGCAGCTGAATCGGCCTGTATACATGCTTAGAACTTACAGCTCATCAGAACGACAATTAGTAGAACCGCTGCTTGCACCATGCGCAGCCGCGACATTCGTATCCGCCGGACATCAAACCTGCGTCCACTCGAAGACATTCTATTTAAAAGTCAAGTGTGTTTTAAAAAAGTGAGATTGGATATCTGCAAATATTTTCTGATAATGAGAGCGCGGCAGTGTGCATCATATAAGCGGTGTATCTTTTTCTTTTAGAAATGGTAGCCTATTCGTATGCATTCTCGCGATACTAGTACTAATTGTTAACTGTACAGGAGGCGCAATAAAACAAATACAGGATATAACAATAACGAGAGTTACTGCTTTCAAAAAACAGTCTAATGGTGTAAGGTTTGGGCTAAATATAAGCTCAGCTTACCATACAAGCTGTTCTGGGTAGAATTGCGGGGATGTTCTTTTTTCTCCATGCATGTTCGCAAAAAAAAAAATCTCCAAACATTCGTTGGTAACTCTATATGCAGGATGGGGTACGTTTACTATAAATTCAATTGTTGCAATATTGTACTCGCACTTGCGCGCACAGGGCAACTTTCTAATTGGATATGACTGCTGGATGACGAAAGAAAGGGTATGCGCTCGACATGCCGCCTGCATACATTTTATATTGTATATTGCAATTGTAGTTAATTTTATAACGGCGTTTACTGCAAACAAAATATCCAATGATGATGAAATAAAGTCCTCCACATAAAAGACAGACAGTAATACCGATCATTCCACCAGACTAAAAATGCATTTTTACAGTTTGAAACATGGATTTTGCAGTTGCCGAACAGAAGCTGCGTCCGCTAAACGATGAATGATTAGTTGATTCATTTTTGGATTTGCTTGATTTTATATGATGATAGATGTTAGTTCCAACACTAAGGACGACAACACGATAAAGTAAAAGAAGCCGTCCTACTCTGAGGAGCTTCGGCAGGCTCCCCAGCGCAAGACCTCCAAAACGAAGGGAAACAAGCGCAGGGAGCTGGTTGCCGCATTTCTTTCCCACGATTGTAACACGTAAGAAGCCATTGCGAGGGAATAAAATTCCTTCTGGCCCTACACTGACATAATCGTGAGATCGTTATGTTTTAAAAAACTTTTAGTGGAGCGCGAAGCGCCACCACACCAAACTGACGTCTATCGGGCCGCTGCTGATCGCCACAATCGAGCAGCTTTGGGATTAACGCACGTGATATGCGGGATGCACCTGCATATTTTACCTTCCCCTTTTTTTTAAGCATTTTGATTGTTTCTCCGCACACCCAATGTGGAATTGTGCGACAACAGCCACTGCGTTTCTGCGTGGCCAACGCGTGTTTGAATCGGCGCAAAAAGGGGGAGAGGGGATGTCTGTGATACGAAAAGATGGATGAAGCGCATCAAACCAAAGTTAAAACAATCTTTTCTCTTTGCTTTTTTATTTCAAAGATTTTCAGCTTTATTTTTATATTCCTCACCTATTTTATTGATACATTTATTCAGCATGGCAGGCGTTGCTACAGTTCAAAGGGTACGCAGTCGATTGAAACCGGGACAGCGCGGTGTGCCGTGTTTATACGAGCAGCACAAGAAAGCTAACATATTCTCGATACTACAATCCACGATTTTATTTGTCGCACTTAGGTTACCGGATGGTGGATCCCCTTCCTCCACACAGTGTTCGCATCGAGTAAGTACTTTTTTTTGCAAAATGAGCGCTGTTTATGCGAAGCACAACTTTCATGTTTGCTAAACGGTGACATCAGCATCGATCAATTTGCTCATCTTCATTGTAGCCGCCTTTCTCGGAGCACTGGTGATCGGGTGGAATCTTTACTACTTCAAAATCGTCAAGAACGAGCACTACGGCTACCCGCAAGAATGGTTCCCTTCGGTCTCGGCGACCATAGGCGATCGCTACCAAGGCCGGAGCTTCTTCCAAATTTTCATCGCACTTACCAGCCCCTCACGCCTGCTCCTCCATGTCTTCTGGTACGTCCTCCTAGCGCGCGCAGTGCCCAGAAAGGCCAAGGCGCTCTTCTGGGTCGGCTTCCTGCGCACATGGACATGCGGTGGCTGGGTCTACGTGACGTCTGGCGATGACCACGATGTGCACGACATCATGATGATCTTGTACATGCTCCTGACTGTGCCGTACATGATCCTATTGGTCAAATCGTGCGACAAGTCAATGTTCACTCATAGCGCTCGGGCTTTGGCTTTGAATAAGACTAGGCGCAGGTGGGTGAGCGCGCTATTCTTTGGGTCCATTCCGCCGATGATCTACTTTTTCATCAACCACAAGGTTCACAAGGTTCCTGGCGCATATACTACGTATGCGTTCTTTGAGTGGGCGCTTATCGTGTTCGATGTCATGTTCGACTCACTGGCTATGGTCGAGTTCAAGGCCCTGGATCTGGCCATCATCCCGAACAAGGCGGACGGGCTGCGCAGCTGAGCATACAAGTATATACATATGTGAACATGCGAGAGCGGGCACGGGCTGGCAGACAGACAAGTTGCACTTGTCTATTGTGCAATCATTGTTCCATTTTTGACTTATCGAAAATAAATAAACAAGCAAACAATTATTAAATTGTAACAGGAAAACATGTGAGATATGGATGGTTTCTTTTTTCATTGAAATTTTAAAGTAATATTGACTATAAGTGAAAACGCAAGAAAAATAGCAAGTTTAATCCTTCTTCTTCTTGTCCTTCTTCTCCTTCTTGTCGGTCTTCTCCTTCTTGTCGGTCTTCTCCTTCTTGTCGGTCTTCTCCTTCTTCTTCTCCTTCTTCTCCTTCTTCTCCTCCTTGACCTCCTCAACCTCCTCAACCTTGGCCTCCTTCTTAGACTTCTTCTCCTTCTTGTCGCTCTTCTCCTTCTTCTCCTTCTTGGACTTCTTCTCAGGCTCAGCATCAGACTCATCATCAGAGTCGGCCTTCTCCTTGCGCTTCTTCTCGCTCGACTTGGCGACAACTGGTGTGGAGGTCATGACAACGTCAGCCGAGGCGTTGTAAGAAGAGACGTCCTTCTTCTCGAACTTCTTCTGAGTGGCGTTGGGAGCGCTGGCGCGGTCAGAGCGGGCGGCCTTGGCGGCAAACCGGCCCTCGAGCTGGCGCAGGCGGTTCTCAACCTTGACGCGGCCATCAATACCGACCTCGGCGGAGTCAGAGTCACCCAGGGCGTCGACACGGACGGCAATGGAGGTCTTGGTGGCAGTCAGACGAGCGATCTTACCCTTGGACTTGGGGCCAGCCTGGCCGACAAGTGAGGCGTGGTAGATGAGACCGTACTTGGGTGTGTCGTGCTTGGTCTTGAGGGCGCGGAAAAGGGCCTTCTCAGCACCCAGGATCTGGATGGTCGAGGCGGGGTACTTGGCCAGGGTCATCAGGGAACCGGCGTGGGAAATAAGGCGGGCACCAACGAGCTCGCCAACAAGGGCAGTGAGGTTGGGGGCAATGGCGAACATGCGGTTCTTCAGGTACTCGTACAGCTGGGTGCGATACTCAGTGATCGAAATGACCTGGTCGCAGAGCGCAGTGACGTTGAGCAGATCCTCGTCGCTAATCTCAGTACCCATGGAGATCTCGGCAGCCTCCTTGACCTCAGCCTCGAGCTCCTCGGGCAGAATCTCTCCAAGATCGGTCTCGCTGATGTTCGAGCGGAAACCGGCCTTCTTGATGACGCGCGAGTAGGCCAGGTTATCGTTGATAATCTTGGCCATCTCGGGGAAGTGCCATCCGTACCACTCCTTGACGCGCATCGCGTATGTGTTGAGCTCCTTATCAAGATCGTCCAAGAGCGAAATAGCCTGGACAATCATGGTGTCAACCTTATCGGGCGAGAACTTGAGCTTATAGCGCGACAGCGAGTGCGACAGACCAAGCTCCATAGCGGCCATATCGGCGGCGGACACGCTGGTCAAAAGGGTATCGATCTGGCTACGGATACCACGATAAAGCTCGTTGACCGAGGAGTCGGCAACAACGTTAATGTTGAGCTTCTTGGAGATGGCACTGGCAAGCTTCGAGTCGGCAACAGCCAGCTTCTCCTTCTTCCACTCCTTCTCGCTGACATCGGTGGTCAGGAAGTGCTTCAGGTTCTTGGCAATCTTTCCCTCAACAAGAGCGGTAACCGCGGACAGAGCATCAACGGTGTTCTCAAACTTGTGGAAAGCCTGCAGCTTAACCGACTTGTGCGCGGCAGCGGGGGTCTCGAACTCCTTGTACAGGGAGTCGCCCTTGGACAGCTTGCTATCATCAAGCAGCTTGAACAGCGCGTAACCAGCGGCGGTTTCGTAAAGAACGAGCATTGTTTTTTTCCTTTTATGAATTAAAATTTTTTATATAAAAAAGGGGTGTGTGGAATAAAACAAGGAGAAAAGAAGCAGAAACTAGAAAATAAGAGACTAAATGTTTTCTTTTCATTATTTTTGACTCGAAACAAAATGAATAAAAAAATGTCCCACTGTTTTCTTGTTTGAAGCGCAAAAAATTTTCAGTCTTTTTTTCAGTTTTTTTGGGAAGCAAAAGATCAAAAAAAAAAAGCGTTGACTGGTAAAAAAAATTTCACTAATTTAATCAAAAAATTTAACATTTGCGTGGAAAAAAAGAAAATCAAAATTTAATGATCAAATTTCGGCAGGCCGAGTCTGGGTTTTGTATAGACCATCGCCCTCGTTGTTTTTCTTGTCGGCGCCGCAGTCAGACTCAGCCTCTTCAGTGGCAGCCTCGGTATGGGTACCATCAGTAGTGTCAGAGCCAGGAGCCAGAGCAGGAGCGGCGGCTGGCTTCTCAAACAACGACACCGTTTGACGATACGTGATGGAGCTAGTTGCATAGATTCCAGCCTTAATGAGCAGCGGCTGGCCCGGACGACCCATCAGATAAACCTTGTTCCTGTATTTTGACACCTTCTTCTGCAGCAAATTGCGGTAGGAGGCAAATATATACCCGGTCATGAATGCGTCGTATGCCGCTGTATGGTACATGGTTGACTGCAAGTCGCTGCTGGCCTTTGTACTCGGCGACTTGACTGACACAGAGGAGTCAACAAGTGTTGTCGCTGCTGCTTCCACCTTGGTGACCTTGCTCGGATGCTTGTCGGGCTCGCCAGGGTCGCTGGTCGCTTTGCGCTTGACACCGCTGGATTTCTCCGTAACTGTAACTGAATCTGCAGAATTGTCGGAGCTTTGCTTGGGCTCTGCCTTGGACTTGCTTTGGCAGTCAAGGATAAAGTTAATATCGTGCGAATTAAGGCAGTGCTCCTTATAACGACAGTGGCCGTGAGCAGCAAACTGCTCGCAATAAGGCTTTCTTCCCTCAACAATAGGCAGTACACCAATATCCGCAGCATGCTCGGGCTCGCAAAGTGGGAACCTGTCCTTGAGATGTGCGCAAACGGCATCCTCGCCGCGCACCTTCTGCATATCTTGAACGCGCTCGCTCTTGTGAAAGGCATAGGCCAGAAAGGAGGCTGCACCGGGGCTTTCCATCTCCACAATATGCTTTGTGTCATAGATGCCGCCGGGGAACATCTCGCACAGGTCGTAGACAAAGGATTCGTAGCTCTCGGGCAGCGGGCCAAAAAACGCCTGGTAAACGTACATGAGATCAAACAGACCGTTATGAATGACTAAGGGTTTCCGGGCCCTAATGATATCCAAGAATATCTCGCGAATCAACCCACCTTCCTTGTTAATAGCCAGTGTCTTGACCTCCACAGGCTTGGGATTGGGCGCAGCAAAGTACCTGATACCCTCCCTGGCCTGCTTATTCAAGTCAAATCCGGTTTCGGCCAAAAAGCCAATGGAATTGGCATTGATGAGGTGCGAATTCTGCTGCTGCAAGGTAAAGTTAAAATTATGCACGTTGTAGCTGCTCGGTGCCTTCTCGTAGGAATACGTGGATATGCCCATGGATACCAGAGCGTGGGTTTTGGCGACGTTGGCCATGGCACGGTATTTCTCGTTCATGTCTGTCGCCCGCGTGACCCACTCAGAAGTGTTGAAGCGGAATACCGATGAGGCATTGCTTATAGAGAGACCGGTGAACTCGGTGTCGATGGCGATGAAGCGGGCGGAGGAAATTTGCTGGCGAATAGGCCCAGAGAGCTCCTCGATGTTGCCTCGGGTAACATCGTTGTATGTGGCGGATGTGGCACCAACGTTTGCGACCGGAACCATGGTTTATGAAGAAATAATAAAAAAGGAATATGTTTCAATACAAATATGAAAAGCTAGACGAAATAAACGAAATAAACGAAATGCAAAAACGAAAAAAATATATATATTGAAAAGAAAAATACCAAGAGAAAAAAAAGGTTATAAGCATAATCGACTATTTTTTTTTCTTCCTTGCGACTTGGTGATCTTGAAGGTTGATCGGGGCTTAAGCTTTTTTTCTCTTTCCGCAAGTCCTTTTCATTTCCACCATATTCACACCACAGCAAAAAAGGATAGCAGGAAAATGAGCTTGCGCCTGCATTTCAGACCCAACACCAGCAAAGCAGCGGCAGTCATTCGCCAAACGCTACGCCGACGCAACCACACCAAAAGCACATCGAGCACAGCAGAGGCAGACGCATCAACAGCAGCAGCATCGGGAAACGAGCAAGTGATTTTCACGGCACTTCCAGGAAATGCCGTCCGGCTACTGAAATTCATGTCAGTAGCCGGCTCCGCACTTGCCTGCACAGCGACAGCCATGACTGCCGTCACGCAATCACAAGGGAAACTATCCGACAACGACCTCGGAGTGTTCTCTCTGGGGCTCGCCAGCACCGTCAGCCTGGCATCCACCCTGGCAGTGAGCAAGCTCTTCGGGCCCTTTGTCACCCGCATTACCCTGCACAGGGCAAAGGCATTGGCAAATGTGCAGAGGGCGAAGAGCGGGCTGCCGAGGTTTGACAGTTTGCTCAAGAACGCAAAGGCTGGGGTGACGGGAGATACAGAGGTTGTACTGCAGACACCGGGGCTGCTGGGGTTCAATTCGAGACACACCAGGGTTAAGGTGAATGATCTGGTTGCGTCGTCCTTGCGGTTCCGCACATGGGAGATGGAGCCCAGCGCTGTGGCGGCGCGCCGTGAGCGCGGAGAGCGGACGCCAGTGACGACATTTACTATCCTGTGGAAGTCACTGCACAACTCTCCCAACAAGAACATCATGCAGGAGATCAATGTGCTGATCGGCGGCAAAACCTAATTTTTATTCAAAAAGACAAGCTAAAGTAGAAAAATGAAATAAAACTCAGTCAAACTCGACGGACACGTTGCCATTGACGACGGCGGCCCTGAGGTTGGAATCGCCGGCCTGCGTGCTGTCGGCAGGCCCGTAGGTGCCGGTCTTCAGGCCGCTAAGGTTCTTGTCAAAATGCAGGCGGCTTTCTCCATCGCTGACATCCTCGACCTCAACCGAGCCACTCACAGCGCGCGCGCTAAATGTGCCGTCAAACCCGCCAATAACCCTCAGGCCTACAGACCCAGAGACCGACTCGGCAACAATGCTTGAAGCCTCGGCTCTCCGCACATTCACCGCCGCATCAATATCCCCACTGATCGAGTGCAGGGCCACGCTGGTCGCGACGAAATACCCGTGGATTCCGCCAGATACGGTGTTCACCGACACTGTCTGCGCGCGCACCGGCGGAATAGCAATGCTGCTGATGGCCGCGTTGATGCCGAAGGTGCCGAACTGCATGCTGCGCGCGAGGCCGCGGTCCAGCTTGAGGTTGCCGTAGACAAAAGAGTTGCTCAGCTCGTCCAGAGATGTAACCTCGTGCGGGATGCGCACGGTGATGGAGGCGTAGGCGCACTCGCCCCTCTTTAGCCACTTGGGGCCCTGCACCTGGATGACAATGCGGCCGTCCTTGGTGGTCTGCGTCACCTTGATGTCCTCGGCAATCTTTGGGTCCGAGACGACAACCTGGGCCTCGTACGAGGCCTCTCTGTCGTCAGTGCTGGTGATGTGGATGTCAGCGCCAATGACTCCCACGACGGCGTGCGAGATGCGCCCGACCTCGGTCGCATTGAACGTGATGGTCTCAAGGGCAGGGATTGGGATGGTCGGGATGCAGATGTCGCTGGCGGATTTGTGGAAAAACCCACTAATGCCGGTTGCCGCCAGGTCGCCGTTGGCCAGCTGGCTGACCGCCACCGGGTTGATGCGGCTGAACGCGCCTCTCCATTTGGCTGCACCAATATTTTGGGGCTTGTCACCGTGAGGACGCTTATCACCATGGGGACGTTTGTCATCGTGAGGACGCTTATCACCGTGGGGACGTTTGTCGCCGTGAGGAGGGGGAGGGGGGTGCGGCCACTCATGCCCGTGAGGAGGATGGTGCCAGTTGCCATGAAGGCCCGGACCCGGCCTACTACCTTCCTTGTTCAGCGCACATCCACTGCGCACATGCACCGCATGGAACACCGCCTGAACCACCATGAAGACACCGGCGACTATCAGCACCCGCTTCAAAACACGCCGCCATCCACCCTTCTGGGGCTGCGCGTACGAATACCCGGTTTCAATGTCACCCTGGGGCTCATCTGCCACTTGCTGCTGCTGGCCGTCCGAGAGCACAGTGTACTTTATGCGCTTTTCGTCGCTCATGCTTAATGCTTAAAGACTGGTCAGATAATAAAAGCAGAGAAAAAGTCGATATGAAAAATAATGGTTTGTTGTTGAGTGTCGTTGCTAAAAGATATTGTCGGTCGTTGAGTAGGATTGCGTGAAGAATATAAAGGGCCAGGGGAGGAAGTGAATAAAGAGAGAAAGAAAGAAAGAAAGAAAGGCAGAGGAAGGCAACTTGGATGCTGAAAGGCCCTGGGTGTTTACGAACGTTTGCAAAAACAAAATTGGCAAAAATGCTTGGCGTTTTTTCCGCACATTTAAATGCCGCAAAATAAAACAGTACACGTGAGCTTGCAATTTTGCAAAAACAAAAAGCCCGCGCTATAAATACTTTGATTGATCAATTTATTGAACTTTTGACTCAGTCGAGCTTGAGCCCAATCGACTTGAGGAACGCCTTGTTGTTGGGCTTGCGGCCCAAGAACTGCTCCAGACTCACCGACGCGTCGCGGCTGCCGCCGGGAAGCAGGATCTCGTGGCGGTAGTCCAGCCCAGTCTGCGGGTTGTCAACGCCCTCCTTGAGGAACCGGGATGCAAACATGTCGGCGCTGAACACCTGCGACCACAGGTACCCGTAGTACCCGGCGTCGTACCCGCCCATCATATGTCCAAAGGTAGCCATGCCCCAAGTCTCGACGTCGCCGTTCTTGAACTGCGTAACTTCCTCGCGCAGCTTGTTGTAGATGGCCTTGGAATCAACCTCGCCATTGGTGGTGTCGTGGATGGCCATGTCAAACAGACCAAAGAACACTTGGCGCAGATTGAACAGGCCAGCGCCCTCGTTCTTCGCAGCCACAAGCCGCTTGACCAGGTCCTCGGGAATGGGCTCTCCAGTCTTGTGGTGCACGGCAAACTGGCGCAGCACCGAGGGCTCCCACCCCCAGTTTTCGAGCATCTGCGACGGCGCCTCTACAAAATCACCCTCTGTGCGTGTGCCGTGGAATCTCGACCACTTGGTCACCGAGCAGATCCCGTGGAAGACATGGCCAAGCTCGTGCAAAAGCGTCACCGCGTCGTCGTGCTTCAGCAGCGCCGGCGTCGAGCCCGTGGGCTTGGGGAAATTAGCAACCATGGCCGCCACCGGGTACTCGTGTGACCCGTCTTCGCGGGCATACCCGGCGCGAATCGGCCAGACAGCAGCATGGTTGTACTTGTTATCGCGCGGGTATAGGTCAAGGTAGAAGTGGCCGACAAACGTGTCGCCCGTGGCCTCCCACACCTCATACATGTCCACGTCGTCGTGCCACACGGGCGGGTTCTCCACCTTGATAAACCGCAGGCTGAGCATCTTCTGGTAAATGTCCAGGATGCCGCGCGTCACCTCCTTCATCGGGAAGTACTGCTTGACCTCGTCCTCGCTGACGTTGTGCTTGCGCTCCTTTAGCAGTGTCGAGTAGAACCGGTGGTCCCACAGATACAGGCCTTCGTAGGGCACGCCCGCTGCCTTGTTGTCTGCCCGCTTCAGCCCCTCAATTTCCTTGAGCTCGCCTTGGGCCAGTACGTTCAGTCTTTTTTGCATGTCGTGCTCAAAGTCCATCACCTCCTTTGGGGTCTTGGCCATCTTCTCCTTCAGCTTGAACTCTGCATGGGTCTTGAAGCCCAGCAGCTGAGCTGCTTCGACGCGCAGTGCAATCGCCTCCTGCATCAGCTCAATGTTCTCGGGGCACCGCTGCTCGTTGACGGTCGAAAGCAGCTTGCGTGTCTTCTCCTTCTTGCCCGCCTGCATGACAGGAACCAGGTCGGGGTATTTTGTCGTGACAACGTACTTTTCGACGCCGTCGACCACCTCGGTCGCGCGGCCCTCAAAGTAGTCGTCGGCCAGGCCCTCAAGCTCCTCACGGGTGAATAGAATGCGGCCGTCGTTCTCGTTGGTGTTGCGGCTGAACTTGATGCCCAGCTCTGACAGGCGCTTATTAATTTGGCCGAGCTTTTCGCGCTTTTCGGCGCTGAGTGCAAGGCCGTTGCGGCGGTAGTCCTCCTCAAGCTTCTCGACCAGCCTGCGGTCCTCGGGTCCCAGCGCAGCCATCTCTGCCTGGTTGTCAAACACGGCACGCACGACCTTGTACACGTCCTCACGCATCATGAGCTCGATTTCAAACGCCTAAAACATCGGAGATGAGGTGGACAGCGTGCGAGTTTATTAGTGAAAGTTATAAAGCGGACCGCGCAGTCGAGCAACAGAACCGCTGGGCTGGTTGCATAAGTGCAAAGGGTTAATTCCCACGCTGCGAGCACACCTAAACAAAAACCGATGCAAGGCGAAACAAGCAAAAAAACTCACCTCGAGCTTCTCCTCGGCCTCGGAGCTGGCGTCGCGCACCTCCTTCTTGGTGCTGACGTTCTGCAAAAACGTAATGACAGAGTACTCTGCCCCCTGCGCGTTCTCGCGCGAGGCCAGCGGCACAATAACGCTGCTGAACGTCGGGTTGGTCTCGGCAGCGGCCTTGTCAAGAATCAGCTTGCTCTCGGCAATCATCTTGTCGACCGAGCGAGCAATATCCTCGGGACTCAGTTCAAAGTTGAGCACGGTGCCCTTGGCGGTGGATTTGGTCATGGTTGTCATGTTTCGCGAAAGTAGCTTGCTTGAAATTGTGGAAGTAAATGGTTGGGCAGAAATGCAATAATAGAAAAAGATGGAAAGAAGGGCGAAGAGTGCGGCGTGGAAAAAAAAAGGTTTGGAAGCGATATGACGAAACATTATTATTCAGAAAGTTAAAGATTAACAGCCCTCCTTTTTGTCATTTTCTCGGAGATGGTCAGAATGGATGGCGAAAACAGAGGAGTGAAAACTGGAATAAAAAGGTCAAATAGCACTTTTGTCTCTGTTTCTTTTACAAGCGTGTCGGCCGTCAACGCCCAGGAAAGAAACATAGGAGCTGTCAAAACTCACGCATGCATGCATGCATGCATTTCATCCATTCTTTCATGTAACACGCAATATGAGTATAGATGCAGGCTTGGTTAGGGCAGATTAATATGGTGAATACGCACGCGCATTTACGCATCTATTTGCGCTCGCTTGGGCGGCCGAGGTATGCAGGCCCCATCAGCTGTAACGTGGCTGTGGCAATAACCAAAGAAAATCAAATCAATATTTTTGTGACCATCTTGAATCTGATCGCGCACCACAACAAAAGTGCAACGTCATCGTCGTCAGATGCTGTGATAAGGCCGATTGATTGCACAGCTGCAAATGCCCACTGAAAAACTGGGGGCGAAAGAATGCTGGGGCGGCGGAAAATGCACTCTACCTGCCCAGTTTAGGCCGCATTTTCTTACTGCGGTTCTAATTGGCTTCTGGGCATGCATAGCTGCCCAATCAGCCCACCATCATGCTTGTTTTACGGCTCGGCTCGTGCAGCGATCGATTCAGTGAGTGAAAATTTTTTCACGACAACCCCCCCATCCAATTTTTTTCTCAAAGCGTGCGCTGATTTGGAAAGAGCAAAAAAAAGGGCGCTGCTTTCGCCCCCCCTCCAAGCGGGGTACAGCCCAAGAAAAAAAATTACACGCATGGGCTTTTGCCACCAACAACAGGAAAGTATAGTGAGCAGAATCCCCCTGGCAGCGTCGCCCGCCCGAGCTTTTGCCTTTTCTTCTTCCTCGCCTTCATTTTTGTTCTATTTCCCTCACTTTTTATTTTGGTTAATTTTTTGCTAGTACTTTGCTCGTACTACATATTTTTCTTTTTTTCGCTAGAACTATACCAAAGGAAATACATTAACCATGGTTAACTTCACCGTCGACCAGGTAAGGCTTTGCGACAATACAAAAATATTATGAATTTGAGATTCGTGGCTGCACTCGGCTTTTTGTTTGTTTTCTTGCTTGTCTGCGCTAAGAAGATGGACGCTGTACTACTTACTGACTTTGGTTTTTATTCAAGTCGGCAGTTGCAGTTTTTTTGTCTTTTTTGCGCCGCGCGGACAAGCTGGCAAAACATACCAGCACTAGCAGCCGCGATAAGATTGTGCTACGCGGGTCAGGATACCAAAAAACCTTGTCACTAATTTTACGCCTATTTTGCATTAATTTTGTTTTCCATGCATATCATGTTATCTAGATCCGTGGCCTCATGGACAAGGTTACCAACATCCGTAACATGTCCGTTATTGCTCACGTTGACCACGGAAAGTCCACCCTTACCGACTCCCTGGTTGCCAAGGCCGGTATTATTTCGTCCGCCAGAGCCGGTGAGACCCGTTTCACTGATACCCGCCAGGATGAGCAGGATCGTTGCATTACCATCAAGTCGACGGCTATTTCGATGTACTTCGAGCTCGATGACGAGCAGATGGAGGACATCACCTCCAAGACCGTCGGTAACGGTTTCCTGATCAACTTGATTGATTCGCCCGGACACGTTGATTTCTCGTCCGAGGTTACCGCTGCTCTGCGTGTTACTGACGGTGCCCTTGTTGTCGTTGACACCATCTCGGGCGTGTCCGTCCAGACCGAGACTGTCCTGCGTCAGGCCCTTACCGAGCTGATTAAGCCCGTTGTCATGATCAACAAGGTTGATCGCGCTCTGCTCGAGCTCCAGCTGCCCCAGGAGGACCTGTACCAGACTTTCTGCCGTGTTGTTGAGAACGTCAACGTCTCTATTGCCACCTACCAGGACGTCAACGCCATGGGTGACCTTATGGTCTCCCCCGAGCTCGGTACCGTTGCCTTTGGTTCCGGTCTGCACGCCTGGGGCTTCACCCTGCGCCAGTTTGCTGCCCGCTACTCCAAGAAGTTTGGTATTGACCGCAACAAGCTCATGAAGAAGTTGTGGGGCGAGAACTTCTTCAACACCAAGACCAAGAAGTGGTCGAGCAAGTCGACTTGCGCTAAGGCCATGTCCTCCGACCGTGCTTTCAACATGTTCTGCCTTGATCCCATCTACAAGATCTTTGACACCACGATGAACGGCCGCAAGGAAGAGGCCATCGCCATGGTTGACAAGCTGAGCATTCCTCTTACCCATGAGGAGCGTGAGTTGGCCGACAAGCCCCTGCTTAAGGTTATTATGCGCAAGTTCCTGCCCGCCGCCGAGGCTCTCATGGAGATGATCTGCATTCACTTGCCTTCCCCCGTCAAGGCCCAGGCCTACCGTTGCGGTGGTCTGTACGAGGGTCCCATGGATGACGAGTCCGCCATTGGTATCAAAAACTGCGACCCCAAGGGTCCTCTTATGCTGTACGTCTCCAAGATGGTGCCTACCTCCGACAAGGGTCGCTTCTACGCCTTCGGCCGTGTCTTCTCGGGCACTGTCGCTTCGGGCATGAAGGTCCGCATCCAGGGCCCCCGCTATGTCCCTGGCAAGAAGGAGGATCTCGCCATCAAGAGCATCCAGCGCACTATCCTTATGATGGGTCGCTACATCGAGCCCATTGAGGATTGCCCCGCCGGTAACATTCTTGGCCTTGTCGGTGTTGACCAGTACCTGCTCAAGTCGGGTACCCTCACCACCTCGGAGACCGCCCACAACATGAAGGTCATGAAGTTCTCCGTGTCCCCCGTTGTCCAGGTTGCCGTCGATGTCAAGAACGCCCAGGATCTGCCCAAGCTCATCGAGGGTCTTAAGCGTCTGTCCAAGTCCGACCCTTGCGTCCTGTGCTTCACCTCCGAGTCTGGTGAGCACATCGTTGCTGGTGCCGGTGAGCTCCATCTCGAGATTTGCCTTAAGGATCTTGAGGAGGACCACGCCCAGGTTCCCCTGAGAACCGGTGACCCCGTAGTCGAGTACCGCGAGACCGTCCAGGCCACCTCCGCCTTTGTTGCCCTGTCCAAGTCGGCCAACAAGCACAACCGTATCCATATGACTGCTGAGCCCGTTGACGAGCAGCTCACCAAGCTCGTTGAGGAGGGCAAGGTTGCCCCCACCGACGACATCAAGGAGCGCGGTCGCCTCCTTGCCGAGGAGTTCGGCTGGGACATCAATGATGCCCGTAAGATCTGGTGCTTTGGTCCCGAGAACAAGGGCCCCAACTTCCTTGTCGATGCGTCCAAGGGTGTCCAGTACCTTAACGAGATCAAGGATCACTGCGTCTCCGGCTTCCAGTGGGCCACCAAGGAGGGTCCCTGCTCCGAGGAGGCCATGCGTGGCTGCCGCTTCAACATTGTTGATGTCACCCTTCACGCTGATACCATCCATCGCGGTGCTTCCCAGATCCAGAGCACTTGCCGTCGTGTCGTCTACGCCTCGGCTATGATTGCCAAGCCCGGACTCCAGGAGCCCATCTACCTCGTCGAAATCCAGTGCCCTGAGAACGCCATGGGCGGTATCTACTCGGTTCTTAACCGTCGTCGTGGTCACGTCTTCGAGGAGGCTCAGCGCCCCGGTACCCCTCTGTACAACATCAAGGCGTACCTGCCCGTTTCCGAGTCGTTCGGCTTCACCGCCGATCTGCGTTCGGCTACCGGTGGCCAGGCCTTCCCCCAGTCGGTCTTCGATCACTGGCAGATTATGTCGGGTGTCATCACCGAGCCCGGAAAGGTTAACGACGTCGTGAAGGCTCTGCGTAAGCGCAAGGGTCTTGTTGAGGAGCTGCCCCCTCTTGACCGCTACCTGGACAAGCTCTAATCGAGCCGGTTCTGCGATCGTGTTGTTTTTTCATCGAATAATAATATTGTTTTTTATGGATATCCAACTTGGAATTGAGTAAGATTTAGCGTTGTACAGAGTGTGGTTATTTATTTCGAGTGGTGTGGATAATTAATATTGTGGATTTATATTTTGTATTTAGTGGTTGAATAAAATAAAATTGGATGGACCTTTTTTTCTTCTTTTTTTTCCTTTTTCAAATAAAGCCCACGAGAATTACGCGAGAATCTTGATAACGTCTTTGACAGCCTGGAGTTCGGTATCGTTGACGAGCTTGTACTTTGTGACGAACAGTGTAAAGTGGGTGAAGCTCGTATTAAGCATAGTGGCCAAGCCAACCTGGCATATCTGCGGGTAATGGTGCCAATACAGATGGGCGTAAACCCTCAACATGCGTTTTAAAATCTGAGTCGCCACATCAGTCCTAAAATTAAGCGGAAAGCCCACCGCCAAATCCACCGGAAACAGCCTAGTATCATCCAACTGACCATCAATCCACTTCATCAACAGCTTCACATACAAGTTAGCCGAAACCGCGGTCGGCTCCTTATACTCCGCACCATCCCTCCACCTATAAGTATACGCCTCGCCAGCGCACATCTGCGGACAAGTCTCATCCGTACAATGATGGGAAATCGACATAAATAGCATATTAATGTGGTTATAGAAATCAACAATATGACAGGCTACCCATTCGTCGAGGGATTCGCCTTCGGGTTTTAGTACAGCCTCGTGGAGACTGGCTTTGCCCAGGGTGGTTTCGGCGTATTGCCGGAGTTGGTATTGTACTGAGCAGGTGCCCCCGGCATTGCGGTTAGTTGGGCTGCTGCCGTCCGTGGCTGAATTGTTAATGGCTATGGAATCGAGCCCGCGACGATTCGGTCGGGAGGTCATTCCACGAGCCCAGAGACCGAGAAAGTTCATTTTGTAATGTATATTAAAGTGTGGAGTTTGAAAGAGCGAGAGAGAGAGGGAGGGAAAATAGGTAGTGGGAAAATAACCGTGTGCGTTTTTAATTTAAAGAGGTAGAAAAAATGAATTGAATTTTAAATTGGAAAGGAGAGAACAAGGTTTCTCTATTTTTTCGAGTCTTTTGTTTTATTTTTTTTCGTTTTGTTTTGTTTTGTTTTGTTATTTTATTTTTTATCTGGTATTTCTGAGATGTATATTTTTTTCTTGCTTGTGCAGTTTGAAAACACAAAGGAGAGGGGGAGAGATATTTTTATTATTCATATCCTCGTGATACACCAATTTTTATTTTATTTATTTTATTTGATGCGACATGCGAGGCGCACACAAAGAAAAAAACTTAAAAAGGCTCTGGAGAGAGGAGCCGGCTTTGCTTTTTCTTTTATTTTCATTTCGTCATCCCTATCCCTATCCTCTTTTTTTTCTTTCTCAGTTCTTCAAATTATTATTATTTCTTCGTATACTTTGAATATACACTTTTTAAATTACTATAAAACACGAATTCGTTTTAAATGAGCGGTTTTTGGTATGTAGTTTAAAAAACACTTTTTTTTATTTTCTTAGCGCATTCTACTTTTTTTTACCCTGTAGCTGTTTTACTAAAATTTCCCTTTTAAACCTAATTATTATTTATAGGGACAAGACAGTATCTCGCATTGGAGGCAGCAACAGTTTCGCCGCCGGGGGAATCGACCCGGAGTACAATGAGCAAGAGCAAAGATTCCGCAACCTCGAAAAGCGCGGCATGCGGCTTCTCCAAGAAACCAAAGACTACCGGGGAACAATCCGCAACATGACCAGCGCCCAACAAGCGCTCTCTCAGAATCTCTCCGCATTTCTCCTCGATATTCAACGGCCACAGGACTACCAGGCAGCATACCGCCAGGCAACGCAAACCATTGACCAGGTGTCGCAGCCACAATTCGACGAAGTATTCTTACACACTGTCTTGCAACCAATGGCGCAGTACTGCGGGTACTTGCCTGAATTCAATAAGGCAATAAAGAAGCGCACGGTGTTGGCGGGCGAACTGGATAAGGCGAGGAGGGCGTTGGCGAAGGAACAGACTAAGGCAGATTCGGGCGGCATTGAGAGAGCTGAAATGGACGTGCAGTATGCTGAGGAGGCCTTTGCTGTTATGAACCGTACGCTGGTTGGCGAAATACCAAAGCTGATTAATGCTCGTGTTTATGTCGTTGATCCGTCGTTTGAGGCGTTTGTGAAGGCTCAGTTGCAATTCTTTAATGACTCGCTGAGACAGATGGATGGCGTCACAAGGTATTTGCCCCCGTCCGGTGGACCCCAGGATGACCGCGTCTTGGATGAGCGCATTGAGAACGTCATGAGCCAGGTGCGCTCACTGACTATCTGCAGCCTCAACCTGTGAAACAATAGGTAGAAATTGCTCGTACATTTACATTTACATTTTATTCTATTCTATTCTATTTTAAAATAAAACCCCCTCTAAGCTGCAACTAGCCTGTATGCGCGCAACACCACGCATAGGATAAAGGCCAGAGCGCCGAGAACCAGCGACCGCACGCGGGCAGCAATCGGCGTTCCCAGCACAGCGCCCAGCGCCGCATAAAGGGCAGCCAATAGGCCCAGGACCAGCGGCAGCAAATGCTGCCACGCAGCCCACACCACAAGCCGGGCGGCCCACCGGCGCACATCCACCAGCGAGCTCTTCCCCAATGCATCCGCCAGGCGATGCACCGGCGGGCATTGGAAGGCAAAAGTGCGAGCCGAGTCGCACTCGAAAAACGCCTCCACAGCCTCGCCCCGAACCAAGCCCGGCGCCAACCCAACGGCGTACTCTGCGCGACCAAGGGCTCCCCGCCTGGTCGGCGGCGGCGGCAGCTCAATGCCCAGAAGATCAACGCCCATCCCTTGGACAACCTCCACAGCCATCCGCACGCACCCCTCGAGCAGCGGCACGCCCGGCGCCGTATACGCGCCGACAAACCACACGCCGCACTCCCCCTGGGCACAGTGCAGGTCGTTAATCCCGCGCTGCGACTCCAGCGTCAACAGCGACCGGTGGAACTCCGCGTTGCTCTCCACATGCTCCAGCGGCCGCGACGGGTCGACGGTCTGGAACAGATCGCCGCCAGGCATATGCACGCCTTTGCCGGTCATCTCGGCGTAATTGATCCAAATCGTCGCTGTCGCGCGCCCATGGCCGGAGTCCGTCCGCAGATTCACCCCGCGCCACTGCGCTCGCTCCGCAGGCATCACCGACTTATCACCGTGCGTCACCACGTGCGCGTCCTCATACGGCACCGCACGCAGGGCGCGCACCAGCGGTTTGGGCGGATACCGCAGGCCCCCTCCAACCTTGCACTGGGCAACCAGCTTCGCCGCAGTATCCGCCGGAGTCGCCACCACCAGGGCATCAAAGCGATGGCTCGTGCCTTGGCACACCAGCGTAATGCGTCCTGGCTCCGGGATCTCAATTCTGTCCACGGTGGTGTTCAGGTGGATGTGCCGCAGGTTGCGCGTCAGCTCCTGGCATACCCGCTGGACGCCGTCGCGCGCCTTGCGCAGCCGCGCACCGAACGCCGCCTTTGCCACAAAGTGCAGCACGGTGTCCGCCGGGTATTGCAGGGCAGAGGCGAGCGAGCAGGTGAACATACTGGCCAAAAAGGGCAGAAACACCAGCTGCACAAAGTCTTCCCCGTAGCCCTCTGCCACAAGGTACTCTCCGATCGTTTTGCCGCGCAGCGATGCCCACACCTCATCCTCCTCCCTCGTGGTGCTGCCGCTGCTGAGGGTTTGCATTCGGCGCATGAAGCGAATGCACGCATACCCGATGCGCATCCAGTCTCTGGTAACGCCCACGTCCCGCATCCCAAGCCCATCTGGCACAGGCATCTGGAAATCCCCCAGTGTCAGATTCGTATACGACCACACCGAGGAGCTGTCGCTGCTGAATCCCATAGAGTAATCGGCCGACGCAAAGGCAATCCCTAGGTGCTTGTATATGGCCGTTAGGTAAGGGTAGTACGATGGGATTATGACCCGGAAGGGCACGTCGATGCGCGTGCTGTCTACTGTGATCGATGCCGCATCCATTCCGACGGAGCTGCCCTTTTCGAATAGCTCTACGTGGTAGCCGCCTCGCTGTAGAAAGTACGCTGCTGTTAGCCCTGCTAGCCCTGAGCCCACCACGGCGACGCGCCGCTTGGGCTTTGGTGATGCTGATGCTGATGCTGATGATAATGCTGCTAGAGGAATGGGCATTTTGCCTTGCTTTGTGCTGTATGAATAAGTGAATATAATAGGGTTCTTGGGAAATAAAATTGTTTACGCTCTTTACAAAAGATAATAATAGTATGGTGCTATACAAAAGAGAAAGAGGTAGGGGGGAGGCAAAATAAAACAGGAAAGACTTGTCTTCCTTGCTCAATGCTTTAAAGTCTCCCCTCACACCACCCCCTCTTGTGTGCGACAACCGTCAACGCCAACGCCAATGGCAAACAGCAAATAGCTGGTGCCAAATGGCTGGTTCCATTGCCACTTAATCCAAGCATTTATCCTACTGCTTCCGCCCCAATAGAAAAGCTTAAAAATAAAAGGGTTGTAATCACATGATTGTTCAGATCCGATATTTGCGATCAGAGCGCTTGTTTGTTTAGTTAGCATGGTTGCATTGATTTATTTATGTTCCAAAGCCCCCCCTCCACCAATGCTCAAAAAGCGCCTTTCTTTTCTTCACCACTTGCTGGTATTGCGCACCACAACCTGCTCCTCGCCCTGCTCGCCACCAAACGCAGTGAGCCCCCCAATAACGTACGCCTGCTCGCCACTGCCGTTCAGCGCATCGACGACCGTGCGCACATGCTCGGGCGCCACAACCAGCACCATGCCGATTCCGCAGTTGAATGTGCGCGCCATCTCCTCAGCGGCAACGCCGCCCGCGCGCTTAACCCACTTGAACACCTCCGGCAGCTCCCACGCTTCCGCATCGATATCAGCGCCGACGCTCTTGGGCAGCACGCGCGGAATGTTGTCCGTAAATCCGCCGCCCGTAATGTGCGCCATGCCCTTGATCACCCGCTGATGGATCAGCGGCAGCAGCGACTTGACGTAAATGCGCGTCGGCGTCAGAAGCGCCTCGCCAACCGACCGCCCCTGCTGCTCCCAGGGGCACCTGCTGTGGAAGTCCAGCCCCGCATGCGCAACCACCTTGCGCACCAGCGAGAACCCGTTGCTGTGCACGCCCGAGGACGCCAGCCCAACCAAAACGTCGCCGGCGCCGATCTCCGACATCCGCGGCAGGATCTGCGACCGCTCGACCGCGCCCACCGCAAACCCAGCCACGTCGTAGTCGCCCTCGGCATACAGCCCGGGCATCTCCGCCGTCTCGCCGCCAATCAGCGCGCACCCGGACTGAATGCAGCCGTCGGCCACGCCCTTGACAAAATCGCGCGTGGCCTCGACGTCCAGGTGCCCGCAGGCGTAGTAGTCCAGGAAGAACAGCGGCTCGGCGCCCTGCACAATAATATCATTGACCTGCATTGCCACGAGATCGACGCCGACTGTGTCGTGGATCTTCATCTCGTGCGCGATCTTCAGCTTGGTTCCAACACCGTCCGTCGCAGACACAAGCACCGGGTCCTTGTACCCGGTGGCCTTGAGGTCGAACACGCCGCCGAACCCGCCAATGTCCGAGTCTGTGCCCGCGCGCCGCGTGGCCTTGACAATCGGCTTGATCAGATCCACCAGCCGGTTACCCGCATCAATGTCCACGCCGGCATCGGCATACGACAGACCGCCGCTGGGCTTATTAGTACCTGTCTTCTGCAGATACTCGACTGCCCGGAACCCAATGTCCGACCGGTAGAACCCGCCCTCGAACTTCACTGCCTTGACGCTGGCGTACGCGCGGTCGAGCGCACCCTGCAGCGTGTCGCTGACGCCTGTGACCGTCAGGACGCGCCCGCCCGACGTCACCACAGAGTCGCCCTTGCGCTGAGTGCCGGCATGGAACACCTGCGTGCCCTCAGCCAGAGCGCCAATCGAGATCTCGCGGCCCTTGGGGTACGCGCCCGGGTAGCCCTCCGAGGCCAGAACCACTGTGGCCGCAAACCCGTCCTTGAACTCCAGCGGCACAGCGTCCAGCCGGCCCTCGGCCGCCGCCAGGAACACCTCGGCCAGGTCGCAGCTGTCGGCCAGCAGCGGCAGCACAACCTCGGTCTCGGGATCGCCAAACCGGCAGTTATACTCGAGCACCTTGGGCCCGTCGGCCGTCAGCATGAACCCCGTGAACAGACACCCGACAAACGGGAACCCGTCCCGCCGCATACCGTCAATCGACGGCTGTAGCACGGTCTTGTGGATAGCCTTGAGCAGCTGCGCTGTGGCCACAGGCGCCGGTGCATACGCGCCCATGCCGCCGGTGTTGGGCCCGGCATCGCCATCGTACGCGCGCTTGTGGTCCTGCGCCGCCGGGAAACTCACCACCGTGTATCCATCCGACACCGCCAGCACACTGATCTCCTGCCCCACCAGAAGCTCCTCAATGACCACCTCGTCGCCGGCTGATCCGAACTCGCGATCAACCATGACGGACTTGAGCGCCTGCAATGCCTCCTCCTTTGTTGTCGGCATCAGAACGCCCTTGCCTGCCGCCAGGCCCGATGCCTTGATCACGACATCGAATGATGCCGCCTGAATGAACGCCCGTGCCTGCTCGTAGTCCGTGAAGTTGCCGTATGCCGCTGTAGGGATATTGTGCTTCTTCATAAAGTCCTTGCTGAATGCCTTGGATCCCTCGATGTGCGCCGCCTTGGCTGACGGTCCAAACGTCGGGATGCCAACGCTCTTGAATGCGTCCGTCACGCCGTCCACCAGCGGCTGCTCGGGTCCAGGAATGACAAGACCAACCTATTCAATTTTTTTGTTGTTGTTTTTGACAATAATAAAAAACCTCTGCCGCTGCTTGTTAATTAATGGACAAAGGGTTCGTTCATTGATCCACAAAAAAGAGTGTGGATAACATACATAAAAAATAACAAGTGAAGTAAACTTACGTTCTGTGCCTGGGCAAACTTGACCAGGGCAGGGAAATCGCTCTTGCTGTGTCCAATATCCACGTTCTCGATCTTGTCGCTGGCTGTGGCCGTGCCGCCGTTACCTGGTGCGACAAACACCTTGCTGACCTTGCCCGACTTTGCCAGTGCCCATGCCAGCGCATGTTCGCGACCGCCACTGCCGATAATCAGGACCTTGAGCTCTACAAAAAAAATAAAACAAACAAAAAAGGAGATGGTAAGCAAGAAAATCGTTGGTCTGGAAATAGTGTTGCAAAAAAAATAAAGCAATACAGAATGGATAACCAATACTGGCAAGAAAACATTCACAAAAACAAGCAGCGTCTACTGGGCTTTATATATCAACTTACGAGTATCAGACATGATAATAATATTGGTTATTATTATTATTATTTTTGAGTCAACTTTTGAAGGGGTCTCTACCGTGTATTAAAGCGTAGTAAGACTAAAAAAAAGTAGTATGGTGAATACTAAAAAAAATGAGTGTATAAAAATGATGAGATTGTTGTAATGTAGAAACGAAAAAAGAGAGGAAAGATAAAACAAAACCAACGGCTGTTCACACTTTATGCTTTTTTCAGATCTCTCTCCTCCACACACGCACACAACGCACACGAATACAAGCGTGATTTTATCTCTTTTTGATCATGATAACAGAATGCTACTGAAAGCATTTTTGTGAATTTGTCCTCTTAAAAAAAAATTCACCAACTCACAGCTCACCCTTATCCTCCTTTCCACCTTCTACCTAAATAGGATATAAAAAATCATTTGTGAGTGAGCAACGTGGGATTAACAGCTGCAGAATATGCAGCCAATTAAATACCCACCTCCCCCAAAAACTTTTTGTAAAAAAAAAAAAAAAAAAAAAGAGCCAAACGGAACTCTGAGCATATAAAAAATATTTGGTGTGTATGGAAATACTGGTTCCCATTTCGAACATTTACGCTTGCTAACGTCCAAAAGCAAGCTTGGTGATCATGGTATATAAATAACACATCATTGCGTAGAGTAACGCGGAGCAAGCATAGCAGAGTTGACTAATTGCCAGAGGAGAGGAGAGGAGAGGTGAGGCATGTGTGAGAGGCCAGCATGGCTGTTTCCTTGAATGCCGACACTGGAGAAAGAGACTAGCTAGGCACTGGAGAAGCGCGACTATATGTGATGTGGAAAATAAAAAAAGACACCCATCCATTTATCCAGAGACTACGCAACTATATAAATGTACCTGTTACCTGTACCTGTAGCTGCTGCACTTGTCAGGTCTCTCTATTAACCTTGATCTCTCAAAACAACAATAAGAAAAAGTTCGAGTGTGCATCGAATATATTTCGTGTCATTGTCCAAAAAATAAATCAGCTTAAATCTCAAGAAGCATGCCACTGCACATACCCAATACGCGTTTACAAGCGCCAGCTGCATAAACAGCCACACTTCTATACCACACAAGCTTAGTAGAAGGTCGAGGGACGCTGGGCAATGATAAGGGCGCGGTCGGCCTTGTTTCCGGGGCGCTGGACGCGGTGGGGCAGGGGGAACTTGAGGTTGGGCTGGATGAGCTGCTGGATGTAGGGGCGGCGGACCTCCGAGGCCTTGACGGTGGCAACGCGGATGATCTGGACCGAGCTGAAACGAGCACGGTGGCGGGCAGCCATATCCTGGTAGCACGACTCGACGGCGGCCGAGCGGCTGGTCTCGCGGTACTCCTTGTACATGTTGTGGGTGCCGGAGCGCGAGTCATAACGGAGCCAGATACCGTAGTTCTTCACAACAAGGGGCTTGGACTCGAAGATCTCGTTGACCGAGACGATCTCACCGTTAGCCCGCTTGGCCTTGTGAAGCTTGGACAGGAAGTACCAGTAGCGAGACTTGGCAACAACCACGTTGGGGGCGAAGATGCGCATGCGGAAGAGCTTAGGAGTGGGCTCCTGCTCCGAAGGAAGTCTGCGGCCGATAACCTGGTACTCGTGAAGCTACAAATAATGGTGTCAGCACAAGCACATTAAAAAGGGAGAGGGACTGTTGGTTTAGTTCAAATTGGTTCGCGAGTCATAATTGAAATGAACGTTCTTGTTCTCATTTCTCGCTCGTGTATACCGACACCTCTCAGTATACAGCTGCACAATCAAAAAGAAATTGCTGGCAATTCGCATCTGCTCGAGCATATTTGAGACCGTTACTTTGCCCCCGATATTCTTCGAAAGCGCAGCTCTACTGCAAAAATAATAATTGCGGGTGCAAAACACAAATTAAAAGCACTGCTGTTTGTGGCTGCTGCGTGTGTATGTTATGTATGTATGCGCGCGAACAAACGGGATTGCTTGGGATTGAGGATGCTGGAGCGATATTACGCCAATTCAAACTGCAAAAAAATGATGGTTGAGTGCGGCGTAACGTAACAACGCAACTCAGCGCATTGTCAAGCCCTTGAGCTGCTGCATACCAGCTTGCAAAAGTACAAGCCGGTAAAAAAAGGGGTTTTGGCATTCCCAAACTGTAAGCTCCAGAAATGCACATGCGGGACCTAGAAACGCAACATGCGGTATTTCGTGAAATTCAACTTTCCAATCAAATTGGAAATTCAAATTCGGAATTTGCGCTCTAGCTTCCAAAAAAACACATAATCCAACCCCTCTTCCCGCGTCTCTGCAGACGTACAGTCTAGCGAATCCATCCTCTGTGCCGCCTGTATCCATTCTCAATCGCCCATAGCTCCTGCTGCATCCATCAGATCCGTCCGTTGCGCGCGCACGCAGAATAACAAACATGTCGCATCCATTCTCTGTTGATACGCACTCTTGCCATTTTTGTTATTCTTAACAAAATAATCAGAGATATTTTAAGAAGAGTGATTCGGCTGAAAAGGAGAAATCCAAAGCCGTACGCTGCCTGTGCCGTCTGCAAAATGCCCTCCCTGCCTCACAACCTCACTCACACTTTCTCTGGCAGCGCTTCTCATGCTGCGCTGCGAGTTTCAACCATGATCAATTTGATATTTGCTTTTATGCACTCTTTAACTAAAATAACTGCACACCAATCAATTTGTTATTTTTGGTTGGCTGGCGACCGTTGATCTGTTGATTTTGATATTATTGGGCCAAAATAAACTGTTTTTCAAATTCGAATTGCAACTTTTTTAGCTTCTTTCATTGCATTTTCAGTTTTTTGTTTCAAAAAATTGGCCTGCCCAATTCGCTCTCACTATGGACGAAACTTTTATCGCCGACGCCAAGGACATCCTCGCAAAGGATACCAGCGTTATACCCGATTTCTGGCAGAATAAATACAAGAATGAGGCTAGCAAAAACTGGGATAAATTCTACAACCGCAACACAACAAATTTTTACAAGGACCGCCACTGGACAGACCGCGAGTTCGAGGAGCTGCGCCCATCGCATATATTTACCGAACACAAGCCCGTTTTACTCGAAATCGGCTGCGGCGTAGGCAACTTTGTCTGGCCGATCCTCGAGCGTAACCCCGACATATTCGTGTACGCATGCGATTTCTCGCTGCGCGCAGTCGGCTTTGTCCAGTCCAACGAGAACTACACGGAGAGCCGGTGCCAGGCATTTGTTTGTGACATCACCAAGGACAGGCTGGCCGACACCATCCCGCCCCATTCGGTTGATATCGTTTCGGCAATTTTTGTCTTTTCGGCTCTGCCTCCGGAAAAGCAGGCAGACGCAGTGGCTAATGTAATTGAGATTCTCAAGCCTGGAGGCCGGATTCTGTTCCGCGACTACGCACTGTATGATCTGGCACAGCTGAGATTTAAGTCCGGCCACAAGCTGGAAGACAACCTTTACGTGCGCCAGGACGGCACGTTATCCTACTACTTTTCGAAGGAACGGCTGCGCGAGCTGTTTGTCCAACACGGTGGTCTTGTTGAGATTGAGAACGATTATGTGGTGAAAAAGCTCATCAATGCAAAACTCAACATCGATTCGGATCGCATATTTGCGCAGGCAAAGTTCCAGGCGCCGATTACCACTACCGATTACATTGATGCTTCTGCGGGCAAAACACAATCAATCGACGATAGCGAGGTTTCGGTTGAATAGACATTGTTATATATTTGTTCGAAGACATGATATTTTGAAATGAAGTGCTACTTATTACTGCTTGTCGCTGATATCGGAGACCTTGACAACGCGCTTGCCAAAGTTCTTGCCTTCAAAGAGATCCAGCAGTGCTTGCGGTGCGTTCTCCAGACCAACGACCTCGTCGAGCTTGTAAGTGATTTCCCCCTCCTTGAATTTGGTCGAAACTTCCTGAATAAAGTTTTTGTAGTCGGGCTTGGTGTAGTAGTCGGACACTACGAAACCAGATATTGTAATTCTCTTGATGACAATTTCCATGATGTTCTTGATATAATAGGCGGTTTCGGGTGTTGCGTTGTACTGCGATATCATGCCACATCCAGCGATGCGACCGAATGTGTTCATGTTCTTGAGCGCAATGTCGAAAAGCTCGCCACCGACATTTTCAAAGTAAATGTCAATGCCGTTGGGCGCTGCCTGTTTGATAGCAGCATCCAGATCGATGGTAGTCTTGTAGTTGATGACTGCGTCGGCGCCGATGCTTTTGACAAAGTCGACCTTGTCATCTGATCCAGCGAGACCAACAACATGCAGACCGCGGGCCTTAGCCAGCTGCACGACCATCTGGCCAACTGCGCCCGACGCAGCCGATACCAAAACTGTCTCGCCAGCCTTGGGGTTGGAAATGCTTATCAACCCAACATAAGCTGTAAATGAGGGCATTCCCAGAACTCCCAAATAGCTGCCCGCCGAAATGCCGCTGCCAGATGAGACTTTAACAAATCCCAAGCTGTTGGTAACAAAGCGCGTCTCCCACAGGAATCTGTTTCCAGTGACAATATCACCCTCGCTAAAGTCTGGGTTTGCCGAAGCCTCGACAATGCCGACACCAAAACCTTCAATGGGATTTCCAGGCTCGAAGCTAGCTACGTAGCTATTGCGCGAACCAGTCATGCGCCCGCGCAGGAAGGGGTCGCACGAGAGGTACAGGTTACGGACGAGTATCTGGTTGTCCTTCAGCGACTCTTTGGTTGGTGCATCGACGGTTTCGACCTGGAAGTCATCAATGGTGGGTGTACCTGAAGGGACGTTTCTGACGAGCTTGATACTAATGTTGCTGTTTGCAGTCATTGTTGATGGTGTCTACTATATTGTCGTGGCGTGAAGTTAAATCGGCAATGTTTTATCTGTGATGTTTTGTCAGCTCAAAGGTCACCATGGCCATTGCCTTTTTATACTGAAATATTACCTGCTAGCTGCCACCTTTCTCGGGAAAAAGTCTCGCCAAAATGGTTTTTATTACTAATTACAACCCCCAAATACAGGAACAAATGCCGAGCTGTATCTGCCTGCTTAATCCCTAAACTGTATTATTTTGTACAAACACAATACAAAAAAATCAAATGCAGTTATCATATATTCACATGTTTCCAGTAAAAAGATGGTAATTGCGATTTGCATTTGTAAGCAGCGCCACTCTATATTTAATACAAAATGTTATTTTGCCGCACACCTGTGTTCCGAAATTGTGATTGCATTTTGCAACTGGATAATATTGGGGCAAATTAAATTAGTTATAAATGTTTGAAATTAATAATTAGTCCAAAAAAGTGCATATCTAACACTCTTCGCAATCCATTGTGGATGAAGCCAGGTAATCACTGTTAATCAAAGATGGGGTTGTCGAGCCACACACTACCTCGCTGCGCCAGCCACCCTCAGAAGAGGAATCGCGGGTCAGAGTCGACGTCGGCCAGTAGTGGTAGCACATCTTGATGCTCAGCACCAGAGGCGCCGAATCAAACGACATCACTCTGATGCGCACGTACGTGTTATCGGGGCACACCCGCACGGCACGTTCAAACGACCCCAGATCAGGGGTCTTCTCTCCATTAACGTGAGTGACCCAGAAAGTCGCACTCATGGTGTACATCTCGGCCGGCGAGCCCTTCCTGATGGACGTGCAGTAGATGCCCGACGGCGCCGTACGTGACTGCTGGAGCACTGCCTTGTGCGGTGCCTGGAATGTGGCGCCCGCCCAAAATACAACCTTTTCAGTGTCCCGGTTGCACTCCGAGGTCTCAACCTGCAGTGTCAGCTCCTTCTTCCGGCGCAGAACAACAATTTCGAGCTTTTCGTGTGAGTACTGGACGTCCAGATCGTCAATGCTCTTCATTGGCTTCCCGTTGATGCTGATGATGATGTCAAGCTCCTTAAGCACCTTGAACGCCTTGCTCAGGGTCTCGACGCGAGCAACTTGGAACATCATATTGCGGCTTGAGCTGGTCTTCTGGTACTCTGACAGGCGCTCCTTATTGAGGCCCGAGCTGACAGCCTTTGCAATGCTGAGCATGGTGACCTCGATGTTCAGGCTGCGCAGCCGGGGCTCCTCGCCGCGCTGCAGGGGCTCGAGCGCCGGTAGAATCGCTTGAATAGGCATACCGGCGTACTTGTGCCGCTTGCCGTCTCCATGCATGTACGCCAGCCAAAGAGCCTGCGCTTTGCCCTCGTCATCGGCCAACACACCAAAGGCATGGTGCTGCGCCTGCGGGCTCTCAAGCAGGATCGACTCGGCGTTGATGCTGCGCCACTTTGGTGACTCCGAAAGGGGCACGTCGAGCGGTACAGTCTCGGTGACCACCGTGTTGATGCACAGCGGGTTGCTGTATCTGCTGTGCGTAATCATACGCGTGGCGTCACCAGGCCGCAGGGGCTTCTTTGAGATCGAAGCCGCGCGGATATCAGTGTCGCCGATATGCCTGGGGTCATACTGGACGATGGCAAAATTGAGCGTCGGGTGCAGGAAGCGCAACTTTGCTGGGATGATGCATGACCCAGCGATAGTGATTGTCAGCTCACATATGCTGGTCATGACTGTCCGCTGGCTGACCACCACCAGGCCGTGCTCCGCATCAACCACAACGCCATAGCTGGTCCATGAATATGTGTCGACCCCGTCTATGTTTACTGGGAACATGCTGCGCACCATGACAATCGAGTTGGAGACCTGCGCTGCCTTGCCGGCGTTCTCATTATCCATGGTGGGGAACCTGATGTCTATTGGGCTGATCTCGCGCGCCTTGGGGAAATCCTTAATGCGCTCGCAGTCCCACAGCCCAGTGTTATCATTGCGCGAGTAGGTGCTCATCTTGTGCCACTGGTGCACTACGTACATGGACGTCGCCTGCCTGGTGTGGACATCCTCGATGCTGTAGTGCTCGAGCGAGATACTGGCGCGATCGGGTATTGTCTTCATGACGCTGACAAAGTCCTCGATATTGCGGATGGGCTTACTGTCGATGCTGTCAATGATGACGCCCTCAGCGCAGGGGTTGTTCTGTAGCAAATCCACCGCAGACGCCACAAAGACGCCACGCACAGGCAAGTTGTATGTGTATGCCAGCTGGTAGGAGAAGTCGTGCACAACGCCACCACCAAACGTCACAAACTGCGATGGCGTGAGGGCATGCATGTCGTCGACTTTGACGCTAATATTGATAATTTTCTTGTCGCGTGCGACCTGCAGTACAAGCGTGCCGCCGATATTGTCGTCCATATACTCTTCGAGCGGCACAAAGTGCGTGACAACTTCGCCGTTGATGCTGATAAGCACATCGCCCTCTTCAATTCCCGCAACCTCGCCGGGTCCTTCAGGGAGCAAGGTTCTGACCACCAGCATGCCGATGCCCTCGGGTCGAATCTTGCGTACCATAACCTCGGTCTCTTCTGGGAGGCCCATGCGCCTGACCTCGTCAAATGGCACGTACGTAAATAGCGTCTGCATCGACCCGCGGAGCACCGGCTTACCGGCCTGGATCATCTCCAGCGCACGCTTCACGCGGTCGAGGGGAAGGAAATAGTTAGTTGCCTCCTCAGACCGGCCGCCCGCCTGCAGTGCAATGGCATCACCGTTGATATCAATAACGGGACTGCCTGAACTGCCTCCGCTCAAGCTAGATGCAGCCTGCAGGTAGAATGTGTTCAAATCATTGTAGGTCATGGTGCCGTACTCGGGTACATTGCGGTCAACGCGTGATATAGAGCCCGCCAAAATAGATAACTTCTCACCGGCATCGTTACCGATCACTCGCACATCGATTCCTACGCGCGCGTTCTCAGGGGCAAGCCGGATCTCGACAAGCTTCATATACTTGACCTTGGACGGATCAAATTGCAAGAAGCCAAAGTCGTGGATGGGATCGCGGTATATGGCTTTGACGCTGACCTCTTCGTGATCGTGCATAATGGCCTCGCCAACAAAGGGCCCGGAGCCGACGACGTGTCTGTTTGTCAGAATGATTCCGCGCTTGGCATCCACAATAAAGCCGGTTGCCTCGGAGCACATTGGAGGATTGGTGTCAAAGTTGACAGGCTGGTTGAACCGGATAGACACAATGCCGCCGAATGCACCTTCTGACACAGTTTGCCACATTGGCACGCTATTTTGCAAAATGGCCTTACCGAGACCGTCGCAAACTGAAGTCACCGAGCCTGTGCGCTGACGCTTGGCCCTGTTTACATCCTGGAGAGAGTGCGGGGTACTGTCAACATCCATTTTAAGGTAACTGTAACTGATGCTCTCTACGAATGCGGCAAGGTGCGCTATTATAAGATGCTTGTGTCGAAGAGAAAGTCTATAAACAAAAGTGGCTATAAGTGATATAAAAGGTTTTGCTGGTAGAAATCAGCAGTTAGAGTCCAATTGAAAATGTATTAAAAAGCAAAAGGGAATAAGAGGTTCAAAAGTATAAAAATTGGAAGCAGAAGAATACTTTTATTGTTTCAAAACTCGCACAGAATTTTAATATTGAAACTGATCGGGAGAAAAAAAAGTCGAAATTTTGGTTGCGTAACACTGATCACCGATCACAGAAAAATCAAATATTTGATCACATTCAAAGCTGCGTGATCAACAGTCACAACGTGGTTTTATTTAAAAACCCGTCCACGACAGTTATGACGGGGAAAACTCACCAAGTGAAGCAGAGCGTGACACTATAGCATCTGCATGATGTGCACGATGGGCACGATTGCACGTGATGGACACTGGGAGTAACAGATTATGCATTTTGCTTTATTCCACGTTTTCATTTTTATAAAATTTATATAATAGCAAGCAACCGACACCGGACCGCAATCCAAATTTAGTCACACAGAAAGCAAATCTTCTTTTGCGTGCTACGGCAAGTTTTTTTTTTTGCTAAGCCAGCTGCCCGTGAAAGCATATGGCTGGGCCCTATCCTATTTTATTTTTTGAGAAAGCAGGTGAACCATGATGAGCGCTCGCTTGTACAAAGCCTTGGGCGCTCATGTGGTGCTCCCTTTTCTCGCACCATTTAAACAGCAGAAAGCGTGCGCTCATTATATGAAGTTACAAAGAAAGACAAATGATAGAGCCAAAATATACAGACATTTTGGCTGCCTTTTGTCAATTTTCAATTATTTATTTTTTATAAATATAAAATTGCAAAAATAGATAAATAAAATTGCAAAGAATAAAAATTAAAATAATCGGCAAAGTTTTGAAAATGCTTTGTACAAATAAATCAAATGAGCAAAAATTAAATAAATAAGACAAAACGGCGCAGCGTTTGGTCAGCGCAAAAAAAAGGTTCTTGGCAAAAATAGGCACGTTGGCCAAGACAAAGAAATAATTAAAAAGAAACCCTGCGTAAGTTCTCTTGAGCACTTAATTGAAAGCTTAAAAGTGCTTTTGGAAGAAAAATCGGAATGCCAATATATGCATCAAATAAGATATATTTAAATATATTGCAAAACATACAAAGGAGTCATTTTAATTAATATATTAATATTCTTTTCTTTGCTGTTCTTTTTATTTTTATTTGTCTTGGCTGTTGTCAGCTGTCAGCTGTCAGCAAACTTGTTTTTATAGAGTAAGCTATTTATAAAAAGAGACTGCAGCACCAAGCCTTAAGTATCGTTACAATATACAAAGTTGAGTTGCACAATTCGACAATGGCTTTTAAATAATAATTTAAATGGCAGCCACTAAAAATAAATTGTGCAAAACAAAATATTCGACTAGAGAGAAAAATAAATACATTAAACGAAATGTTTGACTACTCCCACCCACAGAAGTGCGGAATAATTTACACCAGTGCTGCGAAAAAAGCAGACTTGGGAAACAAAATAAATACACTACAGCTAAACTCAAAACGTGTCATCTTTCTCTCTCTCTGCTGCTCACAGTCATGCGCATAAAGCGAAACATTTGTGCAATTGCAGTGCGGGCAGAGTGGGAGTGTACTGTTCAGTTATGTGTGTGAGAAGGGGTGGTTGCCTGGTAAAGCCCACGTTGCAGATTGTCAGCCAATTGACTGGGCGCTTCCTTATATTGTCAGGCGGAGTTACATCATGACCGGCGGAAGTGTTGTGCAGAAGTAAAAAAACCTGATTTGCTAAAGATAGAGCTAAAACCACGCTCATCACAATTCTCCCAATTTGGACGTGTAGGTTAAAACAGAGCAAACCAAAATCAGTGTCAATCTGTCTAAAAGAAGATTGGCCCGGAACTATTCTGAAATTGAGTAATCCGCTTCTGCTTCAATTTCAGCAAACAACAAGTTGAGAGTGGAGTGTGAGAAATAATTGTTGTTGTTTTCGGGAGGTAATTAACTAAAACAGGCCATACTGGCGTACAAATCGGTCGCTCTGCATGCAAACTATTAAAAGCAATTTCCACATCATCATCATATCACAAGCAAGCAAGCTTGTTTACGGATCATCGCCACGCTGCGCTCCGTGTTTTAAAGAGTGGGATAGAAGTTTCGACTACTCGGCTCTTTATGCTGGATATTATTGCTAAAGCCATATCAACATGTGTCATGGTGGACATGTTTTATATCCGATGTGCATGGCCAGAAAGAGAAAGCCCACAGTGAGATCTGCACACCAGAATTGCAAAACCATGACGATGCAATTTCCACTGCAATTCTGGGAACTTTCAATTTATATCTCGCCCTGCTGGTATTGAATGGGTGGCGCGGAGAAAACGGGAATAGTTGCACAACTTCTACCAAATAAACAAAAATAAAGGGCACGATGGTGATGCTGCCGATATTTTATTTCTTGTGGACGCATTCGTTGTTGAGAATGGAATGCAAACAGAAAACAGAAAGAAGGAAAAGGTGAGCTGGAAGGAAAAACACTGCAGCCAAGAATAGGATTTTCCTTCATTGGTATATTTGTGTATGTGTTTGTGTTTTCGTCCCAGCTGCCAAATAAACACATAATTTTGGCCGCGTGTCGTGCATATCTGCGGGTTAATTATTTCAAAATATTCAAAATAATAATAATAATAATAATAATAAACTGGTTAAAATAATTTGTACATTAAATTTGGTGTCGTAATTAATAAAAATCTACACAAGGGTAAAAGAGGAGGTAAGGTGGGTTGGTATATACTGTACAATTTGGACGAATGCTTTTGTTTTGACGCGGTGGAGACATTAGTGTGAATAATACATCGTGCACGCACAATTGCTTGTGCGTAGACATTCGTTTTTTTGAGGGGAAGGTTGCTTTAAGCTTGCCGTCTCTTTTAGGCGCCGTACGTGTAGATTGGGAATGCGCTGGTGGCCCCAGATACAAAGCCAAGGGTGGAGGCGCTAAAGTACAATGATGGGTACTGTGCAGCGAGCGCTGCCGCCGCATCTGTTGAGGTGCGGGGGACAACTGACTGCTGTTGCTGCTGCTGAAAATGGGTAAATAGGTTGGTGTTGCTCATGCTGTTGACAGACGGAACAGAAAGGGAGGCCTTGGAAGAGTTGTCAAAAAAGCCGACACCAAGGTTGTTTCCGCTGTAGATTCCGGCAGAGGATGCCGCACGCACACCAAATTGCTGCTGTTGCTGCTGCCGCTGGATGGCGGGGTAGCTGGACTGCTGAGCGGGGATACTCACTGGCGGAAGGACCGTGGTCGAAGCGGAGTAGCCAAGGTCAGCAGCGCTGAAAAGGGGGTGCTGAGCCTGCTGCTGCTGCTGGAAAAACATGCTTGGCTGGGCGACAGCGGAAAAGGAGGATGGGGCGTTGAACGTAAACTCGCTGTGAGCAAAGCCAACATTGGCTGCGGGCGGGGTGTACAGCGGGGTCAATGCTGCAACCGAGTGTGAGGGCATGCCGAATGGCTCAACAACAGAGCGCACGCGGTTGTTGGCGCCAGACACATAATAGACCGGGTACGACACCGACGCCGCTGCCTGGCGCACACGCTTGGCAGGTGGCGGTGTCAACATCTCCATTGCAGGAAGCTCATGAAGCTGGGTGGCCACTGGCGAGGGCACAACCTGCAAATCAACAGACGAGCACTGCTCAGACATCTGTGGCGAGCCAAGCGTAATGTTATAACATCCCTTGTTGTTATCCAGCACAATGGTCTGCAACCGGGCAATCCACGCATTGTACTCAGACTCTGGAACATGCAGGCGGTGATCAAGGGCAGTCAAAAACTCCCGCTGCATAATTGTCAGCTCCTTTGCGGGCAAGTGCGAGACCTCGGACCATGTCTGTGTGGTGAAAGTGTTGTCCTCAAGGTACTTGCTGGCCAACATTAGGGCAACGACAAACATCCTGTACTCGCTGCCATTGCCTCCGTGGAGACCGGGAAATCTTTGCTTAAATTTGCTGACATAGAGCAGCGTGAGCATGACAATGGGCATGGCAACCTGTGTCGAGCGGAGCAGCTCGTAGCAAAACTTTTGAAATGACTGCAGCGACTCGCGCTGTCCCCGGGGCATCCACAGCTTGGCGAATGTCCGCGCTGCGACAAAGGCCATCTGCTCGTTGTTTAGTGTGGTGGAATCCATGCTGAGAATAATGTGTGGGTAATAATAATAATGTGTGAAAGAGGAAAAATGAATGATGGAGGAGAGGGGGAGCGTACACAGAGAGGCCTGTACAAAAGTAATAAAAAGTGTCTAATGACGTTTAGCCTCGAGTGTGTCGGTCGAATAATTATAATGATGAAAAGTACAAGTTGAAAATGAAAAGATGAGTGCTGCTCAGGAAAGTGAATCAAAAATACCCAGGCTCGGCTAAGGTGTATTTAAATCTTTTGAACGTCCCAGACAAAAAATAAAATTATATAAAAAAGAGGGGGTGGGTAAAAGGGGGTGGTAATCGACGGACTGTGCCAGACGATCCCTAAAATAGCATGTGTTGTGCGCTTATTGTCAATTTCTGGCAATAAAGAGGGGGTGGTAAATAGAGGGGGGGAGAGGGTAGCAAATCAGATGTAGAATGTGAAAATTCTGCTTTGTCAAAAAACGATGGGTGACAAGACTGCAACTGTTTTATGTCTCAGCCGAAAAATAAAAAATGAAAAAGCGAAAAAGCGAAAAACGATGATGGGATTGTGTATGTTCAAACCTGCAGTCTGGCGTAGCACCAAACAGAGAAAGTACTTGCAAGTTGCAAAAAAATGTTTTGGGTATCCTTGGATGGGATGCGTTGAGTAGAGCGGGAAATAAGAGGCGGAAATAATTAAAAATAAACTAGGAGTAGGAGAGTAGGACGCAACTAAAATAAAGAAAAACTGGTGTAAAAATGTTTTTGATGAGTGTAAAAGGCAAAGTTATTGTAAGCTAAATGAGGCGGCAGTGACGAAAATTCAATGGGCAGTTGGTTGGTTGATGGGATTGTGCAGACAGGCAGAGACAAAAAAGTGCACATAAAGCCAAAATGCCCTTATATAAGTGGAATACAAATCCAAGATACTCCAATTTAGATATATTGCGCTGTTATTGGGCGAGGCTTTGGCTGTGATATTCACTAAAGCTAAAGCTAAAGCCCCAAAGCCAAAGCAAAGGCCAAAAGTGAGTAAATAATGCCAGCTCGGCATCTCCACGCTTTTTTGGCTTTGCTGCTTGGATACAGACACCCGGCCAATTTGGTGGTGTTTGTGCCAATTTGCTTGTTGCTTTGTGCTGGGCGAATCTACATCCAGCGCATAGTAGAAAATGATTGGCCGTGGAGAATGATGCAAGAGTGGGCTTTGTGCGGCTTTCCTGAAGTTTTTGTTCTTTCTGAATTGAGAACAGATTCCATCAAGCCTAGCGTCATTCGCAATGGAATGGGTTGTACAGGTGGGCAGCCAACCCCCTCCCACTCTCTGGCTGGGGCTTTCTGGGTGGCCACAGTGCGCAATTAAATATGTCTGTTGTCCTGGCTGCATGAGCGGGCGCGAGCCAATTCCCTGCCTTGCTTGCTGCTTGGTGCTTGCGAATGATTGCCCCTCCCCCAATAAGTGCCCGATAGCCGCCCCCAATGATATAGCCGCTCCGGTTTCTTAAAAGGCAAGTCGGTTGCAATAAGCCCACCCACTTTATTTCTGGCAAATTGGCTGGCTGGCTGATTTGTTATTTGGGTGGGTGGAAAAGTAAACAAGTGCCAGCCTTTGATTCGAATGCAGAAGCCAAACATCCCACGCTTGCTTCGTTCGCCCGCAATCCCGCCTTGCACGAGAAAAGCGCAGCGCCGGATCTGTAAAAAAACGCTTGCATTTTTATTTGGACTTTGGAGTGGCGCAAATGGGGCGGAACGGATGGCCACTGGGCTTGGATCATGCAAACATGAAAATTTTAGCCAAAAGTGTAATTTTGATCGAATGATTCACCCAGATGGAAATCAAGGCGAAATCAGATCATTGCCGCGCTCGCGTAAAGCCAACAGACGCGTAACCGCGCGTTCAGCTCCTTGTTTTTTGTGCGCAGCGGTAGGTGGATCATCCACGCTGGAATATTACAGGGACTCGGCCCGCTCCTCTCTTGTGTCTTCGCACTCACATTATTGTTTTTGCTTCTCAATTCCACCCTCTCTATAAAATTCGAATTCTGTCTTTCGTCAAAACCACCGAATAGTAACAGTAAAAATGGACAAGCCGACACCTCGCATCAACGCCTCTATGCTTCAGCAGTGCGTCAACATCACTGTCCGCCTCGCTGGGCGTATTGTAGAGGTAATGTATACAGCGCCTTATCCGCCACCCTACCCACACAGCAGTATAATTTATATTTTCCATGCCAGTGTGGTGTAGCCACTATGCTGATGCGGCCTTCTATATTTATTGCCTTTTCCACCCATTTCACCACCTCAGCTGTCGCGAAGCTCCCACACGTCAAAGCCCGTGTCCTCAGAATGCAACATAAATACACTTTTTTAGATCATGCAGCCAACTTAGCTTATTTTCGTAATGATACACGCGCCTGACAGCTGCGTGGAGCAATTGGCACTTCGTTTCGGGCATTGTTTGTTCCGCATTTGCGCAATCTCTTTGCCGTTGCCGTTGCCATTGTGAGCGCTGAAGACGTGTAAAGACACAGCGGCGATGTGGTCAAACACCCAACGGCACAACTGAAGCGAATGCTTGCATCCAGCGCTGATAAATCAGTTCGTACACATGTAGAAAACGGGGGCGCGTGGTTAAAGCGGCTGGGTGCCTTGTTGCGCGCGCTGCCCCCACTCATCTGCACTTTCTTTTCAATTGAAACGCAATATCAGTGAATTATCGGCCCTTTAAAATGTTTATGTTGTTATATTTCTGGCAATTCCCATGTGGGCCACAATCAATCTCTCCTCAAGCCCCCTCTCATTGTCATTGGCAAGTGCGCTTGCGAATGTTTTTGGTATATTTTTTGAATATTGTTCTGGTATTTTTATTGCGTCATACTTTTGTGATATTTTTTCTGCAACATTTATTTTTATATATTTTGTTGCCACATTTAAACACGGGGAGAGAATGGAAGGGGCATAGGGAGCAGACAGTTTTGTGGTGCCGGCACATTGTTTGACAGATGTTTAATTGCAATTATGTATTTCGAATATTTGACGATTCAGAGTTTCCAGTAGAAAACAAGAATCGTCTCGTGGTTACTCTTGTCATTGATTTCTCGCATTGTCTGCTGTCACAAGGGACTTGTGGCAGCAGACAATAATATGTAATGAGTGTCGGTTTGTTATTCACAGGTCACGCAGCTTGCAGAATATCATTGCCGCGTTGAATAATTTGAAATAATTGTCTTGTTTTTTGCAGAATGTGACGATTTCAGCCTGTGCTGTTAATTTACTACTAAACTTAAGCATATTGTTTGTGTGTCGCTGTGCAATTTATTGTTTGCACGTGTTGGTTTACATATTGCTGTTGTATTGCGTATAGGCTCAGGGTAACTCGTTTCTTCTTGAGACATCGGACGGAAAGACTGTTACCGTGAATCCAGCAGTTGTAAGTGCATCATTATCAAACCGTAGCTCTATTGCTTTTTATTTTATTTTTTGGACGCAAATGTTTATTGTTTTGCGAATGCAATTCCTGTGTGACATACTGTCAATATTAGCTGAACATCAATATGCTATTATTGTACTGCGTTGTACTTTTTTATTTTTATTTTTATTTTATTGTCCTTGAATTGTTTGTTGTTTATGCTATTGTTGCCTCTATTTCGTGCATCCCTTTTCTGATATTTTATGCGCCAGGTGTGTTGGTGAAACTACTGTTATTTTCATTTTACTTTTGCTACTACATCCCAGCATTCCAGCCTCTTGGAATTTTTTTTTTACAAAAATAACATTGTTTAACCTTGTTACACGCTGCGCCCCCCGCCGCCCCTCAATCATGCCTGTCTTATAAATCAACGTTGGTCAAATTGGAAGAGGGCCTGGTTATTATCATCGCTATTATTGCTGCTACTGCTGGTTTTAGACACCCTCTGTCGCTGTTGTTATTGTTATTCCACACAAAGTGCAAATATTACTCGCACATTTACATGCACCAATACATTGTCGGGGTTGTTGTGTCTAGACCCAACGTTTTCCCTCATGTATTGCCACTCACATATCGCCACAAATCCTCCCCCCTGCTTATGCTCGGCAACTGTGTTGATCGCATAGGCGCAGCTACTGCGATTGATGTGTGCACGAGTCACTCTGCACTTTGCACGCCTACTGCTCCCTGGTACCAAAACAAGGCTTGGCACTATCTTTAATGCGCAGTCAAATGATTTTTTAAATTTCTTTGCAAGTAAAACCAATTGACATTCTTTGTCCGTGTGAGTATATGTGTGTCTCTGTGTACAGGCTGGCTGCAGAACGACAACAGCAACAATAATCTGCCACCAATTGTTTGAATTTTTATTTTGGGGGAGTGGATAAAATAAATTAATTCCCTTGTTGGGCATCTCAAGCCCTATCTACTACGCGGCTTTTTGTGCACTTTTTTTTTCAAGTCCATTGACATTCAACAATCAATTTCCACGTGCAACTGCATTTTATTGGTGCCAAGGCCTTACCGGTATCTGCATTCTCTCTTTACGATTTTTTTGCATACCCAGATTTTTCAATGATTTTTCCCAGGCATTGTGCGTTATCCAGGTTATTTTTCACCTATATTACTGAATATCCGGATAACTGCGCTGAATGTCATTTTGGTTCTGTGCACAACAGGCACATATTTTTAAACTGCATCATAATCAAGTATGTTATGAGCTTCTCATGTCCAGCCTTTCGCGTCGGCATATGGCCAAATGTGATTAATGAGAAACAGAGGCACCTTGCACACAATCCATAAGCAATTGAATTCTCTTGCTGCGGCTTATCCTCGAGACAATATCATGCATATTGGCCATACAGCTGACTATTGCCTACCTCCGCCCTGTTTATATATTGCACCCCAATTTGATTTACTATGCCTCCGTCATTAATATCAGCAGCAGCAGCGGCATGAACATTTCTGTGTCCTTCTTTTTTGTTCACATTGTCTTGAAATGCGATTGACAACAGGACACAAAGCATGACTTTGCTTTTGTCCTTTTCCAAATTGGTTTTCATTATATGCCGGACTTTGTTTTAATACAAAGAGAACACTCGAATTCCTGCTGTTATTGCATTCAATACATGGCATTGCATTATTCGTACACCCCCCGTATTATCTTTTTATTTTACTTACACATCGCTTTCCCTATTTGTTCAAAGTTGGACACCATCTGCTTTTTTCTCACAAGTGTTGTGTTTATCTTTGTTTGAAGTGCCTCCCCAAATTGAGCTATGCGACGCAGGTGGCGTCCTGCATCTTGTCTGTGACCAGCATTGAGCCTACATGTCCCAGCAATTGTTGTTTTATTTCAACATTTATTGATTGCCGTTTTGAGAATGTCTGTCCGCTGCTTTATTCACTCTCATTGTGCTTGTTATTCTACAGCAAATGCTTTAATAAACCATTTTGCAATTGTATATTCAAATGTCTACATTTTCCTTTTTTAAATCCAAGTCGGTATTATCCTGCGGGTGTCTTTTGTCGGCAGGAATGTCATGATGGGAGGCTGCAAATAAAATGACAACAATCATATCAGATATCGGTGTCTTTTTTCACACACTTGTACATTCACAAGCAACAAACAACAAACAAAAGCGCACTTGTTTGTATGTGATGTCTATATTTACATGTTTTTGTGCTCGCACCATACGGGGAACATCTGCGCACTCGATGTCATATATGAGCGTCATGATTAGCAATTTGTAATTTCCCACGTATTTTCCGCAAATATGTCTGATCCCAGTTTATTAATTAGACCCGGGTAGAGTGCAAACCGCGATTATATCAACTTTTCTTGCTTGCCTTGTGTTTTTACGCCTCATTTTTATACAATGATATATACTATACACCCGGCTTCTATTTTTTATTTAAAAAATACTTGTATTTGCCCAAATGTCTAAATTACATGCATTCCTGGTACAACGCGCCTGCGCCTGCATACCTTGATGGTATCCCTCATTATCCGACTATCAGAATCTAACATAGACAACAAAATGGCATTCAGTAATTGCGACGTGATTTTCTTTATTTTCCCTGCTGTTGCATTTGTTTACTTTACTTTGTAGGAGTGCACTTACAACAGCCAGTTTATTGAAGTCCTGGGAAAAGTGCAGAGTGACGGCAGCGTGAGCGGATTTACTGCAGTTGACCTTTCTGATAACTTTGGTAAGTTTTTTTTGTGATTCCAGAAAAAAATGGAAAATGAAGCCATATTCATAACCGGATATCGCCGTTAACAATTTAAATTATATTGTCTTTGTATCCTGTATTTTGTGTCTAGTTGGTCATGTCAACCTGCTGGGTGTATCCCATTCTAACACGCCGTGCATGTCCCTTTCGGTATATACGTGCATGATGCTTTTATTTTATTTTTTATTTGGCTTTTCTGCTGACCAGAGATCCCCGCTTTATTAAACAGCCGTGATGGGCATGCTGATATTCTTGACACTCCTCGGGTGGTTAAAAAAGCCTGCTGCTGATTGCAAATGTATACTGCCGTGGCTGCATATTTGCAAGTACAGGATGGCAGCCAATATAGCACTAGTGATGGGGGTGTCAACAAACAATAGCTGATGCCAAGTAATTGTATGTGCGAATGTACATATCTTTGCTTTGCAGAATTCCCAATTCCCAATTGCTGTGATATCAATGGGCAGCCGCAGGCCATGTGAGTGACAAAACACCAAATCTCGAAATTGTCTCCTCCATTTCTGCTCCCGTACCTGTACTTGTCTGTGCGCGTGTCTCCGGGCCCAGCAATTGTGGTAGTGTTGGTGATTTGCAACGTTGACCCGCCAGCATATGCAGATGCCTACGTATCTTTGCTAATATATGCGAGGAAATGTTGTAGCAGCGCCAATTCCTGCGGCTGCGCATCCATGAGCAGGTTCCAAAAACAGAATACATGTGAGGAAAGTGGGGATGGGGACCTGGCATGCGCATATATTCGTTTTTCCATCGCACATCTATGAAAAACAATGCAAATGTACAATTGCTAGTGTTGATTTCAAGGTGTTTCTTTTTTCATTTATTTTTTCGCGCCCTTTTTCACTTTTTCTATTGTATTGTATTGTATTCCATATTTTTATTTATTTATTTGCATGCAGCCGTGCATAAATTTTTTTGCAACCGAGCTGATATCCGCATTCTTTATTTTTTATTTTTACACTCTATTTCCTCTGTAGATCTCAAAGCGTACGGTCTCTTTGAAAAGGCTGCCCTTAGCTGCCCCGATCTCTTTGCTTAGCTTGGGCTTTCTCCCGGGCAGTAGGTAAATGCTGGCATCAGTGGTGGGGGAATCTCGCGAAATGGATGTGCGAGCAACATTTAGGCACGGCGACCCATTTTATATTTTTAGCCCACCAGAGGGAACCAGTCGGCAACATCACATATATCTAATTGTTTTTTTACAAAACAGGCAACAATTTCGCGCACTATTTCTGGAGTTTTCTATTTTGATGATTCCAAAATAAAGTCCACACAAATCTTTCTGTGAATCTTTCACTTTAGCCTTGTTTTTGGAAGATGGATGATTACCCTTTGGCGAAAGCAGCGGGAGGCGCAGATGCAATTGAGAAAGAGTTTTAAAAAAGTGCAATACAAAATATTTGGTGGGGAGTGGGAAATAGGGAGTGGCAGTGAAGCGGATTTCAACTTTTGTTAAAAAGAATTTACCAAATAAAACGAGCAAAACGTCCTTTCTGCTCCCTACAAAAAGGGATAAACCTTAAACTGGTTTGGATTTTCTGTTTAACCAGCTATGGTGGTCATGTCAATTTTATTTTTTAAAAAAGCCAATAATACAATTACATTGTTTGTCATATCACTGCTTGCGATCGCCGAATGCAAGTTGTTTTCTTTTCCTGTCTGTACAGGTGGCTAATACATCTCCACCTCTCATGATCTTAGGCGAAAAGCTAAATAAAATAAACACCTGGTCTCATCCAATGGCGTTGAAACACCGCGCCATTCACTTATCTATTCCGATATCCGCTATTCTCTTCGCACTTCTCCCCCCAAAACTTTATTTGCATGTTATGCGCTGCACATGTAGCAGATCATCAGGCAAATGCAATCACCCTTTTCACTTGTCAAACATTTATTTATATAATATTTTTTTACATGTGACATTTAATGATTATTGGAAAATAATTTAAATTTAAATTTGATTGGTACGTATGCTAAATAAATAAATACATGGCGAAAAATGATTAAATTATGCTACGCCATGTTTCTTTTATAAATGTATAAATATTTTATACACTGCAGCAATTCGGGAAAAAAGGGGGGCAAGAAACAGCGAGTTTACATTTTTACATTTTTATTACTGAATTTATGCCACCATACATCCATGCATATTACTTTATTTTGCAATATGTACGTCATTTGCTATCACTAGTTTAATGTTCCCTTTTTATTCATTATTTTGCTGTGCTATGCTGTTTACCAAGTGCTTACTAAAAATTACAAATAATGCAGTCGTCACAACCAGTTTATTTTAGCCTCCACAGCAATAAATAAAAAATAAATCTGGGATAAACTGGAAAAGTGCATATGTGCATATGTCCCTAATTGGTGAATAGGGCATTGAGTTATTTGTTAAACAAATTGGTGAATGCGCTAGGCTAGCCATACAAAAAAGTAAACCGACTAGTTTGGTATATTGACCCAATCATTTCAATTTTGAAAACAAAATAACAAAAAAGCGAGTAGCGGATTGCTTATGTATTCAATGCGCGCCTCGTTTAGTTTTATAATTGCACATTGCCGTTTTCCTATACCTTCTATATCGAAACAGCCTTTTTAAGGAAACTCAAGCAAGGAGCAACGGATTCAATAAAAAAAATTGTTTTCAAATTTCCACATGACTAGTTAAATTTCAGGTACGTGTTTTCTTAATAACCCACTGGTAAATAGTTTGTTTTTTTAGACCAAAGCTCAGACTTCCGATATTGCTCACAAAAAATTAAAACTGGCGGGGAGAAACAAATGTTGCGCAGCCACAAATAAAACCACAAATGTTAAATTTATCATTCTGCCACCAAAAAAGCCGGTATTGGGCTTTGATAGCAGTTAACGGTGGCATGTATTGCTTACTCAAATTTTGGCGTTTACAATTGCGCTCAGGCCATTTATTCAAAACGCACTCGGTGCAAGGAGAATAGTTAAATGCATGTTTTCGGCAGCTGCATTAGTTTTTAACTAGTATATAATATCCGGTATACTTTGCAATTTTTGCTAGCCACGCATCAACCGTTTTTATTTTTGCTATAATTCCCATTCATAGTATGTTTATTCGTTTATTTGTTTATTTTCTAGGCTGCTTGTGATCCAAATATTCCAGGTTTATACATAAAACTATTGTATTCCTCGCCTTTCAATACAAAACTATATCACTGATTCCATTAAATTTTGTATTTTGTTTGTACTATTAAAATTCACCAATTCTTTTTCTTAAATATTGTCCTCGACATATAATATTATTACAAACCAAACGCATAATTAGTGTACTAGCAAAAAACAATTTACACCTAGCTATATATACTTTTTTGTTGCACAAGAGGCCTTGAAATATAATGTAAGCTTGGCATTGCTTCCAATGCGAATTGATATGTGCAATTGCTCGCTCTGCATCAAATTCAGCACCCTAATATTGAATTTACGAATAATTTCCTGTAGCATCTCCCAAGTGCATGGCGGGTCCCAAGGGTTATTTAGATGCCGGGGATGAGTCGCATATCGACACATTGGGTTCACAACCTAGCGCTCCCGAGGTGCACCATAGCACGGGAAGAAAAAATGTAGACAAGATAGAAATAGCCGCCAAAAAAAATAAAGCAGCGGCAACACCATATACACTAGAAAACACAGCTGCTTATGCGGAGAAAAAGGCTGATGCCGGGAATTACTCTAGCAGTACGTACACGGGCTCTGAAAGTGAGGGAGCAGAGCTTCTCGGCTACAACTCAGGTGAAAACGGCACTGTAGATAATGAAAAGCACAACATGGACAGCGCCAAGGGTGCTGACCTCGATGATAGCCCATTTGAAGTTGTACGCACAGCAGTCAGCAACACGGACATGCCGTCAATGCCGTCAATGACGTTTCGCTCGGCTGTACTGGGTGTGTTTTTTGTGTTTCTCATTTCGTTCGTCAACCAATTTTACTGGGAGCGCGACAACCCAATTGCGCTTAACTTGCTTATTGTGCAGCTGCTGTGCTATCCGGTAGGCGTTGCAATGGCTTGGGGGCTTCCTGTGCGGACATGGAACTGCTTTGGGTACAAGTGGTCAATGAACCCAGGTCCATTTACCATCAAGGAGCATGTGTTGGTTTCGCTCATGGCAAATGCCAGCTCCAACATGGCACTGACCGTTGATATCTTTGCAGTACTGCGCTTGTATTACGACCCATCATTTTCACTGTGGACGGCATTGATTCTGCTCCTTAGTGGCCAGCTATTTGCCTACTCACTCGCCGGTCTTTCCCGCACACTCCTGGTACTCCCAGCGCCAATGATCTGGCCCTCGACACTCATAAATGCGTCTCTCTTTCGCACTTTTCACGAAAGCGACACTTACGCCGAAAACAAGGCCGCCGCCGCCGCTGCTGTGATGTCTGCCGAAAGTGCAGCGCAAAATGGTAGTGCACGCAGATCATTGTGGAAACGCTGGAGGCCAAAGTCAATGTCCAGCATGAACAGAACGCAGTTCTTTTGGATATGCTTTGCGGGCAGCTTTGTGTGGTACTTTGTGCCTGGATATCTCTTGCAAGTCCTGTCAACCATATCGGTGCTCTGTCTAATTGCACCGAACAACCACTTGGCCAACCTGATAGGCGATGGCAAGCGGGGTCTCGGTGTACTGTCCTTTTCACTGGATTGGAGTGTCTTCTCGAATGCATTCCTTTTAAGTCCCATCGCCACGCCCTTCTGGGCTGCGTGCAACTTATTCCTGGGATTTGTGCTTGTTTTCTGGATTGCCCTGCCTATTGGCTACTTTAAGAACATGTGGGGCGCAGCCACACTGCCGCTCTATGGCGCTAATGTGTACACAACAAACAGCACGCTCTACAACATTTCTAGTGTTATGCGTGATGGCGTGTTTGACCCGCAGGCTTATGCTGAATACAGCCCCTTGCGCATGTCACTTGAGTTTTCATGGGTCTATGGGATTGGTTTTGCCGCGCTGATGTCTATATTGGTTCACATCGGGCTCTACAATGGAAAAGAGATAATTTCCAGAGTGCGCGAGTCAAAGTCCAAGCATGACGATGTACATGGGCGGCTTATTATGCAGTATCCGCCAGTCAAGACCTGGTGGTACTTGGTTATGCTTGTGGCTAGCTGCGCAATAGGAATTGCCATTGGTGCGGGAATGAAAATTGGTGTTCCGTGGTGGGGCTACATCTTGTCGTTTGCCATCGCCATTGTGTTAATTATTCCTGTAGGCATAATCCAGGCAGTCTCCAACAGGCAGCCGGGACTCAGTCTGGTTGCCGAGCTGCTCTCAGGTCTGGTTCTGCAAGGTATACCCACAGGTTACTCAATTCTCAAGCTCTACGGTCATGGCAGCCTTGCCCAGGCGCTCTCATATGCACAAGACATGAAGCTGGCACATTATATGAAAATACCACCACGCCAGGTGCTCATCTACCAGGTCGCTGGCATAATCATCAGCGTCGTCATCCAGACATGTCTCTTCTTCTGGCTCATTGACCATATCCCAGGAATGTGCCAGCCTGAGGGCTACCCGTGGGTCTGTCGCTCGACCAACCTGGTATACAGTGCATCCATAATCTGGAATCTCATTGGCCCTCTGAAGGTTTTCGGCGAGGGCTCACCGTACAGCCCGCTGCTCTGGGGCTTCCTTTTTGGCATATTCCTCCCCATTCCCGTGTACTTCCTCCAGCGTCGCTTCCCCTCTGTAGAATGGCTTAAGTACGTTTATATTCCAGTGATACTCTCCGGAATTGTCGGGCTGCCACCAATGCCCCCGGTTGACTTCCCCATGTGGTTTTTGTTTGGGTTCATCTTCAACTTTTTGATACATCGGTACTGGAACATGTGGTGGCAAAGGTACAACTTTACACTTTCTGCCGGTCTCGACTCTGGGCTGGCGCTCTCGGGGATTTTCCAGTTCCTGGCCCTGTCGCAGAACGGCATTAATCTCGATTGGTGGGGGAACCAGATAGACCGTCAGTGCCCGCTGAGTTCACAGCCATGGATAAAATCGTAGTTGTGTATTACCTACGGTGAACCATTCATATTTTTCTTTTTTTTTTCTACAACCATTTTTTTCATTTATTTTTCAAGTTCTTGCCTTTGTTTGCCTGCTTATCATATCAGAAGTCCAATATTAAAAGTAACCGAAAATTTTGACACTAAAACTCAATTGATACAGTCAGCCCAATTGGTGATGCTACGCACGCCAAAATTACACCGAGGAAAACAATGAGGCTACACATGTCTAAAATAAGTCAAATATCCTGCAAATCAACATCTTTCTTATCCTGATTGCATAGCAACCCGGAGCGCGCTTAGAAACCAGGGGGGTAAATACAATCTCCAAAGTAACCTAACAGGTCGGAAATTTGTTACAGTGGAGTGTTGATCGTATTAAGCGTCGGTCGTCTTTAAGTCGCAGTACTCTTGCCATATTATCGACAGAACAACCAATACTAGAAAAAGTTTTAGCAAACAAAATAAATAGAAAACATAAATAAAAGCAGCACAACATAACGCTTGTATTTAATTGTTTACTCCAGGGACAGCTTGGCGCGGACACCAACCTTCTGAGCGAGTGACGTGATGTCGCTGAGGTTGACAACCAGCTCAGCGGCCTTGTCCAGGTCGTCGCAGGGGAAGATGGCAATGCCTGACTCGTTGATAAGCTTCTTGCCCTCATCGACGTTGGTGCCCTGCAGACGCACGACAAGGGGGATCTTGAGGTCGAGCTCCTTGACAGCGTCGATAATGCCCTGGGCAACGACGTCGCAGCGCATGATACCGCCGAAAATGTTGACAAGAGCGGCCGAGACACCAGCGTCGGAGCTGATAATCTTGAATGCTTCAGTAATCTGCTTGGCAGTGGCCGAGCCACCGACATCAAGGAAGTTGGCGGGCGAGCCACCGTGCAGCTTGATGATATCCATGGTTGACATGGCAAGTCCGGCTCCGTTGACCAGGCAGCCGATGCGGCCGTCGAGACCAATGTAGTTCAGATCCCACTTCTCGGCCTGCACCTCACGGGGGTCCTCCTGGGTGGGGTCGCGCAGGGCGAAAATGTCCTTCTGGCGGAAGCTGGCGTTGTCGTCAAAGCCAAACTTGGCATCCATGCACATGACCTGGTTATCTGAAGTCTCGACCAGGGGGTTGATCTCGATCTGGGTGGCATCCTTGGCCAGGAACAGCTTGTACAGCTTGAGGAAAGTGTCGGCAGCCTCCTCGCGGGCGTTTCCAACAAAGCCAAGCTGATCAGCAAGGCCCTGGGCGGACTCAAGGCTCAGACCCTTGTTGATGTCGATGGGCAGCTTAAAAATAGCCTCGGGGCTCTCCTCGGCAACAGTCTCAATATCAACACCACCCTGGGAGCTGGCAACAATGACCGGGCCCTTGGTCGCACGATCCATGAGGATGGCAAAGTAGTACTCGCGGCGCACATACTTGCGCTCGACAATGAACACCTTGTTGCACTCCTTGCCGCCGGCACCGGTCTGCTTGGTAAAAAGCTTGTGGCCAATCATCTTGCTGGACAGATCGCGGGCCTCCTCGGGGCTAAGGCGACCGACGGATTTCAAAATGAACCGGGAAAGCCGAGTAAAGGGGCATTTGGCAAGAAAGAAAGATATAAAGTCAATATTAGTTTTCTGTTTTAGCGGGCACATTCACATTAAAGGATTTGCGCTGCGAAAAAGGGGAAATACAGGGCCAGCCTTGCCCAAACTGGAAAAACACAGCTAGCCAAAGTGCAGATCCAATTGAACGAATGAACTAAAGTGCGGGCTGGTATTTTCCATGTTTCTGCTTTCGGGCTGGCGAGAACAGCGCGGATAAAATAAATGTGCAGTGACGGTTTGCTTACCTGTAAATGGCCTTCACGCCACCCTTAAGGCCGCTGTCAAAGTGACCCTTGCCGCGGCCGCCGGCCAGAACCTGGGCCTTGATGACCAGGTCGGTAGTGCCTAAGTCAATAGAAGACACAAACAGGCTGCTTAATTGCAAGGTTAGTGACTTGCAAGGATATACGTGACTCGTGGTAGATCTACCGCGGAGGTGATCCTAGACGCAAAAGGTCAACAGATAATGCTGTTGGCCCATATAAAATGTAAAATACAGTGCAGTGCAGTGGAGCAAACTTACCAAGCTTCTTGGCGGCCTGGTAGGCCTCCTCGGGCGAAGAGGCAACAAATCCCTGGGGGACCTTAATGCCAGCTCCCGACAGAAGGTCGGCGGACATGTACTCGTGGATGCTCAAGTTGCGCACTTGCTGGTTCTACTCGGCAGGTTAAAAATCATGGTGGTAGAAATCTGTGCTTGGTTTAGTATTGGGAATGTTAACTGAGCTGTCCGAGGTACTGTGTGAAATAAAAAAGTAGCTAGGGCTGGGGTAGCTTCGGAGTCACAAATGCTGAATTCGCAGAAAAATGTCCAAATTCCGCTCCTAATTACCTTTGTGGCGGTGCGCAGAGCGCTCTTGGACGAGTTGGCGAACAGACGGAACATGACGGTTTGTGCTGTTTAAAATGATTCTTCGTTAAAGAGGGTATAAAAAAACTAAATTGCAAAAGCTAAAGAAAAAAGGCTTTCGATTTTTGGGGGTTCTTCAAAAATAGCGGTGGAAAAAAAGGGATCCCAAACCCTTGTTTTGCTGCTGAGCTGTGTTGGGCAGCCCTCTTAATTTTCCGAGCAGCGAGGCAAGAACGCAACGCCTCACAAAAAAGTAGTGTAGACGATCCACACATTATTTCAAAATTTTCTTCCTTCTTCGGATCCTGGTGCTGAAAATGCGAAAAGCTAAGCGAGATCGCCGTTGTGGTGAGCTCAACAAAAAAAATGAAATTGTGCCTTCACGCTCGAGGAACTTGAAGTATTTAAATAATCAACAGATCAAGCACTGCGCACGTTAAAAGGGGAGGGCGCGCTTGCAAAGATGTAAAGACACAAAAACGTAAAGGCACAAAGGCTCTGGGGCTTTGTGCTCAAATTGCGCGGTGGATGGATGCTGACGTGCGGGTGTTGGCTTTAAAAAGGGAGGGTAAAAGGAAAGATTGGCTTAGCGGGAGCAGCTTTTGATTGTGCGCAGCAAGCTCAATGCAAATGCCCTCGCCCTCATCCAAATTGTCATCGATCCTGGCCCTCTTTTCACTTTGCCTTTATTATTTTCAAAATAAAATTCCAATTTCTCATTTATCTTCAAAGTACACCACAAGTACCATCACCATTATTATCACTACGAACCACAGCAGCAGCGACAGCAACAGAAGCAACACTACTATTTCTATTATTCTCTAAACTTTTCAAACCATTGAAAACAACAATAGACATGACCACTCACAACTGCCAACAATATCTCGAAAAGGTAAGTCGGCCCGTTTAGACCGGCATAAATGTGTTTGCCAGAGAAAAAGTGGCAGTTCAATTTGGGGAGCTCACATTTCATCGAGCTTCGGAATGTGCATTGTGCCATGTTTTACCTGCTCGCCATCCAAGCTGAAAATGCCGTTGCTAACCGTCTTTATTTTTAATCAAATCGTCTGTCATTTAGGTGAAAAACGTCGACCAGGATCTCCGTGGCATGGCAGTCAGCGACCTGCTGAGCTACTTGAAGAGCCCGGAGGCCAAGCTGAGCAATGTAGATGGCGGCTTGTACTCAGAATCACTTGTTAACTCGCTGTCGGATCCTCAAAGCTACGTACAGAACCTTGCTATTGAGTGCCTTGGCCAGCTTGTTGGCCTCATCGGTACCGATACAGTGCTAGCCATCGTCATCGCCATTTGCAACAGCATCAAGAGCAAAGGCAAATACTCAGGCAACAGTGCACTGAGTATGGCACTGCGGGTTGTGGTCAGTCGTGCTGCCGAGGACGTCAGCAACAGGAGCGCGTTAGCGAACCAGGCAACCCCCATCGTACAGGCTCTGGACAAATCAAACAGCCTGCCCGCTGATGTCACAGTGGACATCTTTGTTGCCCTGTCCGAGATTCTGACACATGCCGGCGACCATCTTGCTGCCGATGCCGACACTGTAGCCAATGTTCAGACCCAGCTTCTGGGCTACATCAGCCACGAAAGCATTCCTGTGCGTAGGCGCGCCATTGAGGCGTTGGGCAAGTTTGTTGTCAGCGTGCCTGGTGAGCGCTCCGACCAAGCCCTCGACATTATCTTCAGGCGGTATTCTACCAGCTCGAGTGATAGCGACAGCGTCATTCTGCTCCGCGTGCTCGTAAACATCACTCGCCAGAGCCCGTCACGCCTCGCAAACCTCATTCCTACAATTATTGACGCTGAGCTCAAGACCGTCGACGAGAGCGAGAGCGAACGTCGTGTCGCTTCGTTGATCGCCCTTGAGACTATTGTGCGTCACTGCCCTGAGCTCGCACAGGGTCGGCGCGACGAGATCTACGACAGTGCCATCACGGCGCTGAAGTTTGATCCCAACTACAACTACGGCGACGAGGACGAGGATGAGGACGGCGCCGATGACGGGATGATCACTGGAAGCGACGAAGATTTTGGCGACGATTTTGACGATGATATTTATGAGGACGACCAGGACGACTCGTGGGAGATTCGCCTCAATGGCGTCAAACTGCTGTCTGCACTTATCAAGAGCAATCTTTACACACCTGACAACATGGTGAGCCACATCGGTGCAGCGCTAATTGGCTGCTTTAAGGAGCGCGAGGACATTGTGCGCGCAGAGATTTTGTTGGCCTATGCAACCATACTCGACCTGCTAAAGGCACCGGTTGACGTGCCGTCAACTGTTGCCATGGATGTCGAGAACAATGTGCCTGAACTTCTCTCGCAGCAGACTCCCCGTACCGTGTCAGCGCTCATTTCGGCAATAGGGAGCTACCCCAAGGCGACCGAAACCAAGCAGCTAGCGTTTACCATTTTTAGCAGGCTCGTCGTCATCCACAACTCTATACTGGACGCACACCTGTCGACCATCACACCCGTTCTGGTGTCAACGCTGGACGCCGAGGACACTGCTGGCGCCCTGCAGTCTGTGTCGACCAGCCTGGTTAAGACCAATCTGAAGCTCGACGTGCTCGAGTTCCTGCGCGTTTTCCTTACTCGCAAAAACATGTCCGATGCCGCCGCCGAGTTTGTGTTTGTTGCCAAGGACGGGATCACAAAGAGCGTCTCGAGCAAGACATTCCAAGTTCCAGCGACCTCTTTCGACGTTGCCGCCAGCCTCGTCAATCTGCTCCGCCAGTCTGCGGACAACGATGCAAGGGACATTTCCCGGTTTAATGGTTGGATCCAAGAGATGGCGGCTCTTTCTCTGTCGACCGCCAACGCGACCGACAAAACCCTGCGCACCAGAGCCTGCGTCTTTATCGGCACGCTGCTCCGCCAGTTTGGCGATGTGGTCGATGCCTCAGCCGTCGACCAGGCTTTGAAAAGGCTCACCACGTGGAAACACGGTTTCACACATAACTTGGTGCTCATCAACGCCCTTGTCACTGCAGCGAGCCAGCCCACCCGCCTGCCTCGTGCCAAGGTGCTCGAGATCGCGCCCTCTGCTTTAGAGCAAGCTGTCGGTTTGCTTGGGCAGAACGACCCGGCGATCAATGCCGGCGCGCTTGAGATTATCAAGCTTTTGTCTGGCTACAGCAGCGACATGCTCCCCGGAATCAGCGACCGCATCTTGCAGGGCGTGATTGACCTTATGAGCCGGGCTTCCGTCTCACCACCCTCTCTTGCTCTGCAAGTGCTCGCTCAGGTGTGCCCCTGCGTGTCCAAGAGCAACATCCAGGAGGTTATGCCCACCCTCATCAAGCTGACATCCGCTGTGGTTGTATATGAGCACCAAAGCTCCAGCGCGCTGGGCGAACTTTTCGAGAACCTCGGCCGCAAGTTCCCGGACACCGTTTCCTATTGGAACGCCGAGTTGATCAACAACTGGCGCGCTGCCTACGCGCAGTTTATCAAGCAGCGCAACTCCAGCGGCAGCGAGGCGATCCAGGCGCAGTTCCCCAGCCAGAATCTGGCCAACGCGGCAAAGAGCATTTTGGCGTTGTACACGGGCTACTACCAGGCCAAGGGCCTGGCATGGTCTAACGACTTCTTGTCTAAGAACATCAATTTAGTGCCACAGTCAGCTGGAGGTGCCTCCCTCGCCTGCCTTGCCCTGCGCACGCTGGGGTATGCAGCTCTGCGCGGGATGCTTGCTCAGGACGAGCCTCTGATCAAGCAGCTGAATAATCTTGCAGAGTGCAAGAATGAAGATGTTCGCAGCGAAGCGGAAATTGCTCTCGGGAGCCACGCTGGCAGCAACCCCGACACGCTGCCCGCACTGTTTGCCAATGCCACCAGCGCAGACTCAACCGGTGCGCTGAGCATGTTCCAGGCGGTCAAAGTCGCCATCGAACATGTGGTCGGCACCAAGCGCGACAGCTCTGTTGCCAGCGACATGTGGGCACAGGTGACACAGTACGTCAAATCGGCTGAAAAGCCACTCCCAGATGCCGTTGCCCAGATCCTGGCCGTGTTCGCTGTGTCTTTCCCGACAACGTATATTCCGCAGCTCGCGGCCTGCATCGGCGCCAGTGGCAGCAGCGTCGATGCCAGGCTGACCTTCATCACTGCGTTCCGCACGCTGCTTGCCGACAAGCAGCTGACCCCGGCATGCGAGGAGCAGATCGGGCTGGTGCTACCTACCGTTCTCGCCAACATCAGCAACATCGACGTCAACGTGCGTAAGCTGAGCCTCCTCGCGATGTACACCATCATCCAGTCCAAGCCTGCGCTGATCGAGGGCATTGTCAGCTCGATCCAGCCGGTGCTCTTTGCGCAGACCAAAATCGATACGTCGCTTATCAGGACCGTCACAATGGGACCGTTCACTAAGAAGATCGACGACGGCCTGGAGGCGCGCAAGTGCGCTTACCAGTGCGTCCACGTGCTTGTCCGCAAAATGCCTGCTGCCATCAACACCAGCGACTTTATCGACTGCGTGCTGCGTGGCATGGACGAGGAGCAGGAGGTCCGCGCGGTCGTGCAGCAGATTGTCAGCGAGTCTGCTTCCTCGCTAACATCAGTTTATGCAGCAAACCTTGACGCGCTGCTATCGGTAATTGCAGCAACCCTGGAGAAGAAGCCCCACCCTAAGGCCGTCAAGCACGAGCTCGAGCGGTTCGAGGACATGATTCGGTCCACTGTGGGCATTTTGGTCAGCCTTGAGCCTGCCTCGAAGATGCCGGGCATCAGAGCATCCAAGTACAAGGATCTGGTTGCCAAGGTGGCGTCTTCTACTGAAGGTAGCATGTCCGTCTACTACAAGGAGATCATTAGCACGCAGGGCAGCGCGTCTAAATAGGCTTTTTTCTTCTGTCAACTGACAGCTTTTTGTTTGCATTGATTTTTGACAGAGTTTAACCAGAGATTAGCCTTTAATTATTTTATATTCTCAGCCATATCGATATCGATATCGATGGGCATGTTCCTTTGCGCACGTGGATCTGCCCAAAAACTGTACGAGCATTTGCAGCCGTATGCCACGCTAATCCGAACCCCAATTTTTGTTGTTGCTTTGGCTCAAAAAAATAATTTTTACTTTTGAAATATTCTTTTTTAAAAAAAAGAGGTTTAGTTGATTTTTCAAATGCCCACGCCACCTGCCTCGAACAGTAAACTCAACAAGGACGCATTCATCGAGGGTGTCGACCATATTCTGGCTAAGTGGACCGCGCTAGCCCTCGCAGTAGAGAACGAATGGGGAGGAGGTGATACCGAGGACAAGCGCGAAAACATGGTCGATGAAATTGTTGAGTTCTTCAACAACGCGGCGGCAAAGAGACAGAGGCCTGAGCCCACAGATCTTGAGGCCATCTTGTTAGACATTATGACCGAGGACTTTAATATTTCGCTCGAGGACGGTAGTGAGAAGGAGGTTGCTGCCAGGCTCACGGCCATATTTATCGAGTGCATAAATGGCAACCATTCAACTGTCAATAAGCTTGCCGAGGAGAGAGAGGCTCGCGAGGCGCGGGATGCTAATGCCAGCGCTGCGAAGAGATCGCAGGCTGCTGCCCGGCCCGATGCGGACGGTTCGGAATCCAGCTCCGAAGACGACGATAGCGATAGCGACGATGCAATGGACGAGGATTAGACATTCCATGTACATTCTTTTTTTTGTAAACTAGAAAGAAGCGAGCGTGTGTGGTGAACATATGTTGTAGCGTGTAGAAAAAATAAAAGGCATTTAAAGAGTAGAAAAATGTTAAAGCACGTGGGCATTACTCTCTGCGCAAGCTGTCTAACCGCGCTTGCAGCGCAGCGTCATCGTCGATAGCCTCAGCCGCGCCAAAAGCGGCGTCAGGCTGCTCTCTGACCTGCTGCGGGGCATCTCCCAAGGACTGGTTAAGTTGCAGGCCGATCTCATCAAGGACCTGCTGTACGATCTGGTTCGACTCCTCCTCTTCATCCTCCTCATCGTCCTCCATGGCATCATCAATGACATCGTTCATCAGCTCCTCCTTCATATCCATCATGTCAGACTCGCGCTCGAAATCCGTCAACACTTTCTGAATGCCTGGAAGATTCATCGTCCCATTCATCGACTTCATAGCCGACGTGGCGCCGCGCATAGCCGTGGCCATCTGCTGGTTCGAGCTCATGGTCTGTATCCGCAAAGCAACGCCCTGAAGAGACGTCTTCATCTTGTAGAACTTTTGGATATATCTCCGAGTACGCACCAGGTCCTTTGCCATTATTTTGCAAGCATCCTATAGAAGAAAAAAACATGAATGATAGTTTAGCATGGGGCAAACCCGATTTGCAGTGCGAGTAATTTTTTCTTTTTCAAAACGCAAAACGGCCGTGTTGTGAGGTATCGCCGCTGCTTCGCTGTCAAGCCAAACTGTCAAGCTAAGCTGTCAAGGCAAGCCTTACCATTTGGCCGGCCTTGGCCGATTTTTTGATATCGGCTATCAGCTTCTTCTCTTGCATCTCCATCTTGGTGCGCTCGCGGTCTAGCTCGCGCTGTGCGCGGGTGAGTGCACGCTGGTTCTGCCGCAGGAGCTCCTGGGGAGTCTTGCGCTTGCCGAATAAAAAGTCGAGCATTGCGAGATTGTGTATGTGTGAGTTTCTGTATGATTATGAGGCGAATTCAAAGTGTCAATTACAAAAGAAAGAAACAAAATAAAAGGACGAGGGAGAAAATAATAGCGCACTGCCAAAAATGGCCAAGGAAGAAAAGAAGCACAGCTGTCAAAGAGGTTGTTTCTTTCTCGAGTTTCTCAGCGTGTGGAGAGGAATAAAGAAAAAGGGGGGATGTGCCAAGGCTCCCGGCGATTAATGCCACTCAATGCCTGTCCTGAGTTGGATTGGCAGCAACGTCACCAGCGCAGTCAGGAAAGGTGTGTGCTCGAAGGATATGCTCGCTCAAATGTTTATTTTTTATTTGGGACTGCGCTCATTGTATATGCCTGGCCAAGTTATCGGCCAATGCTGCTTCTCGACTGGACCAACCAGTAAACGTCGTCCCACTGCCATTTGTGTCTCAAAAAAGCGCGGCGAACTTTGCGCTTGTTCTTGGACCTACGCGAAAAAAGAAAAAAAACTACCGAGCAAATGAAGCACTACAAATAATGCTGTTTTGCACTCTGTCCGCAATGTTTCCTGAGCAAGATGGCCGGGTATTTTTTCCTTCTGATATTTTGTCCCTTTTTTCATGCTCAAATTATTTTAGTCCGGGATAAAACACTGCATAAAACATGCTGCATTCACTGCCGCCGCCGCTGCTGCCACAAGAGAAAATAGATCCACTGAGGCTACCGCTGCTGCTGCTGCCGCCACCGGAACGGCGACTCCGATTTTTGGTTTTTAGAATTGTCTTGCCTCACCCAGCACGATGTTCGAGGTTCACACTTTCTTTTTCTTTCTTTGTTTCCATTAATTTTTACTAATTTTGTATTTTTTGCTTATATTTGTTTATTTGTTAATACCAGCCCGATAGAACAATGGCAGTTATCTCCAAACCCATCAGCCAAAACGTCGCCGTCACTCTGCTGACCGCCTACTTGTCGGCCCTAGTTCGACAGCCGCTGGTGACCAAGTCATGCACTACTGCCACCCTCAACTTTTTGCAAGAGGAGATTGCGCAGCGGTTCAGTGGCGTGCGCGCAAACAAAGCAGCTGCCGAGAGACGGGCTATATTCGAGGGTGAACCGGTGAAGAAGAGCCCCATCGAATACATTGTCAACAAGCGCGTGCTGCAGTTCTCGCTCTACGGTCTGTTCATCAGTGGGCCGCTGAATCACTTCTTGTACGAAATCCTGAACAAGGTGTTTGCCAACCGGCCCAAGACCAAGCTCAACACATTTCTCACGATTCTGACGCAGAATCTCATCATCTCTCCTATCCTCAACTCTGTATTCTTGGCCGCCAACGCTGTGATTGCCGGGGAGCGCAGCATTGAAAGTATAGTGGCTGTTGTGCGCTCCCGCTTGTTGAGCATGATGAAGGTTTCGTGGGTGGTTTTCCCTTGCATCCAGCTTTTTGCCGCTAGGGCGTTGCCTCCGCTGGTCTGGGTGCCCTTCTTCAACCTTGTCGCATTTATATTCGGCACATACTTTAACACGCAGGGCAAGATGCGCGCGCTCCAGGCTAAACGTGCCAAGGAGGACAAGGATGGGAAGCGCGACTAGAGCTGCAAGCCTGAGTGTTTGCAATACTTGAATTTTTTTGTCTGACTTTAATGTAGAAAAGGTAAAAAAAAAAGTTCATGTCATATTGCATGTTTAAATAAGGTGTGTGTGCAGTTAGATCCAATACAAATGTATTATTGATGCAGTGCGCGAGCGGCATTGCTTTTGAGACGAGCAATTGGAGTTGGCAAATTGGCAACTGCCATGTTTGCAACGGGACGAACAGGCATCGGCGTGAGGACTGTCTGACCAAGAGCCCTCTGGCTTGCTCGAGTGGCCTGCAGATTCTCTGGGCCTCCCCTTTCTCCCGCTGCTGCTGCCGCTGCCGCCCCCGCTCCTGCTGTCGCGCCTTGCTGTAAATTGCTGTATGTCGCATTGTCGTCAAGGCCCAGGTTGTCGCGCATCCAATCCTTCCAGCGCATCAGTGGGATGGGCTCGAGCGCCAAACGCTCATCGTCGGTGATAAAGTCAGCCTTATTGTCCTCGGGCCCGGCCATGCGCGTCTTGCCCCAGGAAAAGTCGTCAAAGCGCCAGAACGCGTACACGGGCATGACAAAATTCCACAGGGGGATGGCAGCAATGTATATGCACATCCAGTATATATACGACACTCGCTGGGTGGTGATGAGAATCATCACGCCCTGCAGCGCAAATGCCAGGGCCATGAGCATCAGCGGCAGGGCAACAGGGGACCCGACACACTGGGCGACAACCAGGTAGAAAGAGAAGATGACCGACGCCGGTAGCACTACGTTTCCCAGAAGATCCATGAGCACAAGGAACTGCATGGAACAGCAGAATGTGCCACACAGGTCCTGGACCAGGATAAGCTCGAGCAGATTATGAATGGTGGAGTTGATCCAGCGGCGGCGCTGTGACACCAGCACAGAGAACTTGTTTGGAACCGTAGTCCGGCAGATGGCGCGAGGCACGTAGATCAGCTTGCGCTTTGGGAAGGCGCGCAGCAACACAGTGGTCAGGTAGCGGTCCTCGCCCAGAAGGAGCAAGTTTTTCTGGTGCAGCGTGTATGTCTCGTTGCTGCTATATGCCTCGATGACCTCGGGGGCTATCAAAAGGGGCACTATTGAGCCCGAATCCGCCTTGCGGCTGAATATCCTGTACATGGAGCAGCAGCCCGGCAAACAAGTGACACCGCCCCACAGCGACTCGAACGCCTTGCTCAGGTGGTGCGATATGTAGTACTCGTAGACTTGGATGCGTGTGACCCAGGACTCCCGCTTGTTGGCAATTCGCGTCTCGCCACACAAGCCCATGATCCCCGGATCGCGCTCCATGGCGGCCACCAGGCGCGGGATGCACTCGATGTCAATTGTCGTGTCGGCGTCAACCATCAGCAAGTACTCAAACTGATCCGGGTTCAGCTTGGCCAGCTGCGTGGCCGACCGGCACAGCTCGAACTCCAGCGGCGTCAAATGGTCGTTCATCATGACGTTACGGAGCCACTGCAGAATAATCAGCTGCGAGTCGCGCTTGCCACGGTTTCCGGCCTTGGGCATGTTGTTGTCACGCTCGCGCTTGGTCCCGACCTTAATGATGAGGATGCATGGAACAGTGATGCCGTTGGGGCTAATGTAGAACCCCGGGATGACCTCGGCAGCGTTGAATTCGCGCGGGCCCTCACCAATGGCCATGTATGGCAGCGGGACAATCGGCTCGAGGTCGTCAGTGCGGACAATCATGCTGCGCAGTATCTGCGGAGTAGTCCGGTTTTTTTCGTCCGTGGTCTCGACATCGCCGTCAGCGATAATAAACAGGATCTTGCGGCTGCTCGCGTAATTGGTCATTGCGACAGAGTCGAGTGTTGCACGTATCGTCTCCTCATTCTCGTTATAGCACGTAACTGTGATTACCACGTGCGGCACGCGCTTACTGGATCCACGCGTAAAATGCTTGGTGATTTTTGTCAGCTGCAAGGAGAAGGCCCAGTCAAACAGCACGGCGCAAACGAGCTTGATCAAAATCATGAGGTTGAGAATGACAGTGACGGATATCATAATCCCCGAGGTGATAACGCAGCCGACAGTGGTGCCCTCGATGCGGCCAAGGCGCAGCTGCGACTCCCAGCACGGCACCAGCTTTTGCAGGGCCGCATTGCGCGACACAGCGATGGTTGCGTCCGTGCCAATGATGTTCTTGAGCGACTGGGTAAGATTGCGCCCAAAGAACTCGTCATAGCCACCCTCAGGGCTGATGCTTGCTAGGTACGGCTTGAGCGAATACACCTTCTCGTTGTATACAAACAGCTTGTCAATGTAGCCCCTGCGCAGCACGTCATCCCACTGGTAGACCACCCATTTGTTTGTGCGAATGCGTCTCAGAGTGCCCCATGTCTTGTCCGAAGGCGCGCACTGCGATTCGTGGCCGGCCACGCTGTAGCAGTTGCGAGCGGACTTTCCACTTGGCCAGTGCTTGCATTTCTGCGATTCCTCGGGGAACGGCGCAAACATCCAGCTAGAATCATCCCCGTAGTTCGAGGGCTTCAGACCCAAGCCGTCTGCATCCGACGGGTTTGTCACATCATAGATGCGCCCGCGGATTGCTGTCAGTCGGCGAGTGGCAGCAGCTCCGTGGTTATCGCTGAGAAACTGCAAAGATATTGGCTCGACCGGATGGCAGAACATGGAGGAAAGCCCGAACGAAATCAGAGCGGTCAGTGCCGTTATGAGCATGATGATCAGACATAATGCAATCTTTTCACGCCATGCCTGTCGCTTCTCCGGTGTCTCCTTTTTGAGCAGCTTGTCAAGGACAAAGTTGGGCATCCACAGCGTGACAAGCAGGGAGAAGCATCGCCAGTACGGTCTGATCCAGGAACTATCATGGTACCGCTTGTATGGACCAGTTGATATGGGCACCCTGCGCGTTGCTGATGTTGTCTTGCGCCTCTTCGTCAGGCCTAGACTAGCAAACTTTGTGTTGAGGTTTTGGCCGGTTGCTCGAGATGTGACTCCTGGCGCCAATGACAATGGTTGATTGGATGCCTGGATATGGCTTGCATCATGCTTGAGTGCTTGCTCTGTACGAGAGTCAAGGTACTTGAGCGATGCGCGGGATATGGTCTCTCTGATTCGATCAGGAATAGTTGCAGGCGCTTTGTTGGGAGATGTTTTGGGAGCTCGGGTCGGGATATTATTCGCAGGAAGAGCCGGCGCAATTGCACTCGACGGAGGCCGGCGCTGACTCCAACCGCTGCTTGGCTGCATGTGGGCTTGGTTGTCAGGTGCTACATTTATAGGAGTGTGCAGAGGGCCAGAGGATTGCGGTGAGAGTGGGTGCTGACGTGGTTGTGGGTCGGCAAGATTACTTGTATTTGGCACCAGTGGAGGGGCGGCGGCATGGTTTGGCTGTGACTCTGGCGCCAGCTGCTTCGTATTGAGGTTTCGCGTCAGTTTCTTCTTTAAAATAGGCTTTGGATTTAGATTCTGCTGACGCCTGGGCATCGGCGGTTTTGGTGGTAATAGTGAAGCGGCTGTGACAGGGGCAACACGGGAATTTGCATGAGGGGTGGTCAATGCAGTGGCTGGAGCAACGTGGGCAGCAGATGAAGCCAAAGTCGGTGCTATGTTAAGAGCAGCAAGGGCAGTGTTAGCGACAGCAGTCGGCTGGGCTAATCCTGCTGCCTTTGTTGGTACTGTAGCAATGCCAGCTGGCGTTTTTTTTCTGTTGTCCTGTGGCGTATACCCGGCGGTTGCATGCTGCCTGGCATTTGCATTAGGAGCCGTAGCCTCTGGAACTACCCGTATTACTGGGGCTGCAGATATTGCTGGCAATTTCTTCGTATGCGTCAAACCGTCCCGTGGAGACTTGGACGACATGGCCGGGGCAAGAACGTTTGTGCTTGGAGTGGCCAGCGTCAGTGGCGGTGCGTGAGTGGAAGAAGCAATTGGCGGAGTCGGTATTGTAATTTTCAGTCCGCCCAAATTCTGCAGCTGGCGCGATATGCGTTGGCCAGCGGCGTCGCGGTTGGACTTTGAACCGATGTGTCGCTGTGCCGTTGCAGGCGGCGTCGGTATCGGTGGCGGTTTTATTTGCCGAGGAGCGACATAAGAGGCCCGCGTAGACCTGGACGAGGACGGAACGTTGTTGGAAGACGCGCGGTTTAGCAACGGCGATAGAGCTCGCTCAATAGCTGGCCTGAGACTCCACTGCACGCTCTGCTGCAGGCTCTTTGCTGGCGGCAACACATGCAAGGGATTGGTTGTGACTGCGTAGGGTAGCGGGCGGGCTGTGGGCATATTTATGTGCTCAGGGAGGCTCGGGGTGCGCAGGGCCACCTCTTTATTCTGCAGCATGTCGGCAACCTCATAGTATCCGGCCTCCTGAGCCAGATCAGCTGCGCTCTTCCCGGTCTTGTAGTCAGCAATAATCCTGCTGGCCACAAACTCAAGCATCTCACGGCAAATTGCAATGCGCCCAGTGAATGCCGCATACATCAGCGCAGTCCACCCAGCGTTATCCTGCTCGTTGATCTGCCCGCCGCCGACGCTCAGCAGTACGGATACCACTTGTGTGCGGCCGCGGAATGCTGCCAGCATCAACGGGGTTTTGCCTGTGCTATCTTTGATATTGGTTGCGGAGCTGTTGACAGACAGCAGACGTCGGACGGTATCCTTGTGTCCGTAGTAGGCCGCAAAGTGTAGCGGCGTCGCGCCCTCGACGTTCTGGCTCTGGACAAGTGCCCCGCCATCGAGCAGGGCCGCTACGCATCTGTTGTTCCCAGAAGCCACCGCGTGATGCAGAGCCGTGTTGCTTTGCGTGTCTACAGTACATTTTGTAAATGGACAAAAAACATGACCGCTTAGTATGTATGCCTATAAATTAAAGAAGCCCAAATGACATGCAAATCATGGCTACCGTCGTATGCCACACTATAGTTTTTTGTTTTAAGGGTGCTGTTTTCTTTTACCTTTGCATTCGAGCGCAACCTTTTCGTTGAGGCATATCCAGCGAACAACCTTGGTTGCATTGTATCTGCTTGCAACAATCAGTGGAGTTAATCCGTGCCTGAATCTAACCGACGCAGTCGACCAAACATTAGAGCTGCGCATTCCCGATAAGAACCTATCAAGATCATTGTCTATGGCTGCATCCAGCATCGGCTTTATCAAGTAACCGGAGCTGCTGGCTTCCACCGATTCTACCAGCGATTTGCGATCGACTTTTGACATGGCGTATATTGACCTGATCCCACATGTGGCTGGTTCCGGCCGTGTTTTGTGACGCCCAGCGCGAGATGAAACGGCATCAGCGCTATTTCCGTAAATGTAGCGGCTTGGTCGGGATCTGTCGATGTGCTCGGACCTTCGGATAGACATATTTGGTTTTAAATTTGTGAGTATATAGCCTATTTATTCAGAAGAGTGTGGCAGTTGCAGCAAATAATACAGGCCCCGGTCTTGAAGGAGAACAATGCTCTGTAACCACTGGTCTTGCCGTGGGGAGAGGAAGCTAGCAAACAAACATTCTTGTTAATTGTGCAAAAGCGCGTGTGAGCGTTGGAAAGCGTTACAGCTAGCTGACTGACTGACTGGGTTGGGCTGACTGACCCGACATGGTCAAACATATTTTTTTTGAATAAAAAACAGTAACTTTTTTTTTTACATTTTCAACGCCGAAAATGTTTCCTAAAAATACAAACCAAGCAGTAATATGATAACAACATTAAAGAGCGTATGTCAACGCAAAGACAAAGTCAACACATGCCAGTTGCCTCCTCGTGCCCTGTTGCGCCGCAGGTTCAATGTTGATCATAATCTTTTTTCTTCCTTATTTCATTTAAAATGGGCATGCTACTGAGAACAGGCGACAAAAGAAGGAAAGGGATTGTCAATCTGGGGTGTTATTTTTCTCACTCTTTCTGTCACACTCTATTTGCAAAAAAAAGGTTAACTCAAAATATTGGCTCAAATATAGTGTGAACAAAATGCGGGGAGGAGGGGGTGAATATGTAGTCTGCTTCTCAGTCTGTCAAGTCCTAAGTGTGGAGAGAACGAGGTTGAAGATAAATCGAATAAACATTAATATGAATGAATGCACTTTTAAAATGTATTCTGATATTTTGATTTTGCGTGTTAATTGTCACAGTTGACAACCGAGTGAGAGAGAGGCAATTTTATTTGCGAGAAGAAAAAAAACTAACGAAAAAATCGAATGAACGCATACTATTTAAGGAAAGTTCCGTGAGGATTTTGGACAAGCGCATCGTGTTTCTATATTTGGGGGAATGCTCAAAGCATGGCATGCCTGTTTTTTCCCTTTCTTTTTGGCTTTCACTGGCTGGTGAGACGACCAATAATAATTCTATTTTTAAAGGCTTCGTGTGTTGGGTTTCTCAAAAGCTGCCCTCCTATTTTTTGTATTTTCTCTTTCTTTTTTCTTTTCTGTTGTAGTGCGCCTTTTTAAACTAAATTTCAATTCCAATTATTATTCATTCACTTTTCATTTTGCCGAGCAATCTGACTCTCTGGCATTGCACGCAACTAAATTAAACAATAATTGCAGTCAGCCCAATCCTTTTTCATAAACTCTCACAACACGTTCGCCACCATACAAAACGCACACGCACAGACGCACAAGAACATACGCAAATACAAGAAGCCGCTGAGTGACAATGGTTGTTTATAAATTCGGGTACTACGACGGAATTTGCTCCGTGGTGCAAATGGCAGCGTGCCCCTTGCTGGGAGACAACCAAATTGGGTACGAGCCCACTTGCTACGCGCGCAATATTGAAGTAGGCGGGTCGCTCATCTTCCAGGCAGCGTCGCTGATTATCAACATTATTGCACTCTTTATGACGGTCATCATGATATTCCATGTGCGCTCCAAGTACACTGCGGTAGGTCGCAAGGAGATGGTCATGTTCTTTTACCTATACTTTTTGTTGACAGTGCTCGACTTTATCACCATCTCTGGCATCATTCCAATTTCATCGGTCGTCTATCCTGTAAGTTACACACATACATTGGTTTTTGTTGTCTTTTATTGCGCTCGACACGTTATTTTTTCTTCGCATACAAGCATGGCTCTCACATCTCTCCTTATTGTATGCTTGTCTTCGGACTTTTTTATTTCTCTCGCTTTCGTTTGATGACGCTAAATTTATTCACTCAACAATGCTTCAATTTATTTTACTTGCAACGCGGTAGTACTTTGTCGCGGCATTCTTGGGATTAACCAGTGCCATGTGCTGGTGCCTGATGCTCAACGGATTTATCGGATACCAATGGACAGAGGACGGAACAGCGCTGACTCTGTGGACCTTCCGGCTGACATCGCTGCTCATCTTTGGGCTCATGTACTTCATCTCGATAGCCACATTTAAGGATGTCGCGTCATTCTCAAAGGCCTACCCGATTGGACTATACGTCATGTACTTTATCTTTAACCCATTCTGCCTGTTTGTGTACGTGGTGCTCCAGGTGATTCTCGTGGTCAACACGCTGGACGAGTACTGGCCACTGGGTAACATCAGCTTTGCGCTTGTGTTCTTTATTCTCGGACAGGTGATTCAGATCTTCATCAGCGACAAGATCTGCAGTGCGATTAAGCATTATGTCGACGGAGTATTCTTTGGTACAATTTGCACGCTCCTGTCGGTCATGATGATCTACAAGTACTGGGACTCGATCACCAAGGAAGATCTGGAGTTCAGTGTTGGCGGAAAGGGCAATGTTTGGGAGGTTAAGGAGCTGATGAACGAGGACGATGAGTTTGCGCCGTATGCTGGCCAGGCGGCCAACACTATTGGTCACGCTGGGGTGTCGTTTGCCAATACTGGCTCCATGTACGGCGGCCAGGGATACGCGCCCCAGCAGCAGCAGTACCAACAGCAACAACAACAGTACCAGCAACAGCAACAACAGGCATACCCGCCCTATTAAGTAACGGGCGCGGGACTTTTTGGCTCTTCACTTTTTCTCAGGCCATTATAATTTTTCCTAGCATTCTTTTTTGGCTTTACCTTTGTTGCATTTTAACACACTTTTTTCTACTTTTATTTTAAACAGCTGGCTCAACTCTATACATGGCAACGGACTACTCTAACCACACATATATTCCTTTCTGGGCTGCTGGTGTTTTTATAATATTTTTTGACAGCACAGATTAAGGATGACGAAAAGGACTTTCAGGCAGACGGAAGTGGAATTGTGACATGGTTGCGGTGCTTAACTTTCGCATCATTCTCAACGACGATGGACGGCAACTCGGCTCAGCTCATTGGCATTGACCCTGACATAACTGTTGCTGCCGCTTCTACATTGTCAAAAGTGTGATGTGATGTTGGCGGGCAGACCTTGTGTAAGAAAATCGGCTCTTCATTTTAATTACAGGTATGTTGCGCTTTGTTTTTGTTATTCAAGAATTGGTCATTTGACTTTTTATTTTTACCTCTTAATTTGTTTTGAAAAATGTCGGCTCATCGGCAAACAGAGAAGCAGCAGCAAAAAACGCAGCAGCAAAGCCCAGGTGCTACGGGCGCCGTCACCGACACCGACACCGCGCAGACAGAACGGCATATCGACAACATGTTCCCAGACGAGGCATCGCTAGAGGGCATTGAAGTTGTGGCCGAGAACATGCGGCGACGGCTGACAGAAGTCCGCGGCACCCTGCGAACACTCCTGCGAGCACAATCAGCCAGCGCCGGGCAACAACAACAGCAGAGCGTCGAGGCAACCAAGGCAGCGATCAACGAACTGCACCAGCGCATATCTGAAATGAAAGCCAAGGCACGTACTTCCGAGCGAATGGTGCTGGACATAACACAGGACATTAAGGCGCTGGACTTTGCCAAGCGCAATGTAACCCAGACGACGACAACAATGCGGCGACTGCAGATGTTGATTGCAGCGGTGGGCCAGCTGAGGCAACTGAAGGAGCAGCGGCGATGGGGGGAGGCGGCCATTGTGGTAGCGGCAGTAACCGGACTGACCGAGGGCTTTGCAGATTTCGGCCGTGTACGCCCGATAGCGACGCTTCTAGCGGACGCGCAAGCGCTGCAGCGTGAGACCGCGGCACTAGCCTCTGCCGAGGTCGAGCGCGGATTCGACGCCCAGGGTCTTTTGGTCGGCGAAGCGCGCAAAATGCGCGCCGCATGTGAATGCGCCCAGGCTCTGGGCGCACAGCCACGGGTTACCGAGCACTACTGCAAGCTACAGATGCGTGCCTACGCGGCTATCTTCCAGCTCAAGGACGATGTTTCGCAGCTCGAGAACGTGTCCCGGCGGTACGCGTGGCTCAGGCGCATTCTGCGTAACTACGCTGAGTCCCACGCTGAGGTGTTCCCGGATGCCTGGCGCGTGGCGGAGCATCTCAGTCGCCGGTTTGCCGAGGCCACACGCGATCAGTTGGGCGAGCTCATGGCGACGCAAGACACTGTGTCTGCTGAGGACCTGACGGCCGCACTGGCGGACACGCTGGCGTTCGAAGCGCAGTGCAACAAAAAGTTTGGCATCGTGGTCGCAAAGGAGCAGGGCGGTGGAGGCACAGGCCCGAGTCATGTGTACGAGTCGTCGGGGGAGCCGGCAGCATCGTTCATGGGCGCTGTTTCGTGTGCCTTCGAACCGTATATGTCCATATTTATTCGTGGCGAGCAGACCAAATTCGAAACCCTTGTGGCGCGGTTCCAGGCCGCTCCCATTGCGGTCGACGACGATCCGTCGCTCAGCGTCCTGGCATCCAGCACTGATCTACTGTACCAGTTCCGCGAGTCTCTGCGCCAGTGTGCGTCGCTATCCACGGGCCAAGCGATGCTCGACCTGGCCCACGTCTTCAGCTACAGCATGAGCAGCTATGCGCGCGACGTCTTGATCCACAAGCTGCCGCAATCATCAGGGTCGTCGCAGCAACTGGAAGATCTCAAGCATGTGTGTCTGATAGTCAACACCGCCGACTACTGCGCCTCAGTTGTCGCCCAGCTGGAGACAAAGATTGTAGAGCGCATCGACGAGGTATATAAGCCGCGCGTGTCTTTTGCGGCCTGCCGTGATGCGCTGCTGGGCGCCATCAACAAGAGCATCCGCGTTCTGGTGGCTGGCGTCGAGGGCCTATGTGAGCCCGCGTTTGCCGCCCTGTCCCAGGTTCCCTGGCAGACCCTGCAAACGGTTGGCGACCAATCTGCATACGTATCACTTGTGTCATCAGCCGTGAAGACTGCCACCGAGAGTATCCGGGGAACCATGAGCGGTGCGCGGTACCTGCGCTCATACTGCGATAAATTCGCCGTGCGGTTTGCTGAGCGATACATGGAGGCGATCAACACATGCGGGGGCATATCGGAGGTCGGCGCCGAGCAGCTTTTGCTCGACGCGCAGGCGCTGAAATCAATGCTTTTGGAGATGCCGCGGATGGGCAGCGAGGACAAGAAGCAGCCGGTGCCTGCGACGTACCAGAAGATTGTGTCCCAGGGTGTGGGTAGGATTGAGGCACTGTTGAAGGCTATATTGGCGCCCAGTGATCCGCCTGAGGCCCTGGTTGATCGCTTCCTGTTGCTGTTTCCGAAGGCTCCGCGCGAGGTCTTTCAGCAGGTGCTTAGGCTCAAGTCTGTTCGCCCCGGGGACCAGCCATCCTACCAGCGCCTGCTTCAGCGCATGTTGCGAGAAATATCCGAGTCCACAACAGCAACGCCATCCTCGACAGCATCGGCGACAACCATGGCCATGACGGCAGCGGCAGCAGTGGGGCCAAATAGTATGTCTGATCGGGACTCAAATCGAGCCATACCTACATCTACCAACCAAGAGGGGTATTCGCGTACGCCATTATCCTTGAATCAAGAACAGCAGGAGCAGAGAACTAGCAGCAGTAGGTCTGGCGAGCACATGCGTCTGGATAGCAACAATGCTAGCAGCAACATGGCATACAGCAGGGATCCATCCTTCTCGTCCACACAGCACAGAAATTCAACGCCGGTCTTTTCGCCAACTACGCCGGGCGGATCATCCGCGTACAAGAACCACGGTCGATCGCCTCTGTCTGCCAGAGAAGGCCAGTTCCGACCTGATCCTCTAGGGATTACTGGGGGAGGCGGAGTAAGCAATTTTGCTAACGAGGGGATGGTCGTGAGCCCGCGGACGCCGACAAATATCCAGTCGCCGGCGGGTCTTACTGCCACGACAGGTGGTGAGAGCAGTATGGCTGACGGGAACAACTCTCCGGTGCTTGCCTCGCTGGCTGCAAATGCCACTGCCACGCGCACAAAGCTAAACGAGAACCTGCGCAAGTTCATGAGCAACATGCGCAGAAACTGAGTGCCAAAATGGATTGTGAGCCATTAATGTTATTTTTTGAAAAGGTTTAAATTTACAGTCGAATAATAGTTTTTTTGCTACATTCATAGCCGAGCAAGGCTCTCGCTGTGTCAGAATGAGGGAGGGAGGGGGAAGGATGCCGATTCAGTGGTGCACAGACGGCGGCGAGTGCTGCTGCGCATGCGGCATCGGCGACATTGTGGAACCCGGTGACGATGCAGGTGTCTGTGCCACACTCCCAGCATTGCTCTCAGCAGGCCCATTTTGCGTGACCCTCGATTGAGCCTCTCTAGTATAAAAGCCCAACAGCCACTGCACAACCTCATGGACGACCGCCTGCTCGGCCCCAACCTTCTCCATCCACATCCCATCATCACCCAGCCCAGCTCTCACATCCCCCGAAGCCACCCGCACAGCCAACGACACCGCCGCCACGGCAACTAACCGGGGTGTATAAACCAGGCATATGGGCAACCGCATAAAATCCGCAATAAAGTTCCAAGCCATCTGACTCAACTGTTGTGTGGGCCGCAGCTTGTCGATGATCTCAATCAGCGGTACGTGTGGATGATCGACGACCATGTCGAAACACAGAGCCTCGAGCAGAACCACTTCTGTGTGCAGAATCACCGTTCGCCATTTCTCAAACTCAGTTGTTCCTGGGGGTGCTCTGCGGTTGCCTTTGGACGCATAGTAGACTATCACTGGGATAAACGAATCCAACTTGCGCAGTGTCTCCTCCGATTTGCACGCAAAGAACAAACACGTGGCTGCAATATTCTACTCACCGCCAACACACGCAATCCGATTTTCAACAAGGGGGAACAAAACAGAACAAAAAATAAAGGAATCCAAGCAATTAGTAAACAGGAAAAAAACACCTTGCTCGTTCACTTGCTTCTGCTGCCATGTTGTGCGTGAATGGCTTACATAATGGTGAAATTCCTTTAACGAGTGACGCATATAGAACCGGTGCAAATAGACGCATGCCGAGGCCGATGTAATTTGCGGAAGCTGTAATTTACGAGACGCCGAGTAAATCAGCGAGCAAGCCTTGGCCCTATCCAATTCCTCACGTTCAACTGACCACCCGGCTTGCACCGAAGGCGTCTGCTTCAAATCCTCGCGTGCGAATTGCCAATCCGTCTGTTCCCTCTGCTCCAGCATATTTCGGTTTATAAAAAAGAGAGAAATAAAAGGCAGTGTGTTTACAAATTTATCAAACTAAATAAAACAAAATGGAATGTATTTCTAACGAGTAGGAGGTGCGTCAATAAAAGAAGGAAAATAAGTAAACTAAAGTATAAATGCAAACGTAAAAAAGGGTTTAATTGAAAGCAATGCAAAAGAAAATAAAGAGCAATTAATTGATTTGTCAATTCGAAAAAGAAGGGGAAAAGGGGGGGCAGAGCGAGAAGGCGAGGCTTGGCTGAGCAAACAAGTAAAAAAAACGCGTCGTTTTTTATAAAAAAAGTGACGAGAAAAAAATTCCACATTTTTATTTGTTTGTTTGTATGGTATGGATATCTGCGCCCAAAGTAAAAAAGAACACAAACTTATCAAAGCAAAAAGCAAAAAAAAAACAGAAATCGTGACCATTTATTCAGTACACATACACAGCATAGACCGTTGCCACACATCTAACAGTGTCGTTGAAAAAGGAGCCCTGCGCGGCATTGTCCGCCTCTGGGTCCCACACCAAGTTGGTGCCCATCCAAGAGCCCTGACCGGGGCTTTCAAAGATCGAAACGTTGGTGACAAACTTGTACCGCTCAAACCCCGACTGCACTGACATTCGGCTGGTGATTAATTCCCCAATCCGCTTGGTTATAGCGGACATGTCGTTGTCCTTGTAGCGCTTGTCCGTCAGCTCGCTGCGCAAAATGTCGTTTATAATTGGCTGCGCCACATCCGGGCGGAACTTGTGCATAAAATCTGGGAGCGGAGTCGACATGATTATTTCTGGTGGGTAGTACTGCTGCTCAAATACTGTTCGTATGGTTTTTAAAATTTGCAAATAACTGCGGAAGAGGTGCGTGAAGGGAAGTCAAGAGTAACGAAAAAGATTGATTTCAACAATAGCAAGAGCGCAAAAATTAAACATACAAAACGCTATGCATCTCTCGTTTCGAAACCTTAGGATTATTTTTAATATCCAGTATGGGTTTTTCTTTCTGTATCTCAGCCCTGTGCGAACGGGTGGTATCAGCACTTGATGAGAGCGTAGACCGGGGCCTTGAGCTTCTTGTCACCCTCCAGACCAACTAGGCTGATAACAAAGGTGTTAAGGATGACGTTGCCCTTCATCTGAGCAACCAGGTCCTCTGCGGCCTTGCAGCTACCACCGGTAGCCAGCAGATCGTCGACAATGACAACGTTCTGGCCGGCCTTGATGCCATCGGCCTGCATCTCAAACACATCGGGTCCGTACTCCTTCATGTACGTGACGCTGACAAGCTGTCCGGGCAGCTTTCCGCGCTTGCGCACAGGGACAAAGGAGACGCCGAGCTTGATGGCAATCAGGGGGCCGAAAAGGAACCCGCGGGCGTCCAGGCCAACGATAACATCCACCTGCTTGTTCAGGGCCTTGATGAGCTCAACAAAGTGGTTGATAAGGCACTCGACGGCCTCGGGGTGGTGGAAGATAGGGAAGATGTCGCGAAACAGAATGCCTTCGCTGGGGAAGTCGGGGTACTCGCGGACCAGCTCCTTGACTTTCTCGATGGTGTACGGCATTGTGAAGTTTGAAGTGTGAAAAAATTGAATTTGTGAAATTCGAATTGCAAAAAGAAAAAAGATAAAGATAAAGCCCCCCAATGACAAAATTTTCCAATTTCTGCAAAACCAGCTGCCCTCCAAATTGACAGCGAATCGAAAAAAATGGCCGAGCTGGACTGAGAACCCAGACTGCAAGCAATGGCCCAAAAGTTTGATAAAAGCAAATAAATTAAAAAAAGTTCAAAAAAATTTTCGTGATAAAAGTTAGGCATCGAAATTGATGAGACCTTCGAGCTCCTGCTCCAGTGCGTCGCCATCGGTCTGCCAGTCGAGAAGCTGTGCTGAGCCCAAAAGCTGCCCGACAACCAAGTGGTCCAGCCTAGTAGAGGCCGGGGCGGTCAACGGCATGTTCATCGCAATGGACGCAGACGGGTGCACAAGCATGCTGGTCGAAGGCTGGCCGAGATTCAGCAGGCTGTCCGAGCTGAGGACGCTGCCGCTGTACGGCGCCATCTGTTGCTGGTTTGCGCCCGACTGTATGCCCCGCTTGGAACCAGCACTGCAATTGGTGTGACCGCGGCCCAAGCCAGACATGCCAGAAGGCGGCCTGACCGACAATGGCATGGCGCGCGACATTGCTGCCGACATGCTGGGTGCCGTGCTGCCGCTGCCGCTGTTGTTTCGGCTGCCAAGAGCACTGCTGTTATCGTGCATCAGTGTGATGGTAGACGACGACCCGTGGCCAATGTCGCGAGTAGTGCCGTTGATGCGCGATCCAAATATGCGTGAGGCACCCGCGCCCTGCCCAACCGGAGTGCTGACAGGTGCCATGGTTGTGTTTAGCTCAAGCATCAGCTCGTCGGTGAGCAAGCAGCCAAATCCGTTGTCAGCGCCCGGACTGCCGCTGGCAATCGAATCAAGAAGTGCCGAAAACTCGTTGTCGACAGGAAGATCGACAAGCTCGCTCAGTGGTGTTTCTCCCGCGCCGCTGCCGAGGATCGGACCGTTGACATCGCCGCCCATGTTTCCGCTGCTTTCGGGGCCAAGCCCAAAGCCCAGATCAGCGAGCGCCTGGTCAAAGTAAAAGCTGCTGTCACCGCCAAGCATGTCACCGGTATCGCCACCCGCGCCACCAAGCATGTTGGACAGCTGCGCCAGCGACCACTGCGGCTGCGGGTCCAAAAGGAATTGCGACATGTCGTCCATCGACTGCTGCTGCATGTACATGTCCTGCCCAACGGATAGCGTCGTGCCAATGGCGCTAGGCTTCACAGTGAATATTGTCTCTGGAAGGGGCAAGCCCAAAAAGTCCGAGGACACAACATCCGTGTACAAGGCCTTGTGTGGTCCGCTCTTGGACTTGCGAATGCGGCGGCGCCGGGACGGCGAGAGCGCGGGCGACTTGTTGGTCTCGCTCTGCGCCAAGCGGAGAGAGACGGGCGAGTAGCAGCGCTTTAGGGCACTGCCCTGGCGGTGGAAGCGCGCAACCTCGGCGGCGTCCAGAATCGATACTGTCTCGTCGGTGCTCGGTGGATCATTGTAATTGTACCGCTGAGTCTTGCCGCCCTTGGCATGGAGGTACATCGGCTCCTCATCCGTTTCGGAGCCATCGTTGGGCACACCAGCTAGCAGGTTGGCAAGCCGGTCTGACTCTGGCGACATGATCTTAGCAGACTCGCTGCCGCCGCCTCCAATATGCCGACGCTTGGGCGTAGATGGGCAAGATATATCGTCGTCGTTGTCGTTGTCGTTTTCGGCGCTGGAGCCAGCAGCGTCGCAGCGTGGGCAATAGAACTCATCGGGCAAGTTGTCCTCGTCTACGCCCATGCACTCGATGTGCAGCCACAGCTGGCAATTGTCGCACTGCACCATTGGCAGCTCGTCGCGCTCGCCTGTCGGCCGATCGTGGCGAGGCCCGCACACGCAGTGAATAATGTGGTGCTCGTTCTCATCCGCTGAATACAGCAGTGCCTCAAGGCGAGAAGAGCAGTGCTGCTCGTGCGAGGCCAGCTTGGACTGATATTTGTACTGCTTATTGCAGTATTTGCATACCGAAACCGCACGCTTGCTGCCAGATGCGCTGCCCAACGCAGATGAAAGTGCTGACTGCTGCAGACCCTTCGCAGTCTTCTTGCCTGGAGGGCGTCCGCGCGGCTTATTCTGAGTGACTGCGGCCTCAAGCGCCCCCTGTGTCCTATGTGCCTTGTGCGCCATGTTGGAAAGCTTTATCTCAGAGTGATCAGCTTGCTCGCTCTTCAAACTGTCGATTTCCATCTTTTGCTTGTTGAACAGCCCCCGTGGGTTGCCAATCACCGGGCACCGTGGGCCGAGCACCGGATCGCACGCCTGCAAGGACTCCTCGTCCTCGAATGATGAGTTGCTACCAAAGTTGAGGGCCCGTTTGGACGAGCGCTTGCCAGATGCGCGCTCATACGCCGAGGCCAGAAGCCCAGAAAAGGCAGAATGCTTCCGGTGCCCCGTGTATGGTGGTGTCGGCTGGGTCGAGCAGGGCGCGCCAGCAGATGCAGTCGCGGTTACAGCGCTGCTATCCTTACATGACGTAGGTTCTGGCGACAGTCCCGAACGGCCCGCTGGATCGAAAGGCAGCGTGGAAATCGGAGATGATTGTGCGGGAGAGACAGGTAGCAAGACGACGCGAGCTCCGGTAGCATCAGCAGCTGCGCAACCCGACGCGAGCGCTGCAGAATGTGCCCCGGTGTACTTGTTTGCAAAAGCAGTAAAATCACCAGCAGCAACGTTAGTAAGGGCAGTAGGGGCAGTACCATCGCCAGACAACGGAACTGCGCCAACAGATTGGCTAGACTGGCCACCAGGGCGGTGAAGGCTCGAAAAATCAAGTGGCTTTAAGTTGCGTTTCGGCATCCGTCTAAGCCCTGCGGCGCCATTATTGCTGCTACTTGCGCTGCCTGCACCTATTGTCTGATGTAGTGTGGGCGGTTGTCTCACAACCAAGCCATTTTGGCGGGGGTTCTGCACAACCCGCTGAGGCGGATGAGTGAGATGACCGCGCATGTTTGTGTGTTTTTGCGGCGGGTTTGTGGAAATGAGGGGTGGATTGCCAGTCGCCCTCTGCTGGCTCTTATTATTCATCTCGCCCAGGTAGGCAAGAGGAATGCTGCGCAAAATGGAGCTGTCAGAGTATTGTGCCATGCGCCGCGGGTTGGTCACTGTGTTTTGGTGTCCGCCGGGCGAGCTGGCCGTGATGGCCGTGCAGCGGCGCTTTCGATGGCTCTGTGTTTGCTGCTGTGCGGCTAGGTCTAGCAGCGACACGCTGGGTTTATCCGAGACTGGGCCCGAGGGCTTGGGTCCGGCGCCATCCAAAACAAAATGTGGCGGAACGTTCTCCGTGCTTTCGAATACCCGCTTGCGAGGAGGCAGATCGGAGTGGCCCATGTGGATTCCACCGATGTTGGTAAACCCGCTAGACAGGCTTTCGCCGAGTCCGCAGTTTGACCGTTCGCTGGCCGCTGATACAGCGCCGTGGTTGGGAATACGGACTATCGCCTTGGGCATGTTTGTGTTGTTGTTGCTCGCCTTGTGCGTGGTAAGAACTGTGGTAAAAGTTGTGTTGAAGGATGCAGCTTGCTAGATATGCAAAATAGAATGCAGAATGGTATAAATAATAATTAAGAGATAGTTTAGAGAGAGAAAATTTTTTTACAAGATGGATAGGATGCCAGTTCCTATTTGTGAGGTGAGGTGAGATGAGGTGTGGAGTAAGGAAGAAGGAAGGGGCAGCCACGGCTCTGCAGACAAGTTTCTGGTGTCCAGCCGAGCTAAAAAATAATGAAATGCTGATGTGTGCTGATATGTGCCAGAGGCAAGGAATAAATTAAGGAAATGTGTGCGTTTGCTAGAAGCTGGCTACCACAACTTCGTTTATGTTCAAGAATGGAAAGGAGCGCAAAAGATATCGGCTGATAATAGCTATTTGTTGCGGCAGTAGCACACAGCAGTTTGCAAAAAATGTGGCAAGATATCGAAGAAAAAGTATATGAATTTGAGTCAGGAACAGAAAAGACGTAAAGAAGGAAAAGTGATGGTTAGAGCTTTGTACTTGGTTCTTCAGTCACAAAACTAAGCTGAAGATACAGAAAGAGTGCGATTTCCGCAGAGCTTCCAAAAGCAGATGAGGATGGGTGAAGGGTTCTGCAAAAAAATTGGGCTTTGCAAGTGCTAATGACAAGCTTGGGGAAGAAAAAAACGAGTTGAGAAAAAATTGAGAGGCTCGAAAGCCATTATCATGCCTGCGCTTTTATAATGAAATGGCTCGCCGAGAGAGAAAAAAAACATACACAAGCCGGTAAATCGGCGCAAATCCATATGTGCGTGAGAGGTACATATTGAAAAGTGTGTTGTAATAGAAAAATAGCACACGCTTGCGAAACAAAGATGGCTGGCAAGTATATTGCATATTGCATCATTGCTGTTCGCCGCTTGATGTCCAGGAAAAATAATAAGGCAAGGTAGGACATGTGGTTTGCGCGGGCTCAGCCCATGGAGTTATTAGAAAACGGCGGTTTAATCATGCGGATGGTCTATCAATTTCACAGAAAAACATAAAATGAAAAAGTCCCGACAAGCACACTCTAATCAAAGCTGATTGCTAAACGACGCTGAGCAAAAGAAGGGGTGGCCGAAATCTTCCGCCTGGCATATATGCATAGAACATGTCCAGTTGAGCCAAAGCTGCCGCTGGGCCCTGTGTATTGATTTTTGCCTTTGCAACACCTTACCTTATTCCAGCCTGGGATACACGGATTTGACAATGTATTAATTGGCATTGCGAATGCCTTGGCAGAAAGGATGGACATGGATGATGATCGTGCGCTGATGTACGGGAACACCAAATAAAAAGGGGCAAAATAACTGCAGTATGCAAAGTGAGTGTGTGGGGGGAAGATGGAAATGGCAATATGCGTTCAAAGTTGCGTGAGCCAATGGACGGGCTGATGAATCGGAGAGATGTGCAATGATGTCCTTCGGTTGTAAGTCAATGAAGAAGAGCGCGTGTCAAAAAAATATTATAAGAGTATAGGAAAATCGGATTCCCCAAGTGGATGACAAGGAAAAGATGGACAATTTACTTTGTAAAGTTTGCCACGGGTTCTAGGACGGGTATAGCTGGCCTGAATAGGAAAAGAGGCGCAATGGACGATAATGTATGCTAAATACTACTTTGTCCTCTGAGCTGCGCATGCATCGTACGTTTATTCTGGCTCTCAGAACCAAAGCGTCCAAAAATGGCAAGCGAATATAGTGCTGAGAATCAATGCTAAGATCTGACATGTTCCTAGCATATAGAGCAAGAGGTGAGAGAAAAAATATAAGAGCTTGGTGTGCTTGGTATTAAGGTGCACGATACTTACTATGAGTTAATGTTGTTGTGGTTGTTCTGTCGAATCGAGCGTGTGGCAAACGCTGCAGCTGGCGCAGAATTACAAATATAATGTGATATTAGAGTTGGCTGGGTATGTCTATACAAATATAATGTAGACCAAAAGTAACGTAACAATATTTTCTACGAGGTATTAAAGAAAGTATTGATGATAAATATTACTGTTTGGTGCTGCGCTTCCAGTGCTAATAGAAATAACTTAAAAGGTTTTATATAATAAAGAAAAGGCGGACGGAAAGAAATAAAGAAAAGTAGCATGCAGCGTATTGATTTTGAGCGCTGCAGCAACCAAAAATAGGGAAATAAGAAGTTTGTAAACATGCAAATATACGCAACAGTCTTAAGATGCACCAGTTTGTTTGTGCAGACGGACTGCAGTTCATTTCCTGCTTGTCGACCATTGAATGCATTAACACTATTTTTACAAGCAGAAAAATAATACAACAGCTTCAATTAAGCACTGTTTGACCCAAAAATCACAATGCAAGTTAAGACAATGGAGAGCATCGAGGCATATGAAAAATGGCTGATAGCGCCTGCTACTTTCTTTTTTAATTTCTTCATGTAGTTTATTGTCGCGCTCATACAAATTGTTGTCGACAAAATTGGTTTTATTTTCCCTTTTATTTGTTGCTTTGTTGTAGGGAGTTCAGTAGACACTCTACAGCCACACATTTTTGCCCCCGAGAACAATGTTTGCAAAACACGAGACGGGGACCAAATAGGCGGTTGAAGAAAGCGTCTGAGCAGACTCGGTCTCCCCTATTTTGTCGGCTATAACAAACGAATGTGGTACTGTTATTTTCTAAACCCAATTTAAACTAAAATTGAAAGTCAGAGCACTCATCATTGTCTGGCCCAGCTTTGGCTGCTAATGTGTAACAATAAATTCATTTAGGTTTGTTGTCGTCTGCTTGTTGCTACGTGGTCCAAATTGTTGGGACCGGTACAATACGACATTTGTCCCCTCATCATTTTTGTTGTTTTTTCTCCTGGACCACCAACATTCCTCATGCCGATAATAATTACTAGACGTTTTGAGGACTGGCAAGAGTAAAACAAACAAGCGAATTGTTGGAAATACTCTATAAATAATGCCAAAATAATAATAAAAATGACACTCCCATGTCTTACCAGAAAAGTTAACAAGTGCGCAAGACACGTGGGCAAATATAGAGCTCGTCTCATATTTTCATCGAGATATTTCTAGCTGTGTAAATTTCAATTATCATAAAAAAGATGTGTAAAGTTGCACTTGGCTTAGAATGGGAACCCCCCGGGGCCACCAAACTGGAATGAGAACTGCTGCTTGCTGCCGCCACCCTGCTGGAAGAACACTGGCTTTCCACCGCTGCCATGCGGGTGCGCAAATGGATGGCCGCCAAACCCACCGGATCCGTCGGGTCCAGCGCCGCCAGTCGGATCATTTGGGTCATGGCCCTGGTCAAAGCTGGCACGCTTCTCCTCGTCCATCAGAACCTCGTATGCTAGGTTGATGTCAGCCATCTTTTCTTCCACCTTCTCCTTTGGGAGATCGCCACGGTAGCGATCGGGATGCCACTGGTGCGCCATCTTGCGGAACGCCTTCTTGATCTCAACCGACGATGCATCCTTTGAAACACCGAGGATCTTGTAATAGTCCTTGCGCGACGCCATGCGCCTCTGGTTCTCCAGCTTCATCCGGCTCTGGTGGATTGTTTGCTGACTGATGCCTCCGCTGGCAGCAACCTGGTTCAGCTTGTTCAGTGTGGCCTGCGCCTGATCAAGCATGGAGCTCTCCAGCTGCGCCTCGAACAGGTTGCTCAGGGCGTCAGCATTCTCAGGCTCGGCGTCAATTACGCGCGAGCAGTATGCAATTGCGCTCTCCCATCTTTTTGTCTTTGCGTAGCTCTTGCATGCCAGGCCGGCCAGGCGCGTGGCCAGCTTTGACGGCACAGTCCCGGGAATGTCCGCAGTCACAATGAAGCTAGCATAGATACTGTCGACCTCGCTAAGAAGGCCGCCTTCGCCGCTAAGAGGCGCAACTGCGCGGTTGCAGGCATTCCACTTGCTCTTCTCAGCGTCCGCCTCGACCTTTGCGAGCTTGCGCTGCAAGCCCCGCAGCCGCATGTACGTCGCCTTGCAGCTCTTGTTGTCCGGATCCGACACCAGGCAGGCGCGCACGTGTTCCATTCCCCGGTCCGGCTCGTCCAGAGTCAAAAAGTGCAGGTCGGCCAACATGTTTAGTGTCTCGAGGTCCCCAGGGCGGATGCGCACCAGCCGTCCCAGATCAGCGCTGGCACCCTCAATGTCCCCACTGGCGACCCTGCACGCCGCACGGGTCTTGAGCACCGTCGCGTATAAGGGCGACGCCCGAATGACCTTGCTGGCCTTTCTATCACACTCTGCGTAATTCTTGTCGGCAAGCGCCCGCTCCGCGGCCTCGTTCAGCTCCCTTGCAAGTGCGACCTTGTCCCGCAGGTCCTTTGACTTTGTCTGCATAGCTGTGCTGCCTTTTTCCGAAATCATTGCAATGTCCTCCTCGGCGCCGCTGTAGTTGCCCTCCTTCAAGTACACACGGGCACGCTGGTAGTACGCCTGCTCAAAGTCTGGCCTGAGCTCAATCGCCCTGGTAAAGTCGCGGATGGCCGACGAGTGCTTGCTGACACTAAGCAGCGTGGTTGCGCGCTTAAAGTATGTGAGGTAGTTTTGTGGGTCCTTCTCTATGGCTGTGTCATAGTGCGCTATGGCCTTTTGAAAGTTTCCGCGCAGGAGGAGCCTGTTGGCCTCGTCGAGGTACTCATTGGTCGTCCACTGCTCCGCCGACACTGAGCTCAGTGCAAGTATTGCAAGCACAACGGTGCTGGTCAGCAGATTGCAGCGCATTGTATAGTTGTCCTGCCCGGAAGTTGTAAAGGAAAATAAGGATCGACAGTTGGCGCGGATAGAGTTGGAAAAACAAGAGCTGAAATGTAAAATAAAAAACGTATAAAATGTAATAAAAATGAACAAAGAAGAGAAAGGGAACTAAGGATATTTTAAAGATTTTTCAGTGTTGAAGCCAGCGGTCTCCACACACTGTTGGTTTTCAAACATTGGTAAAACAAACATGTGTGGTCTTTGAGCAGCTTTGCTTAATCGGCATTAACACTTGGCTCCCTTTGATTGGCCGGCGCGTCAAACAAATCATGTGGCCCTCTTTTAGTCTTTTGGCTGGCAAGTTATGCGCGCACGTGCACGTGTGTGGTTTTAGTCAAATTCTAATGGTCTGCACCAGATATGACTGAAAAAGTTCTACTGGGACAGCCGCCAGTAAAAATGCTTAAAGAGTTATAGGGATGGGGGAAAGGAAAAATTAAACATTGACATCATATGCGATAATGCGCATGAATCCTGTGCGAGCGTGTGACACCATCGGCATGCACACATATAAACACACATATCACACGATAAAGCAGCCGAAAATGTTAATAGGCTTATATTTTTTGGACATTTTTCAAATTGATGTCGCGCACAATGTGCTATTTGCGCGCTGTGGGGTATAAAAGCAGCGCTGGATTTTGCCAACTAACAAATTTGTGCACAACCAAACTTTTCTTTAAGCTTTTCACTACTATTTATTACACGCTACACATATTACAATCATTTACTTTACCAAAATGTTTTCCCACAAGATTATTTCAGCCTCGTCCCCTGCTCGCGCCAAGCTTGCCGCTGCAGCTGTCAACGCATCTCGGCAGCGGTTTTTCCTGCCGCGTGCTGGCCTGCGCATCTCTGCCACTGCCGGCAAGCCCAACGTTCAGCAGCACCAAACCGGCGGTAGCCACACAGTGGCCCCGCACGAGCTGCTTGACAAGATGGCGCCAAAGGGTGAGAAGGAAGTTTTGTCATCGATCCTTGATGGCGAGCTCGACTACGACACCGACTTGGGCGCGGCCTCGGTCAACAACATGCAGGCCACCCTACGTGCTGAGCTTGCATTAAAGGCTGAGAAGATCACGCAAGATACCTACGCCGATGTCGTTTCCAAGGCTGATGGAGCCGCAAAGGGCACATACGACGAGGTGGCCAGAAAGGCCGAAAGGGCCGCCAAAAACACATATGACGACATTGCGTCCAAGACCGAGTCTTCCACCAAAAACACTTACGACAAGGCTGCTGAAGCCGGCAAGGCCGCCCAGAACACATATGAGGACGTCTCTTCCAAGGCCAGCAGGGTCGCAAAGGACGCATACAACGAGGCTGCGTCCAAGACCGAGAAGGTCGTGCAGGATACGTACGACGGAGTCTCTAAGGCTGGGAAGGCTGCCAAGGATACATACGATGATGTCGCCACCAAGGCTGGAAAGTTTGCAAAGGACAAGATAGATGAGTTTTCCAAGCGCAGCTAAATATTAATCATTTTTGTACAATAAATAAAATACAAAATTAAATAAACACTGCCTTTTTCAAGCTTGCAAGCACAGTGCATTAATGTTTTTGATGATATACGGCTAATGTGGAGATGTGGAATTTGAAATTGAATATCCTGAGGCCCGAGCTGAAACGCTCAGGACAAAATGGCAGAGGCGTCTCTGGTAAATTGGCCAACACCGTCCAGCTTTTCATCGTTTTCACGTGATTGAATCCACAAACCAAAAAACAAACCCACTCCAACTTAACAGCTTTACTCACGCCTATTAGGTTCGTAGCAATGGAGATAGTGTTTGAGGTCGGCCTAATCAGCCAACAGGTTTCCCTTAACAGGGTTTTTCCTTTGATATTGCCATTGGTTGTTGGCTAAAAAACAAATATAAATATAAAATTCAAGGCAAAAATTTAAAGATACGAAACACATATGTTGAAGACAGCTTTTGCTACGCTAGAGTCCAGCAAGCCACTCAAATGACAAAGTAATTGCAAAACTAGCTGGCTGGGCGTATATATCGGAAAAGTAAAAATTACAATTTGTCCTGAGTACTGTAGCTCGGGCTCAGGGCGCCCATAGGTAATGCGCATAAAGTTTGCCTCACCTTACAGATTTGTCGTAGTCACCCGATCGAATCCTTATCCTAATGTCCGCGGCATGCTAAAGTTATGCGATGTTAAGAAAACAGCTCGAACTGAAACATCGCCGCGGCATAATTATCTCCACCCCTACAGGCTTTGACTAGCCAAAGGAGGTGTTTGAGGTTGGCCTTGTCAGCCTATAGGTTTCTCGTAACTGGGTTTTCCCTTTTGTCCCGTAACATTTACAATTTTTTGCTAAGCATTCTTGTTTCATTGTGAAAAATATGTAACAGGCGGGCATGGGAGCGACAAAAACAAACAAACAACTTATTTATTATCTATTATTTCTACTGCTGTTCCGTTAAGTTCTCAGAATGAAAAGTGCGCACATTTTTGTAAACAAAGACATAATAGACGTGCATCCAGCGTAATCATCCTGGTCAAATACTCTTCACGCTGTCGCTCTCAAATGTTGTTTTGTAAATTCATTCCTACACAATTGAAACGTCAAATATTTAACTCCACACACTTTCACACCTTCCATCCTAAGGGCCTGATGACAATTAGAGTGCATAACAACTCAGAAACAATGAGAACCCCGGTTTTTTCTCAGTGGCCATGTGCATAAAGTGCAAAACTTGCGACATTGTATGAAATGAACACGATACAGTTTCTGTAATTTTTCTTTCCTTGAACAAAAAAATTGACAAGGCCAGGCAAGCAAGGTCATATGCTGAGCGTCGGAACTGACGGCTTTGCAACATGGCAAAGCTGGATTACATAGATGGATGGACACAGATGATTTGTCCTGGCGCTGTCCTACCTCGCCTGTGCGCCTCCTCAGTCCGTTGCCCACAGTGGAATAAACAATGATCATTGGTCGATTGCTTGCGGCAATTTAAGCATAAAGGAGAATTTTAGCGCGATGGGAAAATGGGGGCGAAAACTCAATCTAAATCTCTAGAGGTCGAACGTAAAAAGTATTCCGGACTTGATCAATAAATAAAAAAGTTGATGTTCCGGAATATTGCTCAATCGATAAAAAAATCGATAAAAGGGTATTTAAATGGAAGGGGCAGTTGAGAAATTCTAAACCTTCTTTTCTCGATTCGATAAAACTTTATTCCATTTTTATTTTATTTTCTGCCAAAACTTTACCATTCAACACTAGCAATGGCTTACAACAAGGCTGCCAATGCTGCATTCGCTTGGCTCGGGCTCATATTCTGGAGCTTTCAACTAGCACCACAAGGCAGAGTATCAGTTTACATTGCTTAGTCCACTATGCAGAGTGTATTTTGTCATTTTTTTTTTCCCAATGAAGAAGCTTATTTTCCTATTTGTGATAGTGCGTGTGTTTTGCTCTTGTACTTTGTAGCCTGGCAAAACTACCGCCGCAAATCAACCCTGGGCGTCTCGGCCACTATGCTCTACTTTTGGTACTTTGGAGGCATGCTTTACGGCGCGTTTGCCGTGGCCAAGGACTTGTATATCGGCCTTATCATCCAGCCTCAGCTGCTGTCATTCTTTGCATTGATAAACATTCTGCAGATATACTGGTACCGCTACAAATTTAGCAAGGTCAAGGTCGCCTTGATATGCGTTTTTCTGTGTGCCGCTTACGCCGGCTTGCACGTCGGGATGTGGAAGGCCACTGAGAAGGCGATAGACAGAGGGCAGGAGGGCGCTGTCACCTTTTTGGGCGTGCTTCCGGCAATCATTATTGCGATCGGCTTCTTTCCTGAGTTTTACGAGTGCTTCAAGGAGCAGTCTGTCGAGATGAGCAACTTATTCATCATGCTTGACATCATGGGCGGAATCTTCAGCACAATCAGTTTGGCGTTCGACTACACATTCGACTACATCGCGTCGATTACATATCTCATTGTCATACTTCTTGACTTTGTGCTCGCGGCAATGAAGGTTTACTATTATATGAGGGGCACGCAGGGGGCTGGGCACAAGGCAGAGAAGGCCAACCGGTCTGCCGAAAAGGGGGCCAGCATTGCCAGCAAACGCAGTATTCAAAAGGAGCTGGCCTCAAAGGGCCTGGAGGAATGCTGAGCAGCCTCTGTTATTTTATATATATATATATTTTTTAAATTTATTGACCAAAATGTTCACAAATAGAGCCCCAAGTACACGACACAAATGTTCACGAGCAGCAGGATCAGCGATAGCTGTAACGAGCTGTGCTGGTGAATGTCGAGCGCGGACAGCACAAGTGTAAGCCCCGTCAGAGCGGGCATTGTCGCGCTGCACTCGCTTCTGTCAGCAGTGTTCCCACCCACCATGATTTGCAGCGCGTACATCTTGGCCAGCAGAATGGCCGTTTTGGCACAGAAGGCAGGGTCGATATTCACTGCGCTTGCTTCGGCTATCAGCCGCGGTGGTGTCGAGCGCGGCCGCTTGGCCGAGGGCACATCTGGCGTCTTCGCGTCGGTGCGATCTCGCTTTTGGCTGGGTTCAGAATGCAACATATCGGTTTCGCTGTTGACACTAATACCTTTGCTTGCAGCAACACCCGGCGCCGGCTCTTCAAAGTCGGCCCAGCATTCGTCAGACGACGGCGTCGACGAGTAGCCGTGCCTGTCCGGCGATTGCGGGCGCGAGCTAGCGCAAGACGATCCGTCTGCGCTATGCCGCCTGAATATCTCAGAAATGCGCGTATCGGCGCTTGGCGGTGCGCGCATCTGCATATGGTCGCTGAAGGTCCCGAGCGTGTGCGGCTGGGGCGAAATGATTAGCGCCTGCGAGTCAGCAGCCGTAACCTTATGCTTGGGAGCCTTCTCAGTAGCTCTAGGCTGGGGAGTCTGTATCCCTGATGTATCGCCGCCAAAGCTGCTCGTCATGTTCAAATCTTGGAGCTCAAAGCGCGAATCGTCGCGAGCCCGAGAGCGACAGAGATCCTCATGCTCGTTGATCTTTCTGATGACCTCACCGACATCGGGCCGCCTGTCCTCGTTGTGGTCAAGCAACTGCTGCATTATCTGGCGCAGATCGAGGGGTATGTCCTCGGCGCCCCCAGGACGCTGTGTCTCGGAAAAGTCCACGTTTCTGAACCTCAGCACGTCACTCCGCAGCCTGTCGAAATCGTCAATGTCAATGTAAGGCAGCCGGGAGTAGCACAGGTAGTAGAGCACCATGCCCAGTGACCACATGTCGGACTTTGTTGAGTAGCTGTCTAAGAAACGACCGGTGCTGTCGACCATCAGAAGCTCAGGTGCCATAAATTCAAGCGTCCCTGTAGCCCCCGTCCGGTCGCGCTTCTCCAGATGCGACAGATCCTCGCATTCGCCGAAATCCGTTAGCATTATGCGCGGAATCTCGCCGCTAGTCTCCTTATTGTCCGGATCCTTCCACTGCAGCAGTAGATTCATATGCTTCAGATCACGATGTATGATCTTCAACTGGTGCAGGTGCGCCAAGCCGTTGCAAATGTCCGCAAACAAGGACCGAATCTGATTAATAGTGAGCATACGCTGGTTGGTCTGTGATGCGCCGGGAGCTGTATCTGGTTTGGCAGGAGCTGATACGCCTCCTTCAATGCGGCTTTGACGCCGCTGCTGAAGGATCTTTTGCTTCCAAGACATGGTTGAACTGCCGGTTCCGGCCGCAAATGCCTTGGGCTCCATGAACTCCTGCAGGTTGCCCCCGTTGGCATACTCCATGAGGATGAATAGGCAAGGCACATTCGGCCCAAAGCTTGTCAACTGGTGCATCTCGAGCCATGAGTGCTTGTATTCGACCACATTGTGGTGCCGTAGACTCTCCAGCAGCTTGACCTCGCGCAGCATGCGCCTGAGCCACTGGTGGTTGTTGCCCACTGCCACCTTTTTGACGGCATAGTGGCCCAAGTACACGCCATCCAATATATGCTGGCACGAAAACACCGAGCCGCGTAGCCCCTTGCCGAGTTTGTTTTGTTCTGTGAAAAAGCGTTCGTAGTAGCCCTGGTTGAACGAGTTTGCCGATACACCGCTGGCAGCTGCTGTGCTCTCGGGGGAAGACCCACCGCTGATAGGGTTGTCGTCGTCGTTGTCGCTAGCCATAGACGGAACACGCATCGAATCTTCTAGATCACTGTGGCTGATGTTGTATCCAGCGTCGCTGCCCTCAAAGCCAGCGCGATCGGTTGGCATGCGCAGGGAGCGCCGAACCGCAGTTGGCGGCCTGCGATAGCCGCCTTTGCCCTCAAGCGCTAGCGTTGGCTGTCGCGGTCTCAGAGATCGTGCCAGAAACTCAAAGTATTCTCTGTCGGCGGTTGTGGTGGCCATAGTGTCCAGCGACGCCTCAGGACTCGTGAGCGGACGCCAGGGCGTGGTAGTGGCATGCGCAGGCATTATTTGCAAACACGTTGGGCATATGTGAGCATCCTCAACATGAATATTGACTGAGCTGTGGTTGTTTGGAGCCGATACTGTCAGAGCACTTGATGTTTGACCCAGCCTGTGTGGCGACCGCGGAAGCCCCAGGCCTCGCGGAACTATGTGCCGCAACTCGACTTCGTTGTTGTCCTGGTTGTACATGACAAGCTGACCTGTCTTCCGTTTGTACCTAGCCAAATTAATCAATGAAAAAACAAGCCATAGGGTTGAGTATGTGTCAAGACACTAATACCAGCACACCTTTATGCGCGCAGTGGTGTCATAACAATGTTGGAAATACATATTTTCACTTACAGAATCACTCGCCACGGAGAATACGGCACCAGCTGGGTGTTACGAATAATCGGGGCCAAGAGAGGACTTTGGGCGTTGTTGGGAATTGCGGCAGTCTCGTTGGATAGAACTGACGGCCCATGGGACTGCGAGCGCTGTATACCCCGACGGGGGTGAGCACTTGATTTCATATTTTGTTTAAAAAAAATTAAAACGAATTGCTTGGACGAATTTAAAATAAAAATATTTAAAATAAAAAATAAAAAAACTGAAAAATAAAGAACTGAAAAAATAGTTTCGCGACTTTATTTCACAACTTCGAAGGAAACAAAATTTTTAAGAAAATCGGGCGGTGATGTCACGAATCATATCATGTCAAAGTATCGCCTGATTGGGATTCATCATTTTTAATTTTGATTTGGCTAGAGTCGGAGTCGGAGTAAATTAAAATTAACTGGCACCTGCACACACATTCATTCAAAAATCAGATCAGATCTCAGCACGTATTTGTAGCTGTTGTGAAGCTCGAGGGCCTCGTGCTGGAGACAATCAGCGCCATGCTTGTGCAGCAGCGCCAGCCCAGCTTCTGGCCTCACGCTGACAGGCTCCATGCGACGAGCATAAAATACAGTCTCACCTCCCGACGCTCTGTCGTTGGTACGGAAACGCAGGTCATCAACCGCATTCAAATACACGAGCAAAGTGTACTCGGATCGGCGGCCCCGGCTGTCAAAAAAGTAGTCGTCATAGTGCTTGCCGAACCGCTGACCCGGGCCATAACAGTAGAGGCGAATGTTTTCAAACAGTCCGGCCGGCGATTTACCGTCAGGATGACGCCATCTGCTCAAGAGCTTGGCCATCCCCGAATCCTGCCACAGCCTCTGCGCACATTCCTCGCTGATTATGCTACACCGAGCGTTGTTTCGGAACGCTTCTCCGCGCTTTGGCACTCTGGGAGTGGGAATGCACTGATCGTCAGCTATTTTGATAAAAGCATTGCACTCTTCCCTGTCCAACAGGTTTTGAATAAGAAATATATGTCCCGTCACAAGCTCCGAAACAGCCAGACCTGTTTTCCATTTTAGCTTGGGCCAAACAATGGGCTTTGGAACGGTCGCCTGGGATGCATGCGCTGTTGAGGCGCTGCTTGTACTCGCTGGTGTGCTCTTAGTAGTATTTTTGGCTTTGCCCATCGTAGTGCTAACAATCAATTTATCTCAAAAAACCCAAAAATAATTGCTGATATTGAAAGCACCCAATTAAGCCATAGCTTCCGAAAAATTAACAAATGCTGCACCGCCTTAGCTATTGGTCATTGGCCTATGGGAACGTCCATCCGAACAGTGTGAGATATTTTTGAATGGTATAATTTATTGGCCGTAAATCTTTCAAGAGCCTATTTTCTAATGCGCGTAATTTTGCTGACAATTTCTCTCATTTAGAAATGACCAATAGAGCTAAATTTTTTAAGTATTTCTTGTCATAATAAGCCGAATCCTCCACCCAGCTATTTTGGAACGGGACGGCGGGCTCAAGCACGCATATATTCTTGGGTAGTCGAATCTAGCTTCCGAATAAACCATTCCAAATATAAACTACGAGCGAAAAATATTATTTTTTGTTTTCCAAAATAAGCTTTTTGGTAAACATCCAAAGCATACATTGTTTGGCCGCGAGCTAAATAAAAATTGCGATCACGTTACAAAATGCTATTTCAAAGTGCATTTGGAATCTTGACTCGAAAAAGTCAACATTTTAAATTGACAACACATTTCGTGAATGCGATGCCAATTTCCTGTCTTTTGCTTCCGTGTTTACCATTCTGGGTTTTTTAAAAGTATATCAATTAGCTCCAGCTGTTTAGATTATCACAACCGTGTTTACTTTGTAATTGGATACGTGGTATGCACATTAAAATTTTGGCTTTTACTTGGACACAATATGTAATGCAAAAATACCTACAAATATATATATTTATATGTTAATGCACGCTTTCACAAATTTGTATGTTTGGAGCAAATACACACCACTAAACAAAACAACAATAAACAAAACAAAGCAAATCATTTGCCAAAATAAACGCAAATCCCATTGTATCATTTCGAGTAGTTAATTTTACAACTTGGCACTACTATTTACAAATATGTATATATTTTAAGGCAAACTAGTATGTATGTGTCAGTTCAAACAAGATATTTAAGTGTCAAAAATGACACTGTAGCCAAAATAATTGCTGTAAAAGTAGGATATTTATAAATATAGCCCGTATATCTATTTGTTTACCAAGTTCTATTTTTATTTTCTTGGCACAGCATCTCTTGCATGCCATGCACCAAAACTTTGCGCTAAGCGTCCCTATTTTCGCTATTTGCCTATTTAAAAATAGTATCTATGCAATGTCGATCGCGCTTACAAAAAATGGAATTTTGTTGTATACCTGTTTTTTGTTGCAAATTATAACCATAAATGTACGATGTGCATGCAAAAGAATTTGTTTGTTTACATTTTCTTCTTCTAAGAATACCTATATGCAAAGATTGCCCTGGCTGAAATCTGAGATTGTATTTTGCATTTTCTGGTTTTCAAGTAGGTTCAGGCAATGTCTTTTGAGAGTTTGAATGACGCCGATATCTATTTTGGATACGGCCTCAGTACAGGTGAATTGTCATGGGGAGACAAAAATGTTTTTGCGGGCTACAGTAAGTTGAAGCGGATTTAATTTTCCTCTGAATGGCAAAACAACAACACTATCTTTTTCATCTATTGCATTCGATGATGATTTGCAGAATTACTCTCTTTTCTCCTGCTCCCTAAATTCACTCGTTGAGTTTTTCCGTATTATAAACGCGCAATAAATAATTGATCCTATTGGATATCGAACCTGGCAATCATTCGACCAGATCAAAACAAAGGCTGATCTCCGATTGCTACTAATTTATTGAAGTTAAATTACAGCTCATTATGAGGACTATGCTCACAATTGAATTCCGCACCGCATATGCCCATTCATTCTCAAGCATTGCAATGTCGTTGCTTTTTTATTTGACATCTTGGCTGCACGTATAGCCATGGAATGGATGTATGCCCTTTTAAGGTCCCATTTAGCTTTTATGCGCGGTAAGATGACAGAGTGAAAGTCTTGTTTTTTTGTAATTGTTTTGATTTGGCAGACATTGGCCGCAAATAATCGGGGAGAGGGGATTAAGAAATATGTGGACATCAATTATGATTTTCGCTGTTTTGTCCCGGAAAAAATTGGCTCCGATTTCTCCCAGCACTCTTTAATCCAAAAATATTCTTATCCTGTGAATTTCCTAGTCAATTACCTGTGTTTTATTAGCACCTCACATATATTTAGCGCCGATTATTACACACAGCCTATTTTTATTCTACAGATGCACTCCATTTCCGTTTTTTGTCAGAAGTGTTTTACATGTTCTTTTTAATTAAATTGATCGTTTTGTTTTGGCCAGACGGACATATCGGCCATTTATTCAGTGTTTGGGTGTGAATGTACAGTGTGTTTGGGTGTGTGTCCCGCAACATTGTCAATCCCAGGAACTTAGAAGCATCAATGCATTTGTACTAATCTACAAACAAGTCTTATCTGTTTTCATTTCCGGGGAATAGAAACTGGATTTTGCCCTGGTACAGAGGGATTTGATGGCACTATCTCGCCCGTCTCTACGCTTCTCAACGCTGTTTCTGGAATTGGGGACGACGAGTGTTTGCGTCAGGCTAGCATCAATGCAGGCATTGGTGCTGGGGTTCTTAAACCAGATGGAGTGCGTGAACTTGGAATTGAAATCACAAATGATAACATAAACAAAACCGAAAGCGAAAACGCATACTTCGAATCGGACATTTTCCATTGGGTAGCCAGTGGACTCCCCAACGCCCATTTTAATGATGTCAGTAGGATAAGCAGCTTCGAATCCAATTATTCAGCACTGTTGCAAAACAGCGTTTCGTGCTTGGAACTCATGGATTACAGCGACATACAAAAGCTTTTCCCAGACAGTGAGCAAAACCCGCTTCGATTTCCGAGCGATATGTACACGCCGCGCTGGATACGCGGCATTGGTAAAAGGAAGGAAGGAATCTGTCCAATTTGCCATGCCAATGGTGTGCTAAACTGGCGGCGCATGAAATGCAGTGCATACTGGTAAGCAAATTTGATAGGATCCTAAAATCGCGGAGATTATATTGTGCTAACAGTACCGGAATGTAAACATCAGCCAAAAAGAAAACCTTTAGCAAGATATCTGCACTAATTCGCTTTATGATCCACCATATGTACACAAATAATATTGTTTGTCGATTGCTTGTCTGAAAATTTGACTAATTTTACCTAGGTACCATTTGAATTACTTTCATGGAGTTTCTTCTCTAACTGGACGGCCATTCCCAGAGCCGGCAGCTACCCGCATCGTCCGAAAATCTACTGAGCGCGGGTGCCGGCAGGGTCTGTGCAATGTATGCAACTCCTGGGTTGATATTGATAGCTCGAGAAAAGTGCAGATCAATGTTCCAGAGATTTACTGGTGGAAGCACATACAGGCATGCATCAAGCGTACGTGGAAGCCCGAGTAGCTGCAGATCAGCAACAGTTTAGCCTGCTTGAACTCCTATTGCTTCCAACACAACTGCCTGATCAGCATACATATGCGTGTATTATTCGATAAAGAATGTTTTTCAATAAATTGTATCATATCAAATCTCTGACCCAATCACAAACCCAAACCCAAACACAAAAATATTGTGTTTATACGGACCAAAATAAAGTCCGGAGCAGAAAATATACATATAATTTAAAAATAAACACGAACGATCGACGGTCTGGTGGTCTCCGCGTTCATATTCCCTTTTCCCAAAACAGGGGCTCGTGCCCTGGGCATTTTCCACCCCTCCCTTTTATTTTTATTTTTATTTTTACTCACTACTTTGGAGGAAATCCTAGCTGGGCAAATAGGGAGGTATGAATGTGCGATTGATGCACAGCGAGACAGCCCAACTGTGCTATGCATGTCTCTGGTGCCGCTGTTTAAACTTCACCTCATTTCTATGTGCAGCAATATCGATATAAACAAATCTGACGGTAAAATTAGTGGTCCCTTATTTTTCGCACCCACATTACTGGGGAGAAAAAACAAAAACAGTACAGGGTTGTAAACCCGCAAGCGAACAGATGCAAGCAAGTATTAAGAAGCCGAGAAAGAGAGTAATGCCCGTACCCTTAAAAGACAATGGTGCAGCCGAGCAAAAAATTTAAAATCAGCAGTTTTCCCCCTAAAAATCATCCCACTTTTTTTTAACTATTTTTACAGCCCTTAAACTTACCACTATTTGTACAGCCTCCATATTTGTGCGTCCGAAACTTAGTTATTAGCCGTTAACCTCGTAGAGCACACGCATTTTTATTTATTTCCACGTCCGACAACCTTTGTCATCCAGACATCAGTTACCAATCCAGCTTTATATATTCTGTTCAGTAGCTCCAACACGGGCAATTGATTTTCTTTTACTCCTTTCTATCTACAAATTAATTATTACACTCAAGCTTTTGCACTTTTCAAGCTTTTGCTACGCTACGCGCAGAACGCATATGTTGGCACACGCGCGGCAATAATTCGAATACATTGAGCACACTAGCAATATTTCCTTTATATTTATATTCTCACCTCTAGCGCGTTGGTTCACCGCCCCTTTATTATCGCAATATCGCATTATCTCTATATCCATCTTCACAAACGTGTAGACTTATTTATTTATTTCGCCACACATTCAACTATTCATCTCCATTTTTACTTATTCATTATCGTCTATTTCAGCTTTTTGGTGCTTCTTCATTTTATTACTTTTTCTAATCTTATTGTCTTAATTATTTTCTTAAAATAACCAAAATTTTTTTACGGCAGATACCAATTCACAGACTCTCCACTGCCCACTGTACGCGACTAACTTTAGCTCCAGCTGCATACTTCCTGTTCATAATTTAACCGTTTTTGCCGTTTAATACCATTTATTGCTGACCATCGCACTATTTCACGATCAACTCTGGACGCTTCTTGTAAGTATATCGAATCAAGTTGAATTCTTTATATTATTTACTCCCTCACAACGTGCACAGTTGGGGCGTATCTCCAGCCTTGCCCGTTGATTTGTGCTAATACGTGCTATTATTGAGACACACCCAAATGCGGATATGATAATGCGCCCTTATGTTTATTTATTCTCTGCACATCGCTTTTTATATTATTACAATTTTCGTCCGCGCCTTAATATTTCCTAATCTGGTCAGTTTATTTGTGCTTTTGGAAGCTGCAATATTGTTGTTTAATTGTTTCTGATGGCGGCGTATGCTATGGATGCCTGTCATTAATGGCCCGGGTCAACCAAACAATCACACATTGCCAATTCTGTATTATCTATCAATTTTCAATCATTCAGCTTTGTTAATGCCTGCTGCTTATCTCAGCCATTTCCTCAGTTAATCTTATTGATGTTGCTTACATTTTTTACACTGTTAACCGTTGTTATTTGTCGACTGTATGTGCTCTGTCCATTGTTTTGTTTGCACACAGTGCTCAGCGTTGTTGGGAATTTCACTTTTTTATTCCCATGACCATTGTTTGTACCGAATCCTTCGTTATTTCTATATTGAGCCGCGCCTTTTAAAATTGCACAATTGCAGGAGCTTGTGACCAACGCTATCCAATGCCCTAAATTCTCAGATGCATTAATATTTACACCAACGCCCTTGTTCATGATGTTGGGTCATTTCTTTCAATTAATTGGACTCGAAGCAAAAACAAGAAGCCAGATACGCAAATTTACCAATTCTCAGAACAACGTGCGCTTGTTTCTGCGAATAAATATTGTTCATTCATTTAATTAATGAAAAATATGGCATAATGCGCTTCGATGTTTTCCTATTTAATACTCTAAATTAAAATGCTTCATAAATAATAACTGGTTGCTAATGCTCGACTAAGCCTTTTTGTTTATATTATCTTCATTCTTTCATTCCATTTATAGGCAATATCTACGGTCGATCTTTAAACAACATACCGTTAGCACCATCGTCGCCGTTTGTTCTCACGTACACTCTCATTCGAAGCAACAGAACAACTCAACTCCAAGAAAATTTTCACAACTTCAGAACAAAGCGCCATCGCATATTTTGCTCTCCGCCAGCGCCACTTCTCTCTTCACGCTTGCTACGTTCCTAGTCTGCACCCGTCGCCAATAACTCAATATTTGTGGTTGCTTTTTTTACCGGCGTTTTTCCCTTTCAGCAAGCCAAAACAAGAACGCAGCTGCCACTCCTGTCTAATTAAATAGCATCCCATTGTGAGGTAGTATTCCCTCTGTTCCCCTCTTTTTTCGTCCACGCGTCCTGCACCTTCTTTCTCCCTTTTTGCACCCAACGCTAACAGGGCCAATGTACGCCAGTGTGCACGATCAGCCACCGCCTGCACTGTTGTCGCATTCAATTCCGTCAAAGTTCGCTGCCTCGCCAACCTCCGGACCAACAACTAAACAGCCGCCGTCTCCAGCTCTCTTCAACTCTTCATCAATTGAGCGTCTTTGCCCCACTTCTTTTACTCTAGCGTCCTCTTTGCCAACCACACACGCGCTCTTCCTGCCTCAATTGTCAAAGTCCAGCTCTGACAATTGTGCTCCACCCAAGAAAAGCTCCCGCCGTACTGTCCTCAATGAGCCGATGCAGCGGAGTCCTTATTCGCGAGATACGACGGACATTTCCGACCAAGACCTGCGGCAAATTTTGGACAGTGAAAACATCAGCGGGCTGCCGGCCCCTTACTGCCTTGTGCCGCATTACGAGCCTCAACCACCATTGCCTCAGGGTGCAGCAATGCAAGATAGCAGCGCGTTCCACAGCGGCAATGCGGGTTACAGCTTAGCCTGCGCACAGCCGAGCATGGCAGCAGCATTGGCAGAAGCGGCCGGTGAAAACTCTCGCAGGCGGACACGCACAACTCTCACACCATATCAGTTGCGTGTGCTCTTCAGGGTTTGGGAGCGCATACAATACCCGTCAAGTGATCTGCGCTCGCGCCTGGCATCGAATCTGATGATGACGCCTCGAAATGTGCAGATTTGGTTCCAAAACCAACGACAAAAGACAAAGGAACGCGCTGAGCTGCGCCGCCGTACCCACTCGCCCAGCATGCACGCAGCAGTCATAGCCAGCATAAGAACATCATCATCCCACCACGGTCACATTGCCCAGCACCAACCATTGCCGGCATACCAGCATCATCATGTATACTCGTCGCCTTTGGCATATCCGACCGACTTTGGTGCTCGTGAGAGCCATCCTAGCGCCATCTCGATGCCCGGAAGGTCGCCACCAGAGTCGCCATTCCGGTACACTCACGGCCCACCACCAGCGCCGCCCACTGTCCAACCTTCGCCACAGTATCATGAGCATTCGGCGACAGCGGCGGCATTCGCGGGAGAGAATATGTCGATGCACAGAGCATCGGAAGCTTCAAGCGCGTACTCTATGCTAACTCCTCCGGCACTGTACCCGTATACATTTACCCAGCATCCCTCCAGTCAGCAGCAGCAGCAGCGGTCGCCAGTTATTCCGCCTCATGCCCACCATTACACACATGCACGCCCATCGTCCTCAGCGCCCGCGCCGCCCCACTACCCCGCATCGCCGTCATTTTTGCAAGACTCGTTGACGCAGCGCCAGCAACACTCATCGGTGCAAAAGTATATTAGCTTGCGGGCCCCTGAAATGAGCTCTGAGCGAGTTCAGCCAACGCGTTTGTCGCAACACTCGGGTTCGTCGCCAATTGACATCCAGCACACCATTCCGTCGCCCGCTACACCGATTTTTTCCGCCGAGCATATGCACAACCACTCGCCTAGGCTTCTGTCGTCAATGTCCATGCTTACAATGGCATCTCCGGTCGTCGCGGCTTCCAACTCCCCCCGGCTGCCATACGAACAGCCAGCGAGCCGGCGGACGCGGCTGACTGATATTCTCAACCCAATTGACCACGCCACTGAAAACACAGCCACGGACAACAATAGCAGCAGCAACAGCCATTTGGAGCGGCTGCCCAGCCTTGGAAGCGTGCTTGCATATGTGCAGTCCGAATCGGCGGACAGCTCTTCAGCCATGAACACAACTTCCACGGGTAGTGAGACTAATGCTGCTGGTACATCTTTGGCTGCTGAAAAGTGGCGGCCTTGGTAAGGCACACGCTCTTTGCGAGGGTTATGTGCCAATGACTCCCGTGAGCTGCGCATATTAGAATTATTCACGCAAACATCAGTCACAGCGGTCTGCAGTCCGCAAAATTTACCACCTAATCCTTTTCCACATTATATAACTTAAACCGCTGTAGTATAATTATTATCTCCCCTTTTATATATAAAATATTTAAACTTATACACAAAATATATTCAATTTGTCTTTTCGGTGCTTGTGCCTCTGTTCCCATTCAGCATCGTGGGCCTTTTTTTATGGGTGTTTTATTTGTGTTTGTAGTTTTCAGCGATTGTCACACAAGCACAAAACAAACTGCAAACACCAAAGTATCTAAGATACAAAACAGTACGCACAATCATTGTGCACCCATTATAAATATTCGGCTGAACTTGGGTTGTATTATAAACACGTAGCTGAGCTATGCTCCGTTATCCTGGTGCCTAAATGTGTAGCAGCGCTTAAGTGTAAAAAAACTAATACTGCTTTTAAAATTGCCCAGTTAATGAATATTGTAGTTGTGGTAATCATAATCAGAAAATGGTGATCAATCACATTCTTCACACAGCAAGATTTGCCATAGCCTAATAATAAGCAGTGGTGGAGTAAATGCGAATTTTAAGCTCACATTTACACGCTTGCTCAAATTGTGCATCAGCCCCAAGCCATTTTGCGGCTGACAAGAAACAGAAGCATCCAGCCGTATCTGCTGAGGAATTCTCTCTCTTCCCAACTTGCAATCTATACCCTATCATTTTGTTTTTGGTTATATAAAATGGTCAGTCTCGTTTTTAATAAAAAGTCGCATCCATCGGAGGGACAGTCGCATCGCATCGCATTGCATCCATTACGGCCGGTTGCAGAAACAGATAGATACACGGGTCATAAAACGGAGACAGAGCTTGCAAAGGGAATGCGTCAATTTTTATTGACGACAAATTTTTGAAATTTGAATTCGCAGTTTTTAAAATTCGAATTGGGCGAGATTTCTCAGTTTTGAATCGGAAACACGAAACATTTCTCTTTGCGCTTGTGGGCTCTACGGAACCGGTTTATTGGCACCGGCTTTGTTTTGGTGACTGGAACTATTATGCACGGACAGGGCGTGGCCAGGACTTTTTACACACGCCAACCTTGCTTTGACAGTCGTGAATCTGCTATTTTTGTGCTTAAATCGGAGAGACCAGCTTTCTAAATCCATTTTCCAACGTATGCCAATTGCGCACTTTTTACCCTTACTCTTGTTACTCTATAGGCAAAGCGCACTAAGAAGGTCGGAATCACCGGAAAGTACGGTACCCGTTATGGTGCTTCCCTGCGTAAGCAGGTGAAGAAGATGGAAATCACCCAGCACGCCCGTTACACCTGCACCTTCTGCGGTAAGGACAGCGTCAAGCGTACCGCTGTTGGTATCTGGAACTGCCGCGGCTGCAAGAAGACCATTGCTGGTGGCGCCTGGGTTGTCTCGACTCCCGGCGCTTTGACCGTCCGCTCTAACATCCGTCGTCTCCGCGAGGTGCGTGAGCAGTAAATGGAAAATATTGGTTTGGACCATACTTTTGTATCCTTTTCCTTTAATAACACATTGATAAACGAAGCTGTACAAGTGTTCATTGAATTATGTAAAGATAATTGCAATTTTTTTGTTGCAATTAGCAAAGTGTAAAAATGATACTACGATTGACTGATCTTGGTGGTTGAGGCGATTGAACCGAATCAAGCTGCAATTGATATTACAGTAACCAGCTGCCGTTACGATTGACGCTTATATTATTATTCGAGTTTCTTGCTCGCTCGTTCGCTTCCCCATTTGATCATTATTTTTGCTTTCCAGCCGTGCATATTTTCGCCGAGGATATGTTTCAATACACTTGCGTGTCGGCGGCTGCAGCATGCAGCAGTATAGCGAAATGAACGCGATACACGACACGCTGAAATGTGTGCTGGCGAGAGAAGAGAAAGACTAGAATACTTCATCTCCCACATAACAATGACGTTATAATGGCGGTTTGTACATACCTCTATCCTACTTGCAATTACTTTACAAAAAACTTAACTTTACCCCGTTGACTCTGCTCGTCATGGCTCAAGCGCTGACTCTCTTGCAAAGGACACTACTGGTAAGTCTGCTTGCGACTGTCGGCGTACTGCTTGCATATGGCTACCAGGATGTGCATTTGGTTCCGGGAAAGCACTACTTGGCCCAGAACATGCAGCCATTGCACAAAATTGTGCGCAAATACATGCGCTACTCGACAGCTGCAACCGCATTCGTCGAGCTCCAGAAGGGCTGGTCATCGTGCGGACTGGCGTGCAAAAGCCAGGACGTCCAGGACGTGGTTCTCAACTACACATGGCATGTTAATGTGCCGCTGAGCGACGGCTTCATTGCTGTCCATCCGTTGGACAACGAAATTGTGGTGGCCTGGGCAGGCACCCATCGGTACCGCGCAGTGATCACAGACATGTCTGTGGTTACAGTGCCGTTTATACCTGGTGCCAGAATGGGTGTTCACAGTGGATTTTTAGATTCAGTGCGTGGTGTGATAGACGAAGTCAAGACCCGGCTGAAAATGCTTTTGGTCGACTACCCCGACAGCATGGTTATTTTTACGGGCCATTCAAAAGGCGGTGCAGAGGCCGCACTGAGCGCCCTAGAGCTCGTGCGCAGCATCCCCGAGTTGAGGAGTCGCATGCGGGTGTGGACCTTTGGCGAGCCGCGGCTTGGGGATGTTGAGTTTGCCGGGTATTACAACAGTCAGTTAGGTGCGGTAACATACAGGGTGACAAGTGCAGCCGACCCTGTGGTCGCCATGCCGCCGCAATTCCTGTTCAATTATTGCCACCACAACCTGGAAATATGGCTCATTGGAACTCAGGGCGACGTCTATGTCAGCCAGAATCGCACAGGTTGTTTTGAGGATCCAAATGCCAGCCAGTCTGTAAGTTTTTACGAAAGATCCATCTCGTGGCACAAAAATTACTTGGGGTTGCCACCGCCAGACCATGCAGCGGCCGAGTTTAGCTGGTGACTAGAATGAGCATGTTGCTCTCTCTCTCTGTCTATCTGATTCTTTCAGACAAATTTATGAAAAAAGAGGCTTGCACATGCTTATTTTTTGATCGTCGCAATAAATAAAGCGACGCTCTTGTTTTAGCAGGTTTCTAGCTAGTAGTTATAATACAGGTTTTATTTTGCAAAAGCATTGCTTACCGAAACTGTAAATACATCTGGGACGATCGAGATCGGATGGTTCGTCCCTATTATCCACGTGTTTTTTTTCCTTTTCCTTTATTATTTTTGACCAGAGAAAAAAGAAAATGATGTGTAGTAAAAAACCTGATTGTCTCATTTTTAAAATAGAATGGTGCGTTTTTTATTTGTTGAGGTGCATTGAAAAGACAAGAAACACAACAATAAGCATGTTCAAGATAGAAGAAAAAAGACAGACTGTAAAAAATAAATAACCGAATGAGGACTTTGGGTGCATGGAACCATCTAATGGAACATAGCGTCGAGGATTCACCTTTTCTTTTGCTCTTGCGACAAAAGAAAAGCAGTTGCAAACATCGCCTCACTCTGGTCTAATAGGTCACTATTACTAAACTGGTAAAAAATGAAGCAAAATAAATAAGAGATTGGTTGAAAACGTCCCATGACAACTTATTTCATTGTACTTTTGTGAATGTGTTTCAAGATCACCACACGCCCTAGTTAGTCCTGCACGTATCTTTTTGTTTATTTTGTTGTCCTTGCAAATATGAAAAAGTATAACACGGGCTCATTTTATGTATTTTTATGTATTTTTCTGTTGTCGCTAGGGGTTCTCTTTGTCGTTCAGTTGCCCTCTTCTCTTCTCCTCTTTTATTCCTCTCCTTTCTCACAATAGCCATCTTTGCCTTTATTCTTTAATTATATTCGCTCATTGACACCCCGTATTATTTAGGCTGGCCTTTGCTTAAAACCACGCACCGTCAATCCATTTAGTCGTCCAGCCATCCTCTCTTCTCGAACGCCGCAACAAACAATACCCGTTTGCTCGTCAATTTTTTGCCTATTGCTTGCGACAGCCGCAAGAGGATACAATTTTGTACAGCTTCATTCGCCACATACGTTGATAGACCGTGGCGCACGCGCAGTCCGCCCTTCTACTATATCTCAAGGCCCTGATCGACATAAGCATCAGCATTGGCATTGTAATCGATATTGAATCCAACGCCATCAACGTAAGCGGGAGATACAACCCCCCATTTCGTCCAGCATACACGATTGTAAACGCTACACCACCGACGCAACGTACTAAAAAATGTAAATACAAATCATGTGTCTAATCAGTTTTTCTCACAGCCCACATATTGTTATTTGTTTGTTTGTTTGTGGTCTCGATCGCAGCCGCCCTTGCACCATTTTTTTACCGCATGTATCTGGGCCAATATGTATTACCTGTTGAGGTTGTGTGCGACGGCAGCCAGACTTGATGTGAATTTATTTGCAATTGCCTCTAATTTTTAATTCCGTTGCGCCAAAAAAGTGCGTTGCTTTAAAAGCAGTGCATTGACTTTTGCACCTTCAAAGTTCCCCCTTTATTTTTCCGAGCAACTGTTCTGCGTAAAGCCATCCTCGCTACTGCCCCCGCTACTATAGTTGTGTTACACGCTTACCTACTGCGTACGACACCTGTCATTCCATCACTATTGAGCCCACCCGCTTTGTGAGAGCACAGTCTCACAATTCGCCGCTCCATTGCAATGTTTACTCTTTACAAATATCATGATGACGCCAGTGTCAGTTAAAAGCGGATGGATGGGTGAGAGATACACAAACCACCATCCCCAAGTCAAGCCACGTTTCCTACTCGACAAACGCCTTCCTTCTTCTCCGAGCAAAGTATGCAGCTAATTCTCTGCGCTGCGTGCTTTGTAGCAAACTCCCCGACTGCATAGCCTTAAATACCGGATACGTGGGATAAACGCATTTCAGACGACAAAAATTTGCTTCTCAGTATAAAAGTAAAAAATTGATTCTCTCTTTTTGCCGTGCCTTTCAAATTGCAAACCACAAAAGGACGATCCTCGTCTGCGCTCTCAATTTATACTCTCACTTTCGATATCCATCAAATTTGTCTTGTTTTTTTTCATACAACAACTCGCCTGCTGCTCGCTTCTTTGCCTGAGATTCTGTAAGGAACAATTGCATCTACATAGCAGCTTGCATTTTGCCTCGCTTTGCCCTGTTGACCTCAATCGCATCATCACAACCACGTCCTCCCCCAACCTCTTTCTATTCATCCTAAAAATACCTGTAAAGAAAACTGTTCTTTGCAATCTGAATCTGCAACCAACAGGCGCAAAAAAATCTGGTTGACATCTTTACTGTTTTGATACATTGAACAGTCACTGCATAGCCACTTGTGCTAGTGACATTCAATTGTAAGTGGCAAACTCAGCTACGATTTCGCCACCTATTTTTGGGGACTTTTCTATTTTTGTTGTATTTGATCCTATACTTAAACCTGCTCTATCTTTCTTTTTCTCTCTTTTCCCTTGCTTTTTCCCTACCATCTTTTCTGCATCTTAGCACCCACCTCTTTTTTTAATATCACGGGCAACGCCAGGATGCCGCCACACGCAACAGATACTCCTGCAGCAGGCGCCCCTGCTACCCAGTACGATCCGCGGCACCCACTATATCTGGGCACTTGGAAGCGGTCCACGAAGGAAGAGGCTCAGCACTTTGTACATGACGACCTCGATGAGCCCCACCGGAAGCGCCAAAAGGCCATTCTTGCCGCCCACCCAGAAGTGCGCGAGCTCTATGGCAACGAGCCCCTGACAGCTGTTATCGGCGCGGCAGCTGCTCTGACACAGCTGCTTGCCGCATATGTGATTGGCTGTGTGTGGAAGGATTTGCACTGGGGAGTGGTGCTGGCTACCGCATATTTGCTTGGCGGAACAATCTCCGCCCTGTTTGGAGTCATTATTCACGAGGCCGGCCACAACCTTGTGTTCAAGAACCCTTTTTACAACAGGCTGACCGGTTTAATGGTTAATATGCCGATGGTCGTGCCGATATCGCAGTCGTTCCGCAGATACCACCTGGAGCATCACCAATTCCAAGGTGTTGAGGGTATGGACCCAGATCTTCCAATGGACTCGGAGATCAAGCTGATTCACAACAGCCCCCTGCTGAAGACACTATGGGTGTTTTGCTACAGCTTTATGTACGTCGTCCGCGGAATGGCGATGAAGAAGAAGCCACAGCGTTGGGAGGTGATCAACTTAGTCATGATCATCGCTGTAGACATTCTCATCATCAAGTACATGTCTCTGCGCTCGCTGGCGTACTTGGGAGTGTCCGTGTTTTTCGGATACGGAATGCACCCGGGAGCTGCGCATTTTATCCAAGAGCACTATATTTTCCGCGATGGCCAGGAGACATACTCGTACTACGGATCGGGCAACATTTTCTATCTGAACATAGGCCTTCACAACGAGCACCACGATTTCCCGCAAATTCCCTGGACTCGGATATGGCAACTGCGCCGAATTGCCACCGAGTTCTACGATCCGCTGTACGCACACACCTCGTGGATCTGGGTTACCTTCAACTTTATTACCTCGCCTATGCTTGGCCCACAGTCGCGCCTGACTCGCATGTACAAGGCACACACTTCCGGACGCCGGGATTACAAGGTTCCGCCTGTAACCAGTGCCGAGCAAGTAGTAACTGATGGTCAGAAGGTCTCTCCAGGGGTAAAGTCCCGTATCCGCTAACTGCTCCCCCTTGTTCTTTGTTTCAAAATCTTTATTGCTGAGCGAGCGGCGAAAAGTTAAGCTGCAGCAGAAGATGTGTTCTCTACAGCTGGCTGACCGGTATGCTCGCTCTTTTAACTTGTTTTCTATTTTCCTCTCCACATTTATTTTTCTGTTCTATTATACATTTTCTCAACCATATATTTTATCATGCTTGTTCGTGTAAAAGACGCAACGCAACTCGAATCAAGTGCAAGCCATGCACGGGCAACTTCATTGCACACTGAAGTCATCGGAATACACGCTGCGTCACCATCAATTTGCCATATTGTGCACTCGTCATGTGGCCGATGCGTCATGTTGCTTCTTCAGATTTCGGTTTCAGATTTTTTTTACACTTTTATCCAATTAGCACATTGCAAGCAAACAATAAATATTGAGAAAATAAAAAACAAGGGCCTAATTGTTGACTGTTTCGCAATACCACAACCCCCTCCTTTTTCATCATTGCAAAGTTACTTTTATTTTCAGTTCAAAGTTTGGCAAATATAAAAATATAAGCAGCAAGCTACGCCTTTGAGTTTTCATTGCGCACAAATTACAAAAACATTTCTCAACATCCAGCATGCATATGTATACTCCGCAGCACACGGGCGGATCTGAAGCGCGCGTTGCTGATGTACCTAGCGAAATCGATGCTTTTTCGCTCACCTCGTCACCATTAAGACGGGCTCGTTCACCAGGTAGCGCTGATGCCGAGCTCGAGCTGAACCCCAAGCGACTGCTCAAGATAAACAACAAGAATGCACCGCAGCTTCAGAGCCAGGTTTTGGACCGGCGTCGGTCGTTAGACATGGGGCTGAGCTTTGGCAACGCTGGCATCTGGGAAAACAGATTAATGGGAATCCCAGTCGGCTTTCGCGCCGAGGCTCGTGTCAGTCAGCCGCTAGCATCGCAGTGGCAGGTGGTATCCGAGAAGGCGACCAAGGCCGTAGTCACCGTGCGGTTTTGCCAGGCCGTGCCCTTTGACACAATGGACGCCGTGTCCACCGAGGCATCCGGGTTTGTTGTCGACAAGGCTCGCGGCATCATATTGACTAACCGGCATATAGCGTGTGCAGGCCCCTTTGTTGGTGAAGTTTTATTCCAGAACCGCGAGCGAGTCAACGTTCACACGATATACCGCGATCCCATCCATGATTTTGGGTTCCTACAGTACTCACCCAAGGATGTCATCTATCACGATGTGCACGAGCTGGCGCTGGATCCAGCCATGGCACGAATTGGCACAGAAATTCGCATTATCGGCAACGACGCTGGTGAAGAGCTGTCCATTTTGGCAGGTCAGATATCCAAGGTCGACCGCAATGTGCCAGACTTTGGGCCTATGGCGTACAACGATTTTAACACATTCTATCTACAGGCGGCGGCCAGTTCCAGCGGCGGCAGCTCGGGAAGCCCGGTGATAGATATTTGCGGCAACGCCATTGGAATGCAGACTGCTGGGCGAAATCAATCAGCCACAGATTTCTTTATGCCGTTGGACCGCGTCAAACGGGCGCTCGAGCTGATTCAAAGCGGCAGGTCCGTGGACAGGGGTGATATACAGGTACATTTTTTGCACAAGCCGTTTGATTATGCTAGGCGAATAGGCCTGTCAGCAGGATCCGAGGCGCGCGCTCGTGCGCATAATGCCACCGAGATTGGAATGCTGGTGGCCGAGACTGTACTGCCGCAGGGTCCCGGGGATCGCGCCGGAATGATTGCTGGCGATGTTCTGGTCAGCATCAATGGTCGGATTGTTTCTGGATTTGTCGAGCTGAACGACATATTTGACAGTAGCATCGACCAGCAAGTCGCCATCATAGTCGAGAGAGATGGGATGCCCCTTGAGTTCTTGGTCGTCGTCGAGGATATTAACCTCATCACCCCCGCAAAGTACCTAACAATGGGCGGTGGTGTAATACACGACCTGTCCTACCAACTGGCCAGGTATTACTGCATGCCGGCTCATGGTGTTTTTATTGCGCAGGCGTGGGGCATGTTCTCACTAAACGATGTCGGCGAAGGCATAATAATCAAGTCAGTCGACGGCCAATTGACACCCACGCTGGAGGATTTCATCCGGGTAATTTGCCAATTGCCCGACCGGGCGCGCATCCCCGTTGTGCACTACTCTCTAAACGATATCAACGAGGTGCGTGTTGATGTTGTTGAGAACGAGCGGCATTGGACGGATATGGATGTATACGTGCGCAACGACCAGACCGGCGTCTGGGACCGGAATACTATTAAGCCACCGCGTACAACAATAGAGCTAGAGCGTATTGGTGATGAAAGAGCTCGAGACATTGATGAGCAAACAACGCAATTTGCAACTTCGTCTAGAGCGGCTGTGCAGCAAATCATACCGTCGCTAGTACAAGTCCATTTCTACGTTCCGTGGTTGATCAACGCATTTCCAGTAAGTCGGCGCACGGGAACGGGGCTCATTGTAGACGTAGAGCGCGGCCTAGTAGTCATCAGCCGCAGCATCGTCCCCTTTGAAATGGGTGACCTCTCTCTGACCGTGGCTGAGTCAATAGTCGTGTCGGCCAAAGTCGTTTACCTGCACCCGACACTGAATTTTGCCATTGCAAAGTACAATCCCGCGGTTCTTAGGAAAACGCCAGTTAGGGCGGCCAAACTGTCGTGCACACCGGTCGTCGAGGGCGACAAGCTACTGCTACACGCATACAACAGCAGCAGAGGGCTGGCTACAATGAACACGTCAGTATCTGTGGTCGAGGCCACGAGCATACCCAAGCACTCGCCGCCGCGGTTTCGTTCAATTAACGCGAACTGGTTCAAGCTGGACATGCGCGATGCGCAAAAGTACAACACGGGCATTTTGACCGACACAAGCGAGGGCATGGTATGCGGCATGTGGGTGTCTTATATGGGTGATGGTTACGAGGGCGAGGGTTCTGGAGGTGAGTACTTTTACGGACTGGACGCCCGCTTGTTGATGCCAGTACTCAGCCAGATGTCCATGGGAATGGCGCCCGAGATTTGTGTTTTGGGCGTCGAATTTACCACCATATCGCTCGTCGAGTCCAGGCACCTTGGGCTGGATCGGGCGTGGATAGACCGTATCCGCAGTAGCAACGCGTCTGCGCCCCATCGCCAGCTCCTGATGATCAGCCGGGTGGCATGTGGTAGCATGTGTTCCGATGTGCTTGAGCCTCTGGACGTTATTCTGGAGCTCAACAGCAATACAGTGACCCAGAACGAAGACTTTTACCACATATCGGGGCTTAGCGCCGTGAATATGACAGTTTTGCGCAACAAAAAGGTCATCGAGGTGATTGCTAGAACCGATAGGGACTACGGCACAGACACACAGCGCATTATCCAGTGGGCCGGCGCTATTTTGCATGAACCTCACTTGGCAGTCCGCCAGCAGTGCCGCAAGTTGCCATCCAGAGTCTATGTGTCGTATAATATTTACGGCTCACCGGCATACACGGCCGACTTGGCTCCAACCTCGTTTGTCACGCATGTCGGCGACGTGGCGACCCCCGATCTAAACTCGTTCGTAGTTGCACTGCAGGGCCTTTCTGTGGCCAAGGATGGTTTCATCTATGTGCGCATTATAGGCATTGACATGATTCCTGAGGTCGTCAGCGTCAAGCTCAACTCACATTACTGGCCGACTGTCGAGATTGTCAAAGACGACTCGGCGCCCGGCGGATGGAGCAAGATTCGTCACGATTGCACCGGCAGCGCGGCTGAATAGAAATAGAGTTTTTTGGTACAAAATAGTATTCGGAAGCGACAAAATAGAAGCGGCTTTTTCAATTACAACTATAGGCGTTTAAATTGGGGCACGTGCACAATCGATCACCGGATTAGCAGCGAGATCACAGTCATTTGAAGGGCACACGTTTGTCTGCTTAAAACCAATCACAGAAATTGTGAAATTGGTGGCTGGCAGCTCTTCGCTCGACAAAAAGGCCTGTGGTAGGTGCTTATAGAGCAGAGAAAAAGGAAGCCAATCAATCTTGAGAGCACAGCGAAAAAAATACAAGCAGGGGAAAAGTGTATTTTTTTGATGCTGTGAATAGCGCAGGCAGTGCTACTCTATTGTTGGATTCATCCTTTCATTCCCCATCTGGAGCCAAAAATAATTTTTTTTGTGTATGTATCACTAGAAGAGAACGGGTAAGCGGTCTAGATGTCTAGAGAGAGATAATTAAGGAGAGAGAGAGACGCGGAAGCTATAATGGATTCGTTATTGGATATATGATGGATGGAGCTAGACGGTGCATCCATCCGTGATTGTGGCGAGAGACAGCAGATACGCGTGTTTATTTTTAAGCAGGGATGGCAGAAGGCGTGTGCAAATTTAAATAAGGAGCGTTACTCTGGGGAATTTTTAGAATTTGCATTATGCGAATTCAGAGAATCCCAATTTTAATTAGCACATTCCTTCTAGGCTGCTTTTTTTGGCACGGGAAGCACCACCAATGTTACACTACTAGCGACAAGCATATTGGGGTTTCAGAGCGTGCTGCTGTACACGTTGTCTTGAGATTCCCGGACATTGAAAACGCGCCTGGGTCTCCTTGTGGCAGAGCTCTGGAAAGCACACTGCTTTGAGGGTGATTGGCTGGCTGGAGTGTGAGCGTATTGGTGGTTTTTTTACTTGCGGGCTTGGAGGACAGGATTATAACGTTCGGATCAACCACAACTGCGCTAGTGCATGCACACACTTAAACTTATATAGAGACCGTGCTTTTGAAGCCTTCTCAGAACAGAGGGGTCTTTTTTGTATGGCCTAGTGACTATGTGTGCAATGCCTGCTGTTTGTATTCTCAATTGAGTGCATTTCAGCTTTGCAGAGTGAGCTAGGTTTTTTTGGTTGCAGAGGCACACACAGAGCGGCTGACAGGCAGGGGCAGTGCTTCAGAACATTTTTCTCTCGATTTTATCTCTCTTGTATTTTCTGGACAACTTGCGTGTTGTTAAAGTGGCTTATTTGCACATGGCTGGACAGAGTTCTACTTACTGCAAACACACCTACTAATTCTTTCAAACCTCTTTCTTCATTTTTCTTTCTTGCAAACTTGGTAGTATCCAAGCACTTTAAAATGGCCTCTGTTCTGCCCGCCGAAGCTCGCTCCGAGTCTGCAGGTATCTGCCTGTTCAACAAGTGGACCTTCGACGATCTCGAGATCAAGGATATCTCCCTCGCCGACTACATCCAGGTTCGCAACCCCGTGTACCTGCCCCACACCGCCGGTCGCTATGCCACGCGCAAGTTCCGCAAGGCCCAGTGCCCCATCGTTGAGCGTCTGACCAACTCGCTCATGATGCACGGCCGTAACACCGGTAAGAAGCTGATGGCTGTCCGTATCGTCAAGCACGCTTTCGAGATTGTCAACCTGCTCACCGACCAGAACCCCATCCAGGTTCTTATCGATGCCATTACCAACACCGGTCCCCGTGAGGACTCGACCCGTCTGGGCTCGGGCGGTACCGTCCGTCGCCAGGCTGTTGATGTGTCGCCTCTGCGTCGTGTCAACAAGGGTATCTACCTGATCACCGTTGGTGCCCGCGGAGCTTCGTTCCGTAACGTCAAGACTATTGCCGAGTGCCTGGCCGATGAGCTGATCAACGCCGCCAAGGGTTCGTCCAACTCGTACGCCATCAAGAAGAAGGACGAGGATGAGCGTGTTGCCAAGTCCAACCGTTAAGGAATATGGAAACTGCTTTTCAGGGACATTCGAGAAGAGGTTTTATTTTTTTGGAAAAAGACAAGCTTCTTTTTCTTTACTTATACATTTCTTTTTTCCACGTGTCTAACTAAACCTATTGGAACTGAAAACAAGAAATTGGAAGCGTTATTTTTTGAACCCACGAAATATTGTGCGATTTCATCCGTTGTATTTGTAAAAAAAAGTGTAAAATGTTGGGTGTATTTTCTATGTATATAAAAAAGTACTCATCTGCGGTTGTGGTTGCGGTTGGCATTGTAGCTGGACCCATCGTCTTTAAACTTTTTATGCGACGACGACGATTTAGCATTGTTATTGCCATTATTCTGGTTTCTGCGGCTGATGCTCGGGGTGTAGGTGGGTGCTCTCCTTGGTTCATACCCGCGTCCACCGTTACCGCCACCGCCCTGATTGCCATGGTTGGACCGGGGATAGTCTGCTGTCCTGTAGTCGTTTCTGCGATTGTTTGAGCTATGCATCGATGACTCGTACCTTCTCCGGTCGTGATTACCGCCGCTATTCCTATCGTTATTCCTGTCGTTACGATAGTTCCGACCACCATGGTCACCACCGCGAGAATTCCCATCGAGGCGATTATTAATATGCGTTTTCTGATAACCACCGTGTCCGCCGTGCCCTCCGTGCCCACCCTGTCCACCATGTCCAGAACCACCGTGTCCAGAACCACCCCTAGCATAATCAGCCTGCTTTTGCTGAACACTCGCGATCCTCACAGGACAATTCTTCGCGCCAAAAGCCGTCCGCTCCGAAAACGCACCCCTGGTTCTCTCCTGAAGACAATCGTCGCCAAAGTGGCCCTTCGCCGCGCAATTATAACACCACGGCACAACCTCCACCTGCATCCCCCCGCTTCCAGTCCCAGGGAGCGTCTTACCGTACGCGTATCTGCGCCAAATACTCGCACACTCCTCGGTATGATGAGTCCCTGCCGAACACCTGCTGCAGCCCTGGGCTTTTCCACGATAGGCGTTGGATTTCTGCGGACATTCGGCAGAAATATGTCCGCGCATATTACACCGGTGACAAACCGTCCCTGTCCACCGACAGTCCCTGGATGCATGCCCTTGTTCCCCGCATAGGGTGCAGCTTACTACGGTGCATTCCCGGGCTATATGTCCGGGCAAATTGCATCGCGAGCAGATGATTTCTTTTTCCTCCATGAAATAGCGGTTGCGTCCTTGGATTTCTGCCTCATCGAGGTACTCGTATTCGTCGGATTCGCGCGTACGCTTTAGGGTCACCACATGGGTGAGTGCGGGGCTGAGCAGGGAGTCGATCTGGACATGCTGGTGCTCCATGTCTGAAAGCCCCCCATCGGCTTGCGTGACTAGGGCGTCGAGGAATTCGTCGACAGCTTCGGCAGAGCTGGCATTGCATGCGACGGTGCCCTTGGTGTTCACCTGGTGCTTCACGCCCGCTGCCACTGTTCGTGCTGGAGCCATTTCAGACTCTGAATCCGAGTCCGAGGACAGATCACCGTGGGATTGCTGTTGGGGTGCGGGTTTCTGGTGCGTTTGGGGTTTGCGAGGTTTCGATCCTATCTGGTACCTGCTGTCCTCCTCCTCCTCCTCATCATCATCATCATTTTTGGTATCCTCCTCCCGCTTATTCACCTCTTCCTCGTCATTGTCGGCTTTGGCTTTGCAGAGTTCTTGCTGGCTGTGGCTACGGTCGTCCGGTTTACCAGCGGGCTGACTAATAGCCTGGCTGTTGGATTGGTAATACACATGGCTGAGGATCTTGTCCTCTACATCGCTGTCAATATGATCAGAATCGCTGTCTGTGGTGGAGTGGTCCTTGTAAAGTTGGTTTTCTTCCTCAGAATCATACGCATATACGGGTTTGCCAAACATGATGGCAACACAGATAATAAATATTCTGGGTTTTTTTTCCGTGTGTGTGTGTTTGGAGGATAAATAAAGATAATAATAAGAAAGAATTAGCCTAATTGACAATGCAAGAGAAAAAGGAAAAGAAAGAAAATTAGAAAAAAAATTTATTTGTTAAGGAGAGGACAAAATAGAAAAAAAGAAAAAATTAATGTCGATCTGTGATTGGTCACATTGAACCACTTAACCCGAAAAAAACCGCATAACGTGATATGTTATTGAGATTTATTAGCTGCTCGCCGGCTCCACAGCAACCGGCACTGCTGCCTCCTCTGCCACAGCCTCGATCAATGGCGGTGGCGCAACTGCAGCTGCAGCCGCCACATAAGTCGCAATCCACGCATCATAGCTCTTCTGCAGTTCCTGCCAGTAGACCAGCTTGTCGAACCTAAACTCCCAAGCTCCACCAGCATCGCTCTGCAGCTGATCCTCCGCCACATGCTCCCGAATATCCACCCAAGGCCCAGCCTTATCCCCTTCCTCCACTTTCTTCTTCCCAGTTAAATCGACAAACGACACTTTCTCCTTTGTCACAGGATCAATAAACGGCGCCACAATGTGATAAAACATGACAAACATCCCCGGCGGATTCAAAACCAAAGCCTTATGCAGTCTTTCGGGATAATGCGACTCCAAGATATTCAAAAACTCCCTAGCAACCGATAGTGGCACCGACTGCGACATGGAATACCGGGAAACATCAATCACAATCGTCCACTTTGTTGCTCCCTCCGGCATGCTCCTAATGGCCTGCTCCATATTAAAAACTACCCACCTCAGCTGCTCACTCGAGTCCCTCGTATTCTGCCTATGCGGAAACATATAAATAATCGGCCTCCCTCCACGATCATACCCATTGACATACTGTTTCCCAGACCCACCCTCCACTCCCATGGACTCGGGTGTAATCGCATGTGGCCGGAAAACACAATGCCACTCTAAGGAGCTACGCAATCTAACAAGTGTTTTCGCCAAATCGTTCTTGCTTGCACGCAAATACAGGAGGATACGCTGGGCGGTTAGCCAAACTGAGGCTGCAAATCGCGGGTGGTTATCTTGAGGCTCCGCTGGTAGGTCTTGGAGGAGCTTGGCGAGGTGCGTTGTTTGGATCAGGGTGATTAGCTCTTGCTCTTTAGGGGTCGGCAAGGGCGTCACTGTGATTGGGTTGAGCCCTGGGGTGAGCCGCGGAGCAGTGTCGTAGATGGCAGGATCTGGTGTAGCTGCAGAGGCTGCGGCCGTGGCTGTGGATGAGCGGCCGCCAAGGAGACTGGAGAAGAAACCGGACATCCTTTAATAAGCAAAACAAAAAAGAAGAATAGGAGGAATATAGCTGTGGTTTATTACTTTGTTTTATTTATTATTTTTTTAGGGTTGCGAATTTGAGATGAAGTGTAAAAAATGGAAGGGAAATGTGCAAAAGAGCAAACAAACAAAAAAACGCAAAAACAGGGTGTGATGATGCTATACTGTTTCAAAAAAGGAAACTTTTTAGGATGAGGTTTTAAAAGCGATATTATGCAAGAGAAATAAACAAAGCAAAAAACACTGCAAAGGAAATTTCGATTTTGATATATAAAGGCTCTATTTTTTTCTCTCAGCATCAAACATTCCTTTTTTTCCCTCTTCTTTTTTATTCTTTCTTTCATCATCAGGAAACAAAAACAAAGACAAAAACAATACTAATACTAATACTTTTTATTTATTTAAAAACAATGTCTTCAACTGTCGTCCGTGCACTCAACTCATCCGCCCCACTGCTCCGCGCCACCGTTGGCCGCCTCACCCCCTCCACAACAGCCTTCTTCCTCTGCGACATCCAAGAGCGGTTCCGCACTGCCATCCATGCTTTCCCCTCTCTCGTCCAAGTAGCTCAAAAAATGTCCCACGTCTCCCAACACCTCTCAATCCCCCTCATAGTCACCGAGCAATACCCCGCCAAACTCGGCTCCACCGTGGCTGAAATTCCCATCGACCACGCCATCCTGAATGAGCCCAAGACTAAGTTCTCAATGGTTACAGACACTGTACAAGATAAATTGAAGGAACTTGGGGTAAACTCCGTAGTATTGTATGGGATGGAGAGCCATGTGTGTGTATTGCAGACCTGCTTGGATTTGCTGGAGAGAGGAGTGGAGGTGCATGTGTTGGCGGATGGTGTTTCGTCGATAAATCACCCGGAGATACAGATTGCTTTGGAGAGAATGCGCCAGGAGGGCGCCAGGATCGTGTCGTCAGAGTCGGTCTTGTTCCAACTTGCTGGAGACGCAAGCAACCCGCTGTTTGCGCGCATCAGGGATTTGGTCAAAGAGTACCAGCAGGCCGCGAGGGACAACAAGCTCCTTTTCAAATAGTAACTTTATCAAATACGAAACACGAAATATGGTCTATGGTCTATGATCTATGGTTTATGGTTTGCATTGAAAAAGAAAAGGGCTATTGGTCAATTATGCATTGTAGCTGGTACCGCAGCAGCGGTGGCAGAGCCAAAATATGCGGCGCAACGCTCCGCCACGCGTCCCTTCCGGGGTCAAACTGGTCCTTGACAAAGCAGAAAAAGTCCACCACCTGTTCCACCGCTTTCGTGCTCATCCCCTGTCCGGAAGGGGAGGAAGAAGATCCGCCCACCCACCCAGCACACACTTGCCCGGCAATAGCCAGCAAATCAGCTAAAATGCGCACATAAAGGGCGCCATGCTCCACAAGCCTGTACAATATAGGGCCCACAGTCGAGCACACATATAGCAGCTGCATGTCGGAGCTAAGCGTCGGCACTAGCGCATGGATGGTTTCGCCCAAGGCTGCAAATGTCGCGACGCCGCCGTAGTGCAAGATACTGTGCAGCAAAGTCAAATACGTGTTGGGCGCATTGGCCATATTGCGCGACCGGTTCTGCTCAAACGAGCTAAACACCGAGGCAGCAGCGAGCGTGCCACCCGCCCTCCCACTACCGCCACCGCCACCGCCACCGCCAGTGCTAGTGTTGCCGGTGCTGCCTTGCTGCGAAAACTCAACAAACGAGAAATACTGCTTGGGCGCCGAGCTCGGTCCCAGCAGCGGATCGCGAATAATGTCCGCCAGATGGCGCACAAAGGGGAACGACATGAGCTCGTCCGGGAGCACATTGGCAAGCACGCCGGTGCTATGGATAAACGAGGCAGCCGGCAATGCGCCGGGCACGTCGCCCTCCATGGCCAGCGCAAACCACAGCCGCGCCAGCGGCCACGCATTCGCCCGCAGCACACGCCCGCGCTCCTCGGCGCGGATCTCCGGCTCTGAGCTCACGCGCAGCGGTGGCGCCAGACGCGCAGCAGACAGCGGCGCCTGGTGCAGGCACCACCAGGTCAACAGCTCCACTGTGCACTCGGTCAGCACCAGGAGGATCGGGTTAGGGATTTCGCGGTAGTGAATCTCCGGCAGTCCGTCGTTCGGCGGGTCCGGCAGGTGGCGCGCGATCGCCATGGAGATCCGCACCATCATCCGCCGCACATAGCCGGAGTCCTCCGGGACAGCATCCGACGCCCCGCGAACAAACGCAGCAAACTCGGCCGAGAAGTTCTGCTGCGTCATGTCCAGAAGCGACAGGTTGAGGCTGCGCGCCACCGCGGGGTCGTGCAGCGTGGGCGCGTCGTAGTAGACGAACAGCGTGTTCATCAGCGTTGTCAGTGGCACCTGGTGCAGGCGGTACAGGATGCCCAAGCGGTCGAGCACCGACCGCAGCAGGTCGCGGTCCTCAGCCTCGATCAGCCGGCCGAGTGCAAACTCCAGCACGGGCAGCAGCCGCACCATGCCGTTCTCGTAGTAGATCGGCAGCTTCAGCGCCGCCGGCGGGTCCAGCGCCGCGCCCAGCGGGCCCAGCATAGCCTCGTGCTCGAAGAACTCCGGGAACCGCGCCAGGTACGCCTCCTGCTTGCTCCACTGGCCAAAGTCCGCCCAGTACCGGCCCTGGAAGTCCAGCCGGTGCCACTCGTTCAGCCGCTCGACAAAGCCAGGCGCCTCCAGCAGCGCAAACCGCACCAGCGCCAGCCGCCTGGCATCGCCGCGCAGGTCGTGTTCGCCGCGCGTCAGCGCAAACACCACGTGCTCGTGGCGCACAAACTGCAGGCGGAACATAAAGGCGTCCAGCAGCGCCAGGTTCGGGTCCGGGTCCTGCGCCAGGTAGTCGACCAGCGTCGTCGTGTAGCTGGACATCTGCGACGCCGGAAACTGCAGCAGCACGCGCCGCACCAGCGCGACCACACGCGCGACGTCGCTGTGGCCCAGGTCAGCGCCGCGGAGCGACTCCCATACGGCCAGCAGAAGCAGCGGGTGCCGCGGCCGCTCTGCGTAAAACTGCACCAGCATTGCGGCCGCAGCCGTGTCTGGTGCTGCGTTCAGATGCAGCTGCAAGTGGCCTGGCGCCGACGCAAGGAGCTGGCGCACAGCGGCGGGCGCCACGGGCGGGTTGGGGCTGGCAGAACTAGAGGCGGCGGCGCGGTTGGGCCCGGCGTGATTAGATCCGGCGTGATTAGATCCGGCGTGGTTAGATCCAAAGTACCCCCGCACCGCCCGCGGCAAGTACCGCAGCACAGCAGGCGCCCAGACCATCGCGCGCTGCTCGGCGCCCAGGCTGTCCAGGCAGTCCTCCAGCACCAGCCCAGGCGCATCCGCGAGCCCGCGCATATGCACGATGCGCGAAATCACGGTGACGGCGTTGCGCGCCAGCATCGCGCACTCGAACCACGCGTGCTTGGGCTTCGAGTACCGCGTCTGTGGCGGCCGCAGCAGCGCGCTCGGGTGCGGCGTCAGCGGCACGCCGTGGTACGCCGGGTCCAACAGCGCCTGTAGGAAATCCACATCGTGCTGCAGATTGACCAGGCACAGCGCAAAGCACTCCAGCGACCCATACAGCTGCCGGTGCGTCACGTGCACCAGCGAGTGCCGCAGGTGGTGCACAAGGTGCGCGGCGTGCGCGTAGTACTTGAAGAACCGCAGCAGCCGGCAGTTCATCAGCTGGTAGATGGTGTGCAGCCACCGCAGGGTCGCGGCCGAGAAGCGCGCGTTGCCCGTGGCCATGACCTTGTCGCAGCGCCGGAGCTTCTCCAGAACCTCCTTCATCATCAGCTCGTTGGAGTACGGCGCGTTGTACAGCAGCCGGTAGACCGTGTCGACGATGTGCGGCGACACGCAGCTGACGCCGTCGCGCACGCTCGGCTGGCGGCTGCCGATCTGGAACTGCGGGCCCTGCTCGTGCGCCAGCATCATCTTGTACACCAGCTGCAGCAGCCGGTGCTTGCCGCCGACATTGATGTGGTCCAGCACCAGCGTCGCCACGTTGCCGCCGGCCTGGTACGTGGTCTCGGCACCCTGCAGCTGCCGCACGTCCTCCTGCGCCGGCACCAGGAACGTGTACAGCGCGTTGGGCACGACGTTCTGCCGCAGCATACTGACCGTCGCCGTCTTCATCGCGCTGCAGACGTCGCGGCCCTCCAGAAGCTCGAACCGCTCGTCCTTGAACTGCTGCCCGAACTCGCGCTGCAGCCGGAACACCACTGGGGCGAACGGCATGGCCACAGCCATGCGCGGGTGCCGGAACTTGACGCCCTGGTTGTCGCGGATGTTGTCCTGCTGGTGGCTCATCGCCGCCTGCAGCGCGAGGTCGCGCAGGTAGAACGCGTCCTTGGACACAATCTGCTGCTCGTTGTACATCTGCAGCAGCTGGTCCAGCATGTCCTCGTCGCCCGCCAGGTCTGCGCGGATCGGCCCCGCTGACACCCGCTCGATGTGGTACAGCTGCAGCAGCAGCCAGATGTACGCGTTGTCGCGCTGCCCGCGCTGCCGGCTCAGCAGGTCGCTGTCCGGCGGGAACACCAGAGCGTACAGCCGCGCGTGGATGTTGCGGAACGCGATCGCGTCGAACAGGACAAAGTAGTATAGCTGGTCTGCCACCTCATTCATGTACTCCCAGTACTTGAACCGCTGCGGCACCACCATTGTGCCGTCCGAGTTCTCGTTGAGCTTGCGCTCGTTCAGCAGGCTGTCAAAGTCGCACTGCCGCTGGATGTACTCGACCACCTGCTGGATCCGCTGCGTCATGGCATCTAGCAGCAGCACCGCAACCTCGCGCTTCTCCGCCTCAGCGCTATCGCTGGCCGCGTCCTTGCCGTTGGTTGGTATATTATTGCTGCCGCCCTGTGGCACGTAGCTGTCGCTGGCCACCGCTGCCATGGCCTTCTTCTTCATGATCCGGTGGTTGCGGATCGCCCCAAAGATCTCATCCGTCGGCGCCCTCTGGTACAGCAAGTCCGCGACGTACTTGTTCGCCGACGGGCCCCTCTCGGTCTCCTCCACAGTCAGCGCATCCCGGACCAGCGCATACGCCGGCTGGTCATACACATGCTTAACCGTATGCGCCCTCGACGCATGCGAGATAAGCGGCCACGATCCATCGGGCGGCAGCAGGATCCTTCCAAGTCTCCGCTTGCGCTTCAGGCACAGATCCACAATACCCTGCATTGACCCGCCTAGCATGCCGTTCTCGGCCACTGCGCCTCCGGGATCTAGCTCCTTCGCCACCGTGTAGTATGACACAAGGGGCCGTCCGATATGCGGCTGGGAGCGTCCAACGAAGCAGTCGAAGAGTTCCATTGTTGCTTCGAACCGGATCTGCCACCGCGTCCGCCGCGCTGATCCCAGCATACTGGTCATTTGTGCCTCGGTTGCCGCGCTATCCAATAGCAGCCGCCAGACTTGGCGGATGGCCTCTCGGCAGACCTTTTCGGGCAGCAGTGTCATCCCGCTGATCTCCAAAAGCGACGCCGCATGCGTGCCCTTCGCCAAGTCCTCACTGCCACCACCGCCACTACTGCTGCTGCTGCTGCTGCTGTTGTTGTTGTTGTTGTTGTTGTTGTTGTTGTTGTTGTTGTTGTTGTTGTTGTTGTTGTTGTTGTTGTTGTTGTTGTTGCTACCACCGTACATGATCCCGATGGCAGACTTTGTTACCATCGACATGACCCTTACCGCCGCCACCCAGGTTCTCGGCCTATGCAGTTCAAACAACAAGGTCAAAACAAGGTACTCATCGCCAAACTCGCTCCCCCCAGCCTTTTCCCTAAACCGATTCGCGCAATGGTACGCCAGCCTTCCCTGGTATATTTCAAAAAGCGACCGGAACCCCATATCCAAAACCGCACTGCCATCGTGGATACTACGCACGGCGTCGACTACTACGCGGAGAACATCGGGTGCTGGTGTGCCCGTGTTGAGTGCTTGGAGGGTTAGTGTGAGGATGCGCTTGCAGGTGACTTCGCTGTCGTCGAACTCGAAAAGCCCCTGAGAGGTGGTGGTGTGCGGGTTGGGTCGCGTGCGTTTTATAGGCCGTTCATCAAAGAGTCCAAGGAAGGAGCCGCAGGGAACAAGGTGTGCGAGGTCTTGGTAGCTTGACTCTATCACTCCGACGAGATACTCTATAAGCTGATCCATGCACCAAAAAATAAATAAGGAATAAGGGATAAGGAAATAACAAGTGAAATTAACACCTTTAAATAAAAAAAATGAAATAAAAAAACAAAAAAAAACTAGAGAAAGAATGTGGAATTGGGGGGATGAAACAGCAAACGTTCCCTGATTCGGGTTTTCTTTTCTCACCCTTTTCGCCTTCAGATCCACACGCGATTGGAGAAAATAAAAGGTACAATATATTGCTCTGCATATGCTGATGATAACTTTTTTTTTAGCTTGTCTTGCTGAAATGGAAAAAAGAAAAAAATTGCAATACTAAACGTATGTCAAGCAGGTAAAGTGAATAAATGGATAAAATTTAGTTTAGAAAAATGAGAAAAAACATTTAATACAGAGAACTGAGAAAATGAGAGGAAAACATAAAAAATATAGAAAAGCGGAAAAAAACGAATGCCTGTGTTTTGCCTCAATAATGGTTGCTATCAGGAGACGCCTGCGAAACAGAGGATCCGGCACCAGGCATAACTCCAGACACCACGCTGCTGCCAATCACACCCTGCTGTTGCTGCTGCTGGGGCATCATCTGCCCGGGCTGCGCATAATTCGGGTTGCCGTAGTACGCATACGATTCGTATCCGCCAAACGGACCCCACCCCTGTGCGCCCACCTGCTGCTGCTGGCCCACCTGCTGCTGAACCTGCTGCTGCTGCTGCTGGCCGTTGATTCCAGCCTGCTGCGGCACACCGTACTGCTGCGGAGCCATGCCGTAGGCATACGGGTACGTGTACGCCGGGTTGGCCGCCGCCGCCGCTGCAATAGCACCAAAGGCCGCCTTGGGATCCATCAAACGGTCCTTGCCCCACGAGCACTTGAGCGGCCTGCCATTGATCATTGCCCCGTTAAGCTGCGTAATAGCCATGGCCGCGTTCTCGTGCGTGTCCATTTTGACAAACGCAAACCCACGGTCAGATTGCATCCTAAATTCCACTACGTACCCGTAGCCCTGGAACAGACCCTGCAGCTGATCCTGCGTTGTGTAGTTGGTCAAGTTGCCCACATAGACGGTGCTCTTGTAGTGTGCAGTCTGGTCGCGCACGTCCTCGTACGAGAGCGTACCGGCCACAGAGTGCGGCTGCTGGTGCATGTCCTGCCTGGCCTTGGACGACGCCTTCTGGTTGGCCCAGTTGACCCGGATGGCCCGGCTGCCAAGCCACTCGCCGTTCATCTGCGCAATCGCCATGTCTGCGTCATTGCGGTCGCGGAACGTCACGAAGCCGTAGCCGCGCGACTTGCCCGATGTCATGTCCCACATTACGCGCGCATCGCTCATGCTAGGGTAGTTCTCGAATGCCTTGGAAAGCACTTGGTCGTTGACCTCGGCACTCAGGTCTCCGACGAAAATGTGGCAGTGGGTACTCGTGTCCTCCTGCAGCTGCCCGCCGTTGCTAGTGAATGCCCAGTTCACGCGAATCTCATACTCGTACACACTGCGCCCGTTCATGTTTTGCAGAGCTACTTCGGCATCCTGGTGGCTGCCAAACTCGACAAACCCGTAGTTCAGACCACCGTGCACCTGCTAAAAATGTTTATGAAAAATGAAGGAACAGATGACGTAAATGATCAGTAATTTGAAATTATTCATGCCTTTTTATTTTCGAGCTGGTAAAAGGGTGCGCGTTAATGTCTCCCCCTCTTCCTCCTTTTTCTTTCCAAAAAGAAGGGATAATCGGGAAAGAGAATGCCAGTAATTGCGCATACACACACTGGAGAGACAAAAAAGCAAACACATTATTCTTGCCGCTCAGGAATCATAGAAGACATCGGCTTTCGTACACGACAAAAAAACCACAGTAAACAAAAATATACATATACACTTGCATGCACCAATATATCATTGCATAATAAAACACACGCACGCAAGAAAGGGATAAAAAAGGGAAGGGGGAGCACTTACACGCTTATCGGGGATAATCTTGACTGCGACAACGGGACGCACAGCGGAGAAGACCTCGGCCAGAACCGGCTCCGTAATACGAGGGTCGAGGTTACCCACATAGAGCGACTTGGTTTCGAGGTCCTCAGACTTTTGAGAAGCAGGCGTCGCCCCATACTGCATAGGTCCAACGCTGCCATTGAGAGGAGAATGCTGCTGGGCATTGGGTACATACATACCGTTGGTGGCCTGAGCCGACACTGCTGGTCCTTCCATCATTTGCATTAGTTAACAACAAAAGAAAACAAAAATAATGAGTGAGTGAATGAAAAATCAGAGAGTGAGAGAGTAAAAGTGACAAAATGAATTAAGTAAAACAACAAAAAGTAGTGAAAACTGAAGAGAAAAATGGCAAAAAGTTAATATAGAAAAAAGAAGGAGAGGAAGAGAAATATATGTATTAGAAAAATAATGAAGAGGAAGAGAAAAAAGTAAAACTGAAAAGTAAAAAAGAAATATAAAGAAAAAAGAGAGCGAAAAAATAAAGTACTGTAAAAAAAGAGGATGGGAAAAGAAAAGAAGAGAACTTGGCAAAAACGATGCTTTGTGAATAGGTCACGCACGTTTAATTTTTCAAAGCCGCAATAAAAAAATGAAAAATTTGGCAGTGAGAACGAAAGTGGGGTTGGGAGAGACGAAGCAGCGGAAAAGCCGTGATGATGATGATGAGCTCAACCAACCAGCACAAGCAATGTAAAATAAAACTAATGCTTTTTTCCCTTTGACTTTTTGACCTTTTTAAGGACTGGCATTAGCTGCGACGAAGCAGCGCCAAAACTTGCACCTACAAGCAAAAAAATCAAAATAGTATAAAATCCAGCCAAGATTACGCCTGATGTCTGTGCTTAGTGTAGTTGCAAGATGCCTTCAGTAAAAAAGAAAATTTGGATTTTCCAAGAAACCAACCTTTAACTCTGCGCTGTCAACAGTCCCAAGCGGCACTGTCCTTTTGGTGCCTGCATCCTCTGCTTCCTTGGGCCCATCGAGATCAGCCCTTTCCAACCGAGGCACCCACATATTCTACAGAGCAAGAAAAGAGCAAATGTCATTGCTATTTTCTTTCCACAATAAAAAACGGTACAAATATACACACCCTTTTTTTCTAGTTTGCACTGGGCATAAAGAATGCAGCATTGAGTACCTTCTCAAGTGACGGCACGCCATTGTTTTGACGCCAGAAACATACTTGAAACGTTGCGTCTACACTTTGGGCAGTAACACCATAGCAGTAAGTACAGCGATGTGCCACAATTATTTTTTTTGCGCTTGCATATCCTGATGCTACTGCATTGCTAAATAAAAATCGTTTTATCCAATTACCTTTTGGCAGCTCTGCCGCTGGCTCCAACATACTCATTCGAATCAGTGCAGCTCTGAGATCAAAACCGTGCTTGCTCTCGTAGCTCCCGCTGATTGTCGTCAGCTCCAGCACAAACGACTCGATCGATTCCCCTTGCCCATCAATAATATCGACCATCACGTCGCCAACAGCATTGCTCTACATTACACACGCAATGGTCGCAATGGTCGCAATGGTCGCAATGGTCGCAATGGTCGCAATGGTCGCAATTGCCACACTGCCACACTGCCACACTGCCACACTGCCACATACTTTTTTGTTTAGTATCTTGTTCTGACCAAGCGGGAACAACCATTTAAATGTTTAATTTTGGTAATAGCTACAAATATGTTGGGCTAGTAAACTTGCCTGAGCCAACTCCGCCTTGACCGCAGCAATGGCGTTGATGATGTACTGGTTGAGCCCCGGGTGACGGCTGGCCTTGACCGGAATGCCGTATGCAAACTGGTCCTCAAACAGGGTCTTCTATGCACTTTGAGAAAGCGTTTTTTTCTTAGTGTTTTTTTAGTTGTCACAACAGAAGCAACCAATCAATGAAGGGATACATTGGCGAACACACTCAGCATTACACTTACTGGATATACCTTGCGACTGAACAGAATCGAATGGATGTACACTTCGACTAAATACAAAATATAAACGCACACACTCGCTAGTTTAGCATACACACGTGTGTATCTTGCAATGCTTCTCGTTATACAACGACTAAACAATGCCTCGCTGTACTTACGAAAGCCGCAGATCGCTTCCACCTTGCTGATGTCAGTACCCTTGCCGACTGCCAATACAGAGCTTGCGAATGCCATATTCAACAACTGGGGTTCACTTTTATTTGCTAGTGCTAAGTTGATACGTAATGTATTTGCAGGATAGTAAAAGTGTACTATATAAAAGAGAGGGGGAATACAAATAAGGTTGATTTTTTTGGCAAGAAAAAGAGATCGATTCCAGGGTCGATTTTGGAGAAGAAAAGCCCAGTTATTCCTTAACATGGATAGTGGTGAGCTTTAGCATCTTGTGGGAGCCAAACGCGGCATTAAAAGCGGCCATCTCAGCAATTTCTCCTTTTAAAAAATAGTCTTGCCATTTGCCACTCCAACATCCGCGAGCAGGCAGGCAGGCAGGCAGGCAGGCAGGCAGGCAGGCAGGCAGATAAGATCGCACAAAGTACCAAGATCTACTCATTATCCGGGGCAACGGGCTTTGTCGGACGAAGGAACCGGCCGCGATGGTTGAAGATCTGGAAGGACGGTCTGGAATAAATGCCGTCAATCGAGTACCGCTTCATCTCGGCCTCGTAGCTGATAGGCTTGAACTCGCCGACACCAAACACCAGGGCGACGGCCATAACGGCCAGAGTTCCCAGGCATTCAAGCACAATTTCAATTGGCAATGAGAGGTCCTGCCGGCCGATGGATTTGCTGTACAAAAGAAACTCGCGCGCAGAGTAGCCCGAATGCAACATGCATAGAAAGGCAAGTACTGCGATTGCCTTAGCCACGGACTTTACGCCGCTGTTGCTGCTGGTGCTGGTGCTGGACATTCTGGATAGTACAGAATAATGGCTGTGTGGGTTTTATAAATGTGCTGGAGAGAAGGAAAAAAAGGAAAACAACAGAGACGATGAAGCAAATCCAGGAGAAAAATATTAATAATTACAATTTTATTTTTACAGCAGAAGAAAGGAGCTGAATGCAATTAATGTCTCAAGCCGAGATTGAGTAGAATAATTTCCAGGCACTGGTAAAAGCGAAGCGCATGCCAATGTCACGCTGGCAGATGAACTAAGGCGTGTCGTCTTCCCCTTTTTTTCGCGCTCCGTGCTTTTATTTCAGCATCACTTTCACACTCAATAATTTTTTGTTTCCACATACCCTTCTGTTCAAATAGAAACAATTTTTTTTACACACTTGCTTTCTCCATTTCCTCACACACTTGTCAATTCAACGCCAGCTCATCTTATTTCGCATACTGCGGCACAGCACACACCACCTTTTATTTTAAACGCGCGCTGAATAAAAAAAGACAGCATGGATATTCTCGGCACACATAGGTCAAGCGGTGGGCAGTCGGCCGTATCCAAGCGCAGAGAACTGGCACAGCTGGCCAGCTTTTTTCTCAAGCAGCATTCCGCATATGACATGATTCCTGTCAGCTTCCGCCTTATAGTGCTCGATACCAAGCTGTTGGTGACAAAGGCGCTGTCGACGCTAGTTCAAAATGGTAAAGCAAAAACCCAAAGAACGGGAATAATAGGGCGATGTTTTGTCCTCGAGGCCCCATTGAAGATACTCAATGTTAATCGGTACATCTGCTCACATGCCTCTTGTTCTTGCTCTTGGTCTGCACGTGTATTCACATAGGTGTCGAGTCTGCGCCAATGTACGATTCTACGCAGTCGTGCTACTCAGGGATGCTGACCACGACGGACCTGGTGAACATGATACAGTACTACTACTCGAACTTTTCGTATTCCGAGGCCATCGATGATCTGGGCCAAGTGCAGCTGGACAACTTTAAGGACCTGCTCCTGCGATTCAAGTCGCGGCAAACCAACACATTGTGCGCAAACCCACTGGACACACTCTACGAGGTTTCCCGGCGCCTCCTGGCCACCGACTACTCGGCACTCGCCCTAGTCGACGAGGACACAGACACTGGCGGCGACGTCATTGTCTCAATGCTTTCAATCTATCGCATCCTCAACTTCATGGCCGTCAACATTGACGACAAGAAGAAGCTCAAGCAGCACACCCTATTTGACCTGGATATCGGCACCTACGGCGATCTAATCACTGCCACTATGGACGTCTCGGTTATAGATATTATCCGGATGTTTGTCGAAAACAACATCTCTGTCGTGCCCATTCTGGACGACAACGGTGTGGTGCTCAATGTGTTTGCCGAGTCGGATATCATTTTGCTTGCACGCGAGGGTCTGCTGGACGAGCTTAATATTTCCGTGTCCGAAGCCCTGGCGCTTAGGCCGGACGACTACCCCGGCGTGCACACGTGCACGCAGAGCGACACGCTGCACTCAGTGCTCGATATCATTCGCAAGATGCATGTGCAGCGCTTGATTGTTGTTGATGAAGACATCAAACCAGTCGGTGTTGTCGCTTTGAGCGATGTATTGCGCGCGCTTATTATCTAGATGCCTATTTTTTTAGTATATGTTGCTGGTTTAATATTTCCCTTATAATTCTTTTATGACATTTGTGGCTCCCACAAATACAAATATTTAGCCTTGCATATTATCAGAAAACAAATGATCTGATTCGCTGATTTAATCCACAAGACCCGTTTTTTTGCACGCCAGCGCTTATCTCGTCCTGATGGTGGAGGGGGCGGGGTTTTTTTGGCGTTTCCTCATCGCCAATATCTCCCACTGCTGGACAAAAAAATCCGGGAGCGCACAATACAAAAAATAAAGTCGCGGTATCGTAATTTCACTTTTCTGCTAATTGTTCTTCAATCCCAAGAGGTCAAATTTGTATTTCGTTTTCTTATTTTCTTTTTTGGACGCAAAATCTCTACTCTACATTTATTTTTTTACACACTTTACAGGCTATTTTCCCCAACCCAAAATGAGTATCTTTGACCTTATCAACCCTTTCAACTACATTAGCCCGATTCACGCCGAGGCGGAGGTAGAGACTGCTGTCATTGAGGCCAGCAAGGCCGCAGAGGAGCCCGTCGAGGTCGTTGAGGAGGAGATTGAGGAGGTTGAGGTTGAGGAAGAGGAGGAAGAGGAAGAGGCTGAGGATCAGGCCCCCGCCATCAAGGAGGGTAGGTGTCAGCCAAACAAACAGTGATGAGGAAGAGGCCACAGCCTGCTTCAAGCCGACAAATTGAATTCACACAATTCCCATGCGGATCCGCCAGAGGCAATAACATGGCAATAACATGTAACTAACTATAAACCCACCATTTTTGCTACACTTATTTTCTAATAGCTTGCGGTGAGACCATTGCGTGCAAGTCGCTGAAGCACCATCTGGAGGAGTGCGCCGCGCGGGTTGAGGAGGGCTCGTCGGAGAGCTGTGCCGAGGAGCTGCTCCACTTCTTGCACTGTGTCGACCAATGCGTAAGTATACTTTGCAAAAGCGTTTGTGCGGTGTTTTTAATGCAAATGCAAATACGTATATGTGGCGGGGTGTGCGTTTTGATGTGTACTTGCTTGACATTAAATTATATGTGTGTCTGTTTGTATTTTAATCGCTGTAGGCTGTCCCTAAGATCTTTGCGACGCTCAAGTAAGATGTCTTTTCTATTTTCCGACCGGCCAGCCAGCCAGCCAGTCAGTTGGTTGGCCAGCCGGCCGAGACGTTCCTTCTTACATTATATCCTTTGCTTTTTTATACAACTCTCGTCCAAATAAACACAAAATTATATCTTACATATTGACAGATCTAGATATCTAAAGACCTTAAGGCCGATTCGTTTATCGGTTTGCTGGAACATCAAAATAACAACAATTTTGTCTAACGGCGAAATGCTTACGAGTAATGATGACGGCAACGATGAACGAAAGCGACTGCTGCTGTTTAGTGTAGGGCCGAGATCACGCCTTGTTTTCTGGGAAGTGAGGGCCTGGATGAATGCGTAGAATACATTGTCTTAATATGATCACAAACATGACGAAACACAGTGCTTGGCAGAATCTCTCTTTCCTTTTTATTCTTTTCTTTTGTCGTCTACTTTTTATTTGTAATATTTTCTTCATTTCTCCCGCGCTTCCGTTATAGATTTGCGTTTAATTTTCTTTCTACACCTTTATCAAATGCAATTGGCCGGTGCTAGAAAGCTACTGGTCGGGCCGCACGGCAAGGCTGCGCCAGCGTGGACGCGCGCTTATAGTTTGGGGAGCACATTGGCAAACACAACAGGAAAACAAGCGACGAGCACCACGCCCTTCACATGCTTGCGCCGCAGCCTGCTGCTGAAAAAAATACATACCTCACCGCTGCTCAGAGCCCAAACCCGCGAGTACGGCCCACTTTCAAGACGACACATCGCCCTGGGCTCCACACTCACTGGTGCAGCGCGGCCGCCGCTCAATGAGCTCGCCGGGCGGCGATTTCTCGCAGCACTGACAATGCGGCACTACGTTCCTAGCCGGCCGTTCCGGAAGCTGTTCAGCGGCAAAGTGCTTCTTGCTCTGCTCAGCGGCATCACCCATATTTTGCGCGCCAGCCTGCGTCTGCCCGTTATGCTGCTCACTTCGACCATTGCGTCGCTGGCGTACGTTGAGTACAAGCTGAGTCAGATGCATGCCCCTGGGTGGATTACAGGGAGCCTGGAGAGCGCGCGCGGGTGGCTCGAGGGCATACGCGAATCAGCGTGGCTGCGCGCACTCAGCAGCGATGATCGCGAGGAGGAGGACAGCTCGGCTGTTGACAAGGCCATGGGAATGCGTGACAGCTGGGGAGGCGGCGGGTCTGGCGGCAGCGGCGGCAGCGATCCGGCTTCTGGAGGAAACCCCCAACCGCCGCCGCCAAAGGGTGACTACTACACCAGCCCCGAGCCCGAATCTTTGCGTGACGACGTGCCCGAGCCGGTGTCGCGGCCGAGAAACAGGGCCAAAACGAGCCGGCGCGACGACAGCTCGGAGAATGCGCTGATGGAGCTAACAAAGAAGCTCCTCGAGATCCAGACGATACTAAAGACCGTGCAGCAGAGCGACGACGACGGCAGAAACGGCAGCAGCAGTGCGCTGCAGCTGCCCAGCATTGTCGTTGTGGGGTCGCAGAGCTCGGGAAAGAGCTCCGTTCTCGAGGCCATCGTTGGCCAGGAGTTTTTGCCCAAGGGTAACAACATGGTCACGCGGCGGCCGATTGAGCTGACGCTGATCAACACGCCGGACTCGGATGAGGAGTACGGTGCGTTTCCGCAGCTGGGGATGGACCATGTGGGCGATTTCCGGCAGATCCAGCGCACACTCTACGACCTCAACATGTCCGTGTCCGACGCAGAGTGCGTGTCGGACAAGCCCATCGAGCTGCGCATATACTCGCCGCACGTGCCGGACCTGCGGCTGGTCGATCTGCCCGGATACATCCAGGTGGTCAACCGCAAGCAGCCGCCGGAGCTGCGCCAGAAGATCCGCGATCTATGCGAGGGGTACCTCAAGCAGCCCAACATTATTTTGGCTGTGTGCGCTGCCGACGTCGATCTGGCCAACTCTGAGGCGCTCAAGGCCAGCCGCCGTAACGACCCGCTGGGCATGCGCACCATCGGCGTCATCACCAAGATTGACACCACCGCTCCCGCCGCCGCCACGAGCATTCTGACACAGAACGACTACCCGCTGCACCTTGGCTACATTGGCGTCGTCTGCAGACCCGTCAGAGAGACGCCCGGCCGCGACGTCATGCTCTCCGAGGCGCAGTACTTTGGCCGCCACCCCGAGTTCCGCCAGCCCGGGCTGCAGGTCGGCGTCGGGACTCTGCGCCGCAAGCTTGTCCGCGTCCTAGAGGACAGCATGCGCCGCAGCCTGTCTAACCTTACAGACGCCGTGCGCAGCGAGCTCGAGGAGACCAAGTACCAGATCAAGGTGCACTACAACGACGAGCGCGTCAGCCCCGAATCGTACATGGCCGAGAGCCTCGATGCGCTGAAGCAGCGGTTCAAGACGTTTCAGACTCAGTTTGGCAAGCCACAGCTGCGCACCGAGGTGCAGCATTGGCTCGAGAGCCGTGTCATGGATGTCTGCGCCGAGCTGTACTGGAGTGACCCGGCCGTCGTTGCGCTCAGCACCCGAGTGACCCGCTCGCGCGCTGCCGGCTGGTGGGCCGACATTCGTACACGCGCCGCACAGGCTGCGCAGGCCGCCACTGGCGTCATTTCGGAGCTTTTGGCGGCCGATACGGCCAAGGACCAGCGCGGCCCGCGGCTAGGCGGCAAATCAACTAGCATCGGCGGAGAGTCGGCCGGGGGCTCGCGCGGCGGCACGTCCGGGCACCAGGGTGCGACTCCTGTGGCGCGTGAGTGGAGCGATGTCGACGATGCATACTGGGACCACCAGCTGGACCGCGCCGCAGCACTACTGACCAAAAGCGGCGTCGGCAGGTGGACCACGCAGCTGGTCGTCGATCTGTTAATGGACAACGTAACATCGATGGTCGACGCCGAGCCCTTCATACACCACCCGGATACGCGCACCGCCGTGCTGAACTTTAGCCACGCCATCTTGCGTAGCAAGTACCACTCGACAGTTGATCAGGTGGAGAACACCATCAAGCCCTTTAAGTACGAGGTCGAGGTTGAGCCTCACGAATGGAAGAAGGCGCAGAAGAGGTCCGGCACCTTGGTCGATAACGAAATTCGCCTTTGCCGCCAGGCGCTGGTTAAGCTCCGCACGAACGTGCCGCGCAAACAGCTGCAGCAGGCGATTCAGCTCGCCAGGGCCGCCGAGAAGCGCGGCATTGACCCCGTTTCCATCCACGCAGAGCTCATCAGGCGCAATGGCGAGCAGGCCGCCGAGACCGAGGGAACGGGAAATGCCGAGCATGAGGGCGCTGCGTTGGAACCCCAGACCACCCCTGATGAGCTCAGCTACGCACAGCACAGCCCGCGCATGCTCCGCCGCGCGCAACAGGTGCTGATGATCCAGGACCGGCTAAACATCCTCCACATGCGTCGCAAGGCCCTTGCCAGCACGTCCTGCGCATCGCCCGATAACAAGCGTCTGTGCCCCGAGATCTTCCTCGATGTGGTGGCCGAAAAGCTGTCCTACAACGCCGTGCTGTTCATCAACTACGAGCTGCTGCAGGACTTTTTCTTTCAGTTCCCCCGCGAGCTTGACTCCAACTTGTACTACGGAAAGACGCTGCAGCAGACGAGGGAGTTTGCCAGCCAGAATCCGCGGGTCGGGAAACAGCTGCAGTTGCTTGAGCGCCGCCAGAAGCTCGAGGTTGTGATGACCAGGCTGCAGGAGCTGATGCGGCAGCAGGCGCAGCAGGCGTCGTCGGAGCCGTACGGGCGCCAGGGCAGCGGCGTAAGGGCCGGTTTACCCGAGCAGTCGTCGTACCGTCGGACGTTCCCTGGTCTCTGAAAAACAAAAAGTTCACATAAGGAAATATAGCTTAATCAAACAGTCTGTTTTAATCCAAAAATCAAGAAATCAAATTGAAGTGATGCTTGAAAAATTTTTCAGATATAATTTTTTTCTTCCTCTCCTTCGAATTGGGGAATGTGCGCCAAAAAATGAATACGATTGGATCGTCGCTATCAAAACACAGAACCACTCTGGCCAATAGTGTCAGTTATTTTTGAATTTTGAGCTTTTTTTTGCAGCATTCAGCTCAACAAAAATAAATAAATTCGTGGATGACACAGATGTAATACAAAAAAATAAAAGGATGTTTTTTTTCGGCTGGCGTCGCTTTTCTTCTTTTTTTTGTTGCTTGCTTTTGTCAAACTATACACACTTCTCACTTTATAGTACATAGACCCCTCAATTCCTAGACAATGTTCCTTTTCAACGATATCCTTACTGGTAAATATCACACACACACGCACACTACTAACGGGGTTCCATATACCTGTGTGAAATTCCAGGCTAAAACGGCTAATCTAAAATCCATACATTTTTATTTTCACGCATTCTTTGCTGTCTGGGTGCTGAATTGTAGGCGATGAGCTTTTCTCGGATGGCTTTGACGTTACTTTGAAGGACGGAATCTACGAGGTCGATTGCAAAATGATCACTGTCGGCGGCGACAACGATATTGACATTGGTGCCAACGCTTCTGCTGAGGAGCCGGCCGAGGATGCCCTTGATAGCACTAGCGAGACCGTCAACAACGTTGTATACTCGTTCCGTCTGGTCCCCAGCTCCTTCGACAAGAAGTCTTACATGACCTATATCAAGGGCTACATGAAGTCTCTTGAGAAGCTTATGAAGGAGGACGAGGCGAAGACTGATGATGATATCACTGCCTTCAAGGCCAACGCCGCTAAGTTCGTCAAGAAGGTCCTCGGCGACATCAAGAACTACGAGTTCTACACCGGTGAGAGCATGAACCCCGAAGGTATGGTCGCTCTGCTCAACTACCGCGAGGACGGTGTTACCCCGTACTTCTCGTTCTTTGCTGACGGTGTCAAGCCCCAGAAGCTCTAAATATTGGCTTTTTTCCACAATGAGTACTTTTATTCGGTTTTCAATCAATATTTACCCAAATTATTTGCCCTCCAACTACAACGACTACTACACGTGACAAGTATTGAAAGAGATGAAGGCTGCATAACTGTCTTTCGTTCATTTCAAACTTTAAGGCTGCAGCTGCCAACTGCCTTTTTTGTCTCTAAGTTTAGATTATTTTTTATTCCATTTTTGGCTAATTTCGCTGTTCGGGCCGTTAGTTCTCGCACCTGCGCAAATGGCAAAGCGCAGCTACTACGACATCGACGACATCCTTGCGGGCCAAGAGCGCGTGCCCTGCTTCCTCCGCACAGACCTCGACGGACTGGGGTCCGCAGGCAGTGGAGGCGGGTCTAGCAAAGTGCACCGCAATACACGCTGGACGCTCCCCTACTGGATGGCCGACCGGCTGAACGAGGAGGACTACCTGGATATGGAAGTTTCACCCATCTTTGCCAAGCGCGCAAACCGCATGTACGCGGCATCACCCGAGAGCATGCAGCTGCGGGCCATCTGCCAGCACTACTACCAGTTTGGGTTGCAGCTCGGAGAAATGGTTCCTGAGATCCCTCATGTGCTGCACAATATGTATATGACGCGGATACGCAAGGTCGCTCGGATTTCTCAACAGGGTCATAATGTGGAGGCGCTGGACTTTGTGCAGTCTTTGGATAAGACGGAGGCCAGGATGCTCAGGCTGTGCCAGCAGGCCCAGGGCGCCATTATTGCTTGGCAGCAAAACCGCGCGTATGCCCTGAAAAGAGCAGCTGTGATCCACGACTGACAGGGAGGAAAAAATATGAGAAAAATATTCTTCAAAATCTGCATTGATCGAAATTGATCGATCCCACTCCAAGCTACAGGCAGGCTCTCCTACCTCCTTTATATTATTCTCGTTTATTTTTTATATTACTTTTTTTCACCACATAATATTCTACCACTATTATTATCACATAATCCTACAGCTAGAAAAATGTCCTTCAGAGTGGCTGAGTTCTACAGCGGCATTGGCGGCATGCACTTTGCGCTCAAAAAGGCCAACATCGACAGCCAAGTGGTGCGGGCCTTCGACATCAACACGGTAGCCAACGACGTCTACAAGCACAACTTCTCAAACATTCCCGTCATGCAGCGGAGCATCGAAGCGCTGCCCATGACAATGTTTGAAGCGCTGCGCGCCGACCTCTGGACTATGTCCCCGCCCTGCCAGCCCTATACCCGCCAGGGACTTCAGCGCGGATCCGAAGACATGCGTGCCAAAAGCTTCCTCTTCATCATTGAACTCCTTGCCAAGCTCCAGAAGAAACCCAAATACCTGCTGGTCGAGAACGTCGCCGGGTTTGAGAAATCAGACACCCGGGCGGTGTTCTTGCGCCAACTTGTTAGGGTCGGATACAGGTTCGAGGAGTATCTACTGAACCCTCTGCAGCTGTGCTATCCGAACTCGCGCACACGGTACTACTTGCTGGCCAAGCTGGACGCCGAGCCGCGCGAATGCTCGGACGACGAGGAGTTCCCGGCGCACTTCAAACACGCGGTTCCTGGTGCCGATCTCATTGCGCCCGCTTCTAATTCCGACGGCCATGTGGATTTCGAAAAGGGTATCTGGCACCATGATGAGGTACGCCAGGTCAAGCAGTTCCTGCAGGAGCTGACAAAAGACGAGGCTGCACCGTACAGGCTGAGCCAGAAGGTGCTGGAGAAGCACGGGTATGTGCACGATGTGGTGACGCCGGAGGACCGCCGCACGTGCTGCTTCACAAAGGGGTACACCCACTATGCGGAGGGCACCGGGTCGATCCTGCAGCTCGAGGGCGTTGTCGGCACGGATGAGATGACGCTGGAGAACACGCGCTACTTTACGCCGCGCGAGGTCGCAAACCTGATGGGATTCCCCGAGGATTTCTCGCTGCCTGCCGGTACCACGATAAAGCAGGGCTACCGCCTGCTGGGAAACAGCCTGAGTGTCAGTGTGGTCTCTGTACTGATGGACTATCTTGTTCGGCGCATGTAGTTAATATAAAGTGTTTTTTTGTTATATCACTTGAATGTCTCTATGAGATCCTGGAATATGGCCTTAGTCTCGGCAACAGACTTGGCGCCGAGACGGCTGCCCTGGCGCGGGCGCACGTCAATGGTACCCGTTTGGAGTTCCTTTTCGCCAACCACCAGAATGTAGCTGTACTGGGCCAACTGCGCCTCCCTGACGGCGCGGTTGAGCGTGTTTCCCGACAGATCAATGTCTACAAAGAACCGGTGGCTATCAACGGACTCTGCGTTCTTGTCGTTGGCCAGCATGTCGCGCACCATCTGCGCATACTCGACGATATTTTCGGCGCCGGCAGCGGTCGACGTGGGGATAACGATGGCCTGGCGCGGATTGATCCAGAACGGCCACCTGCCGCCCCAGTGCTCGATCAAAATAGCTAGCATCCGCTCCATGCTGCCCAGCACCGCCCGGTGGATCATAACCGGTCGATGATGCCGGCCATCGGCACCCGTGTACTTGAGCTCGAACCGCTGCGGCAGCTGGAAATCAAGCTGAATGGTCGCAGTCTGGTGCTTGCGGCCCAGCGCGTCCTGCACGCGCACGTCAATCTTGGGCCCGTAGAACGCGCCATCACCCTCGTTCACCGCCCACGGCAGCCCACTGCCATCCAGCGCTGCTCTGAGCGCCGCCTCCGCCTCGTCCCACTCGGAAACCTCGCCAATGTAGCTCTGCGGCCTGGTCGACAAAACTAGCTCATACGAGGCAAACCCAAACATGCTGTACATCTCGCCAATCAGCCTCAGGCAGCTCTCGATCTCTCCCGATACCTGCGACCGCTCGCAGAAAATATGACCGTCGTCCTGGTGGAACTTGCGCACGCGCGTGAGTCCCGAGAGCGCGCCAGCCACCTCGTTGCGGTGCAGAGGGCTGAAATCCGCATAGCGGATGGGCAGGTCCCTGTAAGAGCGCTGGTCGCTGGCAAAAATGAGGCAGTGGCCGGGGCAGTTCATTGGCTTGAGCAGATACTCGGAGTCGGCGGTGTTCGTGTCATTTTCACGGGGAGCAGAATGAGCGTGATGGTCACAGCAGCCGTCTTTGTGGGTCGGCTGGATCGAGATCCCCACTGCGCTGGGTGTTTCGTTGCCCGAGCTGATGCCAAACATGTCGTCGCGGTACTTCTCCCAGTGACCACTGGTCTCCCACAGCTTGCGGTTGTACATCAGCGGCGTGGTCACCTCGTCAAAGCCATATTTGGCGTACTTTCGCCGGATCTCTGTCAGAATTGTGTTGACCATCCGCACGCCATGGGGAAGGATGAATCCCGAGCCAGGTGCCCATGGGTGCATCATGAACAGCTTCTGTTCCTTGCCAATTGTCCGGTGGTCCCGCTTTGCGGCCTCATCGAGCCTCTTCTGGTGGTCCTTCATCATGTCGTGGCTCGGGAACGAAATGCCATAGACTCGGTTGAGCACGGGGTGTTTCTGCTGCTGCGATTCTCCAGCAAGAGACACAGCGCTCTGACCTTTGCCATCGCTGACGCCATTGCTGAGGTGCCCAACCCAATGTGCCGACGACACGCGGTTGATCATGAAAGACTGGAGCTGCGACGTGTGAACCACATGTGGACCGCGGCACAGATCAATCATGCTGCCGCATTTGTACAGACTAACCCGATCCGCCGATGCCAAGGATCCAGCAGCCTTCTGCTGCTTGTGAGAGTTTACGCGAGCGCGGTCGAGGAAATGCAGCTTGAATGGGTTGTCCAAAAACAGCTCACACGCAAAGTCAAAGTCCACAACCATGCGCTCAAACTCAGTTTTCTTGCTGACAATATCCATGGCCGTCTTCTGCACAGATTCCATATCCGCAGCGCTCAGAAATCTAATGTTGCTCAGGGAACCCGGTGTGCCGCACATCTGCCTGACGCGCTGTCCAAAGGCCGTGTGCCGATCCAGCCGATCCAGCCGATCCACCACCACGCTGCGCTGCTGCTCTGGCGTAAGCAAAAGAAACTCGTAAAAGAACCCTCCCTCGGCCAGCGCCGGGCCGTCGCACAAGAGCAGATCATCGCCGTATATTTGCTCCAAAGCCGCGCCCATGACATGCGCCGACGAGTGCCAGAACACCTCCTGCGACACCGCACTGTTGCTGTCAAACCCGACAAACCGCAAGCTCCTCGCGTCTCTCGGCAAGGGCCGCTGCATATCCCAGGGCGTGCTTTCGTTGATCAGTGCGGCGATGTACTTTTTGGCTGTCTTTTGGGCGTATTTGCGCGCCATGTCAAGGGGCGTGGTCACATTGGCCACGGCCTCGCGGTCTACTCCCAGATCGGATAATGATACTGAGATTGCTTGCGCCTGGTCGCTGGACTCACTTATGATGGGTGATGTGAACTGGCGCTCCTTTTCTTGGTTCCACAGGCGGGTTCGTCTATCCAGAATAACAGTCGATAAGAGCCGTTTAGAGGCTGGCCGCGGCGCTGATCGGGCTGTGAGGCGCGCTGTCAGACCGGTTCGGACTGCCGAGGCGAATTGCAATCGAAGCATGGCTGTGCATTCACCTGCCCGTATTGGTTTCCAAAAGTGATAAAATATTGAATTTAGACAAAGAAAAGGCAAAGAAAAGCGGAGGAGAAAGCAACAGGCTAAAATGCGGTAAACTTGTAAATCGCGGGTGTTTTTTCTTCGAGATATCAGAGATTCCTGCTTGATCCTGCGGACCGGCAGAAAACACGCCATAAAAAAATTGATGCGATCCCCAGCACCAGGGCAACTGCGGCAATATAATCCGCCCCCACTCATCTCTTCTTGTGAACAATGGCCTTTGGCATCTTGCGCTTGATGTCGTCAACTACGTCGCTCTTCTTGTAGTAGTGTGGTGCCACCTCCAACAGCCACTTTGCGTCGATCTCGATGACCTGGCGCATGAACTCTCGCGATGTCAGGACAAGCTCGAAATAAACGACCAGCTTGGGCTTGTCCTCGTGTAGTGAGCTGCTCGGGTGGATGTGCACGGTCTGCCGGCGCTTAATGGTCGCGTAGCTGTCGCCTGACTTCTGCAAGCGCGCGCTGTTGTAGAAGAACCCAGCAGTGAGCGCCTTGCGAATAGGCTCTGTGTCGCCAGGATTGGGGTTGGCCTCGGGGATGATCTCCACGCGCTCCATCAGTCCAACGATCTGGTCACGCAGATCACGGGCGCGGCACATGGACCGGTACTGGATAAAGTTCTCGTAGCACCACTGCATCGAGTACCCGGTCTCCAGCCACTGCTCCCAGATGGTCAGAAGCACGATGTGGTCGCCGCCGGGACGCACAAAGTTGGCGTGCGCGCGGTCAGCCTGTTCCTTCTTCTCCTTTGGGCGATAGAATACCGCTGCGGACACTGACAGCATGGCGCAGATCGAGGCGAGCTCTTCGGAGCAGCGGTATTTCTCGGAAGCCAGCAACGCCTTGGCCATCATCGGATCCATCGGGAACTCAGCCATTCGCCGGCCCAGCTTGGTCAAATCGCCGCGGTCGTTCAGCGCGCCCAAAGCGTACAGGTGCTCGAGACTCTGCTGCAGCGCAGCTGGGCTAGGCGGATCCATGAAATCAAACTCGATGAGATTATTGATGCCAATGCACTTGAGCATCAGCACCACGCTCGACAGGTTGGTGCGCAGGATCTCTGGCGGCGTGTTTGCGTCCATCTCGTTAAGGAATGCGTGCTGCGTGTACATGCGGAAGCACTTGCCGGGCCCCACGCGGCCTGCACGACCCGCTCGCTGGCTGGCGGAGGCCCTCGAACACGGCACCACCTGCAAGGACTCCATGCCCGTGCGCGGATTGTACGAGTTCTGCTTGGCGAATCCAGGGTCAATGACAAAGACGACGCCGTCGATAGTTATTGACGTTTCGGCGATGTTGGTCGCCAAGACAACCTTACGCGCGCCCTCGGGCGTGGGCTCGAAGATGCGCGCCTGGAGCTCCGAGGGCAGGTTGGCGTAGATCGGGCAGATAATCAGCTCGGCTACCCGGCTGCCGAGCGCCTTCATCGCCAGCTTCAAATTATCCTGCGCCTGCTCTATCTCGTCCTGGCCGGTGAGGAACACCAGAATGTCACCCATGGGCTGGGTTGCGTGGATCTGAAGCACCGTGGTGACGCACGCCTGCAGATAGTTGGCCTCGGGCGCCTTGGTGTTATAAATCTCGACTGGATACGGCCGGCCAGGGATCTTAAAAATGGGCGCGTCATCGAAATACTCTGAAAACTTTTGCGCGTCCATCGTGGCGCTGGAGATTAGTAACTTGAGGTCTGGCCGGAAACGGACAATGTCCTTGACCAACGCAAAGAGAATGTCTGTGTGAAGCGTACGCTCGTGGCTCTCGTCGATCATGATCACAGAGTATCCGCCTAGATCCGGCTCGGTCATGAACTCGCGGAATAGCAGACCGTCGGTCATGTACACAATCTCAGTCTTCTCTGAGGTACAGTCCTCGAACCGAATAGCGTAGCCGACGTCATGCCCGAGCTTCGTGCCGACTTCCTCAGCGACACGCGCGGCAACACTCATTGCTGCCACGCGTCGGGGCTGTGTGCACCCAATGCGCTTGCCGTCCTTCGTGTACCCTGCCTCGCGCAGATACTGCGTGATCTGCGTGGTTTTGCCTGATCCTGTCTCGCCGACAATGATGAGAACCTGGAACTGCTCCACAGCTGCCAGAAGCTCGCTGCGGTACTTATAGACGGGCAGCGACTCGCGTACCTCTTTGATTGTGCGACGCTTGCGCTCGTGGGCTTCGATGGCCAACTGCCGCTCGTCAATCTCCTTTTTCTCGGCGTTCATTGTGTCCTCGAGCACAAAGTCAATGTTGTCGAGATCAAGCACGTAGTCGTACTCCTTGTCTTCTGACTTGGACGATGCTGCCGCTTTGTCCTTGGATCCAACCTCAACCTTGCTCTTGCCAATTTGCTGTCGCTCCCATTGTTCCTGCTCAGTCAACATGGGCACGTCGCCTTTTTTCGTCTGCCTGAGCGCTGAATTGTCGTACCGCCCGAAAAGTGCGTCCTCCTTCTTTTTGAGGTCAATCTTGCCCTTCTCCGTGATGTAATCCTCGGGCATCGTGTAGACATCAGTTGTGTCGCTAATGTTCTTGCGCTCGTCGGCCAGTCGCAAGACCTCTTTCTTGTACTCAAGATCGCGATTCTCCCTTTCGGTCAGCATCTGGCCTCTGAACAGTTCCTCTTCGTCAGCGATTTCCTGGCGCAAAAGCTCCAGCCGCTGTCCTTCGCGCAGCTTCAAATACTCTTGGCGCGCGCGATCGCGAATCTCAGGGAGTGCCTCGCGCCTCGCCTCGTGGTCATTTGCCAAATCGCGCCGGTGCTGCAGCTCAGAGTCTTTCGTCGACCGGTCTTCAATAACTTTTTTTGTATTATCGTGGTCCTTTTGCTTCATGCGCTCGGCAAATTCATCGCGCTCCTTTGCATCCTTATTCATGTGTTCTTCAGAGTCTGACTCTCCATTGATATCGCTGTTGTTGTCCCCAGTGTTGCCCTTGCCCGTGCCATTACCCTGGCTTATAAAGTCGCCAGCTTTTGCGCGCTTGATCCGCTCCTCAAGAGCACCCCGCTCCTCCTCATCGTCGCTGCCCCAGACATCTGCGCCGATCTGACGTTTCCTGACGCCCTTTGCTCGCGGCTTCGACTCTGCGCTACTGGTTTCTATCTGATTTCCATGTGCTGTGTTGCGATCTGTATCTGTAGTGCTGCGAGAATCAACTTCTCTATCCGTCGCTCTGACGGGTTTTCGCGTTTGGTTCGCAGCAGGCGGCTTTAACCGAGATGGCGCAGCTACCACAGCAGGGCTTGCCTTTCTGGGAGCACGCAAGAAAAGATCTTTTGCAAATTTTTCTGTGGCTTCGCCTCGAGGAAGATCAGATGCTACGAGCTGCTTGGCCAGGTCGTGTTCGTTCGTGCTTGTGGCACCCAAGTGCAAAACGTAGTCGACAATTTCGCTGCTGCTTTCGCCAACAATGTCAATCAGAGTGTCGGACACCCATTCTTTAAGACTCATGCTTATTTAATAGTAGAAATTATGGTCAAAATATTAATATATTTATGTGTTGTTTGTTAAAGAAGACAGGGCGAGAGCAATTAATACTTTTTTGGAAAAATATTGCGCTTAATTTATATACGGCTATTTTTACATTGCTTGTTATGGCTTGTATGAGTGATTCACTGGGGCACGTGCTACTAATATGCTACACGCAACATTTTCAAATATGTAAAAATAATATAACCAAATATATTTATTAATTAAACAAACTAAAACAGCTTAAAATACAGGTGTGTTGTTGCTAATAGTTAAAAACATATTTAAATGAATTGTCTGGAAATAAGTGCACATTAAATGGTTAAAAATATTAATAATGATATTGCAAGAATATAACGCCTGAACAATATAAACGTCAAACACAAACAGCTTATGCACTGGGTTTGGGTCTGTATCACAGAAATGTAAGCTACATTGACTTCTAGTATATCGGTGAATTATTTTTATTTTTTATTTCTTTTATTCAGCGCCTTCATAAAAAAGATCCAACTTGTAACCAGAGTATCTCCAAGTCTGTGTTCCTTAATTGCATGCGTCTCCAATGCTTTAATATTGGAGCATTCCGTGCTGCATGCTGGGCATTTAATTGACATGTTTAGTATAGTGAGTGTAATATGTTACTATTGGTATTGTTGGTGCTACTGGTGTTGTTGATGAGTAAAAATAGAAAATTTGTTGCTGGAATTGGCTGGCCTTTTATATGTTTGGAAATATGTTTTCCAGCAATGCTATTTTCATGAACTAAATAAATAATAATGCGGCGCTCAATTATTCTTTTTTTCTAGGACACATGCTGTAAAAAATACCTTTCAAAATAAACACAGGGAAGTACTTTATTTTTCTTTGCATCTTGCCACCACCACCCGCACATTGAAATTTGCCTACTTATTTTTTGTGTAAAATATACAAAGAATAAAGCTTTGTGCGTCGCTTTGTAATATGAACAAATATAAGTAAATACATCTAAAAAAGTAAATACGCCATATGCATGAGTACATAGCAGCATGCTTTACTTACAAAAAATGGCATCAAATGAATTCCAAGTTTTTGTAAGTAAAGCTAATTAGATGTAGATGTCCAAGTTCTTTGCATTCAATATATTCCTATTTTCGATTATGTTCACGCGCCAGTTTTTCTCTGAAGATTTTTATTTCCCGTTGTCACTAAAAGCATCTGCGACAGCAATCAATGGGGTGGGGGGGTGCTGGCATTGGAAAATAATAGGAGACTGGCTAATTTTTTTGTTCAATTAAAAAACCAGCCTGAAGGATGTGGCTCGGCATCATCCCTAATTGCCCCTTCGCAATTTCTGATGCTTCCGTCACATATTTTGTTAGGATTTACTGTATGCAAAAAAGCAGTAGGTTTATAAACCCTTATTTTTTCTGCCATCATCACCATCACCCAAATGTTTACTGATCTCACGCGGAGAAATAAATTGTTGCATCAATGTAATTTTTTCTTCTTTTCAACGCTTATTTTCTAAACTTAAAAATTACTGTTGCTTCTACTCCATTATTTTTTGTCCACCTGATGATGCAGACTACAGGACTCACGAAGGGGCGCACAGCCTACCAACACTACATACCGCCAGTCGTACGTATTGTCCTCCATATTCTTTTGACTGGTGTTTTCCGCAACGCAAAAATTAACCCAATCCATTTTGCCAGTAACAAGGTTTTTTTGCGCTTGAACCTTGCTTTGCACTTGTTTTTTGTTGTAGAATTTTGGGTACGTTGAGAACGACCTTTATCGGTGCGGGCAGCCGAACGAACTCAACTTTCCATTTATGGAGAAGCTCGGCTTGCGGTGCATCGTATGGCTGGCGCCCGAGGAGCCCAATCAGAACGTAATGAGCTTTGTCGACGACCAAGAGATCCAGCTGCACCACCTGGGCGTCCCAGAAAGCGGCAATGCATCTGACCCAGTCACTGAGGACACTATTCTCGAGGCATTCAACCTGATTCTGGACAAGAAGAACCACCCGATGACGATTATGTGCAATATCGGTCGCCACCGCACGGGCACGGTAGTCGGGTGCTTGCGCAAGCTGCAGCGGTGGAACTTGGCGTCTATCTTTGAGGAGTATCGTCGGTTTGCTGGCCCCAAAGTGCGCATTCTGAATGAGCAGTTTATTGAGCTTTTCGACACTGATTTGGTTCGCATACCTGTTGACCCGCCAGAGTGGCTTTAGATATTGTACGTTGCTTTGGTGGTGGTGGGGGGGGGGGATTTTGCACTATCTGCAGTGTCATGCTGCATGTTTTGCTTTTAGAACAAGAACCCGGCCGGAACGTGCTTAGCCAGGGCGTAATGTTGAAAATTAATCGGGCAATATCGTCTGTCCGCTGGCCAATTTGGTGCAGCTCTTAGTATTCCGATTAGAATATAAGCTGGGATTAAAGGCACAAAATGCAGTAGTGCCGCTGCAATAAGTGGGCGGCAGTTGTAGGTGTTCCATCTTATTTCTATTTTACACATGTCTCTCTCTTTCTTCTGTTGTTTGTGCCGTGCATATTTTTCTTTTCTTTTTCTCTTTTGTACGCTTTCTTAATACTTTTATATTTCTTTTTTGAACACAACCAAACTCGCTATTCCACAACACACAACCCATTAAATGAGCAGCAACGTCGGCAATTCGCTCGAGGCCTCAGGCGTGCTGGTCGACAACAGCGCAAGCAGCACCCCTGTCGTTGAAGAGCAAGACGATGTGTTCATCACACAGTTCGCTGGCGATGAGGAAGAGCAAGAAGAACTGTTTATTCCACAGCTTATTGTTGACGAGGAAGAGCAGAAAAATATGTTTATCCCACAGCTTATTGCCGACGAGGAAGAGAAAGAAGATGCGTTTATCCCACATCTTGCCGGTGTCAGCAAAAACCAGGACAATTTACCTATTCCGCAGTCCACTGGCGACAGCGGAAAGCGGTCGGCGGTTCCAGTCAGCAAGCTCCGCGGCAACCATATACTCTCGCTGGCCCTCCAGCGCATGTTCAAGGGCCCGGCGCCCACCCTCGACCGAATTATCCGGTTCCTGTCCTCCGGCAGCGGCCAAGACAAATTCTGGATGGTAAGAAAGCCACCCAATGTTTTGATGAGAAGAAACTATGCATCCAGGACCAGGGCCATTCGCTCCGCCTCCCACGCCTTTTGCTCCTGGAACAAGAAATAAGTACAAGGAGCAAACACATGCTTTCTTCCCTCAGTACATTTTTTTCTTCGGCACAGCTTCTGATTTCACATGACAAAACAAGAAATCAAGTGCCATTAAGTCTGACTATCCGTGTTCCGCAACTTTGAAAAAACCCATGCATGCCATTTATCACATTTGCCAAATCGGGTTTCTTTGTTGCTGCCATGTAGCTGATCCAATACTTTACAAAAATTGTCGTGTGGGTGTACGCTAAGAGGGGCCACAGATCGGCTTCGGAGCGTGTGCGCAGGTTTTCTAACTTGGTGTCCGACTACCGCATTATGACCCGGCTGACCGGTCTGGTATCCATGGCCCAGTATGTGCGCTACGTCGAGCAGTTCCCGGCGCAAACACGGGCTCTGCAGTGGCTCGACCGCATCATGAACCTCTCGCTTGTATGCTACTACCCACTGGAGCACATCTACTGGCTGGGTGCGCACCAGATTATGCCATTCTCTGACAAACTAGTTGACCTCTCGGGCTACTGGTCATGCCGCCTCTGGGCAGTCTGGGTGGCCCTGCAGTTTGTGCACTTGGGAGAGGAGTACCGTCTTATTAAGGGCAGGAAGCAGAAGACCTACACTCAGGGGAAGATTGATGCAGCCAAGATGCAGGATGAGCTGGATGCTGTGGACTCGGATACTAGGAGTCTGAAGATCCAGCTTCTGATTAATGCTTGCTACTTCCCTTTGACCCTGCACTGGTCCATTCGGGGGTCGAGGTTCCCCGATGTTGCTGTTGGCGTGTGCGGCACCATTGCTGCTGCCGCTCAGGCATACACTACGTGGAATTCATTCGTTTAGTTTAAGCGGCGGCAATGATTTCCAAGAGGGTTTTATATCTTGATCAAATAAATGCATACAAAATTGGATGTTTAGATCATTGTAAACAATTGGCTTTTATTTAGTTACTGGCGACTGCCGCTTCTTCAGCACTAGTATCCGAAGAGTCGCCTATACCCATATTTTTACTGTTGCGTTTGGGTCGTTTGAGCCGTTTGAGTCGCTTGGCTATAAAAATGACATTTAAAGGGCTGACAACTTTGTACTTCCAATTAAATAATAAAAATACGTTCTATTGTTCTATTTGTATGTCTGTTTAGAAATTTCCAGGGTATACGCTTTCAATGAGCTTTATCATAGAAGCGGCATCGGGTAGCATCTTCTCGTTACTGGGGCTGACATATAGCACCTCCGCATCACTCAACAGGTTGCCCTTGACGTCCTCCAGCTGCGCGGTAATCGAGCCCTTGCGACCCTCAAGCTTTGCAAGCTGCGTCTTACACACCAAAACCTGGTCAGCAAGCACCGGCCGGCGATAGTTAATCTTGAGCGAAGCAGTGAACGCAATGTTGCGCGGCAAGTTCCAGAACGCCGGGCGAGCAGTAATATCATCAAAAAGTGTAGCCAGCACACCGCCATGCACAATACCGCTGTGCCCACATAGGCGCTTGCCAATATGAAGAATAACAATAAACTGTTTGCGATCCCGGTTCAAAAACACAATCGGCTCGACGCTGAGCTTTCCGGGGCCGTGGAGAGTACCAGGGATGAATGCACTGGATTTAGACGAATTATCCTTGCTCCAGAAAAACGGAATGCGCTTCCACTCATCGGGGCTTTCCAAGCACGACTTTGCCACGTCTGTTTGCAAAAGCATGTCTGTGATCTGCGCCTTTATCTCTGACTCCAAGTCCTCAGTGAGTGCATTATCTTGTTCCGATTCTTTATTGGGATTGGCCTCCAGGGTGTCCTGCTTTGGCTTGCCCACAAAAGTGATCCACCCTTGGTCAACTCCAAAAAGACTGATGGATACGCCAAAGAATATGCAGCAGGTAGCCCAGGCTGCGAGCATGGGTCGAGAGAAGACAAAGCTGCTGGTACCGTTCATCGGACGCGCGGCTGGAGACTGCTTGGCTCCTTTTAGTGCTATGCGTTGCGCGGTTGTGTGGGGGATCGCGTATGAACGAAGTGAGAGATGGTGTGTCTGGTTCTGGCTGCAGACAATCTGCTGTGGAGAAAATCTGGAAAATAATCGAGCAGTGTTGGTCAGAGACATTGGATATAAACGTCGAAAGTGCGCGGATAAAAAATGGAAAAGGGGATTGTAGATGCTATTTATACTCGGTCTTCGATGACTTGATGCAAATAAAAAACTTTAGACAAAGGACATTTATTAGAGGCAGAGCACGGGATATGCTACATTCTAAATTTCTGTGCGGAAAAGGCGCGCAGTTTGGGGATTTATGTCCGCCGCCGAAAAAAAGAGAGTGGTTTTGGATATATTTTCCTCTCTCACAGGCGCCAGTTGGGCAATCCACAATCTCCGTGCGCTCAAAACCATGTCCTCTTAAAAAATGTTTAATGCAAACAGGCCTTTAGTTTTTTGCGCCGTTCAAAAACAAAGATAAGGCTGCAACTTCACGTGCAAAAAAGGGCTTGGGGGGGGGGGGGTTCCTTCCGACAAATCAAAACTCGCGTTCATTGTGTGCTCAATTGCATCCTGTGTCCCTTGCGTGCTTTGCCAAGAAAATACCCATGTGGAGATTGTTGGCCGGCAGCGTCACAAGAGATCGCATCGGCACTGGTGCGAATAAATTCGCCGGTCCACTTGAATGAAGCAGAGACAGGTGCACGAATGGCGCCTTCAAGCCTCTCGCCATGTTGCCTGTCGATATGAGCTCGCAGTCGTGGGAAAACAAAACAAAAATGCGCTGGGACGATTTCACTTCACCGATGGCTCGCCGTTTAGCTTAAGTGGTGCGACTCGATCGATCAAAAGAAAAACGACCGAGTCGGCTCATCCGTCACGCCCGTATTTTTTTGCCATTAAATTTGTTGTCCTTTTGACCTCGAATTCGAATTGTTTCACTTGGCGCGTCTTCTTCCAAAACAAACTACAGAATGGCAAAGTCCGCGCATTTACATTTGTCACATTTATCATTTCTCCTCTGCGATTGCACAAAATTCAACATTTACCAACATCGCCTTTTTTCTTCCAACTTAACAACAACAGACTAAGAAATGTGGGCGAGCAAGCGACCAGGACCTCCGGCAGGCGGGCATCAGAAGAAGCTGATCATCAAAGGACTTAGGTCTGTGCCCACACTGCCTGCCACTTACAAGGCTGACACACTGGCGCGCCTACAGAGTGCAGTGCAGGCCATCCAAACCAGCCAGTCGACCCCACAGGGGTTTGAAGAGCTGTACCGCGACTGTGAGAGTCTATGCCTACACAAATTCGGCAGCGATATTTACGCCATGCTGCAGGGCGAGCTCGACAGGCACGCACAACAGCAGCTCCAGTCAATAAACGCGCAGCCCGTGGACTCATCGACAGACACGGCGGTTCTCGAGCAAGTACAAAAGTTCTGGACCGCATATATACAGCAACTGGGCATGATCAAGTGCGTTTTTTTGTACCTGGATCGCACTTACGTGCTGCAAACGGCCAACACCGCGTCGCTGTGGTCTATGGGACTGAGCGCTGTTCGCCGGTTCTTGATCGACACGGATATGAAGTCCCGGCTGATACGGCTGATAATCGGCGAAATCACAAAAGAGCGCAATGGCAAAGCGGTCGACCGCGCGATGCTTCTCAGTCTGATCAATATGTTTGTCGAGCTTGGGCTATACCTGCCCTTTTTTATGCCCAGCTTTATCGAAGCCACACACGAGTACTACCAAAGGGAAAGCAGGCGGCTGGTGGGCAGCCTGGTCCCGACAACAGTCACACCAAGGGCACAGACAGGGGCGTCTTCCGGCCCCATGGACGTTCCGCAGTACCTGGTGCATGTAAAGCACCGTTTGGACGAGGAGTCGCAGCGCGCCAGCAACTACTTGGGTGACGGGTGCAAGACAGCCTTGCTGAGCACAGCACAGGCAGAGCTTGTTGAAAAGCACACCGACCGCCTGCTGTCATTCAGCTTTGACGCAATGGCCGATGCACACATGCTTGCTGACCTGGCCAACTTGTTCATGTTATTGAACGCGGTCAACCGCTTGGACGCACTCAAAAAGCACTGGGCCTCGTATATTAAAAAAACCGGCCTGCGCCTGGTGCAGGCACCCGAGCTGGACATCACGCTGGTAACCGAGCTCCTTGCGCTCAAGCAGCGCCTGGACATTATTCTGAGCAAATCCTTCCGGAACAATGCCTCGCTCATGTACACGCTGAGCGAGTCATTTGGCGAATTCATCAATACGCGCCGCAATAAGCCCGCACAGCTGGTTGCCAAGTTCATTGATCAGTGTTTGCGCTCTGGCAGCAAGATCACCACCGATGACGATCTGGACAAACTGCTCGACCGCGTATTGGTCTTATTCCGCTTCATCCAGGGCAAGGATATGTTTGAGGCGTACTACAAGCGTGATATGGCCAAGAGGCTGCTCTATAACAAGAGTGTGTCGGTCGACGCCGAGCGAATGATGCTCCAGAGGCTCAAGACAGAGTGCGGTGCAGGGTTTACCAAGCAGCTGGAGGGGATGTACCGCGATATGGAGATATCTGACGACATCACCGCCAAATTTATCGATCTTCAGCAGGCGCAGCCCACCGAGGACATTGGGTTCCACGCAAAGGTCCTCACGCTTGCATCCTGGCCAACCTACGAGCCCCTGGGGCTTGTCGTGCCCAGGCAGGTGGAGCAGGCGCAAGACAGCTTTTTCCAATTCTACGGAAGCAAGCACAAGGGCCGCAACCTGCAGTGGCAGCACGGCCTGGCCACGTGTATTTTGTCAGTAAACTTTGATGAAGGGCCCAAGGATTTGGCGCTCACTGTGGTCCAGGGCACGGTGATGCTTCAGTTCACACAAAACGACGAGCTCACCTACACCCAGATCCGCAACAACACGGGTCTGGAAGACATTGAGCTCCAGCGCATCCTACAGTCGCTGGCGTGCGGGAAGCACCGCGTGCTGACAAAGGAGCCGAAGGGCCGGGACATTGCGATCACAGACAAGTTTGTGTTCAACGCCCAGTTCAAGTCGCCGCTTGTGCGTATCAAGATCAGCCAGATTCTGGTCAAGGAGGACGACAAGGAGGACAAGGACGTTGAGGAGCACGTCCAGCAAGACCGTATGTTAAATATTGACGCCGCTTTGATCCGCATCATGAAGGCCCGGAAGACCGCTGAGCACTCGGCGCTGATGACCGATCTGGTGAACCAGCTCAAGTTCAGCACATCGTCGGCTGAGGTCAAGGAGAGGCTGGACATCCTGATTGAGCGCGACTACATGAAGCGCGACGAATCTGACCAGGCCGTTTACCACTATGTCGCCTGAATAGGCATGTGTACTCACTTGTCGTTTGTATTTGATATAATTAAATTCACATTCATTTCTGCAATTTGACTATTTGGTACTGGAGGATTTATTTAAAAGGCGATTTTGCCCATTAACGACGACACGTATGTTAAACTTTTTAGTATAATTTGTTTAATTGATCATTATATTTAGACATTTTATTATATCACGTCTAAACGTGTTGCGATATATGTAGGCAAAAAACCAATTTAAACCCGGTTATTATTCGAACATCTAATATTTGCAGTTGTAGTCATATTCATAATAAAAGTACATGTTTTATCTGTCCGGCTGACATCATTGTAAATGTTTAATATGTTGGGTAACAAATTGTTTTGAAATAATAATTTAATAAATGCTTGAATGCGCACAAAACCCATGTGCGCGAGTTAGAGCTTATAGCCGTATGCAAATATGTTGTGGACAGCTTCAGATATCTCGGGGAGATTAGATGTCACTCCCGAGGGACCCAAAGCCGGCACCGACTGTTTCAATGACGTTTTCGTAACCGTCTGCTCATTTCCTGAAGCCTCGCCAGTGGAGAGTGTCTCATTTATGGCAGAGTTCACTACGGCCACTGCAACGGCGGGCGTGCCCTGGGTGCTGTTGTTCTCCGACTCGTCCCACTCGAACGTTATAAGTGGAACCTCGGAATCGCTCTGGGCGCTAGGCCTGGTCTTCTCGACAATGGGGCTATTTCTCTTGCTCTTGCTCTTGCTGGAAGCCGCCTCAGTGGCCTGTCCTCCACCGCTGCTGTTGTTGCTGCTGCTGCTAACAAAAAGAGATAATCCACGCTGTTTACGAATTTCTTCAACGACATGAACACGGTAACGAACCTTGTAGAAGCTCATCTCAGCGCCCTTCAGCGCATCGTTCAAGTCAATAGTGTCGCTCAAATCCTGGACATACTTGAGCACTTCCTCGGGCGACTGCAAGTGATCCATGATGACGTCCGCATGACGCTGCAAAATAGCCAGCGCAACAAAAAGTACAAAGCGGTCAGTCAGATAGTCCGTCCACAAGACCTCCCACAGCCGCAGGATGTTTTCAAAACTGAACTCACGCTTGAACCAGATCAGCAACCAGCGGTAGCAACTAAACATGTTGGATGCGTCGCACTTTTCCAAGTGGCTGAAGAGCTTGGGGTTTGCAATCTCGATCAGCTGCGCTATCGTGGCCAGCTCGTCCTGCATGCCACTCTGGTCACGAGCAAAGTGCGAGCGCATGCGCTTCATAAATGAGGCAAACGCCCAAAATGTTGTGGGCTCGTCCTGGTAGACGGAGTAAATAGGAGCAAGCAGGTCGGACATTCCTTGCACGTAGCCCAGCAATCCCTTGTCGTGGTAGTGGAACGTCATCAGAATGTCCTTCATTTGCTCGAGGCTGGCGCTTGATCCCGGCAAGCCGTGCTCCGACAGGTTGGCTTCGTCACTGCCGCCATATACAGAGTCTGTGGCAAATAATGGCAGGGTCCTGTCCGTGCGCAGCACGTCCTTTTCAATTCGATCGCTCTGCTCAATGTGGTCCCTGGTTTCTTTGAGCTCGGGGTCGCTCAGCCACGCGTCCTTCAAGTTCCAGTACTCCTCAGAGTTATTCTTGTCAATGCTTTTGCGCTCGGTCTCGCTGCTGTCCCATGGGTAAATCGATAAGAGATACTTCCAGACCACGGGGCGCATGTCCTCTTCGATGCCGCCGGCAAATATGGCCCGACGAACGGTGTCCGAGTCGGCGACCAATCTGAACTCGGAATTGTCGCCGTCTGCAGTCTTTGGCTCGAAGAAGCTGAACCACTGCTCGGCAGACAGAGCCGGGCGCGTGCGAATTGGCTGCGGGAGTCTGGCCGACCTGTCAGTGTTGACGACCTCAAACGCGCCCAAGTCACCGTTCTCTGAAATCCACTCCTCCCAGATGCTCAGGTGACTGTTACCCTGGCTGCCGTGCTTGTCTCCGGCAGCCAGGCGCGACTCACGCTCGCCATCCTCGTGCTGCTGGTCAATAATGTGCCGAGCAGCCCATTTGGCGAGATAGATGCGAGCACTCTCGTACTCCTTCACGAGGTTTCCCGAAGCTGACTGTGCCCGGCTCAGGCTGCTCAGCGCTGGCGGGATGTAGGGCGCCACTTGGCGGCCCACAGGCGTCTCTATAAATGAGGTCGCGGCATCCTTAACTGTGCGGGTGATCCGAGAGAAGCGCTCAAGTATGCCCCACCGCAGCTCCTTTACTTGCTGCATCAACGGGTCCATATTTCCCTGAATCGCCGAGTCGATAATGTCCACAGAAGCCGCCTTTGGCGCCTGAGCTTGTGGAGGGGATGCCAACGGCGCGGGCGACGAGAGTGTACTGTGTGCTGGGAGCATGGTTGACGCGCTGGGCGTGGCCGACCGGCTCAAAATAATGTGCGGAGACTTTGAGCCCTGGACCTCATAGCGGTTGGGGTCATCGATGGAGCGCTCAATCGAGACTGCGTGCGCCAGCCACACCAAAAGCTCGTCACCACCCCAGTGCCTGGTCATGCCAAGCATCGTGCTGGCACTTTCTTCGTCATGGAACCACATGGGGGCGAGAGAGCTGCCGTCTGCCAAATTAATGATGACCGAGCCATACCATTGTGTCAGCGAGGGTGGGTGGATGAGCAGCGATAGTATTTCTCCGACGGGCTTGCAAAATGCGTAGCTGGAAACCGAGGATATGGTTCCGGCCTGGTGCAAGGGCTCGGTCGACACCAGGATGCCGCCGTCCTCAGAGAGCATACTGAGCGAGACCTGTGCCCCATCACCCGTAGTGTCACTCCTGCCAGTAGACTCATCGAAAAAGCTGGGGCAAAGCTCAACTTGCACATACGACTCCCTGTCGTGCTCCGACATCAGCGCCTCGGGCGTCCACGCAATATAGTATTGGTCGTCCGGGCCCTGCACAACGCAGATAAAGCCGGGTATGCGGTCTTTCTTGTGCATAGAGCGGTAGACGTACACCTTGCTCTTGGAGTACAGGAGCTTTACGCGCGACACCTCGCTGACAATGCAATAGTCTGAGAACTCTGACGGCGAGCTTGTAGTTTCTGCTGGTCCTCCGCCCATTTTTTAGTGATATATGTTATATGACGAATATTTCGAGTAAGTGAATGTGTGTGAAAAGAGGGGTATATGTGAAATGAATGTGGTGTTACCAAATAAGTTTGTGAAAAAGAAATTGCGTATTCTTGCGTAAAAGAAGCTGAAAATTATGAACAAGCAGGCGGAATACCCACCTTATAATATAGATTCTTTTTTGTCCTTGAGTCGAGTTTTTTTTATTTTGCCAAGACTTGGCACAATGTGTTTGACGTCACCTGATTGGGCCATCACCCCCTAACCAGAAGATTCCGCCACAAGCGTGAAACCCGTTATTCGCGCTGCTGCGGGGTCGTTTTTGGTGGGGGAACTTTGATTTTTTATTTGATTTTGCTGCCAGTAACGACCTTAAATTTTACACTAAATATATCCGAAACATTTGCATGGACAACAGCCGCTACTCAGGGCTGCGGGACGCAATAATAAGCGAGGTTGGCGGCATAGACAGCGCAGTGGGCTTGCTGGTTGCGCGGTTTGAAGACTTTGCAAGTGTGCAGGGGAAAGATCGGCGACAAACAGCGACATCACCGGCGGGCGTCATTCTCAGTGGAATTCCTGGCAGCGGGAAGACAAGGCTGGCGTTGCAGTTTGCACAGAGCACGGGTCTTCAGTTTGAAACTGTGAGCTGCCCTGACCTTTTTTTTGCCGACCAGGGCAAAAGCGAGGCGCGTCTGATCGAATGCTTTGCCGACACATGGGCAACAACTGCTTCTCCTGGCACCCTGAAAGTCCTCGTTCTCGAGGATATTGATGTGCTGTCTGGATCGAAGCGGCCCGATACGGTGGAGGCGCGCATGTTCTCGCTGCTGCTCGACTGCATTGACACATCTGGCGATGTGTTTGTTGTCGGCACGACCAGCATGCTGACCGCGATTCCTGAGGAGATCAAGCGCTCGGGGCGGCTGGACACAATAATCGACACGCATCTGGCCGATGTAGCTGCTCGGTCTGCGGTTTTGCAAATTATGCTGCGAAAGTTTCCCAACGTCCCGTCAGCCGGGGACATTGACAGAATCGCCAAAACAGCGCACGGGTTCTCTGCGGCCGACTTGCAGAGCCTGTGCCTGCGCACATTCATGGACCACAAGGACGCAACCACAGCCGATGATCTGGTGCGCATGGCGTCTGAAGTCAAGCCATCCAACCTGAGCTCTCTTCAGTCAAAGATACCCCGTGTGCTATTTTCCGACATCTTTGGTCTGGACGAAGTTGTCCGGCGCGTGCAGTCGCTGGTTGTGGATCCGCTGATGCACGGCGAGAAGTACCGCGAGATGCATGTTGAGCCGCCGCGGGGCGCGCTGATTTATGGGCCGCCAGGATCGGGAAAATCAATGCTTTGTTGCGCTGTTGCTAACGAGCTGGCAGTTAACACAATTTGGGTCGACGCGTCGCAGATGCGCTCGATGATCGTTGGCGAGTCCGAAAAGGCCATTGCGGATTTGTTTTCGCAGGCGCGGAAGAGCGCGCCCTGCATTCTTCTGTTTGACCATGTAAGTGAAGCGTGTATTTATTATTGATTTTGTGTTGAGCGCATTTCAATGCAGTGCACTCATTTGATTTTTTCTCTTGCTTGAGTTGTAGATCGATGCGCTGGCTCCAAAGCGCGGAACCAGTCAGACGACGGAAAACACGAGCGACCGGATTGTGACCAGTTTGCTTGTTGGTAAGTCAACATTTGTCTATTTTTGGTATTTGCTGATTCGTTTTTTATTTTTTGCTTGGCAACATTTACCGCGTCAAGGATGGTGGAAGTTTCTCAACAGACGCGAATATTCGAATGTTCGGCTGAACAAATAAACTGCGGGCAAATGAGATAATGGTTTTATTGGTCCATTGCAATATTTGTTGTTATTTTTTTTACTAAAATCGCTCACTTTAATTTTTTTATATTTTTGTCCTATATTTTTGCGCTTGCGTAGAAATGGACGGGTTCAATGCAAATTCAGGCATGCAGCCATTTTCTCCTAGCGTGTTCGTTCTAGCCGGTAAGCAAACAATCCAAAAAAGTTTTGTGACATTGCGGGTCGCGGTCGAATCCATAATTAAAACATGCTTACTGATATTATTGCTGGTTAACTTTATTCGAAATATCGCGCTAATTTCGAATGCTCATTTTTTTATTTTTGTAGTGACCAGTCGACCACACGTAGTTGATTCTGCTCTACTGCGGCCTGGCCGGTTGGACGTTCGCATTGGGCTGGGGGTACCAGACGCAAAGGTTAGTTGGAGTAGAAGAATAAGAAGCAGGAAGAAAAAACATCTAGACTCACACATATATAAATTATGTTGGGGAACAAAATAGCAATATTCGTGTGCGCCCCCTGTCACCAGTAATGCCCTATGGATTTGACGTTCAATTTTTTAACTTTTGACAAGCACGAGCCAACTAATATTTTGCAAGGTGAATTTGTATAGCAACGCGAGGCGATATTGGTCGGTTACATGGCTAAGACCCAGACAACAGCCGATGTGCGCACGAATGACGCATTCATTGGCATGCTGGTGGAGCGGACTCACGGATACACAGGTAAACAAGATTACACAGTGAGCAGTTTTGCTGCAGGTCTGCGTCCCTTGAACGCCAGATTGTGTGTACTAATCCAAAGTGTGAACAGACAAATACCATGTAATTTTACGGATTTTGTTGTAGGTGCTGACATTGCGAATCTGTGTCGCGAAGCCGCGCTGACTGCGCTACGGAGAGACATTGGGGCTGAGATGGTATGTAGATCGGTGCGACTTCAAGCATCAATAAAAAATATTGAATGGATATGGCCTATACTTTGATATTCGCTAACTTTTTTTATTATTTCTGTTTCCTTGCACCAAACTTTGTTGGGGGCAAACATTTTTCTGGGGCTTATAATTTTTCCGTCTCTAAATAGGTTACCGGGGCCGATTTTTTAAAGTGTCTGGATGCAGGTCTGCGATAGTCTGCGTAGCCGCGGGTTTAGGAATTCTAGAAATTCAATAAAATTGTTGAGCAATAATGATCATCATTCACCCAGGTAAAAAATTTACTTGGGGGTGGTATTCTCGCGTCTGCAGCAACAGATGATTGATAATATCCCAGAAAAGATGGAGAAGCGCAAGATAAGGAAAAAGGAAAAAGGAAAAAGAAATAAAACAAGGTCAATAACAGAAAAATATATTTACAAATTTTAAAATTGTCGGAAAAATGAGAGATATTAGGTATTAGGCGGAGAGAGTACCCGCTGCTCTGTGATGCGACGGCAAGTATCTGTGGTAAAATTAAAAAGTACAAGTGAGGGTTTAAATAATTAGGTGGATTCGGGACCACAACTGTTATTTTTTCAAGCACCAGCATGAACCATCGACGCAGACCTGTCGCGCCTCCAAATGTCCTTTGCTATTGCGCGACAATGGCAGTGCTTCCGCCAGCACAATGTGCAGTACTGCGAGTCGTTCGTGTTGTAGACCTCGTTGAGCTCCATCTCCTTCGACGTGTAATGGTGCATCTCCTGGCGCATATTGTCGCGGCCGCTCTTAGTCAGCAGCTCCCAGGGATCATCAACACGGCGGTCATATTCCTCGGGCGAGTACGTATTGACAACTTCCGGATCGCTGTTCAAAAAACGCACGCGCTTTGGCGGCCGCGTGGGCGAATTTGACGGTGACAACCTGCTTGCCTCATCAGCCAATACCACTACGGTGTCTGAATTGCAATCGCTACCGCGCCGCATAGCACTAATTTGTGTAGTCTTGCTGGGGTGGATCAGGGTTCCGCCGGACAGTGATGGTCGCGAAATGTTTGAGCCCCTGCCATCGAGCGGTGTCGAGTAGAATTTGCGCAGTGTGGTCTCTTCATCTGACGAGCGCGAGTGGTGTCTGCGCAGGCCTGAGTACAGTCGCTTGATGCCCTTGAAGGGATTGAAGTGGCCGCTGCGGTCGCTGCCGAGTCGCTGGCTCTCCTCGCGCGATGCTTCACGCGCCAGGGCCAGGCTCGTAGATCTCAGTGCGCCGCGCTGCCCGTCGGGCAGACGGTACATGTTGAGATTGAGCTGGTTGAATGTCTGTCCAAGTGGTCTGGCGTAGGCCATCTTTAGTTATATAAAATTATTGATAGTTAAGAATAGAGTGGAGGAAATATTATCGGTTTCGAGTTACTAGATTGTTATTTCAGAAAACAGGATGAAGAGAGGAATCGTGGTGGGGTGAGGCACGGGGCATCCTTTTATACATTGGCCAACTGGAAAGCGCATTCTCGCGCCCGAAATTGATTTGTGTCAGCAGCCAGCGCCCGCTCACATGATTATTGCAAGGATACCCGGCAGCACGCCTTCAGCCGAATCACAGCATCAGGGGCCCGTTGGCCAGGGGCATGATCAACACCCCTCTCCTTCCGTCCTCACGTTCCATCTGTACCAAAATGGAAGAGTGCTAAAAATACAACCGAAGCATTCGATTTTTCTGCTCTTTCCTGCCCCAATAATAGGCACCGTGTCACATTTTACCACATTGCGTACTCCTTTTGCTTCGGCCTTCTCTTTCTTACCCCCTCTTCCTGCAGCCATCGATTCTAAACAAATAAATGGTGAAGACATGTGTGTACGCAGTATGATTGGACGCTGCTGGTATTAGCTGCTCCTCTCTTTCCATTTTTCAAGTGCCCAGCCAACTGCGCGCGGTCCTTTTGCTTTCTCGCATGACGAGCAAGTCGCCCAACATCTTTTTCATTGGTCTGAATCCAGAATTACAACGATGCGATTTTTAGTTGACGCATTTTGTTAGCAGAATACGCTTTTGACTACAAGCGGGAAAACGTTTTTTTTATCAGGCATTGTGAGCTCGTGCTTTTGTGCCTTGGCACTTTCCCTCATCTCAACCTCCTTTCCTCTGCCAATAGCCGCTCGCTCTCGAACAGACCAAAAAAGCATCTCACCGCTTTTTTTACCTTGCGAAACATAAGAAAATAAAAAATAGACGCGCACTGCAAATGAGGTATTATGACGTACGCAAAAGCAGATATGTTTTTGTGATGCAAATCTTATCCGCAATTATAACGATTAGAGTTTCTGCGGGCCGCACAAACAAATGTAAACAGAAAATCGATAGAGCAGAAAGTAGACACGCGTAATATGATCGCAAAAAGTTATTTATTTGGTTAGTAAATAAAGTGTGTGAAGTGCCGCGAGTCCTCATGCACTTGCATTTCGTAGACCTTGAACTCGTTTAGCTCGTGCTTGATCTGCTCGATTAACTCGGCATCCAGCTTGGCCGACGGCATGCCCTTTCTATCGTACTCCTCGCGGTCCCATGTCTCGTAGACGGCAACGAGCTCGTTGAACCGGAAAGCCTTAGGCACCTGCTTGCGCCCATCTTCATCCCGGTGTTGGTTCTGCTGCTGGACGGCATCTGCGTCGCTGCTTTCGCTGGTGGTGATGGTGGTGGGACTTGGGACAATGCGCTGCTGACTTGTGTTTTTCATCTTACGATGGAGATGCCGGAGTCCGTCCAATGGCGTGGTTGCTCTGCCCAGCGCCGTCGTCAGCTTTCGCGTTCTGGCAGAAATTGAAGATGACGCGCGAGGTTCCGCCACGCTGCTGAATTTCACTGGCACTGCTGAATGCAATTGTCCGGGTAACGGTCTGTCCACAAACTCCGACCGCATTTGTTTCTGGATCTGCAGCTGAGGCTGCAACGTCGACGGCGGTGGTGATATAACCGCATGGTTGATCGCCATTACATCGGACAGGGCCAGGTTATCCATGATCTCGTCATCATTGTTGTCGTCATTGCTGTTATCGATCCCAGCACTAGCAGCTCCAATGGTGTTGTATTCGCTGGCATGCGTGGCAGTAGTAGGTACATAATTCTCGGGCATCCCAGTCAGCGAGTCGTCCACGACAACGCTATGCTGCTGCCCATCGAACAGCAGGCTCAGCTGGCCAAACTGATTGTAGTAGTGGGCCGGAAGGGCGTGTGCCATGTCGAGCAGCGCCATGTCAGATTCTGAAAGGTCGCTGAAAATCGAGTGCAGTCGGTTGTTGTTGTTCAGTAACGGGTTGTTGGACAGTCCGCCTAGACCAAGGTCCCTGCCGCTGAGGCATCTAGCTAAAAGACCGACCTGCGAATTAGGCATTGAATTCACCTTGTCACCTGTCGAATTGACCAAGCTGCGCTCACTCTCAGCCTCAGAAGTGGCAAACCCTGGCAAAAGTGTATTCCGGGCCATAGAATTTACCGCCACTGCAACTGCAAGGATTCGTTTGTGATCTTGCTTAACCGGCGACGCCATAACAGAATCCACCTTGGTAGTCTCGGCCGTATCCACCGAAGTGTTTGCTATCGTCGAGTGCGACTCTTCAGGCAGCTCGGGTGAGGACACGGACGCGTCTTGTAGGCCATTGTTGTTTGTAGGTCCCGCGCTGTCTGCTCTGCCGCGCATCAACTCTGACAACAGGTCGCTGTGAGTGCTTGCCGCCATGTTGACGCCGAATCGGGACACATGGGCCAGCATGGAATCGTTTGGCTTGCTCACTATTTGCTGCTGTTGTGGGGGGACGCTCTCTGGAACTGGCGGGAAGTCATCCACCGACACCAGTTTAAAAACATTGTTCGTAATGGATTCGCTCATAGCAATGATGGGGACCTCTGGCTGCGGGTTGACCTTGGCCACGGATTCGTTTCCACTGTCTATGTCTTCGGTAAACCCCACTGGATCGGCACTCACTACAACCTTGCTCTGTGAATTGGTCTCTGCCAGCGGCAACGTCTTGTTACTCCGGATCGATACGTCACCGCTGGGCTTAATCAGCAGACGGCCATCCTGGACGCGCTCAATTGTGCTGAGCCTCGGAGCAAACCGGCCACTATACGTGTATGTTGTCATTTTAACGGAGAGTGGCTCACAATAAGACGACCTGCAGCTAATGTCACTGTTGCTGCCGTTGGACGACATGTATTCGGAGTCGCGTACGCTGTCTGCTGAGCTGTTAATTTTTGCTCTCGTCATTGAAAGCTGCTCGGAAATGTCTGCCAGCATAAACTCGATAGCTGTGTTTTTAACTGGTTGGTGCTGTTGTGGATAGTCGCTCGGCGCGATACTAGTGTCTACAGCACAGCTGAATTCTGACGCGCTCATATAGTTGGACTCGTGGCATTCTGGAAAGTATAGCATGTTTGGAATGCTTGTGCAGGACATGAATGTGGCGGAGATGGTGTCCATTGTTGCCATCGAGGTTGATCCATATACCCACGGATGAGCAGTCGAATGGATAGGCAACGGCGCGACCAATGGTGGCGGGGGCGGCGGCTGTGAAGGCTGCTGCTGCAATGACAATATCCGTTGCTGATCCAGATACCGTATTTCGTCCTCAATGTCCACCGATTCCGGCTTTGGCGAGTCATCGGCCTTGGCTGTATAATACATCGCGTATATGAGCGAGCGTTTGCGTCTTGGCGGGTGTGACTTTGTCGCATGAGCACCGAACAGCGCGTCGCCATCTGCGAGTGAAATACTGTTGTCAGCCGCGGTGGCATCCGTCTGCAGCATAGCAACTGCCGGAAAATTGCTCTCTCGCGCCAATGCTGGAGATACATCTTGCGACTTGAGCTCGCGATTCGATAGTGAGTACACCTTGTTGTTTTCGCGCGGGGTGCTGATAACACCGCTCTTTCGTGCTGGCACAAAGCGGACGGCACTGAGTTCTGTGTGTTTTACTGATGTTGCTGCAGACGCTGTTTCGGCGAGCGTGACAAGGCTCTTGCCTTTTTTTTTTTGCCCGCTGGAAATGCAAGTGTCGTTCTCGTCTGCTTGCTGGTAGGCGGCGTTGATTCCCTTGAGCGATAGCCATTTCTTTAGTCCTCCTCGAGGGCGTCTTGATATGCGCTTTTGCTTGCCTTTGTCGCCAAGGCCAGTGTCCAGAGTGGCTGCCCCACTGTTATCTGGCCGTGTGAAAGGCATACTGTATGGCAGTGCCTAGTTGTGATGTGAAAAATAGACAGGCCTGCTTTCTAAAAGCAATTGTCGCGGGATCGATCGGAATACAAAGCCTGGTAAAAGGAGAATATATGAATAAAGGGTCAATGGTTTGTGGATGGTGGATATTGAAGCTGCTGCTTGTTTAGAGTCGGCGAGTTGGAAAGAGCAATGGAAATGTGAAGGGCGATTAGACGAATAAACTTGAAAATGCAAAGTAAAATAAGAGAAGAATAGCGAAATAGGATATATTGAATAAGGAATAGCAATGCACTATTGAATAAAAATAAGGTAAATGTTTGAAATATGCACGAAAAAGAAAAAGAAAAAACACAAGGAAGTCGGCAACATGCTGCTCCCGCAATCATAAAAATAGTAAGTTTAGCGCAAACTTCATTAACTTTACGTTTATTGGCGATATCGCGCTGTCTCCGCGTCCCTCGTTTATTAATCCCCTCGTTTTTTGGGTATACCCCGGGTGCAATAATAATGCGTGCTCCACTCAAAAATAAACAACACGCATAGTCATCTGCTAGCCTGTGTCTACTAAGAAAATGATGAGAATAATACTTATACTAAACTGCAAAAGTGACTGTCAATTGTGCATAAGCTAGACTGTTATTATTTGCGTTTTTTTTACTTTTCTTAAATTTGGCAGAGTAACATAATACCTTTAAAGCTTGAGTTGTTCGTTGATTTGGAAAAAACTGCACTGCCACACAATGCGTGGTAATTAGAATTTTTCTCAGAGGTCTACTACCACAGTAAGTGTCTAAACATATGCCAAAATAACACGTGTTCATTTCTCACAACTAAAGTAACAATGACTCTTTATGAAATTCGGGTCGTAATCCCAAGAACCAGCTCTTGAATTGAAAATAGCGCAAGATCAGATCTTGTATGCTGGGTTTTATTTTGCTGACACGGTGCGTACCAAATGAATACTCGTATTACAAGGTCTCAATTTTATTTTACATTTTTTGTCAACAGACTAAAATTCATTTACGTTTTTTTGCAAAACCATTACTTTCTTTTTGCCTTTTTTGCCCACCAATAACAGATATAGCGCCAACCAAAGCAGTATTTATCTGTAGACGCAAGCATTGGGCAGCAAACGTTTTCTGCGAGTTTCTTAGACGCTGTCATAGAAAATGAAACAGTAAGGATGTAAGCAGTAGCAATACTTCAAGGTGCTTAATTTTAGCTAATCTGTCGCCCAGCAGATATCTAATGACTATTTTTCATGGTAGTGATATGTTTGCTTAGTAACTGTAAAATGTAAGTCCAACCTGGTATGTCGAAATATCCCCAAAAACACGTCTTACATTTGCCGGAGATGATTGGCAGATGTGTTTATTTCTAAAACATGGCATTTCGCAAGTGAAGAACAAGTGATCGTTACTAGTAAAATCACTCATCAGATATTATTGATTGCGATCGGGCATTGTAATTAAATATCTATTCTGAGATTGGTTTCTGTTTGAAACACTTTTCAGCAGTTACATTTACTGAGTAATAATATTAATGTTCCATATACGCTACATCCCGAGTAAATATTTTATCTGTGATCAATAAAGACCTGGCAGACATTATATATGAGAGCGAGCATGTTTATTCATACGATCTTTTTTCTCTTGATTGTTTAAACAAACATGTATTTTTATTTTATTCACACAAATTTAATTCTTTTAAAAATATTCAAGCATATTTTATAAATCACAATGTCCACTTCTTTTGATACCACCATACTTAACTTTACACTTCCCGATCTGACAATCAGTGTCAGGGACGGAAACATAATGTACACCCAGCCTGAACAGCTCGTTAACAGAAAGCAGTGTCATTGCTACCACGCAAAACCCATTGGCCCATGCGAAACACTGCTATTGACCATCAAACAGAAGCTGAACAAGCACATTCCCCCGGCCGGCAAGCATATCTCGAGACAGGCAAAACTTTTCAACCGCCGCATGAGGGAAAAGTTTGACAATTTTTTTATTGTCAAAGATACCAAGTGCTAAGGCCATACCCACAAGCCACCTATTCTTCCCCACTGTCTGCTCTACCAGCCATACTATTAAATCGTCACAATGTCCGTCAACTACAAGCAGCAAGTCTGCAAGCGAGCAACCACGGATTATATTCACACCCAAAGGAAACTACGCGCATATTATTAAGGCGACATTATATTCAAGCTGTAAATACTACAGTGCCAATTTGAGCAGCCTAATATGCGGTTCCATAGGATTCTTGGAATTGTAATATCGCAATTATTGCAATTATTGTTTTATTTTATCGTTTTCATCATTATCGTTTTATCCTTGTTATAAACACGTCTTATTCACCAGTAACTTTAGTGCGAAATCAAAATATGACAGTCGAGTGCACTGCGGGGCATTTTCTGGAAACCTTTGAAAATACAAAAACAATATTTTCTACTACACATTGTGATTAAGTTGGTTGCAGTAAAAATAGTGGCCATATGCAGGAAACTATTACAGAGGCAAATAAAAGAATAGTAATTGTCGATAGCCATTTGTTCAACAAAAAAGCACCAAATTCCCGCTAAAGAGTCAACAGATAATGGCCAACTTTATTATGAATGCGCTCCGTGTTTTCATTTCTCATTTGCGCATTTGTATTATTTGTCTTGTCACATTAAATATCTTATATTTTTATTAAAAAATAAAGCACATTTGCCCATGCTGCTCAAAGGATTAGTATGTAAAAACACACCGTTTTGATATTTGAGACATTTTGTTGATTCACCTTGCTCAACATTGGCTAAATTAATTTTTTTTGCATGTATTATTATTTATATAAAATATTAGGTGCGCGCGTGTGCATTTGCTCTGTGCACGCTTACAGCCACATTGGTGCAAGCACAAGATCTCGACTTTACGCCAGGGAAAACATACAGTGGAAAAGAAAATGCGCCCTATTTGAATGTCATGAAGAAATATATGAGGTACATAACACTGGCAACAAACGACTAAACGTAGCTTTTTTTCCACATTGCTATATATTACCTGTTTGGCGCATATTCACTATTGTTTAAATTTGCATTGTTCTCTCACATGTAGCCTTTGTGAAGCCTCGTACTACTTTTTGCGTCAAGGAGGTGGGTTCACCTGTGGTGCTGCCTGCAAGGAGCCAGTGTTCCACAAACTGGCCCTCAACACCACCTGGCACAGTCCGAATCCCGTCTCGGATGGCTATATCGCCATAAATACAAAGGACAAGGAGATATACGTCGTGTGGACTGGAACCCGAAGACTCCGCGCTATTGTGGCCGACGCTGTGGTTATATTTGAAGGGTTCCCGCCAGAGATACACAATTCCGGAGTTCACTATGGTTTCTACCAAGTCACCTATGCTGTGCTCCCACATATTGTAAAGAACATCCGCGCAGCTGCTGAAGATTTCCCCGATTACAATATTGTGTTTTTAGGCCATTCTCTTGGCGGAGGTATGCTAACAAACTGGCACTTTTTTGTTGAAAAATATTGGAAAAGCAAGGTGATGATGCTGCTCGAGTTGTATGCTAATACTTTTAACCAAAAAATGATTTATATGAACTATTTTGTAGCCAACGCGGTGCTGTCGGCGCTGATGTTTGTCAGGGAGAACAGTTATTACAGGGATAGGATCCGCGTGTGGACGTTCGGCGAGCCTCGAGTTGGCAACCATGCATTCTCCGAGTACTACACCTCGGTGCTTGGCAACCAGACGTTTCGTATCACCAACCAGGGCGATTTTGTGCCACACGTTCCGCCATGGCAGATCCTTGGATACCAGCACCATCCGCTGGAGATCCACATTATCAACAAGGATTATGACTTTTATGTATGCCAGAAAACTGTCCGCGAGGATTTGGATGGCGCGTACAGATGGCCGACGATTGACACAGGATTTTCCGACCACGTCGATTACTTTGGAAAACCTGATATTGGACGCTTCGACGCATACTTTGAGTTTTAATTCATCCATGTTTGTTTTATTTGGCATTGCACATACAAAAACAATTAATACAATTACACATCCGACAAAAAAAATATGACAAAAATTATTATGTGTAAAAGAAAAAAGTTGAAAAGATTCGACACACATCAAAATTCGATCAACATCACCTCCTCAGGTTCTGGCACCGAAGCTGGGGCCAGGGCTGGAGCCGGCACCAGCGCTGGCGATTGCACGTGGGAAGGTGCCAATGTGCTCTGCGGTGGCATTTGCGGCGCAGAAACTTGGTGCGCTGCAGACGGCTGCATAACAGGGATGTTTGGCATGTGCACAACAGGCGGAGGAACAAAGTGCGGATTCATGGGCGGCGAGCGAGACATGGCAACGTTCTGTTGGTGAACTGGAGAAACACCAATCAACGGCGCTTGTATGGGCTGCGGCTGGATGTGCTGCTCATGCTGGATAGCCCCTATGCTCGACGGTGCGCTGACGTTGGAAACAGGCATATACAAAAGATTGGGCGCATACCCGGGTGACCCAGAGTATGTCTGCGCCGGGATGGCAGACGGGTGTGAGTTAGTAGTGACAAACTGCTGTGGCTGCGGCTGTTGATTCTGATGCTGGAACTGAGGCTGAGGCTGCTGCTGCTGCTGGTGGTGGTTGTACTGCTGGTAGGTCGGCGCGTGAGGCTGCTGGTCCGGCTGCTGCATGTAGTACGGCGAAGCAGCCCTCTGCTGGCCATACGCGCTTTCAGACCCCGGTGTCTGATAATGGCCCGGGTGAGCAGGCGGAGTGAATGTAGCTTGCTGAGCAGGAACTGCCGGATACATCGACTGCTGGGTTGGCATATACGACGGTACATTGGTTGACATCCCGGCGTGCTGCGCACCATAGGAGGCCGGGCGCAGCCGCTTGTCCAGAAGCTGATCGTAGATTTTGATCGCCGTGACGATGCGATCGTGAAGCTTGTTAAACTCACTGGTCTTCTGATCAACCCTGTCGATAGCGTCGGTGATCTTTGGGTGAATCTGCCCGATGGTTTCGTACAGGTACTGGATCTGCGGGTCGTTGCTGATATCCTGCCTGCTTTCGTGAAGCCTTGCCAGCAGTGACTCAAATATTTGGACGTTCTCCCTCTCCGCTGCGCTCAACGGGTTGACGTCGTCGTCCTCGTCGGCGCCGGCAGCAGGCATAAACGCAGTCATGGATGTGCCAGTTTTAACTGCCGGCGGCGGCGACGCGTAGTGACCGGTATGCGAAAACGAGGGGTATGAGGTGTTGGATGGAGCAAGGTAGTCGGGAACACCGCTTCCCGGTATGTCGCGCAGCGATGCCTCGATTGCCGCAAGAAGGTCCGGATCCTCGTCCTCCACCTGGTTGTTGTTGGAAGGGGCTCTAACAAGCGGATAGGGCTCGCTGGGGGTGATATTCGGATAGCGGGTCGCCGAGGCATTTGACACCACGGCAGGAGCAGGCGCAGTCGTGGCAGAGATAGCGGCGGGCGCTGAGTATCCCGAAGAGACGGGCTTCAGTGTGTAGTCGGCGTAGTTGGGCTGCTTCTGGGTCTCTTGCAGTGAGAGCTCAATTGCTCGCTTCAGATCCTCGTCCGCGTCATCGACTGCGGGGGTGGTTGTGGCTGGTCTGGCCGGAGTACTGATGCTGCTCCTGTGGGGCCTATGCTGACTGCCGCCACGCGCAGCCGTCGAGCCCGTCGGCGTGCTCTCGGAGTCGGGAACTATCTTCTTTAGCCGGAGATAGCAACCATGGCACACGCGGACGGGGTCGTAGATGGCAAACTTTGGAATGGTCGTTGTGTTGGACGAGCAGTCCTTGCAGAAGCACTTTCCGCAGTGGCGGCAGTGGTGCTTGCGGTTTGTGAATGTGAACGATGTGCGGCAGCGCTGGCACACCGGGCTGTCCTCCCACTCCGGGGCGCTGGCAGTGTCAATCATCGCGCCCGATGTCGCAGCATCGAGCTCGGGGAAAATATAACCGGACCGCTTCAAGCGCTCGTACACGCCATTTGTATAGCTCATCTCGACGTTGCCGCGGAAGAGAAGCGCCCATTCCTGGATGAGCTTGACAACGAGCTTCCGCAGATCGAACGCGCGGCCGGTTTGCGTCTCCAAAATGTTTGCTATGTCGTCGATGAACTCGCGCCTGGATATTTCGAGCTGCACGAGCTGGCCGCCGTTCTTCACACAGATGTCTGACAGACTGAGTACCAGAATTTGCACGTTGGGGTTCGGGTACTGCATGCGCTTGCGCAGCACGCGGGCCACCTCTTTGGCGCTGTACTCTTTGGAGCGGATCTTGTCGGCAAAGTCGATTGCCCCAGTGATGTCGAGCTCGTGGTTCGGGACGTCCTCGGCTGTCAGGCGGTCTACAAAAAAATTATAGAAATGCAAAAAAAGGCAGACTTTACAAGCTTAGCAAGTGACCAGCACAAAAAATACTCGGACAAAAGATACTCGGCTTTACTTGCCGCCGCTCCTTCTTTTTCTGTTTTGTTGCAACCAAATTCAATTAAATTTTCTACGTACTGACTTCATCCTCGATTGGATTTCCGTACAGCAAGCGCGTAACCATCTTGTGTCTAAAGCGAAGCTGTGGTTAGAATGCGAACGAATGCGAGGGTCGAATGTTTGGGCGAATGCGCTGAATAATAATAAAAAAGGGATAATAATAGTGCGAAATGTAGAAAGGCGGAAATTAAATGGAAGCAGATGTAAAGAGAAGCAATGCGTGTCGCAGCTTGTAATTTTTTATTTTGGTTGCTGACAAAATCGAGTGACACGCAGCCCTTTTTTATTCCATTGCCAAGACCCGTGAATGCAGCCATCAGCAAGCGCGTGATTGGCGCTTGGAAATTTACACTCTGGGCACAGCAAACCCGCCTTCATTCGGGAACGGAGGCTGGCTGGGTACAAAAAGTCTTGGCAGCAGCTAGAAAAAACACAGCCGAGCGAGCAAAGTCGCTGATCAATAATTTTATACAACCCTTTTGTTTTATTGATTGTGCAATACAAGTCGGGAGCTGCTTCATAAAACTTTGAAAAATGGCACAGAACATAAAAGAGGCAACTGAGCAAACGAAGTTCGTTTTAAGCAGAGCCGATGTTCAGCAGCATCTGGTTGTTTGATCCCTGCGATCCTGAAGACGGCAGATACGTCACGTTGCGAGCGGCAGCCAGGGTCTCGGCAATCTCGCGCGACGCTTCAATGCGACGCAGCTTGACAAGACCAGGGCCAGCCTTCGACAGAGCCGATGAAATGCGGTCAGCAGCCATGGCCTCGCCCTCAGCGCGAATAATGGCAGCCAGCTTCTCCTGCTCAGCCTTCTCGACGACAAAGCGCGCTCTCTCGGCCTCCTGCTGAGCAATCTGCTTCTTCTCGACAGCAACGGTAAACTCCTTACCAAACGTCATGTGCGTAATGGATACGTCCTCGAGCTCAATGTTGAACTCCTGTGCGCGGCTGACAAGCTCCTCGCGAATGCGTGCCGAGACAATGTCGCGCTGGGTGATCAACTCGCTGGCGTCAAACTGCGCAACGACCGACTTGAGCACCTCGTTACCGATCGACGGAAGCACGCGCTCGTCATAGTCGAGGCCCAGGTTCTGGTACAAGCGCGGGAGGTTCTCCTTGCTCGGGCGCTGGAGAACGCGAAGGCTCAGGCTGACCATCTGCATATCCTTGGAGCCGGTTGTGGTCGAAATCAAGCGCGGGCGTGTGCGCACGTCGTAGATAATGGCCCGCTGCAGTCCCGGAACGAGGAAATGGGTGCCCTCGCCAACAACAGTCTGCTTAACTCCCTGGATACGATCGAAAATAACCGCGCGCTGCCCACCCTTGACTAAACCGAGCGGCGAGTATGGTGACGTATAAAAAGACAGTTGAAAGCAGTTAGTGGGCATGCATGTTGCTAAATAGACACATTTACAATGTTAAAAGAGCTACTATTTTGGGCTGCTGCAGCACACGCCAAGCGGATTCTGCCGTGTGCTGCTCAATTGGCTGAATGTCGTGTGTGTGTGCAACGTACCGTCATAAAGACTAGCCTGTACAGCGGCTGACCCGATGGCCAAGACGATTCCCGCGTTGGTGAGTCTCTGAATTGCTTTGGCTGACATTCTTGAGTTGACAAGTTGTTTGTGAGAAAAATAAAATAATATTGATGAATTTGATGAGTGGAGAAAAAAAGGGCGCGATACGCTAGTGAAAATGGATTTTAGAATATCCAGACATTTATAGCGAAAGTCCAGATTTTTAAGCGGGGGGTTTTCAAAACCCGTTTTCCCCCAGTTTTTTAGCCTAAAATATCAGTTATATTTCGTGATTTAATCATTAATATAACCGATTAGCAATCGGCCACTATCTCAATAGTGGATATGCCCGATTCAGGGCTTAAATCTTATTTGTTTTCTCCAAAAACGTAAAATACTATACATCAGAGGTCTTCTCTTTACCCCTGACTAAACACAACTAACATCTCATTGGCGCTTTACACGCTGAGAGCGGGTGGGTACCCACTATCTCGATAGTTGGCCTCTGTTAATCTATCAAAATGTCCAGATTTTTGAAGATGTGAGGAAGTATTCAGTGTTTGTGTCTGACTGGTGCTTTGGCTATGAGTTGGACGTGACGTTTAACGATGTAATTATATTCACCAAATTCTATCGCAGCAGCAGCCGCCGCTGTTTATGTTGCAACTAAAACTGTCGCCGATGCCCCATCTAGTATTGATAGTGCACAGCAATCGCGACAAGTGGATGCCTATTTGCCCACATTCTGCCGATACCATTCGGTGGGTAGGGGAGGGAAAAGGCTAGTCTAAGCTAAATATTTCCCGCAAGGTGAAGCAGCAGCAGCAAGTAGCCATAACAGGCGATAATATAATTCCGGCAGTAGAAAAACCTTCCCAAATTGTATGCCACGGCTTGCTCCAGTGCACAATGGAAGACTGCCTGAAAACCTTCGGGGCCGACGAAACCAAGATCAAGGATGGAGGAAAAGTGCCATCAGGCAGACAGAAGTGGAATCGCAACATGGCTGCGATGCTAAGCTTTCGCATCATTATTAGTGCCCTGCTTACAGGCAATTGTCCTCCCCATTTCTCGCGCAAAAATGCCCTGACACTTTGCTCAAGCCAAAGCCCAGGCCCAAGCCCAAGCGTATGCGCAAGAATCCATCTGCTCCTGTTTCTTCTCTTCAAAAGAAGCAGCGAACTGATTAATACCGTCGACCATAGTGGTCTATTGCCACTAGTTTCTAAACACCTTTCAGGTTGCTATTCGATCTGTGGGAAGAATGTCGATTTACAGGATGCTTGTAGCCTCATTCTTTTCTTTTAGTGTAATGGAGCACGAGAAAAAAGACTGACCCTCATCACAACTGTAAGCAAGATTGTTGGCTGGTTGGGCACTTTCACAAGGCTTAATCAGACCTACTTGATCCTGTCAGATCAGTCGTAGGCGAGTTATTGGGCGGTGAAATGCGTGGCAAAGCAAATCGAAAAACACTGCACATTTTTTTCTTGGTGTTCTGCGGCCACAAAAACCAAAAACTAAAAAGAACATCTCATACACACGCGCTAAATCCGCGTTCTTTGGGTGTGGACACTTTATTTATTTTTCTCTTTTCTTATTATTTTTTTTACGCGGCGCGTAATAGTATCTTTAATTGACGACCGCAATTACACACAACTTTAAAAAATATAAACAACAAATCAGTAGTACAAAGCGCGGGTTTTATTATTTCATTTGGCGGTGGACTGAAATAAAGGCAGCCGTAAAAAAATCTCGCTTTTTTTCTTTTCTTCCTCTTTCACCCCCCTTTTATAAATTTCAAGTGATTTATTTATTTTTCTTTCTATTAGCATCCCGATTGCACGTACCAAATTTCGCCAGTTCCCCACTAGCGATTAGGCACATCTCGCACTTGCTACAAAGGAGGAGTATTATTTATACCCCGACAGAGACACGCGACAAGCACACCTTCGCTTTTCACCTGTTTCTTTAATTCGTCCGTAGCCTGAAATGTCGTACACCTTGGAGCTGGCCCATTCCTCGGCGCCCATGCGCCGGGTGAAGTATGTCCAGTTTGGCATTTTCTCGCCTGACGAGATTGTAAGTACTGCTTATTGCTGATATTTATTTTCGTTTGGATGGGTGCTGCTGCACCGCTTGCTTTGTTCCGACCAGGCCCGGAAATGGGTCATGAGGCGGATCTATGCGCTGTATTTTTGTAATTAAAGTGGTTGTGAGAGGCAAAATTGACTAAATGAAATCAAAGTATACAATATGTACCGAGCACTATTGTGTTGTCTAGAGAAGCATGTCAGTGGCCAACATCGAGTTCCCAGAGCTGCGTGATGACGACGGCAAGCCCAAGATCGGCGGTCTCTTGGACCCGCGCATGGGCACCATCGACCGCAACGTCATGTGCCAGACTTGCAGCGAAGGTATGAAGGAGTGCCCAGGCCACTTTGGGCATATCAACCTGGCCAAGCCAGTCTTTCACATTGGTTTTATCGCCAAGGTCAAGAAGGTCCTCGAGTGCGTGTGCTGGGAGTGCGGCAAGCTCAAGGCTGACCTCAACGACTCCAAGTTCCAAAGGGTCCTGAAGACGCCCGACGCCACGCGGCGCATGAAGCTTGTGTGGGAGGAGTGCAAGGCGCGTACCGTATGCGAGAAGCCCGCCGAGGATGCGGGGAACGATGCTGGCTCTGGGTCTAAGACCAACAGCGCGTCTGGTGCCGCATCCAACGGAATGGAGGGCATCATTGGGGCACACAAGGTCAGGCCCGGATGCGGTGCCCGCCAGCCGAACTTCCGTAAGAACGGCCTGAAGCTCTTTGCCAAGATGCGCGTCACCGCGACTGAGGAGCCGGCGGCGAACGACAAGGAGGAGGTCACTGTTGAGCGTGTGCTTCAGACGCTCAAGAAGATCTCTGACGAGGACGCTGAGGCCATGGGCATTGACCCGCACTACGCGCGCCCCGAGTGGATGCTGCTGCACGTCATGCCCGTCCCGCCGATGACCGTGCGTCCCAGTATCCAGATGGACGCCGCGCGCGCCAGTGAGGATGATCTGACGTACAAGTTGAACGATATCCTCAAGGCCAACGCGCGCCTTCAGAGTTGCGTTGTCGAGGGTGCCCCGGCGCACGTCGTCAAAGAGTTTGTGGACCTGCTGCAGTTCCATACGGCCACATTTATGAATAACGACCTGAGCGGGATGCCGCAGGCACTGCAAAAGTCGGGTCGCCCCATCAAATCGATTCGCGCGCGCCTGAAGGGCAAGGAGGGCCGTCTGCGCGGCAACCTGATGGGCAAGCGCGTTGACTTTTCGGCGCGCACTGTCATCACGGGTGATCCCAACATCTCGATCGATCAGGTCGGCGTGCCGCGAAGCATCGCACGCAACCTGACTTACCCCGAGACCGTGACGCCATACAACATTGACAAGCTACAGGAGTACGTGCGCAACGGGCCCAACGAACACCCGGGAGCCAAGTATGTCATCCGTGACACTGGCGAGCGCATTAACCTCAACTTTAACAAACTCAGCGGCGACATGCCGCTGCAGATCGGCTACCGCGTCGAGCGCCATCTCATTGATGATGATGTGATTATTTTCAACCGTCAGCCATCGCTGCATAAGATGTCGATGATGGGTCATCGCGTTAAAGTCATGCCTTACTCGACCTTCCGCCTGAACCTGTCGGTCACGTCGCCCTACAACGCCGATTTCGACGGTGACGAGATGAATTTGCACGTGCCCCAGTCCGAGGAGACGCGCGCCGAGATCCGCGAGATTTGCATGGTCCCCAAGCAGATCATCTCACCCCAGGCAAACAAGCCTGTCATGGGTATTGTGCAGGATACGCTGTGTGCGATTCGCAGGTTTACCAAGCGTGACACGCTGCTCGACCTCGACATGGTCATGATGCTCATGTTACACATGCCCGACTGGGACGGCTGCCTGCCCACGCCTTGCATTATCAAGCCCAAGCCCATGTGGTCGGGCAAGCAGATCTACAGCATGGTCATTCCCAAGGGTATCAATTGCCAAAAGTTCCATGTCACGCACCCCGACAACGAGACCACGTGGATCTCGCCCGGAGACACGCGCGTATACGTCGACAACGGCGAGCTGGTCTGCGGCATCGTGTGCAAGAAGACTGTCGGCTCGTCCGAGGGCGGTCTCATCCACACGATCTTCAACGAATACGGCTCCGAGGTCGCGCGTCACTTCTTCGACGGCACGCAGCGCGTCATCAACAACTGGTTCTTGCACTACGGCTTCAGCGTCGGAATCGGAGACACGATTGCCAATGACAAAACCATGGAGGATGTGGGCGTCATTATCAGCGAGTGCTTTGCGCGCGTCGACGAGGTCATTTCCAGCGCGCAGCACGACAAGCTGGAGCGCATGCCCGGTATGACGATCAAAGAGACATTCGAGAGCAAGATCAACGCTGATCTCAACGACGCGCGCGATAAATCCGGAAAGCGGGTGCAAGGCCAGCTGAAGGAGAACAACAACGTCCGTCAGATGGTTGACGCCGGCTCGAAGGGGTCGTTTATCAACGTGTCGCAGATGACCTCGTGTGTGGGCCAGCAGAACGTCGAAGGCAAACGCATCCCCTTTGGCTTCAAGTACCGCACGCTTCCCCATTACGCCAAGGACGACTTTTCGCCCGAGAGTAAGGGGTTCGTGCGGAACTCTTACCTGCGTGGCCTGACACCGCAGGAGTTCTTCTTCCACGCCATGGGTGGTCGCGAGGGTCTTATCGACACGGCTGTCAAGACTGCCGAGACGGGTTATATTCAGCGTCGTCTGGTCAAGGCGCTTGAGGACATCATGTGCCAGTACGACGGCACTATCCGAAACTCGCTTGGCCAGATCGTGCAGTTTGTCTACGGCGAGGACGGCATGGACGGCTGCTCCATCGAGTCGCAGAAGTTGCTCTCTGTGTCCTCCAGCAACGTTTCCTTCGAGCGTATGTACCGCGTCAACGTGATGGACCACGGCGCCATTTTCCACCCCGGGTCGCTGGACTACGCAATTCTCAGGAACATCGAGGGTAACGAGGCGGTTCAGCGGGTGCTGGACAGTGAGTTTAACCAGCTGTTGGAGGACCGCCGAATTGTGCGCAACTTTATTATCAAGGACGGCGAGGACCGCATCCCGCTCCCGCTGAATGTTGAGCGCCTGATCAAAATCGCCCAACAGACATTCAACATTGACTCGCGCAAGCCATCCAACATCAACCCAGTCGAGATTGTCAACCTAGTTGAGTCGCTCACCCGGACCAGACTCCCTGTCATTCGCGGCGAGGACAAACTGAGCATCGAGGCGCAGAGCAACGCCACACTTCTGTTCCAAATCCACCTGCGGTCGAGGCTGGCGACCAAGCTGGTTATCGAGAAGTACCACATGACTAAGGAGGCCTTTGACTGGCTGCTTGCCGAAATTGAGGCGCGTTTTAAGCGGGCGCAGATCAACCCCGGCGAGATGGTCGGAGTGCTGGCTGCGCAGTCGATTGGTGAGCCGGCAACCCAGATGACGCTCAACACGTTCCATCTGGCTGGTGTCGCCTCAAAGGGAACGCAGGGTGTGCCGCGCCTCAAGGAGGTCATCAACGTGGCGACCAACATTCGGACGCCCTCGCTGATCATCTTCCTTTCCGAGAACGTGTCGTCCAACCACGAGCGCGTCAAGGACGTGCAGGTGGCCATCGAGCACACAACGCTTGCCGACGTCACGGCGGCTGCCGAGATTTGGTACGACCCTATCTCGGACAAGCCGGCCAGCGAGGGCGGCCAGCCTGGAGATAAGATATATACGCGGATCGAGGAGGACACTGAATTCGTGGAGCTGTACCACGAGCTCTCCAGTGACCAGCACTCCGTCGAGGCCATTTCGCCCTGGCTCCTGCGCCTCGAGCTGAACCGCAAGCGGGTTCTCGACAAAAACCTCTCGGTCAACGAAATTGTCGACAAGATCACAGAGGTGTTCAACACTGACATGCAGTGCTTTGGCAGTGACGACAACGCTGAGAAGATGGTTATCCGCTGCCGTATTGTCAACACGGACATGAAAGACGACGGCGACGACGGCATTGGCGAGGGCGGTCAGATGGAGGAGGACATGTTCCTCAAGACCATCGAGACCGAGATGCTCAACAAGGTCGTGCTGCGTGGAATTGAAAACATCTCGCGCACATACATGGTTGAGGAGACGAAGAGAATCATCGATGCCAACGGTGAGTATGTCAACCACACCGAGCTGACCATCAAGACAGACGGAATCAACCTGCGCGAGGTTCTGTGGCAGGATCACATTGACTCCAGGCTCACGTACTCAAACCACCCTATCGAGATTCGCGCTGTGCTGGGCATTGAAGCGGCACGTGCAGCCATTCTGCGCGAGACGCGCGAGGTTATCGAGGGCGGCGGATCATATGTCAACTACAGGCATTTGGCGCTGCTTGTCGACCTGATGACTTCCCGTGGTGTTCTGACGGCCATCACTCGTCACGGAATCAACCGCACTGAGACCGGCGCGCTCATGCGCTGTACATTCGAGGAGACCGTTGAGATTCTCATGGACGCAGCCTCTGTCGGTGCCATCGACGATTGCCGCGGCGTTGCCGAGAACATTCTGCTTGGGCAGCTGGCGCCGCTGGGCACTGGCGCCTTTGACATCATGCTTGACGAGGAGATGCTCAGCCAGGCGGTCATCGACCCGCGCGCGCAGGGCTTCGAGCTGTCCAATGTCCCTGCTGGTGGTGCGGCCTACATGCTCGCCAGCACGCCGGGCGCGAATGGTGGCATGTCGCCACAGATGACGCCCTACGACAGCCGCAGTCCAGACTACATGAGCAGCGGCGGGCCAGGATCGCCGATCAATGCCATGTTCTCACCCATTGTGGACAGTGGCGCCACGTCGCCCGGATGGAACGGCGCCAGCCCCTACTCGCCCGCCTCGCCGGCGTACTCGCCCACATCACCGACATACAACGCGTCCTCTCCGTCGTACTCGCCGACTTCGCCGCAGTACTCGCCGACCTCGCCCTCGTACAGCCCAACATCCCCGTCGTACAGCCCCACTTCGCCCAGGTATGGCCAGACTTCGCCATCGTACTCCCCCACGTCTCCGTCGTATAGCCCGACCTCGCCCTCATACAGCCCAACGTCCCCATCCTACAGCCCGACGTCTCCTTCGTACAGTCCCACGTCGCCCTCTTACACGCCCACTTCGCCGAGGTACTCACCCACGTCACCATCGTACAGCCCGACGTCTCCATCATATAGCCCGACGTCGCCCTCGTACTCGCCGACGTCGCCCTCCTATTCACCGACGTCTCCTTCGTACAGTCCCACGTCGCCTTCGTACAGTCCCACGTCTCCGTCCTACTCGCCTACTTCGCCGTCGTACAGTCCCACGTCACCGTCTTATAGCCCAACATCGCCGTCGTATTCTCCTACATCGCCTTCTTATAGCCCCACGTCGCCATCGTACTCGCCGACGTCGCCTTCATATAGCCCTACGTCTCCGTCGTACTCGCCTACCTCGCCGTCGTACAGCCCCACTTCGCCATCGTACAGTCCGGCATCGCCTTCGTACACCCCAGGTGCAGGATCTTACACTGCAAGAGTCAATGGTGATGATGACGACAATGAGAACAACAATGGTAACCGTCAGCAGAACAATAGCAATGGTAGCGGCAGTGGCAGTGGCAGTGGCAGTGGAAGCGGTAGTGGCAGTGGCAGCGGAAGTGGCTGGTCACCGACATAGACGATCGCTGAGGGTCGGTTGCTGAGTTTATTTCATGTTTTAGTTTTTTTCCCAGACTGTGTCTTGGATGGTCTTCCTATATTTTTTGTCTCGCTATAACAATAAGCAAACACATTGATTCCACACTGAGTCTTGGCGAATATTGCAGTAATGCAATAACGGGGTTGCAAGATACAAATCGGCAAGCATGACTCGTGTATATGAATAAAATCGCTATACAAACGATGAAGACAATACATTAAAGATATATATTTTGATAGACATCATTTTGAAATGCTATTTGTGTACAAAATACTTATATTCGCACATAGAATATCAAGGGTGATTGCAAAACCCCTCGAGAGGACATCACACTTTTTAATAAATTTGAAGATTGATTTTTGTAAAGACATGGCAATATGATTATATTATAATGCAATAATGGATTTGTGAGTAATGTGAATTCAGCGCAGCAGTTTTTTTATTTTACTGGGTGTGCTAGTTAAAAATATAATATTTCAGATGTAGTCAGAAAGGTTGCTGCTCAATGGCTTTTACTTTTGTTTGATAACAGTACACCAGCAGCCGGGTTTAAAGAAAAGGAGACGCCTACTACGGCTGCCCACCCCTGCAGGCAATTCACGAATTGATTTGTCCACATATTATGACGGATATGGCCATCAGCTGTTTATCACAAGATAGAGGGCCTCTTCAAAGAAGCAAGTGGATCTATGAATCTATTTTCTCTGGGCAAAGTGTGAACGTTTTTTGTGCAGCGCATCAAATTTTAGTTCCTTTGCTTATCAGGAATCTTTTTTGTACTCATATTCTTGTTACTGTGAACACATTATAATAACTGCCTGCCTCGAGCTTTTTTAAATTACGACTTCAAATGTTTTAAGCAACCAACCATTGTATTTATTTTTTCTGCATACTGTATGATCCACAAATCGTGCCATCTGTGCATCTCCAGTATGCAGTGCAAGCATGTGTTTGTTTGTGCTGTGGCCCGTGACCCGTGACAGACATGCATGCATGCACATAGCTAATTTGTTTTAAACTAAGAATAGCTAAAGCTCAGCTTTAAAATTTTCACATATATATCAGTGCCAAAAGGGCACTTGCAGAGTTATGCTTTTTATTTGTCTAGTTCGTTTCCAATTTGCCTTCACGTGTATAAATTCGGTGACTAGATTTTAATTTTTTTTAAAAAAATTGGATAACTCTCAAGTTTACAAGCACACATGCTTTTTTTTACAAAGTCATATTTGCAAAAATTAAACACCTGGCAAGACTGCAACATCTCAGATGACAACGTGCATGTCTGTGGTTAACGAATTGGCCAGACGTCGAAAGGACTCCAACTATTTGAAACTTGCCTTCTCTATTAATTTTTTAACATACAAACTCATACTCAAACAAGTAACAACTCATAAATCATGGTCGCTCTCAAAAATTCTTCAGTTTCACTTCCCAAGGTTTTCATGGACATCGCCGTCGATGGCAGGCCAGGCGGGCGCATTGAATTAGAGCTCCGCTCCGATGTGGTCCCCAAGACAGCCGAGAGCTTTCGTGCTCTGTGCACGGGCAAAGAGGGAGTTGGATACAAAGGCAGCTCTTTCACCCATGTAATTCCCAGGTTGCTGGCGCAAGGCGGAGACGTTGCCTTGAATAGCCGCGCAAGTGAAAAGTATAATTTTAACAAGAGGTTTGAGGTCGAAAACTTTAAACTCAAACACAGGGGGCCAGGCACTCTATCGATGGTAAATGACGACTCAAATACCAGTCGGACTAAATTTTTCATAACCATGGGCGAGACTCCCTGGCTAGATGACAAACACGTTGTGTTTGGCAGGGTTACAGGAGGAATGGATATTGTCAAAAGGATGGGAGCGTACGGCTGTAGATCGGGAAACCCCAAGATTATCACAATTTCCAACTGCGGCGAGCTAGGATAGTAATTTTAGTTTTTAGTATAACCGAGAGCAATTTTGCAAGTCTTATTAATTTGTCGGTCACGTGGCTACCAAAAACCACAGCCATAAGTACGCAGTCACAGCTTGTTTTAATTGGGTTTGGGAAATTGTCAAAAAGCTAGAGGTCAATGGCACTGTTGCTTCCATTTCACAAAATCATAGTTATATTTTCTATGCCTCGGGACGACAAAGACAAAAAGCACCGGAGCAGAGACCGGAGCAGAGAGCATAGCAGGGATCGCAGCCGGCGCTCATCACGGCGACAGTCAGCCTCGCCAGACAACAAAAGGCACAGGAGCCGCGAAAGAAGCACACACAAAGACCGGCACAGCTCACGGTCCTCAAAGAAATCCAAATCCAAAGCAGAACATGCAGATGCAGACGCAGACGCAGACAGTATGCGCGGGGATGATACAGTTGGCGGGTACAAAGCCTCAGACAACCCATTCAACGACGCCGCGCTAGGCAAAAAGTTTGTGTGGAAGAAAAAGGTAGAGCAGGACAAGGCACGCGGGCTCAGCCGCGAGGAGCGCGGTCAGGCCGAAAAGGAAAGGCGGCTGGAGGCTGAGCGCGAGCTCGAGAACCTACGAAAGCGACGCGAGCTCCGAGAGGTCGAGCGGCTGCAGCGCGACCAAGAGATGGCGCGGGTGCGGCGCGAGCAGGAGCAGGAAAAGCTAGGTGACTGGGAGCGGAAGGAAGAGGAGTTCCATTTGCGTCAGGCAAAGAAGCGCGCCGAGATTCGGATCCGCAACCACCGGCCCAAGCCCATCGACGTGCTGGCAATGAGCCTGCGCCTGGCCAATGAGCCCTTAGACGACGACGAGGCCGCGGAGGTTGCAAAGGTGCGTATGGACTCTGACGATATGCTGCCACACGAGTTGGTCCAGGGCTTGTCAGCTGAGGAGTGCGACGAGCTTGTGCATGATGTCGAAATGTACTTGTCACTAGAGAAGAACGCCCGCAATGTAGAGTTTTGGGAGAACCTTCTGATCGTGTGCTCGGCGCACATGCGGCAATTTTCTGGCACAACGAGCGGAGTTGTTGGAGATGAGGTCAAGGATATTTTGCACGGAAAGTCGCTGGCCGAGCTCCTGGAGCTGGAGACTGAAGTGCAGGCAAAGCTGAGTGGTAAGTCGGGCGCCGTGGACGTTGACTACTGGGAGCAGGTGCGCGGTGAGCTGGGCTTCGAGAAAGCTAAGGCCACGCTGGCCGAGATGCATGACGATATTCTAGACCGCCGCACCGAGCGCCTGCGCCAAGCCCGACTGCGCACCGGTTCCTCATCACATGGCACCAGCGGGACGGCTGCTGGCGACGGTGCAAACGGCCGGGGCAGTGAAGTGGAGCAGCTCAAGCGGCAACGGTTTGAAAATCTACAGCAACGCATCCTGGACGGCACTCAGCAGCCCGACACGACAGACACGACAGACGACACGGCGTCGCGGGATCTCTACGAGGCTGAGCTGCGCAAGGAACGCGACCCGAGCGAGGCCATCTTCAGTGTCGAGGCGACCGTGGCGGCCAAAACCTACGCGTGGCAGGACAAGCATCGGCCGCGCAAGCCGCGGTACTTCAACCGCGTGCATACCGGATACGAGTGGAACAAGTACAACCAGACGCATTACGACAAGGACAACCCGCCACCAAAAGTTGTGCAGGGCTACAAGTTCAACATTTTTTACCCCGATCTCATCGACAAGTCTGAGGCGCCCACGTACCGCATTGAGACTGATCCGCTGAGCGAGGACACGGTGATTCTGCGCTTCATCGCCGGCCCCCCGTACGAGGATATTGCCTTCCGTATTGTTAACCGCGAGTGGGAGTACAACCGCCGCAGGGGGTTCAAGAATGTCTTTGACCGCGGCGTGCTGCAGTTGTACTTTAGATTCAAGCGCCACTACTACCGCCGTTAGCGGAGAATGCTGATCCAGCCAAAAATAAAATAGAAATGATCACCAACTCAAGCAACCGCAGAAAGAATGACAGTGCAATGAGACTACGGTTTTTAATTTTTGCTTTTCTTTCAATTCAATTTGTTTCTTCTCTTTATTTTTTCTTACATTCTGCTGAGAGTCGCCAGCAGAAAATTAAACACCAGCACAACGCATTCGTGTTAATTCAGTAGCAGCGATAAATGCGGCTGGGATGGCAGATAGGCCTTCTGTCGGCGATCTTGCTGGTTGAGCTTGTTGGCCTGGGCTTCTTCATCAAGGGCTTCTTCCCGTACAAAAAGAGCATACCCGGCTTTGCCAGCCAACATGAGCAGCCGCCAGACATTGGACAGCAGCAGCAGCAGCAAGGCCACAAGGGACACGCCGCGCACCAGTACGATAGACTAGTCATCATGCTGGTCGATGCGCTGCGGAACGACTTTGTGTTCGGAAACAACTCGGCCATGGCGTATACGCAGGATCTTCTGCGCGACGGGCAGGCGATTGGGTTTACGGCCAAGGCGCTGGCGCCCACAGTCACCATGCCGCGGATAAAGGCGCTTATGACGGGTACTGTGCCCAACTTCCTTGATGCTGTACTTAACATTGCTGAGTCTGACACCAGCTCGTCGCTAAAGTTTCAGGACAACCTGCTGTGGCAGCTGAAGAACCAGGGCAAGACCATCAATATGTTTGGAGATGATACTTGGCTGCGCCTGTTCCCCGATGTTTTCAGCCGGACCGACGGTACGTCATCATTCTTTGTCACGGACACAGTCGAAGTGGACAACAATGTCACTCGCCATGTGAGACCCGATCTCGAACGCGACGATTGGGACGTCACCATATTCCACTACCTGGGGCTCGATCACATTGGCCATCTCGCTGGCCCCGACAGCTCGCTCATGCGGCCAAAGCAACAGGAAATGGACCAGGTGGTGCAGACAATCTTTGAGACCATCAGCCGGCAAGACACAGAGCGTATGCGATCCGACAGCAACGCCAAGCCCACCTTGTTTGTTCTTCTCGGCGACCACGCAATGAACGAGATTGGCAACCACGGCGGCAACTCGCACCTTGAGACATCGACAGTCTTTGTGTTCATGGGCCAGGGCATCCGCGGGCAGCCGATTGCTGACCAGGGTAAGAATGCGCTGTCCGCGTTGCTAACAAAGGAGGTTTCGCAAATCAACCTTGTGCCGACATTGGCCCTTCTTTTTGGCGTTCCCGTGCCCAAGAACAACCTGGGCATGCCGCTGCCCGAGCTCCTTGAGGGGTACCAGGAGGGCGAGCGGCTGCGCCTGTTGCAGCTGGCCGCGCATCAGATCTATGGAGTTGTCCAGGCCAATGACCCGGATCTCGCTGATGTCGAAGCGCAGACAGCTGACAACAAGGTGCCGCAATGTGATGAAGACAATGAATCGGTCAGTGATTTTTTGCGATGCAAGTACGTGCGCGCACTTGTTGCCCACCATCGTTTTGCCCAATCGAGCTCGATACCTGGATCGACTGAGACCAGCGCGCTGGCCGGTGTCACCGAAAGCGAGTATTACAACTTTATGGAGCACGCCAGCGCGCACCTGTCGCGCACATTTAGTGGCTACGACCTGGAAGCCATGATGACCGGAATCAGTGCATTTGGCGTGGTCACTCTGGCGCTCGCTGTCCTGTATCAGTGCTCGAGCGGTATCAGTGGCAGCGGCGGCTCTGGGGTTGTCAACTTCAAGGCGAAAAGGCTCTCAGTGACCATGCCGGCTGTGGTTCTCCTGATCACATATATTGTGTCTATGGTGTCGAGCAGCCTGATCGAGGAAGAGCATCAGTTCTGGTACTTCTGGGTCCAGACGATGCTAGCACTTCGAGTGCTGACCAGCTCAACGTTTGGTGCTGCTTTACGGTCACTTACACAGATGGGCCTGTTTAGAGTCATTCGCGTGTGGAATCAGACGGGCCAAAAATGGACTGGCGAAGCCGATATTCGTCAATACCTCAACTCTGGGAATGTCCAGCTGATGTGGACGTTGGTCATATTGTCGTTTGTATTATTTGCTGTCTGCGCCCAGCGCATCCACTCTTGCGCAGCAGATTTGAGGGCGAAGGAGGGAACACAGACGGCGTCGCAGCCCGGAAATGCCGCGATTATTAAATACAGGTGGCGGCTGGCTCTGGGCCAACAGGCATTCCGTAGTCTGTTGGCTGGCTCTCTGTTTAATGCGCTCGTGTACCAGATGGACCGCAACAGCGGATGGGAGGTCCTTGGCATTGTTCGGTCAGCATGGAGCTTGGTGCGCTGGTTCACGCCATCGGACTTGGCGGACGTGGCCCGCCTTATATACTTGCTTACGTTCCTCATGGCTGCCGCGGGTGCTATCTGCATGTGGTTGCGGGCCAGATCCGATCACCCGGATCCCTTGTCAGTGGCGACACTCGAGGGCCTGGTTGGCATGCTTCCCTTGCTGACCCTGCTGGCTCGGCCGCACAATATCCCTCTGTTTGCCATGTTTTTGGGCATATTTTTCCTCTTCTTCCCAGGCGCTCTGCTGCCCGCGCAGCCGCACAGTTGCATCAATCCCAATGCCGTATTACAGCCCAGGGGAGAGTTTGCAGCTGCTCGCTTGGGCGAATGGCGCCTGCCTACACTGCGGCCGTCCAAGCAGCTAGTGCAGCTGTGTCTCATCCACGCATCTTTCTTTGCACTGGGCAATTCAAACTCCCTGGCATCGCTTGATCTCAGCAATGCCTACGCCGGCGTCTCGCGCTACAATGAGAGCCTGGTTGGCATTCTGATGTTCACAGGCAACTGGGCGGGGCCCCTGTGGTGGACAATGGCCGCATTTTCGACCCTCGCCCTGTCATCCACTGCGACTGGGTCATTCGGTGGTCGCACTCAGAAGCTGGTCGACTGGCTAGTCGCCGCCCACCTGTGGCAAGCGTGCGCGATTCTGACGCTCAGCATCGTGGTGACCATGATGCGCACTCACTTGTTTATCTGGTCTGTGTTTTCGCCACGGTATCTGTACCAGATCGCGTGGTTTGCGGGCTTTTATCTTGTGTACGCAACTGTCGGCGGCATGCTGTGGATGACATCGCTTGCGCAACTGTCACCTTGATATATTTTTCTTTGATTTCTTTGGCTTTGAAATGTTGGATTCGCACAAGGCTTTGGATTGCCTCTCGGATTAGTAATTGAAATGGGGGATTGACATGCGAAATCAGGAGACATGTTGGCAAGCAATATAATAGGCTGCATTTTTTAATCTGCACAAGCAGAAGCAGACATGATCTAGAAAGAGGATCTGCAGAACTCTACTAGTCGCAATCAATGTACAATATGTAAGAAAAGAATGAGGCTACAAGCATCCTATAAATCGACATCCTTCCCACAGATCGAATAGCAACCTGAAAGGTGTTTAGAAACTAGTGGCAATAGACCACTATGGTCGACGGTATCAATCAGTTCGCTGCTTCTTTTGAAGAGAAGAAACAGGAGCAGATGGATTCTTGCGCATACGCTTGGGCTTGGGCCTGGGCTTTGGCTTGAGCAAAGTGTCAGGGGTCACTGTAGACTCGGGTCTAGCTGATTCTGACAGTGCATTTTTGCGCGAGAAATGGGGAGGACAATTGCCTGTAAGCAGGGCACTAATAATGATGCGAAAGCTTAGCATCGCAGCCATGTTGCGATTCCACTTCTGTCTGCCTGATGGCACTTTTCCTCCATCCTTGATCTTGGTTTCGTCGGCCCCGAAGGTTTTCAGGCAGTCTTCCATTGTGCACTGGAGCAAGCCGTGGCATACAATTTGGGAAGGTTTTTCTACTGCCGGAATTATATTATCGCCTGTTATGGCTACTTGCTGCTGACTATTCTGGTGTTGCTTCTGCCATTGTGACATAGTACTTGTGCTTGGGATTCTTCAGACGAGGATCAGCAATTTTGAGAAATTTCTCCATCCTGCTCTCACATGCCGGGTAAGACGTTGAGGCGTAATATTCGTCAATCAAGTAAACAGTGAATCACTGGCCTATTAGCATTTCCCGCAGCCCCTTGCCAAGAATCGGCTCATGGTGACGGGACATGCCTGGGTCCAATTACCAAGAATTAGGACTGCATTTGATCCAAATTTTGCGCACAACGATTTTGCGAGTTCAACGTCGGTGTGCTTTCTGTTAACAAAGGAAAGATAGCAGAGCTCATGATACAAGAAAATGTGGCTTGTTCTCGGTGATTGATTCATTAATCAATCACGTTAATTCTCGACTACTATTTATATTGCTTGTATGCAATATTCCCGCATGTCTGAGTCAGGAATTAACTGGCGATTGATTCATTAATCATTCACCGAGGACAAGCCACATTTTCTTGTATCACACACATTAACTATATATATGATGGATGCGAGACTGCACCAGTGTATGTGTTAGGCACTCATTTACTTTGTAGCCCAGTGCCCATCACTTGCCCTTTTCTTTGTGAGCACTAGGATTCACAATCATAAAAAGGGCAAAACAACAACAGCTATTAGTTCACTCTCTTCTCTTTCCTTAGTTTTCGACGAAATGTATTTTAATAGTTTTCTTTAATACACCTACTTACATTATCAATCAGAACAATCGAGTAGTAAAATATAATCGTAATTGAAAGTTATCGCGGCTGTCATGTGACATCGCCGTAATTGATGTCACAATTGCAACAATACACGTTGAGACAAAAAATAAATTAGTCAATTTGTTATCAATCTTTCCGTTTAATGCGAGCAAAGCAAAAATTGTAATGGAATATAAAATAAACATATAGTCTGTTTAATAGATTATGACTAGAAAAAAGAAAAGAGTAAAAACCAGAAGGTAAAAGTGGGTATTTAAGAGAGAGAGGGAGAGAGACGCACACTTTTGTATGACAAAAGGGAAGGCCAATAAATACAAACTAAACAGCTAAAAGAAATACTGTTAAAAGGAGAATTAAATATTTATTGGAAGATTAAGGTATTCTCATCCCCATGGTGGGAGCACCTTAGTATATATCGAAACTAAACTATGATAATGTACATGGCATTTCCTACATCACATACATGTATACAAATATCTAAAAGGTGTTAATAGCAAAACAAATGCTATTTTAATATACCTCGAAATTACATCAATTTCTGTTAATATCATTCTCTGGCAAAACAGGTTCAATCATGAGCACTATGTACCTTCACAATCGACATAATAGGGTCAGGACATCAGGTGACGTCCTGCATCTGTCTGATGCATCTGTGCGCGCATGCGAGTCTCAGCCTGGGTCGCTGGCCTGGGTCGCGACCCCATAAAGGGTTCTCAACAATACAATATATTATACAGTAATATTTTTGTGGCCAATAAAAAGTAGACTTTTAAAAATATTTTGTATATATAGAAAAAATGGTTTGGCTCTAGGTTTGAATCTCAAAGCAATCAATAGTTTATTATTTATTTGCATTTTTTGCCAAAGCACCAAATCGAATTTACTAAAACAGCATTAAGCAACACCTCAGAGAATCGAGGGCAAAAGAGGGCATTATCCAAGCATTTCCGATAATATCTCTTTTTTCCTTTTTTCTTTTTTTCAAATGCCCTTTATTTTCAGATTTTGTCCATGGGATTTTGGGTCGACATGGGCCGGATTTTTATCATAAATGATTGGCAGCGTGCACATTGCCATGTCATGTGCGTATTGCAAGGTTGCTGGTGGCAATCTGCCCAGTGATCTTAGCGACGCATCAGCGGAGACACTACTCGGAGCACCCACAGAACACCCGTCAGCCACAACCACCTACGCACCATCGCAAGATAACAAAAAAATGCATGAAAACGGTTTGTTCACGTTCGGCCACACATTCAAGGGTAATCCAGACACAAGGGCGACAAGGTCGAGAGAAGGGCCGCATATGTCTACGTTTATCAACGCGGTAAAACCGGACAATAGCATTCTTAGCCCAAATATGGGAGCACATATCCTTAATCACCCGACAACACCTGACCCGCGAGCCATCTGGACCGCGGCCCAGATTGGAGACACCTCCCTGGAGGCGTACAGACCAAAGTATGTGCGTTTAGGAGTGACACGGAAAGAAGAGGCTGCGCCGCTGTGATGGAAAAAATGGAGGGAGGGGGTTACGCACGACCAAACCACATCAGCAGAAAACGACCCGCGGCCTCTGCCGAGATGGGAGCAGCTTCAAAAAAGTCCGCTAGAACTCAACCACATCTCCCTTCTCTGGATGATGACCCAAGGAGCTGTACCCATGGCTTCCCAGTTGTCGCACTGTATCGAGGGACTGGACAAGACGTGCAAGGCCTGCACCACAGAGACCGAGACCATCGCACATTATTTTTGGGAATATGAGCGCGTTCAGCGTTTCTGGGTTCTCGTATCACGCTTTCTGCAAGACAACCGCAGCAACCAGTCAGGCCCGGCATTCCGCGTCGGCAAGATCATGGTGGTCAACGGATTTGGCAAATCGAGGAAATTATTTCCAAACGCAGACACACTCCACGGAATGGCTGTCTGGGAGATATACCGCGCACACGCCGAGCTTTCAATGGACGACATCCACCTCACAGCAGACGCCATTTTTGGCCGCTGGAAATCCTCGGTAATGAGCCGCATCGTACGAGATTTTCACTATTTGATCTCACATCGTAAGGCCATCCTCGCATTCAAGGACCGCTGGATGCGGGTGCCATACCAGTGGTTCCAATTTGAGCCTGGCAAAGAAGTGCTCATCGGAACGTAAGCGTTCCGCAACACTCTAATTCAGGACAGCCACCTCAACCATCATGCACAACGCAATCCCTCAAACTCGGACATCAGCACCAATGTCCCCTCAGCAGCCATAACCACAGCTCCGCCACCCATTGCAAGGAAATTGCTGTGGTCATCTCATTGTTTAATACTTTATTGTATTTTTATAATAGTATTCGCACTATGATATTGTGCAAAAAAGAGCATGTGTTGGATTATAGCCACACTTTCACAATAGCGTGCGTACTCTGCTTAAATGGTTGGTGTGGTTAGAAAATATCTATGGTGAATTCTCTGAAGTGTAGTGCCGTATTTTTATATTTTGGCCAAAGGCTGTTATACTGAAAGAGCCATCTATTTGGCCAAAAAGTCCAATTAAAAGCCGGGTGGTTGCTTCAGTGGTGAGCACCGGGCACAGTCTATCTATCCACTTGATGCCCGGTATATTCAGGAACAATGCCAATAATGTTGTGAGCAGAGGAGTGGTTTGGTGCCTGCCCACCGATCGCATGGCTGGGGGGCCCTTTACCCCACTTTTTTTGCCGTTGAGGTTTAATACGCTGAAACCGAGATAACCCCGCTGTCTTGCGGACTTAAGTTTTGGTTGTGCAGGAATAGTAAAAAAGCAAACGACGTGATTCCACTGCGTATCCGTAAAAAAGAACATTGTAAAATTCCGCACTTGTGTTAATCATGCCAAACATATTTTTTCCACCGCTTGCACTCCCCAACAAACATGCAAATTGTGCTTTGACTTGAGAAAAATATAAAATGTCCAGACCTGACGCCAAAATGTTACTGCCTTATTTGCTGCCTGGGCTTTCAAGATAATCCGAAGTAATCTGGAGCTTCTTTTTTTTCTCTATTTCTTTTTCAACCAGCTTACTAATTTTTACCCTCTTCTTTTTAATAACTTATTATTGTGCACATATTGCCCGCGAGGCCTTTAAAAGCCAAATTATTTTATTTTCTCTCCCGTATCTACTGCGTGTTAGTATTTGTCTACTCTTAATACGTTTATTCTTTTTTTGCTACTTGCTCACGTTGGCAGAATTTTATTCATTCTTAATATTTTTGAACTATCGTTATCTGAATACAAGCGGTGACGTTATATTATAAACCTTGGGTGTAAGTCAGACCCATTTGCGCAGTTGTGTTTGCACTACTGTTGGTGCCATTGAATTTGCCTCAATTCACTTTTGTCTATTTTTTGCAAATAGTGCGGTTAGTTTTTTATTTGGGATTGGGTGCCAAGTGCTTCTACTGCTTTTTGTCATCCATCATATTTATCTTTGGTATTTGAAACTTTGACTAAACAGTATTTTTCTTTACTTTTTTGTCCACTATAATCAACATTAGCTGCAGCCAAACACCACTTTTTGCGCCTAGGAAAACACAACACAGAGCAACTCCACGACACGACACAACACGACACAGCACAACAACAATAGCAAATATGCCACCCCGCGACACGACCTCTCAGGAGGACATGCAGGCGGTGCACAAAGACGAGCGGTTCGACATGCGCTTCCCAAGCTACCTTGGGTTCTGGAAGCGCTCGGTACCCGGATTGGATGAGTACCCGCGCTTTGACATGTTTGACGAGCCACACACCAAGCGCAAGGTGCAGATTCTCAAAGATCACCCGGAAATCCAGGAGCTCTACGGCTATGACACTAACACCGTATGGATTACGCTGGCCACTGTGTGTGTGCAGATGACCTTGGCATACATTTTCGGGCGCATTCTGACAGATTGGAACTGGACCATGGTCATTGTGGCCTACACCGTTGGAGGCTCCTTTTCGACTCAAATTGGAATTATCTTCCATGAGTTTACACACAATCTTTGCGCGGCCACAACGCTGCAGAACCGCTGGGTAGGGAATGTTGCCAACATTCCGCTTCTGGTTCCCCTGGCCCAGTCGTTCCGCAGATACCATCTGGAGCACCACACCTATCAGGGTGTTTACGGCTACGATCCCGATCTGCCCCTGGAATGGGAGCTGCGTCTTATCGGTAACGACCCCATCAAGAAGTTCTTGTGGCTGATAATCTACGGCGTCATGTACATTGGCCGCGGCTTGGCTCAGCAGAAGCAGCTGTCGCGCTGGGAGCTGTACAACTGGGCGTGGTCCGTTGCCTGCGACGTTGCTATTTACAAGTTCTGTGGTCTGCGCGGCATCATTTACCTCGTCATCTCCGTTCTCCTTGGCTTTGGCCTCCACCCGGGTGCTGCGCACTTTATCCAGGAGCACTATACGTTCCGTGACGGACAAGAGACCTACTCGTACTACGGCAGCGGCAACTACTTCTGGCTCAACATCGGCTACCACAACGAGCACCACGATTTTCCGCTGGTGCCATGGACCAAGCTGCCTGACGTCAAGCGCATTGCGCCTGAGTACTATGATGGCCTGGCTTATCACACTTCGTGGTGCGCTGTGCTGTACATGTTCATCACATCATCGCTGTTGGCGCCACAGTCTCGCGTTGTGCGCACGCTGGATGCCCACCGGTACGCTCGCAAGAACCTGAAGGTGCCGACCACCGAGCAGATCAAGGAGCTGGAGCCCACGAAGGCCGAGTTTGTCACCAGGTTGAAGCTAGCCGCCGACATGGCGATGGAGAAGTCCCGGGCGCGCAAGATCGCCAGGATCGAATAGGATGTTTTATTACTGAAGATATTCTTTTTACATAATTACCTTAATCTATTTTTAAATTCCATACTTTATCACATTCAGTCATTTGCTTTGATGATATTGGCAATATTGACATCAACAGGAGTGATACATGATTGGACGGTGACAGTTCGGTTGCAAATACTGCCAATAACGCGTTTCGCACTTTAACTTTTCTTCGTAATCCCAGTTGGCAGTTAAATGTAAATTTCAATAGCAAATGCGTACAGCTGGGATCAGAGAAACGCTTTTTGGAACTATGTTACTGCCAGAAAATGACATCGTCTCCCTTGTTTCTCGCTTCCTTTCGAAATGATGCGAGTCTTCTACGGCTCAAAATGGCACTTTAAATTTTTTTGTCGATAAATATGAATATATCCGCGCCTAGTAGTAATAGCGGTAACATATATGAGCTGCAAAAAAAGAACTATGGCAGCACTGTCATTGCGATGGACTACAAACATTTAAAAAAGCACGCGAGCCGCTCTGCGTCGCTTTGGTTAAGGTTCTCTCACTCACTTTTTCTTTCCCCGCTTTTTGCATAATATTAGGCCATCATTTTTGCACATCAGCGCGGTCCTCTCTTTCCTATTCTACACATGTGCGCGTGCTATTAACCGCAATCTTTTTTATTTATCGTTCATTCTTGCCACTGTTGCCAGCCCGCTTATATTTTGGACCGCTTACATTCACTCGTCCACACGACCCGCACAAGGCTATATTTGATGTTGTAAATACTCTTTCATTTTTATTACATATCTCCCACCCAGGTGTGTTTTGCTACTACAGTCTGTGTAGTAGGTCGCAGCACATTCTTGGCTTTTATGTTTGCTTGCAACATATTTTCTAGAAAAAATATTTGTATCTCTATTTCATCTTTTGCTATAAACTATTCGTAATTTTATTGTATTTGCTATTGTAATCATCATTGCGCTCATCACAAACCAAACAAACAGGGGGCCCACAGTTGCATAATAACACATGGTAGACAGACACACGCTACGTGGCGGCAGTACCTTGCGGATAGCACTGCTGGTACCGCTCGTCCTTTTGCTGCTATCGTCCACCACTCATGTTGTGTCAGCAGGAATGAATGGCCGCGTTGTGAGCATCGAACTTCAGCGCTCATTCAACCGCAACAACAACATTTTGGTTGCCCGGCGGTCCGCGCGTGAGCACATCGAGAGGGGCAAGTCGCTGATACAGCTGGCGCCCGATGTGGATTTTGACGAGGAAACCCACGACGTGGAGCCAGATTTCGGCAAAGTTTGGTTGACTGATGCTACGGACACGTACTACTACGGCATCATCTCGATCGGCACGCCCGCTCAAAACTTCACAGTGACCTTTGACACCGGTTCAGCAAACATGTGGGTCCCAGGCGTGCGCTGCACGTCCAAGGCATGTCTCCAGCACAACCGGTACGACCACGATTTGTCCGCGAGCTACCAGCCCTTGAACGGACAGTTCGCTATTCAGTACGGCACCGGCGAGGTGCGTGGGTTCACCAGCCAAGATACAGTCAGGGTGGGTGGAATCACAATCAAGGACCAGCCGTTTGCCGAGACAACCAGCGAGGACGAAGTGTTCGAGCTTCCAGATACGGAGTTTGATGGCTTGTTTGGCATGGCATTCAAGTCCCTGGCATCCGGAGGTCTGGTGCCGCCGATGGTCAAAATGATCGAGGAAGGGCTTGTCGACGAGCCCGTATTTGCTTTTGCTTTGTCGCAAGGCCACCGCTCCTTTGGCGAGCTGCTGCTGGGCGGATATAACGAGTTGCATTACAAGGGCGAGCTCCGGTGGATGCGCGTTACCCGCGCAAAGTATTGGCAGGTCAGCATGGAGGGCATATGGTATGGCGACAGCAAGTTCAATCTCTTGTCGCTGAGCAAGGAGCGAGACCTGGGTAATTTGCCGCTGGACATCATACTTTCTTCAAACTTGACTACCGACCCGCACTTGCCCATCCCGACACCGCAGCGGCTCAAGGAAGACGCAGCTGCAGAGAAGGCTCACACTCGGGCCAAGAAGAAGGCCAGAGATAGTGACTACGACCTCGACCTCGAATCCCTTCGCACTCGCCCGCCAACCGACAAGTCGCCCAAGATCAAGAAGCTGCTGCCAATTGGTAGTGGGCCCGTCCCCGAGTCGTCTGCGATCATGGACACGGGCACATCATTTTTGCTGGGCGACCCCAATACCATCCAGTTGATCAGCCGCATTATCGGTGCCAACTTCCGCACTGGTGACATGTCTTGCGCCCGCCTGCAGAACCTAAAATCTATCTGGATTTCGCTCGGCGGATTCAAATTTGAGCTCTCACCTGAACACTACGTCTACCGCGATGCAGAGAAAAAGACATGCAGCTCGGCGTGGGTTCCCTCATATGACAGCCCATTCTGGGTTCTGGGTGACTCGTTTTTGCGCGCGTACTACGCGGTTTTCGACATGAAAGAAAAGAAGGTTGGTTTGGCACCCATCAATATGCCGCTCAGGCACTACTGATATTAGCATATCTTCATGTTTCTTTTCGTTTTGTTTTAATTGCATTTTAATTCCAATTTTTTATATATTGTTTGTTGCACATCAAATGTCGGATGTCAGATGTTGATATCAATTGCCAATGGAACACAAAAATGTAAAATAAAGCTTTGAAGGTCTAATTCCATGCGCACCTATAGTTTTTCTATGATATGCAAAACCCCGCAATTCGAAACGTCTGCCCCGCTCTCACTTTTTCCCAGATAAATGCGCATAATTATCTAAATGTGGGAATGGATGCCATTGAACAAAGTGCAATAAAACAATGTAATGTGGGGAGGGGAGAATATGGCAATGTTAATATGCGTCGAGATACCCGTGGGATTACATTATAATGTATTAATATATTCAAAGTCCAATGAGGCCAAAGGAGCAATTACGCATGCTGAAACATTAAACGACTTCTCATTCGAATAGGAAGTCAAACCAAACCAATAAAGGTATACACGGCGAGCAACCGCGTGCATTTTGTTTCAGTAAATATTTTTAAAATATATTTATTTGCTCATTGTATTTTAAGTTGTACACATATTTCTTTTAAACATCATTCCATTATTTAAATTTAAAAATATATTTTGTACAATTTCATTTTTTATTTCTCATTGAAACAAGTTCCACGTTGCGTTGATAGCCACCTGGTTACATATAATAGCACGCTTTTAATATAACAATCCTTTTTATTTTGCTCAGCAGCAGTGTACATTTGAACATTTGCTTAAGAATCACCCGCACGTATTTTACTTCTGGACAATTTGTGCGTCCTCGTTCCTTGTCTCGCTTAGCCGACATTTCTGTCTACACCTTTTGTATTGACCAAAGTAGTAAACACTTCTATTAAAACAATCCACTTATTTTTTATTTGTCCACACCACATTCGCATCAAAACACCCGATATTGTTGCTCTTGTAGTTATGAAGCTCATACTGGTTGGTCTTGTTGCAATTGCGCACACGGCATTCAGTGCGGTCATAGGCATAGATGATGTGCCTTCGGGCATGGGTGGTGACGGGCCCACGATCTATGATCAGGAGGGCGTCAAAATACACGCAGCCTTCTCCGACAACATCAAGGGCGCATTCAATGTCCCGCTCTATCTCAAAAACGGGCTCGACCCCGAGTCCAAACGCAAGGACCGCGCTAAGCGCTCGCGCCTGATGAAAAGCTTTGCTGAAAAACCAACCACATCCGGCGACCCCTTGGCTTCGCTGACCAACGTTAAGGACTACTATTACTACGGATACATTGATATTGGAAATCCGCCGCAAAAATTTTCTGTCGTGTTTGATACCGGATCGTCCAATATCTGGGTGCCTGGTGAGCAATGTCGGTCGATGGCGTGCATCGAGCATCGGCGTTTCAACAAGACGTCGTCCCAAACGTTCCTGCCGTCAGGGAAGAACATTCAGATTCAGTACGGAACAGGTCATATCGCGGGGGATACTGGCCACGATACGGTAAAAATCTCGAGCGCTGTGGTTCTCAGGAACCAGTCGTTTGCCATTACTAATACGGAGGACCGCACGTTTGAGCTGCCACGGAGCCAGTTCGATGGTCTCTTTGGTCTTGGGTTCACAGGCGGATCCGAGGGCGGTGCGCGTTCCCCGGTGGACACAATGGTACAGGAAAATATATTAAAGGATCCTCTATTTAGCGTGAAGCTCTTCAAGGGCAGCGGCAAGTCCAACGGCGAGATCACCTTTGGCGCCTACGACAAGGCATACAAGGATAAGCTCAGCTGGATCGACGTCTACGGTAACTACTTCTGGGCAACCACCATGGAGGGAATATACTACGGAGATGAGCCAGCAAACTACCTCTATGGTGCTGACAAGGTTAACAGTCTGAGTGGCGCGCTTACGGCTCAGGAGAAGGCCCGGGCTAGCCGCAAGGCCCTGCTGGATACGGGTAGCTCCCTGATATATGGCGATGCCTTCTCGCTTGCTGCCATGAGCACGCGCATTGGCGCAGATGTCCTTTCGGGAGAGATTCCGTGCTCATCGATACCAAAATTGAAGCCATTCAAGTTTGTGCTCGGCGGGAAGAACTTTTCCATGTCACCCAGCGAGTACATCTATCACGATGAGATCAACGATATCTGCGAGGTCCAGTGGATGCCTGTTAGCGAGTATCTCTGGGTGTTGGGAATTCCCTTCCTGCAGTCGCATTACTCTGTGTACAACATCAAAGAGCGCAAGGTCGGGTTGGCCAGAATGGAAAAGTAATATTTTTGACTTTATGTATTTTTCATTTTTTTCTATCAACTTGTCTCAATGAATTGCTGCGGGACTTATTTTTGTTTTAATGCCAGTTAATTTTGTATTTGTTGTAATTAGAGGTGTGAATTTATGAGCAGCATAGAAACTGTGTTCCATCTACAGGCCATATTGGCGAAGAAAAAGAAAAAGAGTTTTCAAACAAGTTAAAGTCGCACATCTACCAAATGTCGAGCGCGGGCAAACAAGTTGAAAAAGAATAAAGTGGCGGTGCTTTTGGCGGAATTACGCGCTTCTAGGATCGGGACGCTCAATGTCCGACTCTACACAAATACAAACATAAGTGCAAATACATATAAACCAAAAGTAAATGTAAAAAATACAATTAATTAGTGCTGATGTAGTACAATACAAGTTGTAATAAAAAGAATGGCGAGGATGTGTAAAACATGTATATTTGAAATTACGAAATGTTGGATAAGTTATATATAGTGCTTATATGAATGGCATCCCTCCCCACATCCTCTGGTCACAGGATAAGAAAAATTCGTGGCACTAATATGGTAAAATAAAACAGACTGCGAATACAGTTTATCTACAGAATAAAACAGGTCCATTGGACGCCCTAATTGCGCCCAATTATATTCCCCAATGACTGTCCGCCATTACTCTTTGGTGACTATTGGGCCACTCGAAGAGCAAATAGAGCAATGAGTCACACGAGACATTCCCAGGAAAGAAAAAAGCCATCAAGCAGCTGCCCTGTCCCACTGGCGAATCTCTGGCAAGGCTGATTTTGAGAATGCAGTCTGGACAGGCCATACCGTTCATTTGTAGACGGCAAGTCTTCATTTTTTGGACATGGCGGACAAGCGAGGGGAGGGGAGACTGGCAAAAAAATAGATAAAGGCGCGCAGAACGGCTAGTAATAGTTCGCGAATGGGAGAGGAAGGAGATCCAGGAAAATAAGTTAGGTGTATACCCCCCTCCCATTTGTCGGAGGAGGGGGGCATTCAGGGGTGGTACCCCATGCTCAAACCACAACCAGATGACAAATAAAGCAAATGGCAAGAACATACAGTTTTGCCGCAAAACTAGCTGAGGCTGAATGGAGTGCACAAAAAAAGCCCCATTCCAGAAAAGAACGAATGACAGAGCCATTCTTTTTGTATCTGGTGTCTACTACTCTGTCTTTGCGCGTTGCTTACGTGGTGTAATGGACAGGCAGTTGATGCCCAGGAACTCGCAGAAACGCTCGATGACGACCAGCGCCCAGTGGAAGTACGCAACGACAACAAACACAAACGAAATGATCAAGAAAGCAAGCTCAGTCATCGGTGTGAACAGGCCCAGACGCGCAAGGATTGCTCCCAAGACCAGCGGAATCATCTGTACAGTGTAGCTGGGGAACTCCATCTCGGTAAGATGAGCCAGGATGATCTTGCTCTATGTCGGGAATGAAAGGAAAAGAAAAAAGTGTGATAGACACGATGGAGGGAGAGCGTTAGCAAACAAAACAAATATACGACAAATGCGCATCATTAACATTGGAGGATAATGTGTATTTGTAGCACTTACCACAATGCGGCCAAACGCAGTGCCGGCGGTGACCATGAACAAAACCAGGTGGTTGTTGGCGAAGATGGTCGTCGAGTTATCCAGCCAAATGTAGCAGCTTAAGGCAAACACGGCGTACTGAGTGATTTGCGGCAGAGTGGCGAGGAAGCTACGCTTCTGCTCCTTGCACGCAGCATACACGTTGACACAGCACACCAAGCAGTGACCAAAGAGCATTGCCAGGCCAGTGATGAAAAGGAGCGCGTCCATAAGCTCCCAAGTGGCTGGGAACAGACCGCCGATCAAGGGCATGCCCTGCGATGCAGGCACGTGCCAAATCGCCGGGCCCCAAATGCCTGAGGCAAAGCATGCGAGGACAGCCATGGTCAGGATCTCAGTCGGGCCGTTGATGTAGCCCAGGTACAGAACGCCCGTGTGGTACTCCTCCCAGGTCGAGAAGAAGAACGTCATTGTAGTAAAGAAAACAATGGACACTGTCTGCCATGAGGTGCCGCAAGCAAAGGCAGAGGCCTCGACGATTCCAGCGATCGTGCAGTTCAGGGCATCGCAGCCGTGATCGAACAGCTCGCCCAGCGGGCTGGAGCTACCGGTGCGCCTAGCCTGTTTGCCATCGACGTTGTCGAAGGTCGAGTACAGCCACATGCCAATGCCAAAGGCGAAATACAGCCACGCGGGGCCCGGCCCTTCGAGATTGGGCATGATCAGCAGCACAAGCAGCACGTCAAATATCTCAAAGCTCAGCCCGACGAGAGTGATCAGATTGGGCCTACACAAAAAATCAAAACAAAGCAAGGAAAACAAGGACAGGCTTATTAGACAGTTCTGTTAAAAGAAAAATAATGCGCGCGGCAATACAGGGCGCGCGTATTTTGCAAATCCAAATCGAACAGGTATCGAGATTGGCTCATAGACAATGCGTTGTTGTGCCTGTTAGCTCAACTTCTTTGCACTCGGCAGGCCATTGCTACTGAGAAGACGGCATGCTTAGATCGTTTTCAAGCGGTTTTTACACAGAGGCGCATTAAGACTATTAATGCGCATGAAAGTGGGACATGTCATTGGCATCACTATGACCGCACAATGCAACTGTACAATGCACAGAATAGCGCAAAACAAAGTGCTGGGAGAAGGTCACAACACCAGTGTAATAAATCGCCCAAGTCCCCATTTTTCCCTTGCTGTTGCGAAGGCCAGGTTAAAAAAAAGAGAAAAATACTTACGCCATCCACAGGGGGAACAGGGTCACTGCCCATTCCCAGTAGTGCCGGTAAAGGTACTTTGTCAGGAACGACTTGTCGACGGAGCGGTACTTGTAGTTACGCAGGTTCTTGAGGGCGTCCTCGGTAACGTATTCGTCGCCATTAGGGAAATAGCTCGAAAGTCCGGCCATTTGAATTTAGAAAAAAGCCGTAGAGTGAAGCTGATTTATGTTAAAGTAAATATAAGGAAATAAGGAGGGAAACCAACTGTCTTGCTGATATCGCAGGTTCTAAAGTTGAAGTTTGAAATTAAAAAAGAAAATAGAGAAACGACAGGGACAAAAGAGACGAGAAAACCCGAAAAAAGAAAACCCGAAAAAAGGCCTTGTAGAATTTTCCTTTGAAATATTTTTGTGCAACTCAACAGGTACGAAGCTTCAGGCGTGACAAGCAAAAAAAAACTGCAGCGCTTTTAAATTTTGCTTTAATTTTTCTGTCCCTCCAAAGGTTTGGCAGTCACTGAGAAAACTCGCATATGGTGGCTGCACTTACCAAACATTTCATTTTCCAATATTATACAGGAACCGCGAAGGGATAAGGGGGGTCTGTTGCATTTTTGCTAAAAGCGGAGATAGCGCAAGAGAGAAAATAGATCTAGCTAATAAAAATGCAAGTAGATCTGGTCTGTCTGTTCATTCGGGTTAAGCAGAACACAAGGAGGCTTTGCACTACACTGCAACGGACAGGCGGCTTGACCCTGAACTTACTTTCACGTGAAACCGTTATTTTTTTGTTGGTACCAAGCGTGGTAACAAGCTAACTGCTACTTGGAAGTTTTAATTGGAAGTGCGTGGTTGCTTACAGGCGCAAAGAGCACAAATGCTCTAGTTCAGGCATTGCAGAAATTCAAGCCACGGCCTGTAACTCGCCCTGCTCCATGTACTTAACTTTGAAACTTTTAGCTGTCGCAAAAACTAAACACGCACTCAAATATTATTTCTTTGACACTTTGGTTTGACTGCGAGAGAAAAAAAGGCGGCACGAGCTGGCTATATATTTTATTTTTGTTGATGTTTCTGACTAGTAGTTCTCGTATGTGTTGATCTTGCGACCGTCGGGCCCAATGTCCTTGCGGAGTGCCGGCATGGGGCCGTAGTTGGGAGGCGTGCGGTTGAGGACATCGCGGTAGACGGCATCGACCGACTCGTTCCAGCTAGAGCGGAAGAAGGAAATACCGACGGGGCGCAGCTGTTGCTGGGCGGCGAAATCGCGCAAAACCGAGTCGCGGCCCACAGCAGCACTCTCTATCCGCTGCTGGCCAGCCTCGGCCTGCTCAAAGGCAACAACCGCATAACGGTGCACAGGAGTGCCCTTGGCCGGGTGCGGCGGGATGTACGGCAGCAGCACGTTTCCGGCGCTGGTATCGGCCTTGGTCTGGCTCTTTGAGAACTGCAGGTTAGAGACAACCCAGTGGAACTGCTCGCGGAAAGTTTGCTGCTCCTCAAACGGTTCGTCCAGATCCACCATCACCAGGGTATGCATGCGCGAATCCTCGTGGAATGTCACCAGCTCAATATCCAGCTGCTCCCGTGCCTCGCTGGGCTCAACGATAGATCCGGGCTCAATGGCCGAGGTGCCGCTGCCGTTCATCGTAATGTTCAACTGCGCCTCGGGCATGCCGACGTCGCGCGGATCCAGGAGATCAGGCAGGACAAACATCTGCAACAGCCGCTGCATCAGGATCTCCAGGGGCCGTGCGCGCCACGCCTGCTTCTTGAGATAAAGGTACACGGGCCGCGACAGGTCAAAGTTGCCATTCTTGGCATTCCACAGGACCTCCGAGTCCTTGATCTCAGACTCAACGGCAAGACTGAACCACTTATTCTTCAGCTCGCCGATCTGCTCGGCAGCTGCTCCAGCGTCCTGTGCCTGCTTGAGCTCCTTGGCTGCTGCCTGTGCCTCGGCTGTCTTTTTGATCTTGTATGCCTCAATGACCTTCATCGCCTCGTCGTACGCCGGGTTGATTCCCGTCGCTGGCCTGGCATATGTTGACTGCTGCCGGCGGGTTATTGCGCACGCCTTGAGCAGACTCGTTGTTTCCCGGCGGCCGAGTCTGCGAAGTGCAAGCATGCGGGTGGCGGCGTTCATTGTGATTTGCGGTTGAAAAGAGAAGGTGCTGACAAATTTACAAGAAGGTCGATTGGCATCAATTCAAACGAAAAAAGAGAGGAAAAAACAACGAAAAAAAGAGAAAAATTGAAATGCGTTTGGCGGGGAATGCGCCAGCGTCGTTGGAATTGCCAATGCACTTTTTTTTGTTGGCTGTCCCTGAGGCTTTAAAAAATTGCAGCTTATCTTGCGCTCACATCGTAATCAACCGATCAACGGCTGGGATTGTGTCATGTGGATTGATGGCGCGGGCAGTTTTTAAAAAAATGAATTTGTCGGCCACGGTCTCCTCAACTCCAAAACTTAAATGGCACACAAGCATCCTTATTTTGGCCTGGATACGTGCCTTTTGATGGTGTGGGCTTTTGGCTTGGTTTAAATGGGTACCTTTTTGCCTAAAAGGCAGTCGCAGTGTTTGTTGATATTAAGCATCAAGCATACGTAAAATCATGCAAGTGTCAATGCAGTACCTATTCCCGCCAATGCTGTGAAAATTCATGAAATGATAAAAAATTACAACTACAGGCACAAGTGGTCAAGTCCGATGACAAAGCAAATTGCAGCTCATCAATATGCTTGTAATCTTGGCAACAGCCACAATTACAATCACGATCATCACCTAATATTGCCATTGTTTGCAGCTGGCAACTGGTATACAGCATTGACCTATTTTGCATTGGTCTTCTTCTTTGCGAAAAAGAACACTTTATATTTTTTACTTGTAACGCTTCCAGACAGTGTCCTATTCTCATTATTGCTCTTAGTAGTGGCCATCCTTGAAACACAAGCACAATATGCCATTGATATCCCCATCTGTGTGGAGCAAACCGTCAGCCATGAACGCTTTGATCCTAGCCAGACGAATTTTTGCCGTTTGGTTCACCAGAGACGCCGCCGACATCATCCGGCACCGAGCACTCCTGCCAGCTGTCAAGGCGCTCGAGCACAACTCCCAGTGCGCGGCGATTGATCCCACGGCAACAATAAAGGAGACATCTAGCTGCCACAGTCACTTTGGCTACGAGTCCGTCAGCAAGGTCAACCCGCTGGCATTCGGCTGGCGCAAGACCACGGATTTTTCCAAGCACCTGGTTACCAGCAAGATTCCACAGGAGCGGATGCCCAATGGCGACCGTTTTGCGACGCCAATGCTGACTCTGATCGACTACGCCAACGAGAACGTGTGCGGCCATCCGGGGCTTATTCATGGCGGTATGACGACGGTGATTGCGCATTCGTCGATGTCGCTGGTCGCTGCGATCAATGCCCCCGGGAAGAGCATTGTTCCAGTGTCCCTGAATATGGACTATCGGAAGCCCATTAGGGCCGGTGGTTTTGTCAAGGTGCACGCCTGGCTTTATGACCAGCACTGTGTATCGAACAATGACAGTGGAGCGTTGAGGCTGAAGGCTGCCGTCCACTTTTACAGCCTAAACAACGAGCTGCTGGTTGAAGCCATCTCTGATATCATGGTGACCACGGCTAGCATGGAATAATGGTTTTTTGCGTGTCTCATTTTGGCCTATAGACGTTTTGTTTGTTATTTTTTTGTTGGTTACACGCTAATTTGTATTTGGAAGGCGTGAGAGCGGATTTGCCGCTTTAGAGGGACCTTTTTTTCTTAGGCCTATATCTGGGCGCAAAAAAGATTTACAATGAATTTGATAACGTGAAAATGCATGCCGAAAAGAGAGACGCCGCACCTTGCAGGGGCTCAAGTGGCCGAGTTCCAGGTTGCATGATTCATTTTAATACTGCTACCCTTTTTTATTTCTTATCATTTTCTTTTGCACTCGCTCCTACTTCCGCGTCAGCATTACAGAGACTTATGCAGCGCATTTCGGCAGGCATTTTGAGGACCAAGCCAAATACGCCTTTTTCGATAGTTGCGTGGCTTCATGCGCACACGTTGAAGGCAGCGGCTCTTCGCGGCATTGCGTCCTCCAGCGCACACATTCAAGCAGAGCCACAGCCATCTTTTGTTGACAAACTATGCCTGCAGATAGCCTGGCCACTCGAATACACGCAGCAGCGCATTGAGGAGACCAAGCCGATCATGAAGCAGCTAACAGACCTGCCAGTAACCAAATCTCTGTTCGAACAAAACAAAGCCGTGCGCAAAGAGTTCCATTGGCCCGCTGGGAAGCGCAGAATAATCCAGGCGCCCGAGACTTTGACGTACGGCGCACTCATGGGCTCCGGCGATCTCCCCCTGGTGCCGCTGGTGTTCAAATGGAGGCCTCGGTGCACGCCGAGCCACGTCAACTCTAAGATTTTCGAGTCCAGTTTTGCTGATCCGCAGCAGCAACAGAAGTTGAGCCAGATGCAGGTTCCTGGCGTCACCATGTTGCAGTACTTGGGTCCGAATCTCGGGCTCAGCGGCACGCACAGTGTCTCTGGCAGCCCGCGCGCAGTCCACCCAGGAGTGCCCACGGCGTTTATTGACGATGTGACTGCGCGGGTGGGATTTTCGAACTCAATCGACAAGCCGATTTTCACGGCCAACTTTCAACTGGAGTACCTGGAGCCCGTTTTGACCGACAGCTTTGTGGTGATGGACGCGTGGATAACCGCTGTAGAAGGCCGGAAGTCGTACATTGCCTCGTACTTGGCGGACGCTACAACGGGCAAAGTCCTCGTCAAGGCAAAGTCGTTATTTGTGAGTGCCGCTTGACTGCATATTCTCTTGCAAGCTAGACAAAATATTTTTCAGTCAATAATTCAATTAAAGGAAAACCGAATGAGCTTTGTGATGGTGGTGGTGTTGAAGAGGATGATGGATGGGTGGGAGACAAGGGAGATCTGGCCGCGGCTCGTCGGATCTAAATTTAACTGCGCGTTTGCTCAATGCCGCGGGCAGCAGCGGCCAACAATCGAGATCGTTTTCTGTCACGTATTATCATTTACGCAGTATCGTCCGGACTATGCCGCACCGCACCACACCGCCAGCTCACATTCCCCCATTCGCCCCCGCTTCCTCCTTGGACTTTTGTTTTTAAACTCCGAGCAGAGGATTCTTTGAATGCGCTTTAGGTAACCACGAACGCCAGGAAAAAGAGACTGGGGACCAATCAGTCGCATGGTTCTCGTTATCCAGAGCAGGTTTTGAAACATTCTGGTTGAAGTCGAAAATAAATGGTGGGGTGGGTTTTTTTCGTTCTTCGCTTTTCATGCTGCTGATTCCCAGCAGGTTTTGTTTTCTTCTTTCTTTGGAACTTTGTCTGCCTACTCGTATTCGTGTTCTTATTTTTTAAACTTTTCCATTCCTTTCTATTTCCCCTTGTTTATTCGCGAGCTGCATCTTTTTCTGCAAACCCCCCCCCCCCCCACCTTAAAGCACACTTTACGTTCTTTGAATTGCACGCCAGTAAACAACAAAAATCAAAATACAGTCCGCGAAGCACACTTTTTTCTTTCTTTTACTCACAAAAAAGCGGCTATAATGCCCGACGGTCATGGCCAGCGTTCAGAAATTAAGCAGAATACCGGCGCCCGCGTCGTTGATAAAATGGACGATGACATGCCATTAAATGCTGGTTCGGCCAGCACGCACACGGCAGAAAATGCACTGGGCATAGTGACCACGCCAATTTCAGTCCACCAAAGACAGCAACAGAAACCGGTCGTCGCCGGTACACCAGACTCCGCAGTGCTTGACCGCATGCTGGAGCTTGAGAATGTCATCGCGACTGTCAAGTCATCGCTCGACAACCACGCATCATCGTACTATTCGGTTGCTTCCCAAATAGCAGAGTAAGCTTTTCTTCTGATTTGTTGCGAGATTGCGTTTGACACCGAGCAAATACGTGTGAGCAATGCTGGCCGCCTCTTTTCAATACTTTTCAATGGCCCCCTCTGTCATTGTCACATGAGTGTTCTTTGTCGCTTGTCTTGCCCTTCACCTTGCATGTGCTCTTGCTTCAGCTGCCCTTGTTTCTTTGTTCAAACATGCACATTGCTTGTTTTCCTTATGTTTGCACTCGTGCCCCCACATGCAACTTACCTATGCTGAGCTTCATCTGTGTTTATTTTGCGTCCATTGTGTAGGTTGAATGTGCGTATTGGGCATATGGGTGTAGCCAACCGGCCTGCGGCAGCAGCCAGCACACGCATTAGCAATATCATTCAAATAAGCAGCGGCAACGGCAGCAGCAGCGGCAAAGCCAGAGACGGCTACGACAGGGCCGCTTCTTTTTCCGCCTTAGCAAAGGACAACAGCACAGCAAGCAAAGACTTCTCCAAGTCCACTATGGCTGTCGCAACGGTAGATGCAAACGCATACGCATATGTAGATGCAAGCGTAGATGCAGACGCAAGTGACAAGGAGGGAAGTGACGAACACTATACCCGCATACAGGAGATGATCGACTCGCTGATCAAGGACGCAGGTTCTGCGCTGAACTCTAGGCCAAACCACCACCAATCTATGGTCCCCAACGACTCTACTGACCTGCCACTCTCCTGCGACTCGATGTGCTCCCCCGAGCAGCTGTCGTCCGTATCCACAGTGTTTGACGACGCAACTACCTCGTATGCGTCACCGAGCTATGCCAAGCGCCCCACAGAAAAGAGCTTTGCCGCATCATTGGCTTACAAGGCATCCGACTGTGCGCCGGAGCTTCATCCGCAGAGGCCGGTGTCGGCACTGAGCATGTCGTCCAGACAGTCTCGCCGGCGCAGCCTCAGGCAGCGGCCGCAGACGCCGGTCGGCAAAGCTCGCGCTCGCGCCGACCCCATGGAGGCCGATGCCGAGTCTGACAGCGAGTATGGCTCAGTCAGCGCAGCCAACAACTACAGCCATAGTTACACGCGCAGCCAGTCCCGGAATGTCAACCTCAGCCTGCGCCATAGCCAGTCCCGCCCACAAAGCCGGCACCAAATGGGCTCTGGCCACTACAGCGACCGCCAGATGGCTAGCAGCCAGCGCACCCGGAAATGGAGTGGGCGCTACCGATCAGACACAGTTGACACCTTTACGACGAACTCGTCGGAAACCTGCGTGTCTCCGAGGAATAGGATTTCTAGGGAATTTCGACACACGCCGATATCTCAGACGTACTCTGGGTCACACGCCATGTCGGAAAGCTTCTACGCGCATCCAAACAGGCAATTTGAAGTTAGGGATATTGTGGACTACGAGGAGGAGCCGCTGTCACACCAGCCGACAATGCAACAGGACATTGTCAACACACGCAGTGGCCAGAGGCACGAGTTCCCCCAATTTTATGCCGAAGATAGCTTTACCACGCGTCATCATCAACAGCAGCAGCCTGGGGATAACAGCCCGCTGTCGGGAAGCAATGTGCCGCTGATCCAGCGTCTCCGCAACTCTGTGACGCGAGCGGTTCTCCGATCGGCATCGTTTGTTGATGACAGCGTCAAAGACGACATTGCGGCCTATTCGAGCAGCCGCAGATGCTCGGTGGACAGCGGTAGCGCCCAGCCGCTTTGCACACGCAGCAGCACGACGGCCAGCGAGATGTCGCCGACCGCTGCGGCAAGAAAAATGCCATTTCATTGGGGGCCGATGTCGCCGGGCGGACTCGGAGCAAGGAGCTTTGGAACCATTGTCAATCCAGTTAAGAGCCCGTCGACTCTGCAAGCATCTGCGCGCGAAAACATTCCTGTGTCGCTGTCGCCACTTTGGAGCCGGCGGAATTGTGGGGGTGATAGCTCGGGCGAGGTGTCGCGGAGCAACTTAGCTTTCGACAGAAAGCTGGGTGCCTCGCATCGCGACAGTGCGCACCCCATTGCTGACTTGAGAGTCAGCAGTCCAAGGCCCTCGGCAATGCAAATGAGAGCGGATATGGCCGAGTACGAAATTCGCAGGCCCGATTCTATCGAGGAGTACGACAGCAGCAACGAAGACAGGGCGCTATTGGAAAACACCAGCTCTGGTCGGCAGCTAATAACCAGCGTGGAAACCAACGATGATAACAGCGACAATTTGTCTGGGATATTCGGCATTGTCAGTCTGATGTACTGGACATTACTGTTCACTCTTGGCGCGCTGATGCTGGACTCGTTTCTTTGCCAGGTTGCGGGCAAGCGCGTGATGGGCACGGTAGACAAGATCTCGCAGACTGAGGGCAGCACTGCCGAAGACAAGGATGCGAAGAAGAAGCAGCGGGAATCTGGCGGGTTGTCGAAAGTGGACATTGACGAGGTCAATGTTGCAAACACTGTTGGCCGCTTTGTGCGCTGGTACATTGAGGGGCCGGATGACATGGCGGGCAATCGGCCGAGCGCTGCTTCTTCTACTCCTTCCTCCTCTCTGGTTGCTGGTGTTGGCCGTTCGCAGCCACACTCTTTGCGCGCAAGCAGGGCGACGGTAAAGCGCGGGTCTTTCAAGCACGTCGAATAATCAGGCAAACAATTCTTATATGTGGCATAAATTTACTTTGTAACAAGGTGTATATAGTGTGTATACATTGTGAAACGCAAAATTAACTTATGCCAAGTGTGCCAGAGGTGACTTTGGAATGGCGACTTGCTCTATCTGGGGCTGCGGCTGTGGCTGCATTATTTTGCGTGGCAGGCGCGAGCGCTTAGATTCGGACACGCTTGTGGCCTTGACAACCTTCAGCATGGCAGTGAGCTTATGGGTAGTGCGCGACTGCTTGGTCCCGGCCGAGCCGCGCACCAGACCAGATGCTGCCTTGCTACACCCGGTCCCCAGCAACGAAGCTAAAGCTGCGTCTGACTTTTTATGCTGCTTTTTTTGCTTTGTCACTGCGGCGGCAAGCGCCTTTGAGAGCTTCGTCTCTGCCTTCAATGTCGTCGGCGGGCTGCAAATGCTGCTAATTGACATGATATTTGACAAAGTGCGCTTGACCTCGACATCATCGATGTCATCGACGCTGCTGCTCTCGCCATAGTGTGGGGTATCCTGGTCCGTCGCGGCGGAATCGGCGGCCTTGATGGGAAGCAGGCTGATTGCCTGGTCCGAATCACCAGATACATAAAAGTCAAACACATCCTCCCAGCCTCGTGCCGGCTCATCGCGGTTAATAAAGATGGTCTTCCCCGCGCCAGCGCGCTTGGCTTTGAGCGAGCATGAGCGCACGCAGCGAGACATTTCCTTGACCATGCGCTTGATTCCGGGGATCTTGAGTGATGTGCCGATGACAATGAGCAGATCTGGCCTCCGCTTGAGATCGAATTCACTCAGAGCCCCGATAACCTCCTACGAGTTGAATTGAGACAAAAATAAAATAAAAATGGACAATGCTTGAATTGATGCGGTTTTGATATCTAAAATATTACTGCAGCTAAGTGCGTGTGGCTATTGTCGATGCAGGAGCAGTAACTCGAAAAAGCATAAAAATGAAGAACATCAAACGACCAAAAACAAAATAACATTTGTGCTCATTTACAAATGTGGAGAGCAAGTAGCTAGCTAGGGGGAGAGGGGGGTTCACAAATAAACGTCACAATTCATATTCCTTTTTTCAGCAATGTACTTACGCTTTGAGGATGTGCTTCGTTATACAGCACAATATCCGGGCGCAATACACCAGAAGCCACAGCGCGCTTGCCAACCAGATCGCGAATGATTTCAGTCTCCTTGCATCTCGGGCAAGGTGGCGGTGCCCCCTCACAGAATTCTTCGACCAGTTTCTCTGTAAATGGATAACGCGTGTGGCAGATTGTGCATACCACATTGTCCAAGTCTCCATGCAGTTGCACTGCCTTTGTAAATGTTTTGTCAAGGGTCGTTTGTCGCCTGCGCTTGGGGGCCAGTTTCTGCTGTTGTTTTTTGAGCTTTGTCTGTGACCGTGTCTCTGCTCGTTCGCCCGGCTGTGCGTCTAATGATGTGTTTGCCGGCGTGCCGCCTGTAGCAGAGCTGTTACGTTCAGAGAGCTGCAAATTGCTACTGTTACCCTCTGACAAACATTCTTCCTGGCTACCTCTCGCCTTGCCCGAGGCACTGTGGGTGGCGGATGCTGGTTTTTGGAACGACGTCTCCAAGCCAATGCGTTTTTCCAACGAGTCAATGTTCTGTGTGTAGCAGCGCAAGAGCTTGCCGCACTCATCCAGCTCCTTTATAAACATGTGCGTTGGCGTGCAATTGGCCTGACTGACAAGGGTGCGTAGCTCGCCCATGAAGTTGTAAAATACGCTAATCATCCCTGCGTCGCCAAATAGCGTCGCATCAAAGAGATCTTTCCCGTTGGAAACAGAGTTGGGATATTTTTGCTTGAGCTGCTGAAATAGCCCATCAGGAGAGCGAAAGTCGGGGATGCCTGAGGACACGGATATGCCGGCACCGGTTATTATGATACACCGCTGGCAGCCCTGGACGGCGCGCTGGATTTCGCGTAGAGTAGCTGCGCTATCGTCATTATGTTCGGCGGCAGGCGAGGTTGTGGTTGTGGTTTGGCCAGCGCAGTCATTGCTGCCATCCTGCGTGGTGCTGTTGCTGATATCGCGCAAATTCAACCTCTTCATTTCGAATCGAAAAAAATATGTATAGTATGTCAAAAAAAGATGTACAAATAAAATAATAGAAGTGCAAAGCAAAGGAGTGGAACAATCAAATGGGCATGATCCACAAAGGAAGAGCGGGAAGGGGCGAAACATCACAATTTGTGACAATGCGCCTTCTTTCTAAATCCACAATGTTTGTGCGCTCCAAAAAAACTAATTAGAAATTTCTGATATCTTTGGCCAGCAATTGCTCAGAATTCAATGTTCAATATATCTACAAGCTTGATCTGTCCGGATTAAATTTATTTGTAAATTACGGTCTGGTATTCCAGACCGCAAAACAAGCAAAAGTCACATCAAAAGTTAAGCTCGCTCACTCACTCGACTCAGAAAATGTTGGATTTCATCAGTCTGTCCGACAGTCTCCGTCTGCTTCTTGTTCCCCCACCCCAACCAACATGCTGTGATTTCCTTCTGACAGACGTCACTGAGAAGCAGCGGCATTGAGTGTGAAGAGGGATACCTTGAAACACAAGTTTCCACTTTTTTTTTTTAAAAAAACAATCGTTCGACTCGCGGATAAATGTTTGGATATTTGGTATTAAATTCTGTGAGCCCTTTGCACAAATTTCAATGTCTCTCAGGCGTCTTCTTAGCCTGCACGCCTCCTTAAAATACATTTAATATTTTTCGAAGGAAAAAAAACCAGGTGGAATAATTATTTACGTCATGACTGTCTTGTCCTTTTAAGTATTTTCTTTTTACTCTTTGAACTGAAGACAGCACTTAATAAAAATGTGATGGCGAAAAGGGGAAGCGCAAAAGGCTCAAAAAGGATGTCCTGGCGCTTTTTTTTTGTGCGCCAAACATTGGCGATTGGTTTGGAAGCTAAAAAGGGAGGGAGTAAAGCAAAGGAAAAAAGCAGCAGCAATACCGCTTTAAACTGGCCAAAGGAAAACAATGAATTTTTTTCTCGCTCCCTCTTTCTTTTACTTTACATTCATTACTTTTTCCACTATTAATTATTTATATTACACGCCTTTTTTTGAGTACACTTTTTTTTAGCCTTCGTATTATTATCCTATTGACTTTCATCTCTCTGGTTTTTTTCTAATAGAGAGAAGGCCCTGATATTCACACACATATACATCCCCGTTGCATTATATGAAACCTATTTTAGCAAAAGTGACAGTGTACTGGTTGCTGGCAACTAGCGCACTGCTTGCCACGACCACACCCGCAGCTGCCGAGCCCCGGGTGCCGCGCATTCACAAGCGCGTAGTAGAGGTCAGCAGCACAGAAATACTCCCACCCAGTACGCCGGCCACACCAATCCCAAATGTGGCGCTGATGCGCCACCCACGCCAGCTCCTCTCCAATATCCTCGATATACTTAACCCGGGAAACATTGGCAAGGACAGCAGCGACTCAGAGTCAAATGCAGCGGCAGATGGTGAAGAATCCACACAGGTGACAGACGATGAAACCACGCCGACTCAGGAGCCGTCGTCGACCACGCCAACGACCAGGTCTACGAGCAGAAATACGTCCTCGTCAAGGTCTATGTCCGATACCGAGACAACCCCAACTAGTGATACGGGTGATGACGGCGATGTGGTGACAGTTACGAGCTCGACGACGCAGACCAGGGCGTCGTCAAGCACAAGCAAATCGGAATCCTCGACAAAGTCGTCGGACGACAACGACGAGTCAACTGACGACGAGCCCACAGACACAAATGACGATGAGTCCACGCCCACACCCACTGACTCGTCATCATCAGCCACACGTTCGTCTTCTATTTCTTCTACAAAAACCAGCCTGGTTTTGGTGACGGTCACTAGACCCGGAACCACCATCACTGCGATGGTGTCGGCCTCCCCGACCATCGACCAGGCCAATGGAGAGAAGGCCGATGTCGGAGCAGTCGAGAATCTCACCACGGTCATTGTTGCGCCCACAGTCGCCGCCGTTGCTCTGCTGCTCTTGGCCATTTTGTTCTTCCTGCACAAGAAGCGCAAGAACCGAATCAGGTATGATGGCGAGGATGCGTTTGCCAGTGGTCCCACCAAGCCGTATACCCCGCCGACTAAGCCGTACGCCCCGCCGAACCAGGTTAACTCGGTGTTTAACCCTACAGGCCACAGCAACGACGGGTACGTCAAGGAAGAGAATGACCTGTTCACATCTAACGAGAGGCGGATGGGTGACCATTACTCGCCTCCACAGCCGGCTAATGACAATACGCAGCTGCTGCCTAACTCTCAGTACCAGCAGCAGCAAGCTCCCTTTGCTCAGCACGCCACTGGAGACTATATGCAGGCACCCGGAGCTGCGCCTGTGGCTGGAGGAGGGTTGTATGGCGTTCCTCTGCAGCAGCAGCCGTCTCACCAGTCGGTTCGTCAGCCCCCACAGCCGATTATGAACTGGCAGCAACAGCCTCCTCGGCCTCAACAGGGTGCGCCGTACAATAATAACAACAATGGGTATTGGGCCTGAGCTAGGACGTCGGTATCCTTTTGTCTATTTTTAGCACTTCGGAATTAGTGGTGGCCATGCACTTCAAAGTAGCATATTGTTTGGCTTGACTTCGCAAAACGTCGCACGACAAAATTTTTTTCGCAAATATTTGCGTGTATATTTTCTCATATTTCCGTTATTCATTTTCTCGTCGCAGTAAATATCTAAATGACAACAATTTTTACGACTGCACTCGCGATTCGTTGAGGGGATAAAGCATGTCCGTGTTAATTTATAAATATATACATTTTAATTCAAAGCTCTTGCAAAGAACGACCGAGTAACCTCAGGGTTGGGACAATTGGCAGCCTCCCTCTTCGTCTCGGCCTGCGGGATCCACTTTTTAATAGACTCAATGCGTGAATCGGTCGACGGATGCGTGTTGAGGAACTGCGGCGGACTCACGCTCTCTGCAGTCTTCATCCTCTCCCACAGACCTACGGCCTCCCTGGGGTCATAGCAGGCCGACGCCATGAAATACAGACCCAACTGGTCAGCCTCCTGCTCGCACTGCCTGCTGTTGGGCAATTCCAAGAGCAAGCCCGACATGGCCTGGCCAATTTGTAAAACGCTGGGATCAACGAACAGGCTGGCGACCAAGTAGACGAACTGCAGTAAACTGGCCTGCGATAGCTTTTCAGCCGAGTGGCGTGCATACTGGTGGGCTATTTCGTGGGACAGTACAGTAGCCAGTCCGTCTTCGTTAGCTGCTACTGAAAGAATTCCGCTGAAGACAAATATTTTGCCGCCGGGCAACACAAATGCGTTCTTTTCGGGCGACCTAATCACGTGTATCTCCCAGTCCCCCTGCATCCCGGTGGCCTTGATAATGCGCTGCGCAATCCTCCGCACGTAGAGATCCGTAGGGGTGCCACGCGGCTCCAGCTGGTTCCGGTACTGAGATATGATCGAGAGATAGGCCTGCGAGCCCGCCTGCTGCTCGTCGTCGCTCGTGACGTTGATGAAGCGCCGGCGGCCAGTGGGCGAGTCCTCGAGGTGCACTTGGTAGTAGATGGCGCCGCCAGTGCCAGCCACTCCGGTCGTGTACCAGAATCTGCGCGTTTGCCAGAGAGGTATCTGCTGATACTGATACTGCCGCTGCCGCTGGTCTTGGTCGTTGTGGCTGTCGTTGGTGCGTCGGTATGGGTTTTTTTGAATTTGCAAGGAGCGGTACTGCGAGTAAATCGAGGCCGGCGCGCGGCGAGGCGCAGCGAGAAAAAGGATCCTTCGGAATAACATTTTACTAAAACTGCCTTATTGTTTAGAAGACAAAAAGGTGTATTTAATTATTGGTAATATGGAAAGGCAAGAACGAAAGAAAAATAAAGTGATCAGGCGATGAACGAAAATTGGGGCGGATGACGTCTTGGGGACCAAAATGTTGATGCGGATTGCAATTCTCACATGCAATGCTTTAGGAAATCTGCAGGCAGTTTGCACCTATTTCATTTGCACTATAGATACATCAAAATTTAAATAGCGGATTCCTTTGTACAAAAAAAAAGACAATTTTGATGGCTTGTCATGTCCATCCGTCTGTTTGTCACGTACTCTATGTTGCACAACGAATCTCTCTTGCCTCTCTATTTGTTTGTTTGTTTGTTTTTTGTGTATTTTTTACTTTTGTTTATAGTGAATGTGCTTCTGGGTCTGAATTTGCGAGTTTAGAGGAGCAAATAAACTCATCCAACACCAATAGCCTTTTTGTACTTTGTTCTTTTAATTATATATATCGGATTCTCATTGGTTACCATACACAAAATCATTGCAAAATAAGCTTGTTTTCAAGCCATTCGCTCGCATATTTTTATACATATTTTAAAAAAAATTCGGTTTGTTTGTTTGTTTATAATAATTCCCTCCCCTGTAAATAAGGGTCTATTGACTTTTTTTGACAAAAATGAATGGCGAGTTTACTTTCAGGTCGTCTGCGGATGACGTAGAGCAAGCCCAACAAATAGAGGATGAGTATGGCGATGGCGGGGCACTGGACCTGTCAGAAGAGTTTGAGCACTTCCAGCCATGGGACTCGCCACGGCTTCATGTCGGGCAGCCATTGCTCAGCGACACATCGACGATGATAGACGACAGCGCCATGGGGTCAGCAGAGCCGTTCCCGGGATACAATAGTATTGGCGCGCAGCAGCCGCAGGATTCAGCGAGCGGCGCGAGCGCCACAAACCACTACCACTATTACTACCAACAGCAGCAACACCACCACCCCCACCACTACCACTACCCCAGCAGCAACAGCAACAGCAACAAGCAAGGGTATGCTTTCCGAAAGCGCCATATTCCGTCCGAGAACGATTTTCCTGTGGGGGAGCCAATATCATCGGACCCATTGACATGGTACTTGGAAAACAATCCTGGGTCTCTGGGACCAGCTTCAGGCGCGGCAGCGGCGGCGGCCAATTCGGGAAGCAATGCGTGGTTAGCCCAGCTCCTAAGAGCAAATGAGATTGGTGGCGAGTGGACGGACGAAGAAAGTATGTCAAAGCGGTGGAGCCAGCGAAGGGACACGATTGAGTCGCTGGCCAACGATGACGGCGAGTTCAGCCGCTATGACCCGCACTGGGACGACATGATCACGTTCCGCCAGACACGCATGCGAGTACCGAGGGAGCGTGCGTGGTCAGGTTCCGAAACATCGTCGGTTTGCGAACCCACCGTGAACGTGCGAAAAGGCGGGTGGCGCCGGATGCTGCCCCTGGCTACACACCCGGTAGGACGAGCACTGGTTCTGACTGCATTGCCTGTGCTTATTGTTCTCTTGTGGTGCTCTGTGCCCCTGCGCACTGACACGGTCATTAGGCCGGATGGGCCGGTGGAGCGGCTAAACTTTTGGTTTTTCCTTTTCTTCTATTACGGCATCTACAATGCCGTGGCGTTGTCTCTGGTGACGCAGATATTCCATGTTTACTCATTGACGTGGTGGCCACGGTCTATGTCTGGAGTTCTGGCCAATGTCATTTCGTGGGTGTTTACCACGTCCCTGGGTGCCCTGGTCTACATGCTCGACACGGGCATCGAAAAGGACCCGCTGATGTGGACATCCCTGACCTTGCTGACGCTGTTTCTGCCCGTGCTGATATCGTTTGTCAGCATCCAGCAGCATCACCGGCGGTCAAAGCGTAGGCTGCAGGGCTCGGCCGAGGAGCGGCCCCTGGTTGCCACAGCTACGGAATGGCGCACGCCCACGTCGTATCGCCGCTTCCTCTGGTTCTGCTCCTCTTTCCTCCTGTGGTACGCTGCTTTGGCATCCGGCGAGTACCTCGCGTACGTATACACGGAGACCCTGCCGCACTCGACCAAAGACGGGTTCTACTACGTGTACTCGTGGATTGCCACCGTCAACATACTGTCTGCCACTGCCAGCTGGGTAGTCAGCACCAAGGTGCGCTCTTGGCCACTGCAACACATCTACACGCTGTACTTCTTCATGACGTACTTTATCTTTTATCGCAACCTGTTCTCGCGCTTGCAGAACCCTGAGCAGGTTGTGTTTATTCAGCTGGTGTCATCTCTGTGGGTCGTCTTTATTTATCCGCTGAGAATGGCCCATTGGGTCTATCGCTGCCAGGCCTTTGTTTGCCGCTGGGGCGACGACTACCCGTACGATATCTATGTCAAGCAACTGGGGAGGGCGTTCTTCTTGCGGAACAAGGCCGAGAATGCCACCATGCTAGGGTTCCTGTGCTGGGTCACAGTTTTGCATTTTGGCCCCAATCGCCACCACTATCCACATTTCCGATTCAACCCGAGTGACGATGAGTTCAACTACAAGTATGGCCTGATTGTGCGTGCCTCGGTGTACGTGTGGATCAGCGAGCTGATGTCGGGTCGAGTTGTTAGGTGCCTGTTCAGGTGGATCTACAATCACAATATCAGCTGCGAGGCCGTCGATGATTTCCGTCGCTATCCGCATGTCGTGCCAGTCATGGTTCTGGTGACAATTCACGTTCTGCAAAATATACTATTTGGCATGATTCACCTGGACTTTAGCTAGTCTCCAATAAGGTGCCTTACTTTTTCTTGTTAATTTTATTTTGCATCCCTTAACACAGACAACGAAAAACCGACTCTTGACTCCTAGTTCTTGATCTGGGACACGGCATCGTCGTAGCGTTTGGCCACGTCCTTCCAGTTGATGACACGCCAGATGTTCTTAAAGTAATCGACCTTGACGTTGTTGTAATCTAGGTAATATGCGTGCTCCCAGGCATCTACACCAAGCAGGGGGACGTGCCCGACTGACGAGGGCATGTCCTGGTTGGCCGTCGTAATGACGTCCAGCTGGCCCTTGGGGTTGAGCGTCAGCCATCCCCATCCGGATCCGAAAATGCCCGCTGTCTTTCCGTTAACCACCTGCGTCAGCTGGTCCAACGACCCATACTGCTCGATGATCTTTTGCTTCAGAGCACTCTCATGCAACTGGCCGCCGCCGTTTTTCTCGCCAATAAGGTTTTTCCAGAAGATCGTATGGTTGACGTGGCCACCACCGTTAAAGTTAATAGCCGAATGCAGAGCCACTTGGCCGGCAATGTCGTTTTTGGCCTGTGCGGCGAGGAACTTCTCCTCAGCAACGTTCAGGTTGGCGACATAGGTTGCATGGTGCTTGTCGTGGTGCAGCTTCATAATTTTGGCCGAAATAACAGGCTCCAGCTCGTTGTAGTCGTAGTCGAGATCAGGGACAGTATGCTTGGTACGGATGCTACCCAGCACGCTGCTGCTGCGAGCGACCTGCTTGGCCACAGTGGTAAGAGTTCTGGTGGCAATGAGCATAGCTTAACTAAATTTAGTAATATAATATAATATAATATAATTATTTGAAGACAAAAAAATCTAAAGAAGCAAAGAAAGGTTTGTCATTTTTATTTGTGTTTGTGGAGATAATGTGAATAAAAGATAATCACATTTTATTTTCAACTTTCACTCCCCTCATCCACTTTTCTTTACTATTTCCGCCCGACAAATCAGTAGATCATCACTTTCCCACTTGATTATTATGAAATATCTGGTCCAGGCTGCAATTGGCACACTCCAACTATATAACTTATTTTGCAGCAGTCGCTGCACACATCAGTAAGTAATCATTATATGAAGTTGGACCTCAAATAAAACAAAAACAAGGAAAAATAAGGAAATCTTAAGAGAGCTGGCGGCAGTCAGATATAATGACATGTTTACTGGTACCACCTGACTGGCTGCCATATGCCTCAATTCTCTTGAGTGTCCATACCCTCAATGACTTTGCCAAAGACAACATGCTTGTTATCCAGCCAGTCAGTTTTCACAAAAGTGATAAAAAACTGAGAGCCATTGGTATTTGGGCCAGCATTTGCAATAGCCACAGTGCCTGGACCATCGTGCTTGAGAATAAAGTTTTCATCTTCAAATAGTGTGCCATTAATTGATTTGCCACAAGTACCATCCCGATTTATAAAGGCACCGCCCCGCACCATAAAGCTGGGAATTACGCGATGGAATGGGCTACCCACGTAGCCAAAACCCTTACTGCCAGTACACAACTGGAGAAAGTTATCGGCAGTCTTGGGAACAATGTTAGCGTACAGAAGAATGTTGATATTCCCGATTGGGTTACCACCAGAAGTAATGCTAAACGATACGACGGGGATTAAAGTACATATTTGTAAAAATCAGCTGTTTGTAAGTGTAAATTAAAAACTAGTGAAAATAAGATGGTGTTATAGTAAGAGGGGGGTGTGAGGAGCACTAGTTGTCTAGTGTTAAAAGTTAGGGGTGATTTTATAAAAGGTTTTATTACTGATGTTTCTAAAGTACTGCTAGGGGCCAGCCTCATCTTATATATGTGCCCTGTCGCCTTTGTTGTGCCCATTGTCAATTGTGCGCTCCGTTGGTGAGAACTGGATCTTCTGCGAGCAGACCGGTATCTTGGGAAGTCAATGTTGTGGTTTTCGTGCGTGTACGCTCATGCGTGTGCATTGCAGAATGGGGAGCATGTTTGGGCATCAATGTAATGCCTCCCTAATTTTCGCCTGTATAATCCAATTAATACCCTATCAATCGGGATGCAGATGGAAACTTGTTTCGCGATTGTCAACCTCAACATCCACTTCCATATCTTTGGGTTGTGCAACAGTATTATATGTATACTGTGTTCTAATTTACTTGGGTTTTTGATATATTTTGGTGACAATGGACAATGATCGCTGAGTACATTATTGCCACTGAACCGCTGGTATTGTGAGGAGAAGGTGTATGAGCAATATTGTAGTAATATTAGAAAAGTAGGGGGTGATTTTATAATTGGGTTTTGATACCAGCGTTTCTAAAGTGCTACCAGCACCGGCCTAGGCTTATATATGTGTCTCCTTGCCTCCGCTGTGCACTCTGCCAGCTGTGCACTCCGTTGGCGAAAACTGGTTATTATGAAAATAACCTGGGTCTCTGATATGCCATTGTTGTGGCCTTTGCTTGTGTACGCCAGTGCACACATATTTCAAGACAGAAAATGTGTCTGGATGACAATAGTGGCGCCTGATTTGAGCCCCTATGATCTAGTCCATATTAAATCTATTAGCCTGCAGGCGGGAATCTGTTTCACGATTCTCAACATCAACACTCACTTCTATATCATCAAACTGCTCAACAAATTGATATGGTAACTCAATCCAAGACTGATGCTATCTTTTACACAATACTTAATCTACCGACTTGGCAATTATTACATTTCAGGACAAGACATTGCGTCTTCATGGTACTTGAGGACACCGACGTACAATAGAAACGACATTTGATGACATCAGCGTTCATAAAATAATCATCGACGCTGGTTTAATCCTGGCGCATAGCAATTAAAGCAAAAATACCATGTGCAGTCGGCTATGTCCGCCTTTGAAGTAAAAATAAAAGTATTTGCAATATAATTTGGATATAATATTAAATGAAAATGAAAATGGTAAAATAAACCTAAACATCATCGCTCTGCTCGCTAGCCTCGCTCGACCCTCCCGTGCGGCGTTGGTCGTCCAAAATCTTTCTGCAGTCATCGGCATATTTATCGAGAATGTCTACAAACTTCTTAGAAATCTCAGACGCTTTTTCTGCACGCTTTTCAATTGGATCGATGCACTGGTAGGTGCGATTCTTTAGGAGTAATGCGTGTCTTGCAAAGCTTGTGAGTCCAGGTCGGGACACTGGCACAGATAAGTCGTCGTTAGTGTCATCATACACCCTCCGAACACGAGTTCCCACAAACTCTGGCCCGAATTCAGCATTATCGACAAGCGCAGTGCGGAGATCATGTAGCAAACATTGAAGCAGTTTTATGTCTTCAATATCTGGATTCAGGCAGAAAACAATATCAGATAAGCCGTCACTGGAATTTAGATATGTGCGCTTCTTCTTAGCAATAGCTATGTACGGACCAGACATGTGCCACTCGCAAATAAGCGGCTTAATTTCCTCACCCCAACAATCCACTTTTTTTGCGCGTAGAGTCTCCGTGCTAAATCCGAATGTTCCAAGCCAGGCCAAAACATAAATCAATGCTTCGCAATCGTCGAGTACTGTGCGCGTGTTGTTGTTCCCCTCCAGGTCATTGATAGGGAGGAACTGGAGTGTTCCGGAGCGCTCACTGCGAACTGTACGACTCTGCGAATCGAGGTTGATGGCATGGTCATAATCGATCAACATGCCCTTGACGGTGCCATCCATCATACGCCGAAATAATATGTTTTTCGGACATATGTCATGGTGAAATATATGGCAGTTCTCGGCAATGGTGTGGTGAGCACGCATAGCATCGGCACAAACAATGATTAGCTCTTTAATGGTCTTTAGCTCGTTGAGAGGCAGACCAATTGGCGACATAGCAATGCGCTTGTGTGCACGCAGGGGAATCTTCTGAATCTTCTCACCAACCCGGACATCGTCAAAAAGATCGCCAAGAACACTGCGCGTTGTGTCCTCTGCAAATGTGTTGTCCTCTGCAAATGTGTTGTCCTCTGCAAATGTGTTGTCCTCTGCAAATGTGTTGTCCTCTGCAAATGTGTTGTCCTCTGCAAATGTGTTGTCACTGCAACTCTGGAATTCAACTCGACCGCCGGCTATGAGGACCGGGTATGTGCCTGCAAGCTCTGGGTGGCTCTTGAGAGTCTGTGTGATTTTGCGTAGGTGAGCGACCTCGTCGCGCATGTCCTCATCGTTGCCATCAGCCACTTCGGTCCAGGAGTCCTTGATTATCACATGGCAATCATCCCGAGTGATGGGCCTTTTGTCGGTTGGCCTGACATCTGTTGCTAAAAAGCACCGTGTTCGCTTCCCAAATGGCTGGTCGGATACAATAACTAGATCATTACTGTAATAGGTGTTCCACTTGGGTTTTGGAAAACCACTGCAACCACTGCCGCTATTGTTTTCGCCGCCGCTATTGTTTTCGGTGCCACTATTGTTTCCGCTGGCGCTATTTTTTCCATCTCTGCCGCTATTTCTGCTCCCGCTATTGTTTCCGCTGGCGCTATTTTTTCCATCTCTGCCGCTATTTCTGCTCCCGCTATTGTTTCCGCTGGCGCTATTTTTTCCATCTCTGCCACTATTTCTGCTGCCGCTATTGTTACCGCCGCTGATACTACTGCCACCGCTGCTACTGCTGCCACCATTGTTGTCATCGCATAGTGCTATTGGGACTTTGATTTGGTAGCAGCGGATGTCTGCCAGGTACTTGAGCGTCGGGTCATATCCCAGCCGGTAATCCTCCGTGTACGAGTAATTGGCAATTACATGCACAAATTCTCGCAGCCCAGGCTTTGTCCGGATGTCGAACTCGTGGGACTGGAGGACGTAGTGGGGCCCAAAAACGTAAGCAGAAATTACGCTCCCGCAAATTGTCCAGCCCCATGGGAAACGCCGGTCATGCTGATTGGCATGGACATTGCGAATATACCGCAGGACTTGGGATGCAGCACCCAGTTTGTCGGCGGCAGACGACCCTGTTTTGGCTTCTATAATGCCAAAGAGCGAACTATACCACACCTTTCCTGCAGATGCGCGAGTAAGCTTTGCAACATTCTTCCACTTGAAGACTGTGTCGCAAACAGGAGCATCTCGAGGCTTGAGCTCGACACCAATGTCAATGCGCTCTGCATCCTGTGCATCCTCCAACACAGTGTCGGCTGTACATGAGGGCAGAACTAGCCGACGAAGCAGTGACTGGTTTCCACTCGGCGTTTTGTGCTGATCCAGCCACTGGATGGCACGTGCAATAAAGCAAAGGAGGGCGGTGATGCATGGATACATTGACCTCTCATTGCCCTGCACCTTGCTTGTAAACGGGCTGACCTTGCTTGTCCAGTCTGAATATGCCATGCTGTGCTCGCGCAGCTTGGACAAGAGGGACATGAAGTCGTCAGGGCTTTCAAGAGAAGTATGCTGCTCCAAGCCATTGTCTTGCATAAGCAATGGATGCAGAAGCTGTTTCAGCTGTCTTGCATCATCGGGTGTGTTAGGCATATTTGCAAATATGTCCATTACTTTGCAGACAATGCCAGCAACATTTTCTGCCTCCTCCTGGTGCCTTTTAGACTGCGGCACCGCCAAACCAAGCACTTTGGCAAAAGGGCCGAAAACATGGTCCCTAAAGCCACGCTTGGCCTCCTCCTTGTGCGCATTTGAAATATGCGTTGCCGATAAACCAAGAGTAGAATTGGTATTCGCGTTCCCGGTGGAGGCCTTGATGGGCGTGTTTTTTGGCGGGTTAAGTGCGTCTTTTTTTTTCTGGGGCGTACCAGCTAAAAATAAAACAAAAATGCACAAAATAAATAACATCAAAATTGAAATAATATGCATATTAGTTTTTAAAATACAACCCCAATTTATATTATAATGTGTGTTAATAATTGTTTACATGTACTTACACTTTTTTTGAATTTTTCGAGCCGGCGGGATTAGCTGATGGTTACGCGCACTGTGGCCTGCGCCTTCATCGCTAACCCCACTTTCGCCCATTCTTTTTACGGTCATTTTCTTGTAAATAAAGATAGCTGAGTACAATATAAAATGTGCAATCTTAATGAAACAAAGTCAGTTGCTGCACTTCAGTTTTGCCATACCAGGCTTTCTTCTTTCCACAGCATGTAAACAAACCCTGCTGGCACAAGCAAAATCCTGGTTCAATTTGCAGCGTGACGGTAATGGCTTAGCTCAATGTCTAAGCCATTGTCCAACCTGTTGCCAGAGCCAGGCCATTCAAACCCAATTGCAACAATAACAAAAAAAATTAAATTATTTGTGCTTATTCTATATCCTATGTGCCATTCTCTATTTTTTGGCACAATGGCTTGGAGCGATTGTATTACAAAACATTAGTGAAAATTTTAATAAAACTCGGGGGCATGAGCAGATACTGCCATATGAGAGATTGAAGCTATTCCTGTGCATTGGTAAGCAGATTAGCCGGTGTGGCAGATGGGTGGGCAGTTGTTTGGCTGTAAGTGTAGTGTGGGCGCATTGTACATAGCAGTGGGTTCGGCTGGCCGTGTGTTGAGCGCATCAGCAAGAAAAAAGCTCCAGCGGGCTCTTTTTCGCCTGGCTCGAAGTGGGACATGGCCATATTCTATATTCATATACAATATCCATATGTCGCGTAGATCATTTTAGTTACCGCCAAAAATAAATCCAGCTCGCGATTGCCCAATCAGTAATCACGCGAACCTGTTGTAAATTAATTTTTATATTTGAATTCGTGGGCAGACGTTTTGTTTTCGGTTGTCCAAACAATATTAAAAGCATTCTCTTTCCTCTTGTTTTCGCACAATTTTCTCTTCACTTTTCACCAATTCACTTTAACCCAAATTCACGCTTTCATTTGTCATTATTAAATTCATTCACTTTCACTTCGCGTCTCGCTTCCATATTCCTACATTCACTCACACACCCATTTCCTTCTTATCATTATTACCACCTTCGCCATGTCCGCTGTTGTCTTGGGAAAGAGGGTTTGTCAAAACGACTGTGCTCAGCCAGCTTCTACAAAGCGGCCGAAGCAACACATGAACCCTTCCCAGCCAACAAACACAAAAAGAAAGGCGGACGCGGCTTCCGAGCAGGCATCCTCCGGCAAGAGAGCGAAGAGAAGCGCGGATAATGCTGTCAACACTGCACCACCGCAAAACAACGTCAACCATATTTTTACGGAGAATACTGCTTCGCGCGAAATTAAGACCCAGCCTGCGCCCACTACGCCGTCTGATAGTAAGTGGCTCGTTGTGCTTTTTATTTTGCAGATGATTATAAGGACCGACAAACATGCCTGCAGCCAGCGTAAAGTGCTTTGGCGCGCTCACAACATACTAACATCATATTATTTTTATCTTATTAGTGGGCAGCACAGCAAACGAGGACAGTCTGGCTAGCAACGAGCAGGCCGGTGCAGCATCCGTCTCTCGCTCTGGCAACACTTGCATCGATGCCAAGGTCAGCACGTTGGAAAGACAAAATATATTTGAGCGCATGGAGCCGGCAATGCGCGAGTTGAAGAGGCATCTTAGCGGACCACATCCTGGCGTCGTTGAACTGGCAGTCCCGTTGACTGTGGGCTACAAACAGAGGGCGGCCACGGTTGCCGAGGCTATCCACCGGGCTATGGAGTGGCATGGTTCTGGCTCGAACCACACGCCGGCTGGCGACTTGGCCATTTTGGAAGAGCTCATCAACACTGACTCACTTCGGTCTGCTAGGCTGACTCGCTCGACACACGCCGCTATTGCTTATTTGGCGAGCAAGCTCAGGGAGAACCACAACGTGTTTTCCAAGTGGATGCGCACACACACATCTGGCGGCGACGAAAGCGACAGCAGCAGCGACAGCGACAGCGACAGCAGCAGCGACAGCGACAGCGACAGCGACAGCGACAGCAGCAGCGACAGCGACAGCAGCAGCAGCAGCGCGAGCAAGGGCGCCGGGTCGTTCATCTCGTTTGTCACTTGTCTTATTCAGGGGCTGCATCAGCACGCCAAGGGAGAGCACGGGCGTCCCGAGCCACGCCGAGTGCTCATTCCGCCTGCTGCAGTTGGTGTCGAGCCAGAGCACACGCAGGTCAATGGTCCGACTGACATGGTCATCGAGCCTGCACCGATCACTATCGCCATCGCCGCAGCCGACAGCCCCGAGGCAACGTTGGATGACAGCACAAACCCTGTTGAGGATGACGACGATGTCTACGTCAATAAGTGGTACGCCGGCCTGTTTGCCGCCATCGAGGTCAGGCAGGAGTCGTCGTCGGATTATGTGGACGACGCCGAGCTGCAGCTGTCTAAGCACTGTCGCAGCATTTTTTGCGCACAGCTCAACCGGCGCTTTGTTTGGGGCCTGACTATTTGCGGCAGCTTTGTCCGGGTGTACTTGTTTGGCTCCAACTTTGTTCTGGTCTCCAACACCATGAACATTCGCACTAAGGCGGGCCGCGGCGAGGCCATCAGGCTGTTTGTTAACTTGTCCTTTGCCGAGGACCACCGGCTGGGTTTCGACCCAACCATCAAGTACTTGCAAGGCCTTGACTGTTGGGAGATTACGGTTCCTGGCACAGCTGCCACGGACAGCGCCGACAGCACGGGCAACAGCGGTGGAACTGACGGTTCTTCTGGATCTTCTGAGCGCACATTTTACAGTAACCATATGGTCGTCGAGGTTAGTCACTTGTTTGGGCGGCTCACGCGGTGCTTTCTAGCAACAGATAAGAAGCCAACCAAAGAAAATCGCATCAGAAGCAAAAACTGCACTGTTTTTATCAAGGACGCTTGGACCGAGGTGGCCGATGGTAGTGTCGACAAGGACGCGCGCGATGAGGTCGCTCACCTGCGCAAAATCACACATACTCTCGAGCGCTATCCAGAGCTTGCGGGTACATACCCACTCCTCGAAGCCGGTGGTCGCGTTGAATTCCAGAGTTGCAGCGACCACACATTTGCCAAGGACACGACGCGCAGTGTTCTCGGCAATCTTTTTGACGATGTCAGAGTTGGCGAGAAGATTCGGAAGCTGCCCCTGTGCGCACACAAGCGCATTGCCACATCGCCAATTGGCATGCCGCTTGATAAGCTCCAGTCCGTTCCAGAGCTGATTATCGCTGTCGCCGATGCTATGCGCGCTCACCGCGCCATTGCCGAGCACTGCCATATATTGCACCGCGATATCTCAACAGGCAACTTCCTGTTCCGGCGTATGGAGGGTGGCGCCGTCAAGGGCATGTTGATTGATTTTGACCACGCAATTGACTGCGAGGATCCAGACACGATGCCGCAAAAAGAACAAATCGGCACACTTCCATTCATGAGCGTGAACAACCTCGAGAAGAACAGCAACAGACGCACGGTGCTCGACGATTATGAAGCATTGATTTATGTTTTGGCCTGGCTTGGGACATTCGGGTTTAGCACAGAGACTCGGCGCGCAAAAGAAGTTGATAATTGGGGTGAGGAAATTAAGCCGCTTATTTGTGAGTGGCACATGCCTGGTTCGTATATAAATATTTCCATGAAGAAGCGCATTTATTTACATTCCAGTAGCGACTTTTCCGATATCGTTTGCTGCCTGAATCCAGACATTGAAGGCATAGAACTGCTTCAATATTTGCTACATGATCTCCGCATTGCGCTTGTCGATAATGCTGAATTCGGGCCAGAGTTTGTGGGAACTCGTGTTCGGAGGGTATATGATGACACTAACGACGACTTATCTGTGCCAGTGTCCCGATCTGGACTCACAAGCTTTGCAAGACACATATCACTCCTAAAGAATCGCACCTACCAGTGCATCGATCCAATTGAAAAGCGCGCAGAAAAAGCGTCTGAGATTTCTAAGAAGTTTGTAGACATTCTCGATAAATATGCCGATGGCTGCAGAGAGATTTTGGACGACCAACGCCGCACGGGAGGGTCGAGCGAGGCTAGCGAGCAGAGCGATGATGTTTAGGTTTATTTTACCATTTTCATTTTCATTTAATATTATATCCAAATTATATTGCAAATACTTTTATTTTTACTTCAAAGGCGGACATAGCCGACTGCACATGGTATTTTTGCTTTAATTGCTATGCACCAGGATTAAACCAGCGTCGATGATTATTTTATAAACGCTGGTGTCATTAAATGTCGTTTCTATTGTACGTCGGTGTCCTCAAGTACCATGAAGACGCAATGTCTTGTCCCGAAATGTAATAATTGCCAGGTCGGTAGATTAAGTATTGTGTAAAAGATAGCATCGGTCTTGGGTTGAGTTGTCGTGCTCTATAAAAATGTGGGTCTAAATCGATATATTCAAGTCTTAAAAATTACTTAACTGAAAAAGGGGGGCAGCGCTGTGTGGGCAGCGCTGTAAACATCATGGTGTTCCTTGATGTCAGCCAGCAATAACAGAAATGTGTATAGTGGCCATGAGGGCAATCTTGATTCTTGAAAAGGGAAGATAGTGGCTTGAAATGTGTGTTGGGCACCACATGAGTTACCATATCAATACATATTCAATATTATAATTTACCACGATGGGCAAACCTGTAGTGTAACACATATCAAACGGCATATGGTTGGTGTTGTAGTGAATGGTGCTATTGACTACTTACTAATAAGACAATTAAAAATAAAGCTGTATTCCCTTTCTTCTCGAATATTGGTCTACCAGCTTGCTATTTATAACATTTTAATACAAGTGAGCGCTGTCATGTTAATATTAGTGGAAACTAACGTACAAAGGCGATGTACAATAGAAGCGTCCTTTAATGTCGGCCCACATTTAATAAGGACCATTGATTTGAGCTGATCGAGAAAGTGTGTAAAATATATATCTATTATCTCAGTCCTCAAGCCAAGATCATTGGAAAAGAAGGAGTCAACAATAATTGTGATTGTGTGCCTTTGTATTATATACAAGGTGCTGATTGTCGTTGGCTCAACCAGCCAAGAGATCCCATGGTTATCAAGTGGAAAAAATGCACAAGAATGCCAACCCCAACAGAAACGTGCTTCACCAGGACACTGCACCACCTCACAAATCAAAATATACCTTGGACCACATTTCACTGATTGGGATAAAACAACCTGCAACACCACCGTACCCACCAGATCTAGCACCCTGTGTCCTTTGGCTTTTCCTGTGCATCAATGATAAGCTCAGAGGCCACAATTTGAATGACATTTGAGTGGTTAAATGTACATGGTAATCTGAGCTCGATTCCCTGACACGCAATGAATTCAGGGTTTGTTTCAAGAAATGGTTAAAAAGGTGACATTGTGTGATTGAGCAAAGAGAGGCTTATTTTTATTAAATATAGAATTCAACAGTTTTATACGAAAAGTAAAATAATTAGTATCACCCTGATATCTGGCCTAGGTTGCAATTGGCACACTCCAACTAACTGATGTGTGCAGCGACTGCTGCAAAATAAGTTATAAAGTAATCATTATATGAAGTTGGACCTCAAATAAAACAAAAACAAGGAAAAATAAGGAAATCTTAAGAGAGCTGGCGGCAGTCAGATATAATGACATGTTTACTGGTACCACCTGACTGGCTGCCATATGCCTCAATTCTCTTGAGTGTCCATACCCTCAATGACTTTGCCAAAGACAACATGCTTGTTATCCAGCCAGTCAGTTTTCACAAAAGTGATAAAAAACTGAGAGCCAATTGGTATTTGGGCCAGCATTTGCAATAGCCACAGTGCCTGGACCATCGTGCTTGAGAATAAAGTTTTCATCTTCAAATAGTGTGCCATTAATTGATTTGCCACAAGTACCATCCCGATTTATAAAGGCACCGCCCCGCACCATAAAGCTGGGAATTACGCGATGGAATGGGCTACCCACGTAGCCAAAACCCTTACTGCCAGTACACAACTGGAGAAAGTTATTGGCAGTCTTGGGAACAATGTTAGCGTGCAGAAGAATGTTGATATTCCCGATTGGGTTACCACCAGAAGTAATGCTAAACGATACGACGGGGTTTAAAGTACATATTTGTAAAAATCAGCTGTTTGTAAGTGTAAATTAAAAACTAGTGAAAATAAGATGATGGGTTATAAGATACTATTTTATTAACTTTGCTTGGACCTTGCCAACTATTTATAATGATATTTTTATGAAATTCTTATATGGTTGCAGTAAATGTTTTGCATATTTGCAAATCGAATAAAACATTATTCGTGTGTTTTGGTATACTGTGCCAGAAAGTTCCATTCAATTATTGGTTAAAAAGCCACATTTAGTAAGAAAACATCGACATGCATTATTCCCTGCTACCAAGATTGTAAACAATGTATTATATGTATACTGTGTTCTAATTTACTTGGGTTTTTGATATATTTTGGTGACAATGGACAATGATCGCTGAGTACATTATTGCCACTGAACCGCTGGTATTGTGAGGAGAAGGTGTATGAGCAATATTGTAGTAATATTAGAAAAGTAGGGGGTGATTTTATAATTGGGTTTTGATACCAGCGTTTCTAAAGTGCTACCAGCACCGGCCTAGGCTTATATATGTGTCTCCTTGCCTCCGCTGTGCACTCTGCCAGCTGTGCACTCCGTTGGCGAGAACTGGTTATTATGAAAATAACCTGGGTCTCTGATATGCCATTGTTGTGGCCTTTGCTTGTGTACGCCAGTGCACACATATTTCAAGACAGAAAATGTGTCTGGATGACAATAGTGGCGCCTGATTTGAGCCCCTATGATCTAGTCCATATTAAATCTATTAGCCTGCAGGCGGGAATCTGTTTCACAATTCTCAACCTCAACATCCACTTCCATGTCCTCAGGCTACGCAACACTGGCAACACAAATGTATCAAATATCACATTTTTTATTAAAAAAATCACGCATAAATTAAAAAAGGGATAAATATTTTTTGTATGCCTAATTTGATCAAACAAATTACCGCGAAATAAATATCCAGGAACAAAGGAAAAAGCATTTTATTGTTATTTTCAAACCCAAAAAGAAAAATTTATTTAAAATAATTCAACACATTCTCTTATTTCAATCCATTAAAAATTGCAGACAATGAGTTCAGGCGAAACCGACGGATTCACACTAGTTACAGCCAAGTCCAAGCGGGGCCGAGCAGTACATAAAACCCCCGCCCCATACCCAACTACCAGTACCACCCATACTACCAGCCTCTACGCAGCAACATCAACAGAATCAACTACACCCACCGCAGCAATACTGTCCAAAAAAAACGGCCGCACAAAACCCATTCACCAGCACCAAGACGTAACCCAATCTGCAAACACAGCAGCGATTGACTCTCTCATATCCAAAATCGACTCCAAGCGGTACACCATCCGGACTAGCGGATATCTCACCAGTCTCCAACCTCACCTAGATATACTTCTCGAGCATAACCCGGATGAAATAATATGCTACGGACTTGGTTCACCTCTGGCTTCTACGGTATCGCAATGGCAATTGGCCTTGATTCTCGAACTCAACCATGGCCTCGGTACCCTGCCTATTCTGGCATTTGACCCAGCGACGACCGCCCAGGATCACATAGCACTGGGAAAACTCAATGTATCCCTGATTTCCATAAATGAGAAAGCCCAGAGGGCAGTTTCCTGTCGGACATTGTTTTACATGCCGCATTGCGAGCAATTCCTCTACGAAAACCTCGTAAGAGCGAATTGGTTCAAGGAGAGGATCCCCCAGCTGATCATTCTGGGAAATAGGTTTGCCCAGTATAGGGAGGCACAGGGCCCGGAGGAATTTAAAAAGAGGTCAGTGTTTTTGGATCTGTTTTTGGAGTGTTTGGATACTGTGGTGGAGTTGCCTGGTGAGAGCGGGTTGAGGATTAGACATTGTCCTTATGCGTTCACAGATACCTGTCTTCAACGCGTGGATCGGAACAAGCTGGTGTCTATTGATTTTGGAAATGAAAAGGATGATGAAGGAGGAAATCAGCCCGAGCTTGGTTTTAAAAAAACGACTCCTCCAAAACAAAGACCTGTTAAGCGGATAAAGTAAATAGATAATATATTTCATAAATCACTATTTTGAAGAAGAAAAATACTGTCCTATATAATTTTTTTTCATTATTTCAGTTAGTATCCCGGAGGGTAATTATACTGAAAGTTCACAGGTTGCTGCTGCTGCTGTATCTGTCCATAAACGCCACTAGCAAACCGACCAACAAACGCTATCGCCTGATTTACCCAAAACCCATTCCCACCCAGCCCCACCGGTTCTTTCCCACTACCTCCCATCACCTCAACAAAATAATAATATGCCGCAAAGCAAACCACCAACGCGACCACCCCCACAATCAACAGGAACCGCAACAAGCGATAGATCGTATTACTAAAGAATCTCACCACAAAAAGCGTTATGCGAGCACTTATGTAAATGAGAATAGCCTCGAGAACATACGCAAGAGTGGTGGGGCCGCCGAGTAGTTGGGTGAGGTGGGTTAACAGTGGGTATTGATTGCTAGTGCGGTGGAGGAGGTCGCTGCAGAGCGGGAAGGCGTGCCGGTGGATGAGGGAGGCGAGCGTGCAGGCATGTTTCGAAAGCTGCGTGGCGAATTCAACGTATGACATTCTATTTCTGGCGATTGTTATATAATTTTTTTGAGGAGAAATTGTTAAAACAAATAAATAAAATACACTTAAAGTAAACAGAGAAAAAAGAAAAGGAAAGAAAGGAAAGAGAAATCGTGAAATGATAAAAAATTAAATACTGGGCATGTGAGTAAAAAAAATTTCAAAGAAAATTATTAATATGCCGCAGCCTGCATCTCCAAATCCTGCAACCGCGCCTCCAGATCCTTTATATCCGCCAGCTGCTGTTCAATATTCTGTTTCTCCTCGACCAAGGCAATGCGGCGCTCCGGATCCAGCTTGGAAAACATATAACCACCCTGGCCATCATACTGCAGAATATAATTGTGGTATTGCCACAGCGACTGGCGATGCGATACAGTCATCAGCGTAATGCCCAGCTCCGTCGCATGCGTATACATGGCGCGCTCAATATCCATGCTGACTGCGCTCGTGCACTCATCCATGATGGCGTACTGTGGGCGATGGTAGAACAGCCGTGCCATAGCGATCCGCTGCTTGTCGCCACCCGAAAGTGCGTCCTTCCACAGCTTGACCGCATCCCAGCCGCCTTCGCGCTCAACCACGTAGCGCAGCTGCACGACCTCCAGGATATCCAGCAGCTGCGCATCTGTCGTGCCCCGCGCCGCCATATCCGCCACTGTGTCCGGGTAGATAAGCTGGTCGCGCAGTGTGCCAATGGGCAGGTAGGGCCGCTGCGGAATATAAAATATCTGCCGCATGCTGGGCTTTCGCACAGTGCCGCTGTAGACTGGCCACAGTCCGCCGAGGATGCGGAACATGGACGATTTGCCACACCCGTTGGGTCCAACGATCAGCAGGTGGCGCCCAGGCGTCACGTGGAAGCTCAAACTGTTTACCAGCATATCGCCGTTGGGCGACACGATCGGTACGCCAATGAACTCAACGTCGTCAGGGCTCTCGACCACACGGCCGCGCTGCGAGACAATGTCGGGCCCACGAGCTGCCGGGCTCTTTTCAGAAAGAGCGGCGGCAGTGCCCACCTTGGTCTTGGTGTACTGGCCCTCGACAACGTCATCGAGAACAGTCAGCAAGTCGGTGACGCGCTCGGTGTATCCGGCCAGCTCGACAATCTCCTTGTACGAGTACATCATGCGACCCAGCGCGTCCGATCCGCTAAGCAGCAGACGGCGATTGGTGATAAAGTCACGCGTGCGCGATCCAAGGTCCCCAGAACTAGCTGTAGCGGCGGTGGCTGCGGCGGCGGCGCCTGGAAGGCGCTTGGCAAACACCGGCGCAGCGCAGGCGACTAAACCAGCGGCGCCCCAGAAATACTTGACAACAAAGTCCTCCAGCATACTGTAAAACACGTTCAAGCGAACAATGCGGTTGACATGGCGCACGAGCCGCGTATACCTATGGACAATCGTCAGTTTCTCAGCCTCATGTCCACGGAACAACGCAATCTCTTCGGCGTGCTCAATGAGCCGCGCGTGTGCGAAATGAAAATCGCCCTCGAGGCGCTGCTCCTGCGCGACCAACTGGCCAAAGGGCGGCGCCAGCGCACGCATCATAGCCATGGAAGCCTGGATAATCACCATAATACCAAACAAGGATTCGACACCCAAACTGCGCGCCAGCTGGACATTGTATACGAGAGCGTCAAGAGTGGGCTTGGCCAGGTTGGAGTACAGTGCGGCCAGGGACTCCGAGAACTTGCGAATATCCACGGCAATCAGCTGGTCAGCGTTCCGCACGCGGTCATCGAGGTTGCCCACAGCATAGTATGTGTTGCCGCCGAGATACTTTTTGTGAACATGCTCGGTCAGGTTCTGGCGGAACTTAATTGCCAGTATGCTCTGCAGGTAGGTCAGCAGGCTGTTGGTCAGGGTGGCCGGCACAGCCATCCCCATCCACCGCGCAATCCCCCACAAGAACTCGCGCCCCTGAAGGCGCACCAAGGCACTAACAATCTGGCCGTCCAGCGCCGCCACGGCCACCGAAAGAAATGTACGGAACACTAGCAGCACAGTGTGCGCTGCCAGCATGGCGCACTCCCGGCTGGCCACGCCCGGAACAACTATGGAAACGAGTCGGCGGAGATTATCAAAAAACTGCTTGTCCAGCTGTGCACCACCGCGCCGTGGAGTTCCTGCAGCGGATGCGCCGCCCTTATTGCTGCTGTTTGTTGATTTGCGTTCGGTGGTGGATGTCACTAGCCGGACCATTTTGTGCAGACGTTCAGCCAGCGCAAGGCATATAAGCGCCACAATGGACCTCTGGATGGGCTTTTGATATCTCGCGTATATGAGCACCAAGCGTGTTAAGAGTGCAAGCTGCTTGTGCCGAAAGCTGTGGACCTGTCGGTAGAGTGCGTTGTTGATCTTGTCTGTCACTGTTCTGGCAAACAGGTCGCTGTTTAGAGCGGCGACCATGGTTGTTGTGTTGTGTTTCAGCGAGATTGTAGTTTTTTACAAGACAAAGAGAGTGTGTGCGCACGGACCAGTTTGTGTAATTATAAGGTTTTATAAAAAATGAACAGTTTGGTTTCAAATATCATAAATAAAATTAGTAGAGAACAAAGGGAGAGAGAAGCCTTTGACTCGAGAATTGCTAACGTAGGAGAGGCCTAGATCCGGCATATATTCAATGCTAGTGGGGGGTTTTTTGCATTGTTCTTTTTCGCTTTTATTCATGTGCACATGAATAAAAGAAAGCACATTAATGACAAGGCGGGCGCACGTGGCAGACACCGTCATTATTTACACGCGCACAACCAAAAAAATATATATATCAAAAAGCACAAGCATGTGAAAACGAAATAAGTTATTCCATGGCGGGTAGAATATCAAGCAGAACCGAGTCAATGACCTGCAGACCGCGTTCGGTCGGTTTCAAAACACCGACGACCGGGTCCCATGTCAAAAGCCGCATTTCGATATACGAATGTACCTTTTCCATACACAAGAAGTCCTCCAGTCCCTGTCCATTGCCATCATTGGCAGACAGCCTGCGGAAGGCGCTGTCCTCCAGGCCGTCGATCATGCGCAGGCCAAAAACAACCATTTCCGCCTTCGCCTCTGCCATAGTCACATCCGCTATGGTTGCGGTGCCGTGGGCAGCCGGGCCCTCGCACAGCTCTATCCACCGGCGAGTATCTGGTAAGCGCACGGATCTGCGCAGCTGTTTGTCCCTTGGATCCACAAAGCGTGAATGCGCGCTGGGGCCAATACCCACGTACGATTGGCCGCTCCAGTACCCCATATTGTGTCTGCTCTGTGCCGCCGGGTGCTTCGCATAACTGGACACCTCGTAATGGCGAAACCCGTGGTCCTCACAGGCCTCCACGGCGATCTCATGCATCCGCGCCTGCGTGTCATCCACGGGAAGTGCAATACGGCGCGCACGCTGGTCCCTGAACAGTGGAGTTCCAGGTTCAACAGTCAATTGGTAAATGGAAATATGCTGGTCAGCATGTGTCAGCGCAGTTTCCAGCTCATTCCGCCATTGATCTGGCGTCTGCCGCGGGAACCCGTAGATCATATCAAAGGTGACGCTGCCTGGGAACACTTCGCGCGCGCGGTCGACTGCCGCCAGACCCTCGGCGCCCGTATGCAGGCGGCCCATTTCACTAAGCGTCCGGTCATCCAGCGACTGCACGCCCACAGAGTACCGGGTAATACCGGCGGCACGAAACCCGCGCATTTTTTCGACCTCTGCTAGTGTCGGGTTAGATTCAAGCGTGATTTCGGCGCCTGGAATCAGCGGCACCAGGTGATTGGCGCGGTCGATGATTTGGTGGATATCCTGTGGCCGCGCAAGCGATGGCGTGCCGCCGCCAAAGTAGATACTGTGTAGGGCGCTGGTTTTTTTGTATGGGGAGAGAGTGGTTTGGAGCTCGCGCACGAGTGCCGAGGTTATGCGTGCGTGGTCGATGCCTTGCGACGGGATGCGCGATTTGGAGAATGCGCAGAAGCGGCATAGGAACGAGCAGTACGGCCAGTGCACGTACAGAGACAGGGGTGTTTTACCAAGCATTCTTCGCCCTTTTCCAGTGTCTGTGTTAAGCGAACCACTAAAAATAAAGTTTTATTGGAAAATAATAATATCCATTTCATTTTCGCGTTTAAAAAAGAAACCCAGCCATGATAAACCGGGCTGCGCACGAAACAAAATGGGTACGTAAAAAAAATTCCAGTTCACTTTTTAGATTCGTACCCGTAAATGCCCCTGCCAGACTTGACGCCCAGCCACCCAGCATCGACGTATTTCTGCAGCAGCACAGCCGGGCGGTACTTTGAGTCACCCAGTTCCTCATGCAGCACCTTCATTATAGCCAAGCAAGTATCCAAGCCAATAAAGTCAGCCAGCGTAAGTGGGCCCATAGGAGTATTTGTGCCAAGCTTCATGGTCGTGTCAATATCCTCCCTAGTTGCAATCCCCTCCTGCAGCGCAACCATAGCCTCATTAATATACGGCATCAGCAGTCTGTTGGCAATAAACCCAGGGACATCCTGCGACATCGTCGTGGTCTTCCCCATCCTCTGCGCCAGCTCCAGAGTCGCATCCAGAGTGTCCCCGGAAGTCTGCAGCCCAGGAATAATTTCAACAAGCCTCATCACCGGAACAGGATTCATAAAATGCATCCCAACGACATTTTCCGGCCACCTAGCAGCCGACGCAATCTTTGTAATACTAATTGACGATGTGTTCGTCGCCAAGATGGTCTCCTGGGGTAGTTTCTCAGAGAGTTCGCGGAATATCTTGCGTTTCAGTTGGACGTTTTCTGAGACAGCTTCGATGACGAAATCGGCTGTGTTCATTTCGCTGATGCTTGGGGCTGAGCTGATCCGGGATTTAACCTCGGTGCGCTCGTCCTCGGTGCAGCGCCCGCGGGTGACGTCTTTGATCAGGAGGCTGTCGAGGAAGGCGAGACCACGCTGGACTTGATCCGGATTGCTGTCGACGAACTGAACGTTGAGTTTGGCTACGCGGGCGGCAACTAGTCCGATGCCCATGCCCATTTGGCCTGCACCCACTACGCATATGTTCTTGATGCTCCTGCTGGAGCTGGACGTCATTGCGCGCTATGAAGTAAAATTGGAAAATTGAAAAATAAATAAGGAAAGAGAGAAAGAGGCATTTGATTCGATTAGAAAAAATATTTTCTCACGGCTATAATAAAAACGCTGAATACACGATTAACTTGTCGTTATCGTCCGCTTACCTTTCCCAAGAGCCCTGCGCCAATACGCATCGTCGGAAGCGAGCAACGAAGAGGGAGAAGAACTTGGGATAATGCCATTTGAAATTTGAATAATCTTGATAACTGGGCTGAAAAGAACTAAAATGAGTGTATAAAAAACAATAAATAAAGAAGAGAAACGAAGAAATGGATACAAAGAAAAACTACATTTGCATTTATAAGTACATTTTAAATATCCCCTTTTATTGTTGCCATGTGCTTTTTTCTTTTGATAAACAAGCATTAAAATATTTCGAGCGTGGGACAAAAATAAAAAATTAGACTGGATTGGCAGCAATATGCTCAAGCAGCGGCGTGTAAATATCAGCCGAATATAAGACTGTCGTCAAATCGCCAGCCGCAAGCCCACCCGACAAAGAAGAGGAATCTAAATGCGCAGACTCATTAAGCGTCGCAACCTCCTCAAACACCTCAGCCACATGTCTCGCCAGGCCAAACGTAAACGCCAAGCAAGCATCCACAAACACCGCTTGCACGCTTTCTCTGACCTCCGCCCTAGAATTCGCAGCTGCAATCCTAATCCGCTCGCCCAGCGATCTCAAAGCCTCAGCAACCCGGATGAGCTCGCTCTCGAATACCACCGACACCATGTTCAGCAGTACCAGCACCTCACCCTCACCCTCACCCTCCACACCTCCACTGCCATCGCTGGCCAGCACCAGGATGCGCAGCGCATGGAGGCTGTCGCGGAACGCATGCAGGAGTTGCGCCAACACAGGATACTGCAGTAGACCCACTGGGGACACGCGCAGCCGACCAAGAAACTCCACCGGGTTCTCCGCCGCCTCTGCCGCCGCTACCAGCCCAGCTCCAAACTCCGGGCCAACATCCAAGGATGGCCGCGTCGGCGCAGCTAGCTGATCCCAGCCGCTCTCGCTCTCCGACCCACCCCCGCCTGCCGCAGACACATCCAGCGCCAAAATCGTCTGACAAATCCCAGCGACTGTCCCCTCGACAGTGCCAACTACGCTAATAAACGCGCGCTCTCGCAGACTGTGCGCAAGGAAGGGCATTGCAAAATCTATTTTGGCGCGCGCAAGGGCCCGTGCATGCATGGACAGCAGAGATTCCAACGCGGCAATGCCTGAGGCGTCCGTCAGCAGCGGCACCAGCGGCATGACCGCTGCGAGAAACTGCCGCGAGCTGAAAAGGGTTAGGTCAGCGAACGGATCGCTTCCGCCACTGGTGGGTCCGGTGGACCCTGTGAGCCCGGTGGATCCCAAGGGTGCGAGCTTCTTTTCCGGAAACAGCGTCTGGTACTGCTGGTCGACCTCGGCCAGCCACTGGAAGAACGCATCAATGTACTTTGTCAAATACGCCGCCACTTCAGCCGAACTTGCGCCGGTGGCTCTCTCGGACCCCCGCTGTGGCTGCGCCGCGGGAGACCCTATTGCAGGCGAGCTTACCACATGCGAGCTTATCGCAGGGGTACCAAGCCCAAATGCCTCCAGCCCAAACGCCTCCAATCCGCTGGCACCAGCCGATTCCTGTGGCGCAAAGCCGCTGAGCGAGTCTGCCGTCGTCCCCCACGCCTGCCACCGCGACCGCAGGTACAGCATGCGCAGCTCGCTCTCGGAGAACATCCCAACGCTGCGCAGAATCGACATAATCTTTGTCATCTGTGACATCCGCCTCATTGACCGTTCATACCCACCATCCATTTTGCCACTCATCCCACCCTGCTGCTGTTGCTGCTGCTGGGGGCTGACTGTCGTAGCCCAGCGCGTGTAGCTGAGTTCGCGACACAGTCCCAGAACCATAGCCTCGTACTCCGCCTGCACCTGCTTCTGGATCATCCTTACAAACCCTGCCAGCTGATCCGGCGCACCCTGCGTTCTCACCACCCTTGAAGCCCTTGATTGCCTTGGCACAAGCTGCATGTCCTCGGAAATATCCCTGACGAGCCTGTCTCCGGTCACCTTCACGTGCTCGGCCATCTCCACAGCCTCCTCATAGAACCCGCCGGCCACGCACATCTGCATGACGCGCGGCAGCTCGACTATGCGTGTAATGAGATCCTGCTTGTCCAGCACCTGGTGAACAACTTTAGCGCGCTGGTCAAGGTCTGCTATTTCCACTGAAAACAACCCGCACGCTGTCTCTAATCGCCCCAATGTTTCCTGTGTCTTGGCCAGTTGCGCACTAAGCTTCGAGGTTGTCGATACCGCAAGCTTGTTCATGTCATCAACGACACCAAACAGGGGCTTGTCGCCGATATCCACCTGTTGCTGCTGCTTCTGAGAGAGATTAGACTCAAACGGATCCAGACTCCCACCGCTGCTGCTGTTGCTGAAGCTCTCTTTAAAGAGCAACGCAGTGAGCTCGTCCGACACCCGCTGTAGGTCGCCCTGCAACAGCGCCGGCTCCATTTTGAGAGACGGCAGGGGAAGTCCTGTCAAGTACTTAAAGTACCGCGCTATGGTCTCCTCAGCTTCCGGTTCAATATCCTCCTCCTCACTACCATCATCATTATAGTCGAGTGTGGCACTGAGGAGCGTAGGGAAGAGTCGTCGGCATAACTGCGCGTATTCTGGAAGGTCGCTATCATCGGTGAATTGCCCGCCACCACCGTATATTGACGACCCGTAAACACTTTCCAAATCGTTTTTTAAATGAGACGTCATTCAAGGCTGGGATGTTTATGTGAAAAAAGTATTTATTAGCTTTTGTGTGACGAAAAAAATGAAACAAAAAAGGCTAGAATTTGAAAACAGCAAAAGAAATATACCATTCCAATAGTTGTGCAAGGATTGGGGGAAAACCATGAAAAAAGTTTAAAAAAGCGATCGGAAAACTCGTTTATTTCTTTATTTCTTTTATTGTATCTCCTAAAGTTATTCGTTTTAAAAAATTGAATTAAAAAATGCCTCACCCATTCACTGTAATCACCGAGCAGTCGCTAAAGAGCCAACTGTCTGAGCAAGAACGACAGGCGCTCCAATCTGCGCGCACCCGCTTCCGCATCTACAGTATCCTTGGTGGGCTTGGCGGCTCCGCTCTCGGCTTCTACCTCTCCCGGCGCAACAAATCCCTCGCCATGCGCGGCCTAATGATATTTTTTAACGGCGCCTTCTTCTCCAGCATAACCTCGGGTTACTCCTCCATAACCAGCCTCCGAGAGCTCTCCGATCCCACAAAATACCCGCATATTACCGCGGCAATGAAGGACGTAAGGAATGAGATTTTGCGCTCCAGGGGGGTGGACCCGGAACACCCAGAGTTGGGGCGCGTGGGGGTGGTACCGCATAAGCCGGATTTCAAACACTTGCCGCCGTCTACAGTCAATGATCAGGAGGAAAGGGCGGCTGGTTTTGGATTTGGAGATTCGAGGAATGTCGCCCAGAACTCGCAGCACCATGAGTTTGGAAACCCTGGGATGCACGACTTTGGAATATCTGTGGATTCCGTGGATAATGACCGCCAGTTGTCCACTTGGGACAAGATTCGCAGGGAAAAGGGACAGCCCGAAGACACTTGGCAAAAGATACGCAGACAAAACCCGCAGCAGCAGAATCAGCAACAACCGCAAGAGAACGCCGCTAGACAGCTTGAGGATGCATGGAACCAGTTGAATCAGAATCCTAGGACTGGCGGGGTCTATGGAAATAATGTTTTTTCAAGCAGCGATGATGCCTCATATGCGCCAGGCGCTCCAGCTTTGAACAGTGAAGACTTTCCGAGGTCGCGCGAGGACTTTGAGAACCAACATGGAGCGTCAGGGGATCGATATGGCAGTGGCGGCGCCTTCCCAGCATAATAAAAATGTTTTTTTTAGCGTAAATAGATTATTGTTTAGCTCATTTCATTTTGCTTTGTTTTGTTTTTAATAAGTTTACTTTGTATGCAATAACCAGTGTTATGTAAGAGGGGGTGTGAGAAGCACTAGTTGTCTAGTGTTAGAAAAGTAGGGGTAGATTTATAAAGGGTTTTTTATTACTAATGTTTTTAAAGTACTACTAGTGCCGGCCTCATCTTATATATGTGCCTCGTCGCCTTTGTTGTGCACATTGCCAATTGTCCCCTCCGTTGGCGAGAACTAGTTCTCCTGTGAGCAGACCGGTATCTTGGCAAGTCAGTGTTGTGGTTTTCGTGTGTGCACTCACGCGTGTGCATTTCAAAATGGGGAGCATGTCTGGGTATCATTATTGTGATACAAGAAATTGCGGCTTGTCTCCGGCGATTGATTAATGAATCAACCGCTAGTTAATTCCCTACTTGGATATGCGGGAATTCATACACACGCATAAATACCAATGAATATGAACAGTGGAGGCTGTTCATCCCTTAGCTTTCTTTTAGTTCATTTATTCAATATATATATATATATTTATAACACAACAATTATGATGCCTCCCTAATTTTCGCCTGTATAATCCAATTAATACCCTATCAATCGGGATGCAGATGGAAACTTGTTTCGCGATTGTCAACCTCAACATCCACTTCCATATCTTTGGGTTGTGCAACAGTATTATATGTATACTGTGTTCTAATTTACTTGGGTTTTTGATATATTTTGGTGACAATGGACAATGATCGCTGAGTACATTATTGCCACTGAACCACTGGTATTGTGAGGAGAAGGTGTATGAGCACTATTGTAGTAATATTAGAAAAGTAGGGGGTGATTTTATAATTGGGTTTTGATACCAGCGTTTCTAAAGTGCTACCAGCACCGGCCTAGGCTTATATATGTGTCCCCTTGCCTCCGCTGTGCACTCTGCCAGCTGTGCACTTCGTTGGCGAGAACTGGTTATTATGGAAATAACCTGGGTCTCTGATATGCCATTGTTGTGGCCTTTGCTTGTGTACGCCAGTGCACACATATTTCAAGACAGAAAATGTGTCTGGATGACAATAGTGGCGCCTGATTTGAGCCCCTATGATCTAGTCCATATTAAATCTATTAGCCTGCAGGCGGGAATCTGTTTCACGATTCTCAACATCAACACTCACTTCTATATCATCAAACTGCTCAACAAATTGATATGGTAACTCAATCCAAGACTGATGCTATCTTTTACACAATACTTAATCTACCGACCTGGCAATTATTACATTTCGGGACAAGACATTGCGTCTTCATGGTACTTGAGGACACCGACGTACAATAGAAACGACATTTGATGACATCAGCGTTCATAAAATAATCATCGACGCTGGTTTAATCCTGGCGCATAGCAATTAAAGCAAAAATACCATGTGCAGTCGGTTATGTCCGCCTTTGAAGTAAAAATAAAAGTATTTGCAATATAATTTGGATATAATATTAAATGAAAATGAAAATGGTAAAATAAACCTAAACATCATCGCTCTGCTCGCTAGCCTCGCTCGACCCTCCCGTGCGGCGTTGGTCGTCCAAAATCTCTCTGCAGTCATCGGCATATTTATCGAGAATGTCTACAAACTTCTTAGAAATCTCAGACGCTTTTTCTGCACGCTTTTCAATTGGGTCGATGCACTGGTAGGGGTGATTCTTTAGGAGTAATGCGTGTCTTGCAAAGCTTGTGAGTCCAGATCGGGACACTGGCACAGATAAGTCGTCATTAGTGTCATAATATACTGTCTTAACATGAGTTCCCACAAACTTTGGCCCGAATTCAGCATTATCGACAAGCGCAGTGCGGAGATCATGTAGCAAACATTGAAGCAGTTCTATGCCTTCAATGTCTGGATTCAGATGGTGAACGATACCGGAAAAGCTATCACTGGAATCCAGATATCTGCGCTTCCCCTCAGCAATAGATATGTACGGACCAGTCATGTGCCACTGGGAAATACCTGGCTTAATTTCCTCACCCCAGCAATCCACTTTTTTTGCGCGTAGAGTCTCCATGCTAAATCCGAATGTTCCAAGCCAGGCCAAAACATAAATCAATGCTTCGCAATCGTCGAGTACTGTGCGCGTGTTGTTGTTCCCCTCCAGGTCATTGATAGGGAGGAACTGGAGTGTTCCAGAGCGCTCACTGCGAACTGTACGACTCTGCGAATCGAGGTTGATGGCATGGTCATAATCGATCAACATGCCCTTGACGGTGCCATCCATCATACGCCGAAACAATATGTTTTTCGGACATATGTCATGGTGAAATATATGGCAGTTCTCGGCAATGGTGTGGTGAGCACGCATAGCATCGGCACAAACAATGATTAGCTCTTTAATGGTCTTTAGCTCGTTGAGAGGCAGACCAATTGGCGACATAGCAATGCGCTTGTGTGCACGCAGGGGAATCTTCTGAATCTTCTCACCAACCCGGACATCGTCAAAAAGATCGCCAAGAACACTGCGCGTTGTGTCCTCTGCAAATGTGTTGTCCTCTGCAAATGTGTTGTCCTCTGCAAATGTGTTGTCCTCTGCAAATGTGTTGTCCTCTGCAAATGTGTTGTCCTCTGCAAATGTGTTGTCACTGCAACTCTGGAATTCAACTCGACCGCCGGCTATGAGGACCGGGTATGTGCCTGCAAGCTCTGGGTGGCTCTTGAGAGTCTGTGTGATTTTGCGTAGGTGAGCGACCTCGTCGCGCATGTCCTCATCGTTGCCATCAGCCACTTCGGTCCAGGAGTCCTTGATTATCACATGGCAATCATCCCGAGTGATGGGCCTTTTGTCGGTTGGCCTGACATCTGTTGCTAAAAAGCACCGTGTTCGCTTCCCAAATGGCTGGTCGGATACAATAACTAGATCATTACTGTAATAGATGTTCCACTTGGGTTTTGGAAAACCACTGCAACCACTGCCGCTATTGTTTTCGCCGCCGCTATTGTTTTCGGTGCCACTATTGTTTCCGCTGGCGCTATTTTTTCCATCTCTGCCGCTATTTCTGCTCCCGCTATTGTTTCCGCTGGCGCTATTTTTTCCATCTCTGCCACTATTTCTGCTGCCGCTATTGTTACCGCCGCTGATACTACTGCCACCGCTGCTACTGCTGCCACCATTGTTGTCATCGCATAGTGCTATTGGGACTTTGATTTGGTAGCAGCGGATGTCTGCCAGGTACTTGAGCGTCGGGTCATATCCCAGCCGGTAATCCTCCGTGTACGAGTAATTGGCAATTACATGCACAAATTCTCGCAGCCCAGGCTTTGTCCGGATGTCGAACTCGTGGGACTGGAGGACGTAGTGGGGCCCAAAAACGTAAGCAGAAATTACGCTCCCGCAAATTGTCCAGCCCCATGGGAAACGCCGGTCATGCTGATTGGCATGGACATTGCGAATATACCGCAGGACTTGGGATGCAGCACCCAGTTTGTCGGCGGCAGACGACCCTGTTTTGGCTTCTATAATGCCAAAGAGCGAACTATACCACACCTTTCCTGCAGATGCGCGAGTAAGCTTTGCAACATTCTTCCACTTGAAGACTGTGTCGCAAACAGGAGCATCTCGAGGCTTGAGCTCGACACCAATGTCAATGCGCTCTGCATCCTGTGCATCCTCCAACACAGTGTCGGCTGTACATGAGGGCAGAACTAGCCGACGAAGCAGTGACTGGTTTCCACTCGGCGTTTTGTGCTGATCCAGCCACTGGATGGCACGTGCAATAAAGCAAAGGAGGGCGGTGATGCATGGATACATTGACCTCTCATTGCCCTGCACCTTGCTTGTAAACGGGCTGACCTTGCTTGTCCAGTCTGAATATGCCATGCTGTGCTCGCGCAGCTTGGACAAGAGGGACATGAAGTCGTCAGGGCTTTCAAGAGAAGTATGCTGCTCCAAGCCATTGTCTTGCATAAGCAATGGATGCAGAAGCTGTTTCAGCTGTCTTGCATCATCGGGTGTGTTAGGCATATTTGCAAATATGTCCATTACTTTGCAGACAATGCCAGCAACATTTTCTGCCTCCTCCTGGTGCCTTTTAGACTGCGGCACCGCCAAACCAAGCACTTTGGCAAAAGGGCCGAAAACATGGTCCCTAAAGCCACGCTTGGCCTCCTCCTTGTGCGCATTTGAAATATGCGTTGCCGATAAACCAAGAGTAGAATTGGTATTCGCGTTCCCGGTGGAGGCCTTGATGGGCGTGTTTTTTGGCGGGTTAAGTGCGTCTTTTTTTTTCTGGGGCGTACCAGCTAAAAATAAAACAAAAATGCACAAAATAAATAACATCAAAATTGAAATAATATGCATATTAGTTTTTAAAATACAACCCCAATTTATATTATAATGTGTGTTAATAATTGTTTACATGTACTTACACTTTTTTTGAATTTTTCGAGCCGGCGGGATTAGCTGATGGTTACGCGCACTGTGGCCTGCGCCTTCATCGCTAACCCCACTTTCGCCCATTCTTTTTACGGTCATTTTCTTGTAAATAAAGATAGCTGAGTACAATATAAAATGTGCAATCTTAATGAAACAAAGTCAGTTGCTGCACTTCAGTTTTGCCATACCAGGCTTTCTTCTTTCCACAGCATGTAAACAAACCCTGCTGGCACAAGCAAAATCCTGGTTCAATTTGCAGCGTGACGGTAATGGCTTAGCTCAATGTCTAAGCCATTGTCCAACCTGTTGCCAGAGCCAGGCCATTCAAACCCAATTGCAACAATAACAAAAAAAATTAAATTATTTGTGCTTATTCTATATCCTATGTGCCATTCTCTATTTTTTGGCACAATGGCTTGGAGCGATTGTATTACAAAACATTAGTGAAAATTTTAATAAAACTCGGGGGCATGAGCAGATACTGCCATATGAGAGATTGAAGCTATTCCTGTGCATTGGTAAGCAGATTAGCCGGTGTGGCAGATGGGTGGGCAGTTGTTTGGCTGTAAGTGTAGTGTGGGCGCATTGTACATAGCAGTGGGTTCGGCTGGCCGTGTGTTGAGCGCATCAGCAAGAAAAAAGCTCCAGCGGGCTCTTTTTCGCCTGGCTCGAAGTGGGACATGGCCATATTCTATATTCATATACAATATCCATATGTCGCGTAGATCATTTTAGTTACCGCCAAAAATAAATCCAGCTCGCGATTGCCCAATCAGTAATCACGCGAACCTGTTGTAAATTAATTTTTATATTTGAATTCGTGGGCAGACGTTTTGTTTTCGGTTGTCCAAACAATATTAAAAGCATTCTCTTTCCTCTTGTTTTCGCACAATTTTCTCTTCACTTTTCACCAATTCACTTTAACCCAAATTCACGCTTTCATTTGTCATTATTAAATTCATTCACTTTCACTTCGCGTCTCGCTTCCATATTCCTACATTCACTCACACACCCATTTCCTTCTTATCATTATTACCACCTTCGCCATGTCCGCTGTTGTCTTGGGAAAGAGGGTTTGTCAAAACGACTGTGCTCAGCCAGCTTCTACAAAGCGGCCGAAGCAACACATGAACCCTTCCCAGCCAACAAACACAAAAAGAAAGGCGGACGCGGCTTCCGAGCAGGCATCCTCCGGCAAGAGAGCGAAGAGAAGCGCGGATAATGCTGTCAACACTGCACCACCGCAAAACAACGTCAACCATATTTTTACGGAGAATACTGCTTCGCGCGAAATTAAGACCCAGCCTGCGCCCACTACGCCGTCTGATAGTAAGTGGCTCGTTGTGCTTTTTATTTTGCAGATGATTATAAGGACCGACAAACATGCCTGCAGCCAGCGTAAAGTGCTTTGGCGCGCTCACAACATACTAACATCATATTATTTTTATCTTATTAGTGGGCAGCACAGCAAACGAGGACAGTCTGGCTAGCAACGAGCAGGCCGGTGCAGCATCCGTCTCTCGCTCTGGCAACACTTGCATCGATGCCAAGGTCAGCACGTTGGAAAGACAAAATATATTTGAGCGCATGGAGCCGGCAATGCGCGAGTTGAAGAGGCATCTTAGCGGACCACATCCTGGCGTCGTTGAACTGGCAGTCCCGTTGACTGTGGGCTACAAACAGAGGGCGGCCACGGTTGCCGAGGCTATCCACCGGGCTATGGAGTGGCATGGTTCTGGCTCGAACCACACGCCGGCTGGCGACTTGGCCATTTTGGAAGAGCTCATCAACACTGACTCACTTCGGTCTGCTAGGCTGACTCGCTCGACACACGCCGCTATTGCTTATTTGGCGAGCAAGCTCAGGGAGAACCACAACGTGTTTTCCAAGTGGATGCGCACACACACATCTGGCGGCGACGAAAGCGACAGCAGCAGCGACAGCGACAGCGACAGCAGCAGCGACAGCGACAGCGACAGCGACAGCGACAGCAGCAGCGACAGCGACAGCAGCAGCAGCAGCGCGAGCAAGGGCGCCGGGTCGTTCATCTCGTTTGTCACTTGTCTTATTCAGGGGCTGCATCAGCACGCCAAGGGAGAGCACGGGCGTCCCGAGCCACGCCGAGTGCTCATTCCGCCTGCTGCAGTTGGTGTCGAGCCAGAGCACACGCAGGTCAATGGTCCGACTGACATGGTCATCGAGCCTGCACCGATCACTATCGCCATCGCCGCAGCCGACAGCCCCGAGGCAACGTTGGATGACAGCACAAACCCTGTTGAGGATGACGACGATGTCTACGTCAATAAGTGGTACGCCGGCCTGTTTGCCGCCATCGAGGTCAGGCAGGAGTCGTCGTCGGATTATGTGGACGACGCCGAGCTGCAGCTGTCTAAGCACTGTCGCAGCATTTTTTGCGCACAGCTCAACCGGCGCTTTGTTTGGGGCCTGACTATTTGCGGCAGCTTTGTCCGGGTGTACTTGTTTGGCTCCAACTTTGTTCTGGTCTCCAACACCATGAACATTCGCACTAAGGCGGGCCGCGGCGAGGCCATCAGGCTGTTTGTTAACTTGTCCTTTGCCGAGGACCACCGGCTGGGTTTCGACCCAACCATCAAGTACTTGCAAGGCCTTGACTGTTGGGAGATTACGGTTCCTGGCACAGCTGCCACGGACAGCGCCGACAGCACGGGCAACAGCGGTGGAACTGACGGTTCTTCTGGATCTTCTGAGCGCACATTTTACAGTAACCATATGGTCGTCGAGGTTAGTCACTTGTTTGGGCGGCTCACGCGGTGCTTTCTAGCAACAGATAAGAAGCCAACCAAAGAAAATCGCATCAGAAGCAAAAACTGCACTGTTTTTATCAAGGACGCTTGGACCGAGGTGGCCGATGGTAGTGTCGACAAGGACGCGCGCGATGAGGTCGCTCACCTGCGCAAAATCACACATACTCTCGAGCGCTATCCAGAGCTTGCGGGTACATACCCACTCCTCGAAGCCGGTGGTCGCGTTGAATTCCAGAGTTGCAGCGACCACACATTTGCCAAGGACACGACGCGCAGTGTTCTCGGCAATCTTTTTGACGATGTCAGAGTTGGCGAGAAGATTCGGAAGCTGCCCCTGTGCGCACACAAGCGCATTGCCACATCGCCAATTGGCATGCCGCTTGATAAGCTCCAGTCCGTTCCAGAGCTGATTATCGCTGTCGCCGATGCTATGCGCGCTCACCGCGCCATTGCCGAGCACTGCCATATATTGCACCGCGATATCTCAACAGGCAACTTCCTGTTCCGGCGTATGGAGGGTGGCGCCGTCAAGGGCATGTTGATTGATTTTGACCACGCAATTGACTGCGAGGATCCAGACACGATGCCGCAAAAAGAACAAATCGGCACACTTCCATTCATGAGCGTGAACAACCTCGAGAAGAACAGCAACAGACGCACGGTGCTCGACGATTATGAAGCATTGATTTATGTTTTGGCCTGGCTCGGGACATTCGGGTTTAGCACAGAGACTCGGCGCGCAAAAGAAGTTGATAATTGGGGTGAGGAAATTAAGCCGCTTATTTGTGAGTGGCACATGCCTGGTTCGTATATAAATATTGCTGAGGGGAAGCGCATGTATTTAGATTCCAGTAGTAACTTTTCCAATATCGTTCGTCACCTGAATCCAGACATTGAAGACATAAAACTGCTTCAATATTTGCTACATGATCTCCGCACTGCGCTTGTCGATAATGCTGAATTCGGGCCAGAGTTTGTGGGAACCCTTGTTAAGATGGTATATGATGACACTAACGACGACTTATCTGTGCCAGTGTCCCGATCTGGACTCACAAGCTTTGCAAGACACATATCACTCCTAAAGAATCGCACCTACCAGTGCATCGACCCAATTGAAAAGCGCGCAGAAAAAGCGTCTGAGATTTCTAAGAAGTTTGTAGACATTCTCGATAAATATGCCGATGGCTGCAGAGAGATTTTGGACGACCAACGCCGCACGGGAGGGTCGAGCGAGGCTAGCGAGCAGAGCGATGATGTTTAGGTTTATTTTACCATTTTTATTTTCATTTAATATTATATCCAAATTATATTGCAAATACTTTTATTTTTACTTCAAAGGCGGACATAGCCGACTGCACATGGTATTTTTGCTTTAATTGCTATGCACCAGGATTAAACCAGCGTCGATGATTATTTTATGAACGCTGGTGTCATCAAATGTTGTTTCTATTGTACGTCGGTGTCCTCAAGTACCATGAAGACGCAATGTCTTGTCCCGAAATGTAATAATTGCCAGGTCGGTAGATTAAGTATTGTGTAAAAGATAGCATCAGTCTTGGATTGAGTTACCATATCAATTTGTTGAGCAGTTTGATGATATAGAAGTGAGTGTTGATGTTGAGAATCGTGAAACAGATTCCCGCCTGCAGGCTAATAGATTTAATATGGACTAGATCATAGGGGCTCAAATCAGGCGCCACTATTGTCATCCAGACACATTTTCTGTCTTGAAATATGTGTGCACTGGCGTACACAAGCAAAGGCCACAACAATGGCATATCAGAGACCCAGGTTATTTCCATAATAACCAGTTCTCGCCAACGAAGTGCACAGCTGGCAGAGTGCACAGCGGAGGCAAGGAGACACATATATAAGCCTAGGCCGGTGCTGGTAGCACTTTAGAAACGCTGGTATCAAAACCCAATTATAAAATCACCCCCTACTTTTCTAATATTACTACAATATTGCTCATACACCTTCTCCTCACAATACCAGCGGTTCAGTGGCAATAATGTACTCAGCGATCATTGTCCATTGTCACCAAAATATATCAAAAACCCAAGTAAATTAGAACACAGTATACATATAATACATTGTTTACAATCTTGGTAGCAGGGAATAATGCATGTCGATGTTTTCTTACTAAATGTGGCTTTTTAACCAATAATTGAATGGAACTTTCTGGCACAGTATACCAAAACACACGAATAATGTTTTATTCGATTTGCAAATATGCAAAACATTTACTGCAACCATATAAGAATTTCATAAAAATATCATTATAAATAGTTGGCAAGGTCCAAGCAAAGTTAATAAAATAGTATCTTATAACCCATCATCTTATTTTCACTAGTTTTTAATTTACACTTACAAACAGCTGATTTTTACAAATATGTACTTTAAACCCCGTCGTATCGTTTAGCATTACTTCTGGTGGTAACCCAATCGGGAATATCAACATTCTTCTGCACGCTAACATTGTTCCCAAGACTGCCAATAACTTTCTCCAGTTGTGTACTGGCAGTAAGGGTTTTGGCTACGTGGGTAGCCCATTCCATCGCGTAATTCCCAGCTTTATGGTGCGGGGCGGTGCCTTTATAAATCGGGATGGTACTTGTGGCAAATCAATTAATGGCACACTATTTGAAGATGAAAACTTTATTCTCAAGCACGATGGTCCAGGCACTGTGGCTATTGCAAATGCTGGCCCAAATACCAATTGGCTCTCAGTTTTTTATCACTTTTGTGAAAACTGACTGGCTGGATAACAAGCATGTTGTCTTTGGCAAAGTCATTGAGGGTATGGGCACTCAAGAGAATTGAGGCATATGGCAGCCAGTCAGGTGGTACCAGTAAACATGTCATTATATCTGACTGCCGCCAGCTCTCTTAAGATTTCCTTATTTTTCCTTGTTTTTGTTTTATTTGAGGTCCAACTTCATATAATGATTACTTTATAACTTATTTTGCAGCAGTCGCTGCACACATTAGTTAGTTGGAGTGTGCCAATTGCAACCTAGGCCAGATATCAGGGTGATACTAATTATTTTACTTTTCGTATAAAACTGTTGAATTCTATATTTAATAAAAATAAGCCTCTCTTTGCTCAATCACACAATGTCACACTTTTAACCATTTCTTGAAACAAACCCTGAATTCATTGCGTGTCAGGGAATCGAGCTCAGATTACCATGTACATTTAACCACTCAAATGTCATTCAAATTGTGGCCTCTGAGCTTATCATTGATGCACAGGAAAAGCCAAAGGACACAGGGTGCTAGATCTGGTGGGTACGGTGGTGTTGCAGGTTGTTTTATCCCAATCAGTGAAATGTGGTCCAAGGTATATTTTGATTTGTGAGGTGGTGCAGTGTCCTGGTGAAGCACGTTTCTGTTGGGGTTGGCATTCTTGTGCATTTTTTCCACTTGATAACCATGGGATCTCTTGGCTGGTTGAGCCAACGACAATCAGCGCCTTGTATATAATACAAAGGCACACAATCACAATAATTATTGTTGACTCCTTCTTTTCCAATGATCTTGGCTTGAGGACTGAGATAATAGATATATATTTTACACACTTTCTCGATCAGCTCAAATCAATGGTCCTTATTAAATGTGGGCCGACATTAAAGGATGCTTGTATTGTACGTTGCCTTTATACGTTGGTATCCACTAACATCATGACAGCACACTTGTTTTGAAATGTTATAAATACCAAGCTGGCAGGCCAAGATTCGAGAAGGGAAATTCGGGCTTGGTTTTAATTGGCATATTAATAACTAATCAATAGCACCATTCACTACAACACCAACCATATGCCGTTTGATATGTGTTACACTACAGGTTTGCCCATCGTGGTAAATTATAATATTGAATATGTATTGATATGGTAACTCAACCCAGGACCGATGCTATCTTTTACACAATACTTAATCTACCGACTTGGCAATTATTACATTTCAGGACAAGACATTGCGTCTTCATGGTACTTGAGGACACCGACGTACAATAGAAACGACATTTGATGACACCAGCGTTCATAAAATAATCATCGACGCTGGTTTAATCCTGGTGCATAGCAATTAAAGCAAAAATACCATGTGCAGTCGGTTATGTCCGCCTTTGAAGTAAAAATAAAAGTATTTGCAATATAATTTGGATATAATATTAAATGAAAATGAAAATGGTAAAATAAACCTAAACATCATCGCTCTGCTCGCTAGCCTCGTTCGACCCTCCCGTGCGGCGTTGGTCGTCCAAAATCTCTCTGCAGCCATCGGCATATTTATCGAGAATGTCTACAAACTTCTTAGAAATCTCAGACGCTTTTTCTGCACGCTTTTCAATTGGATCGATGCACTGGTAGGTGCGATTCTTTAGGAGTGATATGTGTCTTGCAAAGCTTGTGAGTCCAGGTCGGGACACTGGCACAGATAAGTCGTCGTTAGTGTCATCATACACCCTCCGAACACGAGTTCCCACAAACTCTGGCCCGAATTCAGCATTATCGACAAGCGCAATGCGGAGATCATGTAGCAAATATTGAAGCAGTTCTATGCCTTCAATGTCTGGATTCAGGTGGCGAACGATAGCAAAAAAGGTATTACTGGAATTTAGATACGCGCGCTTCCCCTCAGCAATATTTATATACGAACCAGGCATGTGCCACTCGCAAATAAGCAGCTTAATTTCCTCACCCCAATTATCAACTTCTTTTGCGCGCCGAGTCTCTGTGCTAAACCCGAATGTCCCGAGCCAGGCCAAAACATAAATCAATGCTTCATAATCGTCGAGCACCGTGCGTCTGTTGCTGTTCTTCTCGAGGTTGTTCACGCTCATGAATGGAAGTGTGCCGATTTGTTCTTTTTGCGGCATCGTGTCTGGATCCTCGCAGTCAATTGCGTGGTCAAAATCAATCAACATGCCCTTGACGGCGCCACCCTCCATACGCCGGAACAGGAAGTTGCCTGTTGAGATATCGCGGTGCAATATATGGCAGTGCTCGGCAATGGCGCGGTGAGCGCGCATAGCATCGGCGACAGCGATAATCAGCTCTGGAACGGACTGGAGCTTATCAAGCGGCATGCCAATTGGCGATGTGGCAATGCGCTTGTGTGCGCACAGGGGCAGCTTCCGAATCTTCTCGCCAACTCTGACATCGTCAAAAAGATTGCCGAGAACACTGCGCGTCGTGTCCTTGGCAAATGTGTGGTCGCTGCAACTCTGGAATTCAACGCGACCACCGGCTTCGAGGAGTGGGTATGTACCCGCAAGCTCTGGATAGCGCTCGAGAGTATGTGTGATTTTGCGCAGGTGAGCGACCTCATCGCGCGCGTCCTTGTCGACACTACCATCGGCCACCTCGGTCCAAGCGTCCTTGATAAAAACAGTGCAGTTTTTGCTTCTGATGCGATTTTCTTTGGTTGGCTTCTTATCTGTTGCTAGAAAGCACCGCGTGAGCCGCCCAAACAAGTGACTAACCTCGACGACCATATGGTTACTGTAAAATGTGCGCTCAGAAGATCCAGAAGAACCGTCAGTTCCACCGCTGTTGCCCGTGCTGTCGGCGCTGTCCGTGGCAGCTGTGCCAGGAACCGTAATCTCCCAACAGTCAAGGCCTTGCAAGTACTTGATGGTTGGGTCGAAACCCAGCCGGTGGTCCTCGGCAAAGGACAAGTTAACAAACAGCCTGATGGCCTCGCCGCGGCCCGCCTTAGTGCGAATGTTCATGGTGTTGGAGACCAGAACAAAGTTGGAGCCAAACAAGTACACCCGGACAAAGCTGCCGCAAATAGTCAGGCCCCAAACAAAGCGCCGGTTGAGCTGTGCGCAAAAAATGCTGCGACAGTGCTTAGACAGCTGCAGCTCGGCGTCGTCCACATAATCCGACGACGACTCCTGCCTGACCTCGATGGCGGCAAACAGGCCGGCGTACCACTTATTGACGTAGACATCGTCGTCATCCTCAACAGGGTTTGTGCTGTCATCCAACGTTGCCTCGGGGCTGTCGGCTGCGGCGATGGCGATAGTGATCGGTGCAGGCTCGATGACCATGTCAGTCGGACCATTGACCTGCGTGTGCTCTGGCTCGACACCAACTGCAGCAGGCGGAATGAGCACTCGGCGTGGCTCGGGACGCCCGTGCTCTCCCTTGGCGTGCTGATGCAGCCCCTGAATAAGACAAGTGACAAACGAGATGAACGACCCGGCGCCCTTGCTCGCGCTGCTGCTGCTGCTGTCGCTGTCGCTGCTGCTGTCGCTGTCGCTGCTGCTGTCGCTGTCGCTGTCGCTGCTGCTGTCGCTTTCGTCGCCGCCAGATGTGTGTGTGCGCATCCACTTGGAAAACACGTTGTGGTTCTCCCTGAGCTTGCTCGCCAAATAAGCAATAGCGGCGTGTGTCGAGCGAGTCAGCCTAGCAGACCGAAGTGAGTCAGTGTTGATGAGCTCTTCCAAAATGGCCAAGTCGCCAGCCGGCGTGTGGTTCGAGCCAGAACCATGCCACTCCATAGCCCGGTGGATAGCCTCGGCAACCGTGGCCGCCCTCTGTTTGTAGCCCACAGTCAACGGGACTGCCAGTTCAACGACGCCAGGATGTGGTCCGCTAAGATGCCTCTTCAACTCGCGCATTGCCGGCTCCATGCGCTCAAATATATTTTGTCTTTCCAACGTGCTGACCTTGGCATCGATGCAAGTGTTGCCAGAGCGAGAGACGGATGCTGCACCGGCCTGCTCGTTGCTAGCCAGACTGTCCTCGTTTGCTGTGCTGCCCACTAATAAGATAAAAATAATATGATGTTAGTATGTTGTGAGCGCGCCAAAGCACTTTACGCTGGCTGCAGGCATGTTTGTCGGTCCTTATAATCATCTGCAAAATAAAAAGCACAACGAGCCACTTACTATCAGACGGCGTAGTGGGCGCAGGCTGGGTCTTAATTTCGCGCGAAGCAGTATTCTCCGTAAAAATATGGTTGACGTTGTTTTGCGGTGGTGCAGTGTTGACAGCATTATCCGCGCTTCTCTTCGCTCTCTTGCCGGAGGATGCCTGCTCGGAAGCCGCGTCCGCCTTTCTTTTTGTGTTTGTTGGCTGGGAAGGGTTCATGTGTTGCTTCGGCCGCTTTGTAGAAGCTGGCTGAGCACAGTCGTTTTGACAAACCCTCTTTCCCAAGACAACAGCGGACATGGCGAAGGTGGTAATAATGATAAGAAGGAAATGGGTGTGTGAGTGAATGTAGGAATATGGAAGCGAGACGCGAAGTGAAAGTGAATGAATTTAATAATGACAAATGAAAGCGTGAATTTGGGTTAAAGTGAATTGGTGAAAAGTGAAGAGAAAATTGTGCGAAAACAAGAGGAAAGAGAATGCTTTTAATATTGTTTGGACAACCGAAAACAAAACGTCTGCCCACGAATTCAAATATAAAAATTAATTTACAACAGGTTCGCGTGATTACTGATTGGGCAATCGCGAGCTGGATTTATTTTTGGCGGTAACTAAAATGATCTACGCGACATATGGATATTGTATATGAATATAGAATATGGCCATGTCCCACTTCGAGCCAGGCGAAAAAGAGCCCGCTGGAGCTTTTTTCTTGCTGATGCGCTCAACACACGGCCAGCCGAACCCACTGCTATGTACAATGCGCCCACACTACACTTACAGCCAAACAACTGCCCACCCATCTGCCACACCGGCTAATCTGCTTACCAATGCACAGGAATAGCTTCAATCTCTCATATGGCAGTATCTGCTCATGCCCCCGAGTTTTATTAAAATTTTCACTAATGTTTTGTAATACAATCGCTCCAAGCCATTGTGCCAGAAAATAGAGAATGGCACATAGGATATAGAATAAGCACAAATAATTTAATTTTTTTTGTTATTGTTGCAATTGGGTTTGAATGGCCTGGCTCTGGCAACAGGTTGGACAATGGCTTAGACATTGAGCTAAGCCATTACCGTCACGCTGCAAATTGAACCAGGATTTTGCTTGTGCCAGCAGGGTTTGTTTACATGCTGTGGAAAGAAGAAAGCCTGGTATGGCAAAACTGAAGTGCAGCAACTGACTTTGTTTCATTAAGATTGCACATTTTATATTGTACTCAGCTATCTTTATTTACAAGAAAATGACCGTAAAAAGAATGGGCGAAAGTGGGGTTAGCGATGAAGGCGCAGGCCACAGTGCGCGTAACCATCAGCTAATCCCGCCGGCTCGAAAAATTCAAAAAAAGTGTAAGTACATGTAAACAATTATTAACACACATTATAATATAAATTGGGGTTGTATTTTAAAAACTAATATGCATATTATTTCAATTTTGATGTTATTTATTTTGTGCATTTTTGTTTTATTTTTAGCTGGTACGCCCCAGAAAAAAAAAGACGCACTTAACCCGCCAAAAAACACGCCCATCAAGGCCTCCACCGGGAACGCGAATACCAATTCTACTCTTGGTTTATCGGCAACGCATATTTCAAATGCGCACAAGGAGGAGGCCAAGCGTGGCTTTAGGGACCATGTTTTCGGCCCTTTTGCCAAAGTGCTTGGTTTGGCGGTGCCGCAGTCTAAAAGGCACCAGGAGGAGGCAGAAAATGTTGCTGGCATTGTCTGCAAAGTAATGGACATATTTGCAAATATGCCTAACACACCCGATGATGCAAGACAGCTGAAACAGCTTCTGCATCCATTGCTTATGCAAGACAATGGCTTGGAGCAGCATACTTCTCTTGAAAGCCCTGACGACTTCATGTCCCTCTTGTCCAAGCTGCGCGAGCACAGCATGGCATATTCAGACTGGACAAGCAAGGTCAGCCCGTTTACAAGCAAGGTGCAGGGCAATGAGAGGTCAATGTATCCATGCATCACCGCCCTCCTTTGCTTTATTGCACGTGCCATCCAGTGGCTGGATCAGCACAAAACGCCGAGTGGAAACCAGTCACTGCTTCGTCGGCTAGTTCTGCCCTCATGTACAGCCGACACTGTGTTGGAGGATGCACAGGATGCAGAGCGCATTGACATTGGTGTCGAGCTCAAGCCTCGAGATGCTCCTGTTTGCGACACAGTCTTCAAGTGGAAGAATGTTGCAAAGCTTACTCGCGCATCTGCAGGAAAGGTGTGGTATAGTTCGCTCTTTGGCATTATAGAAGCCAAAACAGGGTCGTCTGCCGCCGACAAACTGGGTGCTGCATCCCAAGTCCTGCGGTATATTCGCAATGTCCATGCCAATCAGCATGACCGGCGTTTCCCATGGGGCTGGACAATTTGCGGGAGCGTAATTTCTGCTTACGTTTTTGGGCCCCACTACGTCCTCCAGTCCCACGAGTTCGACATCCGGACAAAGCCTGGGCTGCGAGAATTTGTGCATGTAATTGCCAATTACTCGTACACGGAGGATTACCGGCTGGGATATGACCCGACGCTCAAGTACCTGGCAGACATCCGCTGCTACCAAATCAAAGTCCCAATAGCACTATGCGATGACAACAATGGTGGCAGCAGTAGCAGCGGTGGCAGTAGTATCAGCGGCGGTAACAATAGCGGCAGCAGAAATAGTGGCAGAGATGGAAAAAATAGCGCCAGCGGAAACAATAGCGGGAGCAGAAATAGCGGCAGAGATGGAAAAAATAGCGCCAGCGGAAACAATAGTGGCACCGAAAACAATAGCGGCGGCGAAAACAATAGCGGCAGTGGTTGCAGTGGTTTTCCAAAACCCAAGTGGAACATCTATTACAGTAATGATCTAGTTATTGTATCCGACCAGCCATTTGGGAAGCGAACACGGTGCTTTTTAGCAACAGATGTCAGGCCAACCGACAAAAGGCCCATCACTCGGGATGATTGCCATGTGATAATCAAGGACTCCTGGACCGAAGTGGCTGATGGCAACGATGAGGACATGCGCGACGAGGTCGCTCACCTACGCAAAATCACACAGACTCTCAAGAGCCACCCAGAGCTTGCAGGCACATACCCGGTCCTCATAGCCGGCGGTCGAGTTGAATTCCAGAGTTGCAGTGACAACACATTTGCAGAGGACAACACATTTGCAGAGGACAACACATTTGCAGAGGACAACACATTTGCAGAGGACAACACATTTGCAGAGGACAACACATTTGCAGAGGACACAACGCGCAGTGTTCTTGGCGATCTTTTTGACGATGTCCGGGTTGGTGAGAAGATTCAGAAGATTCCCCTGCGTGCACACAAGCGCATTGCTATGTCGCCAATTGGTCTGCCTCTCAACGAGCTAAAGACCATTAAAGAGCTAATCATTGTTTGTGCCGATGCTATGCGTGCTCACCACACCATTGCCGAGAACTGCCATATATTTCACCATGACATATGTCCGAAAAACATATTATTTCGGCGTATGATGGATGGCACCGTCAAGGGCATGTTGATCGATTATGACCATGCCATCAACCTCGATTCGCAGAGTCGTACAGTTCGCAGTGAGCGCTCTGGAACACTCCAGTTCCTCCCTATCAATGACCTGGAGGGGAACAACAACACGCGCACAGTACTCGACGATTGCGAAGCATTGATTTATGTTTTGGCCTGGCTTGGAACATTCGGATTTAGCACGGAGACTCTACGCGCAAAAAAAGTGGATTGTTGGGGTGAGGAAATTAAGCCGCTTATTTGCGAGTGGCACATGTCTGGTCCGTACATAGCTATTGCTAAGAAGAAGCGCACATATCTAAATTCCAGTGACGGCTTATCTGATATTGTTTTCTGCCTGAATCCAGATATTGAAGACATAAAACTGCTTCAATGTTTGCTACATGATCTCCGCACTGCGCTTGTCGATAATGCTGAATTCGGGCCAGAGTTTGTGGGAACTCGTGTTCGGAGGGTGTATGATGACACTAACGACGACTTATCTGTGCCAGTGTCCCGACCTGGACTCACAAGCTTTGCAAGACACGCATTACTCCTAAAGAATCGCACCTACCAGTGCATCGATCCAATTGAAAAGCGTGCAGAAAAAGCGTCTGAGATTTCTAAGAAGTTTGTAGACATTCTCGATAAATATGCCGATGACTGCAGAAAGATTTTGGACGACCAACGCCGCACGGGAGGGTCGAGCGAGGCTAGCGAGCAGAGCGATGATGTTTAGGTTTATTTTACCATTTTCATTTTCATTTAATATTATATCCAAATTATATTGCAAATACTTTTATTTTTACTTCAAAGGCGGACATAGCCGACTGCACATGGTATTTTTGCTTTAATTGCTATGCGCCAGGATTAAACCAGCGTCGATGATTATTTTATGAACGCTGATGTCATCAAATGTCGTTTCTATTGTACGTCGGTGTCCTCAAGTACCATGAAGACGCAATGTCTTGTCCTGAAATGTAATAATTGCCAAGTCGGTAGATTAAGTATTGTGTAAAAGATAGCATCAGTCTTGGATTGAGTTACCATATCAATTTGTTGAGCAGTTTGATGATATAGAAGTGAGTGTTGATGTTGAGAATCGTGAAACAGATTCCCGCCTGCAGGCTAATAGATTTAATATGGACTAGATCATAGGGGCTCAAATCAGGCGCCACTATTGTCATCCAGACACATTTTCTGTCTTGAAATATGTGTGCACTGGCGTACACAAGCAAAGGCCACAACAATGGCATATCAGAGACCCAGGTTATTTTCATAATAACCAGTTTTCGCCAACGGAGTGCACAGCTGGCAGAGTGCACAGCGGAGGCAAGGAGACACATATATAAGCCTAGGCCGGTGCTGGTAGCACTTTAGAAACGCTGGTATCAAAACCCAATTATAAAATCACCCCCTACTTTTCTAATATTACTACAATATTGCTCATACACCTTCTCCTCACAATACCAGCGGTTCAGTGGCAATAATGTACTCAGCGATCATTGTCCATTGTCACCAAAATATATCAAAAACCCAAGTAAATTAGAACACAGTATACATATAATACTGTTGCACAACCCAAAGATATGGAAGTGGATGTTGAGGTTGACAATCGCGAAACAAGTTTCCATCTGCATCCCGATTGATAGGGTATTAATTGGATTATACAGGCGAAAATTAGGGAGGCATTACATTGATGCCCAAACATGCTCCCCATTCTGCAATGCACACGCATGAGCGTACACGCACGAAAACCACAACATTGACTTCCCAAGATACCGGTCTGCTCGCAGAAGATCCAGTTCTCACCAACGGAGCGCACAATTGACAATGGGCACAACAAAGGCGACAGGGCACATATATAAGATGAGGCTGGCCCCTAGCAGTACTTTAGAAACATCAGTAATAAAACCTTTTATAAAATCACCCCTAACTTTTAACACTAGACAACTAGTGCTCCTCACACCCCCCTCTTACTATAACACCATCTTATTTTCACTAGTTTTTAATTTACACTTACAAACAGCTGATTTTTACAAATATGTACTTTAATCCCCGTCGTATCGTTTAGCATTACTTCTGGTGGTAACCCAATCGGGAATATCAACATTCTTCTGTACGCTAACATTGTTCCCAAGACTGCCGATAACTTTCTCCAGTTGTGTACTGGCAGTAAGGGTTTTGGCTACGTGGGTAGCCCATTCCATCGCGTAATTCCCAGCTTTATGGTGCGGGGCGGTGCCTTTATAAATCGGGATGGTACTTGTGGCAAATCAATTAATGGCACACTATTTGAAGATGAAAACTTTATTCTCAAGCACGATGGTCCAGGCACTGTGGCTATTGCAAATGCTGGCCCAAATACCAATTGGCTCTCAGTTTTTTATCACTTTTGTGAAAACTGACTGGCTGGATAACAAGCATGTTGTCTTTGGCAAAGTCATTGAGGGTATGGACACTCAAGAGAATTGAGGCATATGGCAGCCAGTCAGGTGGTACCAGTAAACATGTCATTATATCTGACTGCCGCCAGCTCTTTTAAAGTTTATTTTTTTACTTTTTTGTTTTATTTGAGACCCAACTTCATATAATGATTATTATATAACTTATTTTTCAGCAGTTACTGTACACATCAGTTGGATTGTGTGACATCAAAAATGGGGCTGAGTCACGTGACAGCACAGACGCGTGAAATATGTTTATGATATTTCACGCGTACAGCGAATTCCGGATAGTGAGCTCTTCAGCTCTTCTCGTAGTTTCATTTAGATTAATATTTATTATAACCAGCACAATTTCTCATTACAGATTGTGTCGTGCTTTATAAAAACGTGGGTCTAAATTATTATATTCGACTGTCAAAAATTACTTAAGGAACTTAAAAAAGGGGCCAGCATTGTAAACATAATGGTGTTCCTTGATTTCAGCCAGCAATAACAGAAATGTGCATATCAACCATGAGGGCGATCTTGATTCTTGAAAAGGGAAAATAGTGGCTCGGAATGTATGTTGGGCAGCACAGATTGTGCCAATTGCAACCTGGACCAGATATCAGGGTGATAATAATTATTTTACTTTTTGTATAAAACTATAGAATTTTATATTTAATAAAAGTAAGCCTCTCCTTGCTCAATTACAAAATGACACCTTCCTAACCATTGCTTGAAACAAACCCTGAATTCATCGTGTGTCAGGGAATTAAACTCTAATTACCAGTGTAATGCCAGGATTTGGGCTGGGTCACGTGATAGTATAGTTACATGCAATCTCATTGTTATGATATTCATGCGCACAGCAGCGATTTCATAATGGTGAGCTCTTGAGCTCTTTTCGTAGTCTCATTCGAATAATATTTATTATACACAGTAATATATTCATTGCACCGTCACCATTTAGCTTTTATTTGGTTTATTCTTAATTAAGAATCTTTTTTATTGTAACAGAATCCTTGCAGTCAATTGTGTGGTGCCCAACACACATTTCAAGCCACTATCTTCCCTTTTCAAGAATCAAGATTGCCCTCATGGCCACTATGCACATTTCTGTTATTGCTGGCTGACATCAAGGAACACCATGATGTTTACAGCGCTGCCCACACAGCGCTGCCCCCTTTTTCAGTTAAGTAAGTAATTTTTAAGACTTGAATATATCGATTTAGACCCACATTTTTATAGAGCACGACAAATTGCATGGTCATAATCGATCAACATGCCCTTGACAGTGCCATCCATCATATGCCGAAACAAAATGTTTTTCGAACATATGTTACGGTGAAATATATGCTAGGTTTTGGCAATGGTATGGTGAGCGTGCATAGCATCGGCACAAACAACGATTAGCTCTTTAATGGTCTTTAAATCGTTGAGAGGCAGACCGATTGGCGACATAGCAATGCGCTTGTGTGGGCGTGAAGGCATGAATTGGTTCATAGAGCCCTTATTGTTATTGTTGCCTTTCTTGTGATCATCACCCTCCCTGTGCTCCCTTTTCAACGACATTAATGCTATTAAGGCGGATAATACAGACAATGCCCAGGACAAGGACAACGGAGAAAATATAAACTAGTGACAAAAGTGACAAAAGATATATCAGAAAACAGAAAATAATATGTTTGTAAAAAGATTACCACCTTTTAGATGCATTATGATACATTACCGAAATGCCCATATTAAACTTTAATAAAAATTCACCCCTTTTTTTCGTTGGAGCTTTGATTTTAACGCACACATTCCAACAATCAAACAGCAAAAAAAACAACAACATCGAGAATTGTGGTAAAGCATTGAACACATGTCCATTGCATGTGAGTTGGTGTAATCGAATCATACCTTTTCAAACAAATTTTTTACTGAAAATTTAAATTTTGATTTTGATTTTTTTTGCCCATATGTCACCAATAATCCGCCGATTTGCTTGGGTCGGGTGATGCGTGTGCGCAGCCATCATCTTTGCCAACAAAGAAGCTACATCCCCTATTTTTTTAAAAAAAATTTTGTCTTTTATCATTTTAATATTTTTTTGCACTATGCCTACAAGACGTTTTGAAAACGGGGGCCAGGCGCCCAGCAATGTGCCGCCAGAAGTCACCTCAGGGTCACAAAACCCAGCTCTCCAAACACTCAACCCACCATTACATCATCTCTCACACAGGGCGCTCCGGTTACAACAAGCCATTATACAACAGCAAGCGCGGGAACGACTCCTCCACCGAGAAAACAACGAGTATGACGACGATTCGGGCTCAGATACGAGCGATTTTGTCGGTGCCTTGGACACTTTTGGACATCCAATGGACTACCCGTCGGATATGGATTCGCCAATTAACGATAGCACACAAGACGAGGACGATGGTGAGGAGGAGGAAGATGAACATGATTCGGATTTCTCCAATGATACGTTTCCGTCGCCGCTGAGCGCAACTTCTGTTCAGGTAGAAGGGTCGAATTTGGAGGAAGAGCAGGGGGGGTTTTCAGATGATGATTTTGATAATGACGAGTTCATTTCTATCAACACACAGTTCAATCCCATGGTTATCCGGCAGCATGGCAGGCGTCGATTGAATGCGCCAGTGACAGTTGATTTTACACAGTCATTGCGGCCTGCAGAAAGCAACTCTTTGACCGTCGACTCATCGGCGCCCATACCCGCTGCAGGCTTGACCTCCCAACAGCAACCCGAGCACCAAGCGCAGGAAGCACAGGAAGCGCATGCCGTGGAGAGCAGCCAGCAGACGCCCAGCAGCAAACGAAGCCACTCCAAGGTTTGCACCAAAGACCACGACTCATTGGCAGAGTTATCTCCAACAAGCATAGCAAAGAAAGCCAAGAGCCAGTCGTGTGCAGAGAGCGATTCTGCAGGGACAGTTGGCCGGAACCGGCTCTTGTTTAAATGCGCTGTGTGTTTGGATACTCCTGACCCGGCGGTGTTTGTTGATCCGTGCGGACATGTTTTTTGCGAGGGATGTGCGCAGGGTGCTGTGCAGTCGACTCGAAAATGCCCGGTGTGTCGACATGCTATGCGCGCCAAGGACATCCGTGTTTTGCAGTTTCGCGTGGCTACAATCGGACGTTAGACACGGGTGGATTGCTTTTTTTCTTTTTCCACATTATAAATGCGTTCACTTTTTTTTCTATTATTCTTATATTTTTCTTTTTCTGTTTTTCTGTAATTGTACACTCCTTTTTTCACCACCACCACTTTTTTATTTTTATAATCAACCAATTTCAACTTTCTCAACTTAGATAAAAATGATGCATGGACGGCGGCGCGAATTAGTCAGAGAGTCCACACTCGACGAAGCAGAGCAGAACAAACAGCGCGTGTCCAAATACCGCACCTTGAGCGCACAAGTAATGACCATGAAATCGCAAAACACATTCAGCCCCGACGCCCTATCCGCCACCCGAAACCTCCTAGAGCTCAACACCGAGCTGCACACAGTATGGAACTACCGGCGCAAAATATTCCTCAACCTCGACTCCTGGCAGGACATGTCCTTGCGCCAACAACATTTGGAAGAAGAGCTGGGGTTTTTGCTCGAAATCATCGTGAGGAATATAAAGAGCTACTGGATGTGGAACCACCGGGTCTGGGCACTATCTATGCTGCCGGTTCCCAGCTGGGAGCGCGAACTGGCGCTGGTTGCGAAGCTGCTCGCTGTTGATGCGCGCAACTTCCACGGCTGGGACTACCGGCGCTTTGTCGTCGCCAAGCTCAGAGAGACTAAGGGAGATGACGTGGACTTGGCCGAGTTTGCATTCACCACGGAGCAGATTAACAGGGACTGCGCCAACCATTCGGCATGGCATAACAGGAGCAAGCTGCTGCCCACTTTACTCCAAAGGTGCGCGTCTCCTGAGGAGCGCAAGGAGTTGCTGGGCACGGAGGTTGATTTGATTCTGAACGCTATTTATACGGATCCCGATGACCAGAACGCATGGCTGTACCATGAGTGGTTGTTGGACGTGCAGACGAGCACGGAGGATAGGTGTGGGCTTTTGCGGGATAAAGTCGCTGCCATTCGCGAGTTTCTCGAGCTGGAGGCTGATAGTAGGAGGCCGATGGTTGAGCTTGTTGATGCGTTCATTGGCCTGGACGACTTGGCCCCTGGGTGTGTCACAGAGGACGAGAGGCGGGAGTGTGTGGACACCCTGCGCAGGCTAAGGAGCATTGACCCGTATCATACTGGCCGGTACAACGATACAGAGACGATTCTTGGCAAGCGGTGGCCGACCGCTGCTGTAAACGAATAATGCCCATTTTTTCAATAAAAAATATTTTCACGCTTAAAGCAAAAAAAGCGGTAGAATGATGCTAGATTTAAAAGAATGACAAAATATTATAGAAAAAAGAGGTGCAAAAGACATCTCTTGTATATGAAAAACGAAATAAAACCAATATGTACTTGTTTAGGGGGGGGAGGGGAGTGGTGGTTTCTCGCCATCAGGTCAGCAAGTGGATGTTTGGCCTCAGGCATTCCTCCTCCAAGATTTTCAAATGCACAACCTCGACACCCGCGTCCAGCAACTTCCTAACACCCTGGCACTCTGAAAAAGTCAGCGGCTCCTTGACCCCAATAACCACCTGCTTAATCCCAGCATCAATAATATGCGTCGAGCACGGCGTATTCTTAGACAATCTGAACGAGCACGGCTCCATCGTAGTGTAAAGCACCGAACCCAAGACCAAATGCGCCTGTGGTGTGGACTTTGATTTTGCAATGACACATTGCGCCGCATGCTTGTTACCGGGGAGCTCTCGCGAGTACCCTGTGGATATTATTTGCCGCCCGTTGACCAGAAGACAGCCGACGCTGAAGGCGGTTTCAATGGGCTGTGCGCGGTTGGCCTGCTGAATTGCAAGCTCCATCAGCTCCATGTGCGCCTCGACCTCCTCGCTGCCGTCATCGTAGTTTATGACGTGGTAGTTTTCTAGTCTCGGCGACTTTGGCGAAGTTGGTGACGTTGGTGGCTGGACTGCCATTTTTTCTATTTTACTGTTTTTTACTTGGATATAGCAGACGGACGAGGAAATGTGTATACTCGGATATCGAGAGCGCCAGAAAAAAATGGATGGAGAAAATAATTATATGAAGGAGAATAGTTGTATTTCAGTTGAGTGAACGAAGGGGGAAATGAAAAAGAGCGGTTTTGGAATTCTTTTTCTTTCCTTGGTTTGAAGAGAAGCGAAAAAGTAAAAAAACAAGTTTTGAAAGAGAAAAGGGAGGTTTTTATTAAACCGAGCTTGGTCTTGTGCAAAAAAAGAAGGCAAAATGACTCAAAATCCACACACACGCCCACGCTCGCCACCCGTTGACCTTATCCTTTCCTTTTCTTTTGCCTCTTTCCCTTTCTCTCTCCGTCTTGTTTGTCCTCGCGTTGAGTCACAAAAAGAGCTCCTTTTTGTTTACTAAATGCACTGCAGGAAAAAATGAAAAATGAATGAGAATTCTGTCGAACGCCAATCAAAAGTTGTGCACATGCTCAGCTTTATTTCTCTACTTTTTTCCTGCTCCTGCGTCATTAACTTTTTTTGCGCCTGATCATACGGCATCTGTTATGATGCCTCGGTACATTTTTGTGGCTTTTTTTGGGTGGGGGAGGGAAAGGAAAGGTCGGCCTGGTTCGGGTTATTCTTTGCGATAATATGAAAAAGGTGTTGAAAAAAGGAGCTCGGCGATCCCGAAGATTATCCGTGGGACTTTTTTGTTGGCTTTTTTCTGTCAGCGATGAGCCCAGCCTCACGAAAATACAAACAAAAATGCTGCTGAGTTTCCATGAAAAAAGGCCGGTGCCAACTTTTAATTAAATTCTGGTCACAAAGGCATATTGTAAATGCGCTCACGTGTATTCTCCGCCCGCTGCATGAATGAGCTGATCATCTGGGCGGCTGACGCCTCGAGCGAAGCGACCTTTTGGTTGCAGCACGCATGGATGAATTCCTCAACCGTCATGTCCTCTTCAACCTCGTCCAGATCCCAAGCGGCATCCTCAGCGTCATCGACCTGTGTTGACTGCTGGTACTCGTCGATGGCCATTTCCTCGGGCGACGACAGCATATCGCTGGCCACCTGCGTGTTGGACAACTGCGTGTCGGGGCTGGTGTCGGACGTGTGCCCTATGTCGCTGTCGCTTTGCTCTTGCTCGTTGCCGCTGTAGTCGCTAACCTCGCTGACATCGCTGATGTCAGGGCCGACTTGGGTGTCGGGCCCCGACTGAGCGTCCATATGGTGCTCCTCGCCAATGCCGCGCGGCTCGTGTCCGTACCCTTCTTCGATGGCGTGGTCCTCCTGCTCCTCGGCGTTGTGTGCGTCGGTTTTGTTGGCGGGCCGCTCATCGTGGTCCATCTCGCTTTCCTCGTCATTCTGAGCCATCCCGCCCTTCTCGTCATTCTGGTCCATGCGCATCTCATCGTGCTCCTCTTGGTCGGACTCTTCAACAAGCTGCTCCTTCTTGGCCTCGGCCATCAAGCCTGCCACATCGTCGTCCTGATCCTCGGCCTTAACCTCCTTGATAAGATCACCGCTCAGGCGCGGGCGCTTAGACGCCGACGAGTCCGACGCCACCCGCTCATCATCGTCTGAATCAACAATAGTGACAGCCTGTAGCGATGTCCGCATACTGACTCTCCTGGGCGTATCCTTGGGCAGCGGGCTAGCGACCAACGGCATGCCATTGTCCCTAAGCAAAGTGAAGAACAAGCACTCCGGCACTCTCTTCTCATGCTCCGCATTCGGATCATCCTCAGCCTCCCACTCGGCCAGCATATACCCGCAGAACAAACATGCCGCCGTGTCGTCTCCGGGCCACTCCGGCGTATAATAGAACCCAGCGCTGGCCAGTTTCTCCGGCGTCACGTTCCAGTCCTTCCGCCCCGTATGCGGCCACTCATTCTCATTGAACGTGGCCAGCCGCGTGGCCACATCACTGCGCATATCCAGGAGCCTCTTCTTCGTTTCGGCGTCCATGTCATTTACCGGCCAGCCCTTCCACTCGACTTTGTTGCCTAGGTGCGCTTCGCGCGTTTGGCAGTGTAGCGTGGCGTATGTGCAGCTGGGCTGGTGCGCGTAGTGCTCCGAGAAGGGGTCGTCGGAGGGCTCCCAGCCGGTCAGCTCAAAGCCGCAGTGGAAGCATTGCACGTTGTCTGGTGCGTCCTTTACTGGGTTAAAAGAGAACCCCGCGAGAGCTAGTGTGTCGGGCTGTGCCAGGTATGATGTGTATTTGAGGTATGGCCATCTGTAGCGCCCGCGCCGCATAAATGAATCCTTGCGCTGCTTGAATGTGTGGAAATTGAGTGTTTGCTTCATGTTTAGCTATGAATTTTTTGAATTGAATTGTGTGGATTTGTATAGTGTTTATAAATAAAAAAGTTGAAGGCAAAAAAAGACAAAGACAAAGATAAAGACAAACATAAACACAAATACAAAGACAAACAAACACAAAACAAAACAAAGCAAAGCAAAAACAAAGCGTGATCGAATAAAAAATATCGCGTTTTTTGTTTACCTAAGGATGCCTCGATCACAAAATGTCCCTCGCTCTTGATTTTGCTCTTGATTCGTCATTGCTGCATAAATCCACCGATTTTCTATCCTTTCTGCATATTCGAAATATAGTGCGAGAATGGGTGACATTTTGGACCATCAATTGTCGCAAGGACAAAAAGAAAATTGACAATGTGCCCAAACCACATATTAAAGCACACACGCGCCACACGAAAACAAGCATTATAATATCAATCCCACTTGTTTTTTCTACTTTTTTGCAACTAATAATGTGTGCATTGGATATGTAGATATCAACAAAATGTATTGTCACTAATGCTGAGTTTTTGTTGTTAAGGCTACGCTATAAGAAAATAATGAAGCTACAAATATGCTATAAACCGACATCCTTCCCCCAGATAAAGTGTTTAAAAACTAGTGGCAATAGACCGCTATGGTTGATGATATTATCCAGTTCGCTGCTTTTTTTGAAGACAAGAAGCAGGGGCAGATGGATTCTTGCGCACATGCTTGGGATTGGGCTTTGGCTTGAGCGTCGATGTAGGCTCGGATTCAGCCGACTCTGACAATGCATTTTTGCGCGAGAAACAGGGAAGACGCTCGCCTGTAAACAGGACATTAAGAATAATGTGAAAGTTCAACACCGCAGCCATGTCGGGATTTCGCTTCCGCCTGCCTGATGGCAATTTTTCGCCATTTCAAGCTTGGTTCCGTCGGCCCTGAAGGTTTGCAGGCACTCTTCCAGTATGCATTGGAGCAAGCTGTGTCATAAAATTTGGCGAGGCTTTTTTACTGCCAGAATTATATTTATGCCTGTTGTGGCTTCCTGCTTTTGCTGCTGCTGCTGCTGCGCGGCCAACTCGTTGCGCATCCTCTGTCTGGTTTTGCGTTCAATTTTTGCCTTGCAACCAGCCGCTCAGCCTGATAATGTGCTTGAGATTATCAGTAGGCTGGATATTGATGTACTGCTCCCGATTTCGCTCAGCCAGTTCATCCCGCAGCCGCTGCTTAATTTTGCGGGAAACTTTGCCCTTTAGCCAGCACTTTTCCTCTCCTATCCACCGAATGATATTGGCAGACTGTAGGCGAATAGCCATCCACCGGTTGCAACTCTGCTGTGCACTGTCAGTAATAGATGCGGCGTCAGCACCAGTTTTATTTACAACAGAAACGGCGGTGGCTGCTGCTGCGACAGACACAGCGGCTGAAGTGGTTGCAGCTGCGTCAAAATCAGATAACGCTGCTGCTGCAACGGAATTGGATTATGCTGATACTGCTGCAATTGCGACATGGTATTTGTGCTTGGGATTCTTCAAAAGACCATGGGTTTTGTGGAATTTCCCCATCCTGCTCTCACATGTCGGGCAAAACATTGAAGTACAATACTCGCCAATCAAGTAGACAGTGAATCACTGGCCTATAAGCATTTCCCGCAGCCCCTTTCCACGAATTGGCTCATGGTGACGGGCCATGCCTGGGTCCAATTACCAAGAATTAGGACTGCATCTGATCCAAATTTTGCGAGTTTGATGTCGGTGCGCTTTCTGTTAACAAAGAAAAGATAACGGAGATTGCAGTGCAAGGGGTCAATTGAGCTGCTGCCATCGTACTTTCGACTCTTGCTGAGGGTCTGCGTGTTGTGATAAAGTTCTGCCAAAACAAAATATCCCTTTACGGCGCTCAAGGAGGTACTCGACATACAACTTGCAATCAAGTGTGCTGGAGCCAGAGTGGCTGAGCGCGCGCTTGGCATCCTCAAGAGACATATATCAACCATTTGTTTCCGTCTTGGTGAGCTTTGTGGGATCAAGCTGGAATATTTTTTTTGCGTTTTTGTGGATCCGACAAAACATGCGTTCACGACGCTTATTAGCCTCATAATTTTTGGTGTGGCAGAATGTCTTCCTCTCACCCTTTTTGTGGTTGCTTTTATGTCTGGGACAATATAACATATCCCTACGATCGGTACCAAAGAGAACTGATCTGTCAACAGTATCATGAATGTCATTTTTTGACAAATTATTAATGTATTCTCAAGAAGCCTTCTTACTGTGGGGTACACTATTGCTGTTGCTGTTGTTGTCAGAATCGCCAGAACCTTTCTGAGACTAAAATACTCTTAGCTTTGATCCTCTTCTTCTGTGTATTTGTGGGTGAGTCAAGTACTACAATTATTGGCACTCCATCTGTACGAATGATCCCTCCGAACTTGTATGGTTTATTGTCCTTTTGAGTATCGAGCGAGAATGGCCAACAAGATATATCACAAAATAGGGACTAAATTTCCTCTAGCGGCTTGACTAAAAGCTCACTCATAGGCGGAATCTTGGGGAACCCAATATCCAAGCAAAGACTAGCCTTGTGCAGTGCTCTGAGTCAGCTCTTTGTGACAGACAGAATACTCCGTGCAAGAATGGCCTTTCCAATTGTAGTAAAACCCGGTACAATAGACGTCCTCATCGGGAAGAGGGAAATTGTCTTCATTGCCTTGTTGAGATTTAAAACCCGGAAAATATCAACAAAAGCCCCAATGAGGTTCACTGTATTGGCCACAGTCATACTGGAGCCCCTTGTCGCCGAAACTGCAGTCCTCAGGGGAGGTGCCAAAAATCCTCTCAATTAAATGGTCCATTCTGTCGTAGAGAATAGGGTCGAAAGTCAACTTGGTGTCGATCTGCTTCCCGACTTTAATGTTCTTAGCAGACAGCAGAGCCCACTTCATCTTGCCTGCCGGAATTCTGATCTCCTTACTAATGCACTGTTGTATTTCCTTTTTGGTGCGGCCACCCTCCTTAGTAAGAGTCTCGTATCGCCGCTCAGTTCTTTTCTTTACTTCAAGTGCTATGTCAACCATATGTTTCAACTGCCTGTTAAAGCGCTGAGATATATGAGATTTATACGCCACCAGAATTGTCGGTCCCTCATAATTAGCAACATAGGCCGCACCAATGAACTGTGGGCACTCAAACCTGGCCTCCTCGACGAACGTGTGCCTGTGCTTGTTGACAAGTTTGCCATTTGCGTTGTTCAGGTTGTTGCTGCATGGTTTGTTTCCGGCGGTGAGGCAAAGGGCTATGGAACATTCCTTAAAATAAACCTTGATTTGGGTGGTTGACGATATTAAACCCCTCATTATTCAGCTCTTGTAAAAAAGATATACAGTGCGAGCTCATATGTGGCTGTTGTAACACAGCGGACGGTGTCAGCATGCTCTCGCAGACCTGTCAAAAAGTATGGACAGTGCATTTTGCAGAGGCTGAGGAACTCCTCTATGCTAATGGGAATAAAAATATAATAATATAAAAATAAAAAGTTGAATGATGAAAAGACTATTTTCCAAAGAGTATATAAATATATTTTCCTAAACTAAAACTAACTAAAGAAGGCTCATCAATTTTATTGCGTTCGCGAGAGATTATTATATCCAATGTATCTAAAACAATAAGCACTGGCACTAGCATTGGCATTGGCACTAGCACCGGTACTGGTTTAAGTGCCTAAAAAGCCCAAAGGCCAATTCCCTGGTTCCCTGCTATTTCCAGCCCAAAATGGTACTGAAGAATAGGCATGGGTACAGGGAATGCTAAATACTAGTGCTATAATAAGATGGGGGTGTGAGGAGCACTAGTTATCTAGTGTTAGAAATGTAGGGGTGATTTTATAAAAGGTTTTATTACTGATGTTTCTAAAATATTACTAGGGCTAGCCTCGTCTTATATATGTGCCTTGTTGCCTTTGTTGTGCACATTGTTAATTGTGCGCTCCGTTGGTGAGAGCTGGATCTTCTGCGAGCAGACCGGTATCTTGGCAAGTCAATGTGGTTTTCGTGCGTGTACGCTCATGCGTGTGCATTGCAAAATGGGGAGCATGTTTGGGCATCAATGTAATGCCTCCCTAATTTACACCTGCATGATCCAATTAGCGTCCTATCAATCGGCACGCAGGTGGAAACCTGTTTCGCGATTCTCAACCTCAGCATCAACTTCCATATCTTCAGTCTGTGCAACATTAGCCATTTTATAGTAATTTTATAGTATTTTCCAATAAACAAAAACTCTAAAAACCTCAATCTAAAATATTTGAACCCCAAAATTTTGTATAGAATCGCCCTACAGAATCACTCTATGGAATTGTTCAATGGAAAATTCTTTTTTTTAATTCAGGGAATGCCGAGAAACATCATTTTTGGAGGAAATGGATAAATGATTCGGTTTTAGCGCCTAAAGCATGGAGTTTTTATATTAGGCAGGTAAAAAATAAGGCAATGAAGTATTTCTTCACCCCACATTTTTCATCGTATATTACATTAAATCTTTTCTGTGACTTTACAACTTTTTTTCAACAAACTTTTTTCTTGCCTTTTTTGCATATGTCATGCTCGGATAACAAACTTTGAATTTGGAAATGCAGGGAAAAGGGGGAGGTCAGAATATACCCTTTTTTACGTTTTTTTTCAAAGCTAAAAATAAAAAATCTAACCCAGATATTGAAAATATCGAAAGTTGCCGTTAAAGCCGTGAGTTCATAAAAAATGAACAGTAAACATGGGATAATCCGTGCAGACCAACACCCCCTTTTTTATCCTGTCGCTCCCTGAAATGTTTATTTTAAAAATATTCCAGATTTTCGACTTTTTTATTTAGCCAAACTGTAAACAAAAAAGACAACCTCCACAAAAGGCAACAATTATCGAGGCTCTTGTCCAGCCTTGTTTGCTGTTTGCTGTTTGATATTTGCGTTTTCTGTCTCCAAAGACATCTTCATAATGTCAATTGAGATCGAGAAGAAAAAGCATCAACAGATTGCTGACAGGACAAACGCGTCGGGTGAGAATGATTCCGATGGAAAAAGAAAAATATTATTTTTTTGTTGGGTTTGTCACAAAATAGTGCACTTATTTTTAATGTTTTGGTTGTGCATTTTTTGCGATTTTTTTCTAGGTTGCATTCAAAATGTGTATGATCATAGCTTGGTTCCGAAATAAGAGTCGCAAGTTTTTCTTTTTCTCTTCCTCGTGTAAAGTTTTGTTTTGCGTTTTTCAACCATTCTTTTTTCTCTCTTTACTCTTGCGTTTGTCACTTTTATTTTTTATTTCATTCTCCTCTATGTGGTATAATCAGGCTTACATTTAAGCTGGAAAAACAAAACAAAACAAAAAACGAATATCCCATTCCTATTGTTTCAGGGCATCTAAGAAATCATTTCGTTCCTTATTTTGGTTCTCTCTTGAGGTTTTTTTCTCATCACCCCTCCTATTAAAGATTAACGATACTTTTTTGAAAGCACATACTTTGACTAGCTCAAAACGACCATAGTTTCGAATTTATTCACTTTTTTATTATTACTATTTTTCTACTCCTTTTTCCCTCTCTTCCTCCTTCACCACACATACACTTGAACGACAAAGCGCGCATTCCAATACAACACTATTTTTCATTACTTCAGAATGAACAAGCACAACTTCCCGACTGGTGAAGACGCTACGTTTTTGGTCAACCCCAACGGAAACCAGGGCTCCGGCAACAACAGCATAAGACAGCGGCCGCCCGTATCTGCGTCGGAGTTTAGCCACATGTTCACTCCTCTCCCCATAGAGCGCATGTTTCAGATGGGGCCCACAGGCGGAGGAGGGGATACGCAGAACTCTGCCTCGATAATGGGTATGCTCTGGCGCAATAATGACGGCAACGAGCAGGCAGCCGATGCTTTTCACGATGGGGCAGGCGACACCCTGAAGCAGCTCCTATCCAATGGCAGCAACCCCACGGGACCAACCAGGCAGCAGGAGCAACAAGAACAGCAGGAGCAACAGGAAAGACAGGAGCGGCAGGAGCAGTTCATGGCCATGGTCGAGAGTGAGTCTCTCATCACGCCATCTTCTCCTCCCGAAACTGTGGGCTCGCAGGGAAGCGCCCAAGAAGAAGCAATGACTTATTCCAGCGCATTGCACCACCAGCAAGCATTGCACGGCAGCTTGAGGCGCACCAACTCCGTGCGCTCATCCATCGCCCTGCCATCGTCAATGCCGAATAACTCCATGCTGAACTACCGGCGCAGCGTAAACCATGATTCCAGAAACATGCCCCCGATTCCTAGCTCTCCCCAACTGCGCTCAGCCTCGCGCATGTCGTTTGCTTCATATCACTCGTCGAACGCCAATGGGCGTAATTATGCTGTGCAGCCGCCGGCATCTGCTAGACCAAGTGGCACAGGGGCGGAATACGGGCAGAATCCGCAGCAGCAGCGGTATTTGAACGGCAGGTCTGTTGTCAATCGGCCACACCTCATGTACGATGTTGGGGCGGTCGGCGATTTTACCAGCCATCCACTGCAGATACACTCTGCAGTTGTCCCCAGCACCCGGTACCAGCACCCTTTGCAGCAGCAGCAGATGTCGCAAGGTGATCAGTCCCTGAGACACGAGGTTTTGGATAAGGTTGCTCGCAGGTCGCAGCCCACCACACCCTTTGACAACCACGGCCCGATCTCCAACAACCAGCGGCCCCCATCCTCAGTGGCCCAACAGCGGAGGGGCTCGCCCAGTGATTACATTCTGCCGCAGCAGCCATATACATCAGGTGAGATCACCATACTTCCGGGAGACAACCGGCTGCGTCCGTACGTCTGGAACCAGTCAAGCGGCGATGAGAGCGAGAGCCAGATGCACCGTCAAAGGCAAACCCAACTTAAAAGCTCAAACTCGTACACCGCGGGCGTAAACCACACTGCTACGGTTGCGCGTTTTGGAAGTATCCGCAGGGCAGAGCAGGCAGACTTATCGCAGGTGCGCAAGACTAGCGATAGCAAAGCGCAATTGCTGAAACCCGAGAACTTTCGCGACCCATTACCTGATCGCATTGGTGACATGGTTTTGGACAAGCGGCTGGGCGAGTGGGTGAATATCAACGACTATTTGAACTCGTATGGCGGTGCGGAATCGCCCAATATCCGCCCCAGCGCGGTCTCGACCAGCGTCTCCAGAAACGGTAGTGCGCAATATCAGCAACAGCAGAAAGGCAGCCCGGTACACGCGGCATCTGGAGGTCCAGCGTCGGCGTCTGCCAGATCGTCGGTATCTATGCAGTCGCAGCTGTCAGCTTTCCCACAGCCTCTGCCCACAGGCAACAACGGTCGAAACACGACTATGGGCATGGGTCTGGTCTCTCCAGTTGAGAACCAGCGCGTGGTTGTGCGCGAAATGGCTGAGCGCAAGGTGGCCAGAAGCAACTCCACAGTGCAGCGGCGACACATTGAGGACGAAGCTCTGGGCTCGATCGTCCAGCGCCTGGTGACACCAGCAACATCCCCCAACGAGTGCACAGCCCTGGATCTATCGGGCTCCGGCATCCGCAACCTCTCTGGCCTGGCGCAAATCACCTCGCGTCTCGAGGCCATCTGCTTGGCGAGCAACAAACTGCAGTCCCTCGCCGGACTCCCCACCGGCCTGGTCAGCCTCCGCGCGCCATCCAACTGGATCCGATTCGATGTCGGCGATGCGGATAAGTTCAGCTTTGCGCGCGAGCTGCCGCACCTCGAGGAGATCGACCTGAGCGCGAACGAGATTGCCGACATCAGTGTCTTCTCTGGTCTGCGTCACCTGCGTGTGCTTGAGCTGAGCCGCAATCGCATCGAGTCACTGTCTGAACTGCGCGGCTGCCGTCGGTTGATCCAGCTCGGGCTGCGCGACAACATCATGACCAGGCTCGACCTTGACGCCAGCGAGGCGCCTCTTCTGCAGACCCTGGATGTGTTCAACAACCGTCTGCGCGTGGTCCCCGCAACTATTGCCGAGTTCGTGCACTTGGCCAAGGTCAACGTTATCAAGAACGACCTGGAGCACGTTGAGCTGCACGGCCCTGCTGCCGAGTCTATACGCGAGCTGCGCCTGTCAGAAAACCCATTGCTGATGCGGCGCAACGGCGGCATTGTGGACGTCAGCGCATGGCGGGCCAAGTTTCCCTGCCTCAAGACGCTGTACCTAGACATTTGCAACATCCGGGAGCTCTCGCAGTCTGGCAATTCCCTGGGTGACGGCAACTGCGCCCAGATACCGGCGGAGGCGTCGCCTGTCTCGTGGGCATCCATGTTCAACCTCTCTTTGCGTGGCAATGCGCTCCAGCCCCTGCTGTCCATTGATTTTAACTGTCTGAGCAGTCTGAAGAACCTGTACGCGCCGGACACTCGTATTGCGCTTCCGTGCTCGCTGCCGACTATGAATTACCTGGTGCAACTTGTGATGTGCAACGCCGGGATCCCCCACTTGCCATCGAACTTGGGCTCGGCTTTGCCGCAGCTCAGACTCCTGGATGTGAGCAATAACCCCGATTTGATCGATATATCTCCCATCCTGCAGCTTGCGCCCTCGCTCGAAGTTCTCAAGTGCCGCTCTGTGGGCTTTGGTGATGGCAACCTCACCACTCCGGGCATCCAGACGTTCCCTGATGTCCCCGGAGATAGCATCGGTGGCAGCTCATCGAACGGCTTGTCCAGCGAATGTGCGCTGCTCAAGAGCCTGTCCAAGCTGCAGCGCCTACGGCGTCTGGACTTGCGCTTTAACAGGTGCAATTCGGATCTATATGCTGCGCCGCCCACGCTGCCGTTGCAGTCACTGGGGTCTGGTGGAGGATCCGGCAGCGGCATGTCCCTTGAGAGCCCGTTGTCGCCGCAGATGCCCGGGCAGGGCGATAGTGGCCCCGGCGTGGTGTCGTCGGCGCGCGTCGATGAGGACGCTTGGCTCAAACAGGATCATGTGTTTATGCTGAGCCTCAAGTTTGCTCGCCAATCGCATCTTCTACAGCGCCGCGATAATTACTGGAGGACCGCGGTCTCTCTGTTTTCGCGCCTGGAGGAGTTTGACGGGATCAAGGTTGGCTCGCACTAAATTTTCATTATTACTCAAATATTATATTAATTTATTAATTTTATCAAACTCGATGATGTCGACATTAACGAATGTTTTTTTACAATTTTTCATTTACAAATTACGTAACTGAAAAATTACTAGAGCCCTTTTTGCCTGTCAGTTAAAAGCTAGTTGCTGTGCCTTTGTCACAGAGCCGTGTCGTGCGTTGTGTTTGAGCCAGCTTGTTTATTAGTGTGCAGGCCTCTTGACATACTCTTCTCATGATACCCCAACCAACTGCACAATTAAAAATAAATCGACCCAATTATCCCTTTTCATACTATTATTATTTTTCCGATGCACGCTTCGTACCGCGTGCCAATATATTTTTTCCTTTACCACAAGGAATAGACCAAAGAAAGCAAAAAGCAACCCTTTGTACAATATAGTCCGTGGTTTGTTTCTACTATGTAATTTTTCTTTTAAAAAATCTTCTTTTAAATCTCATGCAGATATTTTTTCTTAGGCCGTAGCCATGGCAGAAAAACTCGGTGTATTATTTTTATAGAACCTTTTTTTGGCTGCTTTCTTAATAGCGTCTTTCCTTCTTATGTTCATCTCCAAGTACACCTTTCCATTGCATTTTATTATTATTATCATCGCCCATATACACCTCATTAATTATCTTCTTATTAGCCTGTCGCATACACACACTCACGCTTACATTTACGTATATACCACCCTATCACCATCTGTCTACTCGTTTGCATCAATTATCTATCGCGCATAGCTGTCGTATTAAGCTACAAAATATTTTTATTTAACTACCCACAGCAACAACACTTGAATATTTTTATATAAACTTGCACAAATTCGACACGCCCGGCGCTATCAGTTTTGAATCCCATTTGTAAAAAAAAATAACATGTCACACTTGCTTATTCCCGAATACAAGGTTGTCATGTTGGGCAGTGGAGGTAACGTATCATTTTGTTTTGTTTTGTTTTAATTGCATCAACTGGTTTTGATATTTGCTATGGTCACATATATGCGCTGTTCAACCAAACTAATGCCTTTTCCATTAATTGTTTGTTTTTCAAACACACGCATAGGTGTCGGCAAGTCCATGATCACGACTCGCTATATCAACGGCAACTTTACCGAAGAGTACGACCCAACTATTGAGGACAGCTACAGAAAAAGATGCGAGGTTGACGACAACGCCTGCTTTTTGGAGATCCTGGACACAGCCGGGCAAGAAGAGTATATTGCCCTGCGCGACTACCACATTCGCGGCGGCGACTGCTTTGTCATAGTTTACAGCATCACGAATAAGAGCACTCTGGAAGAGGCCGAGCACATTGCAGAGAAAATCTACCAAACCAAACAAACCGACGAAGTACCCATAGTACTGGTTGGCAACAAATGCGACCACGAGAGCGAGCGCCAAGTGAGTATGGAGGACGGCAAGCGGCTGGCAAAAAAAATCAAGTCTGGATTTTACGAGGTGAGTGCCAAGACCGGGGTGAAAGTCGATTCTATTTTCACCCAGTGCGTGCGGAGAATCAAGCACCATAGCAGGAACACCGAGCTTCCAAGCGCCCTTACTACTGCTAGGTCATCTGTGCACCATAGCCGCGAGTCCAGCGTGCAGGGCGATAAACGCAGCAAAAAGGAAAAACCAAAGTCAAGCTCAAAGTCATGGCTCCCGGGAAGAAAATCCATAAGTAAAGAAAATGCCCCTCTAGCTGTCCCCGCAAGCCCACCGCCCATGGCCACTCTAATCCCGGCTCTTCCTCGGAATGAGAGTAACATTCCTGATTACTATCTGACAACGTTTACAAACTCCCCCGAGCCGCACATAGTTCCGGCCAACGGCAAGCCTACCTCAATCCAGCGCCGCAAATCAGAGGCAGGCAGCCCACTTGGAAACCGCCAAATCAACAAGGGCTACGCTCGCGAGAATTCTGGTAGCAGCAGTCCAACAGGCCGCAATGGAGAGACAATGAGCGTGCCACCGCCGAAGCGTGTGCACTACATGGGCGACGAGTCACCTTCAAAGCGCACCCAGGACACGCGCAGTGCGCCGCCCCCGCGGAGGTCTGGCAACAATGCAAATTCCGAAAAGAAGCTTCCCGATAGGTATGACCAGGAGGATGGCAATATCCCGTCGCTTAAGCGCAGCCTAGGAACCGACACTGAGAGCAATCTGTCCGGACACCGCATTAAAAAAAGTTCCATTCAGGTGGTCCCATATGGTACCGCTATAAAGCCCGATGTAAACAAGACGTTGCCAGAGCCCAAGCGTCGGAAGAAGCGTATGTCATCGTCCTGTCCGATTTTGTAGTGTGAAAATCGCGATGAGGATGCGAAATGTAGCACGTTTGCTTTAACTGTCAACTAAAAGGTGTGCCCGGGTGAGATTAATTGCACTGTTTGGCTGCCTGGTAATAGACTTGTTTGTATAATAGACTTTTATTTATTTTTATTTATTGGTTTATTTTTACTTTCTCACGCAGTCACTCACACATTGAATGAGTATGCGCGAACCACATTATTTGCAAAGTTAAACCCCCCACACCCCCTGAGATCAAATTTTTTTGTAATATAAATGGCGGTTGTATTGTCATTTACATTTAGCAAATGCTCAGGCCTCATGCGATATGTGAACAAATAATTAGCAGCACTTTTTGAATCACGTGTATTTTAATACGCCACTTTTGGTCGTATATTCATATTCTGCTTATTTGCTCACGACAGGTGACTGACTGCGCTTCAGCAAGCCGCCATGATGTGTGTTTTTCTCATTGAGAATGGGAGGGAGATATGCGACAGGCGATAGGCAAACGGATAACGCCAATATATGCGCATGTACAGCTTGTACGTGCATCCAAGAAACCACTCCAAAATATTTTCCACACAGCCAATATTTTTTGAAGTGGTAGGCCACGTACATATTATAAATACTTATTGTTTATGGCTTGTATTTTTGATTTTTGAATATACTATTTTAACAGAATTTTCAAAGCACTATTTTTTTGTTTTTTTACTGGTCCAGGTTTCGGTGTAATTGTCACAAGCCTCCGCATTAATTAGCGAATAACACACTTGGTCCAATTGCCTTGATAAATTTGTGTCGCCAAAGAAATGCTCGCTTGTGAGTGGGTGAATATTAACGAGAAAAAAGTCAAGACAAAACGAGCCATCCACTCTGACAGACTGCGCCTGGCTCTTTTGCCTTTGCATTCACACCGTATTGTGTTGTATATTTGTTCACTTATTTAAACATTATTTTTTGCGACTTGCATTGGTATCACTATCGCCATCCTTATCGTCATCCTTATTGTCGCCCTTACTACCTGTCGACATTTAGCGCCGAGCCTTTGTTTGAGATGCCGCAATTCCCACAGCCAAAGCACGGCAAAGACCCAATGGTCTATGTCCCATTACGTCTGGAAGATTACGATATCAGCCCGGCAAACGGATTTCTCCCCACAGAACCGCCGCTGCGCCGGCTTTCCAATCCGTATTTCGAGCCATGGGAGCGCATCATGGATAAATTCAACCAGTACCTGCTGGCTCACCACATCCGGCGACTTGTGCGCAAGGTAAGACTACGTTGAACGCCATTTACTTGATTTTACTGAATCTTGGATTGCACAAGAGCAAAAGCTGATGCTTGATTTTTGCAGCTTATTTTTCTGGGGAATTTTTGTTTTGCTATCATGCGTAGCGCCACTCATCATTTGTAAACCTCAATACATTGTTGCCAGGACAATCGTACCGTGTAATATTATTCTCAGATTATTCTTTTTTCTGTTTTCTTCTCTGCCCTCCAAGCGATATTAATTGGTTACCAACTGCGCGCTGGAATTCTGCAGTCACACGCGGCCTTCGTTTATCGAAACGCAATGAAAAATCTAAAAAGATATTTATGGAACATTCTGTGCGCTTACTAATGATACCTTTATTGGGATTGCTTCTTTTGGCCATGCTTTTTGTTGATGTAGATGCCAGTCCTCGATACGAGCAAGCTGGAGACACAGGCCGAATTTCAGCGGGCATTCACAATTCTCTCGTTCATGGCACATGCCTTTGTTTGGGGTCGGAACAGCGCGTTGTCCGAGTCAGCATCAGATGTAAGTTCTCCATTTGTCAATATTTGGTCTTCTCCAAAGTGAACAAAAAAAGGTCTTATCAGTTGTTCGCCAAAACTCTATGACTAATAATTGCGGAGAGAGGGTGGAGATTTTGTTTGCCATTTTTTATCTTGATAACTCGTATCGATAGTTCTTACCCGCGTCGATTTCGATTCCTTGGGTTTCAGTGGCCAAGTTCTTGCAAATCAATCCAGTCATATGCTGCGCTGCGGTCTGCCACTGGAACTGGCAGATTCTCGACAAAAATGCCAAAGATCCGATGGACATTGAGTAAGCAAAAACATGCTTCACAAAGCGATCATTTTGAAATAGCCCACAGCCATGAAAATCCTAACCTTTAAAAAAACTCAAGTCGCATGTTGACTGACGCCACTTTGTAGCAACCTTGGCACTCTACACACGTTCTCAGGCTCGACAGACGAGTCCTGGTTCTACCTGGTCACCACAGCAATCGAGGCCAAGTGCGCACAGGGAATAAACGCTATACTTGACGCAGTCGCCAGCGTCGAAGAGGACAACATGGAGCGAATGACGCGCGCATTGCACAAAATCGCACACTCGCTGCGCGACGCAAATACCCTGCTTGTGCGCATTTACGAGCGCTGCGATCCGTACGTGTTTTACTGGAAGATCCGTGAGTTCTTGGCTGGCTGGGAGAACATGGCGGAAGCCGGCCTTCCCTATGGCGTTTTGTACGAGGGCGTCGATGATACAGACACGCTTTCGCTTGACAGCTGGCAGGAGTTGATCTGGAGATTCCGCAAATACGCCGGGGGCAGCGCTGCGCAGACACCGTTGCTGCAGGCATTCGATATTGCCCTGGGCATTAAGCACTATCCGACGGGCAAGCAAGGGCTGCAGTCATCAGTGAGCGATGCGCGGAAACGGCTCCATGAACTCGGATTTTCTGAGCCGCCCGTGGCAAACTCGTACCTGGTGCACATGCGCGACTACATGCCTGGTGGTCACCGACGGTTCCTTGAGGATTTGGCAGCGACATGTCGGATTCGCGAGTACGTGCTGCTGGCTTGCTCGGACCCGATGCTACAGACTGGCCATGATGGGGACCTGCAGGCCAGCATGCGCCAGGCGTACAACGAGTGTATTGATCTGATGAAGGCATTCAGGGATAAACACATAATGATAGTCACTCGGTACATCATCGTTCAGGCAAACAAGAGTCCACTGATGCCAGCACCGCCAGTGGCCCCGGTCTCGAGTCATATCATCCCGCACGCACCTCACACGCAGGAATTGATGCGGGCGCGCGCTTCAGACACGCCCCCGCCGGGCGGTCGCCTTGGCGGAGACTCATTGCCAGCAGACCCGACGATGTACCCGCAGACAAACACACATTCACTCAGGCTTGCGCAGCCCACGCGGGTGCGCAGCCAAAATCACCACTCCTTGCAATCAGCGGCGCCGTCCCAGGCATCTTTCTCATCGACAGATAGCAAAGGAAACAGGCTTGCGCGCAAGGTCGAAGACGGATCGGTCGTGCGCGGTACGGGCGGAACGGATGCCATGCAGTTTTTGAAGCAGGTGCGCAATGAGACAGCAAACACACGGATTTGAATGCTCTGCCAGTTAATCAATTGCGCCAATAATTAATAGACCCCTCAACCTGGGGTCAAACATGTATATTTTAATTTAATATAATTCTTTGAACATGTGCATTTGTGCTTGCACTTGCACTTGCGCTTGCATTTGGCTGTTCAATGCCTTAAAACCAAGCTTTGTTACTTTTATAATATAAACATTTATTTTGACAATAAGAACAGACATATGAAATTAAATAAATTAGGCAGACTTGTCTGCCCAGTTGCTATTTGCACGCATTTTATCGGCAGTCCACATTTCTTTGCTCTCTTTTGCACATTCATCCAAATATTGCATCATTTCTTTAGATATGCTCCTCGCCGCGTAACTGCGCTCTCCGAATGGGTCACAATCGGGCTGCCACATATACTTGCGGACCTGAGCCCCCGTATATCGGTAGTTGAGATTGTTGAGGTTGACATTGTCAATAAGTGTGTCGCGCAGTTTTTCCAACAATTTTTTAAGCACCTGCCAGTGATGAACGCGCTTGTTGAGCTTGTCAGTATACAAGGTAAACATCTCGCTGCTATGCATATACTTGCGTTTGTCTTTGGCTAAGGATTCAGCGTTGTTTTTCATCCAACAGTCGATTAAAGACGGGTTATTCGCATTGGCAGTGGCCGGCGTGTCATTTTTGGCAGCGCGCTGAAGCCCAAATACCCCGGCCCAGAGCAGCACGTATATGATGGACTCCCAGTCATCCAGCTCAGTTCGCGGATTGGCATTGCCCTCAAGGTTGTTAATGCTCATAAAGGCAACCGTGCCGACATGCGAAGAATCCGAAACGCTTCCCATGGAGCCGGCATCAATTGCATGGTCAAAATCGATCAGCATACCTTTGACGCTGCCGTCCTCCAGCCGCTGGAATAAGATGTTTCCCTCTGAGATATCCCTGTGCAAGATGTTGCAGTGCTTGAATATAGCGCGATGTGCTCGCATAGCATCAGCAACTACGATTATCAGCTCCGGGATGGATTCCACGTAAGTGAGGCTCATGCCAATCGGCGACGTGGCAATGCGCTTGTGCACGCACTCTAGCACCTCGCGGCTGTTTTCATTATCGCCGAGTCTATCGAGCAAGTCGCCAAAAATCTGGCAAGTGGTATCCTCCGTATGGCCATCGTCATTGCCTAACTGGTATTCCACTCGACCACCAGCTTCGAGCACAGTATATGTGCCCGCAAGCTCCGGATAGCGCTTGAGCGTCTGTGTGATCTTGCGCTGATGAGCTATTTCATCGCAAACATCTATGCCCGAATTATTTCTAATCACGGTCCACGCATCCTTGATGAACACCGTTGGTACCAACTCGCTGATGGGCTTCTCATCAGTTGGCTCGATATCAGTCGCCAAGAAGCATCGTGTGCGGCGACCAAATAGCCACTCCGCACTGCAAACATCCTTGTTGCTGTAGTACGTTTTCATCCTGGGCCCTGTCAATCCGTCATCGCAATCATCCTCCACTGGCACTTGGATCCTAAAGTAGTTTTTGTCGTGATAGTAACGGACATGCGGATCCAAGCCCCACTCGTAGGTTGTGTTGAATGACCAGTAAACCAAAAGTCGGACAAACTCTCTGCGTCCCTTGGCGGTCCTGACGTCCATATCAGCTGACCCGGCTGCAAAATTGGGAGCAAAAATGCTTGCCTGTACGACTCTGTTGCTGACAGCCAGGCCCCATGCAAACCGACGAAAATGCTGGTACTTGAAGATATTGCGAGCATACCAAAAAAGTTGCAAATACGCCTTTGTCTCATCCGATTCGCTCTTTCCATCAGAAATCGCGACAGCCGAAATTTTGGTCCAGTACCAGCACCTGTTATCGACAGCAGTGTCAATGTTGGGGCTGCTGAATTGGCGTTCGGTATACTTGGGCCCAAACACCTCCTGGTCCAAGCCCTTGCCACGGATTCCGACATCAACGCGCGTTGCGCTGCCAGTGCCTTTTCCTTTATTAATTGTCCGCCAGCACGGAACAAATATATATTGAGGATTCTGGTGACTCAGCATGTTCGGCGACCGAGAGTGCAGTGCTTGGACGCAACGCGCAACAAAGCAGATAAATGAAAATAAGTGAATCCGAGTGCGCTTTTGGAAACTGCACGATCTCTCGGTTATATTGCTGCCGCCATCACTTTCGTTATCACTGTCGCCGTCGCTATCGCTGTCATCGAAATGCGGGTTTATCCAGTTGTCAAAGGCGGCATAATCGGTTTTCAGCTTGCTCCTCAGCACTTCGTTTTCGCTATCTGGCCGAGAGTCGACCTTCCACAGCCCACCGCACAAAATATCGGCGTTCATGTTGCTGGAACTAGTGGTTGCAATTATCTCCAGCGTGTTGCAAATTGTGGCAATATACTCGTTAGCCTTCTCCTTGGACGCTTGGTTTCTTGGCGCAGCCAGGTCGATAAGGTCGGGGATGTCCTTGTAAAAATATTTTTGCATTACGCCGTGCATCTCCCTCTCGAACGCAGAGCCCCACTTTCTGCTCGAAGGGATTCTGGTTTTCATGCACGCCGCGTATGCACTGTTGTTAGAAACGACCGACTTGGGGTGGCTATTCACAGCCAATTCGGAATCAGAGGTTGAGTTGCGTGTCGGCGCTGTGCTTGAGTCACAGCCCGACCCTGAATTAGAAATACTGACTAATGGGTGTCGCAGAGTCCCTGGGTCGTCTATAATAAAATTTTATTTTTCAATATTAGTAACTATATGTATCAATTAGTTATCGATATTCAAAATAACCTGTCGTAATGCAGACAGTGGGTTATTCGCTTTAAATACAGTTTTAACGTGCTTACCAATTTCAGTTGACATATCGGCTGTGGTCTTCACAGGCGGTACTGTGGGGCTCTCAACCGGCGGCGGTTGGCTGCCGTCGGCCCTGGTGCGCTTGTTGACCGGCGTAAACACGGTCGAGATTTGCTTTCGCTTATAGTCCATGTTGGCAGTTGATAGTGCGGTAAAAAAAGGAAAATAAAGATCAACGTGAGTTTGGGTGCTTCACGAAGGAAAGAAAGGATAAGGTGGCTGGCTGACATGGCTGCGGCTTAGTCAATATAAATTTATTATGTTATTGAAAACAACAAGACATTGTGTGTATCTATTTACACATTGTACGGCAATTATTAGCCGGAAGTGGCAAATAATTACGGCTGATCAATTATAACACAATTGTGATTTACCGAATATTAAAAAGCGCTAATCAGTTTTTGGCTCGGGAAGTGCCATTTGGCCTTTGTTCAAACCCGGCACCCTCCGCTAGCAAGTTGCTCGTTGAAGACAGGCCAGGAATCATCGAGTGCTGTAGTCGCGGGACCGGCCTTACAACATTTCCGAGTACCAAAGACCGCAGCAGGCTCAGGGACAGGTAGCTGGCGCTAAACTGAGCCCAGATGTGATAATACTGGAAGAAAATTGCCGAAAATGGCATTGCCACCTGGTCCATCTGCACAACTGTCACGTTTATACGGTTCCTCGCCGACAGCGGAATGGGGTCCCTCGATAGTCTCACTGGGGCGCCGGGCAGGTCCCAGGCGGCCTCGATAAATCTCCGCGAGTACTTGCTATTTACATCGTAGGACACGCCTCCGGGGAACATCCGCGGGTCGCGCAGACGCAGAAAAAAATAAAATATCGGGCAGTGGTTCAGGATACCAAGCAAAATCTCCAACAGACCCTGAGCCATGATCACGACTAGGCGGCGGCTGACAAACATGACATAGTACACGAGCACTGTTGGGAACAGGTACGTGAGCAGGGTGAAGAGAATAGTCCCTATGAGCAGCTGGTCCAGGTCGTAGTCACAGTTGTCGATGCGGTTGCGCAGAACATTGTGCTTGCGCCCACGAAACAGGTTGAACAAGGAGTACAGGGTAACCAACTGCCAGTGGAATATGCGCGTGGCGACGATGTAGAACCAATATGTGTGCAGAGTGGTCAGGGCCAGAGTGTCAGACAGAATGGCCAGCTGCATGGAGCATCCGCCAAGAAATCCTGACCACCCAGCAATAATGACCACAGCGCGCAGGCACTTGGTGAATGGCTGGAAGATGACGGTCCAGAAATGAATGAGCCACAGGAATAGCTCCGCCAGGAATCCATCCAGGCCATTGTTGAGCTTCAGTCCCGCCGGCCACTTGCGCAGCCAATCGATAGTCTGCTCCAACGAAGTCACCGTGTGCAGGCGCAGGTTGGTCACAACGAACTCGCTCACCCATTGGGAATACACAACCAAGTAAATTCCTAGAAAGCAGCCGATCAGGAGATCCAGGGCAATGACCCAAGCGCTATTCCAAAAGCTCACAAATTGCGCGTTGTGTCTTCGTGCCCCATGCACTGGTCGCCGGGTGTAGTACGAGGCATTCCACTGCTCAATCAGATAGGATGCCCGGCGCACGATCAGGTTGAGCTGCTGCCCAACAGCCGAGAGGTCCTTGAACCGCGCGCCCAGCAGGTTCAGCTCCAGAGCGTTCAGCAAGTATGTGGATAAAACAAGGAGTGAGCCGCACAACCGGGCGGCAGCTGCTGAGGCTGACTCCCGCACCTGCCCAAGCGTGTGGGCAGCAGGGTCTGTGAATAAAGTATCACATATGAGTTTCCGCAAGCCGCTTGTTTCATCAGCATTAACAACACCGATGCCGCCCTCCAGGTGGGCATACACCTGGCCGGCGGCATTGGTGTGGTCCAGCACGCGCTGCAAGGTCGGGCCGCTGTGGTCCCCGGGTACTGCAGCGTACTCATGGCAGTCGCCGGCCAGCAAAGTAGTAAGATCGAGAATGATTGGTGAGGCAGAGTAAAAATGCCAGGGCTCCCCGACGCTCTCCTCATAGAGAAACAATATGATGCGGGCAGGGACTGCGGTGCCAAACGACTGGATGGAGCGAAATGCAACCTGTTTGCGTGCAGTGAATGCCTCGATCCAAATGTAGCTGGAATCGCGGGCGTCGGGCTCGCAAAGGCCCTCGCCCTCGCGGCTCAGATACCCAACAATGCGAGGTGGCAGGGGCGGTGGATGGTCCAGCTGCGTCCAAAAGCGCCGGTCGCAAATTCCTCGAGCAGCAGGCGGGCTTGTCGGGTCTGTGGAATCAGGGTCTGATGATAGTGACTGGTGAAACTCGGACAAGTACGTAGACACCTGTGCGGCATTGGCATATGACGCCTTGCTGGCAACCACAATGCCGGCAGTGCCTAGGTTCCATCCGACCAGGTATCCACTCTCGTTGAGCGGTTTGCACAGGTGCATGGGCCAGAATATCTTGAACACCAGCTCTTCCCCGGGTTGCTGGCCCGAACTCGGCGCGTCCATAGTGGTCATTTTGTAAATAGGAATATAATAAAGTTAGAAGCTGCCGCGGCGTTTGAGGTGCTCTCTAGCAGACGTCCGGTATTTGTATCCGCTGCTGCGTCGGGCCTCCCAGTCGGCGATTTTTTCCAGAGGCCAGAGAAGCAGGAAGAGCGAGGCGATAGTGACCAGAACGCCGAGAAGCGCAAGGAGTGCGGGCGAGAGTTGGCCTAGTTTGTTTAGAACGACCTCTTTGATTTGGCCCCAGTTGAGCGGATTGAAATGTCGAGAGAGGTAGCCGATGGCAAATGCGATGAGAACCAGCCGCACCTGCTCGAGCATCGGGGGTGTGTGGGAGAGACCAAGGTGCTTATTTTTTATCCTGGATGGCAGTGGTAGCGGCAGTTGGCAGTGGTGCGCTAGCGCAGAGTGACTGCAATGAATATAATGAGATTGTGAATAATGTCAAGCCGAAAAAAGAAACGACGTCAAATGAACAGGCCTATGCATTCCTTCCGTCGCGAGTGACGCGAAAAAAAACTACAAAACAGTCCTTTATTAAGTTTGCCTTTTGTATCGCTGCAATTTATTTTTTATTTTACTTTTGTATTTTCGTATATTTATATTTATATTGTTTTTTATTAGCCCCTCTTCCACAACCAGTCTCCAAATGAGCGATCTGTTTGGTTCCGACATAAGCGATGGCGAAGGCTCTTTGCCACGCACGCCTCAGCCAGCGGTATCGAGGGCACGCGGGGATCAGCGACAGGGCTCGCGGACACCGGACCCGCAACGCGACGACGGGCTGTTTGGCAGCGATAACGATGACGATATGCCACGGAGGGGTCGCCCAGAAACATCCAATGACCTCTTTGGCAGCGACAGCGAAGCCGAAGCCGAGGGCGAAGCCGAAGACAAGGACACGCGCAACCGCATGCCTTCATCCCAACACAGCAGCGACGGCGACATGGAAGTGGACCAGGAGGCAGAGGTTAAAAAGGTGCAGGTACGCGTGATGAGCGCTCGCGTCCCTGTGCTCCCAGTGCCGCGCTCCTCGGACAACAAGTTCATCATGGCGCGCACGCCCAATCTGCTGCAGCTCGATCCCACGCCTTACACGGCCTCGGCACACGAAGACCTCATTGCCGAGGAGCACAACATTGCGCAGAAGCACGGGATAAAGTCAGCGGTGACCGCCGAACTGGCGTCGGCCGTTGAGGGCATCCTGGCCAACACCGTGCGCTGGCGCCAGGTGCCTGGGCCCGGCGGCCCCATTCGGCAGAGCAACGCCCGGCTGGTGCGGTGGTCCGACGGCTCAACAACGGTGGCCATCGCCGGCGAATCATACAGTATCACAGAGGAGTCCCTAGCCGATGCCAACTGCCACGCTGCCGTGCACTACTCGCGCGAACAGATCCTGCAGAGCCACGCGCGGCTCACCGACCAATGGCTCCTGCGGCCCTCGCGCCAGTCGGCTCAGAGCCGGCTTGCCGTCTCTCTGCTCCTCGGCCGCGTCCGCGCCAAGGCCTCGGGCGACCAGCCGCAGGACCGCACGCGCAGTACGCGCACGCGCTTCATGGTGGTCGACGAGAACCCCGAGCTGGTTGTCCGCCGCGCCGAGGTCGAGGAGGAGCGCCGCGAGCGCATGCGCCGCCGGGAAGAGAAGATCCGCGAGCGCAAGGAGGCGCGCGAGCTGCAGACTGGCTCCGGCTACCGGGCCGCGTACGACGAGGATCGCGAGGCCGGATACGCCTCGGAAGACTATCACGACGCTGGGCTGGCTGCGCGCTCACGCGTGCCGAGGCGCGCGACTGGGAGATCGACGCATGCTGCTGCTCCTTTGCCGCGCGCACCGGCACGCGGGTCCTACGCTGACGAGGACGACGATGGCTTTATTGTCGACGACGACGACGAGCTGGAGGTCGGCCCGCGCGATGAGTTCGATGAGGAGGAGGACGAGGAGGAGCTGGCCACCCGCCGCCTCACCTCCGCCAAGCGCACCGACTACTCGGACGAAAGCGACGTTCCGGCGCGCTCGGCCAAGCCGCGTCGCTTGGTCAGCGACGACGAGGACGATATGTAAATCCCGCCTTTATTTTTCTACCCTGTTGCGATGGAGCCGGTCTACGGCTCGGTGTCTCCAGTTGAAGCTCGGCTCGGACTGCTAGCGCTGAGCCGCAAAATTTTTCTCTTACTTTTGCCTAGCAGGGGGTACAACGCGTATCTTTTTGCTCAACAAAGTGGCTTCTTTGGCTTGGTCCTCCCGCCAGCTCTCCATAAAAGTCGCCGCTGAACGCGAAACAGCACTGGATTCCTTCTCTCTTTTCTCTACATTTCTTCCCCGTATAACTTACGCCGAACGAGACGATTTTTAGAAAATATGTCTGCTAACCTTGTCCTCCGTGGTACCCTTGTCGGTGCGTATCAATAAAACACGTTCTCTTTACTCGCGCTTATTCCGAATTGGCAGACCAAAAACAAATCGTCGAATCAGCCCAATCTAGATCCAGAATCGTCCACTAAATTCGAATTACATTTTTCGCTTAATTTTTCTGCTGGTAACGTATCTTTAGGTCATGAGGGTCCTGTCACCGCCCTCGCCACCTCTGCCGAGAACCCCGACATCCTTGTCTCCTCGTCCCGCGACAAGACCCTTATGGTCTGGTCCCTGACCCGCGACGACACCAACTACGGTGTTGCCAAGCGCTCCCTGCACGGCCACAACCACATTGTTCAGGACGTCGCTATCTCCTCGGACGGCCAGTACGCTCTGTCTGCCTCCTGGGACAAGACCCTGCGCCTGTGGGACCTGAACACCGGCAAGACCACCCGCCGTTTTGTTGGCCACACCAAGGACGTTATGTCGGTCTCCTTCTCGCCCGATAACCGTCAGATTATCTCGTCGTCCCGCGACAAGACCATCAAGATCTGGAACACTCTTGGTGAGTGCAAGTACGACATCACCGATGACAGCCACAACGGATGGATCTCATGCGTCCGCTTCTCGCCCAACCCCAGCAACCCCCTGATTGTTTCGGGTGGATGGGACAAGGTCGTTAAGGTACGAATCAAACAACTGCTGCTTGTGAATAATTGCCCGTTTATGATGTACAACATATATTTGCTACTTCAGAGGCTAAGTGAGCCGATGAGACAAAAAATACCAACTCTTAAATCTGAAACAGGACAACCCAACCCAATCACCTTTTGGTGCTGTTTATATTTGCGCGACAGACTATATGCTAATTTAATTTTTACATTTGCACCGATTTTGTTTGATTTTCTCTAGGTCTGGGACATCAGCAAGTTCAAGCTGCGCACCAACCACTTTGGCCACCAGGGCTACGTCAACACCGTTACCATCTCCCCTGACGGTTCCCTGTGCGCCTCGGGCGGCAAGGACGGCATCACCATGCTGTGGGACCTCAACGATGGCAAGCACCTCTACTCTCTGGAGGCCAACGACATCATCAACTCCCTGGTCTTCTCGCCCAACCGCTACTGGCTGTGCGCTGCCACTGACTCGTGCATCAAGGTCTGGGACCTCGAGTCCAAGTCCGCTGTCTGCGAGCTCCGCCCCGACTTCATCGGTCTCGGCAAGGACGCCCGCGAGCCCCAGTGCACTTCCCTCGCCTGGTCTGCTGACGGCAACGTTCTGTTCGCCGGCTACACCGACAACGTCATCCGTGTCTGGCAGGTCACCAGCGGCATTTAATTTTAAAAGGCTGCTAAAGTTCTTTGCAAGTGGAATATCGTCCGACTTGTCTCTCTTGCTGTTTTTAAAGTAGGCTTGTGTTCTTTTAGGTCTTTTTTTTACCAGTGCACTTTTTGAAGGCACATTTCTAATTTGAAACCCGCTCACAGAGAAACCATTTGCAAAAAAAAACCTCCCCACCAACAAACAAACAAATTTTGATTAATGAAAGTTCAAGACCAATAAATAATTACGGGTTGGTGTGCGGGGGGAGGGAGAAAAACAGACTGCGTCTTGTTTTAAAAAAGGCTCGTGGCCTTCAATGTGTGGAGAGTCAAGGGTAGTTATTGAATGCAGATCGTGCAAGACATGTGTAGCCGCCGCGGTATATTAGTACACATATACAATATAAAAGTAAAAAATAAGGTGGAGAGACATGACCATGCCGCGTACACAACATATCCACCAGCCCTTGCTTGCACATATGTGTATTTTGTGCAATGTTGTGTGCGGGGAGGGGGGAGAAGAAGTGAGGTGAACACCACATTAATTTCATATAAACGCACGCCATGTATCAGCCATGGCTTTGGCACGCTGCGACGCTTCGAGAAAAATATTTTTTGAATACAAAAGTTAATGTTTGAGTGGCGAAAATGACAATATTACAATACGTTGAAGAACAGATGGAATTCTGATCTCTATATTTTATTATTTTTCTTTCAAAACTCTAAACAAAAAAACAAAAAGATACCGTTAATATTTATAGAATCTTATCTTTTATTCTTTATTCATATTATCCCATCTACTTTGCCATTATTCATTCTTGCTGGCAGTCTAAACAAGCACGGTAGACTTACCCGGAAAAAATAAGATTACAAAAACAAGGAGATGAGGTGGCAAGCGGTTTTATGTATAGCTCTGTCATCCATTGCATTGGTGCGAGGCCAAGAGGGGGCCGAGGGGTTACAAGGGGTAGTTCGGGCGGGCGACAACCATGCGCAGGCACCCGCCAACACCAACAACAACAATGCAGCCGCCAAAGGTGCGCAGCAAGTGGCGGCAGCAGCGGACAAGGACAAGGACAAGGACAAGGACAAGGACAAACCAGCCAAGCCCGCGCCCAAGGGATCTGAACCCCACGAAGCACCCAAGAACAATGCGCCGCATGATGCCAAGCCGGCCCCCGCGAAAGACGTAGTAGCGCAGCAAGACGACAAACCGCGCGCCGCTCCAAAACCCAATAGTGCCAGCAAAGACCATGACAAAAAGCCCTCCAAGACCCGCAAGGAATCCGAGGATGATGATGAAGAGGACGATGATGATGAAGAGGACGATGATGCTGAAAACGAGTACGTGAGGCGGGCCAGGGCCGATAAGGCTGCAGGCAAAATGCCCGGGCGCGTAAAGATGGTTGTGCCGCCACGCACCGTCCACACGCCGCTTTTCGAGCTGGACTCCGTGGTCGAGCTGCAATGGGAGTTTGACAACAATGTCATCGAGGTGCCTGATAAACTCATGCTCAGCGTGCAACTGCCCAAGGACCCACATAACCCTGCGGCCAAGCCGGTGTTGTACGATATTGCGGTCAATATAACCGGCGACAAGAAAAAGTTCTTCTGGGATACCAAGAATGATGTCCCCGAGGGCATCGGTATGAGGGAGGGCAACGGGTATACGCTGTTCATTTATGACGCAGATATTGGGTTCAGAATGAGCGATGTTGTGCCCGCCGGGTACTTGCTCAAGCATGCAATGCCGTTTGCGTTTTATATTTCGAGATATGAGCGCACTAACGATGGCGTGCCAAAGGGTTATAACCCCAATGCTGCTGGTGGTCGTCCGGCACCGGCTCTAGGACTTACTGCAGTGTTGCTCCTGATTGTCTTTGCAGTATTGCATACTTGGAGCGGCTAAATTGGTTTTTTCTTCTTCAGAAATAGTGGATTTCTGATTCTGGTTTTCCTTTCCTATTCATTTCATTTCCTTTGTTTTATTTTATATAAAAAATTTTTCTCCACTATTCAACCTTATATTTCTTTCCAGGTTGCAACCCAGCGTGCACTACACAGTTTGCCCTTTTTAAAATTTATAAAGGAACAGGAATAAAAAAGGGAATACGCTGGGGGGGGGGGGGGGAGGTGGACATTTGCGACTGACAAAAGAAGAAATGGGAAAAATAAACAATGAAAAAATACAGTGACAATCGAGTTTATCCCTTCTTATTTGCCAAAGGCCCAATGTAAACAAGACGTGGCAAGAAATTTTACTATTTTGTGTGTTTGGAACTTTGTAAGCTCACCCGCAAGAATGTAAAGAAAAAACAAGCCACAGTCAGAGAACAATGATGAAAAATTTATACTGCAGTTGTTTGCCGCTGCCGCTGCTGCTGGTGCTGGTGCTGGTGCTGTACCCGGGCTGGGCTGAGACTTTGCTTCCCCTCTGAAATGTCCGGTAATTTTTTCATTGGGCTTGGACATCTGACCAAAAAAATATAACAATCATGCTGCTGGAATTCATCAACCAGTCAGCAGAATCCCTTTCCCGTATTTCCTGCCTTTCCTGCCTTTTCTGCTATTCCACATTCTCCAATATTAAAAAGAGGGGGGGCACGGCACACAAAAACAGCAGCAGCTATCTTTTTTCTTTTTTCACGCACTCTCTCTGTTTTATTGGCACTTGTATTTATTTTTTACACATACACACACGTGTACGCATACGTGCTTGTCTTGCGCACAATAAAAGCAACAATATTGGCACACTTTGAATTCCACGCATTTCTCTATTTTATTTGGCAAATTTCGCTTTAAATACTCGCGTTTGCCGGCGCACACACAAACACACACAGATACACAGACACGCACTCATACAACTCCACAAATGAAGAGTATGTGCTATTCGTGGATGGTATGTCTGGCCTTTGTCACGATGCTGGGCCTACTGGCACCGGGCGCTCGCCAGACAGGACTTGCCATGGGCTCGGTTATAGTCGAGGTAAGCTATTGTTGCGCTCTCGTATTTGTATGTCCTTCCATGCTTGTTTCTCTCTGGTGCCCTTGGCAATCAGACCAGAAGAAAAACCGTTGCCAAGACTACTGCGGGTCTCCGTCTCAACTGTATTGTCTTTTTGCCCTGTAAACCATGAGCAATTTCCATGTATTAACAACCGTATTTTTGCCTTCTTTTTCTTCTCACCACGCTTGGTCTGTGGTCCGATGTAGTCGACAAATGTCACATTTGATGTAAGTGCGCGGCTGAAAACACAAGATCGCTTTTTCTCTTTGTTGACTGATGACGATTCAGGTTTGATTATTATCGAATGTGGGAAAAATGATGGCATGAAAAGAATATTTGCGCAAAACTTTTTTTTCTTGTGTCACGCCTGCTCACATGGCCTGGGACGGATTTCCTTGTGGCGCACTATTTCTTGTATAGGCAGAGGGGATCCACATCGCAGAAAATCGCTATTAATGCGCGTCTTGCCGCAGATCAGTTCCAGTTGTGCAAGTCAAGCGCTTAGAAACACACAATTAACGATCCGAATATGTGCTTGTACTTGTGATTTTATTGTATTTTGGTTTTCGGTATAGGATCGGGCGGCGATGTTTGGATCACAGCTCGGAGACGACGGCCTTGTGGGCAAGCTGATGGTGATTGGCGATATCGAGGCCGACAATATCGACGGGTGCCGTCGGTTGGCCACACGCATGGACTCGTCAGAGAGCTGGATCATGCTTGTCGAGCGCGGTGGCTGCGGATTTGTCGAAAAGGTGCGCAACATGCAGGCGTCCGGCGCAGCGGCAGTGCTTGTTGGCGACCCGTGGTACGACATGCCCATCACCATGTACGCCTCGGGCGACACGTCCGACGTGCACATCCCATCGTCGTTCGTCGCGCGCAGCTCATACACCGGCCTTCGTAGTGCCGCGCGCAACGCGCACTCCCCCATTGAGATCAAGCTCGTACGCAACGAGTACTACGAGCTGCCGTTCCTCGATGTCCTGTTCATCACGATCTTGTCACCGCTGCTGATGATGGGCTTTATTTACGTTCTTTACAGGCTGCGCCTGCGCCAGAACCGGCTCCGCGACTTGGCACCGCAGGATCTCGTCAAGAGCCTGCCGATAAATACGTTTAATCACGCAAAGTACCGCGAGGGCGAGCCAGCAGAGTGCGCCATTTGCTTGGATGACTTTGAAGACGGGGATGAGCTGCGTGTTCTTCCGTGCAAGCACCAGTACCATGCGCTGTGTATTGATCGCTGGCTGACTACGCGGAAGAAGTTTTGCCCTATTTGCAAGAAGAGCGTGTGTCCGTCGTCAGAGACTACGCCGCTGCTGCCGGCACGTCTGAGGGCGTTTGTGTAAAAAGAGAATGGTACCGTTTTTCTTTCTTTTCACAATAACCAAAGTGGACGCAAAAAGAGGGCGCATTTTTTTCTTCCAAACATTTTTTTCTTCTCATACCATGTTTATATTATTATCATTTCAACTTCAACTATTCTCACTCAAAAAAAACAATTTGCATTTAATCAAGCTTCCAAGCGCGGAAGAACAGGTATCAGGTTGTTGTTACTCTGCGACAACTTGCCCACATACGTGCCCATGCTACCTGCTGGACTATTCGCAGCCTGCTGGAGCAGCTGCTGTACCCTCTGCTTCATCATATGTGTTTCATTCTGTTTGCGCAAAACGTCCTGAGGATTTCTCGGCGCAGACGCCGCTTGTTCAGGTGTGGACGGGCGCAGCGGCGGACTAAATGGACCCGGGATCTTATCACCCGACGGGCCGACCTCCTGCCGCGAGTTCTGCGGCATTGCGTAAAACACACGCCAGGATGTGTTGCTAACGGGTGTCGGTACTGTGGCTTTTATCGATACCAAGTGGCCTGGTTTACCCATGCCGCCGCCAATGCCGCCGGTGCCTCCTGCCTGATGGTGGTGGTCTCCGGGATTGCGTGATCCCGGTGATGGTCCTCCACCTCGTGATGACCCTCGGGTGCTGTGGTGGAACCCGCTGCTGGTGGGTTTGTCCGAATGGTCGTTGCTGTCGTAGCGGTCTCCCGGCTGCTGGGATCCAATGCCGCCGCGGCCTCGACCACGCCCCATGCCTCTGCCGCGGGTATTGGTTAATCCTGAACCAACGTTGGCACCCCGGTGGTGCGATGGGTACCGGCCCCTGGTATGGTGACTACCCGCGCCACTTCCTCCCCCGGGTGCCTGGTATCCGCTGTTGCTGCTGCTCATAATTTAATGGAATTGGCGGATTTGGTTATATTTCAATAATGTAAAATATTTTGTACTACGCGGCTTGAAATTTTCGCTCCACTAGAAAATTTAATTCTTATAAGCGTATAAAAGTTGGTGTAACTAGTGGGGCTTTACACGTGTAAATATTACCATTTTGCACATACTTTTTTCCATTGGTTCACTAAACATTTTGAATGGATGTTTATTAATTTTAAATGCTATGCAGATCTGCAAAATTACAACAATATTTAGGATGGTCGAAAATAATAGTTATAATTGAATTTTAGTATGCTATTTTCATACAATACTATGTTGCTATTGTTATAAAACTCCCCAGTGATCTGATAAAGTATTTTTCTCTTTTATTAACTAATACCACTTCGCCAAATACAAGGTCCTATTGACTTACTAAAATCCGGAGTGAAGCCACAACAATTCTAAAAGGCAGCATTAAGGTCTAATCGATAGCCACGCCGACAACCCCCTTTGGATCAGCAGCCTTGAGAAAACCCCAGAATGCAGTGATGCATGCAACCTGTTATGATAAAAAGTATTTATTAAGATGAACTAAAAGAAAGCTAAAGAGTAATGTTATCAATCATTTATATTATTCTACTATTTATATTGCTCATATGCAATATTCCCGCATGTCTGAGCCAGGAATTAACTGGTGATTGATTCATTAATCACTCACTGGGGACAAGCCGCATTTTCTTGTATCACAGAGGGGTTCTACATCTCTTTCATTTTAATAACATATACTACTTTAGTAAACATCAGGGTCATTATGACCTTAAAGTCGGAGTCGCTACAACACTATGATCTAAATTTACACTTTAGACATCGGCTTTAAGGCACATCGTTTTTATTTTAAAAATTGCATATTTCCACTAAATAATGTGTGCACAATTATGTTTTGTACATTGTCATTCTTTCCCTGCACCCACTCCACACTTATTCTACACATTATTTTGTTTTATTACCCTTATGAATAAAAAAATTGATCATCTTCATTTCTTTTTTCTTTGTTTATAAATTATATTTTTCGCTTATTCCAAAATGAGTGGATTATCGATTTTCCAAACTTTACCATGGCATATCATAGAGCCTATTGTTGGCTATTTATTATATATCAATCGTCACGAGCTCTCCTTCAACAAATCGCTGGCGGCGGCCATTCCTCACAGCTGCCACATATGGCGCTCTGTATTTATTTCTAAAACGTGCGACAAGCTCCATTTGAACTTTGCCGCATCAAACCAGACAACTCACACCTTTCCCAATTGGCCTCAAGCTTTGGCTCAGCCTAAGTTTTCAGCAAACTACGTCATAAAAACCGTCAGAGTTGATATTACCAAATGGGTGCTTACCATGGGCGACAGGGCGCTCACCAGACCCTTGGGCCCACCCTGCGCCTATGTGACTTTTCCAGCGGCACATGTATTGGATATTAATATTCCCAATGCCTACGAACCCTCGCCATCCAGAGATGCGAACTGGTCAGTCGCACTCCAGAACATTGGTGCGTTTTTGCAGAGACCAAAACAAATGGCACTGGCTATCCAAACAGTCAACATACTATGAAATGGAAATGGAATTGTGGTTGACAAGCAGGATACCGTCCAGTTTTTAAGCGAGCTGACAGCGAAACTGCGCGGAGGGACGGACTTGATGTCATTTGCCCAAAATAAGGTTTCTCTATTCCCCAACATTTTAAATACCGGCGATTTTGTGGACATCACTAAATTTAGTTTCGATTATTGCGGAGATGAAATGTGGGTTTTTGAGTGCGTTCGACGCCATGCACCTACACTGACAAGTTTGTGGTTTTCAGAACGGCCAACGGCCGACACAACTAGATTTTTGCACGACGGCAAGGGCAACGCTGTTGTGGTATATCACAACTTGAAGAGTATCGGATTTGGTGCGTATGATCTCGAAATGGATTCCGAAATGGATTCTGACTCGAATTCTGACTTGGAAGTGTTAGCAACAACAGCGTCGATTTCAGAACCAACTGTACACTTCCTCATCCTCAAATACATTTTTCTCGAATATTCACATCCATACAGCGACAATATGCTGTTTAGCGGCAATAGCGATACTCTTGAGCGTTTAAAACTTGATGTTTGTCCCGAATTTTGTAAACCGGTAAGTCGCTACCAGATCTTTACTTCCGGTCAATTCTCGCGTGTGCGTAAGGTGTACCTAACAGACAACATATCCAACAATTACACAAAACCCCCCGCAAAATGAATGGGAAGCATACAAAATCATTATCTTCAAGATCTTGTCGTCTGACTAGTCGCCCTTGTCGCTGAATGTTCCCAGATGCATCCAGTATCTTGTCAAGAGCGCTCCACTGAAGGGAACTGGGGTTATCCATGTTTGACAGCATCCAAAAGATAAATATATCTGGCACGACTGGAGTTTTCGCGTATCGTCAAGTTCCTAAAGCATATGCCTCGGCTGCGCACCCTGCATTGCGATGTATCATTCAACCCTCCCAGCATCAACGGCGTGAGCTACGACAGGCTTCCTGGATACATGCTCAGAAAAAGAGGCACCTTTGAAAAGCATTTTTACAATTTTACTCCCTGCAACCATAAAGGAAACGTACCCGTTAGGTATATCGCAAAAGCTCTTGTGCTTCTTTTCCTCGAATGTCCTCAGATTGTACTGCTAAAATCCGATCGCTTCAAACACCAATACGGGAAACACGTTCTAGATTTCTTTACGAGTGAGCGTTTTGCCAACGCCATCAACCGTGCAAAGTAAACAGCAGACGTCAAGGCGCAGAGATCTTGCTCCGGCAGATGGGTTAGATTATATTTGTCGCATATAATCTTTTTTAAATATATATTTTTTTATAACGATTGTTTTGAGTTGACCCAAAAATAAAAAAATCTTTTTTCTTTTCTCTTTCCTTTTTTTACTTAATTGTATTAATTCATTCAACTCTTTTTTTACAACATACACATGATGGACACCACAGCGAAGAACAAAATACTTGTCTTGGGTAGAGAGGCAGTGGAACTGCCTAAGCTCGTAGACTCAATCACCAACGACACCGAAACCAACGCACGCGCAGAAACCAATTCAAAGATACAGTGGCTTATTGACACCCGTTACTTCAACGCAACCGTTGAGTTTTGGATAGACAACACAGAACAACTCCCTCAGACACACGTTGAATTTATGCGCGAATGGCTCAAAAGTCCGACCAAATTCGACAACGACAACGACAGCGAGGAAGAGGAGGAAGAGGTTGCTCATAGCGCGAAAGAAATACCAATTGACGAGGCCATGGCTACGTTGCAGGAGCATCTGGGTGATGTGGTTGATGCGATTGTTTTCGTGTTCGATCCGTTGGTTCCAGAGTCGTTTGCGGATATCCTGCCGTGGGCGAGAATGGGCAGGGTGCATCAGCCCGAAGTTCTTTTGTGCGTGGCCCAGAACACCCACGCCAATAATAGTGACAATTCTAATGCAGACAACAAGGCAGAGTCGTGTGGTGATATGGATCGGTGGTTCGAGTGGTGTGTCAGTAATGGGTGGGAGTGGGTGGACCTGACAGATTCGGATCCCGACACAGAGTATACGGTTGGACGCATACGCGAGTCCCTGATGAGCAATCAATGGGATACCATGGTCGTCAAGAAAAAACAAGCAGAGAAGGAAGAAAATGCGCCTGCGCAATTGGACACGCTCGCTGAAAACGATGTCGCTGATAGTGATGATTTCAGGCCGAGCGGCATGAATGGGCAGGAAGTGTGGGATTCATTCGACAGTATTACGCAACAACTCGATGCTGCACGGATAGACACGCTGCATCAGTCATTATTCACGGAGATACCCTTGCAGGGTCAACAGACGAATCGGCCGGATGGACCGACGGGATTGGATGGTAATGGCACTGATGATGGGCAAGATGATGTCTCTGAGCTGATTGCGCGAATCCGCTCGATGCGCAGCGAGATATCGCAGATGCCGGACAAGGAGCAGGCGCGCGCAAGGGCCGCCGAGCTGGCAATGGCGCTGGCCCGCAAGCTGTAAATACTAAATGAATTTCAGATTTTATTGATATTATTGATATTTAGCAGGACCAATATTGATGGTTTTTCATGTTTCAAATTACAATATTTTTATTATATCTCGACAAAAACGAGTGCTGGATTAGTTGTAGTAAAATAAATAGAAAAGAACGCTTGGGTTTTGTTTGTCCGCCCCGGGGTCATCACAGATGGTTTCCAGGAACAACAAACATCACCACGGTGATAATCACAGAAATGATGGCAGTAAATATGAGCTGCAGAGAGGCGCGCTTCAAATGGCTATCGCGAATAGACGGGTCGCGCACATGCTCGTAGCGCCAAGCAATGGGCTCAAAGAATCCCAAAAAGGCCATCAACGGGTCCAGCCTTGTGACACCAGCAAACGCAAGGGTGAATCCGGGCCACAGCGCAGCCATCGGCAGCCAGCGCCATGCTTTCGGCTTGACATCCAAGAACACAAGTGACAGCTGAGCAGCCAATGCGACAAAAATTAAAGCCAGGCCGAGCACAATCCTCGGTGCAGCCGTGCCCCTGGTTATGTTGTGCATTGTGCGCTCGCGGAGAAAGCGCAGGTAGGATTCGTTGCGCATGGCGTCGTACACATGCCGCTTGACAGGCGCAAAAAGCGCAGGGTCGAAGCGCATATCGCGCTCGATCCGCCCAGCCACCTCGTCGCGCATCTGTGTGCTAATATAAAGCTCGCTCGGGGAGCCTGGCAAAAGGTAATGGAAGTAAAGCCGCTCGGCCGCCCGCCGCATGTCATCGACGGACGGCACATCCTCAGTCTGTTTGATTTCGACTGATGGCGTGAGCAAGGGAATACCCTGCTGCGGGTGGTGTCTGCTGCTGCCATCTGTCCACTGCGTCCCGGCCACACCCGAGCTTCCCATTTCCTCAGTAGTCTCGCCCGAAAACATCCGCGAGAGAAGGCCGCGCGCACCAGTATGATGCGTTGGCCGCTGTGGCGTATCCAGGGCGTGCGGCTCAGCGCCAAGGGCCTGTGTAAACGGCTGATGGGGGTGGCTGCATTGGCGGTGCAGCTGGCAGCGGGAGTCGTTGGCTGCCAGCGTGGTCTCGTACGACAGCGAATCCAAGTACGCGTCTAGCTCCTGCATTTCCGTGTCAAGCCCCCCCACGGGCCGGCTGCCTCTAACACCAGCCAATGTTGCCAACTGCGCTCCAGTGCCGCCAATGCCAACTACGTGGCCCAACGCCCCGCTCTCCACTCGCCCGTACCTCAGCCGCTGGCTCATTCCTGTAGTCTGAGGCGAAATGAGTGGCGGCAATCCTTCTGCCTCTGTGCGCGCAAACTTTCTGTAAAGGGCCTCGTAGTCCGCCAGCGAAAGCCAAAACTCGAGCTCCTCGGGGCACGCCTCGATGCCCAAAAGATATTGCCAGTAGTTATACAGGCACAGGGGCGCCCGCGCGCGACGCAGCAGAGTATCCTCCAGCGATGGCAGCGACCGGAACCGGTGCACGGCCTCCCGCGAGTCCGCACCTGCAAATGCCAGCCGCGAGCCCGGCGGCGGGATAATTATCGGGTGCGGGTCCAACAGTGAAGTTTTGATAAGCAACGGATCGCTGTCCACACCCTCGTCGCCCATATTAGGGTTCCTGAAACTACCGGCATATTGCTGCTGGTGCTGGTGTTGCTGGCGATAGCTTGCCGGCATGCTGTTGTGGGTCGAGTCCCGTACCGATGTCTGGAACCGATGGCTAGGCAAACTGCTCATCGAGCTGATAGTGCCGGCCACTGTTGTCGGGTCATTCCCTGCGAGCGGCGCTTTGACTCCAGCTCCGCCATCGTTCAGTCTTCTGCTCGCAAAAAGTGCTGCGGCATTATCCAGGGCTTCGTCAGTACCTGCGCTGCCATCTGCCAGTACTTCGGAAGTTGGTTCATGCTCCACGCTCACTTCGCTGTGTGCTGTGTGCTCCACCCCGCTGCTGTTATTGTTGTATCCGCCCGAGCGACCAACTGGGAAAAACAGCGACGAGTCTTGCCGAGACCGAGCCAGTTTTTCTTTCTTCTGTTGCAATTTGTCGCTCATATTTAGTTCGCCTCTCTTCAATTGCGCTACGGTGTGTATATATAAAGCCGCCGGAGCTTGGTGTCTGTTTATATGTGCAACTGAAAGTGTCTGCTAAGAATTAAAAAGTACAAATACAATATTTTTAGTATAGTGCAGACGACAAAAAGGAGGTATTCGAAATTCAACCAATGTTTTTTCCTGAGAAATAAGAGATAAAAACAGTAGCGAATAAACGGAAAGACAAAAGGAAAGGAAGGGAAAGGAAAAGAAAGGTTTGGCAAATAAGCTTTTGTCAGGATATAGGGATACTAATTTTTTTTAGCTGGTTTTGCCATACCAACACGGCGGAATAAAGAGCGCCAGAAAGAATGATGTGACCCGATGTCTGTGCATAATGGTACCGTTTTCTCTTTATCTTTCTGTTTTCCAGTCAATCGATAGTGAAGAAGCGAAAAATGAAATAGCGTGCGCAAAACAAAAAAGTTTTGTGTGCGTAAATAGTGCGTGACAAAAAATGATTAATAAAAATGATAAAGTGTGGCGGGAAAGGCGGTGAGAAACCACAGGCTTTGTTCGCCTTGAAAAAATATAGTTATTGTCTGTGCTATCTTTCTATTACTTACCAGGCCTTGTGACAACCAGAACAACTGCGAATGTGTTTGCTAAAAATGTGAACAAGCTACGAAAATAAGTGTTTGAAGGAAAATAAGGAAAGAGAGAGAGAGATGTCGATGTGTAGGTGTGTCGGTGTGTCGGTGTGTCGATAGACAGAAGAGAAAATAAGAATAAAAAAGGTAGGTGCGGAAATTATAGAGTATAAGGGAAAAAGGCGAAGGTAAAAGAAAAGGTTAACAAAAACAACAGAAATAAGAGTTTTGAGAAGTAAAACCCGATAGCTTGGAATTTCTTGAGCAGAAAAAAATCCCTGATTTTTAAATGTTGACTAATTGCTCCAAGCTAGCATGTGGATGCCAATTTTTTTGGACAGATTGGGATCGCTCAACTACAAAGTCCTGGCAATCTAAAGGTCTCGCGGTCCCCACCGTTTTTTTATTATACCACTGCAAAATCGAATGTGTTCACAAAGAACGAAAGAAAAACCACGCAGGCATGTGTGTTATGTTGTGCCACTCGGCCAAAGAAGCCACGAGAAGTATAGAAAGTGTCAACCTTGCAAATATCTGTTTTTTGGAGATCAATTTAATAAAAGATTCGATACATTGTCAAAATTATCGTCAACAAAAACCATGCTGACAAAAATAGAATGGACTAAACGGATCCATTATTATCTGGCTCACTCGTTTTCCCAGTCGAGTTTCTGCCGCTGCCCTTTACAAACCGCTTGGTCTTGCGCCCCGGGCCATCCGACAAACGGCGCAGTCGCTGCTGCTGCGATCCGGATGCACCCGGGATAACGCTCATCAGTGATGGCGGATGCGGAATCGTAATATCAGTAGGGTCTTCGTAAAATCCGTAGCACTCAATTGGCGCATTACGGCTGCTACCAACACCCTGTATCTGGGAATCGCCCTCCTGGTCCTGCATTCTGGCACGCAACGGGCAGCACGCACACCAGTTACCCGTCCACGATCCATCACCAACCTGAGCATATTCTAGCACAGGCATTCCATCGTTCGGCGACATCCACACTTTCCACTTGTCTCCACACCTTTGGCGGCATTGCGCAGCCAGATCCTCGATATCAGCGGTGTCTACAGCCTGTGGATGCTGTGGAATCTGTAGCAGAGACGTGCTTTTTGCCTTGACTGGCCCTTGAGAGGCTCTGTGCGTCCTGAAATTTGCACCAGGACCCATACGCGTATCGGAGCTTTTAATGGACAATGCTGGCGATGCGCCGCTTGGCTTGCTTATGTGCATATCGGACTTTGGTCGGAAGTTAGAGCGCATCTGGGTCATGCGAAGTGAGACCTGCGATTTGTCATTTGATCCATTACTGCCGCCGTTTGACAAGCTTCCCATCGCTCCCGTAGTAGCCATACGGTCAAGCCTAAGCATGGGTGAGGCGTCAACCAGCATGAATGTGCAAAACATAACTGATATCACCGTGCTGCTAGCTGTTGACGCCGAGATCATAAACATAATGACCTGCTGGTACCGAGCAGCCTCCATGACATCTGCGCCACCGAGGATCCAGCCAGTCATCATGCCAGGAATCGAGATCAACCCTGTGATTCCCATATTGGTAATAGTAGGCAAAAGCGCGCTTCTCAGAGCCTCGACGACCACAGGTTTGGTGGATTCCCATCGCGATGCGCCAAATACCAGCGCTGTCTCGACCCGGTCACGATGCGAATCCAGCGAATCCATCACTGAGCCCATACCAATGGACACTCCAATCATGCATTTGCCAAATAACATGCCGATCGTCGGGATGAATTTAACCGCCGTATATGACGGACTCATATTGAGCGCGTACGCGTTGCCAAATAACGCCACCACAAACGCACTGCCTGTTATAGACAGCATAGTGCCCAGGTACATCCAAGGAAACCGGCGCTTTGATCGCCAATATGTCACCTCAAAGGCTGCCATCACGCCAAGAACCAGGGCCATACCGAATATGTATATGGGGTTTTCTGTGAGAAATATCTCTTTCAGCAGCATCCCCAGCAATGTTAGCTGCACTACGCAGCGTGTTGCCGCCACTATTAGACTTGTGCTGAGGCCCAGGCCAAACCACATTGACAGCGCAATGTTGAAAAGCAACATAAGGGCTGCTATTCCCACATTAATCCACGTCAGCGGTGCATCTGGCTTGTTGGGATCTGAGGGTTTCTCGCCCAAAATGCTGGAGCTGATGGAAACCGACGTTGCATGCCACTGCAGTCCAGCCATCCACCGGTGTAGCTCGCTGAGAGCTGCGATTCCTGCCATGTTTGTGATACGTAGAAAAAAATAGTTGTTGATAAACAATTGAAAGAAAATAATAAAAACGAATGCCCCTAAAAGAAAAACAAGCATACAAAAAAGAGTGGGTAAGCCAAGCAAAAAAGAATACCGATGCTGCTACTTGCAACGACGGACATTTGATCTCGATATTTTGAACAAGTCGTGATGTCACCTGTCTGGGTCAAAATAACTTGGCGTGACCATTCATGCAAATTGTCACTATTCCCCCGCCTCCTTGTTCTGCCCAAATACTATGCATAGACCTGCGCCAATGATCACAATATGTGGAGGCAGTGTTAAATTACGTTATCCTTTTGTGATCCTTTTCGGCATTATCCCCGTGTTATCGAATGTAAAACTGGACTATAAGTTCAATATGTTAAAAGCGTTGATTTCCAGTAACAATAGTTGCCTTCCATGCCTTTGTGCGCACAAATGATCCGTGCGATCTGGGTTCCTCTAATGTGTTTGATCTCGACAAAGGCTTGCCTTTGTTCGAGTTACCCACTATGCCCTTTGTCCTAATTCTCTCCGTGCGCAGCATCGGATGACTGTCAACCACGATAAAAGCCACAGCCATTGACGCAGTAACTACGCTCATCGACACACTAGCGGCTATCATAAACATGATAACCTGTTGATACCGTGCCGCATCCATAACGTCTGCGCCACCAAGAATCTGACCGCTCATCATCCCTGGAATTGAAATCAGTCCCGTGATGCTCACTGCTGTAATTGATGGAATCATCGCTGTACGAGCTGCCTCAACAACAATCGGTCGCACAGCTTCCCATCGCGAAGCACCAAAACATAGCATTACTTCAACGGTGTCTCGCCGGGAATCCACCCAAGCAAGCACTGATTCCATGCCTAGGGCTGCTCCAACCATGGTGTTTCCGTACACCATGCCCATGGTTGGAATAAATTTTGAAGCAGAAAGAATTGGATCAAAGTTCATTGCAAATGTCGCCCCGATCAGACTCACTGTCAGTGAACTGCCGCAGATCGCGCAAAATGAAATCCAAAACATGCCCTTGACCGTGCGCCTTGACTTCCACTCAGATACTTCCAGCGCTGCCAGTGCTCCCAACACACCTAAACCACGGGGATAGATGGATATTAACACGTATAGTACGTAATATCTCATACACGCACTTATTTTTGGTATTAACTGCATTTTTGCTTACCTGATATGGCCAGAACAATGAATGGATTGTTGCTGGCGAATACGCGCTTGAGAACCAGCCCGAGCAACGTGAGCTGGACAAAGCACCGGGTGCCAGCAACCAATATCGGCCTTTCGAGACCCAGCTTCATGAACGATGATATCCCCACATTGATGAGCAGCAGCGATGCTGCCAGTGCAACGTTTCCCCAAGTCAAGGGCGGGGCACCACTATTATCATTGTTATTTTGGTACATGTTAGGCCCTGTCAATAATTTTTTTGTAAACTGGAGATACTAGATGAAGATAAAAAATAGATAAGATAAACAATAAATAACGCAAACAAAAGATGTTGATATTAATATGTTGGAAAAAAACTATAGGCAACCCATTGGAATCTAAAACCGTGCAAAAATAAAAAATAAATGTTGGTCGCTAATTTCAATGACTGCCTGTGCATGCGGGCCGTGCATGCACAACTCGTGCTGCAATTAACGATGTGTTGCATTGTTGCCGTTGATCACACAGCCAGTATGTGCAAACAGAAAAACTAAAATTTTAACAAGGCCCTTTTTAAACCTCTCACAACGAAGCCAGCGCCGAAACTGACAGTAGGGGAGAAGGATAGCGCGACACGCGACATGCAATTACACAATCAACAATGGTGGGAAAAACTTTAATGAAAGTAAAAAACACTGTAGGCGGTGGCTGCAATAAACAATGGGTAAATGTCAAAAAAAGGTGCATTGACAGAGAAAAAGATGGGCAATTCGCGTGCAAAGCAAACGAAAAGTGGAACGCCGCTGACACAGTTAGTTGCTCGAAGCAGCTTCAGCATCTTCAGAGACTAACTGCAGCAGCTCCTTCAGGCGGTCCTGGGAATGATATTGCATCTGTACGACATCCTCTAGAATAGTCACTACGTCTTCATTAATCTCTGCGCGGCGCATGCGACAACCGCGCTGCACGCTCTCCCACTCGGCCTCGGCATGTGTCAACGCAGCCTTTGACTGAAGCTCGCCCTGCGAAATGTCCCGCCGCATCGCCGCAATGTCAGCCTCCAGCTGCTCAATCTGGGCAGTTGCCGCACGGGTCTCGTTCATGATGGTCTCGCGCAGCGCGTAGTACCGCTGGTTGTGCCGCTTCGCCTGCTTGTCCATCTCCTCGACGCGCTCATCTTGCTCCATCCGCGACTCGCTCAGCTGGTCCATCTTCTCGCGCAGCTCTAGCACTGATGACTGCGTGGCATGCAGCTGGCTGGCGTACACGTCGCACGCGCGCTGAAGCGCCGGCCGCACGTGGCGGCGCAAATCAACCGACGTGATCTTCTGGCGGTCGACCGCGTGCGTATCCACGACAAGCCCAATGTCAACGCCGCCCAGCGGGTCGCTTTTGGCAGAGTCCGGAAGCCCCGAGTTTGCGTTCGCGTCAGCCATCTCGACATCCTCGTCGCTGTTGTTGGTGCCGGCCCCCTTCAGGACAAACGCCATGTTGATTGCGCTCTTGCGGTTGCCAATAAGTCCGAGCTTGTGCGCCTTGGAAACATAGTCCTGGCCCAACGTCTCGACGTCGTCCAGAACGCGCTGCAGCCGCATCTCGCGATCCCAAACAATGTTGGTTGCCTCCTGCAGCTTCTCCTGGACACCTTTGAGCGTCTCCAGAAGCTGGTTGCGCTCCGAGTTCATGCGATCGACATCCTCGGTGCTGATCTGCTGCGCGTCCACGATCACCTTCACCTCGGCCTTCTCCTTCTCCAACGACATCTGCTCGACTTGCGCCGCATCGTGCACCTGCTTCTGGTTGCCGACAAAGTCCGCCATCCGCTGGCGCTTGCCCTCGAGTTTCTGGATAAACTGCTCAAACTTGACCTTGTCCGAGATAAGCTCAACACGCTCGCGGTCCAGCTGAATGAGCGGCGACTCGTTGCTCTGCAGAGCCTCGAGCTCGGTCTTGGCATTGGCAAGGCGGCGCTCAATCTCGGCGGTCTCCTGGATCAGATTGGCGTTCTTCTGCTCAAACTGGTTGGCCAGAATGGATTCGAGCTCGGCGGGCTCTTCGCCCGAGTCCAGCCAGACCGGGTACGCCTGCGAAAGATAGTCAAAAAACACACGGTCCACAAACTGCGCTGAGTCCTTAAACTCCGGGTCGTTGATATCAATGTCCTGCGGGTTCATCTGCGTGACGCACTCAATTAACTCAACCATCCACAGCAGCATGGCCAGCAGTCCGGGCCACGTCGACATGGATCCGGCAGAGTAGATGTGCGACTTGCTGATATTGCCCACATAGGGGTAGTGGATGCCGCGCAGAATGTGAAGCGCATCGTCTTCAAACTTTTTCTGATACCCATACACGTACCGCGGATCCAGCTGCGCGTACAGGAACCGGAATATCGTCTGGAACTCCTTGACTGTCGGCGTCGCCAGTGTCTTGGGCGTCAGGATTCCCTGGTACCCGCGTGTGGACAGAAAGCTGATAATCCTCTGCTGCGCCTTCGCCTGGTACGCCCTCTCCTTAATGGGCCGTGGGTCCTTGACTCCGCCGCCGTTGCGCGACACAGTTCCCGGAATAGCAATGTTCATCGTGACCCGCCGTGCGCTGGCAAACACGCTGACCCGCCGGTTGATACGGTTAGTTGCCGGTGTCTGCGCCACGAACCGGCCGCCAACACCCGCCATGGCCGCTGTAGCGTTATTGCGTGCGTGCGACATTGGTGGGTTGTTATTACCGCCAAATCCGCCGCGTGCACCGCGAGCAGGGGTCTGCGCGGCAAAGGATGCTACTGGCTCTTCGGGCTTTCGCGTTGTTTGCGCAAGCGAGGGCGGCGCCATGCCCTGTGCAAACATGGATGGCGCCATGGACGCGCGTGGGGCCCGCAATAACGATGGCTGTGGGATCCCACTGCCCTCGCCGATATTCATTGTTGTCCGTCTCCTGGCATTCATGGTGGCTGACTGGCTTGCTGTAGCTGTTGAATTGAACGAGTTAAATTAAGCCAAAAATAAAGTAGGAATCCAATGAAACAATTAATAAAAAAGAGATTGGAGCAAAAAAATAAAGAAAAAAGACCAGATAGATTAACAGGCATAAAAATATTAAAAAAAACTTAGGGTAAACAAAAAAAGAAAAATGTTCTAGTTGAAGTTTGGCTGTGCTCCGCTTTTTTTCCACAATTTTTTGCCTTTGAAAATTACCTTTTTATTTTAAGGACAACCTGCCCCAACCAATCATCACGCGACATCATTGCGCTTTTTCATATTTGAAGTGCTTATTTTTTTGGCAAGCATTGTAAATTTTTTTAAAACTTTTGTATCAGATCTAGGCGCAAACAAACCAGCTCGAGATATAGGAAGCAGCGTGTCATTGAAAAAAGACTGCTCATAGATGTATTTAGAAATTCGACTGCGAGCCACTCCGGGTGTTCATCAGGCGCTCGTTGACGACCGACCAGTTGACAACCTCCCAGAAGCGGTTCACATAGGTCTCGCGATCAAGTCCGTAGTCGGGCAGGAACGACTCCTGCCACATGCTAAGACCGAGGATCGGAGTGAGTCTGGCGAACGGGCGACGACCAACGCTCCGGTGGATCGACGCATAAGATGCACTCTTAGGGCCAGCATTCTTCATCGACGGAATGGCAGTGAAAGGGCTGCCGGCATTGAATGTGTTCATAACAGAAAGCTGCCCACTGTCGTTCATCACCAGCCATGTCCAGCCGTTTCCAAAGAGCGCCAGGGCGCACTGCGTGAAGGTCTCCTGGAACCGCTCAAACGAGCCAAACTGCTCTGCAATGTGCCGCCTGACGTCGTCTCGGAGTGGCCTGACATCGTCGGTCAAAGACTGGAGAAAAAAGTCAATGTTCCATGCCTGCGACGCGTTGTTGGTGAGCGGTGTCTGCGTGGGATCGAGCGCGGATTCCGTAATGACATGCAGAAGCGACTTGGCCTCGTACTCAGTTCCCTCAGAAAGCCGGTTGACGTTGTTGACAAGCTGATTCTGGCGCATGTTGTACAAAAAGTCAAGCGACTGCGCAGACAGGAAGGGTGCCAGTCCCTTCTCGGGGCTGTATGGGAGGATCGCTGGCTGGTGGTACTGCGCAATGGCATTGAGGCGCTGCTACATGTACAGATCAATGTAAGGTAGTTTTAACGGCAATATAACAGGGTGGTTAGTAGACGTGTCTTTGATAGCACAAGGCTGCGTTGAATCCTCATTTGGCTTGGAATTCAAATTCAAATTCAAAATCGTGTTTCCGATAATCACTGAGCCGATAAAGCAACGTTATTTGCGTTCTCTCTTAACCACCGTATGCTGTAAGTACCTTGAGCGGCTGCGCGACGGCAGTGCGAACACGGTTGGCAAGGCGGAACATTATGCTGATTTGGTGCCGAGTGCTGGAAATGCTATTTTGTAAATCGATGTGAGATTATCCTGGTCCAAAAAACGAGCGCGCGGAAATAAACGTTAACGGCCCAAGAGATAAAAAATAAACAGAGTGGAGCTGAAAACTAAAAGAAGAAAAGTGCGTACCGATTTGACACGAATTGGAAAGCGAAAAAAACCAACCCCAGATAACATATTTGCGATCGTCTTGCTCGAAAGCAAGGGCTTAAATGCCCACACTTATTTTTTATTTGGCTGAACTTGGGCTCGATCTTCTTAATTTGATTGATCAATTTGGAAATTCGAGAATTTAGAAAAAGGCGCTCCCCAGCCATAACACTGCCGCGCATTCGTGAAATGACTGAGCCGCGAGATCCAAAGCGCGCGCACGCTGCAATTGAGTCCTATCTCTCTGCTACAAAACGTATTTTTCAAAACATCGAATTGGACATGGACAACCTCAGTGACATTTTTGGAGCAGACACTGGCGCAGTGGACTACTTGCGCTGCGATATTTACGTTCAATCGGCGGGTGACAGTAGTGGGTGCCCAATTGAGACAGATATCGAGAAGTTGCGTTCATGGCACGCGCGCATATATTCTGTTTTTACAGAAAAAACCGAGGCATATGTGTGGAACAGAGAACCGCTAAGCCTTTTTGTCAACACTCGAAGCAAGGGTAATTACACCGCTGTTTGTTTTATTTGTATTGATCTAATTTATTTCTGCCGATAATGGCATTTTGTTGCTAAGGACGACTTTTCGGGTTTTTTGTTTTTGTTTACAATTGTAGTGCCGTGCATTTCGGGACAGATGGTTCACGGTGATTCTGTCAGCGATGAGTGGCTGGTTGTTTGGCTCCTGCACGAAATGACAAAACAATTCCCTGAATTAATTGTCAGGTACGTTGAGCAAAATAAAAACAATGATTAAATAAATGATGGCTGCAGTTATTATTATTATTTTTTGTTCGTTTATTTTTATTTGTTTGCCTAAATTTGTGGTTCCGCAATTGTCAGCATGGTATATTATTATGCGCGCCGACTTGTTTGTACTGTCCTGATTTGCTAATTATGACATGCATACTTGATGTTCCCCTTATTATCTTGCAATGTGTAGCGTCCGCGATTCTGACGGTGAGTTTCTGCTGGCAGAGGCAGCAATGCATATTCCTTATTGGATCACGCCCGAAAATAGTCAAAACAGAGTAAGTGCCAACAATAAATCAATCTGCATAGATGTGCCTCGAACGGCATAAACTTGCAAATACAACCGCTCTTTCGCATGAAGCCAGCATTTACGGTTGCCATTGTACTGTCTATTCTATTTTTTGCTTGTAAAATTTGCTAATAGCACACATAATGCACATTTTTATTTATGCTTTGCTTTAAATATGTTTTATTTGAACAATTGGATGCAAGGTCTGCTTAAATTAAATATTTATTCATGTTTTCTCGAAATGGTAGGTTTTTATATTCAGAGGCCGGCTGCACATTGTTCCTTTATCCGCGGCCAGCACTACCAAGCTTCCCGACCCAGAGCACATTTTGCTTCAGGACGCATTGAGTGCTGTTGTTTGCCCTAATGTGTCAACATATGCAACTGTCCTGGCAGAAAGGGCAGCATTTGCCCGGCTGGAAGAGTAAGTGCATTATAAAATTTTCCATTCAAGCATTAAAATTGTGTTGGGCAAACATTTCCAAAGTTCCACTTTAATTAGTATGAGAAATGGTTCGAAACACTAACATTAACCGCCATTTTCCAAAATTCTATTTTTTGAGTGAAATGTAGGTTTCCCGACAGTATGTTGCAGAACTTGCACACCGCGCGCTGTAAACTCCCAACGGCTATTGCCCGCTTGCTCGCTTGCAACCCTCAGCTGATAGCCGCTGCCACTGAGATGTTTTATGGCCGTGATCCGGTGCAGCTGAAGGAGTGCCAGAAGATGGAGGGATTCTCGCCTGAGCCCTCGGTGACGGCAATGGTGCGCTTCAACCGTGTCCAATACGCCAAGCTGGTTACTCAGAGCATCGGCGCACTCGCTGCGTTCAATATTCTCCCCGAGAAGTCTGCAGACCACAAGGCTAGCCTTTTGGGAACAAAAATTGTAAGTGTTCATATTTCTGCTTGTCCTGGTGATGGTTTTTGTATTCTGAGCTGCCCATTAAAACCCTATTTCGGCCTTTTCAAATTTGGGCAATATTTAGCGAACGTGCAGGACAAATAACATTTTTAATCTCGTGTATAAATTCTTATTTGTTCATTTCGTATTTAGGCATGTGGCTTTGAGATACTGAATCGCGAGGGAGCCAGGCATCCGTCAACATCCAAATTGCATGTTCAATCTGGAAATGAGGTATGTACACGCATTATACAAATACCCGTGATAATTCCAATTTTCGAAGAAAAAGAATGAGAGCAACACCAACTACATATAAATACTGTTATCTAGCGTAAAATAGGCATGATTTATTGCATGTATATCTGCGGGGGGCTATGCGTTTTGCTTATTTTATTTGGCAAATCTGAATAAGCAGATACGCCTGCCTGATGGTGATGATGATGCTGTTTCTGGTATTGCGACTTTTGATCTTTGGGTTGGCCTGAAGTACTCATATGCCTGTTTTGTCAGCTTTACATGTGTCCTGTTTTTCTTTGAGCAAATCTGTATTCCACAGTTTTGCCAGCGCCGAAAATAGCAAAATATTGTGTGGTAAAAAAAGGCCAACCAGCTTAATATATTCGCATGTATGCAAGATCCATATGCGACAATCGCAGGCATATGGAAACTGGAAATGTGATTTTTTGGCAATACCAACTAAAAAATAAATTTGAATTTATTAATGTACTTGGTTTTTGACATGTAGGCAGGATTAAACGGCGCACTGGATGGCTTTCTCAAGAGCCTCGATGATTTTGGATTTTTTGACGAGTCAAAAGCGGCACCCAATGTGATTGGCATGCGCCGGACTCGTGCCAAACATCAGTTTTTAGAAGGCGAGAGGCAAGTTTCACCTGCCCACTTTTGTGTGTATGGGTTTTTGTTGTTGTGAATCGACACCGCTCCAATGTTTTCTAATTTTGAATGTACTCTTTGTGTGCGCCGCCGGGCCTACATCTTACTATTGTTTGTGTGCGTAGGCGTGTCGCCGAGTCAGCCTTGTCTGCGGAATTTATGATTACCCATGCATCTCAGCTGCTGAAAGCTCCCGTCGCAGAGACGACCGAGGTTGGAATTGAGGTGCCGACTGAGAACACTATGACGGGCGATGAAGACGATTCATGGCTCACACTCCAGCCCGACGATCTCGACGCGCTCATGCGCAAGGCCGAGTCTGTACTGAAGGACAACACGCAGGTAAGCTGAGCACAAAATTTCCCTTTGCATGAATGTCACGCAATGCGACAGTAATAAGCAGTGTGCAAATCAAGTGTCTCCCAACACATATGGCCGGGATAATCTGCAGTGCGCAAGGCAGCGAGTAGAGGCAAAATTCAGCACACTACTACCTCGATGAGCTGCAAGCATGCAGGTTCCCGCGGCTATGGTTATAGGTGTCCCATTGGCTGACCTCTTATGTGCACATTAGCCGCCACTTGGATCCACCCGCCCCCATCTGCAGCAAACGGCTGGATCGCCCGATTTATTTACTTTTTTGTTTTTTCTTCGCTGTTGCATGCCTTTGCTGCTACCAGGCTTTGCCAAAAGCAGCCTACGCTATGCATGGCATCGATTATTTTGTTGCCAACCACCCCCCTCTCGAATTATTTTGTTTAAATTTTTGACGCCCGTTATTTTATTCACAGCGCTTGCAAAACTTCACTTCCACGAGTGTTCAGCAAAAACATTGGCTGCTGCTGCACGCATGCTGACGTTGGGCCCTTTATTGTCTGCCAGATTTGGGTTTATTTATTCCAAAATTGGATGGGTGATGTTGATATCTAGCTGAATCGCCCTGCCATGCACAGCCGTATTCAATGTGGTTTATTGCCGATATGAAGATTCCCCTTGAGAACACAAATTGCGATTTTTTGTGCGAAGCAATGCCATGACATATGTGTCGGTTGCGTGTTGTAATAGCTTTCCCCAACGCCAGGATTCACAAGCAGAGCGTGGACTATTATCATGCGATGGGTGGGGGATAAAGACGTGATACACACTCCAGCTCGACTTATGCTTATTTGTCAAGCCTGAGCCTTGCTGTTGCCAAAAACTGGAGCAATTTATTCTATTTCGTTCCGGCCGAAATGTGCAAGGGCTGTTCCGCCGGAGAATTAATTAGGAACATTCTCTTTTTAACAAGTGCAGCCATGATAATCCTATTTATCTCGACAATATTGGGGTGTTTATTCTAAATTTCGTGCGCGTACAAAAAGCTTCTCTTGACACTAATATCTGGCATCTGGTTGGTTGCAAAAAATATAGGAGGAGCAGAATGACACGGAATCCGCCGCCAGCAAAAGCAGCCGCACGGCCAGTGGCAGCATGCCCTCGGCGGGGGACAAGTCTTTGCACGGGCTCGAAAATGTGTTGGGGAACTTTGAGGCATTTTTGGCGGCTAGTTCTGGCATCGAGGGTGCGGAAATGCAAGAGTAAGTTGAATATGCAAATGCTTTGAACTGCATAATTTATTTTATAAATTCAATGATGTTATGTGTAATAATAGCTTTGCATTTGTCCTTGCCACATGGCTCCACTCATATTGGGTGCTTCGGGTTAATGTTGCTGGGTATACGGATTTAATATTGATGCGCCGTTTCTGATTTTAAATCTATTCTATTAACTTTTCCTGTTTCAATATAGCGATCATCCAGACGAAGACCACGCCGAGAGTAGTGACGAAGACATTGACATGGATGCTGATGGAATAATATACGCGCTGATGGAGGCTATCGGTAAGACATCTCTCAATTTAAAAAAGCAATTGTATATTTTATTTATATTGGCTGAGCATTTATTTTTTATTGTAGCCCACTTTGCATTAATTAAAACTGCGTACATATGCACGTTTTATTTGGATATTCTTCCCGAGTGTAGGTGCCAGCGACATAGCAGGTTTGGACGGGGCAATTGGCTTGCATAAGAACGAGCTCCCTAGAAATGGCGGTCAAGTGGATGCTGCCGCAACACGCACAACGGATAACACTGCAGCAAGCTTGCCTACCGACATATGCAGTATGCCCATGTCTGCAAACAATGACAATGGAAGCACTGACAAAGACGCGCCGGACGATATTATGGCCATAATCATGGACTCTATGGACCAAGAGCTTGCGGCCACACACATTGGCAAGTCTTTCGTTCATTGCAATCCTGCAGATGGTTCCGAGGATACTGACAGCGCAGACGGCCATGACGATGACATGCTGGATGTCGATGTCGATCTGAACCTGGTGGACAACATCGTGCAGTCGTTCCGGGCCCAAGAGGGGCTGCCTGGCCCTGCTGGCACTATGCTCGGCCATTTTGGCGTGCACTTGCCTCACATAGACAGCGACAGCGATAGTGAGGATGGCATTTGATGCGAATATGCAACGTGGATGCTGCTTGGCCACTGGCATTTAATGAGCATTTTTTGTGATCTGAAAACAGGTGTCAATAGCCGAGGTATACGTGTTTTTGTGAGCGTACGATACGGAAATACCGATTTCGCCGACGGATGCCTCTTTTTAAAAACTTGCTATATTGCATAATTTTCAATAAGAGATTGACGCTTATTGGCGCGCAAAAGGAGTGTGAATCTGCGGCCAGAGAAATCCAATTTATTTATTTTTCTCATTTTCGCAAATAGATTCTGAGCAACGCTGTTTATTTGTTCTCAGGGACAGAAACGATTGGATACCAGCCATTTCTTCGAGGATACCCCCGCTTGCCATTCAACTGTCAAGGGGCGCGTGTTAGCGGTTTTTGGACTCCACTTTTGGCTGCGTTTTACCGCGTAGATCCTTCTGTGAGTCGGAAATAATAAATTTGTTTTTGTTTCGCCTTGGAGGCAATCATCTTTAAGTTTTTGCCACCTTTTCTTTCTGAAATTTAGAGCTTGCAATAGTGCAATAAAAAAGAAAGATCAAATATATGCATTACAATAGCCAAGCAAAGCAAGCCGGAGATAAAAAGTTTCATTTGGTTCATTGTTGCTCGCTTGGACAATTTTAAAAGCCAGGCAAGCAAGGATAATGTGCAATTTGTTGTTATATATTTATTGCCGCCGGTAAACAATTACCAACACAACAATCCGGCCCTTGTTTCCATGCCTGCTATCCAAGGCCAACGAGGGAGCAGCATTGTTTAGTTGCCAAAATTTGCGAATTCTCATTAAGCATCTCTGTTCGCTGATTTTGGTGCTGATGCGAAGACCAATATTAGTTCAATGTGCAATATAAAATGGTACAGCCTTCAACAACGCTTTGTAACTACCAAAACTACAGCTTAGCAGCACCGCTGTTTGTTTATTATAAGGCCAAACTAATTCGATTAAACACTAATCCCCGATAATGATATATGCAGGTAGCTCGAAGATCAGATTTCAATTCAGGCTGCCGTGCTGATTAGCCAAGAAAAGGTGGAGGCGAGCGGGCTGCGTAAAGCTGGAGTAAAATCAGGCGGTTACAAAAGTAAAAATAACAGACATCCTTTCCGGCATGCCACGCGCGGATGGCAAAAAAATATTGGGGATGCAATAGATGACAAATGGTGGCTATGTAACATTTCAAACTCACACTTGATGTCTTGCCTAACGGGGATTGCGCCGCATTTTTACATTCCATGAACTATTGCCAACAAGCCACCCGTGCCCTTAATGCCGCGGGGAGGGACCGAGTGGACTATTGGGGACATGCCAACTCATGTAAACAATTGCAAAGTAATGTGTTAATATATGCATCGTTCCGCGACAAAAATTGCGAGACTGGCTTTGCTCGCAGTTACATTCTTTTTCCGCATGTTGTCCACCCACCCCCCTAGTCTGCAAAGCCATTTATCGTGCGGGATGGATATGGCTTTGTTTGGCACCGGCAGTCAAACTCGTATTTACGTCTTCAAGCCGCGCCAGGCACACAACAAAATATGCGGGTTACACTAAAGATGCCAGAGACGATGTGACTTTGTGCCTAATTTAGCGCTTGCAGCATCCGAATTTGACACTGTTTCCAACTGAATCTGCAGCTGCGTGTCCTTTCACTACGTGCTTGTACACGAGGCGGTAACTCGTTGCATCCGGTATGCCTTAGGATCGCGCACAGTGTGCTATTCCCCAGGCTCTAAATGAGGCTTTAGTGTGGTTCAATATGTATCCAACATAGGGTGGCACACTAGCTGCTGGGCTAGCAACAAAAATCTATTAAACAAGGCTGAATGTACACCATTACGATCACCGACCATGTGTCTGGCAGCAGGAAGCTCGCCATTCCACTTGGATCCATAGGGAATAGGGCAAGGCTATGTGTGGGTATGAATACACCACTACATCCCATAGACAATTTGACTAGACTTAACAAAGCCCAGCCAAAAAAGTGAGCAGGTGGTCATTGTACGTGGCATGTCATGGTAGGAAGAAAAGAGAGTAAGTAAAAAGATGCAGGGCTGGCCAAAGTGCAACGCAATAAAAAAGTGGATAAAAACGGACGTGTTAATCGCTCAAAGATCTATCAGGGCTGGGGTGGGATGAGAAGGGAGGGGGGGGTAGCGTTGCCAGGGGGAGGGGGTGCAAACATTAATCGCATCGCCAGAGCAGCGCATGAGTGAGAGCAACAAAAGCGGCTAACTGCAAATAAGTGGAGTGTGTCAATTACAGCCGAAATGTTGGTTTTTTTTCGGCGAGAAGGATGAGCAGCGCCATCAATGAAAACAGCATGGACATCACCAGCGGCGGCCGACGCCGCAAATTGTCAAGAATGAACAAGGGGTTCTCAAGCCGGAGAAAATTTTCTTCGTGCAATGTCTTGGTGAGTTCTACGTTGACCTGTTTATTTATAATCCGTGCAGGTTCCACCCCTCCCTAGGTGCCATTTACAATACGAGCGTATTTTTCTCTCATTTTTATTTTTCTCCCCTCCCATCTCCATTTTCACTCCAACGCTTTTTTATACAAAGCGATAGCTACTCCAAACCTTTTTCAAGTTCTCTTTCACTTCCATATCCGTCTACTTGACTTTACCCGTTTGCTTTGCCCGCAGCAATTTACTCTTTTAATACTTCTAAAATTTCTCTTTTGGTTTTTACACATAGCCGGATATACTACTTTGGCCGATTAGCACAGCGCCTATCCGTATACCACAACAACTGCAGCTGATTCACTCAAACATCATCCTCCTCCATTCTACTTCTTTTGTCGGCAAAAATACTCGCGCAGTACATGCCACAATAAGCATATCTAGCTCTATTTATTTACTTTGCAAAAGCTCAATTTAAACGCAAAGGCGCCCTTGTTCCTTTTATTTTTGTTTAGCGGAGGTTTAAAAAACAACGCACACAGCTAGAACTAGTCCTTTACTGGAAGCAAACCCTTTTTTGTCCTATTTCGGTTTTCCTCTTTTTTTACACTGCGCTTATTCCCGACGTGATCTTATAAGCAGAGTGCAGACATTTTAAAGTCCTCCTTTGCGCGGTTTTATTTTTATTTTTACACAGCGACTTCAATCTAAAAAACGCAGAGACCACCTATTTGTCGCTCGTAGCTGACATATCCTTTTTAAATCTGTTTTCTCTACATTTAACCAACCCTATCGGTTTTCTATTTTTTATATCATCTATTTTTTTGAGCGCACATTGTTACCTACTGGTCACATCTAGTTAAACACCCGCTGGATTTTTTCTTCAAAATACTTCCCAAGCCTTTCATCACAACTTTATTTTGAGGACAGCTATCCAGCTCTTATCCAAAACAGATCTGCTTCATACAGCGCGCCCAGCCAACCTCGTGCCAACAATGAACCACGTCAAGACCGAGCAGCACTCTTCGTGGGAGCTCCGTGGAGGTAAGATACTGTTTGCAATATTAACGCACCATCCTTTTCATTGTTTGCTTGCTATACCTTGCATGTTGCGTTCCTTTGTCTTTACTTGTCATTGTGTGTGTTCACACCTTGCAATACACAAAGGCAGTAAATTAATTGATTTGGGTTGGTTTAGTTTGTACACAAAGGGCAAATATATGAATTGTTTTTTCTACATGTTGGGCTCACAGCCTGCATGCTGCTAACAGCGGGTAAACACACGCCCAAGCAGCGACGCTGGATTGCGCGTGATGGCCTCACGCTCCTCCCTGTAGTCCCTTTGGTCCCCGCCATATCTCCCTTTATCTGAAGCCACATTGACTGAGCGCAATTTTATATTGCACATTTGATTTTTAAATTGGTGGACATTGTCTCTATATGGGGCTGGTCCCTGGTATCCTTTGTTGGCTTGTTTTGCTTTGCTGTGCAAACGAGCAATATTACATTGTTGTTTGCGCATTGCTAATGAATTACCAGCTCGACACACTGGTTACTTGGGCACTTTGGCCCCCTTTTCCCCTTTGCTTGCTGGTGCACTATACATGCCCACCGGCTTTGCCCATCCCCTTCCTTTCCTTTCAAAGTCGCGATTTACGTTCTTTGCAGTGTGGCGCAGACCAGCATAAGACCACGCCCGCGGCGTCTTTGCCAATAAAATACAAATTTATCAACTTGCATCACTCTTCTTTCAACTTTTCTCTAACTGGCCATCTCTTTCTGTCATCGCTATTATATAATCTAGATCACAGCGCATACTCCGTAGCCACCACTCAGGAACAGCCAGCGCAAAAGCACACAGCTTCTAGCAACGAGCACGTATCATCAGTCGCACCAACACCCTCAATTACCGCCAGCTCTGCAGAAGTAAACAGCAACCCTAACATCAACACGAACATGTCCGTCGAGACTGCATCTATGCCATACAAGGCCCTGGGTCAGCCCATGTCGGTGAGGAACTCTGCTATTGCCGGGTCTATTCCCATGGCCTACAATGCGCCTTCAATGATGTTCAACCCCAATTCTCTTGTTGTCTCATCTGCCACCATTGTCGCTGCACTGACAACCGGCATGGGCAGCACACTGCCCTCGATGAGCTCAATGTCCGAGTTTGCTACTGCCGCAAACACTCCGAGTGGCAACAACCTGAGCACGCAGTCGTCACCCGCACTTGCGCACAGCTCCATGCTTAACCACGGCCACGGCTCCCCGCTTGGCATGCTCTCTACGTCGATGTACCCGTCTATGCCCAACATTCCGTCAATGTCCACTATGTTGCCCATGCCCATCTCGCGCGATGAGATGCTCATGAACGCGCGCACCAACCCCGGCCTTTCCACAATGAGCAGCGAGCTCTCCATTGACACTCGCCACCAGGTTCTGCACTCAAAGTCCTCAAACCCCTCTCTTGGTGGGAACGGCATGAGCAGCTGCAGCGAAAATGGTTTCAACAGCGGCGACAACACTGTCTACGGATCGGTGATAAATGGTTCCCCCGGGGTCATCAAGAGTGACCCGCAGCTGTTCCCGTCTTTGCTCCATCGCATCTGCGAGGACCGCTCAATGGACAACATTGCCTTTTGGGATGAGTCCAACTACGTCTGTATCCCAGCCATGGAGACACTGCGCCTGCAGCTCAATAACATGGGCATGACCGCTAACCACACCGACTCACTCCAGAAAAACTTCAACGACTACCAGTTCTTCCGCCGCACCGACCAGCGCCGTATCCGCCATACCAGCGAGCAGGGCATTGTCAAGTTCAGCAATGTCAACTTCTTGCCCGGTCGCGAGGACCTGTTGCACATGGTTGTGCGCAAATCAGCACTCAAGAAATTGCAAAATGGCGTTGCGCGTGCCAGCGGGACTCCGGCCAAGGGAAAGAAAGTTAAGCCCGCCTCGACTCGTCAGGGCGGTGTGCGTGCGCAGCGCCAGTCCACGTCAGAGCGCCTGAACCCGTACTCGCGCTACGCTTCGACTGACTCTAGGCATGTCAATGGGTTTGCCATGCCCATTACGCCTGGTGCATCCTTTCCGTCGCAGCACCCCCCAAACAGCCTCTATTCTGGCGCTGCCGATTCGGCTGGCTTGCAGATGCCCATGAGTGTGATGCAGCCTGCCTTTGGCCTGCCCCCATCGATGTCAGTGATGGACCGCGCTGACCCGTCGATGATTTCGCCGCCCAACCAACCGTACCCCAACTCGTCTTTCACCTTTGAGCAAAACCCGTCTGGCTTTGTTCTTCCCAGCATACTCTCGCAACAGCAGATGCAGCTGTCTCCCTCAGCCCAGAACCAGTACGCTTCGCCGCTGGCGGTTCCACAGCAAATGCAGCCGCAGCAGTACCAGGAGCAGTACTCATACCCGCAGCAGCATGAGTACCACCACCCCCAGGAGTTCCAGGCCCAGTACCATGTATTTGCACCTGCGGGCGACATTCCACCAGCTCGAAACGCCATTTACTACGGCGACAACACAAACAACCAAATGGCTTAAATTCTGCATCGACCATTTTATTTTACTCTGGGCATCATCACTCTACTCTAGCATTGTGTTATTATATAACACTTGTGTATATTCCATTCTCATTTACGCCTCTTCATTGTCTATTTCAAATTAAAACCCCCCATGAAATCACATTTATCATTAGCCACAATCTGCATATTATTGTAAAATTGAATGTGTATATGTATGTTGTTCAAAATAAATGCTAACCAATATATATTAGAGCCTAGAACATATATTTCTAGTTCTAAGTCATTCGAATGAAAAATGTCTACGTGTTAGTATCTATATATGCAAAAAGTGCTACTAAATGGATTATAGTTTGAGCCTATATCCAACTGTATGAGGTATGGTCCGGAATGCTAAATTTGTAAAATGGCACGCTTTCAGAGCACATGCTATAGTCTCCATCTTGACACACAACAAATTGGTTTTCAGCAGCAACCCAGAACTCGGTGCCGAAATGATGGTAGCCCGCTTCCTTGGCAGGGAGGTGAGGAATCAGGTCAGACTTGTTTACCACGCGGATCTTTGTAATGTTGAGAGAGTCCATGAATTTAACGAATGCACTGTTGCCACACCTTGGCTGACCGTACGTGTACAGCTGGAGCCGCGGCAAGTAGTGCGGGTGGTTTGCCGAAATATCAGCAGCAAATATTGCTGCGCGTGCGCCGCCCAGAGAATGCCCTGTGGCGACAATGGAGTACTCAGGGTGTGTGGCCGCTAGCTCGTGGATTTTTTGGATAATCAAGGGACTGACAATCTCGTATCCGTTCAAGAAGCCTGCGCCAACTTGTGAGCCAGCTATTGTTAGGGGCCATTCAGCGCTATTGATGATAATGTCATCTATCCAATCCTGAAACTCGGCTGTTCCACGAAATGACACCACGATGGCCTTCTTATTTGGATTGACTGCAATAAACCCGCCACTGGTAATTTGCGGGGTTTTCCAGCGGTGCTTGATCACTGTGCCCTCTGTGTCCGGGCGGCTGCACTGAATGCCGCAGGCCCACTTGTCTGAATCGAGAGAATATGCGGCGCCAGAGTACGCCGCATACAAACCAATGGCGTGTATGTCAATTACAATCTGCTTCGGCGACGAGATTGTCATGTCAACATTGTTGGCTGCTGTATAGTGCATAATGGTGATAACGTTGGTGGCGCTATTTGTATCTAAATTGGCACTATCGTTGCTATTGCCAGTGGTGCTGCTGCTATGGAAGAAGTCGCGGAACCATTCAGTAAATCCAAACATATTCGAAAAACTACTATCCGCAGTACTAGTCTGAATAATGGCCGCTGAATAGCAAGGGTACGCTAGTATTTGGAGCGCTACAGCTGCAAGAGATAGCTTGTAAATCAAAGCCATGGGCAAAATACTAGTTGAATATCTGTTAATATGAATATGCAGATATAAGGATAGATAATGCTAACTAAAATAGTAAATGTAATGCAGTCTATGCAAAATGGTATGCGTGTGAATAAGGGAGAGAGTGTAGATAAGAAAACGAGCAATTTTGTAATGTAGATGTCTACAGGCCAAGCAATTTCAAATGAATAAAAGTATTTATAAAGCAAGACCAATGATAAATGATACGACGGCTTTGGCTCGTGTTTTTCTTTTCAAATATGCACGCTCTTTAAATTGAAAATGGCTACAGGACACAAACGAATATCGCTACTGCTACCATTGTTTTGTTTTTAATGTATAGTTTTTGAATAGAATATGGATATTTGCCTCTTCAAATTATCTTGTGAAAATAACAATAAAAAGAGGGATGCTCCCTAAGTGGCATTAGAATCTGGCTTCCTTTGCTCCTAGTGACACTGTGTGCGGGAGGCAACCAAGTTGAAATAAAGTATTTGAAAGGGACGGCAGTCGATACAAACGAGCTGACTGCAAATCACATCGTTTCCTCTGCTTATTTTAAGCATTCGGAATAGTAATGCGTTTTACACACCCTCAAACGCCGAATATCAGCTTCGTGGGTGGGATTGGGCCTCCAGCCACATCCATTGAGTGTAATTTAACAAGTGCTATACATTGTCAATAAACAGTAAATAAAAGTTAAAATAAAAATAAAAATACACGTCGTAGGTTTGTAGTCTCTAGTTGACAGTTGGCATAGGGTGTATCCATAGATATTTATTTACTCCTTGCCGGCGTTCCTACGAATTTCATTAGCCTCGTGAGTCTTGCGCATGCGTTCCGAACTTCCGGGAATTGTTCCGAAGCGGCCGCTTTCCATATCGGCAAATGCCTGGTAAAGTTCTTCGTCAGTGTTCATGACAAATGGGCCGTATCTGGCAACTTCTTCGCCAATGGGCGTGCCCGCAAGAATCAGCACGCGGGCCTCCTTCTTCCCTTCGCCATTCTCAGCGTCTTCAGCGGCCTCGAATACCACAGTCTGGCCCTGTGTTTTGATCACAGCCATCTGGCTCTCTGCGAGTTTGGTCTTCTCCTGTCCAACCAGAATCGCCGAAGGGTGGTAGTTGTAGGCCATCGCGCTCATGCCCTCGGGAATGTTGAGCTCGTACTTGCCAGTGGTGCGCAGATCGAGGAAATAGATCGGGGTGTGCGTGTCAATGTTGGCTGTGACGTCCTCGACTTGGCCGGCGACGACCTTGATGTTAGTCTTTTTGTCGGCAGACGTAAACCAGGGGATATCCTCGGGCGGCACATCCTGGTAGCGCGGCTGAATCATCTTATCCTTGGCCGGGAGGTTGACCCAGATTTGGAATCCGTGGAAGCGACCGCCGTTTTTGAGCTGTTTATCCGAAGGCATCTCACTGTGAATGACGCCGCTGCCTGCAGTCATCCACTGCACCCATCCGGATTTGAGGAGGCCGTGGTTGCCATGGCTGTCGTGATGCTCGAACTCGCCGTCCAGTATGTAGGTTACAGTCTCGAAGCCACGGTGGGGGTGGTCGGGGGCGCCAACAGCCTCTCCGGGAGCGTAGTCTACGGGGCCCAGGTGGTCAAGCATGAGGAAGGGGTCGGCGTAATCAAGGCTGCCTGAGGGCAGCGGGCGGCGGACCATAAAGCCCCCGCCTTCACGCTTGCGCTGAGCAGTGACGACGCGGGTAACTTGCTTAATAATTTTGCTGGCCATTGGTGTTGCTGTTGTTGGTGTTGTGTGCGCGGTGTTAATGAAAGTATGGGGCGGCGTTTCAAAGGCGACTGCTGCTAAAAGTACAAGTAGAGTATTTAAAAGTGCAAAGTTGGCGAATACCAAAAGTGTTTTCATAATCTGAGATAAAAGTTTTTTGATAAGACCGAAAGGGCCCTGAAAGCTGGACTTTTATACTTCTGGCGATCGTGCCGATGAGAAATCAAAACAAAGTGCAAAAAGAGTACAAATTGTCAGCGCCAAAATGTGAGGTCGGCAATGTAACAAATCTCACAAGCCACCTGACAAATCCGATGCTGATGCTTTGAAATTCATTGGTTAACTGCTGACCGATTACAAATGGCAAAATCTATTGATTTAATTCAAAAATGGAATTCATCAGAAATTGTTCTATTTCTTCAGCGTCCGCTGCTTCTCAGCATGCTCAATGATCTTGCGCTCGACAAACAGACCCTTGCGCTTGCGCACCTTGTCCATGTACTTCTTGGCCACGTTCTCGCGGTCGGCTTTTTCGCCCAGGTCCTCCAGCTCCTCCTCAGTCGTCGGCACCCAGAATGGGTCCATATCCAGCGACTCGAATCCGCGGAAAATCAGCAGAGGAATGGCTGCGCCAGACGTACGCTTTCTGATCTCGTCGGCAAACCCAAACGACTCGACAATTGGAATGGCCGCCTTGATAGTGAAGTACGGCGTCCCCTCTCGCATCTCCTCGGAAAGGATGCGGCCGCGGCGCCGATTAATGACAGCGTAGACTTTACCCAGCACTTCAGAGGTCGCCTGGATGTCGCACGTGTACATGGCCAGGTGAAGGCGCGGCGACCACTGCAAGAAGCCCGCCCTGATGGCATCGCGCACTGTAGTTATGACCTGACCCGAAAGACCGCTGGTGCTCGAGAGATCTGCAGCGCCATTGACAACGCTGTTATATACAAAGCCCTTGACAGTGACTGCAACTCCAGCAAGGGGTTCAAAGCACAGCGGCCCTGACTGCGCTGCCAGCTGGAACCCGGTGTTGAGCGGCTCTTCGTAGTCGCGAATCAAGTGGTGAGTGGTTTGTGTTGATTCGCCTGCGCTCGGCGGTGTATCTTTAGCCCCCTCCGAACCGCTGTCCTCGCCGTCCTCACCGTCCTCACCGTCTGAAAGCATAGGCGTGGCGGCTGTGGATAAGCCCGGCACATTGAGAGCACGCGGGTCAAACCAGCTGGCGTTCACTCTGCTCGACTGCTCGAGTATATCCTTGGAGTAAATCAGCATGTTCGGACCTACTCTACGCGGCCCGAATGCCCAGATTCCATTGGTCACCGCGTGCTCCACACGCTGCGGCTCCCAGCCCTTGGACTTGCGGAATGTTGAGCGCAGCCGTGCCTGGAGCCATGGGCCCAGCTCCGATGTCTTTGAGGGCTTGGGAGGCCTGGGTCCGTCATCCGCACCGCCGTCCTCGTCGTCACTGGCTGCGTTGGCCGCAGCCACGCTCGCCTCTGTGTTGTCGTCGTCGTTGTTGTTTTCCAGAGCCTCAGCGGCCGCATTGAGACGATGGCGTCTCTGGGACGACAACGCCTTGGCAATGCGTTGAATGTCGTTCTCGTGGCGAAGCAAAAACCGGGTTGTCCTCTCGGGCAGCGGCTCGACCTGCACGGTGATTGTGACGAGGCCGTTGGCAGTGGTAAGGCTGACCTCGCCGCGCGGCGAGCCATCTGCGAGCTTTGTGCGGGATTCCTCAGGCTGCTCGGCATCGTCAGCGCTGCTGCCGTTCTGCGTACTCTTGGACATGATAGCCAGCGATTGACCGCTGGATCCGACCTCACCCAAAAGAACACCTGCCTGGGCGCTCTGGCGCACGATCCCCTCTCTAAACGGAACAATCGGCTCGGAGACATGGATTTCACACTTGGCAAACCGTTCGCGAAGGTCCTTCATGCACCGCTCCAGATGCAGCTCGCCCGCCGTAACCAGAACGCGCTCGCCCGTAGCCTGGGAGATAATCTGGACACAGGGGTCGGCCTGGTTCAGCAGCTCCAGCCCGCGCACGAGCTTGGTGATATCTTGGGGGTTAACTGGCTCCAAAGCCACGCGCACAATGGGGTGCGTCTCCAAATGCATCGCTGCCAAGTTAGGGCATTCCTGGGCGTTGCTCGCCAGCGTTCCGCTCTTGAGAATTGCGCCGGCCACGCCGCGAATACCAAACACATTTCCGGCGGGAACTTCCTGCAGGGGCACAAATTCGCGTCCCATCATTATGTACAGCGCGCGGACAGTGATATGCTTGAGATACGACTGCGAGTTTGCGCCCTTGGCGTTGTACTTTGGCTGCATCGCCCAGACCTTATCTCCAATACGAATGGTACCGCTATAGATGCGTCCGAATCCAACAAGCACCTCGTCCTCGTTGGCATCCGGGTCAGTGCTAGTGGCGTCTATAGAGTCTCCCCCTGCGCCATATCCAAGTGCACCGTCAGCAATATTAAGCTTCTCTTTTACCACTTCAGCCAGCGTGTCGGGTGAAATACCCTGCACAGGATCTGCGCTCTGCGATGGAGTTGCCACGGCGCTGGCACTGGCGCTGGCCGACAGAACCGAGAGGGGCGTGGCTGCACTGGGTTCACGGCTGTTTGCCAGCTCGCGACGGACAGCATCCCTGCCTCGGGCGCGCATCTCCTCGGCAGTCATTGCTGCGCGGTCGCCTTGTGATTTGCTCTTTGAAAATTCGGGCAGCGACTCTCGGGGAACCGAAATGATCTTTCCAATATATGCGACCAGGGGCGCCGGCTGGGCAAATGTACCCGCGACGCAAGCAAACAACGCGCGTTCCACGTCATTTTTGGGCTTGACCACCTTGCGGTCGGCCTGCGATTTGACCTCGCCCTGGACAAGCGGGGGAAGCCGATGAGGCTGCGCGACAGCTGGCGACGGCAGCTGCTCGACAATGGCCACCATGCAGGCCTGTGCTAGCGGAAGCCACCCTTGCATGATGGCGGTGAGCAGTGTGCGGTGGTCCTTGCTCTTGCGATCGCGCGGCAAGATCTTGATATCCAGCGCGCCAATGACCTTTTCGATTTTCTCTTGGTCATGCTCGAGAATGACGCTCTGGTAGACCTGCCACAGGGGAGCCAAACAGAGCTGTACAAACAATGGCATGGCCGCAGTCGCCTTGCCCGCACCATACAACTTGATGAGCTGCTTGCGAGTCAGCACACGACGCTTGGTCTTGGGATCGATAAAGTATTCGCCCCACATGAGTGGCTGCAACTTGGCGGGCGATGGGATCCCGAGCTTCTCGGCAAATACCTGCGCAAAGTGGTTGATCCGGAACGCCCACCCGTCCATCGCTGATCCAAATAGCACGTTGCCTTGCTCGGGCGAGAAGTATATCTGAGAGTCGTCCTTTTCCTCCAGGTACCACTCTGTCATCGGGGCGTCGTCGCCGTGCGTCTCCCTCCATTTCTCTTTAGCCTCCTCGAGCTTGCGCGAGTCTTCAGCCAAACGATCGCCCTCCCAGAACCCGGCCAGAACAGCATTGACCTGCTCGATCAGTTGCTGCATGTGTAAATAGGCCTCACTGGGAGTCATCTGCCACTCGACAACCAGGCGGTCGATCTTGTTCAGGAACAAAATTGGGTGGACGTTCTCAACCCACGCTTGCCGTAGGACGCTCACAGTCTGCGTGCACACACCTTCAACTACATCGACCAAAACCAGCGCGCCGTCAGACAGCCGCGCTGCAGATGCAACCTCGGACGAAAAATCCACATGTCCCGGCGAGTCAATAAGATTAACCAGATACTCCTGAGACTCTGCGTCTGTGTTGGTGGTAGGAGTGTTCGGAGTGGCGTCACCGTTGGTTGGCTTCCTGAGAAGCTTGTAGTACAGGCTGATGCCGCTGCTCTCCATCGTAATACCGCGCTCCTGCTCATCCTCACGGCTGTCTAGGTACCTGACCTTTCCTGCCAGCTTGCTCGAAATGATGCCGTTAGTAGCCAGCAGCGCGTCACTCAGTGTTGTCTTGCCGTGGTCTACGTGTGCAAGGACGCAGACATTGCGAATATTGTGCACATTCTTCTGCAGCTGCGCGAGCTTGGTAGGCGGGACGACCGGCATCTTTGGGTAATACTAATATTGTGCTGAGAATAGGTAATGGTATGTGAATTCTATAAAGCGGACAGGCAAACAAAAGAATCCAAAGAGAAAGAAGTGAGGGCGGCCCTTCGGCTTTGGCTAGCGACAAATTTGGGCCGCAGCTTGCGCACTTTTCTGCGGTCGTAATTTGCAATCAAATCAGACGATCAAAATGGGTTTAACGGGCTTGAATCTAGGTCGAAGCGTGTGACAAATTTTTTTTACTGCTTGAAAAGTATTTTGTCACGGGATCAAAAATAGAATGCCGCATTTAAGTCTTGTGCGTCGGACCCGCTTACATCTGCGTATACTGTGCATCGTTGTATCTGTGCATCTCGCACCTTTGTCTTTCATTCATTCATTCATTCGTCATCAAGAAAATCACGTACTATATCCACTCTACAAACCTTTATTTTGCCACACCAATGGAGTTTAAAATCGAACGGCCTCAGGACCAAAAGACCCAGGAACTGGTTGATCTGGCGCTGGCAGCGCGCAACAACTCCTACAGCCCTTACTCCAAGTTCAGGGTCGGAGCGGCCATCAGGACCGCCGACGGGAAAATCTTCCAGGGCTGCAACATTGAGAGTTGTTCGTACGGTAAGTACATTTTTGTTTTCCTTGTTGGCATTGTGGCTGACAGATCAAGTCATTAAAATATATTTCCATTGTCTAAACGTCGCCGTTTCACTGTAGCTCCGACAATCTGCGCCGAGCGCGTCGCCATCTCCAACGCAGTCGTAAGTTTTTTTTTTTTAAAATCGCTATATTGTGCACCTTTACTTTAGCCTTGGGGTTTAAGCCCCAGGAAAGGTCGACAAAGCCACAGCGCTAAGCGTCATGTTTTTTATTTGCGTTCTTACAAATATTGTAGGCCACCGGACACAAACAATTTGACACCATCGCCATATCATCGTAAGTATAAAGAAAAGACATGCAATTGCTTGTTTAACTGCTGCGCAACCTTCTGTCACTCTTTGTTCAAACGCTAAACGCTTTAAGCCCAATCGCTGTTTCTTGTATTTACACTGTAGCGACTTGAAGGAGGAGTTCATTACACCCTGCGGCGTCTGTCGCCAGTTTATGAGGGAGTTCAGCAAGGACTTGGCCATTTTGATGGTGCGCCCTGATGGGACATTCTCTCGCACCGATCTTACTGTGCTGCTACCCGGATCATTTGGGCCCGAGTCACTGGAGATGCCGCGCTAATCCACGTGATGGGAAAAGCGCGCTTCGCGTTTTTTTTACAAGCGTGTTTGGATCGCGTTTTGATTTTTTGCACTTTGACTTTTTTTGCTGGATTTGTGCTGCCCCTCACCTGTTTCCATTATATTTTTCTTGTGCCCAATGAACAAGTTCTTCTTAGCTTTCTCCAATTCGTTTTATTAGTTATCCAATATACACCTCTGTTATTTTTTGGCGCCAGCGTTCCATTCTTAGTCCACTCGTGCCACGTACATTTCGCATACTCTCAATTTCACATTTACATTCTGCTCAGCAGCCATGGTCGAAACCCGCCGCCGCCGCAGACCCAAGACCGATGTCAGGTAACCACAAGCTCAAAAGCTACGCCACAATGGCTTTAAATACAGGCAACACCTGCTTTTCGCAGATACTCTCATTTTGCTAAACCATCCATACACGCCGCTTGCATGCATTTTTCTTTTGTCTTAGCAACCAGTATTATGTCGGGTATGTTGAGGACGACGAGTCTGTCGATGCGATTATGAAAAAGTTTGAGGAGCTGGAGCGGATCGAACAGGAGTTCTCAGCAAAGAAAAAGGGCGTCGCAGAGGCATCCGGAAGCTCGATGCCTGGAACGCCCGGATCAATCGCCAACGGCACAGCGGCTAACGCGGCATTGGGCTCGGAGGCTGCCGACACAGACACAAAATCTAAAGAAGGAACAACGGGCACAGACTCCGAGCTGGCAGATGCTGAATCGATGACTGGGGAAGAGGGCGGCATGACTATGGAGCTGCTCGAAGAGGTTTTTAAGCGCACAAGCGCATTCACTGTGCGTGGAGCCATGATAGACGCCCTCGACTTGGAGGTCATGGACGACGTCGAGCTGTGGGAAGCTGAGGCCGGCAACGCCATCCCGCTTGAATGGGAGGAGGAAGAGGACTACATCACGCTGCACCTCGACGATGATGCACTCGACGACGAGTTTGGTGTGCTTGTTTCGAGGCGCCGCATGCCAAAGCGTGAGCCTGCCAAGAGGACCGGGGCAAAGCTCAGCAGTCGCGACCAGATCATTCAGCGCTACAAGTACATGCAGGTGCGCATCCAGGACAGACACGGCCACACTTTTTTTGTTAGCCGCAAGGTCAATGCCGTAGATCCAAGCTTGCCTACGTATGTGCGCATCCCTCCGGCGCCCATCTCTCGCTCGTGGGTTAAGCACATCCGGCCGCTGGCTGATACTGCCGAGTCCACGCCTTACTCTGTCATATCGGGGATTCTGATCCCAAAGTCCGAGCCAAAGTGGGCGCGGCGCTTGGAAACAGACGATACGCTCAGCTTTGACTTTTCGATATTTGGCTGCACCCTGCAATGCGTGTACATGGATCCGCCACTCTTGCTCCCGAACGAACAGCCCAGGCCAGGCTATTTCGACATATCGAGGCTCAGGGTGATCCCCGTGCACAAAATGCTGGTTCCCGGCGCGTTCCTGTTCACCTGGTGCGAAAAGGAGCTCCTCCCCGACATGTGCGAGATTGCCGAGAAAGAGTGGGGGCTCAAATACGTCGAGAATTTTTGCTGGGTGCGTCAGTTGACCAATAACCACATCGCGAGGCTTCCGTCGGATTACTTCTGCCGCTCAAAGGTTACGTTGATGATCTTCCGCAAGGGGGGAGACCTGGAGATGCGGCATCAGCGCAGCCCCGACTCCGTGTTTGATTTCGTCAAGCCGCGGATGCCCGGTGATCTGAATGACCGCAAGCCAGATTTTTCGTACACGGTTATCGAGACGCTGCTGCCGCGTGCGCTGTGCACGCCCGAGCTGCCCGACCCCGATAGACTAGTTCAGCTGTGGATGCCTGCCGACAACCACCGTACAAACTGGACGACGATTGTGCAGACACCATTGGAGAGTCTGCCGGTTTGAGATTGCATGTTGACTGAATAGAATTCACGCGTAAAGTGCCGAGCACTACTTTTTTATGAGGAGAGGGAAATGTAGTGGCGGTGGCAGTGGTAAATTAATGGCAAAAAACCATGACCACCCCATCTTCGATATAATTGCATTGTTTTCCTGTCAACCAGCAAGTTGCGGTTAGCGGAGACACCGCTCGAGTGCCCAGACGTCCACACCACGCTCGTTTACTTTTTGACCACTGAATTTTTTGGCTAACTGCCTTGTGTATGAATTCGCAGACATGGTTTTATTTTGCCAATGCTAACGTGCAATTTTGATAAATAATATCTACGAATGCCAAGTGGCTGGATTCAACTTGGCGAGGGTGAGTGAGAGTTATCCAATATTGATAACAGTGTTTACAGGTTACCAGCTGTTCCTTAAAAATCCACCATTTTACAATTAAATAAACAAGCCAATATTATTCTGCAAAAAAAACTAAGCAATTATTCATGGGAAAATGTGCTGTTTTCTTATATTGACATTTGTACTGAGATGCCGACAACCATTTGGATATAAGGTGTACTGAAAACAGTCCGAAATTAGCAACGTTGACAGTGTTATAGTAAGAGGGGGGTGTGAGGAGCACTAGTTGTCTAGTGTTAAAAGTTAGGGGTGATTTTATAAAAGGTTTTATTACTGATGTTTCTAAAGTACTACTAGGGGCCAGCCTCATCTTATATATGTTCCCAGTCGCCTTTGTCGTGCACATTGTCCATTGTGCGCTCCGTTGGTGAGAACTGGATCTTCTGCGAGCAGACCGGTATCTTGGCAAGTCAATGTTGTGGTTTTCGTGCGTGTACGCTCATGCGTGTGCATTGCAGAATGGGGAGCATGTTTAGGCATCAATGTAATGCCTCCCTAATTTACGCCTGCATTATCCAATTAGCGTCCTATCGATCAGCGCGCAGGTGGGAACTTGTTTCGCGGTTCTCGACCTCAACATCTACTTCCATATCTTCAGTCTGCGCAACAACAGTTACACACAAAGTTTCATACTCACCTGTTAGCATATCCGTCTTTTTCTGAATGCTACTTTATGATTATCTTTATTTCTAGGAATCTTGTATTGTGTACTACTTTTAGCCCCAGTAGACAAAGCCACATGATAAATTAATATATTCTCTAGAACCGGGTTCAACGAAATTTGTAAGCTCCCCTATTCTTGTTTGTGCATACAAACAGCTGAAGATACTATTATTTAAACTATTCGCACACTTCCAGTTTATATTATATATTTTTCTGCTTCAGGCTGACATACTGAACAATAGCAAATAATCTCATCTGTCGATTATCGAGGGTGTCTGGCCTCACCGCCTTTAATTGAGGGGAGATGAGGCGTTCGATTGTATTTAATTGGCCCTCTTCAGCAATTATACGTCACTATATTTTTTGAAACGCAGCCTGCAAACTAATTTTATAGTTAAATATACATTGTTGTGATTTGAGAAGAGCACTAGTTGTCTAGTGTTAAAGTTATGTTTGGGTTTTGTTGTAGTTTTTATTATCAGGGGAATCAAAAGTAGAACTAGGGCTGGCCTCGTCTTATATATGTATCTCGTCGCCTTTGTTGTGCACTTCGCCAGTTTTGCACTCCGTTGGTGAGAACTGGTTCTTCTACAGACAGATTAGTGTCTTGGCGTGTCAGGGTTATGATCTTCGCATATCCGCATTAATGTATATGCATTATGGAATGGGGGTACAACAGGGCGTCGTTATTATGTCCCCTGATTTGATTATGCATAGTACCATCTATGCCCTGTTAATCGGCATGTCGAGATTAAGGGCCGTGAAACGAGTTTTCATCAACATCCACTTCCATATAATCAGGCTGCTCAACAATATAATATATCTTCAATTGCATAAATACTGGCAGTGTCTACACTCTATTGTTTACTGAATTATTTTCTAATAGCGCACTTTCTAATTAGTATTAATACTAATATCATAATACCAGTTAAAGACGAAACCTTCTCTGAGTTTGACTGTTTTTGCATTCCACGCGTGCTCACTTGCTCTCCTGAATATCAATAGATGCAAGCCAGGAGTCAGGACTGCAGCTGTTCCAGCGTTAAGCGATGTGAGCAACTTGGCATCTACCATGTCACCCAATGCCATGCTTCAATTGGTCATGCATGGGGTAGACAAAACAAACCAGTCAGGATTAAAAGCAGTACCGTCATCAGGTGGATCATTGACACAGGATGAAGATGGTCAGGCTGGACTTATTTTGACGCTGCAGGAAAAGAGAAAAATGGCATTGCTTGCCGCCTATTCTGGCGCTGCCTACATAGTATCGGACAAGTAGAACTGCCAGTACGCGTGCGAGTACCCCGGCACTGAGGGCACTACGATCGAGTACAACTGGAATTTAGGCTCCCTGCCAAGCGCCGGGTACATTGCATGCAACCCACAAAACCGCATGCTTGTTGCGTTCCAGGGAACTAAAAATGCTACTCAGTGGGTTGATAGCATTGACGACATGCAGGCTTCGTGGCCATAATGGATAACAGACTCAAAAGTACACCGGATATTTTTGCGAGAATACATGGATGTAAGATCCCAGGTCCTGAACACCATATAAACACTAGCGGCAAAGTACCCAGACCACCTTGTATATGTTGTCGGTCATTCACGTGGTGACTCCAGGGCCACGCTTTGGTTTTTGGGCTTGTCCATTGAAATGCCGCAGCTGCTTCTGAGGCTGAGTCTCTACACGCAGGGCCAAGCACATATTGGATACAAGGCCTTTGCAAATGCGATCAATTCTCTAAATGTGCCCAACTACCGCGCGGTGTACGAATATGACGCCTCCAGTCGCATTCCAGGACAGTCAAAGGGGTATTTCCACTATAACGCCGAGATATGGTTTCACAATAATTGTACACAGCGGTGCGTGAAGAGTGCCGAGGTCGACGGCTGTGCTGACAACGGCAGCTTGCAGCATCCTATAACTTTTGACGACCACTTTGGATATCTTGGGCTCAAATATTTCTAATTTGTGCAACTAGATTATTTCTATACAAATAAATGAGCTTTTAAATATGCTGAAAACCACTCCGCATTGCATTTTACTACATTTAAAAGCGTAATTGCCGCCACTTGCTTTTTCTATGCAGAATATGTCGCCTTTTGTGTGTTCATAAGATTCAATAAATGAGTTTGGTGGCAAAGGTAGCACTATTTTTTACTTTACTATTTTCTTCTACAATTACATTTGCCAATAGTATTTGAATCATTTTCATATTTGACTATATTCAACGTAATATATATTTATACTCCAAAATTACCCTGCTGGCCCTACTGGCATGCAAAGCAACTCAAGGAGTAACAATTCCTATTTCAATTGACCGAATAAACAAAGCCGTTAAATGTGTGCAGGGCGCCTACACGACTATTAGGGCCAACGAATTTTCGCCAGTAGACGATGCAAATAGCCAAACAAGTCAAGTGATAGCACAATAGAGAAATACACCAAATTTGCGGGCGCGTCCTATACACTTTTTGATAAGTTGTGGAAATGTTTAATCAATTGCAAGGATAATGAGACCAGTAGAATTGCGTTCGATTAACACTGGTCAATTAGTGGCGCGCCCAGCTACGGATAGGTTTCTCATAAGGATGACACGCAGGAAATCATTGTCAGCTGGCGTGGGAGCACAGTTCTAATGGACTGGATTGCCGACTTTTTGTTTGCAGCGGTGCCCTGGCCAAGTTCAGTGAATGGATCAATGGTGCACACCAGGTTCTTGGGAGCGTACAAAGGTGCAGCAGAAAATATTAAAGCCGCTGTCGACAATCTGGTTCAGAAATACCCAGATTACAAAATTGTGCTAACTGGCCATTCGTTGGGCGGTGCAGAGGCCGCACTGGCTGCGGGCGACTTTGCCATCAAGCACCCCGAATGGATAAGCAAAATAGAGGCTTACACCTACGGCGCGCCACGGGTGGGAAACACTGTATTTTCCAACTGGCTGTCCAGCCAGCCATTCCTCATTTTTCGAGTAAACCAGAGCGATGTCGTTTCGCAAGTGCCGCTAGGTGTGTTGGGATACCAGCACCACGCGCAGGAGGTTTGGTATAATACCAATGACCAACTTAACTTTTGTGGTAGCAATGGTGAGGGCGCTCCTGGCCAGAACAGTCTGACTGCTTTGCAAATGTGGTTTTTAACCTACTTGCAGTATCCGGGCCTGGGGTATGAGGTATGGTATTTATTTGTTGACTCTTTAAAGGTTATATTCTAGGAAATGCCAAACTTGGATACTGGTTGCATATTGATTTATTTTTGGTTACTGTCAGAGTGTCAAAGCGGAATTGAGCACATAGTCGTGGCGACTGAATAAACATCACCTGTTTTAAATATGCGTTGTACTTTTAAATTATAATGATAATGTGTGGGCATGTGAATATATTGAAATAAAACCGAAATGTACAAGACAATTAGAAAATGCGTGAATAAATGCAATGAGAAACTTTAGTCGAAAATATCTGGCGATAATGTCATTAACGACTCTCTGGACGACGACCTAGACAATGTTGACTGGTGGACAAGGAGCTCGTAAACTAACAGACTCAACGACAACTGGCTTTGTAGTCTCGAAGCATTAGAGTGGCCACTGATACTGGATCCAGAACCGCCAAAACCACTGTCGTAGCTGTATTCTTCTTCTATATACATATCGCTGGCCGCAATGCTTATTGAATCCACATTGTTCAGCCCGGATAGAAATTCGGTAACTCGGTCCAGATCAAGCGTGCTTATTGAAGTGGTAGACAAGGAATGTGGCGACGGGTAGGAAGGTGGTGGAGGCTCGTAAGTAGGCGGTGGTGTGCTGGGTATGCTTGGAGACAAAATCACTGGGTAAACGAAAATATCAAAAATGTCCATCAGCGAGGACGATAGAGATGGCTCCAACCGGAGATGCAAATAGGTATTGTGTGTGGCACCGGCTGCGGTGTTTGTCTGCCTGGTGTTTTCAGAACAGCCGACATGTGGCAAAAATTGCTTTCCGCCCTCCATTGTAGTTTTTATTTTGACGGCCCAAATTTATATATTTGTTTGTATCGTGCAAAACAGTTTTTTTTCCGAATACCCAGATATGGTCTACTTGCTGGTTGACAGCGTTAAATGCTTGAATTGCGTTTAACAATTGGCTAAATAAACAAATGGATGTCAGTTATAGCGTGGATGCGTGCGTGAATGAACGTGCTGGTGCTGATATGAAGGCCTCGTAGACTTGAGCGACAATATATTAAAAAGGTGCGACGTAATACAACCAAGACAAATAGTGGAAGTGCGGTTGACAGCGCGAATGGGTGTATATTTGCACACAAAAGTGTGTCAAGTGTTATAAAAGCGTAGGCAATAAAATAGAAAATGCTGATAAGAATAAGAATAAGAGTGCAAATTTAAAATAATACTCAAAATGCCCAGAATAAAGAGGAAAATAGAAACAAAGAGAAAATAAATGAATTTGGGAAAACAAAGCTGCGGTAGTTGGATTAGGCGCTTTCCCTGCACTGGCGGAAGTTTAATAATAGGGCACCCTTTTATGCCATACTCGCTTATCAATCGCAGCTTTCAAATCAAGCCGAATTTGCCCACACCCGATAATGTCACTTCCCCATTGTTTGGTTAATTTTGAAAACTAAGGCACATCAGCCATTCATAGTTACTTGTAAGAAACAGGACTCGAATTAGGCTTTTTCCAAAGTCCCTTTTCATCTCTAATCAATCTGTGTAGATTCGCTGCTACTTGCGATTATCAAACAGCCTTTTCATTTTACTATTGCAAAATTAATATTCGAGGCCAAATCTATAAATCATTTTTGATACGCTCCTTTTGCCTTTTTTAATTTCATATAGCAAAGAAAAAAGCAAAAAAAAGTTGGCTCTGGGGGACGAAGGCCGAGACTAGAGAAAAAAAGTAAAATGAAAGGGCAACTGACTGGGCCTTGCTCAATATAATTGAATATAATAGAATTGGTATTCATTTTTAAAATTATAATATTTTGTACTCAATTTAAAGCTCCGCTTGTTTGAATTTTTGAGGGAGCTATAGTTACACGATTATTACCTAGGATTGCAGATCCTTCCCCGTATAGGCCAATTGCAGTCAAAGCTGTGCAGTTAAAAGCAGTCACTTCATTAGTCAATTATTCACCCGCATATAGCTAACACCGCTACTGCCGCGTAATTATTATCAGCGTGTATATGTCACTTACTTCTTTGTCGCAAATATACTCATTTAATACAATTATAAACCACTTGTTGATTGAGCTCACCAACACAATTACCTATTACATTTGAAGTACGTTTTGAAGATTGTCAATCCACCCGGTTTATTTAAACCAATGCACGATTGAATACTCACCATGTACAATACAATACGCTTTCATCCAGAAGATAAGCACATACCATTTTATCATAATGAATGTGTATGGTATAGCTCCATTATTTATGCTTAAACAATGGAGCACAAGAAATAAAGGTTACAATTGCCGCTGCTCTTCACATTATTTGTAATAGCGCCAGTGAGTTGTCTGTAGAAGCACATTTGAAGCTACGCTAAACTCGCGCATTGTCCCCCGGTTCTATCCATATTCTTTCAAGTATAAGCCAATATAAGCCTAATATCTGATTATGCCGAATCTGAATAGCCCTCCTTTTTAAACAAACACGCGTAGTGTAGTGCACAGCCCGAATAAAAGTCAAGGGATCTGGGGGATCTCGAGGAATTCAATGAGTCTCGGGTGCAGCCTTGTAATTTCAAACGGAAAAAAGTATATTGTTTGCAGTATATTGTTTGAGTCGTACAGCAAGACTTGTATGCAACAATTTGTATTGTCGAGGCCATACAAAACCAAACAAAATGCAGGCATCGTGACAATGTGAACCAGCCTTCGCAGTATAATTTTATTTGGTGGCACTGCTGTCAACAGATGCTAAAGTGCGCTCGGAACACATGTACTAAACCTAGACAGGATGCGTGAAGCAGCAGAATAGTGTAATAGTTGCTACTAACGCTGCAATTGTTACTGCTGGTGCCTGTAACCCTACTTGTTAAAAATATAATATATCAAAATTAAATTAACCAAAATATTCATGGTTTTGCTCAACACGGTGCTATTCGGAATCACACTACTGCTTACACACTAGTTCAAATGTATTTTTTATGCATGCCGAGCCTGGCGGTTAACACACAATATTGAATCACCAGACACCCAAAGGATGCAAGGTGCCTGCAATATTTTCTTTTTATATTTGGCGACTTTAGCCCCACCTGTCAAGGACAATACAAAAAGACCACAAAGTGACAATTACACTCGAGACAAAACAACCAGCAATGAGGGAGTAAAAAAGTGAGGGAGTACATAAACCTTATACAAAACGGCAAATAGCGGGACAAAATAGATGGTCTGTCGCGCAAATGCGCTCTTGGTCACTGTTTCTTGACTGGTGTTATTCACATAAGAGCTCGACAAACGCACGGTTGCCGCCTTTTTGGTCTTTGAAAATAATCATACTTTTTATTTTGTTTCTAGTTGCTTAGCACATTTTTTTACTTTTTATTATATGCCGCCGGCCAGCTTTCATTTTTAAAATTTTCACTTTCTGGCTTCATATTACCACATTGATTCAATTTTTTCTCAGCACACATTTTCATTTCGTCTGCGACACGCAGATATAGTCAGATCGCCATTTATTTTTGCTTTGTGAAAGATTGGTTGAAGACACTTCAATTTTTCATAAACATTGTAAATCCCGTGGGAGAGAGTTTGTGGCATTGACAAAGCTTTGCCGTTTAAAAAGAGGTGCAGCCTGCAAAACAAACTAAACCAAACCAAAAACAGGCTTTCAACCAGCATTTTTTGGCTACCGCTTTAGTGACTTGTAGCATCGGTTTCTATTACCTGTTCTGGAACCGTCCCCCACTTTACATAATATCTGCCTGTGCTTTGCAGTCTTAAGCAGCAATTTGAAGCAACTGCCACCAGGCCCAATTTTGACCAGACCGCACCCACAGCACAACACGCACATGTACGACTACGTGCGCCGACAGCAGGAGCTCCAGCCCGGTATATTTGCGACAAAGACATTCCACTGGATGGACCAAAGCTCGAGAGAGCCTAGCTGGACCCGGATGTACACGAAGAACGCGCCCCTCGACCCGCTGATTTATTCATCAAGCAGCCTGTACGCCGCGCCCCGCGCAGCACCAAAGCCTGGAGGCGCCCGCAGCGCGCTCCAGCGGTCGGCATCGGGTATCTCACCGCATCGGGCACTGTTCGCGCTAAGACGGCACAGACAACACAGCGACGTGCCAATCAGGCCGCCAAGCGGGGTCTCTGGCACATTCACCATAAGAAAGCGCGGAAAAACAGTGCCGCACGACGGCGAGCCACCGGCTTTTGCCTCTGCCGTGCAGGCAGCAGTTCCACAGTTCCTGGTTCAATATTGTTTTGGCGCAGAAGCAATTCAAAGACAGATGAATAATAATCGTGCTGAAGCACAAAGGCCAATCATTCTGGCAATCCCACCCCACCATTATGCGGTCCCAGCAGAGACCGCGGCAGCTGCCCTTGTGGGTGTTGATATTGTTCCCGCATCTGAAAATAGCGCTTCTTTGCTGTTGTTGCCACTGGATAAAGACGACGCGCCCGACCAAATCCACATCTCTTCTCCATTTGCTCAATCCCGCCCTCAACTATTTTCTTCTTTTTCCCCTCCTTCATCTCCCATTCCTCGCACTATCTGCCACAGGGCTCGCTCGCTGATGCACAGAGTTCGCAGCCTAAGGCCCGGCGGCGGCCAGAACCCTCACCAACTTCAGCAACAGCAACAGCAGCGTCGCTGCCGCCAGCTAGAACTACAATTACAACAACAGCAACAGCAACAACGAAACACACCGCACTTCACAATATCGTCAGTGCTTTGTACCGCAAACAATGAGGTATCGCCGCCCGGGTCGCCCAATGGCAACATGCACTGGAGACCTGGCCCTCAGCCCAAAATGGTGGTTCGCATCCCGCCGTCACGAGGCTCTCGCCATGTGCACACGAGTCGACGCTCCTCGCTATGTTTTGTCAACGCCAGCCCACAGCTGGGCCAGCGAAGACTTCCGCGCTCGCCTCTGGCCAACCCGCTTGCCATAACCGAATTTACGTCGTCCGACTCGGAGCCCTCTGATGAGCAAAAGCACCAACCACAACAGCAACCACAACAGCAACAGCAACAGCAGCAGCAACAGCAACAGCAACAGCAACAGCAACAGCAACAGCAACAGCAACAGCAACAGCAACAGCAACTGGACAGCACAGCGAAACCTTTGGTGGGAAGCATTTGCACTCCAATACACCCGCTGACGTCGTATGCTGACGAGGATACGTCAAAGTGTCAAGCGTGCTCGCGCTACAAAGGTAACGAGTGGATAGTGAGCTGCGATGCTGAGCATCCACTGTGCTTTGGCTGCGTCCAAAATCAGGCTAGGGACATGTTGGCTAAAAAGTCAGCCAACCGCGTGCCTTGCCCCATTAAGCACTGTTTGGCGTACATCCCACTGCAGCACTTGCGAGCGTGCCTTCCACCGCAGAGACTCCGGCAATTGGCAGGAAACAGTCGTCGGAGTGACCGGGCGATGCAACTTGTCAGACGATCGTTGAGCATGTGCAGTGGTCGCTTTAGCAGCAGCAGCAGCAAGGGGAGTTACGCAGAGTCGTATGTGTCGGATGTGAGCGACGAGGGATTCGACAAACCAATTGTTGTTGTAAACGCGAGCAGTGCCAATATGCCTACAAACCGTGCAAACACGGGGCAGAATGCAGGTAGTATTGGCTTTAGAGGCATTCGTGCGAGCAATGTTGATCACGAGCTTGCCCATTCAATGGAGAATTTGGCCGTGTCTGTCAGCGCAGTCCAGAAGCACGTGCCGACCCAACACCTTTTTTCAGCCAGCATGCCGGTTCTCGCTAGTTACGCGAGCCACAGTGCGGCGAGCAGAACCAGTACGACCAGTAGCGGTGACAGCAACAGTGGCAGCACACCACCGTTGCTCAGCGAGCTAACTAGGGTCGGGCACGCTAGCACGGACAGCGTGGTTCTTGCAGCAACAGTTGCCACAGACAGTGCCATTTCGCTGAGCCTGGAGTTGGTTGGATCCCAGTTGCAGTGGGTGTCCAAGGCCCAGGATAATATTGGCACACAGACACACACCCCCAGCATGTCAAACGACTCACCACTGACCGACTACGAGGACGACACGGCTATGTACCTAAGCAACGCACTGTTTTTGGAGCTGCAGCAGCAACAAGCGCCGTTGGCCACATCAGCCCTTTATGACTGCGTCAACTATGACATGGACCTGTGTATGCAGACGCCGTCTTATGAGCTGGCGGCGTCGCTCGTTTCTTCTAGCAGCCCCATCTCATGGCAGCACCCGTCATCACAGTCGGAGGCGTATTTCCACTCACCGGCCAACAGGGCGTCCGTACACTCTGCCCCGCCTCCAATCCCGCCCTCTCTGCCGCCCCAGTTTAGGGCGAGTGCCACATGGATTACGCCAGAGCAGCGCAACTCTGGGTACAGCGAGAACCTGATGCTCAACGCCACGCTCTTCGAAACCATTCGGCGCAAGGCATCACTCTCGAATGACGAGGATAGCGACTATAGCCACAGCGACAACTCAGACTCTCCACGCACATCAATAGGCCAGCGGCCGCAGATTGGTCGCATCCATGCCGCGCCAGTTGCCAAGACAGAATATGCAGCCATTGCCTCTGAATACGACGATAGCAGCGAAGGAGTGTACATCCCGACATGGCGCAAGGCGGAGGCAAGCACCACCTCAAAGCGCTCCATTCCTCTTTGGGCCGAGCCTGAATATGGAGAAGAGTCGGGCCTTTTGTGCGAGGCCGCGGGGCTTAACTTTGACCTCTACGAGACACTGCACAAGCGACGTTGAAGTGGAAATATGTGTGGGCGACTGTATTTTCTCTTTCAGTGTCACTTTTATTTTTTTGTATTCGAATCCTTTTATCCATATCCTTTTCAAATATCCAATTTTGCCATACTAATTTTAGTCCAGGCGACTTTTTTTTGCGTGGCTCGCACCTGCATTTAGTGGCAAAGCATCTAAAATTTAGTATTAATAAAACTTTGAAAGCCCTGTAGGACCAAGCCCCACTGCATCATCAGCGCGACTGCTTTATTGTAGAATTCTTGCGCATGCGGAAAAGACCGCGGTCGGTTGGCTTTTCGCGGTCCAGCCCCTTGTTCAGCATCGACGACTTGAAGTATCCGGCGTCCTCATCACTCGAAGCATCCAAAATGGGGTCGCTGGCGTATGTTGTCATGGGCGACTGCGGCGGGTGGCTGATTGAGGGTGCCGAGTTCTGACGCTGCTTGCTAGCCAACATGGGTATTCCGCCGTCGGCAGTCACCGGTGTGGTAGTTGGACTAGTTGCAGAAATCCTCAGGGTGGCCATGTCGCTAATGACTGAAGAGTCGCTGGTCACGCTTGGAGACATCATTGGCGGGCGCGGTTTGGCCCCGCCCAGGGACACCATGTTTCCCGATGCCGACATGATGACTGTGTTTGAGATCTCGTCGGCAACAATCGACGTGGGCATGGGTGCCAGGGGTAGTGGGGGAGGAAGTACCGGAAGACTTGGGGCCTGTCCCACTGGACGGGCGCCGTCGTCGTTGGCATCGTCGCCTGCGTTGAGAGAGGAGGCGATGGTTCGGGTCTCGAGGCTGTGCAGGCTGGACATGGTTGTATGGCGGGTGCTCTGCGATTGCCTGGACGGGCGCCGACTACTTGCCTGCTCTGTGTTTGACTGGCTATCATGAGAGAGCGTTGAAGCGTTGACCTGGTTGAGCACCTGCAAAATAGGCGCGGCCCTCTGTGCTGGGAGTACGTCATAGTACCTCGGGGGCAGCGAGTTGACGATAGCCGCGCATGAGTCGAGGGACATGGATGTTCTTTCCGAGGACTGGCGTGACTCTGGCCGAGCGCCAGTGTTGCTCCTGCTAGAAAACGTGCTGACACTGTCGTTGTCCTGGTATGCCTGCTCCAGATTGTTCAGCGACGCCTGCCTGTTCATCACGCGAGTAGCGCCAAGCAAGCTGTGGGTCATGATTTGAACGGGAATGTCGATTTGCACCGACCGCTCGCTGGACAGCCAGTTGGGGATCTTCACTTCTATGCGAAGAAAGTGGCTGAACTCCAGATGCTCGCTGCTCACGTAGCCGCACGGGGTGAGTGGGATTGGGAATATCATTGTCTCGATCGAAAGCGACTCACTGCCGGCAGATTTTTCGTCTACAATTGTTTACATGGGCAATTTTTTTAAAATGAAAATACTTTTTTATAGCAAAAGTACGTCTCGCACAGAGAGAACATAAAATGACAAGCGAAACACGGGCGGCGTAACTATGCTTTATTGTGATCGGCGCCCGTGTTTACACAAGGAGTGTGAGCAAAGGACAACGATTTGTAAACATAAACATATGCACAAATACCGGATAGCGAGCGAAATAACCATAAACAATTTTTGGTTGAAAGCCAGCGCGCCATCACTGAATGTGCTATGGAAGCAGCCCGGTTTTTTTGCACCAGCTTTGCACGCGCAAGCACATATTATTTAGGCAAAATAAAACAAACCAAAAAGGGACGGTTGTCTCTTTGTTTATTTTCATTTCTTTCCCCTCTCTATTTACCCTTGCGCGCTAGTGCACAAACCGTAAATCAAGCGCAAATCAAGTAAACAAAGTAAATAGTGGTGTGAAACAAAAAAATGCTTACCTGTCCTCGGCTTGCCCGCCGCCATTAACTCGTCGTTAATGAAAAAGTTGTACACCGACGAGCGAATAATTTCGCCGCTTGCAAGCTCGCGGTCCGACGACCAAGTGGGCTGCCAAAATGGAACATCCACGCTGTCTCTGCACCTCGTGCGCTCATACAGCCTAGCAATGATTTTTGTCCAATTTACCGATGACAGTTCTTTGATTGACACGTCAATCTTCATTTTTTTCCCTGGAATCACCTGGTGCCCACTGATGGCCGCGCGAAGCTCGACAGCCGGCTTGCCACTCTTGCCCTTCTTTTCGATGCACAGCGTTTCGACAACCACCATTGGGTCAGGGGTGGGCAGGAGAGAGACGATGGGCGTGAAGAACATATCTCGTTCAATGGCGGCAACCACCTGCTCTTTGGCTGCGATGCCGCCAGCTCCAGAGTAACCACCGGCGTCGCTGGGCGCAAAAATCTTGCTCTCGAGCGTGTACGAAATATCAAACTCGGGGCGGATGATGTTCTGCGGGTAATTGAGATATGGCATCTGGCAGGAAAAGTTAAACACGTGGACACCGTCACTAAGCACAGTCGATGCGACCGCGCCCTTGCGCACAGCCTTCCAGACCACCAGGCTCGAGCTGAACAGCTGTGATTTGGCGGCCTTGGTGACGACCTTTAGGTTTGGCAAGACGCGCTCCCTGCCCACTAGCTCGACGACAATCTGCGAAGCTGAGATAGGCCGCGACAGCTCGACGACCAACACGCCCGAAAACCGCTCGTTCGGGCGGAGCGGCTGCTCGATGGTATTTCCAGCCGATACTGTGAGCTTGAACATTGCTATGTTTGTGTTTGCCATTGCCGAGAAAATGCCAGCGGCTTTGTTCTGCCTTGCGAGTGTCTCTGGGGAGCTATCGAGCGAGCCAAAAAGGTTTGATGAATCCATGTTCGCAGTCGGATATAAAAAATAATAAAACGAAATAGATTTAGGTGTAAATTGGCGTCTTCTTTGTTTTAGTCACAATTGTGAAGGAAATAATAATTCTGATAAATAAGCAACAGGCGCGGGATAAATAAATATGTAGATAAAAAGCAAAATAATAAAATGTAAGCAAGAGATGAGAAGAAAATAAAAGGTACAAAGGCAACAGCAGTATTAGCAACAACAGCAATGTGCGCGTGCCCTGATGTGCTTTTAAGTTCAAAATGCCCACTTTCAAGGCCGGATAGTTATGTATATACAAGCGGCAAAATAAAAAACTTACCTGTTGGCTCTATTTTGAAAAATATTTTTGTTATCCTTTTTTGTTGCTGTTTATTGCGGAACAGCACTACTGGTTTGGCACGGCAAATCAATAGAATAAATAGAACGGAATATACCGAATTTACAGGCACGGAGAGGCAGGATTATACGTTCTAATTGCCGTGAGATGGGATCGATTTGCGACCCAAAAAGGAAATAGAAAAATAAAAAATAATATAATTTTCACAAGCGTGCAAATATTTTAGTGTTGAAATTAGGCACGTCCTTCAATGACAAGATAGAAAAGGATGTTGAAGTTTGCTTTTAGAAGAACGTTAAAATAATAAAAAGTTTTTGACAACAAAAAAACCCAAAGATAGACAAAAGCAAGTTGGATGTGTATTTTTAAAAGTATGCGAGCGTGACGGACCAGTGCAAAAAAAGAGGAACAATACAAATAAATAAAAATAATAAAAATAATAAAATACAAATTAACGAAAGAGAGAACAAAGAAAGCAGGTATCTACCTCACAAAAGATGGGCAGGGGTAGGGCTTATTAATGAGGTGGGAGGAACAACCCTAGGATGCCTGTTCTAATTAAAACAAATAAACAATGAGTGCAAAAAAATAAAATGGGAGTCACACTTGTCATGACGATTCTGGCGCAATAAATGGAAAACATTATTCGCTCTTGTTCACAAAGACCACCAGACTGCATCTTAAAAAAGAATTCACAATTTCCAATCCACCCTCCCATCCTCTCACACTCCACTTTCCCTCTTTTTTCACACTCGTGCTCAATTTTTCTTTCTCCCTTCACCAGAAAGCTGGGTTTTCGGGCCAACACCCATCCGAAAAGAAATCTGGAAAATTAGCAGCACTGCAGCCGACCAGCAATAAAAATGCGACTTTAAAGCTGTGTTGTTTGGCTGAAATCTTTGTTGGGGAAGGACATACTCTCATTAAGCAACAGGATCGACACCAATATTATTTTTGCTCCTTGTGGAACAAAAAATGAGAAATTTGCAAAAATGGCGAATCGCAAAAAGCACACCCCAATTGCATTCCTTATGTGAAAAATTCGAATTATCTGAGCGCAGCTTGCATTGCATATTTGTCCGAAGATATTATTTTTTGTTATAAAATGCAAGTAAGCAAGGAAATGAATAGATACCAACAAAAAACAAGTTTCTAGCGATAGATTTGTTTGTTTGTTTGTTTGTGAGTTTTTTTTAATTTTAAGTATGGCTCATGTGTTGATTCCAGATAAGAACAAAAAGCGACCGTGATGAGTACTCTCACTCACAGAATTCCATTCCTCTCACTCAAAAAATAAGGGTCTATGTATTCGATTCCCTAAAACATATTATTGTTAGGAGATCGTCCTTTTACCAAAACAAAAATGTTGAGCGTCCACTTATTTTATAAAAAAAGGTGTGAAATTGTAAGCCAATTTATTTGAGTAAAAATAATGTTTTGCCCATATACTGTACTTGTATTTTATGTGTGAAGATGTGTAATGTTCGTACATACACGTGTACACATATGCACATAACAAAAATAATGTTTGATGTTTGACAGATGCGCAGCGCTGCAAGATATGCCCGAGCTGCATTAAACAGTATGGAAAATAAATGGCTTTCTTTTGACAACATTTTTAAATCTGAGGCGACAAAAAAAATAAAGGGGAAAATTGATTGCAAATCTATCATTTGTTTTTTAATTCAACTTAAATGTATGTATCTTGTTTAGTATTGGAAATGCACGATAGACACCACACGTGCATTGCAAGATCGAGGAAGCAAAAAAGAAAAGAGGGGATGAAGAAAAATGGATAACCTCAACAACCTCAACGTACCCAACCCCAATCCTTTTTATTGCCTTTTGTTAGTGCGTATGAGCCATTGTCGAAACGATTTGGTTTTATTTGTTCTTTTTCAATGTTTGATTAAAAACCTTTCTATTTAAGTCATTTCCGCAATGAAATGGATATCCGCTGAGAAAATAAATAAACTAAAAACAGCCAAATACATTCATTGCTATTAAGCAAACAAATGCAGATCAGAACGTGTCGATTTTGCACAATGCCTTATATAATATTTCTCACTACCTGAAATCTGAAAGATTGCGCCCCTTCTTTCAGTAGAAGGCGTTGATTCGGAGTCCATTTGTGCTACCATTTACTATAGCAAGCTGCAGCGCCATTATTTTTTTGCTGAGTCTGATGATGTCTCTACACGTTTTAACCAGCTGTCTTAAACCCGACCTTGTGTTTGTCGCACTCTCTGTTTTTTGCGTGCACTGTTTTTTCTAATAGCCATCCAGCCACCTAAACTATCAGACACTCAATTTTAATGCGTTTTACGTCGCAGGACATGTGGAAACCAATATTTATTTTGAACAACCCAAATGGCACTTGTAGCATTGTATTTTATAAAATAAATTAGTGCACAAATATGTGCAATTCGTTATGGACGTAGAATTGTAGTCTAAATATAAAACAATTTTAAAATTAGCGACTATTCACATATTCATGCTTAACAATGCAATTAGTATATGCACTCGGCCCATTTAGCATATCCAGAATAACTAGTTGAGATAGAAGAGAAATGATGCCAGAAAAAAGTGTTTGACAACACTGGTGCTGCCAATGCAGAAACGCAAAAAATCATGTCAAACGCCTTTTATTTTGCAGGCTCAACTAAGTCTGCTTAAATTTATATATATTAGCACATATTTTTGTAATATCCTGATTTGATATAAATTATCCTTGTTCATATAAAATTATATAATTTTTGGTTGAATACTATGTGCATCAGCCACCACTAAATCAACCAATTAATAATTCTATTGTTATTAACATCTAGTCAAATCAGCTAATAAAACACGTAACACGACGCCTGAGTCAAACTTTTTGGATTAATTGTACTTTTGGATAATATTGTGCCATTCTAATTTGCTTGTCTACAAAATCTCGATAGAAAATGTTTTAAAGTATCCTCATCCTCCCCTTTAGTTTTTCCTAAACACGTACCATTGTTTTGTTTTGTTTTGTTTAATTAACCAACAATATTGCACATGTTCGCAGTCCAGTGTGCTGATGGTGTATTTGTTGATATTTTAGTATTCTCAAGAACAATGTTTTTTAATAAATTAATAAAGCCAGTATTTTTTATTTGCGCGCTCTTTTTTTTGGGCCAGCACACTGTTTGCCAAGTGGTTTATGTTTAGAAGCAAGAAATGCAAGTGTTAATTGACAAACATAAAAAAGCAAGGTATATAAGAAACACACGTTTTGCCAAGAAAAACATGTATTCTAACCATCCACCATACTCAATTCTTGTTATTTTAAAACAATTTATTCTTGCTCTTATCCACCGCCATAGAGGTTTTTTCTTCCCATTATTGATTTTGCTGCTGTCGCCGTCTCCTCTGTTGTAGCTCTGACTAAAGACTAAAAAAAGGCGCTTACCTTTATGCATTCTCATGATATTGATAGGGCAATTGCATTGAATTGTTCTATTATTATCGACTGCGCATATAAAGCTAAACTAGCTTGTATTAGTCAACTAATTGAGGGGTGATAATTACGAGGAGGGTATTCAAAAGCTACATGAGAATATTGACCATCTAAAGACCGACAAAGACGTAGACGCCAACAAGGATTGCGAAGATGGACTGGCCAAACTGATTTTGCTTGTTGATGAATTTGACATAGAGCATTTGTCACAGTTTAGGCACACGGTTATGCATGTTGCCTTACTGAGATTGCTTGGTTACGCGCGTGACAATTAATAAATGATAATAGGTTTTATTATAGTTTATTTATGTGCCAGGGAGAGCATATAAGGAACGACTGTCGGGCAGCCAGGAATTGTTCTCCTTGGAAAAAATAAGTATACTTTTTTGATTTATACCTTTTGTAACACATTGGATCAAGCAAAAATGGTCAACATGATTTTCCTTAGCAGCTATCATAGTTCCAGCGCATACGCTAGACAACTTTTTAATAGCTGGTTGCAATGCCAATTTTTTTAAAATAAATATATACTTTCTTACTTGCTGTAAATGAGCTAAAAAACAAGATGAAAACAATTGGATACAAAAGTTATACAGCTTCATTATGGCATGAGATAAATACAAAAATTTATACTTTACCAAATAAAATAATAAATTTATTAAGAGGCTGTCAATAAAATTAGAAAGTTGTAATTTTAACACAAAACAATTCAAATGAAAACAAAAATGAGAAAACAATTTTTATAATTGTTCTTTTCAAATAAGAAATCAACGCACATACACATACATTTCATTATACATCTAATACTAGTATTATTAATAGCAGTTAAATCTAATCCGCTTTAACTACACATCTATTTCTTGGTAATTACATGTATTGTAATATCATGCATATGTCACGCCTACTCTTTATTTTTAGCTATTGCTTTTAATAAATTTTGGCAATCTGCATAGCAGTTTTGAATACATGATCCTTGAAAAAAAACTTTACAAGTGTATGCTACCATGAGCAATTGTTTGTTTTTGAAATACGTCAGTGGCGACGCCTTAATTAGAAATTACAATTTGAAATTTTCTGTCAAAAATTATTCACAGACAAAAATATTGGTAGAATTGCAACTATGGCGATACAAGTCAATACTGGCCAAAGTGGCTTGTAAGTGGCCAGTGGGTGGCACAGCCACGTCAATTTAAAGCCATAAAATTATACTAGCTATAAAAACAACCAGAGTATTTCAACTAGCTGACACGGAGATTATTTATTTAGCTTACTCAAAGAAGTGTACTAAAACTAAGAATACGCTACCTTCCACTCCCCAATTAGTATATATATTTGGCATGTCTTTCATTCAATGAAGCAATTATGTTCAATATTTGTAAATTTTCTTCTGGTGAGAAAAAACAAGTCCCTTGTTAATCGATAATTCCACTTTACTGCTTTCACAATGTTTGTCAGTATATCTATTTATAAACCGTAATTATTTAAAAGTATAATTGTTGAAAATTAAAATTAAAATATACGCATTGCCCAAGTCATCATCTTTCAAGTTATCCGCCATATTAAATTCTATCATTTTAATACACTTCAATTCGGTTTATTTTATCCACCGCCATGAAGTTATTTTCCATAGTCGGTTTTGTCGTCTTTTTGCCTTCACCATTCTAGCTTAGGGTCAAATAATGCAAAAAAATAGCCCCTTCTTTTCATTATTAGTCAAAGTGTTTTAGATACTCATCTTTTTATTATTATTTCATTTTACGCAAAAAAACGTCGGGATAACAAGTGTTTCTGTTTCACTTGAAACAGGTGATTTAATCAATGCTAGTAAAGTGCTACACAAGCGCCTTGATAAATAAGCTTAGTGGCAACGAAAATGTAACTGCTAACAATGATTACTTGGATGGACTGGCTAAACTGACTTTACTTATTGATACAGTTGACCATTCAATTTTAGATCCGACAACTAATTAATATATGACATCTAATTTGTGTACTTGCATCTACACATGCTCATCAAGTTTTATATTCTAGCTTTCTTTCACTTGTATTTCATTATTATATCCTTGCTCAAATATTTACCAATAACTCAAACGACATAATAAATAAATAAGCTTAAAATACTGATTTCAAAAATATACACCATCAGCATCTAATCAAAACATTTACTCTAAATTCTCGAAATCCGACGACTCGACATCATCAAACACAGCGCCATAGTTCTGCGTACTGCTACTATCATCCAAGAACCCACTACTCAAAGCGTCACCACCGCGCATCCGATTACCCACCAAAGGAGAGGAACGAGGTTGAGATGGTGTATCATTAACCCACCGTCTCTGCTTCTCCCGCTCCGCCAATCTCTGCATAATGACTGAAACCGGAGTTTCAGGGGCCAAAGCCAACGACTGGCGGTAAATATCACCGATACGCCTAGGTGTCACCGCCGTATCCTCAGTGTCTTGTAATTGCCCATCCACATACACGGTATTGCTTCCTCCAGGCGTATCGTACTCGATTTCCTCATCATCAACTATAAAGCTCGAAAGGTTGCGGTCCAAATGGTCGCCGTCGCTTTCGTCGTCGCTTATCCCAGGATTGCCACGCTTCTTCACCCGCGAACCATCGTTGTCGCTATCGCTATCACCATCACCAATTTCCGCCTCGGCGTCGATGAAAGGATTAAAGGCACGTTTTTTGGGTAAACAAGGCGAAGGCGCAAGAAATTTACGACTATTCTTCTTCCGTTTCTCAAGCTTATTCTTGGCCATCCGCGCAGGTTCTAGTGGTGAGTCGGGGGTATCCACCACTGGCAGCGGCGGCACAACTGTAGCTGAACTCGGACCTTGTCTTCCGCGCTTCAACCGGCCATTGGGTTTGCGCACGGGAGAAGATGTGTCGCCTGCTGTCTTGTCCAGAGGAGAAACCCCGGTAGGCGTGGGTTTTGGGACAAACTTAAAGCGCGGCTTCAAGGGAGAAGACGACATGAGATAGTCTGGCAGAGAAGGACGCGTCCCGCTTTCCTCAGCGACATGTGAAACTGACCTGAAGGGCGTAGAATCTCTTGGCAGTATCGCTGGCGTAGAAGCAGCTCCAATTACAGGGGGCTCTTTGTCATCGTCGTCCGACAGAATGAAAATGTCGCTGTTCATATCAAAATTAAGCAATGCCTCGTCCGCGCTGTCCTCTTCAATGACATGTGCAGACTGCTGCTTGGACATCAATTCATCGGGTGCCAGCAGCATCTCATGGACCGGCGGAGAACTCTCTGGGATGGCCAGTGTAAGCTGCAATGGTAGCGGTGGCGAGCTCTCAGGAATAGGCTGCGTGAGCTGCGACGGCGGCGACAACAGTAGTGATGGCGGGGGGAGGCTGGACTGCAGATCATCCAGGCCCGAAAATACCCAGTTGTCTGCCTCTGCCAACAAATCATCTGGCAATTCGTCCTCCGAATCTGTCTCAATGCAAAGCTGTCGAGGTACTGAATTAGGAATTTTGTCGTCATACAGCTTGTCGAATGTCCCGGGGCGACCAATATCGCCAAACTCTGGAACAGGCACAGTCATCCCTGCTGTTGTTGCTGCAGACTCAATTGGTTCTCCAAACACCGACTGCAACTCGAGGTCAATTCCTCGATCCTCAGCTTCCTTCAGCATATCCGAATCTAGTACATCCACCGACCAATCAAACACACGCTTGGCCTTGCCACTGCGCACCAAGTTCTCAATAGCTTCAAAGATATTACTTTGACTTGATGGCTTGCGCACATGCACATAGGCAGATGCGCCACGTTCCTTGGCGCCACTGTTATTTAGCGGCGGCGGCGTCCTGGGAGCAAACAGAAAGCTGTCATCCAGCGGTGATGACGACTCAACAGAAATAGCCCTGCGCTTGCACTGGCGGTCCAACACAACGTCGATATCCTCCAGCTTGTTGCTGCCATTGCTAATCTCCCTTAAAATGGATCTAGCAGCCCTAACAACACCAGTGGTGGCAGTGGTGGTGGAGGCGGTAGTCGCAGCAGTGTTTATTCTACGATTGAGTGGCGGCTTAGTAAAAGTGGGCATTGAGACATTGAGTGCAGCAATATCGGGCCGCGGCATACCTTGCATTTGAAAAAGGCTCTTTCCGGGGTCCACTTGCCCACCAGAAGCAAGATCAAGGCTGAAGCGCGCTTGCTCCAGTCCATACATTATGCGATGGTACGTGGTTGATCTGTGGTTGTGCTCTACAGAACAGTGCGGGGACTCCACAGACTGCCACGCCATGCCGCGACCAAGCAACCGCAAGATAGGCGATGCCCCATGGCTACCAGAACCAGCCGTGCGATCATCCGCCATGGTGTATTTCAAAGAGAGTCTCCGAAACTCCCCCAGGTCGTGCGCATCTACACCCACACCCGTGCCGCCCAGCAACCTCTTTCCGCGCGCAGCACCAGCACCACCCCTCCCAGCAACTACGCCCAACCCGACCCCATCAGCCTTAATATCCTGCTTAGACAAATGCACCTCCACCCTGGCAGGCTGGCCGGGCGGCAACGAAGGGGGCAGCATGGGCGGGCTCAAATCCGTTCTCAAGGCCAAACCCTTCCCGGAGGCAATCTTGGCCTGTACGCTCTTATACTCCTTCTGTGCTTTCTTGTATGAGTTCTCCTCGCGCGTCCCTTTCGCTAAAAACACAAAAACTTTGCCGCGGCGTGCGCGACCCGTTCGCCCGATGCGCTGCAATAGGCGGATGGGAGACCCGGGCGCATCGTAGTTGATGATCAGGTCGACTTCGCCAATGTCCAACCCTTCCTCGCCAACGCAGGTGGCCACGATAACGTTGGTCTGGCCCTGTCGGAAGCGAGTGAGTACCGCCAGCTGCTCCTTTTGGGTCTGCCCGCGAGCTGCAATGTCGCTGTCATTTACAGGAAGCTCGTCGTCCAGCCCTGGCTCAGCGTCGCAGCCATCGCCATCGTCATCATTACCGCCACGACTAAACCCACCACCAAACCCACCGCGACTACCATGGAATCCGCCACGGAATCCACCGCCACGAAATCCACCACGGAACCCACCGCCGCGGCCTGAGGATGTAGATGATGTTGGCGCGTTCTTTTTGTTGGGTGGCCCCCCGCCAGCCTTACTTTGACCAATAAACGGCTCACATTTAACCAAGGGAAGCGACCGACCGAGCACACTGACAATCTCACTGACTGACCCGCGATACTGCGAAAATACAATGATGCGCGTGGAAGCAACCTCAGCCGCCGCTGTCGCACCATTTTCACCGTGGATATGCTCAAAGTGCTCCCTTACTATTTCCACAAGCCTATTCAGCTTCGGATGACCGAGAAATCCGGCAGGCGCAAGAGATAAGGGGCTCTGCGCCTGCGCCTGAGCCTGCTGTCCTGCAGAGGACTTCGGCGGGTACTTGCTGGACACGTTGAAAAAACTGGACGCCACGTCAGTGCGCACATGACCAAGCCGCACACCCGAAGCACCCGGAGCACCCAAAGCAAGTCTGCTCGCAGAAGCAGGGTGATCCGCAGTCTTGCCGTCCAAAGCATCAACCAACGGCACAATATCGCGCATCATATTCTCCCACTCCCTGCTCTCAACGCAATCAACCCTAGCACGCGACGATGTTCCCTGCTTAGCCTTGGCGCGCTTAACCTCCTGATCCCACGCGCGAATGGCACCCCACGCCGGGCGCAGTCCGTGCTCGGATAATAACTGTATTATATGCGCCAAGGATACAACCACGTTGAATTCACCCACAATCCTCACCATATCCATACCCGCAGCACCGCCGCGAAAGGGCGCGCGCTGGAAGCGGTCGCACTCCATGCGTACACTGTACCCTGAGACACGCGTGAGATCGGCGGGGTTGGACATGACCTTGCAGATGTTGCACAGTATATTGGTGCTGCGCCGCATGACGCTCACCAGAACTTCTCGCGCAGCCACCAGCCACGGTGGCATCTCAATGACCTCCTCCTCGATACACCGCCCATGAATATAAGGCACAACATCTATCGACTCCTCTGTGCGAATAAACACATGAGCAACGTGCAACTGCCTCATGATCTCGTTAACTGCGTCCATATTCGACCCGGGCGTGGCCGTCAGACACATGGTGCGGAAGGGCGCCGGTCGCGCCGGTTCGAACGAATTGCGCGTCGGTACATCCACGCCGTGGTGGATCCTGTACAAGTGGCCGATCGATGCGCCGTATGCATATTTGCCCGTTGCGCGGTGCGCTTCATCGATGACCAGCAATACAATGCGCTGGGCGTTCTCCACGCTCAGCGTGCCCGACTTGAGGTCGTTCTGTAGGATCTGTGGTGTCGAGAACACGCACCTAGCGTTGGTCCACAGTTTCTCACGCGATTTCGGCGGCGTCGTGCCGTTCATCTCGACAACCCAGTCGGAGCCCAAGGGAGCATTGTCCGGGGAGTGGCTGAGGATGGCGTGGATCATGCCCCGACATGCCTGCATCTGCTGTGCAACCAGGGGCTTTGTGGGTGCGAGAAAAATGGCGAGGGAGTTGGGAAACCACCGCGTGTAGTTGGCCATGACCACCACAGCAATTAAGGTTTTTCCCATGCCCGTGGGCAGAGCCACGAGTGTGTTTTGGAACAGGCACCGCTGGACTGCGCCCTGCTGGTAGGCGCGTGCCGGTTGGTTGCCCAGCAAGGGGTAGACGTATGTGCTCATGGCGCCTTTGTTCATTGCGTGCAGTTGTTCGACCAGCTGGTTGTCGCCGCAAATCTTGATGACCAACTCCCTTGCCTGGAACTGTTGCTGCTGCTGCTGCTGCGGAAAATGTGATCGTGCGGGCGGTGGTAACGGTAACGGTAGCGGCGGCTTTGTGTTTGCGTTAACGCACTCGGAAATTAGCTCCTCGCAGTCGCTATCAATTTCGATCAACTCCAATTCATTATCCACTTTGTCTACGCGTGGTGCTTTGGCTGGACGCTGCTGCCTAAAATATCCACTGGAATCGGGGGTACCTGGCCGTTTTGCAGATGAAAAAGTCTGCGGGTCCCGCTTGTTGCCGAATAGTGCGTCAAGCGTTAGCTGACCTGTCTTGCCACTCGGCTTTTGCTGTTTTGATGCGTGCTGCTGCTGTTTTGACGTGTGCTGGTGCTGGGGCTGGTATTGCTGAACGTGTGGTTGGGCATATGGTTGGGCGTGCGTCCATCCAGAGCTGATGGGCGCTGTGTGGTGGTGTGGCTGGTTAGTCGGAGCTGAATCAAGCATTTCAAGCTCTTCCTTGAGCAGGTCCTCCAGCATGCCATCGTCGATGTTGTCTAGATCAAAGTCGTCAAAGTCGTCTGCATTGGTACTAGCGTGTAGGTTCATTTTGGACCAATGCAAGGGTGCATAATTCAGGAATAGAAAAATAATAAGGAAAAATAATAAGAAAAAGAGTCAATCAACGACCGAAATGCAGTTTTTGTGTATAGGATAATAAAGTTACAAATTGAGAGAAGAAAAATAATAAGCAAAGCAGAGAAGGGATTTGAATTTGAAGATTTTTTTTACTTTTTCTACTTACAAACAGGTTAAATATTTTTTTGGGTGTCGATTGTATGGCTGCGCATTTGGCCAACAAAAAAGATTGGGCTGGCAAAAATGAGGGACTACAAAAAAATTAGCGCTCAGGCGCTGAAAACAACAGAATCATAGATCGGTGAAGAGTTGGCTCCATCCACCGAAACCAAGGCCATCAGCGTCTTCCCATCTACCTTGTTCTCTTTCACCTCGGCCTTCTCCTTCTCTTCGGCTTTTCCAACCATCTTCTTGAAATCTTCATTCCCAGACTTGCACATCATCTTGGTGCACGCAACAGCACCAGCCGCCGTGCACCTACACGTATTGCACGATTCCACCGGATGCGCCCACATCTCCTTCCCGCCATGGCTCTGCACACAAGCAAAGAAGCCCTCGGTCAACTTGCCCACCGCCAGTTTCATTACATCTGCCACTGCCGCCTCATCGCCACCCTCCGCTGGCATTATCGGCAAAATCGAATACACTCCGCCCTCCTCCTCCTTCTCCCTCTCCTTGGCCACACCGCTCGCCGGCATGCACTCGTAGATACCGGGGCAAGGCTGCACAAAGCATGCAATGTTGTTTTCTGCCTGCATACACTGCATCCCCTCGGCGCATCCCTTGACCCGGCAGTCCTGGATTTGATTATGTGCGAGTGGTTCCAGATTATCTCGGGCGACCCCGTTGTTGTCAGAATCCTGGTTCATGGTGCAGTGGTAGAGCGTTACGAGGAGCATGAGGCTGAGGAGTGCGACCATGAACTTTGCGTATTTGACGAGCACGCTGATGACAAGCTGGTGCCACTGCTTTACTGCATAGTTTGCGGTCGGGCTGTTCGTGGGCTCGGCCTCATTGATGGTCAAAATGAGCTTTTCGCTGCTTTCGTTTGCTACTGAATTGTCGTTCATTTCTGTTAAAATAAAAATAAATGTATATAGTTGATAAAAAAACCAATAAAGAGAAAGTCTCACATGTTATGCTTTGCGGAAAAACAAAAAATTAAAGAGAATACAATGCGGCTTTGTGAGCTCCACACTCACTCATACCCCCCACCGAGACTTTTTTCCGAGGCTGGACCCCTTTTTTGTGCTTATAAAAAGAATACAAACATCAATGCGTGGTGATATCATCGTCATCACTTGTAAATTGAAATTGTGTCACACCTATAAATTCATTACTAGGAATTAGGTGGGATCATGTTCTACTCAACGTTTCTCTTTTGTTAGAATGTATTTCTCACCATGGATGTGATGAGAAATACATATTGTTTTGTTGGACCTTAATTTATTTGTTGTACTTTTTTTAACTCAAAATTGGGTAGCCCATGTCCATATTGTGAGCAGTACTTTCATTGGATCTGCGAGCTTGCGAAGGTCTTCAAGCTTGATCCCGCAAAGCTCGCCAAGACTAGGAAAAAGATATTGCACACGTCTGTTGAGGAGGTTGAGTGCGCGCTCGGTCTTCTCAGCAGATGTATGCCGTCGGTTTCTCTCGGTCTTGGCGAGCTTCGCAAGGGAAAGTTTATACTAAGCAGACATTACCACAACATGCCGACACTTGGCAAGAGTCGCGGCTACAAAGGCAGCAGGTCAACTGACCCCCTGCACTGCAAGTTCCACTATCGTTCCTTGGTCAACAGAAAGCGCGCTGACGTCGACCTCGCAAAATTTAAGCCGGATCCTGTCCTTATCCTTGGTAATTGGACACCAGGCATGGCCTGTCACCATGAGCCAATTTGCAGAAAGAGACTGGGAGATGCTTAGTGGGCCAGAGATTCAATATTTACTTGATCGATGCGTATTGCACCTCGACGTTTCGCCCAGCGTGCAAGAGCAGGATGGGGGAAGTTTCACAAAGTTAATGATCCTCGTCTAAAGAAGCCCAAGCACAGGTACCACGTTGAAATAGCAGCAGCAGAATGGCCAGCAACAACAACAGGAGCAACATGAGCAGGTAGCCGCAACAGGCATAAATACAATTCCAGCAGTAGAAAAACCTCGCCAAATTTTATGTCACGGCTTGCTCCAGTGCACAATGGAAGATTGCCTGCAAACCTTCAGGGCCGATGGAACCAAGGCCAAAGATGGCAAAAAAAGTGCCACTAGGGAGACGGAAGTGGAATTGTGACACGGCTGCAGTGCTGAACTTTCGCATTATCCTCAATGCCCTGCTTACAGGCGAGCGACCTCCCCGTTTTTTGCACAAAAAGCCACCGTTCGAGTCGGCTGAACTCGAGTCTACAGTGACGCCCGAGATTTTGCCCGAGACTTTGCCCAAGCCAAAGTTTAAGCCCAATTTTTTTCTCAAGATGCAGCGCAATAATTAATATATTTAACTATATTGGGCTATTGTAACTAGTTTCTAAGCACATGCCAGGTTAGGTTGCCATGCAATCAGAATAGAAAAATGTCGATTTGCAGGATATTTGAATTTTTTTATATTTGTAGTCACATTTTTTCTTCAGTGTATCTATCAACTTGGCCCCTTTCCCACGCTCTTCAAACAAACAAACCAAATAAGATGACATTTTGAATTCTTGACATATAAAAGCAGAAGTAGCGCAGGGGACCCTTCTCTTTTTTCCAGCACTTCAGCTTTATATTTTTTTTAAATCATGCCGACATTTTCAACCCAACGCATCGCCAGCTCACTCAGAGCGTTCCCAAGCATACCCCACCAGCACCAATACCAGCACAGTCATCTTCGGCGCGCCTTCACCACCACTCGTCCATCGTTTAAAAGCACCAAACCATTCGTGAAGATAGTCGAAGTTGGTCCACGGGACGGCCTACAGAACGAAAAGCAACTGATCCCGACAGAAACTAAAGTGGCCTTAATCGACAAACTAACCGGCACCGGTCTTTCTGTCATCGAAGCCACCTCCTTTGTATCCCCCAAATGGGTACCGCAGATGGGGGACGCGCAGAAAGTAATGTCCGCCATACACCGCAAACCAGGGACCACCTACCCGGTGCTCACGCCCAACATCAAGGGTCTCGAAGCTGCCATCAAGTCAGGTGCCGAGGAAGTGGCTATTTTTGGCGCTGCCTCAGAATCTTTCAGCCAGCGGAACATCAACTGCTCAGTTGATGAGAGCATTGAGAGGTTTGGCGTTGTGGCAGAGAGGGCGAGAGAGGCCGGGCTGAGAATCAGGGGCTACGTGTCGTGCGTCGTCGGTTGCCCCTACGAAGGCCATGTGGATCCCGAGGTTGTCGCCCGCGTCTCCCACGCGATGTTATCCTTGGGCTGCTATGAGATCTCCCTAGGCGACACCATTGGGGTGGGTCGACCGAAGGAGATTCAAGCCATGCTCAATGCAGTGACTAAGCGCGTGCCCACCAGCCAGCTGGCCATTCATTGCCATGATACCTATGGCCAGGCGTTGGCAAACATATATGCGGCTGTGGAAGCTGGTGTGCGCACTGTGGACTCGTCGGTGGCAGGGCTGGGCGGCTGCCCCTATGCGAAGGGCGCTACTGGGAATGTAGCCACTGAGGACGTTGTTTATATGCTTGAGGGCAATGGCTTTAGCACTGGCGTTGACTTGTTCAAGCTTGCGGCTGTGGGTCAGTGGATTTCGGAGGAGCTTGGCCGGCCCACAGGCTCGCGCGTCGCTCGTGCTTTGTTGGCCAAAAACAAATAAATTACACGCGATTTAACTGATTTCAATTTTTTGTACTTTTTTTGCAGCGGTTCACGTGGTCCCGAATAAATTAAAATAGCATTATTCCTCATGCCGACTGTCCATTTTGTTTCTCTCTTTTGTTACTTGAAGCTTTATTTTATTTTTCTATACTTTGTTCTTTTTTCTTGTGCATTTCACTTCAATTTCGCTCGCAAACGTTTATCTACGCATTCACCACATTCCATATACGCTTTTGACACAAACATGGGCACTGGACAGAGCCGCAGCAGGATCACGGAGCAAGACAAGGCTATCCTTGATATGAAAGTCCAACGGGACAAGTTAAAGCAGTACCAGAAGAGAGTGCGTACCAAAAGGAAGTCCTCTTTGGGAAAATTATTCTTCAAATTATGACATTTACCATTAGAAACGGCAGAAAGAACACACAATTAACCACCGGATGTTATACTTGTAGGTCCAGGTCGTGCTCGACCGTGAAGACGCGTTGGCCCGAGGACTGCTCCTAAAAGGCGACAAAAAGCGAGCACTCCTCGCCCTGCGGCGGCGTAAATACCAGGAGCAAATGATTCAAAAGACCGACTCGCAGCTCTTTACGCTCCAGCAATTGATGGAGACCATCGAGTTTTCGCTTGTGCAAAAGGACGTGATGTTTGGATTGGAGCAAGGAAGCAAGGTGTTGACGCAGCTCAATAAGGAGATGCGCATGGAGGATGTCGAGAGATTGGCTGAGGATACCGCTGAGGCTATTGCTTATCAGAATGAGGTTGAGGAAGCCTTGAAGGGCAGTATGACAGTGGAAGATGAGGAGGACGTTTTGAGGGAGCTGGAGGAGCTGGAAAGGCAGGAGGAAGATAGATTGAGGTTGGAGATGCCGCGTGTGCCTGTGGGTAAACTGCCCGAGCAGGTTTCAGTGCCGCAAGCAGAAGAAGAGGAGGAGGAGGAGGAAGAAGCAGAGGAGGAAGAGGAAACCCCCGTGCGCTCTCGCAATGAGCCCATGGTCGCATAATTCCATACACCATTTTATATATCATTTAGAGCGTTTTGTGTACAATAATAATTACAATATTTTCATTAACAAAACTTGAATAAAAAGCATAAATATTCTGTCTAAATGTAGGAATTGGCCTCGGAGATAGGCGTTATCCATCAGAGATGCAACGGCTGCTTCTCAAGCACAACCTCGCTGTAACAGGGCGGCGATGGAGAGTGGTGTTTAGTAATAGCCGCTTTGGCGCGAGCAAGAGACTTGATAAGAAGAGAGCCAAAATCAAACGTATGGTGATGGTAGTTATCGCTGCCATTTGTGTGAGGCGAGTGTGATGCGCGCTCCTGGCGGCTGCCCATCGGGGCCGTGCCATGGCTAGGTATCCGGCTTAACTGGTGGCATTTCTCCTGGCGGCTGCCCATAGGAAGTGTGCCATGATCAGGTACCAGCGCCAACTCATGGCGGCTGCCCAACGCAGGCGTACCGTGGCTAAGAACCCTGGTCAATTCATTGAAGTGCTCCTGGCGGCTGCCCGGCGGAGGCATGTCATGTTCATGCTCCTCAGTGAACTCATGAGGATGCTCCTGGCGGCTACCCAGCGGAGGCGTACCGTGGCTGAGTACCCTGGTCAATTCATTGAAGTGCTCCTGGCGGCTGCCCACTGGGGGCGTACCATGGCTGGGTACCCGACTCAACTGGTGGCAGTGTTCTTGACGACTGCCCATGGGAGGTGTGCTTTTGGTTGATGCAGGCATGGTTTAGAATTTACAGTGGTGGTTGAAATATGGTGGAGAGAAATATTATGTGACAGGAATAAGGTGGAAAATGAATATGTGAAAGCAAAATATTGCAACTATAAGTATGTTTTGTGCATAAAATAAAATAAAAAAGTAACCCGAGAAGCACGCTTCTACTTTAAAGGTATAGAGGTAAAAAAAAAGTGTAGGAAAAAAGTATTGCTGTTGTAGTTGACTAGAAATAATATATCACCGGGCACCTCCCGACTATTTATATGAAATTTTAAAAATAATCATCCCGAACACCCTTGTTAACCCCATCCTGGTATTTTTTCGTGTATTCCGATTTGGGGCGAAGGAGAAAAAAAGGAAGAGGCAGAATTGCGGTAGTTTCATATTGTTTTCAGATTTGTGTGACTGATCTTTTTTATTTTTACACTTGCGGAAATGCGCAGCGAGCACACCTGTTTGTTGCTAATCTCCCCCCTCATCGATAAAAATATAAATAAAATCCCAACCCGATTATTGCGGAGTGAGCGCCGTTTTCCCTTCCGCAATCTCGGAAGGCACAGTCGCAATTTTTTTTTTTGGAAAACATTTGTATGCTTGGAACAAAAGTGTCATATACATAAGAAATCACGCTATGCGGCAAAAGACTTGCGGAATTCCTTAAATGCTTTTCGGATATTATCGATCGAATCGTCAACAAAAATAATATTGTTTAAAAATATGTTTTTTTATTTTACCCGGTACAAGACTATAAAAATGAAAAGTGTTAAAATAGTCTAGGGCATCAATATTTTGAAGGCAAAATGTAAAATGAATTATGAGTACTTGGCATTTAAATTAGAGCATGGCTGTAAAAGTACGAAATGTATAAATTTATTTTTAAAAAAATTGGCATTGCAACCAGCTATTAAAAAGTTGTCTAGCGTATGCGCTGGAACTATGATAGCTGCTAAGGAAAATCATGTTGACTATTTTTGCTTGATCCAATGTGTTACAAAAGGTATAAATCAAAAAAGTATACTTATTTTTTCCAAGAACAATTCCTGGCTGCCCGACAGTCGTTCCTTATATGCTCTCCCTGGCACATAAATAAACTATAATAAAACCTATTATCATTTATTAATTGCCACGCGCGTAACCAAGCAATCTCAGTAAGGCAACATGCATAACCATGTGCCTAAACTGTGACAAATGCTCTATGCCAAATTCATCAACAAGCAAAATCAGTTTAGCCAGTCCATCCTCGCAATCCTTGTTTGCGTCTACGTCTTTGTCAGTCTTTAGATGGTCAATATTCTCATGTAGCTTTTGAATACCCTCCTCGTAATTATCACCCCCTCAATTAGTTGACTAATACAAGCTAGTTTAGCTTTATATGCGCAGTCGATAATAATAGAACAATTTGATGCAATTGCCCTATCAATATCATGAGAATGCATAAAGGTAAGCGCCTTTTTTTAGTCTTTAGTCAGAGCTAAAACAGAGGAAACGGCGACAGCAGCAAAATCAATAATGGGAAGAAAAAACCTCTATGGCTGTGGATAAGAACAAGAATAAATTGTTTTAAAATAACAAGAATTGAGTATGGTGGATGGTTAGAATACATGTTTTTCTTGGCAAAACGTGTGTTTCTTATATACCTTGCTTTTTTATTTTTGTCAATTAACACTTGCATTTCTTGCTTCTAAACATAAACCACTCGGCAAACAGTGTGTTGGCTCAAAAAAAAGAGCGCGCAAATAAAAAATACCGGCTTTATTAATTTATTAAAAAACATTGTTGTTGAGAATACTAAAACATCAACAAATACACCATCAGCACACTGGACTGCGAACATGTGCAATATTGTTGGTTAATTAAACAAAACAAAACAAAACAATGGTACGTGTTTAGGAAAAACTAAAGGGCAGGATGAGGATACTTTAAAACATTTTCTATCGAGATTTTGTAGACAAGCAAATTAGAATGGCACAATATTGTCCAAAAGTACAATTAATTCAAAAAGTTTAACTCAGGCGTCGTGTTACGTGTTTTATTAGCTGATTTGACTAGATGTTAATAACAATAGACTTATTAATTGGTTGATTTGGTGGTGGCTGATGCACATAAAAATGTTTATAAAATTTGATTCTGCAAATAAGAAAAAAATGTTTGCTTTCAATCAAATCAAATTAGCATATTGAAACATTGTATGCAATATACATGTAAATGCAGGGCCAATATTCAAAATAAGATTGCAAAATAAAATTAACTAGATAAATAAATATTAAAATAAGAGATGAATGAAAAAGGAAAAATCAAAAAAAACCTTGCAAAAAAAAAACCTCGCAAAAAAAAACAAAGAAAAAAATTCAAGATTCAAGATTCAACATCCATATTATTCTGCTGCTTATTCCGAGCCCATTTCAAATACGCCTCTGAATGGCACACGGTTCCGACAGTTTTCTGACAAACCGGCGCAGTAGCAAACCATTTAATTTTGCCATTAACAGTGGGGAATAAATTGACAATTTCCTTGGAAAGCTGAGGCACCGAAGTAGGGTCAATATACGGCAACGGTGCAATCTTTTTAACCTGCTGCTGCTGCTGCTGCTGTTGTTGCTGCTGCTGTCTCAATTGTTGCTGTTGGTGCTGCTGCAGAGGGGTCTGTCCTGTATTATTACCATTCGGATTACGTATCGCATAGGCTTGTGTCTGATTCATATTACCCTGCATCATCGGCATTGCGCGCTGACCACCATTCACAGAATTACCAACACCAACAAACCCATTCAATCTCTGCTGCTGCTGTTGCTGAAACTGCTGCTGTTGCTGTATCTGAGAAAGTGGTGGACGGCCATTATTTTGGTATGGAGCCACCATAGAAGCCTGCCGACGTGTGGAAACCGTCGGTGGTTTTGGGGGCGTCCGGCCCAATCCAGCGGCAGCCGCCGCGGCATCCTCCATAGCACGCTTTTCAATTAGCTGCTTGTTCTTCGGTGGCCTTCCACGTCTCCTCGGCAACGGCGTCACAGGCACCGAGGGAGTGGCGGCGGAAGAAGTTACGGGAGCATTGGTGTTAGTGTTGGGGGGCATTGGTGTCTGCATGTACGGCGGGTTAGCAGTCATTTGTCTTTGCATTTGAATCTGCATTTGTAATTGGTGCTGTTGCTGCTGGAACTGGTTAAGTACGTATTGTGGCGGTGGCGGCTGGGGCTGGCCATTGGTAATGCCCATGGGCATGCGACCCTGGGGCATCATAGGTGGGAACCCGGGGATCTGCGCCTGGCGAGGAACCGACGTAGGTGTCTGCATGGTCATCTGCGACTGTGACTGTGACTGCTGAGGTGTCGCCGACATCCTTGTCACCCGCCTATTCTGCTGTGGTGTCCTCCCTGCGTCCTCTCCACTAGGCTCGTCAGGATTAGCGCCCAGAACGTTGTCCGAGGGAATCACAGCCCTCTCCAGCACTCGCGGACCCGCAGGCCAAGGAACCATAGTCATTAGCATGGCTTTTCTCTCCTCGCTCATTCCCTCGGGCCAAAACCCTTTGCCCCACTGCTTAACCTTTTGGATAAACTCCCCCTTATCGACATACCTGGACTCGCACACAAACAGCGCATCCCCCTCTCTCCACTCCCCCGGTCTCCCCACCATGAGGTCCGCCGGCGGCACAACAAAGCAGGCACTGCGGATCCGCTCCAACGGAACCACTGTCTGGCGGAACGTACGCAATACGGCCATACGGTAAAACTCCATCGTTGGTGGATGCGATGTGAACTGCGGATGTACGTACCAATTGACTGTAGCCAAAACAGCTCCGCTTGCCGGTTGCTGCTCAAGTTGGTGGATTTGTCCGACGGCTGCAAAGGGTGTGCCGTGTGTGCCTGTGGTGTTCTCGAAGTCATTAAAGATTGCGTGGTCGCCTGGGTGGTATATGCGATTATTATGCTGGGCAAATGGAAGGGCTGAGAGGGTGTCGCCGGTGGTGGGGGAGCCGTCGGGTTTGGTTCTTTTGGAGCGACGCGTCGGATCGTTGCTCTCCGTGTCGTAGTCGCGTTTGGAAGGTATCAGTGGGGTTTGGGGCGGCTGGTCGAGTGGGCTTAATGTGGTGATGGCCGCGGATTGGTCGTCACCCATTATGCTCGCTGGAGCAATTGGAGTGGAATTGCTGTTGGCTACAGACATTGTGCTTTATTTAATGTCCGACTAAGAAAAAAGGACGTGGGAAGAAGAGGTGGTCAGGCTGAGTTGAGTTGAGCCGATAATAATAATAATAATAATAATAATAATAAAAGATAATATGACAAAAAAAAAAAGAACAATATAACGGGAAAAAAAATATGAAAGGCGTATAAACCTTATGTATGATGCTTGCGCAAATAATAAGGAAAAATAAATAAATGAACAGATAGATAGATAACCGCAATGGTATTTTCTTGTTGAGCCACGGTATCAAGACGTGTTGTGGGGGGTTGTGTTTTGTTATTGTTTTTACAGCAGACACAAAAAAATGAAATACGTTAAAAAAAAAAAAGCGAGTGAAGCAAGGAGAAAAAGGGAGTAGACCAAGTTGTACTTCTTTTCAAGCACTTCTTTTCAGTGAGCCAAAAAAAGGAGAGGAAAGGAGAGAAAAGAAGAGGGAAAAAACAAGGCTGCAGCATTCTTTGAGAAAAATACACGTGGCAGTCAATTAATCAGCGAATCATCTGCTCTGAATCAGATTATTTTTCAACACTTTTGCCCTTACAAGGTATTCAAATTGACCATTTTCTTATTATTTTTTCTTTGCTTTTTCTTCATTGCTCTATTTGTTGATGGTGACGATACCTGGCAATGACAGCGATGACGACGGTTCTCATGCAGCAAAATAGCCAATTTTCTTATTATCTTTTTTCTTTCGGCTTCAAGCACAATAAATTATAAAAACTACAACTTTACACAGCTGAAAAATAAATAATAATCAAAAATAGAAGAAAAGAAAAAAGAAACGAAATAAATAAAGTAAAATGAAAATGAAAACAGCGTAAATACACTGGCTGCAGTTCCCAGCGAGAAAAAAAAGACAATGAATAAACTACTATATCGTGCTGCTCGATAAAGAAAAGCTCGAAGTGGCTGATTGTAAAGTATCACTACTACTCATCCAAAGATTTGGTTTTTTTTTCTCTCACATAATAATAAAGTTATGGACAACTTGGCGTAAACAAAAAAAGCAAGGCAAAAAAGGCCAGTGCTGCTTATTTCTGTCTCTGCGACACGACGACTGGGACTATATGGGCAGAGTAAAAAATGGTTTACAAAGATGTGGAATTAGTTGATTGTACGTTTTGTATGGTGTATCACGCAGTCATATGCAATCGACTCGAGCGCATCATGTGTCCTGCGCTCTCCGCAGATAAAAAATAAAAAAGGTGCGGGAGAGAAGAGAGAAGGGGAAAAGAGGGGGGAGAAATTTAATAAACCCCAGAGAGAATTTGTATGTTTTTTTATACTTACCGACTATAACGATAATGAGAATAACGAGCACGATGCCGATGATAATCTTAAGCTTCATATTACGCCATGCCATCTTCTTACGGGTCTGTGTTGCTCCCCGACGGAACAGGTCAGACTCTCCCTGAAGCCTCTGAGTCTTATCGTGTACGTTATCCAGGCGCTCCTCCCGCTCCATCACTTTATTGATGTTCTCCTGCATGATATTGACCACTTCGTCGACCTGCTGCTGCACGTTATTCAGCTTGCCGTCCTTTCGGGGTTCTCCCGAGGGATTGCCACCTTTGGGTGCGCTGTAAGGGTTGTTGCTGTAGTCGTCGCCGCCCTGGCCGAGGTTTTCAGTGCTGGGGAAGGCATTGCCAGAGAAGCTCGAGGCGTAATGTAAATGTGACCTACAGAGTGAAAAAAGGTGTTTGAGTTTGGGTTTGAGAGTGTGCGTATAAGAACACCAACATAGTGTAGTGTATTTTATTGTGGCAGACTTACATTTTATTGTTAAATTGAGCTGGAGTGATTCGTCAAGTGTTTAAATGTTTAAAAAAAAAAAAAAAAGAGAGAACCGATTTAAAATTGTTAAAAGAGAAGATAAAAAATTGGACAAAAAAAGCAAGGTCTTCTTTTTGGAGAGTGGAGAGCAAGTAAAAAAAAAGCTGGTATAGTGCAGGGAAAGAAAAAGGGGAAAAAAACACGAGTTTTTATGTATCAGAATTACTACTCTGCAGTTAATATAGACAAAAAAACAAGTAAATTGGGCTCCGACTGCTATTAATAAAATATATAAAAAACTTTATAAAAAGAAAAGCACGAGAAAAAAATTTTATAGAAAAAGAAAAGGAGGGGAAAAAAAAAGTTGCAACGCATGTCGTTATTTTGTCCAACATGGGCAGGCTTGATGCATCTGTTTTATTTATTGAAGAATCATTTATTTTTAGCCATTAAGAGGAGTAGGGCCCAGCCCACGCTTTCATCGAGTCTGTTCCACATTTTTTTAAAGAAAAATTAACCTATCGAATAGTCTGATTACATCACCATAAAGTCTATTTTTTCTTTTAAAAAAAAAAGCAAGGCAAAAAAGATGGATATTTTTCTTATGTGGTCTTCTTGCCGACATTGATGAAGCCCGAACCCAGACAGGTCATCAGCACAGTGTTGGACTCGGGGTCCGGCTTGATCTTAAAAACCGTATTGAAGAACTCGCGGATATCACGCAAGTACTGGATAGAAAACGGGGTCAACTTTCCAATCCTCGTCTTCGAAGCATGCTCTGGGCCAAGCACCATCAGCAGCAGTGCCATCCATTGATGAACAGAATCGAAACATCCACCGCGCGAAATCTCGTTCAACAGCATTTTCGCCGCATCCCTCCCTATATCCTCAGGTGCATCTCCAGGGTTGGCGCAGAGCTCAGCGGTCATCAGGGCGCCGGTAGTGGATTCGGCGACAAGCGAGAGGCCAAAGCCAGGGGATAGGCCAGAGTCCGCGCCCTTGTATACGTCAGTGTAAATGTAAATATCCGGGATAAACCGGTTGAGCTCGCCGCGCGCGGACTCAACCATGCGGTTGGCGGTTTGCGGGGACACCCTGGTGGCGTAGGAGATTCCGCGGATCCTGCGGATCCGACCCTGATCCACGAAATTCAGCGGCTTCACGGCGCGCACACACGGGCAAATAAACCGCACCTCGCCGCCGCCCCTCGGCGGCGCCCCCCTCCTGGTGATCTTCAGCTCGACGCCCTCGTCGATTCCGAAATTGCGGTAATTCACCAGCGTCGCCGTGCGCAAAGTATCTACGGACAAGTCCAAATTATTCATCGTTACTCCGCGCAGCACCGCGGTCAGCTGTTCTTTGCCAAAGGGCCCCAGGGCGACAAGCGCCTCGAGGTAGTAGCCGAGGCCGCGGCTCACTGGGCAGTCCATGTCGAGTTTTCCGCCGGTTATCATTCCTGGACGCAGGAGCACCGATGTACCGGTGTGCGAGATCACTATGTTGGTGCCGTTGGTGGCTTTTTCGAGCAGACGGAGGAGGGCGATTTCGTAGTCGCGGAGCCCTGGGTTTTCGTCTGTGGACCGGATCTTGTCGATGCGCACTGGCCGTTGGCTGAGGATCGACAGGACCAGACGCTGCTTGAGGAACTTGTGTCCTTCAAATTGGAGCACGTCTCGCTTTGACATTCTTATTTTTTTGTTGTAAAGGTGGGAATTGAAATGGAAATATAAAACAGAGGCGCGTTTAATGATAACAAGGAGAGAAAGTGGCCAAGAGAGTTGGCGCAATTCGTGCCGGTCTGCCAAAAAAAGAGAGAGAGAGGGAGAAAAAAAATAAAACCGAAAAAAGTTGTGGATTGTTGATTTTTTGATCGCTGATCGCTGGTCGCTAATCGCAGAGCGAAGCCTGATAAAAGCTATAAAGCCCCAGAGAGAGAGGGGGGGGAGGAAGGGGGAGCAATGCTGAAAGGATTTGAATTTTAGTTTCTTTTCTAGTTTTTTTTTTTGCAAAGCCAAATCACCTTCTCAATTCGAAAACTTATACGGCACAAATGACGGCAGTCAACATTCCGAAGCTGCGGGTGCGGGCCAAAAAGGTACAGAACCTGCCCCAATGCGCGATCGAAATGTCCTCGCTCGCGACCTGCTGGGCATCCATCTCAGTCGACGACAAGCGCTGCGCCGAAACAGCCAAGGCGCTGGCCTCCTGCATGCAAAAGGCCAAAGCACCAGGGGCAAAGCGGTCCAGCGTCAACTACCACCTGGCGCGGCTTGGCAAACAAGTGCTGGGCAAAAACTAAGCTTTTGATGATTTAAAATAAAAATGAAAACATAATCAACACCCTCGCAAATAACCCTGGCGATCGTTTACGAGGCAATGTCAAAGCCGTTGAGATGCAGGCACAGGTCCTTGCGGCACTGCTCCAGCTGCTCGGGGTCGCGGCCGACCGCCGAAATGACGACTGGCGGCAGTTGGCCGGGCGGGTCCTGGCCGGGCGGGTCCTGGCCGGGCGGTGCCCAGTTCGGGTACGACCCGAGCTTGAGCCCCTTTGGTGCATACACGCGCTGCAGCCGCGCCAGCGCCGGCGCCACGTCGGACTCGCGCATCCGCGTGCCTACAAGCACACGCACAAAGCCAGCGCCCACGCCCACGCCCACGCCCCCCGCCACCGTCGGCAAGTACGCAGCCAGCAGCTGGGCAAACAGCCGCGGGACACCCGGCAGCACATGCACATTGGCTACGCGCACCACCGGCACCCATAGTGCATCGCACGGGAACGCCACACAGCCATTGGCTGCGCTGCTGGGGAGCAGTGCCATGCGCGCACACGCCCGCTCGGCCTCCGAGCCCTGCGGATCCGGCCTCGTGCGCGCACCCCCCATCATCCGCCGCATTCTCGCGAGCGTCTCGGCGTGGTGCTTTAGCGGCGCATTGAAGGCCTTTGCCACGGCCGCGTACGTGATGTCGTCGTGCGTTGGCCCGATGCCACCGCTGGTGAACACCAGCGTGTGCGCTGCGGAGAGTGCCTGGAGCGTGGAGGCGATGGATGAGGCAGAGTCGGGGATTGTGGTGATTGCGCGGACGTCGATGCCGAGGGAGAAGCAGTGCTGCGCGAACACTTGGGAGTTTGTGTCTTGTGTTTTGCCGCTGAGGATCTCGTCGCCGATCACGCAGAGCGCTGCGGTTGGGCTAGCGGCCGGGCTGGTCGTGCTGGCACTTAGTGGGCGGAGCCGGCCGAGTTGGCGGAATGGGCGCCAGTGCTGTGCTGTGCGTGCGAGCATTTCACCAGCAAATTAAAACAACGATTTGGAGTCCACAGCTCTCAAAAGTGTATAATAAAATAGCGAATAATAAAATCAGTTTCTTCTTTATTTACCGGCCAAAGAGGAAGAAAATCCATATCCATATCCATATCGATATCGAACAGCCGATGAGTCAACAGTGCCGCGCTGTCACTTTCAAAAATAGTATCGTGCAAAAATAAAATAAAAACATCTCTCGTGTTTCTTAGATTCCAGCTCCTATCTTTCTCTCTCTCCTTACCCCTTCCTTTTTCTCCGTACTGTTCTTTTTTGTCTTTATTTTTTCTTACCGCCTCTTTTCCATATCAAATAAACCAAAAAAAAAACCATCCAATCGCTTTCCCTTCTTTTTCAACACCAAAACAAAATGGGCTTCACCTACACCATCAACGTGCCAGCGACGTCCGCCAACATCGGCCCAGGCTTTGACGTTATGGGGCTTTCGCTCTCACTCTACCTAACCGTCACGGCCACCGTCACCGAGGCATCGTCCAGCCCCGGCGCAACCAACATTGCCATCCAGTACGAAGGCGCCAACAGCTCCGGGCTCTCCCTCGACCCGCGCGCCAACCTAATAACCCGCACAGCACTCTACGTACTCAAATGCAACGGGTACAATGATTCCCCACAGCCCACCACTGTGCTGGTCAACAACCGCATCCCCCTGGGTCGCGGGCTTGGATCCTCGGGCGCCGCCGTCGTCGCCGGCGTCCTCCTGGCCAACGCCCTTGGAAACCTGGGCTTGACGCAGCATCGGATGTTGGATTATTGCTTGATGATCGAGCATCATCCGGATAATGTGGCTGCGGCGCTGGTTGGCGGCTTTGTGGCTAGCTACTTGATCGAAGTTGATCGGTCCAAGGGTGATGTGCCGGAGAGTGAGGCGGATGAAAGAAAGTTGAGGGAGAGAAAGGCTGTGGAGAAGGACGCGAGTATTGCGTTGCCGCCGGATAATATTGGTAGCTTTTTGCGCCTTGGGTGCTCGCCGATGATCAAGGCCATTACTATTATTCCTCAGTTCGAGCTTGCTACGTCAAAGGCTCGGGCCGCCTTACCTGGAACATACAAGACCCAGGACGTGGTAAGTTGCACAATGTTCTTTAAATTTGACAAACATATTTTTAATGTTTTTACATGCACAGAAACTAATGCTTTTTCTTCTTCTTTTTCTTAGGTGTTTAATCTTCAGCGGCTGGCTGTGCTGACCACAGCTCTTGGCCGCGAAACGCCTGATCCTTGGTTGATCTACCGCGCGATGGAGGACAAGGTGCACCAGCCATACCGCATGCATCTGATTCCGGGCCTGCCCGAGATTCTCGCCACCTTCAATCCCGACAACACCCCAGGGCTCCTTGGCATCTGTCTCTCCGGCGCCGGCCCCACCATTCTTGCCCTGGCCGTGGATAACTTTGACGAAATCGCCGCCAAAATTTGCTCGGTCTTTGATCGCCAGCCAAATGGTGGCATTGCCACAGAGTACAAGGTCCTGGATATTGTCACCGAGGGTTCCACCTGCGTCAAGACTGAGAACTAAACGAGAAATAAAGCTTTTGGTTATGTGTGCGTTTTTTTAAATAAATAGGTTCTATTGAAACTGTGTTGTTGTTGCTATTGTTAGCGCAGTTTGCGCTCCAACAGAGGCATCATTGCCCCGTCATCGGTCTCCACCATGGTTGCCATAACCGCATTGTCCCGCTCACACACTAAGACCGGTACCGATACCAGCGCCACCGGTGACTTATTCGCCACCACCACTCCCATTGACTCGCGCCCCCTCTTACTGTTCAAAATTCGCATCGGAAACTCCGCAAACTGAATCAACGCCAGCCACGCCGACACCGCATTCGCCACACCATACAGAACATACGGTCTCCTGACACTAACCAGCCACGCAACAAGCACAGCCCCTGCGAAAAACACAAAAGTAACCCCTCTCAACCACCGCCTCAACCTCTCCCGACGACCACCTTCCATGACAGAAAAGAAAGAGGATCCTCCGCCTAAACGAGGAACAATATGGTAAGATGCCAGCATACGCAGGGCAAAGTACCCGGCCATATTAAGCAGGTTATGGTCGGATGGCGCGTCCTCGAACCACAAGACACTGAGGTTCCGCACCCAGACGAGTAGCTCCGGCACGCAGTATGGTAGACTGCTGGTCCAGAACAGAACCAATGCCAATTGGTACTGCGCCCGACTATCCAGCTCCACACCCTCCCTGCCCGCATCCTTTCCGCCACTGCCACGGCTTGCCTGTAGTTTGGCCTGCGCCATCGTGCGCACAACTGTGATTAGCTGCGCAAGGTAAATAATCAGGAAGGCAAACTGGTAAGGCACAAAGGTGCACACAAAAACAATAAACGCCAGAGTGCCCAGCAGAGGCCCTGTAATGGTCGGGACCTTGTCCGCACCCGGACCACCACCATCGCCTGCCAATATCCGGTCTCCTTGCATAAGCTGCTGGCGCCGCCACTTGGCAACCCCCACGGCCAGCCATGCTGCAAAATGGCAGATCGCCGTTAGGAAAATGGCCTGGACAATAATGAACCCGAGCGACAAAATAACGAGTACGCCGGGAAGCAGGCAGAGCACCAGCCCGCTGCCGCGCACTCCCATAAACAGGTTGTTAGCTGCCGCCAGGGTCGCTGGAGACACCGTCCCCCGTGCGATATGTGCAAACCCCACTTGCACAAGGGGCGTCACCATGGCCGCCGCCACGACACCGAGAAATGTGCCGTTGCGGACCAGCGCCTCGATGGACGCCAAGCACCCGGGAAACATAGCGGTCTGACCAGCGCCAGAACCAGAACCAGAACCAGATTGCCCGCGGTCCCACGACCGCAGCTGATGCAGCATCACCAGACACGCCCAGACAAACGACATCGCCAACAGCGCCATATCGTACCGCTTGACCAGTCGATTAAGCGACGAGTACCAATTGATTCTCAGTGAAATCTCGAACCCTGAATAAAACACATTGTCCGCCCACACATCCAAATGCACGCCATCCCAGAGATTGGCGCCCAGCTCGCCTTGCATTGATGCAGAAGATGTATTCACCAGGTCGTCGCTAGGCAAGTACGCGCCGCGCCCATGGATGGCGATATCCAGCGCGCCCTGGTCGTACCAGAACTTGGATTCGAACCGCCTCCGGCCATCAGACTGCCGAACCACAGTGCCGAACTGCGGCTTGTCCAGCTTCAATGCCGCCGCCATATTGCGCCGGTGCATGATGAGCTTGGCGCGGAACACAAAAAACGGATTTTCGGGGACATCCAGCTTAATCCGCATGCGCGCATTCAGCCTCTCGGGCGCATTGATGGTGTATGCGCGCAGGAGACGCAGGTATCCTGGGGAGTGCACCACAGGTGATGTGTTGCTGCCGACGCTGGCGCGGACAAAGCCCGTCAGCCCGTCACTGCCCGATGGAATCTCCAAAGCGACATATGCAAACCCACGCAGCTGCGCCATTGGCACTTCGAGGTATCCCACCAGTGGCACGGCCAGCTGAGCCTTGGCGCCGGCCGACTTGAGCGGCAGCTTGGCCGGCACTGCCAAACCCATAATCTCCTCACACACGCCATCTGTCGGATCATCCTTGGACTTGCCATGCCGGCACCCAAACACCCCGTACTTGAATTCCTCCATCGCACTGCTACTGCTACCGCCGCTGCTACGTGCTGGTAACCCAGACTGTCTGCGCGCATAGTGAATGATCTGAAGAGCATCTGCCGCTGATCCGCTGTTCTCGCCGGCGACCCCTGGCAAGCGCATCAGGTGGAGGGCCGCGCCGTCCCGGTTCTTCCGACCGGCGAGCGCCACCTGGACAACCTCCTCATGTACCTGCACATGGCTGTACCCAGCCACCGTCACATTCCGCCGCGCACCAATACCCTTTAGCCCACCCGCCTCATCCAGCTTCGAGTACAGCATCTCGCGCATAACAGTCATGCGCTCATCCAGCGGCAAAATCTGCGACGACCTGCGAGCATCCATAATCCGGACCAGCACCGCAGCAAACTTTTTCGCCATCTGCTCACACCACAAGATACACTGGTGATCGAGGCTTAGCCAGACATCCTCGATTCCCGATGCCAGCACACTCAGGGAGTTGTGCGCCGGCGCTAGGTCGCCCACATACGTGTAGTCCGAGTTAATCATCGAGTCCAGGTTGCCGCCGGCGATTGATACTAGGCTGACATTATCCAGGGTGCCGTTTTGAAACCCGTGGCGCCAGAACCGGTTAATGTCCGTGTATACTTTGTCCACGTAATACTCGAGCGACGCTGTCGGGTTGTTGTGCGGCGTCGCCAGCGTAAAGATTGCCTGCACGGAGCCGACTATATGGTTGCTCAGCGTAAACGCCGTGCGCGCAACCACGCCGCCCATCGAGTGCCCAACGATAATGACCGACGTGGGCAAGGCAAACGTCTGTTTCTCGGATAACCGGTACTTGGACCGGGTCCCTGGGTATAGCGACAGGATGTACCGGATAGCGTCGTTGATGAAGTCTGCCTGCTCCATGATCGAATACCCGTGCAGAGCCGTGAACTCCTCGTTCAGCCCGACCGAAAAGAAATCATACCCGACCTGTCCGCGCTCCACCGCCCCCGGGTCCAACCCCAGGAGCTCCACAAATGCCGCCGTTGTCGCCGACGCAATCGACCGCACCTGCTTGGGGCTCCCAGCATTCCCTGGCACAAAAAGCACCGGGATCCTAAACGCCTCATCAATCGAATCATACCCTCCCTCCCTGTACAAATATAGCTTGTATTTGGTCGAGAACCGCGTCCAGCTCTTATCAAACGCTGTTTGCTCAATGAACTGTGGCCGGCTATAGCTCATCGTGCACCCGGGGGTATCCACCTGCGCATTAAAGTATGAGTGTGCTGAGAGCATGCCGAATATAACTGTAGCCAGAAGCAGGCATAGGACGGAAATGCGCTTGTGGATAAATGTCTTGATAATTACAGATGATCCGGTTGCTGGCCTGGCCTGATCCTCGCCATTCTCGCTGTATTCTTCAGTGTTTGTGGAAGTGGAAGACTCTGCGTCAGAGTTTTCCGAATTGCAGAGCTGTTGCTGCTTTTGCAGCGGCGGCGAATTGCCTGCTCGCAAGGTTATGTGACCAGCGCCCGGTCCATGCAAGTTGACGCTGCTGGAGGAGCTGTTTATCAACTGTGGCTGCTCTGCTGTCTTTGTCCTTGTCTTCGTCTTTGCCTTTCCCTTTCCCTTTCCCTTGACTTCTGCTGTGGTTGTTGTCGCTGCTGTTGTTGGACCGCTGGCAGTAGTGCACCGTTTGTTTGCTATTGTTGTAGTCGGCATTATGTCAATCGTGCAATGTGTCTGGTGCGCCACCTCGCGTTCTCCCGCTGGCATATACAAATAAAAAATAACAAAAATAACAAAAGGATAAAAAAAATAGACGTAAAACAAAAAACAAAAACAAAATTTTTCCAGTCCTATTGAACACACGATGAGAAACAAATAAATAGTTGAGAATTACAAAGGGGGGAGGGGAGGGAACGAAGGGAGAATGGGGAGAAATAATACTGTAATCCCCCAACCTGCGGGGGGTAACCAACCTTGGAGATTGCATTTCGTTAAAAGGCAATGCGTTAAGTGCATAAATACAAAGGTAACAACACATTTTGCCATAGGTATAAAATTAAGTGCGATCATTTGGCAAGGACGCAGCAGCAGCAGTAGTCGGGTGCAAAGCCAAGGAGGCACCATCTGCTGTAGCTACTCATCCCCACAGGCATCATACGGATTGATTTATCCACATATCATGGCGATCATTGCTGGCAATTGTTTATCATGGGATAGAACTTCATCAAAGGAGCAAGTGGGTCAATGGATCTGTTTTCTCTGGGCGAAGTGCGGTCGGTTTTTTCTCCAGCGCATTAAATTATATGTGCATTGCTTACCAGACGTCTATTTTTTGTACCCATATTTTTGTTGTTGTGAAATGGGGCGAATTAAAAAACAACGAATCTTTATACGCAAGTTGTCCGCCTTCCAAATGAAGATTTGATACGAAAGAAAACCCAATTTAGACTAAGGACTGACAACATCCTGAACAACAAAAATAAAACCAACAAAAAAGTTCACATGTGAAATCAGGGCCCAAAATAAAAATTGATATTCCAAATAAAAAACTTATTGAGAAATCTTCTCGACAGTCAGCAGCTGGCCGCACAGGATAGTCTGCCCGGGTTTCAGCGAGATCGTGCTTGCCACAGTGCCGGCCTCAACACAGAGCATCTCCGAATACTCGTCGTCCCCAAAGTCTGACATCTCCGCTGCCTTCTCCGCCCAGGGGTTCCACAGCACAATATCCTTAAAGTTGAATCTCCTAACAGCAACCCTCTCGCCACCATACCTGACATCAACAACACCAGGCACGTTCTCATAAACGCGATCCTCATTAGCCACCACCGTAACCTCCTCTCTCTCCTCCACCGCTCTCACACCCTTCACTTTATCTGCATACACGCACCCCTGAAGTCCATGCACCTTTGCCTCAGCAACATCTGGCACGCGCAAATACGTATGCATAAGCGACGTGAACTCAAACTCCGCCTCATCTGTGTTCTCAAACTTCATAATTGTCGACATTGTGTCCGCCGTAATATCAACCGTGTAAATCAATATGAACTTATGCGGCCACAGGGACGCTCTCGTCTCCTCGTTGTCGCTGAGCTCGAAGCTGGCAGAAACGCCCTCGCCGTGTATATTGGAACTAAGAAACTTCCATACGCGTGTGCGTGCAAAGCCATGTTGCGGGAGGGCACCGGGCCCGAACTGTGGGAATACCAGGGGGATTCCGCCGCGGACTGCCTTGGTACCGTCGAGTTTGGCGCTTTTGCTGACAAACAGACGCTCCTTGTTGCCGCTCTTCCACGCGGTCACCGTGGCACCGTACAGGTATATTTCGGCGGAGGAGTTCTTGGGACCGTGGAGAACCACTCGCTCGAGGTTTCCGCTGGCGTCGTTAATCTTTTGCACTGACAATTCGTTTGACATTTTAATTATGTTTAAATTGGAGGAATGGGTAAAAAAAATTGAATATGAATATTGTTTTTAAAATACACACAAGAAGCAAGAATGGAAATTAGGCAAGACCTGCTTATCGATACCACCACCACAACCTATTTATTTCCCTTCCCCTAAACCCAATATTGCGATCTGTGAAAATACAATGCTCGCTTAAAAGCCGGTCGATACCCTGCTTGCCAACTACAACCATATGCTCATTCCACAATATGTTGACTGTTTGGATAGCCGGCGACATTGGCTTCAGTCTTTGTGAAAACACCAATGTTCTGGACTGCGACTGCCCGGTCCATATCTCTGAATGGTGAGGGTTCGCAGGCATTGGGAATATTAATATACAATGCACGTGCCTCTGGAAAAGTCACATGGGCGTGGGATGCGCCCAAGAGTCTGGAGAGCGCCCTGTCGTTCATGGTAGGCACACATTTGTTAATATCAACTCTGCCGGTTTTTATGACGTGGTTTGCTGGAAACTTAGGCTGAGCCAAAGCTTGAGGCCAATTCGGAAAGGCGTGAGTTAGCTGGTTGGGTGTGACAGAGTTCAAATGGAGCTTGTCGCACATTTTAGAAATAAATACAGAGCACCATCTGTGGCAGCCGTGAGGAATAGCCGCCACCAGCAATTTGTTGGAATATAACGCATTGATTGATATATAACAAATAGCCAACAACAGACTCTATTGTTATGAGGGGGTATGAAAGATGGGGAGTACTACTATAATAGTATTTCTCACCTTTTATACCCTCCCCTCATAACAAAGTTCATTACTCTCTGTATATTCACAAAAAAATGTTTTATTAATAATGCTTTTAAAGTGTTACTAGCGCCAGCCTCGTCTTATATGTGTCTCGTCGCCTTTATTGTGCAAATTGCTAATTGTGCACTCCATTGGCGAGAACTGATTCTTCTGCGAGCAGACCGGTATTTTGGCAAGTCAGTGTTGTAGATTTCGCACATGTGCACTCATGTGTGTGCATTTCAAAATGGGGAGCATGTCTGGGTATCATAATTATGCCTTCCTAATTTACCCCTACATAATCCAATTTGTACCCTATCAACCAGCATGTAGGTGGAAACTTGTTTCACGATTCTCAACCTTGACATCCACTTTCATATCTTCGGGCTGCGCAACACTAATATGCCATGGTAAAGTTTAAAAAATAGACAATCCACTCATTTTTGAATAAGTATGGAAAAATAATAATAATAATAAAAAAATGAGCCGCCTCATGGATAATGTCCAAAAACATATATTTTTGTATACGTTTGGATAGGCTAATAAAAAACCCCAATTACCATATGCTTTATGCTACTTTCTAGTTGCGCCTATCCTAATTGTCATAAAAAGCCGTGTATATTTAATCAAACACATGCAAAATATTTAAATATAATATTGATTATGTTGTCTATATCGGAAGACAGAAATACTCTAAAAATTATTAAACTCGTCAAAACACTCTTGGCTACAGAATAAAAATGCTTCTTCGGGCAATGTGACATTGCACGCTGCGCATGAGCGTGGCACTTCTAACGTTTGCTGATTGTGAACAGACCCATACAGTACTTTATCAACTTGGTTTTGGTCGGATAGAGTTGAATTCTGATTGTTTAATTGGGCAGACATGGCTAAGAATATTGAAAACAAAATATGGAGATAAAGATAAAAATACGTATGTGTGAAAAATATTCTTGCTTTATACTCTTCTGTATATATGGCTGGTAAATGTTTAGACTCGGTGCTCTAATTCCAAAGTACAGCAGATTTACCTTGTTATTAACGTTGATAAATAAAATTATAATGCCATTAAAATATGTTGCGACTTTTATATTCACATCAATTGAGTAATAAGAGTAATAAGCAAAGTGGCTGCTCAATTGCCCAAATGAGTTTTTTTGTATTATAAAATAAATATAGGAATGTCATTTGCTATGATGCGTTCACAGTAGGTGCTTTAATGTTCTCAATCACATTGTTGATGTGCTGAACTATTTTTAAGGTTATTCCGAATTCCAAATAGGTTGACATTACAATAAACACGACTGAGCGCTCTTGCCAAAAATTATACGCAGTGAAAATTGTAATTCCGCAAGGTAATTCTTTTTTAAATAAACTGTTCTAAATATGTGTTTTTCAAAAGCTACAGCATATCTACTCGTTGTCATCATTGCTGTGTTTAACACGAGGCCCGTAGTATGCGCTGATGTCGCCAACAGCGAATTCGCTAATATCGTTGCCCTTCTTGAACTTGGGCTTCTTCTTAATAGCCAGCTCCATCTCCTGCTTCTCCTTCTTGTCCTTCTTCACGCCGACCGCCTTCTGGTTGTTGCCCTTTCCGAGAGCTACCTGGTTTGGCGTCTCGCGCAGCGCGAATGCCTTGGCGCAGTGACCAAAATGCAAGAACCGCACGTGGAAAATGTGCCTCTCGGCCGAGATATGCGTAGCGTAAGCACGGATCGACGACAAATACGCCTGCTTGGCAAGCCGGGACGCAGTCATGTTGGTCATGACAAAGCGCTCGAGCATAACCTGAATCTCGCCCGCGCGCAGCTGCCACTCGGTGCCCTTGCGAACATTGCCCTCACTCTTGGCCATCAGTTTAAGCACGGCCTCCATGCTTTCGTCGTCGGGACGCAGGCCCTTCTCCTGCAGCAGTGTGAGATAGGCGCTTTCGCTGGGGAGTAGGAAAAGAACGGCCTCACCGACGCGGCCCAGACGAGCCGTACGACCAACACGATGGAGGTAGGAAGCCAGGTCCGAGGGCGGGTCAAACTGGATGATGGACGTGACGTTGGGAAGATCGAGGCCACGCGCGGAAACATCGGTGGTGAACAGGATCGACGCGTGCTGCGACTTGGAGAAAGCCAGGAATGACTCTGTACGGCGCTTCTGGGGCATGCTTCCGTGCAGACGGTAGAGCTTGGCGCCCGGGAACACGGTCGATTCAAGGAAAATGTCCTCGTCCTTGAGCGTGGGGCCAGTCCGCTCTGGCGCAACGTACTTCTTGCGGCCTTCGGATTTGGAGCCCGACTCCTCGTCCTCGTCTTGTCCGGCAGTGGCATCAATGTTTTTAAACAGATCCTCAGCGTACTTGCTGCTTTTGCTGCCTGCAAAGTCGGCCTCGGGCTCCATGGCGCCGTGTGACAGCAAAAAGTACATAAAGTCGACCGCATCCTTGCACGACAAGAACACAATCATCTTGCTCGTCGGCTGCTTGCGGAAGGTGTTCTTGAGCTGCGCTACCAATGTGACAAGCCGCAGCTTGGCCGGCACAATAATAGCCTTCTGCACAAGCTGGCTGGGAACCGAGAAGTTCTCCTCGTCGTCGTCTGCGTTGCCCTCCTCGCCCTCCATCTCCTCGTCGCTGTCGAGATGGCGAATCTTCTTGCCAAGTGCGCCTTCTTCGTAGTTCTCGGTCAGCATGCGGTTGCGCTTGCGGCTGCGCGCATCGGCGGCCGCCTGATCGGCGCTCTCGTAGACACTCGTGGCGCTGACATACTTGGGGTTAACCAGGGCCTCGTCGGCCAGCTTCCTGACGTTGTCGCGCAGAGTAGCCGAGCACAGAACGTTGATGCGGCGGCGCGGGAGCTCCAGCGACGTTGCCATGGACGTGTGGCCCAAGACCCTTCCGCGCCGTTTGGCGCGCTCCTCAAAGAGCGCCAGAATCTTGGACAGCGTCTCTTGGAACCCGAGCTCAAGCAAGCGATCGGCTTCGTCCAGCACGAGCCAGCGGAGGTTGTCGACGCAGAAGGACTTTGTGTTCTCCAGATGGTCCAGCAGGCGCCCAGGCGTGCAGGCCAGAATGGTGACACCCTTGCGCAGGCGCGCCTTCTCAGAAGACTTGCTGTCACCACCAATTACGATTCCAGGAACCATCCAATGAAGCTTTTTGCCTGAGCCCCTGGACAGCGGCATATGCACGAGGGACTGCGCAGTCTCGTACACCTGCTGTGCCAGCTCACGTGTGGGCGTCAGGATTACGGCAAACGTGCCGAGCTCGCGCGATGGCGGCGCCCCGCTAGTCGCCGTCGCTGTTGCCTGCAAAAGCCTGTGGAAGATCGGAAGCAGGTACGCAAGGGTCTTTCCTGATCCTGTGGCAGCCTGGATGAACACGTCGTGCTCGACCTTGACCTCTGCATCAATGTTGAATGTGTCGTCGTCGTCGTCGTTCGCAGCGCTGACGTTGGCCTTTGGCAGCTCCTTCCCGATCAGTACGGGCACAGAGTTTTGTTGAATGGCTGTCGGCTTGGTGATGTCCATTTTGTTTTTCAAAAACTCGACAATGTCGGAGTCAAGGCCGATGCCCGTAAACGACGATGTGTCGACAACGGAGTTGCTGGCCACATTATGCTCCTGCTGCAGGTTGCGCGGCATCGACGGAATCTCAGGGTTCTTGGTAAAAAGCGACGAGATGATTTGCTTGTTCGCTTGGTGCGACAGCTGCGCGTTGACCGTTGCTGTTTTTGACTTTGTGACGGCACTGCCGCCCTTTATCTCGCCCAGCAGCTTTTGGACTTCCTTGTTCTGCTGTTCCTTTTCCACGGGGTTCTCTGATTTTCTCGCGCCCATGCCTTCTTGCGTGGGCGTCTGCGCCTTCTTGGCTTCGAATTGCATCACTCGCCGCTGGTGCAGGCGATCCTTCCATCCTCCGCCCTTGGGCTTGGAGCGCACTGTGACTACGGGCGTGCTAACACCGCTCGTGTCAAAGTTGAACATGAGTCCATCATCTTCAGCCATTGTTGTTGATTGTATATGTTGTTATGATAAATGGTCTATTGCATACAGAAAGAGAGAAGCAGAGGGCTGCTGCTGCTGCTGTTGGACAGATGTACTTTTTTTTCTTTCTTTAAATGCTTTTGATTGATTTTTGATTTTTCTGAAAATTTTCTACAAAAAATTAAATTGAGCTTTTTTTCTTTAGTTGTTTGTTGAACCGATGGCTCAATGCTGAAGTCAAAATGGCTGCAAAGGCTGAACCGCATACGAAATCGCAGCGCAGTTTTTGGTAGGGCCAATTGCGGGCTGTCAAAAAAATTAGCGCAGAAAAACGGGAAGACACGCAATTTTTTTTAACCCCGCACGTGTATATTATAGTCTTTGATTTGCAAACGCTAAAGTTTGCCTAAATAGTGCGCCGAATGGAAAGTCTGGAAAAATGCATTTGCAGGTGCCGAAAAAACCAATATTTCACTGCCAGGCGTGCTTATGAATGTTACGCTCGTTTTTTTTTAATCAAACCCTTATGCAAGACAAGAAAAATGGGGCGGCGGCTTAGCGCTGTGGTTTCGCTAACGTTGTGACGTATGGTGCGTGAAGTGTTTTATTTTTGCTATCGCCAAAGCTGCTCACCTCACCCTGTTCGTGACATGTCAGTTTTCCCTCTCTTTCTTCGCGTCAATTATCTTTCTTTTATCTGCACTCCAGCTTGCTTTTTTTATATTTTCACAACGTTAATACCACACAAGCAAAATATGCCCACCACCCAGGCCCCACTCCCCACCATTGGCGAGACCAACCACTTGCCGCTGGCCGAGTTTACCCAAGTGATATCCCTGCTCTTCGAGCCCACAGCTCTGCTGACCCAGCGCATTTGCGATTCACGGCCCTTTGAGAGCTACGATAAGCTGCTTGACTGTGCAGACGAGCTGATCAAGGAGCTGTCACCTCTGGAGCAGCTCGAAGTGATAAACGCGCACCCGCGTATCGGCGAAAACACTGCCAAGCTGTCGGCCCTGTCGCGCATCGAGCAGGGCGCCAAGTCGGACGATGAGGAGGACGCTGTGTTTGCCAAGTGGGCTGAGCTCAACAAGAAATACGAGGACACCTACGGATTCCGCTTTGTTGTGTTTGTTAACGGCCGGAGCAAGGACAGTTTGTTCCCGATTATCGAAGAGCGCATTGCGCACGGGAACAAGTGCCAAGAGCTGCGGACAGGATTGTCGGAGATGGTTGACATTGCCCGCGACCGTGCCAAGAAGCTGCTAGCCGCTGCAAGCGTCTAGGTGCCGCGGATATTTCATACTTCATACTTCATATTTTAATCCTATTTTCTTTCAATAGCACAAACAAATTGTTTATTTGTTCAAATCCACTTTTAAGCACCATTATCAGCTTTTGCTGCCTTTGGGACTGTGATTACCAGGCAGGGTCCATCGTCGAGTGCCGTTATCTGGTCGACCAGTGCTTCAGGCGGCAGCGGTATGCTTTTTTCGATCTGCCCAAGCTGGCGCTCGGTGATTCTGTCGGTGCCGCTTTCATATACCACCTGGCTGTTTCTCTCGCCGTAAATCTTCAGTCGACCGTGTGTCCCCGTGTCAATGCGGATCTGGCTGTTCGGCACATCGGGCAACCATGCCCTGATTGTGATTCTGTGTTTGTCTTCGTGGCTCTCAATTCGCGGAGTCCACAGGTTGGACGAAATGTTTGCTATCGTTGCGTTGACGTCGCTGGCAGCGGGCTGGGTGCGGTTCAGCCGCAGTGTTTCAATGCTTTCGAAAAACTGGTCAAAGAGTGCGCCCATCTCCTGGCCTGTCCTGGCAATGGCGTCGTCGTGGCGCATGTTGTTTGCCATTATATCTTGTGGTAAATTTCCAAAGTCAAGCGTCAATAATGGAATATTGTAATTAAAATGGAAAATATAAATAATGGTGGTAGGGGTTGTCAGCAGAAGAGAAGATGTCAGAAATGGCGACGTAAGAAGCACCAACAACAACCGGTTCTCGCACGCCATTTGTATCCCCCATGCGACTTGGAGTTGATGAATGCGCGTCATGCCGTTTTATTTTTCTGATTAATATTGACTGTCGTGTGAGTGACAGAAAAAAAGGGTCCCGCGACAAACAAACAAAACTTCCCTGCAGAGGATTAACCCATCCCGGGGGAGCAACGAGCCACTCGACCGTCGGTTTTTTTCAGAACCGGCTTTTCAGCTCCATACAGCTCGCTCACTGGCTCGTTTGTCTCCAGGCTACTTGTACACTTCACCCCCCAACCGGTTGGCCTGACGGTGGGAAAAATTTTTCAAAAATCCTGTTTTCGAATGCCCTAATATGGTCACGTTTCTCAGCAGACCCAGACATTGTTTAGCTTATCTTTTTTTAATTTCTGGCCGAGCTCAACTTTCGATCCATCCCCCATTCTTTTTCTCTTCATCCTCAGCTTTTTACTTTTCCACCCTTCCATTAGGCAAAAAAAAAGTTTTACATTCATCAAACTCTAATCAAGCAAGCCATGGTAAGTGTAGAAGCGAGTTCTTGAATGCCGGCCCTATTGCGCCCTATTGTAGACAGACAGCTACAGCCTTCGTCATGCGCAGTTGTGCTGATACTCAAGCTGGGTCAATTTATATCTTATCCTAAAACGGTGGCTTTATTTGCATCCTTGTAGTCACTCCCTGCTCAAGCCGCACAGCACCCCCGCCTGCACCAGCTGCCGCAGACAAAACAGCTGAAGGCGCTGATGACAATCATTCGCGACCAGACCACGCCGCGCGGCGACTTTGTCTTCTACTCGGACCGTGTCATCCGCCTGCTCGTCGAAGAGGGCCTCAACCACCTGCCTGTTGTCAACAAAGAAGTCATTACACCTATGGGCATGCCCTTCCAGGGCGTCTCCTTCGAGGGCCGCATTTGCGGTGTCTCCATTATGCGCGCCGGTGAGTCCATGGAGCAAGGTCTGCGCGACGTCTGCACGAGCGTGCGCATTGGAAAGGTTTTGATCCAGAGAGACGAGAGCACGGCACAGGCTAAGATGTACTACTCTAAGCTGCCCAAAGATATCTCCAACCGCTGGGTGCTTCTGCTCGACCCCATGCTTGCTACTGGTGGCTCGGCTGTCAAGTGCATTGAGACTCTGTTGGAGGCTGGCGTGAAGGAGGACCGCATTCTGTTTATTAATCTTATTTGCTCTCCGGAGGGCGTCCTGGCGATGCTCGAGCAATTCCCTAAGCTCCAGATAATCACTGCGGAGATCGATGAGAGCATGGACGTGCAGAAGTATATTCTTCCAGGTTTGGGCGACTTTGGCGACAGGTACTTTGGAACCGAGGACTAGATTGTTTATTCAAATAACTTTTTCATTATATATTCTTCACACATTAATAGGTAAGGGCCTCTCTGTGTTTCCATGTTTAAAGTGTGAGAGCCGGAAGATGATTCGGAAAATAGAGCATTGGCAGCGAGATCGACTAAGATATGGATATATACCACTTTGCAGCCTGTGCTGTTTTTGAACTTCAGCCATAAGATTGCTAAGCGCAAAAAAAGACTGCACGAATGGACTGCATGTGGCACAGATTCTCCCAGAAAGCAAAGCAAGCCTCGTTCTAACACATCTCTTCACTTCTTTTTGTTCTGCTCGTCCAGTAGCTCTGGATCCATGGCGGCCTGGAGCTTGGGCAAAAGGAACACAGCCACCAGCGATGCGCCGACCATCATCATATAGGGGTTCGAGAACATTGTGATAATACTGAAGCCCTGCCTCACTGTGAAAAAGTCGTACTTTGCACCGGCTCCGAAACGCAGCGGATACGCCAAAACGGGGATCTCCTCTGGCCAGTCCGACCCAATCTGTACGTACCGCGCGGCAACCGATGCGCGGCCATCTTCCTTGAGCGAAATGCGCACGTGGATCTTGGGAAACACGTAATCCGCGCTGGCCACTTCCAAAAGAGAGTCGCCGAGTTTGACGTTGTCTACAGCAAATGACCCATCCTTTTGGATAAAGCCCTTGTACTCGCCACCGTTCACCACTATGTGTGCTCTGGTCGAGAGCTCAGAGACATTGCTGAGAATCTCGTTAGCCACGATGGAGCCGCGCACACGGTATGTCTTTTCAGCCAAGGCGGCATACGATGTTGTTGCCAGGAGAAGAACGAGCAGGCTAGAGTGTCAAAAAGAATGGGAAAATAGACAAAAATTGTCTGCATGTGTGTTTGAATTAGCTGGTTGCTTAACTAGGCCTAGTCTTGGCCGTGTGCTTGTTGACATCTGAATTGCGCTTGCAATCTTTAAAGCCCACTTTTGTTGGCGGCTAAAATCCAGAATGTGCGTACCTCTGCGCGACCAAGAGCACCGACCGACTGTTGAAAATGTGCATTACAAAGTGTGAATAAAAATTGTGTGTTACGAACAAAGTTTACAAAAAAAGAGTTAAAAAGTTGAAAGGTGTAATCGGAGATACGAAATACGTGTGTGCAATTTAATCAGACGAGTCAATTTTTTTTCTCGGCAGTCCAAAATTTTTTGGCTTTCTCTTTTTTTATTCTTTAATTTTTCTTATTATTTTCCTACTACCTCGCAATTCCTTCTCAAAACAGTCGTATAATGCAATGGCCAAGGACTCGAATGCGCAACGCCACGACGCACCAAACACCAAGTCCCTATCGGTGTCCTTCCACGACCCCAAGTTTACCAATTTTGTCAATGAGGCCAATGTTTACAATAACAACAGCAGCAATGCAAACCAACAAAAGCAGTGCAATACAACACCGCAGCCAGTAACTCCACAGAGAAACACGCCCGGGTCCACAGACAGGCGGCAAACCATGAGACCAACGCAACTAACAACAGCCGCAGCCTCAGCCTCAGCTGGCAGCAACACCAACCTTGAAGATAATGACGACGACTGGCCGGACACGAACTTTGTCAACATTGATTCGCAGGAGATTCTTGACTTGGTTTTGGCCGAGGAAAAGATGTTTGCTACGCAGCAGTATCTTGCATCCAACGACGGCTCTTTATCGCAAGAGTTTACTGAAACGCGGCAGGATCCGATGGCAGGTGGTTTGCATTATGGCCAGTTGATGACGCGATCTGTCCCGGTCACTCCACCTGTTGCTGAGCCCGTGTACATATCGGACGCTGATACGCCTGGCCGCTCAAGCGCTGAGGAATCTGCTGCTGGGAGTGTGAATTCTGTGACTGAGCGCGGGCGACAACCTTGGCATAGCGGCGGCCAGCCCGCGTTTTTTAATCAGGAGAATCAACAGGATATGCCCAAAAGCAAAGTGAATTTGTTCCCGAGATTGGCGCAGCACATTCCGACCGTGCAGCCGCCTGTCAGTAGTGCCTCTTTGTATCATCGTCCGCCGCAGCCGCCAACGCACCGCGATTCGAATACCCGCCATCTTGCTTTGCGCCATCAGCAGCAGAGGCAGACAGGGGGCAAAGGCAGCCAGGTATACAGGGCACAATTGCCATTGGGTCCATTGAGGGCGAATTCAGCGACCAGCCCAGGGGCACCGCCCTCGGCCAGACGCCAGTCATCATACTCACCGCAGCCCAACACCCTGCATCGAAAGCCCACCCTTAACCAAATCTTGGCCGGCGTTACATCGCCAACCTCCAGTGGTCTCCCAAATACTGGCAGCAACAACAGTGGTGGAATCGCCAATGAGCTCGAAAGGCTGCGGATGGAAAACACCCGAATTCGAGCCGAGAGCGAGCAGCTCAGGGCGCAGCTGTACACGAAGGAGGGTGAGGTCAAGATCGTGCGCGAGAACCTGGCGAAGACCGAGATCGACAACACACATTTGCAAGAACGGCTGACTAACCAAATCACCAGCTCGGCGCAAATCCAGAGTCAGTCAGAGGCCAAGCTGCGGGATGAAATAGACAGGCTAAAGACGGAGCTTGTGTTCCAGCAGCAAGAGGCCCAGGTGGCGGCTATTTCTAAGGCATCAATTACGTGGACTGGCGCGAGTGGTGCGAAGAGACCCACCCGTAACATTGATAGCACTCCCGGTGGTGCCGCTCAAAGCTCCTTGGCGCACGATGCCAGCTCTATCACTGGGACTTACCCGAGTGTCACAGACTTTGCGGCCATACCGACATCTGCCAGCACCAAACGTAGTGTTCCTGAGAAAGCAATGAAGCTCAGGTCGCAGCCAGCCGCGAGCAGCACGAGCAGTGACAGTGCGAGGGCCGAGAATACCCGTCTGCTGGAGATCATGACAGAAATTGCCGGCCAGCGGTCCAACACTGGCTTTGGCAACCTAGTTTCCCTGTCGATTGCGCTTTCAAAGGCCGTCAAGCGACCAGACTCCGAGAACATGGACGCTTTTCACTTAATGGTATGCGAGATGCTGTGCTATACAGAGGCCAGCGGCTACGAGCAGCTCGTCGCTGTGCTTCAGTTGCTTCTGCGCGCTGTCGATACCCTGGTTGAGTTCAGATCCGCCTGGCTGCTGGGCACCGGAAAAAACAAAAAATATTATCAGCGCGCAGCGCAGGTGGCATTGGCCATCAGCACTGCGTTGCGCAACAGTACAATTGCCACATCCAAAATGCACACAAATGATCAGAACGCTGCCTCCTGCGGCGCAGCGATAGACCACTATTGTAAATTGCTGCTGCAGATTATTGCCGTGCCAGGGGCTCTTGAGGCAGTGGGTAACGAGGCATGGACAGCGTGCAACCCGTGTGTGCTGGGGCAGTATTTATCTGCGGGGTTGCATATGACCGGCTTGCGCGGTATTCTCGAGCTTGTGGCGACGCTGGTGAAGGAATCGCCAGTTATATGGAACCACCTGCGGCGACAGCCCGAGGAATTCGAGGTGTTTTTGCTAGCAACTATGGGTCGATTACAGCTTGCGTTCGCGACTAATGATCAGCTTATGCTTGATGGCGAGCGTGGGTTCCTGGTTCTCGTGGCGTCGGCGATGATGAACCCTGAGGAGGATTCTGCAACACTCATTAATGGAATGCAAAAGTTTACCAGGGCTATGGTGCTGTGGTTCTTGGACGAGCATCAGGCGCTTGTCGGTCAGGCACGGAGCGTGGGGAGCGATATTGAGAGGCGGGCGCAGGTGTTCTGCCAGTACGTTATTTGCCTCAAGGTCGTGCTGTCTGAGGTTGCCGATGTTGTGGAGCTCTTGGATGGTGACTATTCGCCGACGTTCTTTGCCTTTGTCGCTGCTTGTACTCGGATGACTGTAGGTGAGAGTGCGTTTGCTGAGAACGCATCTATTCGCGAGCTGGCCGCTGATCTTCTCGCATATGTGGTTACAGAGGACCAGGCCATGTCGATACAAAGTCTATGAATAACTTGTTTAATACTGCGCGTATTGTTTTAGCTTTTTTTTGAAATATAGGCACTTGTAAAATTTAATAATAAATAAAAATAGTAAGAGGATGTTCGATCGATTTTTTTAGTCAACAGTGATTTTGGCGTCAAGCGCAGCAAATTCGGCAAAGAAATGTTCAAACAGCTTGACGGACATTCCAACGTCATCAGTTCCGCAGACCTCACGAATACTGTGCATGCTGAGAAGTGGGTTTCCAATATCAACAGTGCGCAGGCCAAGGTTGGAGCTCATCATTGGGCCAATAGTTGAGCCGCAAGCACAGTCATTGCGCACGACAAACTCTTGCAACGGGATGTTGTTTCTCTTGGCAATGTCCTTGAGAATGGTCGATGTGACCGAGGTGGTGGCGTAGCGCTGGTTGGCGTTAACTTTGATCGACGGGCCCTTCTGCAGCTCCGGACGGTGGTCCCTCTCGTGCTTATCGGAGTAGTTCGGGTGCACCGCATGGGTGACATCGGAGGAGATCAAAAAGCTGTTAGCAATGGATTCCTCAAAGGCGGTGGACGAGGCGCCGGGGAAGCTGGCGTGGATGCGGCGGATGGCGGACTCGATCAGCGATGAGTTAGCGCCGTAGGCGGAGGTCGAACCGATTTCCTCATTATCAAACAGGGCAACCATGCGGATGTGCGTGTCATTGGCGGCTGCCTTTTCGTCACTCAGGCTGTTGATCAGACCCTCGATGGCGCAGTACGACGAGTTGAGGTTGTCCAGGCGAGAGGCGTAGATGAACTCTTTGCAAATACCACCGATCACAGCCTTTTGCGTGTCGTATAGGCACAGCTCAAAGTCGGCGATTTCATCGACATTGACCTTGAGCTCCTTGGCGATGCGCTCGAGCAGGATGGGGTGATGGGCGAGGCTCGATTGGTCGGGTGTGCTCTCGTCGGCGTTCTGTTGGTTGCCGTTAAGCGCCTTGGAGACGGTAGCCAGAATGGGGACCAGATGCGTCTCCTTGTTGAAGGTGAATGCATCGTTGGCTGTGCGATCGAGGTGGATGGCCAGCGACGGAATGCGCATGATTGGATCCTCGAGCGAAACAAGGCGGTGGGTGTAGCCCCCGGCGCTGTCGCGGACCATCACCCGCCCGGAAATGCTGAGATCGCGGTCAAACCAGGTATACCATAGGCCACCGCCATAGACCTGGACGCCCACCTGGAGGAACCCGCTACTGGTCTTTTTGGAAACAGGCTTGAGCTACATTAAGAAGAAAAAACAAGTATGTGACGATTGTCTTTTGAAAAATTGATTGTGAGCACATGACAGATTTCACAATTCCAACAATAATGCAGTTTATATAATGCAAACTGGGAAAGAAAAAAGGCATCCGTTTTCTGCCTGCGCATGCATTACCTTGAAGCAAGGACTATCCGTATGCGCACCAACGATAGAAATGCCGCCTCCAGGACGCTACACAGAAGAAAAAGCAAAGAGATAATATGCATACAGCACCACCAAGTGTGTTAGTTTTATAAATATTATGCTGGTCTGCGGCGAATGGAGAATAAAAAATATCCACGCCTGATCATCAATATGCGGTGCTTACGAATTTGCCTCCGACAGCAAAGGCGACGATAGAGGAGCCATTGCGCGTAAAGTAGTATCTGCCGTTAGGCTTGATGGCGCCCTCCCAGCTCTGCTTCTCCTTGAGCTCAGTGAAGTTAGCGCCTCGCAGCCAGTTGCGGCATACGTCGACGGCGTGGAATGGGCTAGGGGCCTTGTTGACAAAGTCGACTAGCTGCTCGGCCTGGCGCTGCAGGTGTGCCTTGGTAAGTGAGGCCATGGTTAGTGGAAAATAAAAATTAAAAGTTGGAAGTTGGAAGAGTCAAGTAATTTAGATCAAATGCGTGAAATGATGTTGAGAAAAAGAGGAAAAAGAATGAGAGCCAGCGTGGCTCAGCGAACTTTTATAAATATCAAAAACGAAGTTGGCCACGCAGATGTTACTTTTCGGTGAGCGAACAAGGGGGCTTCACAGAATGGGGGGAATGATGACACGCACAGTAAAAAAAACCGCAATTTTTTTTTGTAATTTCTTTGATCCGCCGCCCCCGTTGAACAGATCATCCTAGGCGGCTGTTATTTTTCATATTGTATTTTTTTGGGGGGAGGAGTGAGCCAAAAAAGATCCTTTTTTATTATTATTCGCGTATAGAGATGATCTGCATTCAGATATTGGCTTCCGCCAGAAACTCGGTGTCAGATCCTAGGCTAAGGTGAGCACGTCAGCATGACTAGCAGCTTTTTTTTATAAGTGCAGATGCAGCTCAGGAAAATAAGTGGGCTAAAGGTAGGTGGAAGGCACTCGAAGGATAATGGTAAAATCATCAGCAGCTCTTGGGAAAAAAAATGCAAACAAACACCATCTTGCGAATGCAAGCAATTGAGGGATGAAGTATTGGCCCAAAAATAAAATAAAAAATTCGCATGTTTCGTCTTGCTTGTTCCAGTCGATCCGTTTTTTTCTCTTTGTGTGCTGGCATGTCTTTGTATTTTTTGCTCATCGCAAAAGAGAAAGAGTGATGGCTGCAGCAAACATATCTCTAACTTGCTCTTTCTTTTTTGAAGAATTCAGCACGACAGAACAACAATCGCTTAAACTCGAGGTGATAATTGCAAAAAGGCATTGAATTGTCAAGAGTTATAAAGAGTAGAGAGAAAGAGGCGTTTTGAAAACTTGTGTTCTAAATAGAAGATAGGACTGGTCTCAAAAGTGTTTCCGGGTGCCTCCCTCCTTTTATATTGCTTGCAATAAGTTGGAATTGTTGTCATTTTTAGACCACATAACACGCCATCGTCTGGAACGGCCAAAAAAAACCGCATGCATGCTGAAATTGGGAGTTCATATATCCAAAACTGGAAATTTTTTAAAAAGTTTGTTATTTACAACTCGCAGTTTGAATAGCACTCTCTGTGTACATACACGTATTATGTTTCAGAAGGCGACAAATCCAAGTGGCCATTCCATTAATTTTTTTTACTCAGATCGACAGGCTAAAGTAAAAATAACTGAAAAATAAGCCTTCAGCTATTTATTCTCGAGTAGATCGTTCTCTCGCCCCTTTTTCAATTATGTTCTGTGTTGCTCTTTATTTTCAAGGTTTTCAAGGCAAACAAAAGTACTTTTCTTCTTTTTGTTTGTTGACTTGAAAGTTATTATTTAGAGGCGTTTTGTGTTGGTAAATTGTCGTCCCTATTTCCTTTGTTTATTTTCTTTTCTTTTCTTCCTTTTATTTTTTTCACGCAATTTTTCCTATTTTCCTATTTTTTACTCCCCCTCTCCCCCGCCTTTGTTGCAGCTACTGCCAAATATTTTTTTGTATCCATTCTTTGTCCTACAAGATCTTGTGTCCCAAAACTTTTATATATTTTTCACTAGCCAAAAAGTACAAGCAAAAAGCTCCTTGGAAGCCTCGTGACGCGCATTCATTCAATCCATTCATTCCCAGCAGCTTTACTCTGGAAACGTCCGCCATATTTTTCCATTTTTTTCTTTCTCATCAAACTACTTTTTTCTTTTTTTCTTGTCCGCTGGTCTAGTCTTTATCTCACAACCCACCTTTATTTTTCTCCTCTTTCTCTCTTATATATATTTAACCAGCATATTGTCATTTTGTACATACACACTAGCAAACACACATACACAAAAGTTTATAACCTTGTTCAATAAAAATACTTGGTATTTTTGTTATATTCTATATATACGCAACTGGCACTCACACACAGACATACGGGCACTTGGATACGACTTTACGCAACTTTGATTTGGCCAATTTGGGAACACCAACAGGTATTTGTCCGAATTCAAAAACAAAAAATAGACATTTTTGTATAGTTTAATCGCAGTCGGCTTTGGTTAAAAAAAAACAAAAAATAACAAGAGCCCACGTGCTCACTCTTTTCCAAGTTTCTAACTCACACACTTTTTTATTTTTATCTTTCTCACATATCCATACATACACACACACACATACACACACACGGCATTTTAGGCTACCTCGCGCTCTTTTTTCGACAACACAAACCAGCAGCCGCAATAAAAAAATAAGCCATGGGTAGACTATCATTAGGAATCAACAGAAATAAGGAGTCTTGTGAAGAGGTCACCAAGTCGAAGCAGTTCCGGAGCTCAATAAAGGGATTTCTAGGGATTTCCAATGGCGAGGGGCGGTCCAGCATGGACCTCGGTGACATAAACGAGATTAACATCGAGCAGGGGGTGTCGCGACTCAGCCTGTCTGCAAGGCGAGTGATGAGCTACAACAAAGGCAATATCCCAGAAGCACTTGGCAACAAAGACCCCGCAGCCCCCAACGTCGAGTCGAGGGATAGTGCAGATTATAGCAAAGACTCTAGAAACAGTGCAAAGGGAGCGCTGGAAAAGCCCGATTCAAAGACTGCGTTGATCAGCAGCAGCAGCAGCAGCAGCGACAGCATCGACAAGCAAGGCGCGCAGCCGGACAGCACTGAGGTGCATGATGATGCAGACATTGGGGCTGCGCCTGACATGCAGTCGCCCGCTGCAGATGGCAGTGGCAGAATTGCGCCAGAGAATGCGCCGGACTCGCTGCTGGCGAGGTACTCCATTGTGTCCGACAAAGTCGACATGGACTGGAATGGTGAGCAGGACGACAGGCACGGGTGGAGGCGCCGCGGGTCAATCCTCAGCTCGAGGCTGACAGCGCCCCTGCGCAAGGAAAGTAGCATTGGGCGCGGGCTTATGCGGAAGGAGTCGACGCCATTGTTCTCGAGCTCCAGCGGCCGCAATATATTCCACCGCTCGGGGTCCAGCGAGGCCGGCAGCAGCGGCGGCATTCGCACGTCGTTCTGGCGCGGCAGCGCAAGCAGCAGTTTGTACCGTGGGTCGGGCGAAGAGCACCCGCCGCCGCAGCAGCAGCAGCCGACGCTGGCGCCGGCTAACAACCTGCGGGCTGAGCGCACGCATCGGTCGTCGTCCGTGCCGTACATCTCGCCGATTATGTCGAGCAGCGCGCCGCGGTCGATGGCCTCACCATACCTGCGGGCGGTCGGCAGCGGGCTGACCACCAGCAGCTGCACCAGCAGCCGGCTGAACCACCGAGACCTGCAGATGAACCTGGCCGGCGCGCGGCAGGCAACCGACCGGTTTCCGAAGCTCTCGATCAGCGGCAGTACCGGCGCCAGTGGGGGCGCGGCGGGGCTGCCCTCGCCGGCGGCGCCCTCGGCCGACGGCAGCGGGTCCTCTTCGGTGACGCCAATGACGTTCCTCGTGTCTCCGCGGCCGCGCGCCAGCACCGCCAGCAAGCACGCGTTGGGCCGCCTGGCGACGGCCAGCCAAGAGTTCCGCCTGGACAAGCGCACGCTGTCGTCGGCAACCATCCCGGCGCTGGAGCTTGGTATGCCCGGGTCGCCGCGAGCGCTGGTTGGCTGCGTCGACATGTCGGAGTTCGGCGTCGGCGGCGGCGCGCCAGGGCCGGGCGGCAGCGTGTCGGAGCCGGGCACGGGCGGCGCCAACAGCAAAAGCCCGGTACTCCTGCCGTCGCCCGTGTCGGCGAGCACGCCGGCGCGGAGCGTTGCCAGCACAGGTGACTCTAGCAGCGAGGCGCACCGGGGCCACAGCCCACACCCCGTGCACGAGACGCACCGCATGCACGTGGTCCACGACCCGCGCACCGGGCGCAAGATGATCAATCAATACATGATCATCCGGGAGCTCGGGCGCGGCACGCACGGCAAAGTCAAGCTGGCGTTCGACACGGCGGCCGGGGAGTACTTTGCGATCAAGATAATCGACAAGGAGTCCCGCGACCGGCGGCTGCGCCCGGGCGCGGCGGCGGCGCGGGCGCACGGCAACGTGCGCATTGATGTGGACAAGATGGAGAAGGTCAAGCGCGAAATCGCCATTCTGAAGAAGTGCTGCCACCCGAACGTCGTGCGGCTGCACGAGGTCATCGACGATGCGCACGCGCGGCGCATTTACCTTGTCATCGAGTTTATGGACGGCGGCGAGATCGCCTGGCGCGACAACGACGGAATGCCGAAGATGGGCGCTGCCGAGGCACGCAGTGTGTTCCGCGACCTGGTGCTTGGCGTCGAGTACCTGCACTACGTCGGCGTGCTGCACCGGGATCTGAAGCCGCAGAACCTGCTGTGCAATAAGGCCGGTCGTGTGAAGATCTCGGACTTTGGCGTGTCGTTCCTGAGCAGGCGCCTCAGCCGCAGCGAGGCCAAGCCGCGGAGGCACCGCAGCAGCAATACGGGCAGTGCCGGTCCCAGTGCCAACGCCAATGCCAATCCTGCTTCTAATGTGGCTGCTAGCCCCACCGCGAGTATCGGTGCCTCGCCGCTGCGCCCCGCAGGCAAGTCTGCCGCGCTGCAGGGCTCGTTGCTCCACCGGTACGCGTCGCAGCCGCAGATGGGCAGCGGGCCCGTGCTGCAGCGCAAGGGCTCGCAGCTCCGGCGCCAGGCATCTGGGCTGTCGCGCGACGGCCTCAGCGGCGCCCATGGATCTGGCTCCGGCTCGCGCAGGCCGGCAATGTCGGTGAGCAGCGCGGGCTCGTCGTTCAGCTCGTCTGGCAGCTCGCAGGGCAGGCGCCAGCCGCTGGAGGAGCACATCCTGCGGAACGACGCCTCGCCAGGCACAGGAACGGGCATGGGCATGACCGACGAGTTTGGCAACCATGCACCCGGCCTGCAGCCGCTAGTGGCGCCTGTGTGCAAGCTTCCGCCCGAGATCATGTCTGCCGACTCAAACGTCTATGATCCGTTCGACTCGTCCGAGAGCGACGAGTTCTTCTCGTCCGATAGCGAGAGTGAGAGCGAGAGCGAGTATGGGAGCATCAAGGATAACGATGGCGGAATCGTCTTTGGGACCAGCCCCAAAGTCCTGTCTGAGGCTGTGCCGCCACCATCAACGTGGCGGCCGCGGCACGAGCGCAAGGGCACGCTGGACGAGATCGACTTCAAGTACGACGAGAAGGACGAGGAGCGCGAGCTGGCAAAGACTGCCGGCACACCGGCCTTCTTTGCGCCCGAGATGTGCTGCACAAACGAGGAGCTGGCCAAGGTGCTCAAGGATGAGCGCGCGCGCCGTATGGCCCATGCCCGCCTGGTGTCGCGCAACCGCGGCCGTTTCAACACTGAGCCCACGACCACGCCTGTCCCGCAGCCAGACTGCGAGACCGACGATGGCACTGGCGCCGGGGCAAAGTCCGTGCGCCCGATGTCGCTTTACTCTGAGCCTGGCCAGGCGACGCGTCTCTCGAAGCGCCACTCGGCCATTGTGTCGCTGCTGGCATTCCCGTTTTCGCAAAAGTCGCGGCTGTCCAGTGGAAGCAACACCAGCAACAGCAACCTGAGCCTTCAAACTTCAGCGCCGCTGCCTGAGGACGACTACGACGAGCCGCTCCCGGCCAATGTCATCACGCCGGCTATCGACATCTGGGCCATGGGCGTCACGCTGTACTGCCTCATCTACGGGCGCGTGCCATTCCGCGCCACGACCGAGTTCGAGCTATTCAACATTATCCCGCGCCAGCAGCTAGAGTTCCCACAGCTGCTCGAAGCATCAGACTCGCCTATGTCCAAGATAATGCCGCCTCTGGATTCTGAGCTGCACGACCTGCTGGTGCGCATGCTGGACAAGGACTTCCGCACGCGCATTACCATTGACGAGATCAAGCATCATCCATGGGTCGTGCGCGATCTCGCGCATCCGTCTAGCTGGGCCCACGAGACCGACCCTGTCCACCGCCCGTCGCTCAATGTGACCCTGCAAGAGGTCGAACAGGCTGTCGTGCCGAAGATGCGCCAGCAGCAGGACGAGGAGCAGGGCTTCCGCGCGTCTCTTCGCCGCCGTATCTCGCAGATGCACAGTACTGCCACGAAGACAAAGTCATCACTGGACTGGCTCAAAATCTGGTAATCTAATCCAGCATTTTTATACTTGAATTGAATTAACAATTTTCTTACACCTAATTGGTTTAACAGACTTATGAAGCTATGAATGTTCCCTGGTTGCCCAGGTTTGTAATCTGAGGGGAAGGTGCCTTTTTCGCCTATGCACCAAGTGGGAGGGGGGCAGGAGTAGGGGGGAGCTGATGATAAATAAAAGCATTTACAATCAAAATCGCATTTGTAATAGCAACGACGGTTGCTTTGAAATCACAAATTTTCCAAGCGTCTGGGGTGGGTCTGGATTTGTCAACCCATGATCGCGCATTTTATAGTGTAAAATATGCCATTTTTCGCAGTCCCAAAAATAATTATTAATTACTTTTTTATTCCCTCTATATATTTATTCTCTACAGCACCTCATCCTCACCAAGCAGTATCAAAACAACAACACTTTCTGACAAGTTTATCCTTTAAAAAGCTTCCATCTCCCCCCTTTGTTTTTTCTTTTATTTTTATTTTTTACACTACAAGCCTTTTTCAATTATTATTATATTTTTTCAACTTTTCAACAATGGTCAAGATTTTCGTCATCACCTACTCAACCTACGGTCACATCAACAAGGTCGCCGAGTCCATCGTTAAGGGACTCCAGAAGACCGGTGTCGAGGTTGGTCGCTACCAGATCGCCGAGACACTGTCCGAGGATATTCTGACCAAAATGCATGCACCCCCGAAGCCCGACCTTCCCACGATTGTTGCCAGCCAGCTTCCTGAAGCCGACGGCTACCTGTTCGGTTTCCCGACCAGATACGGCACGGCACCCGCCCAGGTCAAGGCCTTCTTTGACTCCACCGGGCAGCTCTGGGCCAAGCAGGCTCTTCTGGGCAAGCCCGCCGGATTCTTCTTCAGCACTGCTTCGCAACACGGTGGCCAAGAAGTCACAGTATTTACCTCCTTGCCTATTCTTGCCCACCACGGTATGATTTTCGTGCCCTTCGGTTACGCTCACCCTTACTTGTTTGATAACAGCGAGGTTATTGGTGGTTCTGCTTGGGGTGCTGGTACTATTGCTGATGGTGATGGTTCGCGTCAGCCCTCGGAGAAGGAACTCGCTATTGCTGAGGCTCAGGGTGAGAGCTTCGCTAAGGTTGCTACTAAGCTTGCTGCTGCTTAAATCTTTAGCTATTCATTTTTTCTGTATACTGATACTTTTTTGTTGTTGTTTTAAAATTTGACTGTTTTATCCAAATAATAAAAGGTTTGAAATTCAATTTCACTATGCCAAAGTTTCTTAGTCTCCCAGGACTTTCTCTACAATTAACGCACACAGGAAAGATAAACCAAATTTTGGTGCGTTAATTTGGTGTTTTGTTGTTAATTTTACATGATAAATTATTTATCCCACGTTTTACAGATGCACATTTTACTTTTTTAATGTGTTTTGCAACTGAAAGTGCAGCTTTCGCCCAATACAACATTGTAAAACAAAGTAAGAATAAATGCCGCCGGACACAAAATAAAACAAAACAAAACAAAACTCTAATTAAGTTTTTTTTATAACTGTCGTCAGACCGATTGCCGTGCTTCATATGGTCCTGCAACCAACAAGGCTATAGTCAATTATTATATTCGTTTCTCCCCCGCTCGTACTCTCACCCTCACCCGCTTTTGTTTGAAGAGAAAATAGAACAAGACAACACGCATACATTGTTTACACGTGAATAAATATGTGCACATAACCAAAACAGGCCGCACCGCCTACCCTCCAAAAGTAAGAAAAATATAAACTTATGCATAACCGGCCGGCATTGTTTAGCCGGAACACATAGAGAGCGACTTCAACATGGTTAGCTATTTGCATGCTGCAAACATTGCAATACACATTTGGAGCAGAAATGAGAGCATGTTTTTGCACATATCGCCACTAATTGCAAATTGTGTTTATTTGCAAAATGTTCTAAGCAAACAGAATACACACAAGTATCAATAATGGTTGCAGTGTTCATTTACAAGAATTGACAAGATATTTATTAGCCAAATAGCCTCGACAAACATGATAAAAGTTGTGCAAATGGCACAACACGCAGCCATGTTGTTATGTCAAAGCCAGATTGCCCAGCCTCGATTCCCTGGGTTACTTGCTGATTTTAATTCTAAATCAATTTTAATTCGTATATTAATTTCCCTTTTAAACCATGGTCGGCGTGTTCTCAGGCCACAGCTCCTTGACAACGCGGTGGATCTTCTTGCCAGTATGCCTCTCATGGATCTTTTGTGCATTAGACACATCAGCATCCACGATCACCTGCAGCTGCTCTGGGGACATCTGTGCGTTCCTAATGGCTCTCTTCATCTTTAGCGCAAACCTCTCGCGCGCCTTTTGCTCCTCAAGTGCCTTCTTAAACTCCCTCTTGTCAGCAAACAACTTGTTCTCATCCATCTTTGGCGCCATCGCAATATCGACAATCTTGGTCTCGCTCTTCAACTGCATGCTGGCCAGGGACCTGACCAAGTAGCTGAAGGACACCTCAGCCTCAGGCTGCTCCGTGTTCAAAATCTCGATGATCGCCATTGGCGCGTGGTCGCCCTTGCGGTGACCCATGGGGATGATGCGAGTGAAGCCGCCGGGGCGCGTGGCAAACCGCTTGGCATACGTGTCCATGAGCATGGGAACGACAGATTTGGCCTGGTAGAGATAAGCCTCGATCTGGTGCCGATCGTGTTCGGTTCCGCGCTTTCCCAGGGTGATCATTTTGTCAACCAGCCGCCGCAACTCCTTGGCGCGGGGAATCGTGGTCTCAATTCGCCCGTGCTTAATGAGATCTGTCGTCAAATTCCGGAGAACCTGCCGACGGAGCGCCGACTTCATGTTCAGCTTTCTGTGTGCGCTGCCCCCGTGCATTTTAAAATGATTTAGATTTTGAGAAAAGGGAACTAAATAAAAAACAAAAACAAAATTGAGTGTAAAATGTCCAAAAGAGAAAAATAAAAGAGAGCAATTTGATTTTTGATTATTCTGTATTTTTTGGCTGTGCGAAAGGGTTATCGCATTTTAGGCCGTTAATCATAATCGTCTTTGATTTGTAAAAAAAATCACCTTTTTCATATTCGCAGATACACTTTTTTTTATTTTGCGCAGCAGCTCTGTTATTTTTTTGATGCGCCGCTGTTTCCAATAGAAAATTTTGTATGGTGATTGTACGAATATGCCCAATGGCACATCTCGCGTATATAAGAAACGATGAATTTCTTCTCCCCAGAACAATGCGCGTCGTTTCATTCTTATTAATATTGCACTTATTTTTTATCATTTCCCCCAAAAAATAATAATTTTTTCCCTCCTATTTTTTTATTCCACCATATCTCTTTTCTCTGGTTTACAAAAGAATCAACCACACTGCCACTACAATGTCTCAGTACCCGACCCAACAGCCTCGAGGTGGCCACGAAAGCACCGAAAAGCCCATCATCGTCTCCTTTGAGGACAGCGAAGCCCGACGAATGCAAGCGACCCTGCGCAAAAAGCTAGGTCCCGAGCACGTCAGCACGCGTCAGGGCATGGGTAACTCACGGCTCTCGTACATAGAGGGCTGGCGCATAATCAGCATAGCCAACGAGATATTTGGATTCAACGGCTGGCGCTCAAGCATCCAGAACCTCGCGATCGACTTTATGGACATGTCCGAGGGCGGCAGATTTAACATCGGCGCTAGCTGCGTTGTTAGAGTTACACTTAAGGATGGTACATACCGGGAGGACGTCGGATTCGGCATGATTGAGAACACAAAGTCCAAGGGGCAGGGTCTGGAAAAGGTCAAGAAAGAGGCGACGACGGATGCTTTGAAGCGGGCGATGCGCCAGTTTGGAAACGTCTTGGGTAACTGCGTGTATGATAAGGAGTTTCTCAAAAATCTTGGCCAGGTTCCGAAGCAAGCGAGAGAACTGATCCAAGGAGACGCCCTTTTTAGGTATGGCGACTTGGAAGACCAACAAAACGGAAGGCAACAGCGCGAGCTCCTGTGTGCCGCTGTTCAGCCAAACAGCCCACAAGATATCATTGCTTATCAGAATGGGGCGCAGCAAAATGGTGCGCAACACAATGGGATTCACAGTCATCCGCAGCCACCACAACATCCGCAGCTTCAGAGTGCCAATAACATCCAACGGCAGCCCATGGCACAACCAGATGCGCACCGCCGGATTGTCGGGCAGCATGTTAACGTAGGCGTAGAAGCGAATTTCTTTGGCAATGGGAGTTTAACAGGTATGCATATTTTTCGCATTTACGAGGCTCGTGTGAAGAGAGCCTTGTTTTATACCTTGTATGTGTTGCACTTTTTTGCATTTTATTAATATCTTGTGCGTTTCCACATTTTTACATGCATTTTTTACTGACTTGGTAGCCGTCGACGATAATGCCGCAGACTTTGACATGGATGGCTTGGACGATGAAGGTGTACTGGATATGATAGAGGATTTGGAAACCGACCGGCCGATTATTTTTGACAGCCCCGCTTGCTTTGGCCGTAGTGGAGCATTCAACCCCCAGCAGCAGCAGACACCCGCGAACAGCGGTAACCTGGTCAACAAAGGTAGCTGGAAACCGTCATCAGTCCCTGTGCAAACCAACTTTGGGAACAATGGTCACTCTGCGCCGGGCCTTTTGAACAACACGGCTGCGCAAGTCCAGGGCGGTGCCCATAATGCCAGCGGCGTGGTTACCTCTGCAGCCCGGAATCTGGGGTTCCAGCACCAAGAATTCAACCAGCAAAACCAGCACCAGTTACGACAACAGCCTCAGCTGCCACTTTCAAGGCCAGCTCCGGCTGTGGTAGCTCCAAATAACGCCGGTTCTGGTGCTGGGGAGAGGGTTCGCTCATTTGCCGATATTAGCTCGTTCTTGCCAACAACACAGAACAGCACCCCTGGGTCGACGGCGGTGGTCCGCCTGCTGTCCGAGACCGACGGTGGCGACTCGGCCGATCTCAGCAAACAGAGCCCGACCAAAAGGCTGTCGCGTTAGTATACTTTTTTCAGCTCCGCATAGGTAATATACAAAAGCATACAGTATAAACTATATTAATTTAACCTGGTCATTTAAATAAGAATAAACCGATGAGTTTGCGCCTTATTCACTTTGATGAGCAGCAAGTAGCACCCTTGCCGCACGAGAGCTTTGTTGGGAACACGTCCGAGGGGCGTTCCGGAAGGTCAACCTCGCTGCTGCCAATCTGCCGCGGCTGCTCCGAGCCCGGCGACGAAAGCAGACTCAGGTCCAGCTGTGCGTCACGGCGCGAGATCAAAAAGTACCCGCGGGGGAGATTAGTATCCTCGTCCACTGGCTGCAACGAGTCGTAGAGCTTGTCGACGTCGCAGAACCACGATGGATACTTGTACCGCGCGCTGTCTAGGACCAGCGCCTGGTTGGTTCCCGGGTGATAAGCGCCTATGGGCGAAAAGTGGCCATCGCCGGTCTGGCCCAGAGCCTGTCTGGAAAAGGACAGTACCATAAAGACGTCGTCGCGCTGCGTGACGTACTGGATATCCCGCAGGAACTCCTCCCTAGTGGCTGCCTTGCCGCGCTTGGCGACCACCTGCGCGTGCGAGCTGGCCAGACAGAGGAACTGGTCAAAGGTGATACCATTGGCCTTGAGATCAGACTCTGTGCGGCACGATTCGAGCAGCTCGTCACTGTACCAGCGCCAGACGCCCTTCCACGTGCGGCCAGGATCAACCTCGAGCGCATTGAGCACCATTGCTAGGGAGCTGGGGCCACAGTACGCGGGCTCGGACTGGACAGTGAAATTTCCGGCCAAGTTGAAGTAGCCCTCGGCGTATCCCTCGTTCAGAGACTCCTTGAATAGCTTGCGGCCGTCCGGCGAGGTGAAAGAAACGAGATTATCCGGAAGAGTGCGCCTGTAGTACGAGGTGGTCTCTTTGACTGGAGCGGAGATTGTCGTGGCCAAGTTACTTGTGTTTGTGGCGTCTGCTTCGTCAGCAGACTCTGCCAGTGTTGCCGCCAAGGTCGCTCCTGCTGTGCTTTTTGCTGAAACATGGGCAGGCGTATGATGTTTACAGGACATATCGGCCATTCGCTCTGCAAGGGCTTCCGAAAAAGACGATGTATGAGTCATCCGGCACAGGCTGACCATTTTTTGCTTGACGCACTGCTGCTGCTGATGCTGGTACTGCGTGTCAGCCTTGTTGGTGCCACCGCTGGCAGACATCATGCAGAGAATATCCGAGTCAGCTCCAGGCGACGCGGGTTCGAATGTAGAATGAAGAGTAGATATGTTTTTACTCGAAGACATTGAAGCACACCGATATTTAGACGCTTTGGATATTGAAGATGGTTTTGAAGTTGAAGAGAAGCAAGAGCAAAGTTGGGAAAGTGCCGGGGTGGCAGATGCCGATCTTTTATAAGATGCCGACTGAAGCAAACGCGAGGCTGCAGTCATTGTTGTGTTGGGTTTTGAGCGACAAAGGCCTTTTGTAGCTAGAAGAAGAAAAAGAGAGAGAAAAAGAAGGAGAGCAATGGCTGGATATAGGAGGCAGACTTAAAAAGGATGTGTACCCCAAAGGTTATACGAATTGGTGCTGAATTTTGGCTTTCAGAATTTCCTGCCTTGTAATGTTTTCGATTTGAGTTTGGGTTTGAGTCAGAGTCCAAAAGCGAGTATTTGGCTTGGGTTGACACCGCTGAATTAGCTGCCCGCTTTGAACGCTTGTGTGGGAATGGCGAGTATTTAAAAAAGGAAGTAGAGGGTCGTCAGACTGCAAATAAAATAACAAATTTACAAGAATTGACAGAAATGAAAAGAAAAATATTATTAAAAGAGAGGCTGATCAGGTATGTGCTAACTAAATAAAAAAGAAAATGGAGTCACCTCTCATTTTTATAGCAGAGGTGAAGGGGTAAAAGGTGTGGCCAGAAAACTTCACGAAATTTTTATTTTTTACTACTGAAGACGATTGCGGCTTATTGGCGATTGGCTCAAGCAGTGGAAGGTTCTCCACACGAAAAACAGCAGCCACCCAACCAGCCAACCGGCCGCAGCGTATTTCAAATGTGTGAATACACAGACATTTGAAGATCGAATCCCAACGACTGGGACCAGTTAGAAAAGAAGAAAAGAAGGCTTATCTGATGCAAAGTTTTCACTTCATTGTTTGCAGGAACGACGTAATCAAATCGAAAAAATCAGCAACGAAAAGCAGCAATCAATTTGCCAAAAAAGAGAAAAAGAAAAAAGCTACGCGGAAGAGTCCTCGGCAGTGTAGACGGCGGCGGACAGCGCCTGCACCTCACGCGAGGCGCTGACATTTTCGAGATATTGGTTGGGCACGCCATTGAGTATCTGATGGCCCTCGCGCGCAATCCGCGGCAGCAGCTGCACGACAACAACGCGGCTCTCCTGCGGCACGGAAAAGTGCTCAAACTCTTTAACAACGTCATCAAGATCGGGCGCTGCCTCGCCATCGATGGTGGGCGGCAACGGCGCACGAGGCGCGGGTGCGGGGAGCGGCTCAGGGAAGCTCTCTTGTAGCGCCTCGAGCAGTTGCGCGGTCAGCCGGTCAATACAGCTGCTGAAAACAAACCCAAAGTCGGGGCTTTCAATAACATCGCGGAGCTGATCCAGGAGGCGCGTGAAAACAGGCGTAAAGACGCGCTCGGCCACCAGGTGGTTGGCCGCCAGGTAGTCGCCGACATTAGTGTCACCGAGCGGCAGCAGGATGACCGGCAGGGTCTGTGCCAAGCCGTTCTCGCGCAGCCGAGTGTGGATGCTGGCAAACAGCGCGCCGAGCTCGCGGTGCGATATGCGCTCCTTGAGTGACAGCTTTCCGACACAGTGGTGGGTTGCGTCAGATATCAGCGCCATCAGATGGCGCCATCCGCGATTCAAGAGCCACCAGCTCAGCATCAAAAAGTGCTGCTCGTCACTCGACGACAGCCGCGACACGAGGCGGCCCTCCAGAGCCACGTCATCGCCAGTGTACTTGCTAACAACCGAGTCAAGGTATGTGCTGCGTCCAATGATGCTAAGCTGCACGTGCACGAGCATAGTCAGCAGTGACTCGGAATACACTGCAATTAACGTGCGCGCAAAGCTCTGTATCTTGATGTCTTCCCAGATCTCGACCTTGGATCTTCTTTGAGGCTCCTCCGCCGGAGTTGGCTCATATGCTGCGGGCTTCGACGGCTGCTCGCCGTCCTCCTTTCCTGCGCCCAAAGCATCGCTCCCGGACCATGTATTGCCGCCATCATGAGTCTCCGATTGGTCTGCGCCGGCCACAGCCGCCGGTGCAGTAATCTTCGGTGCCGTGTGAATAGCGCGAAGCTCAGTAATCAGCCTCTCAACGTCCACCTCGTGCAATAGCTGCTCGCTGAGCTCGGGCAGCAAGCTCATTATTGTGATCAGACAGTCACGCTGGTTCATGTCAAAGCGCCTGCGGATGTTGTCCTTGGCCGCACGCTCCTTTGCTGAGGCCTCCTGCATGTCTGCCAGCCGCCCGAGCAGCATTTTGCCCGAGTAGTACAGTCCTCCGGCAATTCCCGCTGTGATGACGAGCTTGCGCTGGTGCTTTCTGACAAACCCCAAGATGCTGTCGAGCATGTTTGTATTTGATTTGCTGAGTGCTATTGGGTTGGGTGTTTTACAAAAAAGGAGAGAGCTGGTGAATGCAGCGTAAATTTGGACAGAGTGCAAGTAGGTTTTGAATTTAAATATTTTTTAGAGTGCGAAAGCAAGGAACGCGACGACGCATAAGTGAGGGGAAGCGGATACAAAACTCAGAGAGGAAAACCACCAGCTGTCACATGCTTCTTGGTGATGCAATTGCACCTCAGAAATGGAAATGTTGATCAAATAAATCAGTACAAAAATTAATCACCATGAATATTCCCCATTTTAATGTTGCAAATTTGGCTGGCTCAGTGCTGCAAATGCATTGTACGAGTGAGAAGAACAGGCAGAATTCATGGTTGCTGTCTATCTTTTTAATGCGAATCAACAGAAAAAGGCGGGCGCATCGAGGGAGGAGGCAACAATAAATGGCTGTCCAGCTGATTCGCAGCAAATACTCTTGCCTTAAATTTGTTCTTTGCATCAGGCAATATCCATGCAGTTCACAGCAGAGCAAAATGCAACATCACACAGATTAAGAACATCGTTTTTTGCTCACAATATGGATGTGTCGAATGGCGAAATGCAAAGCACAATTTAAATATTCATTTCTGTAGGACCCCCCTTTTGTTGCAATATAATCATAACGTTTTAAAGCTTAATTTTGTTATTTAGCAGGAAATTGCGACGTAGTAGCAGAGTTAGCAAGTGGTATTTATATTTAAACATCGTTCATTCTGCCCTCCCGTGTGTGCATAATTTGAAAAAGAAGAGAATACACCAAGGCTGACAATAGAAAGCTAGGGAACATTGTAACATTTTGCCATATGCATTTGTTGGCGAAATTGCTCGCTTGTATTATTATTGTCAGTGAATTCATATGATAAACAAAAGAAGCAATATAAAAGAAGCAATTCAAAGGTGGCAGGGACAGCCATCCACTCATTTATATGCAATGAATGGGTTTGAAATATGATATTGTCACAATACGCCACTGAAACTGCCATGATGGCAATAATCTTTGACTACACTTTTCTAAAAATGTACCATTTCATCATCAATTCAAATGATGATGGCAAATGAGTCTTATTTTCCAGTTCACTAGATATTTTGTACTAGCTTTTCGCATTAAAGCTTAACATTAGTAGCATATGTATTTGTTTTTGCTTGCCTATGCATGAGCGCCCAAATGCAAATGGCGCCACCTTCATCACAAAAGGCTGTTATTAGTTTATTTCCTATTGAGCAGAAAGAGGAATGGCAGTGTGACGGATTTAAATCGGTTTCCCAGTAAGCATTTTAAAAACAGGAACATATCTTGCATTTGCACTTACACAGATGGCCCCCAAATAAAATTTTCAAGTGTATTTTCCACAGTCGAGCCTGGCATCTGTAAATATATTTGTAAAATAAAAACAGAGTGCGAGAAGGATCTGCCTGCATGCATCATAATGCTTCTTAAATGTGCGAAGCATGCAGGTGGATAGGCATCCAAATAAAAATACCGCTTTTGATAACCTGGAACTATAAAAATGCCAGAAAAATAATGACAGAACTCTACGGAATTCGGCTAGTCTGACAGCTTGTATGTATACTGTATTCCGCATGATATAAAAAAATTGAGGGCGCTCTTTTGTCACTTCACTCGCTTTCTTTTGGCTTCGAGGTCCTGTAGCGAGTTTGCCACTCGGGGGTGTGTCCGCATGAGGAGCGGCGGGACTAAATCGATGATAATATCCGAGATAGAACAAATAACATTTATTCTATAATATATTGAAATTGATAAACGGGTTTATTTTGTTTTGCCTATTGCGCCAACTGACCACAAGCAAGCGAAATTATCAGGTGCAGAATGGGCTTGCCCAGTGTGCGCCCATTGGCTATCACGAGCGCGCCTTCTTTCATAATGAGAGGCTTGCAATATGAAAAATTAAATCGAGCGTGCGACAAAAAAAACAAGGAAAGGGATGGGGAGAAGAGGGAGTGAATCTTGTCCAGTACAGGACACAATGTCAAGATTTTTGAAAGCAAGATTCATGTGTTATTGGTGTTTCACTGGCAGCCGGACAATCAAGGCAGCTTCATTGGATAATAATAACAGTGAATGTAAAAGTAGGATGGGCAACACAAACCAATTATTTTATATAAAAGACTGTCCATGACGGGACAATTTAATTTGTCATACTTGTTTTTTTTTCTCTTCTCAACACTACTGCGATTTCTTGTCATATTGAGACCATCCCTACTTTTTATATTTTTTATTCCAGGCGATCAAAGATATCTCACATCTTGCTTTCTCCCTCTCTCCATTGACAATCCCTCAATTCCAATTTTACCTGTCGGTCTGTCTCTGTTTGCCTTAGGAGAAACTTGCACCTGTATTCATATATAAGCGCGCCATTGCCGTCATCTAATTTCTTCAGTATATTTTTTTCCAACCCTAAAAGAATTCTCACTGTTCCATTTTTTAATTTTAATTTTACTATTATCGCAGTTCGGCTCGCACGATAAAAAAAATCCAGAATGAACAGCATTAATACCGCCATTCAAACCGATGTCGTCGCGCACATGCATGGCGCAAAGTTCAAGCCCTCAGCTAGCGAGCCATTGTCACATAAACCCACGAATGGGCGGCTCAACAGGTTTGCCAGTACCCAACTAGCACCGCTGGATATCAGCAAGGCATCGTACGCCCACAACTGCCCCAAAGTGGACCTGCTGACACCAGACGAAGCCCATCCGTCATCAATCGCCCAATTCCCCCTCCACTCACCTGTAAATGCCAACCACCCCAACTACCCAGCGCCGTCTTCTCCAACATACCTAAACACCAGCATTACTTTTTGCCCCAGCATCCTGACCCCAGACATCCTGGAGGACGAGGATGGCGACGTGTTCACACCATACATCATGGACAGGATCGAACCCAAGGCGCGCGAGCTGCAGCGCTCATCCCGGTTCTCGCTACTCAGACGCCAGCGCAACTCACCCAAAATGGTCTCATCCTCGGTGACGCCCGACGGAATGGTGACGCCGGGATCGACATCGGCCTCCAGCAGCTCTTCGGAGTCCGGCCACAAGCAGGAGGCGGGCTCGACATTGCGCCTCAAGCGCTCGCTATCCGCGCTCCTGCACCGGTCGACCAGCATGATACGAAGGAGCAAATCAAACATTTTCCGCAAAAATCACACGGGTGGCAGCGCCAATGACAGCTGGGAGCGGGCGCACACTGATGAGGAGAAGTCACAGTGCAACCAGGGACTGAGCAGCCATATGAGCCTGTCCTCTACTGTGTTGACGCCGGAATTTTCCACTGAGAAAAAGAGATTCGCTTGTGCATTTTCTGTCTCGCACTTCAACGTGGCCATATCCAACACCATGGTGTCGCCGCTGATTGGCAAATCCATGATCCACATCAAGGTTATCATGGACGCTGAAACCATCATTGTCATGTCCATGGTGCGCACCATTGTGTTTGCTCTTGCTCGGGAGCGCATTCTGACAAAGCTGTTCCAGGGGGGCGTTCCATTTGTTGTGACCAAGCGGCGCAAGCTGATTCTACGCAATCCTGATTGCGGCAAGTGCGTTGCTGTTGTTGGTGACAATCAGACTTGGCGGAACGTCTTGGATACCGCTGGATACAGCTCGTGGCTCTGTGGCGACGACACTGCCACGAGCACACCTAGATTGAACGAGATGTCCGATGGTGGCGATGCCATTGTGGGTTCTGGCGTCAAAACTGTGATGAAGCTGACCCTCCATCTAGTCGACCCCAGCGAAGTACCAGTCGCTTGATTTATATCCAGCAGCAGTTGGGCATTGCAAGCTGCGCCCGATTATTTTTTATTTAACGCCGACACTTTTCCGGCCGGCCCAAAGAGATAAATAAAAATGTTGTACTATAGAACCAGTCAATTGCGAGAGCGCAGTACTTTAAAATTTTCACTTGCAATTTGTTTTATTTGCTCCTTTGAGCTTGGCTCCCCCCAAAATAGATGAATGCCACTTCCACAACATACGCGGGAATGATAATTATAAAGGTGCTATTTATAGCCACAACCATGCATCCGAGTCTCAGAAAGAGATAAAAATAAAAATTAAGCTGGCTGTTTGCGTTGAGGGGCGCCATATGGTAACAAATACACAAAATTTTGTAGCTTCAGGCCGTTAATGACTCGTCTTTTCGGCAAGCAATAGTAGGAATAGCTAAAAGCATGTCTATTTTTTGTGTTGTAATGAAGCTGTAAAAATAAATTCTTACCGAGAGGAAGAATTACAACAACGCCAAGTTGTGTTCGAAGCATGTGCTATTTTTTGGCGTCAGCATTGTTTGCATTTTTATTTTTGCTATATTATACAGTGTTTCTGCTATCCGCACAACATCCGGAATTCTTTGAGTATAAGAAAGCTTCCGAGGGGGAATCAGCAAATCTGGTCGAGGGGATGCAGCCAGAAACAAGTCTCTTTGCCTCCACTGCAGCTGATGCCATTTGCTTCCCCACTGCTGCTTCTACTCCCTTCTCAAAGGAAGGGGAAAAGTGTTGTAATGTTTTTTTCCGCTCCCTTGCGTTATTTGTCCCTTTTCTTGGCCATTTTCACTCCTCATCTTTCTTCTCTTTCTTCTGTATCATCAGCCTTTTTTTTGTTCTTCTACTTATTTCCTGCGCTTATTATTTTTTATTTTACATTTGACGCCGTCCACTCTATTTCCAAGAAAGCAAACAAGCAAGCAAACAAGCACGTATTTGTACTCTTACAAACACACTAATTCAACTTTGACATTTGTTGAAAAATGGTCAACCTACCTATTCCCCAGTCCCTTGACAAGGAGTGCATCAAGGCAGCAAAGATTCTCAACTCGTTTGTCACTCCCGGAGGCGAAGGCACAGACAAGTTTATCCCGCCAGATATTTTGGCCAACGCCAAGGGTATAGCCTTTCTGACTGTGCTGAAGGCTGGCTTTATTTGGTCTGGTCGCATTGGTACCGGTCTTGTTGTTGCTCGGTATGTATATTATTTTGCTATGCTGTCCTATTTTGTATTGTTTTTTTGCGCGAATGTATTTTGATTGTATGGAGTTGGTTAGTGCGGGGGAGAATGATATTTCCTATTTTTGGTGCGACTGGTTCAACGCTCCCGTACAATTTACTATCCTCAGTTATGATGTGACCGCGTTTACTTTCTCTTCAAATCGGTGCAGTGATACTAACTACGACACACACTTCTCCCCTTTGTCATCCTTTTTGTGTTTAATAGCTTGCCCGACGGAACATGGTCTGCACCTTCGGCAATCAACACGGCCGGTGCTGGTGTTGGAGGACAGATTGGCGCCGAGATGACTGACTTTGTCATGATTTTGACCAACGACGCCGCCGTCAAGTCCTTCAGCCACGGCGGCAACGTCACACTGGGTGCCAATCTCACAGTGGCAGCCGGTCCCTACGGCCGCGGCGCCGAGGCTTCCGGAACCATCCGCAACCTCGCTCCTGTCCTTTCTTACAGCAAATCCCGAGGCCTCTTTGCCGGTGTCTCGCTCGAGGGATCTGCGATTTTTGAGCGTAAGGATGCAAACGAGAGGATGTATGGCCGTAGGGTACGCGCACATGAGCTCATGAGTGGCGCTGTTGCGCCACCCCCACAGGCAGACGTGCTGTATCGCGCGCTTGACCTCAAGGCGGCCCGACTGCCTAATGATATTGGTGATGGTGCGAGTGTCTACAGTGGAACTGCCTCGGCGGCTGGTGCTGGGTATGCAGCTGGTGCGGGAACATACGGCGCTGCTGCTGGAACATATGGTGCTGCGAACCCGAGTCCCTATGGTGCTGCCGCCGGAACATACGGTGCTGCAAACTCGAGTCCCTATGGTGCTGCTGCTGGAACATATGGTGCTGCAAACTCGAGTCCCTATGGTGCGAGCCCGAGCCCCTACGGTGCCGCCTCCAACTACGGGGCCAGCCCCGCATTGCCTGCCGCTCCGGACAACAGCTCATATTTGAATCGCAGTCTAACCGAAAACATTGACAAAGCCGCCTCCCCTGCATACGGCGCAGCCAGCAACTACGGAGCGTCCAGCAGCCAGGCATCTCCAGCGTATGGGGCTGCCGGTTACCATTCAGCGGTACCAGGGAGTACAAAAGCTGGCGGGCGGGCACCCCCGCCTCCGCCTCCACCCCGCCCGAACGACACCCCTGCAGGTATGCGCGCGGTGGCCAACTACGACTTTAACGGAACCGAGGCCGGCGATCTGTCATTTACAAAGGGCGATATCATAACGGTGACCGAGAAGAAAGAGAGCCAGAATGACTGGTGGGAGGGAATTTGTAATGGCAAGACGGGATCATTCCCAGGAAACTACGTGTCGCTAAGCTGAACAGCATCACAGCTGTAAACATGGCAAATTATATATGCCTTGTCTTTACACATTTATGCGCAGCTTTTCTTTGCTTCTTTTTACAACTGTCTAGGCAATAAACATTTTCTTTTTTCATCACAGAAGTTTTGTATTTACAGCAAAGGAGAGAGAGGGGAGGGAAAATGGTCATTAAGGCAAGAGCACATATTGTTGCACACAGATCAGGACTGCTGTCCGGGACCATCGCGGATGATGTGCAGCACACGAGCGTCCATATCTTCTCCCACGCCTTCGTCTCCAAAAGCAACCCCCTCATGTCCACCGCCGCTTTGCTCGACGCCCAAACCACTCTCTTCGTCGGCAATGCTTCTGCCGCTGCCGCTGCCGACCTGGTCTTCGCTCTCATCGTCCGCCAGCGCATGGTAGCCGTTGCCCGGATGGTTTCCTACTAATGTGCGCAACGCCATGACACCAGTGGGTACAAGCTGGAGGCTCCTGTGCACAAGTACCCCAAGGGCCACAAAGGCTATGATGGACATTATCATGATGGCAACAAAGGTCGTTCCCCAGTCGTCGTTTGACGGGTGCCGCTCGACCGGTGGACGCGGCGGCACAGGCGTCTCACCGCTGTCCGCCCGCACTGCTATTAATGCTAGGAATACTGGAATCGCGCGCAAGAGCATCAAGTTAAATTGAAATTTGCACTGAATAAAACAATAAATAAAAAATATTGAGGAAAGACAAAGCGCGTGGGCATAACATGGCTAAAACGATGCACTTCAAAAAAAAACCGCATCGTCATACTGCACACACGTGATTGAGTATGCTGCCCCCCCCCCCCGAAAACGGAAACGAAAATTTTCATGTGCAGCAATAGCAAAACAGGGCAAGAGGCAAACAGTCCTTTTACCCTTCTTTTTTTCCACGCTCATTCACAATTTTTGTTATATTTGGTTTCTCTTGTTAATTCACACAAAAACAGCGCATTTACAAGCGGCAAAAGGCCAAGCTCACGCACCATTCGATTATTTATATTAGTACTCACTATCTGGTAATACATAGCAGTCAAAGAACAAAAACAGAGGGAACTTTTGCTAATGGGGAACACGCAATCGACAGAAGCTGAACCCAGCAATCGCCGGCACAATGTCTCGCACCACAGAGCTGGCTCTGCAGAGGGTGCATCGGGAGCGGCACCGACCGCTAGTGGTGGACTCTCGCACCGTCTTTCGCGGCGGACCAAAACCCCCGGAGCCGGAACAACCACGTCGGCAGCACCTGTGCCGGTAATACAGGTTTCTGGCGGCAGCGCGGATGGCCAGAACCAAAAGCAGCGGCAGCAACAGCAGCACAGCTATCGCAACCATGCGGCAGGTGTCGGTGCCATGGACATGCTGACCCCAGTTGTAGGCTCACCGCTTCCAGACTCTAACATGATGATTCCAGGGCAAGGCAGCGTGGGCAGGGGCGGGCGCAGCCCAGTGCATATTGCAGTACCTGAGGTTATTCCGCAAACACTGCCGAAGCAGGGCGGGTTGGCGCAAATGATGGGTGCGCGTATGATTGCGCCTGGTGCTGGTGGCCGCTCCCCGCGCAGTGGTATCTCTGAAGATCTCCGGCTGATGGGCAACGCTGGAATGGCCATTCCCAGACGCAGGAGCAGTGGGCTTGCCAGCAGCTTTTCTCCAAATGACGACTGTGTTCGGGCGGAAAAAGTTGTTCCGACGCTAATCCGGTGGACAGAGCCCGGAGACATTGTGTATATGTCGGGGTCCTTCATTGATTGGCAGTACAAGATCCGGCTGCACGAGAACGACGGCATGTTTGGTGTGGTCGTTGACTTGCCGGTGGGCACGCACTGCCTCAAGTTTATTGTTGATGGCAAGTGGCGTTGCTCCAACCGTTTCATCATTGCGCCAGACGAGGACGGCAATCTGGTCAATTACTTCAAGGTCGAGGACGTTGTTGAGGAGCAGGACCAGGAGAAGGAGGACAACGTTGAGGGTCTGGATGCTGCCGCACTGTCTAACTCGCCACCTGGCGAGTACGGCAATGCCATTCCTGACCTGGCTAAACTCGCCAGGGAGTCTACCAACAGCAGGCGTAATGAGCCGCCGTTGCTCCCACCTCACCTCAACCAGGTGCTGCTCAACAGCTCGGATATCAGCGGCGATGACCCCAACATCCTCCCTGTGCCTAATCATGTCGTGCTCAACCATCTATACGCTTGCTCGATCAAAGACAATGTCATGGCTGTTTCAAGCACATCGCGCTACCGGGGTAAATACATGACCACAGTGTACTACAAGCCCGTCACGCCCTTGAGCTGAACTATGCAAATGAGATGGCGCGCATTTTTCTAATAAATCATTTTCATATCGTTATATTAATAATTCCTACACATTCAAATATACATGCATATCGATGTTATATTATGTTTTGGCGGTTATCCTGACCAGTTCAATATATACGAAACATAAAGCAATTCTTTCACACATCCTTTTGGCAAAGGACATGTTGGGCTGACAATAAACCAATATGCGAATATTTTAGTAGAATGAAAATAAAACGATTACATTCCACTTTATAATTAAATGCTCATGTGTTTGTCATTTTCATTTAATTAAAACACTCTTTTCTGAGCTGTTTTTTTGGCACAGGGGGTTTTTTTTATATAAAAAGTAAAACACAGACATTGGTTTCTTTATTTTTCTATCAACTTGGCTTGCCCCGACCAAGGCAAAAAGCAATGGCAATGACAAAAGGCAGTGGCAGCAGCAGCAGCTGGTACGACAGCAACAGAAAAGGAGTTGGACTGAGTAGAATGAATAAATCTTACATTTACTTTTTCATTTTTTTTCTGGACTTTTATTATTTAAAATTTATTCTCATTTTCTATTCTTTGACATTAAGCTTTGTATTATTTATTACTTGGCCAATTAGGCATGCGACTATGCTTATTATTGGCTATAAATGGACGAACCGGTCGAATTGAACACGGTTGAGGTGTACACCATGGACTAGACGGACCACGAGTGAGTCACCTTGTGTCTGGGTCAAATGTATAAGGATGCTTCTATTTTTGAAATAAAAGGTACAATCAGAGACGAGCTTCAATCGATTTACAAAGAATATAATGCAAAGCCAAACAACATCAATTATAATAACTTTGGCATGAAGCTCACATACGACAGAAACCATATTGATGGCCCATATGTTACATTCAGGAGTATTGGATACGGAGGCAATGGCAACATACTGTTCAAACTACTAATTCCTGAGATCTCGCTGCAGAGATTTAACCCCCAAAAAGCGGAAGAGAGAAAAAAGAGATGCGAAGAATTAGCAATACAAAAAACTCAAGAACAAAATGAACTTGGCCAAATAATTATTAGCGGAAAACAGTTTAACGGTATGAAAAAGCAAAATCCAGATGGAAGGTACGATCTAAAATCAAAGAAGCTAGAAATGGCTAAGAGATTAAATCAGCAGGCCCTTCAGGGGCCACACCAATTTGCCGTTGAGAGAATAGTCCAAAGACGAAAAAGACGAAAAAGACAAAATGAGGACTGAAAAAGACAATACGATGATTTGGAATACGATAAGTCTAAGAGACAAGACTATGGACAGCAGTGCGACGAGCAAAGCGGACAAAATAACAAAATTAACCAAAGCAAAGAAGCAAAAGGGCATGATGACAAGATGTCAAAGGCAGACATGAAGGAGCAAAAAGAGAAGCAAAATATGCAAAAAAATAGATATTAAAAACAAATGAAAGCAGCAAAGGAACAACATAAATATATAAGACCGCAGGAAGACATGAAAAGACCACAGGGAGCAGCAGGAAAACATAACAACATGAGAATGAAACAGAAACCAGCAGGTAAACATGGAAACATGGGAAGGCCACAGGAGGCAGCAAGGAGACATGATGACATGAAAAAACCACAGGTGGCCGCGAGGAGTCAACATGAGTCAGACAAGAGTAAAGAGGCTGAGGAGGCCCGAAAAGAGGAGGCAAGGAATCGAGAAAAGGCCGATGGGGCCTGAAGAAAGGAGGTTGCTAAAAGTCAAGAAAAGGCAATACAAAAAGTGGCAAAAAGAAAAAGGCAGCGGCGAAGAAACCAAAGCCAGTTGCACCAAAGAAGGCGCCAGTAAAACCAAAGGGATATGGAAGCACAAGAAAGGCAAAGAAAAAGGGCCCCCACACACAAGCCGTATTCAGAGGAACAAAACGCACTGGAGGCGGGGGAAGAGAAAGGGTAGAGGGTGTATAATTTTTTAAAATCGTTCAATATGTAAAGTCTAAAATTGATTCAAATTCTTTAGTTTTATTTTATTTTCTATGTATAAACTTTTTTAAATAAAAAATTTAAAAACACGCAAATGTTAGCCATGGTTTTCATATTTGTGACCAAGTAGTGAGCAAACATTACTTCTTGTTTGATATTTTTAAAGCCCCACTTTTTGGCATATCTGTAATTATTTTTATTGAGTTGTTTGGGAAACATCTTTTGGATCTCAGAGAAAATGTGGGTATAGGACCAGATGTGGCCTTTATATTATCTAATTGCTCGACGAGGGCCGGGCTCGGCATTTTGCAAACACGTGTGGTGATCATAAGTATAATTAAATCACAAATAGTCCCGATTTACTCTGTGGATTCTGAGAAGCAGAAGAAAAAAAGGATGACCAATATTTTTTCACACACACTACATAAGGAAAAAAAACCGCGGGGAGCAAGATGATCAGAAATCGACAGACAGCAATTCGTTTTCACACAAGGTCACAGTGGGCAAAGAACTCACAAATTAGTTTGGGGGTGAGGGCGTTATCACAATCACAGACGAGTGCACAAAGTGTTATTAGCAATTTTCAGCAGCAGCAGCCGGGCGCATTTAATTCTGTTTGCACGAAACAGAAAACCCAACACTTCTTTTCTACTTTATCTTTATTACCATCGGGAAGATTATACTCTACATTTTTAGCCAACTTATCAAACATGGACACTGCGCAGCAGCAGCAGCAGCAAGAGACAAGACGGCAGGCAACACTGTTGGATGGAAAGAAGATCTCAGAGCAGGTGCGCGCTGAGCTGAAGAGCGAGGTCGAGGCGTTTAGGAAGGAGTACCCGGGGTTTAGGCCCAAGCTTGTGGCTGTGCAGGTCGGCGAGCGCAGTGACTCAAGCGTGTATATCCGCCAGAAGGAAAAGGCGTGCAAAGAGGTAAGTGAAAATAAAACTACAGTTGGGTGAGGTGAGGTGTGGGATTGCGTGCCCAGCGCAGGGCCAGGACGCATGGGCGTGTGTGTGGGAAGTAAAAATAATAAGGATGCTCAGCCCCAGACTCAACAAGAAATTTTTTTTAACTTGTTTATCTTTTATTCTAGGTCGGAGTCGAATTTGAGCACGTCCAGCTTAACGAGGATATCCAGCAGGAGGAGCTGGACGCCCACGTTGACCGCATCAATCATGACAGCAGCGTGCACGGAATAATTGTGCAGCTGCCAGTGCCCGAGCACCTTAGCACTCGGCACATTGTGCACTCGATCCTGCCGTCCAAGGACGTCGACGGATTCCACGCTGAAAACATCGGGCACCTGTCGAAGCGCGCGACAGAGCCGTTCTTCCAGTCGTGCACACCCCTGGGGTGCATCGAGCTTCTGCGGCGCTACAACATCGACGTCAGCGGGATGGACGCCGTGGTCGTCGGGCGTAGCGACATTGTTGGGTCGCCGCTGGCCATGATGCTGACAAACCTGGATGCCACGGTGACGCTATGCCACAGCCGCACGCGTGGACTCGAGCAAAAGGTGCGGGCAGCCGATTTGGTGGCCGTGGCCGTGGGCTCGGATGCATTCATCAAGGCTGAGTGGGTCAAGCCAGGGGCCGTGGTCATTGACGTCGGCATGAACGCGCGCGACGACGCTACGCGCAAGGCCGGGTACCGGTGGGTCGGCGACGTGGAGGCATCGGTGCGCGAGCACGCCAGCTTTGCAACCCCCGTTCCTGGCGGCGTTGGGCCAATGACCGTGGCCATGCTGCTGAGCAACGTCGTGGCCGGTGCTAAGCGCCAGCACGCTGAGGCTGCGCAGATGGCTATTGTGCCGCGTGCCCTGAAGCTGCGCACGCCCGTGCCCAGCGACATCGCCATTGCCGGCGAGCACGGGCCCAAGCCTATTGCGCAGCTCGCGCGCGAGCTGAACCTGGGCGCCGGTGAATTTGAGCCGTACGGCGCGTTCGCGGCCAAGGTTCCATTGAGCGTGCTGCAGCGGCCGTCGGCCGAGGGCCGTTCGGCGCGATACGTTGTGGTGACGGGCATCAGCCCAACGCCACTGGGCGAGGGCAAGTCAACGGTAACTGTGGGGCTGGCCCAGGCACTGTACGCGCACGCGCGGCGGCCGGCATTTGCCTGCGTGCGGCAGCCATCGCAGGGCCCAACGTTTGGCATCAAGGGCGGCGCGGCCGGCGGTGGCTACGCGCAGGTGACACCGATGACGGCCATGAACCTGCACCTGACCGGCGACATCCACGCCATCACAGCCGCCAACAACCTGGTGGCTGCCGCCGTCGACGCGCGCCGCTTCCATGAGGCCACGCAGACCGACGCGCAGCTGCTGCAGCGCTTGTGTCCACGTAAAAAGGGCGTCGCGCGCACTGTGGCCAAGCCGCTGCTCCGCCGGCTCGAGCGCCTGGGGCTCGGCGAGTGCTCTGTCGATGAGCTGGACGCCGACCAGGTGCGGCGCCTTGTGCGCCTGGACATCGACCCCGAGCGCATCAGCTGGCGCCGTGTGCTCGATACCAACGATCGCTTTCTGCGCGAAATCACCGTAGGCGAGGCCACATCTGAGCGCGGCATGGCGCGCAAGACCGGGTTTGACATCGCTGTGGCCAGCGAGATCATGGCCGTGCTGGCGCTGACGTCGTCGCTGGCCGATATGCGCGAGCGCCTGGCTCGCATGGTCGTTGGGTTCAGTCGCGCTGGCGATCCCATCACGTGCGACGACCTGGGAGTCGCCGGCGCACTGGCCGTTCTGATGCGCGATGCGCTGAGCCCGACGCTGATGCAGACTCTCGAGGGCTCCCCCGTGTTTGTGCACGCCGGGCCCTTCGCCAACATCGCACATGGCAACTCGTCAGTGGTGGCCGACCGCATTGCGCTGCAGCTGGCTGGTCCGCGCGGCTTTGTCGTGACTGAGGCCGGGTTTGGCGCCGATATTGGGTTTGAAAAGTTTGTCAACATCAAGTGCCGCGCATCTGGACTCACCCCCGACGCTGCCGTCATTGTGGCCACTGTACGTGCTTTAAAAATGCATGGTGGTGGCCCCGACGTTGTGCCCGGTCGGCCCCTGCCCGAGGCATACACGCGCGAGGACCTGCCTCTGCTGGAGAGCGGCTTTGCCAATCTGCGCCGGCATATCGAGAATGTGCGCAGCCTGGGTGTGCGCCCCATTGTGGCCATTAATGCCTTTGACTCGGACACTCCGGCGGAGCTGGCCCTCGTGCAGCGCCTGGCTCTCGAGGCTGGGGCCTACGACGCTGTGCCCACACATCTGTGGGCCAAGGGCGGTCAGGGTGCCGAGGATCTCGCCAACACAGTCATCCGCTGCTGCGAAGATGACGAGCCTGCTACTGCTTCCGATTCCTTCCGCTTCCTCTACACCGACGATATGAGCATTAAGCAGAAGATCGAAGCCATCGCTAAGCAGTTCTACCGCGCGGGCTCTGTCAGCTATAGCGAGGAGGCCGAGAGCAAGATTGCTATGTTTGAGCAATGCGGGTGGGCCAAGATGCCAGTATGCATGGCCAAAACCCAGTACAGCTTTTCGGCCGATCCCGCGCTCAAGGGCGCCCCTGAGGGCTTTGACCTGCCGATTCGCGATATCCGTGCCAGTCTCGGTGCCGGTTTCATTTACCCGCTCTGTGGTGCCATGCAGACCCTCCCGGGTCTCCCCACTCGTCCGTGCTTCTACGACATTGACGTGAATCCCGATACCGGGGACATTCAGGGTCTTTTCTAAGCAACAGAAAACAATATTTTATATTTTATTTGTTTGATGATATAGCATTTCTTATAAACCTATCCGCTGCCTGTTTATCCAATTTCATCCTATCACCACCACCGTCCTCTCCATTGATTCCCTTAGCCTTGTTGATCTTGCCAATATACCTCTGTACTCGCTGCAACTCTGCCATCACTGGGTGTTCCTTGGGCGGTACTCCGTTAACCTTTAAGTATATCCAGAACAGCGTGTCTATTGAGTATGCTATGAGGGCTTCCAACTCGCACCTTTCGATGGCCGAGAGCTTGGAGAGTTGTTCGTTTAGCGGTTGGCTCAGGATCGGTCCTAGTGCGCGCTCTACTTGTTCTATCGCCGCGTCTAACTGGTCTACCTGTTTGGAGAGCTTCTTGTCCATGTCGATTTAAATTGAATTTATAAAGTAAAATGAAAAAGAAGGAAGAAAATAATGAATTGAGTATATATACTGTACAGTAAAATAAAAATATATGTAATATCAAACGAAAAAGAAAGCGCCGAACTTTTACTCTTTTACTCTTTTTTGCGCGGGAGACGAGGAAATAAAAAAATGACAAATGTCGTGCCAAAAAATTCACGATTAGATTAACAAATTATATATTCGGGTGATTAAGGAAACTGCCATTTCTATGGATATGCGCTGTGCAACACCGAATTCCGTCATCAGCGCTTTGAAAAAATACCCTGCCAAGTCAAAAGGCCGCGTCCAAACGTAAGAGCCAAGGAGGCAACACTCTGCTGCGGCCACTCATCCCTACAGGCAGTGCACATATTGATTTATCCACGTATCATGACGGTTATAGCCATTAGTTTTTTAACGCGGGACAGGGCTTTGTCAAAGGAGCAAGTGAATTTATATATCTACTTTCTCTGGGCGAAGTGTGGGATGTTTTTTTCCAGCGCGCCAAATTCTGGTCGCTTGCTTATCATGTACATCTTTTATTTGTGCTCGGATTTTTGTTACTGTGGAATGATGGTTGAAACATGCTCATATGACTTTGGACAACATAGTGAAAAGCTTCGATATATTTTAATAAATGGCGGTTCCACGTGCAATAATGAACCATTGAGAAAAAAGATTCACGAGCGCTCGCCGCGCAGACGCCGGGCCAGCTGCAAATCCTTGGGTTGAATAGTAACCCTGCGTCCATGGATAGCGGCCAAATTAGTATCCTCGAACAAGGAAACTAAATAAGCCTCGGCTGCCTCCTGCAAAGCAGCAATGGCCGACGACTGGAAGCGCAAATCCGTTTTGAAATCCTGGGCAATCTCACGGACGAGGCGCTGGAAAGGGAGCTTACGGATGAGCAACTCAGTGGACTTTTGGTACCGACGGATCTCACGCAATGCGACGGTTCCGGGCTTATAACGGTGGGGCTTCTTCACGCCGCCGGTGGTATTTGTGGTTGGCGCTGACTTGCGTGCGGCCTTAGTGGCGAGTTGTTTGCGGGGGGCTTTGCCTCCCGTGGACTTGCGCGCGGTTTGTTTGGTACGAGCCATCGTTCTGTGTGTGTTGATGAAAAGAAAGAAAGGAATATTTATATAGTGTAGAAAATATAAATAAAAAAGAGGGGGAAGAAGAAAGGAGGTTTGGTCGGGAGATTCTGCGGAGTAAAAGAAAAAGGATGGAACTCTTAGTCTCTGTCCGAACAATTCAATATTCCCGCTATTCTCAGCCAATGTAAAATACAGAAATTTTTACCATGGTCACAAGATATTGAGTTTTGAGCGAGCCAATAAAACCGAGTCGGGGGTTTTTTTGTTTTGCGTGACTGATAAATAACAAATCAGTCCTTGTATTTGAATTACAATTGATTCAATAGATTAAAGCATCAAATTAACATGATGCGTACATATGTGCTTATTGACTAAAGTTTTATAATCCGTGAGTTTATATTTATTACTGAATGAATGCAGCTGCGGATGATCAATGGTTGTAGCTACCCATTGTAAATTTTCAGTCAGGTTTACGCAACTCCATTTTAATTCCGAATGCACATCAAAATATAAAATTTTTTATTTTAACACTTCAACTGGTAACTTTATTCCCAAAAAATAAACTTGTTGCCGAGGAGAAATAGACCCACGCTATTGTTATTTTTCGGCAATTACAATGCCCATATACCAAACCACAGAAAATGAAATCAACATGTAATGCCAAATTGTAAGTGGCAGTAAAAAAACGCAACTGTTACTAAGCCTTGTATGAGTGGCCACTTAGTCAATGAAAGCCACACTACCATTTTTTATTTTACAGTAATACCTCTTTCGTTTTTTTGTTTCTCGCCACAGTTATATGTGGTTACGAACAAAATTTTATACTTCCTTTCGGCATCTTTTTTAATGTAAATCATTCATTTTTCTTTGGAAACTTGCCCGGTAAATAAATCCCGACCTATTTGTCAATCTTATTGTAGTCTATATGCATTTTTCTTTGCAGAATCATAAATGCGGTGACAATATGGTTGTTGGCCTATTATTGTTACACATAAATAGTAAATTTCAAGGTTGCGTAGTTGTGTGTTTCTAGTTGTTGTTGTTTTAGTTGAAATATTACCATACATATTACTCCTTACACCTTGCATACGTTTTCTATCCTACTACCAAACTTTTCTTTTCTTGCCTGTCTTTCAGTTTATTCACGGCTTCTTTATTCTTTTTACTGTATTGAATACACATCCTTTACTCTCCAATCAATAGTTCATTTTTGTCTCTTTCTCTTTAATACATAATTAATTACTTTTACGAGGATCTTTTGTTTTTTATTAAACAATGAAGTTTATCAGCTCCGCATTGCTCATTGTTTCTACACTTGCCGTCGTGGCTCTCCAGGTTTTGGCCGACACGGTAAAGTACACCGGAGTGCCGCATAACGGCGGCCAATCCATTTCAGTTGCTCCATTAAAGTACACTGGAATTCAGTATTACAGCGAGCCGCAAACAACAGCTAGTCCCAACCGCGATTGGCCTGTAATTGTTCATAAGTAAAAATTAGTTTTATGCTCATTTTTTTGTAGCAAAGGAAACCTATTAAAATACAAAGCGTCATGCATTGCTCAAAATCTGCAGTATGTGAATAGAAAATAATTAGATGTGCGCATAATAGATGCGATTTCTTGGGTTTTTTCTTAGTCGTGACAGTTGGTGCGGTTGAACAAGGAACGGAATAAAATTAAAAATTGCTTTTGTTGTTTGCTCACAAGCCTTGTTAAAGAACAAAAGGCTTGGCTTTACTCTTTTTTTAAATAAGGTAGTGTTGAGCTTTTTGCCTTGGCTTGGTTTGCCTTCTTTTGATTCATTATTCGCGTACAAAGTGCTGTGAGAAAATATAAAGACTCAAAGCAACAAAAAAAAGACAGCGAAGGTTGGTGTGGATGTGGGTGACCAAAAAAAAAGTAAAAAAACCATCTGATGGCTTCTTGCCCTCTCCCAGAATCACAAACAAAAAATTGTTTTTCTCTTTTCGTTATTTTTTTTCGTTAATGAAATTAACAAAATTCACATACCTTTTAATTTTTAGACGCTCCTCAAAAGAAACAATATTACCATGCCATCAGCCGTGTGCCAAAGAGGCGTTCAACGATTCTTGCAACTCAAAGCGCCGCATGTTGAGGAATTCGAGCTTGTCAATGACGAGGGAAAAACTCCGCAGCAGCTGCTCAATGAAGCCAAAGTGCTCGTCATCGGCGCAGGCGGACTCGGGTGCGAGATTCTTAAGAACCTGGCCATGTCCGGCTTCAAGGACATCCACGTAATCGACATGGACACTATCGACATTAGCAACCTCAACCGCCAATTCCTCTTCCGCAAGACCGACGTTGGAAGGCCCAAGGCCGAGGTGGCCGCTGAGTTTATCCGGCGCCGGTCACCCGACGTCAACATCACAGCACACTATAAGCGTATTCAGGAGATGTCGGAGGAGTTTTACTTAAGGTTTTCGCTGATTATCTGCGGCCTGGACTCTATTGAGGCGCGGCGTTGGATCAATGCCTTCGTGTGTGGGCTGGTCGAGACGCACGGGTTTGAGGGATTCAAGCCTATTGTTGACGGTGGAACCGAGGGGTTCAAGGGAAACGCGAGGCTGATTCTGCCGACTCATTCGGCTTGCTTTGAATGCGGGCTGACCATGTATAGCCCCAAGACTACATACCCCATCTGCACAATCGCCAACACGCCGCGCTTGCCCGAGCACTGCATCGAGTGGGCGTCAGTGCTCGAGTGGCCACGGCTGTTCCCCAACAAAAAGCTCGATGGCGACGACGCCGACCATATAAACTGGCTGGTGGCAAAGGCGTCGGAGCGTGCAGCGCAGTTCAACATTACAGGAATCACGTTTACGCTCACCCAGGGCGTAGTGAAGAACATCATCCCAGCCATTGCCTCGACAAACGCTATAATTGCTGCTGCGTGCACTAATGAGGCCTTCAAGCTTGTCACATCGTGCAACCCGCTACTTGACAACTACTTGTTCTATTCGGGCGACGAGGGTATCCACTCTTACTCTTTCTCCTACGAGAAGGATCCCAACTGTCTGGTGTGTGGCAACCGCAAGGGTGACTTGACGATCTCGGGCGAGCGGACATTGCAGGATCTTATTGATAAGCTGAAGACCAGCCGGGCGTTCCAGCTCAAGGCACCCACGCTCACTATTGGCGACACCAACCTTTATTTCCAGAATCCCGAGGTGCTCGAGCGCCTTACTCGACCAAACTTGGAGAAGAAGCTGAGAGAGCTTTTTGAGAGCAAATCCACGCTCACTGTCACCGACCAGACGCTGCCGACCAGCCTGCAAGTGACCGTGACATTTGCCGAATAGAATGCTAAAATAAATAATGTTGCAGTAAAATTAAATTGTTTCGCCTTTATTTTTTATTTCCGTTTGCCATAATGTTAGAATGGCTTTGTTACGTTTACTTGGTTTTAGAATTCACTCTTTTTTGTTTTGAATGACCCAAAAAGTCTAAATAACTAAATTTCTTTTTTTGCTTTAGTTTACTGTTCACGCTCTCAACACTATCATCATTTTCGTCATTATGGACGTCAATGTATACAAAAGACCGCTACCATTGAACGGTGTTCAGTGGTCGATAGCAAACAGATGCATCATCGGAACCAGCTCGCGGGTATTCATAGTGTCGCCGCAATTGACAATAGCCGGGGAAATCCCAGTAAAGCGCGAAGTATCCGCAACCATCGAGATGGAGACCGATATCGAGGCCATATCCCTTTTGGAAAACCTCCCTAGCGCATTCCCGTATTCGAACGCAATTGCAGTTCTGACAAGCCACTCTTCCGTCCGTCTCTTAGCCTCGCGGGCAAACCCCAATGCGTCCAATTGGACGGAGGTGGCCAGGCATCAGTTTGGGTCGGCTGGCGACCACGTTTGCGCCATCAGCAGCTGTGTGGTGGCAGGATCCGACGACCAAGGTGCTCCAGTGGTGGCGTGCGGGACAGTAAGTGGGAACATTGAGTTTCTGCGTGTAAATACTACACATGACAGTGATAACAGCAACAACATCAGCAGCGAGGATTCGAGCATTGAAGGTGCAAACACTGGCGGAGCGCGCATGGAAGTGGCTTTGCGATTGGCAGTATCCAACAGGGTCGTGGCATATATGGCCTGGCTGACAGGTGCCGCACCAAGCAATGACGGCCAGCTGTTAGTGTCATGCGCCATTGACGGCACCACAAAGCTCTGGCTAGTGTCTAAAGACGTCTCGCAAGCGCAAGAGGTATCCGCAGTGGTGAGTAAGCGGGATTGGCGCCCAGTCACCTCCCACGCATCCACCAGAAACATTGCAGTCTTGGCCAAACTCGGAACGGCCATTATCGTAGACATTCGACCATCAGGATCATACCAAACGCAGTGCGTGCCTCTGGGCATATCGCAGACACTCATATCTTGTGTGATTGACGAGGATAGAGGTAGAATATACGTGGGGTCGCATGATTTCGTGGTCTTTGTTTTGGCGTGCGAGAATGGGAAGTGGTCCAGGGCGTATGGGGAGGAGGCACCTATGCGGGATGCGTTGCGCAAGACTGTTATTCAGTCATTCACCACCAAGTTCAACATGAAGACTATGTTTTTGCGCGGAATGACACTGTCTCCCAATGGACGCTACTTGGAATTTGTCGCAGAGTAAGTACTGATCCCGATAAACTTGTATGCGATTTATCGTTAATTTTGCTCTATGATTTTTGCAGACTAATAATGTTGATTTTTGTATTGTGAATTTTTTGTTTTGTAGCGATCAGATAAACTGGGACTTGGAAGTTGACGGCCTTGGAATTACGCGTATTCACCATTATCAGTTCCCCGATTGGAGCACAAGGTCCGCTGAACGCTCGCTGATGAAAATAATTAATGGCGAGTACCAGGGCGTTCTGAAATATAATCTGTGGGATGTGCTCAACAATAGCACCATTGTGAGAATCAGAGAAATTGTAGAGTTTTTGCAGCAGATAGACACGATGTTCAGCGCTTCTGAAGATATGAAGAGGCAACATCTGGCTGTTTTAAACTATATTGGCTGCGTGATAAAAGTAAGTTTTTTGTATTGATTAATCTTGTCTAGTTGTTCCTGTCTAGCTGCTTGCATGTGTTTTTTAGGCGACATGCTAATTGAACAGGCCTATGCTTTTTTATACATGCTATAGGACGACCAAATTGCTGCGCTGGTAGCCGAGGCGCGCAGTGCGGCACTCGATCTTCACGTGAGAAGGCTGTTTGAGCACATTATCACCATTATAAATAGTGACACGAGCGCTTTGAGCGGTAAGTCAACGCGAATTATCTTTTATAGTAAAATGGTTGAAAATGATTTGAAAATTGAATGTCGCATTTCTAAATATCTCTAAATATCTGTAAATTCAAAATAGAGGAGGACAAGGCGTATTTGGCGCAGATAGATTGGGCGGTGCGCCAGCCAGCGTACAAGGAGATTTCCGGAGAATTGCCCAAAATAATTGAAAACAGATCCAGACTGAGACATCCGCTAAGCTGCCCTGTGTGCGCCAAAGGTATGCGGTTCAACTTGTCTACTTGCAAAACGAAGCATGTTGAATGTACCTAGCAACAGTATCAAGTTGAATATTGAATGAAAACATGCTAACATGCTAACTTTTTGACAGCAACTTTGGTAAACTGTAGATATGCAGTTGATTTCGCGACAGACGGCCTGCTGCTTGAGCAACCATATTTTCGGTAAGTGCTGATATTTTTCATCTTGGTTAGTCAAAAGGAGAACATGTCACATTTGTTGAACATCTACACTCAAAAAATTTATATACTTTGTTATTATATTCTCATTCCACTATAGACATGTGTTCGGTGACTCTGGAAATTTTAAAATCGCCCGGGTCTGACCAATGCGACACGTGCATGGCCAAGTCCAAGCGCATTGAGGTCAACCCATCGGCAGAGCCAAGTTTGGCAGACAAAATTAAACAGCAGTTCTCATTGTGCCCGTTTTGCAAGGGCAACTTTTACTCTGGCGTGGTATGATGTGCAATGTCAACACTTGTTCACATGCTGGTTGTCTTTTTTTTGAAACATCGCTTATATGTTTTTCACTTATTCTTAAACAAGTTGGATTCAAATCAAACGTTTGTCAATTAATCAATCGCAATGAGCGTCTGAACTGGCGAGGCGGCAGGGGTAACAAGTATGGTGGCTGGCTGGGGAGTGCTAGTATTGTTCGATGGGGGTATGAAGCAATGCTGACAATGTACCTGAGGTGTCTGTCCAGGCTTTGGGCGTGACGGATCGAAAGTATCCCACTCCAGACAACAATTATGTGTAAGGGTAAACTCATTGTAATTAGCACATGTGCTGGTATAGATGTGAAGGAAGCTTTTAAGGCCAAATATTTTGCAGTGCTAACATTCTACAATTATATATGTATGCGCTTTATCTACTACATCTGTGCATTTGAAAAAGTGTAACCCATTTTATAGCATCAGAATTTGCGTGTGGCTTTGCCCCCGACAATAATTTCAAACCCAAACACAAGCAGCGCACTGATGCAAGCGGATTGAAGTTATTCATTCAAAACTCAAGTCAAATGGCGCCACAATCATGTTGTGCATTAACCGACAAAAATTGCCAACATAATGCGCTCAGATTTTTGATGTCTCGGCCAAATTATATGTAATAATTAATTGAAAACCTTTAATTGCGCTTTTGTGCTCCTGGCTGGTGAAAACTGGCAGACACGTGCAAATATGCTCGTCACATGCAATTCGGATAATGAGAGCGAAAAAGAAAGTGCTGCTCTTTTCACATGCATAGAAAAATAAAACCCGGGTCTGGGCTCTTCCTCTTCCCGATTGCAAGCCTGAATGGAGTTGCTGCGACAGCAAAAGGTAAAAAAAAAGAACGCTCGTGAAAGCCGAAGGCTGTGAAATAGGGGGAAGGGGAAAGGGGGGGGGGTGCGCTGGTGCTCTATGCACCCACTTGGAAGAGGAAAAGCATATGAAGGTGCATCCAGGGCGCATCGGGTTTTCCTTCTACAGCTTAAATAGCCATCGCTGGGCCCTTCTTTTTTCGCCTTGCTTTTATACCTGCAAAGTTTTTTTCTCTCTCAAACCTGATTTCCCTTTTACCATTATTGATACAAATATCATTCTTATACCTTTTAACCTTTTTTACACATTAATTCCGTTCTCGATACCGCTGCCACATATCGTCAAAGTCATTAAAAATATATAATGGGCTCCGCTACTATTTCCGCGGTCGCTGAGTAAGTACCACTGTTAGACAATCAGCGCTCAGATTCACTTTTCCGTAACTGATGCGGACATGGATCCCATGTCCGACCGAGCTGCCTACCTCACCCACATTCTAATTTGAATTCGATTTTCCTTTTGTTTTTTTGCTCGCCTTTTACACAAGTAGCCCCAAGAGCAGCATTGCCGAAGAGCGCAAGACACCTTCGTTCCCAATCCGCGAGCTGACATACTGGATAGATGGGGGCAAGCGCGTGACTGATACCAAGGAGCGCATCATGCTGGAGCTCGAGCGTGACCCACTTTGGAAGGTCAGCGACCACCCAAACCTTACACTCGCCGAGACACGCGAGCGTGCGATGAGCAAGGTGCGGCGATTGGCCGACCTGGCGACCGCCAGGCCGCTCGAAGAGACCATGCTTCGAATGACCATTGTCAGCGTCGTCGACCCTGGGTTCTGGACGCGGTTCGGAGTTCACTTTGGATTGTTCTTCGGCGCACTGCAGGGCCAGGCCACGCCGTCGCAGCTCGGGTACTGGATGGAGAAGGGCGCGTTGTCGATGCAAGGAATCACCGGTTGCTTCGGTATGACTGAGCTGGGTCACGGGTCCAACGTCGCCGGGCTCGAGACCACAGCGACCTTTGATGAAGCGACCGACGAGTTTGTTGTGCACTCGCCGACACTCACTGCAACCAAGTGGTGGATTGGCGGCGCCGCACACACAGCCACGCATTGCTCGGTCTATGCCCAACTCATTGTCAAGGGCAAGAACTATGGCACCAAGACGTTTGTTGTTCAGCTGCGCGACACAAAGACCTTTCAGCTTATGCCCGGAGTCAACATTGGCGATCTCGGAAAGAAAATGGGCCGCGACCAGATCGACAACGGGTGGATCCGGTTCACACATGTGCGCATCCCGCGGTCGCATATGCTGATGAAGCACACCAAGGTGACGCACTCGGGCGATGTTATTGAGCCCGCGCTCGCGCAGCTCGCATACGGAGCCCTCATCCAGGGCCGTGTGAGCATGGTCAGTGACTCGGCCAACGTCGCCAAGCGCGCGCTCACCATTGCCACGCGCTACGCCAGTGTCCGCCGCCAGTTCAGCAGTGGTGCGCCCGGGTCTGTCGAGACCAAGCTCATCGACTACCCGATCCACCAGCACCGGCTGCTGCCTCTGATGGCACAGACCTTTGCCATGATCTTCACCGCGCGCGAGGTCTCGGCAAACTACGAAAAGCTGATGGGCGTTCTGAGCGATCTCGGCAACCAGTCCAAGGGTGCTGCGGCTGACGAAGCGATCAAGGAGCTCAAAGAGACCCACGCCACCAGTGCAGGACTCAAGGCATTCTGCACGTGGATGTGCCTCAATATTATTGACCAGTGCCGCCAGAGTCTCGGCGGCCACGGCTACTCGGCGTACACTGGTCTTGCGCAGGCATACTCGGACTTTGCCGTGCACTGCACGTGGGAGGGCGACAACACCATTTTGACGCTACAGTGCGGCCGCTACTTGGTGGCTACCGCGCTCGACGCTCGCAAGGGCATGCCACTGCCCGCCAACCTGTCATACCTCAAAGCCGCCATATCCAAGGATGGCTCGCTGTCGGCAAAGACGTGCAAGGGCAACTCTGCCGAGCAAGTAAGCTCGTTGGACACGCTCAAGGCCGCCTGGAGCAGCGTTGCAGCCAATGCCATTCTTAATGCTGTGCGCGACTTTGAGGCCGGTCTGGCCAAAGGCCTGAGCAAGGACAACGCGTACGAGTTCTCGTCGGCCTCCCGTCTGCACGCCGCCCGCATGCACACATACACATACTTGCTGCATCGGTTTGTAGCGCAGGTCGACCAGAGCCCCGCACCACTGCGCCCGATTTTGACCTTGCTCGCGCAGCTCTTCGGCGCGCACTCGGCCGTCCAACACAGTGGTGAGTTCCTGCAGTCGGGCTTTTACTCGGGCGCCCAAATCGAGACGTTGAAGGGCTTTGTCAACTTTGCATGCACTGAGATCCGCAAGGACGCCGTGCCTTTGACCGATGCCTTCGGGTACACCGACTATGTGGTCAACTCGCCCTTGGGCCGCTATGACGGCGACGTGTACGAAAAGTACTTTGAGCTGGTCACCAGCCTCAACCCGACCAAGCCCGTCCCGTACTTTGACTCGCTGATCAAGCCACTGCTCGAGCGCACTAACGAAACTGATTCAGGGCCCGAGCTCGAGATTGACCAGGAAGAATGAGTTTGTGGAATCCTTTTTTAATCAATTGTCTTTTTATTGTGCGGAGAATTCAAATCACCTATTTGGTCGTCATCATTACGCTTACATCCGCAGAGGCCACCGCCAAAAAAGACTGCGGATTGGAAATCCCTTCCGCAAAAAATGCTTACTTCCGCTTTGGTATTGAGAAACACGCATGTAGATTTAAATCCTTTTTTCATTTTCGTCACTCGCGACTGAATTAAAGGCAAAGGGCACCAATCCGGACTCAGTCAGCAGCCACCTAAAAATAAGTGCACACACCTTAAATATTTGCCAACGTGAGCATTCATTTGGCGAGGCTCGGGGTCTTTGGCCTTTTTGGCCTCCCTCTTTCTCCAGCTTCTTTATAACTGCACTTTACTGTATTAGTTTGTCCGTTTTGTGGAGCATTGTCGAGCAGAGAATTTATTCTTCAAATAAACGCATATTAGCTTTAACATTTTTTATTTTCATTTTGTTTATATTTTCATTCACAATTTGTATTCCTATTTTTATTGAATTTATATTTTATTCCATATACATTTTTCCCATTCAGCTTACTCTCCTCTTTTTTTCATTTCTCACGCGAGGCAAAAAAACCTGTATTTTGTGAATGTCTTCTGGTCGCGTGCTGCTAGGTGTGACTGCATCCGTGGCAGGCTCGTTAGGCCACTCTCTGGGAATGACGCTGCAAAAGCGCGCGCACCTGCGCTTAGAGTCCCAAAGCAGCAACGCCAAGGCATGGAAGGATCCGCAGTGGCAATTTGGATTGGCACTTTATCTATTCAGCTCCACTGTGCCGCCAACAATCGCCCTAAGCATGCTTCCCGTATTTGTCACCGCGCCTCTGGCGGCTGTCGGGCTGGTAGCTAATGCTGTGTTTGCCAAGTACATTCTCGCGAGCAGTTTTGCACGCACGGACGCGCTGGGCACGGTATTGGTTTCGGTGGGCAGCTGTTGCGTCGCAGCTTTTGGTGCGATCGACGAACCACCGCTATCGCTGGAGGACTTGCTGCTGCTGTATAAGCGCCCTGCATATGTGATATATTTTGTTGTTTATTCGTTAATTGTGGCCGCCCTGATCGTCTCTGAGCTGTACTGGCGCAGAAGGCACTCTGGTGCAGCAGCTAGCGGCGACAAAGGTGCTAGCAGCAGCATGGTTGTGTCAGATGCTGTCGAGTCGCGCGTGGCGCTTCAACCAGTGCCCGCTGCGCTTCGGTCAGCTTGGACGACGCAGCATGGTGTTTCTGAGGAGGAGTCTTTGCTCGGAGGAAGCTGCCCATCATCGCCTCGCTTGGATAGCAATTCATATGCTTCAACCTCGGTGTCGCCGGCTATCGGGTCTAGCGAGGTGGTCGACCAAATGTACCGCCACCACTTTTCGTGCACCAACGAAGAGTCCATGCTCATGCTTCCCAATGAAATCAAGATGAGCCGCTCCGAGCAGGTCGCTCGGTACATTTCGGGGTTCCTGTCGGCCGTGATATCTGGGTTGATATGCAGTCAGACATTACTGCTGGCTAAATCCGGAATTGGTCTTTTGGTGCTCACGTTCCAGGGCCATATGCAATTTAATGACCCGCTGGCCCTGGCTATTGTCATAGGGCTCATAGTCACTGCACTGGCAAATCTGTACTATATCCAACATGCGCTGCGCCTATGCAGCACACTGACTGTTGTTCCGCTGTGCTACTGCAGCAGCTCGCTGTCGGCGCTGATTAGTTCGCTGGTTTACTTTAACCAAATGCGCTTGTTGAGTCACACGCAGGTTGCCATGATATCAATGGGTGTTGTATTGCTGGCATCAGGCGTAGCACTCTTGTCCTCGAAGGCTGACTGCGAATACGGCGCATTGCAGCTGCCCGAGGAGCCGACAGAATAGGAGTGATAAACAGCTTGAGGGCCTGCGACATGAGCAACTGTTATCATTGCTGTTCCTAACATATTGATCTTGCATCCTGCATCTACTATTATTATCGCCCCAACGTGCTGCTTGTTTTTTAATTGTAGACTTTTGTTTCTAGTTTTTTATTTAATAAAAGAATAAAAGAATAAGAGTACAACAAAGGTAAAACAAAAAAGACTCGCCCGGAAAAATAAATGTTGCGCATTAGTTACGATTTTTCAGAAAAATGAGAGCAAGAAAAAAATATCATGGTAAAAAAATGGTTGTGAAAATATTGGAAGCGTAAAAAAATAGGAAGTTTGAAATAATGACTTTTGATTGTATCCTCGTTGTCGGTGGCAAATAAAAATAGAAAAGTGGGAGCACGTAAAGTGACCACTACAAAAACGAAAAAAGCAAGGAAAAAAGCAACCGACTGAATTAAACCAATTTGACAGCACCAAATCTACAGAGCAAGTCGTAAAGTCGCAGACTAAACCATTGCGGGCAAGAATTTGGAATGTTATAAATATAATGGATTTATTTCAGTCATAGAATGCGAAAAAAAAATGAGATCCAAGGCGTAGAGTATATCTTGAACTAAAAAAAGTCAAGACTGTTTATAGAGGCCTCTTGTGGCAACAAAGTTAATGAGGTAGGACCTTTGGTGCATGTGTCCGACACACAACTGCTTAAAAATAACTGTCCATGAAGCATGTACTGATGGCAACTACAGCCCCAAAGTTTGTCGCGGTCTATGTGACACTGGTATAAAACACGACCAGAGATATACACGCCTTCTGTTAGCTGGAATTATCTATTGGGGACTCTGCTCAAGGCGGTCAGCAATCCACTGGCAAATAAAAACTTGAGCCCCAATTGCTGTTGACCCTGTTTAATGTAACAAATACGTCAATAGTAGCAGCAGCTCGGGACCCGAACGCATCGTTTTTTGCTTATGAGAATGTTGTGTTGGTTTTCGGGCCGATGCTTCTCGCTACTAATAAACCTTAATTGCTGTCTTTGTTTACTCAATATTAATAATATTAATTAGTTGACAAATAAATTATCATTTAAAAGCTTTGGCTAAATGACTATTAATGGTTGATCTACATCCTTTTTGGTTGAAAGAGAATAATAAATATTTAATAGAAATAACAAGTGTTATGTATAAATCAAAAAATTATAATTATTAGAACCAGTCGCCATTGCTCGACTCGTTGGCCAAGCTATCCTTGGCAACACTGGTCTCGTTTATCTCGGACTCATTGTTAGCCACAAAGTGGTCTAAAGCAATCCAGCTTATCCCGAATTATCTTTACTACATTTTTCTCTTGTGGTGCACAATATTATTGCCCAAGCTCTTGACAGCATCGAGCTTGGTCAAAACCCTTTTAAAAACCACCTGGTATTCGTGAAATTATTCGTTGCTCTTGCTATAGATCAGCTTAAAATTGCTCCTGTGATTAATGACAAGAGACAGCTGGAGATTGTGCTGGTTTCAGTTGTAGTCCTGGGGCACTTGCTCGAGACCGTTGGCAATCTGGTGCATGGTGCACAGATATTCAACGGTTTACTGCGCTTTACTCATGTTGTGCTGGCCCAGAATGTAGCTCTCAATTATGCTGACTGCGCGTTTCTGCCGCTCTTTCGCAAAACTATTAGATTGTGCCTTGGGAGCTGGTTGTGGCGGCAATACCATTGGATTTTTTTGTGGCATCCTTCAGATTGTACAGCTGCGACTTGCAGCTGTCTATTATGCTAACAAACTCGCTGTCCGTGTGTTCACCGCTGTTATTATTGCTCGACTGCTCATCCTCACCATCGGATCCAAGGTACAGGCTTGGTGGAAAACAATTTATTGTCATTTAGTCTATTTTAAATTTGGTGTGGTCGCAGACGCTACTATTTGTGCCGCTGAAAAAGACAATGGTTCAGTCGCTCGCTTCACGGTTTGCTGAGAAATCGCTTGCTAAAAATACTGCTCTTTATTCTGCTTTTTTCCACTGACTCCTATTTGCGGTTAGAGCAGGGCTCAAAAAGATTAAACATTGACTATTTGACCGCACCCCTGCGCTCAATACTGCTCTGACATTATATCTGGCTGTTGAGGATGTGGTTTAAAATGGCGGTTAATACGCTGCTAAATACCCTTTGCGTTGCTAGTACTGGCTGTTGTATTCTTCGTGCGGCTATGACACTTGTAAATTATTGTAGATGATTGTGATACTACTATCTGTAGAAAAAATAGAGGTAAAAAAGATACATATAGGTTTATTCATAGCGTGAAGGTGTTATAATAAGTGTGTGTGTGTGAAGCACTACAGTGTGGTGTTAAAATGTTGGGTGTCAGTTTATAAAGGTTTTATTATCAATGGAACCAAAAGCGTAACTGAGGCCGACCTCATTTTATATATATGTCTCGTTGGCTTTATTGTGAACTTCATTGATTGTGTACTCCGTTGTCGAGAACTGGTTCTTCTGCAGACAGATTGGTGTCTTGGCGTGTCAATGTTATAATATTTACATGTGCGCATTCCTGCATATACATTATAAAATGGGGGAGGCATATCAGGGTGCCATTATTATGTTCTCTGATTTGATCCTGCATGGTACTATCCATGCCCTGTCAATCGGCATGTTGATGAAAACGTTTCACGATTCTCAACCTCAACATCCACTTCCATATCATCAGGTTGCTCAACAAAGGAATAAAAAAGAAAAGTGATACTGCATGTGTATACATTTACGCTTGTGTATTATTTTAACTTAATGCCAAAAAACAACATTGCCAGTTTGCTAGCATTTTGGCTGTCAATTGATTCAAAGTCAAAAAAGCACAGTCAAACATCAGACTCAGTAAGAGTATTAGAGCCATACTAACTATTAGCCGTTTGGTTGCCCGCCATATAACGCATCCCATGCTGGCATATATCAAAATAGAATATTGTTGATGTGTGGGTACGCTGAGTGCTTTTAGTTTTGTTTTGTTTTTTGCTGGCTTTTATTTTTATTCCAGCAGTGTTCTTTTTTTTAAAAATTTTAAATTTGAAGGTAAGATAAAATAATGAAAAAATAAAATGGGGTGGTTCGTAAAGGTGAGGGTTGATTCGGTCTTGGCATAGAATCCGGTACGGCTCCCATGCCTAGATGCTTGCACTACAATCAATGAAGCTTGGGAAATGTCTTGCCCATTATTGCTGATGGCTAGCAGCGGCCTTCGTGCTTTGTGCATTTGTGCCGGCTATCCGAAAACAACCTTGCTGGCAGCGGAATTTGTGTTATGTACACTTGTACCTCTACTTTGTCGCATTTTTGCTTGCAGAGCCAGTGGCATTGGTGCTAGTAATGCACTGTTGCCGCCCGTGCTCTGACCAGAAGTGCAGATCGCATCTGCCTGTTCTGCGCGCGGTACCATTTTGTCCTCCAGAGCGACCAAGTCGGCATGCGTCTTTGCGAGCTCATTACCGTGCATGCTTATATTGACGCTGTGTGCCGCCAATTTGTCATAAAAAGCGGCATTCTCTCTGCGCAACGAAGCCAACTTTTCACGAAAAGTTTTTATCCTGTCGAGAGTCGCATCATACTTAGCGCTGACCAATGTAGTGCATTCGAGAATAGCGTCTATCTTCCGGCACCTGTCCTTTGCTTTGTTGAGTCTGACGTCTGTCTCCTTGCGCTTGCCGTTGGCCTGAGTATCCGTCGCCTTGAATTCACAGCACTGATCATCTGCATTGCTATTCAGCAAATCTGGCATAGTGCAGGGTGCATCGATCTGAGCACAAGAAGTGGCAGGGCTGCCAGTATCATCTGCCGGGACACAAGCAGGGTCGAGCTCGCAGTGTGTGGCGGACTTTTTGGCACATGATGCCCTAAGTCTGCGACGGATAAGACTATGCATGGCTATGGACATGGTGAGCTGGTCGCGGGTATACTGCTGTTTATTAACCGTTCTGTCGAGCTGGGTCTGCAGATCGTTTATCTTGGCATGGGCCATGTCTACCTTGCCGTGTTGAGTGTCGACCTCAGCGCATATAAAATCGAACCACGCGCAGAATATTTCCACAAAATCAAGAGCCTTGGTGAGTTTATTCTCAACAGCAGCGCGTGCGGTGGTCTCTACTTCCAGAGCGGAGACAGCCGCCAAGTGAGTGCTCTTGCAGACAAGAGATTTTCCAGCCACAGCGTCTGCAAGATCAAGTGCCTCAATGAAAAAAGCCTCTGTGCTGACGGGGCTGGTCTGGTGGGCGTCGGCCCTGGCGCGCAAAGTTGCATTTTTGCTTTCTGCCTTTGCACGAGCGGTCTCGGCTGCAAAGCGAGCCTCTGCTTCCTGAGCGCAAGCAGCCTTTGATTCAGCAAGCCCGTGTTGAAGGTTGCAAATTGTTGCGTGAAGGGTGGCATTTTTGTCCTCCATTTTCGAGAGCTTAGACTCGGTCACAAAACGACTGGTAGATTGGATGGCATGATCAAACCTCAGCTTAAAAAGCGCGCAGTTGGTCTCGGCGAGGACGGACATGGTTGCAGAATGGGCGGTGGTCTGTCTAACCAAAGCATCCTCCGTATGGGCGAGGGTGGACTTAGTTGTAGCATGGACGGCCACAACTTCAAACGCCTGGCTGTCCAGCAGCTTGTTTTCGGCGTTCAACTCTGCAGCCTGAATTTTGAGAAGAGCCGGTTTGGCCTCGGAATAGGCGCGATAAGGGCTGTAGAGAATGTGTCTTCTATGCAGCAGGGTGATAGCGCTCTCGAATGTCTTGGCAGACTCGGTGGTCTCGAAAATGTTGGTGTCAGTGTCGACGATCCCCGCATAGTCCTGGTCATGGTGTATGACAATGGTCGCGCGCATAGTAGCGCAAACGGCAAAAATAGAAGTCATCTCAAGAAAGTTGGAGTAATAAAACAAGATGGAGGAGGGAGTAAATAATAAGAAATGGACAAATAAAATAGAAAAGTGGATATTTGAAGATAATATGCTAAAAGCTATAAATGCGAAAATACAAAATAACACGGGGAATAGATAAAAAAAATCAAGAAGGACAGCGCGTTGGTTTTTACAAAAAACAATACAAAATATTAACGTGGTAGGGCTGGTGGTGGTGTTGGAGAGAGGTGTGCGTAGGTGGTATATAAGAAAAGTAAGCTAGTGTCATTAGAGAAAAAAACATGAAACAGAGGCGGTTGAAGGGGCGGGCGGGAGATGCCTAGTATTTATTTTTCTGCCATTTTTTGTTTTACGCTGTGCTGAGCTGTGCAAAAATAAGTGTGCTCCTCTTTGCTCCTCACAAAAAATAATTTGTTTTTCGGGTCGTCTCTTTCGGGTTCGGCTGGAGCGGAGTGCAAGTTTCAAGAGGGCTTTCTCGTTGCATGTCTTCCCTTTTTTGGCGAAAGCATACCTTCTTCATACACATGTTATTGTTCGAAGATCGGCAATATCCGAATATCCATTATAATATTTGAGAAATATGCACATATTGATCAACGGTCACTTTTGCAATACTTTTTTAAACCACGGTCGCTGGCAGGCAGACCATTTGTGTACAGAAAAACTTGATATCAGTCAGAATAGATTTTTGCAGCCAAAAATAATTGGCCAGGCTCATGTTTAGGCTGAGCCGGAATAGAACAAAGTAGCAGCGGCAATATGTTTTCTTTTTGTCAGTGGTAGTAGTGCGAGTATGGGGCTGGGGGATAGCATCATTTTTTTATTGTCGGCTAATAAAAAACTTTGCTTTTTTCTTCCCAAAGTGAAAGCCAAGGTTGCTCTAAGCCATTGTTGAGCCCTCTCTTTTTTGGTGATTCTGCATCAATCATGGCAGCTAAAAGGTTCATTTGCACATTGGGATACATCCACATAAAAAAGCCAAGACAAACAATGGATAAAAAAGAAGATTTCATCCGAAACATCGAGCAAACTGCAGCCATTTCTGGCTCTGCAGTCTTCACAGATAGAGGGCGTTGGTATCCGTGTTTCATCGAACAATGGTTGGCAGCCACCTGTAAAAACTAGGAGGGGGAGTCGGATGGGCAGTTGTTTTTTCTCACTCGGTGTCAGCAATGTCAATGGCCAACAATAAATGAGTAAGAGAGGGGTAAACAAAGAGTGTGTGATTGAATATAAAACAATGACAAAGCATGGATGCATATTAAATTGGGTCCCCCTTTTTGCAACATGGAGGCAAACAAAGGGAGTGCAAGGTGCAGAGTTGGAGGCAGTTGCTACGGGCTAGTATTTTGCAGCTCGCACAGGGGACATTTTTAATGTATCAAAAACATGAGACAAAAAAGCCACAGAAAGCCATTCCATAAGGTAGACAAATCCAAACCATTTTGTTTTGCTTGACCTGGGACCATCATGGTCTGAAGACACGGGCATTGCTACTGTGAGCACACACAGCGCGCAATGGGAATGTGGAAAGCTCAATTTTTATTTTATTTTATAACGTGGTTTTGATTGTTCTTCAATCTGAATTGTTTTCGGTGTTTTATAAATACCGACCCAGAAAAAGTCTAATAGTTCGAAAATGCACGAAAGTGCATGAGTGGTGTTAATTCTTACATGCATGTATTTTGACGGCCAATCAGCTAAGCGGTTCAATTAAATTAATATATTACATTTCAGCCTTTGTATTTATGTTAAAAATAAGGATTATTTTTCCGCAAAGTTATGACAGGGTATTCACCTGATGATCCAGTATCTCAAAAGTATCCATCCATATTGATTTCATAGAACCACATTCAGCCCCAGATCAGATCATCACAAACATCCAGTTAACCCTGTCCTAATTTTTTTAAAAGTTTCTCAATGTCCATATATCCTATACAAAATATATATAAATTACTCGTCTGCTGTAACATCTCTGTACTCCCGAATGCCCCTGCGCGCAGCCATAGCATTCTCAACAATGGCTTAAAATTTCAAACCGGCCTGACCATCATGCTTTGCCGCCAACGCGCTCTTATCAGCAACCTCGTAAACCTGCGGCGGCAATATCCCCATTGTCACTCTTCTCCAACAATGGTCTGCCAATCTTTGGATTATAAAGTGTCAAATGCATCAGGACCAAAGACTCCCTCGCCTCGCACATTTGAGACCAATGGTCTGTTCTCCACCAGGGGGGAGCAACTCTGCCAAAGAGATCTGCATATAATCCATAAGAAAACCCATCGTGCAACTGGGATGGCAACCAAAGGAAAATACAAAGCAAGACTACTGGGCAAAAATAAATGATAGCTGTTTTATGAAGGCAACAAGCAGCGGGCAGATTCGGTCCAGAGTGAGTGTCTCGGTGTTGCCAAAATCGATGTAGCTAGCTTCAATATTGCGTTTGGTGGCGCCGACAAAACAGATGCGCGCACAGTGACATTTTCTGCCAATCGTGTAGCAAGCGCTAATAAGCTGGCTGGCCTTAGGGACAAACTCAGAGTCCAGTTTGAGCGCAACCGACATGTTGGTCATCAAGATTTTGATATCGGTGATGTTGAACGGGTGCGCGGGCAAAAGGAGGACCTTAAAGCGCAGGTAATTGAGCTGGGGGCGTGCTTTGGTGGCGATAGAGCAGGCGGCACCATACGCAGCACCGGGTAAAAAAATTAAGCGGCTGTGGCACGATGCTGAGGCCAAGAAGGGCTCGCTCAAGATGCTGTGCATCTCGTGCGATGTTATCCGATTGTCAACCAAACCCGAGATCATGAGCATCCAGGAGCGGTGCACACGCGAGAAGGCCAAGCTGATCAACCGAAAGGAAAAATGGCTTGGCACTGTTGCTTGCTGGAGTTGCACAAAGCCAATCTAAAGCAGGAGCAGTGGATGCAGGTGGAGATGAACTCGGGCATGCACACGACGCAGCTAGCAAGCTGAATTTCCAACCTCACAGCCGCGCTTGCCGACATGGCTGCCAAGCACAGTGCTGTACAGGGCTGTGTGCGCTTGCTTGAAAGCGCTGCCAAAGCCTTAACTTCTTAACACCGGGACAAAGCCGTCCGCCTAGCATGCACAGAAAAATGCAAGAAGCGCGTTACTAATCTCAAGACAATGCCAAAGCGCTTGAAGGCGCTAGAGCGAGCGGCTGTCTGTTTGCTCCCAAAGCCGCAAACAATTTAAATGGCTATAGCAGCTGAGACCATGCTAGCAGCCACCAAGGACGCTGTCGCCATGTATCTTGCCAAGCTGTGAGCCAAGGTGGCCTTGCTACGTGTTAACCCCGTGCATAATAACAGGTCCGCACGCTACCAGGAGGCGCTTGTAATAAACCTTGAGCACAAGCAAAACCCCAAGGGCCGCCGGCGGTGCTGCCGCGTTGCCGAGGTACAGGCCAGGTTTATCAAAGTGCAGGCTAGAGTGGACACACGCGCTCATGCCATAGCCATACTGGAGGCTGCGCTGCAATTGTCAACATTGCCTGGCAATGCTTCGGCCACCATAGCCATCATTGCAGTTGGACATTTCAACCTCCGCGTCATCTTGCTTGAGGCCGCGCTTAGCACCCGCTACCAAAGTGTGGCAGCATTGTAATGCAAACTGGTCGCTGTACACAAAGCTGCCAGTGAGCTCCCAATGCGTCAGCAAAATGCACAGACTCTACACAGCTCAGCAGCTGCTGCGGCACTGTCTTCAAAGAGACACAATCTTACAGCACTGTGGAAGAGTGTCAACAAGGCTTTCTAGCCAATATTTGCACTGCAAACACAAACAAACGCCACAGTTCTTGCCGCAGCCATTGCCTTCTCTCAAGCGGCGCATGCTGCGAGCATCTGCCACTCTTGTTGACAAGAATGTATAGGCTGGGGTTGTGGCAGTCTATTGGCACAGAAACAAAGACATCGCATGCGCGCGTATGGATTTCCAATCACTATTGATTTTCCTTTTTATGACAACGCGTATCTACAAAGCAGCTAAAAGAACATTCGAATTTATTAAAGCTCAGATAATGATGAAAGATGTCTATTTACTATCGAGATGACTGCTTTTCCGGTTTGTCTGGTACATTGCTCCCCAAAAGCAGGATCAACATCAGTAGCAGTAGAAGTAGCAGATGCCGAAGTTGACATTCATATTCATGGTGGTGACTGTGCGGGGGGAGCACAGTCAAACAGGGCATTTTCCCTTTATTTACTTTTCTCTGTATTTTTTCTGGCGTAGTAGAAGCGGGCGATTGGGATTCATGCAATGTCACGTAAATAATTCAAAATTTGGTTGGTTGAATTATTATCACTTTTCAATTTGTTTCTCTTCCATCCCTTTCTTTTTTCTCGAACGCGTACGAATAAGCGAGGGGATAAATAAATTGTCAGCTTTTTTGTTTATGATGGGAAGGGGTGAAATAAAAAATAATTCAATTTTATTGTATCGAAAAATAGACAATGCGCCTGCCAAGATAGAGGGTCAAAAAATAATACATCTCTTGATAATTTGACATCTTTTTTCTCCACAACCAGACAAAAGAAAAAGAATAAAGGCACAATGAAAAATTGGTTTGCCGACACCCTCATTGTCAGGAACAGCCAGAAAAAACTAGCTATTTGCTTAATTGGCCCACCTTAACAGCACCAAGACAGAACAGATCAAATCGTACAGTTGTATACAAACCAGTGCGGACAAGTATTTGGGGCTCGAATGCTGAATAGATCTTATTCGGCCAAAGAGAGAGAAAGAAAAGAGCCACAGACAAATCATTTGTCATAACAGGCGGTTGTTAGCAGCCTTATTGCACGTAAACAAGCGTTGTCAAAGCAGCGCTTGCTTGCCCACTTGGTCTAGTATTTTTTGTTTCTTTGCCACGCATATTAGTGTTTTCTTTTTATTTTCCAAATTAGCAAAACTAAGTGACAAATAAAATGTCCCATTAGGAATTGTGGACCTTGATCGATCAAGCAATTTTTCAAACTTCTAATTGTTCTCCAAATGAACCACCGACGGTGCTGTGAGTACTAAATCAGAGCCAGATACATAATTAGAACTAGATACAATTAATTTGTTGTATCAGCTCTTTTAGACATGTCCACAGTGCAGCTAGTATTGATTATTGATATTTGCTTGATGTTTCGATAGCTCTAGTCGATTTAATAAAGAATTCAGTCGTGCGCAGCCTCATCCTCAGTCATTACATCCCAGACCACAGCCGAAACGGTCGACAGCACAAGATTGATATGCTTGCGCTCGTACTCGTACAGGCCGTCGCGCCGGCGGTCTCTGACAACAGCACGGATCTGGCTTAGCTCAACCTCTCCACTTTCAACTGAGCACACGAACATCAGCTCTAGCATTCCATGGTAGGCAAACGGATTCAGCACAAACATGCGCGCGGCAAACTGGACATCCTCTGGGTCGATGACTAGCAGGGTGCCTGGCAAAATCTCAACACAGGCCCTGGTGAACTTGTCTGCAAGGGCCGTCGTGTAGGCAGCGCCTGTGGTTCCATTGACGGTTCCCATGGGGCTATTATCATTGCTGCCAAGCTGCGCACTGATGGGGGATGCAGCTCCATGATGGTACGAGTCCAACACCTTGTGGCCGTTGGATGAGCGTGATGTTGCGCCTGCTACCGACGCGGAGTCAGCAGCGGCAACCGCAGCAGAGGAGAGGCCGTGTGACATTTGAATGCTGTTGGCCAGCGAATCATTTATCCCCAACGATGCAGCCGAATTGCCCGTGCGTCGGCGCTGCCTGCGCTGGCGCTGAATACTAGAGCAGGGTGTGCCGATATCAATTTCCTGGACTTGATGCAAACGCCGGTTAGTCGACCGAGTCATTCCATCCTCTGCGGGAAAGCGTGAGGGAACCAAAAGGGCCTGTAGGGGAACCGCGTTCGCTCCTAATTTGCCGCCCAAGGCACCCGACATATTGGGCACAGACGCATCGTCCAGGGACCAGTTGTATTCGTGAAGCGAGTGCGTATGGCGATGCTTATTGCAGAGCCAAGCACTAGTAGTAATGTCAAGACGAATGTAGCGGCTCAGCATCTTTTGGAATGCCGGGTCAAGAAGGATTTTCTTGTTTAGGCGCGTGTTAAGCGGGGACAAAAGTCGCAGCAGATCACCAATATTGGCCGATGATGACTGGGTCAGAACCCTCCCATGACCGTCGATGACTGCCACCGGACCTTGCATATTCGGCGTCTCCCGGTTGCCTGCGGGGGCTGCGGAGTGGTTGCCAAACATGTTGCCTCCAGTCACATCAGCGTCGCGATCGCCTGCCAACGCATAATGTACAAAACCAGGTTGCACTGTCGCCTCGGGCACTGCAGGTGCCTCTGCACATATCTCGCTCTGTTTGGCATACGGCAAAACATTGAAGCACAGGGAGGGCGTGGAAGGTTGCGCTGTCGAAGAAGTAGCTGCTGTCTCTAAACGATGGGCAGTACCCTCAGTCCACTTACCGCAATCATCATTAGCTACATGCGGGGTCGCCATTGGTTGCGGGGCTGCGTTGCCTTGGTCTGCAAGAAGCGAAGCCAACGTTTGCGCGGGCTCCGAGTACAGCTTGCGCATTCTAAGCTGCAGTGCCTCAATGACGCGCCTGCCCGAAACACCAAGTCCTATGAGCTGCTGTGCGGCATCGTCAGTTGTGCCGACATCTACCCATTCCTGGCGCTCGACAAATCCAATCAGCTCGCAAATATCAGCAGGGGCCAGACCAGTAGGCAGGTCCGCCACGCGCATGTGCTCATAGACGCGGTACCAGTTGAGATCGCGATGATAGTCAAGCGCAGTGTGACGAATCAGACGGTGAGCTGTTGTTTGAATCCATGCCAGCACATTGGGATCCTCCTTATCGTACTCGTCGGGATCAATGGCCGACACCTCCATGACCATGGTCGGGTCGCTTCCCCAAACACTGCCCTTATTTTCCCAGTCCCGCATGTCAATCTGAACCGCACCCAGAACCTTATGAATCCCGCACACTTTGGGCCGCCCAGCACAGCGCGACAGCATCTGGCAGCCCTTGCATGGCCGGATTCCGAGTGTGTAGTAGTCCTCCACGTCGTTGCCGTCGGGGGTAGGCCCCACACTACTGGGAAGGGGACCGAGAGACCCGTTGCGGCTGCGCACGTCGTCAGCCTTTAGATTATTCAGACTGGTGGTGGTATGCGGATCCATGTCTATCACCAAGTAGTACGACAGCTGGGCAGTCTCGTTGCAGCAAGCACCGTTGACTGGCAGCGCCGAGGATCCTGCACTGTCCCCATTGATGCTAGTGCGGAGCCCGTCGGTCTGAGGGTCGGTAATAGCCCTGTTGGCCAAGCTGGACATCCACTGCTGCAGGGGCGACTGGTTGCGGGACCCAGAGCTGCTGTGCTCAGCCATTTTGAATGGAATGTGCGACTGGTGGTCGTCGCTGTGACTATGACTATGGCGATGGCGATGGCGATGGCGGTGCTGGCGCTGATATTGATGACTCCCACCCGAGTCCAAAGAGTCACCCACGTCGTTGGCCGCAGATGCGCGATACAGCGGCGAGCGGCTGTCGAGGCCGGTAATCGGCTGCTGAGGCTTATGCTTTGGCGATCCAAACAGCTCCTCAATGTCGTCCAATGTCCGTAGTGGAGGCTTGTTGCGTTTCTTGTGACCGTGGCTCTTGTGGTGCTTGCGCGCGCGCAAAGAGCCCTGCTCATCGTCGCCCTCTGCACAGATATCAGCGTCGCCATCAGCAGAGTGCTGCTGCTGCTTCAGTTTTCGCTGTAACCTCTGCTTTGCATGACTGCGCTGTCTCTCGCAGCTTCTGCGCGCCTCTTGAATGGTCTCTGACCTACATGAATCGCAATCCGGAGTGATTGCCATCAGTGACACACGAACTGAAGATTTGTTGCTGGCCAAATGTATCTTGTTGGCCGTGTACTCTTTCAGAGCAAAGTTGCGGGACTTGTCCGCCGAGCTCATCGCGTCCGTCATGATCGATGAAGCCGGATGCTTGTGCTCATGCTCGTTCTCATTCTCGTGCTGATGGTGGTCGTACCTCGACGCCCTGCCCACGCGGCTGGCTATGCTGTTGGCAATCCTCGGACCAGAAAGTGCGGCGTCCTGGGCGCTGTTCACGCCCATGGCGTGCTCTGGGTTGGACAACACGGCCAGTGATGGTGAATTCATGTGAGGCAGGTGCTGGTTGTTGCTGCTGCTGCTGCTGCTGCCAAAATAAGGCTTGCGACCATGACTGGAGCTAGGCTTGAATCTGTCTGCCCATTGCGACCCTGCAGCATACGACATAGCAATTGGCCGACGCTCGCGAGAGTGCATCTGCATCTCCCTGCCGCCGCCACTCGGCTGTGCGTGTTGGAACGACCCTCCATCGGCCGCCGCATACATGTTAGCGCCCCGGCCGCGATTGTTGAAGGCCAGCGGGTATACCCGCAACTTATGCGCCGACTCAAACGAGCTGTCCCCCATTTGCAAGGAGCCACGCATTGTCGTCTCGGGAGCAGACGAAGCCACGTTGGTCGTGCGCAGCGTGTGCTTCCCTTCGCCTCGGCTGCCGATGGGCCGGCTGGCCGTGCCCAAAATTTCGGACTTGTGCAAGGGCAAGGGGTCGGATCCGTTCGGCCCCCACCTGTAGCTGCCAGCCTGGCTGTGCATATCCGAGCTGCCGAAATCGCTGCCGTATTGGGAGCTCATCAGGCCCGGCAGAACGCCCTCGTACAGGCGATAGCAGCCCGAATGGCTGGCCAACTTGGTGCACAAATCAGCTATCGGCACCGACCTGTCGCCAGACGGTGACGTGCTAGTAGAGGGCATATCTCCCATTGGCGGACGACACCCCTCTGTGTAGAAGTGATACCTCTCAGCGTGGTTCAAAAAGTACTCGTACATGTCGCGGTATTTTATTGGGAAGCTCGCGCGCACCAGCCTACGCGATGAGAACCGTGTGCTGAAGTAGCGCTGCTCGCTCAGCTCCGCCAGGAACACCGTGAGGTCGACATGGACGTGTAGACTCTGAGCTACCGTGCGCTGGTCGCAGTTGCGCCTATGGCAATGGGGCTGGCGATAATGGGAGCCGGCGTAGTTGCTTGTGCCACCAACCTGATCGCTTGAGACCCAAGCATTCTCGTAGCCGTCGTCGGCGGATTCGGCAGAGTCGCCATCTGAGGAGCTACCGCTATCATCATCCAGGCCCGAGTCGCTGCTGTATATTATGTGGTCGCGGCAGTCGTGGTGTCTGGTCTCGGGCAGGTTCAGGGACTGTGGGTCGCTGCTTTCAGGCGCCAGCTTCTCTAGGGGCTTTAGAATGGACGCAACGTAGCGAAGCTGGAAATCATAGACAAAGCTCTTCGCATGGAGCAGCTTCTTGTATCGTGACAGGTCGAATGTGAACTTTTTGATTGAATTCGGGTTGACCGATGATCGCATGTATCCGGGCACCGCAGACCGCCATTCGGGAGTGAAGCGACTCAAAGCGTGCATGTGGATGGACAACATCTTAGGACTAACCTCGATGTCGGTGACCAGATGCGTGCGCTCGGTGGAGCCAAACAAGTAGGCACTGGGAACAGAAATGCCCGGCAGCGCAGCCTCGGCCTCGGAGAACTGGTTCGGCTGGCCGCCAAAGAATATGTGCGAGTGGCCCAGGACCGTCTGCGTAAACTCGACGATCTTTTCTGGGGAGTACTCCAAGCTGAACAATGCCTCTTTCCACGGAAGCATCTTTTCGAAGCGGCGGGCCACTACGTATCCGGTGCTGCACAAATAGTCGATATAGCTGTCAGCCAAGTTCTGTAACAGCGCCGAAATGACACGGAACAGCCGCTGGAACGCGCGCAGGTCGGTGCCCGCGGGCTTGATGGCCTTTGTGATCGGCAGCGGCGCGCAAACAAAGTGCAGCAGCCGTGCGTTCTCCATGATCATCTTGATCTCATCCAGCGATACGTCGCTTTCATCCTCCGCCTGCGTGTGGGTCTGGTCCTGCGCCTCGGGTGGCGCCTTGGCAGACTCGACACTTGCGGACACTGCGTTGGCGGGTATTTTCCCGGCGGCCTTGGACGTGAAGTCGGAGCTGCTGCGGGCTAACGTCTCACGAGTGTCGCCTCTGGGCGGAGCCTGAACAGCAATGTCAGATCGAGCATCCGCCGCCTGGCTGGACGTCTGCCGCGAAAGCAGCCGATTGTCGCGAAGAGACGACGCATTTGTGCTGTCAGTCTGCAAGTCGAGCACCACCATGCGCGCCGAGTGGTTCATTGAGTCGTGGAAGTTCCCAGACGCAATGAGCCGACGCCAACGCTCCGCAATCTTCATCAGCTCGTCGTAGCGCAAAACCTGGCCAATGCGCCCCTGGTACGCGCGCATATAGCGAGAGCCAATGCGGAACAGCGTGTCTGGGTGGCTCGTGTCGACGTACGGCTGCGTATAGTCCACAAACGTCAGTTTGCGGGCCCAGCGCAAATGCTCGGCCTGCAGCTGGCTCAGTATGAGCTCGGTCTTTGTGTCGTTGAGCGTCATCTCTGCCACGGGCGGGTTCATAATCAGATTCCGCAGCTCGGCGGACCCGTCCTCAACTCCCAGCATGCGCATGTAGTTAGATGACAGTAGGCGCTCGATGTTGAAGTAGTGGATCTGGTCGTCGCAGGTCAGTTGCTTCAAAAGCGCAAACTTGTTGATCAGATCTCGAGTCACATCGCGGTCAAGCCAGGTGCTAGACATCCCCTTGTGGCGCGGCTGCTGCTCGTATCCCGGGAAGACGCCGCACATGTGAGCGGCAAACATGCCGAGCAGCTGTTTGCGGCGCTTCTCGCGCTCCAGCCGCTGGTGGATCTGATCACAAACGCAATCCCACAAGTGCTGCGACACGTTGTAGCCGACCATCTCAAGCTCGCCTCCAACCAGCCACACGGTCAGCCAGGCCTTAGTTGACGCGCCCGCCACCATGCTCTGAGGCGAGTAATGTGGGATCTGATCTGCGCTCAGCACAGGCGTATCCGGATCAGCGATGGGCTGGTAGTCGGATGACGGTGGCATCTTCTTTGGCTTGGGCGAAGACTCGAAGCGCTCGGCTATGATCGGCATTCTATGTGACCGGCGTTTAGGGTAGTGAGCATCTCCCATCGCTCCTCCGCTGCCAACATTGCCACTACCGCTGTCATTGCCACGACGACTGCCGTGCGGACCAAATTTCTGCTGCTGCTCCCCTGGCCCCCAAACTTGAAGCCCAAGGCCATGCACAGGCCCCTGCGGGTTGTGACTCGGGCCAGAGCTCAAAGAAGTGCGGCTGGAGTGCCGTGGGTTGTACATGCCGTGGACTGAGTCAGCCACGACAGAGTACTTTTTTAGCGACTCGAAGCGGCGGTTGTGCGCCATGCCGACAGGCCCTGTGCCGCCCGCCATGGGAACTTGGCCCTGGTAAGCAGGCACTTGTAGCTGCTGGGCCCCAGCCTGAGCTACCTTGGCGGTCTCCAACGGCAGGGTGCACATGATGCAGAACGATTGCCGCGTGTCCCTAAGTGCCTTTGGCAGCGCCGAAACATCGTACACGACTTTCGAGTGTGTGCGGGCCGATTGTTTGCGCAACGAGTGGGCAGGGAACAACGGTTTTGGCACCTCTTGTCGGAACGACTCGTCTGAATTGCTGAGAACGAGGGGGTTTTCCAGTAGACGGAACAAGGCTGGGTTCATCGCCGGGCACATTGTCTCAAGCACACCACGCAGCTCCTCGGAAAAGTAGTGAGAGATGCCTGTCACGCGGGGCAGCCGCTGACGCAGGTGCCGCAAAGACTTGACGGTATCTTGCCCGCCCCAGTATTGCGCCATCTGTCGGGCAATTTCCATCGCGTGCACCTGCTTCTTTGTGCTCTCGGTAAACGTGCTCGGCGCGCTAGGCAAGTAGACATTGTGCGCGCGCAACAGTGACTGGTGCGTCTGCTCGGCAGACAAATCATCGCCCCATTCAGTGCCGAGCTCAACCTCGACGTAGGCTGGACAACTGCGGCTGGAATCAGGCTCACCCGGGTAGACGCTACAAAGCTCCATGTCGACATAGGGATCGGGGAGGCCAATCTTGTAGTTGAGCCGGTGCCCCCAGCCGGCAGAGAGAATCGGGTAAAGCACTTGCTCTGAGACGTAGTCTCCCAGAGCATTCCAGTATGCACGCGACACAAATAACGCGAGCCGCTCGACACGGATGCTGGCATTGCTCCACAGCGTGATGGCCATCACAGGCTCGCCTGCAAACTCGGCAACTTGGCGCTCCATTATATCAGACAGGTTGTCAAACTTTGACAACTCCAGGCGCATGTGGCTGTGAGCAGCCTTGAACTGACTCAGATATTCGCCAAACAGGCCTGCCAGCTGCGACACAGGGAGCGAGCGTGAGTTGACCGCAGCGGGTTCGCTGTGCTCTAGCGACTCTGAGGTCAGTGGCGTACTGCTGCTGGGCGTCGATGCCGACGGTGACGACGGAATCGATGGGTTTGCGCCACGCTCATTTGGCGAGGGCGTGTGCGAAACGCGGCGATGCAAAAGGTAGTTGGCCCGCTGCTCCAAGGTAAGGTGCCTATGCCCGACATCAATTGCAGCGGAGTGGGACTGGGCTATCGGACTGACCTCAGGATTAAAGCAACTGGCTACGCGCCGGTGCCGTGAGTACTGGCCATCGGCCCGACTCGCTGCCGCTGCCGCTCGCAACCCAAGGGAATCGGCGGCAATCCCGGAAACAGGCGCTTCAAAGCGATGGCCTGCCCCAGCTCCCAGCGTCGAAGCCGGGGTGTTGCTTGTGTTGGATGGCTCGTGCTGTGCTGCCGATCCCCACATGGCCTTTGCCACGACTCGGTCCGCGTTCAGAGGCAGAGCCGAGACTATGGCAATCCCGTTCCCAATTTGGGCCATATCGCCTGGCGGAGGGATGCCGTTGGTGCGAGCGATGAAATTGTATAGGAACACAAGGCGCTCGACGGGAACGCGGCGCGGCGTCTGGTGGTCGTACTCCCAGCCTTCGAGAATCCGCGCCAAGTCCTTGCGCAGTGTGTCAGGCACACGAGTGCCGATTGTGACAGAGCTACCCTTGGTGTCTTCTTCATCTTCGCCGTGGTCGAAGGCATGCTTGCGGAGGTGTTTAAATGATCGGCGCAAGGACCGCGTAACAAGCCTCGAAGTGGGGAACTGTGGGATTGTAACGCCCATTGTCTGCTTGAAATGCATGATCAGCCGGTCCAGGTCATGCACGAAGCGCGGCAGCGGCAGGTACAGAATGGTCGGCTCTGGACTGCACTTTGGGAACAAAAAGTTCATGTCGTGGTTGTTCAGGGACACCTGGCGGAACAGCATGTCCGACATCTCAGGCATGGTGACATTCACGACGATGCACTCGCCGATCTGCTGCACCAGACCCTGTGTCAGCTCCTTGCTTGGTTTGTCGACGCCATAGATATGCAAAATAATGCACGGCACCGACTCCTCAACCAAGGCGGCAGGCTTGCTTCCAGCAGGCGCATGCAACTCAAATACAGGCATTGCAGTGCCAGTACCAGTGAGGGCATGCGGCGGCTGGCTTTGCGCAGACTCGAGGTTGGTCAGCGACGAGGCCAGATAAGAACCCGATGGCGACTCTGGGGTGGCCGAGATAATCGTCCCCCTGCGCATCGATCCTTCGGTCATGGAATGCCTGCTTCCGTTGTTATGAGCTGCTCTTAGCGAGGACTCTGTGTGACTTAATGACACTCGCGGCGACTGTGGCGGATGCAGATCCAAAGTGGTCGTGCCAAGTCTCCCGCTGCCTTCCATGCCTGGAGCTGCAAACATAGAAATACTGTGGATGGGCGACATCATTGGCGAGTGGCAATGGGCATTTGCCGACGTCGACTGCAGCAGCGGGTTGGGCGACGTTGTGGCCATAGTGTGAGCGCCGGACATCAACCCGCTCGAAGTGAGCATGGGACTGGGCGCAGCCGACACCAGGCTATCCTGGCCTGCAGCTGTCGCGATTTTGTCACTGGCGACAAACGGGCAGATGTACGGGATGCGGCCTATAGTCAGCAGTCCAAAAAAGAGCGAGCTGCCATCGCGCACGAAAAACATATTGCGCTGATTTGATAGGCGATTGTTCATCATGCTGCTGGCTAGCACCGACTGGATGGCTTTTTGTGGCGATATGCGAGGGTGCAGCGCAAAGGTCTTCTTAAACTGCTCTTGGCACATGTAATAAGTGGGGCTTTCCGGTGTGTATCGCGTAAGGACCGACGCAATGCTGAGCCCACCACTGCCATTGTCAGTAGGAGGACCTACACTGCTGCTGCTGCCAGAGGCCAGCGTGTTGATATGCACATTTTGCAGGTGGCTGGCCTTCCGTTGCTTATCCCCGCTCGAAAGCACCGGCGCTGAGGGGCTGGACGACAGGCCAGCAGAAAGCTCATCGCGGATGGCCTGGGTGTCAGGGTGGTTGTATTGGCCCAGGCGCGTGCTGGACACCGAAGTGGAGTTGGCACGCGCGGCATCGGGGAGCACTAGCTGGTCAGGAAAGCGGTGCGTCTCGGCTATCTCCTCCAGCAGCAATCGTGTGTTGGCGGCCTTGAGCGCGACCATCAGCAGCTGGCGCGTCGCAGCAAGCACATTGTCGGCGGCCTCTTCAGTCACGGAAGAGTAGTTGTGTGTCAGAATGAGCACGCCATCCAGTGATTCTGTCGGCTTGATCAAAAACCACGACGGAAGTGCGTCCTCCAAATCGATCGGCCCTGTCTCTACCCCTGCCGTTGAAATGCCCTGCATGTTGTTCGACGTGCTGGCCTCTATTCGCGCACGCGCTTCATTGCGCGCAGAGCGGCTGCGCACGTCGCGCATGTACACTATGCCATTGAGCTTCTGCAGTTTTCCAAACGGAAAGCCAAAGGACGTGCCGTCCATTTTGAGCAGCTCGGTCATGACAAGATCCATCGCATGGCGGCGCCGTGCAATATCAAAGCTGGTGGTCAAGAACTTCATCTCCAGCTTGTTGTGCGCAAACTCGAACCGGTCCGAGCATATGTCATCGTCGACTGTCGATTCAATGGTATGCCACACCTGGCTCAGCAAAGGGCTCGTCACCGGATGGATGTCGCGCAACGCGTACAACGTCTCTTGCGCGATGAAGCGGAGCATCTTGCGGTGGCAGTGCTGCAATAGTTGCAGTTGGTCTTGCGGCAAACCATCGAGTGTGGCGATCTGCATGTTGGTACACTGCTTGGCAATGGCGGCGGAAGGCAACTGTCCGTCTCCGTCGCCCCCGCTCTCAGTGGTTGGCAGTAGGTCTTTCAGCAACTTGGATTTCTCTGAGCGCGCCAGTGATGACAGCGACATGGTTTTTTGGAAAACATGCGTGATTTGGCTACCAACCTCCTGCTTGCTGGAATTTTGCTGCGGGACTTTTGACTTGGGCTCCTCGGCGCGGCTCGTGGCCTTGCCCTTAGACACCGGCTCCTCTGGTAGATACAAGCAGTTGATATGCATGATGACACGCACATCCATCGATGTGTCAAAGTGGTCCGTGGGCGGTCGCCACGGCAGGCCCGCCTGCTCGCACAATTTCTCCAGCGACAGGGGCAGCTGCTCGATTGGCATGTTGAGGCTGAGTTTGTGACCCACGGTGCTGTCTAGTACCTCAAGCGAGCACTGCAGGTTGATGAACAGCGGGTTCTGTGCCAGCTGCAAGCACATCTCCAGCTCGGACTCGCGTTCAGGAGTTGAGTGACAGTAGTACAGCTTTCCATCTGCCGTGTTGCCCGGGAGAGCCGTGAACGACTCGCCTATGAGCTTGGCAAACTGATCATGAATGCTCTGGCAGTCCCTACCGTCCCACGCAGGCTCGCGACCAAGTCGTGCCGCGTCCTGGCTGTGCAAGAAGGCAGTGATGTCCATGTCGATCGACCGCCGCCGCCACAGCGATGACCTTTGGCTAAACGCGAGATCAGCAGCTGACACTTGCCGCTTTAGTAGCAGCGCCAGGTACATAGTCTGCAGCTGGGCCTCTGTGTACATCCGCTCCAGCTTCTGGATCTCAGCGACGGCGTACTCTGTGAAGGGGATCGGAACGTCCCTTTGGCCCACAAAGCCCTGAAACGCGTCGCCAGGCACGCGCGTATTCGACGAGCCAACGTCCAGCGGCCGCAGGTTCAGCTGCCTCTTTGTTGCCACCATCCGCTGGACATCCATCGTGCCCACGTGTCGCCGCATCTCACTGCTGTCCATGCTGCACTCCATGACCAGCGTGTACGCATTCAATGCCGTCAATCCGCCTCCAATGCCGGCGTCCGACCCGGTTATCGAGCTCTCAAGGGCGGGCGTGAACACTGGGGGGCTCGCGGGCTGGGAGTCAGACCTCTTATGCGTGGGCGCACTGGAGCTGTCAGCATCCTGCACAGTCTCGGCCTGATCGCCTTTCTCAGGGCGCTCAGCCTGGCCGCTTTGGTCGCGCCGTGGCGCTGCGAGCGGCACATTCGGCATGATCACCATCAGGAACGATGTATTGTTCGGCAGCCGGATGACAAACCACTTGTCCACAAATAGGTGCTCGTCCAGCGCATTCGGCACGCCCGTTGCCTGGTGCATGCCCGGGCTATGCGCAGCCAGCTCGCTGATGATGCTGCCAGCGAAGCGCAGCTTGTGGAAGCGCTCAGCGTTGACAGCAATCGCATCGCAGTGCTTGAACAGCGCAAACTCCAAGAAGCAGCGGTACGCAACCATCGTAAACTCGCCGGTCGTCATCCACTTGACCGCGAGCTTGTTGAAGAAAAGCTTGCGCGGATGACCGGGGTTGATGAGCGCTAGGATAAACGGATTGTACTCATTTAGTCGGTACCTCTCGATGTACGGGTCGTACTTGCCCTCCTCGCTCTTTTCAAATAGCGTTAGCATAAAGCGCTCCAGTATAATTGCCTGGCGCTCGCCGTGGCTTGACCCGACGTGCACAATCTTGAGTTTTTTCTCCATCGCAAGACGACGTGTCTCCTCGCGATCGTGCGTCTTGTAGTACTCGGTCGCCTTGGTCCGCCGCATAACATTTCCGGCATCGTCCAGCTCCTGGATTTCAATGTCATCATCGGGATTTGGATCAGGCGTGATTCGGAAGGTCGGGTCGTCCAGCTTTATTGAATCAGCGCCGTCCGGCTGGTTCCACGCCGCATACGCCGGCGAGACTTCGGGCAGCTGCAGCATCCGCAGTGCAATACGGCTCGAGTTGACCACCGCCATAATCGAAAACATGTTCATCCGCTTGCTGTGGAACTCGGCGATATTGGGCACCTTGAGCTGGAAGCACCGCTCGGGCTGCAAGATCTGCTGGAACGTGCCCAGTGGTGCGAGGATGCGGAAGTCGTCCTCAAACAGGCTCCGGATAAAGCGTGGCGACCACGGCTCAATCCACGTGCGTGCAGTCACTGAAGACTGCTTCATGTCCACAATGATCTGGTACTGGCACCCAAGCAAGAGCTCCTCACCGTCGTAGCCCTCGCGCTCGTGGTAAAAGGTGATGCAGCTGTCGTACATCGACGCGTCAGTGCCGCCCATCAGGCCTGTACTCTCGCCCTTGGCGTTGACCAGCGTAAAGTCCTGCGAAAGACGGTGGTACCCGAGCGTCATCGCCAGCCGGTGCAACGCCTGCCTTACAATGTCTCTGTCCGACCCCTCGCCGCTCAAGTCTTTACGCGTGCCCTCACGCGCGAGGTATGTCCAGCGCCACTCGACCACGTACGTGTGCAGATCCCCCATGTCGCGCGTGCTCAGCAGGTTAGGCGCCATTATATCCGTAATGTCAAGATCCACGGGCAAAAGGTGCAGCGGACGCGTCGCACGGGCGACCGACTCGCGGCTCGGATCGCGGTAGCTTGGCTTGAACGAGTCGCCGAACGACGGCAGACAGTTCACCACGACGTTGCGTGCGGCCATGGTCCCGTTGAACAGGCTGAAGGTCACGCGCAAGATCCAATTCGTGGCCATCTCCCAGTGCGCCACTATGAACACTGGAATCCGGTGCGAAAGGCGAAATTTGTCGCGCAAAAATACCACCGACTTGTTCTCATCCTTCATGAGCGCCCATGTGCCCGCCTGGCACACGTGCGCGCGGAAGTCTGCCATGATGCGCTGGCCGTGCTTCGCTGTCTCGGCAAAGTTTATGCCCTCGACGTACGACATGATCAGCTCCGAGTCGATAAACATGGATGCCGTGTGTCTAAAGCTTGCGAGCATCTTGACTGTGCTTCCGTTCTTGGAGAACTGCATCATCATCTCGTAGAGCTGAGAGTGCTGCTCGCTCCATTCAGAGTGATCCAAGAACACCATCGGATCCACCTCATCCGCAGAGATACGGGTGGCCAGAGGAGGAACCTCTCTGATTGCGTGCGGTGGGTTGGACGACGTGTCTATGACCGGCGGAATGAACACCCGGGGGTGGGCCTTTGCACGCGGGCCCGGCGCGATTACCAGCGCTGGATAGTAGATCTGTCGCAGCCGCTCATCTTTCTCGACCATAGTCTTCAAGAACTGGTGCAGCATGGCCGCCTTTGTAAACAGCTCGCTCCTGCGCCCGTCACCCGGGTTCTGCTGCAGAAATGCCAGCGTAAACATGTTGTATGACCGGATAACAATATCGACCGAGTTGGGGCTGCGCTGTCCGCGGTCGTCAACTGCCAGGCTGAAATCGTCACTGGAGACGCTGTCCGAGCGCGAGCGTGCATTCAAGCTATTGCTTCTGCTGCTGCCACTGCTATTGCTATTCCTGTGGCCCGGCTCTTCGCGGGCGACGTTGGGTGACATGTAGTGTATGTTGGTGAGTCGGTACACAATGGTGATGTTGGCGTGCCACACAAGCTCCATCCTGACAACGATGCGCTCGCCGATGCCGTCCCGCTCGTGCTTCGAGATCTGAATGTTGCGCACGACAAACCCCTCGTTCATGCGCGCCTCGATGAGCACGTTCATGCTGACCGGGATATTGTAGTCACTGTACCGCGCCGTCACTGTGTGCACAATCGGGGGTTTACAGTCAGGGCACCAGGGGAACCCAACGTCGCTGCCCGGAGTGGACTCGAGGTTGCTGCTGTTTGTTGGGTTCAGCCTCTCGCGCGGCATGTCTCCCAGGCGCCGGCCGCCCTGCTGTATCACATCGTACCGGTGGCGGACATGGGTCCTCACGAGGCGCGTCTCGCGGATCAGCATCGACTGGTGATAAAAGTTGATCTGCTGCGGGAACACCGTGTCGGGGCAGTCGCTAGCGTAAATGAAGCGGCCATCCAAGCACGCAGCCATGCACAGCAGCAGCTCGTTGTCGCCGACATATCCAAGAGTCGTCTCGGGCGTGAACCCGCCGCATGACCCAACTTGGATGAACGTACACTGCGTGCTGCGCCGGCACAGCGATCTTGTGAGAACCTGCGCCCTTGATGTCGCAAAGTTGGAGCGCATAACTCCGTCGGTCAAGAATACAAACGCTGGCGAGCATATCTCAGGCATGATCTTCAGAAAATAGTCGGCGATCTGCAATGTATGCAGCAGCGGCGCGTCCGGGCAGTAGGTGAACGTGAACGTGTCTCCAGCCTTGGGCTGCTTATTTGACTTGCTGGCGCTCTCAAATGTGGCCGAGGCTTCTGAAGTGGCTGTTTGGCTGTGGCCGTACCGCATGTTCTTTGAGCTGCGCCTGGATTCTTGCTTCTGGTACTGCTCAAACAGTTCGTCCTGCTGCCTTTCAAAATCGACGTCTGGGTCCAGCGGAATGGGCGGTGGAGGCGGTGGGAAGCTTCCGAGTGAGTCCTGGATCTCGCATTCGTAGTTAAAAAGGAAATTGCGAATGGACTTCATAAACTCGGGCATGTCTTCGACCGTCACCATGTGTGCGTGCGTCAGGGTGCGGCAGAATGGCAGCTTTTTGCGATCACGCTCAGCAGGGTACGAGCCTGGTGGTCGCGGACAGTATCCAACGACGCTAGCGCAAATATGGGGCTCGACCTACAAAAAAGAATGAGTGATAATCAAATGGCCTTAGTACACCAGGACCTGCTCTAAGAATAGCAATCAAACACAAATAAATAAATGCGCACCCAATGCTCACGTACCAAGTAATCAGGCAAGCCTAGCGTTGAGCGCACTGTGAATGGCTGCACCATGCCCATCAGGCACTTTTCCAGCGTCTCCAGAGCGGTGTGTATATACGTCTCGTTGGTGTTTGGGTCCAGCGAGTACATGCTCTGGCTGATGTCGATGACAAACACAACGTTGTACTCGTGGTTTATCGTCCAGAACAGTGTGCTCTCGGTCAATTTGTACTTCCGGTCCAGATTCTCTGCTAGTGCGGACATGTCGTTGAGTGATGGGCTAAAAATCGAGCTGGACTGTCTGTCGATCCTGTGCGATGAATTACGGTGGTGGGAGCTGGATAGCGAGTGTAAATGGCGAGAGCTGCCGCCGCCATTATTTGCGCCCCCGGCACCTGGGCCATTGGGCCCGCCAATATTGGCCACAACGTCAATAATGTCGTACAGAGAGCCCTCCATATCGCTAAGCGTCAGGGGTACATGAAGGTGGTTCAACAGCCACAGCGCATGGTCAACGCGACGCTCGTGAATCACTTCCTTTGTAACCACGATAACGCCCTGAGCAACCACTGATCCATCGTTGGAGCTGCTCTCGTTCACCCTTGAAGTACTCATTTCAAGCGTGCTGTTGTTTTGTTTATGTTATTTTTGCTGTTGTTGTTTTTTGTCTGTGCTGTCTGTGCTGGGTCGAATGAGTATGAGCGGTGTTTGTGAAAAGGAGTGTCAAATTAACGGGGTGTGCAAATGGTTTGAGGTGTTTGGATTGAGGGATTACAGATTTAAACGAAAGCAGAAAAAGGAAGCTCCAATTTTGCAACAATTGAAACCACAAAAAAACAGCATTTCAAACCAACAGCAAGCTGGTATTAAAAGTCCAAACCCAATTATTTGATTTGATTGTAAATGTCTGTGATCCCCTCTCGCTTTTGTTTGGCGATCGACAAGGAAACATGTGCGCAGTTGCAGAATTATTTTTGTTGCCAAGCCAAACCCAGTCTCAGCAACAAACGGGCTTTCTTTATTAACTGGCGCTCTTGTGGAGTGAGCACAGGTTCATAAAAAAAACACATGAAAAGGGAGATATCCTGACGTTGCGAAGGATAATACAAAACACAAAAATAGCTTGTACAAAATAAGCTGATCGTCTGCGAAAGATAAAGTTTCGGCGTGGTTTGAGCTTTGACATGCGTAAAAACGCTTGACTTGCGAGCCCAAAGTATATTGCGTATGTTTTTCAATAATTGCGCAATATTGGATCACCATTTACATATGGCTCCTGGATACCCAAACTTTTTTTATCAACCTCGCTTGTTTTTTATTAACTTTTGGCAACTTTAAAAAGGATCGGCCGTTATATTTGGCGTTACTTGCTTTTTTTGGCACTGAATGAAATCCTGGCAGTGCGTAGTAAGTTTGGCATGAATCTTTTTCAGTTGCCAAGACAAATTGATCTTTGTGTCGCTGCGAATGGCCGGTCATCCGCCGCAACAGTGTTGAAAAGGGGCCGTGATGCACCAATGATAGAATTAGTCAGCGTGCCCAGTGTGATGTTCTACTCTTTCGATTAAAAATCGGCCAGCATAATTTCTTTATCTGGCAAGGCAAAATTTCTATTTTCTTCTCCACTTTTTTTATTTTCTGCCAAATATTTCAACTCGCTTTCGACAACTACCTACGCACATCAGCTCCACACAAGCACAAGCACTTGCTACTTTCACATCACTTTTTTCTTCTCGACATGGGTCTTTTATCGCTGGGCACGCCGCTTCCCTGGGATCAGGCAAAGCTCCTTGCGTGCGAGGTGCGCCAACACGGAATCGAGCAGTTCCTTCACATCTGGCGCAACATGAAGGACCGACAAAAGGACAATCTGCTCTGGGGCGATGAGGTACTGTGCAGCTGCCAATTTATAATATCTGACCGCATCAATTTTACATTGGCCAATGTACTAATACTGAATTATTTGTTTTGGAATTGCTATGTTGTAGATTGAGTACATTCTCATTTCGCTGGACCACAAGAATAGGCGTGCGCGCCTGTCGCAGCGGGGCCATGAGCTTCTTAGCCTGCTACAGGTGGAGGAGAACGAGAGGCTCACCAACCCTGGCCGCCCTGGCGAAAAGCCCGAGCTCGAGGCACTGTGGAGACCCGAGTTTGGCCGCTATATGATTGAAGGTATGCAAAGCTTGTTTTGTCTACGGTATCATCGGCCTAGACCCCTTGACAAATATGTTTTTTTTGGATTTGGTTATCCGCCCTTTTTTAGTTGCCTGTGGCCACTCGCGCGCTGTTGATGGCGGGTTGTACTGTTGACATTGTCTTGTCTGGGGCATTTGTGACCAATGACCGCTGGCTTCAAAGATGTCATTTATGCATCCATGACTTGAGACGATGCATGTGCGTTCATGCGCAAATGCAGATGCAGCAACCTCGTTTATGCAGTTCCTCGACCAGCAGAGATGAAAAGTCGCTGGATCAACAGCCTTGAAAGTGTTCTCTTCCCTTTCCCCACTATCTCTGCGCATCGATAAGATATGTCTGCCGCCATCTGACACACGGCCATTTTTTTGCAATTGCAAAAGGGTGTGCGCCTGTAATTTCAGAAGAAAGAAGAATACCAGTGTGTAGAAGATGAAAAAAAGTTGACACAGGCCAGACTTTTAATTTGTTTTTCGTTGATCAAAGAGCCAGTGTGGATGACCAGCGCAACTAATACGGATTATAATTTTTTTCTTAATTTTTGTAGGCACACCTGGCCATCCGTACAACTCGACTGTCGACGAGCTCGTCAATGTCGAGGCGAATATGAAGCGGCGGCGTGAGATAGTCGCGGAGAATATGACCGAGGATGAGATAATCGTATCGATCGGAAGCTACCCCGAGCTTGGCAGCGCCGACTTCCTCGACCCCCCGCATAAGCCCAATGGCCAGTTTTTGCGCAGTCTCTTTTTGCCCGACGAGGTTGTTAACCCGCACCCCCGATTCCGCACGCTGGCTGCAAACATTCGCGAGCGCCGTGGCGCCAAGGTGGCCATCAACATGCCCATATTCCACGACGCAAACACCCCAAACCCCTTTGTCGACCCGACCATTCCTTACGAGCGCAATCTGTTCCCTGAGGACAGCGAGGCTAAGGAGGGTGCTGCGCTGCCAGACCACATTTACATGGACGCCATGGGCTTTGGCATGGGATGCTGCTGCCTCCAGATCACGCTGCAGGCGCCGAATGTTGACCAGGCGCGCCGGATGTATGATCAATTTGCCACTGTTGGCGCAGTGATAATGTCGCTATCGGCCTCGTCGCCAATCTTCCGCGGGTACCTGGCCGACGTGGACTGCAGGTGGAATGTCATTTCAGCCGCCGTCGACGACCGGACACCCGAAGAGCGCGGACTGCGGCCGCTGGCCAAGGACCGCTTTGTCATTCCCAAATCACGCTACGGAACCATCGACACATTCCTGGGCTCGAGTGACGGCCACTTCAGGCCCGAATACAACGATCTGCCGCTGGCTTACGACAAGGACATCTACCAGCACCTGGCCGACAGCGGCATCGATGACCTGATGGCAAAGCACGTGTCGCATCTGTTTATCCGCGACCCGCTGGTGATCTTTGAGGAGCTCCTCGACCAAGACGACTCGGTGTCGGCAGACCACTTTGAGAACATCCAGTCGACCAACTGGCAGAATGTGCGCTTCAAGCCGCCTCCACCAAACTCGCCCATTGGATGGCGCGTAGAGTTCCGCCCGTTGGAGGTGCAAGTGACTGACTTTGAGAACGCGGCGTTCTCGGTGTTCACAGTCCTTCTGGCACGCGCGATGCTGGCGTTCAACGACATCAACATGTACATTCCCGTAACGAAAATGGACATTAACATGCAGCGCGCCCACAGCCGCGATGCTGTGCTCAACGAGAAGTTCTACTTCCGCCGCAACATATTGGGCGATAACAAGTTGTCTGAGTCTGAGGCTGAGGCTGAGGCTGAGGCTGAGGCTGAGTCTAAATTTGGGTCACAGCTGCCCTCTGACAGCGAGGAAGACGTCATCGAGATGTCTGCCAACGAAATTGTCAACGGCTCGCTCGAGTTTGTCGGCCTCATTCCGGTCGTGCAGATGTACCTGGACTCCATTGCGCTAGATGACGCTGTGCGCAGCAAGATTGACGTGTACATTGCCTTTATCAGCGGGCGCGCCAATGGGTCGATCGTGACAGCTGCTGCCTGGATCCGCAACTTTGTGCGCAGCCATCCAGCATACAAGTTTGACTCGGTTGTGTCCCCAGAGATCAACTACGACTTGGTCATTGTGCTTGATGAGGTGGCTCGCGGAAAGCGCCTCGCTCCGGAGATGGTTGGGACCGGGGGCAGCTCTGTATGATTCGTGCCAGGCTGTGCGCATTATATTATTTTATCCTTTCAAATGCTTATCGTATTTTATCGTATTTATTACACATTTGAGCTTTCACTTGGCAGTTTGATGCTGGTACGCGGAACAGACCCGTGTGGAAGGCCAGTGTATCCCCGGCGCATCCGACAAAAAAGATTACAATTTTCTAACCTCTGGCCTTATGCTAAATATCAACACTATTTAGCTGGTCGTACTATTTGAGATTGCCGGCCGTATAGAGCGATATGTCGCAAGGGTTTGAAAGGGGTTTAAACGCAGACAAAGCAAAGTGTCCTTGAATCATGACATGGTGGCGTTGTGTTTAATGCGCACATGCACGCCACGCCTTTCTCCAATTTTATCGAATATAATACTTCATATACGTAGCAAAACAAGTAAATATAGAATAGGGACCCAACATATTGAAATTTGAGTACATAAATTGCAAAAATAAAATCTAAAAGCGATGGCAAAAGCAAAAGAAAAATAGCCAAATGCGGACATGCTCCCAGTTGGTTTGCTGTCGGGCAGCCCAACCCTCTGTCCCTGGCCGGTATTTTTGCAGCTTCGACATTGCCATGCTTGCAGCGAACAAAGCATTCTCTCAACTGTGAGAAAAAACAAAAGACGCCTTTTGTTGCCATGACGTCATTGTGTAGTAGATAATGAAATGAAAACTTTATTTGTTTGTTTTGCTTGGCACAAAGCGGTGCAGTGTGGTAAGCAGAGTAAAAAACGAGTAAATACTTGATCATCTCGCGAAAGAAATGCATGCGAAGAAAGCAAATCAAATGAATCAAACGCATATTATGCACAGTGCAAATGGCTGGAGTTGTTGCGCGTCCGCATATCTGTTGTTTGCACCATTTTTGGCACTTCTTACCAACTCTTTTTTTTCTTCGCTGCCTGATGCCCGCGTGCAGCGCTATTGAGCAGCACTTTTAATTTGGTCAATCCGAAGGCTCTCCCTTTTTCCTTTTTCCTCTTTTTTTGTTGCTCAGCATTCAGTCATCTTGGAAGAAAATCCTACGAAAAAAATATATTCTGGCATTTACGCCGTTATAAGTGTGTTCTTGAAAAGAGATTTGACCAATACATCTTTGCTTCAATTTCATTTTTGCTGCACCTTTTCCACCCTAATATTCCATTCTTTTTTAATTTTGCAAAGCCTGTTTCTCATAAAATTTTTGTTACTTGTCTTTTTTTTGTTTATTTGCACTTACCTCACTTAACCTTACCTCGCCTCGCTTCACCACCCTGTGTATTGCATGACACGCCTCTATTAGCATCACTTTGGCATATTCACTACTATTTCTTTTTATTCTACTTGACCCACCATTGGCACTTATCAACGTTGCCCTCTGGTCGCACTCCATACACACCAACACCAACCCTGGTATCTCTTACGCCTTAGCAATACGCGGGATAATAGCAGACAAGCAGGGTCAGCACACCTCTTTTTATTTCGTTTTTGAATTCAATTTGAATGACTCGCTCAATCCATTCAGACATGTATTCGTGGCAGGATATACTTCCGCGCATGGAGGAGATCCGCAGGCAGGCAACAGACCAGTTTATCGCTGCGTGGAGGGGCTCGCAGACCAAAAAGGTCAACGATTTTACTTGGCACGAAACGGTAAGTGCGCACAAGCAAAACAATATGCGGGAAATATCACCTTTTCACTTTTATTTTCCTCGATGCGAGTTGCCACTGCGCCTGTCTATCTGAGATGTCCATCGTGGCCTTTCTTTTGTCTTTCTCCTTTTGCCATATATGAGATATGCTTTTGAGCATGCGCACAATTGTCTAGACAAATAGTTTGAATAGTTTGTACTACACTCTCCCCACCAGCTACGCGGCCGTTTTTCTATTTCCATATGTGCAGCAGCGGCTGTGGCCATGATGTCGGTGGCGAATCTGGTCAGCTCTATGTGGCATATCATGAGCGTGGGGAGAAAAGATCCTAGTGACACTTCATTTCTGTTAACATTCTGGTAAGCTGCTTTCCCGGAATACAAATGACTTTTTTGCGCGCAAATATTCCAGAGCAAAGGGTCAGCCCTTTCTTTTCTCCGCCTGCAGCAATGGAGCATAACTTTACTGCCATGTGTTGTACATTGTTGTTGCACATGCATCTATCTGCGTAGGCATGGTAGGCAGCGACATGTATTGCACTTTCCGCTTTATTATGACATTCGTTCCTTTTCTCTTTTTGTCCTCTTGACCATATGGTTCGAGCCGCCCTGCAACCAAAAAGTGCGAGCAGTAGCATCGCCACAAGCGTTGCTATTTTCACAATGCTCCTTTAATTTTGCTTTGGCTATGGCTTTGGCTTTGGCTAACCAAATTTCTGTCTCGACGCTATTTTCCCTCCCCCCGTTCTACTGCGACCGGAAACATCATTTTTAGGTCGGATATGTAATAGTAAAGCGCGACGATGATTCCCGGCGCGTCGTGTTGAGTCCCCGAGTGCCCGAAATTCTCCGAGAGCTAGGATGCGACCTCACCCTCGCCTCAACCGGCATGCACCCACAGGTCCACGACAGAGAAGCATCGAGCAATCCTGGTGACACATCCGCCAATGTGGCAGCAGAACAGACGTCCTGGCGCCCAGCCCACGCCCGGTTTGCCCTTCGATGTAAGTGCAGAATCTCTCAAGCAGTCAGTCGCTGCTTGTGCATTTCCTAATTATTAGGTAAATGTTTTTTGTTTGCTGTGTTGGCGCTTTCCCGCAGCGCTGCTTATATTGATCCCGCTGCCGCCGCCACCACCACAACCCACCCAATATTCTGGGTTGATTTTTTCATCCCACTTTTTCCTGATATGCAAAATTGAAAAGGCGGGCTGATGATATTGGGGAATAGAGGGAGAAAAGCGATCTGCAGAAGACACAATGACAGCCAGCAGGCCAAGCAACCTGTTTTTTGGTATCGTGCCTCATTGCCTGTCCTTTGGAATGTAATTTTAAACACAAGTGGCCCAACTGGTGCGTTCTTGTTCATTCTGAGTCGTGTGTTTTAGAAAATAACGCACTTTTGCCCATCGCGTTGCTATCGACGCGCTTGGGTGTTCGCATTTTGCGAAGGTGGCGAACGCTTGGAATTATACGTCCAGTATTGTGCCCAAAATATGTATCATATTTGCGATCCTCTGCTATTCCAATGATACATTGCACCCATCCTCTATCTGTATATGCAGTCCGTGCGAGCCATTGTGCTCAGCTCTCAAAATTTATTTTACTCTTCTCTTTCTCGCTAGGCTTGGTTCGAGGCATATCATCTTTATCCATCAGCCGCTTGTAGAAAAAATACACAGGCCAATCCTTCTCATTTGCATCTTGGATATGAACACGGACATTGCCGCCAAATCCGGATACCGATTCTGATGTCGATCTGCATTGCTTCCTCCATTATTTCTAAACACCCCGACATTTCGCACATTTCGCAGCACAACTAGACGCATGAAACAATATGTCATTATTACGCTTGCACTTGTTGACACACCATGTTAATCCTTTGTAATATCTGCCATTAAAAATGGTTGTTTTTTGCTACAAACTGGTATAGGCGAGCCACAATACCTGCGCGAATTTTGTGTCGGTCAGCTGGCAACTGGTATTTCTGAATGCCTGCGAGAGCGGCGGCGCCTGCTGAAAAGCAAACTAAAGCCTGACGAGATGCTGCTCTCTGTGGGGCAGTTTCCGCTTCTCGGTGCTGACATATACATTGAGGACCAGGACCTAACCAACGGCCCTCTGCTCCGCAGCATGCTGTTGTCAGAAAACTGCCTCAACCCAATGCCGCCATTCACATTGGAGATTGGGGGGATCATAGATCGCCGCGGAATTGTTCCTTACACAGCTGTACCAGTGTTTCGCGATGCTAACACGCCGTGGCCGTTTGCAGACAAGGATCTTTCGTTGGAAACTTTAGACTTTGGCATCCTGCAGAGCGCCGTTGGCCTTGATGGACACGCCCGCACTGCTGGGACACCCGCTGTCCCTCAGCATGCTGTCGCCAGCGTTGGCAACGTTGCCGCGCGCCCAGAAGCAGCAGTAGAGACGCCATCATATTCTGCCGATGCGAGTGCCTTTAATGGCGTTCCGTCGAGAGACACCCAGAGGATGCCGTACGCTGTGAATCCGTCGCCGCTGCCGCTGATGTTTGAAATGCCATCGGGCAAAAATAGTTTACTTTTGGACTCGCCGTTGTATGGAATTGGCAGTGGCGGCGTGCTGCGCGTAACCCTGTGCGCGGCCGACCTCGGCGAAGCGCGCATTCTCTATGACCAGCTAGCGCCAATCTGTGCTATCATGGTAAGTTTGAAAGCCGCATACACACGCGCAACGAGCCAGTGCTTGTCATCTTAGAGATCACGCGAGTTTTTCTCTTTCTGAAAAAAAGCCAGCCGACTAGTCACTCGCAGCGCTAATGATAACAAAGATAAAAGAGCGTGTATGTGTCCATTTACTTTGTATTTTCCCTTATTTTGTAGACTGCCTTGACTGCAGCCACGCCGATCGTAAAGGGGCACCTGACCAACCGCGATTGCTACTGGGATGTGCAGTGCAGCGCTGTAGATGACCGCTCGGCACAGGAGCGTGGGATTGTACCACTTACTACGGCCAAGGGCACGCTACTAAAGTCGCGCTTTGGCTCGATTGACACGTACTTGGGGCCCAGCCCGACAAGCAAAAACCTGGCATTCCACCCCGAAATCAACGACTGTCAGTACACATACGATAGCTGCTCGTACTGGAAGATGAAGGACGGCGGTGTAGACAACCTTTTGTCCCAGCATGTCGCGCGCTTGTTCATTCGCGACCTGCACTACGCCTCGGCAAAAATGCTGGGCGACAACAACAGCGGGAGCGGGAACAGAGCCGATGGCAATGACAGAAGTGGCAATGGCAATGACAATAGAAATGGCAGCAGTGCAAGTGCAAGTATTGATTCGGATGGCCAGGAGCATTTTAAGCGCTTTCTCGGCTGTAACCGCCAGAATGTCTGCCTGTATCCTCCCAATACTAGCACGGGCAGCGGCTGGGAGATCGAGTTTATGTCGCTGGAGGTGCAGCTTACAGACGCCGAGAATGCGGCGCTGATTACGTTCATTGTGCTGCTCAGCCGCGTCATCATCTCCTACCGCCTCAACCTCTACTTGCCGATCTCGCAGATGGACCAAAACATGTCGCGGGCCCAGAAGATTAACGCTGTCAAAGACCAGCAGTTCATCTTCCGGCGCGACGTGTTTAGTGGAAAGGATGGAAACTCCAGCAGCTCGGGGCGCATTCCGTGGCGCGGCAATGTCAGAAGCCGGCCCGACCCGCACATGCCGGGCTCTCCGGTAGAACAGGACCAGTTTCATAGGCACATTGGCATCAAGTCGCCCGAGTCAGCCGAATATGTCGAGCTGACGGTCGACGAGATACTGAACGGGTCACCGAAACATAGGGTCATGGGGTTGCTCAAAATCATCCAGTCGTTTTTGCCAACCTTGCATCTGGAGTACGACGTCGAGAGGGAGGTGCGCCGCCAGCTGTGGCTGGTTGAAAGGCGCGCGAGCGGCAAGCTGTGTACGCTGGCGACGTGGATGAGGCGCTTTGTTCGGAACCACCCAGAGTACAAACGCGACTCTGTCGTGCCTCCATCCATCAACTATGATATGCTGCGGACCATGAACGACATTGAGGAAGGGAAGATAATGGCACCCGAGCTGCTGGGATGATTGATGCTACAGCTCCACCACACACGCGCATGCATGCATGGCACCTCTTGAGGCATTCAATCCGCTTGCGCACATTCTTAATATGAAATACACGCAGATTCACAGCGCACTTCCACCAACAGCTAAATTTGCTGCAACACACACTGCCATTGCCATTGCCATTGCTGGTCTTAGGCCGGTTGGTGTCCTTGTGCGAGACAAATAAACATTGGACTCTACTATTGACAAACTATAACACACAAAATATATGTGTGGCGACCAGAGATGTTAGGGAGAAAGAGTGCGTCCGACACTGTTGAAATGCGAATCGAGCCACAAACCGGACGTGTGCCTGCCATCTTAGGATCTCCGATAGCTTGAATCGCCTCGATTTTGTCTGCGCCAATCACACAATCGAACGTGATGTGGCGTTCAGATTGGCTGGCGCTTTGTGTGCGTGTCATTCCCATTCCACTGCTGGACCACTCACAGAGGGCAGCTGCCCTTTTATTTTGCATTTTGTATTTTGTGCTCTTTTGGCCTTTTTCTTCATTTTCCCTATTGCCCCCTTTTTTGTTTCCTCTTCTACTTTTCCCAACTCTGTTTTCCTCTCTCTATTTTTCACATTCGACCTTTGGGAATTTCTCTCATTCTCACGCACAATGCTCGACTTTGTTGTCTGTGTCGGTGGCATCTACGCCTGCTATCTAACATGGTCTGTCATGCAGGAGCGGGTGACAATGTCCACGTACGGCGAGGACCACCAGCGATTCCGCTTCACAATTGTACTCAACATTATCCAAGCAATGTCTGCATCCCTCACAGGGTACTTCTACGTCCGTGTCATCCAGAAAAAGCCAATGCTTAAGATGAACGCGCACCGGTGGAAGCGGTTCTTCCAAGTCGCCGTGCTTAACTCTCTGGGGTCTCAGTTCGGGTACATGGCGCTCAAATATATTAATTACCCGACGATGACATTGGCAAAAACATGCAAGTTGATCCCGGTTATGTTCATGAACAAGGTGCTTTATCGCAAGCATTATCCGACGTTCATGTACGCAGTGGTGGCGATGATATCGGCCGGAGTGTCGGGGTTCATGCTGTTCAAAAGCGGCGGCAGCGGCAGCGCGGCGGTTGTTGAAAATAGCCTTTATGGGCTGGCGCTTGTGTTGATTAATTTGGCGTTTGACGGTACGATGTACTCGACCCAGGAACACATTTTTGCTGAGGATTCTGAGATTACAGGCCAGAACATGATGTGCATTATGAACCTATGCAGCACAGTTCTCATGTCCCTGTGGCTGCTGAACCCGTACAATCCGGAGCTGGCTTCGGCAATACGGTTCCTGTACACGCATCCTCGCGCGATGACCGACATTGCCATGTTTGCCATTTGCGGTTCGCTCGGCCAGTGCTTTATGTTCTACATCTTGGCCAACTTTGGCTCGCTGACTCTGACGACAATCAATGTGACGCGCAAGTTCTTGACTATTTTGATCTCGGTGTTCTACAATGGCCACCCGCTGAACCAGAGACAGTGGTCGGCCACTGGCCTGGTATTTGCGGGCATTACCCTCGAGGTGTATAAGAAGCATATGATTAAGCGGGCGGGAAAGAAGCTGCAGCCGGCGGTGGCTGATTTGCCCGATACAGCGGGGGAGCCTGTTAAGCGTGTCACGTCGCCATCGCTTTCGGGCGAGCGTGCTGCTGCGGTGCGGGCTGCGTTGAAGCGCAAGTCTGGCGGTACTCAGGCGGATGCCAGTGGTGATCTGAGAAGACGCCAGATGGTCGAGGTGGCTGCCACATAAATTCTTCCCGTACTTGGTTGTTTTGGCCGCAAATTCATTTCATTTCATTTTTTTTCTTCAGATTATATATCCTTTTGCACTTTTTTTGCACTTTTCTATTTCCTTTTCATTCCATATTTGAACTTTCAAAATAAAGCAATACGTTTTTCTTTTTAGCTTTCACTCATTATTTTTTGGGCGTGTAGACCGCGTCCACGTTTTGGCTTATAAGATTTTGGTCTGTGCTTTTTTTTTGGCAGGCAGATGAGGGTCGAAATACAAACAAGCATGAGGCAGCATTTCCATTTTATTATTATTTTTGCTTCTCCGCACATACAAGCACACTTCTTTCTTTTATAAACACTTTTTTTGTTTTATCTCTATTATTCGGCGAAAAGCTGTAAACTTCCTTTTTTACACACGACCACCCACATTCATCGTATTTTTTTTGCGCAATCGTCAACTGATTCATTTTAACTCATCTGCAGATGACCGTGTCCAATGACCTACAGAGTCTGCTGAAGCGGGTCGAGAAGGCGACCATGCGGCTGGAGGAGATGGCAGCCAAGCACGCCGAGCAAAAAGCCAGCGCAGCCAACACCACCGGCAGCAGCAGCAATATCACCGATAGCAATGCCAGTCTGTCGAGCGATGCTGGTGCAGACAGCAAGGCAGTTGTTGAGTACGAAGCGGCACTGCAGCCGTACGTCGAAAAATTCATCGAGCTCTCTCAACAAATTGGCGGCCTCGTTGGTGAGCAGGCGGAGAGCGTCTCTGCGTTGTTTGACGCACAGCGTAATTTCATTCGTATCGCCGGGCTGACGAAGAAGCCGACAATGGACCAGATTCCGGCTCTTTTGGAGCCCCAGCAGCAGGCCATCCAGAAGGCCATTGATATCAAGGACAAGAACAGGCCATCCGACATGTTTGACAACTTGTCGACGGTTGCCGAGGGTATTGCTGCCTTTGGGTGGGTGGCAGTCGAGCCCACACCGGTGCCGTATATTAACGAAATGAAGGACTCGGCGCAGTTTTATTCGAACCGCGTGCTGAAAAAGTGGAAGGAGAAGGACAACAGGCATGTTGAGTGGGTCAAGGCCTTTTTGAGCATACTGCGCGAGATGGCTGCCTATGTCAAGCAGTTCCATACCAAGGGCTTGGTGTGGAACCCCAAGGGCGAGGATTCTGCCCAGGCGCTGCATGCTATCAAGGGTGGGGCTCCAGCAGCTTCCTCGGCGGCACCCCCTGCTTTCTCTGGGGGAGCTCCGCCACCGGCCCCTCCACCGCCGCCTCCTGGCGCCATTGAAGTTGCCGGCAGCTCGTTGGCTGCTCCTGTTACTCGCGGCGCTCTTTTTGCCGACATCAACAAGGGCGGCGCCATCACCGGTGGCCTGCGCAAGGTGGAAAAGAGCGAAATGACGCACAAGAACCCAGCCTTGCGTGTTGGTGGCACCGTGCAGGACAAGGCGGAATCGAGCTCTGCGTCCAAACAGGCCCAGCCCCAAGCGGTGGCACAGCGGCTGCCGCGGATGCAGCTTCAGGGCTCCAAGTGGATTGTCGAGAACTACGGCACTGAGCACCTGGTCATCGAGGCAACCGAGACCAAGCAAACCGTGTATATGTTCAACTGCAATGGCACAACCTTGGAAGTCAAGAACAAGCTCAACAGCATTGCCATCGACGGGTGCCAAAAGTGCGGTATTGTTTTTGACACCCTTGTCGCGCAATGCGAGATCGTCAACTGCAAATCCGTGCAGGTGCAGGTGAGGGATATGGTCGCTTCGATTCAGATTGACCGCACGGACGGTGCGCATGTGTTTTTGTCCGAGAGTGCCCGCGATAACACACAGATTACCACAGCAAAGGCATCCGAGGTCAATATCTCATTCCCCTATGAGACCAGCAATGTCGAGGACGACAATTTTGTTGAGCAGCCTATTCCCGAACAGCTGCAGACTGTCGTCAAGGACGGGAAGCTGGTGACAACCATCCTCGAGCACACCGGATAGAAATATGTGTGACCCTGTAGGATGCACTTTTATATGATTTCAATATAACGTTTTAATGTTTAAAAAACTTTTGAAGCATTTGTCTAATGTCTTTTTTTGCCTAAAGCTCGCTTATATAGTTATTTTTTCTTGAATGTATAGGGCCCCGTTTAACATTTTATCTAAACCCAGTGCAATAATATAAAGTTGACTGCAAATATCGGATATCAAATGCAAATCAAATCAAATCAAATCAACGATGCCAATCGGTTCGTGTTCACATGGCTTGACCGGGAGGACGAAGAGGAGGGGGTGTGGTGGCTTGCGACATCAAAATGAAATTTGCATTTCTGCTCTGTAACTGGCGTGTGAGTTTAAAACCCCAACCTCTGCCACTCCTTGCTTCTTCGGAATACACAAAACAAACTTGGCAGTTTATATTAATACTAACCACTCGGCATCTGTCATGACTTTAATCAAGGATACTAGCGGCAGCGGAGTGTGTGAGTTCAAGGTCGGTGCTCTCAACAGCGGACCTGACTCTGCTTCGTCCCACAGCCACTCTCATGACCATTCTCACGGTCACGACCACAGCCACTCCCATGATCGTGCCATCGAGCACGGTCACACCCACGACGTTCTTGACCACCCAGGCCGCTACCATGAGCGGGCGCCCTACAACCGCACAGGGCGTGACTGGGGAGAGCGCGCGTTCACAGTCGGAATCGGCGGCCCCGTTGGCAGCGGCAAAACCGCCCTCCTTCTGCAGCTGTGCCGCGCACTCCGCGACCGGTACAACCTCGCATGCGTCACCAACGACATATTCACCCGCGAGGACGCCGAGTTCCTGACACGCAACGGTGCCCTGGATGCCGAGCGCATTGTTGCTGTGGAGACTGGCGGATGCCCTCACGCTGCCGTGCGCGAGGACATCACAGCTAACCTGCATGCGCTGGAGGTCCTGCATGCCAAGTTCGAGCCTGAACTGCTGCTGATCGAGTCTGGCGGCGATAACCTGGCGGCGAACTTTAGTCGCGAGCTGGCCGACTACATTATCTACGTTATCGATGTCAGTGGTGGTGACAAGATTCCGCGCAAGGGCGGGCCCGGCATCACCATGAGCGATCTGCTGGTCATTAACAAGACGGATCTCGCTGAGGCTGTGGGTGCTGACCTCGATGTCATGCTGCGCGACGCCAACAATATCCGCGATGGCGGCCCTGTAACGATGGCTGTGATCAAGCATGGCAAGAATGTCGACGAAATTATCAACCACATCCTGCATGCCTGGCAGGACTGCGTGCCGGGAGCTAGGATCAAGTAGCTAGATAAAAAACACACACACATATATTGCATAAATCCCATCATACCCAAAAGCCCTTTTTTACATTTTAGGGGCGTGTGAGAAACAAAATTCACTTGAGCTGTCGATCTTTGCATGGCAGAGTTCTGTTCTGCTTTTGTTTTCACCTTTTTCTTCTTCTTTTTTCCCCTTCAGCTTTACCCTATTTGAATTTTTTGTTATTTTTATTCGCCATGTTTATTGCTATTATCGGTATGCAACGAGCACTAGCATTGTTCAACACGGAAGGAGAGGAATGGCAGACAAGTATTGATCACGTCTGCTTTATTTTTGAAGCAAGTACACTCATTTTTTGTTTAGAAATTGCCTTGTGTTAATGTAGGTTCAACGTCCAGCGGCAAGGAGGAGGTTGCTAGCTATCTCATCCGCACAATGGGATTCACTCGCCTGCACATATCCAACACCAATGCTGTCACAACGCAGGGTGATCTGGCATTCCAATCCACAAAGAGCATTCTCGAATACGTGACGCCACGCTGGCGGACCAACTTTGTCACCACTGACGTGACCAGCCCGGTCAACCTATATCTCCTGTGGAAGCGGCCATTTGTTCTTGTTGTCGGCATCGACGCGCCCACGGGCACACGCTACAGCCGGCATTGCGCAAAGCGAATCGCACACCATGAGGAGCCAATAACTTTGGAGAAGTTTGTTGAACTGGACGACAGGACCATGTACGCGTGCGAGGATCCGCCCAGGGGAGCGCAGGCTGTGAGTGATTTGGCAAAGGAACTGGACATCGGCATATGCCTGGCGGCCGACGCCGAGCCGCAGCCATTGCTGTCGTCGATTATTCGCAATGCGTCGGCCGCCCACGAACTTAACCTCAAGCGCGTGCTGGCCAGCGCCAACGTATCCATTGCCAACACATTTGATACGCTGGCCGGTCTCTACGCGTACCTCGAGCACATTGACCTGACTAATCCTGAGCGCATCCGACCGTCGTGGGACACATATTTTATGCTTCTTTCGGAGCTGGCATCGCACAGGGCCAATTGCATGAAGCGCAAGGTCGGGTGTATCCTGGTCAAGGACAACCAGATCATTGCGACAGGATACAATGGCACGCCCAAGGGAATCACAAATTGCAATGAGGGCGGCTGCCCCCGGTGCAACGACGGCACGCCGTGCGGTGTGTCGCTGGACCACTGCCTGTGCATCCATGCAGAGGAGAATGCCTTGCTGGAGGCTGGCAGGGGACGGGTGCGCAATGCTGTTGATGTGGTGCTGTACTGCAATACGTGTCCCTGCCTGGGGTGCGCAAAGAAGATCGTCCAGGTTGGCGTTAAGGTCGTTGTCTACTCGAAGGGGTATGGCATGGATGAGCTGACGCTCAAGCTGTTCAAAGAGGCCAAGATCGTCGTTCGCCAGCATACGCCGCCAACCATCAGCATGGAGATCGGCTCGCCATGAAGAGTAAAACGCAGCAATGTACAATTCACTTTTATTTGCACACACATAGATAAATGCACTCGGATTAAATCATTTTTGGTAACCCACTAGGGTTTATTAATGTTTAGCGATAATTGAATTTAAAGGACACGACAGCATCGGGCAGCATGCGCTCCTTGCACCAGTCGACCGCCTCGTCGCTGACCCTCCGGCATTGAATAAAGCTCAGCTCAGTCAGCGTAAACATGCATCCCAGACCTGTAGTCCCTTCAACAACAACCTTGATCCCGTTGGTCGTTATGCGTCGGCAAAAGTCCAACAACAGACTCTTTAGATGCAGCTGGTGGTCCCCAATAGCAGCCAGACTGTCGTCGCTGATGTCAATTGCCGACAGATCGAGGTGGGTTATAAAAGTGCAGTTGCGGACCAGTGGAATTACGCCAGCATCTGAGCACGACAGGCACCCGCTGAGATTCACAGATCGCAGCCCGGTGCAGTTCTCCGATAGCGCAAACAGGGTACGATCGCCCACCCGCAAGGCATCATGGACATCGATGAACAGCAGCCCGCGGCAGTGGCGCAAAATGCCGACAAGCAGATCGTCGCTAACTAGGCTGATGCCGCCGCCGAGACACAACTGCATTAGATCGGGGATTCTGGTCGCCAAATTATCAACAACATCGAGCGGCAGCCCGAAACCACCATTGGTAATACCCATCAACTCCTCGTTGTTCTCGTCGTGCCCCGGGATGCTGTTCATCATCAGCGCTTGCAGCTTCAATGGCCGCCTGTGCTCTGTGGCAATCGAGTGGAGCGCCATAAACGAGGCCTTTGTGTGGCAAATGTCGAGGACACAGAGGCTGTGGGCAAACGCATAGAAAATCCTGCGGATCGCAGAGTCGGTAATTTCCTTGCACCCGCTGAGCAGCAAAACTTTGAGTTTTGGCAAAGACTGCTTGTCGACAGAAAACATGCGGTGCCAGTCCCTGCCATCATTTAACGCCGACAGGCTGCCGTCTTCATCGCCAATTGGCACGCCGGGATTCTGCGTAAAGGAAAATACAAACTCGGATGTTTCAGCCACGGGAAACGCATCGACCGTGATAAAGCGGCAGAAGGACAGGTCCAGGCGCGTCAGGTTTGGGGCGCTGACAAGCAGCCGCTGTACGACAAAGTCCGATATTTCGGTAGTGCTCAACGCAACGTGCTCCAGCCGGCTGCCGATCCTGTCAATAAGGGTCTCGAGCATCCCGTTGGTGATATGTCTGTTGGCCCGAATCTCGAGAGCTCGAATATTAACGCACCCAAAGTGAATCAGCGTCGCCAACCCGACGTCCGTTATTAACGGCGAAAAGGGCAATGACAGCCTTGAAAGTGCTGGTCCTGCCCTGCGTGCAAGCGTTTTGAGGTTCTGGTCGTACAGCAGTCGCGATTTGAATATGTCACTGTGATCCGAGGTGTCGCGCGTTGATGTTCTGTTTGCCAACCGAAATCCAAGATCTGCGCGACTGGTGGCTAGGCTGTTGCTGGGTGCAATGTCGCTTATTTCGATGTTCTTCCATAGAACCGACCACCTATCGAGCGAATAGTACCACTTTTTAGATACTAGCATGCAGCGGGCAATCTCGTGCAGCGCCATGTTTCCAAATATCAGAATGGAAATATCCATTGGAAGCACTACTAAAGGGTCCGACATGGCCAGCTAAATAAAGAATGTGTAAAGCTGGGTCCGCAGTTGTGTTTGAAATGTAAATGCGAGCGAGACAAAATCAAGGTGCTGTGCAAAGAAAAAACTACAGCGGATGTAAGAGCTACGTCAGTGAGCGGATGCGCTAGTACTATTTGCGATCGTTGGTGTGCAGGAAGCGTGTAGTATAAATGTTTTATTTTTAGAGTTCTAGACGTGGGACACTTGATTCTGTGCGTAAAAAAATCATCAGTGCGCAGTTTATCGATGTTATCATGGAATAAGCAAGTATGGTGACGCCGGGATGCTAAAGTGTGTGACGATTGCATTGCATTTCTTGCTCCAGGGTATTTTTGGCATTGCTCATGTGATTCGCAGAAAATTACACTACAACCTTTATACCAGCACGTCTGCTCACAAATGCGCGGCATTGTGTGCAATAAACATATTAATAGTTTTGGGTGGCAATGTTTCTATTTAAATGGCAAACATAAAAGCAAGGGTGCATATTTAGCTCAGCGACATCACATCATGCAACCACCTCGTGTATTGAAACAGAATGTGGATACAATGCGGGTAGATGTAATGCAGCCGGCCCAATATTTCGGCGCATTTTTATTATTTTTACTTTTCAACCAAAAAATCAAACTGTGGTGGCAATACACGTACGTTAAAAAAGAGCCGAGAGCTTGTAAAATGACTTTTGGATAAAGTCAATGCAATTGCGACAACTTGTACTTGTGCTTGTGCTTGTGCTTGTACTTGTACTTGTGCTTGTACAAGTTGTCGCCTGCTCGCCTCCATCCAACGTTAGCGAAAACGCGGAAATTCCCAATATTTTGTTTAAAAATCAGTTGGACAATTTTATCTGGCTCTGCTTTGTGAGAGCGCTGCGCACTTCCAGCTTTGTATCTCGTATTTGGAATTTCCTATCCAACATATTTCTTCTTTCTGAACTGCTTCCCTCATCGGTTTCATTTTTTCTTTCAGAGAAAAAGTCTTGGCACACATTTTGGCTAAGCATGCAAAGTTCCACACAAAGAGACATACATGAGCAGCGTTCATTTTATTTGCTGACCAATGCCAATGCCAATGCCAATGCAAATTCTGCAAAAAGGAAAAAAAATTGTATTCGGGGTTTACATGCTTTGACACATCCTTGAAACGATCCACAGTCCACTCTAAAATAAGGGCACAGATTTAAAACAAAACATAAAGAAATAGGGTCCTTTAAACTTGGCACAATACCACTTGTGCTCTTTTGCTCTTTATTTGATATTCAAATAAGGGACACCAACTGCAAGGCTAATAATTGGCAGAGATGTTGCAGTACAATAAAACGCAATAAATGCAATTTCGTACAATAAACACACTACATGGATCCAAATTTGGGTTTATTTTTAATGAACTGCAAACAATCCAGACACTCATTACAAAATAATACAATGACAATGACAATAGATGCGGTCCGCACAATAAATTGTTATAGACTGGGAACTCTGCTCTAGCTCTCTCACTCGGGTTTTCTCTCTGCCAAAGATAGAAATGTTGGATGGATGCTGCAATTTCGGCAATGTAAAGATGCTGTTGTTTCTGTAACTTAACACAAACAAACAAACAAACAAACAAACAAACAAACAAAAGCCATGCTAATTTTAACTCGCTGTGCTTTTGCGTCTATCTTTTGTTGTGGCTTTGGAAATACAACAGCATAAATATGGCGTGTGCGCTTGGACAGCGAGTGTAAGGTTTTCCACATGGGTGACCAGCCAAACTAAAATCAACACATTTCTCCGGGTCCATATTTTACGCGCGCTTCAATAACAGACTCAATTAATAGCAGCACATGTGAAGACGCGTGGGCATGTAGGGAAAGAAAAAGCTGCAAATAAAAACATTGATTTCATCATTTAGGATCGCCAGCTTATCGTTCATGAAGTCATAAAATCATGGCTCAGTCTTCCAGCTTATCATTGGTGAAATCTGGCCATCCCTGCCGCATGCTGAATAAAGAAATACAAAAATAATACGAGTTTGCCGAGTCAAATCCAGTGAGCGACTGTATTCTGGTTCCTGAAATGATACGGCTTTTCGTAGGGGGTTAAGCGAGGCCATAGTCCGCGTGTTCCAGGACTGTACTAGAACACTGGTGTCTCCTTGCCAGGCTTTTTTAGATGGCCGGCTTGTTTTGTGGCCGTGATGCTTTCCCGCCTGATGACGATATGGTGGCAGCTGGCCCAACAAGAGCTATTAATACCAGCACGCAGCAAACTATTGCGGCTGACATTAGCATCATTGCCCCTCATCAGCTTCGCCATCATTATGTTTCTGATGACAGGATTGGACATCAAAGTGCGCCGCGTCCAGTCAATAAGCATATGTTTTTTCATTCGGATAGGAAGCGAGGCACTGTGAGAAGCAAGAGGTGGAGGGGCGGCTCTATCAGGAAAGAAGGGGGCGTTGGAAACCCGGGTTGCAAACCCATCCCACTTTGCAGGCCAACTTGCTCTTGGCCAGTCAGTGGCCGCAGAAATGCGCCCATTTTAATCGACTTTCCTTCTTTGCCGTTCAATTGCAAGGTCGGCACAGCAAGCGGATGTACTTTTTGCTTCCCCTTTTATTTTTAGAAGCGCAAAATAGTGGGGAACTTGTTTTTGCATCCCATGCACAGACGATTTGCATGTTATTTTTATTGCGAACACAGAGCAGAAAGGGGGAAATGGACATCCCATTCCGCCCACTCATTTTTGTTTGTTTTTGCCAAAAAAATTTTGAATATAAACCTGGACGCCAACCCAGGGAGTTCCCGCACAAAGACAAGTATTTTCTTTCTCACTCATCGTTATTTCACTCAACGACTTTCCTCTTTGTCTAATTTTACCACATCGCGGACCGCTTGTTTTCTAGTTTTCAAAAAGGTAAATTTTCGACTCCACCCACCCCCCCCTGGGTGCAAAACAAACATTTTTCCCTGAACTCTGATTGATATATAAACAATCGGACCGCCAGTTTGCAGGACCAAAACTTTTCTTCATATTTCCCTCACTAACATTTCGTTTTTTCTCTACCCTTTAAACTTTTGTAACTCTTCTCTCTTCTCCACCTTTCGTCTTCTTTTTCAATTAGCCCATCGCGTAGAACGTAGGACAAATTGCAAACACACATCCCTCCCACCTCCCTCCACAACACAACTCACATTACGACAAGATGAAGATCAACCAGGCTTGCATGGCTCTCGCCGCCTTCAGCAGCACCATTATGGCTGCCCCCATGAAGCGCGGATACTCCACCATCCCCACCCCCGCTGGCTACTCTGCCATCCCCGTTGAGGAGTCCACCCCTGTTGCTGAGTACTCCACCTCGGAGACCGTCCAGGAGACCTCCGAGACCCCCGCCTACACCGCGCCCGTTGTGCCCGGCTACTCTGCCATCGTCGTTCCCTCGAGCGTTGAGGACTACACCACCTCTGCTGAGGAGACCCCCGCCTACACCGCGCCCGTTGTCCCCGGCTACTCGGCTGTCCCCCCTCCCCCTACCGTTGAGTCTAGCTCTGTTGAGGAGTACACCACCTCTGCCCCTGCTGTCCCTGGCTATTCTACCATCCCCATTGAGGAGACCACCCCTGTTGAGGAGTACAGCACCTCCGAGGAGTCTACCCCCGTTGAGGAGTCCAGCACCTCTGAGGAGTCTACCTCTGTCTACGAGACCACCTCCGTTGAGGAGTCCAGCACCTCTGAGGAGTCTACCTCTGTCTACGAGACCACCTCCGTTGAGGAGTCTAGCACCTCTGAGGAGTCTACCTCTGTCTACGAGACCACCTCCGTTGAGGAGTCCAGCACCTCTGAGGAGACCAGCTGCACTGACGAGACCACCCCCGTCGAGGAGTACAGCACCTCTTCTGAGGAGACCACCCCCGTCTACGAGACCACCCCCGTTGAGGAGTCCAGCACCTCTTCTGAGGAGTCTACCTCTGTCTACGAGACCACCCCCGTCGAGGAGTACAGCACCTCTGAGGAGTCTACCCCCGTTTATGAGACCACCCCCGAGGCTCCCGTTTACGAGACCACCCCCGTTGCTGGCTACACCACCGAGACCACCCCCGAGGCTCCCGTCTACACCACTGTTGAGCAGGAGACTGATGAGTACTGCTGCGAGGATGTGACCGTCACTGAGACCGTCACTGTTGCTGGCGCCGGTGCCACCGCCACCCTGACCATTGTTCAGACCGCCACTGTTGTCGAGACCGCCACCGTTGTCCAGACCGTCACCGAGGTTGCCCCCTGCACCGTTCCCGTCTACGAGACCACCCCCGTTGCTGGCTACACTACCGAGACCACCCCCGAGGCTCCTGTCTACGAGACCACCCCTGTCTACGAGACCACCCCCGAGGCTCCCGTTTACGAGACCACCCCCGTTGCTGGCTACACTACCGAGACCACCCCCGAGGCTCCTGTCTACGAGACCACCCCTGTCTATGAGACCACCCCCGAGGCTCCCGTCTACGAGACCACCCCCGTCTACGAGACCACCCCCGTCTACGAGACCACCCCCGTCTACGAGACCACCCCCGTTGCCGACTACACCACCTCGGTCGAGGAGACCATCCCCTACTGCGATGAGGAGTCCACCCCCGTCGAGACCCTCCCCTATTGCGATGAGGAGTCTACCCCTGTTGAGGACTACACCACCTCTGCTGAGGATACCACCTCCTACTGCGATGAGGAGACCACCCCCGTCTACGAGACCACCCCCGTCGAGGAGTACAGCACCTCTTCTGAGGAGACCACCCCTGTCTACGAGACCACCCCCGTCGAGGAGTACAGCACCTCTTCTGAGGAGACCACCCCTGTCTACGAGACCACCCCCGTCGAGGAGTACAGCACCTCTTCTGAGGAGACCAGCTGCACTGACGAGACCACCCCCGTCGAGGAGTACAGCACCTCTTCTGAGGAGACCACCCCTGTCTACGAGACCACCCCCGTCGAGGAGTACAGCACCGCTTCTGAGGAGACCAGCTGCACTGACGAGACCACCCCCGTCGAGGAGTACAGCACCTCTTCTGAGGAGACCACCCCCGTCTACGAGACCACCCCCGTAGAGGAGTACAGCACCTCTTCTGAGGAGACCACCCCCGTCTACGAGACCACCCCCGTCGAGGAGTACAGCACCTCTTCTGAGGAGACCACCCCTGTCTACGAGACCACCCCCGTCGAGGAGTCCAGCTCTGTTGAGGAGTACACCACCGAGGTTCCCGCCCCCGGCTACTCCGCCATCCCCGTCGAGGACTACAGCACCTCTGCCCCTGTTGCCCCTGGCTACTCCGCTGTCCCTGTTGAGGAGTACACCACCTCTGCCCCTGCTGTCCCCGCCTACTCCGTCTACGTCGCCGACACCTACTTCTAAGTGACTGTTTTTAGCGTGTTAGTCGCAAGCGCCTAATATTTCTCTTTTTCATATATTCTCTGTTTTACCAAAGTTCCTTTAAATAATGAATTTTAACAATTTAAGCATTCATCTCCTTTCTTCCCCCGCTCAACAAGCGAGCATTGTTAGCATAATAGCGCAAATATTTCACCAAACCTATAAAGGTATTTATTTATTTCTACTTTTTCATTCTCAATATTTCAAATTCGAATTTTTAATTTTGTCAATATTGTTTTTGCATTTCTGCGTTGGAGCCTGCAAATGACCGATCCCCCGGCGCATGGCATTCTGGCGTCACTGGCGTGTGTCGCGACGAACGCGTTTCCTAAGCTCGCCACAGAACTCCACACGCTAGTGTCGCGGTCACAGGCAGATCAGGTGGCAGCTCCAGGCATATTGGAGGTGCTAGCAAACCACGGCGGCGAAAGGTTTGGTGAAAAGGACAGCACCAATGAGTTGCTTGTTTTCCAAAAATGGCTCGACCATGTATACAACATGTCAAAGGATATATGTGACCGGCCTGTTGCTGCTAGTGGATTGGAAGTCCCATCGTTCTGCGGGATGTTGGAGACTGTCTTGGGTTTGAGAAAGTTGGATGTGTGGCCGGCGGTCCAACTGACGCTAGGCGATGGGGATGTGCGGCGGATTCCCGTGGATCTGGGTAGAGCGCTGGCGCGAAAATGGAGTACCAGTGGTGGTGCCACAGGTGCTCCGCCATCCATGTTGTTTGTCCGAAGTGGCAGCAGTGGCGACGCTCAGTCCTTATATGCACTCTCCACCACATCAGTGCTGGAATTTGACACGGTTTCAGGTACTGAATCGTGTGGGAAACCAAAGGGCGCGCGTATGGAAGATGCCCAAAGAGAGTACGAATCAACACAAAGCATTCTTGCAAACATCGGTATCTCTGGCAAAAACACCAAAACGTGCGGCGATGATTTACTTTCCGCATTGCAAGTGACCCGACAATGGCTTGACGCGCCCGTTTCGAGCGCGCTTTTGGAGGGATCATCCGCTAATTCCAGCGCGGTCAAAAATTTACTCGCAATGGATATTTGGCCGACGCTTATTGAACGCATCCGCGGAATGGAGGTAAAGACGCGACGGAATCTCGAGATACTACGGCGCGTGCCGAAATACGTCCTGCGGGCTTTTATAGTCCAGGAGGATGCGCCATTGGGGACACAGCTGGGAACGGCGGATGCGGCCCGGTGTAAGTTCACTGTTGTTCGTCGATTTGGCAAAGCACAAGATCCCGGGCATTGCTCTGCTCTCGGCAGTGATGGTATTTGCTGGCCGATAAGAATAATGGATATTCGCGGCACCGTGGTGGAAAGCATGTGGGTGTGCTGTGATGACGATGACGAGTGCAAGGCGGGTTTGGGTTCTGCGACAATGTTGGACGGTAATGGTGAAAATAACTACGGCGGTATTAATACTGTGGTGGCGGATCCGGACGATGATATATATTGCTACAAGTGTATGGAGCTCACTTCTTGGGGATACAACCAGATTGTTATTTGCGACGGGTGTGAGCGTGGTGTGCACCAGATGTGCCATGTGCCGGTTGTCACCGAGGAGGAAGTTACGCGTGACCAATGGTTCTGCAGCAGCTGCAAAAAGACCCGACACAGCGCAAATACGCAGTGAATAGATAAATGTGTTATAAAATTTCTATTTATAAACTCTATCGAAAAAAGATTCATTCATCGGGCAATTCAGCCTACTTTGCCTTCTTTGGCTTCTTTGCCTCCTTGGACGACTCGATCGTCGATGACAGCGCCTTATAGTTCGGCATCTGCACGGTCTTCTCCACAGGCTCGCGCCACGCAATGGGCTTGGCCGAGTAGTCAGCAAACATAGCCAGGCACACCTTCTCAACAACATAAGCGAGAGCAAAGTCGGCGGCCATGACCATGCACACGACATCGCGGAAGCTGTCGGGCATGGGCACAAGCTTGAGGTACTCGTTGAAGTCGGGAATGGTCTCGGTCGCGCACACAACGGCGATGGCCGCGACACCGACGATACCGCGGTAGAGCACCTTGTTGTCCTTGAGCGCCTCGCGGAATGGGTGTCCCTGGTAGTTGATGACGAACGTCGACACCTGCTGCGAGAGCGAAATCAGGTACATGGCGGTGTTCAAAAGGCTGGGCTCGAACTTTCTCTCGACATCGACCTCGCCCGAGGGCTCGTGCTTGCGCACCTCCAGGGTCAGGTAGATCAGCGCGAACACGTGGACAGCAAACTGGCCGAGGACCGTCAGCAGCATGTAGAGCGACAGGATGTTGCGTTGGGGACGTTCCTTGGAGAGCTTCTCGAGCGGAGACGACTTTGAGATACACAGGAAGCACACCGACATGAGCGCGCCCATGATGGTTGCTTGCCAGTCGCCAAACTTGATGCCCTCGAGGTACAGCACGCTCATGCTGTAAGCCGAGATGAGGCAGGTCAGCCCGAGGATCTTGTACATTTGCGTCGTGGCCACCAGGGTGCTACGGCCCTGGCGAACAATGTTGCAGATGGCATTGATGCTTCCCAGCTTCGATGTGAACGGCGCCGCAACCGAGGCATCGCCGAACTTGAGCACCGGCACATCGTCCTCCATCGTGTCCATCTGCATCATCCACTCAGTCATCTTGGAGTGCAGGTCTTCGGCCTGCGGGTTGCCCGTGGCCCGCTGCGAGTCGGTCTCGCGCGTCAGTTGCTGCGCCTTCTTCGCGGCATCCGCACGCTTCTTGTCCTCCTCAATGGCGCTCTGTGATACAGATCCGCCGGCAGCCAGAATACGCTTGTGCTCCTCCTTCTGATCCTTCTCGCGCTCCTTCTCCTTTGCCGCGAGGTTCTCCATGTGCCGCTTGAGCATCGGCGGAGGGTTGGGCGGCGGGTGGTTGAAGCGCTTGGCGATCTTGCACTGCGCGTCGTAGGCCTGCTTCAGGCGCTGGATCATCTGGCGCTGCGCGATGGCCTGCAGGTCTTCGACGCTGCCATTCAGCAGGGCAACACCCACGTGGGCCTGCTTCAGCGCGCCGACGTCATTGGTGCCGTCACCGCACATGAGCGTGATGTAATCAGCAAGCTTGTACTCGGTCAGGATGAACTCCTTCTGTGCAGGGCTCACGCGGGCGTAGATCCACGCGTGGTGCATCAGATAGTCCTTCCACAGCGGCGTGGTGCCCAGGACGTCCAGGGCAGCGCCAGTCAGGCAGAGGTCCCAGCCATCCATGGCGCGCTGCATGCGGGGCGCGTCGCTGGGGTCAACCTCGAAGGTCACCTTTTCGTCGATCGACGTGCAGACGACCACGCGCTCGTCGCCGCTCTCCTTGGCCTCGGCAACAGACGGAGCGTCAAACACAAGCACGCCGCGGTCGACGATTCCGACTTCGCGCGCCACATGCGACGCAGTCAGGGGACTGTCGCCGGTGATCATCACGCAGCGGTGCGACGACTCGTTGAGCATCTTGATAGCGTCGGCCGAGTCGGGCTTGAGCGGGCAGCTGAACACCAGGAAGCCCTGGAACTCCAGGTTGGACTCGATCTCGTCGCGCGACAAGTCATTGAGCTCCTGACTGGTAAAGGCGGCGTTGCGCGGCATCCACTTGCATCCGAGGGTGAGTACGCGGCCACCACGGCGACTAAACGCCTTGTATGTCTCGTCGTACCATGCGGGGACCGAGCGCAGCATGCCGCGCAGCGTCTCTGGTGCGCCCTTGGCGGCGACAAAGTAGTCGTGCTGGCCGCGATTGGCGCTGCCCGAGGGCAGCCCGCTGACAACGCTGAGCGTGGCACTACGCTTGAGCACCGACGAGAAAGGGAACCGCCGGCTGACGGTGATCTTGAGCGTGTCGGCGTTGAGGCCGATCTTGCTGACAAACTCGGCAGACGAGACGTCGGGGACAATAATGTCGCTTGTGACCAGCTTGAAGCCGACAGCATCCAGCTGCGTGCGCTCCATGGGGTCGCCGACAAGCTCGCCATCCTCGAGCTGGACGAGGGCGTGGGCGCTGGCCAGGGTCAGTGCGGAGTCGCGGCCAATCGTGTGGGTGTTGTCAAGCTTGCTCGGGTCGGTGGTCCCGGGGGCGCCAGCCACGCCCTCGACAAGGAGGTCCTCGCCGGTGAGCGTGCCGGTCTTGTCGAAGCAGCAGATGTCGATCTTGCCGGCGTGCGGGATGCGGAAGGGCTCTGTGCAGAAGATGGCCAGCTTGGAGAGCGCCATGAGCGATGAGTTGACGGCCATCGAGAGTTCCATGGGCAGTTCTGGGGGTACGACCGACGTGATGATAAGGATGCAGTCAAGGAGCACCTTGGACTTGGGGCGCCGAGAGTCCTTGCTACCGTGGACCCACACGTAGGCCGAGGCCAGGATGGCAAAGATCAGCAGGAAGCCAATGAATATGTAGGACTCCTTGTTATCCGCGGACACGCGGTCGGTGCTGTGGATCATCGTGCGCACGAGCTCGCCCTGTGCGGTTCCAAAGCCGGTGCGCAGAACGTAGCAGGCGCAGCCGCCGTCGGGAGTCACGATCTTGCTCGATGCATGCGGGGCCTCGACCTGGAGCACCTTGGTTCCGCCAAAAAGCATGCTGTTCTTATCCGCGCCCTCCATGTCGAGATTGTCCGTCGGGCTGCGCAGCTGGATGGACTCCTTGAGCTGCGGGGTTGACTCTCCCGAAAGCATGGCCTCGTTAACAATGCAGGTGCCCTCAAGCAGAATGACGTCGCAGGGCACGCCACTGTCCTCAGCTGAGCGCACGACCGATATTATGTCGCCAGGGCACAGCATCTCGGTGCCGACCTCTACCCACTGCGCGTTGCGCAGGGCCTGGAGCTTGTACGGCTGCATGGAGAGCGAGCGGAACTCATTGAGTGTGCGCAGGCGCTGAAAGACCAGCGTGGACTCGAACACAATCAGCATGACAAGCGTAAAGATCGAGTAGTACCAGTACTCGTCCATGCACCACAGGCCGACGCAGAAGACTTGGAACACAAAGAAGGGCGCGACGGCATGCTCCTTGAACAGATCGATGAAGGTCGGGACAGGGACAGAGAATCGGTTCTCCCCATAGACCTCGAGCGCCTCCTTGATGGTCACTTCGTTCGACAGGCCATTCGAGTTTTGCAGCTCGCCCAGCGGTGGGCAGCTCTCCGACGGATATGTAACGGGGCTAAAAGTTTTCTTGTCGTCATCATAAATGTACTTTAGCGCCTGGAAGGTGAACGACAGTTGGGGGCGGGTCTCGTCATGAACGTTGATGCCAAGGACAATCGGGCATATGGCGCTCTTCCCAAGGTGATCCGCGGTAATGACCTTGATCAGCTCGGCCTCATAGGGATCCTCGATGCTCTGACAGGTAAACTTTGCCCGAAGATTAACGCTCCACTGGCACATCAGGAACACCAGCGCCTGCAACATGAACATGATGATCAGAGACAGAGCGGTAAACTCCTGCGAGCCCAGGAAATCGTTGTAGCGCATGGTGTAGATGTATAGCCAGCCGGCGTACACCAGCGTGAATGGCCATAAGTATGCGTGTTGGAGGGTTGGCAGTTTTCGGTGAAGCGTCGCCGATTTTACTGCTTTCGCTTGCACCAGCCTCTCGTGCGATGGCGATCTAAATTGAAATTAAAATTCGAGTAAAGGATTCCGGGCAATTAGTATATATTGGACATTTCTTGAATATGCGTGAGCGAGAAGTTCTTGTGGTTTTAACAGAAGAGAGTGGTACTTACGCCATAGTTAAGTTAGGTATTTTTTGTAAGGGTGTTGACGGCAGGAGTTAGCGCGGGTAGTGAAAGTGTTCTAATAAAACAAAAGAGGGGGAATTCAAACGGCTCCTTGTTGGCTGGTTGAATTGATAGCAAGTTTTACAAACACGCACGCTAAGCAAAACAAAACAAAAAAACGTGAAAGATAAAGAGAGGGATAAAGTAAGGGGCGAACAAGTTATGAGCGCGTGGGTGTGTGAGGGGGGGGGTATGTGTGTGCTGAAAAGCAATGCGTTATTGCGTCGCATAATGAAATATTGCACGGGCTTATTCAAACTGCTGTGGATCAAAAATCAAGCGCATGATCAGGAGAAAAAGCAGGACGTAATTTGAAGTATCTTTTGCTTGAACTTTGTTTCACTGACTTTTTCCACGCTTGGACCGATTGTGATTTTGTCCAATCGCCGACAAACACATTTTTTTACTTCTCATTGTTATTGAAATGTTTTTTTCAAAGCGAGAAACGTGCACAACCGCCGATCACCAAAACTATTGTTTTTCTTAGCAGCAGCGCAGAGAAACGCCGTGCGCAGAAAAACACCGTGCGCAAAAAAAAACGTCAAAGCAAACAGTTTCGAGATGTTTGCATTTTTCTGATGTTATTGGCAACAACAATAAAAAACTAACCACGTTTGATATTGATTTGTTTTGAATACATGGTAAGAGAGGAGTAGGGGGTGAATATTTGATCGAAAACGTTTAAAAACGGTCTGAACGGGCTCGCATTGCCTTTTATTTTCTTCTTTTTTATTTTTCCCTTGTCTGACTTTCTTTATTTACTTTCCGCTCTTTTTATCCTCAAACAACAACCTATCATCCATTAACCATGACTACCGACTGGTCCAACCGTGAGCTTCCCAACACCATCTGCCTGTTCGACGTCGACGGCACCCTGACACCTGCTCGCGGCGTAAGTACCAATTAAAAAATCAACGTCCCAGTGTGCATTGTATTATATCAACATTCCTTTTTGTTGCTAAAAACCCGACAATGCCCAACACATTTTTTCCTTCACTTTTTTAATATTGTTTATCTCGTAGGTTATCACCGCCGAGATGAAAAAGTGCCTCGAGGACTTGCGCAAAAAGTGCGTAGTGGGATTCGTTGGCGGCTCTGACTTTGTCAAGCAGAAGGAGCAACTGGGCGATAACGTCGCAGACATGTTTGATTTCTGCTTCTCGGAAAACGGCCTAACCGCATTCCGCAAGGGCAAACCCCTGGCCTCCAACACCTTCCTCCAGTACCTCGGTGAGGATCGGTACGCCAAGTTGGTAAACTTCTGCCTCCACTATATCGCCGACCTGGACCTGCCCCAGAAGCGCGGCACTTTTGTTGAGTTCCGTCAGGGTATGATCAATATCTCGCCCATCGGTCGTAACTGCTCGAGGGAGGAGCGCAATGCTTATGAGGTTTTCGACTTGAAGCACAGGATTCGCGAAAAGTTTGTTGAGGCGCTGAAGAAGGAGTTTGAAGACTACAATTTGAAGTACTCGATTGGCGGGCAGATCTCGTTTGATGTGTTCCCCATTGGCTGGGACAAGACCTATTGCCTGCGGCACCTGGAGGGTGAGGGCTTCACCAAGATCCACTTCTTTGGCGACAAGGCGTTCAAGGGCGGCAATGACTGGGAGCTCTACGAGCACGAGGCCGTCACCGGTCACTCCATCAAGAACCCCAAGGAGACCCAGGCCCTCCTCAAGGAGATCTTCCACATCTAAATTGTTTTCGAATAAAGCTGTATCTCAACAAAGATTGAACCCATTTTTTTAATACCAATTATAATATAAATACAAGTTTTGAACAAAACACACGCCACTTGCTAATGGCACTCTGGCGAGTACCGGTCCTCTTCGGCCATGCGTTTTCGCTTGGATGCTCCGCCAGGGGTTTGATGCCTTGTCTGCTCAGTGATAGACACAGTTGATGGAAGCCCGGGCGTGTGCGACACGCCGAAAATGTCCTCAAAGATATTATACCCCGAATACTGGGCCTGCCCAGCAGCGCACGGTGGTGCCTCGGGCACGTACGGCGGCGAGTATGCAGAGGCAGAGTGCGTGGGCGAGCACGAAGACGCCGAGGAATAGTAGGGTGGCGAGTACAATGGCGAGTATAACTGCGAGTAAGCGGGAGACCGCGCCGGCGAAAGACGGTTAGGACTCGAATGCTGCATGGCTGCAGAGGACACATTCGCGGGCCTATTGTGTGTCTGAGGGCTGTTTGCCGGCAGTATCAATTTTGATGTCGATGCCAATGATGCTTTTGGTGTCAATGTTGATTGTGATGTCACTGTTGCGGGTGCGGCTGCCTTTGGTGTTGCCGACGAGCCAGATGTGCTACCCGGCCTTCCGCGTCCCGGCGCAACGCCCAGAAGGTCCATATGCGCCCTGGTCTCAGCACGTGCCCTCTGCATCAATGAGCACCCAGCCCTACCGACCCTCCCAGGCCTCCTTCCCTGCACCACAGCACTTCCCATCGGTATTATCTCAATCCTCCTCGCCTTCCTCTCCTCCTCCTCCATCTTCCCACGCACCCTCTCCAAAATATCCCTCCTCCTCAACTCGTCCTCAATGCGCATGTCGCGAAACTTTTCGCGCCAAAACCCGACGGCCAACTGGCCAGCGTCCAGGTGTTCTAGGGCGGCGTTCTTGCGCACACAGTGGTGGCGCCATAGCGGCTCGTTGTCGTCGAGGATATGTGGATTGAGGTGTTCGAGCGTCTCGAGCTGTTGCGGCGTGCATTGGGTGAGTGCGTCGAGGAGGAGGAAGTGTGGGGTTATGCCGAGGAAACGCAAACCGTGGTGATGTTTGGTGAGCGCTCGTTGGCAGAGCTCCTTGAGCGAAGGCAGCCGGTGTTGTCGCGCTGGAAGGCCGTCCATTTTTATTTTGTTAATGTTCTAATGCTGTAGAATGTCAAACGAAAAGAGTGTGTATGCGCGCATGCAAAAGGGGTTTTATATTGGAAATATAATAAGTGCGAAAAATGGAATTAAAAAATAGGAAGAATCCCAAAAGGTTCAGAAAAGAAAATGGCGAAATGCGCTGCAAAACATAAAAATTTGTCCACCTTTTATACTATTTTTTGGTCTATTTAAAAAAGAAAGAAAGAAAATTTCATTCAACTCATTTTTTGAAAAAGTCAAATGCAGCCTGCTTGTTGCCCCGGGCAATAGCCACCATAGGGTTGGAACGCTTGACGCGCTGTCCGCCGCGCTTCTCAACCAAAAAGTGCTTAACCTTCTTCGACGGCAACATCAGCGCCAGCCGATCAAGCAAGTTGGTCTTCGTCGCCGGCTTGCTCGCAACCACGCGGATGCCCGACATGACACGTACAGCGGCAACACCCTCGGTCTTCTTATTCTTCTTCCGCTTATCCGCCAATACCTTCCTTCTCTTCCTAGCGCTTTCCTCCTTCTCGCCCTCCTTAGAATCCGCACCGGCGTCGGCCGAGCGCTTCTTGAACTCTGAGGCAAACTGCTCCAGCAACGATGCGTCCAGCCTACCGTCGCCACCGGTCTTGGTAGGTTTCTCAGACGCAAAGGCGGTAAGTGATTTTTTGGTGTTGGTTTCCAGGCGGAACTCGGCAGGGATCTCACTGGGCATAGTGAGATCCGGGCGCACAGTGAGCTTGGAGACGGCATCCACGGCCTTGGCGAGGCTCTCGGCCGCACGCTTGCGATGCCGTGCGCGCTGCTTCTTCGAAACCTTCTTTGTCCCCGAAACAGGCTCATCCGCGACCCGTGGGGGTTGAGTGCTATCCTGCGTCGCGGGTTTCTTTATGGCAATGACCTCCGGGGCATCGTCGTCGTTGTCGCTGTCGCTATCCTCGCCTGTGGCAGCAGCAACCACCGGCGCAGCGGGCGCAGCCTCGGCCTCGTCGTCGCTTTCAATCTCGGCATCCGAATCAAAAACAATATGCTTATTCCCAGCCACCGACGCCGGAGACATGATCTTGTCGAAATGCGGGTCTTCGATATCGCTCAGATCCGAAATCTCCTCCTCGTTGCTCTCGGGCGTCGCCACAGAGCTCTCATCGACAGACGGTGTGGTAGCTCCAAAGATACTGTCCTTCTTTCCGGGACGTCCACGGTGCGGCGACGAGAGCATCAAAGGGGTATCTTCGACGCCCGATTCGGCTTTGTTCAGAGATGAACGGGTTTTGGGCGTCAAATCCGCTTTGGCTGATCTTGTGGTGGGTTTGCGCGGAGTCGTCTTGGGCTTTGTTGGCGTAGTCGACTCTGGTGCTGTTGCTGCTGCTGCGGCTGTGGCTGAGGCGCGGGTTGCCCTTTTGGGTGTCGTGGACTTCTTTGGTGTTACTGCCATGGTGGGGAGGTTGTCGGTGTCTTCGCTGCTTATGCTTTTTGATCTAGAACGCAGACGGGTGGCTATAGGTGTTTCTTCTTGTTGCTGGCGTGTTGGTGTGGTAGTTTCGGTTAGTTTGGTCGAACGTGTCGAGGGCATGCTGTTTGGTTCTCCAAAAAAAGGCCTTGTTAATTGACGCACGGAAAAATAAAAATAATAAAATAAACAGACTCTTTTCTTTTAAAAACAATGATAAAAATGATAGTATATATATGAATTCGAGCTGACAAAAACAACAATAAAAAAGTATAGAGGAAAATAAAAAAGGTATATGTTTTTTTTTACAAAGTCCAAAAAAAAATTCGAATCAAATTCAAAGCTCTGTTTCCCATTTTAAAAAAATTTGCACAGCACGATTTGTAATTTTCTTTGCTGCCCTTTTCTTGATTAACAGATCACACCAGCAAAACATAAAACAAAGCATGTAATTGGAAAATTGGAAAATTGGAATTAGAAAATAGAAAATAGAAAATGAAAAAATGAAAAAAATGAAAAAAAGGCTCAATAGGGAGCATAAAACAAAGTGTTTTTCTTATTACAGGCTAGGTTGTCCACATACACATGGCCAGCACGTCCTTCCATTGAGCGCGCAGCCACAAGCAGTTGGGCAACCAAAGCGCTGACCTGGTCGACCGGGCCGTTCCCCACGACACGGCGAAAAGCCGCTGCGGTGCGCGACCCAGACCCAAGCCAAGCAGCCACCAGCCGAAGGCTCGCCATCCCATCACCACTATTAACTCCAGGTGCATGAGATCCAGCAGCCCCCATCATCACGGCCGACAGCTTCCCTCCAGCTGCTGTCCCTCCAGCCACGTTGAAGGAATTCTTCATGCTATCAGTGCGCGGAGTGCTGCTGCTGTTGCTGTTGCTGTTGTAGTCCAAAATCCCACGCGCAATGCGCGATACCTGGTGCCTGCTGATCAGGCCTCCATTCTGACTGAGAACCCACCACAAGACGGAGAATGTCCTCCACAGATCCCTCAGGCTGCTCAGCGGCGAAGCCGACACCACAGCCATCACCACCACGGTGACCATCCGATGCGCCAAGCTCAAAGATGAATCGGTCAAAGAGCATGTTTCCAACACTGTTGCTGTCCCCAAGTCCATTGCCATTTGCTCCGAAAAGGGAGCTGACATGGTTTGGGGATGTTTGCGGCAGATACTCTGCGTATGTGACAAGGGCCTCCGCTGCTGAGAATCAGGCTGGTGCACACAAAAAATGTGTGCGTTGCCCGACTGTGCGAGTGCTGCTGACTCGGACAAGCCCTTGTCTGAGAGATCTGACGTTGCTAAAGTGTTGGAAAATAGCTCCATGGAACCGGTGGAATCCATGTTGCTTGGCGGTGACGAAATGGTCACGCAGGGGATCGACGAGAGAAGAGATGACCCGGGGGCCACGTCTGCGCTGGGAGAATTGCTGGCAGCGCTGAGGCCGGCGGACAATGGGTTCATCGAGACATCCAGGACCGGCGGCGTCGAAGTAACGTTGCTTGAATTAGTACTAGTGGTGGCACTGGTATAGCCGAGTACGCTGCTCGCAGAGCTATTCGCACCAGGAGTGACACACGCCTGCATCATAGGCGAAGCAGCAAGGGGAGTAATCGGGCTCCACGCCATGGGAGCCACCAACTCATCACCCCTCTGCTGCTGCTGCTGCTGGCCCTGCGAGCTAAACAGGAAATCCTGGAACCCCTGCAGCTGCTTGGCCAGCCCATCCAGCCTATCAGAAAGCTCATGGTTAGAATCCTCCGTCCTCCTAAGCCTCATCTCCAGCTCCTCATTCCTTGCCCGCAGCTCATCGTTCTCCTGCTCGAGCTGCTCCACATGCACGCGCTTCTTCTCGCGCGATAACTGTGCCGCTGCGCGGTTACGCAGGACACGAGCGCGCTTGCGTGCCTCTTGCATGCCGGGCTCTTGGTTAGAACTGCGGAGGGGCCGGCCGGCGCGCGGTGGTGGGAGCGTGGAAAGGTCGATTTCGTTTGAAAAGCTGGATGGGGAGCTGGGGTGCTTGCGCTTGAGCGTTTCGTCTTGCGAGGTGTACTCGGGGGTCCCCATACCAGCGCCACCGCCTGTACCAATGTCACCTGTTTCGACCTTGTTCATGATGCTGCTGGGCATGGAATCGTTGGACGCAGAGTTCATTCTTTATTGAATGCTAAAAGGTGAAGATGTGCAAGGTACGGGCGGCTCGAGTGGCGGGAAGACGATGTGAATTCAGAGATCCACGCAATAATGTTGAATGTGTGAGATAAAATATATATATAAATGGGTGTTTGAAAGGGAGTAAAATTATAAGTGCGTTGATGATATATAAAATACTTTAATATAAATTCAAGAGGAAAATAAAAGGTGAGGGCGGGCGAAATATGTTGGCATAGTTTTACAAAGTCTGCATTTCCTTTTCTCAATAATTTTTTTGCTCGCACCAAAACTCAGTTCTTTTATGATAAATTGTCAGCCGGCCTTGGCGTTGAAAATGATGAATAATTAGTGAGGAAAAAAGAGGCGAAAATCACGGTAAATTGCGCCAAACACAGAGCAAGCATTATTCTTGCCAGCCAATGGAAGCAGGCTGTAATTTGATGTGGTGGAAGTTTTTGAGAGGTGCATTAGCCGCCAGCCTCAGAATGTGGATAGCGAGTGTGAGCACTTTGGCCACTCAAGTAAAAAAATAGCTGGAAAACTGTCACTTTGCCATTGTGATATGTCAACAGATCGTCGTTTGTTTTTGTTGAAAATTTTCCGCAGAGGAAAAGTACGCGAGACTTTGGAGAGAAGGAATACAAGAGAACAATGTGGGCACATGTGTTGCGAGCAAAAATTAACAAAAGAGTCGGCGACATCAGCTGCCTGACCAATGCACGGTCGACATGCAATGAGGACGTGTACGTGGCAATAGACTGGAGCGCAGCTCAATGTGCACTTCGGGGTAAATTTTTACTTTAATAAATTTAAAACAAGACAGCTTGTCTCGCTTTGGCATGCATTGTCATCTGAAAGCAAAAGAAGTTTGGTCTAGCATCAAACAAAACACATACGTGGACGTTTGGGACAATGTCGTTCTGTGTGCTGTACCCAAACATAGAATCAACCGCAGTCCGTAAAAGCGCCAACGTCAACATAGACCAAAATGGAACATCGACTTGTGCAATTGCTATATTCCCCGCATATTGGCATGCATTGATGTGTTTGCATATTAAATGAGGAAGTAATGATAAAATAAAAAATTCGTATATTGAAATTTTTCAATTAAAAAGCTGCAGCTAAAGAAGAAAAATGAGCATGGAGAGCGGCTGAATCCCATCAATAGAAGCGGGGCTTGGATTTAGCCAATATTGCACTTGCTATGCCGTCAGCGGAAAATTAGTTACCACCACGCAGACGCAGAACGAGATGGAGGGTCGACTCCTTCTGGATGTTGTAGTCCGAAAGAGAGCGGCCATCCTCGAGCTGCTTGCCGGCAAAAATGAGGCGCTGCTGGTCTGGGGGAATCCCCTCCTTGTCCTGAATCTTCTGCTTGACGTTATCGATGGTGTCGGACGACTCGACCTCGAGGGTGATGGTCTTACCGGTCAGCGTCTTGACGAAAATCTGCATGCCACCGCGCAGACGCAGAACGAGATGGAGGGTCGACTCCTTCTGGATGTTGTAGTCCGAAAGAGAGCGGCCATCCTCGAGCTGCTTGCCGGCAAAAATGAGGCGCTGCTGGTCTGGGGGAATCCCCTCCTTGTCCTGAATCTTCTGCTTGACGTTATCGATGGTGTCGGACGACTCGACCTCGAGGGTGATGGTCTTACCGGTCAGCGTCTTGACGAAAATCTGCATGCCACCGCGCAGACGCAGAACGAGATGGAGGGTCGACTCCTTCTGGATGTTGTAGTCCGAAAGAGAGCGGCCATCCTCGAGCTGCTTGCCGGCAAAAATGAGGCGCTGCTGGTCTGGGGGAATCCCCTCCTTGTCCTGAATCTTCTGCTTGACGTTATCGATGGTGTCGGACGACTCGACCTCGAGGGTGATGGTCTTACCGGTCAGCGTCTTGACGAAAATCTGCATGCCACCGCGCAGACGCAGAACGAGATGGAGGGTCGACTCCTTCTGGATGTTGTAGTCCGAAAGAGAGCGGCCATCCTCGAGCTGCTTGCCGGCAAAAATGAGGCGCTGCTGGTCTGGGGGAATCCCCTCCTTGTCCTGAATCTTCTGCTTGACGTTATCGATGGTGTCGGACGACTCGACCTCGAGGGTGATGGTCTTACCGGTCAGCGTCTTGACGAAAATCTGCATGCCACCGCGCAGACGCAGAACGAGATGGAGGGTCGACTCCTTCTGGATGTTGTAGTCCGAAAGAGAGCGGCCATCCTCGAGCTGCTTGCCGGCAAAAATGAGGCGCTGCTGGTCTGGGGGAATCCCCTCCTTGTCCTGAATCTTCTGCTTGACGTTGTCAATGGTGTCGGACGACTCGACCTCGAGCGTAATAGTTTTGCCCGTGAGGGTCTTGACGAAAATCTGCATTGCTAGAATAAAAAAAGTAAAAGTGGTGAGGAAAATAAAATGAAATTTTTTAAAGAGAAACAAAAGAGAAAAAGGTCAAATATGGTGTGGCAGTGCCCTCCTACGTCAGTTTTATATGCGAGATTCTAGACACATCTTTTTGTTTCCATGAGTGTCCATTGTTTCGCGAGTGGGGGGAGGGGAAGCAAGGGAATAGGGAATGGCCAATTTGATAGTCTCGAATCTTTTTTCTTTGCTCTTTTTTTCTTGTTGCTGCCGTCATTTGCCAATAATTACTGCGGCTATTATTATTTTTTACTCCCTCCATTTGACACGCCAATTACATTGCATTGATGCTCTTTTTACTATTTGTTCCCGAGTAGTGTGTTTTTGCGTGTGAATGAACAAAAAGAGCCCGAGTGCTCGTGTTTGTGTAGTGGTGGCATTGCAGTACAAATATTAGCATTCGATGATGGAATCAAAGCATTTATTTTGCACTCTTTTGCCGGCTGACGCAGCATCAAGCAGCAAACAAAAGCGACAATGGGCAGCTACAGCAAAACGGCAGTTGATTTACTTGACCTTGTGACCCAGAGGCTGAAAAGAACAGAAAATGCAGAATGCACACGCGTATTTGGATTTATTGTATATTAGCTTCTCTGCTGTTTTTTCTTCGCCCGCAATGCCCGGGTGAGAGCATATTCTGCAGATCCCGAGGCTCTTAACAGACTCATATGTGGAACCAATTGCAATATGAATGCGATCGGCAGGAGCTTTTTATATTGACTTTTTTTTGAAAATACAAGACGATTGATTGGCGGTCTTTCATCCTCCCCAACGGTTCTGCATATTGACTGCGCAAAAAAATACAAGTGATTACTAATGTTCTGTTCAGCTTTTACATTTTATTTTTGTTCAGCTCAAGCAGAGATGATTTTACTTGTTAAACACAGAAAATGTGTGATAAAATAAAGAAAATGAATGAATGAGAAAAAAAAGTGTTTAGTTCTTGGGAGGGTCGTTGTAGATGAGCACGTTGGGGCTTCCAGTTCCAGGGTTCAGGACGATATCTTTGGTGGACAGCTCAAGCATCTTAGCCTTGAGCTCCTGACCAGTAAGGCTGCCCTTCTCCTGAGACAGCAGGTATGCAGCCAAGCCGGCAACATGGGGGCTGGCCATCGACGTTCCCGAAATAGTGTTAGTCTGGCGGTTACCACCAATCCAGGTAGACAAGATGTCCTTTCCGGGGGCAAACACATCAACGCACTTACCAAAGTTCGAGAACCAAGCGCGCTCATCCGTAATGCTCGTGGCACCAACAGTGATAGCCTTAGGGGCGCTAGCCGGGGAGTAACTGCAAGCATCACGGTTGTCGTTTCCGGCAGCCACAGCGTAGTGAACGCCTCCCTCGACAGCATTGTTGACGGCCTCATTGAGAGCGCGGCTGAAGCCACCGCCCAAGCTCATATTGGCAACACTGCCGCGGTGCGCCTTGCCCTGCTTCCGGGCCTCGGCAACGGACTTGAGGTGCTCCTTGACAGTGAAGTCGACGCCGGAAATGACATCGAGCATGGAGCCGGAGCCGTTGGATCCCAGGACCTTGACGGCAACCACCTCGGCGCCCTTGGCCACACCGTAGCGGCCGCCGGCAATGGTTCCAGCCACGTGAGTGCCATGGCCATTCCTGTCCTCGTCCACGTCATTCAGTGGAACAGTCTTGCCCCACCTGGCGCGGCCGCCGAAATCAACATGGTCAATGTTCACACCCGTGTCAACAACGTAAACAGTGATGCCCTCGCCGGCCTTAGGGTCATGCACGTACTTGCTGAAGGTGCGGAAGCCCAGGGGCTCGCGGTGCGAGATGCGCGCTAGACCCCAGGGGGCGTTGCTCTGGGTTTCCAGAGCATACACCACAGAGTCCTTCTCAACATAGGCGACTTCATTGGACTGACGGATGCGGTCGAGAATCTCGGGCTCGAACTTTCCAGAGTAGCCCACGAGTGCGTCCTGGTAGATATGCTCGATCTTGTTGGCGTCGCGGTAGGCCGGGGCACGGGCATTGGCCTCGTTAATGTTGTTTGTCAACCAGGCAAAGTGGCTCTGGAGGGAGGCTCTTCCAGGCCTGACAGAATCCTTGAATACAACGATGTATTTGTCTGGAATAACCTCGGCCTCGGAACTGGCAAGGAGGGGCGCAATGCCAATGACTGATGAGCGCATGGGGTTGCCAGCCACCACAGCGGCAATGACAGCCACAAAGACAAGGCTAAACGTGCGAATACGCATTACAAAGTAGGGTGAAGGAGAAGAGGCTGCTTGAGAGTAAATGAGGTGGTAAAAAGTACAGGTTAAAAGAATAAATAAAAAGATGGTGTTTGGTGTTGGTTGCTTGTAAAATAAAATATGAATAAAAATGTGTCTACAGAAAAGAAAAGTGGAAAAGCATGTTTTTGCAGCTTGCATTCCCTTCTGGATGTTGTCATTTTCTTGGCTTTTAAACGATTGCGTGGACTCACTGCCGCCCCCCAGCTGCGAACAAAATAAAAATGGAAAGAGGGGGAAAAATTATGCCATCATGTCAGTCAATTCACCACACCGCCAGCCAATAATCGATTGGCCAGGTGCCCTCTTTTTCAAGCTCGGATTTTTTTTCTTCCAGTAGAAAATTAATTGTAAAAAAATTGGTCAGCTGAATTCGCCGCTTTCAGAAAGGGGAATATGCGATACAATCGCCGAATATCAAAAAGAACCAATTCTTTCGCTTCTTCAAAATTGCGCAAATGCAATAAGTAGTAGTAGAGCGAATTTTTTTTAGTTTTTGATTCGTATTGTACCTTGCGGATAGCTCTGATCTCGTGATGGACTGACGGAGAGGATTTGCTTTGTGTGAGTGTGTTTTTTTGGAGCCGAACAGAACCATTCATATATAAAAATAATAAAAGACGAAACAGGCTGTGTAATTTTATTTGAAGAATCACTGTGGAAATTTGCTTTTTTTGGCACACGCTTCCAATTTTTATTTTTTATTTTTCACAAGCTCACAGGGTTAATGCAAAGCCACGTGGGCAAAGAGCCAATTAATGTATGCATGCTTTTTCTCTCCGAACAAGCAAGACTGCGGTCGTCGGAATGTTGAAGTTATTCTCTCGACTCGTGAACAAAAAAATAAGAGAGAGAAAAAAGAAAGGTGTTGGATGTGCGAGTGTCATGCTCGCTAATAACCAAAACAGCAGTCTCAACAGGTCACGCATCTCTCTTCCCCTCCCCCTCACGTATATAAACGTGGACATGAAGCACGAGCACGACACCGTGTATCCAAAATTATTTCTCTAAGGTATTTCTATTCAAAACATTCAAAAATGTTTCTTTCCAAAAGTCTTGATCTGCTCGACAAACACAAACATCAGAATAGTATGTGGGCCCAGCCTCAGGTAATGCGCCAAAAACCCCTTGTACAACGAAAAGAACCCCTCGGCCTTAACAGTCTTGTAGAAACACTGCATTGGATTCTTGTACAGTGCACCGCCGTGCCCGCCGACAGCCGCCTTCTGGTTATACATTCTTGTGCTGACGACATCGAAGGGATTCATAACAGTGCAGACGAAGAATCCCGTGACCATACTTGCTAGGAAATGCGTCATCATGCTGTCATGGTTGAGGCCGCGGTGTGCCAGCTTATCTGCGATATAGTCCTTGCATTGGTCGTACGTGGCCAGTTGGACGGAGGATCCGGCGCCGGCACGCATCATGGAGGCGTCCATACCGCGATACAGCCCGCGCAAACCGCCTTCGCGCCAGATCTTGCGCAGCCCATCGATCGAGCTCTTGTAGTTGTGCTGGAACCCGACCGCGGCAAAGTCTGAAGCCGACTGCATGCGCGTTTTAACCAAGAAAAAGGGTGACCCCAGGGCTGCGCCCGTTATGCCGCAGAGTCCACCGGCGGCCACATTGAGCGGGATAATGGCCGACTGGCTGTTGCTGGGGTTTCCTGTGAACAGCTTGTATAGGGCATTTTTGACTGGCTCGTAGAACCCTAGGCGTGTGCCGTTGAGCATTACCTGGTACATGTATCCGGGCCCTAGGCCCTTTTGTAGCCCGCGTAGGCCTTCGTTTTTACCGATTACCCAAAAGGCTTGCGCGATGTTGCGGTATGGCTTGACCATGTTTGGCGTGCTATGTGCCAGCTCGCCCTGGAGCTGTAGCCGTGTCTTGACCACCTATATGTTTGAAAATACCATGAGGGAGGGAGTGATTGGTTTTGTTTTGTTTTGCAAGACAAAATTGATTTTTTAATGGGTGAAAAAATGGAAACCGGCGGAATAAGATCAAGTGATGGCAGGGATGAGAAGATCGAATTAGTACTAATTGAAGGAATTGAAGGAATTATCATGCATGGCATCAGCAGTAGATATCGATTCGAGCAGGGCAGGCGCACGAACAGATACAGACGATAGACAGACAAGTAGGTAGGGGGCCGTGTGATCAATTCTTTCTATTTAGTCAGCAACACAACCCCCCCCCCCCCCCGCTGCCACAAATCTCATCTTTTAAAAATATAACATTGAAATATATTTCCTTCATCAGGCCGAATAGTAAAATACAGAAAGCCAAAGACAAAAGCAAACAACTCAATACAACTCATATATCATATAAAAAACACCTGCTTTACCTCGAATGGATTTGTAAATGTAACCGCGCCGCACGACGCAAGGCTTCCAGCAAACCACGTAAACAAAATACTGCTGCCGAATTTTTGTGCTGTCGGAGTAACCACGCCAGTACTGCTGCTAATTATCGGCAGAACCAAACCAGAACCATCATTATTGCTACTGCTGCTGTTGCTTTTGCTTGCTGTCGTCATATTTTGTGTTAATTCTTGATAATGAAAAATAAATAAACAGTACAGGTGTGGATAAAGTAAAATAAAAAAGTGGAAGGAAAAATGGAAGGAAAAGAGGATCCCGATTGCATCTATTTTTTTATCACAATCGGAATTGACCAGGAAAAAAGAAAATCAAATAAAAAACAAGGACCCGGTTTGTGTGGGTGGCACATGCGACTAAATGTCCTGGGCAGAATAGATAGAGAAAAATCAAATGAAAACAACCACCGCAATATATTATTCTTTTTATTTCAATTTCATTTGTTGTCACCAAAAAAAAAGAGCATCCACACAAAAAAAACCCGAATTGATGCTTTAATTTTTTTTTAGAAAACATCGAAAATCAACCAATTATGTTTCGTATTTATCGTACACTCAAATAAAGTCAATTATAGCAACAACCGGCAAACTCCGGAACAACCAATATAACGTTACCATATTTAGAATAAAATTTATACTCGCTGAAAAAATTTAATAGTTAAAAAGGGGGAGGGAGGGGGGGGGAAGTCCAAGATAAGTCACAAAGGCCTGAGCTCTCTGCTCTTAAAACGGCAGGTGAGTACCCCCCCCCCCCGTCTGCCTCCGCCTCCGCTCAACTCCACTCAACTCCACTCAACTCCACTATAACCCATTTTACTTTGCACCACTCAATATTTCCCTTTTAATCCGTTTCTTCAGCGGATGCCTATTTCGAACCAGATTTGCACCTGTCACGCCGACATATCCTTCAGTTGGAACAGGATATGAAAAAGAGAAAAACCGACCCAAAGAAATAATGCTGTCTGGAAATCACACCATTCATTTTTTGTTTTGCTAAAAGGACAATGTGTAAATGTAAAAGCAAAAAGAACAATATTTGTAATAAAAAAAGAAAGGCTGTAAGCGAAAAATATATAAGTTATTTGTAACCAGCCAAAACAAAGCGAAATCATACACTAGGAGCGAACTGAAATGCAGCAGCCAATATGTCCATGCAGTCGACTAAAATTCCAAAAACAGCTCCGAATACGGGTCCTCCGATGTAGTATCACCATATGTCTCTGCTGTCTCCGGATACTTGTCAAAGTTGCTCGTATCGCCATCGACCTTCTGCGGCGGAATCAGCGGCGCCGGAATCTCTCTAGCAGCTAGCCGGTTCCAATCAACCTCGGCAAACCACCGGTGCTCTTTAATATCAGCCGACCCACGATGCAGGTTTCCCAGACGACGCGACAGATCGGCAGTCAACAAGCGACTGACAAGATCGCGGGCAACAGGGTCGAACTCAGCAGGCCACTGAATGCGCCCAGCAAGGATCTTCTCGTACAACCGGTAGTGGTCCTCGTCGTAGAACGGCGGGTATCCGGCGATCATCTCGAATATCAGAATACCCAGTGCCCACCAGTCCACGGATTTCCCATACCCCTTTGCCTGGATAACCTCGGGTGCCAAGTAATCTGGTGTTCCGCACAGCGTCCATGTGCGGTCCACGACCTTTTTGGCAAAGCCCATGTCCGTCAGCTTAACATGACCGCGGTCGTCCAGCAGGATGTTTTCGGGCTTGGTGTCGCGCCAAATAATATTGCGCTCATGCATGTACTCCAGTGCCAAAAGCACCTCGGCCGCGTAGAATTTAGCCACAGGCGGCGGGAACCGATGGTACCGCCTCAAGTACGTGAACAGCTCGCCACCGACAACGTACTCCATGAAGAAATACAGGTTGATGCGGTCCTGGCACGTTCCCAGCATGTTGACGATGAACGGACAGTTGCATTCGGCGAGGATTCGCCGCTCACTGTTGACGTGTTCGACTTGCTTTGCCCGCACCACATGGCCCTTCTTTAAAACCTTCATTGCGTAGTACTTGTTCGTCACTTTGTGCCGCACCAGGCGCACTCGCCCGAAGGAGCCCGTGCCGACTGTGCGAAACACCTCGAACTCGTCCAGGCGCACGTGCTTGTCCTCGTATGGCTGCTTAGTTGTCTGCAAAGGCACGGATTGTTCCCACTGCTGCTGCTGTTGTTGCTGTTGCTGTTGCTGTTGCTGTTGCTGCTGCTGCTGCTGCTGCTGCTGTTGGGGTTGCTGCTGCTGAGGCTGAGGTTGAGGTTGAGGTTGAGGTTGAGGTTGAGGCTGAGGCTGAGGCTGAGGCTGAACCACAGTCTGTTGCTGTTGCGCATACGCCGTATTCTGGTACTGGATCGGCTGCTGTCCAGGGTACAGCGTCTGAGGTGCAGTATACCCACTTGCGCCAGCCGAAAATGACGCCGCACGCGTCGCCATACTCGTCAACGATTGAACACCGGGTGCAGCATTCGACGGCACCATGTGTTTCTGCAATTGGGGCGCAGACTGCTTGTATGGCACCGACACATGGTGCTGCTGCTGGTAGGGGTATTCATGCATAGGCGGCTGCGAAGAACTTGCTACACCCGGTGAGACACCGTAGTTTTTCCCTCCAAGCGGTGAGTTTGGCAGTGGCGTCGGGTCTGTCGGAGAGTCAAGGTACTGTGTGTAAACTGAGCTCCTTTCTGTTGGTGGGCTCATCCCTGAAGAACTGTCTCTATCGCTGATCTTGTTCTTTGTCTTTTGCAGTATTTTGTTGATAAATGCCATTGTTTTTTCCTTAACCGCGGATAATGAAAAGGAAAAAAACAGGGAATTTTTGCTGCTGTCGCTGCTTGTTATTTATTAGGATGGCTGGGCGTATATTAAGTCCGATTCGATCGGAATGACGGCCCAATGTGTAAGGGAAAATAAAAGGGAGTGACGAGCGAGAAAGTTGTCTACTGCGAAAAAGAGAGAAATTGTATAATAAACACCTAAAAAGTTGGGAACAATAAAAAACAAGTGTCGTGTATGGTGTTGTACAAAAAAAAGTCTGCCAATATAAAGCCAAAAAGCAGTCTTTTTTGTTGTTGAATTCAACGAAATGGCGAGTTTAAAAGGAAAATACAAGCACGAGAATAAGAATAAGGAGAAAATGTATAAAAAAGAAAATAGGTTGGGTCTGTATTTTGGAAACCTATTTTTTTGGAGTAGGGTATGAAAGACCAGCAAAAAAAGAGAGGAAAAAGCGATATGCAGCTAGAGGCAGTAATACAGGCAATACGCACAGCTTGCAATAGATAAACAAATAGAAGAGGCGGGAGGAATATAACGTGCTGAAAGTGCAGCAAGAGAGAGGGGGGATAAGAAGCAAAAGAGAATCAGGGTTTTTGCTTTACTTTTTATTTTTTGTTTGGGTGTTCACTATTGTAAAATGAATATAGTGAGATAGAGAAAGAGAGGGGGGGGGGCGAGAGCGAGAGTGAGCTCGAAGAAAGAAAAATAAAATTAAACAGCAATAGTAATAAAGAGAAGGAAATGGGCCCCGAGACAATGTATATAAATAATTCAGCTTTTGGAGTAAAAGACAAGAAAGAGAGAAAAAGCGGAGACGACCAAGCAAGGAATCCAGAATCAATTAAAAAAGAAATGAATGCGACACAAAAAAAATTGCTTTTATATTTTCTTCCAGCCTCCTTTTTTTGGTCTTCGTATTCGCGTGTTGGTGCGGTGTCAAGAGACCTAAAAAACTTGGAGTGTTGTGTTCAAAGCTTTGTATTTTATTCTCTCCTACAGTTCTGGTAGAACCCAAATAAAGATTTTTTCTGGACCACTTTTGTGTCATCGCACTTATAAACCCCACAGACAGGGGCTGATCTCGGATGAGGGAGGACACAAAGTCTCTGTCGATTGGTTACCAGCTGCGCCCAAAAACTCGTCTCAGACATCAACTGCTTGTAGAGAAGCACAAGGAAAACACTTGAATTTACAAGATACACACCTCGGGGCCCTAGAACAACGGCCTTTGAATTTGTCTTCGTATTTTTTAGCTGCGTCACTCGCCTTGGTGGATGGATGAATTAGATGGCGGCTGGCTTTTCTTCCAGAAGTGAGTGAAGCAAAAAAATTTTGGTTCCCAGCCGGCCCGGCCCGGCCCAGCCCTGTGAATCTTGCTTTAATTTTCGGTGTCACCTGTACATACGCTAAATGCAACATTTTTGGGCTTATTTACGCCCATCGCATTCTGAAATTCGCAATATTGTGGATCTTGCCTTGAACTGATATACAAAGCGAGCAACAGAGGTAATTCCTGGTGGTCTTCGGCGCCACAACAGAAAAAAACGTTCTTTTTTAATTCGGTTCGGAAATGGAAGAGAAAAAAGGAGCCCAAAACAGTATAAATTAGCAAAAAGTGAATGCATTGTATCTGGCACTCGCCTCTTTTAGTAAACAACAACAATAACAAACACTCGAATAAAGAAGAAAAAAACCGAGAGCAAAACCGAGAAAAATACAGTCACATCGGCGGGCGTATTGGCATGGTCTTGTTGGCAGAAAAGAGAGAGATAAAGAGGGGCATAAGGGTGATTTAAGAAAACGAGGTTCATTCCAGATCAAACTCGCTGCCTCCAGTGTTCGTAAACAGGCGGTTCAAAACAATCTGCTCCGCATGTGACGCAGCCACACCCCGCGCATACCACCGCGCAATCGATCCGACAAAAATCGGCGACACAATATCAACCACGCTCTCCACATGCCGCAGCAGCTGCTTGCGCAGATCCGCCAAACACACAGGCACGGCAACAATGATCTTATTGGCGCCATAGCAGTGTTTCAAGTGCATAATGGCTTCGCGCATCGTGTCCCCGGCCTCAATCCCATCGTCCACCACAAGGAGTGTCCGGCCTTGGAGCATTTCGACTGTGGGCGCAGGTAAATGAAACTGCCGCTGCTCGCAATTGAGCTGCTCGTCGATTGCATCGATGCTTTGCAGGAGCCAAGGGGAATTGGCATTGGCGCCTACGCATTTGGCCACGGCATTGTCTATGCGCACGCTGCCGTCGCCGGCCACGCTGCCCAGGGACAGCCGCGGGAGATTGGGGCACGGAATTGACCGCACAATATAGTACAGGTGCTGGATTCGTGGGCCCAAGGCCGCGGAAATCACGGAGCCGACGACTGCTCCGCCGCGGCTGATGGACAAAACAACCACGCTGCTGTCGCCCACGTACTCCCGCAAGTTGTTGGCCAGCTGCCGTCCTGCATGAATCCGGTCGTTGAATATCGCTTGCCGGCCTCTGCTGTGGTCCCTGAGTGTGCCCGTTCGGCCATCTATCACGTCCATTTGTGACCTGGCGCGCGGCCTCGCTGTCGACGCGTAGTCTGAGTCAACGTTCCTATCGTTGCTGCTGTTGCTGCTGTTGCTGCTGTTGCTGCTGACGCTTGGCCGCCTGTCGAGGCTGACCATTGCGACTGTTGCGTGGTGTGAAAAGTTGCCGAGGGCGGCTGTGGTAACTGCAAAGAATATCAGCTAGGAAAGTAAACAAACAAACAAGGGTATCGAGTTGGTTAGAGTTTGAAGGGTAAAAAAGAAGAAAAATAGTAAACAGTTATAAAAAAGAAGTTACTCTCCGGAAATGCATCTCCGTCCTTTTATTCAAATGGCCCTTCCCTTCAGCGACGAAATTTGGTTGAGCAAATCCAGGGCGGTAAAGCGTCGCCCCGTTTTTGGAGCAGATAGATTGGAATTGGCAAATGTGGAGGTGATGCCTTTGGAGTGATGCAGGTTCGCCGTGCTCTCTCATGCGTCAATTATGCTAATTAAAAACACACGGCACTCCTGTTTCCCTTGCCGGGTGCATTCACGGCCCGAATAATGTTAAAGGCAGCTCCGCCTGGGTCTCATGACTTTTGAAAATAGACACGCTTTCACTGCTGGGAATCATCACCGGATTACATTGTCTCAAAACACGCCTTTTCTTCGTCTCCGTAGCGGCTGTAACGGAGTCTATTTTTCTTTAGCTCGCACCCTCCCGAGCAAAAATATACTGCGCTATGGTAATAAGCCTTTCATATTTTGCAATAAAAATACATCTATAACTAGTTTAAAAATAAATAGATGTTTGCGCGTCTCGCCCCCCTCTCACTCTCCCTTTTTTCAAATCCAAGCAGCGGGATTCTGGTAGAAGAAAACAAGCGCAGCAAAAATGACCAAAGCGACAGCAAAGTACGCCGCAGTATGATTAACAGGTGCTCCACCCTTCAGCGAGTTCGCAATGTCCTTCTTCGCCTTATCGACGATCTTGCGCACCTGGCCGTACATGGGGTCCTTCGGATCATTCTTCGCCTCGATTCTCTCAAGATACCGGTAAAAAACGCGCTTTACACTGTCCAAGTTGTTCGACTGCGAGATCAGCTTCAGGGCCTCGCCCTTGCGAATCTTCACGTTGGTATCCAGCACCTTGGGATTATTGAAGCACAGGGCAATGGTTGCAATCGCCATGGTCTGCGGGATAGCGCAGAACTTGAACACTGTGGGCTCATTGATCTGGTCGAGATACTCCATGACATCGGGGATATGCGCTAGTGCATTCGTGCACATCTCGTTCAGAGCATTCATGCTCTTGTCGCGGTTAGATTTGCTAATAAGCGTGTCCTCGGTGTCGGCGAACTTTGACCAAATGGCCTTGGGCCAGAAGCACCTGCCATCGAGCACGTCCTCGTTGATATCGCGCGTGATGTTGGTCTTTTGCAGGAATAGGCCCATGGAGTTGGCCAGAGCCAGCTTCTCGCCCACAGACCTGTCCTCGAGTCCGGACTCTGAGAACAGGCGGCTCAGGCCATGGCCGACAAGCCCCGCCACGTAATGGCAGTACTCATTGTAGTCCTCCAGGCTCTCGACCCGCGCGCGCGTGTACTTGGCCATGCCAAAGCCCATGTTCTTGGTGATGTCTGCGATGATCACCTGGTACCCGGTCGGCAGCCGCTTGAACTCGGCGATCACCACGTCAAAGTCGACCAGAAGCAGCGCGTCCTTCTCGTCAGGCCCTGACTCCTTAAACGTCCATCCGTCCTGGTAAATGATTTCGTGGAACTTCTCCAACAGGCTGCGCTTCTTCGCTCCGGGAATGGTCATGTCGTCCTCTAGAGAAAGGCAAGACAAGGCATAGCAAATAGGCAAAAGAAAAAGGACAAAATTTAAGACGAGCTTTTTTTTTATATGTTTTTTGACCTCTACGGCTTGTCATTCATGTACAGCAAGTTTTCACGTCTTTCACTCCTCAAAGTTCGCTTACCAATAGTGTCGAGGCCACGGAGAATCAAGTAGAACAAGCAAATTGCGTCGCGAAGCTTAGGGTGAAGCTCCTGAATTACCGCTGCAAATGAGCGCGAGGTCATCTCCAAAAAGTCATAGCAGCGTTTCATGTCTCCGGAAACCTGGAGCTTGGGCGTCTTCTCATCGGGCGGCGCATGCCTCATAACGTACCAGAAGGCAGCCCACAGCTCTGTAGGGTGGAGAACCCAGTCTATAAACGCCATTAGATAGTTTTCGAAAATGTTTTAAATTAAAAATAAAAAAAGCAAAAGCAAAATAAAAAATAAAATGAAATGTAGCGCTCCAAATAAAAAAAAATAGAAAAGATGGTTGGGATTTGTACTTTTGTGCTTTTGTGACTTTTTTTTTGGCTAACGAGCCTTTATGATACTCACAGCATCTCGATAATTTTTTTGCTTGATTACTCGTTTCAGCCGTGCGCACGTAAAAAAAACAAGTTATTTACTTTGGTTTTGTAACCAACAAAACTGCACTTGAAATCGCCAGATTTCTTCATTTTTGCCATAAAATAAAAGGCAAGTCCCGCAGGTGCAGCTCCCCTTCCGCTTTCAGAACTTGGTTTCATCAAATGCATGCAGATCCACTTTGAAACCATGCCTCTGGCTCACAATCCGTTTCAAAATAGATGCAATTCACATACCAAATTATAGCCAGGCACCCAGCCTTGTATCGATTTTTAATGGTTCGGTACGGAGCTGTGCTGAGGTGGGAATGGGAAAAAAGGTATAAAAATATAGATAAAAATGGAAAATTTTATGAAAAACAGAAGAAATAGGAAGAAAGTGAAGAAAGTGAAAAGACATGGTCGCTTTTAGAAGCGGCCATTGAGGTACTTGGTCAGGGTGTCGGGCAGCGAGAACTCGGGCTTCAGCAGCACTGGAGCGATGATCAGCGCCAGGAAGATGACAAACACGATGGTGAACAGGATACCGTAGCCGATAGCAGAGCGGCGGCGCTGCTTGCGCTGCTTGAGCGAGTAGATCGGTGGGCGGATCTGGCGCGATGGGCGCAGCCAAAACAGCATGGCGGAGTGCCACTTGTCGATCCAGGGAACCAGCGTGAAGATGGACAGGAAGAACATGATGATGTGACCAGTGAACACATCGGCGGTGAATACCGAGCACTCGATAACCTTGCACATCCACTCGCGCATGGTCAGTGTAAACACCCAGCCGCCCATGTCCTTGCCATACCAGCGTCCAGTCCACCACGCAACGTTAGTCTCGTCCTCGCCAAATTCGCGCGACAACAGCAGGTGCTGCAGGATCGCAAAGATCGCGCGCTCGACAAAGACCTGGCACACAAGACCCATGATCGTTGGCGTCAGGTTCCAGCCCTCGAGGATCCACAGCAAGAAGAACACAGCGATGTAGATAATCACTGCAATGCCATGCACCAAGCCGGCGATGACCTGGCCGAACTGCGGCAGACACATGGCGCAGCACGGACCCATGCTCAGTGACACAAAGAAGAAGACAATCGTCAGACCAAAGTTGATGACAATAGGCGCGATTGAGATGATCAGAATACGGATCAGAGTCGAGTTGACCTCGCCGTTGTTCTCCTCGGCTTCGGCAACGTTGGACACACTGTGGATGAATGTGTACGAGATAAGCATGATCAGCGCCATAAAGATGGGCAGGAAGATCTCCATGAAGAAAATGTTCGCCTTGTGAGCACGTGAGATGAAACCAGTCGTCGGTGTCTTCTCACCGAGGCGCTTGCGCTTGTAGCCGGTAATCCGGATGCGCGTCAGGCGGCAGTGCGAGATCCACGAGTTGGTGTTGGACGAGCTATTACCCGCACCCAGCCAGCGCAGCCAGTCGCGGTAGTCAATGATAAAGTCAGTCATGACGAACTGGTGGGGATTGTACAGGAACGGCGTGATCAACATGGCTGCGATTGAGATCCAGAAGTAGACCACAGGCCACTTCCAGTATGCCGCAGAGAAGAACGACAGCAGAAGCAGCAGCCTGACTCCAAAGTAGATGGACGAATCCGAGAACCGCGAAAACAGTGTCGAGAACGACAGGCGCGATGTAGCAAAACCACGACCAGTACCAATGTATCTAGCTCCACCATACGACAAATTGGTCATGAGCGAGTTGAAGTACACCTGCGTCACCTGCACCTCATATAGCGGCGACAGCGACATGAACTGCTTTCCCAGACGAGAGACGGCACGCGCAAAGCCCTGCTCAGTGAGCATCTGCAGGAACAGCGGCAAGAAGGCAATCAGCAACACAAGGAGAATAGCCAGCGTTGTACGGCTGATCCAGTCGCCGAGGGGCTTGATAAGGAAGCAGCCCTTGGTGAGGTACCTGGCATAGTTCGGGTCCGACATGTCGATATCACCGATGCAGATATCCGTCGTGATGTTCATCGAGGCGATAAGCATAATACAGAGCATGAACAGCTGCACCGACGACATAATCATAATATTGTTGATGTGGAAGCCCGGATGCGCGTAGTAGAAGGTCAAGAACCGATCCAGCGGGAGCTGGGTGCCCAACCAGTAGTACTCGCGCGACAGCATCTGCTCGCCCATACCGGTACCAATCTTGGTGATAAAGTTGAGCGTCGAGCAGAATCCCAGATCGCGACCCTTACCGCACTGGAAGTACTCGGTGTGCTTGATACGGCCACCGCGGGTGAACGAGTTCATACCGGCGTAAATATCCTCGTTGAGATGCAGACCCTTTTGCGCCTTGGAGATGCCGCCGCGAGTGGTCATAAAGATAAAGTTAACGAAATCAGGGTGACCATAATGCAGACGTGCTCCGATCTCAGCCATGATGCGCTGGGTCAGCGTGCCGAAGGTCGCTTCCTTACCGGCGGCGACGTCACCAAGAACACCAACGTTCTCCGAGAAAATGTACTCGCGGGCACCAACAATCGCAACCGGTGGCGGCTGCGGCTCGGCAGCAGGCGAGTAGGGTGACACGGTCGGTGGGTTGTACTCCTCGAATTCGCCCAGGATGTTGCGGATCTTGATGCACTCCTCGAGGTAGTTGTCCTGGTTGGCGTCAATGAGCTGCAGGTACTCGCCACGGGTGAACACGATTGAGTGGTTTTGGTTGTCAGACTTGCCGTCACCGAGAATCGGGTTTCCGGGCAGCTGGATGCGATAGTAAGGCTTGCGGCGGCCATCAGGGCCGACCTCCGAGTGTCCGTCGATCAGGCACGAGTAAATGCGCGGCAGACCGCCCTCCTCGAGAGAGGGGATCTCCTCGAGGTACGAAATCTGCAGATCGGGGTAGGTGCGCATCAAAAAGTCTGAAGCCTCGCGCTCGTCCTTGTTGAACTTGAGGAAGCGCTGCATGGCAACAACAAACTTGAACTTGCGGCGGGCCATGCGCTCGAGCTCCTGCTCAAGACGCTCGCTGCCGTTGCCGCCAAACAAATGCACCATCTCAGGGTTTTCGACGCGGTATAGCAGCTTGATCGCCTTGGCGTAGTTCATAAAGCCGGAAATCGTACGGTACAGCGTCTGCGAGCGCAGAGACGCCCAGATGCGCGTGCGCAGGGTGAACTCGGGCGCGGCGCTCTTAAAGCCGACGGTGTAGAAGGGCAGATCATCGGTCTTGATCTTTGCCTCAGCCTTGTCGGCGTCCTGTGCCAGCGCCTGGCCGTAGGCTGAAGCCTGGCCAAAGTTGGACGAGTTCTCCTCCGCCAGAATCTTGGTGTCCTTGACAAAGTTATCCCACTCGTCCGAGTGCAGCGCCTTAAGATACTCGAGCACGGTCACACGCGTGTACTGGTCGCTTTCGCGGATGATCTCGCGCAGGGACATGAGAATCTTCTCCGAGTAGTGGGGTGTGAACACAGTAAACGTGGGCATGTTTTCGACGGGCACGGGCTCCGGAAGCACTGAGGACAAAGACTGGGCAAAGAACGAAATGCGGCGCTCAGCCTCCGAGTGCGACGGGTAAAACTCCTCGGAGAAAGCGGCATCGTCCTGCGCGACAAAGAAGGCAGGCGGCTTGAGGGTGCGCTTGCCGTCATCCTCGCTGGTGACCTGCTGGTACAGAAGCTTCTGCACGTGGTCGACAGAAAGCAAGTGCTCGCGGTACATCGAGATGACCACCGCGTTCCAGATCTGCGAGCACAGTACCTTGGGCTTGTACTTAACCTCCATGTCGGCCGTGGCCAGGATCTTGGCGTAGATGCGCTTGGGCAGGCGCGAGAACACGTTGCGCCAGGGCGTCCAGATCGAGATACCAAGGTAGAAAGACCGGGCAACTGAAAAGACGGTGTTCCACACGACGTACCACAGATAGGTGTCGAGGAAAAACAGGACCAGGTCAAGAAGGAGCATAAATCCCAGGGTAATGAGGTTCTGGTTCACGCAAAGGTTGGAGCCAAGATACTTTTCTGTGCACAGGCTGGGATCCATGTTGAACTGGTATAACCAGCGGAAGGGGTCCTTGAACGATAGCGCCAAGAAGAAGTAGGACTCGAGGTACTTGCACAGGAAAATGGTACCCCACAGGCTGAGCGAGATGGAGCGAGCAGCAATCTTCAGCGGCGGGAAGTTACCGGCGAACGTGCGGTTGATCAGACCACGGCCGTCACGGTTCTTGCTGCGCGGCTTAAACATCAGCGCAGGCGGCATGATGGCCATAAAAATCGTAAAGATGACCGAGTAGATGAACTGGACAATGGCCACGGCCCTGGCAGCCTTCCAAGTGGAGACTGCCCCCGCGTCGGGCGACGTGATGCGCTTGGGTGCCGTGGACTGGTAGTAGAGTTTGTAGTCGATCTTGGACAAGTCAAAGTTAGGGTCGTCGCCGTTGGGCCAGATCCAGAAGGACGGAGCAATGTCGGCTGCCAAGATAACGATAAACAGCAGGGCGCGCAGCCACAGGGCACGCTGGTTGTGGCCCTTGAGCGGGACAAACATCATCTCGGCAAACGTGCCGAGCAGACAGATGAAAGGAGCCAGGGCGCCACCGGCAGCCATCAGCGTGTAGCGCTTGGCAACCCGGCTGGGCAGATCAACGAGGGCACCCTTGGACTTGCCTTGGGTTGACTGCACGTCATGCCACTCGAACATCGGGTCGTAGAGGAAGTCTGCCACATAGATAATGTAGTACCAGTACACAGTGACGTGCATAACCCAGATGCGCGAGAAGTTGGTCATGAAATGCCACATCGTGCGGCGCTCCTTGTATGTCTTGGTGAACGACTTTTTCCAGCTGACGTCCTTCATGCGCGCCCAGCGCTCGTTCGGGCCAACATCCATCAGCAGCGTCTTGTCTTCAAACTTGATTTGGCGGAGGCCCTCGGGCGTCCAGAACAGCTCGTTGACGTCGTCGTAACCAATAGTCTTTGCGTGGTCGCGCTCGCGCTTGAGGAACTTGCCGTTGACAATCTCGTAGCCCTCATCACGCAAGAAGTTGTACAGAGGGCAGACGATGTTGCACAGGTACTCGCCCTCGGGTGCGGGCTCGGCTCTCTGCTGCACGGCCGGCGACTTGACGTAATCCTCGGCAAGCTTGAAGATAAAGCACAGCAGCTCGGCTGTGTAGCGCAAATTGCCACCCTCACCCCAGATGAGCATCCACAGGGCAATCTGCCGCGCGCGCTCGTACTGCGACATGGAGTTCATCTGCGCGCGCCACTTCTCGACAAATGCCTTGGGTGAATCCTTTTGCGATTCGCCCTCCTCCTCGAGGATCTCGTGCTGCTGCTTCGGGTCGATCTGCTCACGCACAGGCGGTGTGTCGTGGTCAAGCTGCGCCGAGAAGTACCAGCGGCGGTAGTTTGCGTGGTCTCCGCCAATGTAATCGGCGTGGAGCGTCAGCAGCGCCATCGTCGGGCTCATGCGCGACGCGCGCGAGTCGAGCATAGTCATCATGGCGTCGTACATATTGCGCATGTTGTCCTGCTGGAAGCCGAGCTTGGCCGCCAGGTCGCGGAACACATCCTCGATCTCCTCCTTCGACAGCGGAATCTGGTTGGGGTCACTCCAGGCCGGGTAGGGCGCGTCGTTGCTGACAAACGCCTCGGCATTGTTCTGGAAGTCGATAAAACCACCGTTTGTGTTGGACACCCAAGAGGCGCTGCGCGAGAACGAGGTCACCGAGCCGGTTGGCCGGTAGGTCTTCTTGTTCTCGAGCATGTGGATTAGCGACTCAGTCGATGGGGCGTACGCCGCGTAGCGACCATCCTCGACTGAAACGCCGTTGGAGTTGTTGACGCGGTAGGCACCAAAAATGTCGACATCAGCGGAGCCGTGCGACGCGGGCGTGCGCACCAGCGACGAGCGCACAGAGTAGTCGCTGACAGAGTCAATTTCCGAGTCGCGGTGCTTGCCGCTACGGCGCTTGCGTGGGGGAATGTCGCCCATCATCGGGCCTGGGGGCATCGGGCCGTCCGGGCTGAGCAGACTAGGGCGTCCGGCCTGACCCTGGCCTTGTCCGCCGTTGTACATGTTCTCGTTGAACTCACCGTCGCGAGTGTAGTACGAGACATCAAATGACTCGGGACGACCGTAGTCGTCGTAGGTGCCCTCGCCATAGGGGTCGTTCTCGTCGCCCTGGTTCGGGGGGTATCCGCCACCACCGTTGCCCAAGTAGTGGTTGGGCGGCGCATTTTCGTAAGGGCCCTGTTGACCGCGGCCGCTTCCGCTGCCACTGCCAGCATTACCGCCATTGTTATTGGCCATCTTAAAAGCTGGCTAATGTTACCGATGGCTTATAGTGGATTCTACAGTTGAAATAAATCAATAATCAATAATTAGCGGCCTGTTGTTCTGGTAGGGCGTTGTGTTTTCAATCGACAACAAAAAGTAGTGGCAAGTAGTAGGGGTGGGGAATGGCAAAGTACAAGCAATCGGGCGGGCAAAAAAACTGCTTTTTTAAAAATGTTACAAATGTTTTGTTTTGTCGCAAGATGAAAACAAAACAAACAAAATGTTATTAGTGTAGTAGCAGTTATATACGCGATAACTGGAGAAGGGAAGAAGTGCAATAAACAGCTAAAAAATAAGGCCTGGCTATGGTTGATTCAATACGACATAGGCAACCAGCGAATTATAGCAGAAATAAAGGCTGCCATGAAGACATGGCCAAAGTATACAGCCCAACTAGTAAGCTAGTAATCTGGTGACAAGAACAACTCAGCTACTCCTAAATCAATAACAGATGCATCATTATGAGAGCTGAATGACTTGGCAGAATAAAAATGAAAACAAACCCGTGGGGTGCAGAGTGCAAGTTATTTGGGACATACATAATGATGATGCGCGCTGTCAAGCAAGAGACCGTACGGACTGGGTGTATAGCGTTGTTAGGTAGATTGGCCGAATAAAAAAAGTGATAGAGACTAGAGTTTACAAATGGAACAAGGATGAGATGCAGATAAAAAAAGGTTAGCCTTAAATTGCCTAAAAATGGTCTCGAAAAAAGACCAGATGAGGAAAATATATATAAAAATGTTTGCGCAAGCAGCGTCAACGACAGCAAAGCAACAAGGCAAAATAAACAGCAGTAATACACAGACGACCGTCAATGTGCGCGTTTGCGGATGCTGTTGTTGTGTTCTATAGTGTGCCAGGCATTAATAGCAGGTTAAATAAGCAAAATGGCAAAGTCGAAAAATGAAGAAAAGAAAAACGCAGTACTTGAATGGGATATAATTTCTGAAAACAAAAGGAGGGACGGCAGGCCTTCCTTTGGCAGTGGATTTTCTGAATATGATCGCTTTAGACTGGTTATTATGCTGAACAGTTTGTTTTAGAGCGAGCAGCTTTGTAGGAAGAAGCGCGCAAACAATAAAGGTCGAGAAACAAAGTTTTTTCGATGGAGAAAAGACGTGCTCAAGTGCATTTTTAGATCGAAAAGGTCAAGTGCCTTTTCTTGTTTTTCTTTTTAAAAAACAAGGGCGGATGGGCTCGGGTGCCGCTTAGATATTCGCAAAGTAGACAGCAAAGAAAGGCAGACGCAGACATTTGCATGTGCAGCTGATGCTGCCAGCAGCGGGATGAGGTTGGCAACAGGTGCATGTGGGCGCGTGAGTGTGAGTGTGAGTGATAGCCCAGGCTTATTGATTCGAAAAAGGCTTGAAGCATTTATTTCTGCACGTTGTGTACGGAGGCTTGAATGCAAGGTGGAAACCAACAATCGCATTTACTCGGTCTCATTCAGGCGGATAATGAAATGGGTGGTGTTGACAGATAAATCTGTTGTTTTGGACATGTCACCGATGCAGAGCGGATTCGTTTTTTCCGATACATGATGCTCCAGTCCAATAATAGACTCCAAAACATGAAATGATTGTGCAGATTGGCCGCAATTAAAGTGTAATTGGCACGGGAAAGAGCAGCAATTAAAAAAGCAAGTGAGCACGCAACCAAATATCCAAGGGGAAGTAAAATCGTAGCAAGAGCAGTTGCAGACCGCATCCGCGGCAGCACCGACAACAATAATAACTGGTGGTGTAATTGTTGTTATTATCGTGTTTGTTTTTGTTTTGGCATCTGTCATTTGGTATTTGGGATTCAGCTAGCGCGCTGAGCATTGCAAAAGTAGCTAGAGGCAGGTGCGCACCAATTAACATGTTAATTGTGGCTCATTTTGTTGTGGTCAAAAGGACATGTTGTACTTACGTTAAATAAAGGCAGCCTGCGCCGTGCGAGAGCCAAAAATAGAGCTTGAATGAGATCTAGAAATGAGCTGACCAATAAATTTGATGATGTTGTTGCCGTTATATGCCCAAGGCTAGCTCGAAAAGCGACTCGGGACCACGCACGTAAATAATGAGTGGGATGAGGGAAAGTGGGAAACTGCCAGTGATCCGCAGGGAGTGGGGAGATATGTTCTTCTGCACCGACTATTTGTAGGGACCGTGCTAACAACAGTCAGGGATACGAAATAGTCGCCTGATGAGGGTAAATAATGAAAGAGAAGTTGCGTTCCGCGCAAAAAAACACTAGCGTTCAACAAGAAAAAAGCGAAAGCTACGAGTCCAGATGGCGCCTCCAGCAGCTTGTGAAATGAAGCGTTTGAAAGGGATGCGTGTATATAAAATAAAAATAAAGAATGGAATATGAAGAGGCTGGTGAAGAGAAGAAAAAAAGCTGCTGCCGCAAACAAGAACTGAGCTGTAGAGAAGGGGATGAGCGAGAAGCAAAAAAAGTAGCGAAAGAGACACTTTGGCAACTGGGGAGACCAAGGCGCATGCATGCAAAATGCACAAAACACATTTTTCTTTTCCACATGTTTCCAGGCTCTAGTGATACCGCCCAGCTTTGCCCAAATGGCCTGCAAAGTGGGCTGCTGCCGGCTTCTCCAGGCCTGAACACAGCCCGCTTGGACTCAACAAAAAGGCCAAACCACTCTGTATAAACAGCCTCTTTTGGTGCTGCCTCTGAGCTTTTTTGGGCTGGCCTGTGACCAATGCGAGGCGACAGGCCAGGATGATTTTGTTTTCTTTATTTGCAGTGCTGCCCAACTTGGTTTGCGATAATCCACAGCTAGCACCCAGAGCCCTCAGTTGCTTCTGGTTCAACTTTGGATGCCTCTGAAAATCCAGACATGCCAGGGGAGAAATGCGGGCGAAACTATTCTATTTTTTCGCTGAGCTGGTAACCATTTTCCCCCGCCGCCAGCTGCGAGCTGGTGGGCAGATATGGCAAGGTGGAAAAATAAACAAAAAATTGCATTTGCGATGTTCCTAAGTCGAGCACAGTGAGAGTGGACAGCGCCATTCATTGGTCCAGCTGACTGGGCTGTCCTTTGGGATGGACCATCTGCATGATGGCAATCACGAGCGCTGATAGGCTCAGTGTCATAGTGAGATGATGGGCAAGTTGGGGGTGCGAAGGCGAGTTGCCCTCAAAGCCAAGCGTGATGCGCTGGCTGCTGGTTGGTGGATAATTCGCGATCGCTTGGAATTTTTGCAACCTTATCGGCGGCTCTGTAGCCCTGCAAAATGATGATATCGCAACGTTGGAGGCGAAAATAAAGCAAAATATTGCGCTGAGCACACTGTGTACTTTATTATGTGTACTGTGCAGATCCCTCCCCGTAGTAATTGGGGTTGGAAAGAAAAAGCGCGGATTGCACCGGGTAACGTTGCTGCAGTTCTGCTGCAATATTGCCAACTGCCTTATCAATAGCTGAATCGGATGCGAGCCTGATGCTGCAAGCAAGTGAGACGCGGAAACACTAACAAAAATGATGTGTAGATCGATCAGGTACAGATCAATAGGCATTAGGCTTCTAGCATCCACTGAGCGGAGTTAGGTTCTCAAGGCGTCGCCTGGCTGTTGTCTTTTTTGGCACCAACGCTATTTTGGGCCTAGGGGCTGTTGGCTGTGAGGAGTCTTCATCCGACACAAAAAGCTGCCTTTTGTAACAAATCACTCGGAATTGGTACCTGATGTGTGCATTAAATCAATACACGCCATTGTCTGAGCGCACAATGTGTGACGTATTGCTGACAGACACTGTCTTGCAGCTAATGTAGGATAAAGAGCTTGTACAGTCGGCTAGATTTCCACCTAGCCCGAGTTTTTGTAAACATAGCGCACGCTGCTAAATTTGAGCGCCACGCTGATATATCGGCATAGAATAAAATATCTTTCTCCAGCCCGCACTGAATCCAGCACGCGCAGGCGATTTCTGCGCACCGAAGCAGTAAAATCATTTTAATTTGAGCTTTGTTTTTTTGGCGCGAATTTGAGCCGGAAGTTACTTTATTTTTAACCAAAAACAATGCGCAAGTAGCAGCAGCAGCAGCATTAATAAAAAGGAGGGACCAATTGACTGCCTGCTCGTTTGTCTGTGACTGTAATTCCCCCAGTGGCATTTGTGGTGGGGTCGGGTAACCTCGGTGGAAAAAAATGTGCGAGAGCTTGACCACACACTAACGGACAAGGCCGCATCTCGCTTCACTCCTTGGTTTCCATTTAAGTTGTGAAAGAAACGCTCAACTGTTGACGCAGCAATCTCATTTGTTTTCAAATAAAAATATTATTAAAATAGCATTGACAATATCGACCAAATACTTCCATTTTCTTGACTTTAAGCAAGCTTTTTTTATTTAATTCATCTTTTTCATATCCCTCCGAATATGCGCATCAGCTTTGCGTCGTCAACCGCCATTGCCCTGGGCCTAGCCGCTCAGGCTGCCGCCATCGACCCGCTTGTGGTCAAGGGGTCCAAGTGGTTCAACAAGAACACTGGTAAGCAGTTCTACGTCAAGGGCATTGACTACCAGCCCGATATCATCCTGACCAACGCAGTCCGCGACCCGTTGGCCGATTTGGCCGGATGCAAGCGCGACTTGCCGTTCCTTAAGGACCTCGGCGTCAACGCCATCCGCGTCTACCAGACAGAGCCCTTTGGCGACCACGACGGGTGCATGCAGCTGCTGGCCGATGCCGGCATTTATGTGATGCTCGATTTGAGCACCCCTACGGAGACCATCAACCGTGATTCGCCTCTGTACGACGTCAATCTGCTGGGCTACTACCAGCAAAAGGTCGATGCGTTCAGCAAGTATGACAATGTGTTTGGGTTCCTGGCCGGAAACGAGGCCACCAACCAGGTCAATAACACAGACACCTCGGCTTTTGTCAAGGCCGCATTGCGCGACGTGAAGGCGCATATCAAGTCAAAGGGCCTGAGCATCCCCGTTGGCTACGCCACTAATGACGACGCCGACATCCGCTGGCAGCTGCAAACGTACTTTGACTGCGGCAAAGCAGAGGAGCAGGCTGATTTCTACGGCATCAATCTGTACGAGTGGTGCGGTGCAGAGGCAACATTTGAGTCGTCAGGGTATGTCGACGTTGTTAAAAACTTTACCAACTGGGACGTCCCCGTTCTGCTGACTGAGTACGGCTGCAACTTGGTCACCCCACGAACTTTCCCAGAGGTCGCGGCCATCTACGGCAAAAACATGACTGGTGTGTTCTCCGGTGGCTTTGTATACGAGTACGTGGAGGAGGACAACAACTACGGCCTGGTTACTGTCAGCGGCACCAAGGCCACGAAGACTGCCGACTACGACTATTTCAAGAAGGCACTGGCTGCGGTCAACCCCTCGAGCGTCTCCATGAGCAGCTACACGCCCTCGGGAAAGCAGCATTCATGCCCATCGGTCGGCGCCTCTAACAACTGGTTGGCCAGCTCCACTCTGCCGCCTACCCCGTCAAATACCACCTGCGAATGCATGTTCAAGTCCCTCAAATGCGTGAGCAAGACCGATACAATTCCTACCAACGCTGGCGATCTAAAGACATTTGGTGCGAAAGTGGCTGGCATCTACGACACCGTCTGCTCCAAGACCGACTGCAGGGCCGTTACCACAGATGGCACCAAGGGTGTGTATGGCAAGTACTCGTTCTGTGATGATCTGCAACGCGTTTCGTGGGTTATGAACGCGTGGTACGAGGAGCAGCGTGGCATTAATGGCTCATGCGACTTTAGTGGTTTTGGCACAGTCGTTGAAGCGTCTTCAAGTGATGACTCCAAGTGCTCTGACCAGAATAATGGCTCGGGCAGCAGCAGCAAGGGCAGCGACTCCAAGAGCGGTTCGGGCAGCTCTTCCTCGGACGCCTCGGGAAAGGCTGCGCTGTCCGCCGGTGCTGCCGTGATAGTTGCTGCCGCAATGCTATTCTAAGCTGTCTTTTCGGTTTTATTTTATTTACTCCATTTTTCCTTGTTCAATAGTACGCACCCACGCACACATACTCTCACATTTATAACTGATATCGATGTCGATATGGCCTGCTCAAAGGCCTGGCTTCTGTGTTTTTTTAAAAAAAATCTAATGGATAAAAACAGCGAAACTCTGCTGTCGGTTCAGATCACATAGGGGATAAACATGTACGGCACAATCTCGCAGTACTTGTCCCAGTCTTTCTTGTACTTCTCGCGGCACTTGTGCTCGTCGCGGTAGTTGCGGTGCACAAGCAGTACCAGGAAGTAACCCGAAAAGAAGTATGTCATCGGCGTGTTCATGCCAGTAGCCAAACACTGGGCCAGGCCAAGCATCCAGTCGCCAGTGTAGTTGATGTGGCGCGCGGCGCCCCACCACCCGCTGATCAGCAGGCGGCTGCCGGACTCTGTCGTAATGTACTTAAGATGCTGGACCTTTGGATCATTGGGGTTTGTGCGGAAGGCGTTCTTCTCGCTGTTGCTCAGGCGGAACACCAAGTAAGAGCACGTGGCCATGACGGCCAAAGAGGCAGCGTAGGGTGTGCTCAGCGTGACAGGGGTGAACGACAAGTAGCGAGCCTGCACAGTGTACATGAATGGCACCCATGTCAGATCGCCAAAGGACAGCATCCAGCCGAACCCATCTGTGGTGACGTCCATGGTCGTAAGCACCTTATCCTCGAATATCAGCGTTTCAATACAGTACCAGAGCTGCGGCACAATGGCCAGCCACATGGACACCGACACTGATCCCTGGTCCTTGTATTGTTTAATCGCAAAGCAGACATTAAGCAAGATCCAGCCCATGATTCCAGGCCGCAGCTCGCAGAACACCTTGATGTCAAGGGAGCCGATGCGTGGGTTAAGTTCGCGCCCGATAAAGAAGTCGTACACAGGGTTTCCCGAGTTACCGGCCAGACCCAGCATTACGGTCGGCTTCCCGGGGCGCTCGACATGTGAGTGACGGAACGAATAGATGTATACAAACAGCGCCAGGGAGGTGGCAAAGATCCAGCTAGCAACGGCAAGCTCGAAGAAATGGTCGGCGATCCACAGGAACGGCTCGGTCCCGACCTTCATGTACACCGCCAGGGTGACAAGGGTGGTTACCAGGAGGCTGGAAAACCCGTTCATAGGGTAGGACAGCCGTTGGCCGTCGCGCAGAACCACGCCCTGGATGTTGGTCGCCGGGATTATAAAGTACAGGGCGGCCAGCCAGGTCCACCACATCACGTAGTACTTGAATGCCTCAAGGCTCAAGTAGTCTTGGTAGTTCATCGCGCCAGCGAAAATGTGGGCCCAGCGTTCGGCGGTGAGCGGCAGCTCGCAGCCGTCCTTTACATTGCAGGAAAAGTTCCAAGTGTAGAGGACAATTGTTGTTGTCGCTATTATGACGACTGATCCTGGAAACCCAAAGAACTCGCGGTGCGCTGTTTTTGGGTTCAGCGGCCCCGTTGCAGCCTTTGGAGCTACCTTTGAAGCCATGTCGGAAAATACAAATAATAATAAATAATAAAAGTCAAGAAAACAAAAACAAAAACAAAAACACCTTTGCACTGTGAGAGAGAAATATAAATAAAAAGATACGCTGCAGCAGTTGGGCCTTAAAACGAGTTGGACTTTCTGTTTGAACTCGTGATTTTTTTTACCCTGCTATTTTTGGCATTGAACGGCAAAATAATAATAATGAATAAACACGCATTTACTCACTTTCACTTGCGTGCGCCCCTACTCCACTGCCCAAGCGCAAAAGAAGCGAGGTTTGAATGAGGCTGCAGCACAATGTAATTTTCGCCTCTTTGAATTTCAATTGCCGCTATTACTTGTTTCTTCTTTCTTTAATTTTCATTTATATTACCAGCAATCTGCAAAAAGGATGGCCGACTACGATGACGAGAATGAGCAGCAGATGGACTGCGCCCTGGATTTGATGCGCCGGCTGCCACCACAGAATGTCGAGGAAAATCTGGTCAAGCTTCTCGAGATACTCCCAGAGATGACAGAGGACCTACTCTCGGCCATCGACCAGCCGCTCAAGATCCGGCAGGACAGCCACTCTGGCAGGGAGTACCTTGTGTGCGACTACAATCGCGACGGCGACTCATACCGGTCCCCGTGGTCCAACGAATATGAACCGCCGCTGGCCGACGGCAGCGTGCCCTCCGACCGACTGCGCAAGCTGGAGCTGGCCGCCAACGAGGCCTTTGACACATACAAGGAGTTGTACTACGAGGGCGGCGTGTCCTCCGTATACCTATGGGACATGGATGACTCGTTTGCCGGCGTGGTCCTGATCAAGAAGGTCAACGACGGCACAGTAAAGTCAAAGGGCTCGTGGGATTCCATCCATGTCATCGAGGTGCTGGAGAAGGGCCGCCAGGCGAGGTACAAGCTCACGAGCACCGTGATGCTGTACACGGTGGCTAGCGGCGTGAGGGGCGATAGGCAGAACGAGATCAACTTGTCTGGATCGTTGACGCGCCAGGACGAGCGCGAGCTGCCGGCTGAGGACAGCGGCGCGCATATTGTCAATATTGGCAGGATGGTTGAGGACATGGAGTTCAAGATGCGCAATTCGCTGCAGGAGGTGTATTTCGGAAAGACCCACGATATCGTCAATGGGCTGCGCTCGGCGTCGGATCTCAGCGAGGCGAGGAATCGCGAGCGCTTGCAGCGCGACCTATTTGGCCAGCTGAAGGGCCGCAAGGACTAGAGCAGGAGAACCAACACTTGATTTTTATACGTAGGTCAACTATTCTAATATAACTTTTTGAAACAACAATTTCCATCTTCAATTGCCCAGGAGAGCTTTTCATAAACGTCTGGCTCAACATGATTCGCGTACCCACATACATATGCTGTCGGCTTGTGTATACAACTGCCAACTGCACATCCTGAGTGCCAAGCAGATGCTGTGTGTGATAATGTATTGAAAAATTACATAATGATCTCGTTGTGCTTGTTGCCAGCCAGGTCCTTGTGCGGCAAAACAATAGAGTTGCGGATAAAGACCTCATCCTTGACCTGGACGTCCTCGCCAAGGATGCAGATGCTGTTGAGCTTGACACCCGAGTGAGTGACTTCGTCAATGTCGTCGGGGCTGGTAACACGCGTGCCCTCCACGCGGCCCCACATACCGATGCGGCTGTCCCAGCCAACAATGGCGTGCAGGACAGCGGCATTGTCCTTGACGTGGACGTTGTCCAGCACAATGCTGTCATTGATGCGGACGCCGGGCCCAACGACGACGCGCGCGTGGATGGAGACGTTGGGGCCAATGCGCGCGGTTGGGTGGACCTGGGCCGACGGGTGGATGAACACGGCGCCAGTGATCTCGGGGCCATTCGCAGAGGTGGCAGTTATGGAGGAGTCGCCATCGGCAAGCGCCTTCTGCAGGTACAGAGCATTGGCCGGCACAGCCGAGGCGGCCGACTTGATCTGGCGCCAGAATCCAGTGCACAGATATGCACTGAGCTTCTTGTCAGCGGCCATCTGGCGCAACACATCCTGCTCCAGCCGCAAGCGGTTGACGTCGTGGTCCTCGTCGTTTTCCTCAAAGCGGCCGTATGCGCTCTCGTTAGCACGCTGGTGCTCAAACTCGTCCGCGCGCTTGTCCATGACCTGCGCCATGAAGCGGAAGATGTCCTGGTCAAAGACAAACACACCGGTCGACGCCATGTCCGAAACGTAGGTCTCGGGCTTTTCGACGTAGTGAGCGGCCAGCTTGGTCTCCTTGTCGACGACAACGCATCCGTACAAGTGGGCCGATGAGCGCTCGACCTTGGTCACCATGATGGTGCCCAGCCGTCCGTGCCGCTCGTGCTGGGCGAGGAGCTCGCTAAGCGGGAACGAGCAGCAAATGTCCGTGTACAACATGAAAATGTTCTTTGGCGCGCCGCGCATGATCTGGTCGCGGAAGTGGAAGAACCCGCCAGCGGTGCCCAGCTGCGAATACTCGCGCAGGTACTTGAATGTAATCGTGGGGAACTCCTCCTGGCACTTGCCCAGGAATGGCCGGAAGATAAAGTCCTCGAAGAAACCAATCAGGATGATCTCCTTCAAATCCCTGACCTCGGACAGTGCCTTGATCTGGTGCCAGATGATGGGCTTGCCACCGACTGGGAACAGCGGCTGCGGAAGGTGCATGCTGAGGGGACGGAAGCGAGTGGCCCGTGAGGGCCCACCAACGAGGATAACTGCTTTGTTCATGGCTTGAGAGATGTGCTGCGAATGTGAAATTGGACGTTGCAAAGATTGCGAAGAAAAAATAGGGAGGAACAAAGGTGCAAGGAAAAAACAAATCAAAAGAAGAGGGAGTGCGTTGATATCTTTCTCTTTGTGTCCCTCAGCCGCCATCAATGCGCACGCATTCAAACTGCGGGGGCCGAAAAATATGCAAAAGCACCAAAGCGTAAAGGGCGCTGATGCACGAGCGAATGCGTCTTCTGTTGTTTTTGTTTTTTTGGACTGACAGGACCAGTCACGCGTTTTGGTGTGTTTACAGATTTGCATGCAACTCGCTTGCATTTGAAGAGTACTATCGGCTCGGCTCGTCCACAGACCACTTAAAAAATTTTTGGGCGCTGCAAGTGAGTCAATACGCTCTAGACCCGCAATGGCAGAGGCAACAAGATCACCATCAGTGCTGTATATCTTTCAATGTTTTTTGTCCCCATCGACGGTCGCAAGAAAAATACATGTTTGCTATTGGCAAGCAGTTCTTTGGCATTATTTAGTTCCCATTTTCTCTCTTCTGCGTGATTGAATTTTTTTCTGTATCTTTTTTATATTTCATTTGCTTTTAATCAGCCCACCTTGCAAATTACCAGGAAATGGCTGACAACGCTGCTCCCCAGAACGACAAGACCTACCTCGATGAGGTGACCGGTGAGATGGTCTCCAAGACTGAGATCAAGCGCCGCACCAAGCAGCGCGAGAAGGACGCCAAGAAGGCCACCAAGGCTGCTGCCGCGCCGGCGCCCGCTGCCAAGGCTGCAAAGGCCGCCGAGACCAACGCTGAGGACGCCGAGGAGGAGCTGAACCCCAACCAGTACTTTGAGATCCGTAGCAAGGCCATTGACAAGATGCGTGTTGAGGGCCCCTACCCCTACCCCCACAAGTTCCACGTCACCATGTCGGTCCCCGAATTCATTGCAAAGTTCGGCAGCCTGCAGCCCGGAGAGTCCAAGCCCGAGATCGAGGTCAGCCTGGGTGGACGTATCCACAACAAGCGCGCGTCAGGAGCCAAGCTGCGCTTCTACGACCTGCACTCCGAGGATAAGAAGGTGCAGGTGATGGCTTCGGCGTCAGTCCACGAGTCTGACCGCGACTTTGCCGCTGTGCACGATAGCCTTCGCCGCGGTGATATTGTCGGTGTGCGCGGATACCCCACTGTGACCAAGCGCGGTGAGCTGTCGATCTCCCCTCGCGACATTACGCTGCTGGCACCCTGCCTGCGCACTCTGCCCAAGGAGCACTATGGTCTGCGCGACCAGGAGACCCGGTACCGCCAGCGCTACTTGGATTTGATCATGAACCCCTCGGTGCGCAGCAAGTTTATCACCCGCTCCAAGATTGTCAACTACGTGCGCCGCTTCCTAGACAACATGGGTTTCCTCGAGGTCGAAACCCCGATGATGAACATGATTGCCGGTGGTGCCACCGCCAAGCCCTTCATCACTCATCACAATGATCTCAAGCTCGACATGTTCATGCGCGTCGCCCCCGAGCTGTATCTCAAGATGCTTGTTGTCGGTGGCCTGGACCGTGTCTACGAGATCGGACGCCAGTTCCGTAACGAGGGCATTGATCTGACTCACAACCCCGAGTTCACAACCTGCGAGTTCTACATGGCGTACGCCGACATGAACGATATTCTGGAGATCACCGAGAACATGGTTTCGGGCATGGTCAAGTACCTCTTTGGCGACTACAAGGTCGCGTACCACAAGAACGGCCAGGACCAGCCGCCTCTGATCATCGACTTCAGCCCTCCCTTCCGCCGCGTCGAGATGATTGCTGGTCTTGAGGAGGCCCTCGACGTCAAGTTCCCATCAGCCGAGGAGCTGCATACCGATGCCACCAACAAGTTCCTCAGCGAGCAGTGCGCCAAGCACAACGTCGACTGCTCGGCTCCCCGCACCAACGCGCGCATGCTGGACAAGCTTGTCGGCGAGTTCCTTGAGGTCCAGGCCATGGAGAAGCCCCTGTTCATCACCAACCACCCGCAGATGATGTCGCCGCTGGCCAAGTACCATCGCTCGATCCCTGGTCTGTGCGAGCGCTTCGAGCTGTTTGTAGCCACCAAGGAGGTGTGCAATGCGTACACCGAGCTTAACGATCCCAAGGTTCAGCGCGAGCGCTTTGCGCAGCAGGCCGACGACAAGGCTGCCGGCGATGACGAGGCCCAGCTTATCGACGAGAACTTCTGCACGTCGCTCGAGTACGGTCTGCCTCCCACCGGCGGTTGGGGCATGGGAATTGAGCGCCTGTGCATGTTCTTGACCGACTCACAGAACATCAAGGAGGTTATTCTCTTCCCCGCCATGAAGCCCGAGGACGGAAGCAACCCTGCCGGCGATGCTGCCACTGAGTAACTGCCAAGAAATGTCGACCTCAACATTCTCTATTTGCTTTTTTTGAATAATAAATCTCGATCAATCAATCAACATATTTTAATTTCAAATAATGCCCAAATCGGCTTGCAGCTCGGTAATCGTTTCTAGCAGTACGGCTCGGACCAATGTGCTCTGGGCATATGCGTGTGCAGAAGGGGCTGGGGGCATGGAAAAAATTTTCACCCTAAACTTGCCCAACAAAAACAAAAAAATTGGTGAATGCCTCTGCGCATTCAGCTACAAGCAGAATCGCGCCTCGCCAATTTGAAATTAGCGATTCCTCCTCTACTCCATTCACTTTTTGGTAAACTTAGCACACTTCCAACTGTACTAAAAATGAAGTTCTCCGGTATGTATATTTCGTTTTTTGAATTCACATTTTTGCTGGAAATTCGGTAGTATATTCTCTATGTTGAATGTATATAGCAAGCCGCGACCGATTGCGCCAAGTTTATTTTCTAATTCTCGATTCGCCAATTCAAATTCTGCCTATTGCCCTGGGGCCGCTGGCAAGCTTGAGTTGGTGTGGAGATAGGATTGCAGGCTTGGCGCAGAAAGCAACTTCCTCCCTACGATCGCCCGTAGGTTTTTTCCAGAAATTTGTTGGGCATTTTTGCCCCGGCGCTTAAAATTCACAACGCAGGCGAGCAAAAAACTGTCTATCTTTTTCAGCTAGACTTAGGTTTTTTGTTTTTATTGCCTGCGGTGCGTCGTCATTGCACTCCTCGTTTCACCAAACCAAACATGCGCACTTCGGTGCAAACTTCGTCAAGCTGTGAAATGAGAGTGTCAGCCTTTAGCGCTGAACGATCTAAACCCAACCAACAAGATACTTAATTTGTAAGTTGTTCTTTTTTCTCTTTTTTGTATGACATTGCCGCTTGGTTTCTTTGGAATTGCTCTCTTGGAATGTGAATTGTTTGGACTGTGTTGCATTTCTGCGTGTTCTCTTGCTTTGCCTTGCATCACAACAACATTATCAACAACTATTGTGTTGCTTTTGTGCCTTTTCTCGATGCATGCAAAAAACAATTGAACTTGTGGATTTGTGACTGTAGCCGACGTTTCTTCCTCGACCCGCAAGTGCCGCAAGGCCCACTTCACCGCCCCCTCCCACATCCGTCGCAGACTGATGTCTTCGGGTCTGTCGAAGGATCTCCGCTCGAAGTACGAGGTGCGCACTATCCCCGTCCGTCAGGGTGACGAGGTCATTGTTACCCGTGGCCAGTACAAGGGTCGCGAGGGCAAGGTTGCCACCGTCTACCGCAAGAAGTGGGTTATCCACATTGAGCGTCTCGTCCGCGAGAAGGCCAACGGTGCCACCGTCCCCATCCCCATTCACCCCTCGAACGTCTCGATCACCGCCCTCAAGCTGACCAAGGACCGTGAGGCCATCCTCAGCCGCAAGGCCGCCGGTCGCAAGGCCACTCTTGACCGCGCCTAAGGTGTAGTCACTTTTTGCAATTTCTAATTTTTTGATTGACGCTGCGTTGTGAATACATTTTCCTCTGCAGTGCGTGGAAGTGCTTAAATAATTGCATACAAAACGAAAAAGGATTTGCTTTCACTCCAATGCGAGTGCGTTGATGACTTGATCGGCCAGCAATTCCTGCGCCCGCCTTGCCAGGTGCGCAGAGTCCACGAACAGCTTTGTATCTGGGCTGATGAGCTGTGGTTGTTGGTGCTGCTCGTCGCCAAACAGTAGTGAATCTGATGGCGGCGTATACACCGGCGTTCGCCAGTCTGGATCGATACCAAACGCAGCCGGGTTGCTGGTTATCTGCTTCTGAAAGGAGTGCGTGTCAAAGACAACGACTCGGTAGTCTCGGCCCAAAGCACCCTGCAGATGGGCTATCTCCCTGTCAATAGCAGCATTGAGCTCCAAGGTCATGCTTCTGGACAGCTCGAGCTTCTGCGGATTCTTAAGCGCAATAACGCCAGGATAATCCTCGCGTGGCCTTACATTCATAACGACAACATGGTGCGCGCCATGCAAACACAGAATCTCGACGACCTGGCGTAGCTTTGCAGCGAGCACAGTCGGCGTAAAGTCCGCTTTCTTATTGTATGTCGGCCCTGTGTCAATGACAGAGTTGAGGTCGTTGGAGCCGACTTGAATAAACACCAAGTCCCTCGCATCTATCTTTGCTACAGTTAATTGGGCAACCTGATCCAGAACGCTGGGGATCTCAGCGCGTCTGCCGTTGGGCATGGGCGCGGTGCCTGCAACCAGCTCGTTATCTATGGTGGCACACCCGTGGGCCAAATTGAGTGCTGGCTTATTAGACTTCTCTTCCAGAATATCTGTCCACGTCTTGCCGTTCGAATACCTGCCGCGCCAGTAGACTGTGTTGGGCTTTGGGTGCGTTCCCTGGGTCATGCGCAAAACATTGCCGTTGTCGCTATTAGAATCGCCAATGAAAACCAGTCTTGTGTAGCTGTCCAGCGCCATACGCGTCGTATATTTTTTTGTGAGGAATAAATACTTTTTAAAATATCCAATTAATCACATAAAGTTAAAAGACGCAAAGCAAAATGAAGATTTGAAAAGCTCGCGGGTATTTTCCTCAATTAGAGAATACATTGCAGATCTTTAATCACATAAATAATCAGTTTCAGGCAATACGCAGATAAGAAAAAAAAACAAGCATTGGAGGAACGAATTAAAGTTTGTCGGAAATACGAAGAAAAATCCAGATTCACCTGCATATGTTCGCAATTTAGAGATGACGACACACATGACAAAATAAATTAATTATCTGCATTCGTTTTTCCATGATAGATGTGACATAACGAGCAAAGGCAAACTGCACATGGCAGAGCGCAGCGCCAACATGGCAAAACAAAGTCAAATTATAAATAAAAATACACCCAAAAATGGCTCTCTTCCATCTCTGCATCCTCCAAAAGAATTCATTATTCATCTTTTTTTTGAGATCTCGGTTAACTGCGAAATTGTGGTTTTATTCTTGTTATCTGCTTTGAGAGAGGAGTAAAGAAAAATCACGGTTTAATGAACAAAGGAACAATTTGGTTCCCAAATGTCCGTATGCACAAAAAGGTATGCGGGGGGAGGAAGACAAGTATGAGAGTAAACTGGGTGCAGTACTCAATGCAAGGAAGAGTGCAAACTGCATTTGATTAAACGATTGTTTGCCAGCGCATAAGGCAAAATATACGAATATACCCAATTTTTGGAAATGAGCAGAGGAGCGGAGAAGCAGAGCGATATTTCCAGAAGAGGATATTTAGGGTTCCGATGAAAATTAAAATTTTATTATATTCCGAGGCTAACAGGAACCCTCTTTGTCTCTCATAATATTTTGTATTTTTATAATTTTCTTATTCTTTGTTCGTCTGCTCTTACATTATTTTCATAGAAACTAGCCTTTACTTGCGCGCCCCGCTTCAGCCTCAGCTTCAGTACATACAATAAAAGAAAAGGAAAAATACCAGTGCAGCTCGCACCGTATCTTTCACACAGTGCCTCAACATTAGCCCTCGCACTTTCGACCCAAATGCCGAGCGTTGGGAAAGAGCAACAGCCAGAAATTACTAGCAGGGGTCAGTTTTACGATGGGCCCATCATCCCACCATTTGCACCGGGCGAATATATCGGGCTATTTGTAGTCAACAGCATTAGCATTCTCTGCAGCCTATTTGTCATGGGCTTTATCCATATGTACCGCAACACAATATCGGTTGTGGCAGCCACAAGACAGCTTGGAAAACGGCGAACACTTCGGCGACCAGTAGGTACACGAGCAGTAGAGTATCTGGTGTTGCCCGCGTCCCTGCGGCTCTTGTTTATAGCCTCGATAATCGATATACTGTACAGCATATTTCGCATATACAGTTTGTCAGTCAGCATGTCTGGGTTTTCGGGAAGCCATCAAAACAATTGCGAGGCATCCATGGCCGGGGTGACATTCTTTAATCTCATGTCTGTATTTGTCAGGGCGCTTCTAAACGTGCACTTGCAACTGGTCATTATAAACAACACGAGCAGAGCGCTTGTCTATGGGCGGCACTTTTTGATCGGCGCTTTTGCAGTTTCAATTGTGCTTGCGATTCTTCCCATAATCACGCACAACTACGTGTGGCTCACACTCGATCCGACAATGGGCAACTCTCACTGTGGGTACTTTCCCTTGCGCAAGACGACTGACAACATGCAGGGCATACCACTGGCCTATGTATGGACTCAAGCGATGGCACGGAAGGCGCTGCAAAAGGGACTCATAATCATGTGGTTGACAAACTTTGCCTGGGTGACGCTGACAGTATTCTACGGGGCCGTGGTCATTGTGTCAGTTGTGATTCGGCTCGCCCATCAGAATACGACGCTCAACCGCATTGCCCATGGCCAGGGATTGATTCTCAAGCAGGAGTACCAGCGAAAGCGGCAGTTCCTTCACACTGCCACCAAAGTCGTGCGACGCATTTTGCAATTTCCCCTGATGGTCGTGGTGTGCCACATCTTCGAGGTGGTATACGGAATGGTAACTTTGACGCGGGCGTTGCAGTTGATGCGTGCCGATACCCTGGGTAGTGCCGCTGCCGACACCAACACGCGTTTGACACGCCTGTACTTGACATCCCAATTCATGTTGGCCATGGAGGGAATAATTACGTTGTTATTTTTGCCATTGGAGCCGCCGATTCGCTTGATGCTTCATAGGCAGTATTTGCGCTGGAAATCTGATCTGTGTCACCTGGGCACAATTAAAAAATCGATGCGACGCAGGCCAGCAGAAAACTGGCCGTGTGCGAGATCTCACTATCCACCCCTGCAACCAAGCTACGACGATGATCTGGATTTGCCACTACCATGGTGCGACAAAACGTTGACCGCTTGTGCCCGCAACAGTAGCTTGGATCCTAATGGGATTTACCACTTTGCTACAAAATTCAGCGGCAGCAGCAGCTATAACAACAACACCAGTCCTAGTGCATCTTCGGCATCTTCATCCTCACCTCTGGGCGCAGCCAGTGACAAGCGGCTTCAGAAAGGCGACAGCAAGTCGATTCAGCGGCCAAAGTCAGTTTACAAATCAAAGACGCTGGACGAGTTTCCGTGGGACATCGTAGCTGTTTCCAGGCAGGGCGGGCCAAGCACAGGCGCGCCAATAGCTGAAGTACCTGAACAGAGAATTGCTAGCATTGCATTGGCCATGCGCAATGATGGGCTGCCGGTGCAGCAGTGGTATGTGCCCGAGTCTCCCAACCGCAAATTCACAGCGGCAGACCTCTCTGAGTTTTCCCCAGATCTCAGTGTCAACAACACGCTGGTGACCAGATCTTGCAGTAGCAGCCGTCATATCAATGCAGTCGAAATCTAGGCAACATCTGGACACATTTTGGTTGTTGGGGCTCTAATTTTGATTTAAAAATGGGAATGAAAGAATTTTATAGGGAATGAAAAATTTTGTTCTTATCGTTTTAGGTCATACGAATTTGTCTGCGGGCACGCGTGGGTGCATGTAAATAAAACGTATTGCATTATCTATAATATTTTATTTGCAACATCGAGTAAATAAATATCCATGTGTAGCATTTTTTATTATTCACATTGTCTAAAATATTTATTGCTCAGTTCTTTTGTGTGTGCCATGCTTTATTCCGATATACAGCTTGTCACAATACAGCAACACTGAACTGGCATGCCTATAGAGTTTGCCATTTTGCAGTGTGAGAATTATAAACGGATAAAGACAGCGCCTCAAATAATGTGATATTGCATGTACGCACCGGGTCATGCTCAATAAAAAATATATGTATACAAAATACAAATACATTCGGAAACATTCAGAATAAAAAATGGCGTATGCGCTCTCTTTGCTGACATTGCTTATATTTTTTGGAATATTATCCGTGGACAAGTTTTCCATTTTTAAAAAGCGGCTTTCCCAAAACAATTGAGGGGAATGCATTATAGAAATAGACTAATGGGTATTAAACAAATGGTACTTGCATTTTTTGCAGCGTGGGATAAACAAAAATGTTATAGTGGATGTGTCATTTATATTTAATGCCCTGTTTTTCACTTGAAAATAAATAAATAAATGTATATCCGGTGTACACATGCTGCCATTGCTGTTTTTGAGACTGTAATGTTACGCCATCCCGCTATATGTAAAACTTTTTTTTCCAATTTGAACATGAGCTTTTCAATTCAATTGTTCTTGAATGCCAAATCAAGTTGTAAATGCTAATTGGGTTTTCTCCTAGTTGCAAAAAACCCAATAGTCGTATATATTAGAGATAACAGCAAAACATAGCTCCTGACTGCTAGCAAAATAAAGAAACTATACTTATAATCTGTTGCGCACACACACTGATATATGGATACATGTCAACCGCCTTGGTTGTTGTAACAAGGAATAAACATTGCACTTATAGTGCAATGTTTTTTAGTAAATTTTCAATTATACAAGTGTATATAATATGTGATTCTTCTAAGCATAATGGCACATGTTATTCCAGAACTAAAAATAAAAATTGAGAAAATATTGGTGACGTGTCGTCATCGCTATTTTTTTATCCTGACCAATCGTAAAATTCACTTATTGGATATGCGAAAAGAATATAAAAGTCATGCACTTCTCACACGCACGTTTTAAAATATATATTTATATATTTCAAATGCTTTTTTTACTCTGTGCCCTATTTTGATTACTAAAACATGTCAGATGTCCGCACATCTGATCGTTCTTATTGTGAAAAATGAGTGTGATGGGAATGTAAATGACGGATTCAATTTGTCTGCCATCTTTGAGTCCATTTGCATATTTTGACAAATGAATATTGCTTTCCGTATCCGTTTGTCCAATATTCAGTAACTGCATGTGAAATTATTTGGAAAGCACGATTGTCATATCGTAAATCCATATCTAGATTTTAAAATATGTGAGTTGGGTCAAATAGACCCTGGCTTTGTACCCGCGAGCTTCTCGTTCACAGAGTGGTCAGTGCATGTGAACACTGAAAATAATACAGCTTCCAGATAGCTGCAATAACAGTAACAATTGGCATGAAAATGCTGTTATCATTTCAAAAATGAGAACATCGTGCATTAATTGCGTTTTCAAAGTGCAAATACCACGCATGTTTTCTTTGTCATGCTTTTCAGCCCTCCACATCAACAAATGTTTTGCGCAGCCATCGTGGCAGCATAAATATTCCCAATATTCTCAAATGACAAACATCTAAATATTGTTTGGGGTTGGAGGGGGATGAAGAAGAAATAATAATATTGCAGAAGTTGCGATTAGAACATGTTCTGGAAAACTAAATGCTTCTCAATTGCAGTCATATTTTTTGTTTGGTTCTGTAAAAAGGAGACCTAAAAATGATTGGGTTGAAAACATACTCTCTTATTAAATGTTTTCTCTTGCCATTTATATATAAAATAAAAATTGTTATACCGCAAGTGAATCGGGATTATGCAGGCAGGTGTAGATTAAAATATATGTAGATGCAAAAAAGAATAAATAAACGTGATCGTATCAATACACAATGAGGTCATAGCAAGGTCAAGCAGGAAAACTGCAGACTGCTTTGCAATACAGATAAAGAACCAGCATTTTTATTGACAATATCGGTGTAAAGTTAAAATTAAACCCTCTAATTAGAATTTGTTCCAGCATGTCCAACTCGCTACATTCATACTATGTATCTTTTGGGTTGGCTGAAACAGAAAGCCCCAAATATCCCCAATACCAAAGACACCCCCCTTTTCATACATACCCCCGACTCACAACCCACCCCCACTTCTCGTAAAATGACATTCTAGATTTATTTTCATCTGCTGATATTGCTGTTTTTCTCACCTTTGTGCTTCTCGGGATGCAGGTGAACAGCGAGCAGCCGCAGGCTTGAAAACAAGATACATATATGGCTATAGAAAAGTATAAACACAATGAATAATATGGCGCGCATTAATGTTTTTCTTGTCAATAAACATGCTGAAAAGTGGAAGCAACTGGAAAAAGTATTTAACTAGTTCAAGGTGGAATCACTCTTTTTCCAAATACAATTTTTATTTTTATCCCTATCCTCTACTGTACACTCTTACCAACTCGCTCACTCGCTCGCTCACACCCCAACTCTATTCAGATTTAGTTCCTTTCTTTTTTATTAACAAACATCTCATTCACTTTGACAACAAGCAAACAAAAACAATGGAGAGCAGACGGATATCCCTTCCAAGCTTCCACGAGATTTCAAAGAGCCTACCTAAACCACAAGCAGTTCTTCACAACACCACACCAGCCCCAATGTCCATTCCACTTTCTGGTAGCCGACCAACACACAGCAGGGGTCCCAGCAGCCCTTCCTCATACCAACCTTATCCCCCCCAAACTACGGCCCAAGACAATATACATTTTCCGCACTCGCAGCACATATTATCGGGTTTTCTAGGCAGTAAGCAGCCCGAGAAAATCTCCTACGAACTCGCATACGGAGTAATAATGCCAGTCCACGCAAAACAGCCAGTAGGAAATAACGTACAAGTAGTGGCGCAGATGAAAGCAGATCACACCAGGCAAGCGGGCATTGCAGCATCTATGCCCAACACTTCATTTATGCACACCCCATCTCTGCCAGCTGCGGCAGCCCCAATGACAACAACGTCACAGTATGCGCCTTACCACACGGAAAATAACACACACGTGTCAATGTCAGCGTCACCTCCTAGCAACTTTAACACAAGGGAAAAGTCCAATTCATCACGCGCTTCAGCCTCCAACCATTATATTCGCCGCTCTCCGCCACCAACCTCACAACAAGTGCTCACAAAAGCAATGGTGTCTCCAATGCAGCAGCAAAGAAAAATGCAGATTATCTCTCAGCAGTATACAAATCATCCTATATCTGCGCCAGCAAGTCGTTTTACTAGGCAGGAGCCGCAAAGCCAGCTGCCTCAAGATCATTCGGCGTCAGAGTTTATAGAGGGTGACGACGGCGATGAAAGCGGAATGGGATGCTATGACGAGATGCGCAACTCAGCAATAGATAACGGGCTGGACGGTGATGGCAATGTGATGACAACCGCAAAGATTCGCACAATCCATAAACTGGCTGAAAGACGGCGGCGACGCGAGATGAAGAATCTTTTTGACATGCTCCGCAAGTGCCTGCCCATTGACAAGACTATTAGGCTGAGCAAGTGGGAGGTGCTGAAAAAGTCAATCGAGGTCATTTCGAGCCAAGACACCGAGATCCATATGCTCAGGGCACACATTGCCGCGTCCAGCGTGGTGCCAAACGGCAGCACTGACATTAACAAAATCTTCAGCAATAGTAGCACCAGTAACGGTAGCAATTAGTAATCTACAACCAGTATTCAATCGGATTTATGTCTTCGGTGTAACCAAAATTTCGGTATATGGTTTAAATCCACAATATATATTTATAAAATAATGCTAAGGTGGTAACCAATGGTTTGGCGCTCGACCAATTACGAGGGCACATCTTCCAGGCGCACCTGCAGCTCGGATATGCGCTCGCAAGTCTCGGCCAAGGCCTCTTGCTCGTTTTCTAACGTGCTTTTAATATTTTCCAGCACGGAATCTGATACCTGCGGCTGTGCCTTACCCGGCGTGCCGCTGCACCCAGCCGCGGGGTTGACGCTCTTAGACAAAGCACGCATTTCGTTCAGCCGCTCCTGCAGACGATCAACCAGCTGCTCGTACCCAGCCGCCCCATTAATGCCGTCATCCATGCGGCGCACATCCTGCGCAAATGCACGCTCGGTAGGTGTGAGTTCTGGCTGATAGTGCGTGATCAACTGGCGCAGCATATGGTCGACACGCATACCCTGGCGACTGGCATTGTCGCGTAGCCTGTTAATGCGCTGCTGCGATGCGCGCATCTGGTTAAAGTGGTTCTGAAAGCCCAAAGAAATTTTCGACAGTTTGTCGTACTGCCGCTTGTGCTCCTTGACCTGCAGATCGAGATGTGCGCGCATGTTTGTGTGTGCCTGCGAGATGGAAGCCAACTGGGCACGCAGCTGGCCGACGACTTCGCCCAGAATGCGCAGCTTGGCCTCGCCCACATCGACGTTGACACCGTCGGCCCTATCGTTGTCGCCCAGCACCAGGCGGGGTTGGTGGATAGGCATTTGCGCAGGCTCATTGTAGCCGGACGCAGGAAGACAAGGCACATAAACGATGTCCTTGGCGCCAATCGACAAGTCAAGGCGCCGGGGAGCACGGCCATCGCCCTTTGCAGAGGCAAGTGTTGCTTCGACCTCGCCTTCGCGCTCGGATATCAGCGGCAGCGAAGCGCCCACAAGCTGGCTGGGTGCAACCAGTGCCAGCAGCGAGTACGAGAGGTAAATATCATCGACAACTGCCGCGCCAACCACCGGCATCGCACGCTCCCCGTTGCAAGGATTAGTGTGAACAACGCACTGCACGGTGGGTTGCGCAGCAGCAAGGCGCTCGAGCATCGCGGCATGGCTGGCCTCATCTCCCTGCGAAACAGAGCGGTCCAGAAGTGTGCCAAATGTGCGCAGGTCAATCCGATGCGCGCCACGCGAGTGCAGCGCGTAGAAAATGCTGCCGCTGAGCGGGTCGCCCACAAGCGCAACGGCGCCAGACGGACGCTGATTATAAGTGGTGTCGCCGGTGACCAGCGAGTTGATGGCCAGATCGACGCTGGCCAGGGTTGCCAGCACAGGCAGAGAGCGCCCGCGCATCGCGTGCTTGATATCAGCCCAGCGGCCAATGACAGGCTCTAGGTCGGCAAATATGTCGACGTGTGCGTCGCAGTACGCAACGGCTATGAGTCCCAGCCCACCGGGTGTCTCCAAACGCAGCACAGCGCTGGCATCGTCGCTCACATCGCCGGTCTCCGAGTTCGAGTCTGAGTCTGAATCATAGCTGCCAATGGGCTCTGGCTCGGGCTGCATCAAGAACGGACCTTGCGGCGCCAGTGGCTGTGCCAGCGCAGCAGGAAGCGCCAGACACACACGATCGTCATCATTGTCGGCGCCTGCCAATTCACGCACTTGCTCCAGCCAGCGCACAGCAGCGCGTGCCTCGACAAGCTCGGGTGGCGAAACCACAGTTCCGTTGGTCTCGTACTCCTCCGCCTGCCACTCGCGCACATCGAGGGTCGCGGTCTCATACAGAGCATTCAGCCACGCGCGGTCCGCATAGCAGCGCTGCGGTAGCAGTGGGCACAGCGCATAAATGGAACCGCCGGTGGTCGCTACATACACGGTTGCGCGCGCCCACCCAGCGGCACCAGCGCCGCCCATGCTCATGGACACAGTCTGGTCTGCCGAAAACCCTCCGCGGAATACCGCGACAGTCTGCTCGGGCTCATCGACTGACTCGGATACGTCAAATAGCCGCAGTGTCCCGCTCGCATATAAAATAGCAATGTGTGATTCGGCCGTGGACATGGCGTGCCACAGGACGTCGACGACGCGCGCGCTAGCTGCCGAAGACATGTTGCTCAATGCCATTGACCGACAGTCAACCCAGTGTGCTTGTTGCGCCTCGTCATCGTCATGCCGCGCCGAATCGAACGCGCCGCCACTGCGCCCCGTTGCTCCACGCGCCGGTAGGACCACCACAGCCACGGTCTGAGCACCCATGGCCGCGAGCAGCTTGCCATTGGTGTTAATAACTAGTTTACGAATATCAAAGGTCAGTGCTTCGCACCCAAGGCGGAACCACTCGACGCCACAAACCGCGTCCTCCTTCGACACTCCGTCCCGCGCGCCAAGTCTCCGGCTTTCGCTCTTCACAAACGCGTCCTTGCACGCCTTCAGATTGATCCAACGCACCTCACTGCCCACCGCGACAAAAAAATCAGTGCCCCGCACGGCAACTCGCTCGCGGCGCACACCATTAGGTTTGCTCGTTGATGCAGAACTGACTGATGGCAACTGCGGCGGCTCTGAGAATATCGGGTGCTGTGCGAGTATTTGAAGCCATTCGTCAGCCTCTACAAGCAGAAATAATAAAATCAAATTGCTTGTCAATTCAGTTGTTTAAAATCATACATTAGCGCCAATTGCCGTTATATTTTTTTCGCTCTCACCAACGAGTGACTTACCCGTGCTCATGTTTGTCGATAGAAGTTGTGTGTATGTGTTTGTTTGTTTGTTTGGGTGAATTTAAAGAAAGCTAAAAGACAAAGTAGAGATAAATAGCACGAGAAGAAAAAAACGAATTTCTTCGAAATTGTGGTTTGTTTATTTATTTCGAGAGAAGAAAAAGTAAAATCATGGTTTTTTTGTGCTGCGACTTTTTTTTCGCGCTTTGCACCTCGTCCTCATCCTCGCTCAGCATCCTACATTTTGGGGGCGATACACAACGTACTTGCAGGGAGAGGCGAAAAAAGCATCAAGCATACACTTCGATCAAATTAAATCACAACATATTGACACCACCCACATGTCAATGCCACCAATATATAATGGCCAACACATTGAGCTGCTTTTTTCCATAAACTTTTATTTTTGAAAAGTTTGTCGCCATTTATATATTTGTCGGTTATTTAAAGATATTGGGAGAGCAAAAAAACTTGAACTTTGTTAAAAACGTAAATAGAAAAATGATGATAAAAGATGGATGAAGAAAAAGATTTAGCGCATAAAAATAATTCCCAAAGCTATTTTTTTAAAGGCTGAGCCACAAGGTTTGTGAAAGAAAAGAAAGTAAATGTCCTGCCGCCCCAATGCTTGGTGAGTTGAATAGAGTACAACTACTATCAGAGCAACAAAGTGGGTGTTGATTATGAATTGAAATGAATGGAGTTAGTTGATGGCGGAAATAACGATGAAGATTTGCAGATGCTGAAAATGCTAAAACAAAAAACATAGTGAACAGAGAGCAAAGAGCGGGCAGCGTGCGACAGCGAGTCAGACAGACAGTCATGAAAGAAATGCAAGATAAATTGGTAGGCCGAAAGAACAACCGGATGTGCGAGTGTAAACTGACGGACAAACAGGGAGGCGCTGATGGTAAAGGTAACCAAGAAATAAATAGACTTGGCGGTCGTTAATATCATAAATACTGCGCCCCACGTACAATGGAAACTCGCTGCTGCTTGCTTACAACATATTGTTGTTGGACTCGGGATCAACCGCGCACAAAGCCGCTGGGTCGATCGTGTTTGTCTTGGAAGGGCACTGCCAGCCCGCAAGATCTTGTCCAAGTACGCTCATAAGAGACGACGGGTCACGAAGCATCTCGTCGTAAAATGCCAAAATACCCTGGTTGTTGCCGTTATCGCTGCCTGCAGCCATGTTGCCCGAAACTGCCGCCTCCATCGTCGATACGTTGGCCATGCGTCCCTGAGCCTGGCCAATGCTGCTGTGGCTGTGGCTGTGGCTGTGTCCGTGGTTGTGTCCAGACATGTGCATATGGGCGTTGCCGTGCGCGTCAAGCGCTCCCATGCTGGCCATATGGTGCAACTGTGGAGGGTGCATCTGCATATCTGACACAGGTCCTGGTACCGGCCCTTGCATTCCTGCAAACATTGCCCACTCAGCGGGCGAGCCGTTGATGGCGCCATCACCAACCATGCCCATTGGGTGTCCGTCTCCAAGCATTGGGAGCGTCATATCCTGAATTTCGCCGTTCATCGAGACACCCATGTTGTTAGCAAACCGCTGCTGCAGCTGCTGTTGGGGCTGCTGCTGCTGCAGCTGCTGCTGGTGGTGGAAGTGCTGCTGGTGGTGGTGCTGATTGTGGAACTGATGTTGCTGGTGCTGCTGCTGTATGTTGGCAAACGCCTGGGTTACACTCTCAGGTCCGTGCCACGACAGCCTTGACTGCAGGTTGTTTGTGGGGCGGCGTGCGGTGAAGACTATATCGCTGTTATTGCTGCTGCCCATATTCTCCATGCTCTCGACGAACATGCCGGACCCGTCCATGGCTGCGGTCGCCGGGTCGTTGAAGTGGCCGACAAAAGCGTTGAGGTACGGGCCGCTAGTCGCTGGGACCGAGGCCAGATCCATGGCGGACATCGGCATTGGCACCGAGCATGGCGACTGCATCTGGAAGTGGAACTGTGCTGACTGGTTCAAAGGGGTGTGCGTGTTTGTGTTAACCATGGCCATCGGGGCCGCACTAAGCAATGCCGGCGACGCATGGAAGGCTGGTGACTGTGCAAACGAAGCCTGCTGGTGTGACATTGTGACTGCGCTCAGCGCGCTGGGAGGGATTGAGCACGCGGCGCCCATGTGGCTCTGGGAGCTCGACACGCGCATCTTCTTCACGGAACCGCGCACGCTGACGGGAATGTTGTCGCAGTGCATTATGGTTCCAGACGAAGGCGACGCCATGCTGTTGGTCGAGGGAAGCGAGGTAGTTGAGGCTGTACCGTTCAGCCCGTTCCGTGTTAAGAGCTCATGCTGCTCCTTTGGCGGCACGCTGTGGGAGCGCTTGAGTGACTTGGCAGCCTTGATTGTGCGCGTCACCTTCTTGTCAGCCTTCTTGGATGCGGAGGAGGCCTTTTCAGCAACGGCCGAAGCGGCAGCGTCCTGCATCTGATCGGCGATGTCCATGCCCTCGTTGTCCGAGTTGGCGTTGTCACCGTTGCCGGTCGACTTGGCAGCGGCCATGGCGGCGGCGGCAGCGAGCGCCGCACGCCCAGAGCGGCTGCGGACGGGCTTGAAGTGGCCGCTGTTCAAGAACGACTCGTACCCAGGAGTAAAAGTCCAGAACGAGCCCTTGCCGGGATGTGCCTCGTCGCGCTTGACCTTCATGAAGCCCTTGTTGAGGGACAGGTTGTGTCTGATAGAGTTCTACAGCATGCATCGGCAGTAAAAGACCGGTCCGTCGGATGAATCCAGAAAGCGGATACGAAGACAGAGAAGCGGAAATAAAAGCTTTGGTTAGTCCAAATGAGTAGGCAGGGCTGGTCCTGCATACGCGGTGCTGGCCAAGAAAGGTGTATGTGGTGGGGAGGGCGAGGTGCATTGCATGTCAAAGGAGTGCAATATAAAAAAGCCAGATCACCAGAGTGATAAACAGAGTATAAATTAAACAGGAAAATCATCAAAAATTGCAGTGAACTTTTTTCGTTCACATATTGCTCCGGCAGCAGAGGCTGGAGCGCCATTTGCAAAGAAATGCGAATGTGCATGCAAGAAGCCTTTTTTGGCGCTAATTTGCCCTAAAAGGACAAAGAGGAGGCCATGCATGCTGATGTTCGGGCAGCAAAGGCAGTGCTCGCCCAATGATACGCGCACATTGGAAAACAGGCTGGCAAGACCGGCATGCATGAAGGTTGCAAATCCCTCCCTCTCCCGCAGGTCCAGTCTCTTTGGGCGCCCTCCTTTTGGGCAGCCCTATACCACCGCGCTCTCGTCGCCGGTGGACAAAAAAAGGAAGCGGAGAGCGACTTCGTATATTTTTCCCCAGCCCGAAACAAAGGCAAAGCAAAAAACAAAGGCAACTTTGGCACTGGCATGGCGGGCTGCACGCTTGGAGACACGTGTGCTGCGGCAAAACGCAAGGATGCAATGAAAGAAATGTCGCACAAGTCAAAGCAAACAATGCCAATTTGTGATGTATGATAAATCATCACACTAGGACACCGCATGACGTGCCGGCATGTACATGAATCGCAGGTCAGCAAGCGGTGCACATGTGCGTCGGGCGCCATGCTCAAAACCGTTGGGCAGCGCATGTAGCGGAAGGGACAAAGAATAATAGGCACAATGGTCTTCGAGGCATGCATTGGAAAGCAAGCACAATGGGGGAGGGACGACCAATTGGTCACAAAGATAATAAATGCTTACCTGCCAGTTCTGGCGCGTACGGTAGTACGGGAAGTTCTCCTGGATCCATTCGTAAATCCCGTTGAGAGTCCTGCGCTGCAACGGTGCGTCTTCGAGCGACTGGGCAATCAGCGATGCGTACGAGAAATCGGGCTTGTCGCTGCTGAGGATTGTCGCCGAGTCTGTGGTCAGAGTAGCTTCGCTGGGGGCACTGTCGGAAGCATTTACAGAAGGGCTGGGTGCAGCATTTCCCGAGACATTGCTGGAAACGTCTGACTGGGGAGGTGTGTTGGGCTGGGCGACCTGCTGCTGGCTCTGCTGAATTTGCTGGCTCTGCTGGTGCGTAAGAGCCACTGGTGTGGCCGGCAGCGGCGTGTGGTAGCCCGAGGCAATGTTCATGCTCGCAAAGTCCATTGTCGATGGCGAGAAAGGGCGCGCGGGGAACGCATCCTTGAGATAAGCAAAGTGCGCGCTGTTGATGTCGACCGCCGTTGTGGGAGTGTTGATGTCCATCTGCGAGTGGGCGAGGTTGAATGGGGCCACAATCGAAATTTCGGATGTGCCCGAAGCCATCTGCTGCTGCTGTTGCTGCTGTGCGTACTGAATGTTCATAAGCATGGGCGAGTGCTGCTGCGAAAGCGTAGGTGTGCTGTACTCAGAGTTCATCAGAAGAATGAGTGCTGTGTTTTGTGTGTGCGAGGAGAAAGGTGAAGAGAAGGGTGTGGATAGGTGAGTGCGTAATGAGGTGGAAAGGAGGTGCGAGAGAAGGCAGCTAGGTGTGCGAAAGATGAGGAAGGTATAGTAGGGATAGAGGGAATATAGGCGGAATAAAAGGTGAAAAAGGAAGAAAAAAGTTTAATGAAAAAATAGCTGTAAAGAGAAAAGAAGAGCGGTGCTACCGACTACTCATAAAAATGCAAGAATAAAGGCTTGAAATAAGATGAGACGGAAGGCTCTGCTGCTGGCGTGGCGTGCGATGCACAATGTGCAATAATCGTGCCGTGCCAAATAAAGAAACCGGGTGAGGTTACGCCGGAAGCTAAAAAATAGGGAGTGGGAAAATAACAAGTGGGCTCAAAAGGGCAAAAGCGGACCACCTGAGCAAAAAAGGGGAGAAAGAGGAAATCAAAGCAGGCCGAGCTAACTGGCAAGGCGTTGAGAATAAAAAATTGGATAAACCCTATAAAAAGCTAGCGATGTGTATAAGATGTTAAAAAATACCAGCCAAGAAAAATGTGGTCAAGTGCGGGTGTTAAAATCCAGTGTGCAAAATAAAAATAAAAATACTAAAAAAGGAACAAAGTTTAGATTTATAATTTTAATGCTAGCAAAAATGCGCGAGTTTATCGTTGTTAGGAAGGCGCGTGGTGTCCTTGGCTCCTCAAAAAAGAAGAGGGTTATTTTTCCCGGTGTTATAGGCAATATATGATGTAAAATGAGGAGAGCTGCAGTTGACTGTGCAAGTGCAAGTGTCGTTAAGAGGGCGGAATGTGTGAAGGTAGAGTTGGGTATAGGGAAAGGTGTCGGAATGAAGAAGGGGAAAGGTATTGAATGGTGTAGAGTGCAGAGGAAGAGGGGGGAGGTGGTTAATGTCGAATAAAAGAGAAGAATACGAACAAGAGAAGAAAAAGAAACAAGAAGTGTGTGCCAAGATGAGCCCGCTTTATTAAGTTGGAAGAGGGGATTGGAGGGGCGATGCAAGGCAGAATTTTTCTGGGGGCTGGCAAACGACAGAGCGCCATCGCGGTCTATCTATATCTAAATTGTGTCCGCTGAATGCTGCATGCCGGATTCTGGGAGCGCTTGGTTGGCGGGAGAAGGCAGTAGCACCAGCCGAGCCCGCCGCCGGTGCAGCTGCCATTCTCCACTGCTTCGGGCTGTGGCAATGATTGCAGCGTCGGTAGTAAAAAATCTTTTTTAACTGCTGCCCAGCACGACACATCACGCGGATGGGGGGACAGCTGCCCAAGCTACACAGTAGCAACTGTCCTTTTGCTGGCCTCTGCGAGTGCGACTGAAAAGTGGCGCCAAAAGCGTCCTTGTTCCATTGGCATTGTTCTGTCGTTAGTGCTGCCTGTCTGGTGTGCGCAATCCGGCTCTGGACACAAGCAGCATCCTATTCTGGATTCGGACACACAGGCACATTTCAGGAAATTGGGCTTGAGCGCCCTTTAATAACATAATCGCATTTGCGCGCTGCCATTCACTTTCTCACAGCCTGAGGTGGTGGCCGTGCGCCAAGGGACACGCTAATGCGAAGAGTAATTAGGAGATGCTCAGCGCTGCACATTCGCTCTCTCTTTCTCTCTGCACATTCGCTCCCTATTCCGAGTTTGAAGTGATCGGCGTCGCTCAATTTTTTACATTGATACAGCCACGCGGAGAATACAGAAAGAGAAAGGCCCCGTCGCGCTGAAAAAATTGGCGTATGATGAAAGAATTTGCCCTTATTTGCAAAAAAATGACAAAGCTGAGGATGGGGAACAGGTACATGCATGCAAATCAACGCGGATGCCGTCGTTTGGCGTTACTCCGCAATAATTATCAATCTGCTTTCAACCACTTTTGTATGCCATCGTATGGCTATAGGTATGCATGCTGAACCATCATACTCAAACCGCGGTCCAGACCGCCCATTTATTCAGTATGGGATGATGCGAATAGCTCCATTTGCATCAATCAGGCCATCGCCGCCCGCCAAGTAGCACCCATCAGACCACTCTGCACTCTGCACTCTGCACTCTGCACTCTGCACTCTGCACTCTGCACTCTGTACTTTGCCTTTGGATTCAAACTACGGTTTGCGAACCGCACTGACGCCATTTGAAGAGCACTGTATTAACTAACTCGTACAGCCGCTTTATTAATTAAGTACCCCGCCTTTCTATTATTCCATTATTCCCTTCAGACCGGATTACTGCGCTGCCTTCTTTTCTCCCCGCATCAAGAGTTGGCTGAACCTCTGGGTCTTCAATGGAAGCAATCCCACATCCAGAGCTAGCAAAACTTCAGTCCTTTATTTTGAACAATACAGCGTTGTACCGAATTAACCGCAAACAGTATAATGATGCAGCTTGTGTAATGGCAGTAATAGCAGTTGAGCGTTTTATAATGAAAACAGGTTGCCTGCATCAGTACGTTAATTTCTCCTTACTAACATTTTAGCAATTTATTGGCCCGCCGTAGCAACCAAAAAATTTAACAACATTGACAGCAGCAGAATCACAGCAAGATGATGCAGTAGAAGCTAGAAAAGTACTGTCGGTGGATGGAAAACCATCACCCATTTTAAAAAACCTGAAGTACGCAAGCTTGTATACACACAAAACTGTGTTCAAATGCAACGCACAATTAGAGGTTGATCTACACGCCTGCTACCGGAAACGGCGGCAATCAGAACTCGCCCAGAAGGAATCGATAGCGATTTTCCCACCCTTCCTTCAATTTGGCATACTCTTGGTGTAGTGGAGCCATCCGGTTTTATGCATCCTGCCTTTGGCTCTGCTTGAACCGTTATGTTTTTTTTCCTTGCAATAGTGTCTAAAAATACAAGAAAGTTATATTGGCATTGGCGATCTCAAAGATGCGTGGATTGTTGTTTTGTTTTGGCATTTCTCTTTCTCGTTCGTGTTCGTGTTCGTGTTCCAATATCCAAAGAGTTGTTATGAACCACGGACGCACCAGCGGTATTGGCTTTTCGACTATGCAATAGTCGCACAAGCAAAGAAAAGTTCTCAATGCAAAATCATGTTTCAGGAGAAAGGGCTGCGTAACCGGCAATTGTAATCGATAACAACCGCAAAATTGATTTATCACAATTGACAATTGAAAATAATACATTGAAGAAAAGAATGAGACTACAAATATCTAAAAAAAAATTTAAATAGCCTGCAAACCGACATCTATCCCATTCCGACTGCATAGCAAGCTAACAGGCGTTTAGAAACTAGTGGCAATATACCGCTATGGTTGGCGGTATTAATCATTGCGCTGTTTCTTGCAAAGAGAAGCTTGGGCTTGGACTTTGGCTTGAGCAAAGTGTCGTGCATCACTGTAGACTAGGGTTCACCCGACTTTGACGATGCCTTTTTGTATGAAAAACAGGGGGGCTGCTCGCCTGTAAGCAGGGCATTGAGGATAATGCGAAAGTTCAGCACCGCAGTCATGTCAAGATTACACTTCCGTCTGCCTGATATCACCTTTTCGCCATCCTTGATCTTGGTTCCGTCGACCCTAAAGGTTTGTAGGCAGTCTTCCATTGTGCACTGGAGCAAGCTGCGTCATTAGATTTGAAGAGGTTTTTCTACCGCCAGGATATTATTCGCGCCTGTTGCAGCAATCTGCTGCTGCTCATACCGTTCCTGCTTCTGTTGCAGCAGCTGCCGTGACGGAGTTGGTTGCTTGTAATTGTTTGGAAAGTTGACATAAATATACTTTTTTTAAATAAAAAATGTTCTGGTTGTCAGGAATAATTTAAATAGGCAGAGATGACTATGAAATAATATTGTGAAGACGTTCAGAAAACAAAAAGAACTCTAGCAGCAGCGACTACTTGGCGTTGCGCGCCCGTTTGTCCTTCTTGGAGTTACCCTTGATGGAGATGGTGCCCTTCATGTTCTTCGGGTTGAGCGGGATGTATGCAAACGGATCAATGTTGCCGCGCTTGACATCGCCCTGGGCCTTCTTCGACCGGAACTCGCGCCCGAATGCTGTACCATTGCTATCCTTGCCGCGCTTAGCAGCAGGTTTTTGCGGGGTGGCCTCGCCATCGCTGGCCATCTCGACGTCGTTATCGTCATCGCCGGCCTTGCGCTTGTGGAATTTGATCTTTTGGTTGGGCGTGCGGTAGAACCCGTCCTTGGATTGCAGCGACTGCAAATAGTAGTCCTCCTGCTCCACTTCGTCGTCAGCAGCGGCCGCAGAGGCAGACGCGGCCGCAATAGCAGCGGCCTTGCGTGCCTCCTCCTCGGGGTCGTCGAAGAAAAGCTTGCCGTCCTTCATCTTGGGGGCAGTGGGCGTGCGGCGGACCTTGGCAGCGGCGGGATCAGCTGTAGCAAAGTGAGTGAACGCCGAGCGATCCAAAAAGTCGAGCGGTCCGTCCGTGTCCTCCTTGATCCAGGCGTCCTTGTTGGCGGTGCCAGTGGCGGGAGCAGTTGACTGCCCGCGGGCATCCTCGCCCTTGCGGCCAAGCTTGGTCTTGGATTTTGCCCCCTTTGAACCAGCACCCCTGGTGCCTACATCATCGTCGTCAGAGTCATCGAGCTCGCTCTCACTGCCGTAGAGCACGTCCTCGTAGGCGTTTCCAAACGATTTCTTGCCAGCCGCCGACGCCGACGCGTTGGCCGTAGCCTCGGCATGGATGTCCTCGTCTTCCGCAGTCATCTTGCCGTCCTTGCTGCGCTTGGACCGCTCCTGGCGCTTGCGCATGTTGGCGACGAGCCTCACGTGCTCCTCGGGAGTGACTTTGGCCACAGTTTCCAGGCCAAGGCGGCGGACTAGCCTGTCGAGGATGTGGCGGCACTTGAGGCGCATCTGGTTCTTGAACTCGTGCGACCACTTGAGAATGCTCTTGACAATTTCAGCTAAGTGGGGCAGCAGCACCTCCTTGGGGAGGATGACAACAATAATCTTGACGAATCCGAGTGAGGCTTTGGCGATCTCGCGGTTGTTGTTCACGACAAACATCAGCACAGTGCTCATGATGTCGAGGACAAAGCTGGTGCTCAGCTGCTCGTGGAACTCAAACAGAGCGCGCGAGATGGCAGCGACGGTGGCGCTAATCATGTGTGGGGTCTGCGCGGCCAGACCGGCGGCAGTCATCTTAAAGTACTCCTCAATGCTCGCCTGGTGCTGCACCTCCATCGACTCGTCCTCAGCGGCCTCGCCCGTGACAGCGGCCATATTGATCACACCTCCCATGGCCATGCGCCGGCCCATGGTCAGCAGCGTCTCGAAGGCAACGTTGCGCGCGCGCTCATTGGCCTCCTTGGTGCCAAGGATGGCCTCGGACAGCATGGCTGGCACAAAGTGCAGCTGCTCGTCAGTCAGACTGCGCGAGAGCGATGCGATCAGCGTCAGGCGCTCGCGGCGGGAAGAAACAGCTACAGTCTCTGCCGACTCGACCAGCATCGGAATGAGCTGCGCGGTCATGATCTCCTCGATCAATTGGCGGGCAGGCGACTCCGCGGGCTGCTCCGCAAGACGGCTGATCGCCTTGTAGCCCTTCTTCTGCAGAATAGCGTCGTCATTCTGCTTAGCCAGAACGAATGCCGCGCGCACCAGCATCTGCGCACGCTCAGCGTCGAGGTAGGCTGTCATCGCCGTCGCCAGATCCATCATCGTATACGCATTTGGTGGCGGGTGCGCCTCGAGATAGCGCTCGGTTAACTCGGCGGCGGCTGGCGGCGTGTGCGTCTTGAGCGCCTCATCCAGCATGGTGCACACCTTGACAAAGGTCGCGTTGATCTCCGCCGGAGTGATAACAGTCAAGAAGGTGTTGATAGTGTCCATCAAGAAGCCGCGGCTGGCTCCGGGCGACTGTGCAAAAATGTTGAACAGCTGTGAGAGATAGTCCGGCGCAAAACGCGCGAGGTGCATTTCAGCCGCCAGCGCCTGCTGCTGGGTCAGCGGCCCAGTGCCAGCCTCGCTGTGCGCAATGGTGTGAACAGCCGTCAGCAGGGTCTGCAACGCGCCGCAGATCGCCGGCCGAGCAGCGGGCAGCTCGAGCATCTCGTTGGCCAGACGCTCGGCAAATTCGGGCGTAAAAGCCTGGAGAATATCAGCAGGCACGTTGCAAAAACCACCAAGCAGCGCCCAGACCTGCAGGCTCAGCGCACTGAACACCTTGGCCTCAATATCGCGACCCTCTGTCACAAACTGCAGCGACCGCGCTGCCAGGCTGTCGGCCAGCGGCAGCATCGTCTCGACAAAGTAGCGCAGTGGCGCGTTGCGCACATGTCCCTTCATCAGCGGCAGCAACCACGCGCGGCCAACATCGCCCTTGCGCTGATCCGCGTCAAGGTTGAGCGGCAGCACCTCGAGGAACGCCTGAGGACCAACGGCCCGGACAGCTGCCCCAAGCACCGCGTCGGCCTCGTTCTTGAGCTCAAAATCGGGCTCCATGCGCATGTTCGCTACCTCGGTCAGCACAGCGTCCATCGCTGGGTGTGCAAACTTGCCCAGCCTTTGGAACAGCGCCGCGATCAGCAGGAAAACAAGCGTCCACGACTCGCGGTAGCGGTACGAAAGGCCCGTCGAAATGGTCTTGACGATCTTTGCCACGCCAGCTGAGCCAAGCTTGCTGTCCGGAATGCACTCGCGCATCATCGCCCAGATGCACTGTGTGGCCACCTCGCGGGTGGACTGCTTACCCATCTCAATATCGGGGAACATCAGATCGATGAGGTCAGGCAGCGATTGGAAGCAAGCTTCGGGGCTGATGGTGGCATATGACGCGTAGCCCTTCTGGATGATCTTTAGCCACGCCTCACTCGCCAGCGGATCGTTCATATTAGGCTTAAGGTCGATGATGGAGATCAGCAAATTGCGGAACTGATCCTCGTCGAGCGACTCGGTCGCGCTGGAAAACACGGACTCGAGCGCCTGGAACGACAGTGTGGTGATGTACGGCGTGTTGAGCTTGGGCAGCTGCATCAGCGCCTCGCACAGCTCTCCAAAAGCCTCCTCAGGCCACAGCATGTCGGTCTGCTTGATGAGCTGCAGAGTGTACATGGCCGCCGGCGTTTCGGCCTTGGCATTGAGCAGGGCCTCTACAACAAACTCCGCTGTGGCTCTGGCTGCCGGGTGCACGACCGCCGGTGCGGGCGGGCTGGACAACAGCTTTGATACCGCCTCCTGTGCGCGCTTTCTGATCTTAGGCTTGCTGTCGGTGGCCAAGGCCAGCAGTGACTTGAAAGTACCCTGTGCAATAGGCTGCCCCCACGATCCGGCATCCTGCGCTGCCAACAGCGTCTCGAGACACGATATGACTGACCGCAGCAGTGCCACGTCCGCCGATCCCAAATCCAGGGACTGCGCCAGCACCGCCATCATCGCTGTAAACTTGGCGCGCAGCGTGTTGTGCGAAACAAACGGCAAAATTATGCTCAGCAGGTAGATGATCGCACCTGTCAGGCCATTGGAGCCCGAGTCCGACTGCTCCAAAAGGGTGAGCAGTGCAGCAAAGTAGCTCGCCGGCTCGGCGACCATGTGCTGCTCTTTTATTGTCTCCTCAACGGCCAGAAGCGTCGCTGCATGCTGCTGCTGGTGGGCTGCCTTTGAGTTTAGCTGTGTGCGCAGCTTTTTCAGTTGTACCTCCAGTTCAGAGTCCATGTTTAAATTAGTAAGGCAAAATGTGCTGCAAAATATAATGTATAAAGGTGAAGCGCGAATGTAAAAGGGTGCAAAGAGAACCGAGATGCTCAAGACTTTTTTGCGCATACACTTGCTCGCTCGCTCAGCAGCAAACTGGATCAACTATAGGTTGAAGTGTTCTTTACTTTTTTTTGTTGCATCAAGTTTTTTCGTTCTTTTTTTTTCTTCCTCACGCTCTGCTTGATCGCATTTATTTTTTGACCTTGATTTTCGATGATCCGCCAGAATCTATCAGCACAAAGAAAATTTTCAGTTTTTTTTTTGTTGGTTCGTCAAACCACTGCGCTCACTTCTCAGCGCTTGCTTGCAGCCAAATTGTTTGGCTGGAGAACTGGCTATTTGCATGGCGAATATTTTTCCATCAGGCAGTAAGAAAAATATGTTCTGGCTGCCGCTGCTTGGTGCCGCAAGCATGAGTGACAAAAAACAGTGCTCTTCTCTCTTTCACTTGCGTTATTTTCGAATTTGTTTCCCTGCTTCGCGTGTCTGCATTCTTTCCTATTTTGCTTATTATTTTTTAAACTGCCACACATAACTCGCCTTTATATTTTATTTGACGACCGGTGCTGCCAGCTAAGCCCGATCTCACCATAACATACAAAGAAGCGACAAACCCAGTCTCGTTGAATAATGGCTGCAGGTGCTGTTGCTCGTGGTTCCGCCAAGGGCGCTAGCCAACAGACAAACAATAAGAGACGCATGAGCTCTGCCAAGCCCACAAAGAAGGCTGCTCCTCCGGTTGTTGAGGAGCCAGTTGAGTTGTCCGATGACGACTCTACTGAGTATGGCTCTGATAATGATGTCGATCAAGTGGAGCAGTACGACAGCGACGCTGCCATTGAGTCCGATGACTCCGAGGATCGTCCCGTGAAGAAGGCCAAGCGGGCCAGCAATGCCGAGGCCGAGCTCGAGACCGAGGCCTCTTCCGATGGTGGTGTTATTGACTACGCCTTTGACTCTATGCCGCTGACCGAGCAGACAAAGAACGCCATCAAGGAGATGGGATTCACCAAAATGACTGAGGTGCAGGCGCGCACTATCCCGCCGCTGCTGGCTGGTCGTGACGTGCTTGGTGCTGCGAAAACAGGTTCTGGAAAGACGCTGGCGTTCCTGATTCCAGCCATCGAGCTGCTTTCCAGGCTCAAGTTCAAGTCTCGCAACGGAACTGGTGCCATTATCATTTCGCCTACGCGCGAGCTGGCGTTGCAGATTTTTGGTGTTGCGCGTGATCTGCTGCGTTTCCACACGCAGACATTCGGCATTGTTATTGGCGGTGCTAACCGCAAGGCCGAGGCCGACAAGCTGATCAAGGGTGTCAACATCTTGATTGCAACGCCGGGCCGCCTCCTGGATCATCTGCAGAACACCAAAGGGTTCATCTTCAAGAACCTCAAGACCCTGATTATCGATGAGGCCGATCGTATCCTGGAGAACGGTTTCGAGGACGAAATGAAGGCGATCATCAAGATCATGCCCCAGGAGGAGCGCCAGACGATGCTTTTTTCTGCCACGCAGACCACCAAGGTCGAAGACCTCGCCCGCATCTCGCTGAAGAAGGGGCCCCTGTACATCAATGTTGACGAGGGCAAGGAGAGGGCCACCGCCGAGGGTCTTGAGCAGGGCTACGTTGTCTGCGAGTCGGACAAGCGGTTCCTGCTGCTGTTTACCTTTTTGAAACGCAATCTGAAGAAGAAGGTCATTGTGTTCTTCTCGTCTTGTAACTCTGTCAAATACCACGCTGAGCTGCTCAACTACATTGACGTGCCGGTTCTTGATCTCCACGGCAAGCAGAAGCAGCAGAAGCGCACGAACACCTTCTTTGAGTTTATCAACGCCGACAAGGGCATTCTGCTCTGCACTGACGTCGCCGCCCGCGGCCTGGACATTCCCTCTGTTGACTGGATCATCCAGTACGATCCCCCAGATGATCCCCGCGACTACATCCACCGCGTCGGGCGCACTGCGCGTGCTGGCAGTCAGGGCAAATCTCTTTTGTTCCTTCTCCCCTCGGAGCTCGGCTTCCTGCGCTACCTGAAGCAGTCCAAGGTTCCCCTGAACGAGTACCAGTTCCCTCCTAGCAAGGTCGCCAATGTGCAGTCGCAGCTGGAGAAGCTCCTTGAGAAGAACTTTTACCTCAACAAGTCGGCGCGCGATGGCTACCGCTCATACCTCCAGGCCTACGCCTCGTACCAGCTGAAGAACATTTTTGCTGTCAACAGCCTGGATCTGGAGAAGGTCGGCAAGGCCTTTGGCTTCACAGTGCCGCCCAACGTCAATATTAGCATCGGCGAGACACGAAAAACCGATCAGCGGAAGCGCAAGTCGTTTGTTCCCAAAAAGTAGAGCTTACACTGAACGAGACAGACGGATGGCGGTGATACCTTTCATAGCACCCCAGCCAGCTATTTTCTATTCTTCAAAAATATTAATATTTTCTCTTTCCAAACATAAGCATGAAAAAACCAATTGAAAACGTTCTTTAAAACTAAACAGAAACATAAAGGTATAAACGAAAAAGCATAAGGCATTAGAGGGAGAGAGTTGTGAAACACGTCTGTGCGTTTGGGAAGGCCAAAGCCAGGCTACTTGGCATCTCCGTACTTCTTTGCCGCGTAGTAGGCGACTGCCGGGGAGACGTAGCCGGGGATTCTATTGAGCCCGTCAATCATCTCGTGGATCTGGACCTGCAGCTGGCGAGCACAGGTGGCGTTGAGGTTATTTTTTTGGTACCACCAGTCAGGCAGCTGGGCGACGTAGGGAATCCGGCGCTCCTTCTCAGGAACCTTGGACATGTCGATCTTGGGGAGTTTGAGGATATTGAACACATCGCCGACTACATCATCGGCGATGCTGCCAACTGCCTTGAGCGTCTCACCCAGACCTTGCGGTAAGACCTGGACAACGTTGCTCAGACCCTGGACCAAATGCCCAACCACGCCTTCCTTGCCCAGCAGCCCACTGGCCAGCCCAGCGAGGATTTCGCCGAGTCCCAATCCCCTGGTCTCTTCCGGGTTGCGGCGCACAAGCTCGTCAGCATAGCGGCGCAGGAAGCGATGGTGGCGGCCAACTATTGCCGAGGCCAGGCTACCGGGGCGGTTGCCTCCAAGGCCGTTAAGGATTGCGTTCTGCAAGAAATTGACCTGCTGGTTGTGCAGGGCAGAAGAGGCACCGGCACGAGCATTGCTGTCGCCCGACAAGCGCGAAACCTGCTTGGTCAGATCGTTGAGCTGAGCGGCGGACTCGGAAGAGAGTATGCCGTTCCCCGCAGCACTAGCGGCAGCGGCAACTTCCGACGAGGCAGGAGTATCACTGTTAGAGCTCGGGGCCTGTTTCTGGCTGGTCTTGTCCGAAGGCGCTCTTGAAGGCAAGGTAGAAGACCTGGACTTGGTTGCATCAGAAGACGTGGAGCTAGCTGTGGAAGCAGGCAATTGGGAGGAAGAGGAAGATGTCGTAGCAGAGGATGTGTCTGAAGTTGCAGATGATTCTGAGGGAGAAGCAGATTTGGTTGTGGACGACTCGGAGCTCGACACGGACGGCGATTCAGACGAGGTTGCCGCCTTGCTGTTTTGCTGGTTGGACTGGCGATCAACCTCATCCATCAGCCGCTTAGTAGCTTCGCGGGATCCCGAGTCAACATAAACATAGCAAAGCCCTTCGCGTGGGTCAAGGATGTCACGAATATGCACGTTGGGAAAGCCCGGGACCAGGTCATTGGCATTCACCGGCTGATTTTCATAATTGGCGCTGTCGTAAAGATTGAAACGCGTTTTGGGCTCCATTAGCTGCCAGTCGTACCACAGTTTGTCGACCATGAGGTGATGGAGGAAGAAGAAGGGGTCGTTGGGCGCAAACATGGTCGACATGTCTCCGGAAATTCCTAGATGAACAGCGCCATGGCAGCCGTTCTCAATGCCGCTGGAGAGTGCACCGTACTGCATGCACGTTTTCTGCATGCTGAGGAGTGCCTCGGGCGGCCAGAAGGGTGAGATGTTGTCTCCTTGGTTGAACTTGCGCGCGAGGCAATGCGGGCTGTCGACACTTAACTGCCAGTTGGCAAAGGGGCCACTCTGAACGCAGTTTTGCGGCCCGGCGCCGTTTCCGCCCAAGTAATCGTTGGTGAACAGGTCGCTGGCCGCCGGGTTGGTAGCGTCCAAGGACCAGTCCCAGTACGGGACAGTCACACCGGGATCGGCTTTATCCAAAGCCGATGCAAACTCGTTAACAAACACGCGGTGGAATGCCAAAAAGACTGGGCGACCGTGAATAACCTCAGCATTGTCTACGTGGAGCTTTGACAGTCTCTCTAGGTCGCCATTAGTGCGAATCGAGTTCAGCGCCTTAATGAAGCGCGCGCGCTGGTCGGGTGCCATCGAGCGAATCTCGGGTCGGGTTTTGGGGTTCGCGCACTGGCCGTTCACCAGGTTGCTTATGCACAGTGCGACAATAAAAAACACGCTTTTGACCATCGTAAAAAATGCAAAATAACTATCTCCCGTTCACTAATCGAGAGAAAGAGGAACCACAGAAATATAAAAAAGAGAAGCCTGAGCGAGCTAAATTAATTACGGCAGTAATGTGGATGCGTAGCCGTGTATCTGCGCGCGTCCTATGCGGTCGACGATGTGGACTTTGGTGCTGGACAAGATGATAGAGTTAGAGACAATAAATGTAAATATAAAAATAAGACGTTGGTAAAGGCCAGCTTGGGAGTAGTAAAATAAGTTGTATGATAACAGGAAGAGGAGATAAGGAGGAGCGAGACGTTGTGAAAAGAGAGAGAGAAAAGAAAAGAAAGAAACTGTAATGGCTATAATATTTTTTGTTGGCTCGAACACTTTTAGCGAACTAGTGCTGGCAATAAAACTATAGAGAAAACTATATGTTGATGGGCTAATAACGTAGCTGTCACTATTGTTTACAGCAAGCAACCACGCTGCACAATCGCGATGCCAAATATATAATTGTATGTCACAGTTCTAAAACAATGAAGTTAGGGACTAGAGCTGCTTTAGGTGGCTTTGAGAATAAAGCAGCAATTTACACCAGTTAATATAAATGAGGGAAATGGGGGATATTGCGCGGTTCACGAAGACCAAGAAAGGAAGACAATAATCGTTAGAATGCGAAAATAGAACAAGAAAAATGGCGGATGCAAAAGAATTAGAAAGCTAAAAAATAAGAAGAATAATAAACGAAAGAAAAATAGCAGGAAGCAAAAAAGGAGTTTTGAAAAATGAAATGGCAAGAGACGCAACAAGACCAATTCACAAAACAATATTACGGTCTGCAAATAATATGCGTCGTACTTGGACCTCGTTTGTCGATAGACCAAATATAAATGTCACAATTTTTTTTAAAATTTGACCACGGTTGAGGATAGTAAAGAACGAACGCGAAGGAAGGCGGACTGGGGAGCTGGACTGCGGCGCTTAAATTGGGCCACTACACAAAAATGTAAATTTTTTTGCAGTTTGGGGCCAGCATACTGATAATGGTCCGAGTGCAGAAAAGTTGGCTGCTATTGGTAGCTGGTTTTTGCGAAAGCAGTAAACGCGAGTGTTGAACAGACAATGTTTACGGCTATCCAGCTTGAATATCAAGCGTGCTATTAAATGCATTCCAACGCAAAGTAGTAAATACCACCCCCTATTCTGTCAAAGTCCAATTAAATAATATTAAAGCGCGTAGGTCGACTTTGTGTCACAGGAATGTCACAACCAAATACAGCCTTGTCGTTTGAAAATCTGTCAAATTCTGTACCTGCTCATTATCTTTTGACAATGCGTTTTATTACCTTTTTAATTCTATATTTCAAAACAGATATAACTATCAGATTCTGCTCCTCTCAAATGGTGTGGCGCAGAAGAAATTTGCGTTGTTTCCGCGTTTACAACCGACGGCTTCTAATTTGAAGGGCGCCACACCAACTTGAAATTTTTAATAAGGCGATGCTGTATCAAAAACGGGAATAAATAAAAAAGATACTACGGAAACAATATAACAGACACCCTAGTAAACAGGATCCACATGTGCAGTGGGTCATCCTGTCATACTTTGGAGTATATTATGAAGTGTTTTTTGTTCAAATCGATCCAGCCAAACAAAAGGGCTTATTCAGTGTTTAGCATTGGCTTGCAGTAAAATTGATATTGATATTAAAATCTATTTATAGAATTCAATATAATACTCTTTCATGTCAACACGAGGACAATCTGAATTAATTAACAAAACCGGTTGATACCAATATTGGAAATATTGATTTTTGAAATAGAAAAATTATATTTTCGCATGCAAAAATCTAGACTCCAAGTTCGTAAATTAATATTGTTGTGCAGCCCGAGGATATGAAAGTGGATGTCGAGGTTGAGAATCATGAAACAAGTTTCCATCCGCGTGCCGGTTGATATGGTACTAATTGGATTATGCATGTGTAAATTAGGGTGGCATAATAATGATGCCCAGGTATGCTCCCCATTTTGCAATATACACACACATGAGCCCACATATGCGAAAACCACAACATTGACTTGCCAAGATATCGGTCTACTCACAGAAGAATCAGTTATCGCCTGCGGAGTCCACAGCTGGCGAAGTGCACAACAAAGGCAACGAGGTACATATATAAGACGAGGCTGGCCCTAGTTCTACTTTTGATTCCATTTATAATAAAAACTATAACAAAACCCAAACGTACTTTTAACACTAGGCGACTAGTGCTTCCCTCAAATCACAACACCCTTAACACTAGACAACTAGTGCTCCCCTTAAATAGCAACAATATGAATATGGCAAAAAATTGGCTGTAAAATATAGGGTCTATATGAGTATATCAATAACTTTTTTATTTTTCATTTGCTCTTTTAGTGTATTTTCAGTTTGACGAAATGAGTGGCAGACAAATACAATAGAAAATTCATTGACTGACTAAACGAAATATGGTTATAGATGTGATTACACTTATTATCAAGAATATCCTGGCTAAACAATATCTACCACTTGCAACACATTTTTATGTGTTTGTGGCAATATAATTTGGAATAATCAAATTAATTCAAACATGCAAGATTTAAGAGAACATTGCTTAATTTTTAAATCACCTCATAAAAAAATTAAATTACTAAACCAATCATATTGGACTGACTTTGCCATCTCGAACCCGAACTCGCATTAGCTTATTTGTAAAGCGTGGCCATCCTGTTAGTCTCACGCTTTATAGTGCGAACTATGCTTCGGAGAGAGTCACTCTTGGCAGCCATTAGCTTAAAGTTAGTCTCCATTTCGTCGACCAGCACGTTTTTTATTTCAGTCGACAGGGAGACGCCATGCAAATTGTGAGCACCACTTTTTATTATCGCATTTTTATTCGCAAGTTCAGTACACTGGGAATATGCACCCCGCTGCTGCTGGTTAGCATTGTTAGAAATACCCATTTGCCGCTTGCTCTCTGACAAATTATTTCTTGCTTTTGCCATTGACGCGCGAATGCGTTTAACATTATCGTATAACTTGTCAACACGCTCCCGCTGAGACCCAAAGTTTGCACACACGCTTGTGTAAGCGTTATCATGGTTGCCGCTAAGCTTGTCAGTATGATGCCGCTTACTGGCGGTTGCACGGCTTACTTCCAGGGTGTTTCCAGGGTTAATATACCGAGGGTTTAGCTCCAAAACTGGCGCATCATTGTCCATTGTCATAGCCTCATCAATAGCTAGTTTACAATTTAGACTAGCGATGTCGTTGTTTAGCCTCATGAGCTGCCAAGCATGTGAAAATCCAACTTCAGCCATGCGATGGTAAATTACACTGTTTTCGGCGTGTTGTACCGATGTCTGATGTGGCATATACGCGATCATCGCCGGGTTATATTCGTGGTAGGCACCCGCATGCCAGACGCAGTTCGCCGTCTTTACGCGTCCTTTGAAGGAAAAATCGTCCTGAAGTATTTTGACGAGTGCATCTGCAGCAGCATGGCATATGAAGGTGCGCTCCTTGCTTATGATACTAAAATCCTCAAACATTTTGTAAAGTGAATAAATAACTAGACTGAAGAATATGAGTGTTCGTTTGTTAGTGAGTATGAGAAAACAGATTGCCAAAAGGGTAGTTGGTGAAGAAAAGACAAAGAAGGCAGTAAACGGGGCGGGTGGAATTTATTTATTCCACTGGCTATTCCTGACAGCGATAAATTTTGATACCATTGATATGTGCACTGCTTTTTTGGCCTCATTCACGGCTGATTGGCACAAGCACATGTTCGGTTGGTGGCTTGAAAATAAAGTAAATAACGGATTTGCGTTCAATTAAAGCACAGTTTATTATTTCTGTTAATATCACTCCGGATAAAGTTGGACTGTTTAGCTGCCACCGCAAAATCAAAAATCACCATTGTTTGTATCGGACCACTAACACCACGCAACAAGTAAAATCATCCATGCTTTGTCCCCCCACGCTGTGGCCTCTTGCAACAAATATTTTTCCTTCTAAAAACGCTATATGCGCTTGTCATATTCTATATGTTTATGTGCATGCTGTATATGTCTTGTTTTTAATTAACCTTTGCCTTTTCTGCTATTGCATTTTGGTAACCCGCAGATCTTTTTCCACGTGGATCCGCAATTGGCTATCCAACCTGGCAGTCGAAATAAAAAAGCAGCTCTCAATTATTGCTGTCAAGTGCGTGAACAGCGATGGCGTTGAATAATGCCTTTCCTCTTTGTGAGTTTTTTATATTCCTTGCAAGTGCGAGGGGATCCAACTACAATGTCTGAATTAAACAAAACAATGATTTCAGCACACGGTAATTGAAATTTTGCGCATAAAGCAACCCAACAGAAACAAGAATAAGCGAAAGAGGCAGGCTGTGCTGTCACGCCAAAAATAACCGAGGGTTTAGCAAGAACAATGGGCTGTCCTTGATTTATCTTTTTTGGCACCAAAAGCGCTTATTAAGTAAAAATAACAGCTATTCGGTTTGTAACAAAGGCATGGGACGTTTGTATTGCGCTGTGTTGTCATTGCCACACTCTTAAAACTAATTGTCAATAACAAAATATTTTCAACTGGCTCGCAAGACTTGACAATTCCAGTCTATAGGCCTTTTTTATTAACAGTGTAGCTAGGAAATTGTGTACTTGCACGGTTTTGTGGTCATCGATGTTTCTCTCGTTTGCTTAATCATATTCAAAATTCGAGTGGCAAAAGTGAACAGATTATTTGTTTATTGTTTTTTGTTTTGTCCCGCCACATTACACCCCAAAGTTTTTGGCAAAAAACAATTGTTATCCCGCTTGCAAAATAAGCGGTTATTAAAGGAAGAAAAATATTGGGTCATGCTGGCTCCAATATAAAACAAAGGCTGGGTTGGGCACAGTGGGTAGGCAATTGCATGCTTGTCCCTGTTTTCTTTCGTGCATATCCACCAACAAACAAAAATGGTGTTTTTCCATTGTGTGTGGAAAAAAATACAATAAGCCTGAATACAATTACCAACACAAATGTAATAATACTTTACGCCTGAAAGAAGCAGCAACAGCTCTGATGCCAACTGGTTTAATTCAATATAGAGTGCCGGCTCGGACCATTGCTATTCAGCTTGTTTTTTTACTCACAGTCAATATGCGTATTTTTTAGAACCGCTTGGTCAGGTTGCCAGACGGGGTTTGCACAATGCCTTTTCAGGGTGGGTTTCGCAGAGACTGCTGCCAAAAAAAGGAAATATAAGAAAAACGAGAAGAGAGGGGAAATCGTTGCTCTAAAATCATATAAAAGAAGGCGCGCCCACCTGCCTACTTTTTTCTTGTGGATAGATTCTTCATATCATTTCGCATATTTTTATCTAGGGGCGGACATCAGATAATATCTTGTATGGATATTAACTGCGGTTAAGTAAAAACAATTGTACTGCTAACATGCTGTATCTTTTTTGCTCTTGTAGGATCGAACTTGTGCAGGCTCCATACCTTTGATATCGGTTCCTTCTCGTTGACTTCTGGCGCCAGTTCCGTCAGAAATGACAGCTGCGAGCAAGTAGTAGTGGGGGATAGGAATGGGGATAAAAAAGAGGTCTTACATCTATTCGCACCACTAGAACATAAGTCCCTATCAGGGGGGAATTCATGAGCGCCAGCTCCGCTCATGATTCAAGGTGCCCGCGGGGAAATAGCGGGCGCAAAATAGATCTCGATGGATCTATTAGACATGTGCTCACTAAATTGTGGGCACAAACCCAATTGAGAGGCACGCAATTAAATTGCAAAAGAGAAAAGGATATTACAAATGTTACGCTTGCGTTATTCCGCTAGCGTAACCCCTAGCCTCTATCGTTGTGTGGGTGTAGTGTAGCGTTGATGTGGGTACTTCCGTATCCTATTCTAACAGACACACATTGGAAAATTAAGCATTTGCCACACACGAAATAACGTTTTAATATTCGCAACATATTAGAAAAAAATTATTACCAAAAACAAATACTTTTTTCACCACCCAAACAGAATATCAATGGCACTTTGGAAAAGCCCATTCCTCGCCTTCGGAGCCGTGGGCGCCTTCAAGATGGATGCCGACGATCCCAGTGTCGTCGAGGGTCTGGCGGGGAATACTGACGGCCCGCTCGACGAACGAGCAGCAGATGATCTCTTAAACGGTGACGCACTCATCGATATGTCCATCGCGGCTGCCCCGGACACGTTGTGCCCGTCTCCTGCGACTTCCTGCAACTGGGCTGATAGCTGTTGTTTCCGGGGAGACTGTGCGTATAATGCCTCTGATAAAGTGAATGGTCCAGTGGCAAGTGGCTTGGCAGACGACGGCAACGGTCGGCCTGGGAAGACTTGGGCAAATAGTATGTTGATGCTTGTGGAGTCTGCGGCAGCGATGGTCATCAGGGTGCGGCCGGCTAGCAGGACGCGACCATTGCAATCGCCCTGACTGATAGCGCGCTGTGCCTGCCAGGGCTCGGAGTACAAGATCGCCAGGCTGTTAGAGGTCGCCGACGGCACCACGTCAAACGCCAACACCTCACCAAATTCCCTAAAATAGTTGAGCGTGCTGGACTCTGTGTCTGCCGGCAAGCCACTGATTACCACTGACCTGATCTTGACATCGTTGTAGTCCTGGCTGTTTCCGGACTCCTGAGAAGCACTCCGGCTTTGAGAGCCAGAACCAGAGCTAGGACCAGCGTTGTCCGCCGATTGCGGCGCAAACGGGTCCTCATTGGTCAACGACGCAGCGGGCAAAGCAGCGTCGCGATGGTCATCCTGGTCAAATACAGCGGGTTTCCCAGCGTCTATTTCATCCAGCGTCATGATCGGCGGTGCGTCGTCCAGGGCAGACAATCCCGCGGCAACAGAGCCAGAATTTGCAACTGCAGATGAAATATATGCGCTTGAGAGCATATCGTTAGAGCCAAATCCGCTCACGCGACGCGACGTGCGAGGAGACATGGGTCGCGATGAAAGCGGCATTTGGATCGAAGGGCGAGCGGTGCCGGCACTGATCAAGGATGAGTTGGCGGTCGTGGGCATCGACGAAAGCGCAGAGTCAAGCGGGTACGCTGAAGTGGCTGTACCAGGCGTCTTCGAAGTCTGCGCAGAGCCCAACAAGAACGACGGCAGCATCCTCGAGCTCTTGTGGGGTGACGCCGACCTGGGCGCCGGCGAGCGAGGCCGAGAGTACGGTATCCTCGAACTATCACCACCGATATTAACGCCCGCTACAATATTATTCGCCTGGACCTCTGACGATGGCCATCCGCCCACAGCGCCCAACATGGCGTACTCGCTGCCATCCCCGCTCACGCCCCTTTGCGTAAGCCCATTATCCCCACCACTCGTGTTGCCGGCCAGGCCCAACTGATAAAGACCTCCACGACCACCGCGTTCAGCATTGCCCACAGACGCGCCAAAGCGCGTGAGTGTGCGCGACCCGGCCGATGTAATGCCACGGTCTGGGCGCGGCGTGAAAGGATTCGAATTGGTCTCGGGTTCAAACTGCGTTGTACGGCGTACCGTCGTGCGCAAGGGTGTACTGCCCACTGTAGTCGCGTTGTTTCTCATTGGTGTCATGTAATCGGCACGTCCGAGTCGATTCGTTGTTGATTGTTGGGACGCTGGGAATTGCACGCGGCCGCCGACTAGTTGTGCGGGTGCAAATGACATTTTTATTATACGTTGTTGTGGCTGTTCGATTAAAGCCGAGAGTTTAGTTGAATTTAAATATAGATTGGTAGCAGGTTGTGAAATAGAATATCAATACCGGGAAATGTGTTCCAGACCTTGTCAAAAAAGAAAGAAAGGGAGGAAATGCGCGCAAAAAAGCCTATTATAGAAAGAAATAAACCGCTTCTTTAAACTGGGAGTGCTTTCAGGGGTAAAAAAAAGCAAAGAAAAAGTTGAGCCAAGAAGTGTCTCAAATGTGAAAGAGAAAGAAAGGAAGAAAAATTGGAATTGAAATTGGAATTTTATAAAACAAAAGCAGAACACAAAAAGAGACATGGATCCAGAAACTATTAATGCAGGTTTTTTCTTGGGGGAGTTCAGTTTTGATCCTGAGCATCAGCATTGCTGCCCTGCCTGCGCTCAGCGTTGATTTGCGCAACAACATTGTTGACAAAACGGTTCATACGCTCAGCCTCCTCGACATCCACATTCATTTTCGCCATCCAGCTCTCATTTAGTGGCGGCGGCGGCGCAAAGTCCTCGATCAACGCGCTCTCCGGCGATTCCTCCTTGGCAAATAGCGCCTTTCCAGCGGGTTTGACAAACCTGGCAGGAACAGTAGGAATAATATGACCAGCGGCCACAGCAGGCATCAGTGGTAGTGCTGACGGGTGATAATATTCAGCAGAGGTAGTGTTAAGTCCAGCGTTGAATGCGACCCTAGCAGCACGCCTGGGCTTTACAGCAACTGGGGCAGGCAGGTCATCGTAGATGTAGCAGTAGCCAGGGCCGTTGGTTAGCAGGGCTGTCCCAACCTCCTCACCGTAGAACGGCATGAGCGATTTGGCCATAACAGGCTGACGCGACGCGTCGTAGCCGTCGACTGAATGGAAGCGAATCTGGTCGCGAGACTGCCATTCGGCCCAGACCTTGTCGAGCATAGCGTGGTGCATGAAAAACAACACATCGACCGGCGCCCACATAGTTTCAAAGTCGCCGCCCAAACCCAAGTGCACAATTCCATGTGGTCCGTTTTCGATCCGCGACCGGAACTGCGCATGAGTCACTGCAGTATTCATCACATCGCGCACCGCGCGCATCGGCCAAAACGCACCAGTGCTGGTGCCGTACCGGTACTTGCGTGTCAGGCAGTTGCGCTTTGGGTAATTGCGACCCCAGCGCTCCTCGGCTCCATCAACAACGCAGTTGTCACTGGGTCGTCCGTTACCGCCAAAGTAGGCGCTCGACAGGACTGGGTCTGTCAGTGGGTTCTGCCAGTGTGTACCCCAGTTCCAGTATGGAAGGATGGCTTCGGGGTCAATCTCCTGCATGAGCATCTCAAAGTGCCGTAGGAACCGCCGGTGCCACGCAAAGAAGTGTTCGTTGCCGTGGATCTGATGCGAAATGTGATTGTGCATGCTGCCGAACCCATCCATCCACCCGCGGCGGTGCATCTCCTTGACTGTGCGAATGAAGCGCTCGAGCTCGGCTGGCGCGAGTGTAACTATGTCCCTTCTTACCACTGTGCGAGTGCAGACCGCATCTAGTCGCGGCATCGGGAACACTGACTTTGCGGCGACCTCGCCAACGAACGCCGCAACAACGAAGATACAGACGTACCTTAATAAGCGCCCGACCATCGTTGATAGGTGTACAATAACTGAGTTGATGCGATAGTTAAATCCGGATGGGATGTGTTTTTTGTTAAAATGTCACGAAATAGGAGAACGGAGAGATAAGCGTACAATAACACAAAGTCAATTGTAAAAATTAAAACTCCTTATATAAAACAATAGCGTACAAAAAAGAGTTTAATAGAGATATATAGATATATAGATCGCCAAAATAGAAAATTTAAAGGCGGATGAACTAAATACGAACAAGAAAAATATAAAAAGCTTCAAGTATCTGACGCCTCTTCTTCCAAGGTGCGGTGGTCGTAGCGGGTCGCCTAAATATTACTCTGTCGACAATGCCAGTGCTTTGTTGTTCCTACATTAATAAATAGAATAAATAACAAAAGGAATGTGTTATTTTTATTTTGGGCACTTTAAAAACTTAACAAAATTTGAATATATAGCATGGCCGTTTGTTATTTTGTGTTTTTATAATTCCAAAACATTAATGTGGAGACTAATACTGTGCGCATTGAAATTGTCTGCATGCAAGCATCATGGCTCATTTTTAAGAAAATTTACATTATTTGCCCAAAAAGTGGGAAATCAGCACACACACATTTTTTTGTTGGTAGGAGAGAGATAGAGGGCTAATATGCCATGGACAATATTACTTTCGGTAAATATTAACTGCAGGGCCAATACACTTGTTTAATTTGTAAGCCTTATGCACAAAGCAATAATAAAGGGAAAAAGCCATGTATTTGTGAAACAGAGCGCGGAGATAAATATGATGTGTATTTGATAAAGCAAAAAAATGTATAAAGAAAAGATGCGGGGATGGACAAAATCCTGGTGGCCATATGCTTTGAATCCATTTGCTTTTGCATTTTACTTGCTTTTCAATTATGAAAAAACAAATTCAAGCCATATGCTCGGCAATACTCGCTAAATTAGTAACGCCACGAGCCTACGCAATATAAAGCAATACAAATTTATAAATTTACAGCGAAAGTTTCCAAAGTAAAAAAAAGGCTCTATTAAATCACCAGATTTTACAAGGGACACGCATAGTTATTTGAATGGATACAAATATATATTAACTGACAAATGTCAGATGTAGAATGGTCTTATTAGCCAATCAAACGATAAATAGAAGAATAAAAACGAAAATCAAAATCAAAATCAAAACAAAACAGGGAAAAACATTATCTTTAGAAAAGATAAGGCGAGAGGTAGTTGGCCTTGTTCAAAGCCTCAACCATAGCACAAGCGCGGTCCTCTAGCTCCTTAACTTCCTCCTCACAGGCATTCTGCATACTCTTCCACTCTGCTGTGAGTTTCGCCGGCACCGGCATCTTACCACGCAGCTCCTCATTAGGAGATTTTGGCACAAACGTGCCATCGTAACCAATAGGATGCAGGGGAGTGAGCGAAGTCATTTCATTTTCCAGCGGGTTAACCGTGCCATTAGCGAAAGACGGGTAGAATTTCTCGAGAACGTGCACAGGCAGTTGCTTGATGGCCTCGGTAGCGGGGTTCGGGCGTGGGATGCACTTCTGAACATTGCGCTTAAGCAGGGAGGCATCATCGCCGGCGGTGGCCTTTTCAATTGTATCGTAGGTGTAGCACATGTCGCCGTACCCCAGGCGCATAACGGTGTAAGTCGGCTTGCTGGTGCCACCGACCAGCGGCGTATTGAGGGTCATAACGGAGCCATCCGGAGCAGCACCGTCAATCTGGTATGTGCGCTCATCCGGGTTAACAGCCTGCCACTGGGAGAAGAGGCGGTCAATGTTGGCGTGGTGGATCCAGAAAACTGGGTCCTCTGGCGAGTACATCGTGTCCATTTCGCCGGCCAAACTCAGATGTATCACACCGTGGATGGAGTTCTCCAGCCCTGCGCGAATATCCGAGTACTTCACCGATGACTGCAAGATATGAGTGACAAACTCGGGCGAGTACCATGGGGAAATACTGGCTCCGTTATTGTACTTGCGCCGCAAGCAATGATTGCTAGGGTAGGAGTACTCCCAGGTGCTTGCAAACCCAGTACTGACGCAGCCACCGTCACCCTGGCCATTGCCGCCAACACCCGTGTTGCTCAACACCGCCGAAGTGTCGGGCTTCTGGTAATCCACCATGGAGTTCCAATAGGGTACGCTGACAGAGGGATTGTATCCGCGCAGGATCTTCTCGTAATCCCGAGTCAATGCGCGATGGTACACGAGGAACATGGAGTTGCCGTGAATTGGCATGGCGATGCGATCGTGAAGGTAGCCAAACCAGTCGACCCACTTGTCATTGTACGCTGCCTTGGCTGCTTCCGTGTAGGCGCTCCATTCGGCGGAGGTTAGAGAACGCACCTCCTTGCGCACCGCTATGTTTGTGCAGGCGGCGAGAGTTTCTGCACCCGGCGGGGATTCCAGGCAGGATACTTGAACGGACAGCAAAGCTAAACCGACTATGCAGCCAAAAATCTTCATTGTAGAATATAAAAGTATTTAAAGAGGGAGGGGAAATAGAGGTATTGGTAGAGGTGAGGAGAAGGAAGAAATGGGAAATAGAAGAAAAATAAGACGCGTCTTGTTACAATACCGAAGATATGGTGAAAGATGGACTGAATGAAAATAGAGAAAATTATGTTTATGAAAAAATAAAGTGCGGCAATGCTATAAAAAGAAACAATGCCGAGAATACTAAAAATTATTGAAAGACCAACAATGGACCATGCGTGGTTTATTTATTTCGGTATTACTGAAGTGAATAGAACAAAATAGTGAGCGAATGAATGAATAAATCGCACTGTATTATTTTTTCTATTGGGAACCAGCCGCTATTAGATAAAATATGAAATATAATAAACAAAATAAAAGAGATAGTAATACGGATCTTATTTCTTATTTATAAAGTATAAATAATAGTGCTTAACCAAACAAAGAAAAACAGAACAAGAATATAGGAAAATGACCGAATATGAGGTCAATATAAGCAAAAATAGGGGGAGGTGCTGTAGGAGAAGCGGAAGGAAAGGAACAAAGGAAACAACAAAAAAATACTGTTGGACAACCAGGAGCAAGCAGCAGCAGCAGCAGCAGCAGCAGCAGTAGCGTATAAATAAATAAAAACAGGGATAAATTGAAGAAAAAAAAGAAACAAAAATAGTTGTTTTAAACTGGAAAAAAATAGCATACTCGTTCTCATCACAGTCCGTAAATGGTCTTCCAAGAAAATAAAAGCTTGGTATCTGCAAAGCCGCACTAACGGAAACGAGAATCATAGAAAGAAATGATACAAACACAACTTTTTGTTTCCTTTTTTATTTGCGGGATAGCCTTTAAAGGAGCAGCGGTATAAAAAGGGAGAAAAAAGGGATGTTCCTTTTGCATGTAGTGACGTAATTGGCAGTAAAGTCTTTTTGGCATCGTGTGGTGCGGCTTGGCATGGGCCGTTGCAAAATATGTTATCTTGGCTTTTTCTTTTTCAAAGTGATACGACCACTTTTTTGGATGTGAGGCCATTCAGACTTCTCATGTCGATCAACCAAGCTTTTTTCTGTATATTTTGTCACCCCCATTCGGCGCTCAATGAACGGAAAAGATCACAGATGCGGGGAGAGTGAAAGAGAAGCACATGTAAGAAAATACACATGTGAACGTTCAAAAAAAATTGGGGGTGTGTGGTTGAGAGTAACATGGTGTGAGCAAATCGAAATATAATGTTGTGTCAACTTATATATGTTGGTTTATTGGGGGTTGTTTTGAGGGAGGGGGAAATCTGACACTTCACGTGCAGTAAATCAGCATAGCGTTTTTTGTTTTGTTTTTTTTGCTTTTCCGCCGCGCATGCATTCGTATATTGGATTATTGGATTATTGTAAAATACATATATAAAGACCGTGTCCTGTCCGTTAATCGATGGCAACGACGACTATGACAACAATAATAAAATAATCATTCGACAGAACTTGAGTGAACGATTACAATTTTTATTTTAAACTGCCTTCCGACAACATCATATCGCGCACATCCATGGCAGCCGTCTCAAAATGGCCAGCCAATTTCTCCGAATCAAGCCCATGCTCATTGCGTATACACGTAATATGGATAACCAAACACAAGCGGCGAATATTATATGCAATTCCATACCCCCTAGGCGTCACCTCGCTCCACCCGTAGCTGGCAAACTTCTCACTCGAAATCTGCGACGTTGACAAAAACCAATGCGACGAGTACGCATACGCAGAATCCTCAAACAACGCAGGCATTTCCTCGTCAGCGTGCAAACACATTCGCAGGCCTAAAAGATGGCGGTCAACGCCCAGACCCTCGACAGCCTCCCTGGTCAACCTTGTGTGTCTATCTAATGCCAGGCGAAACAGGCGTATGCGCTCCTGCCGCGGACACGCCTCCGTGTCCATTGACCGACACCATGAAGTGCTCTCAGTGGTCACTGAGCGGCAGGTTTCCGTGCGGCCGTGGAGGAACTGGCGCGTCATGCTGGACTCGTACGTTGGTCGCGCAATGCCGTGGAGGCGCGTGTATGCAAGCTGGATGACCATCTGGATGTACGCGTCCGGGGAGCAACCCAGCTGCTTGATCTGTTCCTTGCCGTAGGCCACAAAGTTTAGCACATAAAGGTGCTGCTGTGCCACACCCGAGTTAAACAGCGCTTCGGCGCGCTCCACTGCTTTGATGATGGCGGGAGAAGTGGTGAATTTGAGCTCATGAAAGGGGATTATATCGGTAACTTTGTGTATTTTTGGCTGCTGCTGCTTTTGTTGCTCCTGGAGCTCGCTGTATTCCATGACGTACTCGACTAGGCGGCATGTCGGGGTGCCGTCCATCATAGAGTGCTCGCCATTAAACCCTGCGCGGGCATTATCGAAAACGACAAACTGGCAGGGCTTATCAAACCATCGGTTGCGGCCATCCCCATGCCACACAGCACGACTGAACTCCTCCGCGCTCTCCGGCGCACCAGGCTCCAGGGACACGACGAATGCCGATGCTTCAATCTCATCCAACACCCAGGCATTCTCCTCTGACAAACGCATTAACTCCTGGCGGGTATCTGCCCACGAGTCGCGATTATCTGCGGTCAGGATTCCCACAGGAAGAACCACATTATTGCTGCCATTGCCGCTGTCATCTTTTGTGGCAGCAGCGGCAACAATACGATCCAGAACACCCTCAATCTCGTCAGCACACAATAACGAGCCATCAGAGTGCGCAAAAGTAAAAGAAAAAAAGCGATTACTCCGTATAACCACAATACTTTCTCGGGCATAAGACGATAGTCTGCAGTGGTCTGAGGGGCGTGCGGGAATGCGACATGCGTTGAACATATGGTTGTAACTGTGGCTGCACAACGGCCCTGTCTTTGCCATATCCGGCTCCAACACCCCATTGACGAGCATCCGGCGAAAATCCAACGCTCCACAAACCAGCTTTGCCGCGCGCTGGTTAGCCCGCGTACATCCGGGGTCGTTGTTGAATGAGTAATGGTAGCTAACATAGGGGATAACCGGCTGTCTGCAAGCCATGTAGCTGAGCTCGTCCCACCACTCCTCTAGCCAATTGGCACATTCCGGGTCTGCCGCTCGCGCCTCCAGCCGGCTTTGCAACTCATCAGCTTGCCTTGAGCGCGCAAATTCGCTGATTATGCGTTTGCTTTTGGATAGGTCGTCGGGGGAGAGCAGTGGCTCTAGGGATTGCGCGTATTTGGAAAGGGTTTGTAAGAGTGGGGGGACGGGGAGCCGTGGCAGGCTGAGTTGGTGGGCGAAGATTTTGCCTGAGAGCTGGTTAATGCTTCGGGTGCTCTCTGCGCATAACCTCGGGCCGCCGGGCTGCGCGTGTAGGGGTGGTTTTGTGACGGACACGTGTGGAGCTGGCGGCTGCGAGCTCAGCATGGTCATTTTTTATCCCGTATTCGACTTGGCCTTTTCTTGAAGAGAAAAGACAGAAAGAGAAAGAGAGAGAGAGAGAGACAAAAGTACAATGAAGTATAACGGAAAATAAAAATGAAAAATGAAAGAGGGGCGAGTCGCAGATAAGGTTGGCAAGCAGAGACAATGCCCAGAAGCAAATGCCAATATCGTCATGTGCGCGTGGAAAAAAGTATTGGCAAATACGCGTGGCGTTGCAGGTCAAGCAAAACAAAAAATGAATAAATTTTAGCAACTTTACACATATCCGTGTATATATTGCGCATATATTTAAATATTCAAATAAAAATATAATATCCATATATATTAATTGGTTAATTGATTGATCCTGCTTATTTATGAGGCTCACAGCTTGGGGCCCTGCGCCGACAGCTTAGCAGCCAGCACAGCAGCACGCATCTCCATTGCGGCCTCATTGATATAATGTGCCAAGTGCTCAGAGTTAAGGCCAAAGTCATTAAGCATGTTGGCAATATGCAAGACAACCGCGTCCCTACGAATGGTGTACGCGACACCATACCCATCAGGAACAACTTCGCTGAAGCCCCATCCCTCAAAGTGCTCGCTGGACAGCTGCGACGTCGACAAGTACCAATGCGACGTCTGCGCATACGCCGGATCCCGGAAAAGCTTTGGCTTTTCCTCACCGGGCGCAATCAAAAGCCTTAAGCCCAGCAAATGGCGGTCTACGCCCTTACCCTCAGCGCACCCCTTGGCATACGCACCATGTGCACTGGTGGCAGCCTGCAATGCAGCAAGGCGCCTTGCAGGCGCGCTCGCATGGTCCGCGAAAACGCGACAGAAGGCCACGCTCTCGTGGGACACCGAACGGCAAGTTTCCGTGCGGCCATGGGCAAACCTACGAGTGGTTGCAGCCTCGTACGTTGCGCGGCTTGCGCCATACATGCGGTAGTAGCCGAGCTGAATGGCCATTTGCACAAAGCCGTCGGGCGAAAAGCCCAGCTTTTTGATCTCGTCCTTGCCGAAGCCCAGGTGTGCGACGCTCAGCTGGTGCTGCGCTGTGACCGTGTCAAAGCGCGCGGCTGCCTGCTCAATGGCGCGCACAACCGCGGGCGGCGTCACAAAGCGCAGCAGCTCTGGGGCGGGCAGCCCAGGGCGCACAGTGGGCGAGCCCAATTCGACCTTGCCCCCGAGCGTCTGATCCAGCACGTAGTCGCTGAGGCGACACGTCGGCGTGCCATCCATGCTGGAGTGCTCTCCGAGGAACCCGGCCTTGGCGTTGTCGCATACAATAAACTGCAGCGACTTGTCGAACCAACGATTGCGTCCGTTGCCATGCCAGAACACCCGGTGGGCTTCCTTGCGCGTCACCGGCTGCTCAGAGTCCAGGCACACGACAAACGCCGCGCTCTGCAGCCGCTCCAGCACCAGGGCATTCTCCGGCGCTGCTTCCACCAGCGCCTGGCGGTTATCCGCCCACAGGTCGCGGTTATCCGACGTCAGCACACCCACAGGCACAGCCGCCGAGCCGTCCGCCACGCAAACAATGCGGTCCATCTGCGCCTCGATCTCCGCAGCCGACAGCAGTTGGCCGTCGTGCACAAGCTCCAGCGCGTAAAACTGCGCGTTACGCGCAACAATAATATGCTGGTTCTGCGCCAGATCGTACGTGGCCTCGGTGTCTGACGGCCGCACGGGGATGCGGCAGGCGTTGAACATGAAGTTGTACGTGTGGCTGCACAACGCACCGGCCTTTGTCGCCTCGGGCGCCAGCTCGCGCGTCATCACCTGGCGCCGAAACTCCCATGCTGCGCGTACAATCGCTGCTGCGCGCCCCGTGGCCGTGCGACGCAGTGCGTCGTCCTTGTACGAGTAAAAGTAGCTGACATACGGCACCACTGGGTCGCGGTACCCCATGTAGCTGAGGTCGTTCCACCATTCCTCCAGCCAATTGGCGCGCCCCGGCTCGGCTGCCCGCGCCTCGAGCCGCCGCTGCAACTCCTTGCCCTGAGCGGACTCTGCGAACTCCTGTACGGCGAGCTTGGTGTATGCGAATTCTTCGGCCGAGACCAGGGGCTCGACCGTGCGCAGGTATTTGGGCAGGGTCTCGCTTAGCGAGGGCACGGGCAGCTTGGCCAGCTGCGCTTGGAACTCGAATAGCTTGCCAGGCGTCTGCCGGTTGGACTTTACCAGCTCGGCTGCGGATGTGGCCATGTTGGTGTACTGGCGGTGTTTTGGATAGGCGGAGAAGGCGGTCTGTAATTTCGAAAGAAGAGGAAAAACGGATGTATAGCGAGAGTTGAGAAACAAGGTTGAGTGAGTGAGTGAGTGGAGGATAGGAGGCTGTGCTCCTTCGCGCCGCAGCGAAGAATCAAATCCCATGTGAAAGAAAGCCTCCCGGAGCAAGCGGATCAATCGACTCCACACACAGAGAAGGGGGTCATGCGTCACAACCTTCTAACCAGCTATACCAGTCCCTGAAACCAAGCTGCAACCACATAAAGCGCACAGACTGATATACCAACAAAAAACCAGGAACAATAAAACACTGGGCCTACCTTTGCAGTGGTTCTTTGGAGTGGACGGAATACAGACGGCTTTAGCGTTGAAATTGCCCTGTACATTTCAGCTTTGAAAAAAAAAGTGAAAAAAAGAAAAGTGCGTGTTAATATGTGTGGTTGTGAAAGTGATAAATGAAAGTGAATAAAAAGTGGTAAACACTTTATATATGTATGTTCTCAAGAAAGACTTCAAAGAAATAATGTGTGGAACTGAAGCGAAGCGAAAGAAATAAGAAAGACCCGCCTCCCTCTGGAGAGCCTGAAAGTCGACCCCAAATAAGCAAGTTGGACAATCTATCGCCTTGTATTGAAGTGGTGAAAAGAAAACAAGGTGCGCGTGATAGCTGACTATGCCCAGAACCGGACGCAAGAAGCTAAGAAAAACACTTGTCTGTACTAATTTGCTCGGAGTGTGTCGGAGGCGTTTTATATCCGGCGGTAGGCGTCATTGCCACAATCATATCTATGCGTGACCGCCCCCACGCCTTGCTTTTCTTTAAAAAGATAAGCCGTATAGACAGACACGTGCATGTGCACGGCGTCAAGCTCATTTTCATTTGCTATAAGGCAATAGCCATTTATTACTATCATCACACTTTGACTTTTTACATACGTCGTCGTGTTTGATTATTTCCTGATTAAAATCTAATAAATATTTTTGATTTAGATGTAAAAAGAGAGAGAGAGAGCTCAGTATTGGCATTTTCTTCATTCGTCATAAAACATTCCTTTGCTTACAGCTCAAAGGTTTCCGAGGCAGGCTTGCGCGTGTGAATGAACGGCAGCCCAAAGCCGCTGAGCAGCAGGCGACCGGCGGGGTTCCTCGCAGCACTGGTGCGCACATTGACATGGAAGCCGGTAACCAAGGGGAACTGGTCATAGACCATCTCCATCTCAGGGAACAGGCCAATAACCGACCCATCAAAGCCCATGGAGAAATTACCATTGCCATCACCAGCATCCATCCCCAAGCCATGGTACTCCTTCATCCGGGGCAAAACCACTTCGACAAGCTTATCCATAAACTCAAACATCCTATCTCCCTTCAGCTCGACCTTGACCGAAATCGGCATTCCCTTGCGCAACTTCCACGTCGCTGCATCATTTTTCGATTTAATAACCTCCCCCCTCTGCCCAGTCACAATCTGCATAGCCATGAGCACAGAAAGCAAATGGTGTTTGTTCTGCAAAGCCTCGCGACACCGGATATGCACGGTGACGCTCTCCATATGAGGTGCGTTGTTCGCCGAGGTCACAGGCACTTTGGGCTTAGGCTGTCTGGTCTTCTTATGCTGTTTGTCTGGGTTCGGCGGCGTGCCACCGATCTTCTGGTTGGTTGCTTCAATGCGCGCTGCTTCATTGGCGTCCTGGCGAGCACGGATGCTGGGCGGCACGTATTGCATGATTACGAGGTCGTCGCGCAGCGTGTTGTGGTAGAACTGGCTAAGCCGCGTTTGGTAGCCGGTGGGGACGCTGGTTGAGAACGCACGCGTGCTGGTGGCCAAAGTAAAACGCCGAGTGGTTGCTCCAAACATGATAAGAAAAATAGAGAGTATTGCGTTTAGAATAAATGTTAAAAAGAAAGAAAGGAAGGAAAAAAGTTTCAATAAAGAGAAAAAAGAATTTCGATTTCAAATTTGTAATTCATTTTTTAGGTTGACTTGGTTTTTTTTCTCTTCGCACTCTCTGTTTATCGGATCGAACTGGTTGGTTTCGGGGTTATTTATAATCCAGATCAAGAAATCACCCAAGTAGCTATTCCATTCTGGCTTTAATTTCCACTCAATTTGGCTGCACGCATAGCGAACGCGTAGCTTTTCTTTTAAGCATTGGAAGTCCTCTCATTTTTCTCTCTCTGTTTATCCTCCCCCCTATTTGTCTTTACTTTTTTATTTGGTCAAAAAATAGATTTCTTTTAAATTGTTTATTCTTTTGCATTCAATTCTATTCAACCACACACCTATATATATAATATATTATTTTATTTTTGTTACTACTACTGTTTCCTCTCTTCCTACTCTTTTTTTTTCTAAAAAGAAATAAATAAAAAATGGGCGACTTGCGAGGGTTGCGGTTAAAACTAGCCAGGGGCCATATCGACATCAGCACTAACTGGACACAGCGAAGCTACTGGATCGCACTCCACCTAGACAAAGGAAGACAATGGGCATCTCACCTGACGGCGGCAGAGCTTCCCTGGCTGACAAAAGCGCTCGAGTCCATTGAGCTATGGGATCAATTCATCACGCCGCGGTCCGAGCAATGGCGCTTTCAAAACCCGCCACCAGCCATTTTCCAAATCACCACACCGTCATCCAACAAATCAGAAGCAGAACAAGCAGAATCAGAACAGGTAGAGCAGGTGGATAGTGCAGGACCTGCAGGCAAGCGCGCGTTCTCGGAAGACACCAATGCCGGGTTAATAACAGCAGAATCGGGGGCGGGCAAGCGGATTCGAATAAACGGCTCTGCAACGGCAGACAACGACGATGCAATGTCAGTAGTGTCCGGCAGCGGCAGCGATATTGACATGTGGACTGGCGACGCATCCCTGTCCCCTAAGGCTATGTCCCCGGCCACCCATGTGCCGAACCCCTTGAGCCCTGACGACCAGGCAGTGGCAGCGGCCGAGAGCTCCATTGTATGTGCAATGGCGGCGTTCCATGCGCGGACAGCGATCTTTGAACAGTACGTGTCGGTGCTCTGCGACTCGACCGATTGCAAGCTGTGCATGGACGCAGTCGATGCGCGCCGCGCCGTGGCCGATGCCGAGGAGAGGCTGGCGGGCGGAGGGGCGGCTGGCGAGGGGTGCGCCACGGCAATGGCGCAGAAGGAGGCGGGTGCAGCGCTGGTGCCACTGGTCTCGAGGAGCCTGGACGCAGACGAGGACTACGACGAGGATGAGGGTGAGGACCAGGATGAGGGCGGAAAATCCCAGGTCACGCAGCTGCCGAGCATCCCGGCCGCGCTCAAGCTCCAGGCAGCAACGATCGCCGACGCCGACGCCGACGCCGACGCTTTACCAGACACAAATACAACCTCCGATGGCATCCGAGCTTCCCTGCGCAGCGTCTTTCACACGCTGGACGAGCTCGGCTCGGCGGCGCATGAGCACCAGGTACACGAGATGCACCGGCAGCAGATCATACAGACGATGGAGCAGCGTGCACATGAGCCCAAGGACATGCTGGTCAGCAAGCTTGGGTCGCTCCATAACATGAAGAACCTGGCGCATTTCATTGACAAGCACCGGTCCAGCGTCACAATGTCGACGCGCGAGCTCAGCCACCTGCTCTCGGAGGTCCGACCGAAGCGCACAAAGTGGGCCAACGACCGGCGCGTCGGGCAGGTCGAGCTCTATGACGCGCTGGAGCTGGTGCTGCAGGAGCTTAAGGCAGTGGGCGAGGCGGCCGTGCCGTTCCTGCAGCAGGTCAAGCGCAAGGACGCGCCCGACTACTACAAGGTCATCAAGCACCCGATGGACCTTGCGGCGATGGCCAAGAACCTGCGCAGCGAGGTTTACAATAGCAAGCGGCAGTTTGCCGACCACCTGCAGCTGATCCGCGACAACTGCTACACATACAACACCGACCCCGGCAACTACTACCGCAAGAGCGTCGACGCGCTGCTGGCCAAGTCCAAGGTGCTGATGGAGGCTGTGCCGGACATTGTTGTGCGCGAAAAGGGCGCGGCGGCCCAGGCCCAGGCCCAGGCGGCCAACGGGGATGACGCGCATACGGAGTGCGGCGATGAGAGCGGCAACGAGTCACCGAGCGCGTCGCGCACAGGCTACGGACATCGCGAGGACTCTCTGGACGACACGCCGGCGCCGCCCAGCGCCAGCGAGGACCGTTCGTTTGAGTCGACCAAGCCGGGGTCGCCGCTGGTCCTGCCGCCGCCGCCGCCGCCGCCACCCGAGGACCAGCCGGGTGCGTCCGCCTCCGCATCGGTGCTGGCGCAAAACATTGCGCGCGCAGGCGCCAGCGCAGCGATCGCCGAGCTCGCCGAGGGCTACGACCGGCCGCTGGCCGAGCGCATCTGGAGAGCACGCGTGCGCCGTCCGCTGGCAGAGTACCTGAGGCGCGCCGACGCCAGCGCAGCGGTCGCCGAGGGCTACGACCGGCCGCCGCCGCCCGCGCGCACACCCGCCAAGATGCGCGACTTTCTGCGCTTCGCCCACGACTCGTCCGACTGCGTCGCGGCCGCCGAAATTACTGCGCTGGAGGAGGACGCGCGTGCCGAGGCGGACATCCTGCGGCTGCGCATGGCTGGCGCCTCCGCTGACGCCTCCGCCGATGCCGAGCGCAGGCATTGGCTGCAGCGCGCCGAGCAGCTGGATGCGCAAACGTGGTCCTTTGTCGAGGAGTGCGAGCCGGCCGCCGGGCTGCCGCAGCTCGAGCCGCCCGGTGCGCAGGCGCAGCGCGACGGCGTCCTGCGCTGGCTCAACGACGACTGCGACGAGCCACTCCCAGACACCGGCACTGGAAGCCATCGGCCGTCGATCGAGGCGTACGCGGCCGCGCGGTTCCCCGACAACCCGATGTGGCGCGGCATGGCGGACAACGTCGACCGGCTGCGGAGCATCCGCGAGATCGACAGCAAAATCTGGGCAGCCAAGCTCAACATTCCGCTCGGCCACCTGCACCCGCACAGCGCCGCGCCGCGCGCCCTAGATGACCCTGCGCCGTGCGCCCGCGCTATCCACGCCACCTACGCCAACACTGCAGACCCACCGGGCGGCCTCCGCCTAGACCACCATTGTGCGCGCGCGCTGCTGCATCGCACCACGGCGCTGATTCTAGCCCACACCGGCTTCGATTCCATCACCGCCGCAGCCGCATCGACGCTTAATGCTTTTTTCATCGACTACATGGCCAATCTCGGCCGCTCCCTGCGCACATACACGGACAAGCATGCACGCACAATGAGCTCCGAAGCCATTCTCGCCCACGCCCTCTACGACAATGGTATTGAGGATCTCGGGGAGCTCGAGTACTATGCGCGTGGGGACGTTGCCAAGCACCACACGAAACTCTGCGAGGTCCAGAAGAAGCTCAGCAAGGCTTTTCAAGATACCATGGCTGATGGTCGCTTGGACGCGGAGCCTGTGGATGCTGGTTTGGATACTGGTGACGCCTACGTTACGGGATCGGTGGGTGGTGGGCTGGCTGATTTGGGCGATGACTTTTTTGGGTTTAAGGAGCTTGGATTGGATAAGGAGTTTGGCCTGGAGTCCCTCAGCGTGCCGCAGCGCCTATGGTATGCGCGCCCACCAGGGAGTGCCGATGGCGCAGGGCTGACCCCATACCAGCAACAGATGCTGCTGCTGCAGCAGCAGCAGCAGCAACAGCAGGAGGCCCTGGCGCATCCGCAACCTAAAGCATGGCCGCCACTGCGCACCCCTAGAGGACAAATCGGTCTTTTGCATCCATTTATCTGCGAGAAACTCAAACACATCAATGCTGTTGAGTGCGTACCCGGGTTCACGGCAGATGGGAGACTGCTTGCAAAAGAGGAAGGCGAGGATAACGAAGACGAGGATGAGGATGGGGCGTATGCATTGCCGGATACTTGGGTGCCTGTTCCTGAGGACGAAAGCTTACCTACAAGGTTACGTTATGGTGCTACGAGGGTGAAGGTGCCGCCACCGAACTATCTCACTCACCCAAGGACTCATATGCATGTGGGCTCCGGACAGGTACCGGATACTCCAACAACAGCAGGTGCAGGTGCAGGGAGGAATGCAAAGAAGCGACCAGTGAAAAATACTGCGAGCAAGACCACAGCAACAGCGACCACTATTGGCAAGGCTTCGAGAAAAAAGTCTGCTGGTGCTTAACAGCAACAACAACAAAAATAAAATAAAAAATTGCATATATACAAAAATGTGTGTATGTGCATGTGTGTGTGTGAATGGATGGCATGCATTTGTATTAGATATCAAAATGTTTACGTGTATATTTGAAAGTAAAATGGTTTATTTATTCGACAAAAATACATTTGGCGTCGTACAAAACGAGAAAATGTAATAATATATAATGTAAAATTGGAATATATATAAAATAAAATAAGGTAAAAAAATTGATAAACAAAATAAATGAATATTTACACCCAGCTTGTACATGAGAAAATAAGACTGGATTTAAATAACACAGTACTGGCCCTGCTGCTGCTGCTGCTGTTGTTGTTGCTGCTGCTGCTGTTGCTGTTGCTGTTGCTGTTGCTGTTGCTGTTGCTGTTGCTGTTGCTGTTGCTGTTGCTGTTGCTGTTGATGTTGCTGCATCAGACTAGCATTGCTATCTGACAGCAACGGCAACGAGTACTGATCCTGCGTGGGCAAAGGCAACGGATGGGGCATTGGATGCGCAGCCGCTGGCGGCGGCGGCGGCAATATTCCACCCATCGCTGGCGGATTAGTTCTCCTTCTCCGTTGAATACTAATAATCCCATCCGGTGAGTCTCTCAAAAACTGCGAATGCGAAAACATCCACCACAATTTGCCATCGGGATCTGGAATCTTTCTCCGCTGATCGGTCAGTCTAACAAATCGATAATCGTTCAGGTTCTTTTCAATAGAATGGTAGTTCTGCGCCCTCAGCCCAGCCGCCTGCAAGCAGCTGAGCAGATTGTCGGCAGATGAAAACTTGAACGCCTGGCCGTCTTCACACCACCTAATCCACTCCTCATTATTCTCATCGTTGATGATGCGGTAAAGGAGAATTGGGAAGAGAGGTGTGTCGCTGGTGCGCTGCCGCTGTGTCTGGGTGTAGGACCGCGTACGGATATTGGCGTTGCCCAGTACACAGGGCAGGGCACTGCTGAGTGAGTACATGCCGTGCTGTGCGCTGTCCGTAGTGCTCTGAGAGCGCCGGCGAGATACCTGCACCTCATCAATGGTTGCCGGGAAACTACGTGTGGCTTTGTGCGTGTTGCGCGACATCGTGCTGTTGGGCGATGTCAATGAAGTATGCGTCGCCGAATGCGCCAGCCCCATCGGTGAGGCGCTGTGATGATGCATGGCAAACCGCGAACCCTGTTGTTGCTGCCGTTGCTGCTGTTGCTGTTGCTGCTGCCGTTGCTGGTGCTGTTGGTACTGTTGCTGGATATAGTAGTTCTGCTGGGCATAATGCTGCTGGAGCTGCTGTTGGTTATAATGGTGATGTTGCTGATGGTCGGAAGAAGGATGTGGCACGCCAAACGAGGAACCATTTCTGTGTAAACTATTGTGGGCAGACGGGGCGTTGTGGGAAGTGGAATTGCTTGAGCTTCTTGAGCTATTCGTCTCCGAAACTGACCCAAGGTGTGCTGCAGCGTTGGGCCCATATGAGTATCTGGAAGATTCTGTGCCATAGCCCTTGGTATCAGGTCCTGCGAGTTCCATGAGGCCAGCCATGCCAGCAATCTCATCGTCGCGGTACCGCGGGCTGTTATTGCTGCCGAGAGATTGAATAGATGGCAGAGAGATCAAGTTGCGGGGCTTTGGTGCCGACGCCGGCGCCGGGCTGCTGGATGCTGAGCTGTGGTATGCTGTGCTGTAGTCATTGAGGGCCTCGGATGACGATAGGAGCGCGCTGACCGGCACGGAGTTGGGGCTGCATCCGCCGACAGTATCAATGTCCATTGCGCTGGCGGTCAATGATGTCATGCCAGATGCTGTGGGCGCGGTCGCTGTTGATGGCGATGGAGACGTCAAAAAGTGGATTGTTGTGCGGTAGTCTGTGGGCATCAGTGTCGACTCATCGACAGGCGACTCTGGGGGGATGACCATATTCCGGAATGCGGGGAGCTTCTTCCCCTTGGAAGAGTGCGTACTCGGGTAGGAACTCGCCATGGGCTGGCTGCTGATAAATTGTTCGAAATAACCCTACAAAAGAAAAAAAGAGCAAAAGAGTGGGGAAAAAAATTCAATGTTAGTATTAGGCAAAGTCGGAGTAAATAATTAAAATAAGGGCGAAAGTGGTGTGCATATATTGTATTATCGGCAAGTTTCTCCTCTATCCCCTCAAAATGAAATGAGATAGAGAAAAACAAAAGCCGCGTTGATTTTGTATCTGTCTGTCTTCTCAAACAGCGCAATTTGGAGCATTGATAAGCGGGCACACGAGCAAGTACGCCTGAATAAAACTGGTCAATGGAGGTGGTGGCTGCGAGATGTAGGATGCAAAAGGCAAATGCCGAATACAGAATTGTGTCCAAAGAAGAGGAAAATGGGGACTAGGGGAGAGAGGGCAAACAAACAAGAGTGGGTAGAAAAGGCGTTGTTTCGACGTAGCGAACTTGCGGTCAAGCTACGCCATTTCCGCCGCCCGACTCGAGAAGACAAAATAATCAGCGTGCGCCTTTTGCCCGCCAGACATTGCATATGTACGTGATCTTGGGGCCACTGGAAAAGGGGAGGAGAGTAAAAGATAGGAGAGGAGAGGCAAGGTGGAACTGGAAGCGGAAGCGGAAACAAAGGATTGTTGGATATTTGGATATTTGGATGGCTTACCATTATAAACAAATCAAGTTTTAAAATCTAATTTTTTTGGTGTATTTTTTTTAAGTCGAGGACTTTGGCTTTGGCTTTGACTTTGACTTTTTGTTGTTGCTCTACTTTAAGAGCAGGTATTTTCTACTAGACACTGAACCAGCCAGTGACAAGCGTTGCGACTTTAAAAAAGTGCGTGGGCTCTGAGTAAACTCTTTTGGTTGTTTTTTCTGTTTCAACTATTATCTCTTCTTGTCCGACTAGCAGATAAAGATGAGAGATAGGAGAAAGGAAAGACGGCTTGGTTTGTTGGTGGTGATGGTGATGTTGAAGCGTGGGTACGTCAAATAAAGACACGTAAATATTTGTTTGCTCTCGTCGCAGACCAGAGTGAAACAAAAATTATAAATGAAAAATGGACAAGAAATAAACAGGGTTAGCAGCAGTGATACACAGTATGAATGCTGCTGTGGGAGAAAAAAGGCAAGTAAGGGAGATAGAGGAAGAAGAAGAGAGAGGAAAAAACAAAAGTTAAAAAGCCAGCCAGGAATAAATTTGGAATAAAAACAGGAGCGAGCGAGGAAAATTGGTTTAATATAAGGGATGAAGGAGAGAGGGAAAAATAACGACGGCAGGGGATAGGGAGCGAACATTCCCTTCTACCCTTACAATAGAAGTCTTCAATAGAAGAAAATCTTTCTTAGGAAAAAATGGCAGTCCATTTTCAACTTTATCAAACTTGAAGAAAGAAGCCAGAATAAAAATTAATAAGTGAAAATGCGACCATTAGAAAAAAAGCAGGGAGGGAGGGCAAGCTTGTTTGGGTGCGGGTGCGCGGGTGCGCGTGTGCGGGTGCGCGTGTGGGGCACGCTTTTCTTTATAAAATCACGCCAGAGACAGAGCCAAAGGCAGGGCCAAAGGCAGGGCCAAAAGGAAAAAAGCAAGGCGAAATAACACGCCAATGTGTTGGCCCCCCCAATGCGCCTGTTCTGTTGGGCCATTCGGCAATGTTCAGTTGTGAGTAAAAGAGAGATGGCGACTTTAAACCGAAAATTCTTAAGGAGCCAAAAAAAACCAACCACCAGCTCCTTTATAAAATGCATTTTAAAAGGGCAGAGGCCAGAGGGCAGACGTACGCTCGGCACGACATAGCGATGAGTACGCAAAAAATGAAAGAGCCATTTTGGCCAAACTTTTTAAAGGTAAATGTAAATCCCAAAAAGAAGAAAACGGAAGCCCGTGCAGGAGAGGTTGGGGTCAGCTGGGCTGCCTCCTCGGAAGAGCGAGCAGCAAAAGAATAAGGAGACCAAGCTTTTATGATACTCCCAGCGAAAAAAATACCCGCTAGCTCGTTTGTGCAGTTGGCATGCTGTGGATAAAAAAGATAGAGCGCGATTACATAAATAGAGAAAAAGAGCGCAAAAGAAAAGGTGACTCTCACATGTGGAGCGGCAAAGCCAAAAGAAAACGACGCGGTGCTGGCAGCTGCTGAATGGTGCCGCTGCCAATGCGGTCCCGTTTATTGTTATACCCCATCTGGCCCCGTGCGTGGTTCGGGCCCGACCCGCGACGGACGGACGGATGGACGGACTGAGCTGTCCTTTGGAGCTTTTGGATATGGCAACACAGGGGAATCAAAAGCCAAACTGAAAACAATTACCTCGTAAGAAATAAACGGCGAGCTGAATAAAGTGCAATACTGTCGTTTTATCGCCCTATGAATGCAAAAGACCTTTTTTTCCTTGTCAGACGAGAAAAAAAGAGCACAAAAAATATTGAGGAAAATGATGCAGAGATATCGAGAAACAAGAAACAATGTGGAATCGCGATTCGTGCTTCTTTAGGTCGTATTATCCCTGCACAACAACGCTTAACCCACCTCCGGGTAAAATAAAAAATTACACTGAAAAAAGGGCGGTGAAAAAAGGAGAGGGGATGATATAAAAAATCAACTGGAAAAAAACAAGTACCTCGAAAAAAAATCACCTTATTTCTAAGCCTTGGTTTTTGTATACAGTCCCAGACTCAATAAAAAAAGTAATAAGACGGAGTTGCGCGGTTAAGATCGTCCCGTCACAATTTCGGATTCGTGTCTGTATCTGAATTGTCGCAATGTGACGTTGCTGATTTGCTGGATTTTTAAATTAAAATGTACAAGAATTCGAAAGCCCCAGAGTCAAAAAATAATAATAATAATAATAATAATAATAATAATAATAAAAGATAATTTATGACAATACCAATCGATCAAAGTAATACAATATAAGAATTAAGGAAATGGTGTGCACCAAAATGAACAGCCTTTTTATTACTTTGCTAAAATTTACAGATGGCTTGCTTGTGCATCAAATACAAACAGAGAGCTGGAGAGAGAAAGAAAGAAAGAAAATAGGCCAGAAGAGAGGAAAAGAGGAAGGGAAAACTTTTATTTCCTGGAGGCAAGGAAAGAAAACACCCCCGGATCTCGTCTATTTATGAAAAATGGAAGACGCTCGGAAGTGAAGGCACAAGACGGCAGCTGACTATGCAACTTTGAAAAAATAAAGCATTCGTATTGGATGGCGTGAAAAAAAAACAAAGCATGAAGGGCAGATATATGCTTTTTAAGCTCCTGTCCCCCATCCCTTCTTCACAATGCATTCGGCATCTCCATTAATCACAGCGCCGCTTCGAGCGGTATTCAATACATTAACAGCGAAGATGTCCAGAAACCCCTCGAATCCCTTGCTTCCACCTAATTTTTCTTTTTCATATTATGACGCCTTGCTGAAAAACTATTTTTGTCTACTACCGCTTTTTACTCGCAAACACCACTCTTTTCCCGCGCCTCTATGCCTCACAAAAACCAAACAAAAATTATATTATGCTTCTCTGTCATGGATAGAGAGGTCACCCGACAATTTCCTGCTGCATCTTGCATTTCATGCAACATGACCCCTCACGGCTCATGTTTATCTGCATCAGAATACTACTGCCACACCCGCCCCTCATTCGTTCGTTTGTTTACTCTTTTTGTGGTTGATCCACAGACGTTATATTGAAACACAAACGCACACACACAAAATTACAATGCTAATTGGCTCTTCCCCCCTTTTAAAATGGATTTATAGAAAGTAAAAAAGTAATTAAAAAATTGGTCGTTTTGACCGCGCATTTCCGGTTCTTTTGTGGACTGCGCGTTTTCCGATAGCAGCTGGAAAAAGCTGTTGCTTATATTCGGAAACATTAATAATAAATCTCCGATGTTTCCACTTGCCATCCTGGTATCTTTTTTGCCTTCTGAGATGAGCACATGCAGAAAATCAACAGTGTTCCTGCGTCCTCTTGCATTTATGCTAGAAAAATGGACAGATGTCACTGTCAAATCCAACGCTGACATTACCATCAACTTCAAAACCAAGCTGCCACGATATCGCCGTGTCATATGTTATCATCAGACATGAACGCGATTTCTGCATATTCCAACAGCACCAGTGTAAACCCATCGAGATATGTGCGTAAGATGTACAGCAAATTTACGCACGTTCATGTCTACTCATTGTGAAACAAAAAAGCCTGTTATTGACATTCCCCCAGTGCGCACCAGGTCCACTTTACTACCAATGCATTTGAGCGTGTCTAATATTGCCTAAAATAATCTACTTGTTTTTTCAGTGCTCCACGTGCTTTCTTATTTCGTTTAAAAGGCCCTCACTTGCTATTTTTTATGTATGTCACCTGATCTGCATCTACGGCTCCAGCGCACATGTGCTGCGCATATTGTCATACTTTTTCTGGAGAACAATGTCTCCCAAGTATAACTGTTACAATGAGCATCGCGTGACCCTGACAATGCCGAAAGGTTCCGATTGTTTACATCTCCACGAGATTCACAGATGAGAGGCAGACAGCGTAAACGTGTGGGGGAGTGAAAAAGGATGATGATAACTCCCCCAATCCACATCGGAGAATGAATGCCCTTTTTATGCCCCATTTTTTGTAACACCCAATTATGCAACTTTCATTGTTGCTTAGATTGCTTGTGGCGGGGATAGTGGGCGCATGAATGTTATATTTGAATGCCAGATAGACGAATATATATAAATAATAGCTGGGCTAAATCCATACCCTAACTAAGGCTCAACCCATTTTGTCCTGAAACCCAGAAATTGAATTTGCACAACTGCCAGCATACATATACAACTTGAATAAACAGCCTCCGAGTCAAACGAATTTTGCTGTGTTGTAAAGCAGAAGTATATGGAGCATACAAATGATTAAAGTTGATGGGCTCTTCAGAGAAAAATAAGACTATCCCTATGGACCTTTAAAGGGTTTAAAGCGCCATACCCCCCACTCGAAAAACATTCGAGTTAATCGATAGCATATATATTTTTTATACAATAACATCAATATTAAAGCCACGCAATAAAAATCTCGCTACGTGCCAGATCCGTGGAAGGTGTTCAGGAACTGGAGACGCCGGTAAACCTCGACATTTCCTCTGCGCTCACGCAGCTCCTTCATTTTGCGCATGCTCAATCCCTGAAGCAGCGTTTCATCGTCCTGCGCGTTCCACAGACAGTCTTCGGGTATCGCCGCCGCCCCCTCAGCAATATACCTGCGCGCATTTACCCAGTCGCCGGTGCAGAAATACAGCACCTGCAGCGCCTCCTTGGCCGATATACTGCCTCCCTCGATCAAGCCCTTGACCCGTCCCATATACCTAAGACGATCAATGTCGTCGATCTCGGGCTCACCGCCACCAAACGCACGGATTGTCCCGCTGATCGACGCCCGGCGAGAGGGTGACGGCGCCGCTGATGGTGGGGCCATTTCAAAGGCTGATGGCCGCGCCTCATTATCGCCCAGGCCATTGCCCACACCACCGTTGCTCGCCTGGTGCAGCTCCAACAGCCGCTCGCATACCGACATGCGACGGCCCGTAGATATTCTGCGCTGTCGGCTGGGCTGCAGCTGCGGCTGCGCCGTCAAATCAGACTTCCGGACAACTCGTTTGGCGCTGTCGTCCAGTCGAGTGAATTCCCGGGTGCTTATTGCAGATTGACTTTGCATGCCGGGGCTTGCGTATGGTGAGAGCGAACGCATGTCTCTTTTCAGCCTGCCCGTGTGCTCGTCCAAGAGAACCTCCGTGTCCTCAATCCACCAGTCCCCGCCATCTGCATTAACCACAGGCTTGGGAATTAATTTACCCGACCCACTGCTCTCCTCTGGCGCATAGCCAGCCTGCACGTCCACTACGTGTGCAGGCGACAAGCCCTCGCTGGGCTTATCCGCTGTGCCAAGAGCATGTGGGCTCGGCAAACCAGAACCCAGCGCGTCAGACTGGGTCTTCAATGGTGTTGTGGTCGATGAATCATTGGCGTCGCCTTCGGTCATTTGGGGCTCGGAGTCAGCAATTGATTCGATGTCAGCAACAGAGCCAGAGCCAGTGGTCGTTCTGGATAAATACTCGGCCGGCGTTTCCTCGGCTTGAAGCACAGCATCTTTGGTGTGTTCTGACGCTCCGCTCTTGCTGTCCCCTGACTTGTATGCAGACTTTTCAACGTCAAACTCCTCGACAACGGCAGTGCCGCCGTCCCTGCCAAGCGCAGCGACCTGATTGACCGCGGCATCTCCGACATCCCCAGCGTCCGTAGCACCCGCCTCCTCCTTATTTTCCGTGTCCCTCTGCTCATCCTCAGATGGCCCAGCCAGCGCGGCAGGAACTGGGGAAGCGTTGTTGTCGGCATCGGGCCCAACATCTTCGACATCGCACCGCTCATCCTCGGATGACTCAGCTAGCGCAGCAGGAGCCGGGGATTCAACATCAGATTGCACTTTGCTTGCGCACTCGTGGCTAGACTCGCTACCAACTTCAGCCTCTGCATTCGAATCGACCTCGGCGATGGCCTCCTGGTGTTGAATATCTGACATGCGGCTGACAGCCGGCGTGGGCGGATTGGAGTTGCCCAAAAGAGCAGCCAATACAACTGACGAGTCTGCATTACGCTCTGAGGAGAATGTAGACGGCAGACTGGGCATCTCTGGAGTCTGCGAAACGTGTGTGACGTGGTTTGAGGTGCCCAGGCTCAGCAACTGTGGTGCGTTCTGGCTAGTGGCCGGGTGGCTCGGTGACTGCGATGACTGCGACGCGACAACCACTGGTGCTTGCTCGGCCATCGGAAGCTGTCCATCTTCTGAAACAGGCATTTTCGTCGGCGAGGTGAATTCAGCCGGCTGCCTGGGACCAAAGGTTGTCTGCGGTAAGCTACGGTGGCCGGCCTCATCCCCCAAGGCCGATGCCGATACGTTCGCTGTTGCTGCGGGGGCAGATAGGGGTGCCGTTATGCCGTCGCTGATATCCGGAGAATCGGCCGCACTCATCCGTATGCGCTTGGCAGATGGCCACGCTCTGCCCCGGATTGAACTCCTCCTCACCCTGCGGCTAATCGGTGTAATCATAGAGTCGAGGCTGTGCGAGCGGGGTGCGGGCGTAGGCGCTTGGTGTGTCCCAGGAATGGAGGGTGCTGTCTGCTCGGGTTCTGCAGAGATAACCATATTGTGCTGCTTGTCGATCACGACCGGCAGGGCCTGCTGGTCGTATCCCTCTGTGCCGTGCGTGGTACGCCTGCGCTTCCCGAGCTTTGGGCATGTAGAGACCAGCTCATGCTCCAGAGCCAACGCCTCTTCCAGTACCTCTTCGCCGTTGGTCTCAACATCTGCCTCTGACTGGACAGCATCGTCGGGGCTGTTGGCAGGTGTTTTGTGTGGGAGCGACTCAGAGACTCCCAGTTCTGGAGACATTGACTTGGGCGGATTGCGGCGATCGGCTAGTAATTGGGCTGGGTCCGGGTAGTCGTCGTCCGACATGTCCTTGTTGAAATTGGTGTTGGTATCAAAAAACTTTCTCGCAGGGGTGTTTCTAACTGACTGACCTGGCGATTGAAATGGTGGGCCCTCGTCGGGGTTGCTTAGACACAGTGCAGACCGCTCTGACTCTGGCATCATGAGCTCGGGGCTTGATGCTATCGGCGGCGTGCTCTCCATGTTTTCCAGATCCGACAAGCCTTTTTGGTCCTCCATTTGTGTATCCATGTGCAGCAGAGACAGTTGCAGGGGCGGTACTTTAGAATGGCTCATGGCGCCCGTGCTTATGCTTCTGCTCCCACTGGCATTGCCGCATCTGTTGCCGTTGCTGCTGTTGACTGACCTGCTGCGCGCAGCGACCGGAGACAGAAATTTCTGCGAGAATGTGGGAGACCCGTTGAGCACCGGCGATGAGGACTCGAAAAAGTCGCGCGCTGCCTTGAACGACTTTGAGGCGCTGGAGACTAGCGCTACTCTCTTAGGCGGACGGTTGGTATTCTCGAAGCAGAGCGACGGACTGGTTGAGGGGGCGGGTGAAAACTGTGTCGGCAGCGGCTGCTGGGGTGACTGCGGAAGCTCTCTCCGCCAGACGCTGGCCGCCCGGAGTGGCTTTATGGGCCTCGATTGATCGATCCGAGACTCGGAACGAGACCGACTCAGCGCTTCGTCAACAGACATGCTGCTGATGTCTCTGCTAGTTGAGTCGAGATGTCTCTTCACCCTATAGTCGCTGTCACTGATTGCCATGCTGAAGGTGCTCTGAGACCCTGGACTGTCAACTGCGAGGCCTCGGTATTCTGCAATGCTGCGTGATTGTGAAGACAGCATCTCGTCAACGTAGCGGTCCTCTATGTCCATGTCCTCTCCAGCGTGCACATTGTGAGCTATCGGCCGCAAATCGCTAGCCGGTGCCTTGATATCGCTGCCAGACCTGCTGGGGCTCGATCTGGGTCTCTCGATGCTATAGTGCCGAGCGTCAAGAATGCGGTTGGCCGCGAGACACTCGGTAATAAACTTTGGGAGGCACACGGGCGTGCCAACGTTGGTTTTTGAGTGCGAGTGCTCGTTCCCAAAGTCGATTATAAAGTCCGCACCCTCGGGCGTGAGAGATGAAAGCGTTCTGCCGCCGTTTTTGGTAATCGTATTCATAATGGTGGTGCGCTGTGCGATATTGGCGACATAAAAAACGTATGGAGTGGGCGGGTGGTGCGTTTTGTTGGTGAAGACACCAGTTTTGACCTTGCTCAAAAGCCTGTTGCTGTCCGCGGTCTCTTCGCCTGTGGGCCACGAGTCAGGCAGCTCTATAAAGGACATAGTTTGGGGTTACGGTTGCAAGTTGTTGTGTGGCGAGACCGGCGTGCAAGTATGATTTGTAATAAGAAAGAGTGGTTGTCAATAAGAAAAGAGAAGAAAATTTCGTTGAATTTGTCAAATCCAAATGGTAGTTTGTTTTATAAACCGAAACCGACAAAGGAGAAAAAATAAAAATGAAAAGTCGCAATTTCTGATCAAAATTTTCTGTTTTTTTGCGTCATATGCACTCTTTCTCCCAATTGTTTATTTATTATTTTTGCTCTGAAAATATTTCACTGTCATAAATTTTCGCAGTTTTTTTTTACATCCAGCAGCACTGGGCCCATGCTTAAACGCGCCCTGAACATCACCAGCTACTTCTCAAACCAATCAACACGCCTGATACACTTTGCAAATAAAACACCGGCGATGGTCTTCTATGCCTCATCAACAAAGGCCGCAGCCGCCACTAACCCCTCGGCACTGCGCATCCGTGGCGTTGTTTTTGACATGGACGGCACGCTAGCCACCCCAATGACCGAGCACTTGGTCCGGCTGCACAAGGAGCTGGGCGTGCCCAGAAAAATGGGAATCTTGGAGTACGTCGATGAGTGTCTGGAGGGAGAGGCCCGCGTACTGGCCGAACAACGCATATTGGAGGTCGAAACCGAGGCAATGGGCAGTATGGAGCTGTCCCCGGGCCTGGTCGAGCTGCTGCAGTTCTTGCACGACAACGAAATGCCCATCGCTATCATCACTAGAAATAACGAGAAGGCCGCCGAGCATTTCCTTCACCAAGTTGTTACCAGGCAGCCCGAGGAGCAGTGGAAGCTGTTTGCATTTGACCCTGTGCTCGACCGCAGCTTTGTGCCGACAAAGCCGCAGCCGCACGCCCTGCTTCATATCAGCCAGACGTGGGGAATTTCGCCGCATGAGCTGATGATGGTCGGCGACCATCTGGACGACCTCCTGTGCGGAGTGCGTGCGGGCAGTGTGTCGGCGCTGCTGAGATACAGCTATAACAGAGTCTTTGAAGACAAGGCGCACATATCAGTGGACCAGATTGACGGTTTGATCGAGAAACTCGCTGGAGGGTTTGAGGCTGACATGACGATAACTGGTAATTCTGAGCTGGATTATTTTTAACACGAATTAGTATCTGAAGGATTACACTTTGCTGTGTTGTATCAATCCGCTGGTTTTATATATATATGGTTGAAAAGGGGGATGCAATTGAATTTTTGGCCAACACAGATGCCTCCTTTCTATCTATCTATATTGGCATTATTGGGTTTGGGGACGATTAACTCAGGACTTTAACTGTGAAATTTTCAACTTGCTGCAGCAGCAGGCTTCATTTGCACATATTACCTGTTTGAGCGCCCGAAATGGTTGTCAGGCTTTGGTCGGCAATAGCAATTGTACAATAGGGTTTTTTCTTGATCTGCCTGCATTCTGTAATGTAGTCTTTCGATATTCTTAGTTGCTTAGCTTTTTTATCTTGCTTTTTTTCAAAAAATAAATTTATTATTAAAGGGTCAAGGACTCAATTGGAGAATTTAATGTGTTTGTCGGCAAAAAGAAAATATACAACTGTTTCATCCGAGGTGTGAATCCCGACACATTGTTGATGATTCACGATTAAAATCGAAAAAAAACCAGTTGAAACACATGGTGGCACATGTGGTGATGAGGTTGAATCTTTTATTTTAAAAGCATATTTCAGTTTTAATGTGTACATGTGTGCAAAATGGCTTGTGTCAATATACAAAAAGCAATAAACTTTAATGATCGAATGATTCTTTTTACGTTTGGGGCTTCTTTATGTAGCGCATAATCGGAATTCACAATACGACTATCACATCGACTTTCCAATTATTCAGAATCGGAATCTCCAAACGCAAAGATAATCATTTTGCTTTATTGAGGATTTTTCCACTCACCAAAATTTACAATTTAAAAATAATCAGTATCACCGAGTATACTCAACTTAAAGGCACCACTAGGGTTCGACTTTACTATTGCTTCAGTGAGCTGCAAAAAAATTACAAATGTGCAGCTCAATTTTTTGCTCGCATCCAAGACAAGATTGAAGCTCTGTGAATACACAGGGCAAATGGCAGCCAACATCGAGTCTTGAATTTGTTTAAAATTTTCAGTAAACAGAAAAACATGTCGGCAATTATAAAGGCCGAAAATCGGCACTTTCTAATGCTAATTAATTTTTTGTAACAGAAGGAATATATCGGCATTATTTTGGAGCGTGATGCTCGAATTTAATTTGCTCCGTCCCAATTGCAGCCTCCCTGTTTATAGACCCACGGGTATATAAGAGCGAGCACCCGGGGTAACCAAGTGCTCCAAACAATTCAAACTCGACTCCATCTTTTCATTTAGTCAAATAAAATTTTCACTTTCACTTCATTAATTAAAATTGTTTTACTTATGCAAATGGCCATACCCTTTATTGACATTCCCGTACAATTCATTTCTATAAAAGAAGAATACGGATGCACCTGCGGCGACTGTCCAGAATCTAAAATATCCCGGCGAACGCGCGTTCGCATTCTATATGGTGCCCTGCAGGCAATATTCGATCTCAACCGCGAGTACAGGCAGCTCGAATCAAACGACATACTGGATGACAGCAACTTGAGTTGCGGGTACCCGTACAATTGGCTGCCTCCGAACGTGCGCGATCCGCGGCGAGAGACACTAATTGGCGCGCACAACATTCTGTTGGTTATCTACGCCATCATACAGGACAGCGGAACCCCTTATCTAAAAAATATAAAAGAGGAGTGTGAGGCTTACGCGGACAAGCTGCCGTTTACCAAAGACCTTATCAAGTGCGATGAGTCGGTGCTATACATTCTGGAAGAACTGACAGCGCAAGTAGAAGGGGATTTGCGTGGCGAGGCGCATAATATGGATGCGGATGATTTGACAGAGGCACTGAATCAAATACAGCCGTGTGCCCTGGATAATGATTTGCAGTATTGGCGCGAGGCACTTTGTTTGTATTAAATAGAACCAATAAATGCATATATATATTACAATGCCAACAATGCAACTGCAGTGCACGCCAAATGCCGAAAACCGGGTAAACAAGCAGAATAGCAATTCGCATGCAGAGTCAATTCGCACTACAAATGAAAATATTACTATTAAATTGCCATTAAGAGCATTTGCGCGCATTGCAGTTGATTCTGTGTGTTTCCAAGTACGCAGCAAAATGCTGCCATTCTGAATATCCTTCCGCGCCAACATCATTAATACCAGCTGCTGGCTTGGTCAAATACGCTGGCGATGTGCCTGGAAGCACTTTTGGCACGCCATGGAAGGCGAGGCGCGACGCTCCGCACATGGCCAGAATATCTCCACTGCGAAGAATCAGCGCAGTGGGCTCGGTGTCTCTGGTTAATCCACCAATCAAGTAGATGCAAGAGAGGCCAATGCACATTGAGATCAGCGGCGCGTCCATGTTCTCCTCAGTCTTATCCACATGGCCGGCCATGGTTGCGCCCTGGTCATAGTAGTTGATAATCCCGGCCTGGCTGACAAACGCACTCTTCTCACAACCGCTCGCCAAAAACGGCATCTGACTGTCCGAGGCGGCTGGCTGCGTGATTGTCTCGGCTATCGACTTCATCACACTGTCTAAATCAGAATCAAACGCGCAAGTTCCTAGGTCATATTCTTTGGTCGTCCAGTTATATTGCTGGCCCAATGTGCACCACCGAAGGCGGTCCAGGAGACCCATCGGTGATTCCGACTGTGTGTAAAACTTTGTCTTGGGCACAGTCACTTTGGCGTGCACGCTGTTGGTTTCGGCGCGGCTTCTGATTGTTTTGAGGCGACCAGGCACAGCACAGGCCTCAGGATCCATCAAAGAGCAATCGGGCGCACTGCTCTGGCCATATGTAGCCGATCGAGGAAACGCCAAAGCAAACAGCGGCTCTGCAGGCAATTCAAAGAACGGGTCGAGGTTTGTGCGGTTGGGAGGCCGCGTGCAGTCGCAAAGGCATTTGCGTGCGAGCCAGCGCTGGGCCTCGTTGGTCAGAGCGTCCGGAATGACAACCAGACCGGGGTGATTATCCAGCACATAGGCCGGCGGTTGCTTTTGGCGGTATGCTTCAAATGGCAACGACGGCGGCGTTGCCAGATCTTCGGTCAGATAGATTCTGCTTACACCGGCTGTTTTGTCCGGGGAGCCATCGATGGTGCTAAAGTCGACGACGTCGCTGAGGTCCGCCGGCTGGGCTAGACGCTTGTACTTTTTCTCCGCCTTGCGAAACGCCGTTTGCTGCTGCTGCTCATGCGGCCAAGACTGCTGGACCATTGTGTCGGTGGTCTATGAACAAAAGTCTAGAATATCGGGAGGAAAGAGCGCAGGTTATTATTCGTTGAACAATGAAGCAAAAAACAGTCAAAAATAGAAACTCGAACGAGAAGACGAGATGGGTGAGAAATTGTTGGGACCGGCTATTGGTAGCTTCACAAGGGGAATTTTATATAGATACAAATATAGATGAGGAGGATTGAACGCGCATCAAGCACGTATATTGTTCTCAAGAAGAACCCAACAATTGTATGGGTGAACGCCTCTTCTGAGAACTGTGGCAACGCGCAATTGTCCAAATTAAAGTATGGATAAAGAAATACAATTGCTCCCAAATAATGGCATTGTGAGATGTTTTTTGTGACCTTTCACTTTTTTCCGACCTGTTTGCGCCTACACTTCCCCCCGCACTTTTAATTTTTTTGTTTGGCAAATATGACACAGCCAGCCGGACTGTCCCGTTCTGCCTTTCCTCCTCTTCGCTTGGCTTCCATCCCTTTATTTTCCTTTTATTTATTTTTTATTTCTGTCTGTGGCTCCATTGGCGACGTTTTTCCAGTTTTTATAATCTGCACTCCGCAAGCTCCCCTTTTCTAAAACGATTTCCCTTTTCTTGTTTCTTGTTTCTTTGGCCCTTTGCAGTCTGTCTCACCTTTTGCCAATTCTTTGCACTTTATTATTATTATTATTATTATTATTATTATTATTATTTATTCACTTATTTGCACCCCTTTTTATCTCTACTTCACGCGCTCGTACAAACCGGCAACACAGCATGGTTGCCAGCAAGCGGTACTCGCACAGCGCCAATGTGCTGGACATATCACATGCTATGAAGCAACAAGCATACGCGCAGCTGGTTGGAGGCAGCGGCAGCAGCAGAAGTGGTAGCATGGTCTTTGGCGAGGATGGAGACTCTGCTGACACGCAATGCATGTCCAATGCGCCTGACCGCCCATACTTTACGCCGATGCCCTATTTGGAGATGACCTCGCCGACATCACCGACACTGCCATCGCCGGCGTCATCAGTGTCACAGCGACAGTCGCGCGAGTTGAACCGACAGTCCTTCCAGAGCTATCACTACCACCAGCGCCAGAGACGGAGGTCCAGCTTGCTCCTGGGTCCCGGGTATTCGCCGCAGAGACCCCAGTCGCGGGTCGCTAAACACGACTCATCGGCAGTGTCGGCAGCTCAAAAGCGCATGAGCTTGGGTAGCTACCAGCACGCCGCACTGGGTCGTCACTTTGGCAAGGATATGAAAGCAATGCACGGCTTGTCCGACGAGTATATGGATGACACAGGCGGTTATGCAAAGCCCATGTGGAGCGAGGAGCAGCTTCGCAGGGCACGGCGGTTCTCGTCCAGCCACGCACGAGTTATTTCGTGCCCCACTCTCAACATCACCCGCATAATGCGATCGATTAGTGTTTCTAGCGACAACATCAGCGTCAATAGCAGCAACAGCGGGCACAGCCTTGCCAAGCAGGCTCGGCGCGAATTTGTCGCTTCCCCAGGCTTACTAGCCTCCTTCCCTACGATGCTGAAGGGTGCCCCAGGCAATGCGCGCAGTAGCTTCAGCAAGCGAAGCAGTATTGTTAGCGGCGGCTACAATGCTGGCGATCAAGACGACTTCCAGGCACGCCAACAGCACCGGATGTCACAACTGCAGGCCCTGTCGATTGTCGTGCCTAGCTCACTCAATACGCTGCCCGAAGACACCGCCGAGACACGCATGCCACCGCAAGTAGGGGTTGACGGGCTGCGTCGACGCACATCTATCCGGCTGCGCCATGCAGGGACTCCCGACATTAACATCAATTCGGGTGAGCCTGTGGCTCTGCTGTCACCGTCATTGACTGAGGAAGGCTACCCTGAGACCGGCGACGCCCAAGGCAGGCCGACTGTTCTGATGGGCGCACAATATAATTCCGCTCAAGACGGCCCGTTGCCCCGCAGCCGTTCTGGTGGTTCCAGTGTCGCCAGCAGTGCGAGGAGTAGTGCATGCTGGAGCACTATATCTGCCGAGTCTCCCCATAAGCGTTACAGCTACTCATCTGCGGCTATTGCAGAGGCCTTGCGCAACTTGCAATCGGTCAGCCGACACAGTGACATTAATTTTAGGGATTTTTCATTAAGAACGAGATTAGACGGTGGCGGCAGTATCAGCAGCAATAGCAGCAAAGACGACGACGAGAAAATGACAATCACACTCAAAGGCCCGCCGCGACATAACGGCGACGACACTGGCACCGACGCAGGGAGCGGCGCGGGCAGCAACTCTCAAAATCAGCATAATGGTTGGGCTGAGGAAGCGCCCGCAAACACAAATTCTCAAAGCAGCAACGAGACTACTGGATTTCCAAAATTAGAAGCATTCATGGAGCCTTGGAGCCAGCGGCCGTCCACTGACGACGGCGAAGTGGCTGTTCCCGCACTGTACCTCGACAGCACAACCTCGCTGTGGGATCAGTACGTGTCTGAACTCCAGTCGAGCGAGTTTGACCCCAATATCCACTTGAAGCGGAAGCGCGTTTACCAGTTTCTGCGTGTGCCGTGGAATGTCGAGAAGCTGCTGTGGTTCGGTATCGCAATCTGCTTTGATGCGCTGATATACGTGTTTTCCATTTTGCCCGCAAAGTTTGTCCACGCGGCGTTCACATTAGCGATGGCAGTGCTGTCGGAGCTGCCAGCCATTGTCGAGAGCGCTTGCGAATCAGCGTTGGTCCAGGTTGCCCTGTGCACGCTGCCAGCCAGATGGCGCGAGCGGCTTGTGTCAATAGGGCGACGGATGCAGCAATGGGTCGCGCGTCTCAGCGGCTGCGCCGCCGTCGACTCAAGCCGGTTGGCAGCAACCGGCGGGAGCATGATGCGTTGGCTCTCGCCGGCGCAGCTGTTTGACTTTTACCGCGGGCTGCTGCTCATAATCACATGCGTTGTTCTGTGCCGAATCGACGCCGCGCAGATGTACCACGGAATCCGAGCGCAGAGCTCACTCAAGTTGTACTTTATTTTTAGCGCCCTGGACATATTTGACCGGCTGCTGTCATCTTTTGGCTACGATATTCTCGACGCGCTCCAGTCGACAGTCACTGACCCGCGGTCACAGCGCTGGAAGAGTGGCGCCGGATACTTTGCGCTGGCGCAGCTGTACATGCTTGTGCATACACTGGTGCTGTTCTACCAAGTGATCACGTTGAACGTAGCCGTCAATGCTTACAGCGACCAACTTCTCTCCTTGCTCATTTCGAACCAGTTTGTCGAGATCAAGAGCAACGTATTCAAGAAGTGGGAGAAGGAGATGCTGTTCCAGGTCGCCTGCGCCGATATTGTCGAGCGCTTTCAGGAGATCGTTTTCTTGTTTATCATCATTCTGCGCAACCTGGCCGAGCTCTCGGGCACCGGAATATCGCCGCTGTTTGCCTCTTCATCGCCGACGGCAACGACTCCGGGAAATGCGGGCGCTGTGCTTCCAACCGCCCAGCCACCCGTGTCGTTCGACTCGGCTACCCCATCAGCGTTTGGGCCGCTCGTTCCTGCCTGGGTTTCAATCCCACTGGTCAACCGAATCGTTACTCCGGTTCTGATGGTTCTTGGGACGGAGCTTCTCATCGACTGGATCAAGCACGCGTTTATCACCAAGCTTAACTGGATCCGGCCAGAGATATACTCGCACTACATCGACATTCTGTCGCGCGACCTCGCATGCTCCAAGCCGGGTGCCAGAGTGCGGGGAGTGCCACTGCTACCTCGGAATGGCGTCGACAGCGCAGCCTCTTCCGCTGACGAGAAGATTGGGAGGTCCAGCGCGGACAACTACGAGTCGCAGGACAACTCGATTTCAGAATATACACGCCCTACGCGCAGCGCCCTTACTCGGTCCCGCTCGTCGTCGATACTTGTGCACGCGGCACTCAAACTTTATGCTTGGGTGCAAGGAAACCTCCTTTCAGAGACGATTGACAACAAGGACAAAGACAACGATGGCAACAGCGCCGGTTCACAGAGTGGCGAGCGCTGTGCCTCCGATGTGGAGGGCCGCTCATCGTTGTCCGCACATGCGAATAGCTTTAGCCGCCAATGCGAGCACCAGCGTGTGCAGTCGGTCACTCGCCCGCAACTGTTTGTAGAGCAGTCATCGCGCGTTGCCCGCCGCCTCGGTCTGTCGCCGATGCCAATTGCCTGCATGATTATGCTCATGCTGATGCAGGTCGCCCACATTATGATGCAGTCGTCGCGGCTGCAGCACAACAGCGCGCCTACCCAGTCAGCGACTGCAACAGCAGACATGTCCAATGTATTTTGGCTGGTTGGCTGTCTGACAGCAGTGCCTCTTTTGGGCATTGCGATTCGCGTGGTGCTTTCCACCTGCAGTCTGATTGCGAGCGTTCTGACGGTGGACGTGTTCTCGAAGGTGGGATATGCCATCCTGCATCCGAGCACGGCAGTGACCTGGTTCAGCACTCTGGTTACGTCGCTGCTAGATGTGTTCAGGCCATCCGCACAGCATGACTACGCGCTGAAGCCAACAATGTCCGCTGGGTGGGTGGCACTGGACGTGCTCGGCTGGATTGCCACGGTGCTGATTGTCTACGCACTGGTAGTGTGGATTAAGCTCGCATTTGGAAACCGGCTGATGCACTTTGCGTGGAGCCGGTTCCGCGAGTTTGAGCGCCGAACAGCCGAGTGCAAGGGCACGGACCAGGACACAGCCAATCTGAAGCAGTACGACGACCTGACCAAAAAAAGTGACCATGACTCGTTCACCGAGGTCGGCAAGCTGATTGGTAGGGAGAAGAGCGAGAAGGAGTGGGAGAAGCAGCGGCCAAAGTGGACCCTGGACAACATCGAGCGCTACTCGCTGTTCAAGAGCCGCATCCCCTGAGCGCGCGTGTGCCAGCAGGTAATTTAAAGCAGACAAAACCTCAGGCCACGTTTAATTTCCCAAACTCTTATTGGATTTAGCTTATAAAATATATTATTTTTGCGACATTTTTTATTGATAATTTTTTCAATTACAAATTTTTCTCGTGTTGTTATTTTCCCCCTTCCTTTTGCACATAAAGCATTTCCCCACCCTTTTTTGCTCACATATTTATACAATGTCTCGAGGACGCGGCAGGGGAAATGGCGGCAGGCGCGAAATGAGCGGGCTGCACACTGAGCTCATGCGCAGCACAAAGTTTGGCAAGACTGATTCAACAGCCGCCCAGCCGCTGTTCCCCGAATACGAGTTCCAGCCGAACAGAGCACCCAGCAAGGAGGAGGCCAACGTTGCACGGCTCATGGAGGAATTTCAGCAGGAGGTCAGGTCATCGGTGTTCTACCTCAAGCCGCCACTATCGCCGCCGGATGTCGAGCGGTACTCTGACAGGTACCTCAAGGCTGACGAGGCGCCGAAATCGCTGAAGGAGCTTAAGACAGACATAAATCTGTTTCCTGAGGAGCTGCACTCGGTGCTGCTAAAGAAGCGCACAAAGAAGGCCAGGGCCGCTGTTGATGACAATGCGAGTGTTATGGCGGCGCTCAGGAATGCCAAGGACGACGATTCAGATTCGGACAAGAGCGGTAAGGAGGATGACGAGGAGCTTGAGCTGGAGGGAGAGGAGGAGGAGGATGAGGAGGAAGGGAATGATTACATGGACTCTTACTTTGATAACGGTGAGGAGGACGATGGTGGCGACATTGATGATGATGACGGCGGAGGCGATTATTAAACGAGACTTTTTCTTTTTCAATCTGTGGGCAGAGAGCGCTGGCCTTCCCTCCTTCAGACATATTAGACAAATAAAAATACGCATGCTTCAATTAAATGGTGCACTTTTTGCATGCAGACCGCACTGTAACAAATCCTCAACCTGCGGAACAGATATCTGTAGTCTCATTCTTTTATTCAGTGCATATCCTCAGTGCATCATTTGTCGCCACTGGCAGAATCAAAAAATCTTTAAAAAATAAAAATTGCAGTTCCGTGGTCCAGACCTGTCGCTAGCACCTATTTCAATTCGTTTTCTTCCCCCAACCCTTCTCTTTTTCTTTCTATTTTTGATCAGTCGATTAGGTGTGTCACTTGGAGTATAAAAGTATGTTCGCTCGCACATTCATGGCGCAGACCGCCCCTCGTCTCTCTCTTTTAGCCAAATCCACAATTCAAATTCAAATTCGCAAAATGTCGTCCCCTCGTCAAGTCGTCTCCACCACCAATGCGCCCGCCGCCCTCGGCCCGTACTCGCAGGCCATCATCGCCAACAACATGGTCTACGTCTCCGGCCAGATCCCAATCAACCCGGTGTCCGGTGAGATCGAGGCCCAGGACATCACTGGCCAGACCGAGCAGGTCCTGAAGAACCTCGAGGCCATCCTGGTCGAGGCCGGCAGCAGCATCGCCAACGTGGTCAAGACCACCTGCTTCCTTGACGATATCAACGAGTGGCCCGCCATGAACGAGGTTTATGCCAAGGTCTTCCACACCGCTCCCCCCGCTCGCTCTGCGTTTGAGGTCGGCAAGCTGCCCAAGAACGCCAAGGTCGAGATCGAGGCCATTGCCAAGCTCTAACTCTGTTTAGCGCCGGGTGACGGTGATAGCCACTGCACATTACTATAATAAACGCAAAAAAACTTTGGAAACAAGTCGAGCAAACACCGAGGTATAAAAAGTGATGAGATTGAAGTTATATAAAGGGGGTAATGCAATGAAAACTAAACAAATAAGTGAAGTGTACGGGCGACAGCCGACGGGCGCTAAGCAGCATGCAGACGACAAAAACGTCAGCTTCAAGCATTCCAATACGACGAGAACCCGTACTTGTCTGGGGTCGGGGAGGAGATGGTCAGCATGCCCTTTGCCATGTTATCCAGCGATTCGGCGAGCGACTCGATGGCAGGGAGCACAGGCAGCTTTGGGAGCTTCAACTGCGGGGAGTTGCTCTTGGTTGAAATGCCATCCAGCGGGTAGTCGTCCATGTCGCATTTGTCGCTGCGCGGCGAATACACGACGGTCTCGCCCTCACTACGTGAGGAGTCGCGCTTGTCGCTGAATGTCTGTCTGCCCATCCGCTTCTCATTGAGCGACATGGCTTTGCTGGGATAGCCGATGAACGGAATTTCGGGGCTGGCGGCTGCCGTACTCATATTTTGGCCGTGGACATGTGGCCTGTAACCCTTGGTTGAAATAAACGCATAATCGCCGCTGGCAGCGTTGGGCGAGGCCATTCTGCTAGCTGGCAGCGAGCCACTGCGTGGTGAGGCGGCGGATATAATGTCGACCAGCGTGTCCCTGTTGTGCCATGACCTGGAATCGTCGCTGTCTTCAATGCTGTGCCGGTTCACCGTATACAGAGCGGGGCTACCTGGACAACTGGCATTCCGTGTCTGCTCCTGCTTATCTTCAGATACCAATAATGGCAGTGGGATGTGCTCCGTTGCATCCACAATATTCCGAACCGTCAAGTCCGGCTGGTCATGTTTGCTGTGGCTGGAAGCAGCATCTGCGGGTCCATCCGCCGAGATCTCCTGTGGCACTGGTGGCAGCGGCCCGAACTGGAAGCCCATGTTGGTTATATGCCGCTGCATCGGTGTCTCCATTAATGTGCGAGGAGCCGGTATTGGTGTCAGCGGAAGGATACAGCTGTCTCTGCTGGAGACAACTGGATCCGGGTTAATGTTGATGCTGAATCCGCTGTCAGACCTCTGGCGCACCTCTGGCGTGCGCAGCGTGGTGATCATGTTTGGAGTTATCGTGGTGGGTGTGAGCGTGAGCGCGGGCGCATCAGACTCAGTGAGCTCTGTTGACTCGCGCATTGGCATGCACGGTTGAACGGTTGGATACACAACTGCCTCGAGACGCGGGGCAGGCACGCCCCTGCATCCTGCGTACGGCTCTAGCGACTCTGGCCTGGGAACTCGCGAGTTCTCGCTGAGCAGGTACCCGTAGGCAGCCGAAACCGCGTAGCTGTCGCTCTCGGTGGTCAATGCCGATAACCTTTTATTGATTTCTACCTGTGAAGCGCTGCCGACGTCGCCAAACTTTGATGTGACAATGCGCAGCGGGATATCCTTGGTAACATGTTTAGTGTCGAGTTGGCCGCTGCTCGAGCGCGATGTCAAGCCAAAGTTCAAGCGCAGGACGTGAGTAAAGCTCAGGAAAAAGCCCTCCGCTGTGCATACGTCGCTGCGAGGCACGCGAATGTGGAGGCTCTGGACTCCATTGAGTCTTGGTAACGGCAGGCTGCTCGAGGACGAGTCCCGGGTTCTGGCTGCTGGCAAGTTGATCAATGCGCTGGGGTCTACCTCGGTCACCTTGCGGTTCAATGTGCGCTCTGCCAGGATTACTGTCGGGGTGTTAACGGGGCCCTGGTTGCTGAGGAATGCGTTGATGGACTCGAGCGCAGTGGCATCCTGCACGTGCGTCTTCAATGCGACTTGTTCGATCACAGATGCGCGAATAAATGTCAGAACCCGGTTGTGCTGGAGCATTGTAGCGTCGACATCGACCGAGATGGACTCGCCCAGAGTGCAGCAGTGGTTCTTCACTTGCACATAGATGTTCATCGCAGTCTGCACCGTCTGCCGCCGGAATCTGCGCCGAACCGGCTCCAACAGCATTATACCATCGCGCAGTACGAGAGGCTTGAGCCAGCCGACGCCTGATGGAAGCACCTTGGGCGCCAGTTGCACAGGAACTGAGGAAGCGGCTAGTGTCATACTGCGGCCTGCGCTGCCAGCAATGCCTTGGCGTGCCAGGGGCGAGCTCGCAGAGCCAACAAGAGTCGCACTGAGCGTGTACGCAACTTCGCATATGGCGGACCACATGGCCGAGGGGAAGTTGACGTTGGGCATGGTACAAGAAAAGTCGAAAACGACATTTCGGACAATAGTATCGGTTACTATGCCATCGGTCTGCAACAGATTTTCTGTTGATCGAAATAGAAGTTTGCGCGATGAGCCAATTTTGACGCCGAAATCCACGTGCTCCCAGCCCTCAAAGAGCAGCTGTAGTTGGCTAACTGCAACGGGCTCGGTTACCTTGACTAGAATGCGGCCGTGGTATGTCCGCGAGGGCTTCAGGCCGCTGGTCGTCTTATTAAGCGGAAATTCAACCCTAAACTCTTTAATACGCGGGTCAAGCTCCATTGGTGATATGTGTTAAAAGCAATATGAAAGGGTTTGCAAATAAAGACAAAAATATGTGACTAGAGATGAAGAAAGACAAAAAAATGAAATGAAAAACTTGCGTCTTAATGGAAGCACGCGGATGACGATATGTTGAGCAATGCCGCGTCTACGTCTGCTGTAAAATGCTGCAGTCGGTAGCGTGGATGCCGGATGTACAAATGTATTTTTTATATACTGGCAAGTAATTTTAAATGAGCGAGTGGTGAATACAATTTATAATTAAATAAAATAAGGAATATCGAATAAAGGAGAGCGTGCTAAGCAACCAAAGTAGAATATAAAAGTGCAGCACAAGTCGTTATTTTTTGTATAGTTTATCACAGGAAGCCAGGTTGTATCCCTGGTGAATTAAACAATAAGTATAAAAAGAGAAATGCTCGTCAGAAACAGAGTTGATAATTAAAATAAAGAAAGGAGTAATGCCGTATGGCAAATACATGCTTCGAATTGAGAAAAAAAGGAAAGGAGAAAAATTCGTTCACTGACACCAAAAAAAGAAGTAGAAGCGCGCCGCGTTATTTTCTGAAGGCAGAAGTGAATAAGGAAACACCCTTGTGTTAGAGCGATAAGTCCTATATTTCAACCTCCCCTCTCCCTCATTTATTACTTCTTACTGAGCTGCTTCGTCACATTCTAAAGAGCCAAGCACACAATTGAGTCTTTCGTTTTCAATATTTAAAAGAAAAAGGCTATATGTACCAAGTGTTTTTTATCTCTTGCTTGAAATTTGGGGGGCACAGGGGGATTCGCGTTGGCAAACCAGACATCAAAATAAATAACTTTCACTAAAAAATAAAATATTTTCATATTTGCAAAGAGAAAATCATTTAGTACAATATCCATTTTGGTAGAACATTGTTCTTGTCGTTAACAAAAACATTGATGCTTGTCGAGATGCCCTTATTTTCTGCAATTGCTCTCAGCTGCACAATCAACCACCCATCCTACTAAATACATCACAAGGCACAATGCAGAGCGTCAAATGCAGAATGCAAAAGAAAAATAAAAGAAAAAGACAGCTGACGACGCGGCAACTGTTTCTCCAGGCTTTATGAATTCAATTGTGGCACCAACCCAACACAAGTGCATTGCATGGATTGCACACCGTTTTCTTTGTGACAGCTCCGGTGGGGCTTGTTGCTCAAAGAAAACTCAAGCAGCTACATATAATGCGCAATAAAGCAATTGAAGTTATAAAGAGGTTTTATTGAGGTTTTTATTGAGGTTTTATTGAGGTTTTATTGAGGTTTTATTGAGGTTTTTTGTTGTATACATTACTGCAACATCTTTTGTGTGCATCCAAAGCGAGTGACAGCAGCTGCATCCCCACGTATCAAGTTCCTCCAAAGTTGAATAGCCAATTCTGCATTTGGAATGGAGCTTGAGAGGTGTTAATTTGTTTCTTGATTGCGCCTCAAAACAAATTTTGAGGCAGGTAAATGGAGAAAAACTAGCTGGTGGGCCAATAACATATATTTTGCATACCCATTATACTTGCGCGAACAAAGTAATTTGGCATGTGTGCTCTCAATGTTTTGCATTTCGTTTTATTTTGGAAATACAACAAAATTACGGAATATTTACCTACAATGGAAGAGGTGTAGTCGAGCAGTTACAGCTATAATTCGGATAGAAAGTGCATCCGACAAGCATGGCTTTGCTTTTAAATGCAGTTATAGATACTGTCCACAAACAAGGCGTTGGTGGTGCTGTTACTGTCACTAAAAAGTATTTTGGACGACTACAAATCACACACAGGGCTACAGTCGACAGCAGACTATAAACAGTCGTTGCATGATATAATTTGCGCTTGTTCGCAATTCGGCAAAGCGTTGTGTGAATGCTCTTCTTTGGGCCAATGCATTATCCAGCTCAGCTGCGGGTACCCTTGGTCTGCGCACATCATCTATTGTGATTCGTGAAGGCCAAAATGTAAAACCTTGGCACGTGCACGAAAACAAATGATTGCCTTTAATTACGCGTCGAATAAAAAAGCGCGAAAATAGAGCGGGTGCCTGGGAATATAATTGGTTTTGTGTGGCTGTTACTGCCTTTCCCTCATTCGCTTCTCTTTCTTTTTTGTGCTTTCTGGAAATATTCTCTATTATTTTTTGCTTACGATAGCTTAAACTTGGTCACGACAAAGCGCGAATCATGCCTCTCAGCTTAGGGTTGGGCAGCCGCGCTCGCTTGCTGTTGCCGCAGCTGTCGAAACTAGTTTCTTCGGCCTCAACCTCACACACTCACAGGCACATCTCAGCCACGACTGCACCGCGCAGTAAAAGCACGCTGGAAGAGCTCGCCGCAGTGCAAAAATGGGGGGACAATGTCCTTGGAAAGAGCTCTGTTTTGTGGGATCGCATGGATCCCCGACAGCTCACACTCCTGGACCAGTCGATCAGGCCGTACCTTCCAGCTAGCTATCCCAGCCTTCCGCGCGACGCTCGGGTGGGAGATGTTTCCGAGGGAACCCCAATACCACCAGCTGCGTATCTGGTGTACTTTCCGGCAGCCAAAGGCGAGTCTGAGCTTGCCCCCGACGGTTATTTTGCTGACGAAGCGCCGCCCGACCCCTTCGGCCAGCGTGTGTGGGCTGGCGGGCTCATGGATTTCAGCGCAGAAAATCCGCTTCGGGTTGGCGAACTCACGTCGCAAACAAAGCGCATCGAAGACGTTAAGATCAAAGAGAGGTCGGGTATGGACCCCCTGGTGATTGTCAGGCTTGTCCTTGAGATGTACAACAGCCGCGGGCTTTGTGCTACCGAGCATCGTGATCTGGCGTATATGAAGCCAATCGATTTACAGCGCAAGACTGTCAAGCATAACCGCCAGCCTGACTTTGGGCACGAGATGGTGCCATCTGAGATCCTTTTGTTTAGGTACTCGGCACTGTCGTGGAACTCACATCGCATTCACTACGATGCAGTTTACGCGCGCGAAACCGAGCGCCATCCGGGCCTTTTGATCCACGGCCCACTGACATGCACGCTGCTGCTGCAGCTACTCGAGGCGAATATGCCGGAGGGAATGGTGCTCAAGTCGTTCGACTACCGTGCAGTCACCCCGATGTACTGCCAGCAGGGCATGCGACTCAACGGGCGATTGATACAGGCGCCGCAAAGAGCCAATACCAAATGCGATGTTGTTGGCCCTAAGAAATGCGAGCTTTGGTCGACCAACGATGAAGGCGGCATTTCCATGAAGGGTGTGGCCACGATTGTTCCTCGGGCTTAGAGCGGGTCAAACTTGATACCAAAACGGGGGATGTGGCTGTGCTGGACACAGTATCTAATATTTTACTTCACATTGTTTCCATTAAATCAAATCCTTCTAGCAGAAAAAAATATGAAGCGCTGGCAAGTCGCCACATCAGCGCATTTTAGAGTTTTATTTGCAAATATTATTGCTTCATCGCCCGTTTTAGCCGACGGTTGCGGCTGTAGCTACCGCGATTGCTGTAGACGCGATTACTGCTAGCGGCGGACATTTGGCCGCCATTTTAGAACCAATGGCTTTTGTTCACCGGTCCCCACCGGCGTCTCTTCCTCTTCCTCTGCCTCTGCCTCTGCCGTCGTCCCTGCCTCTACTGCTGCTCCCTCCCCTGCCGCGGTCGCTTCCCTGACCCCTGCTTCCGCCCCTACCTCTGCCTCTTCCGCGACCGCCAAACTCGCTGTCCCTACTGTCATTACGGCCGTTGCTACCAGAGTTCCAGGTTCGGCTGGGCCTCTCCTCCCTGTATGCCCTTGGCTGCTCCTCCCTATTTATCCTAGGCCTCGTGTTGGCCCTCACCTCCTCAATACTATCTTCTGCCTCAGTCCCCTCTTCGTCGCTCTGACCCTCGTTTGCGGCGGCCGCAACTCTTAGCTTCCGTTTCTCCTTGCGATCCAAGAACCACTGGTCAAAACGCTCGCCATCAAGTACGCGAAGGGAGGGTATCATTTCGATTACCCTCTCGCGGTACCTGTCCTCGGTGCAAATCGGGTTTCCCTTGAGGTTCAGGTTGTACAGGCGAGGCAGCGACGACAGGGGTGCGATCGAAGTCCACTCGTCCAGCTTGTTATTTCCCAAATCAATAACCCGCAGGCTGTCGCACGTGCGAATGCTCTCGGGGATAGACTTGATCTTGTTGTCGTTGAGCCTAACCTCTTTGAGTTTGGGGTATATTGTCAAAACGGGTATGTCGGTGATTTTGTTGTGTGCGGCACTGATCTTGGTTAGCTCTTTGAGTAGCGGCATGTCCGGGATCTTGCCGATCTCGTTATGAGAGATGACCAGCGTGTTGAGGTTTGTTAGCTTTGAGATATGTTCGATCTTTGCTATTTTGTTGTGTCCCAGGATGATGGCCCTGAGCTCACCACAGGCGGCGACGGACTTGCAAATTCGGGTCAGCCTGTTGTTGCTCATATTCAGCACATTGGCCTTTGGCGTGTATTTGACAACATCCATTTCCTCGAGCAGATTGGCGCTGAGGTTTATGTGGATTAGGGACTCAGCCTGGCGCAGACCACTGAGCGCATCGCTGGAATCAATCTTGTTGTCCGACAGATCTAGCTTCCGCAGCTGCACACATGACGAGAGGCCGTCGATGTGAGTTATCTCCTTGCCGCGAATAGCAATGACAGTCATCTCTCCGAGTGGCTTGTCTACAAGGCTCGCCAGTGCTTCTGTCGAAAGCCTCATTGTGTTGGAATGTCAAAAATCAAAAAGCACGATTGCGAGTGTTGAATTGTCTACAACAATTTCAAGGCAAAGAGAACAAACAGACTTGTCCATGGTTTTGAGGTATGGCTGACTCCAGCAAGTATATTTTTTCTTTTGTTGACAGTCACAGAAAAAAAAATGCTGATCGCAATTTTCTGATCCAAATCAAGCATGCTTTAAACATCACTCATTTGCTTCAAATCGAAGTGAGGTTTTGAATTAAATTGAAATGAATTATTAATCTTTTTTAGCTGTCCTTCTAGGACGGGTCAGTGTTTGGATGGTGCAATGCCCACACGGGCGTTGCGACGGTCAAATACAACATAATTCGAGCGAAGGAAAACGTCGCCCAGAATGATAAACTACACGGAATTAATGCAAAAACAAAGACAATAAAAAGACAATTAATACACAGTCAAAAAGGCAGACAGTCACTAGCAGCAAACATGTAAAGAACAAAACACTTTTCCCCCCACATATACAGCCATAATCAATACACCTCGTTGCACTTACGTTTGATGCACCACTAGTCACTGCAGAGAAACACCAGCCATCAAGGCCCTTCACAGGTTCGCGCATGAGGTTCTTGACAGGCACAGCAAAGTCAACACCACCAATGGTAAATGTCAAGTTTCCTGGCAAGACCGTCTCTGTGTTACACGGCATGATCCAACCGTAAATTTCGTTGTTTTGTGCGCTCGGAATTCCTCTGTGGAACTCGGTTGCCTGATCGTCGCTCATGACAATAAGCGTCGTGCCGGTGTCAATGATGGCTGAGCCCTTGATATCCAGCCCCATCTTTGTGAAACTATCAAAATTCAGCGAAACGTCATCAAGCATGACTTCCCAGAACTTTGGCTTGTGCAGCGGTACCCAAGTGAGCTCTCCAGAGTACCGAGTTTTGTCGATCGCGCCAAAGAGATACTCGCCGGCATAATCGTTCTTGTCCTTTTCGGTGATGTACACGGAGAAAATGGGCTCGGCCAAATAATCGTTTTCCAGAATGTTGTCCAGGAATGTCGTGACTCCTACACAGCGACGCAAAATCAAAATCAAATGCATAAATGACGTAACATATTTGCGTTTAGCGAAATATTGGCATGTAACACAGGTGTGCACTTGTAACCAAATCAACATAATAAAAAGCACACGGAATGAACATTAGGCTTACCGGGAATAAAAGAGACTCCGCTGTATGCGAGTCCAAGCAATCCATCGACAATGTCAATTTGGTACGCCCGCGATTCATTAGTGGCAAGGCCAACGACCTGGTTAGGAACAGTCAGATTCCCGATAGTGACAGTGTCTCGAATGGTATATCCTGATGCAAACGAGCCATCACCGTAGGAAATTCCCCACTTGCGCCCCTCGGCCTTGTACGTCGATGATCTTTTGGGATTGAACTTTTTGTGACGCGAGCACACAGTGCACTCTTGCCCGGCCAACCACACGTCCCCAGAGCCAGTGTCGAGATCGAGCTTGAACAGCTGAGGTGGGGTGCCCACGCCGACTTCGCCATAGTACTAGAGTGTAAAAGAATTAAAATAGGTTGACGATTAGTTTCAGTTAGCAGGTAGAAGCAGCAAATATAGCAATAAAAAACAGTTCTAAGGATTGTAAAATTGTCAGTTAATACTTGCCTCAATCCCATAGCCGTACTCCTTGACCGGAAGTTTCTCCACGACTTGCAGCCACTTTCCAGGGACGTTTAGCATATGCTTCTGCAGTGCCCTGACTCTTGCAGCCATGGTTGATACACGATTGCCGTGCGACCTGTGAGGAGTAATTGGAATTTTGAAAGACCCATTGCCCCCTTGCATGTTAGGAACTACAGCAAGAGAATTATCCGGTTGCGTATTGCTGTTATCGTCATCGTCGTCATTTTCGTTGTCATGCTGAGGCACCTGCTGGGTGCTCATGTGGTCCTCGATGTTGTCTTCCAGAAACTGCATGCCCGATATCGGAAGCCCGTTCAGAATAGGGGCAGCCGGTGTTTCCAGCTCTTGCAAGCTATAAATAAAAATAAATACTATTAGGTTTATTGTGTTCACTCGATGAGGATTTTTTGCAAGTCATTTTTTGATGAATTGAAATACTTACCTCATTCCGCTAAAGACGCTTTGTGGTGCGGCAAGCGTCACCGACAGCATCATGTTTAGTGCGAATGCCGTTACAGTTAGTTGTTTCCACATTGTATAAACGGCAGCTTGTTTTGGAGTTTTTTTTTGAGGGGGGAGAGTGAAAAGTGGTCTAAATGAAAAGAGTATATTAAAAACATGCAAATATAATTAGCATCATTGAGGGCTGGCAATGTCAAATTATTGCTTGCAATTGGTCTGCGCATATACGCAAGTTAAATTTGCAATGCTAATCCGTAGATAAGTGTATGCTGTTGGTTTTTATTTGTTCAAATAATGAAAACTTACCAGTACAATTTTGAATGCTACAATGACAACAACTCGATTAACTAAAAAATACAAATAATTTAGTATGAGTTGGCCGGATAACCTAGTCAGAGTTAACTAGCTACCAGTGAATATAATATTTAAAGTAAAAAAACTACAAATGTTGAAACAAGAGAGGTATCCAGAAAGCAAAAAAGTTTAAAGAGGCGGGGATACCCAGAAGATATATGTTTATTTCAAAAAGCCAGCAAATATTAACCTATAGTTCATCCCAAAGTTTTGGACTAGCATAATATTGAAGGCGAGTTTGTCATGCTATCATGTGGAGGCTTGGAGTAGTTCAAATATATATTTGACAATTAAATTTATGCTTGTAAAATAAATATTAACCCATTTTTATTAAACACCATAGCATGGAAAATGATCACTCCACTCTGCAAGCCATCCTGATAAGCGTGGTTAATTGGAAGTGGCAGAGTAAAAAATAGAAGCTTAGCAGTGCATGGTGCATGGTGCATAGTGTGTGCTTTGTTTTAATATAATTTGTTAATTGCCTGGGTAACCACCGTGGCAAAAAAAAAGCGGCGCATTTTATTTTTCCGCCCAGGTACTGGCTGGTCAATATCCAATATCCAATATCCAATATTGTACTTTATTAATATTGCGGTTGGATAAATGAATAACCTGTAAATTGATATTGCACAGTGCATTGCATATGTGTACGCAAGTGTGGAGGCTTATCAAGAGGTGCGGAGAAATATAGACTAGAACATGCAAGGTCTTAATGAAACCGTGAGTATTTCCAAGGCAGAGAAACTCAATATCTAAGGCTAATTTACTGCCTTCCTGTGCAGATGCTCAATATGCTGACCAGGCATGGCGGCGGCTCCTCGTTTGGCCGCGCCAAAAGTATCCTTGGCAGTATAATTTTTTTAAAAAATAAAAAGTAATCATGCACAAAAATGCATTATATCACAAATAGTCCGATAAAAGCATTTATGCAAAACCTTGGAAAAACGCGCTTTGGAAATCAATTGAGGATATAGAGCAGCATGCAGTGCATTCGCATAAATAGAAAAAGCAAAGAGACAACTGTGATAACGTTTGATCGTATAGCAATGGCAGTCACACCCGCAAAGAAGAAATGAGCGCGAATATAAACACGACTCGCCAACTTTTATTTAGTAAACAAAGCACAATATTTGGTTACTCTGCAAATAAGCGAAAACAAATAATGCAAAAGATATCGAAAGCATGATAAACGATGAATACTTGTATAGGCCAATCAGCTCGACCATTTGGCCCGAGCCCAGAAATAATAATAAAAAAATTCCGCGACGCATCCAGCCACCAACAGCAAAGAAAAATTGTGCGATCCAAAGATCAACAAAAAATAACAAGTGTTGGGTTGCAATTGAATCTGACGAAAATGCTATTTTCTTTTGTTGTTTGTTTTTGCAGTCCTATTTTTTTCCGCCAGGGGGGTTTTTTTTTTCATTTTTCATTTTTCAGTCTTTATTCTCAATTTTACAATTTAGCAGCACCCCGACTGAAAAAAACGCTTCGGACTAGCCATGGACACCAGTGACTTTGAGACCCCAGAGCCGGTTCTCAAGCGAAAACCCCCGGTAAAAATTGGACCTTGCAGCAAAGGTATATTTTACATCAAAAGAGCAAGCCACCCATCGCGTTTCAGTATCTAGTAACTAGTGACTAGCGTAGGGACTGGAAGTCCAAACACAGCTTTGATGCTCGGGGCAAGTCAACCGCTTATCGTTAACGCTACTTCTTGTGCTGCGCATTTTGTGAAAGTTTCAATTTCGATCGTGTACACGCTTTTTACACATACACCGTAGTTAGCCGCACTAACGCCTACGCGCCTGACGACGAGATTGGATTTGTCGCCAATGGCAAAGGAAGCAAAGGTAAAAAGACCACATTTGTTTTGTTTACTTTAATAGTGCACAGCTTTTCACGGATACAGGCGCACTCGCGTGCTTTGCCATCGTGCTTTGCGCCTTTTTGACTACACAACGCTAATAAGTTCTCTTTTATTAAATTTTTTTTGCAAATCACGCATTATTATAGCCAGCGAAAACGTATCGCCAAGGACCTCGGCAAACACTACGAGAATCAGCAGCGACGAGTCCACCGTCCTTGAAGTCGACGGGAGCGATGATGATGAGGATGAAATCACCTGGGGAACAGAGAAACTGAAGGCAGCATTGCTGAAGGTGCCGCGTTTTTCATCTGTTGTGGCGTTGCCAGCTATGTCGAGCAGAAGGCGCGTGTCGGCAGTATCGGCAAGTAAGGCACAAATGGTGAAGCCAGCGGCCAGACCAAAGATGACGAGGTACACAATCCAGGCAGGCGAACAGGAGGAGGACGATACGCTGGAGGTTATGAATGAGAGCACGTTTAATGACGGCGAGGGGTCTGCCAACGACCTTCCGTGCCGGTCCCTGGACAACTTTGTTATTTTCAACAAGATGGACAACAACGCTCTTATCGAGATCTCAGAGCTTTACGAGGACAACATTGACCTTTCGATTTCCGGCAACGTCGTGCCGCTTGAAATGGGCGAGGTCGACATCTACTGCAACTACAACTATGGCGACGAGGATGGTGAGGATGACGACGAGGAAGTTGATAGCAATGCCAATGGCAATGTTAGCCGCCAACGCGGGAAAACTGCTGCTCCTTCAAATGGCGCAAACACAAATCGCGCCGGCCGTGCCAACGGAAGCAGCGGCTTTACTCAGCGCATCTACCTGTCTGCAATCGTAAGCTACGAGGCGTATCTTACGTCAAGTGGAGAAACAGAGGTTTGGGCGCGCACCACGTTTGGCTGGTACAAACTGCTTAGCCCACATCCAGATTACGCCCACGCCTACGCACCATTCTACAAGTCCATATACATGGCGCACCAGGCGCTATTCCTGGCGAAGACAGAGCCCCGGCTTTCACTCTCCAACTTTATTGTTAGAATGCGGCAGAGCCCCTGCGACATCATCGCATGCTTGTCGCCTATAACGGAAGGCGAGTTCCGCAAATACCGCGACGACATAATACTCGAGATCAACGCCTGCGCAGAGGCCTCCGACATGGAGAATCTGCTAGACACGCAACTTATCCGTACAATATGCCGCGAGCCCATTAAAAACGAGTCCTCAAAACGCGAGTTCAGAACCACGACCACCACTGTGACTCCGATTAGCAGGCCAGCCCCAGCACCTAGAAACAGAAACCCGCGCGCGCCTGTTAACATTAGCAGCAAAACGGCGACCAAGGAGAACCCTGCGTGCGTCACAACGCTGGTCGCATCCATTGCCAAGGGGCTGTATGCCCAGCACCTGGTAAACGTGAGTCATTTTGCGACGGGCCCTGCGTCAAGAGCCACTGCAGCTGCATCCAGTTCCGGCGCTGACCCCGATTCCGAGACCAACACTGCTGACGACGAGGGCGGGGCAGCCACCAAGGGCCCAAAGTCCAAGTTCGACTGGCAGAAGAAGCACGCCTCCAAAAAGAAGATCAATAAGGCTCAGGCGGAGAAGGACCTGGGCAAGGTATCGGTGCCCGATTTGCGGAACGGGGGCATTGACCTATGCTATTTTAAGGGCAGCAAGGTAGAGGGCTATTATGATTCACGGCTCCCGCGGATCGATGATGACAAGCGCCATTACAGTGAGGTCCTGGTGACACCCAAGCCTGATGCCAACAATGCGACCGGGGAGACGGAGCCGGTGTCCATCAAGGTCGGCGACACAGTTCTTGTTTCGGTCATGCGGCCGACAGCTGACCACGCGCTCGAGACCATCTGGGAGTCGGAGGCCACTGACGACAATCTTGACGCCCTGCAGAACTCCACCACCGTGTCTGGGCCGTTTGTGCGGGTGTTCCAGATCACCATGATCATGTACTCGACCGGCAGCCGCTGCTGGATGTTCCATGGGCGGATGTTGCTTCCCGGGCGCGACACGATACTTCAAGAGGTTGCGCTGCCCAACGAATGGTTCCTGGTGGACCAGTGTCACACACTTTCGCTCCTCGCCAGCCTGTGCGGCAAGATCAACATCCCATTCATTCCGACTAAGCAGGAGCTGGATACGTTCGACATGGTGTCCGAGAAGAAGATGTTCTGCCGCTTCTGGTACGACACGGCATCAGCGATGTTCGAGGATGTCAACCTGCACGCGCAGGCGATCGGCAAGAGCATCCCAATGTGGTGCCCGTCGTGCCGGTACAAGCAGACGAGCGAGGAGATCAAGATTGGTCGCGCGATTGTCGGCTCGAAGATGGTCCCTAGGCTGAGCCAGTCTCAGGGCTCATTGCAGAGCGTGAACTGCCCCGAGTATGTGCAGACTGCGACCGTCAATGGAATCGAGTACCATGTCAACGACGTTGTGTACTATCCGTCCCAGCACCAGGACCAGCCCTTTGAGATTGGGTACATCAACAAGTTCTTTGACAAGCTGGCGTTCATCAACAAGGTCAAGGGCACCACGCGCACGTTGAGCGCCGAGATCCAGATTTTGAAGCGCATGGTCGTGTTGCCTGTAGAGAAGCGCCCCGCTGGCCAGTGTGAGTACAACGACGGGCGGGAGCTCTACTGGACGCCACAGGCCAAGGACATTGACGTGTCGACGTTTCGCGGCAAGTGCTGGGTGGTGCATCCGGAGGAGGTCGACGGCAGCCTGAACTTGTACAAGGATAACGACGTCAACGCGTTCTATGCCCGCTACGAGTCGACCAAGCTTTGGCCCGACAAGCAGGCCCACTGGGTGGAGCTCAAGCCGTTCAGCGAAGCGCCAGAGGCAGACAGCGACGCGGATGGCGAGGAGGAGGACGAGCGCATGCCGGCGGCTCCCTGCTGCAGGATCTGCAGGCGCCAGCGCGAGTGGCGCACGCGGTTGATGGCGACCTTTATCCATGGCGCTACCAAGCCTGTTTCCGCGCACAGCCGGGCGGACGCGCCAAGAGCCAGCTTCATGCGCGGCCGGCATCCCCTGCGCGCTCTCGATCTGTTCTCAGGCTGCGGCGGTCTGACCCAGGGCATGGACCAGTCGGGGATTGTCAAGACCATGTGGTCAGTCGAGTTCATGGAGTCTGCCGGTGTCACGTTTGCCAAGAACCACCCGAAGGCGCAGGTCTACAACCAGTGCTCCAACCTGCTGCTGGACTCGGCCATCAAGGCGCACCAGGGCATTCCGGTCGAGCCGCTGATCAACAAGTTTGACGGTAGGCAGCTGCCGCCAATGCCGCAGCCGGGCGACGTCGACTTTATCTACTGTGGGCCGCCATGCCAGGGCTTTTCGCGCTGCAACCGGTTCCTCAAGGCCGACGACATCAAGACGTCGCTCATCGCCAACGCGCTGTCCTACGTGGACTTTTACCGGCCGTCGTATTTCCTTCTGGAGAATGTCCGCGGCCTGCTCAACTACAGACTAGGTGGTGTGCAAATTGGCAAGGGCCGGATTGGTGGTGGCATTGAGATGGGCGTGCTAAAGTTCATCCTGCGCACGCTGACCAACATGGGTTACCAGACGCGCTTCTTTGTGCTGCAGGCGGGCAACTACAACCTGGCGCAGTCCCGTCGGCGGCTGTTTGTCTGGGGTTGCAAGCGCGGATGCCGGCTTCCCGAAGTGCCGCGTCCGATCAGTACTTTTGCAAAGTCCAACCAGACCAACATCAACTTTCCGAACGGCACCGTGTACGCGCCCTTTGCGCATCTCAATGGCAATGCCCCGCACCACGCGGTTACCGTTGGGGATGCGATCGGCGATTTGCCAAAGTTTGAATTCATCAACCCGGCGATCCACTATCCGGACCCAGAGCCTGTGCGCAACAGCGAGTGGCCGCAGTACCATACCGTGTATGGGAGTGCTCCGGGGCTGGATCCCAAGCTGGCCAACCTCTCGTTTGTCGGGCTTATGGAGATGCAGTACTCGCAGGCTCCCATGAGTGAGTTTCAGCGGCTGCGCCGGCGCCGGGAACAGATCTGCATTCCCGGGGTCAAGGGCGACTACGACGAGCTGGTGGACACGCTGTATAACCATGTTTGCCGCAAGTTTAAGGCTGACAATGTCGAGCGTATCTGCAGGGTTACGATGGAACCCGGCATGGACCATAGTTCGCTTCCTCTGACGCTCCGGCCCTGGTGCTTGTCGTCGGAGGAGAGCGCGGCGTCGCGGAACAACGGCTGGAAGGGGCTTTTCGGCCGCATAGATCCTAAGCAGTACTTTGGCACGGCGCTGACGGAGATGGAGCCGATGGGAAAGAGTGGCACGGTTCTGCTGCATGACCAGCGCCGGTTGTTTACTGTCCGCGAGTGCGCGCGTGCGCAGGGTTTCCCCGATACGTTCAGGCTGTATAATTTCAACGAGAAGTGCGTCAAGGATATGTACAGGCAGGTGGGCAATGCGGTTCCGCCGCCGCTGGCGTATGCGCTGTCGCTGGAACTGCGCGACGCCCTGTTTAGGGACTTTATAGACAACGCGCCGGATGAGACGCTATACCCTGTGGATGACGAGGCGGGCCGCAACTGCGAGGACGACATTTTAGGCGACATTTACGTTGACCTGTCGAGAAAGTCGAGCAAGCGGGAGAACATGGAGATGGACGAGTAATTGTCGAGATGAGGCCAGTAGTAGTATTGGTATACGTTATTTTATTTTGAATCATTTATGGTTGGAAATCCCCACTCAGTGCATAAAATAACAGAATATCAACCATGAGTGTTAGCTATCTCAATTATTACGTGAGACACCACCAGTAATTCATCTATAAAACAATTATTAAACTTTTTACGCATGGAAAAGCACTAATTGTAGCGCTCAGGCCATGTATATAAAAGCAGTACACGCTCAATGTTGACGGACTTTGCCGACGAAATAAATAAAAAAAGCTAAGAAAATTGTCTATTTGAAAACACACTCTGTCGCAATATCTCTCGGGATATACTCATCCAAATGCTTATAAAAAGTGTCAATCGGACAAGCATTAAGGTCACACCACTCCGAGCCCTCCATCAGCCTAAGCACTTCGCCATTATATATGACGCGGACAACCCTGCTACCATCGGACTTTTTCCACAGTTCAAAAAGAATATTCGACGCATACGGCGGCCACAGCATTCCTTGGTTGGATGCTCTCAGAGCAGCGAGCAGGGGGAGAACTGTTGTGTCGTGGCCAGAGTATAGGGCGAATTTAAGCCCGGGGGCTTTCCCCGCCACATGCTGCTCCATCTGCTCCTTCAGCGTGCCAATGAATGAGCCGATATACAGGCGCATGAGCTGCTTCGACCATGTGCTATCGCGCATCTTATACGTGAGCTCATAGTGCGAATTGTGCTGCACCTGCAGAACATCCTCGACCGTGGCACATTTAGCAGTGGAATTATTGGCTGCACCACCGACCAAGGCGTGGCTGCAAGGGAGGTCCTTGCTGTTGCAGTGACGGGCATTAAGTACGTCAAAGTATCCGTCCCAAGTATCGCTCCACCGATTACCATTGACATTAAAAATACCCGCGAGCTTTGCCATCAGCGGACCCTGGCTCTTCAGGAACTGCTGGTACTGGTCGGTTTTGGAAATCAGCGTCAAAATATTCTTAATAGCTGGACAAGCATCAGCGTTCCCGTACATGGTTTCGACAAACTGCGGCAACGAATGCAATTTAATTGCAGAGCCTGGCAATACGCCACGGTCGGGCCATAGCGATCCCAGAAGACTCTCAGCGGAATTCTTCGTGCGCCAAATATACGTGCTCCGGGCGTACACCTGCTGCTCGGGATTGGTGAGTTTGTCGGGGAGGAAGCCAAGCCTGTCAATGTAGATACTGCGTAGGTGGGAGCCTAGCGTGCGGTGCTGGAGTTTTCCATGGTCCGTCAGCTGGCCGACCTCACAGGTGCCGCGCCATACTTGGTTGGAAAACCCGTGTTTCCCGTTCCACGCCGGAATGTCAATGACTTGCTGGACAGACCCCGTGGTGTTCTTCGGGTCGGCAGAGCTGTGCAAATACATGTTTTCGTTGATTCCGTCGCAGGTCCACGTTGTCTCGTCATTGGGGATGAGGTGCACTGGGGTGCGGTCGCCGTGGCGGACCACCGCTTGGACAAACTCGAGTTGTGCGTCGGGCACTGCGGCGTACGACTGGGTTTGCGGGTATCCTGGGTCGCAGTATGTGTAGTTGGCGTCATTGAAGCTGTACTTTGTAACATCGGTGTTCAGTGTCGTGCTTACTTCGGCGGCGGCGGCGGCGGCGGTAGAGACAGCGGCTGCTGCAATGGTGGCAACAGTGAGTATGATGCGCAGGCCCATTGACAAAGGGAGGGGGGAGGTTTTGGGTTGGGAGAGGGGAGAATGAAGGTTGGTGAAATAGTGTGGATGGAGGTTTATTCGAAGAGAATAAAAATAAAACAAGACAAGGGAAAGAAAGGAGTTTGCTGGTTGGCTGGCGGCAGTAGAAAAAATACAGTCGAAAAGCGTCGGACACTCAGAAAGAAAGAAAAAAGAGGAAAATAGGCCTGGAATTATTCGACTTTTGCAAGCAGGCCACGCAGCACTTGAACTGCACTTGGCCACAGTGACCATGCGAGCCTCTCTCAGAAGAATCCAAACATTATTTTGATTCCAAGCGTGAGAAAATACAAAACCAAAGCAGGGCAAACCAAGCTAAGCCAAGCCAAAGAAAAGCAAAGCAAGCCAAAGCAAAGCAAAGCAAGCCAAAGCAAAGCAAGCCAAAGCAAAGCAAAGCAAAGCAAAGCAAAAGCCCGTTACTGTGTTGCTGCCGCCGGGAATGCGTGGTAGCGGTTACTGGCTTCATGCTCGCGGATATACTCGCCACCTTTCTCAAGGTAGTCTTGCCTAGTGACGCAGCTAGCCCTGAAGGCCTCCGGTTCTGCCATGCTCCACAGCGCTGCGCCCCTCCAAGCATCGCGCAGTGGGTCGGCAGCGCGGCGTACATTAATGGGCGTACGCTCCGGCATAATGCCCACGACGTCCCTCTGCAGCCGCTGCAGAATGCCCTCGACGCAGGCAAAGCCGCCGCCAGTCACAAATATATTGCTGACCAGCGACGGGCGACCGGTATTGCGCACCACGCTGTCGATGGTCTCGATCAGCCCGGCCTGGTCGAGACCGACGAGGCTCGGGCGGAAGATGATCTCGGGCACGCGGATGCGCTCGACATTCAGGTGCAGCTGGTACTCGCGCGCGGCACGCGCAACAATGGCTTTGTTATCGGGCTTGTACGGCACCGCGGGCTTGTCGAGGATGGCCGGCTGGCAGCCCTCGGCAAAGCGGTACATGGCGGTGGCCTCGATCTTGGCGCGCGCTGCGCGGTCCAGGCTCTCCAAGTAGTCGGGCGCGAACTGCCCGAGCCGGCAGGTGAGCCGCTCCAGCTCGGCCTCGTCCTCGTCGTCCTCCTCAGCCTCCTCCTCCTTGGTGATGTCGCGGTAGACGTTCCAGTCGTCGTCCTCGGCGCCGAACGTGTCGTCGTTGTCGCCGCGCCGCCGCCGCTTGCCGCCGGCCGCAGCGCTGGGTGCGTCGTGCGCAGCCAGGTCGGCAATGTTACGCATGCGCACCTGCGATGCGTGGCTGCGGCGGTCGCTGAGCTCGCGGCGCCGCGCCCTGCGGTCGTCCATGCGTGTAATAACAGCGGAGCGGCGCGCCTGCAGGTCGGCCAGCCACTGGCCGAAGTCGCTTTGGCGCCGCTCGTCGTCCAGCCGCGCGGCCTCCTCCTGCTTGGCCCGCTCGCGCTCCTTCTCGGCACGCGCACGCTCGCGCGCATCGTGGCTGCCCTTGAGGAAGACCTGCTTGCGCTTCTCCAGCCGCTGGTCGGCCGCTAGCTGCTCGTCAGGCACGTCGACGAGCGGGAATACCGGCGGCTCCCTCTCCTCAGGCTCCGCGCCGCCGCCGCCGCCATTGCCAAGCTGCTGCTGTGCGCTGGCAATGGCGTCGTCCAGGCTCTGCTCGCTGGCAAACCCGGCACTGCGCATGCGCTCGGCAAACGCCGCCTCGTCCATGTGGGGCTTGGCGGCGCGGATCTCCGTGAGCTGCTCGAGCTGCTGCACGCGCAAGTCGGCCTTCTCCTGGCGCCTCTTGGCGGCCATCTCCTGCATTTTGCGCGCCTGGTCGCGGCGCCGCTCGGCCGCCCGCTGGATGTCCTCCTCGGTGCGCTCGTCCAGGCTGGGCGCCAGGAATGGAAACTGCACTGTGACGTCGCCCGCCTCAAGCCCGGCCGCCGTGAGGCAGCTGCTGAGCTCATCCTCGTAGTCCTGTGCCACGTAGGCAAACTCGTTGACCAGCTGCCGCGACTGCCACTCGGTGATCTTCATCGGAAAGCTCGGGTACTTGAGCTGCAAGAGCTTAAGCAGGTACTCCTCCATCGCCACGCCACCCAGGTTGATCCTGCGGCACTGCTCCGTGGCCACGCGCGCGTCGTAGATCGGGATGACATGCGAGGCCGAGTGGCCTGAGGACACCACCAGGCCGTCGGTGCTGAACGACCCCGTGTTCTTATAGTAGCTCCACGCCGCGTCAATCCCATACGTAACCGACGGCACATTGTAGCACTCGAACAGTAGCTCGGACATGTGTCTGCGAGACGCATACGGTGTGCACGCCGCCTCGGTCATCACGATCGGCTGGCCTACGGTGTCCTGTGTGCACCCGAGCATTGTGAAGACGTAGTCGAGGACGCCCTCCATCACTTCAAAGTTGGTGATGATGCCGTTGTCAAACCCGCTGCGGATGTTGGATTTGGCCATTGGGTCGGAGTACACGTTGCTGCCGACAAGGAGCAAAGGGTCGTTGTGGAGCTTGCGGTTGCGGTACTTGGCCACAATGTTGTCGAACTCTAGCCGTGGGTCGTTTTCGGTCGCCCACCCGGCCCTGCATGTCCCTGAGCCGTTGTCGATCACCAGGGGCACTGTGCCGCCCTGGCCCATGCTTGCAAAGTCAAACGACGGCATTCCCGGCGTGGGGTCTGCCGGCCCGTCCGGTATGTCGTATGTGCTTCTGCCTCTGCTTCTGGCTGTTGTTGTGTGGGTGCCTGCCATTGTAATGCAAGAAAACAATAAAAATAAATAAACAAGGAAGGAAGGAACGTAATATAAAGAAGAGTAGGGAAAGTGGGTAATGCGAGCTTTTTAGTTGTTTTTTCTTCCTCCACCGCGCGCCACCCATTTTTGCCCATGATGCAAAGCAGCCAGCATTGGCCGGATATGTGGGCAACTACACGTGATGCTTTATTTTTCATTTTTCATTTTTCATTTCCATCTCCCCCCTACTGATATATACTTTTAACATGAATAAAAACAAGCCAAATTTTTTAAAGTATGAGCTTGAATATGAAAAATAAAATAAAAAGGTGTGGCCTGGCCAAGAAAGAAATAAAGAAATAAAGAAAGACATAAAACCTAATCAAACAAAGCGCCTGCCAGAAATTAAAAAAGGAAGAAACCCCCCTCCCCCAGCTACAGTGAGCGCATAAAAAATTAACAGGAGCTGAAAATTTCCGGGTTCTCCAAAAAAGGCACACGTTGGTTCTAGATTTTTTTTTCCTATTTAGCAGCCAGCACCCAGCCCCAAGTCCAGCCCAGTCTACAGCCAGAAAACAATATTTGTTTCTCTCTTTTTACTGCTGCTCCTCGGGTTTCTTTGCCGCAATAACATGGGACAGCGCCTGCAGTGTGGCCAGCAGCTGCTTCTCGAGCTCATCGCGCCTGGCATCCTTCTCAGTAATAGTGGCATTAAGGGACTCCAGGGCCGCTTCAGTCTGCTTAAGGGCCTCTTCGGAGCGTGACAGCCGGTCAACAAGCGAGCGCAGCAGCTCGTTCTGCTGTCCAACGTACTCCATGGTCTGCTCAAGCTTCTGGTCGACCTGCTCAATGTTCTCGGACATCATGTTGATCTCACGCGCCCTCTTGCGCGCAGGAGTCTCGTACGATCCACCGTTGGCCTGCGACCATGTGCGCGACTGTGCGCCGGGTGACTGCTCCAGGGAGGGCGAGCCCTCGTTGTGGATATAGGGCATGCCGTCGGGCGGGAACCGGTAGATGCCCTCAATAGCACTGGCGTACTGCATATTGGGGTGGCTGGACGGTGGATTGCCGTCGACCATCGATGCGCGCAGCTGCTTGTACACGCGCAGCAGGTTGCGCCAACGGATCATACAGCCCTGCCCGTCGCGGCTACTGTACCCCTTGTTGCGCAGCGCCTCGGCGATCTCCTCGTACGTCGAGTGTGAGCGCAGCACTGTCTCGCGCCGGTCATCCGTGTTGTTATTAACAATGCGATCGAGCTCGGCCAGCAGGATCTTGGTTTCCTCGTTGGACCAGTTGCGCGCGCGGTTGAACTTGGGCATCATGGGCTTCTGCCCGTGGTACATGCCCATTGAGCTGTCCATACCGTGGTGGTGTCCGCGCGTCGGCGTCTCCATCATGTTCTGCGCTGTGACCGCTGAGCTGGTCGCCGCCAGCGTCTGCAGCCCATCGGGGTTGCTTGTGTAGTCGTAGCGCGTCATCGCCTGCGTCACCTCGGAGCTCATCCCGTGCTCGTTGTCAATGACCATTGACTCGGCGACCTCCATCTCGCGCGAAGTCGCCGGGTGCGCCGCCAGCGTCTGGTCGTCTACCAACTCGCCCTGGTCATCGGTCTGCCCGTTGAGGTCCTGCTCGCCGTACTGGTGCGCGTTGGGGTCATCCATGTACCCGTCGTGCTGCTGGTCTGCGTACTCCTGCCCGCCGTCGCCCACCTGCTGGTCCGCGTACTCCTGGCCGTCGCCCACCTGCTGCTCGCCATACTCCTGCTCGCCGGGCACGGCGGCGGCAGCGGCAGCCGAGGCAACCGCAGCGGCCGCGTCAACAACCACGTCGTAGGCGACAGAGTCGGGGTCCTGCTCATACTCGCCCTCGACGGCGCCCTGCACCTCGTATATGCCCTCGGCGCCCTCCTCGCCGGTCTCGTATTGCTGCACGTAGCTGCCATCGTACTGCTGATCATACTGCTGTGTGTCTGGGTCCTGCTCCTGATCGACGCCAACGTCGTGCTCGTCGCCCATGGGCTCGCCCATATTGTCATCCTCGCCCTGGTGCTCGTGCTCGTGCTCGAGCTCATGGTGGTGGTGAAGATGGTGCTCGTGGTGGTGCTCGTCGTGGTGGTGGTGCTCATCGTGGAGCTGCTGCTCGTCCTGGTCCATAATGCTGTGGTCTTTAACTTCGGCCATTTCGGCGTCCATGTCTACTGTGCTGAGAGCAAGAGTGAGAGGGAGAATAATGAAAAAAGATGATGCATCAACAACAAAAATAAAACACAGACTGCGCCATCGCTTTGTTAAGTCAGTAGTTGCAAAGGTATTGTGTGGACGGAAATAGAGTAAGTAGCGAGAAGGGATGAAAGCAAGATATTGGACTCGAAGCCATCGTTGTCAGTGCAGACGTGGACATGAACACGGTTTTGCCGTTGTCGTTGCCAAGTTAACAAAATTGTTATTTTTCTTGGCCTGTTCAAATTTCAATTTCGCCTTCTTTCAGTAAAAGAAAAAAGGAAGGACCAGTTCTAGACCAGAGCCAAATTCAAGCTGAACTAAAAAAAGGCAAGCCAGCAAACATCGCAAGCAGCGTATGTTCAGACTTGATTAAGCAAAAATGAAAAACTTACCGCTTATTTTATGTGTGTGTAATGACTTTGAAAAAAATATAGAGAGCGAATAAATAATTTTAATTTATTCAAGCAAAAAAGGAGTAAAAAAAATCAAGAGTAGAGGTTCAAAAAATTTAAATTCTGACGAGGCAAAGAAAAAAAATCAAGGGGAGATTTATATTTGCGTAATCGCCCTTCCCTCTTCCTCCCCCCCCCCCCCCCCCCCCATCATGAACGCGAAGACATGGTCAAAAAAAGAATGCAACGCGCAGAATGCATCAAAAGCGCATAATAAAAGAAGAAAGCAAAAAGGAAGTCCTCTTTCACACACAAGCCATTTTCCCATTTTTTGTTTTTATTGCGCCTGAAACTGAAAACAAAGCAGAAATTACACCAAGCAAAATTCTGATTGTACTTTTTCGCGTGCGCGGCGCGCGTGCAATGATCGCATTTCACATATCCCCCCACTATTTTTGTATCTTTCCTCCCCCCCAGCGCCACTAATCAGCGAATCACAGTGCACCAACCAGACACCATTGTTAACTGTGATACTGCTACAAAACAGAATAAGGCACAAGGGCAAAGTATCCAATCATAATAACAGTTGATACATCGCCACAACACGTGCTGATTAAACTGATTATTTGATTGTGATTTTGAATTTTGAATTTGTTTTTTTGGAATGAGAGGGGTTTGTAAGGCTTCTGATATTTTAATATTCTTTACAGCTCCTCGTACACGCCCTTTCCACTGCGCTGCTTGCCAGCGCGCCTCTTCTTGTGGCTCTTCTTGCCATCCTTGCCGGCATGTTCCAGCGCAGCCAAGCGCGCAGCCTCCGTTCCCGAAATTGCCTCGATCTCGCCGCGGTTATTCGTGTTCGAGCGGGCGGCGACAGCAATCTGCATCTGCGCAAACCCCTTGCCCTGCTTGACCTCATGGGTACCCGCGCGGCGCTGAGCATTAAGCAGAGCAGCGCCAGTGCTGAAGAAGCGCGAATCAAGGGCGTCGATGCGCACGGATCCACTGGTGGCAACAACATCCTTGACGGTGTTGCGGTCACTGGCAGCGTGCTTGACGCTGAACTCAGAGCCTTCTTCGATCAAATGGCGCGTGCGCTTGGCGATCGCCTGCGGGTTGTAGTGGTCGATATTGAAGTCATCCTCCTTGGACCAGCCGGGTGGCGAGTGGCAGTAGACGAGCTTGCCGCCAACGTAGTCCTTGAGCAGCACACGGGCGGCGCGCGCCTCGTCGGGGTTACCCTCACCGCCCTTGAACATGCCGCGGGCGGCAGCGTAGGCGGTCAGCAGCTCCTCAGCCGTGGGGATGCCGGAGCCGCCCTCCTCGATCGGACGCGTGCGGATCTCAATGCCATAGATGGCCTCGAGCGCCCACTTGGGCAGACGCTTGGCAATAAGGCCACTGGGGCCGGTAAACTCGCGCAGCTGGTCAATGGGCAACACGCCATTGCACACCATATCGGCTTGAGTCGTAGCAAATGTCGGGAAGACAAGACCGGGGCAATCACACAGGAGAACGTCACTGGTCAGGTGGATGGTCTGGAAATGCTTGGTTTTGCCGGGCATCGCACCGACATTGACCTTCTTGGAGCCCACCAGCGCATTGATGGTCGACGACTTACCGACGTTGGGGTATCCGACCAGACCAATGACCAGCTTGTTGTGGGAGTGCTCGTTGGCGATCTTCGGGCACTCGCGCATCAGGATCGAAACCAGCTCGGCGGGCGCCAGCACGCGCGTGCGCAGCTCTTCGTCCGAAAGATTGACGGCGCGTACACTTGCCTCAAAGGCATCCTCAGGGTCAATCTTTTCCACCTCCTCAGCAGCCTTCCGCTGCACCTCCGCCAGGGCATCCTTGATCGCGCTCATTTCGTCGAACTGATCCTCAGTGACGGTATTCAGAGCCATTTCGTGTGCCAACTTCTCGGCCTCCTCGCGCTCGCGCTCAGCCTCAAGCTTCTCGTTACTCTCCTTGGCCGAGAAGAACAGGTACGGGATACCCTCGGCAACAAAGTGCGCGGCCCACGCTTCGCGCTGCGCCTCGCTGAGCATATCGGCCTTGTTGATCAGCAGCAGGCTGCGCTTGCGCGGATCGATCTCCTTGACATAGTCGCCGAGATCGCGGCTATGGAAGAGCATTGGGTTACGGGCATCGACAATCTGCACAACCAAATGGGAGCGCTCAAGCACGCGCCAGAGTTGGCGCCAGACTTCCAGGTTGCGCTCAAAGGGCGTCAGTAGCAGTCCTTGCTCATCCTGCAGCATGGCCAGCTGGCGTCTCCAGTTCATAAAGGACTCACGCTCATCGCGGTGCAGCTGGTTAGCAGTCGTGGTTGAGTCCCAGGCGGGTCTCCGCGGCACCTTGAGGCGATCGCTGTTCTCGCGGTGCTTTTGGAGCGTCTGCGCCTCTTCGTCGGCGGACAGAAGATAGGGGTTGGCCGTGTGGTTGGCGGCGATGATCTTGACGTTCATGCGCTCGGCTGTGAACTCGGTGCCTGCCAGCTCGGCCGTGTGCAGAAACTCCTCGAGGTCGCCCTGCTGCGTGATCGACTGCAGTTTTGTCCATGATGGCCCGTCGTCGAGCACGGTCGTGTGCAGCTCCGTGTCGTTTTCTGTCGGCCGCCGCTTGCCCTCAAAACGCTTGCGGATGATGGCCTTTCCGAGCGACGAGTTTATCTTTGACCTGGGTGCCATTATTTATTTAATTAGACAGGTGCAGAAATATATAATAAAAATTCAAGTACAAATTCGAAAAGGTGGGGAGGCACAAACTGAAGCAAAGTAAAAATAATGGCTTTCTTTTGCGCTGACAAATTGGATGTTTATTAAACTATTTTTTTTTGCCTATTTTTTCCTTTTGTTTGATCTGGAATCAAGATTGGTGATTTTCGGGTTTCTCAACTCGAGCAAAAATGACTTTTGAACGCATCCAAGATAAAAAAATTAATTTTGGTACTGACGACAATTAATTGTATTTTTAAAACACTTTTATTTTTATTTTTATTTTTTTTGTTCTCCTTTCTGTTCAATTTCGATAATTATAAACTTTTGAACCTCCCTCGGCAAATTTAAAAACCGTCCTCCCAAAAAAATAAAATAAACACAATGTACAACAACTACGGCCCATCGTACCAGGAGCAGCGCCTGCAGCAGATGATGGAGCAGAAGCAGCTCAAGGATTTTATGCGCATGTACTCGAATCTGGTCTCGCGGTGCTTTGACGACTGCGTCTCGGATTTTACGTCGAACAAGTTGGGCGATAAGGAGCTGACATGCGTTACCCGCTGCACGCTGAAGAACATGAAGATGAACGAGCGTGTTGGTCAGCGTTTTGCTGAGGAGAACGCCAAGCTGATGGAGGAACAGGCCAAGCTGGGTAACTAAGATCAAAAAGAGAGAGAAGAGGGGGAGGGGGAGAAGGTCTTTTTTTCTTGTTGCGTTATAGAATCTTTTTTCACTACTTGTCTTTATGGACTTTTTGGAGAATAAAAAACAAACATGTAATTTGTTCATAATATACGATTTTTTTCAGTTGCTTTCTGTAAGCAAAATAATGGCTGTATGGAAATATTTGGGCAGGAGATCAAAAAATATCTATGTTTCTGTGTACCCTGCGGGGGGGGACAGCCACACGAACACGAGCCTTGAGGATTTTGGCGCACAAAAAATCATATTGGGGCGCTGTCGAAACAAAAAACGATAGATAACGCAGCAGAAACAGAAGCAGCAGCAGCAGCAGCAGCGGAAGCAGAAGCAGAAGCAGCAGCAGCAGCGGCAGTATCCTTCTCTTGGCAACCCCCTCCCCATTATTAGGCCTCCGCACGCTCATCTCTCCTCCCCTTCCTTTTTTCATTAATTATTTGTAATCCCTTCTTGTGCCCTACACACCATTATAATTTATAATGCAAATGCCACCCACGTCCAGCGTCGCCGACAGCATCACAGAAAACGCGTCGGTCAACTTTGACACAGCCAGCTTCCCCACGCTGCAGAACGACCTGTACCTGCGCACGGCGCGCGGCGAGAAGACCGAGCGCGCGCCCGTCTGGTGCATGCGCCAGGCCGGCCGGTACCTGCCGGAATTCCGGGCAATCCGCGTCGAGAACGAGTTTTTCAAAGTGTGCCGGACGCCGGCGCTGGCCACCGAGGTGACCGTGCAGCCGATGCGGCGCTACGCCGGGCTGCTGGACGCAGCCATTATTTTCTCGGACATCCTGGTGATCCCGCAGGCAATGGGGCTGGAGGTGCAGATGGTTCCGGGCAAGGGCCCGCACCTCCCGGATCCTCTGCGGACCCCTGCCGATATGGCGCGCCTGGTGGACGCGCGGCCCGGATACTCGGTCGATCGCGAGCTGGACTACGTGTACAAGGCCATTACAAACACCCGCCATGCGCTGCAGGGCCAAGTGCCGCTGCTCGGGTTCATCGGCGCCCCATGGACGCTGATGGCGTATATGGTTGAGGGCGGCGGCTCAAAGACCTTTGCGCTGGCCAAGGCGTGGCTGTTCAGCCACCGCCAGGCCGCACACGAGCTGCTCTCGCGCATTGCCAATGTTGCCGCCGAATTCCTTATTGGCCAGGTGCGTGCGGGCGCCCAGGCTGTGCAGGTGTTTGAGTCGTGGGCCGGAGAGCTCGGCCCGGCGGACTTCGCCGAGTTCTCGCTGCCCTACCTTGCCAAGATTGCCGCACGCGTCAAGAGCCAGTGCCCAGGTGTGCCTATGACGGTGTTTGCCAAGGGCGCGCACTATGCGCTGGAGCAGCTGGCCACAGAGACCGTGTACGACGTCATCTCGCTCGACTGGACCGTTGATCCTGTGGCGGCTCGCCAGCGTGTCGATGCGGCGCTGCAGAGCGCCGGCCAGCAGGGCCGCACTGTGGTTCTGCAGGGCAACCTCGATCCGACTGTTCTGTTCGGCGACGCCGAGACTATCCGCCAGCGCACCGCGGAGATGTGCCGCGCGTTCGGGCCCGCTGGCCACATCGCCAATCTTGGCCACGGCATGATGCCTGGCCACAGCCCCGAGCACCTGCGTGTGTTCCTGGAGGCTGTCCATGAGTCGAGCAGCGCGCTTCGCCAGTAGACTAATTGCCTTTTGCCAGAACAATGGAGGCCGGTCCATTCTGCTACTTTTAACCACAACACTTTCTGGTTTTTTTAATCGTCGCCCCCTTTGTCCAAAAACGGCAATTAACCAGCGGAGCGCACGGGAACTTTCTTTTTGTTTATGATTGTCAGCCGCAAAAACAAAAAGATAAAACTTCTTTTTTCGAATTTGCAGTAAAATTGAATGAAAAATCCCATGAACATCCCGCACAAAACGCACCTAAAAGAGCATCGTGCTGGAAGCCTGTGTGGCTCAACAATGGTCGTTTTTCTTCGTCCACTCACAACTCGAGCCGAGCCTGACTCAATTGTTGTTGTTGTTTCTGGAAACCTGCTTGCCGTGTTCGTGTTATGTGTTTTTTCTAGCCTCCTTTTTTTCCTGTCAAAGCCCGCTATTTTTTGCAATTCTTTTTGTTGAGCTGTTCACAGAAGGAGGATAAATAATAACAAAGTTCTTTTTTATTTTCTCTCTTCTACTTGTTGGCACACTATTATTATAACTTCTTTTTAAAGTTTATTATCATTTATCCAGCGGACTGCAACCCTTAGTTGTTTTGGCTGCCGCTACTAATTTTTTATTTGCTCATTGCTATCATCTGCAAGGTAATTTCGCGACACCTAGTCTATTGCTTTTTTTACCTCGACGCAAACAGACGCAAACAGACGCACGCAGACGCAAACAGACGCAGCTACTGTCCGCCAAAAAATAAACAAAGAAAATTAACACGCATACTAGCCCAGGCAGTCGGGGTGTTGTGTGCGCGGTTTACTCGAGACCATCGGTTTTTTTTATTCGTCCCAAAAAAAGTTGTTGTCATTATGTTTTTTCAGCTCCGCTCAAAAAAGCTCAACACAACTAAAAACCTTACCTTCCATGCTTCACTTTTTATTTTTGTGTAGTGAATAGGGAGGTACGCTCATTGGAGAGGATTTTCTTATAAACGCTCGCATTTTTTTCTTTCAGCACACGCCACTTGGGAAAAACACAGCTCTCGCCTTCACCTTCAAATTCATTGACCGCCCTTCTCTCCGGCCGCTACACACACCCCTTTAATACTAATTATACTCGTCGAGAAAATGGGCGCCGGAATCTCAAAGATGCTCGCCAAGCTCTTTGGCAACAAGGAGATGCGTATACTGATGCTCGGGCTCGATGCCGCCGGCAAAACAACAATTCTGTACAAGCTGAAGCTCAACCAGTCGGTGACGACCATTCCGACCGTCGGCTTCAACGTGGAGACGGTGACATACAAGAATGTCAAGTTCAACGTGTGGGATGTTGGAGGCCAGGACAAGATCCGGCCTCTGTGGCGTCACTATTACACAGGCACGCAGGCGCTTATTTTCGTAGTTGATTCGGCCGATCGCGACCGCATAGACGAGGCGAGAACGGAGCTCCACCGTATTGTCGGTGACAGGGAGATGAAGGACTGCCTTCTGCTTGTGTTTGCGAACAAGCAGGATTTGCCATCAGCGATGACTCCCGCGGAGGTTACAGAGAAGCTTGGTCTGCATCGGATGCGCGATCGCCAGTGGTATGTGCACCCGTCATGTGCTACCACCGGTGAGGGTCTGTTTGAGGGTCTGAGCTGGCTCAGCCAGAACATCAAGACTCCTTAAGACCAACAGGGCCCGTGTTTTTTACTTCAATTGGAACCAATGGTGGGTTTGCTCCTCTCACTTTTTTCCTCTCATTTTTTCTATACCAACCCCCCCTCTTTATTCATTTTTTTGTTAAAATTTTCATACTTGCAAACTTGTCTAACCTCAAATGAATTGATATTGCATTGTAATGGATTGCTTTGTTTTGTGTTGTAACCAAGGCCCTGTCTGTGCGTAACCTCGATGCGGACCACTTTTTATTCAGCATGATCGCATTTCTAGGCGCTTTGTGGATGTAATTTAATTTTTCGATCCACTTTTTTCTTTTGCGATCAAGCTGGTTTGTGTGGCCAGAGAAAATCCAACGAATCTTTTATCTCGTTCTTTGGGTGTAGTCGTTTTTTCCATTTCAATTCAACTTTTTGTGTTTAAATTCAACTTTTGCTTAATATATATATATATTTTTTATTTATTTGCACACTTTTTAGATTTACTAACCAAAATTCAAAACCCCTATATCCTTTTTGTTTTTTGTTTTTATTGCATCGCCAAATGCTGTCTTCACTGAGACTTGGGTTTTTTAGCCCGCGATCCGCGCTATCCCTGGCAACCCGCCGCACCATGAGTACCACCACTACCGGCAGCGGCAGCAACATTAACAAACCCGAACAACAACAAAAAACCCCTCTCTCATCCACAACCCAAGACACCAAGTCACAGCAAATGGACCGCATAATTGCACCCATTGCACAACAGCAGCAACAGCAAAAGCAAGGCTCTGATAAGGTCTTTGACAACAACTCTTACAGCCGTGTATTTTTCCCCAAACAAACATACCACCCGAGCGAACTCAACGAAATGAACGCTCAAAATCCGAGCCGTAAAGCTCGCGAATCTCGTACGACTGCGGATCCCTTTGTCGCCCTCGGTATTGATCCCCTGAAGGAGTACAAGAACACTAATGTGCTGTCCAACTTTATCACTGAGATGGGGAAGATTAAACCTAGGTATAAGACTGGATTGACTGCAAAGTCGCAGCGTAGATTAGCTCAGGCTATTAAGAGAGCGAGAGCTTTTGGCTTGATGCCGGTTACTAGCAAGTCGTACTTTATGTATAACTACAAGTCTTTGGGACGCGGCGGTGGCAGTGGTTCTCGCTAAAAGGACTTGAAAGCTTAGCCCAATGCAGAGTACTTAAATATAAGTTTTTTTACAGCATTTTTAAAGTGGGGCGTAACTTTGTAAACATTTATAAAGTTTAACTGTTTTTCAAAAATATAAAAATTGTTTAATGTTTGTCAAAATCATAATCAAAAATGGTATTTGAAGATAGTTAAAAGATGGAAAATAGCCTAACCGAAACACTCGCTAAACTAGTATTGATCGGCCTGACAAGCATTCCTCAGCCATTTCTGCATGGCAGTTATATAACTGTTGTAAAAGTCCCTTTCATTTGTGGTATTATATTGGCGTGTGTCTGACTCATTGAAAGAGTTGTCATCAGAATCATAAGATTTTTTGGATTTATCCAAACAATAATTGGCTCGATAAGTATCAAAAGCATCCTCGACCTGAAGTCTTTTTCTCTTCAATTCATAACAGCCCCACGAATATCTGGTGATAATTGGCATCCACTTAGTACCAAATGACACCTCGTAGGCAAGGCAAATTGAGCGTCAAATATTTGCCTCTACATCGTAAAGCCTCTTTTTAGCCTGATGATAGTCATCCGAGCCATATTTGCATTTCAAGCAAATATCCGCTGCAACCCTCCAACGATAAATAGTCTTAGCAAGCATTATTTTGAAGTCTGCGCAACTCCCAAAGTGCTGGCATGGAGCCATGAGATGTGGAATACTGCGCGTAATCTCTGTCAACGGGAAAATATTAATAACGCACTGCAAGGTTGGATACTCCGTCCAACCGATATTCCCAGGAGTGCTCGTGTTGTCGTCGGATGTTGCCTGGGAGTTATACCTGAGCTTGCCATGTCTGTAGTTGCAAGCCAAGCCACCCAGTCCATGACTCACGCGACCCTCATCACCCCTAATGCTAAAGTCATTGCCAAAGACCAGCTTTCTCTGGCGACTGATGCTTTTGTACAGTGGAGTTGTCAAGCTCACTTCTCCAGCAAGCCATTGCTTTGAACCAACGTTGACAAACTGCAATACAAGTGGGTCGTATATCGTCTGGCAGACCGTGAATTTGATGTTGTCGCATCTTAGTACAGGATCATCAATAGTACCTCTGGACTTTGACTTGTTCCGCCCAACAACAAATTTGCTGCTGCCAACTGAAGAAGTTGTGCTTTTAAAGGCCCAATTATCCAAATCGTCCAGGGCTGAGCACTCCACACCATAGGCCACAATAATGTCAGAACGCTGGCCAGCTGGAATGCATGAAATTACAAGGCACAAATCGATATTTGACTTGTCCTCCTTAAAATCCACCACGGCAACGCGGGTAGGGACACAAATCGGATAATATAATAGTTCCATAATGCTATATGGTTTGGAGTCGGCAACAGGCTGTGATCATTCCATGAAGGGCGGGACTGGTACGATCTCGGCAACATTGGACATGCAGGCATCGCTAGAGTTGTCGGCGGCATCTGGACCGGATGTGCCAACAGCTGCCGGCTGGGCATCTGGCTGTACAGGCTCATCCTCGGAAGTGGTGATGTCCTTGTCAACACATTGCAACACTGTGGGATCGGCTGTATCAGCGGTGCTAATATCTTTGTGGTGGTGGTGAGCAATTGTCTCCAGTTCGGCCACCCTTGCGGTGAGAGTCTCAACCTTGACAAATATTTCTGCAAGCTCGGCATCCTTAGTTGCAAGTAGTGGGTCTTTGGCAGAAAGCCAAACGTCCTTTGCAGCGATTACAGCGTCCTTCACCAAAAGTTGCTCGTCCTTTGCGGCAAGCTGGACCCTAAGAGCAGCTATAATCTTGTCGGCTAGCTGGCTTGATTGGTTGACACTGTCGCCCTGGCCCTGAGTGGAACCATCCACAGGTTTGTCGGTTTTTCTAGCGGGTGCTGAAATAGTCATCCTTGGTCTTTGGAAAAGTAGGAGATGAAGAGTGAAGAGAGAGATAGTCAAAAAACGAGGAATGAAACAAAGTGAAATATTGTCAAAAATGCCAATAAAAAATGATGTGAAAAAAAGAAAGAAAGAAAAAGAAAAAAGATGGAATGTGGTGGAAACTGAACATTAATATTCCGGCATATAATAGACTGCGCCCCAAACATTGACAGCCACCAGCAATTGTTGCTATTGTCAATACTGTTGTTAATAGTTTCTGATAACTTTTGGTCCGGCTTTAGAACTTTCCAAACAACAATTTGTAAATATAGTACAAGACAATACAAGCCGAGCCAAGCCAAGCCAATTTGAAATTATAATTTATGTAAATAAACAGCTAAAAGTTGATACTAACCGAGTTCCACTCAAGCGCACATAGTATTTCACCATGCTATTACTGCCTTGAGGCTGCTGAAAAGGTGTATTACAAAATGTACATTAACATTATCATTCAACTCCTGTAACATTTATATTTTACTTTGACATTCTTCTAAAGCTCTTAACGTACGCCTGGACAAGCATGTCTAATACTGCCCGAGACTATTACAGTCGAACATTCCACCATGGTACCGCAAAGGGCCTCAATAGTTTCCCAGTATTGAACATTGCATTGCTGGCCGACTGTGCCGTGCAACATAATCTCTCCTCAGCCCGTTGTACAGAAGCAGCCGGCAGCCCGCCTCCATTAAACTCTTATAGATATTCCAAGATATTATTAGACCGCCGGTTCCAAACAATAAAGCGCACCGGCAACGAGCTTGTTGAACTGCTCTCAGTCTTCAAAATGCAGGTAGCTTTTCGGGCGATATCTCACGGAGTGGAGAATAGACGATGTTATTATAGCCACCTTGACGACGCACTGCATGATCGAGTACTCCTTTCAAACAGGATCCACCGGTATGTAGGAAAACATTTTAATGTTGAAAAGTCGTGTATGACGATTGAATGGTCCAAGTTTAATTCGATTCTTGATCCAATAAATTTAAAAACAAAACAAAACACGCATCGACTATGGTGACATCAGGTTCTTCACGCTCATACTGTATCGACTAGAACTCTGGCTGTTGTTATCCTCGCCTTCATTGGCATCTGGACCCTGCTGCTGCTGTTGTTGTTGCTGCTGTTGCTCGCTGTCCGAGGCATAATACGAGGAAACATGGCTGCGTACCTGCTGATCCAGCGTCGATTCAACCAGCGGGTTCGAAAACCCCAGGTTACGTCGCATTGGGACTTGGGACAGATGGGGCTGCAACAACACGCCATCATCAAAAGGAGACGACTGATGGCAAACATAGGGCTCTCTTGCTGGTGAAGTGACCGGCATGGGCGACGTTTGCTGGAAGTATGGCGAAGCCTGCTTCAGAAAAGCTACCGGATTATTGTCGTATGGTGAGCTGGCTTTTGGTGGATCTGGGGTCACATGCGAGTGAACTTGTGAACTCAAATAGGCAGCAGAATCAGCCGATTTTGGCAAAGATTCCGTTGGATCCGAAGCAACAACCCCGATAGTACTGGCCTCAGTGCGCGGCTGGCCCATCGTGGGGTCGGACTTTTTGGTCTGCTTTTCAAGAAGCGACTTGCGACTACTATACGCGCGGCTGATCTCGTAAGTGGACATGCCTGAGCCAGGCCAAAGGTTGACCAAGTGCGCATATGCGTCCTTGCGAGCCTGCTGCTCGCGATACGAGCCGTCCTTTCCAAGACTCTGCTCCAGATGGTTGCGCAGCTCATTGATGTTGAGGGTCAAAATCATGTACTGGTACAAGATATGCTTGCTGATCGTCGTCCAGTGCCAACGCATTTGTGCGATGCCAGCATCGCCATTGTCGCCATCCTTGCTCGCTGTACGAGCGCCCACAGGTATCCAGCCAAGCCCGCGTTCAATCTGCTCGTCGATGCGCGCCTTCAGCCCATCCTCAATCTGCTTCAGTTGCCGGTCCTTCCATGTGATAAGGTCGGCACCCATGAGCTTGCTGACGATCTTGCGCATGGTCGCTCGGTTGTATGGCAGCGTGTCTGCCAGGCGATAGTATATTCCGCTGGTAAAGCCGACAATGTCCAGCGGCGTGCTCCACGCAAATACGTGGTGCTCGGGTGTGTCAAGCGACAGGACCGACCGGTCGTATTCGAGCGCACGTGCCATGGATAACTCGCACACTTGGCGCAGTGGCGGCTTGAGCGACGACGGAAACCGCTGTCGATTGGAAAACGCCTCGCTCTTTGTTGCTTGTGTAAGTTCTATCAGCGCGTCTTCGATTTCGTGGGTGGGGAGTCGTGCTTCGTTGGCTGCCTTTGTGTCCTCCGGCGCAACTGAACCTGCAGTGCCGCCGCCGCCGGCCGAGGGTGTGCTCCCACGTACATAGCCCTGTGTCGCCGATTCCTCGTTAGTGAAATTGGCCGCCGCTCCAGCATCAGCAATTGTAGCATCAGGGTATTTGGAGCTGCCCGCACTTGCTGATGCAGCAGCTGACAATTCCGAAACTTTCTTGTCACGCGCCGGCACGGGGGGGCGCCAATTCCGCACAGGCTGTGGCAGACCATCTGTTTCAGCAGTGCCAGCAGCCACAGTGCTTGCCTTTGGTTGCTGGTCAAGCTTGCGACTTGTGCGTGGACCCGCCTTTCTGCCATTAGACGGTATAAGGCTAGCGTCTGTCGCTGCGACGGGAGGAGCTGTGCTAACTTCCACAGAACCAGTGCTGCCACTTCGGCGATGCTGCTGCTGCTGCTGCGGTTGGGGTTGGGGTTGCTGCGGTTGGGCCTTGCTCTCGGTCTTCTTCTTTGCAGCCGCCTCTGTGGTATCGTGTTTGGACGCCGATGCCCCATTTGACCTGCGCCTGCTTTGCGTACTGTCCTTTGCCAGGTGCAGTGACTGCTGCTTCTTTTCAGGACGTTTCCGCGAGCGCAATTTTTTGCCCGCAGGCTCCTCCTCAAATGGCTCTTCCTCCGCAGCGCTGCCCTCAACCATCTCGTTCAGCGGGCCAAAATAAACAAAGAAATCGTCCTCGTCATACGCATCAATGTCGTCCATGTCCAATTCATCCAGCCTATCGTCGTCATGACCACCAGCCGCATCCTCCGCTATGACCCCATGGCCTTCGTCCACGCCTGAAATGGCGCCAATGGGTTCCGCAGGCACCGCGTCCTGGCCATCAGTTTCCGTGGCATTTCCATCGTCCTTCTTTCGCCGCTTCTTCCGCTGCTGCTTCTGTGTGTGATTGTGTCCGTCCATAAACGTCAACTCGCTGTCGTCAATGAAGGGATCGTCCAAATCGTAGTTGTCCTCGGCAATGTCCTTAGCCTTCCTGCTCTGTCTCTTCTTCGCCGCTTTTTTCTTATCTTTCGCGTCGCGCAGCTCGGCGTTCTTCAGTAGTTGCGCGAAAAAGGGATCGTTGGCGATGGCTGGTGGCAGGGCTGTCGTGCCACTAGCATATCCACCAATTTCGTCCTCCATAGACCCGTCACTTTCGGAAGCTTCATCAGACACGTGGTCGGCATTGGCGGTTGCTTCCGCTGCGCCTTTATCCTCGGTTGTGGCGTTGGCGGTCCAGTCGACAATAGTGCAAGCCCCTGGCCGCAGCGCAACGGTTGTTTGCCATGTTCTGTTGCTTATTTCGGCCTGTGGGCGTCCGGGAAGCTCCATGGTTTCGTATGTATGCCAAGTTTGTGGAATAACAGCCTGGTTAAGTTGTGGACGCGTCACCGGCGCGCTTGTTATAATTTGAATTCGACGTGGCTGCGCGCTAAGCTTTCTCTTTTGTTGCTGTCAGATTGGAATGTCGCGGAATTCGCAGCAGGCAAACAAAAATATAATAATTAACTAGAAATGTGTGATAATTTAAAATGGGCGCTTGTGTACTAAAAAATATAAATATAAATATAAATATTTGTAAACCGCGAAACAACTCGTAAAATAAAATATGGACGAGAGAAGCCAGAACCAAAAAATAAGGATCGCGTGGCACATCCATCAATGATGTTCTGCATACGGATGAAAAATTGTATTTGGGGAATACTTTGATTTCAAAAGAAGAGCTTTCAGAAAAACCCGGGCTCACTCGGTCCTGATTTTCTAACGCTAGCAACAAATAGCATTGCAATGATTGACCCTTCATTCATACGTCCCTCAGTTGAGTACCAAGTACAACTCTGGAATGAGTCGGCGGTTCTAGTGCTAGAACCAAATCATATTTAAACAAAATGTTTACATCCTCATACATATTGGGAAAACGCCTCGACATATTTCGTTTCGGTTAATTTAAATTTTTTGAAAGCGCGATTTTGTGACATCGCCTCCCTCATGTGACTGATTGATTGATTTAATCTGAAACACGAAAATAACCAATCGGCGCAAACCGTTCCAAATTAAATGATTTATTTTGTTGTGGCTGTTTTTGTCTATCACAAATCTTACTAAACTTTCTTTTTTTTTGCGCAGCAAACTTTATAATTTTTTTGCATCGTTTCTTGCAATATTTCCACTTTTTTTATACAAATACCATGAAAACTACTGTGGTTGTTGCTCCCACTAAGAGCAGTCATTTTGTGACCAAGCCCTGCTGTAACTCTCACACGCGGCTTTTTGACTCTGCCATGGCTCCCGCGACTATCGACGACGACATCGACACAGTTATCGAGTACCCGGAAACCGCTCAAAGCCGGCTCGAGTACATTTCGCCCAAGACTGGCCGGCCGGTCACCAAGTTCCAATACCGCGTGTACGATGCTTGCCGCCAGATTCCCAAGGGCTCGTTCACGACGTACAAGGCCATGGCGGATTTCCTGGCCACTGGGTCACGCGCAGTTGGTAACGCGCTATCCAAGAACCCGTTCTGCCCGCTGCCCATCCCTTGCCACCGGGTAATCACATCGGACTATTATATCGGTGGGTTTAGCGGAGACACGACTAGCCTGATATTTTTCAAAAAGGCAAAGCTTGAAAAGGAAGGCCTGAGGTTTGACGACAAGGGGTTTGTGGCGGCGTCGTTGCAGCAGAGACAGTTTTTCAATGAATTTTGCGAGTAATGCGTCTTTTTGTTTTAGTGAAGTGGGGAATGAATTAAGAAATAAAAAACAATTTTACAAGCAAATGGAGGGAGTGGGAAAAATGTCTAGAGAAGCGGAGAGAGAGCTGCGGTTTTGGTCAATGCGCGGCGGATATCGGCCTCATCTATAGAGAGTCTGACTGCGCGGTCGTCGGCGGCACCCGAATCGGACACAATGCGACGACCGCCGCGGCGTGCGACCTTGGATGATGCCTCCAGGATAATGATGCCCTGGGTCTCCATCATGGATACCAGGTCCAGGAACTCTGTCCGAGAAACGGGAGCCAATAGGCCAAGTCTGCCGCAAATTCCCATGTACTCGGCATATAGCCCAGATACAGCAATCCCACCAGCCCCTGCGGCCTTCTTCTTCGATGCGGCTGCCGCAATATTAGCGAGCGAAATGTGAGCGCAGAGCACGAGCTTTTGCTGAAAATTCAAGGCGTCCAGCTTCTGCCCCACAGGCGACCCGTTGAGCTTGGCCAGCGTCTTGGCAACATGCGCGATGGTTACCTTGGGCTGTAGGGAGACCCCTTCATTCTCCTTGTCCGTGGCCTTGCGCTTGTGGTCGGACTCAGCAGCCTCCATGGCCTGGCGGCAGACGTCCAGGGCCTTGCGGAGGTCACCTGAGGTGGCGGCGACCTTGCGCGCGCACAACTCCAGTGCTGCGCGCTGAATCACTGGATCACCGGCACCAGCGACGGATTCCAGACGGCTCTGCAAAATGGCGACAATGTCTGTGACTTGGTACGGGTTGAAGTTCAGTAGCAAGGGTTCGCAGTTGCGTGCTTGCAGGCGCGGCAGGAAGCGGTCAGTGAGGTCCAGCGCATTTGCTATGCCCACAAGCGCCATTTTTGAATCTGGATGCGCCGCCATCTCAAATAGTCTGTACAGTACCTCCTGCCTGTTGCCCAGCAAACTGTCGACCTCATCTAGAATAACCAAAAATGCATCGCCACTGTACACCCTCCTTTCCAAAGAACCTTGAGCACCCGCCTCGGACACATCCCCCGTCTCCATGGCATCCAATACGGCCTTGTACACTTGCCCTGGCCGCGTGAGGGGCACACAGTTGACGAGCACTGATGTAAAGGTCGACGTCGACTTCTTGATAAGGGCCTGGAGACATTCAGTTTTGCCGGTGCCCGGATTTCCCGAGATATACATGCTACCGCCGCCGCCTTTTTCGACCGTCGACTGGAGGAATCCTTGGATCGTCTGCTGCTCTGATGCACGCCCGATAATTTGCGGGGCGGCTGTCGAGCGGTGGAAAACGGTTTTGGTGGCAATAAAGTGTGAGACTGTCTTCTTTGGCGCGTCGTTGTTGCCGCTGTTGTTGTTTTTGGCTGCGGGGAGGGCAGGCTTTATATTTGTTAGCAATTTTAGTGGGCTGTCCACGTTGTTCTGTGGGCGTGAGATGGGTACTTCGGCAAGTGCCTCTCTTCTGGTGGAGCCACGGGCAAGACGAGTAGCAGGCATTGTAGTATTTCGTTTTCTGTGAGCGTAAATTAGTCAAAATTAGTGATAAAAAAGAATGAAGGGTCTGAGTAAAAAGCGAAGAAAAGGATACAATAAAATTTGCTAATTGCTAATTGTATTCTGTTTGCAAAAAAAGAGCCTAAAAAACTGCGTTCCTAGAATTTTTTTACTACTACCGGCGATTGGGAACCCGCGCTTGAAGCCAACATTGACGCCAAAACCGCGCGTACAGTGGGAAAATAACGCGTTAATCAAATTGGGGAATGTCGTGCTCATTTTTATTCTCATTCTCTGCAAAAGGGGAATAAAGCAAGAATGATCGAGTTGATTGTTTGATCGCGGATTAGACAACTAGTTTGGTTATGAAAAAATTCGACCGCTTTGTGTCATCTGTAATGACCATGTGCATTAAAGCACTTCAATTACTATGCAACAATGTAGCGTTTTATTTTCAAAAAAAAACTAGTCGAGCTTGACAAAGTGACTAAAAGTATCTTACAGATTTACTCAAATCAATATTTCAGACAGATCCAAATACAACTTCTCGTCAATAACAAATAATGGGAACTTCGAACAGCCTACTTTTCCCGCACATTTCTCAATAGTTGTGTTCACATAAAACTCAGATAACGATTTTTGTTTCATCATTTTTAAATTTGCAATTTTTATGACATCAATAAATTCTATTGAAGCATATGTAGGATGGAATGTTTCCAAATATTTCATTAAAATAGATTTGAAATTTGTAACTGTACAGTTATTTGGAACTAAAGCAAATGGGCCACTATTGCTTGCCTCATTCACAGGATCAAATTTTCTGAGCTGAAGAAGTTCTGTTGTTTCCACAATTGGCCCCGTGTTTGTGTACGCTGGGTGTTAGTCTGCTTGAGCTGCAGTAATAGTATAACTAATTTGTTACTGTAAAAATGGTGGAGAACAATGATGAGTAAAGAAAAAATTATTTTAGAGAACTGCTCGACTTTTACACCTGTGTTTCTTCTGCGCTGTTAATTTTTGGCGCAAATACAAATAAAAGCTGTTGCTGTTTGAATGTACATTAAAGCAAAAATCTAAAAGGAAGAAGACTGTTAACAAGCTCACATGGATATTGTGATAACAATAAACTATAATAAATATATTAATATCAAAAGTCCACTATAAGGGAGATAAAGATGCACCCTTATCAATCGAAAACCCAAAGTAGTAGAATATAATCGCGATTTAAAGTAATCGCGATCGTCGCGTGACATAGCCGTAATTGCTATCACAGCTATACTAGGCAGAGTTTTGTTGAGCGTAATGTTTTCCAACAAAAAAGTGCGAGTGAATAAATCTAGGGTATATGGATTTTATTATAAAGAAAAATTTCACACATTGCGCATTTCTTTTTAAGTGTGTTAACATGCGCACTAAAAATAAAAATAAAAAGGTTGCTAAGCTGCCAATTGCGTAAGCCAAAAAGAAAATGCGTTCAAAAGATTGTGACCGCATGACCAGCCGAGCAGTCTTTGTATTAAATTATTAAATAACTTAATTTTGTTTTAAATCTAAACGATACAACCAAATAATTTACAACAATCTTATTCACATCCTGCTCAAATTTGACTTTCTTATGAGCTCAAACATGCGTACTATACACTTTTCTAATGCTGCTTGTATTTTAACACCAACTGAAAATTGCTACCTTTTGAGCTGTGCGATGATTTTGTGTTTTGATCAAGCACATTAATTACACGTGTACAACGTTTTCACATCTGCTCCTTTGTGGTATTGCACTGCTTATATGCATAAATACCCTGCAAATTAAATGTTTAAAATGCATACATTGCTTTTCTGCACAAACCTTGCACCAACGCTTTCTTTCTGTGATAATATTTTATGTATTATAACCAAGACTGGCGTGACGACTAAGTAAAAGCAGAATGGTGTGCATTTGCTAAAGTTTATTACGTAATAAAAGTTAATCTAAAACTACTATATTATTCAAAAGTGATATTCTCCAAGTGGGGATACAACGCTTTGAACTTTTTGACAAAAGAGGCCTGGCCAAACTCTTCAGATAAAAATATAACCTGTTCCAGTGACGTTATTGCCAGTATTAAGTATTTTATGCAATTAGGTTTTATATCCTTGGAACTTGCGGTTACTGCGCCATTCAGCTTCAGTTGGGTGATGTTTGTTGAGATCGGATGCACTTGATTAAGGCTTAGCTCAAAGGCACTGTCACTTCTGATTTTGCCTAGTATCAGCTTGGTCAACCGGGGAACTTTTGGCAATAAATCTAAAATTGAGGTAAACATTACTTGTTGGCAAATTTCAAGAGCATGGAGATTAGTCCAACATATTACCTGTGCATCAAATCTAGACATGTCTATGTTCAAATCAAGAACCGAATACTTAATAGCATTTGTATCTCCAAAAAAGCTGTTTGTTGTTTCATAAAAGTCATTCATATCCATATCTGCATCTGGGGTCAACATAACATCGCAATCACCTATTGTTCCCCTGCTTGAAGAGTTCATCAGCTTCAATGACTTGTATGACCCCATTATCTCTGCTTTGTCTATACGCTTAAACTCAATAGACGAGTTGAAGATATTGCTTTTACTATTTACGTCACAAATATCTATATATTTCAATTTTGGCATTTTTAAGGTAAATGGCTGTTGCTCAGTTGCATTGTTAGAACCAACCTGGCCAGTAAATTTGTTTGTAGAGCCGCTGTTGCAATGGTTCAGCTTAAAGGTTCTTAAATTTTTGAATATAATCTCATTTGATTCGCTGTCGTTGCTCGTAAAGCTGTTCCAAGTAAGATTACTGAGATCCCCTTCGATTTTAACGCACTCTGTGTTTCCCCTGTTTATGGTAAATAGCGGCACATTGTTAATATTGTTTGAATTAATTCTCAAGCTGCTTAGCTCTGGTGAAAATGTGTTGGTAGTAGATTCAATAGGAACATCGCAATGATATGATTTCAGTTGGTGTACGTAGCTGTTGAAAATAATACTGCAAAATTTGCTCATATACGCATTGCATTTGTCGGATGAGTGTATGCCAATGTTGTCGATATGTGGCAGTGTTTTAACTAAATTATTTGCAAACACGCATGTAGCTTGCATATACTCGCAAGTACTATCATTGTACCAGATATCAGAGGTATTAGGCTCATTCAAATACACTTCTAGTTTTTGTATTTTTGGCCATATATTAGAGCCGTAGCATATAATTCTTTGGAGCCTGTTAATTGTTGCGTCCATAATAGTTAGACTCTTCAACTCTGGGCACAACATAAGCGGCGTACTGTTTTGGTTTTTTTGATAGCGTATAAACTGGACATATTCAAAAGCAATGTCCCTTTCAGCAAAGTTGTACTTTATAACCATTTCCTCTAGTTGCTTGAAATTTATAGTTTCTGTCACCAATTTATCTTGAAACATGTCCCAAGTAAATGTGGACTCAAGGTTGATAAGCATTAAGCATTTTAGTGATTCGGCATATATCCTCGGTAGCGTGCTCAGAGTATTGTTATTGGCATTCAGAGTCAAGTGCGTGAGCTCGCGCGAAAACTGTTTTGCTGTAAATTCCATTGGATAAACAAACCCAACATGAGTTAACTGGTTAGCGTACAGGTTGGCCAATGCATTGTAGAAATACACCTTGTTGTTTTTATACGAAGAATAGTCCAAGCGCATTTGAGTAATACTGGGCATGTGGTGTTTGGTTTGCGTAGCCAAATAGTTGCTGTGCTCAATGGGGATACTCGATATTTGGTTTGAATCGCCTTTGTAAAGCTCGCACATGAAAATGTTTAATTTTGTCACGTTTGGCCACTGATAGTTTTCAAAGCTCAGTAGATGCTCGAAGTGGCGGAATGTGGGAACTGCAATGTCCAGGTTTCGCAGAGCTGGAAAATACAACTTTGCGGTGCTTTTGTTTTCCTCCATATATGACCCGGCTACGAAATCCAAACTCAACTCGTGCAAGTTTGAAAACACGAAGTTATCAGTGGGCCCGGTGTTTGCCAGCTCGTTCCACATAAATGACCTGGGAATATTTCTCAATTTTAATTTCTGTAGTGTCTGACAGTTAATCATCGGTACATGTGTTGTAAGACGTATATCAACATCAAGTGACACCAGCTGGCTAAAATAGACCGGCTCTTTTAGCAATAGCGGTTCGTAATTCCAAAGGTGTTTTAGATTGTGCGAGTACAAGATCAAAAGCGGGCTGAAAATTGCTGATACGGACCCATCCTGGTCGGATAAAAGACGAAAGTTGCTGACATGTGGCATGTGAGTGATTAGCTGTTCGTGAAAGTGCCCGGAGCATTGCAAAACCTCAGATTGAAGCCCGTGGCTGAGAAAGATACGCGGAATCATACCTCCAACGATTTCGATTTTACTGATGCTACTCCAATCGCAGCTTCCAAATGAAAAAATTGAGTCTGCCTCGGTAACTAGCGAGTGGTAATACGGAGGATACTGTATTCTAACGAGCAGTGTTTTGGCAAAACATGCGTTTCCGGTGGCCTTTATCAGCCCTATATTTGTGTTTGCTAGTTTATTTTCGGCGTTTTTATTTGATAAATGGTCAACAAAACCTTGGTTCTGTCGAGCAGACCCGTCCAGAATGGCGTTTTGGTAGACCAAGCACTTTGCGGCTTCTCTCCACGCGTGGCATACTCCCAGCAGCGGCAAATATTCTGTCCACTTGTCGAGCGTGGTTTCGTCGGCGTTTATAAGTTTGCACAAAATTTTGTCGAAAACGACAAACGGAAGTTGACTAAAGCAAGACATGGAAAATTTAATGTATATGTTAATTATGAATAAATTAATAAGAAATAATGAAGAGTAGAGAGAAAAGAAATAATAATAAAAATAATTTATATTAGATTAAATGCGTAAACGGTATCAGCTGTGGACTAGAACTCCGAAAAAGAACTATCCACAAAAGAGGGCAGTTTCTATTAATAAATCACACGAGTACGTACGCAGAAAAGGATGTCTAATATGTAGCGACTGTAGAATAATTGTGTAAGATGTAATTTAGCAGCGAAAAAAGGGAAAACTTTACTTTCTGCTCAATTTCTTGCGTTTTTCTCTTTCGCCGTGTGCGCGTTTAAATAAAAAGAGTGACTTTCGCCTTTTCTTTTTAATAAGAAAGCGCCAAGGCCGTGTGTATACTTTGGTTGCAATTAAAGCTTCAACCCCAACAAAGCTGGTATATTAGTGCCCTTTGTAGTGTTTATTTTCCCCCTGTTTTCGCTCGGCAGGGGCCAAGAAACGAGTATACTTTTGAAACCCCCCTTTTTCACAAAATTCGCACAAACATGTGATATTTCACCCTCTTACCGACAAAACTAATTCCATGCCCAGCCAATGTTTTTTACTTCCAAAAATATACGTGAGTAATGTAATGTCGAAATAAAAAAATAGCCAACAACCTACTCGGCTTTCTTCTTTTCCATATCCACTTCAGCTGGCGTCTTCCTCTTGGGGAACTTGAACCACTGGTAGCACAGGACGAAGAACACAACATCGTCGCGCAAAGTTCCAATACGTTCAATCAACGGCATGGGCACAACCAGGGCATACAGGTCATCGATAAACGTCAGCAAAAAGCGGTAAAGGAACGCAGTCAACGGAAGCATATCCACCGTGCGTAGTTTGTGGTTAATAAGCAACTGTGGCCACATTTGTATAAACTCCAGTGTATATACCGTGGCCAAGCTGATGTGCAGGAACCAGCTGATAAAGGACTCATGGTGCTGGTAGAGCAGGGAGAAAGCGGCATACAGGGACATGGCCGGCAGGCACACAAATATCATGTACCAGGCAGTCTGCTGGTCGACCTCCCTCTGTACCTTCTTGCGGTTCTCCATCTCGGCCGAAACAGGGCCCTCTGCAACCTCGGGCTTGCGCTTTCCAATGGTAAACAGATCCCTAAAGCTCAACACCTTTGTAACCTTCCATGCCTCGACTAGCGCCCCGGCGGCAGCGCCCAGGAGCACCACAATATTGGTCTCCTTACGCCGATCCCACATGTACATAAAGCTAATCCACGAACTAGCCAGACTCATCAGCATGGAAGAGCGCGAGATACCGTCCAACCCCTCGGCGGCAGCGGTCTTCCCTGCCCAGAACGATACGTCCTCCTTGTACGCTAAGAACTCAAACAAAATGTGCAGTGCCATGGCCGACACTGTGATGGCCAACATCATGGGGTTGACACCGTAGACCATTTGCTTCAGATTGTCGACGTCCGTTTCCGTGTACTGAATTAGACTGCGGCTGGAGGTCAGCTCATTAAGCCCCTGGCTGACATAATTGCTCAGCCGGAACCACCCAAGCACAACACCGCTCAGGGCCAGATCTATTTGCAAGTCGAGGGCGTCCAGAGGTGAGTCTTTGGAAACGTGAGATTGATTGGTCAGTGGATACCAGTTTTCGGCAGTAATCGATAGGGGGTTTTCCCAGAGCAGAGGGATATACGGCGCGCTGCGGCTGTCCTGAACCCGGTTGACGCGCAAATAAGGACCCAGATCAAGAGGGAATCCCCAGTCGTAAAACCAGTTATCTTCCAGCACAATCTCCCAGCTCACCCGCGTCTTTCCATGCGGCACCCACACCGCCTCTTCCGTCGCCTCTGCCTCTGTTGCCTTCCCCACTGTGGACTCATTGCCTTCCAGGAGCGCATGCTTGCGGTTAATCTTGCGTGGCCGAACGCTCACCAGGGTAGTACGAGCCACAGCCGCCATCTTGTCGCCAAAATCAGGGAACACCGCTCCGGCCCTTTGCACAAACAAAAAGGCAAATAATTCAGTGCCGTTCTGCTGCCTCAGGGCATCAGGCAAAACTACCCTCACCTGGTCTGAGAATTTGGGATGCCGGCGGGTGAGCGGCTGGGGCGGGATATGCCAGATACGCTGGGCTGTAGAGAGGAAGAGCTGCGGGTCCTCTGTGAGTGTCGACATGGTTGTAATGTACATGGCGGCCTCGTACTCGAAGGGCTCTTGCCAGGCGAGTGGGTGTACGGTGGCTAGGTCGCGGATAGCTGGCTGTGGGTTGAGAAAGGGGATGTGCGTAGATGGATAGAAGATGCGGATGGAGATGGTCAGGATGCGTGACATCCACCAGGCAAAGATCGCAAAAGCCGCGACTGAGGACGCCTTGCCGAGAAACGACATTTTGAACGGGGGATGCACAAATTAGAAAAAAAAAAAAAGGAATTAGAATGCAATAGAATAAAATACAAAACAAAAAAGAAAAAAGCAAAAGCAACACCAAAAAAACAATGCCTTGTTTGGCTATATCGCCCCGCTCATATACATTTCATATTAAGTTGTCTTTCGTGTGATCAGTCCCTGCATCATATCAAAAGAGTTTCCGTCCGGCTCCAAGCCATACACGGCCGTGGGGTTAAGCAGACTGCGGACCATGAGCAAGCCGTCCTTGGGACACAGTCCGACGACGCGGGCGCTTTCGTGGCCGCGCGATGCCAGCGTAACAACCTGGTCCCCATGGATCCAGTAGCGATAATACGCAGGAAGCAGAGGCGCAAAGCCACGTAACAGAAACTGGCGATACAATTCCTCAAACTTGGCCGTAATCAGAGCCAGCGTCTGCTCGACCGACAAAGCGGGCAACTGCGTGCCGTTACGGCGATTAAGCTGGGAAATAAGGTTGTTGATGGACGTTGTGGGCAGCGCGTTGGCCACGCTGAGGCCAAACCCAAAGAGAAGCGTAAACTCGTTGGTTTTAAACGACGACGTGACAAGGAGGCCGCCGATCTTGACGTACTCGCCGCTGTCCGTCTGCGCATAAATGTCATTGGGCCACTTGAGGCGCAGTGGCAGGTCGGCGTACCCGGGCAAAGAGCGAATGGCATTGACAGCGGCCAGCGAAAACAGGTACTGGAGCATGACCACGGGTGCCTGGTCCATGCGCGGATGCCGCAGCAGCATGGTAAATTGCAAGCAGCCCGGTGGCGAGATCCAAGCGTTGCCTCCGCGTCCGCGCCCGGCCACCTGCACCGAAGCTACGTTGACGGTTCCGTTGGGAAGCAGCGCCTGGAGCTTAAGATTCTTTTCGAGGAACGTCTGTGTCGACTCGGCCACGTCCGCGTACATAAGCCAGGACCCGGCTGTGTGGGCCCGTGCAGAAAGCATGTGCTGCAGCGCCAGGCCCATGTCGAAACGCGGCGTCTCCAGCCGCTCAGGCACGGCGTCTGCCGTGCACATGACCAAGAGAGCTGAGCCGCGCTCGCTGGCTTCAGCCGCCGGCTGCATGGCCTGCAGGCGGTCCAGGGGAGCGCGATGTGGACCGTGGGCCGTGGCGGCAGCAATGTGGATGTCATCAGCGCCGTCTCTCAGCACCCGGTGCGTGTCCGCCGCCGCGTTGAGTGCGTACATGGTCGAGGCAGCCGCAGCCACGCCGGATGCGCGCGCAGGCACCAGAAACACGGGCGAGCGTTTGGGTATGCCGCCGGCCGCGTCATCAGCCATTGCGCTCGCGTCAACGTCCAGCCGCATATGCGCCAGGAGTGCGCCCAGCAGCCGGCGACGATGCAAATCGTGTGCCTTGAGGTGCTCAACCAAGTGGCGGTTGTGTGTGCGCGTGTAGCAAGACGGCACAAGACAGTCCCAGGCGTACTCTGGGTGCAGCCCCGACAAAACAGCCGTGCCCTTGCCCACGCGGCACACAACCACGGCGGCAGCCCCGATTACGCTCTGGGCGCGATCCAACGGATTGGTGACGTCCGGCGCGTAGCGCACCAGCACAGTGGTGTTTTCCAGGTTGTCTGCGTCCACAAAGTACCCGCCGCCATTATAGTAAATTCGCAGGCGCTCGGGATCTCCGCGCCACGACTCCAGCGGCAGCCTAAAAGCCGCCTGATCTACGGTGACCTCGGCTGCGCGCGCGCCGTCCTCCGAGTTGTAGTCGTATCCGGGATATGCCGTCCCCAGGCATGTTCCGTCAAAAAAGGCCAGATCGCGCGGTCCGTTCACCTCGATCGCAGTGTTTGGCTCAAAAATACACCACGCGCTGCCGTAGTACCCGCCGGCGCACAGGCCCAGATACCGCCCACCGCCCTGCACCCACTGCCGGATCCTCCTGTTGGCCTCACCATGTAGCGCCTCGGCGTAGGGCTTGTCGCGCCCGCCTGGTATCACTACCAGCGCAGTCTTGCTTTCCCATGGCTGCGTGCGCAATGTGTTAGCGTCGACCGCCATCACTGCGTAGCGGTGTCCGAGGAACTGCCGCAGTGTGCGCATCGATGCTGTGAATGAGCTGAGCCCGACGCCGGCCCCGTTGTATACCAGCACATTGAGTTGGCTGCTCATTGGTTAGTAATATATAAATGTGTAAATAAGCCGCTAATTTTTTTACTGCAACATAAACACATGAAGAGAAAAAGTATGAGCTGGCTGATTCCGTTGCCAGCTGCCCTTTTGGCATTTGACAAGTCACAGTGGCATTATTTGAGCCAATCGCGAATGTACAGAATATTTTTTGATTTTGGCAAACAGACCGGCGAGCCAAAATTGATCTGCTTACTTACCTTGATCCCATCTCCTGTCGACAAACAACTAGTTTGAATTGTTTTTTTTGCTCTCTGAACACTCTTCCCTTGTTTTTTTTATTCTTTTGTTTGGTTTTAATTATCAACTCCAAATTTAAACCACACAATTCAACATCTCTTTTGTTTAGCCACACTTCTACCTGCGCAAATGCCTCGTCTGCCTCGTGAAAAACTGTCTGCCAAAGCTCAAATTTACTCGTGCAAACAATGTAACAATACGTTTTCAACAAATAACGAACTCAGTGAACATGTGCGCTCACACAGCCCACTGAGAGTCATGTCAGCAAACGGAATCATACACAAACTCAAGTGGAAGGATGACAAGGTCAAATGTGTCTGCGGGTTACTCTTTGCGCGAAGCTACATGCAGTTGTTCCATGCCACCGTTTGCAAGGCCCTCAACGACACCGAAGCAAAATATGACACCATAATCGCCGACGCCAGCAAAGCTCAAGTAAGTACTTTAAGATACACGGCTAACGACGCATTCACTGTTTTTACTTTGGCCATTTTGCATACTGATGTTATCTGTCTTTTAAAGAAAATGTTCTTTGTTGTAGTCGCGACCAAAAAAGAAACACGTTGAAGCAATAAACATCAAGGTCGATCGCGGCAGCGGCTTGATTATATGCAAAACATGCCACTCTGCCATTCCTCCCAACATGTTGTACAACCACGCATACCGGTGCCGATTCCGAAACGATACCGAAAAAGAAATTAAAGTCAACGTTGATATCATCAGAAAAGCGCACCGCTACCTATTGACTCCAAAAGCAGGTGCCCTTAACCAAGAGGAGTTTGAGGCATGGTACAAGAAGCGCTCAACCGAGGAAGGCCCCTCGATTCCTGGAATCAAGGTGTTTGACGATGGATATTGGTGTAACCACTGCACCTATGCTGCAAAGACCAAGATTGTGATTGGTAATCATTTGAACACTAAGCATATGGTAGGCAGGAAACCCTCCGAATTTACCCCTGGATCCGTGCAGCAGATCATTAGTAATGGCAGATATAAGCTGTATATGCGCGTTTCAGAGTCAGCCAAATCGGATCATGATGATGATGAGTTCGATGCGTAGGGGTGGCTTTGACGATTGGACTTGGGAGCTTGTGGAACATGTGTCACAATTATCTTTTTTTTGCTAGAAAATTATTTTTAAACATTTATCCGGATGAGGCTAAAACAAAGAAAAGTCCACGTTTTATTTTCTTTGTTACCACGGATTAGGGTCCATGATAGAACATACAGACATCGCAGATTTCGGGTTCCAAAATCTTCGTGCGGCGCTGCTCATGTGAAAAAGTAATATAAAAAGAAGCGAATCTGGCATGCCGAGGGTGAAAATAATTATTACATCACATTATTCTTATCTTTTCGCAACTAAAGAATAATACATTTTTCTTCTCATTCTCACTTTCAGACCATGCCCGTCAACAATATCAAGCTCAACAATGGCGTTCTCATGCCCGAGATCGGCCTCGGCACCTGGAAGGCCAACGAGGAGGGCACCCTCGCCAAGACAATCAAGACCGCCATCGACTTGGGCTACAGACACATCGACTGCGCCAAAATCTACGGCAACCAGAAGGAAATCGGCAGTGCATTGTCCGAGCTCAAAGTTCCACGCAACGAGCTATTCATCGTGTCAAAGATCTGGCAGAACAAGCACCGTCCGGAGCTTGTAGAGGGCGCCCTAGACGAGATTCTTGAGGAGCTCCAGCTTGAGTACCTCGACCTCTTGCTGATCCATTGGCCCTACGCGCTCAAGCCCGAGCGCGATGACCTGGTGTTTACTGCCGATGACCTGGACAATGTACCCATTGTTGACACATGGAAGGCCATGGAGGCCCTGCTGGACACCGGCAAGGTGCGGTCTATCGGTGTTTCCAACTTTAACAAGGCCATTCTGGAGAAGTTGATCCCACAGTGCCGCATTGTCCCTGCTGTTAATCAGGTTGAGATTCACCCGTACAACCAGGGCAATGAGCTGGTCGACTACTGCCAGAAGAATGGCATCAATATCACTGGGTACTGCCCTCTGGGCGGATCCAAGATTACCGTGATGGATGACGAGTTCATTAAGAGCGTGGCTGAGGCTCATGCCTGCACACCAGCGCAGGTGGCTTTATCCTGGGCCTTGTCGCGTGGCATTGCTGTCATTCCCAAGTCTACTAGTCCTACTCGGTTGAAGCAGAACTTGAATAAGGTCGATTTGTCAGCGGATGAACTGCGCATGTTTGCGAAGATTACCAAGCACGAGCGCAAGGTTGACCCTGCTCGCGATATCAGGGAGCTTGAGTGGATCTTCCACGAGGACAAGGCGCAGTGCCCGCTTATCTAAAATGTGGCAATAATAACTTTTTGTATTGAATTGTCACGTTTCTAAATATAATATTGACATTGTGAAGATATTGTGAAGATATTAATTTATGTGCATGGTGATTTTGATTTCGGAAACTTTAAGAACAATTGTTAATTGAAATAGAATCTAATATATAATATAAATTGAAATAAAAAACTAATATAAAATGTTAAAATAAATAAGTAAAAAGTGTAACTACTTTTTTGCGTTCAGTAGAGCGCGCGCAATCCTTATTACATTGACCAGAATGAGCAACATTGATACGCGGTCTGGTATCCTTACCAGGTTGATTACGTCCGAGCACTCCATCATGGTATTGTCGTCGTGAATGCATTCAAACAGCACGCGCGACCCGGCGGTCGCGTAACACAGCAAGTACTTGATTGCGCTATCTTTCTTGCCAACTGAACCCTTCTTCATTTTTTCTGTCAACTCGCGTGCTATAGTTCTGACATTCCCCGTCTTTTTCTCCTCTCCCTTGAAGACCAGCTGATCATCGATAATCATTAGAAAGTCAGGGCGTTTTTCCAACACAGTCAGTGACTCCTCTGAAGCATTGCGGTCAAACCTTATGTCCATTTTCAAGTGGTCTTGTGCCGTGCCCATGATGCCCATGAGGAAGACATCGACCACTTGCTGCTGCATGGCCTCTGTGCCCTTGCCAGCATTTCCAACTGTTAGGGCTGCCTCCACCCGCGGCGTCAGCGTTGGGCAAATATTCCCTACCTCCTCTACAATGCAAAAGTTTTCACTCAGCACCTCTTCGGAAACACCCTCCTGCTTCAGCATAGAATATATGTAGTGGTGGATAGGTATTTTTACCAGAAAGTTGGCCCTGAGCGCCTTGCGCAGCTCGGAAAGAGTGGGCACGACATTCGGAGGAGCAAATAGTGAAGTGCACATTTCAGATTCTTTTGACTCGGCGATGGTATAACTGGTTGCAAAAAGTGATTTATTAGAGCCGACCGACAGGCGACGACCCACAGTTGAAGGCTCGGATCCCTCGGCCGTCTCTTCGTTTAGTGGTTTCTTGGTCTGGTCGGAAATATTAATATTTGAAAACTGGTTGAGGAGGAGTTCCATTTTTTTATAGAGACTAGCGACATCTTCGACCTCAATTTTCGAAGCAACCGGGTTGTCAACCTTTGAGGCGGCGGCGTTTGCGGCTATCGACCGCACTTTGGCTGCTAAGCGGCTGCTCTTCCGGTGCGACTTTTTTGCTGAGACAAGCGTAGGGCTTAATTCTGGGACGTTTGGCATTGTATAATTGCTAAAAGTAAATGGTGTTGATAAGTAATGTGTATGGTAAGTGCTAATTTGGGAATAAGTTGGAAATAAAATAAAATTGATGAGTTTTGGATATTGGGCGGATGCCAATCTTTTTATTTTATTTACAATTGTCAATTTGGCCTGTCGACAGAAAAGTTCAACTTGGCGATGCTGGCTACAAAGCATCAATGAACTATTGTAAAAACAATGTACATTACTTTTTATTAAAAAATATGAGCGTGACAAAGAAAGCGGATGTCTTCACAAATGATAAAGACACTAAAAAGGCGCCCAGCTGATAGACAGCAGCAACCCCGGCAGCAAGAACCCCAAAATAGCAACTCAATAAATAAGTGCTCAATATGTACATATAATACTTTTTTAACATATTTTCTCCAAATGGGGGTGTATGATACACCAGTTAACAAAGTGAATAAAAAAAGTAGGGCAACGCCATATGTAGCCACGTTATCCACTTTTACTGTAATGACCAGCACATGGAATTTGCAAAACAAATCACGCTACTTGTTTTTACATTGCTCGTGTGGGATACAGGTTTACTTTGCATGTAGAAAAATATAAACAATAAATCAAGTGGCAGAAAAAATAGAAATTGAGTTTAAATAATACGTTACAATGCAATTTATTATACTCAATACACAAAAAGTAAACCGCACTGCTATTTTTAAATACCAGCACCAAAGGTAATAGCAAATACACCCAGTAAAGCAGCAGTACTCCAAGAGTACATTGTGGAGCGCGAGATGCCGTGGCTGTGATATGCCCTGAACTCGGCAGCTGGCATCAAGGTGAATTCATCCCCAGACTCGAGAGCAAGCGCCTTGTCAACGCACACGACATTGTCGTCCTTCAGGCGGCACACGTTGTTGCCATCGCAAGTGAGGTTAGTCCAGAGCTTGTTAGAGCAAATCTGATACATGCCCTCGCTTCCAAAAACGCACTGCGTGGCATTTTCTTGCTTGCAGGGCTGGTCGGGGACATCGATAATGGGCGTGCTGGGGTCGTGGCACACAGCGCTTCCTTGTTTTGTGCCGCACACATTGCCAACATCGCAGGTTGAGTTGGTCCAGTAGTTTTCGTAGCAGATCTGGAAAACGCTTTCATCTTCATCTACGCAACGCGTAGCGTTGGCTGTTGTGCAGGGCTGGATGGGAGCTTTGGCTGTGGCTTCATCGACGCACAGCGCCTGTCCGCCGCGGAACAGGCAGAAGCTCTCATCACCGCAAGTGAAATCTGTCCAGTAGTTATCTACGCAGGTTTGGAAAGAGTGGGCGTTGTTGGTGGAGCACTGGGTTGCATTGGCGGTGGTGCAGGCCACAAGCGGGATGTCGGCAATTGCCAGCTCAACGCAAGATGTTTGCCCATTGCGCGCCATGCACACGTTAGTGCCGTCGCACTGAATCTTGTTCCACTCGTAATCCACGCACATGAAAAAATTGGACCTGACGTTGCTGTCACACATGGTGGAGTTGAGTGTGTCGCAGGGAATCTTGGGCTCGTTGATCTCGGGTTCGGAGGGAGTCGGCGCATTGGGGTCCATACATACTGCCTGATCCTTGACTGTGCGACATTCGTTGCCGGCAGAGCATACCATAGAAATCCAGGCATTTTCGGTACATGTGAAGAAGCCGGCCGCGTTGCTAGAGTCGCACATGGTGGTGCCGTTGGCTTGGCAGTATATTTTTGCCGGAGACAGGGACGAATAGGTGGGTGATAAAGCGCTGACAGACGAGGACGAGGAGCCCAACACATCGACAGACGAGGACGAGGAGCCCAACACATCGACAGACGAGGACGAGGAGCCCAACACATCGACAGACGAGGACGAGGAGCCCAACACATCGACAGACGAGGACGAGGAGCCCAACACATCGACAGACGAGGACGAAGAACCCAACACATCGACAATGTTGCTTTGCCCGGTGATGATATCAACATAGTTGTCACTGGCACTCCGAACAGTAAGGTTGCTTGTGCTTGCATTGCTTGATCCCGAGCTGGAAGTTGCTCTGGTAATAGCAATGCTTGACGTGTTTTCCTCAACAGTTGTGGCACCAATTGTCACAGTTGATGGGCCGTCGAGGCCACTGAGGTCGCCGAGATTATCGGAAATGGACGTGTGATCTACATATAACCGATTAAAATACAGAAAATGATTAGTTAAACAGTTAAATTTAAAATATTCGCCCAAACAATTGGCATTTAGCATATTTGAATTTATATATTAAATGTGTACGTCCAATAACTTACCACTACTGATGCTTTGGCCAACGGAAAGTGCCGCAAGGGCCAGTGTAAAGAATGTCGCTGTCTTCATTGTTTGATTTTTTAGAATGCAAAAGTACAGTATGGAACGTTAAAGTAAAAAATATGTTTGTGTGTGTGATTCAAAAATGAAGTTCGTTTAAAGTGTTGGCAGTTTATTAATTTAAAATGTTATTTTAATATACGGGTAGGTGAATTCAATGGATGCAAGGGATGCAAGGGATGCAAATGATGAGGAGAAAATGTCGTGAAAATGAAGAGAGAAGGCACGAATAAATAAGAAAATTTTGTACATCTAGAGTGCAGCCCAGACAGGCGTCCTTTTAAACAATGTTAGAACGCTAAGCGTCAAAGAGAAAATTACAGTCTTTGCTGTTCAAATGGGTTGGGGTTTTGTGGCAATGGTGAGAAGCGCGGGTATACTTGTTATTTTTCCCTTTGAAGTATGCATTTGGGAAATGGGGCTGGCGCCCTTTTGATTTCTTTGTGTGTATAGTAATTGCCAGAATAAACGAGTACAATGAATCTTTATTAAAACAGAAGCTGAGGAAACCTCCAATTGAACCTTCCATGCTGCCATTTTACAGGCAGTAGTTATAAAATCCTGGCCGCTGCTGCATTAATACCTGCTTGGAATTGACTTAAGCTCAGCTGAGCAGAGAGCTTGCGAGCTATGTGGTGAGAGCCACCACAGTGTGTATGCAGAGGATCGAATTATAAAAAGTATAAAGGGCCGCGCTACAAAGGAGAAGGAATTCACAGTGGTGGATCAGCGAACCCCCATGTAGACTAGAATATTACTTTGTGGGTATTTTAGTAATACCTGTTTGCCTCTGTGTCTCCTCATCTAAATTTGAACTGGGCACAGAAAGCAAATCCAGAAGTGAGGACAATCATCGTGTAGCTTGCACACTGAACTTTAAATAGTTTTTATATAGCTTCTTTGGTGTTTAAAAATAGAATTTTGGTGTGGGGTGATTCAGTTTGATAACTTGAAATTCGGGAAAGTGTAAGATTTCAACCTGTTTTTATTGCGGCATCTCATCTTGAGTCCAAAAACTCAGCTGTTTAAACTTTGTCCATCATGTTTTCCATGCCAATTGTTGAAAATTATTCACGGTTGTAAAAACAGCAAAATACTAATTGATTGTTTGTTGTTGTTATTATTGCTGTTGTATGTAACCTTGGGATTGACTGTCGACGTTTTCGTTCAAAAGAACGGGTAGATGAATCAGGTAGTTTCCGTCTCTACGTTGAAAGAAAGGTATACACCATCTGGCACTTTATTTTCTCACTTTTGCAAAGTCGTACCCTTTGAAAATAATAAAGCTCTGCACTCGAAATAGAATCCGGATACATGGTAAAAATTATTTGATAATCAATAGTATTTGAAAGACAGCAAGCTACATCTAGAATGGTAAATTCAGAATTAAACATATAATCAATTGAGATTAGCGTAAAAGCGAGGTTTCCAAAATATATTCACGAACCCGCATTGTTGCAGATAGCCTGAAAGTACACACACCACGCATGCACATGCACACATATGCCCGGTGTGTTGCATCTTCATAAAAAAATACAAAATTAATATATATATTGTGTTTGTGTTTGTGTTTGTGAGAGCGACAGAAAAATAAAAATATGTCTTGTTAGGCTCTCTTGCGTATCACCTGTTTAACAATTATTTTATTTTAAAATGTGCAAACGATGCTGACAATTTTGTTTTGCATATGCAGGCAAGAAATATTACTGCTTGTCAGAGTATATGCGAGTGTAGTTTTGGCTGGGTGCGTGCGTGCATGCGTTTGATTGACCGCTCAGCTGGACACAATAATAAGGCCAATTTGTAAGCAGAAACATGCCGCTCAATAAGAACAACAGCCAGGTCGACACATGCAACTGGCAATTTGAATTTGAATAAATGGCCAATACCTCGAACATCGTCGTAGTTGTTCGTTGGGCCTTTAAAAAAACTTCAGGTTAAGAGAACTGTCGGACAAATAACCCAAGGGTAGTCGTGCAATTTCGCGTATGTGGCATGTGGATCTAGACATTATTGTAACTTAATAATGATGTGCAAAGCGCATAAATTACTTTTTGTTTGTTTATGGAATGTGTACACTTTAAACCCGGACAATAAGATAATATTTGTACAGCGCCCCCACGTGCCTCTTGCTTTTTTCGAGGATAATACATACAAGCAAGCTGCGCTTTGTGCTTTGTGTTATGTGGGAGTGAATAATGCGATTCCGCGTTTCTCAGTGACGCAGCATCTACAGATCGACAAACAGAAAACTGGTGGGTGGGTGCAATTAAAAAACAATATTTTCTTACTTTTCCGGGTCGTATTTTATTCTTAGGTTGTGGAGTCAACGAAAAAAGAGGCAAGTGATATCTGGACAATAGGATTGTCCAATGTGAGCACATGGGCAAGGAAATATGTTGTGTATGGCTGCCTTTTTTGCTTCTGTGTACCAAGGAAAGGAGGCTGAAAAGGGAATATGATTTCCCGAGATAAGAGAAAAATAAAGTGTAAGGTGATAATCTGTTGTCATTTTTTTAAACGACACGTGCAGAGTAAAGTGTTTGACGCTGTGTATACCTGGATATGTGTTCCCAATGCAGAAATAACAATAGTCGTCGGGAAACTGTATTTACTGGAAATCGCAATTTTCGAGATACACCCTATTTTTTTATGTTTTCTTTTTGTCTGCGGACACTCACTCGGGGTTTGGACAAACAGTTGTCAAATTTCAGGACGACAAAGTCGGAGAGAATAACCCAAATTGAATACGGTTTTTTGACAAAAAAGAAAATAACAATAAAACAAGCTGCAATGTCTATTTCTGCCCCATAGAGAAGCTCTTCCAGCGAGAACGCAAACAACAGCAAACAACAACAGCAAACAACAACAACAGGAATTAATGTGCGTGGGATTGAAGGTGTAGTTGACAATACAAAATAGTCCGCCTGTCCACCCACCATATATTGCTACTTTACTGTCAGTTGAACCGCCCCCAGCCAATCAACCCTTTGTCGAGAAGCACAGATTATCTGCATCGGCATTTCTGTCTCAATTTCAGTTGCCCAAAAATAAACACAATACGCCCGCTGCTGTTGAAATCGGTGTTATTGTTGTTGCCAATTTAAATCGAGAATACTCAGCTGACCCATGTATTAGAGCCAATGTCAGCAATGGGCTTTTTGAACATGTGCGCTGACTCTCAGGCAAGATAGGGGGTGAAGGGGGAAGCAGGAAACAATGTATCTTTGCTGTGAGTGAGGGTGCGAATGGAGGTGGAAACAGACGAAATTTAGGCAGAAGGGTTGGTGCCGAGTTAATAGCGTGCTCCGCTCTTCACCTCACCTCGCTGCCTCGGCTCCTCAGCCGCCGTCTTCATGCAGAGACGAACAGAAAATCGTCCACACACTATTTGGCCATATTTAGGGTCAATTTTTTGGCGCAATAGTCACTCCACAACGCATCGTCCTCTCATCATCGTGCGAGCGGGAGATTAACTCATAGGTCGCCGATGACGCACTATTATATTCACTGGGAGCATCGGGATTACCGACGGAGCTGCCCGAAATCCCAATAAAAATTAAAGTCAAGGTGTTGTTCAGCAAATGAGAAAAAAGATGTGGAAATCGATTCGAATTCCATCTGGATTCTATCATTGCTTTGATGACAAAAGCGTATTACCCGTCAGCGCCCAGGTTAGTCACATAGAGCCCATGGCAGGCTCTGCTTAATTGCCTGTTGCTGGCCAGAAAATGAAAAATGGCACCACGGCACTATCGATCACGAAATGGTAGCGCAAAATGACTCGTTTGCATCAGGGCCAGGCCACGATTGGCGCTGCCCATAGGAGGGGCGGTTTCTTATTTTGCAATCATGGTGCTAAAGAGTGCCATGATTTTATATTCTGCGCTTTGGGCAGAGGAGAATGCTCAGCAAAAAATTCAAAATAATTTAGTGTGCGTCATATCAAAGGCCGATGACCCACTTTTTCCCACTTTTTTCTCGCCCCTGCGTCGATATCGCAATCATCGCTGATGCGTCAGGTCATCAGCAGCCAATGAGGAGGCGAGAATGCCACTTATTTTTTATATTTTTAGGGAGGGCGGGTAAGCGGAGGGGGGAGGGGGGGTCGGAAAGGAGGGGGTGCAGTGTGCTTCCCACCCGCCCGCACCCGCAATCTCTCCGACCATTTTTTTCTTATGCGCACTTCTGTTGCATGAACTTTTTCGAAGAATCTCGAAAACACTCGCCTCTGACAAGAGCATTATTACGAGCAGGTTTTTGATTGGGCCTCTGTCCTTTCGCGCACTCGCTTACTGCAGCGTTTAGAAAAAGCACATCACACCATCCAGTTAATTTATTTTGCAACAAAGCCTGGCTTGACTTCGCCCACTGTTTGCTTTTCTGGTATAAAACTTAGCTGCCGCGGCTTTACTTTTTGTGCTTTCGTCTTTTGCATACACATTAACTTGTAACCTTTTCTCCCCCTTTTCTTGATTTTTCTTGACAGTGTCTTCCTTGACTCTTAAGCTTTTTTGCAAAAGAAAAAGGACACTTTAACATTTTAATGCTTTCCTCCTTATAAACTTCCACGCCTTGTATCCTATATCATTTAGGTTTTTTTAATCGCAAGCACCAAAACATTCAACGACCAACCTCTGTGTTTATATAAAGCGCAGGTCCGTCTATTTTTCTTCTTTAACACGCACTTGTACTATTACCAACCACACAAACAACAACAAAATTATCAGCAATGGACACTAACTGGTGCACTTTCTGCGGAACACACATCGACTGTGCCGATGACGCGCTCTACTGCAGCGAAGCTTGCCGCCACAACGACGGAGCTAGCCAAATCAATCCGCTGTCAATAACCAGGACCTCGAGTATCAGCATCAAAACCAGCTCCCACAGCGAGTACTTCTCTCTCGCATCGCCCTCGTCCTCGCCCCTGGCGTCATCGCCTAAATGGCTTCCACAGACACTGACCCGCGAGCGCACGCCCTCGTTGACACCAATGACTGCTCTGGACTTGTCCGCCAGGCTTCCATGCCACGCGCCGGCGTACTCTCCGTCACGCTCCCCGGTGTCGTCTAATTTCTACCAGTCACCGTCCTTTGGCCCGAGCATGACGGACATCCGTGTCCGCAACAGCCCGGTTCCCTTCTCTCAGTTGTCGACCATGTGATTGTCTTTTTAAAATCTCGGCTCCTTAAAAAAAGGTTACTCGTTGAGTTCTTGGAGTGTGGACACCATCACTTCCTTCTGTATTTCTTCCATCGCCTGCAAACGCGGCCAAACATTCAAGCATGCAAGCAGCCAACATCGCGCGCACAAACACGCGCACACATATTCATGTACTCCGCAACAAACGCACTCGAGCTGACACAAGCAACAGCAAAAACATAAAAACATTAATCAACAGTCATTCATTTTTTTAATTTCCCCAATTTTTTAAAGGAAACCACCCCCTAGCAGTTTTCTTTTTTCAGTTAGGAAAAAAAAGTGACACGAGGCGGAGAAAAGGGGGGAAATACTGTGGCTTTTTTGTATATAAGCATTATTTTACATTATTTTCTAAAATTGCAAATAAAGAGATGTAATTGTTTCATTTTATTGATTGCTTAGATTTTTTATTATTGTGCCAATTTTTTCAAGGGAATATTAAAATTTTAGCCACTTGTGTGCCCACCCTCATTTTTTACGTGCCTCGCAGCAAAATAAATATTGGACGTGGCCTGCATGCCAAAATAAAATTTGGACAATTCAGTTTTTTTCTCTTTTTCTTCCAAGCGCACGCCAACTTTTCGGCGGTAAATACAAAAAAGTTTATACTGCCAGTAAATGGGGATGGAGTTTCAATTGAGCACAGACAAATCCTGACTGACTGGGAAAAACATTTACGCGGAAATGATTGCCACCTTGTTGCCTCTTTTCTTCTTCCTCAATGCTCTCTTTGGGCTGTTATATGGTCACTTGACCATTTCTTCGCACTGCAAGGCTTGAGAAAATATCGACATTGTAATACAAAACATAACAAAACTGTTGCCAATAAAAAATTGCAAAAAAACAGTGTAGCAATATGGCATTAGCAGGCGCAGATAAATAACCTGATGGGTTTGTTTCGTTGCATTTGTATTGCACAAATAATATCACCATGTGGTTTCGGGCGAATTACATACATAAATTGTTTTTATTTCTTTCAAGCTGACCAACAAACACCTTCATTTAAAAATGCATGTGTCGAGGTTGCATATATTAACGCAGACATGCATTATTTGTGTCGCAATGACCATTGGCACAATTTTTTTTGGAAATTATGTCTAAGCACAACATAGATGGTCGCACACACGGACATTATAACAACCTATCATAAATATGTGAGTATGTGGTTGTGGTGGTGTTGGTGGCGGCGCCGCCATTGTTTATTGTACGGTGAGAGGATAGGCCAATTGATATTGAAATGGCTCTGGTTTTTTTAGACATTCATACTAAAAATATTAGTTGACATAACACAATCCCAAATAAATAAATACCAACACAGTGAGCATAATGGAATGCCACACCATGTCCAAAATATTGGATGTTATGTTTAATAGCAGATTCTCGAGCAAAAATAGATTAAAAATGCAAGGCGTTAGGCGCAATCAGTTTTTTTATTTGCTCAATCCAGCAAAAGCAAAAAACTACACATTTCGAGATAATGAAACGCGCACAAATTGAGAAAATGCTCTTTTGGCCAAATGGTTCAGTGGGAGCAAGCAAGAATGTATGTATGTATGAAAAGAGATATGTATCCAACTTCAATCAAATCCCACGCTCAATTATCTTTTTGGTTCTCGGGTCGATAGTGCACAATTATGCTTTTGTGTCAACATTTTGCTCTACTACACACACCATAGTGCGTCTAATTGCCTGCAGGGCTTGAGAACTGAGAGTAGGGGATTGAATTGGGTTTTTTAATTGAGCAGTAGCGGCACGAATAGCAGCTTTTTTGCTACTGCCTGCCAAAAGAATAGGCGCATTATTGTTTCTGTACTCACTTTAATATCCACCAATTTATAAAGCTTTGAGATTGCTATCTGTTTGGACTTTTATGCGGGGGGCAAGGAAATACTTTTAGCAGCAAAATAGAATATATTAATCAACAGATCACACAATCAACCTGCTTCTTGATTTGCGCCATTTCCACCGGCTATTAAGCTCACATCCATAGTTCTAAGAGCTTAAAAAATCGAAACCAGAAGCGCACAGGCGAAGAAAAAAAATAATAGCCAAAAAGTTCAGCGAAGCACAGAGTTCACTTCTCTTCCAAAAACTCGATTTTATACATCAAGGTGCGTATCAAAAACAGACAACGATGGATGCGGCGATTATTTAAGGCGGGTTTGATGATGGATGCGTGGACACCGACAATAGTAACGGCAACGATGTGAAGACGAATCCGTATATGTCTGGGCTTCGTGGTGTGGGCTATTTATTTTATGAAGGGTACAACGAATTCAGCTACTTTTGAATTTGGCGGTAAATTCAAATTCGTGAATTTTGAATTTCGGTATCATTTGAAATGGGCAGGCTTAAATTGGTTTGGCGGCGGGTGCATTTTATTTTACGAATGCAGCGGTATTGGCCTAGCCGCTGTTGCTAGCACTGCCGCCGGCTATTTGCCTTTGCGGTTACTAAAGGAAAATATGTGCTGTGCAGAGTTTGAGGACTGCAACACTACCCAGCTTTGAATCTGCTGTCGACAGCCGTTCTTTTTTGCCTAAAATCAACTTTTCCGCCTGTTGGGCCGGTGCCTTTAGCGTGAAAAGTCGAAGACAACAGAGATAACGCGAACCGTTTTCAGCCATAACTTGAGCAGCAGCAACCAAAGGTGCACACACAACCACGCACAACCACGAAGACACCAAATACAGCGACACCAGAGAGCGAGAGCTATCAGCCAGTGGTCCACATAACTGCCATCTATTATTCACGTCCAAGCGCATAATAAGCGCTGCTAGCTTCCAACAAGCGCGAAAATACGCCAAAAGAAATGGGAAAATCAGACCGCCCGAAACTAAACTCTTTCAATATCCTGTGCTGTTGTAATCATCTGCCCCATGTAGTAACTGAAAATGGGTCGCCGTCCTGCTCGCTGCTACCGCTACTGTAAGAACAAGCCTTACCCCAAGTCTCGTTTCTGCCGTGGTGTCCCCGACCCCAAGATTCGCATTTTCGATCTTGGCCGCAAGAAGGCTCACGTCGATGACTTCCCCCTGTGCGTGCACCTGACCTCCGACGAGTACCAGCAGATCTCGAGCGAGGCTCTTGAGGCTGCCCGCATTAACGCCAACAAGTACATGGCCAAGGTCTCCGGCAAGGACTCCTTCCACTTGCGCATTCGCGTTCACCCCTTCCACGTTCTGCGTATCAACAAGATGCTGTCGTGCGCCGGTGCCGATCGTCTCCAGACCGGTATGCGTGGTGCCTACGGTAAGCCCTACAGCACTGCCGCCCGTGTCAACATTGGCCAGGTTCTGCTGTCGGTCCGCACCAAGGACAACAACAAGGCTGTCGTTATCGAGGCTCTGCGTCGCTGCAAGTACAAGTTCCCCGGTCGCCAGAAGATCATTATCTCCAAGAAGTGGGGCTTCACCAAGCTCACTCGCGAGGAGTACGTCGAGGCCCGCAGCAACGGCATGGTCAAGCCCGACGGATGCTACGTCAAGTACCTCAACACCCGCGGTCCCCTCGCGGCTCACCTGAAGGAGATCGCTGCCTAAGCAACCCTATTTTTAAAATGATGTTTTGCTTGTCTAATATTGATCGATTTTTCAATTTGTTCCGCAACAGAAAAGCACACTGCTTTTCAAAAGAAAAAAATTAATTTGAGAGAAGTATTAAAACTCGGACAGGGGTGTTTTTACTTTTATTTTATTTTATTTTTATTTTTCTGCTGTTTTTGCTTAAAAACAAAAGCAATTACAGAGTTAAATAACAGGACGTGTCTCATTTATGTTGGTGAGTGTATGTATTATTTTGAGAAAGGAAAAATTGGCATCGATCATGGTCGATATTAAAAGATGATTGAAAACAAAAAAGTTAAAGAAAAAGCACGGCACACGCCCTCCAGATTTTCATTTGCTTGATTTGGAAGTGGCAGAAAACAGCAGGCAGGTTGGAAAAGAGCTACATGAGAATCTCGTGGTCCGATTTGAACTGTAGTTTGTGAGGGGCAATGGAGAATTGCAAAGCGGTCGAGGGGTCGGAGGCAGCAAGGAGCTGAGCAGAGGGGTTGAATGCTGGGTTGAACAGAACCGATTGTCTGTTTTCAGACGTCGGCGTCGGGGTGGGCGACAGCGAAGACGACAAGGAGCTAGTATGCGGGTGCAGCATCGACCTCGACTTTGGCAGGCCAATAATATGCGACTGCGTGGTATTGGCCAAAGCCGACGGGTCTATAAAGTCGTGCGCAGAACCAGGTGCATTAAAGTACATCGACAGGTTATGCGCCGAATGATTCTGGACCAAGGGCATGGGCTCAAGGCTGCTATGTTGCTGGCTATGGCTATGATGCGACGCAGCAGCGACGTTCACGCCGGACATGGCCATGGCAGTGGCAGCAGCGGCAGCGGCAGCAGCAGATGTGGTATCGTTCGAGAGCATCATTTGTGAAGACGGCAGTGGCGCAGTGAATGAGTGGTGGTGGGTCATTGGGCGATTATACAGCGGGTGCGAGTAGGAGTAGGTGAAGGCTGTCGCCGGCTGCTGCTGTTGCTGGCCGAACATCTGCGTGCTGATGGGCAGGTTGGAGGGCAGCTCGGGCGAAGCGGTTGACTCGGAGCCGCTCTCAGAGGTCAGGCGCGGGAACTGGGCGGTGAATGAAGCGGCCTGCTGCTGTTGCTGAATTTGTTGCTGCTGCTGTTGGTGATGTGTTTGCTGTTGGTGTTGGTGCTGGTGCTGGTGCTGGTGCTGTTGCTGTTGCTGCTGTTGTTGTTGTTGTTGTTGTTGTTGTTGTTGTTGTTGCTGTTGTGTGTTGGCCGGCTGGTTGTATACAGACAGGTAGTCCATTATCTGCATGATATACTGCTGCGACATGGGCTCGGCGGTTTGCTGCTGCTGTTGCATTTGTTGTTGCTGGTGCTGATGCTGTTGCTGCTGATGTAGCGGATGGGAGTAGTGTGGGATGGGTGGCTCTGCATTGTCCTCCGACAGTTGCGGGAACGCCATCGCCGGCGGAGCCATCTGCGACGCGGCCAGCTGCGGCGGGAAGGGCAGCGGCTGCGAGAGCAGCATTGGGTTGAACGCCATGGACATGCCAGAGGAGTGCTGCGGGTGAGGAGGTACCGGCGGGGCCATAGTCGCCTGGGCCAGGGACAGCGGGTCCTCTTCGCGAATAGGCTCAAAGGTGTGCCTACGAGGACGCGTAATAAACGACGGGCGCATTAGCACCGGTGGCGGCATCGGAAGCATCGTGTTAGTCTCCTGCTGCAACGACAGAGCCTGAGCAGCATACGCGGCAAAGTCGCGGAACGCACGCGAGGCAAACAGTGGGGCGCGGAACAGCGGATGCTGGGCAACCACCGATGCCGTGCGCGGATCAGCCAGCAATGCAGCGGCGTCCTGGATGAGCACCGTGGCGAGCTCGCGCATCAGCCGGCGGCTGGCATTGCGCTCGGCGCGCAGGACGTCCTCGGAGTGCGCAGCGGCGCTGACGCTATGCGAGCGATGACGAGCGAACTGCGGCTTGGCCTGCTTGGCCGGCATTTCGGCGCCGAGCCAGGGGAAGACCATGGCGGCCAAGTGCTCAGGCACTTGCAGGCGTGTGCGAGCCGGCATGCGAAGAACATGTGTGGAGACCTGCGCTGGCGGTGGGACTTGGCCGGCCAGCACCAAGGTCAGGTCGAAGAACGTTTGCTGCCGGGTAACGCCGGTGCGGCGGTGGTGCACGCGCCATTTTTCTAGCCTCACGACCTGCGGCGCCGACAGCCCCAGTGCCTCGGCCATCTGCTTGTCGCGCCGCCTGATGACGTGTGACTCGGGAGACGCGCGCACGCGTCCTGTGGCTTGGGAGAGGAGCGGGGTAATTTCGTCGAGCACCATTTGCACCCGGGCATCATCGGGCAGCAGCACGCGGGACTCGCCCGTGGCCGCCTGGAACAGCGGCTGAGCAAGCCAGGCGCCGGCATCGCCCGTGGCCGCAGAGGCTAGTGACGAAGGGGCTGCCTGCCATTGGGTAAAGATTAGCGCGGCAATGGCAAACCAGGGGCACACCAGGGCGTTGACGTGCCTTGCGGCGGACACCTCGGCATAGCGTGCAACAGCGGCGGTCGGGTCGGGGTTGACGCGGAACTCGAGGAATGGCACTGTTGTGTGCTCGACCAGCCGCGCGTCGGTGCGAAGCGCCATGGCCAGAGTGTCGAGTCGCAGGTGCAGTGCGCGAGCTCCGGGAATCCAGGTAGCGGCACCGAGCACGTAGTAGGCCCAGGCCTTGATGGACGAGCTCATGTCGGTGTCCGAGTTCAGCAGCTCCCTGATAATGCCGTCCTCTTGCTCAGGACCCACAGCCAGTGCGCTGTACTGCCGCTCCGTCATCCGCGGCTGCTCGCTGGCTGTGGCTTCGCGAATGGCATACTTTGTGTTGAGGTAGCTCAGCGCATGCAGCGGGTTCTCTTCGTCGGGACCTCGATACCGCCGCCACAGCGCCAGGATGCCACCCTCAACGTATCGGCGCGCCGACTGGTATGACATGGAGCCGCCCGAGCCGCCGGTCTTGCACGGCAGCCGCGGTGTCTGCGTAGCCCAAGTCAAAAAACCAGACAGCTTTTCTTCATTCACCCGAGTGTAGTCCGGCTGTGGGAGCGTGCGACAGAAGCGAAACCAGGCACATACGTGGGTCACGTAGGCCTTGACGGTCGTCACGGAGCACTGGTGGTCAGGGTCAATGAGAGTTTTCGCCAGCATGACGTCTTGCGAGTGACCGTCGTACAGGTCCTTGCTGCCGCCTGTCCGCGAGCGCTTGCGCTGCTTGGGCGCCTCCTCCATGACGGAGACTGCAATGCGCTTTGACGCGAGGTCTGTGAATGACATTATGACTCTGGCTGGTCTGTATGCAGGAGTGGTTTAATGCGGTTCAATAAAGCCGGTCTGCTTGAAAAGAAAAAAATAATGCAGCTGACCCAACGAAATTTATGTTCAAGCCACGGCGATTAAATAACAGTCCACCTGTTTGCGCCTCCCCAAAACAAAGAAATGAAACAACAAAGATGATAGGCGGAGTGTAAAAAAAAAAGTAGCTAAACGGTCCGGTCTGTCCACTTAAATGCTTGAGATTGGATTGGTCACCCCCACTTTTTTATGCTGTAGGCACTGTGTACTATGTAGAATTAAAAATGAAAATACACGCCGGGTGCTATGCAAAGCTACGGCTCAGTCAGCAAAGAAAGGAGTAGAGTGATAAGTGTGGTGTTCGGATAAACTGTTCACGGAACAAAAAAAGGATAGTAGAGACCTCAGGTGGATAAAAAAAATGGACTAAAGGAGAATACTGGTATTTCGAGGAAACAAAAAAGATAGTAGCTAAAGATATATAAGGCTGGTTGTGCTGTAACAGCTTGGCAGTATAGTGTGGATGAATGAATAGATAGATGGATAGATATATGTTTATGCGAAAAAAGGATAAGAAATAAAAAATATGAAGGAAAAATAGATGCTAGGAGCAATGGGGAGAAGAAAAGAGAAAAAAGTTCCAAGAGGATCCTCTCTATACTTCAAGTATATGGAGGACAAAAAAATAAAATTGGGTGTAAAACGAAGCGAGAAAAAACGGACCACGCAAAAAGAAAGAAAAAAACGAAAACAACACAAAAAAATTCTGTGCCTCATCCACACGCTGCTAATCGCCCCCGTCTCCCTTTTTTTACAATCCGAAATAACGGAAAACCTGCTTTCACTCACAGAGCGAAAGAAGCGCAAATAAAAAACGAGCGGCGATTCTCTGTCAGCATCGATGTGAAGAGTAATTTTGTGGAAAATATACTGAAGAATGAAGCAATGCGCCAAACAATGAAGAATCGCAAATATGAATATAAAGGCAAAGCCAAAAAAAGTAGACGAATAGGCCTACAAAATTAAATATATCCTTGTTACTAGCGCAGGAAACCGAGCAAACAAACAAAACAAAAGACATTTGTTATTTCTCACGAATTTATTTGTATATTTATTATTGCCTCATCTTGACTTGTGCCTACATGCTGCACTTGCAATTGTTATACAGATATCGCCTGCCGTATATCATTAGCGCATGTCGCGGCACATTTATATACCGTTTGGCCGTTTGACCGTACGCCAACACACGTACGAGTATATGAACATATATGCACGCAAGCCAAAAGATTGCAGCCCGTGCCTGCGCTTTTTTATTTACCGCAATGTTGTCAGTTAGAAAATGCGGGAAAACAAGCCTGGCGCATGGTCAGATACAAAATAATAAAACATGGACGCCGCTCATTATTTTTTATAGCCGAACAAATCAATGGCGATTTTCTTTATTTTGTTCTTCAAATGCACGCACACAAGGGGGAGGGAATTGCAGTGCCAAGTATCCATCGTGTACATTGATGTTCTGGTTTTGTTTTCATCTTGGAGGGGGGCGGGCTTTATTATTTTTTATTGCCTCTGGCTGACAACGTGCTGTGCGGAATAAAGAACAAATAAAAAATGTATTCGCTGAATAAGGAAATACGACAAAAAAATAATAATAAAATTGCAAAACAAACGAGTTCAAAGCAAGCACAATGCCTATTATTCTTTGATTTTCGTCCCGCATTATTTTCACGTATTCTGTTCTTTCCACGACTTTATAAATAGAGCTTTTTCGCTGTTGATAAGAGTATCGACGATTCGTGGAAGCCACAATAAAAAATTATGTTTAGACCTTGCTCTCAACTGCACGGAAAAATAACGATACCAGCAACAGCAAGGAGGGAGGGGAGCAACAGAAGTGGAGAGCGGCCGGAAGTTTTGGAATTGATGTACTCGAGTGATCTTTTTGATGGTGTCTGTCAGCGATCGTCGAAGCCACCTCTTTCTGAATGCTGTGGCGAGCCACACAGTCCACGATTTATACATATAAAAAGAAATAACCACAAAGGGCCACAAGTATGCTCAGCTGTCCTTAACAATCAATCATGCAATCGAGTGAGCAATCGACCCGAATGAGCAAATTTATTCGCTTGAGTAAATCATCTTTGCAGCACAACGAAATAAGCAAAACATGTCAGAACACATGCTACATGTTAAATTGTCATTGTCGTATTTTTTTGCTTTCAAAATAGTATTCCAGCCCCAATCTCATGCATGCATGGCAAATAGCAATATTCTTTATAAAAGAACTGGATCTAACATAAATTACTCTATCTATCTATCTATCTTGTTTTGTCTATCAATTGTCCTTCTTCACTTCGGTCGCAGCCTTCTTCTCGGCAGCCTTCACAGTCTCAGCGGCGCTCTTGCTACGCAGCGCTCTGTTGAGATAATACCCACCGACAATCGACACGCACCCGCCCACGAGGAAAAGCGACATTGTCAAGAAGAACATGTCGGCTGGGGACATCTCTGAGTTTGCACGGTCGTCAAACTCGGTCTTGATGATTCCAAGGTTGTCGAAGATGTCGACAAAACCCGCTGTCGCGCTGGCCATGACGCTGGCTACTGTCTCTGTGACCTGTGAGATGCTATCGCTCATCGTTATTTTAAATTGATTGAGTTAGAATTGGCTGCTTGTGTGGATGATCGAACCGGAAACGCTACGATATTGTAAAAAAAATATAGGTGAAAAAGAGGCACTCACATTTCACATGTCCAAGTATTATTATTAGTAGGAGACGTTAAAAAAGGAAGAAAAGATGGTTTACAGATCCAATATCATAGCGTACAACCACAATCACACTCCCTCTCACACCCTACTCCCATGACGCGCACTGCATTGCACATCACCGCACTGCATTGCACATCACCGCACCGCACCGCACCGCACTGCACCGCGCCGTGCCACTTCAGAGAAGAATCTGGGAATTTTCCACAACTGAATTCACATTCCAATTCATACCTCTCGAGAATAAAAAAAACAAAAGTCTGCAAAAAATAGCAAAAATGAAAAGTGGGAAAAGAGAGAAATATAGAAGTGGGATGGAAAGAGATGATGTTTGTTAAACTGCGCGTTACTTTACTGGCGCAAGATGGAAAAAAATACGACTGTCAAACGAGCGCAGAGTGGGCAGAATAGGCGGAGGGGAGCAGAGGGAGATGAGGGAGATGAGGTGATATTTCCAATAATTAAAATTGATAGTAAGAACCAATAGAAGCAATATATGCAAGTTAATGCGAAAGAGGCAAGTAGCTGGAGATAATAATGTAAAAGCACTTGTACCTTTTAAGCATATATAATTTCGTCCTAGTTTTTGATATTGTTTACATTGGGCGTGAGGAGCGCGCAGCCGCTTACGATGGGTGAGGGGGCGTCAGGCCAAGCGTATTAAACGCCGCCTGCTTTATGGGTAAAAAAGGTTCGAGGCAGAGCCCGAAAATTGCAAATAACTGCTTTGTGGCAAATTATTTTTTCAAAGGTCAAAAAAGATTTAAAGTGCTGAGCTTTCAATGCCCTTGTTTGCGCCACGAGATGGCTTGATGTGCAATTAATTCACATTTTTACACAAAAAGAAAGGTTTCTGTGGGTTTAGGCTTCTCCACACATAGTACGCGTGGAGGATAGCCGCTCATCCCACGCCTCCCCGCTCACCACGTCCGCTTAAGACGGCGCGGCAGTGCGGGAGGGGATCAAAGGAACAAACGTTGCCGAGATATGCCGGCCGTCAAAATATCGCTGGTCCAGGGCATCCCGCGCGCGAGCAGCCGAATCCAGATCAGCAAACTGCACGTAAATAAGCACGCCCTCAAACGGGGACCCGGGGTTATCGACAGTCGTAGCCACACAGTGCACGACGCGGCCAAAGGCGCTGCACTCCTCCTCGGTCTCTGCCTCCAGGCTGTCGTCAATATCGTCGGCCATGTTTGTTAGCACAATGCACATTGACGGCTCGCCGATGGGTATTTGGCGTTTGCGGTCCAGCCTGCGCTCTCGCTTGTGGTGCTGTAGCCATGTCTTGTACGTCTGGTAATTGTTGGGCGCTGCTGCGTTGTACTCCTCAAACGGCTCAAACACAGGCTTGCCTTTGCGAGCCAAGGGGCGCGCGGCAGCCGGCATGTACTCTGACAGCGAGCGCGGAATGACCTGGCTCGTGTCTGAGGGCTTCTGCTGAGCTGCTCCGGGTTCGTTCGATGTCGTAGCCTGTCCCAGCGGGTTTTCTTTGGCTGTAGACACTGCGTTCCATTTTGATATCAGCGATGCTGGGTCGTGTGGATGGCTGTGCGGGTGCTTTGATGTCGTGGCCGTGTTGCTACTGACAATACTGTGCTTGGCTGCAGTCTTTGGCCGCCGCAAATTCGGCACGAATTCAGGGCGCACCCATGCTTTGCTGCTATTTACCTGTGGTATGTTGCTGGTCTGACTGGGTTGCTGCTTATGTTGCTCCTGTGTTGTCTGCTGCTGTTCCTCTCCGGGTCTGGGTTCAATTGGAGGCAAATCGCCGAAAAGTGACATAATTGGCGAACAACGAGTAAAAAATAATATTATTTGAACATACAACAGACGGAAAAGGAATGAGCAAAAAAAATTCACTGCGGTCCAGCAAAATGCTCTGCCACCACACGGCGCTGGATCTTGCCTGTCGCCGTGCGCGGCAGCTCGCCGGCAATAAAAACGCGCTTGGGCACCTTGAACTTTGCCACATTGTCGAGCATAAACTTCCGTACCTGCTCCTCCGTCACCTCGGCGCCAGCCTTGGGCACCACAGCGGCATTAACCTCCTGGCCGTACATCTCGTCCGAGACTGCAAAACTCACAGCTTCGCCCACGCCCGGGCACTTGAGCAGCATGGCGTCAAGCTCGAGGGGTGAGATCTTCTCGCCGCCGCGGTTGATCAGCTCCTTGATGCGACCGGTCAGCACGAGGTAGCCGTCGGGGTCGATGAAGCCCTGGTCACCCGTGCGGAACCAATGCGAGCCCTTGGTGAATGACTTTTGGTTGGCCTCGACGTTGTTCAGGTACCCTGCGGTGACGTTGGGCCCGCGGATGCAGACTTCGCCCAAGTGCGTCTCGTTGCCGTCATCATCAAGGATCGTCAGCTCGACGCCCTGCGGGATGCCTACGCTCCCCGACTTGTGCTGTGCCGGGGGCAGCGGGTTCGAGCACATCTGATGCGCCGCCTCTGTCATTGCGTAGGCCTCAAGCACCGGCGCGTTAAACTTGTCTTCAAGCTCTGTCATGACAGTGGGCGCCAGAGCAGACGAGCACGAGCGGATGAAGCGGATTTTGGGAACCGGGCTAGGGATCTCGTGACGAAGCAGAATCTGGTGGATCGTGGGGACCGCTGAGTACCAGTTGCACTCTGTCTCAATAAACTCAGACCAGAAGTGGCTCGCAGAGAAGCGCGACGGCACGACGATGGCTCCACCGGCAAACAGAGAAGAGAGGGTTGCGCCGATGAGCCCGTGGACATGGAACAAGGGCATCACGATGAACGATCTGTCGACCTTGGTCAAATTGTAGGTGTTGGCGATATTGAGCATAGAGCGTGCAATATTGGCGTGGGTTAGTGGCACGGCCTTCGGGCGGCCGGTGGTCCCCGACGTGTGCAGAAGCAGTGCGACGTCCTCCGGCTGCGGCTCGACCGCTGCATCCTTGCTTCTAAATGCCACGGGCTCGACAGGCTCGCCCTCTCCAAGCACAGCCAACCTGAGTCCAGCGTCGGATTCCCATCCGACGGTCCACACGACAACGCCCAGCTTGCGCGCAGCACGGACGCCCTCGTTGTCCTCGCTGGTGGCCTCAGGCACAATGAGCACCTTGCTGGAGGCGTCCTCAAGATAAAACTCAATCTCGCTCTGTTTCATAGCCGGATTCAGAGGTGCGGCCACCAGGCGCTGGAGCGTGGTTGCCAGGAATACCAGGAGGCATGTAAGGCTGTTGGGCAGAAGAGACGAGATCACAGTCCCGGTAGGAATGTCGGAGCCAAACAGCGTTTTGGCCTGCCGGCGAAAACGCTCGCTCTGGCCTTTGATGTCGGCGTAGGCCAGAGTGGTTGACTTGGGATTAGAAGATGCCGTGGTCAGGATAGCTGGGTCGGCGCCATTGGTGTCGATGTTACGGAAGATGGAAGCAATTGTGTGTTCGGCTGTAGACATGGCAAGGGTGATTAATATTTAGTTAAAATATGAAGATAAAAACAAAGAGAGGAGAAAAAAGGACAGCAAGTGGTGGGCAGATAAGGTTGGATGGCTGGATGGATTATGTTGGATGGCACCTTCATGCATGTGTTGTTTAGTGCAAGTATGAGGCGCTTGTCGCATTGTCAATGCCTCTGCTCAAAATTATTTCTTCATTATTTTTGTGATTAACCTCACCCTCATCCTCATTCCCCAATTATCAATCCTCTGATTATCAGCGCGTACTAATAAACAAGTCAAGGATCGATCGATCGATGAAATGGCGCGATTTTGGATTCACCCTGCGACATCGCCGTTCGTCTGTATTTCCATCTACGTGTTGTTCGTTGTTTCAAGTCATTGCATCGGGTCACCTGTGTCCAAAATTGGCATAACCAACGCCGCGATAAATAAACCGCGCGCTTGGAAAGTCGAAAATTTAATGGGTAGTTTTTTATTATTGTGCTATACTGAAAAGAGCATATAAAATGGAGCGGCCATTCGAGCGGCAATTAATGTTACATAAAATACAATATAAAAAATTAAAAATAATAAGACGAGGCAACATGTTTTGCTAATTGTAAATTGCTAAATATGCACAATTCAATAATTGATATTTGAACAATATCATAAAACAAAGCCTACATCCAAATAAAACAATGTCCATGTAGAAACCACTAATACAATTTTGTTGATTTGATAAATGACCATGATATTACTTAAATATTTAGATGTTAACATGTAGGCGTGACATTTTTGTCTGTTTATTTGTGGCTGTTGATTGAGAAGGGCTGTTTTGAAGTTTTTTCTTTGAAGATATGATGTTGTTACGCACATCGGGATTTGCAATAACAACTTACCAATGAATACAATTTTTGTTTAATTTTGGCATTGTTACCGAATAACCTAAGCAAACAAATAAAGGATCAATTATTTAACTTAATGTAAATATTATAGTTAATTTCAAAAGGGATAGATTCATTAAAACTTGAAAGCTATATTAAAAAGGTCATCGATAATTGTCGAGCACATTCTAATGACACATACTTTTCCACCACGTCATTACAGCCTGAATGTACAAATTGTAATACTCTTTCTGGGCTTTTTAGCACCATTATAATAAGGCAAGATAATATTATTATGTGCCGACTGACCCCTGTGTTGGTTAAAATATGCCTGTATACGCTTCTCAGCCACTGCCCTTGCACAGTTAAGTTCATTGCTCCACCATGGCTTAGCAAAAAGCTCAATTGAACTATCAAGGCAATATGTAGCATTTCTGGCTGCCCATGATAGACGACACAGCTCATTCTCGGCCTTGTTCATAGCATCCTCATTCAACTCGTAGGTTTGTGAGCTAAGATGGCAGCCGAGGTAGTTTTCGGTAGCTAATTTCCAAACAAGCACTGATTTTTCAGCGAGTCTGTTGAGCTGCGTGCAGCTTCCAAAATGCAAGCACTGTCCTTTGAGACACTCTGCTAAGTAGAGGATAGATGAACTAATGCTTAACACGTTGACAGTAAACTTCATGCCCGGGTATTCTTTTACCGTAATGTTAGGCCTGATGTTCAAAACGCACTGACTCTTGATTGCACTCCCGACTTTGCCAACCTTGAAATCGCTGACCAAGTTGCACATACCTTTGTCAACTCGATACCTATCGCTACCAAAGTCGTTGCCAAATACGATGCGAGGAAGTGTATATTCGTACAATGTGTTCATCCTAGGTGGGCTCGCAGTCATACTATCGGAACCGAATGCTGCGTTGTTAACAATCTGTAAGCGTACAGACGCTTGGCCTTTGGGGCCCAGATCAATGAGAACCATGTCGGAAGTGACCAACACAATCTCGCTTATTAACCCAACAGATGATTCCTTCCACCCAACGAACATTCCACCAGCCATACCAACTTTATCTGACGAGTTAACAGGATAGCCTGGGAAGCGCCATTTCGAAAATGCATTCAAAGAATGGTGCCTATCGTCATATTCACTTGTGTCTGGGCATCCTAGGGCAACAATAATATTGGGCCGCTCAAGAGTATTCATATTTAAAATACTCAAATGGAGCTCATCGCGTTCTTTAATCTTCCCGCAACCCACAAATGCAATTTTCACAGGCTTGTGCGAACGCTTGTCTACGGGCGCATCAGCAGAATCGCAGGCAGAAGCCATATCTGGCTGGGTCGTCGCAGAGATAGATATATTATTATCGTTAATAATGAAATGATCTTCCCTGACTGCATGGCCTTCACATCCTGGGAGGCAATGGCGCAAGTGACATCACCAGGCAAAGGCAGACCGGGAGACAGAGGTTTAAGTGAGCTGCGCTCAACAAACTTATTAAAAATAAGCTGGCCAACTTTCACTCGGAGGGCATCGGCCTCGGCAGCCATAGCGACAATTACAGCGTCCTTCACTGAAAGTCGCTCGTCCTTTGCGGCAAGCTGGACCCTAAGAGCAGCTATAATCTTGTCGGCTAGCTGGCTTGATTGGTTGACACTGTCGCCCTGGCCCTGAGTGGAACCATCCACAGGTTTGTCGGTTTTGCTAGCGGGTGCTTAAATAGTCATTCTTGGTCTTTGGAAAAGTAGGAGATGAAGAGTGAAGAGAGAGATAGTCAAAAAACGAGGAATGAAGCAAAGTGAAATATTGTCAAAAATGCCAATAAAAAATGAAGTGAAGGAAAAAGAAAGAAAGAAAAAGAAAAAAGATGGAATGTGGTGGAAACTGAACATTAATATTCCGGCATATAATAGACTGCGCCCCAAACATTGACAGCCACCGGCAATTGTTGCTATTGTCAATACTGTTGTTAATAGTTTCTGATAACTTTTGGTCCGGCTTTAGAACTTTCCAAACAATTTATAAATACAGTACAAAACAATACAAGCCGAGCCGGGCCAATTTGAAAACATGTTCAAACATTTTGTATTTTTGTGTGTAGCCAATATTTTTAAACTCTCTCACTAAACTCTTACTTCCTGTTACCCAAATAAGTCGGCCTGATGCCTCCATAGTAGATATGGTTCACATCGAGCAGACGCAGGCCGCGGGCCTTGGCAAGATCGCTGGGGATTCTCTGCGTCGTCAGCGCCTCGAAGAACGCCTTGATAACATTCATCGGGTTCCGCGAGCCGTGGATCTTGCCTGCCAAGTCCTGCATTCCAATGCACTCGCAGATCTCATGCATCATCGGCGCAACCCTGCACCCGAATCCGGGGCGTCTAGCCCATAGCTGGAGCTTCGTCGCCTTAAACTTGTGCTCGATATCGTGGTAGATCGTGCGGTTATCATAGCGCGGGAAGTTCTGCATATTTTTGATCGCTTGCCGGGTTGCAATCATGACCGCCCGGGATGCCTCCGCACTCTTACCCTCTCCGTAGCCGGCCGAGCCCATACCGTTTCCAACCACAACCAAAGCGTACATCGACGGGATCTTACCCTTGCGCGTCATCTGGACCGTGCGCTTGACCACCAGAGTCTTCTTCGAGAGCTTCCTAAACTGCTCGTACGGAATCAAGAGGTCCTCGGACCAAAACATGTCGCTCTCGATCGTTGCCTGCATGCCTTTGCCGGGCGGCCGCTTGGGGTACTTGACGAGGAAGTCTTCTGGGGGCTCAAACACGTTGTGCTCGGACCGCACCAGCGCATCCACGTTGGTCGCTGTTGTTGCGCTTGGACCAAGCTCCTTGGCCTTCTGCTTCTTCCACAGCTCAATCACCGAGCTGTTTTCCGTGATGTCGTCGTAAATCGGGTTGAACTTGCTAAAATCGGGGATTTTGCGCGCCTGCTGAACCGTCATCATGTTGTTAAACAGCTGCTCGCCCTTTCCAACAGCCTTGGTTGCTGACAGAGTACGAATTCCTATTGTGTGTCAAAATTTTTCATGTTTCGGGCTGTTTAGAATCACTTGAAATTAACCGTATTTTGTCTCATTTGCCACTGTAGTATATGGCTTTTTCTGCACGCCTTGCTTACCCGCTGAATTAGGGAGCGCCCGAGCGAACCGCAAAGCAATGCCCGACATGGTTAGTGTTTGTGTGTGTCGAACTATTCCGCCCCAGTGCGGTCTATAGAGGAAATAAAAGTAATTTAAAATGTAGAAAAGTAAAAAAGCCAAGATTGAACAGCCAGAAAACAAAAAGGGTAAGAAAGATATAAAAATGATGGGCCTTTTTTGTTTTCTGCAATTTGAAATTTGGGCTAATTTGAATTTGACCCAGCTTTAAATATTGTAATTTTTTTGCCGAGTGATCTCGCCTGCTTATCGCCAAAACGCTTGCTGATTTTAATTGATTTTCTGATCGCGTCAGTTATATTTTTTTAGTGAACAGTAAAAACTTACAAAACTGCCGCTGGCTTTGATATCTCAAAACCATAGAGAAAACCTTTTTTCTCTTCATTTTTTGGTGACCAATTCAACTTGCTATATTATTGTTTTTGTCCCAATTATTTTTCTCTTTACTGTATACTCGCTTTTAACTGCCACTTTGAACCAATAACAGCAAACAAATAACATTTCAGCAATTATAAAATCATGGAAGCATCTCGCAGCACCCTAATCAAATCCCTGCTGGCGCGTGAAGGCCCAAAGACCATTAACCAGCTGTTCACTTCGGTGCTAAAAACCTTTCCTAGTGAGTTCCAAGGTGTGTCCCGGCACAAATTTAAGCGCATTTACTTGAGGAACTTGAAGGAGTTTAAGCAGGTTGCAGTTAAACCCGAGCGGGATCCAGATGCTCTGGCAAAGCTGCGCCTGGACCCGGAAAGCCGCATCACTGCCACAGATAAGATCGCCTGGATGGTGCAGCTCGCCGATCCGTTGATGAATAAGTATTTGAGCGGCGAGGTGGATCTGACGAAGAACCACAATACTATTTTGAAGACCATTGATATGGAGCGGGCGAAGAGCAAGGACTTTTGGGAAGGCAAGTCTAACACGCCGCACGACTGGAGGGCTGTGTTGGAGGCGGCTGGCCAGAAAACTAGCATTTAGGCGAGTGAAACTTGTTTATAGTGAATATAAAGAAATATAAAGAAATTTTATAGCTCGAGTTGAAAATATGTATTTATTAAATATCAAAAAAATATAGGAAACATATGAGGAAAAAACGGAATGAATGAATATGGACAGATTTGCAGGCCATCAAATTATTTAATTTATCGGCAATAGCTGCGCGGGGGCGTTTCGAGTTACAACAGCGTCATCTCCGGTGTATTACAGTGAACCTCGCAGAAACATATTTTTGGGTGCAACAGATAATGATTACTTTTCTTAAAATCGATTGTATTTCAGTCTTCAGAATGATAGCCGCTGTGATCCAAATAAATGGAATAATTGTCAAACTCAGTTGAGCATTCGTGACATACGTAGTCGTAGTCGCGCAGGACAAGATCGGAGACGAAAAATCTGTGCATTTTACTTTTTTTTCATTCAGATTTTGAAAGTTGGTGTTAAAAATATAGAAATTAAATGAATTGACGCGCTCGGTTCGACTAGCAGCTAATAGTAAACGATATAGATATAAAAAAGGATGATGCTGACTATGAAATTGGTCTGCTAGCAAGCGTGGAGCAAGAGTATTTATACTTTTTATTTCAATAATTTTAAGATCACAAAAATAGGCATAGACGAAATTCAGCCAATAGTCAGGGGATGGATGCGGGCGTATGCAGTGAGCAAATTTGCAGCATATCAAATGCCCAATACCTGGGAGAGAACAAAGTAAAAGCCAAGATGTGCTTGTTTGTTTATTTGTTTGATAATACTTTTTTTTTTAAAAAAAATAATCTGGATGTCAAAAGAACACGGGGGTCATGTATAATAAAGTGTTGACAGACAAAGCTGCATGCAAAGTGCATTGATCGCGCAGATACTGGTCGCGATAAATAAAAAATAAACAAAATGCTGCACTGCCAATAATAAGCTTTATAATCCTCATAAGGGGGTTAACAAAGCAACTTGAAAAAGTTGCATTGCCAATAATAATAAAATAAAATAAAAGTGATAATACACTAATACATAAGTGCGATTTATAACAATACATAATGTGGTATAATTATTATTTCAAATATTTATTTATTGTGGATATGTGTTTATAATAGTTGTTTGCAAAGCTGGTAAAATAGGCATATTTTTATTATTTCTCTTAAAGCTTTTGTGCACCAATATTAACAAGGTAACAATATCTTGGGGGCACAATCAGTGCCCATGTATTTTTTCTTCTTTTTTCATTGTTAACATTGCCCGGGTTCATGTGTATTTTTTTACTTTGCATGATATTGTCCACTGTTCTAAATCGTACTTATCATTTTCTGAAATATAAACGTAAAATGATTACCAGCTCAGAGTGCTCCCTGGTATGCCATGTGTCCTCAAAAACAAAAATACAAAACAAAAGCTACTGTTCTCTGTTACATGACTTAAATTTGCAGCGCGCAGGCGCAATGTCTAATCGTATGCTCTTATTCCGATATTGTTTATTTTATTCCTTACACTTACACTTACAAACAAACAAATAAATGTAAATGTAAAAATAAAACGACATAAAAGCGTGGCATAAATGTTTAATAGAATATTATTATTTTCCGTTCAAAGCGAGTCCATCTGCTCAAGCTTATTGGCATACGCCTCTAACGCACAAAGAATGTGCTCGGGCGTCCACTCAAACCCAACACTATCCAGTCCTCCGCGTTTCCAAGTACTAGCATTAGCAACCTGCTCAAGCGCAAGGCTTAACGCACGATTACCCACAATATCCTCATCCATCTTGCTATCATTACGCGCCTCCAGCCCAAACTTCGCACCCACACCCGCACCCGCAGGCCTTGATTTCCCAACTAGCCGCGTTTCCAGGGAATCGACCGCGCATTCGATCTGACGAACCAACATGGCCAATATAGCGACCAGATGCTGGTGCGACATATCCTCGGCCAAATAAAGCGGAACAGGCGGCTCATTGAGCGCTAAGGGGAGCTGCTGCGCAGCATGGGTGGCCTTCTCCGACGAATCCTCCAACTGCGATGGGGTGACAGCGGCCAACGCTGACTGTGTGTGTCTGTGCGACAGCGGCGTGTGCGCAGCCGCATGCTGTATCAGCGTCGGCGATGCTGATCTCGGCTGCGCGCTGCTTGGCTCAATCGCCGTCGATGACCCAGTCACTTCCGAGGACGTGGGCTGCTGCGACGTGTCACCGAAATAGCCATCCCTGCTTTCGCCTGAAACATGGTCCTCCGGTATCTCCTCGATAGACGAGATGCTGGGCTGCTGGTCAGCGTGGTACTGGCGCTTGTATTTGGACGCAATCGGCTGATGATGCGGCAGGCTGGCAACTGAGACTGTGGACGCGCGGTGAATTCGGTAGGAAGCCAGGTCATCGACCCTATGCACGACAAAGTACTCGAAGGACGGCAGGACCATTTCAGTGTCCGGTTCGACGGCCAGGATCTGTAGCCGGTAGATGAGCCGGTAGAGCAGCTCGAGTTGGACAAGGTCGATTGCGCGCATGTCCACGGAATTCATCCTGCTGTTAGTTGCAGCAGCGGCACGGGCGGCCAGAGACATGTCGACGCTGCTACGCGACAGCTGGCGAATTCCCGGCGCCGTTGCGTTTTGCCACGCATAAGCGGGGGGCATCGGCTGGTTGCCAAAGTACGAGACAGACCCTTGACGGCTCCACATGGGCGACGAGCCAGCTGATCCATGCAAGTACGCGTAGTACGGGGGCATGAACACTGACGGACGCGGGCTCAAAGAAAAAACAGATCCCAGGCCGAGTCTCGCAACACTGCTGCGGTCGCTGAACTTGCGCCCAGCCACATCGCCGTCCTCAATCTCAATCTCGGGCACCAAGTGGTAGCTGTCTTCGTCCAGGCTGCTGCTATTGCCGCCGCTAGCGTCCTCGCCGACGCACTCGAGGATCTCGGGTCCGAGAACCTTGTTCTGCAGAAGAGATACGGAGCGTCGAGTGATGGGTGCCGACCACAGGGGCATGTCGCCGATCTGCCGCAACCGACTGCGGGCCTCGGTGCTGCTGGTCACTGCCGCCAGCTCCATCGAGAGCTCGCGCATATTGCGTTGGTGCGCCTGCGTGGGCGTCGGCCGACTGAACGATCCGCGGGGCGATGACCGCGTCGAGACCGTATAGGGGCTGTACGCGGACTCGGAGTACTCAAGCAGGGAACCATCATCGATAGACGGGCGCTGGAGCTGGCTCGCAGATAACGAGTGGGGCAGGTTGGCATACGAGGCCAGATGCTTGCTAGAGCCATTGCTGTTGGCTAGCTTGAAACTGGCCGATGATGCCTCGCGCTGCGATATCCCTTGCTGGTGCTGCAGCTTCTTCTTCCGCTGCTGCTGCTTCTGCTGCTGCTGCTCGAGCAGGATCTGCTTCTGCTTCTGCTGCTCCTCCTCCTCCTCCTGGATCTGCATGTCGATGCGACCACGGAGCTGGGCGGGGTAAACCATGGACACAAACTCGGGTGACTCGAGACCCTTGAGCTTGATCTCTCCAACTTGGATAGCGCACAGGCCGAGGTTCTTCAGGGCCTGGACGTCGCGGGCCAAAGACGGCTCGTCAATGATCTGGCTCATATCTGTGATGCCATTATGGTCGGCGGTCTCGAATATGCCCAGGATAGCGTACACCTCGTCCATGACATCCTGCGACACATACACCTGGCCGCCATCGGCCGCGCCGCTGATGCGGGATGCGCGATTGACCATGGGGCCAAAGTAGTCCATGCGCCGGGTGATCGGGTCCTCCTCCGAAACTGGGCTGCCCAGGTGCATGCCCATGCGCACGCGCAGTCCGCGGTAGATCAGATGCTTGCCCCCGCTCTCAGCGTGCGTGCCGCTGGAGCGACCGCCCTTGCCACCGTCGGCGCCAGCATTATCGTCGGGCGGCCAGTATATCGGGCACCCGTGTGGTGAGTCCAGCGTTTCCTGCGGCCAGTCAGCGGTGAGAAAGGTCATCTGCACGGCCAGGCACCAGTGCAGGGCGCTGGCGACAGTTGGGAAGCTGACCATAAAGGCGTCGCCCTCGGTCTTGACCTCGTAGCCGCCAATGGACCGGAGCAATCGGCGCATAATGCTGTTGTGTACCTTGATCGCGCTGCGCATCGCCACCTGGTTGGTCTCCCACTGGATGGTCGAGTTCTTCACATCCGTAAACACCAGGACAACCTCGCCGACCGGCGGTGGCACCTCGCGCTCGAGCCGCGCCAGAGTCGAGTCGCCGGGCCGCGCGTTGACATCGCGGTCGCGCTGGCGCCGCGTGCGCGACGAGGACACGGCCGAAAACTCATCAAAGTCGTCCGAAAAATCGTAGGCGGCGCTCTGCGGCAGCGTGATCGGATTCGTCTGGTGCGCGCCGGGGATCGGGTGCATGCTAGGGAAGCCGCGGCCGTCGGCTGAACTTAGCGGGTGCGAGACGCTGGTGCGCGACGCAAAGCCGGACGCCATGGCCGAAGAGGGGCTGCGCGACATGCGGCGCGAAATCGCGTACTTTGCGCGGTTGTCGGGGACGCCCGGGTAAATGCTGTCGCGAACGCTGAAGCCGCGCATAGGCCGGCCAGTGTTCTTGGTGAACATCGGCCCAAAGCCAATGACCATGACCATAATACTCTTGGTCACGCCGTAGGCGATGACATGGTCGCGCACGCGCGCGGCCGCCAATCGCGGGTCGCGGCGGTGCTTGCGCGCGATGTCAACGGCAATCTGCGGCGTGATAACGTCCCACACGGGGCGGTTGGCCATGATCAGGAACTCGTCGGCCTCGGTCAGCTCCATGCTCATGATTGTCGGGTCGGCGTTGACGTACGGCAGCAGGTGGAAGTAGCCGAAGGCGCGTGTGATATCCGTCTGGCCCTGCACCTTGCCCTGCTGCGTGATGTACCCGCCGATCGACCGAATGCGCACGATCTCGCTGACGTCATACGGGTCGTGTCGCTTCGACAGCATAAATGGCGTGCCGCGCCGGCTAACCACGCCCAGTGCGTCGCCGACGTTGGCCACGTGCAGTGTGCGCCCGTGGATGTACGCCACTATGGCTGTCGAGCCGCACTGGTTGTCGCTGGCCGCGCTGTCGGCGCCCTTGGGGTCGAAGGAGCTGCGCCTGGGCATGTTGAGTTCGGCCGACGTTAGGCGGTGCGCCTGACTCGCTGCCACTGCCGTTTGCTGATGCTGGTGCTGATGATGCTGGCTGCTGAGAGTCGGCTCGTCGGGAACCGGTGGCGACGACATCCGTGCCGTACGGGCGGTGTACACCTCGGCGGCCGCCGCGGCCGCAACAAGCTGCCGATTGTGTGTGCCCAGGTCCTTGTTGAGCGTCAGGAACGTGCGGCGCAGCGCAGCCTGCACTTGCTCGTCGCTGAGCCTCGTCGCGCGGTTGCCATTGTCCTCAGGCGCGCTGGACGACGACGGCAGTGTCTCAGCAAAATTAACCGCCTTCTTGCCACCGCCGCTGGAATCGGCGGCCGACGACACGTGGTGCTGATCGGCACCACTGCGTCTGGACTCGGCCTCTTCGCTCTGGATCTGATCGGTGATTTTTTCGAGCTCCTCGCGGAACAGGTACAGGAAGTTATCGCACAGGTACTTGCTGATGGCCGAGCTCGCTGTGGTGCTTTCGCGCGCGTGGAATAGGCCGAAAAGACACTCGTCGTCGGTCATGCGGAAGCGTGACGATGCCAGGTCCCACGAGGACACGCGGTCCTCGTGGCCCAGCGTATCAGCAATCCCGTACTTCACTCGCTTGATCGGATCGGTCGTGCGGATGCGGCGGTTGGGCGTCTCGTCGGGCAGCGGAACCATGATAGTGAGCTGCAGGAGTCCCAGGATGCGCAGGTCATTGAGCTGGTAAAAGTCCGAGACGCAGTCGGACTTGGGCGGGTCCTTGGCAATAAAGTTGAACAGGTCACGCGCGGGCCCACCGTTGGGCGACGTTCCGCTGTTGCCACCGACCAGCTTGGCATGGTCATGAAACACCTTAGTGTGCAGGTGCGCGCCCTTGATCTCGAAGCGCTCGTTGTACGAGAAGTTCAGGTATTTGAGCCCTGTGTTCCAGTTCCAGTTCCAGTCGTACGGCCAGTTGGTGATGTTGTACTTGAGCACATTGCTGCCCACGTCGAGCACAGAGAGCCCATGGATCTTGGCCAGCCACGATGGCAGCGTCTGTAGCTTATTGCCGTTGATGTTGAGCAGGCGCAGGCTACGCCAGAACGCTGCATTGGGCTCCTCCTCAGGGATCGTACTGAGCTGCGTGCCCGACAGGTACAGCTCGTTGAGCTTGCGCATGTGCGCCATGGCCGACGGCGGCAGGTCGTAGAGCTCGTTGTACGACAGGTTGAGCACGCGCAGTTCGGGCAGAAACGCCATCAGCGTGAACACCTCGTCATCCATGTTGTTGTCGCCCATGCGCAGCTCGCGCAGCGACAGCGACAGTGGCGGCGGATCCGATACGGTATACCGCTTGACCGGTGGCGGAGGCTGCACGCGGCCGGCGTCGGTCGACCGGTTGCGCATGCGCTCGGGTGGCGTTACCGTCAGCGAGTCGCCGTTGTGGCTCACCAAGTCGGCGCCGGTCTCGGACGCCGCGCGCGCCATTGGGCTAGTCTGACGCGTGCTGGGCAGCGAGATCGACGACATCTGGATGCTCTGCGCCACGCGGTTGCCCATCGGCGCCTTCGTGCCGTTGCGCTGTGCAGCGGCGACGGCGGCTGCGGCGGCCGCGGCCACAGCACGCACGCTGCTGGACGCGCCCTGCTGGCGGCGCAGGTTCTCTAGCATGCTCGGGTGCGGGAACTGCTCGAGCAGGTTGGACGACAGGTTAAGCGACGAGAGCTTGGGCATCAGCCAGATCTCCGGCGGCAGCATTTTGAGGTTGTTGTTGTGCAGGTCCAGCGTCGTCAGCTTCTCCAGACGTGTCAGCTCGATGGGGATCAGCGACAGCACGTTGTTGGCGCAGCTCAGATGCACCAGATTGCTCAGGTTCCCGACCGACGACGGGATGCTGACAATGTGGTTGCTGTCCAGCACCAGATGCTCGAGCATCGGCAGGTGCATGAACGTGTCCGACGGCAGCTCCGTCAGCTGGTTCAGCGACAGATCCAGGTTGACCAGCGTGTGCGCCAGGTTGGTCAGGTAGAACTGCGTCAGCTTGTTCGCACGCAGGCTGACAGCCACGGCGCACGTGAGGTCCATGTGCGCGCGCGTCACCATGTTGCTTTCGGTGAACAGCAGCCGCAGGCCGACAAGTTCCGACGTGATGCCCAAATCCTGGAGCTTGTTCTGGCGCACGTCCAGCTCCTCGAGCTTGGCCAGGCGCCCCAGCCCGTCGGGCAGCGTGCCACTCAACGCGTTGCCCATAACGTTGAGCCGCGCGAGCTTGGCCAGCGCCGCAATGGCGTCGGGGATGCTGGGAATGCGGTTGAGCGACACGTCCAGGTCCTCGAGCGCTGCCAGCCGCGTCACCACCAGCGGGAACGCCGCCAGGTTATTGTTGGACACGTTCAGCACGCGCAGCGCGCGCAGGTGCGCTAGCGACTCGGGCAGCTCGACGAGCCGGTTGTTGCGCAGCATCAGCGTCGTCAGATGCGTGAGCCGGTCCAGCGGCGCGCGCTGCATGCGGCGCATGTCGTTGCCCGACAGGTCCAGGAACGCCAGCCCCGGCGAGAACTGGATGCTGTTGGGGAACCGCGAGAACTGGCAGGTGGCGAGTCGCAGTTCGCGCAGGCTGCTGCATAGCTGGACAAAGTCGGCTGGGAAGTTGAGCCCGGGGTTTTTGGACATGTTGAGCGACACGATCTTGCTGGCGTGCGCGTACAGGAAGACTGGCACGGTCTGCAGCTTGCGCGCGCGCAGGTCGATGTACTGGAACGAGCTGACTTCAACCTCGATATGCGGCGACACGCGCGGGATGGCTGCCTTGGACAGCGAAAACTTGCACAGGTAGCTGTTGTCCTCGCGGCCCTGCAGCGTGATGTTGTCCTCGGGCCGGTACCCCATCTGCTCCAGGTACTTCTTGAGAATGTTGGCCGGCCGCTCGGTCGGGCCCAGGGTGCGGTCCAGCCCATTGGCCTTCTGCATGTACAAGCAGTAGCGCGTAATGTCAGGGATGAAGAACTTCTTGGCCGCCATGCTCATGAACTCGGCCGTCGTCGTCGATAGCCGGCAGTGGAATGTGCCGAACGTCGAGTCCTCCTTGTAGATGCGCAGCGAGTACATGCTTCCATCGTCCGATACGTCGCTGTCGCTGGACGCGCCGTCGCCGTCGGGCACTGGGTCGTTGGACAGCCCGGCTGCCGCGCCGGCCTCGTCGACGCCCTCCTGCGCCGTCGGTAGCACGGCCCACGACTCGGGTGGCGCCCACGGCTCCGACTTGCGCGGCGTGTACTCGGCCCTGAGCGCACCGCCGCCGCCTCCGCTCGCATGCTCGGCGTGCTCGGCCTGAGGCCGCCCAGGCCCGCGCAGGTTATTCAGCGACTGGTTGCGGCGGTCAACCGGGGACGACAGCATAATGTCCGAGTTCCCCGTGTGTATGGTCTGTCGCTGATTGCGGTCGGCCACCCACGGGTCTGTGAACTGCATATACGGCTGCTGCTTGTCCTCGAAGTTTGCCACGGACCGCACCGATCCGTGGTCATTAATCGACCCTGCGTACTCGTACTCGCTCTCCGCCTCGTCCTCGCCCAGCGCTGCCGTCGGCCGCCGCGACTTGATCGATGAGTCGCGGTGCTGCCATGAGTACTCGCCAAAGCATGGCACTGACTCGGACTTTTGAGACGTCGACGTGTCCGTGTTCACCATCGACCCCATGCTGGACATGCGCGCGATACCGCCCTGGAGGCTGGATGCCACCGAGCGGTTACCCGCGACTATCGCCTCCTTCAACATGGGGCTGGTGCCAGACCCAGCAGATCTGCGGTGTGGCCGGTTGCCAGACACCGACCCTTGCTGCTGCTGCTGTTGCCGCCGCCGCTCAGCAGCATACAATGGGACAGCGTCCGATGACGCAAACTGCGTGCTACCGCCCGCGTTATCCTCCCTGCCGCTGTCACCCGTGCCGTGGCCTGCGCTCAGCGACGCTGACTCGGCCGTACCCATTGACGACGTGATCGACGGGCGGCGCACCTTGGCCAAGTCGACAAAGTTGCCCAAATCGTTAAAGTTCATGTCCAAATGGTAGTTGCTGGCTGGTGGAAGCTTGTCCTTGCTGTGCTGGCGGCTCTTCCCGCGCCTGAACCACTTGGACGCCGTTGACGACACTGAGCTGCTTGTTGGCCTGTGGTCCAGCCCAGAGGGAACCTGCTCTTGGCTGTCCCTGCGCGTAGGGGCGGGGGCTGTTGACCCAGTGCGCTTGAGCAGCGACGACGCGATCTGGTACGAGGGTGACTGCTTCAGGGGCACTCCCGCCAAGGCCGGATCCGTACTGATGCTGCCGTGGCTTTGACGCATGGACATAGATCTCTGCTGCTGCTGTTGTTGTTGCGAAGAGTATGCATCATGCGTGCGTGTATCTGCGGTTGCTGCTGCTGCTGCTGCTGATGCTGATGCTGATGCTGATGCTGATGCTGATGCTGATCCCGATTGGTCATTGAACGAGTAAGGCTGCCCGGCCTGTGGCTGTCCCGTGAATGCCGCCGTGGCATCTGTTGTTGTATCCATATCTGCTGAATGACGCTCGCGGAGCAAGTACGAGTAGTCGTTGCGCTCCCCGGACAACGTTCCCTTTGATGAGCTTTTGTTCAGCGGCCTTCTGATAACGAATTGGCTGTCGCTGCCTACTTTGATTTTTTTGGGTTTTTTGGATTAGTGTTTTTGTTTTAGTCGTTTCCGAATTGTTTAATTTACATGCACAACCAGTTCATGCCCACATTTGTCCCTCCTCCCACATTTTTTAAACCCCCCTCTTCTGCTTATTAGTTCCATGGCTATACTTCACTTTATCTACTCCCCGTTTTACAGGCTTTCCCCTCCCAATCTCTTTGTCTCGGATCTGAACATATAATAGGAGGGGAGTGGAGCGGGTGACAAAGCCACAACTGGATGCAAGCGTGGGGGAGACGGGGCAAATAATATAATGTAAAGTGCACACTTCAATCCCACCAGGATAAATAAGAAAGCACGGGCTAACACGGAGCTTAGCAATACAGTGAAATTCCGATTGGTTCTTACCTTGTTTTGAGCTGTGCGAAGAGACCCTGTCGAGTGGAGGTAGCGGTGGTGGCGGCGACGTCGATCTTGTTGTCTCTAGCGTATGTCCTGTTGTCGCGTGCGTCCGGACCAGGTCTCTCAAGTGGGATGTACTGGAAAACGCCCGCAGTTTTCCTAACAAAAAAGAATAGTGTTTGTAAAGAAGAGTATAAACTAATTAGATAATGTTGTGTTTGTGCGTGCGTTTTTCTAGTTTTGTCTCTGGGAATAAATAGGGGACGGTAAACGAAAGAGTTGACAATCATTGTTTGTCTATTACGTACCCTTGAGCCCGGTGGATTTTTTGTGGTTGTCGCCCGACATGGTTATGCAGTAAACGTGTCCTTTTATTTCTTCCTCTTGTTACAACAGCAACAAAAGGGGGATGGTGATGGACAAGTAGTGTGGGTAAAATGTAGAAGAAAAAATATGGACCGAGAGCTACAGCGAACTTGTTTTCCCTGTGTTTTTCTCCTTTTTTCCTTATTGCGTTTATTTTAGTCCTTTTCTCCTGTTAATGCTGGTAACCCTCTCTGTCGCCCCACCTGCTTGCGTATGTTGTATGTAGCGTGTATGTGAATGAATTAATAAGCGAATTCAGTTAATAAGAGGCCAATGAATTTAAAGAAAGAGTGATAAAAAGAAAGCGTGTATGGGGTATATATATGTAATAGAGAAGGTGGGAGGAAGCAGCTAGAGTTGAAGAAGTGAAGAATTTTTGGGATTAAAGGAAAGAAAAATAATTAACAGGTGTAATGTAGGAAGAGTAAAAGTAGAAAGTAGAAATTAGAAAAAGAGCTTTTATTTTGCTAATTTTAGAGAAATGTGTGGTTGTCCAGACCGCTCTCAAAAAGCAACTCGTTTTAGGCGGGGTTTTCTTTTGCTAGTCCAATATATCAGCTCAAACTAGCAAAGTTCTATGTTGTTGTTTTTCTGTATTCCTGAAAACCTTTTTTTGAGTAAGGGCGTAAGTGAAAGAAACAATAAATACAAAAAATAAAGACTGAATTGAAGTCAAGTAAAAAGGAAGATAGAGTGCGAGTTCAAAGAGGAAAAACAAGGTTGGGCTGTGCGCGTGCGCGTGCGTGATGATGGAAAATTGCGCATTTGCATTCCCCACAGGGGGGCGGCCATACCGCCCGCATTCACAAATATAAGAAAGAGGGGTTTTCTCAACCTTCTTTTCGCACCTCATCCAACCCGCTCACTCCCACCTATCCGCGTGCTTTTCATGCGCAAATCCTAGCATTTATTCGGCTCCAAAATTACGGCCAGTCAAAAATTTTCCAGAACATTTCTTTGTGCGACAATATTCGGCGTACAGTTTTTCTTACAAACGACCGATGGTCCCAAAAATGTTTTGTAACTGTCTTGTTTGTTTGTTTGTTTGTTTGTTTTAACAAAAAAGGCAAGAGGGCTAAAATAAACTCCAATACTGCGTGGTCAATATGCGAACCGGCGAAACACTTGTTTTTCCGCGTGCGCTCGTCTGACCGCAGCCTTTCCAGGCGGCTTGTAGTGCCATACGTTGGCGTGCGCTGCCAAGCCGTCCGCGCCTTCAAAATAGCACACGCATTCGGGGCATTTTATCCTGTGTGTGTGCTGCTCCTCTGCTTTGGGCGTTGGCTTCATTACTGCTGGTGCTTCCTTGGAGGGGTTTGGCCGAGCCAGAGCGTTTGTTAGGCTATCCAGTTTCGGTATAAATTACGTGCAAATGGACAATGTGTATGTGCGTGTGTGTGTGTGTGTGAAAATTTTAAAATTAAAAGTGTGATAATATGCAGTGGAATGATATAAATGTCGTTAAAGTATGAAATGAAGCAGGAGATAAAAACGCTTTTTTATTGGAAAAATATCAAGAATACAAGGCCATTTCGGCAAGCATGGCTAAGAACTGCCGGTTCGATAGATAAAAAAGAAGGATAATACAATGACATGATGAACATCCGATATATGGATTCAAAAACAAGGCAATTGAAAGCAGCCGTATTCTATTTTGCCAATAAAGCGTGAATGTCGCTCTGCACAACATCACAGCTCTTTAATCATCAGACAAAAAACAGGCATCAAAGAAGTGTCCGGGTGGCTTCTTTCGAAACATCCGTGCTTGAAAAAAAAGCAGAGGCGATGATGGTGATGGGTCAGTTGACTATTACTATTTTTTTCTTTCTTAAACATGTCACTGTTGGCGCACCAACGCAAAAATCGTCGACTGTCAATATACCAGCTCATTTTGTTCGGAGGCGTATATTTTATTGTGGCTGTTATATAGTCGGATAAACACCCCCTTTTCTCGGTAGAGCAATGACAACAAGTGCGCCAGGTATTTGGAAATAAATAACCTTTGCGGAATCATCCCTAGGCATGTTTTGATAAAAAATTCCGCACTATTTCAAACGATAACCTTTTGCAGGCTATCCTTTGGTCAAGCAAGACAATGGCGAATAAAATGACGCCATTGCAATATTTTAAGGCAGCACCTGGCTTTGTGCGCTTCGGACAGCAAGCTCAAATCTAGAACACAGCCAGAACCAAGCTTTGTCATGTGACCAATAACTGGCAATATTGTGAATTGGCACGCCGTTTGTGTGCTGCTACTACTCTGCCTGTCACCCGGGGAGTAGGGAGGGGTAGCTGGTTTTGTAAGGGGGATGATATATATGCGTATTTTGGAAAGCAAACTGCTACTAGCATTTATATCACGTGGATTGCACCAATGAGCACGCCTTTTTATGAGACCACAAAGAACTGTACCTCCCTCAAACTGGCCCGTTTTTGTTTTTATTTTATTCCATTCTCTCGTTTTCTCTCTCTATCCTCGTGTATTCTATATACAACCATTTGTTTTTACAGTTCTCAATTCGCATTTCAGCTGCAATTCTTTATATTTATTTTATCTCTTGTATTTTATTACTTTCCTTAACGTCATCCGCGCACACGATGCAAGACGCTGCGCATAACCACAACCAGCAGCCCGCCCTGGCCGACGCAGAAGACAGCCTATCTGACATCGACAGCCTTGACGCAGGTCCAATAGTCATGTCTGGAAGCAGCAGCAAATCGACGTACTTTCTGTTCCTCGGCATGGGCCTGGCTACTTTGCTTCCATGGAACTTATTCATCAGCGCGTCCGAGTTCTACAGATACCAGTTTGCCGGAAGCGTGCACCAGCAGACATTCCAAAACTCGTTTTCAGTGGCATACATGGTGACCAACTTTATGTTCAATATGTACGCCATGGTCACGGTGACAAACTCTGACCCTAATCGGCGCATTTTCGCTGGACTAGCGGCAAACACATTGGTGTATGTTGTTGGATTAATCATGCCGCTGATGCGCGACTACCGCGGCGCACCATCGTTTTACGTTGTTATGCTGCAGCTCGCCACTACAGCGGCTGCCAGCGGAATGCTCACTAACTCGTTGTTTGCGCTTGTGGCTCATTTTTCGCCGTCGCATGTCGAAGGTGTGTTCAGCGGCCAAGCCATGGCCGGCATTATTGCCACCGTGGCCCAGCTAGTCACCGCGTACTCGGTGAAGCCCACCGACTTTGCTGCATCGGCCGTGCCCGACGATAAGGTAGCCGAGGGCCTGATATTCAGAACCATCGCATACTTTGCTTTTGCCACTGCTGTCAACCTGCTCTTGACCGCAGCGTTCTGGCACATCAAGCGCGACCCGTACTATAGACAGCAGAGCAAACTGGCGTGTCCGTCGACTAGTTCTTTGGGCGATGTGGATGCCGAGTCGGAGCTGCTAATTTCCCGCTCGGCGCCGAATTCACCACCGCTGGCTGCAGGCATCGAGGCATTCAGGACCACATTCAAGCAGATCTCGGGATACACGTATGTTATTCTGCTGGACTTTTCCATCACACTGGCCGTTTTCCCGTCGATAACTGCCATGGTGACGTCAACATCTGGGTTCAAACTGCTGACAGAGTGGCATTTTTTCCTGTACAACTGCGGCGACTTGATTGGCCGTCGTCTGGCGCCCTCACTCGCGATTTTTCGCTCGTCCTCGCTGTTTGCCATTGCCCTGGCGCGTATCCTTTTCATACCGGCGTTTTTTGCTTGCCATGTGAGTTTCTCCGTCTGGAATAACTGGATCGAGTCGGACTATGTGTTTTTGGCACTTGTGGTTCTGCTCGGAATCACTAATGGCTTTTTGTCCACTCGCTCCGCGATGCTTGCGCCAAGTTTGAGTGACCAGCCGACGATTGCTGGGTCTATCGTGGCTATTTCCATCAGCACTGGTTTGGCCATGGGATCAGTGCTTTCGTGGCCGGTGCGTGCAGCTGGATGCATGTGCTCGCCCTTTGGTGGCCACTGAGATACACCCAACAGAGTAGAGCAAAGAATAATGTCTAGATAATATTTCTATTGTTTGTGGTTTTTTGTGTTGCCTTATCACCTTGTTTTATTTTTTATTTTATGGCATGCGAAACAAATAGTATGTTATATTCTCACTAGCCTCTGTTCCCCCTCCCCCCCCGCTTAATTTTCACTGTTAATCAAGAGAAACAAAATTAATGCTTTTTTGGCACCCAAGATACAAATTTACAAAGCTTACAAAAATCGCAACACTATAAAATTTTAAATTTAGAATATCATCCCAACTATGTTCTTTATTAAAAAAAGAGTCGGGAATTTAATTGTTCAAAAATATAGTTATTTGTGGAGTGCATGTCTCTGACATACTTTTTTACTCCCACGCCTCTTATTTGAATGTGAAAAAAGCCATCTATAAAAATCAAGATGAATTTAAATTTACTTGTGACAATGTGCTGGATCTAAACATAGAGAAGCATGTGTTCAAAAAAATTTAAACAATGAAATTATTTCATTGTAGAATGACTCTTGTATGTGCACTTCAAATATGTATATTTCTTCTCAAATGTGATTATTATTTTAGCGTAAATATAACACAAGACAACTCCGCCTCCAAACATTAATTTCTGCAATTATTTCACACCACTTACGCATATAAAAATAGAAAACAACAAAACAAACCTCTTACTTGGGATCATATGTTCAAAACATATTTTTTTATTACATGCTCATATAAAAAATTACAAAAAAAAATCAGGGGCACCTTGCCATTTTGGCTGATCGAAATTTCATATATAAACACAGCAACATGCAAATACAAATACAAACATCATACCATCACAAAACAATTATCTTAACAACAACAACAACAAAAACAACAATCCAGCAATTCCAAACCAAGCTCTTTATAATCCAAGAATGCTTCGTCTTACCGCCGTCATCTTTACTCTTATCGCTGCCGCTACTGCCAATCAGTGCTCTGGAAACGCTGCCATCTGCCCCAACAACCAAGACGGCGTCTCCTCGAGCTATCTCCAGTGCGACAACTGGGCCAAGCAATATATCACTACACCTTGCCCCGCTGGACAAGTCTGCTACGCTAATCCCGCAGCTCCCAACTCCGTCATGTGCGCTCCTCCAGGGTCGGGCAGTGTCCCTGGAACTGGCAAGTGCACTGGACACACGGCAAAGTGTGCAAACCATGGACAGAGCGGCGCCTACTATAGCTGCGAGCCATGGGCTGGCCAGTATGTCAACAACCAATGTCCCGCTGGACTTAAGTGCTACAACAATGATGCCGGCACTGGTGTACAGTGCTACTAAGTAAATCATTTTCTACACCATGCCTTTATTTCTAATTCAATTGACAAGTAGACAAATAAACACTATATTTACAAATATTGAAACGATATAAACATGAATCACTAAGAAAACATTATAAATTAGGCAACCAGGTTTCTGGACTTTGGTCTGAAAATGCCGCTGACCATTTCCCTCAGTCTGGTCATAGACGTGCTGCGGCTCTTGTGCAGGCGGTTGTTGCGCACAAGCGTGGCCTTGCAATCACTGGATATGCTATCCGTCAAGCTCTTCGAGTCATCACTGCTATGCTCCTCGGATTCGCTGCTCTTCACATCCATTCCCTGGTGGCTGTTGACTACTGTACTTGTTCCAGAGTATGCTGTAGCGTGGCTGGCGACGCGGCGGCGATTGTACCTGCCAGCGGGCGTATTCGAGCCAACCAGACTGCTTGTCAATGTGTTGTCGTCGTTGGCTAATAAGAGGCTCATGCTGATCATGTGTGGTTTAGGAATCGGGCATACGTCGCGCTCGAATACGTTGGGCCAGTTGGTGTGGTTATTCGGGATGCTGTTTGCTGTCATCATTGTAAAATAAATAATTGAAAAGAGAGTGCTGGTCGGGGTTTTTTGTATGTATTGGATAGACTGGCGAGTCGTGCGTGGGCGTGAGTGCGTGCTGGTACGAAAGCTGGGTTGTGCGTTTGAAACAAAAGGCAAATATTAAAAAGTAAAAAAAGCAAAATAGTAAGCAGTTGACAGATATTTGTAAGCGGTGTGGAGTATAAAATAAGTTAAAAGCAAGTGGGAAAAAATGAGGAGCGCTTGTCGTTCAAATATAAGATCATTTTATGTTTGGTTTGAAGTGTTTTTTTGGCGCCTCCAAGGCAATTGCAATAAAATTAGTTGCAAGATTTTTTGCAATAAAAATTATAAATGGGGATATTAATCTTGGCGAGCTGCGCTTTAATAGCGTCACATTAGCACAGTATCTTCAACTCCCACAAATCATCAGTCATGTTCCACGTTTTTACGCTTTGCACTCTACGTCTATTTTATGGCTGTGGAAAAAAACGGAAACGCCTGTTTTCTTTTTACAATGATCGGAGTGATGGGAAGGCTTGCATGTAGTATGCATGTCAGCTCTTAGGCTGCGTTGGCCTTAAAATAGACGTTTCTTTTTACAAAGGCATCAAAAGCAAACAAAAGAGGGCTGGCACGCACAAAAGAAAGCAAAAATTGAACTTGTGTACACTGCTTGCGAGCAGCAAGCTTAATAGGAAAGACTTGTTTTTATGGCACCATCGTTCTCGTTATTTTTTAATTTGAAAAAGTGGATTTTGTTTATTTCCTGTCTTTTTTCAATGCGAAAAGAGCGGCAACTAAAGCTACGGTTGCAATGGTTGCTTTAATTTTTCCGTGGCCATGTCCAGGCGCACTGAAAAATAGGAATGGCGTGGTTCGGATTTGCAAAGGACATGTCAGTTTGAAAGGGGAACAATAGTGCAGCTAAAGATAAATGCGCACAGCAGGCATGCACATGCGGTCCACATGCTCAGCCCCAGGTCGCTGGTCTGACAGATAAACCCAAATCCTTAAGCCCAATAGTATTAATTGTTGTCTATAGTGCCAAAAACAGCAGGTACTAATCGGACATTCAACCTAGAAGCGTGTAGAAACGTGTCAAAGCTGCATTTCGGGCCTTGTTAAAAGCTTCCATCACTAAAATGCCATGTCACAGTTGTGACAGCATCGCCCATAGAGGATGCAATTGCTGAGGGCCCAGATTCACCAGATTAATTATGAACTGCCCGAAATTACTCCCCTCCCACACAAAATAATTACGGATTAATGCTTGACTTTGCTGCAAAAACGCTGTGTACTTATCCACTGCAATATTCCCCCCCCCCCCGAAGTTTTCTCAGATGATCGGCGTTGTTGTGGCCACTGAGCAGGCCAAAAATACCCTGAGGCCGAGACTTTTATTAAATTACCGATTGACATGTAAAAAAATTAATTAATTACGTGAATGTATGTATATATATATTTGTGGAATGTACATCATATACATGCTTGCTCAAACATATTATCCGCATCATCACCACCAGCAAAAGTAATAACAAAGGCACACCATTTTTAATTAAAAAAAATCAAGTATCAGCTGCCACCAACAATTCAGTCATGCCATATTCGCAAAACACTCGTGAACAAAGCGAAGGGCGAGTTCTTACTATAGCAAAGTGTGTTACAGCAGATATTGTGCGGAAATTAAAAATTAAAGGTCTTGACATCATTTCCCATACGAACTCAACTTCAAACTCGACTTTGTAGTTTTGCTCAACCCTCCCTCTCCTTTTTTTTACTTCATTTTCTCCGGCCATAAAAAACAATCCATGAGGTGAGTTGCTTCTTTGCTCATAATGAGAAACTTTTCTTTTATCATTTTTAGAGTTAGGTATCTGATCTGGTTATCGATTGTCAAAGCGAGCTGGCAAAAAAACTGGGGTTTAGGCCCATCAGTTCGTTTTTATCACTGCCCCAAAGTGCTTTGCTCCAGACCCACCTTTCTCTTCTCTTTATAATCAATCCTGCAGCACAATAAACAATCGATTTTTGATAATCTTTTCTCTCTTTTTTTCCTTTATCTTTCGATATCTCAGCACGAGCATTTTTTAATATCATTGAGAATATTATCTTAAAGCTCAGAAACACGCACACAAAGGTAAAAACCCCAGTTAATCAGCACTCGGATGCATGACTGCTCCCAAACTTTTCAAACTGCTGACTTTACATCATCTGTTCGGTGTGCGCATATCATCGCGAGGTATCAACTAATTGGATATTTTCTTCTCTATTCCAAACAACCTAGGAATCTAACATGAGCCCAGCAGAGTGCACAAATATTCCATGGGACGAGCCCTGGCTTAAGGACGATTTCGACCCCTGCTTCCGCCGCCTGTTTGTCGAAAGACTGGTTCCAGGAGGCATAGCAGCCGTTTCAATTGCCATCCTTGCTTTTAATCTGTTGCGCTACCGCCTATCCTGTCAAAGGCGCACTGTGACTTCCGCCGCCTGTACTGACTATACATCGTTGCTTGGGGACCCAGCAACACAGCACCTGCAGCCGCAGCACGGGTATGGCGCCGCAGTTTACGGAAACCGCCAAAATTCTAGCCAAAGCTTTGACAGCGACGAGGGCGAAGATGACATCGATTTGGCTGAGAGTGATGGTTTTCTAAGCCGTGAGCTTCCCGCCGAGCAGACAATTGGTGGCGCATATTTTGTTCGGAACCAGAGTCGCCCAAGACCGTCAATCCGCGATATGCTGCTGGTTGTCCTTACGCTTGCCCAGGTAGCGCTGGGGCATTTGCTTTCCAATTACGACAATGCCACTAGCAGGCTGTCGGCCTACGAAATGGCTTTGTGGCTGTGGGCGGCGATTCTCTGTGTCTACCTCCTGTGCCGTTCAAACACTAGCACACCGTCGCCATCGCCACATTTGCGTCTTGTCTTTCTTGCCGGCGTGTTTGTCGACTTTTTCAAGGCGCGGTCTGCCCTGCTAGCTTACTCGCAGGGTAAGATCGAGAGCTTTCCAACCATTGAAATCGCAATGGCCAGCATTGCCACTGTGTTATTTTTGGCCAGCTTCACGCAGCAGAGGCGCCGGCACGGTCGGTCTTCAAACGCACCTGTCGGGGAGTCGGACACACATCCGCCGGCGCCCGAGGGCACAGCGTCGATATCGCAGCAGCTGTTTTTCTCGTGGATGGACCCAATGATCTGGCTGGGATATAAGCGGCCATTGGAACCCAAGGACGTCTACGACCTAATGCCTGAAGACCGCTCGATGCGCGTGTGTGCTAAGTGGCAGCGCGAGTCTCGAGACTATGTGCGCAAACATGGAAGCGATAAGCGGGGCATGACATACCGCCTGTTCTGGTTCTTCCGTTATCAGCTGGCGCTGCAGTGCGTGTGGACGCTTGTATTCACTGTGTTTATTTTTACTGGGCCGTTCTTGCTGAAGCGCATCCTGGCGTACATGGAGGATCAGACCATATACACTAGAGAGCAGGCGTTCTGGTGTGTTGCAGGTCTACTGTTAGGAGGCACTATTTCTACCGTGTGTCAGAGCCAGGCGCTGTGGATCGGGCGTAAGATCGGGCTCCAGATAAAGGCCATTGTCATTGGCGAGGTGTACAAGAAGAGCCTGCGGCGCCGAGACGCCGCCAGCGAGGATGATGCCCCGGCAAAGGATGGTGAGGGTGACGACAACAGTGTCGAAGACGCAGACAAACAGGGCGAGTCGACGTCAACGGGAAAAATTACCAACCTCATGGCTGTTGACGCCAACAAGATTTCAGAGGCGTCATCATATTTACATTTCCTTTACCAGTTGCCGGCCGAGATTGTAATCACGGTTTTGATGCTGTACCAGCTCCTGGGCTTGGCTTCGATTGCCGGGCTGTGCACTCTTTTGCTTCTGGTTCCGTTCCAGTGGCGGATCGTCAGTGTATGGAGCAAACTTCAGACTCAGCTAATGAAGGCCAGTGACAAGCGCATGAGCATGACCAACGAGATTCTGCAGGGCGTGCGCATCATCAAGTTTTTCGCCTGGGAGCCACAGTTTGAAAAGCAGGTTGCTGCGATTCGCAGTGGCGAACTCGGCGTGCTGCGCAAGCGCTACTTGTTGCTGACAGTCTCGATTGTGATCTTTTTTATGGCGCCAGTTTTTATCACACTAACCACATTCGTCGTGTACACAAAGGTCATGGACAAGCAGCTTACAGCGTCAATAGCTTTTACTGCGCTGGCACTGTTCAAGACACTTCGTGGGCCGATGGACCAGCTTCCGGACTTTTTCTCTTTCTGTCTGCAGGCCAAAGTTTCGGTTGATCGTGTGTCCAAATTTTTGTCCGAAGAGGAGACGTCGAAATACGAGCTGAGCAAGTCAACACGGCAGGCGCATAATGGTATTGTGAGCAGCGGGCAGGGTGCCAGCTACGCCCAGATTGTGAGCGCGACTGATATTGGCTTTATCGATGCGTCGTTTAGCTGGAAGTCGGCCGCATCTGCATCTGCATCTGCTGAGATTGACTTGACGAACCCAACTGTTCTGCAGCCGCTGCTGAGTTCTAATCCAGAGGCAAGCGCAGACAATGAACTCGCGGGTGGCGTACAGAGTGCCAGCAACGGCGTGTTTGAGCTGCGCGACCTTACAGTCAGTTTCCCTGTGGGCAAGCTGAGCATCATTGCTGGGCCCACCGGATGCGGCAAGACGTCTCTTCTGATGGCGCTCCTGGGAGAGATGCGGCTGACCGCCGGCCGGCTAATGGTTCCAGGGGCCGCGTTCAGCGCGCGCGCGACGTTTGGCGAAAACATGTCTAATCCCTTTAGTTTGCAGGAGTCTGTCGCGTACGTGGCCCAGCAGGCGTGGCTGCTAAACGACACAATCCGCGGCAACATTACGTTTGGTCTTCCATACGACGAGCAACGCTACCGTGAGGTTGTGCACATGTGCGCTCTAACAAGGGACTTTGAAATCATTGATGCCGGCGACATGACAGAGGTCGGCGAGCGCGGCGTGGCGTTGTCAGGCGGCCAGAAGCAGCGCATATGCTTGGCTCGCGCCGTGTACTCGCCCGCGCGCCACGTCATCATGGACGACTGCTTGTCTGCGGTCGACGCGCACACTGCAAAACACCTGTACGACAACTGCCTGATGGCGCCGCTTATGTCCGAGCGCACGCGCATTCTGGTTACGCATGCCGTCGGCTTGGCGATCAAGAGCGCAGCGATGGTGGTGGTCATGCAGGATGGCCGCATTGCTGCGGCGGGGACGCCGCTCGAGGTTCTGCATAGCGGAAAACTCAGCGAGGAGACGTTACGCGAGGCCGACGAGGAGCAGCAAAACGCGGCAACGCGCGCGGAAGCTCGGTCAGAGAGCAAGGGCAAGGCGACAGACACGAGCGGAATTGCCATTGCCGAGTCTGTTGAAGATACAATTGACGATCGGTTTGACGGTGCTCGCAAAAACAGCAGTGCCAGTGCTAGAGTGAAGGCAAGTGCCGCGCCACAGGACGCAAACGCGCAAAAGGGAAAGCTTACGACAGACGAGGGCTGGTCCCGCGGTCATGTACAGTGGCGGGTGTATTTGGCCTACTTCAGAGCCAGCGGCGGTTTGGTGTTTTGGGCGATTTTGACTGTGCTGTTCATGCTGACGCAGGGTCTGCTGGTCGCTCAGGACTGGTGGCTGCGCGAGTGGGCTGCATCGTACAGTAAATCTAGCCTGACAAGCTATCACTTTGTTGCGAGAACAGGGGCTGACCACCGCACCATTGCTTCGCTTCCCACCCACTCTGGCAGTGTCATTTCGGTTGAGCCACTGTCGGTGTCTTCACTCGCTTCGGGGTTGCTCAATCGCTCTATCCAATTTGTTGGACTGAAGGGTGAGGATGGCTTAGATGGCGGCAGAGTCGATTTGGCTTACTTTATTGGGGTGTATGTCGCAATTGCACTGGCAAGCGTGTTCCTCATCTTGGGTCGTTCGCTGCTGCAGTTCTGGGGCTCGCTCAAGGCGTCACGGACCCTGCATGAATCGCTGTTGCACACCGTTCTGCGCGCGCCTGTGCGGTTTTTTGACACTACGCCTGTTGGCCGCCTAATCAACCGGTTCTCGAAGGACATGGAGACCATTGACCAGTCGCTGAACTCGTCGCTGGCAATTTTCCTGACCGAAGTCATCGCATCCCTGGCGATTCTCATTGTTATTGCGGTCATCACGCCGGCATTTACGTTGGGTGCTATTGTCGTTGCTATCATCTACTGGATCATTGGTGTCTTGTACCTGGCAACATCACGCGAGATCAAGCGTTTCGAGAGCGTGACAAAGTCGCCGATATACACACAGTTTGACGAGACCATCAATGGTGTGTCGACTATTCGCGCATATGGCCAAGAGTCGCGTTTTCGCATGGCAAACTACACCAAGGTCGATGACAACAACCGTCCCTTCATTTACATGTGGGGAGCCAATCGCTGGCTCAGCATTCGCGTTGACCTTGCCGGCGCTCTTGTTTCGTTTATGGCCGGGCTACTCGCACTGACCACAACGGGCCGCATGGACGCTGGGCTTGCTGGATTGTCGCTTTCGTACGCGCTCAACTTTACCGAGCATATACTGTGGGTCGTGCGGTTCTACTCCATCAACGAGATGAACTTAAACTCGGTTGAGAGAGTTGTCGAGTACTTGGATGTTGAACCCGAAGCGCCAGTCACTATTCCCGACCGCGTGCCTCCTGTCGAGTGGCCGAGCAACGGGCGTATTAGCGTTGAGAACCTGGAGCTCAAGTACGCCGAAAACCAGCCGCCTGTAATTCGCGGGATATCGTTCGAGGTGCAGCCGCGCGAAAAGGTCGGCATTGTTGGGCGCACGGGTGCCGGAAAGAGCACACTGACGCTGGCCATGTTTAGATTCATGGAGGCCAGCGCAGGCCGAATTATGGTGGATGGAATTGACATCTCGCAGATCGGTGTGGGCGACCTGCGCTCACGGCTGACCATAATCCCGCAGGACCCTATTTTGTTTACAGGCACTATTCGCAGCAACCTGGATCCGTTTAACGAGCACGGTGATGATGAGCTGTGGCTGGCACTGCGTCGTGCACACCTGCTCGGCGACGAGGATGAGATTGCGAGCAGACAATCGGTTAGCGGCAATAGGCAGTATCCAGCATCTAGCCGCGCTAACACAGTCAAGGATCTGGCCATTGCGGATAACATGGTCACTAGCAGTGGAAGCAGCAGCATCAGCCAGTACGGATTGCAGCAAACTGCAGTGACACTTGGCCGCACAATCACCGATCTTGACATGGCAGTCACCGAGAACGGGTCCAACTTCTCGCAGGGCCAGCGGCAGCTGATTGCGCTGGCGCGCGCTCTGGTCAAGCGTACTCGCGTCATTATCCTGGACGAGGCCACTGCATCTGTCGACTTTGACACGGACGCCCGTATTCAGACCACCATCCGCAATGAATTCACAGACTCGACGCTACTGTGCATTGCCCACAGGCTGCGCACGATTGTTGATTACGACAAGGTGCTGGTGCTTGATCAGGGCGAAATCGTGGAGTACGATACGCCGTACAACCTGCTGTCAAAGAGCGAGGGTCTTTTCAAGCACATGTGTCTAAAGTCTGGCGAGTATGACCACTTGTTCTCGGCGGCCGAGCGCAAGCATCACAGTGGTACTAACGAGGCGATTATTTCTGCATAAATAAAAAGCCATTTATTATGTTTAGAGTATCTTTGAGCATATGCGTGTAAAGTTGGAACCCAAAAAAGCATTGTTGTTTATTATTTATGCAATAACACATGTCGATGTAACCTTTGTAATGTTGCAATTTAATATTATTATTATGATTTGTGCAATTAAGCGCCATCTAGCATATCACACATCCCGAGTCTTTGGGTTTGGACTTGTTCTGGGTGGGCACATTTCTGCGATTCGAAGTGGTTCGCTGAGAAGCCGCCGACAGATGTCCATTTCTCTGTTCACTTTTAGACCGGCTAAAATACTTTGTAACATCTGCGGCCTGTGCCGCTGCCGCTGCCAACATGCCAGGTGGAGCAGAGGTATTCCGTCTTTCGCAATTATGATCGTCCTCAAAGCGATGCTTCAAGCAAAACGACTTCGCACACACTTTGCATGTCGTTCGCACAATAGTCTTCTCCTGGCACCTTTTAAACGCACATTCAGGCTTTGGCGGTAACGCATTGGCAGGCGTTGTGGGCTTGCATCCAGCATCGAGATGTCTATTAACCGCATCGTTTGCGCTCTCGTTGGGCCGTAAGGAAACGGGCTGTTCGCATATCGGGCAGTCCGGCACTATCCTGTTGACGGCCTTGTGCTTATCGGTGCAGTTGTGGTTATCGACTTGCCAATGATCAGCGCTATAAAGAAAACACAACTGTTGGGGTTTAGTATCTTTTCAAAGCGAATTTTCTTGGTTCGAAATGCGTTCATGTTGCGCATTCTGTTTGTTCTTTTTGCTTTTGTTATTGACTTGGACTTACCAGAACTCCTTTTTGCATAAATGGCATGCGGTCAGCAAGTAGTCGAGCTGGCGGCATCCTTCGAGTGCGCAGTGCTCGCCAGCGTCGGGGAACTCCATTTACCTTTGTGTTGGGAACAAGTAAATTAGTAAAAAAATAAAGCAATGTAAAAATGAAGTAAAAACGAAAACAAAGAGATGAAAATCTAAAATATCTGCTGCGTTTGGATGAAAGAAATCTGAAAAAGAAAAGGTTCAACCCCTCCCCACCACATTTTAAAGTATTTTTTGTCTCAATATGCGCAGCCCGTTTTGCTGGCGTGTTGCCAAGCCTTCGGTGAATGGCGAATGCAGTGGACGCGTCATCCACACTTTCAAAAATATTCCCAAACATTCGATATTCCATTGAATAGTTATTCTTAAAGCTTCTTCATGCCCAGTTGTAGCGAAATAAAAAATATATATTTACTAATAGAAGCGAGCAAAGTGTAAAGAATAATCGAGGTGGAAAAAAAGGTAAGACGAGAAAAATAATCGGAAAAAGTGACTGCTTTGGATAACAATGTCGTCACAAAAATTCATAAAAAATAAAGAGCCGACGCGCAAACCCCCCTGGATATCAGTATCCTGAGGGCTTCTGCATTGTAGTATCGTAGGCGCGGATGATCTTCTCCTGGCCGCCCTCGTTCTGCGAAAAAGCATAGCCGCGCGTGCGGCGCAGACGCTGCAGCAGACGGACCTTGTGCACAGCCTTCTTGAACCGCTCCATGCGCGGGCGGTAGTCGGGGATGTTGAACTTTTGGATTTCCTGCACGATGTGGTACGCCTTGGTGAAGTACATGCGCTTGAGGTACTTGTACCCGTAGTCACGAACCATGCACAGGACGGATAGCAGAATCACTGTCAGCCAGAAGCGTGGGTTGGCGTAGATGTGCAGGATAATGCCCTCATACTCGGTTGACGTGCGGAACTTTGGCGCGATGACAGCGTAAATGGGCAGGAAGCCGAACCACAGCAGCAGTGAGCCGGGAATGGCCACCACAGTCCATTTTGTCCACATGTTGGTGATCAACGCGGCCTTGAGAAGCACGGTTGTCAGCACCGAGGTGTAGATGATGACGCCGTAGACCCATTGTCCGCCAACCATGCCGTCGCCCTCCGTGTCGTTGAACAGAATCATGGTCCCCAGGAAGAACAAAATGACTGAGTGATAGAAAGCGTTAATGGCTGAGCCCCAGAACGCCCGGACGTTGAAGAACACACCGCTCTGGCCCATCTTGTACATCTCGGGATACCGGTCGAGGCTGCGCGCGTTGAGGAACTGGTCGAAAACGCCAATTGCGAACGGCGGCATCATCGTAAAGAAGACCGTGTAGAAAGTGATGGACCATGACTCGTAGACGGTCTGGCCCGAGAAAACGTTGAACAGCGCAAACCAGAACTGCGTGATGTACAGCGTGATGTTCTTGTAGAATGAGAACAGGATCATCTTGCTCAGGCGGTGGTAACTCCACGCGCCGTGGACGAGCAGCAGCTTGCGGAGGTACCGGAACTGCGCAATGGCAAAGTCCGCTGACCGCGCCGCCTGCAAGCCCTCCTGCCCGCTGATTCCAACGCCGACATGCGCGGCCTGGATCATGCTTACGTCGTTGGCGCCGTCGCCGATGGCCAGCAGGATAGCCTTGGTGCGCCGCTTGACCAGTTTGACGACCAGCGCCTTCTGCAGCGGCGACACGCGACAACAAATGACGGCCTTGCACAGCGTGGCCAGCTCTAAAAACAGTAGCTCGACGTCCTTCTCCAGTGCAAAGTCCAGACTGCGTCCGTCGATGATCAGTGCCAGCGACTCAAAGTCGATGTTGGAGCCGTGGCCTTCGCGAATCGCGTCAAGCTTCTTTTGCAAGAACTCCTTGGTCTCCCAGTGCGTCGTCTCGTTACAGATAATAAGCGAAAAATCCTCCTGGATGAGCTTGCAGCTGTAGCCAATGTTGATCGCGGTCTCCTGCCTGTCGCCTGTCAGCACCCAGATCTTAATTCCGGCTTGCGCCAGTGTGTAGATGGTCTGCGGCACGCCGTCCTGTAGCTTGTCCTCAATGGCTGTGGCACCCAGAAGAACCATGTCGCGCTCGATCATCTCAGCGACGCGGTCGAGCTCCTGCTGCCGGTTGGTCATGGTCATCGACGCCTTGTTGTGCATGACGCTCCACTTTTTGTACTCGTCCTCGCTGATGTCGCGCATGGCAATGCACAGTGTGCGCAGACCCTCAGTGGCGTACTCCTCCAGATGCTTCAACGTCTCGTTAACGAATGGAGACTTGCCCTCGCCCAGGCGCTCTAGAATAACCGTGTCGGCACCCTTGCAGTACATCTTGATGGAGCCGTCAGGGCAGCGAAGCAGCGCGGACATCCGCTTGCGCGTGCTGTTGAACTCGTTGATATTAAGCACCTCATACTCCTTCTCGACGCCCATGATGTTCACGGCGATCGACCGCGGCTTGCGCATGTTGAACACAAAGTCGATCACCGAAGCGCCCTTAACGAGAGCGGCCTCGTCGGGCGACGACGCCTGGTACTCGATCTCGCCATCGACAGACTGCTTTTGCTCGGGGATGACCGTGTGGCATGTGGCCAAGAGCTGGAAAAACTCAAACAGAAGCGCGCTGCGCTCGCTGTTGCGGATGTGCTCCTTGAGCTGGCTGAAGTCGTACTGGCCAACAACCTCTCCGTCTATGACCCGGGCGCGCTTTCCCGCCTCGACGATGTCCGAGTACATGACGCCGCCGATCGAGCACTGCCGAAACTCCATGATGTTGCAGGTCAGGGTGCCCGTCTTGTCGCTAAAAATATACTCGACCTGGCCGAGCTCCTCCACAAGCGAAGACGTGCGCGCGAGCGCCGGCGTGTTCGACGACTCGTCGAACATGTCCATGTCCGAGTTGATCAGCTGCGCCTGCTGGAACTTGACGACCTCCATCGTGACGATCAGCGAGATCGGAATCAGGTTGTTGTATAAGATAATAAAGGTCAGAATGTTCTTGATGAACGTCTTGGCACCCTCGCCGGCGGGCAAATACAGATAGGCCATCTGGTCGCGGTTGCGCGAGGTCATGATCTGGCTGCCCAGCGCGCTCATCACGGCCAGGATAATTAGAATGATAAACAGGAAGATGATTTGCTGGTTCGTCGTCTTCTCGACATTAGTCCGCTTGATTGGCGCGGCCATCGCATTGCGCATGAGCTTGGTCTCGTGTCCGGTGAATACGACCACAGCGTAGATCCAGTCGGTGTTTCGCAGGATGGCGCCGCGCAATAGAACCAGGGTGGGGTCCAATGGCATCTCCTTGTATCCTATGCGCCCGCCCTCCGATATCATCGTGCCCTCGAACGTATACAGGCTATCGTTGGGCATCTCCGTCTTGAGATGACCACGCAGGTCAGCCAGGTCGGCGGGAGTTATCATCTTTGCCGTGTCCGGCAGGGCCTGCTTGACCTTAAGGTTGGTCTCGCCGTCCAGGTTGCTGGTCTCGACATAGCACATGCCCTCAGGCTCGGAGCTGCTGAGAAGCACAATGTCTGCCGGAATTGCCCCCTTGTTCTCCACACGCACAATGTCTCCAACCTCTATGTCGCGCCAGGCCTTGTCGACAAAGGAATTGCCAATAAGCACGCGCGCCGAGCTCTTGTTCATATCCGCATCCGACCGGTGACGCTTCAAATCCTCGGCTAGCTCCTTTGCCGCTGTGGCTGCCAGCACCACAGCCAGGGGCACGATTGTAGTGTACCTCGAGGTCGGGGACACGCCGCTGATCTGCTGGATGCACCCGGTGAACAGGAAGAACACGTTGGCGTATTTTGAGAACTGCTCAAAAAAGAACTTTGGGATGAACGTTACAAAGTTGTACTTTGCTGTCGAAACACGGTTATGTTTGAACTTGTACTGCGCGTTGCTCTCGCGGTTGCCTATATGCACTGTGCGGAAGTTGATGCCATTGGTGGTGCCAAATGCCGGGTTGACCACCATCTCCTCAGAGATTCTCGCATCATCGTCGTTGTTGCCGTCAGTAAAAGCATCAAATTCGTTGTTGGGCCCATCATTGCTGCCAATAAGCCTGCCCATGTCCTGCATAGGGATATTTGAATCGCGGTAGTGCTCGGCAGAATCGCTGGCGGAGCCGAGCAACGAGTGGCGAAGCCCGCCATCAGGCACATTCGATCGCCGCTTGCTGAGCTGGCGTCTGAGTAAAAGTGACGCCTTCCTCAGCGGCGTATCATTCTCGGACTCGACCTCGTCCATAAACTGCATCCGCTGATACATCGACGGTCCTCGTGACGGCCTCGACACATGGTCGCGGTCCAGCCTTGTATCGTCCAGCTTATCCATTATGTCCTGCTGGGACGACTCGCCTGTATACGCGCGCTTCCCGTATGGCTTCGACATGGTCGCAAAACTGGTTCTGTCGTACCCGTAGTCGTCCTCGTTTTCCATCTCTTCCAGCGTCGTATCGTATTGTCCAAAACTGTTGGCTGCTTCGCGGCGCGCGCGCTCTTCGCGCTCAACTGCCCTGCGCACGCTCAACTGCTGCGCGGGCTGCCTGGGTTGTGACTGGTGCACAGAGATTGAATCGTCGTCGACAATTGGGGAATTCAAGTACGAGTGTGTGGAATTGTCGGTACCTGCGCTCAGCACCAAATGCTCCTCATCGCCGGCGCCGTAGGGCGTCAAGAAAAATTGGTCCTGCTTGGGACCCATGTTGCTGAATGGAAACTCCCTGGTAACGCTGCGCCTTTGAAAGAGAACAAGTACAATGAATGAAAAGAGTGATTGTGCTGGTTCAAACTATGCAAAAAAGGCAAATAAATAATGGTAGAATAAAATAAAAGGAGAAATTTGCGGAAAAATAATAATAAAAAAGCAATCCACCGTCCAAATTTTTTTATATTTTTTTGTGTTTCCGAGAGGTCAGAAGAAAAGGAGGGAGAGGCCTGTGCAACAACACCAAAAAGAAAAAAGAAGAAAAAAACGCTTGGAAGGAAGGAGACTTTGAACTTTTAAAAGCGAACAAGGCAGTACAAATAGATGTTAAATCGGAAGCACAAACTAAAAAAACCCAACAATGCACAATTCTTCAACGCGTACAGTGGTGCTGTTTTAGCTACAAAAAAGGTGTGCACAGGCTGTCAAAATGTAGTGGCAAGTTGAATTCTGCAGCACCTACTTTGTGCCACACGTACTATTTTCGAAAGCCCATTTATGCGAAACGATTTTTGAACACTAAAGTTTTTTTTTGAGAAAATGTCGGAGAGCAGTTTATGAGATTTACTGATTTGGAAAAGTCGCGATGACGTCGTGGCCATCCTATACAAAAACCTGTTTTTTTATTTCTACAAGCTGCCCGGATATTGATGGTATTTTAAGCTTGTTTTGTTTTAACCTGAGCGTGTGTATCGATAAAGTTTAAAAATATGAAGTTGTCTTGCTTATAATTTACAAGCTGTGTCGGTGCTACATTGTTAATTTGATTTGGTGTGATCGAATGAACATGACACTGACGCCAGAAGCTAAGTTTCGACAGTGACAGAACCAAATTTGTTTGTTTACTGCAAACATATCATTGATCTTTTAGCGTCTGAAATTGCACAGCAATATAACTGGCAATATACTACTACTTTTGTTTAAAGTGAGAAAAAGTGTAATGATATGAACAGTAAAATTTTTTCCAAAGATAAAGCGCATCAATGATTTATACGGCCCACTGTTGCTGCGAAATAAGTAGACCGCTATTTGTTCCACATACATTTCATGAATTGTATAGAAACCAAGTAAAGTTGGGCACGAGAGTAGTAAACCCGATGCTGGGTAGGTTGGGGGAGAAGGAGGGGGCTGGGCGAATAGGCTGTCGGCTTGTTGGCTCTGGATGGGAAACACAACGCAGTAACGGGAACCGTACCAGCCAATTCGCTACTCCATATTCAGACGCTCTTGCTCATGCTTGTCATACCCCCCAAGTCTGCAATCGGTCCCAGCAGCTACTAGAGCAAATTTTCAGCTGGTCACCGGAGGAATTAAAACGCGAACAATGCAAAATTATTTTTAGCGGCCATAGTAACGGTAGTAACTCGCCCAAATGTAATTAAATTGCCAATGCCTTCTTTCCAGCGCGCACGCGCGCAAGAATCAAATGCTTGTGTGCGGTATTGGACTAAACAAGTGCCGTATAAAAGACAAGGTCGCTGCCGTGGTAAAGTACTCGATCAAAACATCTTATACACTTGCAACGCTCTGACGACACTAATAACATTCCACATTTCTCTTCGCTAACGATAACCCAGGCTTTTTTCAATTAATCCTTATCCAATAACACCTTTTCATATCAATTTTATAATTTTATTTTTCTTGTTGATCCAATGCGTGTCCTCGTATTAGCGTTTGTCGTTCTTGCTGAGGTCGCCATGGCGCGTCCTACTCCCCAGGGGCTCCCGTTAGTCGGTGATCTGCTGGGACATGCTCCTGCGCCGCACGGATTTCTGCCGCCGGGTGGCAACCATGGAATTGTTGGCAATCTGGTCGATTCTTTGCTCGGGCATAATGCGCTGAATCTCGATCTGTGCCTCAACCTCAAGCTCGGCGACGGTCCGCAGAGCTTTGCACCCAGCTGCCCCAACTACATTCCACCTCCACCCCCTCCATTTCCCTACCCTGGATACCTTTCCCGCCGCGAGCATAAGCGCGGGCTGCTTGACAATCTTTTGCCTGGTCTCACGGCACCGTTGGGTGGTGGACCGTCCGGAACACCGCTCCGCCCTAACAAGGGTCTTGTCATCAATCTCCTCGAAGCACTTCTCGGCCCCAATGTACTGGACCTTGATCTGTGCCTCGATCTTAATCTCGGCGGTGGGCCGCAGAGCTATGCCCCTCGTTGCCCCAACTACGTGCCTGTTCCCGTCGGCATTCCGCCTCCGTTCGGCCCTGTCGGTCCTCCTCCCTCTCCCCCCATTGGTCCCCCCGGCCCCATTGGCCCTCTGCCACCGGCGAGCTACTCAGTGGCGCCTTTCTACCGCCGTGACGTAGAGAAGAGGGATCTTGCCATTTTGGGCGGTCCTGGAAGCTACGGTGCACCCATTTTGCCACCACCTCCGATGCCCCTGCCTCCTCCCCCAGCACCTTATATCGAGGGCCCTCCCATTATGCCTCCTCCCCCAGCACCTTATATCGAGGGTCCTCCCATTATGCCTCCTCCTCCAGCACCTTATATCGAGGGTCCTCCTATTCTGCCCCCTCTGCTACCGGCTCCTCTGCCTCCTATGCCCATGCCCTCTGCTCCATATATGGGTGCCCCCCCGCCTCCGCCTCTCCCGCCAATTGTCTCCCCAATTGACGAGGACTGCGAGACACCTCCTCCCCCTCCTCTCCATGGCCTGGCACCATACCACGAGGCCCAGCCTCTTGTGCCTCCACCCATGCCCGTGCCTACCGGTCCTGCCTACGAGGTATTGCCGCCGATTGTCGGCCCCAGCCCCCTGCCCCTCAACAGTATTCCCCTGCCTCCTCCGGTTGTCCCCCTGCCTCCCGTGTATGAGAGCGGCCCACCTCCTCCAGTACCCTTTGTTCCGGTAGTTCCTGAGTACAACGGTGTGCCCCCTCCTCTGCCTCCCTCTCCCATGCTGCCTCCGCCTCCCCCTTTCATGCCTGTTGGCCCGCCGCCACCTCCTCCCATGCCTGTTGGCCCCCCGCCACCTCCTCTCATGCCGATCGGCCCGCCTCCTCCCGCTCCCGCTCCCATCGGTCCACCACCTCCCCCGATGACGTCGATTGCCAATGACGTTGTGCTTGCTTATACTAACACTGCTAACGGCAATATGCCTGCTATTTGCATCCCAGTGCCCTACCCGGTTGCCACTGGCCCCGGTGCTGCTCTGCCACCACCACCTCCGCTCGGCGGCCCAGTTTACAACGCTATCATGCCGCCCCTTATGTAAACTAACAATTACATATTTATATATCCCTTTTTCTTATTCTTCTGGTTGAGATATGAACAAAGGGGCCAATGATTTTTTATACAAGTCGATGTAGCACATTGACACATTTTTTCTTCTCATATTTCACTTTTAAATATATCATTTTCCACGACACAAAAATAATAATAAACGAATTTTTTTTGGACAACTTGATAAACTAAAATATTATTTTCATAACCAATGTCTTTTTGTTTACTTAGTTTGGTCTAGTAACAGCAGCCGGCGCTGGCTTAGAATAATGGCGCTGCGCAGGAAGCTCAATCTCACTTCCCTGACTCAGCGCAGCGGGTCTCCTCCTCACAAGCAACGAATCCCTATTAGCAGTACCGGGGTTTCTTCCGTTAGACGCGTTCTCGCCCATTCGGGGAAACTGGAACCCACTGGCGACACTACGAACACCGTCCTCGACATCCTCGCTGGCCAAACCCGGTGATCGCGGAGTCATGCCATCAAATACGTGCGACTGAGACATGAGATGCACATTATTGCTGCTGAGCTTGACAGCGCTGGGAGATGTCGGGGCAATGTCTGCCGATATTGTTGCAGCCGTTGGGAGAGATGAGGTGGAGCGATTGGTCGATATATCGATGATACCCAGCCCTGTGTCGCTGTCTATGGGCCTCGGATCAAGCATAGGTTTTGTCGCGGCAGTAGCCGCCATGTTTTCAGCCATTAAGGTGCTGCTGGTGCTGGTGCTGCTGTTGCTGTTGTTGCCATTATTGGCGCTTTGCTGGATATTCTGCCACCATGTTTTGGCCGACCCCGCGGCCTGGCTATCCCTTGCGCGCTTAAACAGCGAAGCGGCAGAATCCGAAATGGTGTTCTTTATCGACATGGCGCGTTTCTGCGACACAACCGAACGCGAAGCAGGGGATGGCGAGCGACCAGAAGGCGCTTGCGCCAAATTAGTTGGCGTTGCTCTGCCCGAATTCATCCCCGGCTGCTGCACGAGTAGATCATCAGGGAGCGAGTGCGGGGTCACCATTGCATTTCCAACAAGCAAGTGCGGCGAGGAGTGCGTGTGCATCACGTCAACTGAGTTGTATCTTTGGTGCGGGCTGTTGACTGATATTTTTGGCGGTGCGCCCCTGGTTTCCGTGGCGCTTGGTTCGGCCGATGTCACGGATAAGGGCCGCGACTGGTCCTGCGCCTTCCTCTGTCGCGCGCGCATCTGGTCCGAGCCCAGATGGGGAGAGTCCTCGGCGGCCATGGCAGCGGCACTGTCGTCGGATGCTTGCTCAGGATCACCGCTTGCCTGCCGGTGCTTGTCCAGCCCGGCGTTATGAAACTCCTTGAGTGACGACTCCAGGATGGCGCCCTCCTCAACCGTGGTCGGGAAAAACACAGTGTCGTCGAGGTTGGGCAGCACCAGGGTGGTGCGCACAATATCGTAGATCTGCTTCTCAATAGCCTGCGAAACAGCAGCGTACTTGACCTGCTTCTGCATGAACACTGGGGACACGTGCAGGCGAAGACTCGGCATCTCGTAAAAGCCCATCCAAAAGCGATTCGACGGCGCCGGCTTAAACCTCAACAGCATCTTCCCTGCAACGCTCTGCAAAACAACGGAAAGGGACACCGACATGCGCAGGGAGCCAATCTTCACCCCGGTATGCAGCACGAGCTTGAAGCCACCCATGTAATGCACGAACATGGATGCGTCAACCTGGCCGTCGGAACCAAAGGATTCGAGTTTAAAGTTGGTTATCACCGGGACGTTATCGCCGATATCCAGGTCGGCGACAACAATGCGGTCGAGGAAAATCGGCTTCTCGACGCGGTCGAATTTCGTCTGCATCTTGCGAATAAAATGCTGCCGCGCCCATTCTGTGCGGTAGGCTGCAAGGAACATGCGCCCAAAAATGCCGTTCAGCCACTCGTCCGGCTGCACGTCCCCGGGCTTGGCCGACGACCCGCGTGCGCCGATGGTGTGCATGATAGAGCCAATGCCCGCCCGATCCGGCATCAGGCATGATTGCCGCAGCCGGCGCTGCAGCCGGTCGCGCTGCTCGCTAGTTGGCTCACGTTCTGTTCTGGCCTTTTTACTCGCGTGGGTCGCTGGCTGCGGCGAGTTAGGCGGGGACCCAGCACCGCCACCCTCCGAGTAAAGCGCCTCCCCAGCCGCACCAGCCTCCTCTTCGCTGCAGCTGCTTCCACCATTGTTGCTCTCCGCGGCAAGGCCCAGGAGGGAGCTCCATGTCAAGGCAAAATACCAGTCCTCCTTCTCCGACGGCCTATCAACGTAGATATAGTACTCGGCCACCTGTCTCTTATACATCTGCGCCTCCACCGAGTCATCCAGGGGAGCCAGCCGAATGGGCGTTTTGCGCGAATACACCTGCGCCTCGCTCGTGTTAGGCCGATGGTGCAGGGAGACACGGTACTTTGTCATAATGATGACTCCGCGGCACTCATGCATGGGCTCTCCGTCGTACATCACTAGGGTGTCGCCATCCAGGACCACGTAGTAGAGATCTTGCGCTCCCTCCGCCACCATCATGTTTGTAGCGCTCTCTGGGCCCAGGTTGTCTGTGCGCTTACTTGTTATCCATTTGGCAAACCCGCGCGCTACCATGTCCGTTATGTTGGTATTTGTCTCAGCGGTGAGCTCCGGTGGATTGGTACCCAGGGACCTGGTTATGCGCAGCCACCCTGTGCGCCGGCTGCCATAGGGCGACCATACTGGCGAGTGCGCGCCCTTCAAGTTGTTGGGTGGTGCAGGGGTATTGTCCGTTGCTGTGCTTGGTTTCCTCTGAATTTGCTGGTGCATTTCGAGCAAAAATGCAGTGTCTTCCGGTTTGTTCTCAATGTTGCTGTCTGCGTGGCTGTGTGCTGCGGGGTTCTCAACTGGTGGAAGCAGAGCCCAGAGCACGAATAGTCCCGTGAATACCAGGACCGGCAGCGTCAAGATGCCTAGTACATATGTAAGCAGCAGTTGGCCCACTGTGAGCTGCATTTTTGGGGTTTTTTACACACTAGTAAGACAACAAAAAAGTGAGTGAGAAATAATGAAAGAAATGTGTGCAAATATATGCAAGAAAGAGAAGAAAGAGTTAAAACAATATTGGGCCAAGAACACAGTTGTAGAAGGTGGCCCAGAATATAAATGTGGAAATAAAAAATACAGGAAGCTAGCGTATAGTGAGAAGTAAAAAAATTGAATTAAATGCAGGCGATAGAGTAAAAAAAGATGCGGGAGGGTGAAATTGGAAGGAGCAGCTTTTGTCCTGTCTCGGCTTGGCGGCATAAATGGCACGCAGTTGTCATCATAAAAACGTCTTTCTAAAAAGAGGGTTTTGTATTTTTGTATTTTTGCGGACAGCTTTGGCCAGCTGCCAGCCTAACAAATAATTAAAAATAACCTGCTTTTTTCGGGCAGTCAAAATCAAACCGAAAGCCACACCCTCTTTTCAGTGATGGTGAAAAGGGAGGAAGTAAAAACATTGACATTTTACAATTCGATGCTTGTGCTGTTTTGTGTTTTTCGTTTTATTTTGTATTTATTAATACTTTTTTCATTTTAAATGTCAGAGGAATCTGCAGCCGAAGCACCGAGTAGCCATGCGCATCTGAATTTGCCAACTACGCGCAAATGCGGCCTGTGCAAGACAATCCCAGACTTCCAGCTCTACTTGCAATTCGGCCCCAGCGTCGACCGCAGCACGAGGCTAAAGATCGAGCGATACATAAAAAACTCTCTCTCCTCATCCGGCCCACGCTCAACCACCGCCGACCACTTACCAATGCCCGGGCGCAAGCGTCGACGATACAATGACGATGCCTATGACGATGGCCACAATGCCGATGCAGATGCTGACCGCGGCGTGGACTCTGGCCTGTCCATAGCTTTTTACGACCAGAATGCCGGGTTCGACCTTGACACTACGGCGGACGACGCGTTTTGTCAGGGCATAGACTATGAGCGCGGCACAAATGAGATCATTGGTCTGCACAGCGATGCGAACATGGGCAACCTCTGCTTTAACTGCTCGATGCCCGGACATGAGCTGAGAGACTGCCCGACTGCGCTGGATAATGACAGGATCCAGGCCAATCGTGACGCATTCAAGGAACGTGGATCGGGACAATTCAACAGTCGACTTTACCTGGCTGTGGATGACGAAAAACGCATGGAGGAAATGCGCAAGAGCATTTTGCCCGGCCAACCTCTGTCGCTCGAGCTCAGGGAGGCCCTAGGGCTTTGTCACGGGGAAGAGGAGGAGGCGGGTGGTTATGTGCCGGAGTTTATTGAGCGCATGTACTTGCACGGGTATCCGCCCGCGTACCTTGGAACCAAGGCTGGCGAGGACCCCATGTGTGCTAGGGCCATGCACCTATCACCCTCGATCCGCCCACCTACTCCGCAATTGCACATATACAATGACGCTGCCGACTATGAAAACGGCGATTCGGGCGAAAAGGACGAACAGGACACACAGGTCAAACAGGGCAAACAGGTCAATGCCAAAGAGGCACTCCATAGTGGATCCCGTGACACGAAGGCCAGCAATGAGATGGATGCCACGGGCAGCGATGAGGAGGGCGCGATCAGCGACGGTGAGCTAGATGCAGAGCCGGAGACAGAGTCAGAACGAAAGCCCAGCAGTGCCTGCCAATACACCGGCGAAGCCTTCAGCGTTCCACTGGTAATGTATCCGGGCCTGGACCTGGCCGAATTTGACTTTGCCTCGATTTCACGCCCAGGAAGGCCGTTACGGCCGCGCACACCCTACAATCGCATGCACGCCCTGAATGCGCGGCTCTCTCGACCAGATAATATTGACAATGGTGGCTACCAATCTGCCAACGACTTGTCATATTACGACAATGGTGGCTCCGGGTACTACAACAGCCATAGGCGCGACGGGTACTCTAATGGACGCAGCTACCGCGCTCCTTACGATGAGGATCGGTATCACGGTCGCCGCGACCATCGGGAATACCGCGAGTCTTACGATGACAGGCGCTCGAATTCCCTGGAGTCCCGTGGATCTTACAGGGAAAATATTGGCGAAAACTATGATCGGAGCGTGGAAAGCTATGCCTCGCATCAGCACCAGCCACCACCACCAGATTCACCACCACCTCTTCTACCACAATCGCCTTCAAATGACCACTACAGTGACTCATTTGGCGCCCATCAACTGCAGGACGATGTCTCTCAGCCCAAGTCGCAGGCCACGACTCTCGCTGGCGAATCTCAGGGCCAAACTAATCCTAGCGCAACAGACATTCTCGATCCGAAACCACCTGTTGATCCCGCAAATGGAGACACCGGCGAGAGTGACGGCGAAATTGAGGACGGCGAGTGCGATATGGAAGAGTCTGACTGAAAAGTCAACACAATATTTTTTCCTTCTGCATATATAGAAATCTATTGTTTTAAAACTCCCAAGCGAGAAAGCAGTTTGCGCTCGGCGTGCTCGTGCCAATGCCGATCAAACACGGCGTAATCCCAAGAGTCCAAATACTTGCCACTGCCCAAATACAGTACCTCTCTTCGAATGCACTCCACACTAACACCGATTGTCCGCTCCAACCACCCGCGCATGCCGATATTATCTTTAGTGGTCAACAGGGCAATCCGGTGCAAACGCATGGTTTCGAATCCGTACTTTAGCACCAAATACATCGCAGCCGAGCTCACGCCTGACCGCCAGAACCTTGCGTCCAAAATGATTCCTGCCTCGGAGCACCGATTGTAGCCTTCAATGTTGTTCAATCCGCAGCACCCAATGACCAAATAGGACTCGTCCATGTCTATACAGCCGCTAATGCCGTCCACGGGGATTCGCCGTGGAGGCAGGAACTCCTCTTGGTCTATCTTGTCGAGCAGTTGGTCCGGGATCTGCGACTGCTTGAGAGCAATGGTAAAGTTGAGAAGTTTCTTGTTTCTCTGGCCCTGGTCTCTGTACTGGCGCCTCTTCGCCACGTCGGCGAGGCTGTATCCGTTGGGCTTTGTCATGAACTGCAGGAACTTCATTGCTTCGCTGTCGGAGAGAATCCGGGATATTGCTGCGTCCTGGTCCTTGTCGGGCGGGAGAAGATTGACGTGGGCGCTGCTGATACCCCAGCGCAAGGGAATAAGGTCGTCCACGACCAGATCGTCGGCCGACATGGTATGCTCAATAGTAATGATCCGATAAAATATGTTGTAAATATGAAAAAAGAACAAGTTGAAACGAGTGATAAAATTAAGCACAGGGTTTTAGCATCCCCCTTAAGCCCGCTTAATCGAAGCCGTGTTGATCTCAAATCAGACCACGCAATCAAAAGTCATAAAGGGTGACGCGGCGTGCGCGTTTTTAATGTTTTTTTCCAGCCTGTTTGACAGCTCACCACTGTACCTAATTTTTTATTTCCTTCTTTTCCTTCAAATTGTATTACATTTGCTCTCGCACATACTTTTTGTTTTCTCCAATCCAACCCCCTTTTTTATTATTTTCCATTCTTTTAATTGAAGCAATAAAATGGGCAGTCGCAGTGCCAGCGCCGGCTATGACCGTCAAATTACCATTTTCTCGCCCGAGGGCCGCCTGTTCCAAGTCGGTACGTCATTTTGTTTTATTTTCGGTTGGTCAGTCGAACAACAGCAAAAAAATAAATAGTTTGCAAATGTCGAGCATAGTTTTCGGCAAATTAGCAATCAGATGCATTTATTCGCCCGTCTGCTAAGCAATACCCACCGCCACCGTCATTTTCTTTTCCACCTTGTGCTTGCCCTTTTCAATTGTAGAGTACGCGTTCAAGGCCATTTCGAACGCCGGCCTGACTTCGGTTGGAGTCCGCGGTAAGGACAGCGCCGTCATCGTGACACAGAAGAAGGTTCCTGACAAGCTCATTGATGCCAGCACAGTGACGCACATATTCCAAATCTCGCCCTCAATTGGCTGCGTGATGACCGGACTCGAGCCCGACGGTCGCAACCAGGTGATGCGCGCACGGCAGGAGGCGGCCGATTTCAAATACAAGCACGGGTACAGCATCACGCCGGATCTCCTGGCCAAGCGCATGGCCAATATTAACCAGGTGTACACACAAAAGGCATTTATGCGGCCCTTGGGTGTGTCGATGATCCTCATTGGTTGGGATGAGGAGCGTGGTCCTCAGCTTTACAAGACCGACCCTGCTGGTTATTTCGCCGGCTACCGGGCAACTGCTGCTGGAGCTAAACACCAGGAGGCATTTAATTATTTGGAGAAGAAGCTCAAGGCTGATGTGCACCCGTGTGCTGATGATACTCTGGAGCTCGCCGTTGCTACAATGTCGTCGGTTTTGTCGGCCAGCTTTAAGGCACAGGATCTGGAGATTGCTGTTGTGACCAAGGAGAACCCAGTGTTCCGCATGCTGACTGTCGAGGAGATTGATGCCGAGCTATCGCGCATTGCCGAAAAGGACTAAGCGCTGTTTATTGAGTGCTTGGTAGCTTTTTTCTCATATATTTTATAAATTGCAACCCTTTATTCTTTATTTGGTATGTTTGTCATACTGTACAACCGCATGGCCAAAACATTGGCGGCTTTAGCTAATGGTGGTTATCTTGCTCATGTGTGGGTTTCAATAATAATATTATTATTGGGGAGCTTGGCGGATAGCGTATCCAGTGGTCACAAAGCTACGCTTGTGCGCAACAACTGGCCTGCACAAGAGCCGCAGCATGTCTATGACCAGACTGAGGAAAATGGCCAGCGGCATTTTCAGACCAAAGTCCACAAACCTGGTTGCCTAATTTATAATGTTTTCTTCTTAGTGATTCATATTCATATTGTTTCAATATTTGTAAATATAGGGTTTATTTGCCTACTTGTCAATTGGATTAGAAATAAAGTCATGGTGTAGAAAATGGTTTACTTAGTAGCACTGGACACCCGTGCCGACAGCATTGTTATAATACTCGAGTCCAGCAGGGAATTCGTCAGAGAGAGAAAATATATACATTGAGCGAGATATGAAACAAGCAAGAGACAAAAAAACTAAAGTTGATGAATACGAAAGGGCATTGTTATACTTTACGGATTCACGTGGCTGAAACCCTTAAAATAGATCTGCGTAGCTTGCAGACATCAGACGAATGCGGTACGCTCGCATGGCGGAAGCTTGCTTGTTCGATTCAGAACTCTATGCTCACGCGAGTAGCACTTGTTTTCACATATTATTTTCTTATTCAGCAAAAAAACAAGCAATGCCCAGTATAAGCGTCATTTCGTTTTCTCCGTCAGAGAGGTTCCACTTGCTGCTATGCGAGCTCGACGGCACAACGTTTATAGTCGATTGCGGGTGGCCAGCAGCAGAAGACATGGTCGATACGCTGCCCAGCAGAGACAAGCAACGAGTGCAGAATGGAGGTATGGAGGGGCCGCGCGAAGCCCTGAGCACAATCAACTGGGAGCGGGTGGACTTTATCTTGATATCGAACTACGAGCAGATGCGGCTGCTGCCATACATTACAGAGTACACGGGGTTTTCTGGCCCAGTGTACGCTACGGAGCCGACCAAGACATACGGGCGATGCGTGCTCGAAGAGGGGCTGGCAGCCTCGATGGCAGGAAATAGCAGAGGCGGCGGGCTGTACTCGCAGCGCGACATCGTGGCAGCCATGGAGAGAATAACAGATGTGCGGCATGACGAGGTAATCAGCCCGGTGCCCTTTGTGCAGGTGTACACGCGCAGCTCCGGATACTGCATTGGGGCGGGCAACTGGACAGTGGAGTACAAGGGCCACCGCACAGCGTTTATCAGCACGTCGACGTTTGCCACATGTCTGCATCCGCAGGAGTGGGACGGGCGGACGGTGAGCGAGGCGCAGGTGCTGGTGTTCTGCGATTCCGCAGACCCGTCCGACAACGAGGAACCTGGATACAACGTACAGGTCTCGCAGCGGCTCAACCAGCTGTGCTCCATGGCGATCTCGACGCTCAAACAGCGCGGCCGCGTGCTGCTCATCGGCGAGCCATACGGTGTGACGCAGGACATTGTGCAGCTGGTGGCAGAAAATATTACAGCGCTGAATCTGCCGACACCGCAGTTTGTCTTTGTGTCGCCTGTGGCCGAGCGCACGCTGCAGTATGGCAACATCATGGGCGAGTGGCTCTGCGAGAGCAAGCAGGCGATGCTCTATCTGCCTGAATATCCTTTCGCCGACAAGGACCTGCGGCAGCGCGGCCATCTGCACTTTGTGCGCAGCCTGGCTGACCTTTCACAACGCGTACTGCCACAGGGCCCCTGGTTTGTTGTTGTGCCGCCGCACGATATTGCCACTATAGATCATTTTATGCGCCAATGGAAGACGGACGCCCGCAACTGCAGCAGCGCCGATATGGTTTCAGGGACCGGCATGTCGCGCTTTTCGGTGCTGTTGCACGATGACGATACGGCGCGCGCACAGCACCTGGTCAACCGCCTGCAGACAGCCGCTGCCGAGGTATCCTATGTCCCGGTGGCACGCCGCTTCACGCCCCACGCCATTGAGCAGTGTCTGGCCGGTGCTGCCCGTTCGCAGCACGTTCTCGTGCCGAGCCACGTGTATGCTCGACTCGCATCTTTCGCTGCAGGCTTTGACTTCCGCATGTTCGAGTATGAGCACCTGCAGGCCACCACCGTCGACCTGGATACCGACCGTCATCTGCCGCTGGACATCCAGCGCGAGGTGGCCAGCCGCATGCGAGCTGCTGGCAAACAGCATGCGTTGGTCAAGGGCCGCTTGACGCTGGCTGCAGGCAAAATCAGATTCGACTGTACGGACAAAGGCGAGGAGGAAAAAAAGAATGAAAGCAAAGAGGGAAAACCACCTTTGCCACCGAATGCAGGTGCAACTGACACTACTTCCAGCAGCGATAGCCTTGTGCTGCGTCAGCGTGACCTGGCGCAATGGACTCCTGAGCGGCTGGCTGGCGAGCTGGGTGATGCTGGTTTGAATGCCACGGTTACCGATTCCCAGGAGACGCAAAGTATAGTGCGCATTATAGTCCCTGGCGGATCCGCGACTATCAGAATGCACGGGGGCTGGTCAATTGAGTGCTCGTCTGCAGCCATACAATGGATTGTAATGGATTCTCTGCGTCGCCTACTCAAATGAATGCAAAACAGGCATGTTTTTTACTCGATTTTATCTTAAAAACAGTTTGCTTGTCCATTGTGATTATTTTTTTCTTCTGTCCGCTCCCTCTTTTATTTTAGTGTTTTTGGTTTGCATATATTTATATATTTATCTTTGACGAATATATTAGCCTTTGCTTTTGTATCAAGGTAGCGACGCCATTAGCAATATTCTCCTCGACACATTCTGTACTGGCATCGCAATATGAGCCCAGGCACCCAACACCTGCGCTACCTTTACTGGCGCTTCATCGTCCTCGGCATCGCCACACTGATGGCCTGGAATGTTTACATAGTCTCGTCAGACTACTTCCGATACGTGTTTCGCAACACGCCTTTCCGGGACAACTTTGAGAGCATATTCTCCGTGCTGTCCAACTCATGCAATCTCGCGACGCTCAGCTACGCCCTGTACACGCAGCCCAAGGCGAACCACGACCGCAGGATCAAAAACGGCATATGGATCACAGTGTGTGCCTTTGTCCTTATATCCATGCTCCCGGCTGCTGGCGCCGAAGGCTGGGTGGCTGTGACCGTGTCCCTTGTAGCACTGGTGGCAGCAGCTGTGGCCGCCGCGTATATCCAATGTTCTGTGTATGGCATCGTTGCGATGTTGCCGTCCAGCTGTGCAGAGGGATTTATGAGCGGCCAGGCTATTGCTGGCACAATTGCGAGTGCCGCGCAGTTGGTGAGTGTATATTGGAGCAAGGATTCCGTGAAAGGGGGTGATGACAAGCCACTAGTTGATTATGCTGCTGCTTCTGCTTTGGCTGATGATATTGGCGATGTTCAGTTACGGATACGAACGGCGGTCTATTTCTATCTATCAGCAGTGTTCCTGGCTTTGTCGATGATCGTCTGGAAGCAGCTCAACAATTATCTTGCCATGCCGCGGATGTCGCCCAGTGGCGCATACGAGGCCCTGCAGCTGCCGCTGATAAGCCATACCAACGATATTGAAGACGATGGACAACATGCGCCCGCGCTTGTTGACGGTCCGCCACTGCCCGCCTGGATATCAAGGCTGGGGCTGACTAATGCACACCATCTGTACATAACGTATTCCGAGATCTCGCCGTACGTTCATATCAGCATCATCACTATGGCACAGACCCTCGCTGTGTTTCCGCCACTGACCGAGGCCATCGTTAGCTCGCCCAATAGCCTCCCGCAGATTGCTCATCTCAATGCCTGGCACTTTTTGCTCTTTAATATTGGCGATTACCTCGGTCGGCTGTGCACCCAGTGGGTCACTTGCTCGAGACCAAAGGTGCTGCACTGGGTAAATGGGCTGCGCACATTGTTCATACCTGTTTTCCTGCTGTTTCCGACTGTGGCTACTTTGCCGGGGAGTTTGACGATCCACTCAGATCTGCTATTCCTTTTGCTGGTACTGGCAATGGGCTGGACAAACGGGTGGGTGGCTACATCAGCACTTATCCTGGGTCCTTGTCAGGCTTCCGACAAGGGGCTGGCTGGGTCGATCCTTGGATTCGCCCTATGTGTCGGCCTGGTTATCGGAGCAGTGGCGTCGTACCCAATTCTGCTTCTTGCTGGAATCTCCTAAACTATTTATATTTTTTGGCGTATAAATTAAAAGAACAGTGTATTTATGGTGGTGGAAATAAGATAATAAAAAGGAAGAAAAATAGAGGCAAGCGCGCATGTGCCTTTTGACATTTACTTGCCGTTGAAGAAGTCAATGAGCCGGCTGACAATACTCTTTCGTGCAGGCTTCTCTTCGGCTGGCTGTTGCGATGTATCCTTCTTGTCCTCCCGGTGCTTGTGGTGATGTTTCTTGCTGTCCTCGCTCTTCTCTGCGGGCTTGTCATCCTTCTTGGGCTTTTCGGCCTTTGGTGTCTCGGTATGCTTGGGTCTCTCCGTCTTTGCTGGTTCTGTAGCCTTCACGGGCTCCTCGGTCTTCAAGGGCTCGGCAGCCTTAACGGGCTCCTCGGTCTTCAAGGGCTCGGCAGCCTTAACGGGCTCCTCGGTCTTCAAGGGCTCGGCAGCCTTAACGGGCTCCTCGGTCTTCACAGGCTCAACGACAGCGGCCTCCGTGGGCACCACGTCGGAATCCAGAGGCGGAGTCTTGGCAGCCTTGTCTGCAAATGTATCCTTGGGATTTACTGCCGCGTCGGGGGCGACCTCAAGGGGATCTGCGTCAACTGCCGCCTTGACATTCTTTGTCGCTGATCCCACGGCAGCAGCAGCAGCTCCTACAGTCCCTGCAGCAACAGCGCCTCCAACGGCACCAGCGGCTGCGCTGCCACCAGCAGGAATTGCGGAGCTAACAATCTTTTGAGGATCGGTCAGATTGGGCATCTCAAGCTTGGGCGTGTCCTTGGCAACAGCGGACTCGGGCTGAATGTTCTGGGGTTCGGTGCTTGGGGAGTTGTTTTCGGCCTTGCCACTGGTGTTCTTCTTGACTTTTCCAGATTTTCCTTTTTTCGCCATTGTTGTTCTATGCAAAAAAAGTAAAGAAGTGTTCGAAGTGTTCGAGAGATAGCGCGAGTTTAGTATAAAATATCGTACGGTGGGATGTGGAATAGAAAATAATAAAAGTTCCCTTTCTTGAAGCGAGTAAAGAGAGTGAGAGCTGTGGTCCAGACATTTTTGCAGCTGTGCGCTGGTCTGGTCTGTGCGTGGCTTGTGGCTGCATGCAAGCTGTGAATGGGCTGCGATTTATCAAACGATCGCCTTGTTATATTATGCCAACCAAGAAAAGAGATCCGCAAAATACAAGCCACAGAATTGTAAGTGCAAAAAATAAGCGGTATAGTACGGAGGAATTCTGGTAACAGAACCTCGCGTTATTGCGCAAAGGTGCGCCCCACCTGTAACCATGGCACAAGCAAAAAAGACAGCAGATAAAAAATAAAAAATATGGTTGACTGACTGACGGACTAGTTTTTGTGTAACTTACATGTAGAAATAAAAAATATATGTAGCGTCGATAGAGTTTGTAAAGAGAGTTAAAGTGGTGCTAATAGTGAGAAATAGAAAATGTTTTTAAGAAACGGGAAGAAAGAGAGACGAGAGTAGCAGAAATATCGCCGAGAATGTATGCTGTTGAATTTTTTTGTGTCGCCCTGGCCTTTTCAATGCCTTATTCGCCGGACAAAGCATACTTTGCTTTAGGCGAGTAAAAAGAGACAGATGCCCTGTATCCGCTTTTCGCACTCAACCCCCTCCCTTCCCCACTGGGGGGTTTTTTCCTTTTCGCTATTTTTTCGATTTCGTCGCCAGCGACTGCAGACTCGTTACCCAGGGTTAATCTGTTGAGCCCAGTTCTTATAATACCTCATTCTTTTTTCACAGTGTTTTTTTTTTCACAGTGCAGTCGAGGCCGAATTTGGAAATTTGTGGAGGCTGAAAGTGATGACGAAAGTGATTTTGTGAAAGTTGCGTCAACTTGCATTTTGTGAAGGGGCTTTGATTGTTTGATCACACGTCTGAAGATTTGATCTTGTTTTCATATGCAAGGAGGCGTTCATGATCCACGGACAAAGAACATCCGTTGCCGCCCGTTTTGTTACTCGGAGCTGTTTATCGATCTGACTGCGTTTTTTTGCTTCTGCTTCTGCTTCTGCTTCTGCTCAGCTTCCTTCACTCATTTCCGTTCAAATATCTATTACCGTGTACTTTTGCAGCACAAGAGCGTCAAACAAAAAACTCCAGCACTCTCTTCAGCATTGGCCTGGAAGCGCAAGCAACAGCTATAGAATCTCCTCTCCCCACACAAATCCACGTCACCCGCTATTTCTTTGACAAACTCTTTTCCCCACTACATTTTTTTGCTTTATACCCCCCCCCCCGCACTTTGCATACTCCAGGCTTTCAGCTAGAATCATTCTCATACGCAGCGTCGCGGCCCGCCACCTCCACTACGCACCCCCCCCCCCCACACGCTTTGACTTGAAATATTCTCCGCACTTCTCGCACAGATAAAAAGGGCCGCTTATAGATTGTATTGTCGACTATGCCCAGCTTCTGGACTTCTGACGCACCGCTTGCACAAATTCGAGTGTGCATTCAGCCGGCCGAAGACTCGACAGCCACTATTTGCGCCAATAATAACGATGCTACGCGCAAACTGGCTGTTCCGCTGGACGTATACAACGAACTCCAGCAGTCTCTGATACAGCGGCAGAAAATCGATGGCCGAGCCTTGGCCAATGAGTCAGCCCAAAAAGGTACTGTATGCAATTCAATACGCACACTTGCCGGCCCTCTGGCTCCAGTCGTGATGATGTTGCTCCAGTTCTAGTAAGAGTTTTTAAATTTGCTAAAAACGACATTGCCATTTCAATTATTTCTCGCGCGCGGTTTTTTTTGTAGATCAGTTGTACGTGAGCGTCAGCGTTGTGGGTCAGAGTGCGCGCACGCCGTGCGTGATGGCAGTGGGCAAGGACCCGGTCGGCCGCCAGCCAGCCGGCGCCGCAGTGCCCATATGTGTTGCGAGTAATACAGCTTGGCTGGCTATAGAAGATGATGCTAACGGCTTGCAAATGGATGACGCCACTCCGGCCTCTGTGTCGGCAGTTCTCGAAGGAATCGTGCCCATAGAGCTCACTGAGGTCGTGCTGGGCGTCAGCAGCAGCCAGTACGATGACGCTTTGGCAGCACAAGATCAGATTTCTGCACACATAAACTCGCAAACCAGGCTGTACTACAGGGGATTCAGTACCACAGCAATAGTTGGCGATGCGGGAGAGCCCATTTCACTGCAGTGCTTGATGTGCCAGCCCGTATCCCAAGGAGTTATCCGGAGCGATAGCGGCGGTGCTGCTCCACGCATCATCATTGTCAAAACCAAGTCACCAGCAGCGAGCGGAACCCAGGATGCGCATTTGCTTTTGGAGGAGCAATCTGGCAGCGAATTCGATGCTGAACAGTGGGACCTGGGCGCAGAATGGCTGATTCTTGGCAATGCACCGCTGGCACACAATGCCAAAAATACAGAGATAAGCGCAGTTGAGCTTGACTCGCCGATTGACCACGCCAAGCTGGTGCCCGCCGCATATGCTGGCGAAGACTTGGATAATCGCGGGTACATGTCGCTAGCGTCGCTCGCAAAACTGGGAATTGTCAGCGGCGGCTGGGTCCTGATTGCACCATCTCCAGCGGCTAAACCGGCAAATGATAGCAATAATGACAACACGGCACTGCCCTCGAGCAGCCAGCGAGCGATCCGTGTATTTGGCTGGGACGGTGCCGGATTGAGCGACCAAGTGCTCGCGCTTCCCCCGATCCTACTTTGCAACATCTGCTTCTCGCCCTCGCCGTCTTACAAACCGTCTTCAGGCAGCAAATTGCTCATCACGCCGTTGGGCTTGCCTCCGGCATCCCCGAGTCCAATTTATCTCAGCGGCGCCGCCGATACAGGAAGCGTATCCAAAACTATGCCCCAGCCGCCATTGGAGACTGCCAGAAAGGTGGTCCTGGCGCGCGTGTCGTCGCCGCTGTCCGAGCAAATAGACATGGAGACTCACGCACTGGCAGCCTTGCAACAATGGATGTCGCCGTCCACATCGGACAACATGCAAGGCGAGGTGGCGCCTCTGCGAGTGGTCAAGACTGGTGATCTAATATCGGTGCGCATATCCCTGGAAGAGGCAAGCATGCGTACAACCATAGCGCTGGTGGCCGGCGCCGACGCGGCCAACCGTCTGCGCAGTGGCGAAACCGATATGGACCCCATCTCTGTAGATGTCAACCCTGTCACTGATCTGGCGCTAGAGGTGCGCGTGGAACATGATTTCTGTGCTCCTGTTTCGGGTGCCAATGAGCTTGTCTTTTACAAGGTAGTCAGCGCAGAGGGGTTCAAGCGCGGGCGCGCAGCCTACGGCTTACAATCCATCATAACGTCTGATGACGACGATGAATACGGTGTGTCCAGTGATAGCGACAGCAACGGCAGTGGCAGCGATGATGACGGCTACGACCTTGTCAGATCTGCCTCCAAGAGCCTCGATCCATTAGACAGAACCTGGGCACAGTGGTATGGGCGGGTGCGAGACAGGGGCCTTGTAATCCGTCCCGATGTCACGATGGTTGTCCAGACGGGCGCCGTGCATAGCCGAGCGCCATACCGCTCGGTACGCGGGTATCTGAGGGCCGGCAAGTACGGCAGATCTTTTTCTGTACATACCCAGGAATCGGCAGAGACAGCTGCCGAGTGCGTTCCATACTTCCGAGAGTTGGACCAGCTTATGCGCCTGGCCAACGCCTCGCTTCACCCGTTGGCCATATCGCGCAAGCTCATCTGCTCGGCGCTGCTCATGGGCAACCCAGGAACTGGAAAGCGATTATTGGTGCATTCTGCAGCTGAGAGACTCGGCATTCATCTTTACGAGCTGAGCTGCTACGACATCCTTGCAGAATCTGAGGACAAGACAGCGCAAGTGCTCGAAGTGTACTTCCAGAATGCCAGCCGGTACACGCCGTGCATCCTCCACCTACGCTCGATCGAGGCCCTGGCGCAAGCGAGCAACGCTGCGCCTGGCCAGGAGAACGCCGATGACCTGCCCATCTCGCGGGTGCTCAGAAAATGCATAGAGGGAATCAGTCGCGCGCACCAAGAGACTGGATTTCCTATTGTCGTTGTCGCATCCAGCAATCAGTCAGACAAAGTACCCACTTCACTTGCGGCGGCATTCCACTACGAAATCAATCTCAATGTGCCTGACGAGTGCACGCGGCTTCTGCTGCTTAAAAACATTACAGCAAGCAGCCTCCCCTTGGCGCCGGACGCCGACGTGTCGTATGTGGCCCAGCAGACAGCCTCATTTGTCGCTCGCGACCTTGCCACTCTCATCAGACGCGCGGAAAGCCATGCTTGGAGGCGGGCGCGGAGCAACATGACAGCAGCAGTTTCCAAATCTCTGGACGCAGGCGGGTGCCCGCTACAGACCCGCGATCTGCTGCTATCTGGCCAGATCATCACAAACGACGACCTGCTGAACGCGCTCGGTGACGCGCGGGCATCGATGTCTGACACGCTGGGCGTGCCCAAAATCCCTAACGTCAAGTGGGACGACGTCGGCGGCCTGGCAGACGCAAAGAAGGACATTCTCGACACTATCCGGCTACCTATGGAGCAGCCACATTTGTTTGCGTCGGGTCTCAGCACTCGCTCAGGCCTCTTGTTCTACGGCCCCCCGGGCACCGGCAAGACGCTGTTAGCCAAGGCCATTGCCACCGAATGCGGCCTAAACTTTTTCAGCTGCAAGGGGCCGGAGCTCATCAGCCCGTACATTGGCGAGAGCGAGGCCAATGTCCGGCGCATCTTCCAAAAGGCACGCGAGGCCAGTCCATGCGTGATTTTCTTTGATGAACTCGACTCGCTGGCCCCCAAGCGCGGCCAGCAGGGCGATTCGGGGGGCGTGATGGACCGGATCGTCAGCCAGCTGCTCGCTGAGCTCGACGGAATGAGCAGCAGCGGCAGCACAGACGATATTGATGAAAATGCCGGTGGCGACACTGGCGACCAGGGATCAAAAAAATCCAGGGACGGTGAGAGCGGCAGCGCAACTGCATCTGCAGTGCAGGTCTTTGCCATTGGCGCAACGAATCGCCCCGATCTCCTCGACCCGGCGCTGCTCCGGCCAGGCCGATTTGATAAGCTCGTTTACCTGGGCGTCAGCGAGACCCACGAGGCGCAGCTCAACATTATCCAGGCTCTCACCCGCAAGTTCCAGCTGCACTCTGATCTGGATCTGCATGCCGTAGCCGAGGAGTGCCCATTTCACTACACAGGAGCCGACTTTTATGCGCTCTGCTCCGACGCTCTCCTCAAGGCCATGCTGCGCACAGTCGATAATGTCGACGCCCTGGTGCGCCAATGGAACGAGGATGACGACAGAGAGCCGAATGAAGACCACCCTGTCCCGATGACTCCCCAGTACTACTTGGACCAGATTGCGCCCGAGGACATTAAGCAGGTCACGGTTACCATGGACGATTTTGAGAAAGCGCTTGATGAACTCATCCCTTCAGTGTCTGCCGATGAGCTCGTTCGCTACCAGGTTCTGCGTAGGCAGTTTGACTCGGTTTTGAAGGGAAAAGACAAGGATAAGGACAAGCAGAACCAACATACAGATGAAGGCAGCATGGCTAGCACAAGCTACGCAGAGACTGCCAAGGGCAAGGGCAAAGATCCGGCGAACTAGTTATTCATGATGGACCATGGACCTGATTGCGCGGGGTTGGCTTTTGGCCATCTTTTGAACAGTGAGTTTTTGGTCGAATACAATATATTTTTGAAACAATTGATCTGCCCAAAGCACGCCAAAAAATGTAACAAAATGCCGCAACCCTCGAATTCGACTTTGGCGTCTGCTGCAATAAATACTTCCGTACATCCGATCATCTTCTTCATCTCCGCCTTGCTTATTGCGATGGTGGCGGCGGCGCAATGGCAGGTGGCTGCTGGGCAAATGCCCGGCTCATGGCAATACCGACGCCCTCAATAAGCGCCAGAAGCACGCCTCCAAATACTGCCGACACAGCAGCAGCCTTCCAGCCGCCGCGAGCGGCAAGCACACCACCAGTGAGCGCACCCGATCCAATTGAATTCCAGGGATCCTCCTTTTGTCGCACGCCCTTGAGCACGCACTCAAAAGACGAAAACATGCTACCCCAGACAGCAAAGTTACCACCGATGATGGGACCACGAGACCGCATAGCATTCACACCGCCGCGGAACCGCTCGCCAAAGGGAGAGTTACGCGCGCCCTTGATAAAATGCCAAGTTCCACCACCGATCGCTCCCATGGCAAAGGCGCCTCCGGCATCGTTGAGAATAACCCAGGGGCTACACAGAAAATATAAAGAATTTTGCAGAATAATAGGTTTTGAAAAGCTCACGGCATTAGTCAACAGGCGCGCTCAAAACGGACGGTTTGCTATTCGTTTGGTGTGAACAGGCGGGCCTAACAGAATGCAAATTTAACTGACTTACCAAGGATCTCTGCTGACATCAGCACCGCGCATTTTTAAATGTGAAAATTGTTGTTGTGAGTGGGAAGATAAAGCGTAATAAAGGAAAACCCAAATGAAGTGTAAACGTATATACAAAGGTAAATTGAAGTTGGGCTGAATTAAGCAATGTTGAATTGAAAGATAAAAGGAGTAGCGGCTCCAAAATGGCAACCCAAAAAACATAAAAAAACCTATCAATGCAAGATCAAAATCCAAACTTGAAGCCTGGAGCGAGATGACTGTAAGCAGATTTAATCCGCGTTGATCGGCTTACGGAACTTTGCCTGCAGCCACACGCGGTACATTTTGAGCTCGAGCTTGCGGTTTACCAGCAGACGGCGGTCGATGGCATTTTGCTCGACAGTAAACCTGCCTCCAAAGACCTCGGCCAGCTCATCGTTCGTAAAGAAGTAGACGCGCGTGCCGTCGCCGCGGACGTAAAAGTTGCTGTCCAGCAGCCGCGATTTCTTGAAGCGCAACTGCGTGAGGTCGTTCCTGCCGTAGTCGCGGAAAAGCAGGATGCCTCCGGGCTTGAGCACCCGGTAAGCGTTCTCGACAGCCTGCGCCCATTGATCAGGATGGAGGGCCGAGAATACAAAGATCATCAGCATGATGTCGACGCTGGCTGGCTCAACGCCCTCGGGCAAATCGGCGCTTGACAGGTCCCAAACGAACGCCTTGCATCTGGTCTCATCGTATGCCTCATTGGCCTAGGTGGAATAATGGCGGTGTACATTTGATTTTCTTTTAGTATCCAGCACAGGCGCAGCGCAGCAGCAAATACATTGCCACAAAATACATGCTTACATCAGCTCATTTCTTTTAACTGTACCTTTACAACATTGATTGCGGTCTTTGAGTAGTCGCAGGCGTAGACAAACAAGCGCGGATCGCGGATGTCTGCCAGCAGTGGGAACACTGCGTTTCCAGCGCCGCATCCGACCTCCATGATCCGGAACTTGCCATCGGCTGGAGTCGAACCATGTCCAAATTTGACTTTAACGACCTGGTCCTCCAATTTTTCCGCACCATTGCTCTCGTCGGCAGAAGCGCGGTCGCTCGTCCACTCGAACAGCTCTGAAAACTCTACGCGAAGCCAGTGTCTGTCTTTGAAGAATTTGTTTTGGTTGTTCGCGTAAAAGCTGTCCCAGAACGCCGCGGGTTTGGCATTGTAAAGCTCTAAACTTTAATGGGGGAAATCACGGATAAAAATAAATCCACGTATGTTTAGCATTGTGAATAGTTTGTGCTGCCAACGTTCAAAATATTTGTAGGATGTAGGATGCAAATGTCAGCTTACCTCTCTCTTCTTCGGGCACCGGGTGGTCGTGGTGCAGCCGAATTTGATTCTCGGCGTACTTGTAGTGCTCGCTGTCAGGCTCGACGTGATCCCTAAACGCCGCAAAATATATTTAGCTTGCCAAAGAATCAGTCTTGTTTTCTCCCACTTTACGTATTTTTACAACAAAAATATTGAACACCCATTCAACTGCCCCTGGTACGCGCGCTTGGTCGTGTGCCTGGGTTTGTCGACTTATTTTTAGGGACCCTAAAGTTGGACACTACTTTTTCCCGCCGTTATGCATATGCTCCCTCTCCCCTATTTTTCAGGGGGTGGTAGATAATCTAACTTCAAACAAACATATACTGCACAGACAGACGGACAAACAAGCAGCACATGTCCAGAAAAAACAATGAATGTTCCAAAAATATACACGGCTCATTATTTGCCCCAATAAAATAAATGTATGTGTAGCACTTACCACGCATTGTGCTCAAAGACATTTTGACCAGACGATAGCATGCGGCTGCCAAATGTGCCTTCGGTGGCAGTATCGCCTGTTGATTCGTCAGTCGCCACGGCCTCGCCCTGGTCGGCACATGGATTAATTTCTACAGCTGAAGACGTCTGCTTCTTCTTATTCTGGATATCCGACTTTGGTGACTCTGTCGACAGCGCCGTCAATGGTTGTATGTCGCTCATAGTGAACACGCCCAATGTTAAAATGATAAAAGTAAAGTGGTGCTGAGACTGCGACCAAGACTGGTTCTGTGATCAGCCTTTTTTTACTTTTTTGAATTTTTTGGCTTGCGAACATGAACGCAAATTGTACACGGCTTTGTGGGGTGATTTCACGTGAATATTGGGCGGAAGAAAAGCAAAGTATTTTTGACGAAAAAAATTATTGCAAAAAAATACAAATATTTTTTAACATTGTTCTATTCAATTGTTCTGAACATCATGCGGAACAGCAATATAATTGGTGATTTTTATATATCGAATTGGCTTAAAATCAGCTGTCAAGGAAAACAGTGGTAACGGCTGCACCAAAAATAGCGCGGCCAAATAACGAGGCTGCCAGCAGCACACTGAGCAGATGAACATTTTGTCCTTCAATTAAGTGCTAAATATATATTTTTGCGAGAACATTCTTAACACATTATTCACGCCAGTATTGCTTACTTGTGGATAAAAATATTTATACAGACATGTTGTGCACACGCCTGAGCGCATTGGATCTCCTGATTTCCCCTTTTTTGTTTTCCAGCTATTTATGATGTATAAAATTATAACTTTTTTCTAACAACAAATGTATGCATACACAGTCAAGTGCTTATCCATGTGGCCAATTGGCAGATTACGCCTTGCAGAAGTTATTTTTATATCATTAGAAAATCAATTAAAAACTTTGCATAGATTTTTTGTAATTATTTTTAGATGCACATAATGACACGCGAGGCTAGTTCAAGCGTACATATGCCACATCAAGGTAGGAGGGTAACCTTTTTGGTGTGTGTAAAGTGGGGCTAGCCATGCTTGACATGGTACATTATTTTTTATCTTTTGGTGTATCAAGATATGGCAAAGAATATTGCATATATATATATACCTAGGGGTGGCCCTCCCTTAAACAGCTCAAATATTCACCATTACAATTACCATCATTTGCAACCTGAACTCCAGAAACAAATATTTTGATACCAAACCACTCTTCTTCTCACATCAAACAAGCAATAAACTACAAAACAAAATGGTCCGCATCACAGCTGCCCTTCTTGTCCTTACCCCCGCCCTTGCCATGGCTAGCATGCCGTATTGCGAAGGAAATGTGTCGTATTGCCCAAACGGCCAGGACAACGTCTCTCTCAACTACTTCCAGTGCAACAACTATTCTCATCAGTATGAATCCATGGCCTGCCCTGCAGGTCAAGTGTGCTTTGCTAATCCCAACAAGCCCGGCTATGCAATGTGCGGCCTTCCCGGAACTGGTGGTATCCCCAGTGCTGGAAAGTGCACTGGCAACACGGCCAAGTGCGTCTCTTCGGGACAAACCGGAAACTACTCGCAGTGCGAGAATTGGTCCGGCCAGTACGTGAACGCAGCATGCCCCGCTGGACTCAAGTGCTACAACAATGCTGCCGGCAATGGTGTCTACTGTCAGTAAATTCGAAATGCTATCACGTTTATTTCTGCCCGGCTTCCTATTTCCATTCAATGGTGGCAGTTGCATCTGCGCACTGCACCACTGCTGCTAATATCCATATGAATTCTATTAACTTTTGTCAATAAATATACCCCCACAATGAAAATACAATGGATGTCATAAATGCTGTATTGGAGCAAATGAAGTAGCCAATGAGTGAGTGTGGAGAAACTTTATAAGCAATTTTTTTGGAAGTGGCAGAAGTCCATATAAATTAAAATTGGTAAAACATAAACCACGCTTCAAACAGCCATGTGGAGAGAGAGAAAATAGATACACTGTGCAAAATATAAAACAAGTAAAAAGCATGGGCTAAAGTTCATGGTTAAGGCCAATTGTCTACCGCGCCATCTTGTCCATCATGTGCTCTGTTTCAGACCTGGCTACATTCCTCTATAACAAAAATCATTCTAGAGGCAGCAAGGTTGGTAATTCTCCAGACTTGGGTCTAATTTCCCGGTAGTGGAAGTGTCCGCCAAGTTATTAGTAAAATGAATCCCGAGCACTCGATCTTCTGGTTAAAGCGACAATCGTAGCCAGATGGCTAGTGTGTTCAAACAACCATGTGGATTGTAAACCCCAATAGGTCCCCACAAGGGGTGTTGTTTGGGTGCTCATTCAGTGTTTTCTTATTTTTCAATTCATTCGTTCCTAAATAACATTCAATTTTCATACATGTGGAGAGAAAATAGATCTATTGTGAATCTCCATACATGTGGATTGTAAAACCGCAAAAAAATCATCAGTTTTATATCTTGCAAATGAAATACCCTAGGATATTGGGCTAAAGAGTGCGTTTATATGCCAAATATGCAATTGCGTCCAATATGAAAGCTGGTATAAATAGGAGCAGCTGTGCGCGAATATTATATACATTCCAATACACCCTCAACACCAAATCATCTTTACATTATAAAATTGACTTTAAACTTCTTTATACAACAACTACTAAGATAAGCATCAGCCACGCAACAATGAACATCTACACAGCGTCAGTATTGGTTATCCTCTCGTTGGCCAGCTCAGCACTCAGCCAGCAATGCGTGGGCAATACCTCTACATGCCCGGGCGGCAAGGATGGCGTGTCGCCGGTAGTTCTACAGTGCGACAGCTGGTCGAAGACCTTTGTTCCGATAAACTGTCCCAGTGGCCTCGTGTGCTACGCCAATCCAACCAAGGCGGGAACAGCAATTTGCAACCGCCCAGGCTCAGGCCCCGTCCCCGGCCAAGGGAAATGTGTGGGCAATGTGGCCAAGTGCAGCGGAGCGTCAGGGCAGTCCGCAAACTACTTCCAATGTGACTCGTGGGCTGGCCATTATGTTGACGCAAAATGTCCCGCTGGACTCAAGTGCTACAACAATGCTGCCGGCAATGGTGTCTACTGCCAGTAAATTCGAAATGCTATCACGTTTATTTCTGCCCGGCTTCCTATTTCCATTCAATGGTGGCAGTTGCATCTGCGCACTGCACCACTGCTGCTAATATCCATATGCATTCTATTAACTTTTGTCAATAAATATACCCCCACAATGAAAATACAATGGATGTCATAAATGCTGTATTGGAGCAAATGAAGTAGCCAATGAGTGAGTGTGGAGAAACTTTATAAGCAATTTTTTGGAAGTGGCAGAAGTCCACACAAATTAAAATTGGTAAAACATAAACCACGCTTCAAACAGCCATGTGGAGAGAGAGAAAATAGATACACTGTGCAAAATATAAAACAAGTAAAAGGCATGGGCTAAAGTTCATGGTTAAGGCCAATTGTCTACCGCGCCATCTTGTCCATCATGTGCTCTGTTTCAGACCTGGCTACATTCCTCTATAACAAAAATCATTCTAGAGGCAGCAAGGTTGGTAATTCTCCAGACTTGGGTCTAATTTCCCGGTAGTGGAAGTGTCCGCCAAGGTATTAGTAAAATGAATCCCGAGCACTCGATCTTCTGGTTAAAGCGACAATCGTAGCCAGATGGCTAGTGTGTTCAAACAACCATGTGGATTGTAAACCCCAATAGGTCCCCACAAGGGGTGTTGTTTGGGTGCTCATTCGGCGTTTTCTTATTTTTCAATTCATTCGTTCCAAAATAATATTCAATTTTCATACATGTGGAGAGAAAATAGATCCATTGTGAATCTCCATACATGTGGATTGTAAAACCTAATTGGTCCCCACAAGGGGTGTTGTTTGGGTGCTCATTCGGCGTTTTCTTATTTTTCAATTCATTCGTTCCAAAATAATATTCAATTTTCATACATGTGGAGAGAAAATAGATCTATTGTGAATCTCCATACATGTGGATTGTAAAACCGCAAAAAAATCATCAGTTTTATATCTTGCAAATGAAATACCCTAGGATATTGGGCTAAAGAGTGCGTTTATATGCCAAATATGCAATTGCGTCCAATATGAAAGCTGGTATAAATAGGAGCAGCTGTGCGCGAATATTATATACATTCCAATACACCCTCAACACCAAATCATCTTTACATTATAAAATTGACTTTAAACCTCTTTATACAACAACTACTAAGATAAGCATCAGCCACGCAACAATGAACATCTACACAGCGTCAGTATTGGTTATCCTCTCGTTGGCCAGCTCAGCACTCAGCCAGCAGTGCGTGGGCAATACCTCTACATGCCCGGGCGGCAAGGATGGCGTGTCGCCGGTAGTTCTACAGTGCGACAGCTGGTCGAAGACCTTTGTTCCGATAAACTGTCCCAGTGGCCTCGTGTGCTACGCCAATCCAACCAAGGCGGGAACAGCAATTTGCAACCGCCCAGGCTCAGGCCCCGTCCCCGGCCAAGGGAAATGTATGGGCAATGTGGCCAAGTGCAGCGGAGCGTCAGGGCAGTCCGCAAACTACTTCCAATGTGACTCGTGGGCTGGCCATTATGTCGATGCAAAATGTCCCGCTGGACTCAAGTGCTACAACAACACGGGTAGCTCTGGCGTTATATGCGCATAAAGACCAAATTTTGATTTTCTATCACTTATATATGCATTTAAATAAATCATTGCACAAAAAATACAAATAAAATAAACCAACATGAACATGAACCAAATCAACACACCGGTGAGGCGACGGATCAGATCGATCGAATAATTATTATATGTATCTGGGTGACATATTTCCTGGCATCAGCTGATCTTCAAGCAATGCGAGATTTAGTCCCGTCTGCGTTCCTCGGGGCACTCAGAGCTTATGTGGCCGACGTTCTTGCAGTTGTGGCAGGCCTTGGGCTGGGGGCAGTCCTTGTTGACGTGGCCAGTGCCCTTGCAGTTGTAGCAGCTCTTCTCCTGGGGGTTCGAGCAGTCCTTGCTGAGGTGTCCAAATTCACCGCAGCCGTAGCACTTGGGGCCGTTCTGGCAGTCGCTGGCAAAATGACCGTACTTGTCGCAGCTGTTGCAGCGCTTGCATTCGCGGGCGTAGTGGCCGTGCTGGCCACAGTTGTGGCAGGCGGGGCCGGGACCACCCTCACCGAAGCGGCTCTGTCCATCGCTGTTGGTGCACTCGCGAGCAAAATGGCCGCTTTCATTGCACTTGTAGCACTTGGTCTGCGTCTGCGTTCTGTCGTAGGGCTTCCGGCTGCTGAAGCCGCTGGGGCAGTTGCGTTTCTATGGAACAAAAATAATGAGATGCATTTGGACCATTCAGACCATTCAGTGTTGGCTGCTTGTAAACCCGCGTCAGTGCACTAATCAACACAATCGTATGGTTCTGTTTACCTCGTGTCCAGTCTTTCCGCAGGAGTGGCAGGCTCTCTCAGCTCTCTCGTTGGTGCACTCAGAAGCTCTGTGGCCCTTGCTGTTGCAGTTGTAGCAAGTGGTAGCACTAACACCCTGGGGGCAGTCGCGAGACATATGACCAGTCTCCTTGCAGTTGTAGCAGGCTCTGGTGCCGAAGGTGGTTCCCGAATAGCTCATGTTTAAAGAAAAAAGGAGTTGACAACAAAATGTTTCTTTTAAAAGATGATAAAGATGAAGAGAGAGGACAAGCAGCGGACGCGGCAAATATTAGGTAACGACGACAACAGCAACGCTGCGCGTGTGCTTTTGAGGCTGCTGATTTGCTCGCTCCATCCCAGCTTCTGGCGCTCAACGTTTTGGCAACAGTTAATCCCTGGTTCGATTTTTTGTTCTGCAAAGTGCACGAAAAATGAAAAATGAAAAGTTTTATCAATTGTAAATCCAGAACCCAATCACTCGCGCCTAAATTTAATTCTGGAGAATGCAAGAGCAAGTGAAAATTGGCTGTCACGTGTGGATTAGTAATTGTAACTAGGCTCAGCAAAATCCAAAAAAGCTACCTCGGTCAAAAAGCGTGACATTGAGCTTCTCACCGAACATTTTTTAAAGTTCTGGGCGCCTTTGTCTTTGTCTGTCTCGCACTTGCAACTTGTATTAATTATGTTCCCGTATTCACTGAAAACAATATCCATTCAAGATTTTAAAATGTTTACGTGCGCATACACTTCAACTTTGCCAGCAAAAATGAAAAATTGCACCTTTGCAGCCTCATCAGATGATCAGCGGTTGTTCGCCCACACACGTTCTTTGTGCTCTGCATTTTATATTTCTATTTTTTTATCGTTCAAAGTTATAAATATTTTTGTTAGTAATTTGGTTATTTTATGAAGAGGCGGAAATGATCAGAATACAGCTATCCTCACTTGACGAATTTATTGCCGGACTCAGCAAGCTGGACTATGAGGCGGCAAAGATAGCCAGCAGCAAGGTCATGGAGGTAAAAAACCTGACATAGCATCATGGTTGTCAACTTTGTTCGCTCGCTCGTCTGTCTGCTTGTCAGGCTGTCTCTGGGTGGCTAGCTCTGCAGCCGAGAGAAAGAAAGGTGGAAAAGCTGGGAACAGTGCCCAGCATAAAGTAAAACAGAACAGCCAGCCATTGTTTCGTGCATCCAACTTTGAGGAACGAAGTAATCAAACCCAGAGCTTTGCAACCTTTGTTTGTTAGTAGGGTTTTTTTACATTATTATCTTTTCAAAGTTACCCCGCACACTCACACTCACTCACACATGCATGAACGCCATTTTTTTTCAGAAACTCGGGCCCAAAAAATAAGCTTGCAACTAACTTGTGGCTGTGCCTACTTCAAACATCGGCGTTTTGTTGATTGTTATTTTTTGGATTTTGTATATAGGTGCACATACAGATGGGCGCACTCATGTTTTCGCTGCTGACGATCGAGATGATGTACACATCAATGGATTATTTATCGCCAGGGAACTTCCGGCGGGGCAACAGCTACTTGCTAAACATGTACACACCACTGCCCCGGCGGTTGAATAAGCTGCTGAATAAGCTTGTGGTCGAGTACGAAGACGAGCACCGGCGGCTGCTTTCGTCGCGCGTCCAGCCGGCTGCTACGACCATTGCTACGCACGCGGAGAGTAGCGATCATGGCAATCAGCGCAGCGTGGTTGATGGCTCGGGAATTGCCTTTGGCCCGAGTCCAGGCCATGCCGGCAGTGGCAAAACGACGGGCTCATTTGTGCCGAGGTCAATTATCTACGGCTTTGAAAGCAGCAGACCCAAGCTGGGCGCGGAGTCGTCCTCATATGCCGAGTCGAAAATGATTGCCTCTGGCGCAAACGCAGGCGCAGGCTTGCGACTGAACCAGAACCAAATTCAGGCGTCTAATCGAAATGTGCACGGCACAGAGTCTGGCGATTCTGCACGCATAGCTGCCCCGACGGCAGGTTCATACGAGGCATTCGACCCAAACAAGTTTGTCATCAACACCGAGAAGGCGGAGGCCGTGATGGAAGAACTGGAAACCATCAAAAAGTTTGTCGGCTTCATCTCAAAGTTGGTGGAAGTGCGCAAGACCATGGTGGTCCTTTATCGCTTTGTTGCAGTGACTGGACCGGTCCTGTACACTAAGAAACTGCGGCTGATATTGGAACATTGCAGGATGATGCTACGGTCGATCGCGCCCAATCCGCTGTACAACAGTCTTCTCGACAACATCTGCCACGAGGTGCGGCTGGTGGGCGGCCTGGTAGACTGGGACTCGCACATCGTATCGCACAACTTTGTCAAATCCGTTACATCGATGAAAACCGCGCGCAACCAGCTCAAGGCATGGGAGGCAATTTTGCCAGAGTGCTCCTCTTCCTCCTCTTCGTCGGCAGTGGCAGGTGCAACCGTGCGGTCCAGACGGAGCACACAGGAGAGCGCCGGCGACTTAGCAGGCGCCCCTCCAAACAAGGACAGCGAAGGCTCAAGCAGGCACAGTCTTTTGTACGCGGCATTGACAAAATCAACAAAGCTCGTGCAGAGCCTGCTGTGGGGCGACAGCACGTCGAGTTCATCTAATGAAGAGCAGATACCGACAGCCGGTCGGATGCGGGGAATTGTCATATGGATTGGGTTCTGGGTCGAGCACCTGTCATTTAAGACGACAGCGTACTTCCAGCAGGTAATTGCGCCATGCCGTGCACTCCAGCACGACGACTCGTCGCAATCGGGGCTTCAGCAGGCGGTCCTGCATGACATGTGGAATCGCCCTGGACTGTCCAAAACCAACCTTGGTGACATGATCACGAATTTTATGCACGCCAACGACGGCTGCTTTGTCGCGCTCCTGTTCGAGTCGTCGGCTCAGCGCCCATACACGGTCGACGGTTACGCTATCTCAGGAACCAAAATCAAGGTCCCCGACTACCGCGTGCAGGCGTGCGCAACGCTTTTCTGCATGTCCAACCGGCAACTGCTGCGCGCGCGCAACTGCATTATGGGTGACTCTATGCTGCAGGACGTCCACTCTATTGCTCAAAACGCGAAATACCGCGGTGCTGCCGATGTTCAGCGGCAGTCAGACGCTGACTGGTTTCGCCAAAATTGCCTGCCGGATATCCTGTATATATTGGAAGGCGATAAAGCCACGCTGGATTACGAACTTCTCGGCTCTAGCCCGCTGCTGGATCAGTTGGGCGCCGATGCTGACAAGCTGCTTGGTGAGATAAGTGACTCTGTGTATGACGTGGTAGAAGCAGCCCTCGAGGACTTGGCCAAGACTGAAGAGCGGGCGCGGGCTGCCCTCACTGAGGCACAGCACATTGCCGCAAGCAGCATGCGTGGCACAGCCAGTTTCAGCACCCGCATCCACAATTACCCAGAGGCACCCGTGGAGCACGGCTCAGCGACACCGGATCAACAGTCAAAATATAACATGTCGATATACGACTCTAAACAGCCTGGCGATATGTTGTCCCCTTTGGGTCGCCCGGGCGGCCGTGGCCACGAGTACCACAACGCGCCGCTTTTGCGAAGCGAGTCTCTGCAGCAGCCGATTGGCTCCAGTAAGCCTGCTCCACCGCCGCACCAGGGGTCGGCACTCAGCCAGCTGCATTCAGAAGAGGAGGGCCCGGACCTTTACTCGACGTATTTGCTGAAGTCACACCTGCGGAACAACATATCCGCGCATGAAAAGCACGTGCTTGAAGATTTTGACGGAAGGCGGTTCACTAGGCGCCAGTCTGGATATGGTGCCAGCACGATGATGGGTGGCGAGTACGTTGAGTGCACCTACAGCGAACAGTCTATGCGGGAGGGTGCTGCTGCGGCTGCGGCTGCAGCTTCCGTGGCTGCTGCTTCCGCTGTCGGGCCTCCTGTCGCTTTTAATCGGGACATGGTGGCTGTCAAGCCGACGCGTGCCAAAACAAGCGCTGACGGAGCGCGAGCGGCTGTAGACCCGACGGCAATACACAGGACCGCTGTGCGCAGGCCAACGACCACATATGTGGCCTCTGGAAACGCCGCTGGTCGAGATATGAGCCTGATATCTCGCAATGACAACGGGCTTTGGAACACTGATGTTTCTCAAAGCCTTCGCAGAGTGTCAGCTGGAAACCTGCAAGGTCTTGAGAGCCTGCGCTTCTCGTCCGCAAATGACCTAAGCATTTTCACTGGCCGTAGAGTGCGCGGAACCATAGCCTCGACAAGCAACACGAGCATGGAGACCGGTAGGCAGTCTCCGAGCGTCCGCTCGCTATTCCGCTCGACACTGAAGCCAAGCGCTCAAGCGCTTCAGTCACCGAATAGCGCCCAGAAAACGGCCGAGAGCGGAGTTGCGCGCCGCGTGCGCCGCGGCGAAAGGCTCAGAGAGCTATTTGGGTCATGGCAGACTGCATGCAACGAAGAAGACATGCCCGAGGATGCCACAGCCGCCGGTCTGCCGGCGAGCGAAATCAGGCGCGGCTCTGTTACATCCCTGTCATACAGCACGCCCACTCGCATGAGCACAGTCCGGAAACCCAACGCTGCATCGATGCTGGCACCGGTGGCGTCAACGACAAGTATACTTGCTTTGGCAAACACGTCTACCAGCTCGGCGCAGCCTTCGGCGCCTGGCACTGAGTCTGGTAGTGGAGGGTTGGGGCACCAAGCGTTGCGAGCTGCTGCTCTTTCGAGAACGGCCACCATAAATTCTGGGCTGATGGCAGCGGCCACGGCAAGCACGGCCACTCATCATAGCCACCTTGCTCCGGAAATGGGCAGTTTGGACAATCCAACCGCTGGCAGCTCTTTGCAGAAGCCCCAGTCGCAACATTTGGTACCACCGCCCTCTAATGGCCAGGCAGCTGCAGCAGAGAGCGGCAGGTCGGAAGGGTACACATATCTCTACTCGCGCGTGAGCGTGCCAAATGTGGTCATGGTAGCCGTGCTCTTGGATACTGAAAAGGGACTAAGCCGGCGACGCGAGGCCACGCACGCGTGGGACGAGATTGTTAACGTTATTCGCGGGACACCACTGTTCGAGCAGTTGATGAAGCTGACTGGCTGATATAAAAGCGATTAATTATTTTTGTCTTCTATTCAATTTTTGATCATAATTTAGCGATCTTTCATTCCGCAAGAGTTGAGGAAGCCGTTGTTTTGTGACATTTTTATTTCTTGCTTGTGTGCAGTCCCTTGATTTTTGTTGGAGGCTTCTGGACAAGCTCAGGAGTGCAGAAATCAAGATCCTGTTGTGCTAGGATTGACGGATGCGGATGCGAAGAGGTGCAGGAAGATGTGAGAATGCAAGTTTCCTCTTGTTTGTTGGGATGTGTGTGCATCATGGGGGTTGCTGATTTCTCGCTGACGCGCTGCTTTTCGCTTGCACGCTTATTTTATGATCAAGCCGGCTCAGCAAAAATTAGAAAGGTAATGTTTTGAATTAAAAATAGGCCTCATTGAAGACAATCAAATAGATAGAGCATTCCAAGTCGCGCAGCCACGTGAGCTTCTGAATAGATCTCTGAAGACATGAAAAGAAATTTTGTTTATATTATAAACTGTTTCTATTATGTAAATATACAAATTCGGGGCATGGTATCATGCTTGTTCTGTAAATTGGAATTATTTGCTTACATTTGTTTGGACACCATACTGAGTCGTCCATTCTTTATAGACCGTCTATGCGTGGATAAAAAAGGAAAAAGGGTATTACAAGATCATTCCAAAAGATACGACAAGTTGCTCACGTACACATTCGCATTTATATCAATTTAAGAACTTGTTTGATGAATGTATTTAAACTAGGAGCTTTCCTTGTACAAGAATACAGATGTTTTCATCCTCATCCTCATTTTCATTTTTATACGTCGCAATTGCTACTTCATTCCATCAAACTTGCATTATTTTCTGCAGTTGTCAAAACGAGTCGGGACTAGCTTTATTACTGTTGGACTATAAATCAGTACCCCCCCCCCAAGAACCATCGTACGCCCCCAGCCCTGTTGTGCGCTTATCACCGTCAATTGCAAAATCTGAGCACTCACTTTGAAGACTTGCATTACTAAGTAACACTAGTCACAACTACCAGTGTTAACACCAAAGTACTGTATCGTAAAAATGGTAGATGTCGTGATGCCGCCGCCTAGCCAGGTGTACTTGTGCAAGCTGTGCTACTCGGAGCTCACCAATATCCATTCTGCGCGCAACCACATATGCGACTACCACCTCATTTATATATCTACCGATGATGCTTGGGGATATGTGAAAGTTGTCTATGGATCCTGAGCATCAGCTGCATCACCTGTGCTAAGCATTACCTGTGTTAACATACTGCATACTATCTTATTTCACTGCAGTTTTTTTTATATTTATCCCAACTAAAAATTAATTAATTAACCAATTTCACAAGTTACTGACAACTGTTTAGGAACCATCTTAATTGGCGTTGGCGATTTGTATCACTTAGAGCTTGCACCCAGTACGTATGCCATATGTGTTAGAGGTTACATACACGATGTTTTGGAAGAGCAGAAAAAGAAGCCAGTCGGGAAGTATAATGTTGATCCGACGGCAGTAATGCTTAGAAAGGGACAGTAAGCTCAAAGTCATACAGTCAGACATTAATTTGTTGCTTTTATTTTTTCCAGCGCTTGTGGTGTTTGACAAGTGCGGGGATGAGAGTAATAACAAAAAGGGGTTGGGTTCCATTTAGTAATGTAGATATTACTACGCCATCCAAGTCAAGAGACAAGACAAAATGGACTGCAAAAATGTTCCATCTATACTAGAAAGTGCCTGCTTAAAACATTTGCGTTGGTCTGCGAACAGCACCAAACAAGCTTATTGGATGGCCACACTCATGTGTTCAAAGGTGTATCAATTGCTACTGAGCCAAGGTAAGGCCTCCTTTGTTTCAAAGTGACAAAGTATTTCCCCTGTATCCAAGTGATTTATTCCTCCGCAATTTTAGATGTTAGTATTGTCAATAAAAACACGAGAAATCACACTTTATTATGTTCTTTAACTTGTCATTGCTATAGGCTGCTTGTCTTATGCCCTAATACCTAGATTGGTCGTGCCGTCCTAATGGTTATCTAATGCCTGACTCTATTTGTTTTCCCCACACTCGGCCACGTCAATTTTTATGTTACTGTATGCACACCCTTAGTCCCCTTTTGCAGAGTTGTCGAATGTCTTAGCATATACACACAGTGGTTCATTTCCTTTATGAAAATATCCTTACGGCCTCAATCCAATTCGCTTCTCTCCTCTTCTACCAGCTAATATTTTTGTTTTCCTGTTTTTCTAGCTGGTTGACAATTTTATTTTCTTTGACACTTTACGCATTTGGTATTTCACACTTGCGTTGCAGCATATTCAACTCGATACGACATAAGATACACGAAATAGCCTTATTGTCCATTTTTATCATTGACATACAGCGTTTTTTACAGACCCCGATCTTCTTGTCTCTCTTTGGTGATTTCCGATAGCCACACACAAAGGTAAGTCAAAACTATGTGCTTAGATCCAGTTGCACAGATGTATTCAAAAATAGCAGTAAATATTTCAATTTTGTGCCCGATTCGAGCTCTTTGCTACTGGTCAGAAAAAGCGTCAACATTGCAGCCCAATTCACAGCCACTATTGGTTGGTTAGCAGTAAACGTGCGCGCGTCTGTGTGCCTTTTTTGGCCATTTAAAATGCCAAACACTTTCTCAGCCATTATTTTTATGCTTTCTTTTATTTTTACTTTGGCAAATATTTTGCATACTTCTAATGGTTGTATTTCACCATTTTAAAATGTGTAAACGTCATCTGCTCTGGCAGGATATTCAATAGCCCCGTCTCTTGAGTTACCCCTTGTCACAATGCTTTGATGGCATTGTAAGTATAAGGAAACTCTCATATGGTCTCCCACATACATATAAGTGCGTTTAGTATTTCCCTTCAATAAATTTATAAAATATACGTTTAAAACCTTTTCTTTACAGTATGTCACTCACAAGTAAAGCGAATGGCCGTTTTAAAAAGGGCCATTGATACTCAGCACAATTAACCTTTTAAATTTTTATACTCCAATTTGACACAGCTATTTTGTCGGTCTGTTTTTCATTTGTCATCATGTGTGGGCCCTTTACTTTTTTATTTTTAATCCTGAAAATTGATGTTTACCACGTTTTTAACTCTGTATATTATTTCCCCTCATTTTATGTAAATGGGGAACCATCCGACAGCGTTGGTGAAATATGATTTTTTAAAAATTATTTCGATATTGTCATAACTGTTTACTGATTTCTCAGTACTTGCCCGGGTTTTTTTTTGATAATTGATACCCTGAAGAATTTCTCGGTTATCATATAGGGGTTGACAGCAACCTTTTTGTTCTTTTTGGGTTTTCTCTCATCCAATCTTTTATTCAGTTCTATTCCTGTTATACTCGCAGCTCATTTTTATACTTACAATAACCACAAAAAGTACAAGATTTTATTTTTTATAATCATAATCCTAGTCCTAGTCCTAATATCAATATTTTATATTTATCAACCCCTTTTTAGTTACCATATCGCAGTTTCCCGCTTATTTCGGACAACACAGTCAGCAGTTTTACGCTCAGAAAATCCTGTACTCACGATTTTATTGAGGTAAGGTGTCACCTTGTAAATTGGCAATGCGTAAAGCGTATATTCCTTTATTCACCCTTTTAAAACATTTGTTTCTTTTAAATGTTGTCCAATTCGAAAACGCACACCAAAATATAATTGCATTCTATGCATATTTTGCGGCTTCTTTATTTGACATTTCAGTTGCAGTCCAAGAGTCATTCGAAAATAGCGAAGAGCTTGAGTCGATAAGCACATATTTTGACTTTTTTGGATTTCCCCCAAATTTTGAAATACTTTTTTGTTTATTAGTGGTAAAATACGTTGCATTTATCACATGTGATATGTGCCTTTTGTTATTTCCATGCTCATTTGTTTTGTTTTGTCTTGCCGTGCCATTGCATTTTACTGATATCAATGCATACAAATATCGGAGATGCGTTGAGATGCAGGTGGGATGAGCAATATTTTATTTGCTTAATTTGCCCATTTACACAATTCAATTGTTTTGCATCATGCGTCTATCTAATAACATTATTTGTTTGTTTTTGTATTTGTGTGCTCACGCATACTCTTTCTTATACATATGTGGCAAATGGATTATAGTAGATTCCAACACCCAGTCAGTTGATTTGGAAGGTATCGAAGCGCCCTCTGGTTAAATCGTACTAATTTGAAACACATCAGAATACTCGAATCCAGCCAGATTAAACAGTAAAACAGCCAGTATTTAGCTACCAAAAAGGTATAGTATCAAGTTTATTTTAATGTATCACAGCTCCTGTTCTTTTTGTACGCCTACTCTTTGTATATATATTTTATATTTTTGATTTACTTTGGGTTATTTAGCAGGGGCAGTAGTGGCTAAATGGCCTATGTAACCCATTTAATATCTGTAAAACTCTGCGACATTTCTATCGGATATATATATATATATATATATATATGGGTTTGTGTCCTCCATTTCTTTTTTGTCTGAGTTCCCTTGTCTGCATTCATTTGCGTATTATATGTTCAACACACGCCAATGTTGAATCTCTTTTTGCTAGACACTGGTCACTTCCAATATCGGCGCGCAAAGCTAAATAGTATATTAAAAATAGTATATTAACTTTTGGCATTGTGAGCACAACGACCAACCACGCCACGCAGCACGTCACGCCCCCTTTTTTGCATAGAACAATTCGATTTATTCTTTTTGCTATTCTCCCCCATTTCCTCTCCCTTTGGTTTGCTTCAGTCTTCATTGCTTAACATTGTTTTTTAATTGCATACACACGAGCCCTCTCATTGTGTGCTCGTTGGTTATATATATCCTTAACAGGCATATTGTTTGAGGAGAGAGCACGGCTTTTTGCATATAGCTGCTTTCAATTTGCTCTTATTATTCCCCGATTACATTTATCTTTCAAGTGGGCAATTGCGCGGTCAAATCAGTTATTTTCTGTGTTCTCCTTGCTGCGCATTGGTTAATTGATGCACCATGGCCTGCTTCTGCACTCACAATTAAAAGGTCCCTGAGTGCACTTTGTTTCTCAATTGCATTGTTAACGCCTCTATTGTGCGCGAGCGCGCTTTTTCGTTTTTTTGCGCACAAGACTTTGCCATGCATCGCTCGTGTTTTCGCTCAATACCTAGGAGCCAGAACATTGAAATTCTGGCGCAGTTAGCGCAATTAAGCATCAGCTGATGCAATTTACGCCTAGCTCGTCCCCCTCCAGCACTTTATTTTTTATGGCTGCCTTCTGCATGTCAAAAGCAACTCGTGCATATTGTCATATTGGCATTTCCTCGCCCAGGGTGGTTTTCAGTGCTGGCTGAACTCCAGAATTTGGAGCCCCAATGGCTACGACTATGACGGCAATACCACATTCCATTTTATTGTCAGCAGCAATTGCTAAGTGCACTTGCGTAAGACAAATGCAGCATTGTTGCTGTGAGCGCTTCCAATTCCCATTATCTCGATTTCATGCATATGCTCTGCGTGTGCTTGCGCCCAAGGCTTGCGTTTTGCGTGTCCGCCGCCCAATTGTCTGGGGCTATGGCTCTTTGCTTGTGCTACTAGTAACCCGCTAGAGACACGCGCTTGTGTGCCAGGCATTGCGTGAAGCAATCTCCGATCATCTAAAGCGCATACTTTTTGACAAGCAGCCATGCTGGCCTTATTTGCCAAAGTGTGCAGCAACCGTACTCTCTGCGTGCAAGGGGCAACCACACAATCGCCAAATTGCGCACTCTACGGATAGTGTAGCGCCAAATAGTGTAATGGGTTGTCTGTCTTCTTTAGCCCAACAGCAACCACTGGCGCATTCATGCTCCATGCAGAACATGCATGCTTGTTCTGGCTGTACTCTGCGGACAACTGCACTTTTGCTTTCTTGCCATCTCTAAGGAAATCTCTCGTAATTGATTCCTCCCGATGACTTGCTCCGTGCCCGTCTCCTCGTACACCACCCCCCGCTGGTAACCCACCCCATCCCCACCCCTATCCCTATCCCCGCCCAGTGTGCCTGCCCACGGCCACCTCTTTTCTTTAATCGAGGGGAGCGATGCACTATTATATCCTCTTGCCTGCCTCCGACGCTTGGCCTGTAATGGGGACGTGTGCCCATTATGAGCCACATGTCCTCCCCCCTCCAGCCGCCGCCGTCGGATAGGGTAGTGATGAAAAAACAGAGAGAGTGGCCAGAATCCATGACCCGCTCAGCAATTAAGAGCTGCACAAGCTTTGCGCTCGTTTGCATATTAAACGAGGGTGCGGACATGTGTCCCCCGAAGCTACCCGACACTTGCTTTATTTATTTGCATTGCGCTGTTATCGTCGCTCCTATATATATTGTATTTTTTGACAATCCCTCGACACAGCCCTCATGCCCGTTTTTTATTTTCCATTTAAACTTGTGCTCTATTTTTTTTCAAGATCTGCGTTATATCTTTTCTGCTCTTATTTCCAGCTTGCCTCAGAACTAGCACCAAGCATCATCGTCGCCGTTTTTCTTCTTTATTTGTGCATTAGACCCTTCCGCATTTGCTGCCATTGGACCCTTTTTTAGTGTCTGCGGCTATTTTTTTTCCTGCTGTGCCCCCTTTTTGATACCAGTTGGATGAGCCATCCAATTATTATTTTTTTGCGTTAAAGAGTGCGAAAAGTTGGGTTTATGTTTTTATACCTTTTCTGCTCATTGACTTTTTTTTCCTTCTCTCAATTCTGTAACTTTGTGCATTTGGGTTTTTTTCTTATTATTATTTCATTGCCGACTAACTTCAAGTTTTTTGTTTATTTATTTACTCTTTATATCTTGGTCGCCGGCCTCGCTTGTTTACTGTAGTTTTATATATTTTTATTACTTTCATATCTTTCGCCCTCGCCCATCCACCTACCTACACACACACACCGCCTTGTTCTTTACACAACGCGCTCATATCTTTAAGAGTGCGCATTTCCCAAACACAACCAACCGTACGTCTGCGCTCACACCGTAGCATTTTCGAAGCACTTGCAGAAAACAAGTGGCCACAGCAGCAGCAATCAGCTTCGCGACAAAACTGCCACTCCCATTCGTTGCCCGCCGTCTCTTTAAATACCAGATACCCTGCACTGCATATTGTGCTCATTTCCGTCCTGGGGTCACAGATCATTCGCGACTTGCTGCAGCGCCATTTTAGCCCAAACAGGTAAGATACAACGGATTTGTTCCTCATGGCCATTTTTTAATTTCCTTCTGGCTTTCTCCTCCTTCACCCCCCTTTTTCGGACTATTTTTATTTGCGCTTTTTTTGTTATTGGCACATGCATGAATGCGGTTGGCAAGCATGAGATGGCAGCCCTACTCCTGGATCCGGGGTTTTTTAATTTTGTTTTGTGCGGACTTGCAGACCATGCCGTGCATTGTATGTCTGCTTTGGCCGGTTCGTTTACTCTAAGCAGCCATGGTCTGGCTCGCGGGCCCCTTTTTGTTTTTGGCATCTGTGCGTAATCCTGTCTCTATGCAAGGCCTGCTGGAGATATAACAACAGATTGGCGGCGGTGGCATCAAACAAATCGATCACATCTGCAGCTCTACCTTTTGAGCGAAGACGCGTAACCAACGCAGATGAAAAGCTTTTTTCTGTTTCATGCCAGGTTTTGGTGTGTTGTGCCTTGTTTGTCTAGCGCGAGCGCAAAGCCACGCTGCGATGCGTGTTCTCTTTGTGCATGAATAAGACTCGCCCTTGTTCGCGTTTGCGCTAGACCTTTCTGGATCCATCTGGACCTGCACTTTACTATTATTCTTAGTCGACAGCATGATTGTTTGGCAATTCGCTTTGTGTCTTTGGTACAGGCCCTGCGCCATTTTTGCCCTCACCTTTTTTATTCATTTCTTATTGTCGACAATTTGCACTATATTGCTTTGCGCGATTGGAATGTCCTTATTTTATTGTGTTTGCCCTGTCTTTGCATTCCTTTTCGAAATATGCTCGCTGATTACAATTACTCAATGCGAAACGATTGCAATATGCGTTATACGAATGCCCACTGCCTTGCTCGCGGGACAGGCAGCACAAATCTGTCTGCTTGTTTTTTTGTCTTTGAATGCCTGAATGCTCTGCTTGTGCATACATTGGCAGTGCCTTACGCATGTTCACATTCATTTTCTTTCGCCCATGTTATCATTCCCTTTCTCAAAAATAGAGCTACTTGTTTCATTGGGCTGTATTTCGGACTTGATTATATTTAGCTAACTATGTTTAATATCTTGCGCGTGCTTTTTTGTTGCTGCCTTTAAAACGACCGTATTTGTAGCCGCTCCTACGTATATTCGCCCGCTCTATCCAGCGCCGAATCACACCATTGTCAGCAGCTCAGGAGGTAAGATACTATATGATTGTTTGCCATGACAAAAGCTCTATCTTGCTTTATCACCAAGCCTTGGCTGCAGCACATCCGTTTCGTTTTGATATGTGGCGAATGTGACTTTTGGTTTTTTAAATTAATTATCGGGCATCGCCTACTAATGCCTGCTTTTTCAATTTGAATTTTAAAAGCCCTGTTTTCCCTTGCGTAATAATCATCTTGTTTCACAATATTGACATTGCGCACTTGTTCTCATTTTTTGCTTTGGCACTACCATCTAGTACACGCTATAGATAGTATTAATATACATCGCGTAGCGACAGATCTACTGAGCAATACTGGTCGATCGTCCACTCTTGATTTTTTTCTGGCCCACGCATATCTGTTTGCTCGCAAACACACGGTGTAACATTTATCCGCATTTTCTCTCTCTTTTGCTCTTGCTCTCGCGCACAAACGGACGTTTTATTTAAATGTAAGTTGGCCATATTGTCTTTAAGCTCTGCCACCCTTAACGATGCAATTGCAGCACTTGTCATTGTGCGGTGTCTGCTGCGCACCACCATTGGAGCTGGCGACAGTACGTTGCCACTGCCGCCAGAGCCTTGCTTTCTATATGCTCCCTGTCCGCATGCCAGTCACATATCTGTTGCTCCTGTTGTGCTAGCAGCGAGCCTCCCTTCTCAGCACACCGTTAGGGCTAATGCACTGCTTGTACATACGCACGCACACATATTGCTCATATGGCATCTGTCCTAATGCAGTTGCACAACTGCGACGCTTTGCTTTTTCTCTCTCCTTCCTCTGCTTCTTTATCTTTTGTTGTCGCGTGCCCAATTTCCATGCACGCATGTGCATTCGCATACACGTGATGCGCTCGCAGAAACATCGTGCAACGTCAGCCCTTATAAGTTTTTAATCTATTTACTTTCATTTGGCCAAATTGCGCTTTGACCACCCTAATTGCTCCACCCGCTCAATTTGCGCATGTCCGAGAGGCACATTTCCATTTTCTGCGCGTGCTCGGTGCTTTTTTTCAAGCACCTGCCGCTTTCGGCACGTATTGCTTCGCGCCCACTGCTATCAACACGCCAATTTGAAAAAGGCAAGGCGGAACATGCTTTTGTTTTATTTTTCTGCGCTTGGCTGCCCGCTTTTGGCAAGCCATTGTCCGATTGGCTTGCTCTGTACTCCTTATTGAGAGCGACCCAGCTTTGCTTTCTCAATTTGACCTGTATTTGGCCCTCTGGCTCGTGCGCGCAGCTGGTCTGCGCTGCAAGCACGGAGGTCGGAAATTTACAAATGGTCAAAAAATACGATTTGCAGTTTGACTCTTGCCGTCCCCGCCGCTGCCGCTGCCTGGATATCATCTGGTTTATTGCGCCGCTATCACAGCTGAATCAACGATCCTCTCTCTGTATGCAGTGCAGCACCATTAAAAGCGGCTGCTACTTGTCCATTCTGCATTCTGGTTTGTCGATTCACTATGCAACACTATTATATTGTCGCCCTCACTTGCCTTCCTGTTTGTGTCTTCCAATGCCGATCCCGCCTCTCTGGTTGGCCTGGCACGGGGCGGGGCAGCCTTTTTCATGCCATTTTGTCTCTTTCCCCCTTCCCTCTCCAGTCTGCCTAATTTTAGCGAGATGGGCAAAGACTAGGCTATATTTTGCTTTTTGGAGTGCAAGATTCTGGCCAGCAGACAAAATATCATTTATGCCTCCTCTGCCAAAATGATAAATTATCCGCGATCCTTGTTTTGCATACAATTTTTTGTTTGCCTCTTTTTTTTCTGGCTGGGTGACACAAATGAGATTTCTCGCCTTGCTGACCGAATGTTTTTGGAATTGCAATGTTATTTGCAAGTGTAAGAGCTGCATGGATTTCTGGCGGGCTCGGTGATCGTTGGCATCCGCCAACCGCTCCTTGCATCATTATATCCAGCTTCTCTCCTTATTTTTCAAGCATAAAGGCAGAGTCCTGCGTGCATTACACTCCTGCCAATAGCGCAGAAGGCGTGAGACTATTCGCGGGCGTTTTTTGGGGCCTTTTTTTAGCCAGACTGCTCAAAAGCCAACGCGACGGAGCATTTATTTTTTGTTTCATGCTTTCCTTTTTATTATTATTTTTTTACAATCTTTTTTCTTTTTCTTTTTTCTTTTCGCGCTCCTAACATTTGCAATAGCTCTCCCCCTTTCACTTCATTTCCCACACCCTGTGCTACATTATTACTTTCATTTGGCACCCAGCGCATTCTTTTCTATATTTACAATTATTTTTTGTTGTCATTTTATTTTCAACCGACGCTGCTCTCTGCCCAACAAAGGGCCTGTCGTTCATTTGTATTCTTTCATCCCCTTTCCTACAACTGTTTACTACCATCTGTGTGTGTGCGTGCAGTAGCTCGCTTTCTTTTGTTCTTGCTGCGCACATCACTGCCACTTGCGCAATAATATCATTGCCCTGCGTGTTTTTGCTGCAGCGTTTTGCCTGATTGCATTTGTTGTCATCACCATCCAACATCATTCTACCCGCGATCTGGGTCATTTTGCAACTCAATCATTGTTGCCTTCAATATCTATCCATCCTTTGTTTATCTTTTCCCTCCTTATTTTTATTCACGCAGATATATACGCACACGCACATATATATTTTTAATTTTATAGTCTCGTGTATTATTTTCTTTCCCCCCTTATTTTTTGCTACACGTACATATAACACGGCCTTGTCTCTCACATACTCCTTATTTTCTCACTCGCATCTGTATTGTTTTTTATTCTGCCGCACACGACTCATTCTTATTCTCATTCTCATTCTCATTCTGTGACTTTAATGTGTCCTGCACCGGTCAATAGCTATTTCGACGCACAGCTGCTAGCAGACTTTATTATGAACGGCCAGTACTCGGGTTACGATGGAACCAATACCACTGCAACGTCGAATGATCCCACATACAACATTGGCAACATCACCGCCGCGTTGTCAGGCATCTCAGAGGACTACGAGAGCCACGACAATGCGCGTGCGCGCAAGCGCAGAATGACTGTTTCCGATGACCGGCGAGCCGACGATATGCATGGGTTCAGCATGCCCGAATCAATGGGAGACGCACTGTTTAGCAGCGTGCTTGACCACCACCACAGCAGCTACGACGGAATCATGCAGCAATCGCAGGGTGCCGGACCCATGCTGGCGATGGTCATGGCATCGGGCCCCGAGGACCCTTCCCTGAACGCCGCACTGACCAACAACATGTCCCTGGGCATGAGCTTTGCACAGGGCACGTACATGGGAAACGGCATCAATGATAGCCACAACACCGATCTTAACACGGCGCACATGCAGAACCCGCTCGGTAGCCCGCCGCACCTGGCAGGCAGAGTGAACGGGAGGAAGCACCAGTCGCTGAGCATCGCCATCAGCCAAGGCCTTCGCAACGAGTAAGTACAACAACACGCCATTCTGCTTCAAGCCAAGCGAGCTTGTAATTTTTGCTTTTTTTATTAGTCGCCGCTGCTTGCATGAGCGCAAAATATGTGCGCGTGGTTCAGGCAACGGCCACTTTATGCGCGCCGCATCTCATGCGTAACCACTAAGATTTACTGCTCAACCACCGGTGACACCCAACCCGCTTTTTCTTCCTATGCCCCCTGCTGCTCTAAATTCTTTTCTTCGGGCTTAGTCACGCTTGTCCCCAATTCTGCCTTCCTTTTCGGGGATCTCTTTGTCTGTGTCACAATGCCCATGTCTATTCCCTATGTCTGTTCTCTTGTCTGGCTTACTTTGCTGCGACAATTGGGCGCCCCATTGTTGTCTGGTATTTTGTTGGCGGGGGCCATCACTCGCTTTCTCGCCTTCTTCCTCGCACTTATGTGCAATAATAATCGTCAAATCGCTTACTCATCGTGCCTTGTATTTTCCGCTCACGTGCCTCAAATCAACAGGCGAAAATATAATAGCTTTGTGACTCCATGATTGCTCTCATGTGACCTTTTTCTTACAACCATGCGGCTCGCCGCTCCTTGGTAAATCTAGGCTTTGCATGGATTTTTTAATCAAGAGTGCGGAACATTCCTTTTTGTTGTGACGCGCTGATCATCAGCACTGCTTATTTTTCTTTGCACTAATAATACGCCTACGCCTGCCTGCTGCTCTCGCCCGACCAATTTACAATACTTTGCAAATGTAGCCTCAGCTCACAAGAGCCGCCCACGCCCAGCATGTTCTCGCCGTCGTTTGCCAACGCGATAGAGGGCGCCTCGGCCGCTGGCATGTCGTCACCATCGATGTTCTACAACGTCACTTCGCCGTACACGCCGAGCCACGCGCATCACCACAGCTTTTCGATGCCTAACACGTCGCAGCAGAAGCCAAACACGAGCGTGTTTGATGCGGGCGCGTCAGTGGGCTCGTTTGGCAGCGACCACATAGACCAGCACAACGTAAACAGCCCGTCGGTTGCAGCAATCGCACAGTCCCTCAACTCGGCGGCCTCCTTCAGACACCACGGTGCCTCATCATCTAATGGGCCAATGAACACCGACGAGGACTACTCGGTCGGCCTCCAGATCTCGATGAACGCGGCTGTGGCTGCGGCCATGAGTGGCTCGTTCGATCAGAGCGCGCACAATCGCAGCTCGTCGAATGCGTCGGCGTTCTCCCGGGTGCAAGCCGCGAGCAACGTCTCGCAACTTTTGTGCGGTGGCGTGAGCATCGGTCAGAGCTCCAATGGCCTGGATCTGGACATCAGCACGACGCTGGCATCATTTGCCAACATCCCCGGTTTGGTGCCATTCTCCTCTGCCTCAATGGATCGCCAGAACCTGTTTGCCCACGGGTTGGTGGGCGGTGATTGCAATGGCTCTACTTACGGCATCATGTCCTCGGAGCCGTCGCTATTCCACTCCATAGACACGTCCGCGTCATTGCAGAACGCCATCAACCACAACCGGTTTATGTCTGCTGCTAGTAGCTCGCTGATAAACTCGGGCAGCCCGATGGCCTCGGCGATGGAGAGCATCATCACTTCGCCGGCAGCCAGCAGCGCTCGCAGCGGTGTCCGCAGCCCAGTGACCGGACCCAAGAAATCCCGCAAGCGCGCAGCCACCATCTCTACAGTCCGCCCTGAGCTTAGTCAGCAGCAGCAGCACGAGCAGCGCCGGGACTCGCACCAGATTATGAGCTCCACAGAGCTCGCATCTGTCAACATGCAGGACAACAACGGTGGGATGGAGCTATTGCAGCAGTCTGTTGAGACTGCAGCTTACACCGGCCCCGTGTTCAACAGCCAGGCTGTCGTCAAAGGCACTGGCAGCAAGGTGGTCATGGTGATGACATCCAAGGTTGCGCAAAAGTCATATGGTACCGAGAAGCGCTTCCTGTGCCCTCCGCCCACAATTCTGCTCTTCGGTGACGACTGGAGGATGCCCACAATGGGCGGCACTGACCAGCAGGCGTCGCACAGCGGCGACTTTACTACCAACATGCCCCGCATCTCGGTGTCAGTCCCGACAAACGACGACTCCGGGATGGGGTCGGAGGGCCTCGAAAGCCTGGCGGGCTCTTCAGAGTCGCGCGTGTCTCAGCTTGAGTGGCTGGCCCAGCCAGACCCAACGCCCAAGCCCAAGGCACATGTGCCGCACAACCCGGTGCCTCCGATCAGGCCGCCGCGCGAGGGCGATATCGTCACTGGCCGCTATGTCGCCAAGCAGTTGTATATTAACGACGTTGACGAGAAGCGCAAGAAGGTGTCGGTCAAGGTGCGCTTGTACGATCCGTCGGGCCAAGTGGTGCTCAACGAGTTCGAGTCGCGGCCCATCAAAGTCATAAGTAAGCCGTCAAAGAAGCGCCAGAGCGTCAAGAACGTCGACCTGTGTATTCACCACGGATCCACTATTTCGCTGTTCAACCGCCTGCGGTCGCAGACTGTGTCCACAAAGTACCTGGGTGCGACTCGCTCGATGTCGGTTGGCGGCCCGCGCCCCTTCTGGTTCCCAGCTGCAGAATCTGACGGCTCGAGCACATCCGCAGCCAACGGAGGCCGTGTCAGTGGTGGGTCCTCCACGACCACATTTGTTGCGCGCAACTCTGTGTGGGATCCGTTCATCATCTGGATCGTCAACACGCATCTCGGCACGCAGGAGATCGAGGCGTTCAACGAGCGCATCTCAAAGAACCCGACACCAATTCCAGGATATCCCACGCCGCCTACCTTTGCAATGCATCCACAGTGTCCGCCAGACTTTGACCATTGCCTCAACGGCAGCGCCGGTGGAGGCTGTAGCAGCCCCGGCGAGCAGCCTCATATCGACAATGAATCCGCAGGCCAGCCCCAGCCGAGGGCGCCGATCCCCATTCTGTACAACCAGCCGGTCATCCTGCAGTGCGTCAGCACGGGCATGTGCTCCCCAGTGCTTACGCTGCGCAAGGTTGAGAAGGGCAGCACAGCTGTAGGCTCCTTCTACGGCTGCGACTCTAGCCGCGATGTGCTCGGCGACCCCGTGTCTCAGTTGCACAAGGTTGCTTTCGAGGTGCGCGTGCAGACCCGTGAAGAGCTGCCGGCAGTGACTGTCACACCGGCTGGACTTAACACGCGCGTTGGATCGTACCTGACGTGCATGGGTGATATTGTGGGCCTCAACGCCACTTGCGATGGGCGGCAGGTGACCAGCGATGGTTTAGCCAACAGCAAGGCTTCGGGCAGCCGCGGGTCTCCCAGCCAAGGGCGCAAGCAGGCAAAGGAGAGTGCTTCTGTCGGGACGACCTCGTGGGCCGAGGACGTTGGCGACAACGCGGTATGGACCATGGTCGGCACCGACTGTACCATCTACCGCTTTGACTACCCTTCAGCCTCTGAAATTGCGTCGCAGCTACAGCAGCTCGCGACAAACACCCTGCCCACGACCCTGACGAATGCTGAGTCCTCGTCGTTGGCGCTGCCACCCACCCCAACCTCGCCCTCTGGCATGATGGACTACTCGCAGCACGCGTCGCACCAGCACTTCTCTCTTGAGATGATGCTGGCCGACCACGGTTCTACCGCCACTGCGGCTGCCGTCGCTGCGGCTGTCAATGAGATGAACGCCAACGCCAACTTCCAGCCAGTATCGATTGACGCGTCCTTGGCCGCGGCTGTCTACGGCATCGCCATGCCTGTCATGGGCGACGGCCGCCAGCTGCAACAACAACAGCACAACAATTTGCTATCTTCATCGCAGACGCTCTCGATGGGTTCCATCAACTCAATCGACGAGCACATCAACGGCCATCTTTCGACCGACAACCTTGTTCCTATCGTGTTCAAATCGGCTGTTCAGCATCCATCGACAATCAACCCTCTGTCGCTGGATGGGGGGCGTCGCCAAAGAGACGGCAACGACACCCATTCTGTGACAGAGCGCTCGTTTGTTACACTCAGCGGGCTCAACTTTTCGCCTGATATGGTGGTGATGTTTGAAGGCCAGCAGAGCCTGATCACTGAGTTTAAGTCCTCCGAAAGTATCGTGTGCCTTGGCCCGCTTGCGTCAGAATTCGGGAGCTTAATGCGTCCAGACTCTGCGATGGACAGCGACGATATGTTCACAAGCGTCTTCGGCAACCTTGAGCAGAACAATGGCGATAAGAAGCATCAGCAACTGCATCCGACATCCCCCAGTGTCAGCGACTCCTCCACCTCCCATGCCCATGGTGGCGGCGAGGATTTGCAGCACTTTGCATTGCTCAACTATAATATGTCTTGCGCCAACCGCGCTTCATCTGCCGAGTCAACTGCATCATCAGCCACCGCCACACACAACAGCCCCAGCGCCCAAAGAAGGGCGCATGATAGTGCAGCCGTCGCTCGCAGCAACTCCTCGGCAAAGAGCAGCATATCTACTGTCAGGATTCCGATTCTTTTATCGCGCAATGGTGGCGCAGGACCCACCTTCAAGACTGGCCAGTTTTACACCATGCATATCTAAAGCTGTATTAACCATTCGTACGCACACACACATGCTCTTTTCTCTTTTATTCCTCATTCAATCGCTCATCCTCAAGCACTCATATTTCTCTTGACATTTTTATTTTATTTTATTCAATTTTTTCCTTTCTCTTTTTCTATTTTTATTTTTCAATATTTTTAAAAAAAATTGTTTGTTTACTATTTCACAGACAATAGTCGTGGAAATATACATGCGTGAAAAGCGTTATTTTACAGTATTGTTTGTCCCTTTTGAGTGTGTGCGTGGTTTGAATTTGCAATATACTCTTTAGCATATTCTTGCCATACCGCATCATGTTCAATTTCTTAATAACTTACTACACTATAACTTGTTGGCCAATATCTGCTTGAAAACACAGAAAAAAATACCCGTATATGCATATTGGCAAACATACATGCCGATATGTGAAATGATACATCTGTGTTCATGCACTTTTTTTGAATAGATGGCCACATACATCTGGGTTTTGAAATTGTTGTTATTCGCCGAGATCCCCCTGAACAAGGCAAAATCAAAGAAGCCACAATTTTCCGGCTTCTGCTCCTCCCCCCAAAAAAATGAATAACGAATGCATTTATAAATTCTCACTGCGGTATCCTATGCCAAATCGGAGATCACGTCAAAAAGAAACAAATTGAATGCAATATGAATCGACAAAACCCAAAACGCCTCTCTAAAGATGCAAATATTATCATCTCGGCCTATATTTCCAGGAACAAAAATATATTTTGAAACATTTAGATCATCCCCGTGCCAGCACTCGCCAGTTAAAATCTTTCCAAAATGCATGTCCACTACTGTCGGGAAGGGGTTTCGGTTTCATTATTTAATAGCAAGCAAAAGGCCTGGATTCAATGTATTCATTTAAAAAAAATAAAAACCCAGCAATTTTTAATCTCGTCATTATTGAAAAAAGCGATCATTATAATATAGTACTTTTTCTTTGATAATTAACTTTTAGACCCTCCCATCCTTTTACTTTTTAATACATAATTTTTCTATAGACGATGCCCTTGCATTCCGAAAGGATGGAAGAGCAGATCCAGCAACAAGAGCCTCATCATGATCATGAGCACTCACAACCATACTCATACTCACGCCATTTACACCAGCATCCAAAGGTTATATCTCCCGACCATGAGATTCCCATTCCAAATGCAGCAGACTACGAGATTCCCGAGGCTCACACATTTTACGACCCGATGACCTGGCCAATCTATGACTTTCGGTATGAGTATCGCGAGTACCTGGCCGAGTTCTGGGGCACATTTATTCTGGTTCTCTTTGGCGACGGCGTGGTTGCCACAGTAACCTTTAACACAGGAAATTCTCAATCATCCTACCTGGCCATCAGCTTTGGCTGGGCTATGGGCCTGACAATGGCGCTCTATGTTAGCATGGGTATTTCCGGCGGTCATCTCAATCCTGCGGTAACTTTTTCTAATGCCATATTTGGAAAATTCAGGTGGCACAAGGTCCCCGGATACATGCTAGCCCAGCTCTTCGGTGCATTCGTCGCCGCTGCCACACTTTATGGAATTTTCAAGGACCAGTTCGACGTGTTTGATGGCGGCAACCGCCAGCTTTTGGGGGAATTCGGTACCGGTGGAATCTGGTGCACATATGCCAAGGCCGGTAACGGCAAGTTCTTCTCTGTGTTCTCCGAGATTGTCAACACCGCTGTCCTGCTCTTTGTCATTTACGCGATTGGAGACGACAGAATGACCCCAGCCAGGGAACATCTCCCCATTGCCATTGGTCTGCTTGTGTTCGCTATCGGTAACTGCACAGGCTGGGTTACTGGTTATGCCATTAACCCGGCGCGTGATTTCGGGCCTCGTATATTCTCGACCATCCTATACGGCTCGGAGCCATTCACTGCTGGCGGCCACTATTTCTGGGTGCCCACTTTTATGCCTTTTGTTGGCGCCACTATCGGTATCTTTATATACCAGTTCTTCATTGTGCCTGAGGCCAGGAAGAAGAGAGATTGAGCCAATATTTTTTATTTACCTTAATACATTGTAATTCTAACTTATACAATAACACACATGAAATAGTAATAAACAATGATATTCAGCACTTTCAGATCCCCAGTCCTTTTTGATTTGATTAAATTTGAATTGAATTGGTGAAAGAACTCATTAGATCAAGTCGATATATATGAAAACTGCTATATTTTCAAAAGCAGCACTGCGATAATGAAGCAAGTGCTCAAATAGGTACGTGCCTTTATAATTTCAACAGAAAAGTGTGGCTTTTTAAATACAGTTCATTTATTTGAATTGACGCAATTGTAGCGCAATCCAAAGAAAAATTATTTCAAGGCTCTATCCTTGTTTTTTTGCTTTCAGTTCAATTTTCTTGACGTTGTAAGTTGCAAATACATCCTTCCTTGGAGGATTGAATGCTATCAAGGTGTGTTGACAAACCTAAGCCTCGCCAATTTTTGTTTGCACGACTCCGTTTTTTAGCTTGCATAAAATGGAAACAACCTCGCCTATGCAATTGTTTTCGGCAACCATCGCTTCTTTTTTTCCACTTTATTCCAGTGTTTGTTAAATTATAAAAAGGCATTGAACAGCAAGGGTAAAGGTTGCAGTGTTTGACTCTTGTGACCGACAGTTGCAGGCAGTTGCAGGTAGCGGCAACTAGCACTGTAAACTTTGTGTATACACATTATTGTGGCGTATTTTCCTTGGTTTTGCATTGCATTGCGTATGCAAAAATAAAAATAGTAAAATAAATGAAGCCCACACGCGCTATATTGACCGACCGCGTGGATTGTTTGTTTTTGTTTTTGATTTGCGAAATTGTTGTACAAAGACAATGCATCGTCACATGTTGTCGGGGATTATTTGAATGTTCAAAAGAGCATCGAGATATTTATGTTTTTTGTGTCCCTCAAAAGCTTCCTTCGGCCTATTAAAAGAGAGATTCGTGCGATTTTAAAGCAAACAACAGTATTTCTGTTGCTTCACTCTCTTTACAGCATTTCTATTTTTACTATTTAATTTTTTGTTGCTATTCCGGTATATTTTCAGGACAGGCTTTGCTGGCAGTGACAAACAATTGTTTTATGGATCTGCCCTTGCAGTTAAGGAGCACACGACATCGTATTAGCGCGCACAACTTAGACTTTATCTCGCCTTTTTCTTTCCATTATCACACTTTTCCTTCAAAATATTGTTAGAACTTATAGACAGGATACAGCGCCGATAATGTCCACATTAAGCATATTTCCAGAGTCTTTTAACAGGGTCGGCTTGCGACGCAGTATAAGGCGCCTTTTCCGCCGCACTAGCTCGCGCAAATTCAACAAGTGTAATGGACTCGGTCAGCACTGCCAGCACTGCGGCGCTCACTTTCTTCTGGATCTCACGTATGCTCGCCACATGGAAGAGTGTTCATAAAACAGAAGTATACACACACACGCCCCCCCCCCTCACCAAGGGGTGGGCACGAATTATTTTCACGTCTCATTGAAAAGACGAGGCCGATTTTACTCACAATTCGTACCTGTTCATCCACACCACTCTTATCACGCATTAATTATCACTTGTCATTCATCAGTTGCCATTCATCAGCTGCCATGCATTTTTCCATTGATTTATTATATTTTATACACATCTATTTATTATCCCCGTTTTTTTGCTAAATAAAATAAGGCCTACAATTGTAAAATGACGTCTATCGAATAAAAAACGCATGGCATACGCGCCGCTCCAATAAGAGCCGAAATGTCGGCTGTATTCAACCGCGATTTCCGCCACGGTTCCCCATTCCCTTGGGGTTCTCGTCCTTATAATCGTCCCACTCACGCTTCTTCAGCGTATCTGCATCGAGTGCCTCATGGTTGTTGTCGTCAATGTCCGGCTTTTCATCTGGCTCCTTGCCACCGCCACTGATTATATTCCCATTCTCCTGCTCCTGACTCAGGTATTCATCAATGGTCATGGTCGGCAAAGCCCAGTCCGGGCGGAATACTGAGTCCTTTATTCTTTGGCGGTCGTTGGTCAGCACAAACGGCCGTGTCGGTTGCCCCTTGCTGTTGAATATAGGCTGAGTCGACTTGCCAGTTTTCGGGTCGATCTGGCCGTACGACTGCGAGTCCAACCTCCACTCAACCTCCTTGCCTGCAGACAGATTTCCAGAGCCCTCCGTGTTGCCGCCACCGATTCTACGAGACTTCATCTCCTCCATCTGCTTGGCCATGTCAAACTCGCTATGCAAAATGTCAATGTCATCGATGACCTGGAATACCTTGAGCTCGATTAGCTTGACAGCATGGTCCCGCTCAGCCTCATCAATGTCCTCATCCTCCACGCCACCAGCCTCCTTGGAATCCCTCCCCGAAATCATGGCCTCCAGCTCGGCGATGGCCTGTTGCATTGCGCGCATGCGCTTGAACCGCTCGATCTTCTGCATCCTGCTTACCCCTGGATCGATAGGCTTGGGCTTAGGGCCGGCATCACTGCCATTGGACTCGAGTATGCGATCCATGTCTGCCGATTTGCTGACAATGCCGAGCGCCTGGGAAGTCGTCAAAAATGCCTTGTACTGGTCCAGGGCCTCCTCCAACACTGCAGTGCGGCCTTCAGGTGCGCTGAGCTTCTGCAGGGCCTCGCCGAGATACGCGTTGATCAGGATAAGCTTCAGCTCACTGGTCGAGTAGTCTTCAACTGTCTCGTTACTGCTAAACAGTGATAGGCGGCCTACTTGGCTGGAGCATGTGTACAAAAGTGTTACTAGGTCCTTGACCTGCTGCTGATACTCGACGCTGCTAGAGGCAAGTGGGGTGTTGTTGATGGCTTGAAGCTGGCGCTGTGCACGTGCAAAGTTGATACCCAGCGACGCGCCCTGAGTCTCTCCGTGCTCCATTCTTAAAATATTTAATAAGAGAAACGGTAGGGATGTGAATATTAATGTGTATATGAGGTTAGTTGACTATAATTGAGAAACAGAGTTGTGGGTATATGGATTGGTGTACATGCTAAAGTGCACTTAGTGACGTAATCGTATCCATCAAATTCGCAGGCTTACGGGGGGATCATCACATGATGGATGTAGAGTTCTTAAAGCTGCAAGAGTCGGCGCGCTCTTCCCCTTTTTGGGATCCAACATTGTAATAAGTATGCGTATCAGCTAGAAACTATACGGACAGAACCATTCCGCTTGATATTACTATTGGGTATTGTAACTAAATCTTGCACTCGATAGCACTACTGTTGGTAGCTACTCGCTGGCTAGAATATTTATTTTGGAAATAAAACCTTTCAGTAACCCCGATATTTGCACATTAGAATAGTTAAATGAAATTTGTTTTCGGACTTTGTCAACTTTAATAAAAATAGAGCGATTAAATATTATAACCGCGTCTATTATGCTTTTTTCGACAGTTATATTTTTATTTGCATCTGCCACGCCTTATTCCCCCACAAGGGTTACGCGCGTATATAAAGGGAGTTCACTGCCAAAATACGACATTGTTTTCCTCAAAACTTTAAATGATTTTAATTTGTTTGCTTTTTTATTTTTATTTTATTATTTCTCATCCCCAGATTATTTATTCCAACTAATTGGGATATATACTACTATTACCATTTTACTTGCTCACGCACTGTTTGTTTACGTTTCGCGTGCTTGGTTAATTAATATTTGGAGATTCTGATTCAAAAACAAATATCAAAAATTGTTGCGCTTACTGTTTAGCATTTATATATCTCTGTGATAACGGCTCCGGAGACGATTATACACAAATACAGCCCCCCCAACAAGATAAATACGTAACAATTCAGAAAAATGTCACTGAAACTTGTAGATTACCCTACTAGCGATGAAGACAGTAGCGATTGTGGCGATGAAAAGAGTGGTGAAAAGAGCGGTGGCGGCAAAAATAAACGCTGGCATTGCAGTGAGGATGAAGACGAAAACGCAGGTACCATTTCGTTCAATATTTGAGATGTTCAAACTTCAAAAAAAGCAGTTGAGACAGCCAAAAAGAAGTAACAACTGTATTGATTTTTCAAAATTTTCATTTAAACAATTTTGGAATATTCTTTAATTGATCTGTAGAAAGCAGCGGTTACAAGCGCCACTACAACGGCAAGGCGAAGTATGACGATGCTGGGCATGTTCAAGGCGGGTGGTCCGGGCACATCTATCTGAAAATTGACGAGTGCGAGCAGCTAGACAGCCTTGCCACGATGTGCATGGACAGCATTTGTGCACATCCAAACAACACAAAGGCGAACTCCAGCAATGATGAGGATGGCAAGGCGAGTGAAATTGCAGACCCTGCAATCGACTGTGATCATATAAAACGCATTGCCGAGCCGCACATCAGCTTGTCGCGGCCCTTTTACTTGCAAAAGCACCAAATTGCAGGGTTTGTCAAAGATCTAGAGACCAGCATATTGGGCTGCGAATCGTTTGCAGTGGGGTTCGGCCGAGTCAGCACATACGTCAACGAGCAGGGCGACCGGGGGTTTGTGTCTGCCGACGTTGACTCTGGCGCAGAGAGAATCAAGGCCGTACTTGATCGAGTGAACCCAGTGATGGGAAGACTTGGAAAGAGACAGTTTTTCGACAAACCGCGGTTCCACGCCAGCCTGTTGTCGGTCGATCTGGTGCAGATCTCCGGCAAAGATAGCGCACAGGCATGCAGCAAGGCGATGGATGCGGTTGGGAAAACGTTGGGGGCAGACATACAAGAAAAGGTCCTGCGCTTGGCAGCAACTCGGATTGACACGCTGGAGTGCATCTTTGGAGACAAGAAATTTAGTGTTGTGCTAAATTAAGCAATACTGGTAGAGTTTTGACGAAAATAAAGCTGAATGGGATTTACAATTCAAATGAGAAATTCTCTCTATGCTTGCGTTTTCGGGCAAATCAAACAGGCCATTTTGTTTGTTGTTTAGTTGTTTTTTGACCAGAAAAGATATTTGGAAAAGATATAAACGATTATTTTTAGCCATGCTTTTTAATACGCAAAGGACCATTGAACCAGAGGTAAGTTAATGGAATAATAACTAAAGGCTAAATGGTCCCCTACCATAGCCAACTGAATATCGGGACTGTTTTTTATTGGGCAAAACAAAAACGCAAAACGAAAATTAACATCGATATCAGCATCAGCATCTTCGGCATTGACATTGGCATCGCACAAAGGATGCAACAAAGAAACGCATGGCGCGATTTCTTGATTTAGCTGCATCGTCGTGATCATTTTTGCAAAGAGCGAAGAATATTGGGGAGCGAAGAGCGAAAAGAAGGGCAGCCCAAGAAAAGGAAAATAAAGCAGGGATGAAAGCTGGATAAGGCAAGCTTTGCAGATTAACACCAAAAGTACGTACAGCAAAAAAAGGGAAATACAAATAAAATAAACGCGCGTTTATCCATTTCCAGATGCAGCCGTTTAATTGGGCATCAGACCGCAGACCGTTGGGACCGGTCCGATTATTCTGGGCGAGTGGGTTGCCCCTCTGTACAGGCACTGCGAAAGAACCAGGCCGCATGGAGCCACATAGCTCAAGTGCAGGGAGCAGAGAGCAGAGAACAGAGAGTGGAGAGTGATGGTGCAGGTGCGTGTGGCAGCGCACAAAATATGAATGCTTTTAAGGCAGCTATGGCTGGCGTTGTTTCCGTTGTTTGTGGCCCGCCAGGCATAACGATATATTTTGAGCATTGGAGACTTGTGCTTATGCAGCTGACAGCCGGTGGCAGGCGACAGAGTGCTGGTATCAAGGCAGATTTATAATGCGCAGTACTGCTTTGCGCACGCGGGTTGATGTCGCCATTAAAGTGATCCGCTCGAGGCGTTTCAACCACCCCAACCACGGCTCACTTGACTCCATCCTGCAAGCCGATAGCCGGTCGATTGCCGTTGCTGCTGCCATCCACCGGAGCGCGCAGACGAAGTAGAATAGATAAAACGCCAATATCGGGCGAGAAGTAAATCAAAAATCACCAGCGCTCGATGCAAGGTTGCCCATAGGGTAGGCCTGGTGACCCCCCGGTAGAACCCATTGGGCGACTCCACCCCCCCCCTCCCTTCCCCCTCTCTTTTTTCTCGTTTTTTATTTTCTTGTGTGGCAAAACATTTGACACTGCAATGCGCGACAAAGGGGAAGGCCAAAACCAAAACAAAGAGGGAAAAGCAAAAATTACCTGAGCGATGTAGATTATTACTTTCCAGCTCTTGTTTGAGCCATAGACAGCAGCATTAAATAACAGCAATAGCGCGAGATGAACAGCATCCAAAATTGGCATTCGTTTCTTTCCAGCCTGGCTGCAAGCGGCAGCCATTATCCAGCCCGTACCCAAACACGCTGAAAAAACTGCAAAGAAAAAACATGCACCTGCGCCAGCCTCCACTCGATTTTTCACTCTTTAGTTGTAAGTGGCAGTCATGAACGACAAACAACGCAGCACCTATAAACAGGGGTTTACTTATGTTTTCCTATTCGTCTCGCGCAACAACGCAACAACAGGCGAACGGCGGGTTGGAAGCGGTCAGAAGCAGCAGGAAGCGCGTGTTTGCTGTTTATTTCTCGGCATCAGCAAATAATACAGCGATGCATTTAGGTCAAACAACCCCCTCCTCTAACGCCTACCCAACCCACCCCCTCCCCTCCCCACCTTGTTTGCTTGCTTGTATTTTTTCGTGTGCCGCTCGCTGAGCCGTATTTAACAGGTGGACATCCTTTTCCATTTTCTTTCTGCTTCTTACTTTCTATTCAACTTTTTTTTTTTTGCTGAGCAAAAAGTAATTTTATACTTCGTCTTTGTTGTTATATATTCTCTCTTCCTTTCTTTCACATTTATACATTTTTATCCTCTCTTTTTTTTGTTACAAGCGCCTATTTTTCTATTCTTGTAAACTTTACGCTGACAAGTTAACACCTACCCCCACATCTCAACACAACCTAATACTTTCCATTTTTCCACCTTTACAAAACATGTCCACCGTTGAGCAGACCAAGATTGTCGACCAGGTCGCCCCTGTTGTCGAGGCTGTTGCCGTTGAGGCCCCCGCCGCCGCCGAGGTTGCTGCCGCCATTGAGGAGGCTGCTGCCGTTGCTGAGGCTCCCGCTGCCGCTGCCGTCGTCGAGGCCCCCGCCGCTGTCGAGGAGGCCGCCGCTGCTCCCGCTGCTGTTGAGGAGGTTGCTGCCGAGGAGAAGCCCGCCACTGAGGAGGTCGCTGCTGCCACCACCGAGGGGGCTGTCGAGAAGACTGAGGAGGCCACCACCGATGCCGAGGAGGATAAGCCCAAGGATAGCGCCTTCAACAAGCTGAAGCGTCGCAGCACTGTCGTTAAGGCCAAGGCTGGCGGAGTTCTCAGCCGCCTCAAGAAATTGCTCGCCAGACCCGCCAAGGAGGCCAAGCCCGAGGAGGCCAAGGCCGAGGAGGTTGCCGCTGACGCTGCCGCCGCTCCCGCCGCCACTGAGGAGGCCGCCACATCCGAGGAGACCCCTAAGGCCGCCGAGTCTAACGACTCTGCCGTAGTTACCACTGAGAAGGTTGAGGAGGTTGCCAAGGTCGAGGAGGAGGCCCCCAAGGCCGTCGAGGTTACACCCGCGGTTGCTACTGCCTCCGCGTAAATGAAAAATATTGCTTCTTTTTCTTTGCGCTGCGCTTGTGTTTGCTAAATTGTTTTTACCTTTCAGATCTCATTTTCACATCTTTTTCAAAGTTTACCGTATAATAAGTAATTTTCCCATTCTACTCGTTCCCTTGCTCCCCTCCCCGCGCGCCCCATTTTTCGGACGGGAAAGTAGCAATTGGCAATGGCAGCAACTGTTTTCATAAGGTATTGTTAGTTTTGTTTGTTTCATCCCGCGCGTCCGGAATTACTGTTCAATTGCGCGGGATTGTTGGATTTTTTTGGAACCACTGAGCTGGATCCAATGTCCCGGCGTCTCAGTGTCTTAACTTGCGGCCAAATGATTTTTGTCTAAATTGAACGCTTTCACTAATATGGTGCTGCATGCAATCTGCAACATTGCGCCTGCTTTATGAAACTGTGCAGCTTGCAAAAAAATGAGCATGCGAGTCGAGGATTCAAAGCTGCATGAGCCCAAAAACAAAAACAAAAACAAAAACAAATTAAAGCAATACAAAACGACGTTTTCGATTCGCTTAATATGGTGTCACGCTTTGTTCGGATGACAGCTGCAAGGAAAATATGGAGACACAATCGGGTCAAAAAGACACATAGCGCGCGCGAACAACTACACTTTGTCCTTGAGAGCCTTTGGTATCTGCCCGCATGACCGCCAATTGTGTAAGCGTTGGCAGAAAAAACTATCGTCAGAGTCAAATGCCTACGCTTATCACAATTAATCCTAGTTATTTTTCCTTTGATACATCAAGTGGTAATTAAATCTCGGAACCCGAGCATGATTTGAAATTTTGGTTTGGTAATGCCAGTGTTTACATTTATTTATTTTCGTCTGATCCACATGTTTAGTTTTTTGTAGCCATTTAATTCATTTGAATGGTGTTATTGTTTTCTTTTATTATTTTGGGCTTTCTTTATAGCTTTTATTTTTGTTTGCAAATATATAGCGGGGGGACATTTCCGAGATTCCCATTCCATTGTTGTTGTTTTTATTGTCCACAGAAATTTAAATTAGTTATTTTTGGGCGCCTCTTATTTTTATTTGCTGTTCACTCTCTGTCATTATTTTTTTATTGTTTTGTGCACGCTGTGTTAATATTAATGTTAAAAGCTCTGTTTTGACAGTTCGTCGTGCATCAACTTTTTGCGCTGCTTTTGTTTGCCATGACTTGATCCCAGTATCGTACGTTGGCTCAAACTTCAATATTTTGCAAATTTTGCTTTCTGCTTTTGTGAATCGTAAGTTTTTAAAATATGCAAGCGCATTTGCGTTCACATATGATTGATTGTCCCGCAAGCAAGTGGGAAGGTTGTGCGAGCAATTTCTGTCGTCATCTAGGTAATTACAATGGTCTCTTTTCTTGTTTTATTTTTGTTCAGGGGAGAGTTGAATGCACTTGAAATGCATTTGGGCGCACAGCTTCCTTGCCCCCTTTCATTGGTTCGGTAAATATTTGTATTCGCATTTGAACTTGGCCGTGGCCGTTACGCTGCAATGCTTAGATGATCTGCCTCCACCGCCAAAAAGCCAGTGTAGCGCACGCGTAGATAATCATACAGCCCATGACCAGGAAGAAGTTCAGCGTGTCGTCTCGATCCTGCCCAGGGACCTTTAGATTGACGCCCAAAAAGCTTGAAACAATATTGATAGGCACAACAATGGTGCCCAGCATAGTCCATCGTTCGGTGGTAGAGTTGGAGTCAAACGTCGCGCGTGCCAGTTCCAAGGATATTTTGGCCAAGTAATTCGAGTGTGATCTCGACAGAACGGCTTCCGCGCGCGTGCATGAGCTGACAGCAGCCAAAAGGTGACCATGCACATCGCTCAAATACTGCGCGACTTCATCGGCTAGGTGGCCATGCGCAATGCCGGCGTGTAGTGGCAGCAGCTGTGCCAGTCTTTCGATGATGCTGAGCTTTGGCTGAGTGCACTGCCACGTTGCGAGAATTCTTCGGCGCTGCTCGCCCATCTGGCGCAGCATGTTTTCATGCTCCGTGTGCGAGAGAACCAAGACCAGCTCGTCAATCGCGTCCACCTGCTGCTCGATGACAAGAATCTCTGGCGACAGTTGATCTGTCACCTCATCGAGTATTGCGTATACAATGTAGAGCGGGAAATCAACGAGACCGGCGAGTGGAGCGTCCTTTGTGTATGCCGGCGCATCCTTCGCTTTCTCCGACGGCGTTGCCTCACTCTCTGCAATTTCCACCGCGCTTTGCATTGCCAACAAGCGCTTCAGCACCTGCGACACTACTAGCCTCTGGCTGCCACTGTGAAATGTCAGAATATAGTTATGCCTGACAACAATGCACACTTGGTTGCCGCTTGCGATTTCGTAATCCATTACTCTTGTGATCGGATCAACCAGCGGATTGGCGCAGCCAAGTCGGTTATAGCTGCAGCCACTGGCATTGCGCACATGTCGGTTGTGTCGTCCGTTCTGTGCAATGGCGCTGTAAACTATGAATGAGTAGTCGGCAAATGTGTCTATTTTGTCGCGCGGGCAGCTGAAAATAATGTCCTCGACAGTTAGCGGATGAAGCTCAAATATTTCGCCAATGTCAGTGATTTCCTGGGTGGTTGCTCCGGCTATATCCAACCAAAAACAGGTGCTACCACACATTTCTTTGCTGTTGATTGTATTTCCCGAACTGGGAGTGAGCACTGTGTCTATGAGGGAGTCGATTCCAAGAGCGCCGCAGACTGGCTCTACCAATGACGACGCAAACATGGCTCCAGTTTGGCCCGAGTAAAACATAAATTTGCCAGAGCCTGTGTGCTGGTCGTCTTTGCTCGTATGATGTAAATTGTTACTCGCAATGTTATTAGAATTGCCGCTCCCGCCAACGCTAGTATCAATGTCATTTCCAACGCCTAACCCAGTGCCAGCGCCGCCACTTATTCTGCTTCTGCTGCTGCCGCTGTTGCTGCTGCTGTTTTCGAGGCTTAGTTTGGCCGGGCCATCATCAGCACCATTCTGCGCTTGTTGATAATCCAAATGGTGCTCCAGCTCGCTGTCAATACCATTCATCCATAATATTGAGGAATCCCGCATTCGGTAAAGATCTGCAGGCTTGACAATCCCCAAATTGATCGGCTCAGCCGATGCATTGACATGTGTTTTTGAGGCCCCCGTTGAATTGGTCCCCGGCTGTTGTTTTATGTCCAGCATGGTCAGCACAGGATCGGTGTAATCCGTAATGGATCCCGATCCTAGTCTAGTTTTGCTGTTGTTTACAGAAGAGTTGTCAGAAAAACACTCAGGCAAAGGCGAACTGAAACGCTTGTTGGAACTGCCGGTCCCTGTGGCTGCAATGTTCTGCATCAGGCGACTGCTGCGGTTGTAATTACCGTTGCTGTTGCGAGTACCATTGAGAATTCTTTGAGACAAACCAGCTGCTGTAGGCAAAGAGTACACGCTGTTTGTAAAAGATGGGATTGCAGCGGGCACCTGGCTGTACATATCGTTAGTATTGCAATTGATGACTCTCTGGCCTCTGCCAATGCATGAGCTAAAGCTGGCGGTATCGACATAGTTGCTTGTCGAGTAGTGCATAGCCGAAGAAAACGGCATAGGCCAGCGGCGTGCAGCAATGTTGTCAAGTGAGAGCATATTGTAGTCATAAACTGATTCACTGGTATTCAATTGACGTCCATATATGCTTCTGTAAAGGTCGTTCTGATGGCGAGAGTTGCTTGTAGCTTGAAAAAATGTTGTCGTGTCTGATGGCACAGGCACAGGGCTTTTGTTTGGGCAAGCATCAGCTGACGCTGGCGTAGTATATTCTGACAATGGTGTTTGTCGATCTGATGTACACCATCCATTTACAATGTTCAGGGACGTATTGGTGTTTGAGATTTTGTGGCTTGGAGTTTCTCGTGATTCGATACAATCCTGGTTGTCCTGTTGTTGGCGCGTATCTGTCCCAGCAATGCTGATACGAACGCGGTGCGCTTTATTTGGTGCGTCTTGTGGACTTGAAAAGTATTCTTGCTCTTTATATATCGCGTGGAGATTGGAGCGGCGGCCGCAACTATTAGCAAAAAGCAAGCGCCTACGTCTCGACCTGGTAATTCCCATGGCTGCTATGGTTATTATTAATCAATATAGTTGGAATATTTAAAAATACAATTAAAAGTTCAAATATCAAAAGACAAAGGTCAGCACAGAGCTATGTCTCACCCATCACACGCAGTTGTTTTGTGTATGCCTCGATACAAATATATAAAAATACATTTTAGCATTTACTATCTACTGTGCAGTTATTAATTGCAAAGACTTTAAAGCGATATTGACATTAACTTTTATTTTCATACATCATCGTAGCACGCACAATAATTACTGCTGCTTCTGGTGTTGGAAACCAACCTATAATAGTAAGAATATCTAGATTAATTGCAGCCATATTACGCAAAATATGGTTTAAAAGGTAACTGGTCAGTTTATATACTTTATATACTTTTTTTGACGCTGGGATCATTTCTGGGAATTGACTAGACTTTAAAAATTAGGAAACCGCCAGATTGGATGCCAAAATTTCTAATCGGCTTATTGAAAACAATCGAGTCAACTGAATACGAAGGCATATCGGTCACAAGCCAATACGCGTGTCATGTGGAAGTATTGGAATCTGTGTGAACATAAAATATACACTTCGTCCTTCATTTGGAAAATTCAAAACTTCTAATTTTTAATTACCATTTCATATTTTGCCTTTTCCTTGGGTTGCGTTACAAGCCAGCAGAAAAGGGCAATTGTAAAACGATTCATTATGGCATTGATAGCCCCCATGTCTTTTTCATGCACAGTAAACGTCTTGCATCGATGCCTTTGTTCGTAAAGAAATGACTGATATCCGGCAATGTCCAAGGCAGATAGCAACATAATGTGTAATATAATTTTTACATGAAGTATGGCCATGTGGCATGGTGCATACGATCCATATATTTGCAAAAGCGAAATATGTTGTTGCTCAATCACTTCGACTGATTGTTTTTGTTTGCAAGTTCACACAAACCCTCCTCGCACAATGGCCTAGCATCATGTTACCAAGCCAGCGCAAATGACGCACAACCAATAAAGCAATTTGCAGCTAAGTGAAATGAAATGTGACATGACTTAGAATAATTCCAGTTTTTCTTGAAGGTCGCAATAAACGCCTGCGGTTATAAATAATCCGACAAGCCCGGCAATCAATCCCTCAGATGTAAAAAAGCAACCCCAACTTTGATTTTCAATTACTCATATTCCCATTTATCTCTCTCGCTTCTCTCTCATACTGACAAGCAAATCCAAGCAAATCCACGACTACTTCGACAAACATACAATGTACCCAAACGTACACACCGCTACTGCCCCTTCTTCCTCTTCCTCTTCTGCTGGTAAGAACCAGCTTCGTCTGCAATGCAAACAGGCCGACGAAGTGTGCCCCTGGTGCGACGTGAAGCTCGTCGGCAAAGAGACGATGGAGACCCACGAATGCCTTCAATTTTACATAGAAATGTAATCGATCTAGTCCAGTCCATCACTGCCGCAGGTGCTGGCTGACGAAATCTTAAGTCACGTAAGGAACAAATACTACGTGCACTTGCCATCATCGCAAGTATTGGGGAATGAACAAAATGAGGGAAGAAAGAGTAAAAATCGGGTTTAGGGTACTGAATGAATGCGAATTGTCTTTGAACGCTTTGAATAAATATATGCCCACACAGTCAACGCGGCTTTACGCTCTTTCTTCTCTTTCGGTTTTTTAAACCTCATTTTTTTTAAACTTTTTTCATGCCCAACGAATAAAAATCACTTTTTATAATAGCAGATGCCGTATATTCCGTTCTTCAGTCGGCTCAGCCTGACTGAATATCAGGGCATGATCATCGCCGCCCTGTTTTTCATTGTCGAAAAGCTTTTGCGCGTGTTTCTGCTCCTGTTTCCAGTCGGTGCAATCGTCAGCATTATGCCCGAATGGCTTCTGCTACGACTCCGTATTCCGCAGCTCGCAGGGACAAGCAAAGAAGCCGAGCGCGAGCTTTTGGATGACTTCAACTCGTTTGCCGAAATAATGGATTTCTGGAGCTACCCACACGAAGACTACCTGGTTGAGACGCATGATGGGTTCATTTTGGGCACTCACAGAATCACAGGGCCGCGCAAGCTGGCCAGTGCGCAGAACCAAGAGACTACGCCAGAGCACACTACCAATACCACTAATACTGCCGCTGCTACTGCTACTGCTTCCGAGAGCCATAAAAGGAGACCAGTGGTGCTATTTTGGCACGGGTTTATGCTCAGCTCCGAGTGCTTTGTGTGCCACCCCGACTGGATAAATATTCTGCCGTTCAGACTTGCAGAGGCAGGCTACGATGTATGGCTCGGTAACTCGCGCGGAAACAAGTACTCGTACAAGCACATGAAGTACGTTCCCGGCGACGAGCGTTTTTGGAACTTTTCCATCGACGAGATTGCAAACATTGACGTGCCCGCAACGATTGATTATATTCTGAATGAGACCGGGGCCAGCTCGCTGACATACATCGGATTCAGCCAAGGAACCACACAGATGTTTATGTCTCTATCGCGCAACAAGCAGCTCAATCAAAAAGTTGAACATTTCATTGCGCTGGCGCCCGCTTCGACGCCTCGCGGGTTCCACAACAGCATTGTGGACTACTTTATCAAGGCCACGCCACACATGCTATATCTTCTCTTTGGACGGCGTCGTGCTATGTCGCTCGTCTACTTTTGGATCAACCTATTGCCGCGCGATCTCTACGTCAGCGCCTTGGACTTTTGCGTGGGATTGCTATTTGGCTGGAAGATGCGCAATATGTCCCAGGAGACCAAATGTATTGCGTATTGGCACTTGTACTCATACACAAGCGTCAAGGCCATTGTGCACTGGATGCAGATCATACGATGCGGACAGCTTCAAATGTATGACGAGGACCCGCCCGTTTATCCATCAATATGGTCAAAATCTCCGTCAGCGGACGCCGATGCCGCAGCAATACAAGTTTATGGCAGACATGCGGAGGATCGGCACGCCGTACCAAAGGCCGGGCGGCGTCGCCAAGGGCAGTCTTCTGGGGCGCTCACACACTGGAACAACACGTACCCGCTGAAGAACATCACTACGCGGGTGTCTCTTTTTCACGGCGGAGCAGACTCTCTGTCCTCAGTTGACGCTCTGCTGGAAGAGCTCAATGTGTCGCTCAACGAGTCGCTGTGCTTCTCTCACTACGAGCATATGGATTTTCTGTGGGCTGACAGCGTCGGCACGCTGGTGATTCCAAAGGTGTTGGCCATTCTGGGCGTGCACGAAAGCGCGAGTATCCCATCGCCAGCAGCGCAATTGGTGTTTACCTGTACTGACAGCAAAATTCCCAATCCTTTTGTTGCTGAGAGCAGGGTTGGATCTGCATCCTCTGGATCTGCTTGTGACAATGCCGGTGGAGTGAGCGACTGCGAGGCCTTACCGTCACTAGAATCCTCATTTAAAAAGTCAACTGTGGTATCTCCGTTTCCCCTGCATACTCGGACTATGAACACGCTATCTCGACGCCGCATCGTCTTAATGCCAGGAGAATCGTCGTCCACAGCGCCAAAATAAAGTTAAATAAAGCTTATAATATACACGTGATTTCAGCCCTAAATCCACTTATATTTTCTGAGGTATATTAGTGATTTTGAGATTTTTTGGCGTGTAAAATTTTTTTCTGGGTGGTAGCCCGCAGCGACAATACATCCAACTTACTTGTAACCCCTTCAAAAATATTATATACAAAAATACGCAAATATGGATGCGCTAAGAGGCAAGCGTGTTAATCGCAATTCTTTGTTTGAACAAGACGACAGCAGCAGTAACAAGCGCAGAGGCGACGATGCTATGGACATTTCCGATGAGGACAACCAGCAGGACTTTGCCACATTTGAGCGGATGATGGAGGCGCGAGTAAAGGCACAGATGGGCGAGGACACAACCCCATCCACACTTGCCATCACCACCACAAACGACGATAAAGACGATTCTGCCGACTCGTCGGCTGAAGACAACAACACACCGGTGTTCAGGATGTTTGCTGGATCTGGACCCGTCAAGATCGAAACGGAGCCAATTGAGCCCGAGTATATCCAGACCAAGCGACCCGAGGTATCCATGGAGGAGTCTGACACGGAGGAGCACTGGAACGCATTGGCATCTGCTGCAATCGATGCGGATAAGATTAAGGAAATGGCCCAGATCCCCCTGCCAGCCATGCGGTATCCCAAGCGCATCATGCACATCAAGCTGGAAACCGAGTCTCCGGACACCAAGGCGTCGGGTGAAAAGAGTAAAGGCGAGAAGGGCACAAAGCAGACTAAGAACGGTGAGGACGGTGATCGGCGCAAGCCCAGGCGTCGCTCGGAGCCTTATAGGCGCGTTTTGTCGCCATATAATGGTGGAGTGATCAAGGCGAGGATGCTGGAGGATGTTATTCGCGAGGAGGAGAAGGCTGCCAGCGAGGCGTTGGCCCGGAGCCTTCGTAGCGGACGCGGTGGACGCGGCGGCAACAGAGGTGGGATGAGGGGAAGTGGAGGCCGCGGTCGTGGTCGTGGCCGCAGCTAAGATGATGTTCCATTCTGCACTGTGAGGTTCACGACTAAAACAAAGCAATGGAAGAATAATAGCAAATTAATAAATATAAATGTGTGACTGTTTTTTACACTTTTCTCTTTTTGCGAAATTTTGCCTTTTCTTTTGCCTGTTGTTCTTGCACTGGTTCGTATAAAATGATCAGGAAAGCCGAAGATCTGGTGTATAGGTATAAAAACATCTCATCGTAAAAGAAGTTATATTAGGACAAAAGCGACCCTTGCAAAAATGTAAAACAGACAAAAAAACTGGTGGCGAAAAAGATTACAGGTCATCGTCCTCCTCGGGCAGAGGCTGGGCGGCGGCCTCCATCATCTCGTTGTTGTACTGCTGCATCAGGGCAGCATCGACATTGACCTCTGGGGGGTGCAGGGCGGGGGCCTGGACAAAGTCGAGCTCGCTGTCACCAACAAGCTTGCGAGCGAGCCACAGGAAGGGCTTCTCAAAGTTGTAGTTGGACTTGGCCGAGATATCGTAGTACTGGAGGTTCTTCTTCCGGTGGAAGGTGATGGTCTTCGCCTTGACCTTGCGCTCCTTGATGTCAACCTTGTTGCCGCACAGAACAATGGGGATGTTCTCGCACACGCGGACGAGATCGCGATGCCAGTTGGGGACGTTCTTATAGGTAATGCGCGAGGTCACGTCGAACATGATAATACCGCACTGGCCGCTGATGTAGTAGCCGTCGCGGAGTCCACCGAACTTCTCCTGACCGGCGGTATCCCAGGTGTTGAAAACGAGGTTACCCTTGTTGGTGGTGAACATCAGGGGGTGGACCTCGACACCGATGGTGGCTACAAAAGGTAAAAGTATGTTTTGCACAAAAAGGTAAACAAATAATTAGCAAAGTGAAATATTGCAGTAAAAAATGCGGGTTGTCTCGGTAGTGTTTTATGTTTATGGGTGGTACTCTCCCAAATGTATCCACAAAACAAAACAAAAACTTACCGATGTAACGCTTCTCGAACTCGCCCGAGATATGGCGCTTGACAAAGGTGGTCTTTCCAGTTCCACCGTCACCGACGAGGACAAGCTTGAAAGTAGGAACTTCGGCCATTTTCTTTTATAAAATCGGGTTTTTTAGAGTATTCAATAAACTGAGCTACAAAAAAATAAAAGTACAACAATGACCAAAAGAAAAATATAAGCTTTGTTAGTAAGTAGAATATAAAGGTTTTCCAGGGATAATAAAATATATACCTATATATATATAGGTACAAGCCCAAGGGGAGCGGCGATGTATGTGTGTCGTTTCAAGAGAGGGTACGTGGCTGAAGAAGGGCCTTAAGAATAATTCACAATCCGAATTTCACAGCTCAGATTATAAAAATATAAACACGAAATTCACCAACTGGCTCCTTTCTTAGTCCCTTGTTTTTTTGCTGTTGAAAGAGAGTCGCGAATGTGCAGGTAAAATTTGATTTGCGAAGAATGAATAACAAGGATTCAGCTGCCCAAAAATAATAATAATTGGAAATTGAAAATAATTGAATTCTTACCTCTTAAAAGTGAAAATAAAAATATTAGAGACGCAAAACAAAAAAAAGGAAAGACAGACAAAAAAAATGGGGTGGTGTGGAAATAGTAAAAAAAAGATTAAACCTGAACCGCAAAGCAAAAAAAATTAGTGCACAAGTTGCCAAAGCGAGTGCAACACCTGTGTTCCAGTCGATTTTTTTCTTGTTCTTCAGAAAGAGTGCCAGCTTAAAAATAATGGATCCTCATCACCAACAAAAAAAAAACACACCCCCAACCGAAAAAAAAAGTTGGCACAAAATGGCTAGCCCGAAATTTTTTGATTGATAAATTAAATCAGCCTGATTAGAACCCAGAACCGATGCATGGAGATTGACGATGGCTGAAACGATGTCGTCATCAAATGGCATCCATTGACGGGTGGGTGCCACTGTTTCACACACATTCGATTAACACAACATGCGCAGTATTTTGTAAAACAGGCAGTGAATATAAAGTTTTATTTTATTAATCATTATAAGAAAAAAGTAAATGGCAGCAAGATAAAAAAGGACAAGTACAATTATGTGCAGTAGTTATATTTGCTTGACAAAATAAATGAATGAAAAAACTACATCCTGGTTCAACAATAACTCTGATATACTGACAATTAGTATCCTCACCTACTTTTTTTATATATACAATGGACTTTAACAACCTCAATGGCACTGGCATAGGCACTCCCTACCCGGCAGCAACTGATGTGGCCAAGGAAACTGGCACTACCAAATTCGGCGGCCACGAGCTCATCGACGATCCATCCAGCCCACACTATATTGGGCACGGCATTGCTCATAGAGACCCACAGACGGGCACGCCCATTCACCCAAGTATCCACATCCCGACCCGCGGCGAAACGCACCCAAGCGAATTCACCGTGTTAAAACTGAACGAGGCCGATTTGGTGACGGACGCTTCCAAGTTGGAGAGCAAGTTTGGAATAAACAAGGCCGGGAAGTACCATGCTAATTGGTTTAAGATGAAGAGCAGGATGAATGGGGTTTTGGCCAAGGTTATGCGGTCGGATAGTCATTTGGAGAAGTCGATGAAGCAGGGCGAGCTGGCCAAGCTTGAACTGAGCGCGCTTGAGGAGGAGAATGGCGGATACTCGTTTTCGAAGCATTAAAATCGAGAGACCAGGATGTCGTTGTGTGTATGTGTAGAGAGAAAATATATAATTGTGTGTGTGAGGGTGGAGGGAATAAGTCGAAAAGATTTTCAATGCGCTCATAAACAATTTCGCTTGTTCAGAATTTACATTTTTACAAAGTGCTTCGTCATCTCTTGCTTTCTTAATACACCCGTTTTTTCTCTATATATATTTTTTTTTTGCCCAACACACAACACATTATATGAAAAGGCCACAAGAAATGGCCAGGTCATTTGGCACACCCGTCTACGCGACTCTGGCAACCATACTGGGCCTGTGCATCCTTGTTTTTCTCTCCACGTACTCGGCCCCAACTGTCACCCGGCAGCAGCCCGGCAGCACCATCATCTACGACCCAACCGCACCAACATTCCACCTCTCCTCACAGGCACTCGACTCGAGCAAACTTCCCTTTGCCAACCACTCCACACTAGAGCCTTATCAAAGCTACCTACAACAGACGCTGGATTTTACTCACTTCCAATCGCTCTTCGACTCGGTCAACAATTTGTCTGGCGGAGGAATACTGCGGACGCGCGGCGAAGCCCATATCACGGTGATCAGTCCGCCGGAGTATGACATGGTGCTGAAGCCCGCCGGATTGACAATTGAGGAGATTGAGGGGATTGCGCTGAGAAGCAAAATACAGGCGGCAAGGATCGCTCCTGTGTGCTTGGGAAGATTCAAGGGCAGGTTAAAGGAGGAGGAGCAGGAGGGTGAGCTTTTGTTGTTTTCGTTGGTGGTCGCTGACGTGTATGGTGATCTGATGGCGATTCGCAGAGATGTGTTTAAGCTGTTTAGAGAGCGTGGAGGCCAAGGCGCGTTGTTTCAGCCGGAGGCGTTCTGGCCGCACGTCACCATCGGATACAACCAACGCGATCTCTTCGTCCAAGACGGCATCTACAAAGGATCCAATTATTGTTACGCTCCGGTCCGAGCTGTATAATATTTTCTTGCAATTTTTGTATTTTTGTCAAACAGTATATTTTTTCGTGACAATAAAAATTGTAAAAGATGGGGGTGGTAATGTGTGTGTTTGTGTGTAGGGAGAATACAGACTTATGACGAAATAGACATGGGTTCGGGGTTTGATGCGCGCTCGAGTTCAACACGGAGCTGCTTTGAAAAGTCATCCTCGAGATCATCGTCATCCCAGTTGTCGTCCCACAGAGTGACGTCCTCCTTGTCCTCGGCATCCTCGTTCCAGTCCTCGACATCAAACTCCTCAAACTCATCGTCCTCCTCAAGAGCACCAGCAAGAGTCAGTTTCTGCTGTGCTGCGGCGGGGTCGATGCTAGGTGTGGATTGGTCAGGCTTGGTATCCATCGCGGAGGAGTTCTGCTGTGCAGACATTGTGTTTTGTAAATAAAAGTAAGCAATAAAGGTAGAATAAATAAAGATGGATTGCAATATTGGTGAATGGGAAAAGGAAGGAAAGGGAGAGAAAAAAGTTGAATTGGTTTATGCGCACATGAGGGGATTATTTGTGTTATAGAGCGTAGAAAAAAGGCAGTGCGTAATCCTTTCTTCTTCGCCCTTCATCGCATTTGGATGATTCGACTCGAGACAAAATCGAGGGTCGTTGTCGGCTCGGAGGTTAGGGGGGGGGGGGGGGTTCTGATAAAAGTAAAACCTGTTTTTATTATTATTTTTGTGGACCGTTTCGTTGTTATCGGAAATTTTTTCCCTTTTTTTACTGTGGCGATTGGTGGCCATTCGAGACAATACAAAATAAAAATTTTGTTTTGAGCAAACCACGATAACACAGTGGGCGTGGAAAGAGGAGACGACAACAGGGTTTGGGGGTGGTAATATTTTTTTGAGACTTTATTTATCTGCCGCCCGTTGGTGAGAATGGAAAGTGATTTTGAGCTCGCTGTTGGAAAATGCAGAGAATAAAAAGACTCCCAGAGAACCTCTCAGCATTGTATTTAGGTTTTTCTTTTTCTTCTTCTCCATCTCCCTTTTTTCCTTATCCTTTCTATTCGATTCAAATTAAAAATAAAGCTTTTATAACAATAATGTTTGCTCGTGCTGCTGCCTCTACTCTCCGCACCGCTGCCCGCCGCCAGGCCAGCAGCGCAATGACCAAGCGTGCGTTCACCTCGAACTCCCGGCAGTCGACTGGCTCCCTCATGGGCCGTTTCGGTATGGCAGCGACCGCCGCAGCCGCCGTCACCTTCGGCTACACGCTCTTCACCAGCCCCTCTGCCAACAACAGCAACACGATCCACGCCGACTCTGCCATCCCCATCCACGGCATCGCCGGCACCTCGAAGGAGCGCACTTTCATTGCCGTTAAGCCCGATGGCGTCCAGCGCGGCCTGGTCAGCGACATTATTAAGCGTTTTGAGCAGCGTGGGTACAAGCTCGTCGGACTTAAGCTCCTGGTTCCCTCGAAGGAGCTTGCCAACGAGCACTACGCCGATCTGTCGTCCAAGCCGTTCTTCCGGGGACTGGTCGACTACATGACCAATGGAAAGGCACCTGTTATCGCCATGGTGTGGGAGGGCCCCTCGGTTATTAAGCAGGGTCGCGTTATGCTCGGCGCCACCGATCCCCGCGCCGCCGGCCCTGGCACTATCCGTGGTGACTACTGCCTGTCCATCGGCCGCAACATCTGCCACGGCAGCGACAGCGCCGAGAGCGCCGAGAAGGAGATCGGGCTGTGGTTCGGCGGAAAGGGCGAGATCGTCAACTGGACTGCCAACAACGAGGAGTGGGCCGTTTCGGACAACTAAGCGCTGGTGCATAATGCCCTGTTTGGATTAGATTGGATTGTGTTTCATTTTGTGAATGTAACTGACATTATCATAAAAGTTTGTTTTTGGCCTTGTCAGAACCTGCTGCTGGCGCAGTTGCTGTGCAGCAGCGATGCGGCCAGGATGGGCAGCGTCGGCGAGAAGAAGGTGGCGGTGCTGACCTTCTGCTCGCGCATAATGTGCGAAATGACGTGGTCGGCGGGGAACGGGTTCGTGACATCGTCGGCGGGGAACGGGTTCGTGGCGTCGTCGGCGGGGAACGGGTTCGTGGCGTCGTCGGCGGGGAACGGGTTCGTGGCGTCGTCGTCGTCGACGGCCGGCGACGCCGACAGCAGCGGCCCGTGGTGGTGGTCGCCGAGCTCGAAGCGCTTCTCATCGCCATGGGCATCCTCCGCGTCGCTCTTGCGCTTGCCGCCGGCGTCGGTGCAGCTGGCAGGCGAGTCGGCGGACATGGGGCGGCGCGTGTCGGCAGCCAGCAGCGCACGCGTCTCCGGGCTGGGCACCTGCAGGACGAGATCCGGGCGGCCGAGCGCCTTGAGAATGTTGGTGAAGATGTACAGTGCCGGGCCCCATCGGTCCAGCGAGCGGATCATGCCGAGGACGCGCGCCAGCCGCAGCATCGCACCCCACGCCACGTGCGCATCCGTGCTCTGCACCTGGCCAATGCACACCAGGCCGACCTGCAGCAGCGTGCCGATGATCACGGTCGTGTGCGCATGCAGGTCGAAGCCAAACTGGTGGCTGAACTTGAGCAGCTTGTAGATGTGCGCCGAAGCGTCGCACGCAGCCTGCTGTGACCGGCGGAAGCACGCGGCGTCCTCGGCCTGCGACCCGAGTACAGGGGGCGCGCCGGGCGCCTGGGGGAGCTCTTGCACAGCGAAGATGCGCGAGTTCTGGAAGTTGCGCACCATGTCGAGGTTCTCGCGCACCAGAATCATCAGCGCAATGCGGTGGGCCTTGATGCGCGTCATGCTGAAGGCCATGTGCACGTACAGCACCTCGATGGCGACGCCAACGTCGCAGTTCCACTGGTGGCGCCTCTCCCACATGGCCTCTTCGCTCAGCCCGGCCAGGTCCAGCCGCCGGCCAGCACCCAAGGGCTGCGTCACGTGCGCGAGCGCCCCAAGGTCGTCCTGCATGTGGCCGGGCAGCGCCGCGCGCCACGCGAGCATCTGCCGGTCCCACTCGCGCAGGTACTGCACGTACGCCATCGGCGTCGTCTCGCCGCGCTGCACGCGGTTGAACAGGTTGGCGATCTTGTACTGCCGCACGAGCATGTCGCAGATGATCGCCGCCAGCTCGCCGCCGCCACACCCGCAGTTCTCGGCGGGCCGCCGCGCCGCCACCACCATGCGGAACCCGAACTCCTCGGCTTCGTCCGGCTCAAACTCGCCGTGCGCAAAGTCGTCGTCGTGCACCGGCATCTCCGGCAGAAAGTCGCGGTCGTCGGGCGCGTCCAGAAGGAAAATCTCGGTGCCGAAGAACAGCGCCGTGTAGACGCGCCAGAACGCGCGGATGAGCAGCTGGTAGTTGGCGTCCAGCCCGCGCTCGTCCGCGCGTCTTGGCGCCGCCCGCCATGGGTACGCAGAGCCGCGGAACGTGATCTGCGTCATGATCTTGCACGCCAGGCAGTTGTGCTCGACCATCACTGCAAACCGCGCCGACTTGAACTCATACGCGCCCAGCGTAATCAGCCCCAGGGCGCTCAGCACTGTGGGTGCCGTGGCCTCGCTTTTGGCGTAGTGCATGGCCAGCGCATAGCACGTCTCGTCGAGGTTCGCCGGCATGGCCGCGCGCTGCGCATCCGGCTGCGTCCATGACCGGCAGGCGTCGGCGATCGACGCCAGAAGGTAGAACCTGGGCACATTGTACTGCCGCACGCGCATCCAGAACAGCCGCGACCCGTAGATGCCGATGCGCGAGCAGTCGAGCACCACGTGCGTGATCAGCAGATTGTAGATCAGCTCGGGGCACCCCAGCTGAGGGTGCTCGGCCACGACGTCGCGCAGGATCTGCGGGATCTTGGCGTTGTTCATCTGTGGTACAGCGCCGGCGGCGGATTTGGCGCCCCCTTCTGTCGGTCCACTGCTGGTGCTGCTGGTGCTGGCGCTGGCCTGCAGCATGCTTAGTGTCACCGGCTTGTCGATGTCGACCGGCGAGGTGTCTTGAATCTGGGCTTGCTTTGGTTGTTTTGGCTGCATCGGTTGCTGCTGCTGCCGCATCGGTTGCTGCTGCTGCCGCATCGGTTGCTGCTGCTGCCGCATCGGTTGCTGCTGCTGCCGCATCGGTTGCTGCCGCTGCTGGCTTAGATGTGCCGGCAGAATATTCAGCCCTTCGAACACCTTTGCGACGGTCGAGGGTGTCACATACTGCTGGTTTGTAAACCCAGGCCCGCCGCCAGATGCTTCTCTTTGCAACGGCGTAGAAACAGGGATCCGCGGCGGCGGCACCGACTGGCACTGCTGTTTCTGTGGCTGCTGTTGCTGGTTCCTGGGAGTCACGGAGCCCATGCCCCTTGGAGCCGACATTGGCACGGACACGGGCACAGGCAGTTTCAGCGGCATGCTGTTATACCGCGGGATCCCCCAATCCATGCCTGCTCCCGGTCCTGGCATCGCAGCCTGGGCTGTCCGAAACAAGGACGTAGCTGAGCCTGCTGTCAAACTCCCCATATTGCTGTTACCTCCTGTGGAGGACGCATTGGGCGATAACAACGGGTTTCGCAAAAGCGCGCTTATGTCGCTTCTTCCAAACCTTCCACACATTGTCTGTTGCTGTTGCTGCTTTATGACTTCCTGTAGCTCAGATATCCCTTGCATCGATCTCTGAAAATCTGCCTGGCTGACCATATTTGGCGATGTGAATCCCGATGTCGAGAACGGCATCATCCCCGCTCTGCTTATATCCATCGACCCAAACAGCGGTGTTTGCGATACCACCGAGCTTGGTATACCAGTGTTGTTGATTCTCGCTGTTGTTGCTGCTGCTGTCGGAGTCATACTGAGTGGGGTGAATTGCTGGCTGTATTGCTGGTTGAATTGCTGCATAAAGTCTGTGGAAAACTCAATCGACTGGTTGATCGCGTTGGCCTGGAATCCCGCCATACTTCCCATGCTGTTAAAATCACTGAGACTGCCACCAGGCCCTGCTTCTGCTGTTGATGCTGCTGCTGCCGCAGAGGGGTTGAACTGTGTCGGTGTGAACAACGGAAGTCCCAATGCGATATCCATGGGAATGAGATTGCTCAATATGTCCAGGTTTTGCACCTGTTGCTGTGACTGAGCTAAAGTCTGAGTCAAAGACTGAGGCTGAGGCTGGCCAATGGATGTGAACTGTGCTGCCGTCACCTGTGCAGGAATGCTCCCGCCGCCGCCGCCGCCGCCTCCCAATCCTAATCCCACGCCTGCAGCCGCCGTGGTCGCACCCGTTAACATCGAGTCGTTCATCCAGAAATTCATGCTCTGCAGTATTGACGGTGGCAAAATATCCGACTCATGAATCGGTGCCGTATTGAACAACGTGGACAACGGAATGTTTTCATCCGTCAATGTGTCTTCCAAACTAGAGTCTTCTGCTGTTGTGCCTGTCGCTGATCCCGCCTTATCACTACCACTGCCTTTGTTTGTCAAAGCTGGCGCCAAGGGTATAGTTGCCCTGTTGTTGCTTCGGGATATGGATTTTTCGGAATTGTCTCCTTCTATTAAGCTTCCGCGGTTCGTCCGCCGCTTGTATCGTGCTGACCGCCGGTAAATGCATGGCTGGTGGCGTCGAGCGCAATGCACACATGTCGGCTTATCCCCCGAACATTTGATCTTCCTCTGCCGACAACCTACCAATAATTTTTTTATTTTGTTATCAGTGAGAAAATTATTTCTGTAGTGTGAATAAAAGGCACACAAAAAACTTGTTTTTTAGTTGCAGTTTGAGATATACGTACTTTCGCAGGATTTTAGCAGTGGAATTGCCGCTGGCAATGGCGAGCACGCCAAATTCGGCCCAACCATGGCTGTAAAAAAAGAGGGGGTTTGTGTGTTTATCCGTTCAATTGTTCGGTGTTAGTAATAGCCGCAGTCACCTCTTGCTAAATATAAGAAAATAGGGATGGTGCAAGCGAGCAAGCTGGAATATGGAGAATAAATAATATGAGTGAAAAAATATATATATGACCATAAAGCTGTAAAAAAAATATAAGAGAAATTCAAAGTGAATAAGAAAAGTAAAAAAAAAGGTTGAGGAAAAGCTAGTTTATGTTCTAAATGAAAGAAAAAATTACCACTAAAAAATAATTCTCACCCAATGCACGTTCTTTTCCTTTACCCCCAAATCCAGTTCAATTTCGAAAAGATCGTCACTTTTTCAAGACTGCTTTGCAACCTATCTCGCTTTCATTATTTTTTTGAGCTATTGAACAAAAAGTAGCTATTTTATCATTGCATTGCATCTTCTGTTGTGATAATTGTGGCAGCTAGCCTACACGCATTTGCCTGTACTTGCAAATAAAAAAGGCGGCTGAAATATCTATATTCACAATGTGGCGAATGCAAACAAAAAATACTGATTTTTTATACTCAGTATATCGCTGTGTGTAACGCAAGCGCAAATAAACGTTAGTTCAAAACGCACACGGGAGAACAGCCTCAAAAATATGAGCTACTCATTAAAAAAATTTCTTGTTTTCTTTTTACTCCGCAGCAGAAAAATATTAGGTTTAGAAAATGCTTGATTTTTAATATAAAAATGCGAAAAACATTGTTTGATCCGCAACACCCTTCATTCGTACGCAAAGCTGCCAACAGAACAATCAACTCGATGGATCATCTGACAAGTGTTGTGAGAAGAAACCAAAAAGTACATTAATTGGCTCGGTAGACACAAACTGTCGCACAGCACAAAGCCTCTAATAGATGAAAGGCAAGTTGATCCAAGATAACCCTGTCCTGTATTTTGGTAAGCCTCGCCATTTATTTATTTTAAAAAATTACAGTCATTATCTATGGTAAAAAATCTGCAAAGAAAAAAGAAGCGACACTGGGTTGCAGAAGGGGGCACTCAGTAACCTTACATCTAAACGGATAGATGGAATGCTCGTATGGAACTCACATTGCCCTTCTTGTGTCAGCGCAAACCCCGATGATCCCATCTTTCAAAAAGGGAATGGCAACATGTAAATCTAGAAAATAATCACATGTAATTATTATTATGAGTATTGGACCAAATCCTCCATCCACTTTGTAGCCATTGGTTTTAGCCAATGATGATCGAGCCGTCAGGCAGTAATAGCCGCCTTGATGTGAGAAAAAAAACAAAAAAAGTATCCAGTCTTGTTGCAGTTGAATGCTGCACCAATCTTTGGATCAGACTTTCTCTTGACTGCGGCATTGGGCTTGGATGCAGCATTCAGTTCAATTTGCGGTCTACCATGGCGCTTAAAAGCTGGGTGGTACTCATTAAATTTACAAAGAGATAGGAATATCATAATATAATTTAAAACAGATGCAATGCTGCGGTTCCAACACCTGAGCTTGATGTTGGACTCGACTGCGGCCTTGGTCCTGTCCTTGAGCATTGGCTCCAATTTCTGTGAAATGTCGCACCTCATTTTATGATTTTTCTGGGGTCATAAATAAATCGTGAGATTGTAAATATTGGTTTTTGAATGAGCTGCAAAACAAAAATCCAGTAATAAAATTATAAGCCAACTATTTCCAACACTGGTCGAGTGCTTTGCATATTCATATTTGAAATTTCATGTAATAGAAACAAAATGCAATTGGTTATAGATAGGATGAATCTGGCTAAGCAATTGACCACACCTCACTTTTTGACTGTGCGGCGACGAGTCAAACACATTATATAATATTTACTTTTGCAGTCCACTCCGTCTTCCCTGGTGTTGGTGAAACAAAAAAGTGTTTTGTTCCAAAAATTCCCAATAAAAGCGAAATCCTGCGCTGTTCCTGTTTCTTGTTTCCGGCTTGGATTTCGTTGATTTGATTAGAGATTATGCTGTGGCTTGCAAGCCCACTCATTTCACAAAAGTAAAAAAATACGGACCGCCACTGTAAAAAAAAATGCAAAGATCAAAAGGGCTGAAAAAGACCAAAAAGTAGAAACTGGTATTTTGTTTTGCACTTTATAATTAACGCGTCGTCTTCTTTTTACTCTCACCTTTTGATTTTGATTTTAGCAATTCTTTTATTTGCTTTTTTACTTTCATTTATCTTTCTCTCTCTCTTTCCTCCCATTAAAGTTTTTTATTTTTATTTTTAACCGTGTCGTCGTCACTTTTTTTAACAGTCCGCGCCGTGCTACGCTACTGCTCCAACCAAAACCATAGGCTCTTCCAGTCCACGCTCTGCAAGCATTCACCAGAACCGAAAATGACCACATCCGACGAATTCGACAACCTAACGACACCGCTGGAAACGTCGACCAGCCCAGCACTAAAGTTCGATGTCCTGGCCAAATGCTCGACAACCAAGGCGCGCGCATCAAAGATGCACCTGCCCCACTACACGGCGCACACGCCCATGTTTATGCCGGTCGGAACAATGGGATCGATAAAAGGTATAACCACCAAGCAGCTCGAGAACCTCGACTGCCACGTTATTCTCGGAAACACATACCATCTGGGGTCACGGCCAGGGCCAGAACTCTTGGAAGCTGCCGGCGGGCTGCATGAGTTTATGTCGTGGAACCGTGGGCTGCTGACGGATAGCGGTGGATTCCAGATGGTCTCCCTACTGCGGCTGGCCAACATCACCGAGGAGGGCGTGGAATTCGAGAATCCGCATGACGGAAAAAAAATGATGCTAACACCCGAGATGTCCATCGGTCTACAGAACGCCATTGGAGCGGATATCATGATGCAGCTGGACGACGTCGTGTCGTCGCTGACCACCGGCGACCGCGTCGAGGAGGCCATGTGGCGGTCAGTCCGCTGGCTGGACCGCAGCATCAAGGCAAATAAGCGGCCGACCGAGCAAAACCTCTTCCCCATTGTACAGGGCGGCCTGGACGCGCGCCTGCGCACGTTGTCAGCACACGAGCTGATCAAGCGAGACTCCCCCGGGTACGCCATCGGCGGGCTCAGCGGCGGCGAGGCGAAGGACTCGTTCTGGCGCATGGTCTCACTGTCCACCGACATCCTGCCCGATAACAAGCCTCGCTACTGCATGGGCGTCGGGTATGCTGAGGACCTCGTCGTGTGCTCTGCGCTGGGGGTCGACATGTATGACTGTGTGTTCCCAACGCGTACTGCGCGCTTTGGCAACGCCTTGGTGCGCACCGGGTCGTTGGCTCTGAAGCAGGGCCGATTCAAGAATGATTTAGGTCCGATCGATCCTGACTGCAGCTGCCCGACGTGCAAGAACTACAGCAGGGCGTACCTCCACACCACTGTTACCAAGGACACTACTGGCTGCCATCTGATCACTATCCACAACATTGCTTACCAGATGCGTCTGATGCGCGATATCCGCCAGGCTATTGTTGACGACCGCTTCCCCGAGTTCATCCGCGAGTTTATGAGCATTAGGTTTGGAAAGACCGTGCCCAAATGGATCATCAGCGCCCTCCAGTCGGTCGACGTCGACCTGACTGCCGTCGATGAAAAGACGGGATACTCGGCTACGCCCATCAGCGACGACTTCCAAAAGGTGCCCAACATGTAAAACCTCCGAATAACGAGCCATATTTTTATACCCCGACTAGGCTCAATATACAAAAAACAAGCATACACACATATTTTTTACCTTTGACAAAAGCATTTGTTTATGTGCTAAAAATATGTAAAATTACGAAATATATTGCAAAACCGTTGACTAAAAAATAAGCCTCCGTACTTTCTATTAGGCACGCACAAAGGCAAGGACAAACTTGGACTCGTTGATCTCCTGCTCCTCCTCGGCCAAGGCCTCGCCCTGCTTAGTGGCCATTTCCAGCAGGTCTTGCTTGAGGCTCTGCAGAAGGAAGCTGGCCTGAGTCTGGAGCACATTGGCCAGCACGCCGTTGGGGTCCTCGGTAATCTGGTAGTAGTAGACGACGTCGTCAACAGGCTGCAGACCGGCCTTCTTGCGCAGACGCTGCACGCGGTTCATCACCTCGCGCGCCAGACCCTCCTGCATTAGCTCCTCGTGCACTTCGGTGTCGAGCAGCACGATAACATCCTTGTCGGTGGCCTCCACATACTTCTTGTCGGTGCTGACCAGGGACAGCGCGTCAAAGTAGCGCACAATGTTGATGTCATCGGCGCCCAGCGTAATGCCATCAACCAGCAGGCTGCCGGTGGTCTGCGCGGCCTTAATAGCAGCCGAGGGGACATCGGGCAGCGCCTTCTTGACACGTGGCATGTCCTTGCGCAGCTTGATACCCAGCTTCTTAAAGTCGGCCTCGGCGCGGTACTTGATGCCATAAGCCTCCTCGTCCGAAGTCAGCACCAGGTTGCGCAGGTTGAGCTGCTCAGTAATGTAGCCCGACAGGCTGCGCACGTCCTCGAGGTACTCGGCGCTCGAGTGCATAATGACAAGCTCCATCAACGGCGTCTTCAGCGAGATGTTTTTGCTTTCGCGGATGACGCGGCCGAGCTCAATGACTGACTGCATGCGCGACATGGCGCGCTCGATCGTGTCATTGAAGTACTCCTCGCGCACCTCGGGGAAGGGTACAAAGTGCAGTGAGCGCGAGTCGCCCTCAAAGAAGTTCTCGGGCAGGTACACCTTCAGTGACTGGTACATGCTCTCAGTGATGAACGGCGTGAACGGCGCCATCAGGCGGCACATGGTCAGCAGGACCTCATACAGGGTGTTCAGCGCGTGCACCGAGTCCTCAGCGCCATTGTCGCCCTTCAGGCGCTTGCGGTTGAACCGGATGTACCAGTTGGTGAGCTGGTCAATCATCTCCAGCAGGCGCGGGACAACAGTGTACAGGCGGTAGGCCGACATCTCCTCGCGCACAAACTTGATCAGGCTCTGCACTGACGCCAGCATCCAGCGGTCCATGATGTTCTCGCTCATGCTGCTGGGATCGAACATGTACTCAATGTCGTTCTCCTTCTTAAGAACCTGCACCAGAGTGCCAAAGAACCGGAACGAGTTGAACCAGGGCAGAATGACGCGCGACACAATGTCCTTGACGCCCTCCTCCTTGAACTTAAGCGTTTCGGCACGCACGACCGGCGAGTTGATCAGGTACAGGCGCAGCGGATCGGCACCATATTTCTTGAGGACAATGTTCGGGTCGGGGTAGTTCTTCAGGCTCTTGCTCATCTTCTTGCCGTCAGCAGCAAGCACCAAGCCACTAGCAATAAGGTTCTTCCACGCGGGCTTGTCGAAAAGCAATGTGGACAGGACGAGCAGCGTATAGAACCAGCCGCGGGTCTGGTCAATGCCCTCGGAGATAAAGTCGGCGGGGAAAGTCTGCTCAAAAAGCTCCTTGTTCTCAAACGGATAATGCTTCTGCGCGTAGGGCATGCTGCCCGACTCGAACCAGCAGTCAAATACCTCTACAATGCGGCGCAGCTTGCCCTTGCCCTGGCGCGAGGGGATGGTCAAGTGGTCAATTTTGTCGCGATGCAGATCGGTGATGCCAGTGACGCCTGTCAGCTCCTCGAGCTCGGCGACCGAGCCGACGCAGATCATCTCCTCAAAGTCATCGCTGACCCACAGCGGGACGGGCGTTCCCCAGTAGCGAGTGCGTGAGAAGTTCCAGTCGCGGGCATTCGACAGCCATGCGCCGAAGCGCTTATCCTGCACAAACTCAGGAACCCAGCGGGTCTGGGCGTTGTTGGCGATCAGCTTCTCCTTGGCGTCCTCGACGCGAATAAACCAGGAGGGCACAGCACGGTTCAGCAGCGGCGTGTTCGAGCGCCAGCAGAAACCGCAGCTATGGTTCACAGTGCCCTGGCGCACCAGACGGTTGCGACGCTTGATTTCGCGGGCGACCTCCTTGTCGGCATCCTTGACGTACATGCCAGCAAACTGGCCCACGCTGTCATCGAAAGTGCCGTCGTCCTTGACAGGCATGGGCACAAATTCACCAGGGATAATAATCTTACTGTCTTTGCAGACACGGTAGTCATCCTCGCCAAAGGCCGGCGCGTTGTGGACAATTCCTGTGCCGCTGTCAGAAGTGACATAGCTGTCGGCGATGACGCGCCAGGCGCTGTCTTTCAGCTTGGGCACAAAGAAGTCATACATAGGCTCGTACTCGAGACCGACCAGGTCCAGGGCCTGGATTCTCTCGAGAATTTCAAACTTGGCCTTCTTGGGGTCCTTGTACAGGATGCCCAAGCAGCTCTCGAGCAGGATATAGATGCTGCCGGTCTCGCCGTCCTTGATCTTGACGTATTCAAAGGCCGGGTTGACGCAGAGCGCGCAGTTGCTGGGCAAAGTCCAAGGAGTAGTCGTCCATGCGAGCAGGCTAACCTCGGGGTCGTTCTTCAGAGGGAACGAAACAACGACAGCTGGGTCAATGACGTCCTGGAAGTTCAGATTAGCCTCAAAGTTGGACAGCGTGGTGTTCAGGCCGGTCGAGTAGGGCATGACGCGCATACCACGGTAGACAAGGTCCTTTTCAAAAAGCTGCTTGAACACCCACCACACCGACTCCATGAACGGCGTGTCAAGCGTCTTGTAGTCGTTGTCAAAGTCAATCCAACGTCCCAGGCGCTCGATGGTCTCGCGCCACTCGCTAGCATACCTCATAACAATCGAGCGGCACTCATCGTTGTATTTGTCAATGCCAAGAGCCAGAACATCGGCATTTCCCTTAATTCCTAGGCTCTTTTCAATCTCAAACTCGATGGGAAGCCCGTGGCAGTCCCAGCCAGCGCGCCTCTCGACGTAATGCCCTGTGTTGTGGGCAAAGCGCGTAACCACATCTTTGATGGTTCCAGCCAGCATATGGCCGTAATGCGGAAGACCTGTGCAGAACGGGGGCCCATCGTAGAACGAGAATACCTTGCGGCCCTCGGAGAGCTTTACAGAGGTTTTGAACGCATCGATCTTGTGCCAGAATTCAAGCACGTTCTCCTCCTCGCGGGGAAACGAAAATTGGTTCGATTCTATGAGATTGGAAGACAAATTTGTGAATTAGTATAAATCGGCTCTTCAAATTTACTCGAGTTGACCGCTTTGCCAAAGAAAATATAAAAACAAAGAGCCACTTACCTTCAGGTGCTGACATTTATAATATTTTTACTACACGAAATAAAATAATAATTGGTATATCGAACGAAAGTAAAGACTAAATTCAAAACGCTTGGAAATTGGAAAGCGTTTTCAAATTGAAAAAATCAGTTGCTTGGACTTTGCGACCAAGCAAAATTGGTGATTCACTTTGTGGTCTGACCAATGGCAGCTTTGGAAATATGATTTCTATTGCACGTGCTGGTGAGAAATTTTTTATATGAAGAAAACTTTTTTAAAAAATATAAAGGCACCAGTATCCATGCCATGGTAAAAATTTGGTTTCACTAGTGTTTTTAGCGTTGAGAACCCCATAGGGAACTTGCAACCCGGGCCTGTGACCCGATTTGAGCCTCGTCGGTGCCCACAGATACATCGAGCAGATGTGGGACGTCAGCCGAAGCCCTGATCCAATCACATCAATTGCGAGGCCGCGTGGTGTTTATGATTGAGCCTGTTTTTGTCAGAAAATGGCAACAGCAGATATTGATGCAATTTCGAGGCGCATCAAATTGCACTGCTTAGATGATTATTATTGGTCTCCATTTTGGCCACTTCATAACAAGAGATTATAGAGCTTTGGTACAGATTTGCAATATTTTACCTCACATTGACTAAGGACAGCGAGGCAAGCGGCTATCAGCAGGGTTTTTATTACGTTATTCAAATATCAATTTTTTATTACATACATGTATAAACATCCCAACGTGTCAGTTTTACAATAAAGTTATTTTATTGAATAATATTAACATGCAATTAGGTGGAAAATGTATATTCAGCGTAAATAATTGCTTTTAATTGTTATCTTGTTGCGCAGACTGAAGATATGGAAGCAGATGTTGAGGTCGAGAACCGCGAAACAAGTTCCCACCTGCGCGCTGATCGATAGGACGCTAATTGGATAATGCAGGTGTAAATCAGGGAGGCATCACACTGATGCCCAAACATGCCCCCCATCCTGTAATGCACACGCATAAGCGTACACGCACGAAAACCACAACATCGACTTGCCAAGATACCGGTCTACTCGCAGAAGATCCAGTTCTCACCAACGGAGCGCACAATGGACAATGTGCACGACAAAGGCGACTGGGAACATATATAAGATGAGGCTGGCCCCTAGTAGTACTTTAGAAACATCAGTAATAAAACCTTTTATAAAATCACCCCTAACTTTTAACACTAGACAACTAGTGCTCCTCACACCCCCTCTTACTATAACAAAATTTATTACTCGCTTACATACATAAAACAAAACAAAAACACAACAATGTCCGTCAGGTCAGACGTGACAATGCAGACTGCAATTCACCCCATACCTCCTGCCACTGCCCCTACTGCCCCTACTGCCCAGCTGACTACCACCTCCTCTGCCCAGACCCCAGCCAAGGCTGCCAAAGAGGAGCTGGACCTGCTCCGAGACTATGCCAAGCGGTTCAATGGCGAAGATATCGGAAATCCAACCAAGCAGTGGATTGCAGGGATCCAAGAGACAATCAACTTCATCTTTACCCGCACTCCTGCAGTAATGATTGTCACAGCACTCCAAAAGCTGCTTGACGGACAAGCTGCCAGACGCATAGGCACCCTAGACGTGAACACACCAGAAGAGTTCTTTGAGAAGCTCCTTGAATGCATCCCGCAAGCAGACTTTGTGGCCAAGGCACACAGCATCGCTGCTGGAGGCCCAGCCAAGGCCTTCAAGAACATCCCTGCAGTGGACAGGGTCAACTATGCGCGCAGGCTCTACAAGGCCATGGGTGGTGGCGACTATGCTGCAGTCACTATCTCACGCCTAGTACATGGCCTTGACACCCGCTCCTGGGCATGTACAGGAAGTGCGCCCAATGATGTCACTGCTGAGACCCTCCTGGACCGACTCAAGGCATTCGAGACAGTCCACAAGATAACCCTACTTTCATATGGCAACAATGACCCAAAAGCCTGAGCGGCTTGGGTATCAGTTACACTATTGGGACAATAAATATGTTTAACTCTACTCAGGCCGCCCTGTGCCATTTTACGAAAATACCCGGTTTCCGCGCACATAATAAGCCAGCAATGGCTGTAGCCGACAATGGCGCTGCTGTCAGCCTGGTCACCATGGCTGCTGCCAAGCGGTTGAAGCTGCGTATCCGCACCAACTCGAGGCCAGACCTGTTCCCCATCTGGTCAGACAAGGCATACCAGAGCATTGGGCGGGCCACCGTCTGCCTGCAGGTCGAGGGTGGCCCAAAGTTCTGGGACGATGCAGTCGTTGTCGACATGAAGGTGCCATGGGAGCTGCTGGTGTCAAACCATGCCCAAGAGGGCCTGGGCATCCGCCTCATGACCCCAGCAATGCGCCGACGCCTTAAGGGCACAGAACGCACCCCTGACCACCCAGACAAACTTCCCGATGGTCCCCGTGCTGTACGCGACTCGGATTATGACACTATGCCAGACCCCACAGTGGCACAAGACCCGCAGATGTTCCCACTAATGGACGGCCCGCCTGATGCGCCCCCGATCAAGGAACCAGTTGTCTCACGCCCAATGCGGGCACGACTAGGCCTACCAACTGGCTATTTTGTTGAAGCGCGCGATGCCGACTTCCACAAGTGGGATGCACTGTATCCAGCAGTGACGACGGAAAATGTTGCTAGCCGCACAACGGATCAGTGCACCACGGACGAGCTCCACAAATCCCTGCTAAAGACCCTTATGACTGCTGCTGGCGCCCTACGTGAGTACCCGAGTGGCTGCCCGCCGCCAGCAGCCTATGCGCCCATCCGACCCCCAATGCGCACAAACGCGTGCCCCCTGTACACCGTCCAACACACACTCAGCGAGCCTGCTCACAAGGCCCGAAACTCTTTCGTTGCCAACCGGCTCAAGTATGGAATAGACGGTCCATCGGTTGCATTCGCCCAGGTCCCTGTGTTCTCCAAAGTTAAGCCGAACTCGACGGACAGGCGTGTGCTGTTCGACGACTCAGCAAACAACTCGTTACATATGCTGAGCGTTGGAATGCAGCTGCCGACGCCAGTCGAGCGCATTATGTTCCTGCGTGATGCCAAGCTGATCTCGTCAGTTGACATGGCATCGTTCTTTACGCAGCTGCGCCTGGCAGAGGACGTCGCAGACTTCTGGACCTATGACGGGGGCAGCGCAGGCAAGGTACGCAACCTACGCATGGTGCAGGGAAACTCCGAATCCCCTGCCATTGCCCAGGCCTTCCTGACCCATGTTCTGTCCGGCGTGCCAGAGCTGCGGCCACGTCTGATGGTCTACATTGATAATGTTTACCTAAAGTCGACCACCGGCAATGAGACTGATCACATCCACGATATAGGGCTGTTTGCTCGGTGTCTGGCCCGTGCGAATGTCACGATTAACATGTCCAAATCACTGTGGTGCGCGACTACAGGCGTAGAGATCTTGGGGCGTCGGTGGTCCGCCGACCGGACATGGCAGGCCTTTGACCACCGAGTGGAAACAATGCGAGCACTGGAGATGCCGACGACGGTCGCAGGCATCCGGCGTCTGTGCGGCGGCATTAACGCAATTGCAGAGCATATGGAATGGATCCAGATCATCCTAGCTCCCTTCTACCAGATGGTGGGCAAGACGCGGTTGACGAAAGACGACATCAGATCACTACAGGAGCCCTGGCATGCGCTTAAGCAGGCACTGCTCGACGTTCGACACCTCTACATACCCCCGCCTGGAGCACCGCTGGTACTGCGCACTGATGCTGCGGGCGCCGGTGTGGGTGCCGTGCTACTGGCCCAGCGCTCTGACGACCCTGAGGACCTGGCGCCGGTATGCTACTTCTCACGGGCATTTGGAGGCATGCAAGGGAGGAAACACTCAACCTGGCGCGAGGCGTGCGCTGTGTACGAAGCTGTGAAGCACTTCTATGCGTACCTTGATGGGTGTGCAAACTTGAGGATCGAAACGGACTGCGGCACGGTGGTCTCGCTGTTCGCGCACAAGACCACCAACGACGCCGACCCCCTGGCGCAATTCAAGCTTGGCCTCAGCGAGCTTGGCATAAAGAAGCACATGATCGTCCACCGCCCTGGAGAACTGCAGCAGACCGCCGACTGGCTATCACGCGCAAAAGAGTTCCTGCGCCCGCAAAAGAAAAAGACACTGGGCAATGTAGATGATGATGAGGTAAACACCCTTGTCAACCCAGCGACCGAGACAGTTGGGGGCGAGTATGTCTACACAATTGGCGCCATGGATTTCGAGGGCGACCAATTCACACGCGAATCAAATGGCGAGAGGGTGGCCTATTGCATCGGGGCCTTTGCAGCAGTAACCCCAATCGTCTATGCCAATGGCGACGAGCCCGACGCACTTCCCAACGGCGGCACCATGAGGAACAACCCCATGACCGCCGCTGCCCCCATGCAAACTATAGCGGCCCGTACACGCTCAGCCAACCGAGCGCAGACCATCCAGCAGACCAAGCCCCAGCGCAAGGCAAGCAACCCCGTCCTCGGCCAGGCCACAATGCCGCAGACGGCCCATACAACGCCCCCTGTGAGCGGGGCTCGTAAGCGCGGCAGGCCACGGCGTGAGGGACAGACCATCACTGCATCAACTTCACCCACACCCCCAGCAGACCTGCCTCGCAAGCGTGGCCGTCCCAGGCGTAAGCCAGTGGAGGCGCCAGCAGCAGCTACGGTGACTCCAGACGTACCACAGGCCAAATCCCCGGCAGCAGAGCCCCCAGTGGCGACGCGGCGTGGGCGCGGTAGACCCAGACGCAGTGCACAGACAACAGACATGGCACCCGAGCAGGAGCCGGCATTGCCGGTGGCGCTCAACACACCCGTCCGGCACAAGCGCGGCAGACTGAGGCATGCCGTACAGGGGGCAACAGTTACCCCCACCCCTGCGCCCGAGCCGACCCCTATGCCTGCACCTGACCCAGCTACTACCCTGCCCGTGGCGCCGACACCGGCATCCATGAGCCAGCAGTTCGCAAGAATCGCGTCTGCGCTAGAGGACTTACCGAATGTCGCGGACTTTCTGCACTGCCAGGATGACGATGCTGAGATCCAGTCCTGGATCAAGCTGTGCAAACAACGCGAGGCACTCAACGGTCCGACAACTCCCGAATACAATGTCGTCAGCAAGAAGGCCTTGCGTGACGGGCGATTGTACGCTCTGGCCCCCAGTGACACGCCCGGGCCAGTAGGCATGTGGGTGCCCATACTGACGCGTGAGGCGGCGCGAGACTTTGTACGCAAGGCACACCAGGCCCTGGCACACGCTGGGTACAAGCGGACCCTCGACTTCGTGCGCGAGCTGATTACATGTCCGGGCCTGGGCACAGTGGTAGAAAGTCTGACAAAGTGCTGTCACACCTGCCAGATGACAGCGATCCAGAAAAAGTCACACACACCCAAGATCATGTCGTACATTGCAAAGCCGCTCGAACATGTCTACATCGACTTGCTACACATTGGGGACAGAGGAGAAGCACCTCAGGATGCGTTAGTAGCAGTTGACAGTGCGAGCGGGTTCATGCAGATCTATGCAGTGGACGACACAACAACAGCAACACTCACCGATGTCCTTGAGAGCGAGTGGTTTGGCACCTACGGAAAGCCAAAATATCTCACGTCGGACAACGGCCCGCAGCTCGTGTCCCATGACTTTGAGGACTTCCTGAGCAGGGAGGGCGTGACGCACATCACAACCGCCCAGTACCATGCTCAGTCTGACTTGGCTGAGGCCGCAGTCAAGAAATTCAAGCAGTCATTGCGATGCTGTTTCACCGATCAGCCGGACGAGGAGGGCTGGACGCAGCACATCCCGCGCATTGTAGCTGCACACGCCTGTACGCGCTCGGAGGCCATCGCCAACACCCCGGCGGCAGTTTTCTTCGGCGAGCCTGCGGTGCGTGTAGCGACAGCATACGCCCAGTTCCCTGAGGGTGAGAGCCCCCCCAGTGAGGAGGAGATCACCGAGATGATACGTGAGCAAGCAGCTGAGCACCGCAAAATGGTCCGCCAGCGTGCCAACGCCAGGGACAACAGAGGCATCGACCCCATCTGGTTTGAGCCGGGTGAGTGGGTGACCTGCCGTGCACTCCCCAAGGCCAGCTCAGTGGCAGATCAGTTTGCACGCCGCCTGGGTCCGTTCCGAGTCGTGTCGCGGCACAAGACCTCCTACCACCTGGCCTATGCTGACGGCAAGCCCTTCCATCGCATTGTACCAGGCGACGCGATCACGCGGTACCACCATGGAGCCTCAGAACGGATCGCGGAGATCGCCCGCAGATCAGAGCCATCAGGCTCAGAGTGGACGGACTCAGAGTGGGCGACCAGCGAGTACGGGGACGGCGGCACGGGCCTCGGCGGGGGCAGCCCAGGGCCGTCGGCACCGCGCCCAAGAGCATACGCTCAAATGCCCGAAGCTAGGGCCCAAATGCTGATATCCCTCCCGTCGGACCCGGGCTACTCATGGCCGGAGACGCCGGCGGTTGGTTCCCCGCCCGAGTCACATGTACAGTTCATGGGCCAGGCCCACCCCAGGATATTCGCGCCCTGGCACCCAACCACACTCGAAGAGGAAGAGGAGGATGCCCCTCAAGTTGCTTTGGAGCCCGCACACATTAGGGTGGGACCATTCACACCACCCCCACAGTCGCCGGGCTCGCCGGACAGCATGGACAACAGCGAAGCAAGATCCTTCCTGACAGAGATCCGCCACCAGCCAGCAGGCAGACTAGAGGTCCCAACAGCCCAAGTGGTCGCTGAGGACGTATCCGAAATGGAGGATGATGGCGACGGCGACAGTACCGGGCCCTACGAGGGACTGCTTGCAAGAGCCGCTGAAGAGCCATATGTGGATGAGCATGACACTGAGAGTGAAGAAGAGGAAGAAGAAGAATACGTGAACGACAGCCGAGACGATAGTGAAGATGTGGCTGGCGGGGCTCTCGTTTCCGACGAGGACGGCAGCACAGCCCCAGAAGGCGAGGACGCTCAAGTCATGGGACACACGCGGGCCTACGATCAGGTGATTGTGACACGGCCCGCGGGTGCACTGCTGACCAGGAAACCGGCTCTGCCGACAGCTGAGATCGTGCCCGGCCGGCCGGTCAAGAGAAGTCGAGCGCTCACGGAGGCAGGCTCGGAGGGCGTGCAGCACCACCCGGATGGCCGGGAGGCACTGCCCATATATGACCAGTCACCCTCCCCCCCGAGCCGAGCCAGGCGGCTAAGGTCCGACGTATTCCACGAGCAGAATGAGACCGCCGCTGGCGACACTGGTCTTGACGTTTTTGTTGCGCAGACTGAAGATATGGAAGCAGATGTTGAGGTCGAGAACCGCGAAACAAGTTCCCACCTGCGCGCTGATCGATAGGACGCTAATTGGATAATGCAGGTGTAAATCAGGGAGGCATCACACTGATGCCCAAACATGCCCCCCATCCTGTAATGCACACGCATAAGCGTACACGCACGAAAACCACAACATCGACTTGCCAAGATACCGGTCTACTCGCAGAAGATCCAGTTCTCACCAACGGAGCGCACAATGGACAATGTGCACGACAAAGGCGACTGGGAACATATATAAGATGAGGCTGGCCCCTAGTAGTACTTTAGAAACATCAGTAATAAAACCTTTTATAAAATCACCCCTAACTTTTAACACTAGACAACTAGTGCTCCTCACACCCCCCTCTTACTATAACAATCTAATGTTACTTGACGCATAAAATTTTGAAAACAACTTTGCAACGAGATTATTATGTTTTCATTTATTTGCCTGGGATAGACTAATGAAAATGGATTTTGTAATTTTCAGACATTTATTGCGAAATTCCTGATTTTTAAGCGGGGGATTTTCAAAACCCATTTCCCCAGTTTTTTGTCTAAAATATCGGAAAGTCCAGATCTTTGAAGATGCGGGGAAGTATTTAGGGGTTGTGTCTGACTAGTTTTTTGGCTATGGATTAAGCATGACGTTTAACGACGTAATTATATATATCCAATTCTGTCGCTGCCACAACAAACACCGCTGCTGATTTCGTTGCAGCATCAGCCACAGCTGTTTCTGTTGTAAATAAACCGCCGACGACGCCGCATTTATTACTGACAATGCGTAGCAGAGTCGCGATCAGTGGATGCCTATTCGCCCACAATTTGCCGATATCATCCGGTGGGTAGGGGAGGAAAAGGGGTAGTCTAAGAGCAACATCTCCTGCAGAACCAGACAGAGGATACACGATGAGTTGGCCGCGCAGCAGCGGCAGAAACAGCAGCAGCAGGTAGCCGCAACATGCGTGAATATAACTCTGGCGGTAGAAAACCTTGCCAAATTGTATAACATGGCTTGCTCCAGTGCACAATGGAAAACTGCCTGCAAACCTTCAGGGCCGACAGAACCAAGGTCAAGGATGGTGAAAAAGTGCCATCAGGCAGGCGGAAGCGGAATCATGACACGACTGCAGTGCTAAACTTTTGCATCATTATTAATGCCCTGCTTAAAGGTGAGCGGTCTCCCCATTTTTCATGCAAAAAGGCATCGTTAGAGTTGGCTGAGGCCGAGTGAGTCTACAGCAACACCCGAGACTTTGCCCAAGCCAAAGCTCAAGACCAAGCGTGTGCGCAAGAATCCATTTGCCCCTGCTTCTTCTCTTCAAAAGAGGCAGCGAACTGATTAATATTGTCAACCATAGTGATCTATTGCCATTAGTTTCTAAACACTTTAGATTTCTAGTCAATCTGGGGGAAGGATGTCGCTTTGTAGGATACTTGTAGCCTTGTTCTTTTCTTATAGTGTAGACGCAGCGTATATGCAAATTCAACTTGAAGTAAAATATGAGGCAAAATTAATGGATGTGTGATTTAATTTGTCGATCATATTTTTTTTTGCATTTTTCACCACGGTGAATTAGATCAAAAATATATCGGTGTGGATAATAATTTTTTATTTGTAAATTTTGTTTGTTTTCGTTTCCTTAACCGTTCTCTTTATTTAAATTTAACGTCATTACTATACTATCACAAGTTCAAATGGACAGCAACAGTACGAGTGGCGTCGAGCACATTCTTTTGGAGAACAAGATCGTGTCGACGGAGGATCTGACACGGGCGCTGCGATCAACCTCACTGGGTCTTTCACAGCGAGTTAGTCTAGCACGTGCCGTATTTGACAGCAGCAAGCACAGTGATATAGGAGGCAAAGTCACACGTCTGAGCAATATTTTGGTTCGCAAGAACGAGCTGCTGGCAGAATGGATATTTTCAATAATGCTTCGTGAGCTCAAAGCTTCCAAAAGCGGCAAACAGGAGTCGTACGTTCTTTACCGAGATTCCGAAGGAATCGACTTTCTTGGCAGGATCCTTGAGAATATTGCGGATACGGGTGAGCTGGACGTCCGCGCAGTGCTACAGGGACCAGTGATGGCACTGTTTACTGGGGCGTTTGCTAGTGAATTCTTGAGCGCCGAATATGCAGCAGCTGTGGCCAGGCTCTGGAAGGTGGTTTTTGAGCGGGCAGTTGATGGCGCAGAGGTTGTCGCGGCACAGGCAGATCAGTTGGCGCAGTTGAATGCGCTGGTCATTGGTCACTACCTCCGGGAAACCAAACAGGACACCCGGCTGTGGCTGCAGTTTATGGTTGGCTCCATAGCCTCGGCAATGCGCGCGAGCTGCGAGACCACGCTGAATGCACGCAAGACATTTGCTCTCTTTGACAAGGAACTCCTGCCACTGGTGCTTCGGCTTCTGGGTACTGTCCCTGCAGCAGCAACAATTGAGGAGAATAAGATGGTAGGATCTGTTTTGGACATGATTCAGGCGGGTCTGTTCCATCCCGACAGCATGGTACGGTTTGCGGCAACCCTAGGGCAGAGCATTGCCAGTAAGCGGGTGGACGAGGGAGCCGATTCACAGTATGTAGATCAGGCCATGGATATTATCGTGCGGTCCATAACCGAGGGCGATGAGCGCGTGGAGTGTGCGGTGGCGCTGCCTCACATGCTTCAGCGGTACCTGAGCGCCTTGGCCATGCTGTGTGCCGAGACACGCGGGCGGGTGACCACCTCAGTTGGAGCAGCGGCGATTGCGGCCAGCCCCGTGGTGGTCAGCTCTGCAGAGGCCGGTGGATCGAGCCTGGCGATGTTCCTCTGGCTTTACGCACGCCTATTTGACATGTACGCCAAGCTCGCCGACGTGCGCATCCTGCGGGCTATCAACAGCCTGGTGCGCGTGTACTTTACAGATGCGTGCTTTGGCACCACGGCTGCGGGCAGTGGGTCAGTGGGTGACGTGCACGAGCGCCAGGCCGAGGCCCTGCACGCGTGGCTGAAGGACGTCGTCTCTCCAGTGTTTGCCCGTTCGGCAACATCGGAAGTCCAAGGAGAGGAGCTCGTGTTGGCGCTCGAGGGCGTGCGGCTAGCTCTGGATGCTGCGCCCGAGGTCGCTTGCGTGCTGGACACAGGCGTCTTTCATGCGCTGACATTGGCTGTGTCTGTGCCCGATGAGGCTGTCACTACTGGAGCTGATCTTTTGCGCAACATGGTGGCCACGCTGGCACGCGCGCGACAGCTCGACACGCTGATTGCGCACCTGGCCAAGGCCAGCGCAGAGACAGTTCGTCCTGGGGCTGTCAATTTGCTCGCCTCGGCTGACTTCCAGCGCACGCTGGCCGGTGCCATTGTGCAGACCATGCCCTTTGCGCAGGTGCGCGCGACGCTCGACACGCTGGCTGACGCCATCAGCGGGGCATCGGCCGCAGACAGCGGGCGCAAGCGGCGGCGACTGAGCAGCAAACATGGCTATAAGCAGTCGGTCAGCAGCAGTGGAGTTTCCGACATCGTTGTGGCCATGATGGCAAACTTTGTGATGGCTGGCACGGCGCTGGCAACTGCTGCGTCGGAGCAGCAGCGTGTGCAGTTTGGCGCAGCGCTAGAGGCAAAGCACGAAGCGCTGACCCAAGCACTTACCGAGACCGGTAGCACATGGGAGGGGCTGCTGATACACTACGCATTGGTCGAGGGGGGCGCTCGCATCGGCGGGTCAGAGGACTGGCTGGCCGTAAACATGAACCCACAGCACGTGCTGGCGAACGTCCTGCCGCAGGGCTCGGATGATTGTCGCACGGGCGCACTGTCGATGCTTGTGGCATTTCAGGCAGCCGCACACTGGGCGGCTACATCGACAGAAAGGAACGGTCAAGGCGATGCCACCGTGCGCCAGATGGTGTCCGCAGCATTGGCCAATATCCATGCTGTGGGCGCATGGGGCGCGTGGGACGGCCAAGCGCACACCATAAGCGTCGAGAATAGCGGACGCGCGCAGTGGCAGCTGCTGTCTGCTCGTCTGGAGATTGCGTGCGAGTACGCCGACGCTGCAACCATTGCGGCCATTGCGCGCCGCGTTGTCGAGCAGGCGGCGGCCGGGGATTATACGTTACTGGCAGACGCGGGCTTTTTTGAGATTGCCCGCTTGCGCACTGCCATGGCGCCTGCTGCCGCTGCATATGCTGCAGAGCTCTGGGCATCCAAGCAGCCGCGTTCTGACGCTTTGCTGCCAGCCGGCCCAGCGCAGGTGGCGATTGACGCAGTCCTTGCCAGCAGGCCCAAAGCAAAATCCGTTTCAACCATGGACGACGCCTCGCCCTGGATTGGCCTGCTGCGCGCACTGCTTCGCTTCCCGACCGTCTATTGGCCCGCTGACCAGCACTCTGCGTTGGTCGCCCTTGCCCTAGCTGCTGACCGCCGCGTTGCGGCTGCGCTGCAGACATCTAGCGCGCAGGCGGCTGTTCGTGTGCTGGCGCGCACGCTGCTCGAGCGGCTGCTAGCCCACCACCCGGCCACCGTGTCCTTGCTTGTTCCGCATGCCACTGTCTGTGCAGATCATTGGGCTGCTGCTACCGGAGAGCACGAGGCCCGCGCATCGCGCCGTCTGCTACGTCTGACCGCCAGCGCCCTGGCTCAGAGCGCCGGGGCCTCAGAGCAAGCCGATGCGGCCTGCCTCCGCCTGTGCACGCACCTGCTCAAACGCTTGGAGCCTGCCGCCGAGGGCTTCCTGCTTGTGCTCGACGCGCTGGACGCTGTGGCGCGCGCCGCCGCCAAGCTGCACCGCAGCGGGGTTAGCGCGTGGAAAAAGTGGGTAAAGTCGTCGATCAAGGTCGTGCAGCGTGACGTCCTTTCCTTCATTGACTCGCTGCCCGAGGGCCTAGTTGACGATAGGCATGCGATACATAGCCTCGGCGTGCTCGTCTGCCTCGACCGTCTCCTTGCCGCTCTTGATGGCTCTAAGGACAGCTGCACAAAGTACGCAACCGCCGTGGTTTTGCGCACCACTGAGGCCCTGGGCACTATTGCTGCCCGGGCACTGTCCTCGTCGTCGACTTTTGCAATGGGACTTGTGCTGCACGCTGTTCATCGGTCTTTGGAAATTCCGCAGGGAGCCGCTCACACGCTGCTGGCCCTGCTGGCCCGCCTGCTCGCCCGCTACCACCGCTCGTCTGGCACGTCGGTTCCACTGGTGCTCCAGTCTCTGGCCGCCTGCATCATTGATTCGAGCAATGGCGCTGTATCTGACAGTGAGGACGAGTCGAGCATGTCGGACTTTGTCACTGTCCGTGGTCTGGAGCCCCTGCTGCGACACAAGCTTGACGCGCAGTCCTTCGAAACCTCACTCGTCACGTTTTTGCGCTTGCCCACCAGCATCAATGCTGTTGCAGGTGCCCCTGTTGATCCGAGCGTCCGCGGCCTGCCCAAGCTGCTTCAGGCATACATACACACGGGATACCGCCACTCCGACTCTGTGGCCAAGCGCAAGTCTGTGCAGCGGCGTCTGGGCGACATCCTTGTTACGCTCCACACGGGCCTTCGCACGGGCATGCCAGTGCCCGATGTGCTCGATGTCGTGGGAGACCTGGTGTTGGAGCCTTTCATGCGCTTTACCATGTACGATATCTCTGAGTGCCTGTCCATCCTCTCTACCACTCTGATGTTGCCCCAAAAGCCAGCCGACGATCTGGATGCGCTGTATCGGTCTATTTGCCGTATCCTGGGCTCCGTCATCCGCCACCACACCAACCACGTTTTGGGATCCATTTCTATCCTCACCACGCTGCTGCGCTCGCTCATGCACGCCTTTGTTGCGCCTGCCGTACCCCGAGTTCTAATGTCCAACGCCACGCAGTGTGCGTCGGATATGACTCCCTGGATCATCTCGCATGCTCCCCTGTCGCCCGCATGTGCCGAGTCCTACAGTCGCGTGCTCAACGATCTCGTTCGTTCGCGTCGCACTGCAGGGCCTTCGTCATCGGCGCCGTCGGCAGACCTGGTCAAACTCACTCGCGGAACCAACGCTGCTGGTGTGTCCACCGTGCTCAGTCTCTTTGCTCCCCACGTGCTGGCTGAGTACTGCATTATTCAGGGCGGTGGCGCGCTCTCCGCTGTCATTCACCGCGCACCCGGAGTTGGTGTTCATAGTGGTGCCGACGCCTTTGCGTTCAAGGGTCTTTCGTGGCGGCCGTCACTTGTTATCAATGCAGACCAAGAGGGCGGTATTTCCTTGGCTGCCCAGAAGATGAGCGCTCGCGGCATCATCTCTTCTCCGGCTCTGCGTGAGGCACTGCTTCCCGGATGGCATGCCCTACTGGATATCATGACCGAGGCCGATAGATCTGCCCTGCTGGCCCTGCTGGCCGCTTCCGGCTCTGCCACAACCGACTCACGTTCATTCGGGGCCACGGGATACGGCGGCACCTCCGTCTTTGGGCCCGATCGCCATGGCGGAGCCCACGAGGTCTTGAAGTCTCTTTACCAGACATACCTTGACTTTTACAAGTACAAGGGCGAGGTTTGAGCATAAACGTATATTTAATGGATTTTTATTCACACTTATAATAGGTTATTTTTGTTATTTTAATGGTTGGCGCCATTGTTGGTGTTTGTGTTATTACGCACGGAGCTGCGCATCAAGGCGATTCGAGCGCGAATATCGTCCAAGTTGGTCCCATCGGCAAAGTTGTTTGCCAAAGGAACAGTCCTTCGCGTCCCTACCAACGTATTTGTAGACGAAGTGGAGTAGTTGGACAATACCGGCGACGGTGCGTTAGGCCGTGCATCAGGGTGTTGCTGATTGCTTAAAATCCGCGCGCGCAGAGCTTGAAGTCTGCCTTGACTGGTCATCGGCTCGATATTGCTAGGAGCGGCGGGCGCAGTGGGGATGGACGGCAAAAAAGGCTGTGGTGATGTCACACACATGGGACCCGCGGAATACATCTGCGACCCACCCATACGGCTATTGCTACTGAACGCGCCGGGACTCTGCGCCCTCTCGATATTTCCACTATTTATTGCTGGAGGAGGATTCGTCGACAGCCACGAGTGCTGCTGGTACGGTGATGAACCAGACGTGACACTTCCAGAGTATGATCCACGGGGGCCCTGCTGCTGCTGCTGCTGCTGGTGGTACTGATACTGATGTTGCTGGTAAGAGTTTGCCGCCGATGGCCCTGCCATGACAACATCGCTGTCGTCATCGCTAAAGTCATCATGATCGCCGGAAGATGCCGTCTGCGCGACACGCATCGCCGCCATCATCTGCTCCACCAGAGGACACCCCTGCAGTGGGTCTACCTGACCAGCAACCAGATTGATGTACTCCCACGTCTCTGAGTGCCGCTTTAGCACTTCATTAGCGCTGTTGACCCAGTTAATCAGCGCCGGATCCGCATTGCTTCTCGCATCCGGCGGCGGCGGAATGAGGCCCGGATTCGACTCCATGACATCACGGATAATCAGCCCGCCAAACTGCCACGAGAACGACTGCAGGTACGTGACCAACGTGTGGTTGATCGTCTTCATGGTACGCTTAGGCAGATCGCCAAACATCCAAACATCTCGGTCGCTGCGTCTGCGCCACTCACGGACGGGCACGCGCACGAAGAATCGATGTGTCATGCGGAACAGCGGATCCACGCGAATCGCCGGATGCAACGCAGGGTTGCCGAACTCTGGGTTGGCCACGTGCTCTGGCAAAATATCCATCGCGCTAGAGTTGATGCAAGCTCCAAACTGCCGCTCCAAGTCCTGCGCCAGATCCTTTGTCAGCCGCCACAGGCACTTTTGCGCCATGTCGCCAAAGGCCATGCGCAGAATATCGCTATCGGTCTGCGGCGGATTCGGCGCGGGCTCGGCCATCGCCGACTCGTACAGCTGCATCAGTGCTACATACACTGTCGTGCGGTCGGCGTTGTCGAGAATCTTCACCAAGATCGTGTTGATCCTCCTCGACAGATTTTCGTCGTTGCCGGCCTCACCGCCGCTGCTCCGGCGCCCGATCCTGGATTTGCTCTCGTTTTTCGTCGCGGGATCAACCAGCCGCCTCACGAGCTCTTCAAATAAAGTCTGAATGGCATCTAGAGGCACCCACAGCGAAAAGTAAAAGTTGGCGAATATCTCGGTCAGCACGTCCAACGTGATCCGACGAATGTGGCTCAGCGTCCTGTGGAAGGGCGACTGCATCGTCGGGTCGGTCGAGGTTGTGGTGAACGCCCAGCGGATCTGCATCGCGATGCCCGACACCAGGTTGCCCAGGTTCTTGCGGATATGAAGGTGCGCCGGCACGATATGCCGCATATACATCTGCGGGTTGCGCTTCTCCTCGTCGGTCGGCCGCGCAAAGGTCTCGAAGAGCTCTCTCAGGCGCTCAATGGCCTTCTCGGCCGCCTTGGAGTCATCGCCGCTGATGTCTGCCACAATGCTCTCCATCCACTCATCGCGCTCGGGCTCGCTCATGTGCGAAAAATCGGCGGCCGTGCGCGGACTGACGAATGCTAGCGCCGACATGGACTGGCTGCTGGCGCTCATGATGGGGCTCCTGGCCATCTGGTGCATCACACCCCTGCCCATGTCGCCTCCAGAATTGCCGGCTGCTCCAATCTGCATACCAGAAAGTGCACTCTGCAAATGGGCATTCCGGCTGGCGCCAAAGCCGCTCCCGGTGCCAAATGATTCCATCGCGTTCGAGATTGGCGGAGAGCTCACCAACGGCCGCGCGCTCATTCCGCGAGCAGAGGCCGGGTTGTTCAGCTGCTCGGTGGTTGCGGCCGAGTAAGACGGCAGGTTGAGCTTGTCAAAGTCCAGGGTGAACATTGGCCGTGCGCTGCCACCATGGGCGGCATAGCCCACGCTGCTGCCGCTGGCGCCACCGACATCACTCCCGTATGTCACCCCGGAGGGAGCGGGCAGACCAGCAGGCCGGCTGAGGCGGTTAGCACCCATGGAAGCGCCGGCTCCAATTCCATTAGCAATACCGGCGCCAATGCCGCCGATGACACTGTTGCGCGACAGAGACCCGACATTGCCGGAGGCCTGGGAGGCCGGGCGCGCGAGGGAAGAGCCAATTCGTGCCCGTGGTCCAGCTGCAGGCGCCATCGCGCCAATACGTGAGCCGGGTCTCGGCACACTGACCGTTTCGGTGGCAATAGACGAGCGCTTGATCTTCTCCTCCAGCATTGTGCGCTCCTTCTCGGCCATGCGGCCGCACAAGCGCCATAGCTCGTCAGCGCCGCCAGGGAGCTGCTCTCCCACGGCCACCAGCACATTGAGCGTGGCTGTGCGCACGCTGCTGTCGCGGTCGGCAATGCCTTGCACAATGACTGGAACAGCGCGGCTGGGCTGGGCGCAGACAGCGCTGAGGCCGCAGCCGGCAGTGCGCTCACGAATCAAGAAGCAGATCGCATCCAGCGACTCTTGGCGGATGCGCGCATTGTTTCTGTTGGTCACACCGTACTCCAGCAGGACATTGAACAGTTTGGTTGTCGGGTACAAGTGCGTGATAAGCTGCGTCAGCATGCGCCGCGCCCGCCCGCGCACAACCTCTTTGGCATCGCCCAAACGGCTGACCAGTGCGGGCAAGACCGCCTGCACCTCGTAGTCAGACCACGAGGCCTGGCTCTGCTGCTGGCTGTTCTGTTGGATCTCCTCGGTCAGCTGGATCAAGCGCTCCAGCAGGTCAAAGCTCTTGAGCAGTGTGTGCGTAGATCCGTCGTACATGCGCATGCTGATGTACTTGAGCAGGATGTCGATATTGGCCATATAGCGCGCGGCCAGGGAGTCCATATCGGGGGACTCTGCGAACAACGGGATGCCAAAACGCTGCTGCGACAGCGTCGGAATGCTAATGGCCTCGTCCATCGTCGTCAGCCCACCCAAGTAGTCACGGTCTTTGTAATGGCCCGTCGAGAACAATTGCCGCTGGATCAGCGGGTTAAAGTGTGCAGCCGCATGATCGCATAGCTGTGCCTCGAGCTCGGCCCGCACCCGCGCGTCGCCTAGCTGCGCCCAGCGCGGTATGCCGTTTGGATTTCCGGCCATGTCGCGTCTAGCACGCGCGTCCTTGGCACGAGGGTCGCTGTCCAGAATAGGCGGGATGTTTTCAAGGTCTTCGTTGCTCATGCGCGCCATCTGGCCCACCGTCGACTGCAGAGTCGGAGTGCCTGCCCGCATAGATGAGCCTGGGCGGCTGACATCCGCAGAGCCGCCCGCCGAAGTTGGTCCGCGCGCACCAGGCCGCATAGCGCGCGTGCCACCAATGCCCGGCGCCGGTGCGGGCGCAGATCCAGCAGGCTTGCGAACAGCCATGGGCCGCCTCAGCATGCCGGGGCCGCTAGCAGCGCCGGGGGCAGCAGGGGCAGAAGGGGAAGCGTTGGTGGCTGCGGACCCCGACCGCATTTGGCTAGTGCCGGCTGCCCGGCCAAGCAGCTCCGAGGCGGTCATCACGGACTCGACCACGGGCGACGTGGCGCGCTCTCCAGCACCTGATGAGTGCGCGAGAGCACCCAGGCGGGCGCGTCCCGGCGCTGAAGGGCCTGCAGGACGACGGCCCGCGCTGCCTCCATCACCTCCGGCGGTATGGCGGAACTCGTCGATCATTGGCAAAACGGCAGCCTTGGCAGCGCCGTTCAGCTGCATGCTGCATGCGTCGTAGACCGTGTCGAAGCCGCAGCTGCTGACAGTCAGCTCGAGCACGCGGTTAGCTTGCTTGCGCACTTCGGCATTGCGATCCTGAAGACAAGAAAACAGCGGTGTGATGAGGGCCGACAAGTCCGGCAACCGGCCGCCCTTGGAGACACGGGAGCCCATCACGTCAGTGACCCACTGCAGGAGCGACGAGCGCAGTTCGGGTGAGGTGTCGCTCAGGGCGTTGGGCACGGACGGCAGAACGGCTTGGTCGACGCAAGCTGCGGACGCCTCGGCCCAGGCCGTCATTGCTCCCAGCGCGGCCATGCGCAGCTGCGGCTTCTTGTCTGACAGGCAGTTCATGGTAGGCAGCGCTACAATGCGAACGTTGGGAACCTGCGCGGCGGCGCTGTCGGTAGAAAGTGCGCCCAGCAGTCCGAGCGTGAGTGTGATCAGGTTCTTGTTCGGGTCTTGCAACCGCTGCTTGAGTGCAGTGTACAGATCGCCTGAAATGTTGGGCAGAATGCGGTGGTTGGCGCTGTCCAGCGCGCCCTGCAGAGTGTCGAGCCCCGCCTTGCGCTCCTTCCAGTTGCTGTCATTGAGCAGCTTATAGATGTTTGGGCCAACTATCGCGTGCAGGTCCTGCCGCGGGAACAAGTCGTCCAGCGGATCATCACTTGCCGAGCCTCCTACACTGGCGCTGGCACCACCACCACCACCATCAGTGCCGCCGCTGGCATCGCCAGCCAGGCTGCGCTGGGTGTGGATCGGGGCCGGCAGGGGCTGGTTGGCAACGCGCTCAAATTCGGCCTCGATCAGCTGAAGCAGCTGCGGGTTGAGATCGCCCATCAGGTCCATCACAACAGCACCAACGGCGCGCCGCAGCGTCCCCATGAACGAAACGGCCTTTGCGCGCGTTTGTGCGTTGCTGCTCTGTAGGCCGACCTCCTTGACCATCTCAACGACAGGCCGCAGCGCCAGGCCCTTCGGGCCAAACTCGACCATCTGCGTGTCCAGCCACGCAAGGCAGTCGGCAAGCACCTTGGGACTCTTCTGACTGCGGATTGGCTCGATCACCAGCCCAAGCACAAACTTCAGGGAGAACCGCTGCGCAATTGCAACTAGCGCGCTGCTGGCCGGGCCCTTGAGCTTGATGTCACCAAGTTTGTCAACGAGGGCCGCCGCGCACAGGGCTGCCGCGCCGGTGTTAAACTCGAGATCCTCCTCGCCGGCCATCCACTCAATCAGCTGGAACATGCGCTGGCCGACTTGGAAGTTACTCTCCTTCCACCCAGGCTTGCGCCCGAGCTGCCGCACAACAAGCTCTGGGTGCACACCCGAGCCGCTGGCCGCTTGGTCTCCCAGGTGCTCCTTGAGCTGGTCCATAGCCTCCACGCGATCCTTCCACTTAGCGCTGTCAAAGCCGGTCAGCACGCCCTCTGGAATTGCGCCGGCAATATTTTCGTCCAGGCTGTCGTCGTTGGCAAACCGCATCTTGACAGCATCGCCAGCATCCTTGCCAGCAGCGGCTGGCTTTCCTTTGGCGCCCGGTTTTGCTGCTGCTGCCGCAGCTGCCGCTGCCACTGCAGCCGGCGACTTGCGGGGTGCCTGTGGCGGTGCCGGTCCTGCGGGGCGCTTGTTGGTCGGCGGGGCTGCACGAGGAGCCGCTGCTGCTGCGGGAGCCGGGGCCGGAGGCAAAAGATCGTCAATCGGCTTTCCCTCCCGCTGCGCCTTTTTGATAGCTGCTGCCCTGGCCGACGCCTCGAGCTTCATGCGGATATGTGGCGGCAGGTTAGCGCTCAGGCCATCCACTGGCTCACTGCTGCCACTGGCTGCGGCAGCCGGCGGAGCTGCCCGTGCTGGTCCTGCTGGCGCTGCTCCAGCTGGACGAGGCCGCGGCTTACTAGTCACTGGTGTTGGCTTTGGCTTTGCGGCCACGGGCGCCTTTGCCTTGATTGTGGCCTTTTCGGCATACTCGTTGATCTTTTCGAGCTTGATCTTGTCGACGCCCTCGATAAACGGGTCGAGCAACTTTGCGGTCACCAGCTTAGACATTGTTCCCAGGCACTCTGCCGCCGACTCTCGCACACCGGCATCGCCGTCGTCAAGGCCGGTCTTCAGGTGATCGGCGTACCTTTTGACATCACCCTTGCCCGGCCGTGTTGGTGTTACAGCCAAAAATCGCCTCAGCATGTGGTTGGACTCTGCCCGTGCCTGTGGGTTCTTGTGCGTAGCTCCTGTAAAGTAGTGGTCGCCGATTGCCGACAGGTCGCCGCCGATGGCCTTGAAAAAGGCGTCGACAGTCTCGCGGATGGCGTCGATCACAGTCTGCTTGCGCTCCTTTGACTTTTCGATCAGTGCGGGTAGTGTGCTCTGGACGTACGGCGAGAACGCCTGCCGCAGCCCCGACGCAAACAACCCCAAGCTCTGAATCGCGAGTGTCGCCACGACTATGTTGGTGTCTCCAATCTTCTTGCCGAGCTCCTGGATGATGTCGCTGGTACCCGGGCTCATCTGCAGCCGTATGTTCTTCTTGAGCGAGGTGTGCAGCTGCTCAATGACCTCCTTGCGCTCCTTCCATTTGGACGAAACCACGAACGTCTGGTAGTCATCAGGGAGTTTCTTTGTGATATCAACCGGATCTGCCAGATCCCACGGGTCCATATCTGCCGATTCTTCACCTGCGTCCTCGTCATTGACGTCTGCGGAGTCTGCACCCGCGCCGACCGCTGACTCCTCTGGCTCTTCGACCTCCTGCTGCGAGCGCAGTAGCCGCTGCTGTTTGGGCGGTGGGCCGCCAGCAGTCGCAGAAAACTGGGTTTCAAGCTCCTTCAGCAGCACAGGCGGCAGATCCTGCAGCGCCGGCATGATCGCCGGCCCCATCCACCGGTACAGCTCCACAGCCAGATGCTGGGCCTCCGTGCGGACCGAGTTGTCCTTGTTTGAAAATGGCTTCGCTAGCGCCTTGAGCAGGGGCTTCAGCGAGATAAATTTGACACCAAACGCGTGCACCAGATCCTTCACAGCCATGACCGCAGCGGCCAGTGCCTTGGGCTGCTTAGCGTCAAATCCTTCGAGAATTCCTGTGACCACGGGGGCAGGTGTGTCAACCTCGCTGAGCAGCAGTAGCAGCTCTATGCTCTGCGTCCGCGTCCCGGCCTTGGTTGCTGAAAGACACTTTGACACTATCCCGCTGATGATCTCTTCGCGGCGGCGTGTGGGGTTGGGCGCGTTCTCGACAAACGCTATGACTGTGGTGATACCGGCCTCCTGCGCAGCCATGTTGGTGTCGAGCACCATTTTCGCCAAGTAGTTTTCGTACATGTTGAATTGACCGGCCTGTTTGTCGGGGTCCAGCTGCTTCAGCTCCTTTGTCAGATCGGTGTATGCCCCCATGCGCACCTTCCAAACCTATGGCATGTGGTAAATACAAAAATAATAACATGCTGGTCAGCAATTTAGTTTCCACTATTTCGGCAGTTGCAGCACTATACACCATAGCAGCAGAAGAAAAGAAAAGCAATCAACTTTGCTGGTGGGTAATAGGCATTTCTTAAGTGTGCCCACGTACCTTGTGTATAAGACGCTGCTCGAGCGGCAGTGCCGAGTAGTCCTCCTCCTCGGCCATTTCTTAGTTTATAGGCAAAAAAAGATTTTGAGGGCGAATCAGCCAAATGAGTGGTGGGATTTCAAAATATGAATAAAACTGGGAATGCGAATGCGAGCAAAACAAAGGTTGAAAAATAAAAATAAATGTAATAAAAATCGAACAAAAATTCGCTACGCCCTCCAAGTCGCGTGATACGAGTGCAAGTGTATGTTGGTTTGCCAAAGTGCGATAAATACAAAAAAAAGTGTTGAAATTTTATAATTAATTTTGAAGTAAAGCACAAAAAAAATTGTTTTTTATTTTCAAGACTAGAGAAATGAAAAGTGGTTTTTGTTTGTTTTTTCTTCTACTCTACTACTAGGTTTTCTATAAAAATTCCACCCAATCAGCGTCGTCATCATTATGTCGGATTAATTCAGCTGGCTCGACTCACAAAACTTGACATATTGAAGAACCGCTTATGCATTTTTTCCATCCAAATTTTCATATTCCGGCCACACTCAAGCGTAACTAATGAGGATTTGAAAGAGAGAAAAACTGTTCAGGGTCAAGCGCAACAATAAAAAACCCGGCGCTGCGGAGAGTAGTAGTTGCGCGTATTGACCACGGGTTTCTAAGAAGTGCTTTGACTCTCACGAATACACATTCAACACCCGGTTGGGCACGCCGACATGACAGAAGAAAAATGGAGGCGTAACACCCATTGACAAATCCCTGTTTTTTGTGCGCTTCTTCCGAGGCTCTCAACATGTGCATTTTTCCTGCACCCCTCTCGTGCATGTGTAAAAAATTTTGCGATTGACAACCAGTTTTCCTGTTCTTTATCTGTTCTGAGCAAGAAGGCGCAATTCCCTTATTCTCTCTTTCCTTTTCACTCTCACTTTGTCACTCACTCACCCCACTCACTCGCCCACCGACATACGTGCAAGGCTTCCTTTTTATTTTGAACCTTGTGTTTTCGGCCCTATAAATTGTTTTATTATTAGGTAAAGTCGCCTCTTTTTATTATCGCTCGAAACAATACACAGATCTCACTTGGGCGTAGCCTTTTCACTTTGTTTACCTGGAACCAACCGACATACAAACACCTTGGTAGCAAGCAGTATATGCAAATAGACAATGGCAAATCGAGGGAGCATGGATGCGCGGCCTAAAACTAGAAACGAAAACGACCAGCCATGGCTTGCTTACGCCGAAGCCAACGGCATGATGCACACATTTGAAAACGTCGGCCGGAGCGCGTCCCTGAGCAATGTGCTCGGCCCCGCGCTTATCCGGAGACAACAGTCATTTCAGGAGCAGCTGGACATCAGGTACCAGCAGCACAGCCAGCAGCAGCAGCGGGCGTGGACAAACAGATATAGCGCCAGCGATGCATCCGGCAACCAGGAGGGCTCGTCATATGAGGCCGACAACGACCTTGATGGAGACGACGACAGCAGCCGGAGAAGCGAAACAAATATGAGCATCAGCACGGGCATGATGAGCCTCAACATGAGCTTAGGTGCGGGCAGCAATAATGGCAGCACCGGAGGAGACCGAGAGCGTGGCAGTTCGCTGAGTCGGCGCAGTGCGTTTCTCAGCGCCATTGACCCGGCAATTCGACGCAAAGTGGAGGCCGCCCAGGTGTATTTTCTTGAGTACTACGTCGACCATCTTACATACATTGCCAACCGGCGGCTACGGCTGGACAGCTTCAAGACGGCCGTACGCAGCGTGCAGGTGTCGGCGCAGGAGGTGCAGCAGTCATGGACCAACCACTGCGTCAACGAGACCAACATATTGCGACGGCGCCGCAACCGCACGCGCGAGCATGAGTTTACCGTACTGGCACAGATTGGCCAGGGTGGGTTTGGTCAAGTGTTTCTTGCGCGCAAGCGCGACACTGGCGAGGTGTGCGCCTTGAAGAAGATGGATAAGCAGCTGCTAGTACGCCTGAATGAAGTACAGCACATTCTGACTGAGCGCGACATTCTGCGCACCTCACGGTCGCCGTGGCTGGTTAAGCTGTTGTACTCGTTCCAAGACCCGAGACACTTGTATCTGGCCATGGAGTTTGTGCCTGGCGGCGACATCCGCACGCTGCTCATTCAGAATGAGCTGTTCCGACACCCGGTGGCCCGATTCTACATTGCAGAGATGATTGTGGCTGTGGCTGCTCTTCACTCATTTGGCTACTTCCACCGCGATCTCAAGCCCGAAAATTTTTTGGTCGACGCCACGGGCCACGTAAAGCTGACTGACTTTGGGCTGTCCCACGGACACTTGAGCCGGCCCACACTGTTGGCCATGCGCAAAAAGCTTGACAAGGTCAAGGACAAGGAGTTTGTCTACCAGTCGTCTGGCGACAAGCGCAGCTTGACCAAGTATGCCGCTGCGCGTCTGGAAGAGCAGTCATCGCGGGCGTATTCGATTGTCGGGTCGCCCGACTACATGGCACCCGAAATTTTGTACACGTCGCTGGCCATAGATCGACACAAGGCGGTAAAGACTGGCGGAATCTGCAACAGCAGCACCAGCAGCAGCGGGCATGTCGATGTTGGTCACGGCGGCGAGGAGCATGGGTCAACAAGTCGATTCAGCGATGGGTCGCACGATCCTTTGGCCGATGCGCATCTTGGCTATGACTTTCGTGTGGACTTTTGGTCTCTCGGCTGCATCATGTACGAGTTCTACTCCAGCTACTCGCCGTTTACCGGACCGACTGCCGACGATGTATGGCGCAATGTTTACCACTGGGAGGAGGTTTTGCAGAGGCCCGACTTTGGCTCTAAGGAAGCTGACAACAACTTGACGCCTGAAGCTTGGGACCTGATTGCGTCGTTCGTGTGCCATCGAGACATCCGGCTGTGCTCATTGTCAGAGATATCAAAGCACTCATATTTCCGCGGCATGGACCTTCTTCACCTGCGCGAAACGCTAATGCCGCCATTTGTGCCCGCACTGCAGTCCGACGCCGACAACACTCACTTTGATAACTTTGACGACCCCACATCGATGGCCGCCTACAATGATGTCAACAACAAGTGGAGGGACATGGGTAATATGACGGCGCAGCAGCAGCCAGCCGCCGAGATTGACCCTGCTGCATTCATCGGCTTCACATACAAGCACAATCGCCAGCATCGGTTCATATGATTGATATCACTAACGCATCATACTTTAAATATTTTTCATCCAATAAATTAATAAGCCAATGCAGCACATTTTGGCTATGCTGGGTGTGTGCTGTGATTAATAAACTATGCGAAAAATGATCAAAGTGCTGGTGAGAAAAAAATGAGATTTAATTTATATTGAGCTTATTTTGGCATTTCAAGTTGCGTCGAAGCGCATATAAAAGAGGCAGCTAACAGAAAGTTGTCTGTTTTCATATTTTTCTACAACTTTTATATTTTCTTTAATATTTTAATAATTTGTAAATTAAATGCAATTTCCATTGTTATAGAGACCAAATAGCAATATTGTAATAAGTATGTTACTTGTATACTAAATATATTATTTATGAAACTACAAAAAGTGTGATGCCAGAATTGGACTGGCATAGGGATGTCAGATGGCGGGCTCTCTGAGCTCCTGCTCATTTTTCCAGGAGTGTTTGTAATGTGAATAGAGCTGGTTATAATATATTAATGAAATGAGACTATGAAAAGAGCTAGGGTTCATTATCCAGAAATCGCAGCGCATATGAAATATCATAATAAATATATTTCATGGGTCTACGCTTTCACGTGACCCAGCTCCATTTCTGATGTCAGTCTCAGCCCGGATCGCTGGCTCTGGATCGCGACTCCCCAAGGGGGTCTCAACAATATAAATAAATAATTATAGATCAAAAAATATGTCCAACTTGGTCCCCGCAAGGGGTCTTATTTGGGGCACGTTTGGTGTTTTCTAATCTTTTTTCATTTAATTCGTTCCAAAATAATATTCAACCTTCATCATCGAATAATATATCCAAACTCATTCCCAGTGTGACACAATTAAACCCGGCCTGTCATCAGTGATTGGATCCATTGATCAATGGATCCAATCACCAGTCAATTCCCTACTCGGACATGCGGGAATTCATACGAGCAATATAAATACTAATGAATACGAACAGCTGAGGCTGCTCATCCTTTAGCTTTCTTTTGGTTCAATCTAATAATACTTTTTATTACAATAGCGCAGATCATGGCCAGATGGCCAGTGAGATAGCTGCTGTACTTAGACTGACTTTTCAACCTGCACCTCATGCTGCTTACTATGGCGTATAAGACGCAAGCCACATGCTCCCCTACCAAATGTGAAGCTCCTCAAGAAAATTTGTCTAAATCTTACAGTATTTGTGTGTAATGCCGACGAGCTTGTATCAATTGATATATCCATATTACCCAGGTTGATGGATATGTGACGGATTTGACAAACTATGACACTGCTAATTAATTTGCTGAGAATTAATGTTCCCATTGATGGATGTAAAAAATATATAGAGTAAATACGTTTATTGCAAAATAATAAAAGTGGAAAAGAGCTTTTAATTTAATTTAAACATAAATTTGAAAATATCTACACATGCAATTTTGCGAAATCTACTTTTTTGCGTCTTGCAAAAAATGGGCATAATATTGTACCTCGGAGGATCTAAAGGCTTTATACTTGAGCTCCTGATTGTAGCTAAGCATTCCATATTATATGATGTGATGAATGGTGCCCCAATGAGCGCTAATATCCATTCTACTGATGCTCGAGTGTACGGCTTTGTTCTTTCAACCTGCTGCTAACTACTGTATACCACCTGGTCAAAATGCACAAAACACCGCTCTGTACTGAAGGTCGCCTCGTAGGCAAAGTGTGCAATCTGGCAAAGCTTTGACTCTGCATTGTCCAATTTAGTTTTAGCCTGAATGCGCTTATCCGAATTGTAAGCACATGCCATATAGCTTCTGGTTGCACTATCAAAAGTGAGAATTACTTTGGCCATCATCTTTTTAAGAACTGCACAACTGCCAAAGTGCTTGCATGTTTGTCGAGCAAATAGGTATGTATCCTTTTGCAATAATGTTAGGGACACGATAATAACACACTACAGGGTTAGATACTCTGTCCAACTAATATCCCCAGGAGTGCTCGTTTTATCTTTGGATGGTGCCTGAGAATTGTACCTAAGCTTTCCACGTCTGTAGTCGCTAATCAAGACGCTCAGTCCATGATTCACGCAACCCTCATCACCCTTAATGTCGAAGTCATTGCCAAAGACCAATGTTCTCTATAGGCCGACGTTAGTTGTACAGTGGCGTTGTCGAACTCGCTTCTCCGACAGACCCTTGCTTTGAAACAGCATTGACGAACTGCAATACAATTGGGTCGGACATCTTGTCACAGACTATGAATTTGATGTTATTACTTCTGAGCACAGGTTCGCCAATAATACTTCCAAACTTCGACTCGTTCCAACCTACAACAAATGTGTTGCTGCAAACTTAAGTAGTTGTGTTTTTAAAGGCCCAATCATCCGAATCGTCCAGGGTTGAGTATTCTATGCCATAGACCATGGTAATGCCAGGATCCTGGCTAGCTGGAACACATGAAATGACAAGGCACAAATTGATAATTGCTTTGTCCTCCTTGAAATTCACCACGGCAACGCGAATAGAAGTGGTCATCACACCGGAGCTTTGCATCACAATGACATAGGATTCAGAGCCAGCAACAGACTGCGACCATTCCATGAAGGCTGGGACTGGTACAACCTCGGAAACATCGGTCATGCAGGTATCGCTAGAGTTGTCGGCGGCATCCAGACAGGATGTTTCAACAGCTGCCGGCTGGGCATCTAGTTGTACAGTCTCATCCTTGAAAGTGGCGGTCTCCTTATCGGCATATTGCGACATCAGGTAATCGGCTGTATCAGCGGTGCCAAGACCTTTGCACTGATGGCGAGCAACTGTCTCCAGTTCGGCCACCTTCGCGGTGAGAGCCTCAACATTAGCAGACATGTTGAAAATCTAGGCATTTTTAGCAGAAAGTCAGGCGTTCTTCGCAACAATTTCAGCGTCCTTCGCGGTAAGTTGCTCGTCCTTTGCTGCAACCTGAGCCCTGAGAGCTGCAATAATAGTATTAATCGGCTTGGTTGGTTGGTTGGCACAATTAGCGCAGTTGCACAGGTCAGAAGAAAAGCCACCAGCGGGCCCATCGTTGTATCATGCGTGTGTTGAGGTAGTCATTTGGGTCGATTAAGTATTGAGAAACAATAAAAGTTAAATTGATGCAAATGTAATTAATTTCAGAAAAGAGACTAAAGGAAAGACAAAATGTATGAAACACAATCAAGTTTAAATACTCGCAGTGCTTAAAAAAATTGAGATCCAGCATACTATTTGCTGATCATGCAATTAATATGACATGTATCAAGCAGATGTAAAATAAATAAATAAATCTATGTCTAAGGTGTAGATGAGCACATATCGACTGGAGGGTCAGAAGAACCCCAAGTGGTGATAGAAATAAAAGTAACATAAAACATGGCAAATACGCCAACCACAATGAGCACCCAGTCCTTAACCCTGACCCACCGTGACTCAGCGACGGCTTTTAAATGCATACTGGCTGGATAAATAAAACTCAGAGGCACCAAACAAAACGAGCCCACGAGCGACACGACGTTATCCAGCTGATCCGCGCCAAAGATAGCAATCAGCGCTATAAACAAGGCCAACCCCGTGCGGAACGTGTTCTTCCACCACTTGACACTCCCGTGATCCCTTCCAGACCGCGTAAACATCATTGCCTCCATTATTTTGGCAGCGGGGAATAGCTGCAGGGGCATGGAAAAAAGAATGGCAATAGAATAAAGCAGCTGCACGACCATCGTCCACGCAGATGAATTGGGGAGGTTAAGCAGAACAACGGCTTCGACCGACTCGCCAAAGGTTAGATAGGACAGCGAGCCCACCATGAGAAACAGGCCAAGGCAGAACATGATGGCTGGTGTAAGCACGCGCGGGAAATCGCGTTTCTCCTTGAGGCTCTCAATGATCGGAATCACCAGGGTGACGCCCTCGAAGGAGTAAACGGCAGTGCCCACGAGCAGCGGGAACCTCGCCGGGTTGTAGTTGACAATGGGCGCTGGGCCATTGGCAGCAATGGACCATAGGTCGAAGCCCACCAAGTAGCCGAGACTAAGGATAATGAGCAAGTTGGCCATGAGGGCGACTGGAGCAAAGTACCTGATTTGGCGAATCCACGCCAGTGGGATAAACACAAGCATCTGGATAAGGATCCAAAACTCTGTCGACAGCGGAAAGCGGCACCCGCTGAGCGTATCAAAGACGTTGCGCCAGTTTTGGGCCACAAAAATAGCGTATGCGCAGCAACCGCCAATCTGCGCCATGACGATGGACGTGGTCACGGCGTACTGCATCCACCGTCCATACAGCCGCAGGCCAATGTCGCTGTAGCTGCCGCCGCCAACCTTTAGGTATACGTCGGCGAGCAGCAAAATACAATGCCAGGCGTACCACGCGACGGCAAACATTAGAAGACAGGATGTCAGCAGCCCGCCGTTATAGAATGCCCGCGGGAGCACCAACACGCCGGTCCCGACAAAGGCCTTTATAACCAGGAAGAAAGCCTTACGGTTCGACGATTTTGCATTGAGGCTGCTTGATACGCGGCGCAGGGGCGTGCGCTCGGTAGGAGCCGGGCCTGCCTCCTGAATGATGTCTGGCTCGTCTTCGGGCACACCGCGCATGTAGTCTAAATACTCCTCGTCGTCGTCGCTCAGGTAGTTGCCGCCGGCAAAGTGGCCGTAGAGCGCAATAAAGTCAACAAACGTTTCGGCAAGAATGCCCGGTGACGCTCGGCCCAGGCGCTCGGCGCGCTCGCGAACAAACTGACGGCGGAAGCCGCCAGGCACGTTAATCTGGTTGGGCCGGTAAGCCAGATTCCAATCGGAATCAGAGTCCCAGCCCGAGAATGATTGGCGGCGGACTACGTGCTGGGCACCCGAGTCCTGGCGATGGTGTGCGCCATGCGAGGCAAGGTCGCCTCTGACAGACAGGGCGGCAGACTCGTTGTTGCCCTGCCAGCGGTAGATCTGGTACGTCATGTCTCCTGACGGCAGCTGGAACGGGTCAACAACCTGGCTAGCCCCCGACTGTCGCCGCTGCATAGTATTGCCACCCATCAGCAACCCCGCCTCGTCGTCCTCGTCCTCGTTTGTGTCTCCAATGTACCCACCATCGTCATTCACGGTATATGTGCCACTCTGCCGGGTGACAAGGTGTCGCTTGAGCCTCCGCGCCACCTCGGCCCTCTCCAACGCCTGCTCTCCGGGCGACGTCGACATTGAAGCAGCATCAGTGCTGCATTCGCCGGCCGCAAAGACGCGCTGGTGCTGCTGCAGTTGCTTCTGGCGAGCGAAAAACGAGTGTGCGGCCGGCGACGTTGACAGCTGTGAAAGGTCGCTGGGCTGCGACAGGAGACTGGTTGCCCGCGCAAAGCTACTGGCTTTGCCTCGCCTGGCGTCGAGCCCCACTGCGTTTGGACCGTGTCCGTAGGAGGAGTGTCGCTGTGGAGATATAGCCATGGGCGATGCCTTTGTTCGCCGGGCGTTCAGTGGGAGCTTTTGCGAGAACGGTGCTTCTGTCGGAATGGCATTGTCGGCCATGGCTGCAAAAGGGGAAGGCGCAAGGCGTGGCCGAACCGAGTGTGAGTGCGTATGTGTGTCTTCTAAGTGATGGCCAGTTGGTGGTTAAGCGCCAAAAGGACAGTGGGAGTGTATCTGTATTTGTATTTGTATGCGGTTTATGGATATACTTGTAACAGAGTGGAAGGGAAGTAGAAAAGGAGCTTTTTCTGAATTCAAGTGCAGTTGGGTTGGCGTCACGTTCAGCAAATGGATTTTGCGGCCCAAAAAATAACTGCGCGAGTAAAGTCCGAAAAAAAACACGCGGATGCATAAAGCTCATATGGAAACGGAGGGGAGGCACCTGATCAAGAAGAAAGAGAAATTTAAATTCGAACTTGCAAGCCAATTGAAATAGAATCTTAGCCAATCGCAGACGAAAGCCAGATGCGCCTGAGATTAAATCAAACCGCTTGAGCTTTCGGTTCATCGCAGTTCATCTTTATCGGCTCCAAATCATATGTGGTTTTTTCAGATGGGCGTGAGGAATAGAGAGTGAAAGCACCCATCTCGCCTATCCGCTCCGTCAGCATGGAAATGCCCATATTTTTTACCCATTTCCATGCATGTTCAAGTTGCTTAAGCACTATGCATGTATTATTTTCCCTTATCTTCAAAAGATATAAAAACCTGTTTGCAAATTACAATTGTCTCACCATTAGCAGTTTGAAATCCGAATTGAATAAAATTACACGCAGTGCATTGATTTTCCTGACCAATACTCGCTTTATTCATTTTGCGCAGCACATATAGTTTAGAAAAGGCCAAGTGGCATTAGTGTGTGGTAGAAAATATTGACCTGCTGGCCATTAACTACGGCAGTGCTGACTTCGTTTTCCATCATTAGTTCCCTTTTTATTTGCTAACACCATTACTATTTTCATTATTGCCGGAAATTCTCAAGCCGGTGGTTATCAAAGTAGGGATGTACGCTCCTCTTATCTTTGTTCCCAGGGGCTGAGTACTGTTTTATTTCCTCCATTTTCTGTTTCCGCCAGTGGTCACGCTTCCCTTCCCTCACACCTTGTGTGCGCTTTTATATTTATTGGACGAATGGCATGCACGAACCTTGGCACATGAACAACCAAAATCGGGTTTAGGCAAAATAAAAATAACGGCGCTTGGTGTGTGCGGGGGGAGGGCGCGGCACAAAACTTAATGTCATTTTTTGCATTTCTTTGTTTATTTGCCACTACGTTCGAGAATTCAAGCTCTAGCCAAAAAAAGCGCGAGTGCAAGAATAAAATCACTTGTCTGTGTAAAGTCATCTCTTTCTTTCTTTTCAATCACCTCTCACTTTTCTCACCTTTTCCACTTTTATTTCTTATTCGAACTCGCATTTCACGCACAACCTGTACTTTATACATTCATCCGCAACCTTTTTTCCACAGCTCCACCCCTCAACAACAGCATCAGCAACATGGACACTGAGAGTCTTTATTGGGACCAGTACGACACCGACACCGACTATATGCCACAGGCCACAGTGCCTATTCAAGAAGTTTACTACGCACGCCCATCTCTACAACAATACAGGCAACCGCCAGAGCACTACTCGTCAGACCACACGTCATCGCGGGGCAGTTACTGGTCGAAATACCTTGGCACGCAGTTTGCCAGCGACCAATGTACGCCAACAAAGGCTGGGTCGGACACACCACGGATGCACAGCACCATGGATATCCGCCGGCTTTTGGTCATGCCTGAAAAACTGGCATCGTTGCACTTGAGTTCGGAAGACGGGCTTGTCGCTGCCACGAAGGAACAAGGTGCTCGTTTGGAGACTGGCCAAAGAAAACTGGTCGACGGATATCAGTTGGTCGACGCCGTAGAGGGTGCTGGAAGGGGGATTTTCCGGGCAATTGATTCGCCGTCATCAGATTCCGTTTCTGGCCAGTGCGCTAAAGAGGAGGCGGCCTCTTCTGGCATATCCGTTGGCATGGTAATCAACGGCAACATTAGCAACAGCGGCGGCAGCGGCGGCGGTGGCGTAAATCCGATGGCCCTGATCACCCGTCTCAACTTTTTGAAAGACCAAATGGAGCAAGATGAGCGACTAGTTTTAAATTATACTGTGTAATTGTATCATCAAAAAACAACTAATTTTTCTTTTCATGTTTAATCCATCAACAGATGAATCCGACTGCCATGTTTTTGCTTGGCGTTATTTTTGAGGGATTATTTTTGTGGCAGAGCGAAAATTTTATTTTTGTAAAAAGGAAAAATTTTGAATGGAATAGAATGGTCAAAAGAAAAAATGTAAATGAAGAAAAACAAAGAAGCGGAAATACAAGTCACAAGATTAAAAAATTTTATGAATGAAAAAAGAGGCGAATAATGCGAATAATTTTTTGTTTGCAATTGTTTGCTTTCTTTTTTTGATTAGGCTCGAGTGAACAGGGGGGTGACTCAGACCGGCCCACTGGAAACAACGACCTCTGATACACAGTCACTGACATCCATTGAAATTATATTCTCAATGGATGCTGCTCTCGGTCTATACTCCTTGTGCAGCCTCTCGCATTCGCGCTGCAGTTCCTCACGATAAGTAACCTGATGCAGGCTCTGGTTAAGGTAATGCGGCATCATATCACCTCTGTTGCTGCTGCTGCTAGCTACCATATTGTTTCTCTCGTTACCCAATGCCTGGCGCTTAGACGACAGCGAAATCTCGGCTGTAGCCACTGTAGCCAGCGAGTCCAAGAGCGACTCGTGCGGCAGCTGGTGCGAGTAGTACCGTCTTTTATTATGGTGCGATTCATAGTGCGAGGTCATGGGCGGGCTGAGCTCGGCGGCGCGCATCAGCGACTCGAGCCCAAGCATGCGTGGGAAGCGCACTTCGCGCACACTGGAGTAGTCAGCGTGCATACCATGTGAGCTGTTAGCTTTGAAAGGTGTAGACGGGATCGATGGCGTCGAGGCATATGACAGGACGTTGCTCCATGGTGTGCAATTTGAGCTCGTCTGCCTGCTGTCGCCGCTGAAATTGTCGCTCTCCATAGTGTTGCCGCTATGGAATGTAGATTGCATGCGGTTGGAGAGGTTCAACTCTTGGTTCTCGGCGTGTAATGGCAGCGATGAGCTGCGGCACGATGCATCGGCACTCAGAGGTGTCTTGTGCACAGTTTTTTCTGTCGGGCTGGTGTTATTTGTAGCTCTGCGTCTGCGGCGCTTAATAACTGCCCGCTTCATAGAAGGAGGACGCGAAATTCCGTGCAGCTTCCAATATAAGCCGCACGAGTTGCAGACAACATTGCTGTTCACGTCGCGGCGCCAGAGAGGAGTCGAGTCGACACCACAGTTGAAGCACACGGTGCCGCTCGGTTTGCTGGCCGCCACTGTGCCTATGCTGGTCGTAGGAACGCTGCTGCTGCTGCTGACAGTGTTTTTGCTGCCATTGGATTGGCTGGAGCGGGACTCATTTTGTAACCTTCTTGGTGCCGACGATGACTGGAAGTGCTGGAAAGGCTGTGGGGGTGATGCTGCGGCCAATTTAGCTGCGGTATTGTGTGTTGATTGGATTGGCACAGGCAGGGTTGCGCTGCGTGGGCCTTCGCTGTGTCTACTTACAGAGAACGCGGCCGCGCCGAGGCTTTTTGTGAGGTCAGCAAAACTGGGAATACTCTGCGACATGTTTTTTGTTTTGTTGGATTGATAATGCTTCTGCTGCTGCTGCTGATATGTGGATTGGAAATTGTTGCTAGGAAGGGATAGATGGATGCCAAGAAATAAAAAGAATAGAGAAGAAGATTGAAGAAGTGTTGTTTTTTATATTTCGCGATGCGTCCTTTTTTTGGTGTCCTTGATGTTTGGTATGCCGATGTTTGCAGCAGAAAAAAAGATTTTGGAAGTGGTTGTTTGTCCCTTTTCAGGTCGATGATGTTCTGGCTAGATTAATGGCGTGATGGAACAAATCCTTTCACAAATACCGAGCGAGTGTATAATAATGATAACAGGCAAGAATATAGAAGCGAACGGTTTTCTGGTGGGTAAAGAGCTGTGGTCTTTCAACACAAAAATAAAATAAAAATGTATTGTGTTGTGTTGTGCGCAACAAGATAAGATTAATAATGAAAACCCGTTTGTTTTGGTTGGCTGTTTGGATATAAGATAAATAATTAAATGTAAAGGTGAGCAGTAATAGGCTCGTTGATAAATGGATGAGTAAATGGGCTAATAGAATGGTTGACTAGTTGGACAGAGAGGCAAAGAAAAAAGTGGGAATACAATATTTGGGAGGAGGATTCAGCTTAGCTTATATACAAAAAATGGCTGCCAGAACAAAAGCGAAATTGGTCAGTAAAAGTAAGGGCGGGCGAGTGCAAAAGAGAGGGGGGTGCAATACAAGGGGGGGATGGTTGGTAAAAAAGGTGCATACAAGAGGGATGGGATTTTTTCTTTTCGAGTGTAGATAAAAAGGGCCTATTTTATTTTTTCCTTTACTTCGGGCGCTCATTCTGCATGCATTTTTCTTCTATTATATTGGCTGTCGCTCGACAATGAAAGAAGTACGAGACAAGACAAGACAAGGGCCCGCGATTTACAACCAAAATATATATCCACTGAAATAGTTTGTTAGACAAAATTCGGAACAAAATGATTGCATGGTTTCTTGTATTTTCTCCGAATTGATATGCAGAAAAATACAGGAATGAGACTGATAAAAATAAAAAATTATAGGGTGCAAGGTGCATAATAAGAAAAATTAAGCACCTATTGTTTTCTTTTTTTGTTGGCTGGTTGGTTGTTCGCTTAAAGATTAGTTAGAGCAAAAAAAGAAGGCGGAAGTAGATGCTTGACATATTTTTTCTTTGGCTTGACTGCCTAATTGAATAAATCCAAAGGTCCCTAAACTGCAACCTGTAACAGAAAAATTGTATAGGCAATTTTCAAATGACTGAGCAAAAGGCGGAGAGGGGTGAGGAGAGGGAGTAGTTTTTTTAACTTCAAACACCCCCCTCTATTCTCTCGTCCTTCACTAATTCAGTCAGCTTTTCGACCGAATATTCATACGGAATGAACAAATGAACCTGAAATCATAGGATGACACACGAGCACATATGTCGCAGTCATACATAATGCGGAAGCAGCTCATGCTTGGAAATAAATTTAACAGCACTACATGCCACTTTTTCCTTCCTCACCTCTGCCAGTGCGCGTGTCACGCTACACCCGCCGCAAAGGCTAAGACTTTCTTTATACATGTCGCAATCAGCGCATGTTCGTTTTAGGTACCTATATATATTTAAAAAGCAAATAAATTCAAGCGTGCAATCAACGCTACTTTTTTTGTCTGCTGAGGCGGATAAGGCATGAAGTCATCATTATATCCCTCGAATTTTTTTTACATTTTTAAACGCCAGGGAAAGGTAAAAACCACTTTTAATCAGCAACAATTAGTTTTTTTACCTGTCATTGGGGGGGGGCGTAATAGTATGAAAGATAATTCATCCGTCTGCCCACCTCAATGACAAGTTAATCAGTCACTCATGTCGCGCAATCGTGTCAAAACATTCTGATCGTGTATCGATTTTACCTTTTTTATCTATCTGCCACAATAAAACCACTTACCAAGAACGGGATTAACCAAAAAAAAATTTCACTAGACAATTTGCAGCCGTGACGAAGAAAATGTAAGGGTACAAAGAAAAAAGAAAAGAAAAAAGAAAAAAATTACTCGGAACAAGTGAATCTCATCTGACTTCTATTTTTTTTTTGCTTAATCGACAATATATAAAAAATTTTATAGGCGTACAGTCAGACACATATGCTGCTCCGAGATGGATGACTGGGGATGATTGCCCAAATGATTTCAGCTGTCGATACAAAGCAGCAGCAATAAAAAAAAACAAATCGACCATTTTTTTACACACGTTTTTCTTCTTTTTGTCGGAAATAAAAAGCCCCGTGTTGTGGATATGTGTGTATTTGCTTTTGTATGTGGCGGACAAAAGATATAGAGGAAAAATAAAAATAAAAATAAAAATAATTTGTGCCAATTTTTTCTTTTCAAAGCGAATGACTGCGAACAGCGGGAATTCTATTAAAGAAAAAATTGCACCACCATTCTTCGATATCACGCGAACGTGCAACGCTCCACTGGCCATCAATAATTTCGCTTGGTTGTTGATCGGAACGGAGACAATAGAAAGTATATGTTCGTTATTTCATAGCATCAAGCGGCTGCAGTCAGCATCCTTCAAATATCGAGATATTTCTTGTACCAAATGTCGTCAAAAAGTAAACTCCATGCGCAACTTGTGGTCATAGCCATGGCCATGGCCACAGTCAGCCGCACGTTGCCAAATATTCCTACATTTTTCTTTTCCATTCAATGCCCAAAGTCAGCGCCCTTGTTTTTTATTACTCCTCGCAGGTGTTTAATAATAGAAAAATCGAATAATGGCTTGTATTACAGAGTAAACCAGAAGCAGCAACAAGTAGGTTGTTGACTGCAAGCCAAAAAATAAATTATTTAAAAATAAAAAGTTAACGAGCAAAATGAACAAAAAAATCGTAAAAAATAGGTGATATCAAAAGACTTTACTTCAGTTGAGTGTGCTCAGCATGGCCTTTGACTTGGCCAAAAGCTGCTCGAGCCGCTGGCACTCTAGCTGCAGCTTCTCCTTGTGCACGCCACCCGACTGCTGCATCGCAGGATCTTCTGCTGCCATTACTTCCGTGGAATTTTCAGCAAACGAGAATTCTGCTGCAGCGACGCTCGCCAGCGACACCAGCATGTCCAGCCCACTGCACGGCGCATGCTTTGTGGTCTGGCTCGGATCCGCCTGGGCCAATGGGCTGAGCTCAGCTGCCTTCATCAAAAACTCGAGTCCGCCCATCGATGAATCAGCAACAGCCCCGGCATCCGAGCTGACAGTCGCTGGAGCCCGAGTCTCCTCGCTGACATCCACAGTGGCTGGCTTTGAGAGCACCGGCGGACTGCCCACAGCCTCTGCAGCGGAGGAGCCCTGCTGACGGTGGTGCGCAACAGTGCGGTTACGGCGCTTCACCGCTGCGCGCTTCATCGACACCGGACGAGCCTTGCCGTGAAGCTTATAGAACAAGCCGCAGCTGTTGCAAATAATGTTGTCCTCAGGGTCGCGGCGCCACAGGGGGGTCTGCTCGGCGCAGCAGTTGAAGCACTTGGGCGTCATCCCCAGGCTTATCAGTTGCTTGGGAGTGATGCGCCGCTTCTGCGCTGCCCGCACATCGACCTGCTGCAGTTGTGCCGGGTGGCAGTTGGCTGGCCTAGGTATCTGCTCGACATCGTCCATCTCCTCCACTGTCGGATTTGCCGCTTGAAGCGGGTCCTTCTTGGTTGCTACCGTGTTCATCGCTCGCCGCTTTATCTTGGTCAGCGGGTGCATGACGTTGTAGGTTTTGAGGTACAAACCGCACCTGTTGCACAAGTGTGATCCCGATGCCGGGTCTCGTCGCCAAAGCGGCGTGCTCGTGGTCCTGCAGTTCATGCAGCTGATTTCCTTGCTGGAACTGGCAGTGGTAGTGTGCAAAGCAGCTGACGCGCAGTCGTCAGTGGTGGGTACGGGGGTGGGCGGGGATGTGAGTGAGCATATTCTTGAACTTGGTGTGGTCATGTTATCTGATGTGTCGGATGAGATTAGATTGCAAATATTATTTTGGCGATGTTCAAGCATTAAAGGCTGCTCGCACAACGTTCCAGTCTCAACAGCTGCCTCGAAAGCGGCCACTGGGACTAGTGATGGTCCATCAAGCAGCGCCGAAATGGATAGCAATGGGTTTTGGCGCGAGCTGTTGGTATTGTGGTAGTGCATGATTGGGTTTTTTTATATAAAGTCTGTGTGCGAGGAAGTGGTCGTGAGCAAGTAGAAAGCCGATGAGAAGGTTGAATAGAGGAAAGAAAATAACTGGTTTGGAGGTGATAAATACGAAGCAAAAAGATATCTGATTGAAGAGTGGATTGAAAATATATTGTGTGAAGGCTTGATAGCTGCAAAAACAAGAGAGCAGAAGCAAAAAAGAAAAAGCTGGTCGGTTTGATGAGTCCTCAACATGCGCGAGGGCCATCAGATAAAAGGAGAACTCTCGGAATCTCCAAATCCCAACCCAGTTGCTTATTTCTCTCTCTTTTTTCTTCTTCTTTCTCCCCACCCCCATACACGTTCGCTCGTGCCTAGGTAAAGTGCTGCAAGCACCTCTCTTGTGTACTTGCTTTTTTACGTCCTATCGTCCCCCTATTCCCAACTCTTAAAAAAAGAATATTCTGACAAGGTTCATCAGCAGTAGACGCTGATTCGTTCTCGGACCTTCTGCACTTTGTAAATGGAAATTCCGAACATAAAAAAATTGCTACTTAAATATGACAGAGATTGCGTGATGTGTGATCTGCTCAATCGGTTTTATCTTTTATCTGTGTTTCCAGATACCCGGAAAGAAATTAGTGAGACCTAATTTCGGGTAATGGAATTGCCGAGTGAGTTTTTGCTGGCTTCTACAAACCATGCTCAAAATAAGCCAAGAACAATACTCAAATTAATTTTTTTAAATCAACAATAAAAAAAGCGCACGATATCTGATCAATTATAAATTTTTTTTACAAGTTTCATCCTTCCATTACTCGCGGCTGATATCACGGCCAAAGAAGTAACGCTTGACCCAGTCAGACGCCACTAGCGTGGAATTGCGCAGCGAAAACAGCTCGCTCAAGTACGCCGACTTCCAGAACCAGAATGTCGCAATGCCACCGGCAGTAATATTGCGGTTAAAGAATGGAAGATCAGCAATTGCCTTCTCCGAGCCAATATATGCCAGCGATCCCTGCGAAGAGTACTTGAACGGACGGCTCTTCTCAATCAGGGCAAACATATCGGCATCGGGGTCCTCAGCGTGCTTCTTGGACAGCTTGTTGAGGTTACGCGAGAGCCACTTGCCCTGCTGAGCAGCCACCTGCGCCAGAGGCGCATATCCAGAGAGAGCGCAGTCGCCCAGTGCCCAGACATCCTTGGCGCCCTTGACACGCATGTACTCGTCAACAAGGAGGCCGCGGCCGTTGGTCTGGGCGGCGCTGAACTGCTCGCGGATCTTGTTGACCACGGGCTGCGACTTGATGCCGGTGGCCCAGACAAGCAGGCCGTAGGGAATTTCGGAGCGCGTGCCGTCGGGGTTCTGCACAATAAACGACTTGTCCTTGACCTCCTTGACCATTGTGCGCGTCAAAATGGTGATCTTGTTATCCGAGAACGTCGATTGCGTGTAGTCAATCAACTTCTTGTCAAAGGCGGGTAGCACATTGGGCAAGGCCTCGACAAGCGTGATTCGGACGCGGTCGGCCAGCCCAGGGTACCACTGGGCCAGATCGTCCTCGAGGAAGTCGTGCAGCTCGCCGGCATACTCGATGCCCGTGGGGCCGCCACCAACAACCACCATGTGCAGGAGGCGGTCGCGCTCGGCCTCGCTGATATGGTCAAAGGACGCCTGCTCAACGCAGTCAATCAGTCTGCGGCGAATCTTGCGCGCGTCGCCCATCTCCTTAAGGAAGCATGCGTTCTCCTCGACGCCCGGCGTGCCAAAAGTATTAACGGTACCTCCGACGCCAACCACCAGGTAGTCGTAGTTAATGGTGATCTTCTCTGTCTGACTCTCACTGTTCTTGCGCCGCTCCAGTACGAGCTCCTTCTTCTCAGCATCAATATCCGTGCACTCGGCCTCGTAGAACTTGACCTCGCGGTTCTTGTGGCGCATCAGCAGGCGCACAGGCTCCATAATCGACCGGTTCTCAATCGTACCCACGGTGCAGCTGGGCAGCAGGGGCGTGAACAAAAAGTAGTTGCGCGGGGACACCACCACCACGTTGAAATTCTCCGTGTCCAGGTTCTTCAGAATAGTCGTCGAGCCCCAGCCTGTGCCCAAAAGCACCATTGTCTTCTTGCTCGGGTCGAACGGCTGCTGCTCAACCGGGTTGCGGTTGCGGTACATTAGCCATCCCGTGTATGAGATGGTGCCGAGCGCTGTGCCGTAGATTATGCGCTTGAGTATGCGCAGTCGAGGGGTGCGCGGCTGCTGCTTGGCGGTCTCGTTGAGAGTGGACATGGCCATGCGCTGTGCAGCGGTGCTGATGGCTGCGCGGCTGAGTCGGAAGCTCGCTTTTGATGCCGAAAACATGGTTAAAAGAAAAGAATGTTATGCGTTTATCTTCTGTGAGTTAAATTGTATGTGTAAGTGTGCAGGTGTGAGCGTGCGACTGGTTCTATACGAGATAATAAAGTAGCTATTAAAATATACACAAGGGTCGTTCGAAAAACAAGATAAAAAATAAATTGAATGATTATATAGCTCGAAGAGAGAGATGAAAAAATATAGAATCGCAGTGATAAGGGTAAAATTTTAAGGAGGAAGAACGGTATCGGACGGGGCAGCACGATGACAGTATATATAAGTGCAGCGCCATGCTGGGCGGACAAAAACCAGCCAGTATCATCGCTCGAATGTGTCATTGATCGCAGCAAGCATTTTTATTTTTTGTTATTTTTTGTACTCCTTCACAACGCATAATCCGCCACTTGTTTTTTTTGTTAGCGTTCTGGGCGTTGGGGGAAAGTAAAAGATATAAATGTGATTCACCGAGCTCGCTGGTTGGTCGAGTAAAAGTCCGAATTGCCTAATTTATCGCTTACCCAACATTCTATTCTGGCAAAAATTTTGCAGCAAATCCCAACCTCGCTTTTACGCTTCTTTTTTTGCAAATACTCGATTTCAGCTTTAGAGATAGTGGCTGGGGAGGTGTTTTGCTGCTCTGTTTTTGGTACGAGTAGTGCTGGTAGTTCCTTTAACTGTGGCATTGAGCAGACGAATCCAATTCAAATGTGATACCCGGGGTCGGGGTATTTTCTAGCACTGGTGACTGAAGGAAATGCATGGGTTTATTTGTGAAAGGCTACACAATCACATGCAATCTCATCTACTGAACATCTGCGCCAACAAAATAAAAAAGTCAACGCCATACATGAAAAAGGTGAACAATAATATAATTTTTTTGTAGAGAGCTGCTGCCTCTCACGCACACACATACCTCAAATATCTGCGCGATCGCCACTCATTCCCTCCCACACACATGCACTCCACCCGTTAGTTGCCGGAATCTTGGACGGATAAAGAAAAAAGAAGGCAGGATGCTTATTCCGGCATTAAATTACCCAATGAGATCGTTGCGATCAATCGGGCATGGCTGTGCTTGTTTATATTGATGATTGTTTATTACTGCAAAAGCGGAGAGTTGCAGCGGGGTAAAAAAACGAGGAACCATGATATCAAATGTCACAATAACACGGCCGTGGGCCCGCCATGCGATAAACCAAATGAGGACTGGTCGTTTTTACCAGGCGCAAATCACTTGACTATTTTGGTGCTCTATGTAGTGAATAAAAATAACATTTTTTAAATCAAATTTGGAGTTGTAGAAAATAAGTGACTCAAACTACATTATTCCATTAAAAAAGTGTAAAAGGTGTAGTGTTTTTTTAGCGGCACTTGAGCTTTGTCACATGATTATTATCATCCAAGTAGATTGACAAACGGTAGTGCTTCTTGTTTTCCATACCGTCGTCCATGTCATCGGGACGAATTAGGCGGTATGGTGTAGGAAGATTTTCTTCGCGATAGAGTCGCGTCCTGGTGATTTTTTTCTTCGCGCGTATTCAGCACACCGTTTTTGTGTATGTACTTGTTCATCAGCTGAGGTGCCCAGTAAAATCACCGGCATTCATCGTGGTATATCTGGACAGCAGTGTACCTGCTGTAGACGAGACCCAGGACGGCTACGCAGATGGATAGTTTAAAAAGCATATTAGATAGAATACAAAATAAATAAAGTGTTTTTTTACAGCGTTGAAGTTGAAAAATGAAAATCAAAGAAACATATGCAAGTTGAGGGCTCCACATATATATATACAAATATTTTTGGATAATGAGTAGCAGCTGGACATGCAAGCTAATTTTAGCACTTTTTGTTTGCTACCGCTGGTGCTGCTGCTGCTGCTGCTGCTGCTGCTGCTACAAGTGCTCAAGTTCTTAAGAAAAAATGGTGCATTTGTGCACACATACCCCGCACATTCAATGGTCCCATTTTTTCAACCGCTCAGTGCTTGAATCAAAGGGATGCTTCTGGATACCCCAATTAGAATTGCACCTAAATTAAAGCACTCATCGGTTCGAGAAGGAAACGTTGACATGCATCTAAAGTCCCTGTGGTCCGTGGCGCATGTGCCATCCTACTCACTGTTGATTAAATATCGAATTAATTTAATCTCGATCCACACATCTCTCCCCACACCTCAAATACATATCCTGAGTTTGATCTGTGATGCGCGCTGCTCCTGACGTGTGCATCCATTTCTGCGGTTTGGCTTTCTCATGTTCAACCTGCATTATTGAATTTCCATATTTATATTTTTTTGCATTTGTCAGGACAATTTCACTATATATATATATATTTTTTTTTTTTAGCAGTTTGAACACTTTTTTTTACTTTCGCCCTTAAATGTCGAACCCACGGCGACGCGTTGGTGTTGTTCCCAGCGAGGAGCTTACAGGGAGCGGCACGTTCAGAACCCAAATGCGCAACTTCGACAGCCCAATCGACGCGCAGCTTCGGCTGATAGACTCGGGCAAAGCTTTGGAGCGAGCACGCGGCATCCAGCTTTTGGCCGACCTCCTGGACGAGGACTGGCGGGCAAAGGGCGGCGCAATGGCAAGCACGCTGGCGCAGTCGACATGGGAGCAGGTCATCACATGTACAGCAGGCATACTGATCAAAGAGGCGCAGGTCTTCATTAACCGGCATGCGGAGGAGTGGCCGGGCCAAATGTCGGCAGCTGGCGATCGGCTGAGCAGCCGGATCCAAACGCAGTACTCGGTGCACGTGCGGCATATCTGGGTCGCCGCCATGCCCTTTCTGTCGGTGAAGCTGGCGCGGTCCCTGACAAAGCACATCACAGAGTCGCTGCTCGCAGACCCCTGCCTGGCGCATGTCGTCGGGCTGGACTACGCCAAGGTGCTGCGTGCCTGGGCGGCCCACGATCGCCACGTGCTGGCGTGTAAGGAGGTGCGTGCCGAGGCCGCGGTCAGCCTGTGTATCCGGAGCCTGTCGCGGTTTGGCAGCGGCGCCATGGCCGACACGCAGGCGTCGACGGAGTCGGCCGTGGCTGCCCAGGGCGTGATGCCTGGCGACGCTGAGTATGCCGCCGTGATGCTGGCGGTTGTCGCCGCGGCGACGCCCGCGCGCATGGAAAAGCTCGCAGACAGCGTGCTTGGGTTTTGCGCCGAGTATTGCCGCCACCACACGCGCGAAAACCCCTGCTTCGCGGCCATCATTGACTCGGCCACCTCGGTGGTCCTGGCGACCGTCGACGCGCTGGCCAGCGACGACGCCAGTAACAATGGCGGCGAGCGGATCTGTGCCATTCTGGCATGCTGCCTGCAGCTGTGGACTACGCGCTCGGCACACCTCAAGCGCTCGCTCTTGCAGGCGATCCGCATCCTGACCCGCGTCATGGCCACGGTGGACGAGGGGCGCGGCGGCGAATCCGAGGCGCGGCCGCTTCTTGAGCTGGCGCTTAAGCAGCTGACAACCGGCGCGTGGGACAAGGCCGGGTTTATGCGTCTGCCGCGCAGCCTGCTGGGCATTTGGCCCATGGTGCATAGCGGCCCCGAGGGCGCAGCCTCGTGCGATCCGCGCCAGCCGCTGCAGAAGTTTGGCGCGGTGCTTTCGATCGTCGACCCGCTGCAGCTGGCGTTCTTCGACACCGTCGGGTTTCTTGTTGCGCACCTGGCAGCCATGCACTCCAGGCCATCCGGCGACGCGGTCACGGCTGCGGCCACAGCAACGGCGCACCACCGCAAGAAGCGCACGCGCACTGCGCCAACAGCGCTTGCTCGGATGCTGGCGGCCATGTGGTCCGAGGGCTCGCCGGCCAACTCTCGCGGCGCCGCCCAGCTGGTCTGGTACGTGTTTGCGGTCTACGCCGACAAGCTGGGTCCACTCAGGTGCTCCGAGGCGCTGCAGGACATCAGCCAGCTTGTGCAGGACAGCGACCTGAGCCAGCGCGCGGATCTCGCCGAATGGGCGCTGGGGACCATCCGCCTTCTGCAGCGACGGGGCGCAGCGGGCGCAGTGCCGAGCGAGGGCGGCGCGGCGCCCTGCGATCCTCTCTGGCAGCATGCCATTGCCGGCGTCGAGTCTGCGCTGGCAGGCGCCCCCGGGCTGGTATTCGACATGCTGCACCGCTGCCAGGCGCCGGCGCCCAAAGTGCACCAGCTGTGTCGCCAGGCAGCTGCCGCGCTTGAGGCCGGCCCGCCGAGCGCATACGACAGCCCCGATGCGCTGCAGCTGGCGCTTCTGCTCACCCAGTACATGTGCTCGGACGAGAGCCGCTCGCCAGACGGCTGCATGGCCGGGGTGTGCTTCCGCGCGGCAGCCCAGCTCTGCCAGAACGCTGCCAAGCAGCGGTGGCCGCACCACTTGTTTGCGGCCGTGCTGAGCCGCGCGCTCGGGCTTTCGCAGCTGCCCGGGCCGGCCCACATGCGCGCCGGCGTGCCCGCGGCCAGCTGGATCCCGGAGCTGCGTGTCTCCCGAGCGCTGCAGACGCTGGACGCATACATTGATGATACGCGCGTGTGCCAGCACATTCTGCGCAGCCACTGCAGTGCCAGCCGGCCGCCGCCCGAGCCGCCGTCCGAGCCGCCGTCCGAGCCGCGCGCGCCCGAGCTATCGGCGCTCTCGCCAGCCCAGTGGTATCTGGTTGGGCAGAGGCTGCTGAAATGCATCGAGCAGTGCACCGAGAACGAGTACGCGCCGGTCTCTCGCTCGGCCGTGCCGTACATTGCACACACGCTGTGGCAGATCTCCACGCACGTCGACACGGCCCAGCAGTCGCTATTGCGCGTGGGCGGTGCCAATGGCGCGTCGCTTGCAGTGCAGATTGCCGACGGCTTTTGCGAGCGGCTGGTGGCCTTTGCGACGGACGCCAAGCAGCCCGAGCTTTTGTGGCAGACGCTGGCTTTTATCTCGCCGTGGTCCCGCGGCTACTCGCGCCTTGCCGGCCTCGATTCGCTGGTGGCCGGGCTACTGGCCGCTGTGTTTGCGCCAGCCAACCCCGACTTGCTCTGTGGCCTGGCTCTTGGCAGCCCTGCGCACGGCTTGGCAGGGGGCGGTGCGCTCGCCGAGAACCTCGACGTTTTGGAGTCGCAGGTGTCTTCGGCCACCGAGGCCAACCAGCGCATGCAGCAGATGCAGCTGGACCGCGGGGAAAAGAAGGATTACGCCACGGCGCTCGAGACGTACATGCTAGCGGCTGCGTCCGGCCACCTGCAGGAGCCCTGGACGCAGGCAGTCCGGGTCCTCCAGGCGCTGGCTAGCCACCGCGACACGCTCGCTGCAGAGCTTGCCTCGCTGCTGCCCAGGCTGGTCGACACGCTGGAGGGCGCACCGCTGCTCGTGGCCAGCGGGTTTGCCGCCGAATGCATCATGCTCAGCACGCCATCGTCGAGGCCGGCCCTTTTGGCCAGGCTGAAGGCGCGGATGCTTGCGTTTTTAGAGTCGCCCAGCCACACTGGCCATATGCCGACGCTGTTCAGCGTTCTGCAGACCGTGTGCCTGCTGATCCGCGTCTCCGAGCACGGCGATGGCGGCGAGATGGACGAGGACCTGCCGCGCTTTGTCGCGTGGATAATGGAGGACGCCCGCAACGGGCTGGTGGACGCAGCTGTCGAAATGCACCTTATGCGGGCGGTCGTCGGGCCCTGGGGCAGGCGCGAAAGCCGGGCAATGTGCCGCGCGCTCTCGATCATCGAGGCCCAGCCAACGGACTTTCTGGTGTATCGCACGCAGACTGCCGCCACATTCGCAGTGCGCATGGCCGCCGAAGAGCAGCTGGCAGAGTACGGCCTGGCCCTCCCCCACCTGCTTGCCGACGGCAGCATCGAGTACCCCGAGGCACCCGTGGCCAGCGCCGACAACGCCTTGACGCTTATGACGCGCGACATTGGCTTGGCAATGCTGGTCTGTAGCTCGCAGACCGTGGCGCCCGGCGCGCTGCGTATTCTGATCATGCAGGTTTGCCACCAGGGCGTCTGCTCGCCGCAGGTCGCGAGCCTGTGCCGCCGCTTGTTGCGCAGTATCGCCGCGCTGATGGGCTTTGGAACGCTTGAGCGGATGGCCGGCGAATGCGGCGCGGATATCCTGAGCATTGATCCTGGGCTTCTCGACTCGCTCTCTGCGCTGGCGCCCTCGGCGGTGCCGCGGCTGGCCACGGACGCTGCGGTGGAGCACACGCTACAGGGTGATTTTGCCCAGGCCTCCGCGGTGCTGTCGAAGCTGCCGGCCGTCACGGCCGGGAGCGCAAGTCGCATGTACGCCCATGCTATGGTTCTGTCGGCCAGCGACGCGAGGTTGTTTGCATCAGCCTACGCGCAGATCCTGGTACCGTGTTTCTCGGAAGCGCGCCTGGCGGACATGCTTGAAAGCTCGCCCGAGATGCTTGTTCTGGAGTTGCTTGCACTGTATCTGCCGCAGCCGAACACTGCTGACTCTACGCGCCAGCTGCTGGCCAGCATGCCGCTGCGGGAGGGCGAGTCTCCGACCATATCCCGCGCGTACGAGCGGCACTGCTTGGGCACGCTTCAGCCGACGCTTGCTTTCTCCCGGGCTCCGCAGTGGGGGCGGCGCTACGGCCTGGACGCAGTTACCCGTGCAATAAACAAAGTGGCCCAGGACAGCGCGCAGACATCGACGGGTGGCTTTTTGACCAGCCCGCGGATCGCCTGGATAGCCATCCACCTGCAGGCCAGGATCCAAGGCGCGTGCTTTGACGATGAGCGCCAGAGACTCATGCACTCGCTGTGCCTGCTGCTGAGCATTTCGGTGCCCGCATCATTGGATAGCCCGCTGGTTCAGCCGATTATTTTCCGGATTCTGACTGGCAGCTGGCTTTGCGCCGGCGAGCGCACCAGCCTCCAGGCGTGTCTGGCCTTTAGCCTGCTGCTTGACAGCAGCAAGAGTGTTTTGCCGCAGGTCCTGGTATCTGACCACGGCGCCGGACTGCTGAGCACGCTCACCCAGGACATCTCGAAGATGCGGCCGCAGGATGCCCGCCGGTGCGCACTGGCAGTCGCGTGCCTTCTCAAGGCCGTTGATGAGGTGCGCGCGTCCTCGACTCTGTCCTATGCCACCGCGCCTGAGCTGCTCATCGGCAGCACGCTGGAGGCCGTGTATGACTGGGCCCAGTTGTCTCCGGCAATGGTGGTCACTGGGAGCGCCATTCGGCGGGCCGACGATCGAGTGAGTCTGGCGCGCATTGCAGACCGGGCTGCGTCACTGCTGCTGCTGCCCACCTTGGACTCTACCAGCCTTTATTCGGTGTCGTGTGCTGAGTTTGTGGTGGCGTCGACCGAGCGGCTGCTCCAGCTGGCTCTGCCCATCAGCACAACTAGCAGCGGTGTGCTGACGCAGGCGCTGGGCGTTGCCCTCGCGGGTCCCACGCAGATCGACCTGGCATCAGAGGTGATAAGGGTGCTTACGGGTGCGGGGCGCAAAGTTTTCGAGTACCTGCGCAAGTTCAGCGGCACGTCGAGCGGCAGCGCGTACCAGAGGGCGATCACCATGCTGTTGCGCACCGTGTCGCTCATGCAGATGCTCGACCAGTCGCCGGCCGACGCTGCTGCCCCTTTGTCTGGTGCTGCCAGGGACAAGCTGTTGCGGGAGGGAGATTTGCTGTGGCTGGTGTGCGATATTGTCACGAGGTCGCACAGTCAGAGCGCCATTGCCGCGGCCATCGGGGTGGTCGCTGAGCTGAACAGCAGCAGGAGGCTGGTTGAGTCCGCAGTCCGGCACCTGGATGGCCGGCAGAGGCAGGTTCTTCGAGACGTATCACTGATGCCCGCCGTGGCCAGCCTTGACAGCCACCAGTATCCCATTTGGATCCAGCAGCATCAGCAACAACGCCTGGATTCGGCATTCCTCGAGGCCATCTGCTCGACCACCCAGACGCCCAGCGGCGCCTTGTCCGAGCTAGCTTGTGCACTCGCCTCCTACGCTGAATGCAAACTGCTCAAACTGGCAATCCCGCTGATGTTCGCCGACTCGCACTCCGCCAGCTGCCTGCTCCCGCACGTCATGTTTGAGATTCTACCCGGGGCATCCATCGAGACGCGCGAGGAGATTGCCGCGTTCCTACTGGACTTTGTGCACAACTGGCGTGAGCGAGCCCCAGCTATGGCTCGGATAGTCATTGATGGCACTCTGCAGATGCGACAGCTCGACCATCAGCGCTACTCGGACATCCGCGAGTTCTTCGGGCACTTGCCAATTGCACTGTTTGAGATGGCTGACCTGGCGGCAAAGCTCAATATGCCCGAGACAACCACGTTTTTGCTTGAATGTGACTTGACTTGCACCGGTGCTGAGAGACTGACTGGGATTGACAGCATCACTGGTGATGCGCGGGAGCTACTGCGGTCGGTGTACCAGAGTCTCGGCAACCAGCCGGCGGCTCAACTATTGAGCTCGGTGCAGTCTGTTAATGATGTGATGCGGAGATGCCAGGACACTTCTGACTGGCGCACTCTGCTTTTGTATCAGGAGGCGGTGCCCGGAAACTTTGGCATGGCAGATAGCCACGCTGGTGCTGGAGATGACGGTGAGTTTGAAATCGGCGACACGCTGGTCAACCTTGGTCTGCTAAACTCCATCCGCCCTGGGACATCGCCTTGGGACGTCAAGCCGCTGGCTGGAGTTTCCGAACATGGGGCGAGGGCATTGAATGCCGGCCTACAGGCCACTTTTGCAGCGTCCTGGCGGCTGGCAAAGTGGGATGTGCCGGCGATTCCACTGCTGCAGCACCAGAAGCAACACGATCCTTCAACAGACACCGCTTCGCTGTTGGTCCAGATTGCCAAGCGGCCCGAGGAATCGCTATACAGTATGTTCAAAATGCGGTCGTTTGGGCAGTTGGCCGAGGCGTCGCTTGCTGTTCAAGAGTACATGTCTGATCCCAGCGCGATCACCGCACTGACCTCTATTTCTTCCGGCGGTATGCGAAACTCATGGACATACCACGCAGTGAGTGCGCTTCTACCGCTAATATCCGGCAGCGCCACCAACGACGACAATGATGAAGATATTGACGACGATAGTGACTGCGATGGCGTTGCTGTGGCCACAGAGAGCGGCGGATTCGTGCATGTCAGTCAGGTCACGTCGTTTCTGCTCTCGCGGTGCTGCGGCGGCATGCAGGCGTCAAGCATGGAGCCCGTATACCTGGCTAACCTGACGCTTCACGAAATCGCAGTGCGCGAGATCATGGCCGCACGACCCAACTCCCGGGCCCTGGCTCCTGTGTTTGGGCGGTACAGAGAGGCCGTACGGTTTGCCTGCATGGCCTCGCGACAGGCGCAGAGCTGGCAAAACTCCATGAACCACATATTCCGCCTGCGCTCCATGTCGCGGGCCGCTGGAATCCAGGACAGGACGCTGGAGCCTGAGCTGAAACTGTGGGAGGCGGAGACTCTGTGGGACGCTGGTAGCCGAAATTTGGCCATTGAGATATTGCAATCGCACAAGTGCCAGATCGAACGCACTCTGGAGCAGGCCAAGGCGGCGTCTGTGCAGGCCATGAATGACATTGGCATTGGCAATAGCAATACGAACGGCAGCAGAAGATTAGAAATGACATTGCCATCGCTGTTGGGATCTGCTGCTGCTGCTGATGCTGCTGCTCCTTGGCAGCGCAATGAGATTGAGGCCACAACCATTTTACTTTCGCGCATCATCCTCACAGTCGGCGAGTGGTCGGACAAACAACGCAGAGAGCGGCCCAAAGTTCTGTGGGACGAGTACTTCAACAAGTCGGCGCAACTGCTGCAGGAAATCAACTCCCCCACGGTGTGGACTGGCCGTGCACTACACGCACTGGCTGAGTTTGCTGCCCGCCAGTGCGAAGAACTAACAGAGACACGCGACGACGAGGCCGCGAGCGCAGTGCGCAAGCAGAAATCGCGCGAGCTGGCTGCGTGTCGCCAAGAGATCGCTCGGACAAGCAATGCCACCGAGGCCACCCGCCTCAAGGCAATCCAGCGGCGGCTCGAGATCCAAGAGGCCAACGACCAAAACGAACTCGCCGAGCTGCGGTCTAGCATTGGTGGCTTTCTGCATCTGGCCATATGGTCGTTTGTTAAGTGTCTCGAGTGCACCGATGCCTTTGACAACAGCGTGTTCTCCCTCGTGTCGCTGGTTGTGACGAATGCGCGGTCGACTGAGCTGCAGAAAGTTTTGTCGCCAGGACTGATGGACAGTGTCCCCAGCCACAAGTTTCTTCCGCTGGTTCACCAGCTATGCGCCCGTCTGAGCACCGAAGAGGATGTTTTCCACAAGACCATATCGCAGCTTGTCCTCCGAATGACCGTGGAGTACCCGTACCACACGATGTACCACTTGTTTGCGCTGCGGAATGCCAACCGCACCTCATCGACGCAAGACGCATCCAGAACGGCGACCCCGTCATCAGCATCAGTCAGATCAGGGCGCAAGAGTGCCGGCGGCAGCAGCACCATCCTGGACTCTTTGCAGGTCCCTGAGAGCGAAAAGATGGAGCAGCGGCGTAGCGAGGCGGCCACCCAGATTCTACTCGGGGTTACTTCGAACAATGCGGATCTGAAGAGCATTGTGCAGGCCATCGACGAGCTGTGCAGCGTGTACATTGAGCTGGCCGTGTCGCCAGTTCCGGAAAAGTTTAAGAACAGCAAGCTCGACGGTAAGCTTATTGCGTTTGGCAGCCGGCTGCGGATCACTCGGCTGATCAAGAACCTGCCGCCGAACATCCCCGTGCTAACTGCCATTCCGCACACGGACGCCCCGCGCGACTACATGTGCGTGCCATTTATTAGCACGATCTCGGAAGGATACTCGCTGGCCGGCGGAATCAACCTACCCAAGATCACGCGCATCATAGGCACCGACGGCAGGCGCTACAAGCAGCTAGTCAAGGGCAAGGATGACATGCGCCAGGACGCCGTCATCCAGCAGCTCTTCCACGTTATAAACCGCTTCATGCGCACTTCGGGGGGGAAAGTGACCAGCCAGGCGTTGCCGTTCGCCAGCGGCATGCACATCCGCACGTACCAGGTGGTGCCGCTGACCAAGCGGTGCGGCGTGCTACAGTGGGTAGACAACACAACGCCCTTTGGTAACTGGTTCCGTGAGAACGAGCCCAAGTACCGTCCGGGCGCTCCAGGATTCAGCCAGCTGCGAAACACCGTGCATACTGTGCACAAGGAGAAGGAGGTTACTGCGCAGGAGAAACTCGAGGTGTTCGAGCATGTTTGTGCCCAAGCGCCGCCGATCTTTAGATTCTTCTTTTATGAGCACTTTTACCACGCGCAGAGCTGGTTTGAGCACCGCGAGACGTACATCCGCTCGGCCGCCGCGTCGTCCATAGCCGGCTGGGTGCTGGGAATTGGCGACCGCCACTTGCAAAACATCCTCATTGACCAAACCACAGCCGAGCTGGTGCACATTGATTTGGGCATTGCCTTTGATCTAGGCAAGCTGCTACCGATTCCGGAGCTCGTCCCATTCAGACTCACTCGCGAAATGGTCGACGGCATGGGCATGCTGGGGCTTAACGGCACCTTTCGCCACTTCTGCCAGGTGGCACTCGAGGCGATGCGTGAGAACGCACGCGTGGTCATCACCATTCTGAACGTCCTCAAAGTTGACCCGCTTTACATGTGGTCGTTGATCCCCTTGCGCCTCGACAAGATCAACCGCAACGTCAGCATGTATGTCGGCGACCTTCGCAGAGAGGGCGTCGGCAGCGATGACGGCGACTTTGCTGCGCTCTACGGTGAGGATAATAACGCTGCGGCAGCTGCGCTGGAGGAAAATAAGGAGGCGGGCAGATCTATTTTGCATGTCGGCCAGCGTCTGGGCGCAGGAATCAGCGCAGAGGGACAGGTCAGCGAGCTGATCCAGCAGGCGACAGACCCACGCCTTCTTTCGCGCATGTTTGAAGGATGGAGCGCTTGGTACTGAAAATTTTTGTTGACTTTGGTGTTTGTTTGTTTATTTATTTTTGAAATAAGAGAAGCAAGGCACACGACATACATACTACATACATGCAAAGCCTTTTTATTCAGTCGACGCTAATAGAACGGCCAAAGACCGCGCGTTTGGCCCAGTCTGTGGCCACAGACATGCTGCTGCGCACGGAGAACAGCTCCCACAGGCAGTAGGACTTCCAGAAAAGCGAGGCGAACGGGCCACCTGCAGTGATGCTTCTATTGAGCAGCGGGATCTCGGCAATCGCCCTCTCACCGCCAATATAGGCCAGGGACCCCCTGGACGAGTAGACAAATGGCTTAGCGGCGCGCTCAATGTGGCTGTGCACATCTGACAGCTGGGTGCTATCCTTGGTCATTCCATTGAGTGCTTTGGCCAACCATTTCCCTTGCTGCGAAGCGACCTGGGCCAGCGGCGCATTCTTGGACACCGTGCAGTCACCCAGTGCCCAGATGTCAGGTGCGCCCTGGACGCGCAGGTAGTCGTCAATGATCAAGCCGCGATGGTTGGTTTGCACGTCAGGCATCTTTGCTCGCAATGTGTGCGCGAACTCGCGGGCGCGGATACCTGCTGCCCACACAATCGTGCCGTACGCAATATCTGTCTCAATGCCGCTGTTGGTGTCGCGGACCTTCAGGCTCTCCTTCTCTACCGACTTGACTGTGGTATTGGTCATCAGGTGGATGCTGTTTTTCTGGAATGTCTGCTGCGTGTAGTCAATGAGCTTCTTGTCGAACGAGGGTAGAACGGTGGGCAAGGCCTCGATGAGCGTGATCTTAAGCCTTTTGGCCAGGTGTGGCACCCACTTGGCCAAGTCCTCGACTGCCAGATCGTGCAACTCGCCGGAAAACTCGACACCCGTTGGGCCGCCGCCAACAACCACTATGTGCAAAAGACGATCGCGCTCCTCTTCAGAGATTCCATCAAACGACGCTTTCTCGATAGTTTCCATGAGGCGGCGGCGGATCTTGCTCGCATCTCCCATTTCTTTCAAAAATAAGGCATTTTCCTGGACGCCCGGCGTGCCAAACGTGTTGTATGTGCCTCCGACGCCAACCACCAAGTAGTCGTAGTTGATACGCGTTTTGCTCAGAGTGGCCTCTTGGGTTTTGAGGCTTGTGTCATTTTCGCTCGGGCGGCGTTCGAGCACTAGCTCTTTGTTTTTGGTGTCGATATCTGTGCACTCGGCCTCGTAAAAGCGAATGTCTTTTCCACGACGGCCAACAATGTGCCGGATCGGCTCCATAATTGATATGTTCTCTGTGGTTCCTACGGTGCAGCTGGGGAGCAAAGGTGTGAATAAAAAGTAGTTGCGCGGGGAGACTACAACCACATTAAAGTGCCGGGTGTCGATGTTCTTGAGAATGGTGGTCGAGCCCCATCCGGTTCCCAACAGCACAAGCGTTTTTTTATTTGGTGAGTTGGCCGCAATGCTTGCTGATGCTGCGGGCGCTATAGATGCGTATGTGCGGACACTGTTGCTGCTGACGAGGACGCGCGCTGTAGTGTTTGTAGTGATGACCGCTGGTTGAGACAAGTGCTGGCGTTGGACGATTCTGGCGCCAGCTGATATCTTGTGTAGAGAGAGCGTGGCAGCGCGCACAGAGCGCTGGACTGTGACGTTTTTAGCTCTGCAGACGGACATTTTACTGTTGTAGTAAAGGGTAGTTTATAAAAGAAAAAGTGTTATCGTGTTGGTGATGGTATTGAACAGAAAGCAAGGTCATTTAGTCGATGCGGATGGACCCCCTCTCCTATATAAGATTATGCCTTTTTCTGTGCACATTTACTTCATGGCATGGCTTTGAAATAAAATAGTCACAAGGATGGAGCGTGACATTTGAATTGCGGATAAAGAAATTTGATTTTGCACCAATCGTCGCAAAACTTAGAGAAACGTGTATGGAGATGAATTTAAAATGGTGGTGTAGTCAGTTTGGTCTTGTTTGGCGGATTTCGGAGAAGCGATAAAGGGTCATAGGGGTAAAACTGACAGATATATAGATGATAATGAGGTCCGCAGCAAAGATTAAAATGACCCGTTTAATTAAAAAATATCCAACACAGACAGCGCGCTAATCATTTAAGGCACATTGATGGTCCGAAATTGCGGGACCCAATGCTTTTTGGAAATAATGCAGGGGGGCAAAAATGCAAGTCTTCAACTATTCGCTGGAGAAAATTAAGTGGCGAATAGCAAAGAGAAAAGCTCAAAAAAAGTTGTTTTCATGAGTGCTTTTTTGCGGCTTTGTCGACAAATGTCAAATGTAAGCATTATCCGGAGAATTTAAGGAGAGAGTGTGGGCGGAATTAAATAACAATCGATGGCAATGTTTGGCAAGGATGGATAAGATAGGCAAGAACTTGTGAGAACGCACCAGGATAAACAATTTTCCCAGGATTGGCCTCAATACAATAATTCAAACCCCATCTTACCTGCTGATATAGCTGCGACTACGAATAAGTGTTGACAAAAACATGCTTGATCATGTGATTAAAGTAATATTGGTAATATCGGTAATCTGCCAGGGTGCATCGGTTTCTAATTAGCCACACAGCAAACAGAAACACCTGTATTTCCGCATATATAGTTTTCTACAGACGTGCCTTCGCGCGAACAATTCAATATTTCAATATGTGGCTGACAATAGCAGATATGAGCATTTTTATGATATGTGTAAGCTGGCAATGCTAGCGTGGATATGCAGTCAATGTTGAAAAAGGAAATATTTCAGTGTGCTCTTTAGCTTTTAAAAATTAGTATATGCCCCATCAAACACTATTTCAACATATGATGTATGTTCTTCATTAATCCTCCGTAAGGTGTTATTGCAATTTTGGATTATTGATGTTTTTTTGTTGAGAATCCAAGTTTCACAATCCAAATTAGGGAGTCCGCATATTTTTCGCTCATTTACTTTTCAGTATATTTAATTTCAAAATATCATGTGGTGTCATTGAGGGAGGCTGCCAACATTGTTAAAATCGCAATTTTGAATGTTCTAATAATTTTGATAAGCGACGGTCTTGTATGCCGAATATTGTTTTATATTTTTTGCCGTTGTGTTCAAACCAAAACATGTCGATTGTTTTCAAAATGCCTGCATCACTGGCTGAAAAGGGACACCAAAATGCGTATTTTGACAACAAGCTGGCGCCGTTTTCATGAACAACCAGAATAACTATATTAATATTATTCTGCGCTCCCTAAACTAAATAAGCCTCTTGGGTACAATTGATTGACTTGTATAGTCGCTTGTTTGTCTGCCCAACTTGGTTTTGTTGTTGATATCTGTTTATTTGGCCAGACTAGCGGCGTGGAAGGGAACACTTTAGACTGAATGTGTTTAAAACCCACAGTCAATATGCGGCTATATTAAAGCCAGGATTTCCCACATTTGACTAAAATTATTCTTTATTTCACATCAACATACTCCGTCTTCATATTTTTCCCCTTAACGACCACCTCGCATATATCGCCTACTTAATATCTGTCTTAGGGCATTTAGTTTACTTTCTATATCATCCAACTGCTATATTAGCTCCAAATTTACCTTTTTTTATCATTTAAGCCTCTACCCTGCCTTTCAAAAATGCGCGCCTTGCTAACTATTGCTATTGCAGCCACCATTGCGTCCGTGGCTTCACATCCTATTGGGACCAGGTCTCTTGCCGGCCTAAATCATGTCAATCGTTCACTTCAAAGAAGACACGATATAACTGTGAGCGACCTGCCCCTCAAAGAGGGTGAAACCCATCATGTAGAGCATGCGTCTGGACCCAGCTCCGACCTCCGCCCTAGTCCCGACTCTGACTCTCGCCCCAGTTTTAAAGAACAAGACTTTAAACCATTTGAAGAACAGCGCCCCTTGTATTTGCCTTTGCAGCAGCAGAAGCCATCTGAGGCGGCGGGTAAAAATGCTTCCGATCAAGATCATTCCCAAGTAAACAGACGCCCGGAGGACAGTCAGAGCACGGAAAAAAATAGGGGCAATGGCAACGGCAACGGCGGCGAACGCAATGCCGATGGTACGCCCATCAGACAGCATTTTGAAGTTGTTGAGCATTCCCGAGACAACCCGAACAACGTGAGCCGTCTTTCTCATACCATTGTCAACGACAACGCAAACCGCGTTCATTCGAACATTATTCAGCGTGTTTCCATTGGAGATAACAATGTTGTCGGGCAGCTTAACAACAACCTTGTTGTCCAGGGCGTTCATGGCGTCGTCGTCACTGGCACTGGCAACATCATTGGAAACAAAGAAAACGGGCAGGATAACAAGAAGGATGACGGTAAGAAGGACGACGGCAAGAAGGGAGCAGATAACTCCAAGGACTCTCAGCCCGTTCCAAAGTCTCCCTAATAAGTATGATAGTTTTAACCTTGTTTTGATTTACACTGAAGAAAAGAATGAGACTACAAATACTTAAAAAAATTCAAATATTCTGCAAATCGACATATTTCCAATTCTGATTGCATAGCAGCCCGACACATACTTAGAAACTAGAGGCAATAGACGACCATGATTGAATATATTAATCACTGCGCTGCCTCTTGCAAGGAGAGGCTTCGGCTTGGACTTTGACTTGGGCAAAGCCTTGAGCAAGATCTTATATGTTGCTGTACACCTGGGTTCAGCCGACTCTGACGATGCCTTTTTGCGTAAAAAACGAGAAGGCTGCTCGCCTGAAAGTAGGATATGGTTGTGGTGCTTAACTTTTGCATCATTCTCAATGTCACGATTCCACTTCCATCTGCCTGATGACACTTTTTTTCGCTATCCTTAGTCTGCGATGACAAAAAACTGGAAAACAGCAGCACCAGCGCAGAAAGGAATATTTGTTTGGTTAGATAGTAATTTGCTGTTAAAAATGCTTATAAATATTTCATTTTTTGCTACCTTTTTGCTACCTCTGGCGAAAAGGTTTAACGCACTACCTTTGCATTTTGTTAAAAGGTAGGTGCGTAAACACAATCTCCAAGGTTACCCAGCAGGTTGGGAATTTGCTACAACATAGTTTTCGTTTCTATTGTTTTTTGTTTGAAACATGGGTCAGTCCAATTTTCTTAAAGCCTTTGCAGTTCTCTACAGAAAGGCATGTCTTTCCATTGTTTTGTGTTTTATCTGTCCCTCTTAAAACAACAAAAACAGTATTGCAAGGGATTGGCCAGTTTATCGTTGGCGTACATGCACGCATGTCATTTTGAATTTACAACGTATAAAAATAGTTTGGACCGCCCAAAAAGGATGGTGGTCTATTTTTCCATGCAGGCCATGCAGCTGATGATTTTTGTTTCCACTATTACAAGACTGGAACATTACAACCACGCTTACCACGCGTATTCGCATTACGCATTGCTGACTTGAGTTCTGCGTTGGAAGACTATAATGTGTTTTCATGGCACGATCGAAAGTGATTTCTCTTCTTGCTTTCCTCACCTTCATCACTGCATTACCACTCCCAATTTATCGTTTGTCTTGCCCGCATGTTTATCTAACAAATAATTTAACTATTAAATCTCGATTTGATACCCTTTATACAACTTTTATTTTTGCCTATCATAACTTTGCACCGTTCACGACGATTCCTATTCATTTCCCATTTTCAATAACAACCTCCCATAAACAATAATGAACCGTGTCAAGGTCGAAGACGATTACAACATCAGCGACTGGTATTCTGCATCGAGAGAAAGTAGGGTCGTGTCGATGGCTATTGACAACCAGCGCGTGGTAAACTTTCAAAATGCTCATAACATAAACCCTATGCCCCAGAACTTTTACAATGGCCCGCCACACCAGCAGTACACGACCAAGCCAACTGTGGTAATTCAGCCTCAGCCCAGTCCACAACATCACCATCAGCCACGGCTGCAGCCAGTGCATGATCATCACCAGCAGCGACAACTGCAGCAGCAGCAAGCATATAACCCAAATGGCGGGACTGTTCGCTACAATGAAGTTGGCAGCAATGCTGCTTATTACGGAGAATTCAATGACTATAATGAGAAGCCAACGAGTTCACGCAGCATGGGCCGCTCCGATGAGTCTGGATACGAATACGGGCACCGCCCTACCACGACGAGCACTGTCGGATCTACACGCGCGCTGGTCGCCCCGTATCCAGCCAGGGCGCAGCCAATGCAGAGCCGCCAGCAGCTGCTACCCAGCATTACTATCCCGAGCAAGAAGGAAGGAATTGCATACTCTGAACCATCCAGCGCGTCATCTGGATACAGTCCTCCGTCGCAGCCCGCAGCAATAACAGGACAATATTCTGCCACATCGCAGCTTTCACGCAATAATTCGTTCAATGATCGCTACACTGGGCGCAAAGCTGGTGGAGATTCGTGCTGCGGTGAATGCTGCGAGTCGTGCTGTGGCAAATTTATGAGGTGCACTTGCTGCCGCTTGCACCCAGCCGTCTCGTGGCTACTTGTGATACTTGTGCTGATTGGAATAGCACTGGGGTTGTACTTCAACTGGAGCAAGATTGTCAACGCAGTGGACAAGCTTGACAACACGCCTTCGGTGACGCCAGCGACGCCAGCGACCCCAGATGCGGCAGAGACCCCAACGACCACCGATGTTATAAACTCGCTGTCTTCGCTGATATCGTTTGCAATGGAAGGTCCAGATACAGCATAAGTTACCACTCATGTTGACCGGTCTCGACTGCATTTGTGCTGGCATCACTTACATTCACTTTTGTGGCATTTTTAGTTCAAAGTTTTCAAGTTATATTGTTGCGATTAATAAACCCATGCATTTCGCATTCCCAAATGCCTGCACTGTGCGCTTTAGTAATCCTTCCATCCTGTGATATCCAGGCGTTCGATCTTCTTTTCGACACCAGTGCGCATGTCGTCCATGTATTTCTGCATGGCATCCAGATAAGTCGGGCACGAGGCGCCGATGATGCGCACAGCCAGGAGGGCGGCGTTGTCAGAGTTGTTAATGGCCACAGTGGCTACTGGCACGCCGCGGGGCATCTGAACAATTGAATGCAGAGAGTCGACGCCATCGAGGCAGCGGCCCTTGACGGGGACGCCGATGACCGGAAGCGGCGTGAGCGCGGCAACCATCCCGGGGAGATGAGCTGCACCGCCTGCTCCAGCAATAATCACCTTTAGCCCGCGCTTGTGCGCAGACCGCGCATACTCAAACATGCGATCCGGTGTGCGATGCGCCGATACAATTGTCAGCTCAAAGGGCACGCCAAACTGCTCAAGAATGTGAGCCGCTGGGCGCATTGTCGGAAGATCCGAGTCGGAGCCCATGATAATACCGACAAGTGGCGACATGCCCTTGACATCCTGCTTCTCCTCGTCGTTGACCGAGCCGTCAGTGGAATCAGCTATCGACTGTCGGTATGCAAGGCGTTTGCGCTCCTCCTCCGAGGAATTGGCTAGCTTGCCAACAATCATGTCGGTGCGGCGGCGCAGCTGCAGCGCCGAGTCGGCGACCACCGTGATATGGCCCATCTTGCGGGCAGGCTTGGCTTCAGCCTTGCCGTAAAGGTGCACAGTTGACCCTGCGACCTCGAGGCTAGCAAGGCACGGATCCAACACGCTGCTGAATCCGTTCGATCCGCCCAGGATGTTAATCATGGCGGCAGCGGGAACCTTGAGGCTGGTGTCGCCAAGAGGCAGATCAAGTACTGCGCGCAAGTGGTTCTCAAACTGCGACGTGTTGCAGGCCTCAATAGTGTAATGGCCAGAGTTGTGCGGCCGGGGAGCGATCTCGTTGACAACTACAGTGTGCCCGTCCTCGTGGAGGAACATCTCAACTCCGAATATTCCTGCACTGCCGTCAGGGAGGCACGAAATAGTGTCCGTGGCGACCCTCATGGCGACTTCACGAACCTGTCCGTCAATCTGTGCCGGGGCATAGACGAGCTCGCAAATGTTATCGCGCTGCACAGTTTCGACAACCGGGTAAGTGGCGACCTCGCCACCAGGGCGACGCACAACCATAACAGCGAGCTCCTTGACAAACGACACAAACTTTTCGGCATAAAGCATCTTCTCCCCGAGGAACTTGAATCCAGCCGTGACATCGCTCTCGGATTTGACCACGTAGTTTCCGCGCCCGTCGTAAGCGCCCAGACGGCACTTGAGAACAAACGGATAGCCAAAACTCTGTCCGGCAGCCTTGGCCTCGTCCAATGTGTCGCACTTAACGTACGCTGGCAGCGCCAGATTGTGCTCCTCGAGGTACTTCTTCTGAAGGTACTTGTCCTGGATTAGTCTGACAGTGCTCGAGGAGGGGTAGACTTTTGCCAGGCCTAGCTTTTCGACAGCCGCCAGCTCGTCGCAGTTGACATGCTCAATCTCGACAGTGAGCACGTCGCATCCTGAGGCCAGCTCATTTATGGCCTCGGATGAGGTAAAGGGCTCGTTGATGTGCTGTACAAAACCGCTGATCTGCTTGGCTGGAGACTGCTTGGTGGGGTCGAGCACGCGCACCTCGACGTTCATGCGGCTGGCAGCCTCAATAAACATGCGGCCGAGCTGACCGCCGCCGAGAATTCCAATGACCTGCTTGTCCATTTATTATAATTGCTAACGTTAGAATTTGTGATTGCGGAAAAATGTGATTCAAAGCCTCGTGTTGGAAAGGCGAGCTCAAAGTTCCAAGCTTCAAAAAAAACTGAAAGAGGAAAAATAACGCTTGTTCCCCAATGATGGCTGCTGATAGCACACCCTCTTTTGGCATAGATAACACTTGATAGCCGAATTTGGCTCGGCTCACCGTTGTGATTTGTGAATTTGCTGAGCTGCATGAGACAACCAGATTGGTCTCGGCATCACGAGATGAACAAGGAAGGCTTCTCGGATCGTTCTGAAGCATTAATTTTCAAAAGCATTGATCCTTTTTTCAGCAAATTTCCAGAAACATGTTCTATGTTCATGCTGCCACACGAAATATCCTGCACCAAGCTTGCTGTGATCTATAGATTTTGCGCGATATTTGTTAAGACTGGAGTTGGAGTTGGGGCGGATCTAATAAAAAGTATTTTATGTTGTTTCTTCTTCTAAACTTGCCTTCAAACATTTAAAACTCCCACAATTTAATGTATTTTATTACAAACTCCGGCTATTTTTGATCTGCGCTTTTCTAACACCAGTACTAACCTCAGTTGGTTTTCAAACAAGGACATGCATACCAGCAGTCAGTCGGCACATTCACGCGAAGCATTTAGCAACTTTGGTTATATTCCAAAGGCGCCTATCGTGTATACAGCAACATTTATACCAACTCTCGCTGTCTGTTTTATTTATGGTTGGCACATTTTTGGCATTCTTGTATCTTGTATTGTGCTCTTTACTTGCGTGACTGCGCGCTGCTCGAGCGCTCGGTGCTCCTGCTCTCAGTGTACACATTTGCCGGCGTGGTGTTTGTGGTCAACACGACGACTTACGGGATTGTATCGAGTTACCCTTGTTTTATTGACCTGTGGCTTATGACATCCAGCTTCACAATGTGGCATTCCACATTCACTCTATTGCTAGCGCGGCACTACGTCGTTTCCCGGACGCATTACAACATGGCAAAGCAGGCTCGAGTCAATATGGTGACACCAGACAACCTGATCGAATACCTAGCACAGCTGCAATCGAAAACTCACCAGGCGTTTTGGTCTGATCCTTCGGCGCATAAACGAACGGGTTGCGCAGCCTCGGAGTCGTCTCATGCCGGACCGGGATGCAGGGATTATGAACAGACTATTGCAAGCAACAACATACAGTCTACTCTGGAGACAACCTCGATCAACATTTTAGTGTCTACTGATAGCCTACCAGGAACGCCTGCGCAACAGAAAGAGTGGAGCGCTACACGCGGATTCGAGGAGATGGGCCCCAATCCAGATTGACCAGGTGGCTCCTGAGGGATATATTTTACGTTGCCGTGATATGTACTGTCATACTTTTGCTGGTCGTTTATTTGACGCTTATGAGCACGCTGTTTACTCGCCTCAAGCTGAGCAACATTTACTACAACTGCTTTAATGGGGTGGAGTTTTTGCCGCACATCATCATAACAGGCGTATTCGCCATCATCATCAAGCCTATCTATGACGTATTAATATGGCGATACCAGGACGCATACGGAATACGAAACCCACTGTTCGTTGCGCTCATACTTGGTGTGTTGTTTTGGTCGAGCGCGCTGGCATGGCGGCTGGTTGGGAAATTACAAGTCCGGCACATTTCGGCGGGGACTATTTTCGTGGGCCAAATCGTATTTGTCCACATTTTATTTATCATGGTCCTGCTGGTCAAATCGACCAAACTTTCGCGGATGCATAAGAACAGCATATATAATGCAGAAAACAACTCTGACAACGGCGATGTACGGTTGTCGGACGCATCTTCGACGACACCCAGGGATACAAGCAGGCAGGCATTTCTTGCAGCGATGCAAACCGCCGACGATCATGAGAAGATTACACTTTGCCAAGTCGTGCTTCTGCATAGAGATGATTAAATTTTTGGACGTCTATCTTGCGTTTAAATGCTGTTTTCCAGGACATGCAGAGCCGCCATGCTGCGCGCGATCAGGAACTTCTAGATAATGCGAACAGCAGTGTTGGAATTTCACCAGCCGCGTCGTCAATTATCATCGCCAAGTCTAATATTGCCACCGACGACGCGATCTTGTGCCAACAGTCGCCGGCCAACAGAATGTCGAATCCGGCATCGATATGCTCGCGCGATACGCCAGGGACGAGTTGCCACCACAATGACACAATAGAACCGAGGCCTTTATCACAGCTACTTGCTTTTCACAGCCTTGCAGCGGTGTCTCCAAACGGCAAATAAAATTCAGGTATGTCAGTGCATATTTGGCGTCAAAAGCTGCGCAAGCAAAGAACCACTCAGGATAACGCTAACATCCACAACCCGTTCATCGGAATTGCCGATACCATAAAGCAAGTGTATCCGGATAAAAGCATCGACGGCTCGACTATGGTGGCGGAAAGCTTGCGCCCGAAACTCGACGCAATTATTAGCACGTTTATTCTTTCCAACTCGCCGCTGGAGCTCAACATCGACCCACACATAATCGACACATCAAAGTTGTACATCAAGGGTGGCCAAATTCCGTACGATCTGATTGACCAGGCCAAGGGCCAGATAGTTGAGCTGTTGCATTCCAATGTATATATTCGTTTTTACCATTCCTAGCCAATCAACAAACCAATTACACAATATCCCATGGTTTAATGTCAATGCAAAACAAATAAATAAATAAAGCGCTGTTTGCCACCATCTTTTACTCACCAATCTCATCTTCTGGTTGGGGATATCTTTTACGCCGATCCTGAAATTCCAACTTAAAGTCAGAGCCACAAGAGAGAAACAGGCACACACAAATTGCGAATGCAAAATGCAGGTTGACAATGTGAAGCACATGCGGAAAGCGACCATGCGGATGTTTAAACTGAGTGTTTTTTGGGGTGAGTAAATTTTCAATTTCTGGAAAAAACCTGTAGTCGCCACATGCTCATTCGATTGTGATTTTTTTGCAATTGTATTAAGTGAAAAGTGAAAAGTGAAAAGTGAAATCGATTGAATCTAAAAAAAAGCCCAGCCACGAGGTATGAACATGTATATGTGTAGCCAGGAATTCTGCTTAATTTATTCTGTAGTCGGGTCGGGCAAGCCAGTGAGACATGCAATTTTTAGTTTATGTAATGCATGTAGTCCCAGTCGTAGTGTCCGCACAGCTGCTCGTGCAATTGCTTCATTGATTCGTCCTCTGAGCTGTATTCGCAGTCTTGGCAATGGAAGACTGAACGGAGGTTTAACCGCTTCAGGATCCGCTTGACAAACATGATCTATATTTTGGTTTTATTGATGTGCGTGTAGTGTAACCGTGAGTGCGTGAGTGCGCGAATCGGGTGGGCCAGTGGTATTCCAAGTAGTCGGAAAGCACGTGTATTTACTTGCGTGTTGTGAGATATCAGAGTAAACGAACGATGCGCAAATAGCCAGATAGACAAGTAAACGGGTAGATAATAAAAAGCAAGCAACTGAGGTATCTTGGTTCCCATGTAGAAAAAGACTGTTTATATAGATTTTGGAAAACAAGGTCAAAGCGGCAGAGCAAGTGGGGGAGGGCATGAGCTAGTGGCAAGATGTGATTTTTTGCAGCGGCCTGCAGGTCAGAGTGGGAAGCGGCGGCCGCGATCGTTAGGAAATTATTTGAATGGGGGATGCAAACCGGGTGTGCTCGGACCCCTCCCCTCATTATTAGTTTTCCCGCGCAAAGTCATAATAAATAACTTGAATGTAAACAGCGAGCTAGCTTGTGGCGTCACCAAAAATAAACAAAGAAAATAAAGCGCGCAAATAAATTGATATTTATGAAAAAAAAGTCTCCTTTATCCGCTCGCTTTGAGAAGTGACAATAATGTAGCGTGGGCATAGATTTGGTAGATTTTTGTTCAATAGTTTAAAAACCACATGCGTACAACAGTGTTTGATTCTTGATGCGGGATGGTATGCTACAATTTGAATTACAATTAACACAATACAACTGGATACACTATTCTCCGGATGGATGAAATTTGACCTATTGGCATTTTTGTCTCCACGTGCTTACATTATTGCGCTTGTATTTTCAACAAGAGACAAAGTTATATCTGTAATATGCTGAATTGTAAACCAAATACAAATGGACAGATGTAAAATGTACTTTAAAAATTACATTAAATCATTTTGTATTTAACAAATAGACATACGAGTCCAAATACAACAATGATGGCTATTGTTTAAATGTTTGGGTGGGTGTGCCAAAAAAAGCAAAGTGACTTTTATATTATTCCGCTGTTTTGATGCAGCCACCAAAGCGGCAGTAGACTTTGTGACAATATTGCCCTCACATAGAGTTTGTTTACTAATTGGCGCAATGCAATGCAATGTATTTTATGCAATACACAAGTAGAAAATGCTGAATAGGTGCAACTACGATATTGTATCTTCAACATTTACGTGCATATCTTTGGTGTGCCAGAGACTAAATGTACACGGTAGAGATTCAACAAAAAAGTCAGCTGTTGCTGCTAAACAAGAGACAATACCATGTGGCCACAGACGTGTTTGGATAGTTGTATACACATATGTATATCCGAATAGGCACTCCCACATTCACTTTGGAGCTTTTACCACTTCCATTCTAACAATAGCTTAAAAATAGAAAACAACACACCTGTTGTTCGGACTTTAGTAAAAAAAGATTTGTATCTTACAACCAAACTGACACATTCACATTAGACAAGATTGTTTTGTTGATCTTTCAAGTAAAAAATTGTAAAAGAAATAACAGCACACGGCGGAATAGAAAAAGTCATGGAATTGCCGACCACAGTGCCAATTGTTGTTTGGAATTATTTAATGAGAATGTAAATAAATATAAAATTATTATTATTATCTCAGCCACAACTGCAAAACAATAGCCACTTTAACGATTGCGGCTGATAGTAATTGTAAAAATATTGAAAGAAAAAACGCAATTCATATTTTTTTGTTGCCGGGAGCTGCTTTGTTTGCGATTACCATTCACCCGGCTCTGTTTTGATTTTCCTCTCCAAATACTTTCCAGTATTTGAGCCACTTTGAAATCCGAGATAAATTAATATCACTTGTAAACTATGCTCAGGCATTATGTTTACCCTCATTTTCCAATCATATTATAGATTTAGTGTAGATCCGATACCAGATGAGAAAGATGTAAACACGACGATACGCTTCAGCCAGATCGCAAAAAAACTTTACAAATGCGCTTTTCAAAAATAAAGTCCAAGAATATGTGGATACGTTGATCTTGTGTTTACAAAACTTGATAATAAAATATTGGGTTAGCAGAAAGCAAAATTGTCTTTTCAATGCAACTTTTTGGACCTGATGTTTGTCACTGATCTGCCACTCGATTCGTTGCACGTTTCGTGTATTGCAGTTGCGCCTATAATGCAAATAACTTGCTCATTTTACGTGCTTGTAATTTAAACAGGCCCTTTGGAATGCGCGTTGTCGCGACTGCGTACCAAATCAAAAAAGTACTATACTGTACTGCAATACTAAAGCGCACACTGTGTTCGCAATTTAAGATATTAATAGAACGCGTATATATATTCCATTTCAATTGGATGTATGATGTATGATGTGTGCATATGTACGTCTCTCAACCACATACGCACACGCACACGTACACACATAAAGTGTATTATTGTGTATACTGTAATGTCTTCTAATACTCTCCTCACACTACATTCATTAAAATGAATAAAAGCCCGCACGCATAAATTAAAAAAAAACTTGATGGTTCAATGTCATTGGTGTTTAGTGCGAATTCCAAACAATAAATATGTGCGCACGCCTATTTATTGCCTCCTATTGTTTTAATTGACAAAAATTGAATAAAAACGTTTACAAAATAAGCATTGCCACACACGTTCAATCTTCGTGGTTGGCTGCCGTCTGGCTGTCCAGCTGCTCCTACTCTTGTTGTTTCTCGAGCTCTTGGTCAACGAGCTCCTCGATGGTCATCTTGTTCGGAAGCATAGCGCTGGTGGACATGCCGATACCGATGCTGCTGGCGACCATTGAGGGAACCATAGCTGCGGCTATGATGTTTTTAGACTTGGCATCACCAGAGCCGCTGCGCTTCCTCGACACATTATTCCGGCGCTTCGATGGTGCGTCGGCAATGTCGGGTCTGGTGACATTTGTGTTAATAGTGAGCTGGCCCGGGATGGCAGCAGTAGCGGCCCCATTGTCGCCCGTGTGTCTGTGAGAGGATCGCTGCTGCTGGCGACGATATCTGGCAGAGCCCTCATTATCGGCAGAGTGCGAGCCTGGCTCGTGGCGCGGGGTCTTGCTCATATGTTTGGAGATATTGGCGCCAAGGCGAGCAACCGACGACTTGAGGCCGCTGCCATGCATACCCGACATCAGGTTCTCGTCGCTCGACCGGCTATACACGTTGTCCACCGCAAATCCAGAAAACTTGCCATTGCCACCAACATTGCCGTTGTTATTGTTCGAGTTGCCGGTAAGCTTGCTGCGCACATTCTGGGCGGGCGGTTGCCACTCGAGATTCTGCGGCGTCTTGTATATGTCCTGTGACACAAACGGAATCATCCACCAGATGAGCTCGTCGGGAATGAGCCTGAGGACAAGACCGACCGGCAGCGAGAGGAATCCGGCAATAATCGAAAAGGCCCAGTACTTGCCGCCTAGGGCAGTCGTCTGGAACGCCACGCCTCCCCACTGGATAATAATCACCTGACCAATGACCGAGATAAATACAATGCCCAAGAAGAACCAGTTCTTCTGCATTCCCTTGAAACAGTTGACCTCGTTATGAAGCACGCGGCAGTTGAACTCGTTGAATATCTGCATCCATGCAAAAGTATTGAACACCAGAGTGCGCAGTACCAGCATGTCCTGGGCGCTTTGAACTGTGTGCAGATTAAAGATGTCATCGGCGGCGTACAGCGTGAGGAAGCACACAACCACTTGGAGGATAGATTGACCAATGATGTTCTTCCACATGGTAAACGTGATCAGCGGCGAGCCTTGCTTCTCAGGGTGACGATCAAGTAGGCTTTCGCTTGGCGGATCGGTGGCTAGAGCCAGCGCCGCAAACGTATCCATGATGAGGTTGATCCACAGGAGTTGCACGGCGGTGAACACCGACTTTTCTTCATCGTCAGCAACTGAAGACACAAAAGCAATCAGCACAGCGGTGACGTTGACAGTGATCTGAAACTGCAAGAACTTCTTGACAGCATCATTGACGGCGCGGCCCCACATGCAGGCGCGCACGATGGATTTAAAGTCGTCATCCATCACGACGATCGACGAGGCCTCCTTGGCCACCTCAGTGCCCGCAATACCCATGCTGAAGCCCACATTGGCCGCCTTGAGCGCCGGCCCGTCGTTGGTTCCGTCGCCAGTCACCGACACCACTTCCCCGTGCGTGCGCAGCCATTCGACCAGCATGCGCTTGTCCTCTGGCGACGAGCGCGCAAGCACTTGCAGTCGCGGGATAATGAACTCCATCTGCTCCGGCGTCAGCTTGCGGAACTTTGGGCCCTCCAGAACAATGCCGCCCATGCCCGGCGTGAAGATGCCGCACTGTGTGGCGATGGCCCGCGCAGTAAGAACGTTGTCGCCAGTGACCATGCGAACAATGATTCCTGCGTTCTGGCAGCGGCGCACAGCGTCAGTGACACCCTCGCGCAGCGGGTCCTCAATGGCAAAAATGCCCAGGCAGACCAGGCCGGCTGACTCGCGCCACTCGACGTCCGACTCGAGTTGCGCCAGGTTGGCCTCGTCAAAGGTCTCGAAATCGCGGTATGCCATACCAATAGTGCGCAGGGCGCGCGAGGCATAGTCCGACACCGTGCGCTGCAGATCGCGCAGGGTCTCCTCATCCAGCGGAAGAACTGGGATCGCAGGGTTGTGAGCAAAGTCCGCCGGGAAGGCAGAGTTTACCAGTGCGTCCTCGCCGACATCAGTGGTGTCCGACCCGGCATTGCGCAGGTTATTGTAGTTGGCGCTGAGCAGATATGGCGTCTCCATGCTGCCCGTCGTGTTTCCAGTGATATTGCCACCCTCCTTCTCATTCTCGCTGTCGCTGCCGTGGTCAAGGTTGATCTGCGGGATGTTGCCGTGAGCGCTTCCAAAAGAGCCAAAGTTGTTATCATCGTTGTCCACACCGGTCGGGCTGTTAGCGGAGAACTCGTTCAGATTGGCATCAATGCCCTCGGCGTTGTCCTGCTTCTGAAAGGCGCCATCAACATCGACAATCCAGCGACAGTCCTGAATGACAACCTCGGGCGCACCCTTCACGTACAGGCGCCACACAAGCTTGTTGTCCTCTCGGCGCCGGATGCGAACCAGTGTGCTCATTGCCTTGCGCTCGGAGCTGAACGGCCATATCTGAACGTGCTTGTCAATGTCCTTGTCGCGCAGCTGGGAGTACAGAGGTGCACCGAGTGTCTCAGACCAAGTGAGCATCGCAGTCTCCGTCTTGGACCCAGTAAACTTGTCCGCGTTTGACACAGCGCCGGCAGACTCGCCGCGGCTCTCCTCGCCGGCCACAGGATCAGCATTAGCCCTGGACTTTTTCTGCAAGCGGCCGAGCAGGCGGCGCCAAAATGGAATGCTTTTGCCTGCAGCGCCGTTGCCCAGTAGACCATCGTCGGAGCCAGCGGCATCGCCGTCGACCTGCAAATCAGCCGCTGGAATAAATGCGGTCGAGTTGACAGCAATGGCGTCATGGCAGAGGTTGAGCACAGCTAGGGGAGCCTCCTCACCAAGCTCTGCTGTGGCCACAACCACTTCGTCGTTGTCGCTCTGGTCGCTCAAATCAGAAAGGCCAGAGAAGCTAGGGATGGCGTCAGATGTTGGTGTCAGCGCACTCGACGACGAGTAGCCCGAGGCCACGCCAGCAGCACGGCTCAGGCGGCGGCGAATATGGCGGTAGCGACGATCGCGCAGGCGCCGCTGGCGGCGGGACTGTGTCTCAAGAAGTGTGGGCAGAACGGCCTTCTCCGGTGGCACAGCCCGGCCGGCCATATCAGTTACCAGACCGTCGGCCGGAGGCTGTTTGGCCTTGCGTCGCTGAATCTCCGACGTCCCTGGCGGGTATGAGCTGAACTGGTACTGGTCGCCGATGCATCCGGCAACGACAGTCATGCGGTTGCAAGTCAGCGTGCCTGTCTTGTCAGAGCAAATGGTGGTTGCGTTGCCCATTGTCTCGCATGCGGCTAAGACTCGCACAAGGCAGCCGTCTTTGAGCATCCTGGTGGTAGCCACAGCCAGAGCCAGTGTCACAGCAAGCGGCAGTCCCTCGGGCACAGCCACAACAACCACGGTCACCGCTGAAATGACAATGCGCACTACGCTGTCCACAATGGCAGTGGCATCGCGGTTAGCTGTGGGCTTTGTGACTTGCACAATGTACTTGATAATGAGGACGACAAACATCAGAAGACCGGCGGCGCCGCCCAGTTTGGCAATGAGCTCGGCCAGTCCGTTAAGCTTGAGCTGCAGGGGAGTGGGCTCGCTCTTGGAGCGCAGTGACATGAGCGTGCGGCCGTAGAATGACTTTTCGCCCACGGCGACCACGACGCAGCGGCCAACGCCCTCAAGCACGCGGCTGCCAGAGATAAGGAAAGGGTCGCTCTTCCGACCCGAGTACGCCTTGGCACGCTTCCCAGAAACAGCACCAGGGGCTGGCAATAGCCGCTGAATGCTGTCTTCAACTTTGGGGTCAGTCCCGTCCAAGATCACACTGGTGGCCGGCTTATCGGCAGCAGCGCCCTCGCCGTCCGTGGACTCGTCGGCCTCAGCGCCAGACTGGTTCTGCGCCTCGGCAAACTCAATATCACCAGTCCTTCCCTTCTGGCGGTAGGCGTTCGCGCGCTGCTCGTTGCGCTTGCTGCGCAGCTCGGCGCGCCGGCGCTGCCTCCAGCTCTTGCGATCCGCCGTGGCCTTCTCGGCATCCTCAAGTCGGCTCTTCTTCATAGCATCGCTCTCACCGGTAACCGAGCTCTCGTCGCATCTGAGGTTGGACGAGGAAACGACAATGCCATCGGCGCACATTATGTCTCCGGGCTCAATGTGCAGAATGTCACCGACCAAAATGCAGTTTGTGGATACCAAGCACTCTTGACCGCCGCGAGTCAGACGCACCTTGCGGTCGTTCTTTTTCGCGTTAAGACGGCGGAACTGCTTCTCCTTCTGGTAATCGTTAATGGAGGCGACCAGGGTGACGACCGCGATGGCTACGATAATCGCAAAACCCTCGACCCAGTGCACGTCCTGACTGTCCTCAATCTTGTCCCCGGTGACGCGCACGTCCTGGTAAATACCGATGGCCAGCGAGACGATGGCAGCCACGACAAGCAGAATGAGCATTTTGTCGTGCAGCGCGTCCCAGACAAGCCCCAGGAACGAGCGCGCCTGCGTTGGCGGTAGAATATTGACACCGTACTTTTCGACGCGGTCTGCGTACAGCTTGCGGTCGGTCTCGAACTCTGCCAGCCAGGTGAGCTCCGAGTCATCCTGCTCTTCGGCGAGCTCCTTGGCCAGCTCTGCGTTTTTGGACTTTGTTTTGGTCAGTTTCAGCGGCTCCGCAGCATCCGATACTGAATCGATACTGGAGCTAGCGGGTATAATGCCCATATCCACGTTGACGTTGAGCCGCTCGAGTAGGCCGTCGGTGCCTCCAATTTTCTGCAGCGCTGCAATGTCCTTGTCTGCGACCATGGCTGCAAGCTCGTCAGAGCTGGACTCGTTCATGTCTATGGAAGCTACCTGGTGCTCCCCGTCCTTTTCGCTCACCAAGGATTGTACCTGCAGCATTGTCGGCGTACTTTGCGGAGAAGTGTATTCCGGCACCGGGCCGGCTGATCCGTTATCCATTGTAAACCCTTAGCGGCTGCAATGTATGTGCGTGTATGTGTGTGTGTGTGCGTATTGAACCTATTGATTGTGACATAAATGCAAAGATGAAGTATGATGTTTGGGGGGCATTTATTCCAGTAAAAAAACAGGGATATAATTGTTACAATCGTTAGTATATCACTTGCAGATTCGTTTGCGGTGGCTGGGCCACAAGGCATAACAAGACAGAACAAGACAGGGCAGAAGGCACGAGAATGTGGCGGCAAACAGCACGCATTATCAAATTTACTGCGCGCATGCTTCCGAGAACAGTTTGGATGAATATTTTACGCAATAAAGAAGCTACATGCATATTCTACATGGTGTATAAGTTATATTTTAATACTTGCCTGTTATGAACAGACGAAACCGGCGTGTGTGTGGAAGGGAAACGATTGCGTGTATTCTAATGAAAACGGTTGATAATAATAATAATGTGTGGAGCGGCGACGTGTGATTTTTCTGCTGTTTTTTGTCTGCTGATGTGTCTTTTGTATAGACACCAGTGACGATGTGGGGAATAACCAATAAATTGGCTAGTATTTTAATACAAGAACACTGGTGGTGATGTTGTATGTATCAGTAAACTCCAGGGTAGCTGCCTCCGATGTAAGGGCTAGCAGTATGAGCAATAGCGGGCGGTATTGTAAATACTGAATAATACAGGCGCAAAAGGCATGAACCGTTTGTGAGTTCCAAAAGAGGGTATTGGAAAAAAATAAGGAGGCAATAGAAAAACGACGTCCGACTATAAGGTATAGAGTAAAAATTAAGAAGGCGGGAGATGATTGCTTCTTATTATATACTCTGCCTCGGGCTTGTGTGCAGTAAGCAGTAAAAGAAAAAATGAGATATTGCGGGAGAAGGCAAAAGCTTTAAAATGTAGGGATGAAGTGAAAAATAAAAATGCTTATGAGAAAAATAAGAGGGGTAAGGAAAAGAGACTGCCTGGGTTTACCTGCCAGCCAGTGCTCCAAAAGAACAACAACAGCACCAGTCAATAAAAATATGAGGAGTAAAGTTGAGCAAAAAGAATATCTCCAGCAAAGAAAGAATTTTCTAAAGAAGGTTCCAAAAGAAGATTGTAAGCATCACGGTGTGCGCATGTCCCTCCCTCAAACTGGTCCATTACATGCTATGCTCCGTGGCCTTACCAATATAATAGATGTTGAGAGCGGGCGTGAAAAATGCAGGCATTTTCACTGCCAACTTTGCCGACTATTATAAAAAGAAACTGCCTTCTATTTGACGCGTTCCATTAGATCAACCGAGCAGCGCTCTACCGCGATTTTTTTTATTGGAATCAGGTGTTTGTGCACACAACGGGTGTGGACTAGCGCCAAGACTCGCAGGATGTTTATAATATCATGTTGGCTTTTCATTCGCACAACTCATGCGGTGAGCCGTTTTGCAAAATTTTATTTTCGGAACAGAGGCCTTTATTTTTTGTTTCAACGCTCTGCAGCAGGAGAGTCTCAACAACAAAAAATAAAACAAATAAGCAATGTTTCTGGAACTCTGCGTACAAAACACATGGCCACACAGGAAAGGCAGAAACAAGCCCAACGAGTGTGTGCACTTCTCAAAAGAAATCGGCACAGAAAATACTTAAGAACTGCCTATTATATAAAAACATTTTTCTTCACAACATTGAAATTTATTTATTGGGCAAAGAAACCCGTGCCCAAAATCACAACAAAAAAGTTATTGCTCACTACAGGGGTCGAACCTGTGACCTACGCGTTATTAGCACGTCGCTCTAACCGACTGAGCTAAGCGAGCTGAAACGGGTTTTAACCGCTTAATTCGCTTATTCTGAACATCAACCTTTATATAGTTAAATAATCTTAATTACACACTTTTTAAAAAGCCTGTTTGGAATAATTTAATTAACCCACAAGGCAATGTAAGCGCTCACGCACACATCAACATCATTTTTCATTCCACATTTTTTGGAAACGTCAGTTTTGTACCAACGTATTTGTTCTCGTTTTCTCGTTCATCATTATCACTTAACCACAAGAATCATGTCGACTACTTTGGGAAACAGGCGAGATACAGTTGTAAAGATCTGCGGCGTACGCACAGTCGATGCAGCGTTGGCAGCAGCTGATGCGGGGGCAGATATAATCGGGATGATATTTGCGCCCTCCCCACGACTTATAGACATTGCGACTGGGCAGCAGATCGCACAAGCCGTGCGCCAAACAAACACGCATCATCAGTGGCAGCAGCAGCAGCATAACCCATCACAGCTGCATTCCTCGATTAATAATGATGCGACGCCGGCGGAATTCTTCACCGCATGTGCCGATCACATACTGTCTAGAAAGGGACAAGAGTCGCGCCCAGGGCCTTTGCTCGTGGGGGTGTTCCAGAACCAGTCTCTGGAGCATATTCTCGAAGTGGCCCGCAGCGTGCCCCTGGATATGGTGCAGTTACATGGGGATGAGGCGGTGGAGCTGGCGCGGGAAATCCCCGTTCCTGTCATCAAGGTGTTTCACGTGGACGATACGTTTTCTTCGGACTCCGAGTCTGATTTATTCAAGACATTCTGTCATTCTGTGGTTCTGCTCGATACCAAGGTTGCCGGCACGAGTCAGCAAGGCGGGAAGGGCGTGAGTTTCGATTGGAGCATTGCTGGGAAACTGGCTGATAAGGGAATTCCGTTTTTGATGGCTGGCGGGTTGACCCCTGAGAACATCGGCAGAGCTGTGGGTGTTGGCAGGCCGTGGGGTGTGGATGTATCGAGTGGGATCGAGACGGACAAGGTCAAGGACCCGAAGAAAATCCACGCGTTCGTTGTGAATGCCAAAAAGAACTTGGAGTCATCGGCATAAAAATTGTGTTTTTCCACGCAACACCGATGCGCATAAATATTAACATTCAATACACATGCCATTTCGTGGCACTACATTTTCTATATATGGATGGCTTGTTGATCTCTTTTTCTATGTGAAAAATAGACTAATTAAAAAGAGAAAAGATAGTAAAAAAGAGATGTGAAATCATACAACAGACTGGGCACTATGGTGCCACTTAAAGGCCTGCACAATGCCGTAGTAATGCGTGAGCGCGGCGAAAAACACCAAGCAGTGGAACAGCTGGTGCGAGTTTCCAACGATATCGAACAGGCCGGGATACCAGCGCTCAGGAATATTGAATGCATAAAGCAAAGTGCCAGCGACATAAAAGCCAACCATACCCAGCATATAATAAAGGCCAATGGACCTCGCAGATGCAGCAATGCCATGAGCAATAATGTGGTGGCACACGGGGATGCCCCCGGAAAGCGAAATGCTAAAGAAAACAACGGGACGCAGCCAGCGCAAATTGGGCTTCTGCAGGTGCGGAGACACGCTGACAGTGACGCCGACGACAAAGAGCGAGAGCATCATGGCCATGTAGAGGAACATGAGGATGCGCGATTCAAAGTATCCGTAGTACAGGCCCGGGAGGAAGGAGCCCAGGATGAGAACCAGGATGCCGACAAAGTCGCACTTGAGCCACGCAACATGGTGGCTATGCGAATGGCACGAGAAGGTGTGGAACATGGTCGACAGCACAAAGCAGATGCAAGCGCTCAAGATGTAGCCGTAGAGAACAAAGTAGTCACCCAGCGACGCGCGGCCGGGGGACATCGATGCCGGCAGCAGGTTGTAGTTGGTGCTCAGTGCCAGCCCGATAAAAAACACCAGCGACACGAAGTGCGTCAGCACATTGCCCGACTCGTTGTGGACGTAGGTCATTGAGTGCAGGCATGCGCGGTACGAGTTGGAGATGCGCCGGTAGCCGGAAATGATATACGTGTCGCGCAGAAATGCCGGCACATCGTCGATGGTCGTTGTGTACTTTGGGTGTCCTGGTGCAAACAGCGGGCGGTAGTACACCTCGGGCAGCTTGTAGTTGTCGGTGCAATCCTCGGCGTCTTTGGCGCTGTACGCGATTGGGCTGCCATTGGCGGCGTCGACCTTTGTCGCCGCCGTCGATGCTCGGGAGCGAAGCTGGTTTTTTGGCCCTTGGTTATAAATACCTTCGGTCAGCTGCGTGGCTTCTGTCGTCGATTTAGAGTGTATCACAGTCGCCATTTTCGACAGCTGTTTAATTTCCCACCCCGTTTTATGTGCCTGTGCGTGTCGCGTGTCGCGAGATATGAACGTGTCTGTGCTCGATAAATAATTGCACTCCTTCCGCCGGCGAGGGTAACGGTATGTATGCCCAATGGCTGAGAGAGTCAGTGAAACGAAGCAAAAGTGTGCTCGCCTATGTGAGCAATAAGTGATGATAAAGATAAAAGCTGGAGGAAAAACAGGTGCTTCAATGCTTTGTTTTTTTGCAAGGATAAGAGGGATACAAGCTGAGATGTGTTAAGAGAAAAAGTACAAAAGAGAAATGTGAGATTCAGAAAAGAAAAGAAGGTTTTGGTTGTCAACATATGAGCAAGGCAAATCGCAAATGTAATCGGGCTTCCACCAGAAAAAAGTATTAAAAATCGATGGCAATCGCTCGCCTCCTGAGGCTTGTGATTGCACAGCACACACACATGGCATTCAGAAAATAATTGTAATTTTTTTCGTCTATTCGCGCTCACTCTAACTTTTCTGATCATCCTATAAAAGGGGAAAATTTTTCTTTTGTCTTTGGTCGCTGAAAAAGAGGCAGGCCCACTCGCGGATGTTCCCTGTTTGTTTCCGCCTCCCTTCCTGCACACTCTCCCCCAAAACGCAAAACAAAACATAAAAACACAAAAACACGCCCAAGATGCGGAAAATGTACATCTCCGAGCGCACAAAAAAGTAATGCAAGGTCCAACTGCTATAACTGCAGCGATAGCAAAAGGCAAAAAAACATTTACCAGCGGACGTTGCACACTTTGGTATCCAAAGTCAAAGCGGCGCCATGCCAATCAGAAATCGCCTCGTGATATTATTGCCAACAATACCCCCCCTGCAATCAATCACCAAAGCCCAAATAGTGCGAGGGAGGCGTTGCAGCACAACGAGGCACAGAACGCCTCGAGGTTTTAATATTTCATATGCTCTTTAACGAGATTTAGAAATCAAAAGTAAAAAACCCCCCAATAAAAAAAGTAGCCATCCGCCATGCATTCTTCGCGGTTTGCCGTTTTACTTGTCTTTTTTCTTTGCTATTGTAGCCTGCATTAATTTATTTAAACACAACCAACGCTTTCATTTTTTATTTTTACATAAGAACAATGGTTCTATCGAGGCGCACAACGCCCACCGTGGCCGCAGTGCCGCAGAACGGACTTGACCCGCAAACAATCGACAGCGATGCTGGAATCGTGTCCGAAGCCACGACCCTGTTGGAGCCTGAGGCCGCCGCAAACGGAGGCTCAAAGTACCAGCACGCATCGCAGGGCAAGCGGCTGCTGAGCTGGGCCGAGCTGCCCGAATGGATGAAAGACAACCAGTATATTTTCACAGGATACCGCGCGCCAGCAAACTCTTTTGCCAAGTGCTTCGCGTCTTGGTTCTACTTGCACAACGAGACAGGCAACATCATGACACACCTCCTTGGCGCACTGGGTTTTGTCATTCTGTGCTTCACAGTAGCCAGCGGCCTGCTGCTCGAGTTCCCGACCATTGACTGGAACGATATCACAACAATGTATATATTTCTTCTGAGCGCCATTGGATGCATGGCCACGTCGGCCATATACCACACGGTGACTTGTCATTCGCACAGTGTCCAGCGGGCGTACAACCGGTGTGACTACGTCGGAATTGTCTTTCTGATTGTCGGGTCGTGCGTGCCCGTCTTCTGCTACATGTTCTACTGCCACCCGAGGCTGAAGATGTTCTATCTCGGCCTGATTTTCTCCCTGGGGCTGCTCACCACATACATGGTTGTTGCGCCGAAATTTGGCACGCCGGCGTACCGCCCCCTGCGCGCCGCAACATTTGTTGCCCTTGGTGTATCGGGCGTCGTCCCGGGCGTGCATTCCTGGTGGCTGTTTGGCTGGGAGTACACACGCAATGCTGTGCAGGTGCCCTATATGCTGGTTATGGGCCTAATGTATATTGTGGGCGCCACTCTTTACGGCGCTCGGTTCCCTGAGCGCTGGTGGCCGGGCCGCTTCGATTACCTGCTCCATTCGCATCAGATTTTCCACGTGTTTGTCGTTATTGCTGCTGCTGTTCACTTTGTTGGCGTCTGTGGGGCTTTGCGCTGGACACATGCTGTTGGGATTTCAATGTGTGACACCTCGCTGCAATGAATAAGGAATACATGGCCTATTGTTCCTGCAATGCCTGATTCGCCCTCATCATGCTTTTTTCTGTGGACCGAGTCGGTCTTGATCTTGATCAATCGAAACAATATCCGGTCTTTTGCATGCTTTTATTTATTTTTCATCCATCAAACTTCTCAAAAATTTTTTAAAAAATTTAAGACAAAATTATCAACTGGATGAAAACTACCCATTGTACTATTTTGCTGCTATAAATACTGTATATGGCCCTCCTGACAACTGCGCAGTCCGAAAATAGTACTGCAAAAAAAGTATTGACAGCCAAAATAGAGTAAATAATCCCGAAATGGGATTTGCCTATTTGCATTATTTTCTGTCACGCATATCGCCTTAAATATCTGTAAAAAATGATACCTACAAACTTGAGCAAAAAAAAACTTTGGTGGAAAAAGGTCAAGGGCTTCTTATTTATTTATTTTTCAAATTTGCAATACTAATTGTACATATAAATATTTCTTTTTCCAATTTTTATTACTCAATATACACTGCATTTTTTCTCACTTGGTCGCAACATTATCCCTGTATCCACAACATAACACGACACAGTGCAATACATACACTTACACTCATACATTCGCATTTCAGAAAATGCATATTCGGCTGGCCTGGTTGCTCGCCCCCGCGCCACTGCTGCTAGCCTTGCTACTAGCCTTACTGCTAGTGGACAGCGTGCATGCTACAACAACAGCCTTTCGCGCGGCAAACCTCGACGAGTTACAGGCAGTCTCCAGCCAAATATCATCGTGGCGCGCCTTCGCATGTATGGTTCCCTTCACAGCCTCAGACAAAACCCCACTACTGATGCTCTACGGCGGAACCAGCGACCCCGGCATAACCGACCCGCTCTCCGCGGCATCATCCGGGCTAAACAAACTGCAAGTGTTCGACACAACGACCAGCAAATGGTACGCGCCAAACACAGCCAACACGCCCACAACCGGTCCTGTTTTGCCCGGCTGCGGCGCCGGGTCAGGCAGTATCTGGGTGTATGACACCCAGTATGGCGTGCCTAATCGGGCGGCCACAGCGGTTAGTCTTCTGGATATCGTGCATTGGAGTTGGAGCGCGCCGACGGAAAAGGGCCAGCTTCCCGTCACGCGCTTCGGAGCTGCATTCGCAAATGTGCCTGATACAAATCAATTTTACATGCATGGCGGGATCCCCCTGAGCGTCGACAAGAATCTCGCTGCTGATCCGCCGGCCATCACGAATAACATGGACATACTATCGCCGTCGACCATATCATGGAACTATGCGAGTAATGGGCCGGCACGCAAATACCATACCATGTGCTATATGAGCTCCATCAAGTCTCTTGTTATGTTTGGGGGCTCTGATATGGATATTTCTAGCTACAATGATGTCAAATTGCTCTCTACGACAAACAACATCTGGCAGTACGCCGTTGATATCGAGGGCAAGCCTCCCTCCGAACGCATTCTGCACTCCGCAGTGTGCACCAAGGATACCATGTATGTGTTCGGCGGTATGAGCGGCATCGGTGCTGTGCCCTCGGATAGTGCAGTGTGGATGCTCAAGGCGACTGGAAATACCAGTTTCAAGTGGTATACAGCGCCAATTAATATTGGGGCGGGGCTGAATCCGGGGCCGACCGCACGCGCCGGCCATTCCGTGGCACTGCATAAGAACAACATGTACATTTACGGCGGAGTTGGGCCGAGCGGCCAGGACGACACCATGTATAAGCTGGATCTCGAACAAATGACGTGGTCGCAAACGAGTGTCACTGGGTTGGGCGTTGAAGTACAACAAACGAAGAGCAAGGTCAGAACTGCTGTAATCATTGCCGCCATAGTGTCGTCCGTCTTGGGTACTGTAACCATTGGAATAGCAATTGCTGTGCTGTACCGTATAATCAGACGCCACCACCGGAATGCATTTGGTGGAATTGGCGTTGGCAGTTCCGCGCGCAGGCATGACCAGGCCAACGGTTGCGTGAGCAGTGATGATGGCGAGGATGACGGTGCGGTCAACATGACCATGAGCGAGTACAAGGGCGAAAGCCGCCGCGGCACAGGGAACTCTCACTACCCCAAAAACGAGGGCATCCGCGGTGGCCGTGCATATAGTGATATTGGCGGTGGGGCCGCATACAAGTACCCGTCGCCAGATAATATCACTCCGGTTTCGCCCAGCAGTATGGTAACCTTTGGGTTTCCGCCCGTAATGCCCGTCAGTCACCAGGCCGAGTCCCCGGGGGGATCCGCTAACAACAGCAGCAATATTCGCACACCGACGGAACAAAACCTAGTAAACGGTTCAAATTTTGATTCCGCCACAACCATACCCGCCAGCATCGCCACCGAGATCAACCTACTCTCTGCCAAGGAAAAAATTGCCAACACCGGTAGGCCGAGCACCAGTGGAAACCGTATGATGAGATCAATGCGCGCACACGCGCAGTCTCTTAGCAGCAGGTTTGGCCCATCGCGGCTCTCGCAAGCATTTGGTGACAACACCAACTCAGTTCCACATTCGCCATCAGCTCTGCCGCAGCAGCAGGCAAATGGTATTAGTATTGCCAATCGCAATCGCAACCGTAGCCGTCGCGCGGCCACTGCAGGTGCCCTGTCCACTGGCGTCTACCGCCAGCCAGCAATCATCGACCAGAATACAGCTAACAATATGTATGGTAGCGAATACTCGCGTCGGGAGAACGAGTATCGTCAGGCAGAGGCTATCAACCAGATTCTGCTTTCCGGGCAGCCGATTCCTGTGTGGTTGCGTGATGCTGTGAATCAGGCTCAGGGTAATGACCCGGACCTAGAACACCCACAGCAGCAGCAACAACAATATGGTCAGAGCCAGTCTGATCACGATATGGATGTTGCCAGCGGTTCTGAGACAGCAGGTCTGGAGAGATCCGTGCGCAAGCTAGGAATTGTCAATAAACCGAAGCCCAGGAGAAAAGCAACGGGCAACAAGGCGGTCACTTGAAAATTGTCCAATAATAATTAAATTAATAAATTTTGTTTGTTTGCTTGCTTGTATTTTTTTAGTTTAATAATCTCACCCTTGCCACACGATCATCATATTTGAATATTGCATTTTGCATTTTGCATATTAAATATGATCTTTGAATACAAACAATTGAATTGTGTAACCCAAATGCTAATGTTTGCTAGTTTAAATCCCAAACCTACACTTGATTAAAATATAAAATTGAATGCAATCCAGCAAACAAACAAGGAAATAAGGTTTTATTTTTAGCACCAACAAAAAAATTTATCTTTGCTCTATTTGGAAACTATCAATTTGATAACACCCAATCGGTTTTGCGGATAAATAGTATTTTTCTTTCTTGTGCAATATAAAATATAAGTGCGGCAAACAAAGCGTCCTCAGTGTGACAGAAGTTTAAACTCATGACGCAAGACTAATTGTTTATTCCGCAAAAAATAAAGCGGTCCTTATAAACCAAACATGGCGCTCATTTTCGTTGTGAAAAATCTTTGTTTAGAACTGTGTTGATATTTTCTTTTCCGTCTTTATCTCGTTTTTTTCACATACTCCATTTATACTTTATAGTTCAATTATATTTGGACAAAAAAAGCCGATCCAAAAGACATTATATTAAAGTGCACATTACAATGCTTAACAGCAGCAGCCAGCAGACTTCTCGCGCCCATCCACGGCGCCTGCGAGTGATCAAGCAAGCCCTGATAATGTTTATTGTAGCCATACTGCTGGCACTGCCCGGCACACACGCACGCCCGCCAAACACCAGGAGCGGAAATATCAATGGCGCGCTACTGCCCCGAATCATGGGCGGATCCGAAACCCACCAGAAAGATTACCCGTTCATTGTTTACCTGCAGAACGGCGCCGAAAAGACATTCTGCGGCGGCTCGATCATCTCAGATCAATGGATTGTAACCGCCGCGCACTGTATCAAGTCTGCGAGTGCCAGCGATATCACAGTTTACATCGGCCAGGACCAGTACAACCCGGATCCTTCCAAGAGCGCACAGGTGGTGGAGGTACACAACCACCCGCAATACGATGACACTTCGATGGTCAATGATATTTCACTGTTGCGTCTGGCTTCGAGTATTTCGTCAAACCCTGCGTCCACCATTTCCATCGACAACAGCACTGTTGGTGACGGAACAAAAGTGACTGCGCTCGGGTGGGGGTACACGTCGGAAACCGGAACGTCTTCATCGAAGAATCTGAAAAAGGGTGAGCTCACGACCTTGTCCAAGGTAGACTGTGGGTCAAGGGATACCAAATTTACTGGAAATGATGGCCCACGCATTTGCGTTGCTGCAGATACTGGTACGGACACTTGTCCTGGTGATTCTGGAGGACCCTTAATTCGCAAGGTTAATGGAGAGAATATGCTCGTTGGCATCACCAGCTTTGGCACTGCGGGTCCCGGAAAGTCGGTCACTGTGAATTGCGGCGGTGCGGGGATGATCAGCTTGTTCACACATGTGGCTTATTTCAAGTCCTTCATTGAATCGACAACTGGTGGGCTCCGGAAGTTTGAAAACGCGAACGGCCAAGGGTAAGTAGTTATATTACGATCATTTCTTGAATTTTTTTGCTTTTATGTCGCACACGAACACACCAATGTTTTGTTTCACTTGAACTGTTGTTTTTTGCTAATGAATTTCGTTATTTATTTGTTATGCGTCTTTTTTGCATATTTGGTCCTTCTCGCATAAAACCGACGATTCCAAAAATAGCAATTCCGCCGGCCACTTTGTACCCAGCGCGCTGCTCACAGCCATCACAATCGTCATTGTGTCTGCGCTGTCCATCGCTTAGCTCAAGCTTAAAGTCAAATACACGTGGCTAAAAGTATATTGGGAGTATAGATAAACGCATATTTACATTATTACCTTGCAATTATAAACTTGTTTGAACCAAAAAATAAAATAAAATGCAGAGAAACTGATTCTGCTGCTGCAAAAAAACAACAATACTATGAAAAATAATTATATATATTTGGGCGGAACACCGCTATTGCTGCTGCTGCTGGTCTCCATCGTCATTGCGCGCAACAGCCTTTTCAATGCGTGACATCCATGTTTGCATCTCCGCGTGCTTATGTATAACACTCATCTCCAGCTTTTGCAGCCGCTGCCGCAACAGTGAGTTTTCCTCGCGCAGCAGACTTATTTGCTCAATATCGTTGTGCGAAAAGTCGTCGCGGCCAGCACCAATTCCGTAGCCACCACCGCCTCCAGCGCCTCCCTCAGTGATTGTGCCACTGGGCCTCCGCATGTTACCCGATGACATGTAGACATCGGTGTCCTGCCTTTGCAAGCCCGCAAACCCGCTTGCCACTGTCCGCTGATAGCTGGATCCCCTGCCCAAATTGGGGCTACTAACCAGCATTGGCGACACCTGGGGGTTAGTGACTGGCAAAAATTGCTGTTGGTTCTGCGCGATTTGTGAGAGCGAGGGCAGCGTTATTGATACTGCCCTGGGGCCGCCCAAGCGCGGCGAACGTAGTGCTGTGCTGGGTGGCGACCTTGGCAGGCGTTGCGGCCGGTGCCCTGACACATGACATTGTGGTTTTGTTGGGCCGCCTGGGTAAAACCCGCCTTCGGGCCCTGGCACCATATGCGAGGGTGGAGGGAGCGAGGCGTTAGCTTGCTCGGGGCGTCGCCGTTTGATTAGTGGCAGCATAGCTGTGTTGTTTAAAGCTTTCGCGTCAACCCCAGATGAAATGGCGTTGCCGCTGCTGCTGTCACCACCGCCTATAACCGAGCCAAAATAGTTGTCGGATGGAATATCAAGTGGTTGCGTAGGCATGCTGTGAGACATGCGCTGCTGTGATTTGATTACAGGCGTGCGCATCATATTATCGTCGGCGCTCGATGGACTCTCCATGAGAGACATTGGGTGACTTCCAAGAGCACGCGTGTCCTGCTTGGGCGGGGAGGGTGAAATGGTCGGCGAAAAGGTTCTGTCTGAGGGCGACCCGATTAACATTAGCGAATTGCTCTGGCCGCGCAGGAGTGTAGCAGGAGGGCGCATGGCGCTATGCGCAGATATGTTGTTCGGGTGTCGGTGTGGCAGGCCATGCCCGGAGGGACCGGCAGAACTGGTGGTGTCCATATTGCACTGATCCATGCTGCTGGTTCTGTACGCCTCTTCGTCTTCTATGACCATGTCCAAGGTTTCCCGCAGCGTCCGGAGCTCGTCGGCGGCCTCGATCTGCATCCTATCGCAAAACTGGGCAAACTCGGGCGTTGTAAACAGCCTGTGGCTCAGCGTGCTTGCCATGTTGTAGTCGTGAGGAAGATAGCTCTCGCAGCATTTTAAAATGGCAACATCCTATTGGTAAAAGTCGTTAAAAGGCAGAGATATTGGAAAATAAATCAAATTAGCAAAAAATATGTTGTGTTTTACGTGTATCACTTGTTTGCAAGGATCAGTGAAACCAGTCAATTTAACAAGATAACAACCAACAAAAAATCGCCACCATCACCATCATTCTTGTTTTGTTTGGCCACCCCCAAAGGCAAATATCACAATATGACAATGAGAAACCACAGCTGAACTGCGAAATAACTTTTCAAATTAAAAAACAAATACATGTCTTTGTACAGTTGTGGACATCTAGAGTATGTTTGTTTATGTGAAAAAGACAAACACGCCGAAAGTTTCAAAAAAAGCATTCTAGAACGGTGACATGCAAAAAACATGAAATATATATACAAAAATATATGCAGTGTGCATAAATTCAGAAAGACAAATGCTGGCCAAAAATAAAGCAGGAATACAAAAAAGCAAAACTTTTAGTACACCAAGATATTTGTTGGGTACTTCGGCGATTTATCGTATGTGCGCGCCTGCATGTAGGAAAAACAGCACACAATTGTTGGGATGGGGCTATATTAACAAATAAAAATGATGCCAACGAGAGGGTGAGAAGATGCGCACACATGCATAAATAATAAACCAGAACAGACATGTGGATATGCTATTGCACGTTTGTGCGCGGGAATTGAAAGTGCAAAAGTTTATATATGGAAAGTGTGGTCTTTTCCGGTTATTTGGACATTTTAAAAAATATTCCCAGAAAAATGATTGATATGCCTAAGTGCTGGTAGCAGCATTGTAGCATTGCAGGGTGTCTCCATCACTTACAATCCAGCAGCAGCAGCAGCCAAAAAACAAACACTTCGGCTATTTTATTTTCTTACCTGCAGCAATACGATTCGCAAATCAAGAATAAAGTCCAAAAAACGGCTGATGTTTCTGCGTTCTTCAATGTCAACAGTGTTAGAAACCATGCTTAGCATACTGTTCGCCCAGGGGAAGATCTAGAATTTCCATGCAGAACGAAAAAACAATTATTATTGTTATATTAGCAGGTTTTCATTTTTTGGCATTCCAATCATTATCATGAAAAATATGATTGGCTGCTTGCAGGGATAAATTGGCAAGCTTGGCTGAACTTCAATAAAAAATAAATAAACGGAAGCAAATGCCCTGACCATTGCGGCGCAACATAGCAATCCAATAATTGGCAGCTTGTATTTAATCTGGCTTCATTTTTGGAACGCACATGCACAGTGACTGTATTGGATTAACGGCCAAACAGAGACACACACCAACATTTACACAGCAAACATGCAGAAAAGGCAGTAGACATGGGTGCTGACACATAAATACAAACACAGAACAATAAGAGCTGCAAGAAAGGAAGTCTATAGACGTCTACACCCTTTCACGTGACTTTACCAGCAATGCAAGCCTTGTAAATCGTTCATAATTAGGTATGGGCAGCGCAAAAAACAAAAGGCAGCGCCAATGGGCAATGCAGATGACAGTGAAAATTCAATGATTACCGTTTGTTGCAGCGAGTCCAGCGGAATAACCTTATGCCGCTGGATTGTGTGATGGGGCTCGAAAAACCCGCTATTGGTTGCCGCGAGCTGGACAAGGCGGTCCGAATACTCGCTGTCCGTAAGCGAGGGCTCTGCCCACGACCCATCGCCATTCGCCAGTCGCTGGTCACACAAAGGCGAAACCGCAGCTATATCGCGGATGCCCATTTCCCGCGCGCGTTGGAGGCTGCGGGACCGAACAACACTATACCCGAAGAGCAGCAAAATAACAAAAGTTAATAGACTGGTCAGTACTCAAATTGTAAGGCAAATCCAAGGTCTGCTCTGCTCAGAGTGACCAACGGTCGAGTAAGAATTGCCCCACAATGTTATTTTATCAAGTTACTCGCGTGTCGCTCAATTGCCAAACCGAGTATTAGCGCGATTTAATGCGTCCATCTTTCTACAGCCGCATAATAACAGGATCCTGTGATGATTCCAAATAGGGAATGTGCAAGAGGAGCGCTCCAGCTATAAAAAATATCACTGGCTGCTCACCTCCGCCATATCCTCATTGGCATCAGACCTGGTGCACTGATCCCGCATGCGCAAAACAAAACAAAAAAGCAAAACAAAAAGCCGTCAATGGAGACTGACTCTGACTCACCTTTGAACGGGCATCCTGTCCTCAGAAATCAATGACCGCACGAGTGCCAGCCGCTCTGCCATCGATACACGGCCAGTCTCGGCCGCCGCCAAGGGGAGCGCAGCGCTGCCTAGGTTGCCGTCGCTGCCACCACTACCGCCAGCCGAAGCAGACACAACAACATTTGGGCGGGCTGGAATGACCAGTGCGTTGCGCCACGCCGGGTCAGTAAATTCAGGTATCAGTGATCCGGCAGCATGCCAGCGCTGGAAAAGAAGCATGCCCAGCGCATTCCATGAGCAGCTTAAGGGGCTCCGCGATCGAATTATGCTGAACTACAACTTCGCAAGCAAGGTAAATCGATTTTCAGGCGAGAAAAGAAAAGCGTGTTAGCATTGTGATGGTCAGGCGCCAGTAAAAAATTGCAATTTCGAATTTGGAAAATCAAAAAATATAATCGTTATATTTGTGCGCGGCCAAGCATGCAATTTTCGGACATGTGAATTAGGCGTTTGATAACAATTAATGATGACCGCGTTTGGCAGTTGATTTTGACCCATCTTGAGCAAAGGCACTGCGAATAGACTGGCTCATTTTTATACAGTCAAAAACTGACAAGACAAAAAAATGTGACACGTTATTTTGTGACACATTAGGGTCTATAATCCGCAAGTGCATTTTTCTTATTCGGCATATGATGCGCGCCGAATTGACGCGGAGAAGAGAATAAAAAAGAATGCCCAGCTGTTAATAATGAACATAATGATTTGTCTCGTCAAGGCAGACCAGAAAACAAGAGCAAGCAACGGGCGTTGGTGAAATTGCACACAGGAAAACAGAAAACCAAATTATTGGGAATAATGCACTGGAGCTGCTACTGCTACTGCGGAATAAAAACAATGTGATTAAAATTGCTGCAGGTGCATCAAGAGAACAAGTGCCGCGAGTGCATGCCAGTACGCCATGGAGACGAGCAAAATCAAGAAAAAAAAGAAGACGCCGTGTTATATACAAGTGGATGATAATCAAACAGTTCTTCAAGACACATACAGAGCACAAACAGCTAGCAGCACTCGCACAACATGTGTTTTATGCAAGGGGAAAGGGATGGCAAATTGAAAATATACAATTGGAACAAACACTAGTGTTATTTCTGTGCGCGTTGCTGCTTGTCGAAATGCTAAAAACAGGTGCAGCTGACAGACAAAATTGACAATGCGCACAACATCAGCAGCACTCAAAAAATGATACACCAGACAGCTAGCAGCATATCTAGCGCCCATGCTCGCGACATGGTATTGCTGCACGCATATTGCACACAATATAACTTACATGTTGCCGAGTGGCCGGAGTGGGAAAATACCCGTTGTCAGGAGACCGGCGCTGGCTGGACGCGGGGCTGGTCATCACTGCAATTCGAAGAACCGAAGATGGCAAGTGCGGCGCCATAGTGCTAGACGCAAAATGTATGTCAGACAGCCGGGTGCCAACGACATCAACAGGGTCAATCCACGCAGACATAGCGACAGTGAAAAGGAAGCGTGCCACGCTGTGCGCCCAAGATCCGCCGAGTAGCCAGTGAAGCTGGCACTCCAGCTCTGCTGTCTCTACCAGGGCTGCCGGGTAAAGCTGCTGCTGCTGCTGCGAATACTGCGCTCGTGGCAGTTGAAGCGAGCTTTGTATGCGGTGATCCACCGGGCTCTGATAACGGTACGGGCTGTATGGCTGATAATGAATCTGCTTCTGGGGTGCGAGCTGCGATGATGCCACTGGCGGCGCCAAGTGGCCATACTGATATTGCAGTTTTTCTTGGTAGCGGAACTGTGAATGCTGGTAGTCACCTTCGCCATGGCCGCGATGGCTGCTGCTGCTGCCGCCGACGACGCTACCTACAGGGGCCCTGTGGCCCGAGGGAAATACCGACTGCACCTGTAGCAGCATGTCCGTGCCAGAATCAATGGAGCGCCCATCGGACAAGTAGCTGCGCGACTGGAATCGCTCACGCCGCGGGTATTTACGCAAAATCTCGTCCCATTTGGCCTGGTAGCGCGTTCCTTCTTTCGGGGATGTGAGTTCAGAGTTGTTTCCTGTCTGAATCCGCCAGAGGCAAATAACGCTGCCCATGTGGTCACGCAGAATGTCCGGCACGTAGCTCTTCTTGGTGTTGATTTTGTTGGCCAGGTCAATCTCAAACAGCCAGTCCAAATACGATATCAACTTATCTTCGGTAACGACAAAATCTACCTTGCATTCTTTGCAGTATCGCACCCACAGTGCCGCGCGCCACGCGTATATTGAGCGTGTCTTTTTGGATATAAACCCGCAGTTTTGGTACAACTCCTGCGAGTCTTTCAGATCTACATTGCATAGAGACGATATGTGTGTTCAGATTAAACATTAGCAGACAATCAAATATACAATATTGCAAACTCTAAATGCACAATATTTTCGTTTCATCTGAGAGCCAAAAATCACTATTCAGTTAAATATAGTGCCAATAAAACAACAAACAATGGAGGACAACTAAATTTATACAGTGGCTGTGGAACAGGATTTCGCGCATTTTTAGACAGGGAATTGTGCAATAAAAGAACCATTAAAACTATTGTATTAGAAAGATAGTAAAGAACATTCCAAACATAGAGTGGCGCGCTTACATGTGCCAAATTGGCACATGTATGTCTGGAACAAGCAACCAGCCCCTCTTTTTCATAACATTTTTGTTATTCCAAATCTGGATTCGGCTAAGCTCTCATTTTGGATACACATGTAGTTGATATTATTACGGCCAATGTACAAAAGAAAAACACCGGCTTTTATAAACCACGGCAATAATGCGGAGAAGATGCAATTTGTAAATGAATTCACAAAAATAAAGAGCCGAAATGTGATATACGCTGCCAACTAGCAATTGTACATGCTGATTAGTTCATCCGAAATGAGATGGAAATAAGCGCTGAAAACAGCACACAGGAAATTGTGAGTTTATGAGAAACCCTGCATTATGTTAACAATTTGAGCCAAATGATTTCCAAACAATAGCATAAAAGGCGACAAAGTGATGGCAACGTATCAAGTAATGTCAAGGCATGAGGATGTTTTTAAGGGCAGTAAAAGAAAAGCAACATGCACATGTTCTCATTAGTAAATTTATTTCTCACTGTACCTTGTTTGGTGTAAAGTCCCATTGTTGCTGAATACAGATGTATATGCGTGTGAACAGGTGTGTGCGAAAAATAATGTTTGGAGCACTAGAGGGCGTTAGGTGAACTTGATATGTGCAATTTGTTGTGTAATAACAGCAACAAAATGAAATAAAATAGGATGAGATGAGATGAGATGTGAAGAGAAAGGAAGAGGAAAAGAGTAGAGATGTGAGGGAAAAGAGAAAAGGCAAACTCTAAGAGTTTAGAGGTGACTCGCAAACGTTTAGAAGATAAAATGAACCCGAAAGCGCAACAAACAAAAAACGTAAAGGACTGACGCAAATAGTCAAGCAAGCTCGGCGAGTGCTGCAAGGATAATTAAAGAAAACAAAAAGTGACAAAGTGTCTGATGATGCAAAAAAGGAGGAAAAAGAGAGAAGAGCGAAATGTGAAATGTGGGGAAGCACTGCGCTATGCCAAGGGTGCGAGTGTCCCTTTTTTATATCTGGCAGAAATCTGGGCTAGAGAAACTAAATGGCAAAATTGCTGAGAACAAGTTTGATGTGATAACAATGCTGCAAGAATCGCGCAGTGCTAGCATGTAGAAGCTTAGCACAATAAGGCCGAGGAATTGTACGTGGAGCGGAATTTGATGACGGCCCTAATAGTGCTGCTGTGATTATAAATTGAGGCAGCGGCAGCTGCGCCTGTGGCTATGGATGTGAAGAAAAATGAAGCTGCTTGTAGCCTGTTCAGTCTTGGTTATATTTACAAACCAACAATCGACGATTGTATGGTGTGCGTAGATGTCCACACCAAAAAGCTATTAACCTGAAGAGGCTAATGTATGATGTAATAGGCGGCTAAAACTAGAAAAATCAAGCGCGTTGGCTTGCGTGCGCGCCAAAAAAGATCAGTATCAAAAGAGAAAAGGTTAAGCTACAAAAAAAGACAAAATGAAAAGGCCGTGGTCACTATTTTAAACTAATGTGTACTGAACTTTGGCCAAGGGCTGCAACGGTTTATATAAACAGAGCCAGAGGGGAGTGGGGAGGGGAGAGAGTGGTGGTTCGGAGGGGGTGGTTCGGAGGGGGGTGCTGGTGATGGTGGTCAGGTATTTTTAATCGGTCACCTTTTTTGTCTTTTTTTCTCTCCTTGTTGGCCTTCTTCATGCCCATACCAGCTGTTGCCAAATAGAGCAACAACAGCAGCACCCAAAAAAACAAGCAGCCATGCACAGAGGATGTTCCTAAAGCCATCTAATGAAATCCATTTGCATTTCCTACTAAAACTGGACCCTGCTGTGCGCACATTAAGATATTTTTGGTGGCAGATCGCGCGCCGAATAGCAATCTTTGAATTTTTGGCCATCTCCGTTACAATAGGCTGCGCGAGAGGGGAGAAGAGAGGAGGGGGTAAGGAAGGGCACGAAGAGGGTGGTTGCTTGCCTCCTGCGTTAATCCACCAAAAGATTTCGGACTGAAAAACGCTGCTCATTCATAGCTGCTTTTTGTTTTATTTTGGAACGTCCGATAACAGGTTTATTTTGCTCAAGTTTTTGCCAGCGCTTTTTTGATTTTATGGTTTTTTTGGCTAAAAGCTTTAAAACCGTCGACCGGCTGACTGATACGCCCCCCATTGGCAGGCGGTCAGGGGTGAATAAGAGCTGCCATGTACGCTGGTGTTGACGCTGATTCGCCAGTTTTATATTTATAAAAAATCATCATGAATCGCGGGCTTTGTGGGTGATAAGCAGCAACAAGGTTCAGCTTTGCACCAAGTCGGGTGCTGCTTATGGCAGCCAAGGTACTTGATTTCTGACAACTGATCGCCAATTGGCAGCAATATGAATTAAACTATTTTGGACATGTCTACATGCAACACCCCCATGTATGCAAATGGTACAAGGGTATTTCAAAACCAGACCATTGATCCTAACTGTATCTTGTTTACATATTGGGTGTTTTCCCGAAGAGCGCTCAATGTGTCTATTTATAAATAGCCCAGTCATTTATATCAGCAAACAGCATGCACTGCTTGGCCGCCGCGACAATTCGACCAAGACTGTATCTCGCACATTATCCGATATGTACGACTCACTTGCTGAATTGTTGGGATGCTGGATCGTTGGCTCACTGCACCATTGCACCTCTGCGCTGCTTCCAGAGCCGAGTCGCTATATCAAAATTGCTTTAATTCATTTAATTTTAATTTATAACAGTCAGCCCAGTCTGCAGTTTCCGCAGTTAGCTGAATTGCAGTGCGGCCCATTTTTGGTTGCAAATTTCAAAAGCAGGGGCTGCATGTAGAATTTTAGCAACAAAACGGTTTTTAATTCAGAAAGTCCCTTTTTTCACAGATCCTTTTTTAATTATTGTGAGCGAAGCAAAGCAGCGCTTCACTTAATGTAATTTATATGGCAAGTTCATTTTCCGCCGAGCGACACCTGTCAACCACCGGGCGCAAATCCTTCTCTGATCATACTTTCCTTTACTTTGGGTTTTCCATCATTTGCTGCTGTAATTGCTATTATTTTTATTTGTGCTAGTGGTAGCGTATCCGGTTTGTGTCTCTACAAAAAAGTCTTTTAATTTCTTGTGGGCATCCATTTTAGTTCCTTATTTATAATAGGGTGCATATGTGTATTCATGTCTCTACAAGCAAGTGTACTTTCATATACAAACATCTACTTTTGATGTAATCAAATTTAGAGTGGATATGCACCTTCACTTACGCACATGCTATTAAATTTTTCCAAAAGCAAGTTCTGGGCAACATTGTCGTATATATTTAAACAACAAATTGGCCGAAACATATCAGGTCGCGTGCCAATAGCACAATAGTGTTGCTGGTCATCTGCCACCTGTCCTTTGTAATGTTCAAAATACAAAATACAAAATACAAAATACAAAGAACAGGCCGAATATAACTTACCAACACGGCGGGTGAATTGACCAGCTTTTAAGTCACTTGGTGTTATTTGCATGTGTGCTGGCGGGCAGCATGCTTGCTAGATTTTCGCAGCTTTCTCCGCGCGTCGTGTGATAGCAACTACATGGCATCAGGAAAAAAAGCAAAATGGCCGTCGCTCACTTGGGCATGTAGTGTGTGTGCACTGTTTAATTGCCAATACGTTTGGAGGTTTATTTAAAAATTGTTGAATAGATTAGCAAACTAAAATTAACTAAATTGCGCCTCTCATAGCATCGTTGTCATCAATGTCAGTCATACCAAACATGCTGCTGTTGTCCGTAGAATCGTCGCCGCTTGACTCGAGCTTGAGAACATTTGAAATGTCTTCGATGGTTTTGGTTATGTCGCGTTCTGCGTTTGCCAGTAGCCTGTTGGCAGTTTTGTTGGTTGACCGGGCGCTTTTGATTTTTTTTCCGATTTCCGCTATTTCGGTCTGGTACGACTTTATATCGTCATGCAAATCAGTAGGGCAGCTCGACCAGTCCAACTGCTGCAAGGAACTATCAGCCAGTAAATTAATGCTGTTCTGCCTCTTCTCGATGTGCTTTAAATCCCGAATGTTTGACTTGAGGGACTCCTTCGCAGGCTGCAGGAAGTTAAGCATAATGGTTTGGAGCTTGTTGAGGTGGATAATTGCGTTGTCGCACCTGCGCTTCAAATTGTCGCGTTCCTTTTGCAAGCTGATGATTTCGACATCCTCGTTCCAGGACCCGGTGCTCACGACAGTAGATGACACCTCGGTCCCACGCGCAGGCTCAGCCTCAGCACTGTTATCGGCCACGTACTGAACCAGCGTCTCAGTCCATTGTGCGTTTGGTTCATCAGAAGGCCAGGCTTCATTGCCCGACTCCTGCAACGGATCACCAGCCACGGGTTCGTCCCCGAGAGCGGTTGCCTGGTCAATCGCAGCAGCAGCTCGACTATGACTATTTCTCTTGCTGTTGTAGTTATCCTCAATCGGCTCCTCCTCCTCATACTTACCGTCCATAGTCTCGTCGTTAGTATGATCAACATCTTGGTTTTGCTCTTGCCCGACAACGTCATCCAATACACATTGGGCGTCCGTATAGGCAGATAACCCAAACCCGAAACCCAGCTCACCGGCGGCAACTGCGCCCTGCTGACCCCGCAGGTCTTGGTGTTCGGCAACGCTGTGCTCGTTGTCGCTATCAATACAAATGACACCAATGTCATTGACGGGGGTTGGTGAAGATGCCAGCGGTGAATTACCTCCAACGGAAGATTCGCCGACACCAATAAAATCAGCAATATCTGTAGTGTTTACGCGTTTGATCCTCTTATGCGGCTCCATGTGCGTTTTTTTCTTGGGCGTCGATGTCGGAGATGACAGCAATTCGTCGCCAAAGGTGCTGTGTCTACGCTTTTGAGGATCCATGGACTTTATCATACTTTTCATTTTTGTGGGGTTTGTCAAATCGGACGCGAGCGCGAGCGCAGACCCAAGCGCAGAAACGGGCTCGAATGCCGATTCAACAGCGGATGTGTGCAAGTAATGTGCTGCTTCGGGTACCACTCGAGTCAAAATAATATCTTTTGGCATATTGAGGGTTAGCGACAGAGCCTCAGCCTGCCATGCGGCCTCACCTATCTCCTTCGAACAGTTGGCAAACAGCGTCGACTGGAAAACGGCTGAGGACATCATTGCGCTTCCGCGAAGCATTCTGCGGTAGAATTTCACATCAAACAGCAGCATCATGTCTTGCAAAAGAACCAACCGCAGAGTATTGAGCACCTTGCAGAACCCTGCCAGCGATTTGTGCCAGTCGCTCTTGTTGCCTTCGCCCTCGTAGAACCTGAACGTAACTTCGTCGTCGAGAAAGGGAAAGATCAAATCCTTCAGCTCATTTTCCACAACGTACTGCCGCCGCGGAATGTCATGAGGCTTGTTCGACGAAAAGTCATCGACTCCTGCATTCACAGACTGTATCATTGGGAACACGCTGCTGCCCAAGACGTGATGATCCATAGTAATGCTGTTCGCTGTCGATAAGGTCCGCTTAAATACGGACGACTTTGTAATCATATCTGCCATAACACTGAAGGAGCGTCGGTACATGCGCTTGTACGACTGTGTGCTGCCGCTCGATACCTTCAAGTATTCCTCGTACTGGTCACCGCATAGATATTTGAGCTGGTCGTCACGCATCTCAAATTCGCTGTCGTTGGTACCAAACAAGAGTGTTTCCCTCCACGAGTCGTCCCTAAAGTTCGGAAGCGGCTCCTTCAACACGTGCCACTTGTAGAAGAGTAGCATTGACAGCGCGTTCCATGGGCATTGTACGGCGAGACTGTGCCTAACAAGCTCAACCTTGGGATGGGCGATCCGGTTGGCGCTCTTGCTTCGCCGCAACCGAGCTACGCCCTCGACATAATCGTCGTCGTTGTCGTCTAAAAAAGCGGTGCATCTGATCTTGGCGCTATCGATGACAATGCACTCAGTTCCCGGGAACGCCGACTGAGAGGTAGATATTCCGAGCAACAGCGACCCAAGAGAGATGTTAAATATGACATCAGAGTCAAGCCAAGTCGAAACGGAAAGCAAGTGCCATAGGCGCATCTTGAGACTGCAGTAGGACGACCTCCGCAAAAGGATGCAGTTGAGCAGCACGTCACTCTCCTTTATGAATACCCGCCATTTCTTGTCGCTCTTCGCCAGCTCCAGCTCTCGAAACTCGCCGCACAAATCAGTCTTGTGCTTTCCAAAGCTCGAATATACTGCCAGTGGTTCCCCCGGGTCTCTTGAATCCAATTGAGGCAAACCAACAACCTTTTCTGGGGCCGCAATGTCTAGAGCGTCCTCGTCGTCACAGCTCGCGTGGAAAAGCATTGGGGTAGCCGCAGGCACCAATCCGAAAGCATCACTGGGCGCAACAACTTCGGCATTGGGCTCGCTTGACTTGCCAAAAGGTGTAATATGGTAGATCTCGTTAATCCGATCCTCAACATGCCTGCCAATGGGCTTAAACGACTCGTTGAATATCTGCTTGCGGCGCCGCCTGTTGCAGTCCGCAGGAACGCGCCAAACTGTCCACAAAATAGCTAGTCGCGTTTGTACAGACAAAAAATGTGATCTCGCAGAGTCGCACTGATCGCCCTGTGTCTGCTCGAAGAGGTAGTCTGCATACTCCAGCAGGCGGGTTTCGTCGCAGGTCTCGTCCGAATAGTCGCTCCGGCTGCGGCAATACATGTACCAGGTCTGCAAAAGGTTTGCCTTTGGGTCCACTGAGTCTCCGGAATCGAACAGGCGCATTGTGCAGAGTGCCTTGCCGTAGTCCTCTACCAAAGCCGAAGAGTTAGAAAAAAACAGGGAAATGCAATGAGAATTAAGAATTACGGACAAAATGCGCGTGTTGTTTTTGTTTTGGTCTGAATGCGAGACAAGGCGCTTTATGGCAAACAGCAAACAGCAAAAATAAACACACACCTTTGTCCGCCATAGTCTATTTGAGAAATATAGTTATCACGAGCTCTTCAAATGACAAAAGCGAGTGAAATTAGAATCCAACAACTGAATAAAAAAGAAGCAAAAAAAGCAACTTGGCGCCAAAAGGTTGAAAAACCACAGAAGAATGCAAATAAAGAAAATGGAAAAAGCGTGATTGGACGAAACGCGAAAACGGGCCAAAAGTATTTCGTCATGATCGATACACTAGTGAAAATGTATTAAAATCTCTAGACATCTATAGCGAAAGTCCAGGTTTTTAAGCGGGTGATTTTCAAACCCTGTTTTTCCACGCAATAATTCATCATCAGAGTCAGCTGAAGCCGAGTCTACAGCGGCACCCGAGACTTTGCGCACACGCTTGGGCTTGGCCTTTGGCTTGAGGAAATATCCATCTTCCCCTGCTTCTTTTGAAAAGAAGCAGCGAACTGATTAGTATCGTCAACCATAGTGGGCTATTGCCACTAGTTTCTAAACACTTTATCTGGGAGAAGGATGCCGGTCTGCAGGATATTTGTAGCCTCATTATTTTCTTTTAGTGCAATGCCTTTTGATCAGTCCCGTGCTGCCCTTGGAGCTCGCAATAGAAAAACCTAGGTGACAGAAAAAGTCAAGCACAGCCTCGTCAGTTGCTGGACGATTTGCTTACACCCGTGTTTATATTCCTGGTTGTCTGTCAACTGTAACTGTTTTTAACTTGAAGTTATTGTGTTATTCTAGAAAGGTCATTGAATAAGATTAATTTGAAAGTAAAAAATACGAATAGTCGTTAAAGATAAAAAATAAAGTACAGAGTATAAAATGGTATCAAGAGCGAGGGTAAAATATTGGCTGGATCAGTGGTACAGCGGTAGTTCAGCTTGTGCGAGCTTGTTACATCTGGACCAACCGCGGAATGTCAAACTTCATCTGCTCGGGCCAGGCCCTGTGGGCTGCCGACAGGTATCCAATAACCGATTTGATCTCAATGTCGTCCGCCTCAGCTTCCACAGGAGTGCGAGGGCTGGATGGGCGAGAAGTCATGCGCTTGCTGCGTGCCTGCTGGGCGCTCACTCCCGACATAAAAATGTAGTCTGGCACAGCGGTATCCATTTGGTGGTATTATAAGTGGCTGTATGGGTAGATGCGCGAGGCGTAAAAGGGGTTGCTTGTCAGCGATTTTGGTGGTTAAATAAAAGGAATATGAAGAGCACTGTTGATGAAAAATAACTTTAAACTGGCAGCAGTGTACTGCGGTATTTATATCGTAGAATGCTTGGCGCTTGGAATGGCAAAAAAATTATATTTGCAACCATCAAAAACAATATTGCCCAATTTGGCGAGCCAGCCCAACGCGCACAATATGTTTATTTCAGAAACGGAGAACCGCTGCGCTGGCAGATTAATTATGTTCCCAATTTGTCATTTTTCCGCTTTAGGGGCAAAAAAACGTTTGAAATCAAACGCCCAAAGCCTCTCGATAAACAAACTGATCGGTGCTATTTTTGGGGCAAGTGGGCTGAAATTAGATGCGGTTTGCCGCATTTTTCGAAGAAATCAGCGCCTGAAAACACATGCGACCTGGCTTTTGTCAGCCTTATCTCTTTTTGCTGCGCAGCTTTTTTTAATCTTTTTCTGCGGCGCTGCAGCGGCCGAAGCTGACGAAATATTTGTCCGTATTTTTTAGCTTCAAAAAAGCCTGTTTCTTGGACCACACGCAATATATTTTTTTGCATGGTTGGCATCCACACTAAAGCAGGAGGCGTGGCTTTGGTGCGTTACATTATTTCTGAATAGCTGCACCCATGCTTGCTTGTCTGTTTTTCGCGTATTATCCGGCAGCTCAACCACAGGTGTTTTGCATATGTGCAATTCGCAAAATTGCTGGGGTTGTGGGCGAACAAAGCTCCCGTTTTGGATTTTGTGCCTCGCTCGGATATCTCCTCTGCCCCCAATTAATTCCAGATCTCGATAAAACCTCGAGGCAAATGCTGAAAAAGTGTGGCTTTTTATATTGACACTGCTATTATTGATGCCAGTCATTTTTTCGTATATCATTGTCACCTGTTTGCAATTGGTAATATTGCCTGCAACAAAGCAGTGGTACATTCAATGTCATTGTTGATGCAGAAATGCCAATGAATCATCTAAAGTAGGAATTAGGCTAAAAGAGAGTTATCGCCACACTTTTTTTGCTACACAAAGTTAGGTCATTATTTAGTATACAATGTTTGTTGTAAACAATTTACAATTGAAATAGCTGGAAGTACGAAAGTATTACAAAATCAAAATATAATTTGAAACTAGGCGATAATAGCACAAACAACAACAGGATTTTTTTACTATTTTGTTTATACTTTAGATATAGGCTTTATCGCATACATATGACCAACGCGCTCAATGGAGACAAGCCGTGCCTGTTTGCATTGTGACCGCACATCATTGCCACGGACGATAGTCGAATGCACGTGTCGAATATTATTGTGTTGGTCAATGTCGGTGACGCAGTTGTTGTCCCGGTGGCTGCTCTTGTACCTGTAGTCGCTTGTATCAACAAGCAATCCGTGTCGTTTCACATTTCCGGAAACGGGCATGGCCTCATAGGCAGATACCACTACAGCGGCAGTTCTAGAAGATATGATTGCATCAGCAGCAAAAGGACGATGAGGACTACTGCAATCGGTCCCACCAACTCGATGAAACCCTGCATGAGTGTGTTCCCGCTTGAGCAGAGACCAGTCGCAGCGCCCAAAAGCAAATCTGCCTAATTTGGGTGCAAAGTCCGCCAGCTGTCGATCGCGGCTAGCTAATTTCCTGATTTGGAAAAACTTTGCTATTTTGTCTACGGCTTTTTTCAGAAGCGGTAGTTTTTCAAAACCTATATTAGGACGCTCCGCCCGGCGGACAGGACAAAATCCCGTCATCCATCCTTCGCTACTGCTCTCATCACTGCTGTAATCGGTCGCGTCGACTGGCAAGGGTTTGTTTTTGTAGCGCTGCCAATAAGGGAGACCTGAATACGCACCACTGATGCCAAGCGACGTTGATTGCGGCAACGTGCCAACTCGGACTATATTTGTGGTTTGCGAGGCGGTTGGAAGCTGCACAGGCGTAAAGTCGATATTTTGCGCCGCAACCAACGTGTCGCCACTGCTGCTGCTGTATTTTCTGCCTAAGTCAGGGATGGTGTTAAATCGGTGACACCGACCCCTCCTGTTAACTGCCGCTTCCGCAGAAGTAAAGTCACACACCGCTGTCGTTTGGTTGAAGGTGTCGCGCCGGAACATATCAATGGACATTCTGTACTTTTTTGATGTAGTTCACCTAGATGGTAGTAGGGTCTTCTCGGTATACTTTTTTAGTTAGAAAAAGGCAGTTGCTGTGAATTTGTTTATTTAAGAAGTGTATGTGTTAATTTTGGTGCGGAAAGTTTTAAGACGGCCGTTTATTCGCTTTTATATGGAGAACAGGCGGAGTGGTTTGATTCAGATGACAATAATGATGTTGATGAAAGTTGTGCTGCATGTACAACACGAATATGATAACTATGCACTATTTTGTAACATCTTTAAAACAAGATGTTTGACAACAGAGCGTCGAGTGCAGGGGCTTACCACAAAAATTGACACGCAATGGCGGAATAAAAATTCACTTTGTATGCCATTTTGTATATTCGGTGATAGTTGAACTTGCCATCCATATGGTGTTTCGAGTAGCATATATACACGTTTTAATACATGGAGGCAAATACTAAATGCGGAAAGTACTAAATATTTTAACATTTATAATGCAAATGAAATGCCCACATTCACTCGCTTGGTTTATTAACGTGCATGTCACGCACAGAACTTTTAATTCACGTCTCATAAATATGATAATATTGGTTTTTTTGGCCAAGAGTAGCCATCTATCCAGTTTGCCTGTTTTTGCGTGCTATTGGATAAATAAGAATTGTCAAAAAAATATTTGGAACGTAGAGTCATGAAATCTTTTTTGCGCTCTAATTGGCGTTTGTCGAATCATTTATCCTTGGCCCATGGCGTATGCCGTTGGGCACATCTGAATTGAATACACAAAAGCGTGCTCATTGTCCAAACCGGTTTGCAATTCAAAGTATTTATAGCAGCAATTCAGCCTGGCATTAGCGTGTCTAAAAATAAACACCAGACCACGCCAACAGGTCTAGACGGTCTAGATGTCGATCATCTACCCAATTATTGCCAAAAGCGAATATTTTTTACTACAACTAAAATTTTGTATTCAGAGTTGGCGACAGGGACTGGTCTCCTCGAGGACCCTTTCTAGCTTTCCGGAAGCCAAGGTATTGCTTTGGGCCAATTATAGTACAGGTTGCACATTTGCGCTCAAATGGTCAACCGTAGGATGCTGCTAAGAGCCTAGAAAGAGCTATTGGGCTCAAACAGGAGCTACTTGTGGATTGCCTTTTCCTTTTCTGATTATTTACAAACCAAACTTGAAAAGCAAGGTTCAAATGGCATCATTTTTCAAGCTGGGCGTAAATGAAAGGACGCCTTTGTAGCTGCAATTATCCTTTGCCAATTTTCTTTGTATTCCAACTTTTAAGAAAATAAAATTGAAAGCGTGAGGAAATAAGCTGCTGTGCATTTTTTCCCCGGTTATTCGCAAATTGTATGTCTGCTAGGAAAATAAATGGCAAAGTGCGGGTTTACTTTTATATATAAAGTCTGCTGTTTCCCGCTATCCATTGTAGCGTCCTTAGTATCACTCAACACATCTCCCCCTTTTGCCTCCTCACATTCAAACTTGCATTTTAATACTCTTTCTCATACAAGCTAACGCCCAAACTGTACTACATTATCCGCCTTTTTTATTTCATTATAACATTTTTTATTCAGCATAAACTGGTTTTCTGATATCTCTTACGATTTTCATATTTCATTTTTAACTTTATCGCGATACTTTTCCAGTTTCGTTTTCCATCAACAGGTTTTTCTTCCATCTTCAAGCAAATGTACAAATTAGCTGCACTTGTTGCCGCCTTGGGAAGCATGGCTGTATTCGCTATGGCCGACAGCACTTGCAACGAGTTTTCACCCTGCTACCGCGAGGGCTACTGCGACACCGGACCCATGTTCTGCATGTGGGGTCTCTGCAACGAATCCAAGTCTTACAACTCTACATCCTGCTGGCCAGCTGAGGGCTGTATTAACGACACTACAGACTTTACAAGCTCGAGCGACGTGGTTCCCATTAAAAGCTACACCGGCAACCCAAACACCAACCCTTTCGTCTCCATATTTGAGCCCAACAACGCTGCTGTTGAGGATGGAAATCTTGTTCTTACCATGAACTATGACAAGTCTCAGGACAAGGGCTTTGGTACGACTGTCTCCGCCTCGAACACCATCCACTACGGCAAAGTCACCGCTCGCATAAAAACAGCTGCCATTGCCAAGGGTACTGTCACTGCCTTTATCATTCGCAACGACCAGACTGGTGACGAAATTGACTTTGAGTGGGTCGGCAAATCGCCCAACCTTGTTGAGACCAACTTCTTCTACCACGACATCCTGGACTACGGAAACAGCGCCTACTTTAACATTGGCAGTGACAGCTCGGCTGACTACCACGACTACACTATTGACTGGACTCCCGACTCGGTCACTTGGATTGTCGATGGCGTTTCTCTCCGCACTCTGCTCCGCAAGGACACCTACGATTCTGACGATAGCGTCTATAAGTTCCCTGCTTCTGCTGGCCGCGTTGGCTTTTCCATTTGGGATGGTGGTAACTCTGGCGCTGAAGGAACCGCAAGTTGGGCTGGTACACCAACCCCCTGGACTAGCTCGACTGTTTACAAGATGTATGTCGATTCTATCACCATTGAGTGCAATGCTGACACTAACCCAATTGTGCCTGTATCGTCTGAGCCTGCTTCTGCCAGTGAGTCTAGTACCACTATTAGCTCTATGAGCAGCAGCAAGGTTGCTTCTACAACTTTGGTTGAAAACTCAATCATCTCTGAGACTATTTCCAGCGATGACGGTTCTTCTATCTCCGAGACTGTTTCCAGCGATGACGATTCTTCTATCTCCGAGACTGTTTCCAGCGATGACGATTCTTCTGCCTCCGAGACTATTTCCAGCGATGGCGGTTCTTCTGTCTCTGAGACTGTTTCCAGCGATGACGGTTCTTCTATCTCCGAGACTGTTTCCAGCGATGACGGTTCTTCTATCTCCGAGACTGTTTCCAGCGATGACGATTCTTCTGCCTCCGAGACTATTTCCAGCGATGGCGGTTCTTCTGTCTCTGAGACTGTTTCCAGCGATGACGGTTCTTCTATCTCCGAGACTGTTTCCAGCGATGACGGTTCTTCTGCCTCCGAGACTGTTTCCAACGATGACGGTTCTTCTGTCTCCGACGAGAGCTCTACTATTACCCCAGCTGACTATACTTCTACATACTTGGATGGTGTCTCGAATATAAATTCATCCGACAGCAATGTCAGCACAAGTCCCACTGGTGATATCAGCTCCAATTCGGTTGAAAGCCCAGTCTCCAACAAAAAGTGCCACATTGTTACCATTACGCGTGCTATATAATTTTAAAATTTTTTTGCTTTTATTATATTATCTACCAATCTATTTCCATATCAAAATACCAAACAGTTATATACAAACTGATGTAGTATGTAAATTTTTTTCATGATAATAATATATATTCTTCAAAATACGAAGGTTAATTTACAAAATATTTTTGGCAACTAGGTGTGTAAATGCCGTTACAAATTGACAAGACGCGGGCGGCTTTGGGAGATGATTCCGTGCTCGCTCACACTCATTCTTTTGACTCCATTGTAAATCACCACCCCGTCGTCATCATATTCCTCTATTGCCAGGGCACGGAGCTGTGCCGAGTAGCTCTCGTGCAAATAACTGCGCAAATACGGTGAACACGGCGTGGTTGGCGACGCAGAGCCCACTGACGAGGGGGCGTATGACGAGCGAGTGTTTATGCAATGGTTTCCAGTCATTGTCGAGCATATTTTGAAAGATGGAATATCGATGGGTTGAGGCTGAGGGTGTCCTTCAGGGGCCGGGTGCTGTCGATTCGGCTTTGCTATGTCATGTTGGAAACTGAACGAGTCAGCGGTCTGTGGTATAGAGAACTTGAATCCTCCTTGGCGCCGGCTCTGGGCAGCATATCCTTGGCGAGCCAGAATCATACACGTGTATTCGGAGGGAACAACAAACGAGTCCATGTAAAGTATTAAAAATATATAAAGTACATAATTACATCAGTAAAATGAGATGGATACAAAAATGCAAAAAATAAAAACAAGCTTCGAGTTGCGGTATTTATACAAGTGCGGGTCAGACCTGCACTCTAATTTTCCGCAACGGGGAGCATCACTTTTTTGCTTGTGTTATGTGACATCGTCGTATTTACATCATCGTCGATTTTTATATGACAAATAAAACCGTGTTTGAAGAATGATGCACCGAAATAACAAGTAAATAGAGTGCTGTTGATGTAACGCAATGCAATGCACTCGAAAAACGACACGCGCTCCACAATGCATTTGCTTTTTTATTTGTGAACTAGTTTTTTGTTGTTGTAGCAAGGCGCACCACATTCAAACAAGCCAAATAAAGGCAGTATGCATATCACAGCCCTAAACGACCACACTTATATATTCTCTCCGTATTTTCCCGCATCATTTTGCTGCCACCAACATAATTGTTATGTGTAATTAACGTAATTCTTTTGAAAAAGATAGAAACTTAAGAAATAAAAATAGTGAAAGTAGTGCCGGGCGACTGACAAGATATGGACGCTCAGATTGCAATATCGGTCGGAGACCCAGACCCCTCAGGAATCATTTGTTGGAGATTCCGCGCAAGAGTGGTATCCACGCTGGCAAGGAAGTTGCGGATAACAGCCCGATCCGCCTCCCTGGCAGTCTTGATGGCATTAATGACACACTCGATAAGAAGCACCATTGGTGCAGCAAACTCCTCGGGATACGGGGGCTCAAATTGCAACAACATGCGCTGGATAAAGTAGACCAACGTGCTCTCATCAATTACCTCGGCCTTTTGACTAAAGTACCGAATAACGGGCACTGCAAAGTTGAGCTTGGCCAGCACACACATATGCCGAATCGCCACCTTTTGCAGTCTGATTTGCTTTTCAAGCATAAAGCTGGGCACCTTGGACTCAAAGGTGTCCTTGTAGACATCGAACACAAGAGGCTTGAGCAGTGGGTGACGGTGTGCAATCTCCTCTAGCATCACCAGTGGGACAGGGGCCTCATTGCCGTCAAAGTAAGTGCTAAAGTAGGCGTAGTTGTCGTATGTCAGAATATCCTTAATCCATAAAACAATGACACGCGCCAGGACGGGTGTATCAATCCACTCGAGGATCCTGCGGATGTTGCGGCAAAAGGTGGTCTGGATGGGGCGCACGGGCAGCGTCTCGCGCAATGTCTTCATATGGGCGACAAGGCTATTCAGCTGCACCTCACCGATCTGTTTGTAATTGTCGTCCGTGCACAGCGTCGCGCAGGCAATCAGCCACATGTGCTTGTCCATGAGATCCGCGCGATCGTTCTGCGCTGTAATGCTCCAGAGATGGCCAAACGTCTGGTTGATGATCGGAACCAGTACGCGATCGCTGCGCAGGACATGCAGCGGCGGTGGCTCCGCCCTACTAACAAATGCCCCGTGGTACATTTTGTACAGGATCATCACGTCGCCTGGCGACGCGTATGAGGCCTGGATAATGGAAGTTACCGCGCCTGCCACTCGGTCGTCGCCATTTAAAAGAAGGCCTTCGAGAAGAAGTCTAAAATGCACTGCGAGCTGTGGCCGGTTGTACTCGTTGAGCATAAATGTCTCCAGCTCGTTTTCAATCCGCTTGACGGGCTCGGCAGCGGCACCCAGCTTCTGGCGCACCTGCGCCAGCACATACTGCGCGATAAAGTACGTGTGCTCGCTGCGACAGGCTGTTTTGATCAGCTCGTCCATGTGCTCCTTGATGTTTCCATCGTCGGCAGAGGCGAGTTTCTCGAGGCACTCGACGAGCATGGGATAAAAAACGTGAGTGTGCAGCGTTGCCGAGTTCAACGACGTCATCTCGGCCTGGTACCCCTCATCGGCGATGCGTTGGAGCGCCGCGCTGACCATTGCACTCTTCGGATGCTTCTCGCTGAGCCGGTAGATGGTTTTGCGCCAAATTTGATGTGGGATCATATCCTCGATGTATCCCGGCAGCTGCTGCGTCTGCTCATATTCGGCGTCCGCCTTGGCTGTATCAAACGCCTCTACAATCTTGCGGCTGACCGTCTCGAGGATGGCTGTTTTGCCCTCTGCCCCGTATGCACCCATGATATCGCGATCTACCATGTTGGCCATTGCAGCCGTGCCTTCGTAGCTGGATATGAGCAGATTCATGATGTTGAACGGCACGCCGCCCGCCTCCAAGTACTGATCGGCGAACTGGATGGTCGTGGGCTCCATGATAGAATCTACAAGTTATGAACAAACAAAATAAACAAAACCTTTATTAGTATACATTTTATGTCGATGTCATTGGCCTTGGCCTTAGTTTTTTTATCTATTTGTAATTCAGAGTGCGTGGCAAAAAAACTAAGTGCACAAAAAACAAACGACACAATCTCTCAATTTCACTTGTACCAGTTTATTGGTGACAGTTAAACATTATATACAATTAGCGCAAGAGGATATTACGCGACGGCAAATTCCGGTGCGTGTTTTTCTTCTCGCAACGTTAAACGTGATAATTACCAAGCTTGCAAAACTCATTCTTCGACTCCTCTTGGGCCAGTCTCTTTCGGTCTGCCTCTGGCAGTTCAGGCCTGCCACTGCCGGCGTTACTGTTACTCGCGTATGTTGACATTCCCTTGTAAAAAATGTCTTTGGTTTGTGGTTTGCACCCCTCTATGCCGTATTATTTGGCAGATATCAGCACACACAAAAAACAGTGCTGGCAGGGGTATGTACGATAACAAAGAGTATAAATGTACAAGCAAAAAGCTACGAAAAGGCGCGTAGTCGAGCGATGATCTGTTGTCTGGTTGTTGGATAACTCCGCGTAATCGTGATCGTGGTTGTGGTCGTGTTCAGTAACTGTCTCGGTATCAGACTGGATTCCAAGAGTAAAAATTATGCGCTTTTGTCCACGCGTCTGCTGCTCTGTGTGTATAAAACGCGAAGCAGTGCGCACGTAATAGTCTGTTGCGGGTGGGGGTACTTTTATACAATGAAGCGTTATAAACCAAACGTTACGCGCTTTCTGGTCCGACCAGACAAATTGGGAGCTAGTAAACTTTGCTGTTGCTGCTGGTTAAGTGTCCACGGGCTATCGTCTGTAATTTTACCGCCCAAATAGAGAAAACAAGAGGAGAAAACTGTACAAATGGTGTCAGTTGACTGGCTGTGCGCTGTGCCTTTTGGTGTGCGATGTTAAAAATGAAAATGTAAAGGCAAGGAAAAATAAGAAAAGAAAATCCAATTTTGTTAGATTTAAAAACGAAAGAAAGACAAGAAAGACGAAATAGTGCAAGTTACAAGCATGAAGTCTAATAGGTTCTGTGATAGCGCCGCCGAGTCCTCTGTTTTCCCTCTTATTTTTCGTTATTTTTCTGTTCTTAATTCCGTGTGGCGCAAACATAGCAGAACCTGGGCTTAAACCAAAAAAAACTTTAGCGAGCCTGAAATTGCACTGCCGCCGATCCGGCTCGATTCAGCTCGTTCGACTCGATGCTTTGGCAAGACACCGATGTCATCATTAACTTCATGCAACTGCGCGCAGCAAGAGCAGGCGAGCGTGTGACCCAGCTGGACTTGCGCTTGCGTTTGGCAAGCTTGCTTTTATATGCTTTGTTAGATTCTTTTTTAAAAAATCAAACGCACCATGATGATGGTGAGAGACTTTGCGAGCTCACATCCACAACACACATGCTCACGCATACTCATACGCATAAGCACGATTTCTTGTGTATAAAACGAGCGGTGTATCCTCTCTCTCATCTTGCGTCCCCACTCAACTGTCCATACTTTCCACTCCTTTATATTGCGCTAAGCACATCAACACTAACACCAACACTAACACCAACACCAAAATAAAATCGAAATCAAAATTAAAATCAAAATTATATTTTATCTGCATTTGAACATGCCATCATCATCTTCGTCGTCAGCAACCATGCCAAGCCTTCTCAGCATTTTCAAGTCGCTTGAGTGGGTTGACGACAATATCTGGGATCTCACTGGCCTTCCCGATACCTTTGTCAACCTTTTGTTGTACTGCGGCGATATTTGTCGCGACAAGGCCAACACGCAGGTCCACTTCATGGCAGCATCCGAGCTGCTGAGCATCGCAGACCGTCCAAAATCAAGCTACGATATCGACGGTCCCGCTGCTTTGAAAAATGCCATCAAGCTTGCCACCAATGATCCCGTTGTTGCAAGCTCTTTGGCCAGCCTGTGCGACACATACTATTTTCTCCGATCGCTGGTCATTTTTGAGCTCGACGAGCAGAGCTTCACTAAACTGGTCGAACTTCTAAAAATCGACGGGGCAGACGGGCAGGACGAAGCTCCCGCGTGCACCCACGCTGACGTTGTCAATTCGCTTGACGCATACTTAGGCCAGCTCGAGGCCCAGTATCCAGGAATCAAGGTGTTTGCAAACTGCGCCATGCTTGAGGCAAACATTGCCCAAGAGTTTGGCGCGGGCTACAAGCTTCTGTATGGTCTGCGCTGCGAACTGCCAGCCGACGGCGAGCTGTACATGGCCACACTGCGCTGCATTGTCGACAGCATTCGGCAAAATGCTGACGTCATGGAGATGATTGTCAATGCCCGCTGTTTGTACCAGGGCTTGCTGTCTGAGCATTGGGCGGCTGCTTGCAACGCGATCTGGGAGCTGCAAAATGGCCATGACAGCGCGGATCAAGACGCATTCATAAACGATAGCGATTATGATGATGACGAGCAGCAGCTTGCCGCCGACCACACGGATGCTGCGAGGACTCGGACTTTTGGTGTTGCGGCAAACTGAGTTATTTTTGGGCCATTATGTAGCTTTGCCCTGGCTACCCTTTCCGATGTGATCAGATTAACCCAGATCAATTTATTATGCCACAATCCTTGCCACAAAAATGAGTGGGGAAAAAATTGTTGATGATACGCGTGCTAGCCTTGCTCATGCCACTTTTTTCGACAAACCCTGATTTCGTTCGCGCTTTTTTTACGTGCTCGTTCACAACCACTACCCTTTTCAACTTGACCAATTTTTTCTCTCGTTCAACCCGAGTCTTGGTTCATGCACCACTTTTAAACGTACTTTCGTTGTTTTCAATTATTTTTCCTTAGTCACAAATTGAATACTTAAAACATTTTGCTTTTTTCTACCGTGCAATCGCAATCATTTATATTCTCATTTGTAATTTGTTTTCTTTCCACCCCCATCAAGCTCTCTTGCCGATCCAATTTTATTCTATCACTATTTTATTTTTTATACAAACCGGCAGCAAGCATTAGCGGCAACAGTAGCGTCAATTTCAATCGCAACTCACGAATAATAAAGGAGAGGGACAGCTGTGTGAAAGCCAACATAATATTGTTTTAAAATACAACAATGGACGCAAACAAGTTCAATCAGCCGAATGGAGACATTGAAATCAGCCAGCCTCCCGCTGACACCGTGACCGAACTTGCATTCAGCCCAAAGGCCAACCTTTTGGCCGCGTCTTCATGGGACAATGAGGTAAGGAACACAAAAACTTGCCTGACGACAAACCGCAAAAGGCCTTGCTTCGTTGCTTGTTTTTTATGTACCATACTGACTCGCGTTGCTAGCATTTTATTTACAAATTTGAACACCCCTCTTTTTTTGAGTGATAATGATAGGTGCGGATCTGGGAGATTCAGAACAACGGCACTTCGATGGGAAAGGCCGCTTACTCACACGAGGCGCCGGCGCTATGCTGTGTGTGGAGTCGGGTACGTAGTTGACAATGGCTTGTTAGACCAGGCTGTGGCGGAATAAAGCCAGTATGTATAAACCAACAGTCAATGTCACGACTTGATTACTAACATTAAGTGACAATATCTTCCATTTATTTTTTTTGCTTATTTGTGGTGTAGGATGGCACAAACGTTGCATCTGGAGGAGCCGACAAGGCTGGGCGCATGATTGACATTGGTACAGGGCAGAGTATTCAGGTTGCGCAGCATGACGCGCCCATCAGCTGCATCAAGTTTGTCGAGGCCGAGAACGCGTCGCCGATCTTGGCGACCGCTGGGTGGGACAAGGTGCTGAAATATTGGGATTTGAGGCAGCCATCACCGATCGGGACTGTGAATCTTCCGGAGCGCGCATACGCCATGGACTGCAACAACCCCATGTTGGTGGTGGCCACGGCCGAGCGGAAGATTGTGATATTCGATATGAACAACCCGACGACACCATTCGAGACCGCCGAGTCCCCCTTGAAATGGCAGACGAGGACCGTGTCGTGCTTCCCCAACAAGGACGGCTATGCAGTCGGGTCGATCGAGGGCAGAGTGGGCATTCAATACGTGGATATCAAGGACAAGGAGAAGTGCTTTTCGTTCAAGTGCCACCGGGAAAACAAGGGCCTCGAGTCATTGGTTCACTCTGTCAACGCGATATGCCATCACCCCGGATTCAGCACTTTCGCGACTGCTTCCAACGACGCATCGTTTGCGATCTGGGACAAGGATGCCAGGCGAAAGATCAGCTCTCACGCCAAGCTTGGCGGGCCGATTGTGAGCGCAGCATTCAATGGCGATGGCAGTCTATTTGCCTATGCGCTGGGCTACGACTGGTCGAAGGGATACAAGGGCAACACGAGCGACATCAAAAATACAATTATGCTTCACGCCGTCAGCGAGCAGGATGTCAAGCCGACGCCAAAGTGAGCTCCCATGCACACGCCGGAGCAAAAAGAAGCGATATCGGGATCGAAGTGACATGAATTTGCGCTGCTGGTGCATTTTTGATATCTTATGCATTCATTTTAGCCAAGGGGTTAACGAATTGATTTCTATATTTGAATTATCAACATCTTATTACCAACAATCACTGAAGATGAAGGTACAGCTGTTTTCTACTTGTTCGCTCGGCTTCAGTAATGTTACAAATCAAAAATCAAAAAATTGATTTGGCATCAACACAATTGTTACTGCGAAGCACATGCAAAGAATTGCTTCCCCCCACACACGGTCCGCAAAGTCAAAACGTTTGCTTAAAACGTTGAATGCAATGGAATTTGATCATTTTCGTAAATATGCGTGTGTAAAATCAAAAAGCGTTGGGAAAACGTTGGCGATAGTTTTAATTTTTTTGCGTGTAAAAAACTAAAGTTGAAAACAAAAAACTGAAGCAAAAAAATGGTTCTGCGACAAGGACTGCCTCACTACACAAATTCCCAGCCTTGTCTGTCAGTTTTCCAGCCCTAAGCATCCCAGAAACCAACAAACCACTGTGCCAGTTTTGCTCACATTTTCATCCCGAAAAATAATAATATCGCGCTATCTTCTTTTGCTCTCTTCGGTTCGAAAATAATTTCGTTTACCTCCCGGCATCATATTGCATACCTCTTTCGGTTAATATTTCTCATAGAGATGTGTCTTCAAAATACAGAGCCTCCACACTGATACACCTTGATACAACTACAATAAACCCTCTCGCCCACGCGTTATATTAGTTTATTATATTCCTTGCCGCTCCTTGTTTATTTATTTTATATTTAAACATATTTTTCGTTCACACTTCCCGTCAACCTACTCTGCCAATTTTGCGCCAAGGCAACTTTTATTCATATAATTAATACTATTTTGTATATGACCTCTGCGGACACTGCTGAAGCCATGCCTCCTTACGAGCGACAGGCATCCAATTTATTCGACTTCCCTGCGCCGCCAGATCAGCCGCCCGTCCTAGTGCTGCGCCCGGTGCAAACGCCCGACTCTCAGTACCCCAGCAGAAGGCTCAGCGCGGTTGAAGCAAGCCCGCCGGGCTCGCCCAGTCCGACTGATACGGTCAATTCAAAAAGTCCGTTCGACATGTCTTCTGGCCTGAGTATGAGCAAATTCAAGCGCTTTTCTAAATCCACTACCTCCCTGCCAATGATGGCGGGATATCACGGCCACGGCATCGCCAATAGTATCCATCTCGGCGAGTACCCGTTACCATTGTATAGCAGCAACCCCTACGACTCTAAGCTTCTATTGCCGCCGCCGCCGCCGCCGCCGCTGTTGAAGCTCAGAGCTGTTAAGTCGCAGTATAACCTGAAAAGCACGGAAGAGTGCGGACTGCTTTCTGATTCGATTTTCTCGATGGTCAGCAAGGCTGAGCCGATGGCCGATATTACTGACCTGCTGACTCCAATCGAGTATCAGTCGTTCGAGTCAGACATTGGGAATTCGTCGGGAACCATCACACTCGTTTCCCACACTCATGGGTCGTCAACAGGGTCCAATGTCAGCCAGGATTGTCATACACGCGGACCAATCGACCCGGATGCCATGGCTACCTCCAGCGACGGCAGAAGCGTGCAAGTCCAGCTACCGATATCCGTCCCTCGCAAGCAAAAGAGCATGGCGCAGCTGGAGGCACAGTCCAAAAACCGCAACTCAATGTTTGTCTCGGGCACACTCCTTCCGCCAATAGTCATGGGCAGCAGTGACGAGCTGTCGCAGCAATTCTCGTGGTGCCAGAAGGATCCCGTCGACACACAGCTGGACAAGCGTGTCCATCGCACATCCCGCTACCTATACGACGTCCCCAGTGGGTCGTCGGGCGGCGGAGTGCACAACACTTTGTCCAAGGCATTTCAATGGCCGCAGCGCATCGGGCGCAACTCATTCAAATCCTCAGATAGACTCAACAACACGGTCGTTGACCATCACAAGATATACGACATCTACGAAGAGTCAATTTGGCACACCACCAGCACCTCGCATATGGGATCGGGCTCGGGAAATGCAGCACCCACTAACACAGCGTCGATTGGCAAGGGCGAGGGGAGATTGAACGGTCTGGGCACTTTTGCCAGCACGCACTTGCGGTCCCTGCGCTCGGTCGCGTCGTCCTCTGGCCTGCTACCCTGGCGTCTGATGAAGTCGGGAAAGCCGCAGACAGGAAAGTCTCCACGAAGCAAGAACGTCGATTGGGAGTGCTCAAGCTTGTTCTCAAGCTCTGTATACAGCGACAGCGACTCGAGCATCGCACTGTCTGCAGTGCACAGAGATATGCGCTCTGACAAGAAGCCCACGCGCAAGCCATCGATAATCCAGATGTTTGTTAAAAAAGCCGGGCTTGGTGGATTACTGAGCCGCTCGGTCAGCTTCTCCAAGGTCAATTCGAGGTCCACGACGGCTCTGCGTGGCACACACGGTGGCTTTGATGCTGGCCCAGTCATGGGCCCACTGGGAAAAAGTGTTAGGCATAAGCATAGCTTCCGGTTTGCCACCGCCATGCGTCAGGCCAGTAGCTTGCTGAAGGGCTCGCTTAGGGTTGTCGAGAAAAAGCGCGCGCCAATTCCTGAAGATGAGTCTGACATTGTTTCAGCGTACCCAGCCGACTCGGTTCATGGGCGTGACCTAGACATGTACTTGTCCAGGTCAGCGTATCAGTCGCCAGAGATTTCCGCACCAACAAACTCGGCCACCGTGTGCAACGAAGAAGACGAAGGCAACGATGAGAGCGAGCTTGAGAGGTCGGCCGATGATCGTCGTTCGTCAAAGTATGCGCCGCCCAAGAGGCCGTCCTACCTCGGTCTGCATCGCAAGGCCGCCGCTGCCGAGGGCAAGAGCGAGGGCGAGGGCAAAAACAGTGGTGCTAGTGGCGATAGTAATACAAAACAACAGTTGTATTCGGGGAGCGGCGATGACACAATTATCCAACATCAGTCATCTCATCCAACTCCTGCATCTGCTTCTGCTGGCGGCGCTGCAGCCAGGCTGCGCCCAACGCAGTTTAACTCACCGTTCACCACTCTGCCCTACGGTGCGTATGCGCAGCTAAATCAGCTTCGGGGCCGGGCGGATGGCCCTACGTAAAGGTGGTTAACAATAACCAAAATTGCAGTATTAATTCATATTTATATCTCGCTTTCAATATCAGAGTCAGCTTTATTTCCATTACATTATAAATATCAAAAATTATATCGGTCAATTCATCAAGTCATGCATAGCACACATTTAGTTTTGCTGGTTCATCTGTTTTGAAACTGCATATTCAAAAGAGTTATATAAAACATGCTTGCAATTTTTGGAATCAACAAAGCACCCAAAGACAAAATTTGATTAAATTTGAAAAAGAGAAGCTTAGTTCTTGTAGCCGCAGCTGGCACGACGACCACGAGCACGCTCGAACTTGCGGCCCTTGGAACGGACGTAGGGCTTGGTGTGGGAGCCGGGGGTACCGGGGCCGGAACCAAAGTGCTTGACAGCCTCACGGGCGTTGCGCTCACCACGGAGAAGGACGCAGTTGGAGCCGGTGGGGGCACGCTGGGCAAGCTGGTCAAGGGTAAGGACCTCACCGCCGGCGTTCAGAATGCGGGCGCGGGCAGCGCTGGTGACGCGGAGGGCGGCAACCGAGAGCTTGGGGAGAACGTCCAGACGCTCGTCGTCGGTGATGGTACCGATGACAACGGCGGTCTTGGCAGTGGCGTTCTTGGTCAGGGAGACCAGACGCGACAGGGAGACCGGGGGACGGTTAACGCGCGACATAAACAGACGCTTCAGGACAACCTTGTTGAAGTTGGAGTTGGTGCGGCGGGCAAGGAAGCGGTAAAGCTATTGTAAAGACAACAAAAAGGCAAAAACCAAGACATTGAAATATTAGTCAAGCACGTTCATTTTGGTTACCTATGGATTAATGTTCTAAACCGCATAGTATCGGGGATTATCTTACCTTGACCAGGAGCAGCAGGTAGACGTTCTCGCTGACGGGAGCGGAGCGGTTCTTGCTCTTAACGTGCTTGTTGGCAATGTCGATACCCTAAATAATAAAAAATAGATACATTGAATTAGCAATATATGGGTGCGTGTTTTCTGGTAGCGCTGAGCTGCATTTGGCTTGTACTCTACAAATAGCCGTCAAGCAACATAAAAATCGCAAACACAGCCCTGTTGCTGTTGCAAATTCAAAGATTTGTCGTTTAACGCAAAACATATGCACGGCGAGAAAAAGAGAGGAAGTTGAAAGATTTCGAGATATCCGCCATTGTTGTTGCTGCTGGTGTTGTCGCTGAATACGATCATTTTGCGGTGCTGATTCACAACTATTTGGTATAGCCAGAATATAAACCCCAGTTCCAAAGCAGCCAGTCTTCATCAGCCTTTCAAGCCTCCCTGTCCACTCAAAAAGCCAAGCAGCAGTGGTTTGCTGCTTGAACTGCTTCTATCACGTAGCTAAAGGGCCGTAATTTGGCCCGTCGTCATTTTTATCTGCTAGCCAGGCCAAACCTCCCAGCACAATTTCAAATGTCACTAAATAACACCAGCCCTCGCATAAATGTCTGGAAAAATGTCAAATAATGGCCTGAATTCGAATTTCAGAAAAATTCGAATTTCAAGAAATGCGTTGGGCAGAGCTCTCGCCGCAAAACGTAAAAGTGCATCCATTGTCCGCGCGTATCCAATATCCTAGTCTTCCATGGCGAATCCGTCGTGTGTCACAGCTATATTATCTCCATCTCATATCTCTCTCTCTGTCTCTCCACGTGGTATGTCCTGCTAGCGCATCCATTGTGTGTAAAATGGCGATGGATTCGTACCATTTTTCCCAAGTGTGTAAATTTAATTAGAGCTACAGCGGGTGACTAAAAAAGAGACTGATCGCAGCTGCCATTGTAGGCGTAGCGTGCACTTTGTCCAACAAGTGACCAATTTTCCGCGCAAGAGTATGAAAAATCGAAATTGATGAAATCCAAGGTGGCACAAAAGCAAATATGAGCTGCGACTCGCTGATTTTTTTGGTAATCGAGCCGGGAGTCACATGCTATGTCTGCTCCGTTTGATTGGTCCACGTTATTGATCGATGAGGGCGTGTATGGAGAAAATGCAAAGTCGAAGTTTAAATAGTGTTTACACTTGTCGAGCTTGGCAATGCAAACTGGACTAGTCATTGCGCGCTCTCTTCGCTTTATTTTTACGTTCTAATTATATTTAATCTTGGCATTGCTGTTCGAGCAATTTGTATTTCATAACAAAGACATTACTGACTGTTACGTACCGGCGGGAACACTTGAGCGACCACACCAACAAGTCACAACATAACAAGCGTAATGGCGGCAGATGACAGCAACACAGCATTTGCATCTCAGTGGCCGGACGGGTGGCGGCTTCTAGTGGAGTCTGAGATAGACATTATTGTGCGCGAGCTGCGCAAGAATGCACTCTGGGGCGATTCGGCAGAGCGCAATGGCCTGGGAGCGCTCTGGGTCGGAGGCGGGCGCTGGCCCGGGGCACACAATGCTGGAAAAAGCCAGGCCGAGATTCGGCGAGAGTTTGGCGAGCGGCGGGTTCTAGGCAAGGCTGGAGAATGTATTGGTTTGGCTTTGTTCTCTGACAGCAACGATGAGGCACTCGAGGACGACTATGCCGTGGGGCGCCTGGGCATGTTGGAGTCGTTTCTTGCATTGCGCGAGGTTATAACGGGAGCAACCGGTGTACGCGAGCTGGACATCCAGGCGGTGCTGTATCCATACTTGCTGGTTATAAGAGACGCCGAGACGACAGGTCCAATTACGCGGTGTGCTCTGGTGAGTATCCAGCGCTTCATAAACCACGGTATTGTGGATCTGGGCAGGCCGGAGGCAGTGCCGGCTCTGCTCGAGGTGACACGGGCTGTGACGCATTGTCGATTCGAGGCTACAGACGCAGCGTCGGACGAGGCCGTGCTGATGCAGATCCTCAGCGTGCTTGGTGCGCTGGTGCTGAGCCCTGGTGGCGGGCGGCTGAATGACGTGACAGTTTGCGGAATCATGGAGACAGTACTTAGCATGAGCTGCCAGATGCGACTCAGTGAGATGCTGCGCAAGTCGGCGGAAGCAACACTGTTCACACTGGTGACGTTTGTATTTGGCAAGCTGGCTGAGATTGAGGCCGAGGCTGAGTCCGAAGTTGAAGAAGAGTCAGATTATGACAAAGAGCAAGAGCAGGAGACCATGGCTGCAATGGTGATGCCCTCACCGTCAACCATGCTGGTCAACACGGAGCGCAGTGTTCGTGCGTCCAGCGAGCGCATGGGATTCGGCCTGCCAGCGATCCGCGAGCTATATCGGGTCCTCGTGGCGATGACCAACCCACAGGACCTGCAGTACACTGACTCGATGCGGATGCTCGCGCTCAACACGCTTCAGGCGGCCTTCCAGCGCGCCGGCGACGCAATGGCCGGCAGTGCTGCGCTGCGCGAGCTAACGCTAGGTGGCCTCAACCACAGCCTTCTGCTGATCCTGCAGCGCGACCAGCCAGGCCTCATTGCCGCGGCCATGCGCGTGCTCTTTCTTATATTCTCATCGCACCGGCGCTTCACCAAGGGTCAGCTCGAACTTTTCTTCTGCCAGACTCTCGGGCGTCTCATGGCGCCGCCCGCGTCGGAGCGGCAGGCAAGTCGCGCAGCACAGCGCTTCGGGCCGGGATCGGGTCCTTCGACTCCTGGCTCAGCCAATGATAGCGGCGCATTTGACGCGGTCGTCGATGGTACGCGTGTGCTTGAGATTGAGCGAGCGCTGACGCATGCAGAGGAGGCCGCGCTGTATCACGGAGCAAATCTCAGGCGCGGCGTTCGTGGGCGCGTGGCTGTCGGCGAGACACGGCGGCTGCTACTTGAGGGCCTCCACCATTTGCTGACGGGCGACGAGGCGCTGCTGACCGATCTGTGGGTCAACTTTGACTGCGATCTGCAACGCGGCAACATGTTTGACTATGTAATGTCGCTGGTGACGCAGCGCGCAGTGGCCTGGGGCGACGGTGTGTCGGGTGAGGACGAAGCCTTTTTGGATGTTCTGCTGTTCCACATCGTGCGCGTTGGTGTGCGTGCAGGGGTCGCACCGCCGGGTGGCCGATGGGGGCGGCTGCTCGGGAACGACAAGCTGGAAACTAAAGGCTCAGGGCCGAACAGCTTGGGCTTTGGAAGCTCAGATGCCACACACAACAGCCCAATGACACTTTCGCAGCTGCTTGACCGAAAGAGGCACAAGGACGCCATGATGCGAGCGGCGGCGATTTTCAACGAGCGGCCCAAGGACGGTGTGGCACACTTGCAGACCACAGGCGCACTTGAGCAGGGCGCGAACCATGCCGATCAGCTGGCACAGTTTTTGCGCACGACGCCAACGCTCAACAAGCGGCTGGTGGGTGAGTTTCTGGCCAAGCCGTCCAACTTTGAAGTGCTGCAGGCGTACGTTGCGCAGTTTGACTTTGCTGGGCGCCGGCTGGATGAGGCGCTGCGTGCGCTGCTGGGCGCATTCCGGCTTCCAGGCGAGTCGCAGCAGATCGAGCGCATCATGGAGGCCTTTGCTACGGCGTACGTGGCCAGCGGGTCGCCGGACATTGCCACCAAGGATGCGGCCTTTATACTATCGTACGCTGTGGTGATGCTTAACACCGACCAGCACTCGCCGCAGGTGCGCGGCCGCATGCGCCTGCCAGACTTTGCGCGCAACCTTCGCGGGGTCAATGACGGCTCCGACTTTGGCGAAGTGTTCTTGTCTGACCTGTTCGCTGCTGTGCGCGACTCTGAGATTGTCTTCCCAGAGGAGCACGAGGGCGCTGCCGGCTTTGAGTATGCGTGGCGCATTGTAACCGACAGTGATGCTGGTGGTTGGGCGTCGACGCGCGGAAGCACTGCTGCGTACGACCACGCGCTGCTGGAGGCCACCTGGCCGCGAATTTTGCGCGCCCTGGTGCGGGTGCTGGCGAACTTCTCTAGCGATTACGCACTGCGTCGTGCGCTCCTAGGGCTGCACGCGCTTGTGGGCGCTGCCGCCGCGCACGGGCTGACCGCCTGCATCGACGAGACATTAGTCGCGTTGTCTGGACTCACACGGCTGCCAGGGGCGACTGCCCAGCCGCAGCAGGTGCTTGTGAGCCGCCGGGGCCGCCATGCGTTGCTGCCTCCCGACACTGCCGCACTAATGGTAGCGCAGTCGAGCGCGCAGGAGCTGGAGGCGGAGTCTGTGGTGGTGTCGCAGGTCGCGCTGGACTTTGGCGGCGACTACCACGCGCAGATGGCGCTGGTCGCTTTGGCCGAGTTGTCCACAATGTTCTGTAGTGCTGTCGGCAGCCGCGGCTGGGACGCCTTGATGGCCACCGTGCGCACCGCCTCGTGCGTCGACCTGCTGCCTGCTACCGTGCTGCCCAATGCTTGGGTTCCCCGCACCGCCACGCTGCGCGCCATGGCTGACGCCGCCAAAAAGGACTCTGCCGCGCACAAGCAGGAGGCCGGCGGGGGCGGGAGTGGCGGGCTTTTGTCTGCCTTTTCGTCGCTCTGGGGCAACACATCGGGCCCAGAGTCACCGCGCTCGCCCTCGCGCCGCCCCGAGCAGCTCATGTGGCGTGTCGCGCCCGATGCGCTTGCCGCTGTCGTTGGCCGTGCAAAAAAGGCTGTGCACGCCAGTACTATTGCCGAGTTTGCCGAATTACCACGCGGCATGGCGGACGATGCGCTGGCACGCTTTTTGCCCGCCCTGGCGCAGCATCTGCCGCAGCCGCCTGCAGAGGGCCCGGCGGAGTACTCGCCCGCAGCCCTATTTTTTCTCGAAATAATTTTGGCATTGTTCATAGGAAGCCCAGAGCGCGTTCCCGCACTGTGGCCGCTGCTCGAGGCGCCGGTGCAGCGCATGCTTGAGTGCGCCGACGACATCCATGTTTACGAGTTGCAGCACACTGTGCGCGGTCTGTTTGCTGTCGCCACACGCGTGCTCGAGAATGCAGACAGGACAATGCTAGATGCTGTCGAGAGAATTGTTCGCTGCCTGGGCCTGCTGCGCGATGCTGCGGACACTACCTTTGAGGCCATTGCCGCTGATCTGGCCACGGGCGTGCATCGTTTGTGCGCCGCTGATACCTGTGCGTTGGTAAGTGTTCCGAGCATGTGGGACATTTTGCGCCAGCTGCTCAAGCGGATGGCCCACGCGCCGGTATCTATTGCCAGTGCGTTGGCCGTGCTGCCACCAGTTGTCGAGTTGCTGAAGTCAGGCGCCATTGACCGCGCTGCGTACTTTATGGACACGCTGGATGTACTCTCCGCTTTCATGCCCAGCGACCGCGCGCTGGTCACCCCCGAAGGAAAGATACAGGTTGCCACGTTGATCGCAGCTCTTTCGGACATGCAAGCTGCCGCCAACGCCGAGGCTGCAGAGCCGCCTTCCGCGGACGACGCATATGCCAGTCTGGGGATCCGTAGCCACCGGCGCACGCTGACAGAGCCCTCGATTGCGTCGACATCCTCGCGCGTGGGTATTTCTGTGCGCAGTACCCCCTTGGCCATGTGGACTGCGGCAATGAATGCTTTGGCCGCCTACGCGTGTTGCTCGAGCCGGAATGCGCGCCAACTGGCGTGTGCCCAGATCCAGCGAGCCGTCACGACGAACTTGCGCTCGGTTCCTTGGGTCACAGCCGCCTTCCACCGCGTTCTCTTCCCACTGATGGACGCTCTTTTGCGCGCCGACATGCTTGCTGACAGCTCAATGGAGGACACGCACGCGAGATGCATCTCTATGCTGACCAGCTTTTTCCTGCACAATGCTGCCGCATTGCACTCGGAGAAGGACAGCGAAGATGTCGGCGCGATCTGGTTGAGACTTATTGGTGTTTTGGCCGCCTACGTATACACAAGCAATCTGGCCAGGGTATCGTTACCTGGTGCTGGCTCCGAGGATGTTGCTAGAGGACATTTGGGCGTACTGGGCGAGATGGCCGAGGAAAGCGCGAGGAATTGTGTTCTTGTTCTTGACAGCATGGGCATATTTGGCGATGCAGAGGATAGAGATGAGAATGAGCTTTGGAAGAAGTCGTGGGAGGTCTTGGACAAGGCCAGTCCGCAGCTGCGTCTGCGCATTTTCCCTGCTTCTGTCGAAGAAGCATCAGCACCTGATCATCCGGAAAGTGCCGCTGTCGTTTCAACAGAGACAGAAGCACAGCCGGATAAGAATATTTCTGAGTCCATGCCTGTTGACGCAGTGACAGAGCCCAATGGCACTATTGCTGATTCTGCTGATGTCGTCATCGATGCTGTTGATGTTGCCGACGCTGCTGCGGGTACTGTGGGCGACGTTGATCCCAAATCTGATGTTGTAGTCGAAGGACAATCTGAATTGCCCGTTTTGACTGCTGACAAGCTGGACAATGCCTGTCTGCTGAGCTCGCCATCCGAGACAACTGGCACTTGTGACGTGGACCACCACTCAGAATCTAAGAAGAAGAGGAAGAACAGGGTCAATATCATCACTGTCGCCTGACAATATTTGCGGTTTATTAATTAGAAAAAGCTCAATATTGCAAAGCACATGATCCAAAAAACACGAATATATATACGTGTAAAATGTGTCGGATATTAGCCAAAATGCAACTTATGTAATTGCCAGCCAAGTGGACAGCGCATTTTCTGGGATGCGCATTTTTTGTTGACATTCTGGTGGCTTGTGTATAATATACACATTTGGGCCTAGCACAAAACATTGGTGGGAAATATTTTTTTTGCTCGGTGAAAATGGAAACAGGCTGAGACCAACGAAAAAAGCGCCACACACTGTGTTATGCACTACAGATGACGATATTGCCCGATTTTATCTTGCAATGATGGAGTTGGGGAGTGTTCACTCATATCTCATTTCGGTCAACAATTCAGATTACAGGCGCCAGATATGGAGCACAATGCATGTGCCTGATGCAATTTATTTGTCTCCTCTCTGCTTGCAGAAAAAACAAAAAAAACAAAACAAAAAGTTTGCATATACATCCTGCAGGCCAAACGAATGGAAAGGGCAAACCAGTCAACCCTTTTTTCCATTGTTTTATTTTTGTTTGTGCTTCTCTGTGTGCCAGCGCTATTTTAAAATTTTCCAGCTGCCATATCTGCTTGTGCAAATATTGAGTAGTCTTGACTTGCTTGTGAGCATTACTTTGAGCTTTAGGGAATTTGAAACGGGATTCTCTTTTTATTTTTATAAATATTTTTGATACATTGTGTTGCCAATTCGTGATCTTTCTCCCTCTTAGAAAAGAAGTTTCACCCCCAGGCAGAAGCAGCGATGGGGAAATAGTGGGAGTAAGCGGATAAGCGGTGTGGCGGTTCCCCCTTTCAGCTATTGTAATACTGCAGCGGCCAAAATAGACAACAACTCAGTAAACAACAGAAACTAACGGCTTTAGAATTGGTATATAAAAGACACGTATGCTGGCGGGTTGAGAGTGTGTTTAAGGCAGTACAGTAATTTAAAATATACTCGTCGCGTTAATTTTTCCTATATTTTCCAACCTTGTTATTTTAATATACACACTCAATAGTAATTTAATTTAAGCAAAATGGTTGAGCTCATGCTAAGATACATGGGCGACATGGACCAAGAGCTGGTCATGACCAGAGGCATATCGGCACAGACAAACCGCACCAGGCGGCGACGCGGCCTGACCATGCCCCGGCCACAGACCCCACTGCCTCGCCCTTCTACCATGTCTGCACTCCCCAGTCCGCCGCCAATTGAATCATTTTGGTCGAATTCCATGCGGTCTTCAAAACCGCTCTCCTCGCCATCCATCCCGCTGCGCATGCTGCTGCCCTCAAATGCGCCCACGTTCAAATTCAGAACAGAGAGTTACTTAATGGCAAGCTCGGTCCCAACATCGCCCACATTCGGATCAAAGGAGTTGGTATTCTCGGATGCACATGTCGAGTATGTAGGTGGGGACTGCGTTATTCATAATGGTATGCAGATGGTCGATATTACTTTGGAGTTTGCTGCGCAAAGGGCTGCTCCAAAATTGGTCAGCTACCCTTTTAAGGCTTAGGATATTTTTTATTCTCTTGGATGATTTATTTTTACTTTTCATTTAACAATTCCATTTCCTATTTTCAATCGATTGTTGTAAACAGATGAACACGATCTTGTAAAATATATGGCCGTCGACAAAACATTTATAATAATATTTTTGTTCCATATGAACTGGTTTGGGCTTGGCCATAATTTGAGCAGAGATACTCATCATATCTGGATATTTAAAAATACAGTATATATTACAGAAAAACAAGAGAAAAAGGATAAAAATAATTAATTTATACTAAAAGTAAATGAGCCGTGGCATGTCACGGTGCAGCTTCTGCGGCCAGCCGCGCTGCGGAGCAGTAACAAACCCCAAAATAGCCTTGATTTCTGACGACGTCTCTTCACAGTTATTGTCCATGTCTGCGGAATCACTGTTTAAGGATGACTGTGACGATTGGCTGGAGGAGCGGGAACAAGGACTGCGTCCGCGCGATTTCTGAGCCATAATGCCCGAAAAGAGAATATGCTCTGGAACCTCTGTAGTCAGCATAGTTGTATTATGTGAAATGGTGGTTTATTTTTGATGCAGAGATTATATGTTGTATTTGTTGTTAAAAAAGACGAATATTTTAGTTAAATATTTTAGTAGAAAGAAAAAATAGAACGAAAAGAGTAGAAATGGGTTGACGAAGTTTATGAGGGAAAACTGAATGAATAAATTAGTCGCTGGCCGCAGCACTCTTTATATAAAATTCGCAGTAGCCCCGATATACAAGATTGTCCTAAAATTAATAAAACCGTAGCAATGGAGGGGTGGTGACTGAGCGGGGGATGTTTACTTTTTATTTTATTTTGCAAGCGCTGGCTTTGCCGAAAAAGGGAAACAAAAATAGACTGGTCAAGGAAAAAAGGGGGAGAGGGCACCCCCGGGCAATTGCGCCAATGTCGGTCAATGCAAAATGTAATAATCCATTTTTTTTTGTTTATTTACAATTTTTTGTTTGGCGAGCAGTAGACCGTTTCCGAAATAGCCCCCGATATTGTGCCCTTTGCTTTTCAGTGCGTGTTCCTTAATAGGGTATTGCCTCATTTGATAACTACTGATTGGTCGATACCGATGTCAGTGTGCATTCGGTGTCATCATTTTAGCACGAAAATGAAGTTTTATGAACTCTGGTTTTTCTGGAGCTGACAAGCAAGTAAAAAAGAGGCACCTAGCCAATAAAAGTATCTAAATATTCACTCACTACTTCGACCAGGGTTTGCCATCGTGTCACTTGACTCAACATTTTTAAGTAATGCGAATTTATTCTTGCAACATCGATAGTAGAAATAGGGAGAAAATGAAAAGCGCAGTAGATGGCTCGAGTGGTTAAGTGGAAAAGACCAGTTTCCGTTATCAAAAGGTGAACAAAAAATTATTTGACAACCTATTATTCACACGGTAAAGTGGCAGGGGTGCAATAAGAACCAACAAATAACCAAAATAGTAACATTCAAACGAATGTAAGGATAATAAGCAGCAAAGCCTCTTTTTCATACTTGGCCTTTGCTATTAAGAATATTAATAGATTTTTATTCCTAAAGGCAATCGAAACTGTGCTTTAACCAGTCCTCTTTCGAATGTAAATCAACGCGTCTTTATTTGCTTATTTGTTTTTGCATAATAGTCAATGTGCTCTGGACACGTGGTTGCGAAAAGAAAACCTTTGAGATAATAATACAGACGACGACTGTTTGATTATTTTTAGAATGTTTGCGCGTTTGCACTTCTTTGATGTTGGCGCGCACGCAAGATTGTCTGCATGAAAATGCGCTTTATGTTTTCGACCTGCATTTAGTTAATTTGGAAAGCTGCAACTGCTCACTAACATATGTTATCTTGTTCACAAAGTAGCGCGCTGAATGCACATAAACCCGTGTTGGAATTTCACGTTTCCCCCCGCTAATATACACATGGGTACAGATAACAATAAGCCTTACATTTGATCCATCAAGAAAAGAATTTTCTTTAGAAAAAAAGCAATCATCCGTGTTTTTTAGTGGGCACAATAAGCAGCATCAACGCTAACAAGGGAAAATGAGACTCCTTGTTCTGACGACCATGTGCGCCTTTCAAATATTGATTCACTCCAGCTTCTAGCCGCCTAAATCTCCTATATGCCGACCAGAATATTATTGCACAATTGTTTATTATTTATTTTGGGGGCGCATGGGGTCTTTATTCCAAATGGTCTGGCTGACTCAAATTGCACAATCAACCCACGCTCTTAAACTTCCGCACTGGCCTCTCCCTATTATTTCCTCATTGAATTATGGCCTCGGCATTGCCAACATTTCGCTCGCAGTAAACCGTTTTAATTGAAAATATAATGTCGGAAAGGCTGACAAAAAATAAACGGCTTAAACACGCCGAGATCACACATGCACAAACACATTATTTTCCAGACTTAAGGCACGTGTATTAAGTGTGTGAGTTGTCGTTGAGCAGACTCAGCAGCTCAGAAATAACACAGTTAAGTGGCAATGTGCTGTTTCTACTGTTGTTGCTGATAATGCTTTCACATCGAATGCCCATGGTAGAAGTTGACTCTATACGGTGATGAGTTTGCAATGACGCGGTGGCGTCGCTTTGTTTATCGTCATCTCCAATTGCTTCTCGTTTGACCGCAGATGATTGACTACTAACGGCTTCGTCCTGTTCTTCCAAAACCAACTGTTTGTTATTGCGCCGTTCTTTATCCTCGTTTCGTTTGCGTCTGCTAGATTGCGCGCTAAGCCCCTGCGATACTATGTAATCCAGAAAACGAGGGTCGGAGCTTATCGATATCATTGCGATTCTGCAAAAGTGTAATGTTCTGGAGATCAAAGAGAGTTGGTATGAGAATAATTGCAAGAATGCGTAGAGTGAAGAAGCAAACACTACAGTTATTAATCGTTTATTTTTGAAAAAGTAACCTTGTAACCAGTCTGAGCGGATCAGGTCTTGTTAAAGTCTGAGAATTGTCTTGGGTTCTGTCCTTTTATACTTTGAAAGATATCTGTTTATAAATATATATACATACACGATTATAACCGGCTATCCCGCCATTGTCAGCACTCGAACCATTGCGCTGTGAGGTATAGTACACGCAGCAAAAAACAAAACTATTTGATCAAATAAAACATACGCATTTATTTCATTGATTCTCAATGTCAATTTTTAAAATTTTGCTATTTTTTGTTAAAAAAAAAGAAACGAACAAATACATATTGTTTGTATTGTTCACTATACAATATGCCTTACAATATGAAATTTCCGTCTCCCCAAACCATGCATTTTTATATATCTGAAAGCAATGCGAGTTTGCTATAATTGAGAATTACTGCGTGGGTACAGCTCAACAGGTCTTATTTGCCTCCGCCTTGTTCACGAGCTGATTAACCTCGGGAAGGAAATTCACGCTTCTTTTCCTGTCTATTGTTACCGTCTCTGTTATGTATTTTCCGATTGGGGATTATAGACATGTGTAATATTTTTCTCTTCGACACCTCCCAACTGCTTCGTATCCCTGTCGGAGTAACAATAACATCTCGATAGTTCACACCCACGCGATAAAAGTAAAGCCAGCTATTAGGTAAAAAAACACCAAAAAAGCAGCGTATTTTGAACAATGAGTCGATGCAGCCTTTCATTCTTCTGTTGTTAAACACGAGGCAAAGCCCAAGCGAGCACAATCGATGTTATATTAACCACCAAAAGCGATATCTCCAAACAATGCCAAATTACATCAAACAATACCCTACTTTGACCGAAACAACACGTCTTTAAAAGCTATCAATGTCATTATTTGCCTTTCTAAAGTTGTTTAAATACAAAATATAATGAATTAGTGAATTAGTGAACATAATTCAGCCAATATGTTCTTTGTTGAGGCATTGTTCCCAATGCTGTTTTGTAAATACACAAGCAAGCAAGCAATGTGAGATCCGGAATCGACGGCCAACCCAATAAATAAACTGATTAATTGGGTTGACTGGATGCGATAATTGTTGTTTTAGCAGTGTTAAAAAATACGGGGGTAATTTTCTAATACTTGTATATACATAAAATTGATATTAATTGATAATATTTTGAAAATAAACAGGCAGGCGTCCTTTAATCCACCATGCAATTTAGAAATGTATCAGTTTGGGTCTAGCTACACCAAAGCGACTTTGCCGGCGCTGTTGAGGTTGGTTTTTCTGTGGAGAATCAGTCGTATTGAGCACTGTTAAGTGAGGTGAATCGGGTTTATCGTCGTCTGGCTGTGTTGAATTGATAATAGGCAAACCGCGAAAATGCTGGTCTGAGGGTGGCTGCATGTAAGTGCTATTGCATGCGCGCAAGTCAGCAATTGTACCGCGGTACTCATCTCTACTGCGTCTTTCAGTTACAGGACTCAACTGGTAGTTCTCAAGATTTACTTCTGGGAGGTCTACAATCTCTGAGTGTGGTAACTCTTCTTCCAAAAAGTGCTCATCTTTTTGCAAAGAGGTATAATTAATAGACGAATTGCTCGTACGCGACACGCAGCTCGATCTGCGACGGTAGTCCCTAGCGGATGCGCCACGATCAAGGATATACTGTGGGATATTATTCTGCATTGTTACAACCAAAGTGAATGAGTGTTATAAGGAAAATGAAGGGTATTTTCATACAGGAGGAGAAAGTGTATTTAAATTTAGAAATTTTGGCGTGCAAAAACAACGCAAAAAAAGAAAAGTCTAGGCCCCCACACCCGCAAAATATGCTGAAATTTATAGAAATTGTTTTGCGATGACGAGGGTGTTATCTACCAATATCTAACTGCCCGATGTTACACAGACACCAGTCTGAACCTTGCATTGTTTTCGATAGGCCGCATAAATTCCCTGTACTTGAATGTTTAGATCGTTGAGTGTACACGAACCCAGCAGATGGGGGATGGAATGGACAATCCTGAGATGCAACTGATCGCCGTATTTTAATTTACTGACTAGTCTTTTGTATGTCATAAAAATATGCAATCCTCAAACAACTGCACTACTTATTAGCCAGGGGTTGATGAGTTTACTTTGGCTTTGCCAAACCAATAGGAAGTTTTTGAGTGTTGACAGATAAAATATCGGTGCTTGTTTAATTTATCTTGTTTGCTAGATTATGTTTTGTTTTATTTTTGCACGCAAAATAAGCTCATGAAAAGGAATCGGCAATTTCTTCCTAATTTTTTCTTCGTTTTGGAAAATAATATATATATTTTACAATATTCTGCGTTTGCAATAAATATGCTGTTAACAAACAAGTTTATCCTGCCGTAATAATTGGAAAAAAGCTCCAATGTTTGCAATTATTTTAATCTTGACGATAAACCTGGCATCAACTTCCAATTTGAGATTAAAGTAGTTAAATTGTGGACAAGCAAGAAATGAACGCAGTGTTTTTGGTTCGAATTCACTATAAGCACATAATCAAAGCTGTTACAGCAGTTTGGAGAGATATAATTAAAATACGTCCCCATATGACCACAAACAGCCCGCACGTGGTTGCACAGCTTGGTGCGAGCCATACAGTTAATGTTGGGCGAATAGCATGCCAGCACACTGCTCGGTGTTTTGAGGTACGGCACTCACTGAATAATGGTCAAAATATCGGCCAAAGTGTCAATGTGTGTGAGCCCAATAGTCTGCAGCTCCATAAACGACCGCTGATGAATTACCATACAAAGAAGTTCGTTGGGGGATACTACGCCTTCCAATTTCAGCATACGAACAAAATTAGATGAACCAGTTGTCCAAAAACATTTCCCTTAAAGTGACATAAAAGCCATTTAATAAATCTTCCAATCAATTGAAGGTGTATTCATGGTTTTCAGAACGATGGTTTGTGGACTTGGGTACTCCCTGTTTAAAAGCAACACTAATACATACCATCGATAATCTAGATAATGACCAAGAGCAATGCTCATGAATTCCACACTGACAGCACAGGTTGTTTAACAACAGTGGTTTGCCAAGTCCACAAACTAGTCGCACTGTCATAAATTTAAAAAACACTTGCTTCCAGGCATAGTTAATGATCAGCACGCTTTGATTGTCATACAAAAGTGCGCCAGCATTGCTTATCTGCATGTATGTAAGTACAAAGCGCTTAATAAATACTGCGCTGTAAAATTATAAGCAACATTCAGGCGGTTATGCACTCATACAAACCAACCTGCTCATCGGATAGAATGGAGAAATATGGAATTGGGCCATTAGGGCGCGTGAATCTATTTGATTTTACCCATAGAAACGAACAATCATTATATTTGTCAAACCTTTTAATTTATTTCAAATAATTTTTTTATGCGCGCCGGTATTAACGCACCAAGTATTCGTTAAATCTTATTTACACACTCACCTTTTGTTTATATAAAATATTGTTTGCCTAGTTGAAATGTCCACTGCTAGCGAACACCAGTCCCGCTCCTCAAGCAGGGCGTCAAGCAGAGCCTCTAACAGGGCTTCACCCGCACGAAGCAAGGGCAAATCGCACGACTCTGATTCGGATAGTGGATCTGTAAGATCAGTGGGTGGGTTCAGCAGCAGCAACAGCGATAGTGATAGTGACTCGGACGACCAAGGCCCCTCAGCACCCCGTGCTATTTCTCCACCCCAGAGTGGGTTGCCGGCCAGACGGCAGCCGGCTCCTGTGCAATTGGCACCTGGGCCCACTGCGATGGGAGGTGGAGCTAGCGGGCGCTATATGCCGCCCGCACTTAAGAGGCAAATGCTGGCGGCAGCGGCGGCAGCGAGCAGTTCGGCTGAGCAGGAGCAGCGTGAAAGCTGGGAGATTCTCAAAAAGCGCATCAATGGGCCAGTGAACAAAGTCAACACGGCAAACATCAAGGATATCGTCGTCGAGCTGTTTTCAGCCAATTTGATTCGCGGGCGTGGTCTGTTTTGTCGGTCGATTATGCGGGCCCAGTCGCTTTCATCCTCGTACACACCGGTGTATGCGGCGCTGGTGGCAGTTATCAACACGAAACTGCCCATTGTCGGCGAGCTTTTGATTGCCAGACTGATATTGCAGTTCCGCCGCGCCTTTAACCGCGATGACAAGGACAGGTGTATATCGACTGCCATGTTTTTGGCCCACCTGACCAACCAGCGTATCGCCCATGAGGTCCTTGCTTTTCAGGTGGTCTCTCTTTTGCTCGAGACGCCCACCGACGACAGCGTCGAGGTGGGCGTGGCATTCATGCGCGAGGTAGGTGCCTTCCTGACTGACGTCGCACCCCGCGTGCTCAATGCGGTATTCGACACCTTACGTTCGATTCTGCATGAGTCTGATATTGACAAGCGTGTTCAGTACATGATTGAGGTTCTCTTCCAGGTTAGGCGCGACGGATTCAAAGACAGTCCTGTTATTCCAGAGGGGTTGGATTTAGTTGACGAAGACGAACAGATTGTGCACGAAGTTGCATTGGACGATGACGACCTGGACGCCCAGGACGAGCTAAATGTGTTTCAACTTGACAACAATTTTTCTGAGAGCGAGAGCAAGTACAACAGCATCAAACGTGAGATTCTCGGTGAAGTCGATTCTGATACGGATGGGAGCGACAACAGCGGTGGGGAATCGGGTACTGAATCTGACAACGAGTCTTGCTCAGACAGCAGCTCGGATAGCGAAGCTGAGAGCGAGGGCGAGGTGAAGGCGGCTGGCGATAAATCAGCAGGTGCGCCGGGAGTTCAGAAGATTCACGACTTGACTGAGACCGAGCTAGTGAACCTCCGGCGGACGATATACTTGACGATCATGTCCAGCCTCAGCTTTGAAGAGGCTGCGCACAAGCTGCTTAAGATAGAGATCCGCCCAGGCGAGGAGCAGGAGCTGTGCAACATGGTCATCGAGTGTTGCTCTCAGGAGCGCACGTACAAGAACTTTTTCGGGCTTATTGGCGAGCGGCTGTGTAAGTTGAACCGTGCATGGTGCAATGGATTTGTGCTGGCCTTTGCCTCGTGCTACGAGAACATACATCGGTATGAAACCAACCATCTGCGCAACATTGCGCACTTCTTTTCGCATCTTTTGGCCACCGACGCGCTGCACTGGTCCGTGCTGCAAGCCGTTGTGCTGACCGAGGAGGCCACCACTTCGTCATCGCGCATTTTCCTCAAGATTCTCCTCCAGGACCTGGCCGAAGAGCTTGGTCTGAAGACGCTCAACGAGAAGCTAAAGTCCACAGACCTGAGGGTATCCGAGGCGGTCAAGGGCATGTTCCCAAGCGACAGCGCAAAGGCCACCCGCTTTGCCATCAATTATTATACCAGCATTGGCCTTGGCGCGATCACCGAGGAGATGCGCGAGTGGCTCAAGTCTGCGCCAACACTGAATGCAGCAAATGGCAGCGATAGCGATAGCGACTCCAGCTCCAGCTCTGGTTCAGAGTCGCATTCTTCTGGGTCTAGTTCGGGCTCGTCGTCTGGGTCTGGGTCTGATTCCGACTCGAGCTCGTCATCGTGCTCCTCGTTTGGGTCATCGGCCTCCAGCCGTACTATATCCAGTCGCAGCTCCAGCATCAGTTCCAGATCTAGCCGCAGCCGCAGCCGCAGCCGCCCGCTCAGAATTAATCATAAGCGCACCCTCAGTCACTCGGGCAGCCCGGACGCGAGGAAGGTAATACCTGCTGCCGTCATCCCAGAAAATCCTGGCAACATAGATACTATGAGCGAGAGGCAGAAGTCGCCTAAATTGCCAGCGCCCACCCACTTGGAGAGACCAGCACGCAGCAGCAACGCCGAATCTGCAATACAGCCAGTCGCAATGAAAGTCTCTAAAATGCGTTCGCCATCTTATTCGCCGTCGCGAGATGCAGCCTACGCGAATCGCTCAGCATCAAACATTAGATCAAGATACCGCTCGAAATCACCGAGTATCAGCGCTTCTGATCGCGAGTCTAAAAGCATGCGCGACCTATCTCTGCATGGAAACAGGGACCGCAGCCACAGGTCGCCCTCCAGATCGATCCGCCCGCGCTCTCCGTTGCAGTCCAGGCGCCAGAGGTCAAGGTCAAGGTCGAGCTACGATCGCGGTAGCGACAGGTACGCAAGAGACAGCAGGAGGTACAGCGAAGGCAAGAGAGGGCACAGCCGGTCGTATTCTCGGTCAAGGTCGCCATCAAGAGACAGATACCGTGGCTCCTACTCGTCGAGATCCAGCCGTCGCAGATAATAATTATATTAGTCGTATTTCGTATTTCATTTAACTCAGGGTTTAGAAAAACACATAAAAGAGAAACACAGCAAAATTATGTTCTCCACTCGACGTGGACCTGGTCGGTGCGGAAGCGCTGTGTGATCCAGCTGTCGGGGATAGCCGTAGTGAAGCCACGGGCGAATGCCAGCGCACCTGCCTGGGCAATCATGATTCCATTGTCGATGCAGTAGCGCATATCGGTGGCAAAAACTTTGCCGCCACGCTCAATGGCCATCTGGCCCATCATCTCTTGCAGGCGCACGTTGCAGCCTACACCACCAACGACTAGGACCTCGCTGGTCCCAATATGCGCCATTGCCCGTTCGGTGATCTCGACCAGCATAGCAAACATATTTTCCTGCAGCGAGTAGCACAAATCTTCGGGCGTGTACTTTCCGGGCTCTGTCTTGACAAGCTTTTCGATGAAAGACAGAATTCCTGAAAACGACACATCCATACCCTTGACAGCGTAGGGCAATTCGATGAATTTGGACCCGCGCTTGGCGTATTGTTCAATGTTATACCCGGGGCTTGGGTCGTTGGGCAGCTTGAGAACGCGGGCAAACCTGTCCAAGCAATTTCCAATAGCAATGTCCAGCGTCTCGCCAAAAATGCGGTAGGTCTGCTGCGAGTATGCAATGACCTGCGTGTTTCCACCGCTGACATACAGAACCACGGGGTTGTCTGCGCCGGTAATTGCACGTCCCATCTCAATGTGACCAACACAATGGTTGACGCCGACCAGCGGCACGTTCCAGAGCTGCGAAAGAGTGCGAGCAACCAATGCCACCGACTGCAGTGGCGCTCCCATGCCAGGGCCCTTGGTGTAGCAGATGCAGTCCAGGTCCTCGTGCGTGATATTGGCCTCCTCAAAGGCCTTGTGCAAAAGAGGAATGATGACCAACCGGTGGTGGGCGGCAACGTCACGCGGTAGGAACCCCTCGCCTGCAGGCGGATTGTAGGTGTCGCGGACATTGGCAAGCTCGATGTATTCGGGTAAAAGCTCGGTGTCGGAGGGAATGCCGTTGGCATACACATGCTTGACAATTCCGACACCCAGCTTGTTGGCAGAGCCCTCGAGGCCCAAGGCGATAATTGTTCTTGGCGCTGAGTTGACTGGTGCCATGTTGAGTTAGCCTAAAACTTTGTTGAAGATAGTAAAAAAATAGTGATGATGAGTTGGCGGCTTGGCCCAAATTTCAGATCGGGCGCTCAGCGCCGTGGCAACACTGTCCAGTAAGCGCCCCTACAGATCCGCCATTATTGAGGGATTTCAGCACATGATGATCCGATCAGCCGATTAAATTTGGATATTAAGTGGATACCAATGTAAATGCATTAACTTGCATTTTTTTACGCTGATACGGCCAAGTTGGCCAATGTATTTCATACGTCTTTCAACTGTGGGTTTACATTTATTTGCTCTTTTGTTTTGGACTCATTTGGCTACTTTTTTATTTATATATCTTTACCCTAATTCGTGCCTGTCGCCTCCTATCGACGCCGTTTCTTTCGAAAATCTAGAATGCTTGCACAGCGCGCCTCGAAGATGTCTACCACAGGCTGGGTGCTGCGCCGCGGCCCGATCCGAGTTACGACCAGCAGTCTGCTCCCGCAAATATGCCATAGCCGCCGGTGGAAGATAGTGAGACCCGATCCTATCCGTCCACTTCCGAAATTTGATCTGGAGGTGCTGCTGACCCAGCAGCCCACCGATGCTGCCGCCGGTGCCGCTGCCGCTCGTGTGCACAATCCGCTGCTGTCCATCGAGCTTGGCGAAAAAGAGAGGGTCAGATTACTTAAAAAGCGGAATGCTGAGGAGCTTGAAAAGTATATACCTGCCGTTCGAGGCAGTCACCCACTTCCATTGTGCGAGGACTACGCGAGGTGCTGGTCGAATTTCTTGAAGGGGAATCATGGCATTTTGGAAACGCCGACACGGCGGTACCTGAACATATACAGGGCCAACGGTCCCATCAACCGCAGGACGTCATTTGGGCTTGTTAAGGTGTTTAAGACGTTTCGCGAAGACGATTACAAGAAGGATCCAAAGGAGATGAAATTCCGCACCGAGTTTAATTTCAGAAAAATGCCGTATTCCACCGAGGAATTTCTGGCTCTGCTGACGCTTTACGTCCGGACACTCTACACGCTTCCCGAAGATAAGAGATCGGATATCGCTAGCGACTTTTACTTTATTGTCAAGGCCATTCGTCAGCGACCAAAGATCCACCAGAAGCTGATCGAAATGAACAAGTTCAGACAGCTAGTCATGTCGTACTTTCTGATTGTCGGCCAGCCCTTTCTGGCGCTGTATGTGGCGGTAGATTTGGTGACAAAGAGCATTCCTGGAACAATTGATCGGTGGGCGATTTTGCGGCTGCTGAACATACAAGGCCTGTACCATGGCGACAAGGAGGCTCTCATCCATCTTAAAAACATGGATCCCGGGTACAAGGGTGACCACGCTACGTATGATCGGGAGTACAGGCTAAATATTCTCAGCCATTCAATCCTCGAGTACTACTACGCAAATCCGGGAATCACCATAACCGATTTAGAGTTGGTGCGGCTGATAAGGTGCTCCGAATCGCGTCAGCTTGTCAGGGAGCTGATGGACATGTTGCCCATGGTACTCGCACGCTTTCTCAGGGGATCTGTGAGAGAGCTGCCCGCTGCCGACCAAACAGATCTGTTTTACGAGAAGCGGGTGCATAACATACACATCAATGATATGCAACTCGTGGCACGATATGCACTGGCGCTTTTGCAAACCAACAACAAGGATATGGCAGTCAAGTTTATGGTGACAATCGCTAGCATGCCGAGCAAGCCACTAGAGAACTCTAGCTGTAACACGGGTCAATTGGCGTGCTCCTTCATCGAATTGGCGCAGGCTGTTCCAGACAATTCGCCGATTCTCGCTGAAGTTCTGGAGCAGCACAGCAGCAGCAACATAGACAGATCGCTGAATTGGCGGTCTCCTCCCGAATACAGGGCGTATATCTCCGAGGAAATTGTCAGACATATGATTGGTGGCGAGCCTGGTGTAGCCAGCGCACTAACGGCGCTACTTGGCTCGAATTCGGATCGATTGAATATGACCGCCGCCATGGGTATCATTCAGCCGCTCATAAGGCACGAAAAATCCTTGGCGCTCGAGTGGATTGGCTACGGTTACTATCATTTGCAGCCCCCGACCCAGTCCAAGGTGGACAATTTACTGATATCCTGGATGCGGGATAGCCGCGAGCAATTTATGGATCAACTCAGCGCGGCTGCTGAACGGGCACCGCGCGTAATGGTGAGAATCGCTTCTATTATGAGCCAGAAGATGTGGGACTTTGAGGCAGATCGGCGATACTTGCTGGCCGGTACGTTTATCGCCATACAAGGAACCAAGAACGCCTATGCAGCCGGAAGCCTATTGGTAGCAGCCGCCATGGGGCCACAGGCGCACATCAAGACCTCAGGGTATTCGGGACAACAACCGCTGACTCAGCGCGCGTATACCACCGCACAGCTGATCAAGCGGCTAGAATGTGAGGGTCTGGACATGGGAATACTGTTGTCATACATGATGGGAGCTGTGGCGGTGTTGAAATCGCCGACTGCTGAGAGGATGATATGGCGAGAGTTGCTGCGGCATGGCGCTGAGCCCAACCTGCCCATGAAGAAGGCGTCGCTGTATTTTTGTCTGTGCGAGCGGGTACACATTGATTCGGCTGCGGAGCTGGTGCTGGACGTGCTGAGCACGATTCGGGTTGTCAAGGATGTCGACTATAGCAGTGATTCTGGTGATAATCTGCCTGCAAACAGAGATGCGGCCATTTCAGAGCTCATTGGAGGGGTCTCTTCAATTAGCGAGATCTTTGACGGGGATTCCTTGCAAGTGGGGACTAGCAAGTCCAGGATGGCACCGGTCTACGTGAGGATTCTCGATGGGCTGAATCGTGCCGGTCTGTATGATGCTGTCGATGCGATGGCAATATATTTGCTGGACAGCCATGAACGCATTTATATGTTCGGGGGCATAGCATCCGTATGGATAGACTCGGTTGGATACAACCCGAATTCGACAAGCGACGATATCCAACGCGCCTGGAGTACGCTGCGCCGTGTTTCGGATGACATGGTGAAAAGGTGGAAGGAAAAGCGCGGTACACGGTTCATGCTCAACATAAACAATTATAACTCTGTTATTGAGGCATGTGTGCGCAAGGGCGACCTTGACACCGCGTGGTATATTATTCACGTCGAGATGCGCGAGAAGAAGCTTGTACCGACCCTGTTCACGCTGTACACACTGATCTCGCCGCTTGCTGCCAACGCCAAGCTGTGGCCCGTCGGCAAGCTAATGGTGGCTAAGTTCAACGCGCACTACCCGGACATAGTGCAGGCGGCCCTTGGCAACCACAGTCTTGCACAGCCGATCAGAGCGCTCTTATATGCAGGGTCCTGTATGTAGGTGTTATTTTTTAGTGGTGTTTGCTTGTTTAAAATAAAAAATAATTTTACGAATGCATGGCATGTTGGCCAAAGCGCGCGTGCACAATGTAATGGTCCAATATCGATATTTGCGCGCATTTTGTTGCCACTAATGGTCTCCCCCCTCATCCACATCCCAGAGTGCAAGCAAATATTTGCTTTTAAATTTCTTATCCGCTTTTGTGCGACTGGCTTTATTTGGTCTATCGCGTTGCTTTCTTTCTCTTTTTTCTTTGCTGTCATTCTCACATTTTTATATATTTTATTATTGCCGCTTTTTACATTTCGCATATGAGCTACCCGTACAATGCTGCCTCTGGCATTACCAAAGAAGAGTACAACAAGATGTGGTTCAACCTCTGGGATGTCGGCACGACAAAGTGGGACAAGGGAGACGTATCGCCCGCACTGCACGAGCTGATCGAGGAGAAAAAGTGGAAGCTTCCTGAAGGGCAGGGCATAGTTCCAGGCTGCGGAAGAGGGTATGACGCGATGTACCTTGCCTCGCCCTCGTTGCACATGGTCGGTGCCGATATCAGCCCTATCGCTGTTGAAGCGGCCACCAAGCTGCGCAACGAGAAAAAAATCCCTGGCAGTCTGGTCGAGTTCAAAACGCTAGACTTTTTCAAATTCGATGTGCCTGATGGCAAGTATCAGGTTGCGTACGACTACACATTCTTCTGCGCACTCCACCCGTCTATGCGGGCCGACTGGGGCGCGCGCTATGCCGATATCATGGCGCCAGGAGGCCATCTAATTGCCCTCATGTTCCCGCTCGACAAGAGCCCTGAGAGTAGAGAATGCGGTCCTCCATTCTTGCTCAGCGAGGCCGATTATCATAGAGTGCTCGACGATAACTTTGAGCTGATCCATATAGATCCCGAATGCAAGACACACGAGGACCGTGTAGGCGTCGAGGTAATAACAGTCTGGCGCCGCAAGTGACACAGTCCAACCAGGCACATGGTTTTGCTTTCTCTTTAATTTGCAATTGACCAAAAATAGAACTTGAAACTTTTATTGACAACAAAATAAGAAGAGACAGACACGTTGCGTGGGACCAGCCCTTCACAATGGGCGCAGATGCCCTGAAAAAGTTAATAAACATTCGATGCTCGGTGGCTAGAATAGGGGAAGCCTTCAGTCGAGGATCGTTGTGCAGTTGAGCTTGAGCACCGCCCGCCTGGGGATCCCCCCAAAGTCTTCATGTACGCATTTTGCCCGTATACGCAAATACTTCAGATACGGCCAATCCTGCTCGCCAAAGGTTTTGCGCACAGCCTCGACAGAGAACTTTTGCACATCCATCATGTCCAGGACCTGCATGCAAGTCAGCACGTTCGGATTGAGAGCTAGCAAAAAGCTGTCGTCCAGACGGAGGCAGCTCCACATCTGCAGAATGCGCAGCTTGGTGCATTTTGTTACCAGTTCCGCCATCGCTGCCGAGCTCACGGGGCAGCCGCCAACGTTGAGGCTGACTAGTGAGTGTGAGAGGTTTTTGATGATCGAGTGGATTGTAGCGTCGGTCGCATTGGTTGCCCGGATCTTCAGGTCGCGAAGTCTTGGACAGTTTTCCAGCACTGGCAGCAGATCCATGTCGCCCAGCTCGACGCGGTTTGTGACGTCCAGGCTACTGAGCATATGTAGCTGCTCCGAGACGACCTGAAGCGGCTGTGGGTCCCACATAATGAAATCGCTAAGGCCAAGCTTTTCTAGACGGGGGTAAGCCTGAAAAATGCGTATCAAGATGCCTAGACGCCTGCTGTGGCTCGATATGCCAGTTGGGTTTTTAATGACTGCCTCGAGCACACTCGGGCAGAATCGCTCCATAAACTGGTGCATTCTCTGTACAGTGCCATCAGACACCTCATGGTGGTGGTACTGTTGCTGCTGATGTTGTTGCTGATGGTAGCTGCCCGAATGGACGCTCGGTGCGTTGTTTGTGCGCGACGACATTGATCCGCCTATCGTCGCTGCTGCCGACAATATGTTTATTGGAGCTAGCCCAGAGGTGCCCCAGCTGCTTCCCGCAGCCGACGGCGGCTGTGACTCGCTGATGACGTTCCCCAGGCCTGGAGTGCCTGGAATTGCCACAGCGTATATTGGCTGAAGCATGGGCGATGGCAACGGCGACGTTGCCATGCTCATCCTTGACTGCCGCCGACCAATGCTGTTACTAGAGCTGGGTGTAGCGGATGCAGGAAATTCTGGCAGCGTGCTTGTGATATTTGATGCCATTCTCTGGCGAGAATATGGTTCCAGAGACAACAGCGATGGCGGAGGGAAGAAACTCGAGCCGATCGGATGCTGCTGCGGCGAAGATGCCGTGCTGGTGAAGCCACTGTGGCCAGTGCCAAACACGGATGTCACAGCCAAGGCTGACACAGGGGTTGATACTGAGGCTGAAGCCGAAGCCGACACTGAGGCCGATGCCGAGAGTGGTGCTGACGGATATATCATTGGACTGTTAGGATCCGCTGCACCCCCAAACGCGCCTGCTACGTGCTGCGACGCGTGATGATGATGCTGTTGAGAGGATATGGATCCTGAGCGAGACAATGGCCTGGATAACGACCAGCTGCGCGTGTTAGATACGCTAACGCGCCGGGACGAGCTGCCCTGGCCTAGCTGACTTTCCAGCAACGGCGGGGTAATAATGACACGACGCACATGGTGGCCGTAGTTGCTCAAAATGGGCTTTAATGCTGCCAGCCGACGCTTGTCAAGCGGGAACACCATTGTGCGCCAAAGCAATGGATTTCCCGCCGACCGCCATTGCTTCGACACCTGAACCACATTCTTCAGATCCTCGGTGTGCAGGTACTTAAACACCTGGCGAAACAGCTCTGTGGGCAGCAGCTGGAATGATGATGCTGTTGACGAAAATGAGCACACGGATATCGATCGCTTGAACTGGTATGACGCCAGCGACTCCAGCTCTGTGCCCGCCATGGAATCCATCATGGAGGATGTTGACGTATACGACGCTGCGACTGATGACACGTCTGACGGTTGTGGGTAGTGGCTGTAGGCGTTGCTGCCGCTGAGAAAGCCCATCCCGAAGCCCGAGTAGTTAGGTTGATGTACACTGCCGCTGCTGCTGCGGCCATACATGCTACTGGTGCCACCTCCACCGCCACCACTGCTGCTGGATATGCTTTCACGGCTGGTATGTGCTGGTATATCCATCGCTGATATTGGCGTGTACAAAAAGCATGTCGGGGTGTGCTCGTCTCTGTGGCCGCCAAGCGCCGAGCATGTACAGTACTCCTCTGTTTCGTGTGGGTCCATGCTTGTGTTTTGTTTTTTGTGCTTTGCGTTTTGTGCAGGTGTGCTGTTGAAATTCCAGTATAACAGTAGGAAATGAGTTTGAAAATGAGATGTGCTTGTGCAGAAATTCTGGAATGAGCAGAAAGTGAGAGCAGCTTTCGGGGGGATAAGGCAAAATAACAGGTGCACACGATTTTACCGGGCTGTGAAATTTGCGTACAGCTCAACAGCAGCAATCAACTCCTTATACGCACAGCCACAGCCTCATCCCAAGCCATCTTGGCCAAACAGGTGGTGCAATTAAAGGCAGATGACAAATGTTGATTTTGATACCCGATCAAGCCGCTTAATTTAGTGCATACGCAATGCCCCCTTGAACACAAAATTAAAGGCCGCGTCGTCTGCATTTATTTCCAGCACATTCTGCTTCTTTTTTTCCAACACATCACCCAATTTCAAACAATCACTTTAATTTCGATAGCTCTTTGTTATTTCATTGTCTTATTTCAGTATCCATACCAATTTTCAACAGCCAGAGCCAAACAACAAGCAGCAAATATGTCAACGCTCAAGCCCGGAGAGGTCAGCATGGGAACCACCATTATGGCGGTCGAATTCGATGGCGGCGTGGTTCTCGGAGCGGATTCGCGCACAACAACGGGCGCATACATTGCCAACCGCGTGACAGACAAGCTGACAAAGGTGCATGACCGGATTTACTGCTGCCGCTCAGGATCAGCTGCCGACACGCAGGCCATTGCAGATATCGTTAAGTACCACTTGGATATGTACACCGCACAACATGGCGAGGCACCCACAGTGAAGGTCGCCGCATCGCTGTTCCAGGAAATATGCTACCAGAACAAGAGCGGTCTGATGGCCGGCATCATTATCGCCGGATATGATGAGCGCGATGGCGCGTCTGTATACGACATTCCGCTCGGCGGATCGCTGCACCGTGAGCCCTTCTCTGTTGGCGGCTCAGGGTCGTCGTATATCTACGGTTACTGCGACAAGGTGTTCCGCCCGGACATGACCAAGGAGGAGTGCGTTGAGTTTGTGAAGAACACAGTTTCGCTGGCCATGACGCGTGACGGCTCGTCTGGCGGGGTGGTGCGTCTGGCAGTCATTGACAAGGACAGCGTCGAGAGAATGTTTGTTCCCGGTAACCAGCTTCCTGTGCAGTACTTGGGATGAGGTGTTAGCTGATTCTTGTAACCGAACTTTCTGAAATGGTTTAAAAAATGTAATAGATGAAGTGGCCTGTCTTCCGCTGAGCTCTGCTGAGCTTTGCTTTGTGCTCGTAACAAATTACATGATCTGATTGGCACTAATCATCGGCCATCAGCTAGCCTATTGCAATTGCGCTGGCATTCGATTCGTTATTTCGCCCGAGGCCTGTTTTTTTGCTGTGGATCCACGCTGAGTGATTTTTGTGATTATCGTTTGAGACTGGGTCAACAGGAGCTACATATCGATCCACGATATATTGGTCGAGATCGCGAAAAAAAATAGCAAGAGTCAGTTTGCAATATGTGTTGGTCTTGAACCACAGCTAGATCATTTGTTTGTGATTCATGACACTGGTTCTGCTGAGTGCAGCCTTGGATCGTATGGGAACGTAGAATTGGTCAAGGCTTAGTGCTTGCCTTTTACAACTCGGGCTTCACCGAGTATTTTTTGCTTTGTAACTTCCTTTTTGGTATTTTTATTTGCTATCTTGGGGAGACTTCCGCATATTAGTGTAAAAATATTTTACACTCGAGCATTCCAAAAATGGAATCAACAATTTTTTTTTGACTTTTTTGCAAAACAAATCGCCGACAGCCGGGTAATGGATACTTTGCACGCACGGCCTTGCTTTCCGCTCTTCTAACCTCTTTCGGCTGTGCTGAACTTTGTGTCTTTTTGTTGAGATCATTTCTCTAGTACATTTTCTTGGTGTTGCTGTGTATCGCAAAGCTCTGGATATTGCGATCTGCTTATCATAGTATGAATAGTAAATAATTTCAGCACGCAAAAATGTTTTTTTGCTCGGCCTATTTCAATCAATATAAGTTTTCTATTCCTTTTTTTGCAGCAGCATCGACGACGTCAACAAAAATTAGGATCGATTTCAATGCTCACCGTCATCATTGTTGCCGGTCAGGTGGTATTGTCAGTTATGACCATTGCAGCGACGTAAACTTTGCGCAATGCCTGCAATCGGATTATCATTTCTGCACGCGTGTATCATCACTTTTACACGGCCACAGTTTTATTTTATCTTAGCAGAGAAATATTTGGCTCATGCAACAGTAGAGCTACCAGAAAATGTCGCAACGATATGTGGTACGCATGTCCGCACTTCTCTGAATTGCCATCCTCGGCTATTAAATAGACCACTGCTGCTCTCGCTTCAACGCATAATTACTAATATGGAAGGCGCTTAGCGGTGCGACTTTGTCAGGCGCGAGCGTAGCTTGAGCGCACTGACAATCATCTTTTCCGGGTTTAGTCAAACAGCGCACTCACCATGTTTACTGGTTTAGTGGAGCTCACTTGGCCAAGTTTGTTGCAAAATGACCAATGGTCTGGCAGTTAAGAAATTCATTTTTTATTTTGGCACTTCCCTCCGTTGGCTAACTTGTCCATATTAGGCGAGGCAAAATTTGTTTGTCCTTTATTCTCAGCCATTAGAAGATAGCGTGAGAGGATTATACGAGCAGTGAGCTCAGCGGAAATTGGATCTTGTGTGTATTTTGCATTTCCAGCTGCAAACTGTTTGTTTGACTATGCGCAATGACTACAGCTCAACAATACATTTTATAATTTCACTTGAGATTCAGGGAGTGGGGCTGCTGCCACAACCTTCAATTGTTTTGTGTGCTCCCAGATGTGCGATGCTCTTACATTATCAGTTCTGTGGTACAAAAGTAAACACTGACAGTATAGATCTCGTGCTGATATAAAAAGAGGACTGAGCTCCCTCGCCGGTGAAGAAAAGCACGAGTATAAATGTGGGTGTATTTTTTCTTCGAACTCTGACATACTTTTATATTTACAATTCTTTTGCCTCACTTAGCTGAATATACTTTTAGTATTTGCTAGCCGGCTATTTTATTTTTATTCCAAAATATTTGAGCATTGCACAAGGCAACGCGCGCATACACTCTTATATCAGGCCGTCTCGCTGCTTTAACGGGTACAAAATAACCTAAATCAAAACCATGATTGATTCTCGCACTGTCGGTGTCACCAAATACCAGGCGTTCTGTGCGCTCCTGGCTGCCATTGGTAGTTTCAACTTTGGATGGAACATTGGATCCGTCAACATTCCGGGCGATGTCCTGCAGAACTGCGTCACCGGGCACAAATACTACGGTCGTTTTCCGTCGTGCATTGGCGTTTCCTCAGCCACTGTCTGGGGTATTATTGTCGGCTGCTACGCGCTCGGCGCGCTCGCCGGTGCTATCATCTCCAATCCCGTCATTGACCGCAAGGGCTACAAGTTTGCCTTGACCTGGTTTGCCCTGCTCAACGTTGTCGGTGCCCTGCTGCTGTCGCTGACCACCTCTGTTGCCCAATTCATTATTGGTCGCATCTTTGTGGGACTTGCCGCTGGTGCTGCCAACAGCGCGCTGTCGACCTACGTCTCTGACATGACCACCCCTCGCGGCCGCAATATCCTCGGTGGCGGTGTCCAGTTTGCTTGCAACCTGGGTATCATGATTGACAACGCCTGTGCTTTGGGTCTTGCGCCGCCTCCGCGTTGGCGCATTCTGTTTGCGTTGACTGGTGCCTTTGGCCTGATCAACTTTGTACTGTTCCCATTTGCCAGCGAGTCGCCCAAGTGGCTTGTTTCGAAGGGCCGCATTGAGGAGGCTCGCGAGTCGCTGGTAAAGTTCCGCAAGGGCGCTGATATTGAGGCTGAGCTCAATGACATGATTACTTCATACGAGGAGAACAGGAAGCGCACGGAGGATGTCAACGTGCTTCAGGTTATCCGCGGCCAGACGCCTGACAATCTGCGCCACCAGCTGATGTGCGTGTCGGCGCTCATGTTCTTCCAACAGATGTGCGGTATTAATGCCGTCATTTTCTACTCGACCCAGATTATCAACAACTCGACCAAGGACGATCCCGCCAACATCCCCACTTTGGCGCAGATTCTGACCTTTGTCATTTCGTTGGTCGCCCTGGTCTTCACGTTCTTCGGTATGGTTTTGGGCGCCTACTTTGGCCGCCGCACGCTGCTCATGTTCTCGCACACCGCCATGGCTATTTTCTCAGCCATCATGGTTGCGGGCTCGGTCAAGGAGATCACCGGCCTGGTCGTGGCCATGGTGTTCTTGTTCAACGCGTTCTTCAATCTCGGTGTCGGCCCCATTCCCTGGGCCACCGCTGGTGAGATGACCCCTCGCTACGCCATGACTGCGGTTTCGGCCATCGGAACCGGTATCGGCTACATTTTCACCTTTGCCATTGGTGTTATCTTCCCGCCCATGCAGGCTGCCTGGAAGAACTACACATTCTTCTTCTTCATGGCCTGGAACATTGTGGCTCTCGTCTTTGTCTTCTTTTTCATTCCCGAGACCAAGGATCGCCGGATTGAGGATACTGTCCGTGTGCACTCTTGCGGTGTTCACTTTGTTGTCGGCAACAGATGGAAGGTTGAGGCCGCGAAGGATAAGGAGATGCCGATCGACACGTAAAACACCGCGTTCCTTTTGTTATACATCCTTTCTTGCTGCTAATTAAATAAAATCCAGCGCTTTGCACTTCGTGACTTGATCGATTTGTTTTTTCGTTTACTTGATTATCTGGTGGCAAATTAACTAATAGCAAGTAGGAAAATCAAGGTATGGAAATATTGAAATATCGAACGCATTTGCGATTGATATTTTATTTTAGAATTCCGCCTAGCATATGGTCAGTGCATTTTCACAGCAGCGCAACCTGTGTCGAAGAACGATTTTGACAATTGACCGATCACGGAGTAACTGCTTTTTATAATTTGTATTTTTCAGAATAAGGGGTGGCGATATGTTTACATAATTTTCCACAGTAAAAATTTTAAAAAAACACCGAAGAACCACCGTTTGTGGGGTTTCCTGAAAGAAAAGGTTGGTGTGTCCACGTTGTCCAATATTACACAAAAGAAGGAAAGAATCAACTTTGCGGAGTAATAAAAAGTTAAATCCTTGCTGTTCTGCAAATAATATATATTTTTTGAAAGGTTCAACGTGCTCTGTCCACATGCTCTTTTTTCTGTATTGCTCTTTTTTATTTGCACTCGATACAAAACGAGCGAGGTCTGCACAAAGTTATCGCAGTTTTTTGTTCACTTTTTATATTTTTTGTATATTTATTTAAACTATCAATTTATTATATCCTAAAAGAAAAATTATATATCATAAATATTTACATTCAGCAAAATGCCTACTGACTCGCGCAGCCTGGGTGTAACTGGGTTCCAGGCCTACTGTACGATGCTAGCAGCCATCGGCAGTTTCAATTTCGGGTGGAACATTGGCTCAGTCAACATCCCCGGTGACGTTCTTCAAAACTGCGTCACCGGACGCAAATACTACGGGCCCTTTCCCTCCTGTATCTTCGTCGGCTCCAACACCGTCTGGGGTGTTGTCGTCGGCTGCTACGCGCTCGGTGCCCTTGCTGGCGCCATTATTTCTAACCCCGTCATTGACCGCAAGGGCTACAAATTCACGCTCTCCTGGTTTGCCCTTCTCAACGTCGCTGGCGCTCTGTTGCTATCTTTGACCACGAAGCTCCCCCAGTTTATCATTGGCCGTATTGTAGTCGGTGTTGCCGCAGGTGCTGCGAATAATGCTCTGGCTACATATGTCTCAGATATATCGACGCCGCGTAGTCGCACTATTCTCGGCGGCACCCTGCAGTTTGCGTGTAATTTTGGAATCATGGTGGACAACGCCTGCGCATTGGGGCTTGCGGCGCCCCCGCGCTGGCGCATTCTGTTTTCGATCACAGGCGCGCTGGGTCTACTCAACTTTGTTCTGTTCCCATTTGCACGTGAGTCGCCCAAGTGGCTAATCTCTAAGGGCCGGATGGATGAAGCGCATGAGTCTCTGAGGCGGTTCCGCAAGGGCGCATATATTGAGGATGAGTTTAATGAGATGGTCGAGATTCACCGGGTCAACAGGGAGCGCACGGAGGATGTGAATGTAATCCAGGTGCTTAAGGGCCAGACACCGGATAATTTGCGCCAGCAGTTGCTCGTCGTCTCCGGGCTCATGTTTTTCCAACAATTTTGCGGCATCAACGCCGTCATTTTCTACTCCTCATCGATCATTAACAAGTCCACGAGCGGTAACCCGGCGAATATCCCGACTTTGGCTAACATCTTGGCCTTCTTGATCTCGGTGGCTGCCCTGGTTTTCACTTTCTTTGGCATGGTTCTAAGCGCGTACCTTGGGCGGCGCACCTTGCTGATGGGCTCGCACCTTTTGATGGGTATTTTTGCTGCCGTTATTGTTCCTGGAACAGTGCGCGATGTCGCAGCGCTGGTTGTCACCGCTGTGTTCCTTTTCAACTGCTGCTTCAATCTCGGTGTCGGCCCCATTCCCTGGGCAATTGCCAGCGAGATGACCCCTCGCTACGCCATGACAGCCATGTCTGGTGTCGGAACCGGCATCGGGTACGTCAGCACATTCGCCATTGGTGTTATTTTCCCGCCGCTGAATAACTGGTGGAAAAACTATACATTCTTGTTCTTTGTCTGGTGGAACATCTTGGCCTTTGTATTCATCTACTTTTTTGTGCCAGAAACTCGCGATCGTCCGATTGAAGAAACTGTGGCGCTGCATTCGTGTGGCATTCATACGGTGCTGGGCAGAAAGTGGCAGACGGCTCCGGTGGAAGAAAAGATGGATGTTGGGCAATTTGAGAGACGGTCCGGCGATGATGAAGAGGAAGGTAAACTGCTTGCCGAAGAGGTCGGTGACTCAATCTCCCCCATCCATCACCCATGAGACTCCAATATCATATCAACTTTCTTTATCCAAATACTAGTTTTTCTACTTATATATTACAATTACTCAACTTATCAGAACATGTACTGCATTTATTTCTTCACGAAGGGAACACAGGGAAACAATATACAATCCACCCCATTATTAATATTGTTATTTGGAGCAGCCTTGATGTATAAAACAGTATCATGTCGGGCGTTCCCCCCTCCCTTTTTATATAGTAAACACTGCAAATGGTTTCCAATAGCGCAAATAGAATGAGCAATGTCAATATTTAACAATTCTAAGCTCTAGTTTTATTTCTGCAATGTGGTATTTGATTTATTTTTCAGCAGCGCATGGTTAGTTTCGAATTATTCAAGTTTCATTTGAATTTTTAGAAACGAAAGAGAAAAATGAGAAAATGGGAAAAAGAAGAAAAAGAAGAGAAAGAAGAGAAAAAGAAATAAAAGTGCGCGGCTGCGTCGATTCAGCGCCTGGCCAGCTCGCTCGCAGTGGCAGCGCCGAGCGTAGCAGTGCAGTAGATGCACATCTGGTGGCCACCAGCCGCGGCCACGCGGTAGTTTGCCACTGCCTTCCTCAGGCACAGAAGCTCGCTGTGGATTTCATCGAGATCCAGAACGTGCTTCTTGGCGCCGCGCTGCAGCTCCTGCACCTGATCTTGAAGCAGCTCGTTTGTCTGCTTGGCAGCGTCCAACTGCCTGTTGGCGTCGGCCAGCTGGTGCTGCTGGTCAAGTGCGCTCTTGGCTGCAAGCTGGCTGGCAGCGCGGCTTGTATCTGCAAGCTTTGCGTGGAGCTCAAGTGTCTCGCTGCGAGCAGCCTCGGCCTCGCGCTTGGCCTCGCGCTCAGCCTCAGCAAAAGCGGTCATTGACTCGGTATGCGCGGCATCGGCGGCGCTCAGAGCAGCCTCCAGATTTGCCACCGCGACGCCCATGCTGGCGCAGGCAGACTCAGTTGCAACTCGGCCGGCCTCCTCCTGGGCGCGGAAAGCCTCCAGCTCCTCGAGTCTTGCCCAGGTATCGCGGCAGATGCCAGCGGTCTCGCGGCGAAAAGCATCTAGCTGCGCGTGAAGCGCATCGACATCAGCGCGGAGAGCTGAGTTTACAGCATCCGTCTCTGCGCGGTTGCTTTCGGCCACAAAGCAGGCCGCGTATTGGCTCGCATATTCCATTCTCAGCTCGGAAAGTGCGCCCTCAGCCTCATCCAGGGTGGCCTCAGCCACATAGCGGGCGGCGCGCTCTTCCGCAAGGGCGCATTGGAGCTCGTAGATTGTACGAGAGGATTTGTTGTTGTTATTGTCGTTGTCGGCCTTGAACTTGGACTTAAACGCGGCGCGGCAGGCCCGGCGAAGCACGTTGGTTGTGCGTGACACAGTCGATGTGGTGGTTGATGCGATGGTCAATGCAGCGGTTGAGGTAGTCGACGCGACAGGTGTTGCTGTGGCAGGAGTAGTAGCGGCCTGCCGCAGGGCTAAGCACACCTTGCGCGCGATGGTCTTCATACGGAAATGCATGGTTAGCAAGATGAATAATAAAAGAATAATAAGAGGAATGATAAGAATAAGGATTAGAAGAATAAAAAAGGCAAAGTACTAAGGTGGTGTTGGTGGTGTTGGTGTTGAGGAAAAGTTAACTAGTGGTGTTGGAGGGGGAAAAGAATAACGACGCTGGAAGGGGCGGGCGGGAAATAGGCGTTATTTAAATCTCCGCTCGCCTTTTGTTTTACGCTGGCTGAGCTGTGCAAAAGTATATGCGTTCTCTATTGCTCTTCACAAAAAACGGACCATGTGTTATCGGGTCATCCATTTGGTTTCGGCTGGAGCAGGGTGGAAGCTTCAAGAGGGCTTTTTCGTTGCGTTTGTTTCCCTTTTTTCGTGAAGGCAAGTCTTTCCCCCCACGAGTTAACGTGTGAGGATCGGCAATATCCGAAAATCAAGGCTTTGAAATTGTCAGGATTTAACATCCACCACAATATTTCAATATATGCACATATTGATCTGCAGTCACTTTTGCGATATTTTTCAAACCACAGTCGCTGGAGGGCAAGACCACATGTGCTCAATATCAGTCTGAATAGGTTTTGCAGCCAAAATAATCGTGGCTATCTGTAAAAATAATTTTTTTGTCAGGCTCACGTTTAGGCTATGCAGGAAAAGAACAAAGTAGCAGCAGCATGTTTTTCTTTGTTTTGGCAGCGGTAACGGTGCGAGTAAGGCGTGGAGAATAGAGTCCTATTTTTACGTGTCGGCTAATAAAGAACTTTGCTATTTTTCTTCCCAAGGTAAAGGCCGGGATTGCCCTGAGCCATTGTTGCGTTTTCTTTCCTTTTCACTGTGGTTCTACAGCAATCATGGTAGCAAAAGGTTCATCTGCGCATCAGGATCCATGCACATAAAAAACCAAAACAGACAATGGATAAAAAATAATATTTCATCCGAAACATCGAGAAAATTGTGGCCGTTTCCGTCACCACAATTATCACGGATGGAGCGCGGAAGGGCATCGATATCCGTATTTAGTTGAACAATTGTTGACGACATCCTGTAAAACCAAGGGGAGGTCGAATTGAAATCTTATTTTTTGTTTGCCATTGACAATGCTTGCACCGAGTGAGAAAAAACGAGTAAGAGGGTAAAAAAGAGAGTGCGTGATTAAAAATAGAACGACGGGAAAACACGGATGCGTATTGCATTAGGTCCCTTTTTGCCACATGAAACCAAGAAAAAGCGCAAGGTGCAAAGTTGGAGGCAGTTGCTACAGGCCAGTATTTTTCGGTTTGCACAGGGGACGACTTTTGTGTATTAAAAAGACATGGAACGAAAAAGCCACAGAGCCATTTCACAAGATGGCCAAATTCAAACCATTTGGCACGCACCAGATCAACCAACCGTCGTCAGAAAAACCAAACATTGCTCGTTCGGCTGTATTTTCTTACCATCCGCCCTGGGACTTGAATAACAAATTGGCCCAGGTGGAATAGCGTCGGCAAAAACATTTAATGTCAGTTTGTTTTGTTGTGCTTGATCTACAACCACCATGTTCTGAAGATACGGGCCTTGCCATTGTGAGCACATGTATTGAGCAATGGGAGAGAAAGTCTTTTTATTATATTTTCAACGTTCTTTTACTTATCCATCAAAATGAATTGTTTTGTGTTTGCAGACACCTGACCAGAAAAAGTAAAATAGTTAATGATACGCTTTCGTGGATATCAAGAGTGCATTGCATATTAATTCTCACTTGCATATATAATATGCTCAGCGGCTATATTCAGAATAGTACTATGCATTTCCACTTTTGGGGGGAAGATTATATATTTGTAAAAAATAATTGAATTTGAATTTAAAGACAAAATAAACAATTAACTAAAAAGATACCGAATGTCTTTGCTCTCTCGGCTGGAGCAAGCAATGCGTTCATACAATCCTTTATTTCAGTGGTCCCGAGTCTCTGGCTGCTGTTTCGGACAGGACCAGCCTGGCCTGAAGCTGCAGAGGATGTGAAAGACCAGCGCTCCGTTGTGCGTGAAGAACTTGAGACCTGTGGCGCACTGCCCGTCCGGGAATATGACTTGATGGTGGGAATTGCCACTGTAGCTGCAGGCTGGCTCTTGAGAGGTGTGCTTGGGGTAATTGGGCATACAGAAAGCGCTTTTGAAAATATGGATGATGCTGTATGGCGGCAGCGGCGACGGCTGGCAGGTTCTTGCTCGGGCTTCGCGTTGGCTATTTTACTGTGCCGCCGCTTGGTACCGGGCTTGCTAACCATGGCAGGACTGCCCGAGTTTTTAGTGCTGATATTTTCTGCAATAATGCTGTTGGTCGCGGTGGGCACAGCACGGTGCGTGCGAGAGGAGGAGTGTTTGAGTACAGAAGTGGGAAACAGCCCGGCTATGGTGGGAATATACAGCTTGGCTCTGTATTTTTCCGAGCAGATAGCAGATGCTTGCTTGGTTTTTTATATACACAGGCGGAACCGAAGCCTTGTATGACACGCGAGAAACTGCAGAGCTGGCGGGCCTGCTGCAAATAAAAAGACTTACGGTAGAAGGTATTGTGTAGTTTAAAAGCAAATACGAGATAAAAAGAATATACAATAAAAAAGAAGAGCAAAAGGGTGAGAGAGCAAAAGAGCAAAAGAGCAAAAGGGCTAAAATGTGAATTAGGCGCACGTGCGTTTGTGTGCAAGTGTGTTAGAAGGGGCGTGTTAAACGTTTATGTTGTTTTGTTAGTTAAAATGTTGGGCGTTGTATTGTGTGTGTACGTGTGAGTTGAGTAAGTTGGGTAAGTATAACTATTTTATTGACTATTAAACATGAAGGGAAAATTGAGGAAGAAAAGTTGAAAAGCGTAGAATTTCCTGTATCTGTCTGGCAGCGATTAAGTGAAGAACCTCATTACAATTTGTTTTTTGCCAACAACGCCCAATATGCGGAATTTGGTGTTGGCAGCACAGGTCCCTCCTTAACATTTTCATTTTTTTGTTACCAGGTATGTACACGGTAATTAACCCGACAGTAAGGCCAATATGCGTCGCTTTTAATCACGGGGCTATTTTTTTTTGCTTTTTTGCTGCTTGACAAAATTGTTTAATTATTGTCCACAATAGCAATGTGATCATAATAATCCGAGTATGGTCCGACGCACCGCCATTGCCTGACAAATATACGTTGTCAATATTTTTATTAGAAAGCCCAAAGTGTGCTTTTGCTACACGCGTAGGCCCAATGCTGGTCATATATTCATTTGCAATGTAAGTTGCCCACTTGGTAAAAAAACAACACTAACAACCTATCATGCAGAAATATCATAGCTAGGCAAGCGGTGCCGTATAAAATATATTTGCGGTCCATGCAGCATGAATCGTGTAAAAAAAAGTGTAGAGTACGGTGATTGGGTTGCTTCGCATCGCGCATGGAGTTATCGTAAACTGGTGGTTGAAATAAGATTATTCGGATGTGTTACAAATCGCTTTTATATCTTAATCAAAGCCTAATGTATATGTAATTTTTTTTGCCAAACCATAGATGTGAGAAAATGCTATAAATAAAGGAATGTGGATAAGTGTACAACCAGGGGTTTTTCTTTCAAAGAAATACTTTTAATTTTAATTCAAAATTCAATATTTTCAACAATTTTTTATTTCCTTATTTTCTTTATCATGAGCTTTGGTGCTATGCGTTTTGGATACACTAGACCTTGTACCGACAGCAGCAAGTCAAGATGAAAGTTCAACAAGCTTGGGAAGCGGAACTACAAACACGCCCAAGGACACCAGCATGGATATGGATCTGCTCAAGGCAGATATTCCCTCCTTTACCCTCGGCGAGAACAGAAAAGTCACTATGTCAGCTATTCAATGGCTGAGCCAACTGGTTTTTTTCGCATTGTCTTTGCTTACTGTATCAAACAATCAGAAGGTATTTGTGATACAAGAAAATGTGGCTTGTCTCCAGTGATTGATTGATGAATCAATCGCCAGTTAATTCCTGACTCAGACATGCGGGAATATTGCATGAGCAATATAAATAGTAGAGTAATACAAATGATTGATGCTTTTACTCTTTAGCTTTCTTTTAGTTCATCTTAATAAATATTTTTTATTGTAACAGTATTAATAATGAAATTGAAGCTGAACGGTCGGGTTAAGTAGATATTCAGTTATGGGCACTTCACTTTGCCATCGGCGGTAGCCAGGGCGCTGATAACACTTTTTTGGCCGAAGACTACAGCCGCTAGGTGATAGACAAAGTAAAACTGGGCGAGGCATTCAAGAGATGCATATGCAATGATATTGTTAGTCGTTTGCGGATTACCCTGGAAGTGATTAGATACGACTCGAGCAAACAATACGAGATGCATAAACAGTTGAGTGTGGTGTTTCCAACTCAGTGGGACCAATACTAGTGTTTTCATTCAATAGCGGAATATCCGACGCTTCTGGGTGTCATCCAGGAGCAGCGTGTTGAGGAACTCAAGAAGAAAGCTCGGGCATACAACAGTACTAATTATTTACCTCCCCAGGATAGTGGTGCACCAGGCAATGGGCTGTTGATTGCATGCTCCTCGGATGAAAACGACCAAACAACTTTCAAGGCCAGTTTTGGAAGGAGCACAACCTGCCCTAATATAATGAGTAATTTTGCTGGTTATAATAAATATTAATCTGAATGAGACTACGAGAAGAGCTAAAGAACTCATTATCCGGAATTCGCTATACGCGTGAAATATCAAACATATTTCACGCGTCTGCGCTGCCACGTGACTCAGCCCCCATTTCTGATGTCACACCTAAGGATATATTTGATATGTGATAATTTTATATTCCGACTAAACAAAGCCTAACAGCAATGTACATGAATAATGTTAAACATTGGACTCGGCTAGAGTATGGCTTTATTGGTGAGGACGCAATGCAAACTGTGGCTGACTCAGAAGTCGCAATATTGTTGATGACTGCAGATGTGGTTAGCGGGCTGGGTCTTAAAATATTGGAGGAGTGGTGGCAGGTACTCAAGTATTTGTGGGAACAACAGTTATTCCACGCACTAGGAACAGTCCCAGTGCAGGTCGAGATTGCCGATGGATCCAATAAATGGTCGAAGTTAGAAGTAATCGACAAACAAAAAAACGACTGGGAATTGATAATGGGCGGCAAATTGCTGTATAAACTTGAAGTTACGTTAATGATGCCAACTATGCGTAAATAACTTAGACAGAAGAAAGACGACGATTCGACGACACGTTCTATTGAGCAATCATTTACAACTCAATCGGGGTTGTCTCAGAAAATGGTGTTGACCGCAACAATCACAGTATCGACGATGAATGCGTCGACAGCACTGACAAACAAGCTAGCACCGATACTTTAATTCAACCGATTACCAACGAGGACTACGAGTGCGCGAATGTCCCAAGCTCAATTGCTGACATTTGCGTCGATGACACTCCTGCAGAGTTGATGACAGATGCGCAGGTGTACAAGCTTTAAAATCCAAATAATGGCAATGCCTCTGGCTCTGTGACCACTCCAAACAACGCCACTGTGCGCTCTCGTAAAATACGCGTAAAGATTGGCCTGCCATCAGATTATTTTTTGTACCTGCGAGACAATGACTTTAAACTCTATGACGCAATGTATCCGTCGGTAACTTGGGAAAAACGTTCCTGGCCACATTTTCCACTAACTGGATAGCGCCAAGCATGTTCCCTCGTTTCTTGATAACTTGATATCAGAAAAGTCTGCAATGCGTGAGTATCTGAGCGGATGTCCGCCTCGAGCAGCCATTAGACCAATCAAGCCGCCAATGTGACTAGGCGCAAAACACGTACACACAATCCAACATACAATGAGTGACAAAGCATGGGAGGAGCACGAGAAATTTGTGGCAACTCGTCTTGAGTATGGTATTGATGAGGCAACAAGCGCTCACTGCCAGATGCCCATCTTTACGCGCCCAAACCCCAAAACTGATGCACGACCTTGGGTACGAGCAAATACTTGACTACGTACGCCGTCACATATAATGCAAGAACATGCCTGCCATGGTACAAAACATGGTATGATGGTGCAAGAACTGTCAGCCCAACGCCATTTAGCATCACATATACATGCGGATGATCATGTCCAATCTAGCTATACCACATCTCCACCTGTACATCAACCTGACACAAATGGGAAATACAGACGACTGGGCTGTAAATGCGCTCATGGCACAGGACGGGATCAGCGGCTACATTAAAATGTAGCCAGTCAAATAAATGGCGGCACGCACAATCATAAGCATGATACAGGACAATTGATGCAGCGTTTATGTTATGGCGCTGTGCATGACATCAGATAACGGGACCCAGTTTAATTTAGAGCAATACAAGTAGTTTGTCGACGACAATGCCATCTTGAGCATGCTCACGATTAGGTATCACCCGCAGTTAGATTTGGCTGAGATTGCCATCGAATTGTTCAAGAACGCTCTACGTCGTCTGCGCGCAGACAGCCTGGGCAATAAAGGCTGGATAACATTTATCCCGGAGATCGTGGCTGCACACACTGTGAAATTCTTACCAAATATTGGCATGACTCCGCTCAAACGGCTCTATAGATACGAAGCGACTTAAGTGCGTGACAATCATGGAATAACCAAGGCTAACTACCTGGCACTGAGCGTTGAGGAATTAGAGGAGAGAATTCACGAACAAGCCGACAAGATTCATTTGCGGATCAGACGTCAAGTAATCATAAAGGTGAATCAAAGTCGTAACCCAATTTTGTTTGAGCCAGGCGAGTTGGTAAGCCTAAAATGTGTGGGAAATGTTGCCAATGTAGTTGATCATCGTTATCATAGAGAGGAGTCATCTGAAGACATGGGTTGCAACGGCACAGTTTATTATCTGCAGATGATAAACGGACCGCCATTGTCTAGGTACATTTGGGGCTATATGCTAATGCCTTTCTATGCATCTGAAGACCAACAAGGCCAAATAAGCAATATGTCGCCAAGGGATGAATATTGCAATGAAGATAACGACCATGGAGAAAACACCAGCAATATTGGCGCCGAAAACTTTAGCGCATTCAAAGGTTTTGACAACTTGCAATATCATGACGTTTAACAATAGTGCCAGAGACAGCCACACTTACGGGACACCTGTGCTGTTTATCGCCAAAGATCATACTGTTGAACCAAACGCGCATGAATTTGTCCTTGCCAACATTGGTTATCTCTATTATATTGATGAGACAGCATAACTTTTTGATTACACGCCACCAGTTGAACAAAACTGTTTGACCATGGACACGTTGATATCGACAATCTTGCCAGTCTCGCCCCTGTCTCTGCCTGCATATTTGGTGCATGTGCCAAGCCAATTTGGTTTGCCCAGCATTTACCACCCAGTGCATGTGTTGCAATAACTTATTCAGCGACAACCCACGGATACACCAGCAGTGGAATTCGAAACAGACTATTCAAACAAAACATCTCGCAGTAATTATCATTGTTGTCTGATTTGCCGCCACTACCGATTGAGGCAACAACAAGACTCATTTATTCTGCACCATCTTCGACAGCTTCACAATCTATATTGTCTCTATCACTTTTATCGTCACATGTGCTATCATCACTGTCACCATCATCAATGTTAACGCTATACAAGCACATTTTTAATGCTGAGAACAGCCATATTTGAATGGAAGGCGTTGAAGAACCAGTGCAAGTGATAAAAAGCCGAGCGCATAAACAACTCTGAGGATATGGCTATGGATTATGAGTTGATTCGCGGTACCCTATTGGTATCAGTTGTTCCTCTAATCAACAGAATGTCATTCGGATATTCGCCGATATAATTCTATATGCCGCTGATCGAACATACCGTGTCATAGATAATCGAATCGCCAGAAGAGTGAGAGCCACTTCCATTTGTGTCAAGATCAGTGACAATGATATTTGGGGCCGAATCGTCATTAATTGAGAAAGCATCGTTTGAATCACAACACACAATTAAAGTGTGGCATTCTCGCCTTATCAAAAAGCGAATTTATAACATCGATACGGATTCAACCGATACATCTTCAGATCCATGAACGCCGATGCCCAGCAATGAGGGGATAAGCAACACAATATCAAGCGCAATGTCGGCCAGCACTGATACGCGGCTGTGAGATACAAAACGAGTTGCACAAAATCGCAGTGATAATCAAGCAAACAAAAGCGAAATACACTCGGATAATCCACCAGTAGTCACAATATTGGTTCGACGCGATGACAATGCTTTGGATATCAATACTTGATTCGGACCATTAGACCTGTGGTTTGATAACACATTGGCAGACGAGTTGTTGCAAATGGTGTTGGTGTCTAAGGTAAAGTTGTATTCATGCGACAGTGTTTTTCCAAACCACAGCTGGGAAGAAATACTTTCATTTGAATTATAGTTATATTCAGCTTTTTTCAACAGATGCGTTAATAAATTTGGTAGGTTGGAGAATAATTAAATGATTAAAAATCCCGCTTATGTTGAATATCAACAGGCAAACAACATCATTTACCGGCCCAAAATTGATGAATGGGATGACATTAAATTGGATGGGATATGGAAGTGGCTTAGCGTAAAACAAAATAGTTGTTGCTGTCTGATGCTCGTGGCCAACTGCGAAAATAAATAAATATTTGATGGAGCTGCTACGCTTTTCAACTTTTCTTCCTCAATTTTCCCTTCATGTTTAATAGTCAATAAAATAGTTATACTTACCCAACTTACTCAACTCACACGTACACACACAATACAACGCCCAACATTTTAACTAACAAAACAACATAAACGTTTAACACGCCCCTTCTAACACACTTGCACACAAACGCACGTGCGCCTAATTCACATTTTAGCCCTTTTGCTCTTTTGCTCTTTTGCTCTCTCACCCTTTTGCTCTTCTTTTTTATTGTATATTCTTTTTATCTCGTATTTGCTTTTAAACTACACAATACCTTCTACCGTAAGTCTTTTTATTTGCAGCAGGCCCGCCAGCTCTGCAGTTTCTCGCGTGTCATACAAGGCTTCGGTTCCGCCTGTGTATATAAAAAACCAAGCAAGCATCTGCTATCTGCTCGGAAAAATACAGAGCCAAGCTGTATATTCCCACCATAGCCGGGCTGTTTCCCACTTCTGTACTCAAACACTCCTCCTCTCGCACGCACCGTGCTGTGCCCACCGCGACCAACAGCATTATTGCAGAAAATATCAGCACTAAAAACTCGGGCAGTCCTGCCATGGTTAGCAAGCCCGGTACCAAGCGGCGGCACAGTAAAATAGCCAACGCGAAGCCCGAGCAAGAACCTGCCAGCCGTCGCCGCTGCCGCCATACAGCATCATCCATATTTTCAAAAGCGCTTTCTGTATGCCCAATTACCCCAAGCACACCTCTCAAGAGCCAGCCTGCAGCTACAGTGGCAATTCCCACCATCAAGTCATATTCCCGGACGGGCAGTGCGCCACAGGTCTCAAGTTCTTCACGCACAACGGAGCGCTGGTCTTTCACATCCTCTGCAGCTTCAGGCCAGGCTGGTCCTGTCCGAAACAGCAGCCAGAGACTCGGGACCACTGAAATAAAGGATTGTATGAACGCATTGCTTGCTCCAGCCGAGAGAGCAAAGACATTCGGTATCTTTTTAGTTAATTGTTTATTTTGTCTTTAAATTCAAATTCAATTATTTTTTACAAATATATAATCTTCCCCCCAAAAGTGGAAATGCATAGTACTATTCTGAATATAGCCGCTGAGCATATTATATATGCAAGTGAGAATTAATATGCAATGCACTCTTGATATCCACGAAAGCGTATCATTAACTATTTTACTTTTTCTGGTCAGGTGTCTGCAAACACAAAACAATTCATTTTGATGGATAAGTAAAAGAACGTTGAAAATATAATAAAAAGACTTTCTCTCCCATTGCTCAATACATGTGCTCACAATGGCAAGGCCCGTATCTTCAGAACATGGTGGTTGTAGATCAAGCACAACAAAACAAACTGACATTAAATGTTTTTGCCGACGCTATTCCACCTGGGCCAATTTGTTATTCAAGTCCCAGGGCGGATGGTAAGAAAATACAGCCGAACGAGCAATGTTTGGTTTTTCTGACGACGGTTGGTTGATCTGGTGCGTGCCAAATGGTTTGAATTTGGCCATCTTGTGAAATGGCTCTGTGGCTTTTTCGTTCCATGTCTTTTTAATACACAAAAGTCGTCCCCTGTGCAAACCGAAAAATACTGGCCTGTAGCAACTGCCTCCAACTTTGCACCTTGCGCTTTTTCTTGGTTTCATGTGGCAAAAAGGGACCTAATGCAATACGCATCCGTGTTTTCCCGTCGTTCTATTTTTAATCACGCACTCTCTTTTTTACCCTCTTACTCGTTTTTTCTCACTCGGTGCAAGCATTGTCAATGGCAAACAAAAAATAAGATTTCAATTCGACCTCCCCTTGGTTTTACAGGATGTCGTCAACAATTGTTCAACTAAATACGGATATCGATGCCCTTCCGCGCTCCATCCGTGATAATTGTGGTGACGGAAACGGCCACAATTTTCTCGATGTTTCGGATGAAATATTATTTTTTATCCATTGTCTGTTTTGGTTTTTTATGTGCATGGATCCTGATGCGCAGATGAACCTTTTGCTACCATGATTGCTGTAGAACCACAGTGAAAAGGAAAGAAAACGCAACAATGGCTCAGGGCAATCCCGGCCTTTACCTTGGGAAGAAAAATAGCAAAGTTCTTTATTAGCCGACACGTAAAAATAGGACTCTATTCTCCACGCCTTACTCGCACCGTTACCGCTGCCAAAACAAAGAAAAACATGCTGCTGCTACTTTGTTCTTTTCCTGCATAGCCTAAACGTGAGCCTGACAAAAAAATTATTTTTACAGATAGCCACGATTATTTTGGCTGCAAAACCTATTCAGACTGATATTGAGCACATGTGGTCTTGCCCTCCAGCGACTGTGGTTTGAAAAATATCGCAAAAGTGACTGCAGATCAATATGTGCATATATTGAAATATTGTGGTGGATGTTAAATCCTGACAATTTCAAAGCCTTGATTTTCGGATATTGCCGATCCTCACACGTTAACTCGTGGGGGGAAAGACTTGCCTTCACGAAAAAAGGGAAACAAACGCAACGAAAAAGCCCTCTTGAAGCTTCCACCCTGCTCCAGCCGAAACCAAATGGATGACCCGATAACACATGGTCCGTTTTTTGTGAAGAGCAATAGAGAACGCATATACTTTTGCACAGCTCAGCCAGCGTAAAACAAAAGGCGAGCGGAGATTTAAATAACGCCTATTTCCCGCCCGCCCCTTCCAGCGTCGTTATTCTTTTCCCCCTCCAACACCACTAGTTAACTTTTCCTCAACACCAACACCACCAACACCACCTTAGTACTTTGCCTTTTTTATTCTTCTAATCCTTATTCTTATCATTCCTCTTATTATTCTTTTATTATTCATCTTGCTAACCATGCATTTCCGTATGAAGACCATCGCGCGCAAGGTGTGCTTAGCCCTGCGGCAGGCCGCTACTACTCCTGCCACAGCAACACCTGTCGCGTCGACTACCTCAACCGCTGCATTGACCATCGCATCAACCACCACATCGACTGTGTCACGCACAACCAACGTGCTTCGCCGGGCCTGCCGCGCCGCGTTTAAGTCCAAGTTCAAGGCCGACAACGACAATAACAACAACAAATCCTCTCGTACAATCTACGAGCTCCAATGCGCCCTTGCGGAAGAGCGCGCCGCCCGCTATGTGGCTGAGGCCACCCTGGATGAGGCTGAGGGCGCACTTTCCGAGCTGAGAATGGAATATGCGAGCCAATACGCGGCCTGCTTTGTGGCCGAAAGCAACCGCGCAGAGACGGATGCTGTAAACTCAGCTCTCCGCGCTGATGTCGATGCGCTTCACGCGCAGCTAGATGCTTTTCGCCGCGAGACCGCTGGCATCTGCCGCGATACCTGGGCAAGACTCGAGGAGCTGGAGGCTTTCCGCGCCCAGGAGGAGGCCGGCCGAGTTGCAACTGAGTCTGCCTGCGCCAGCATGGGCGTCGCGGTGGCAAATCTGGAGGCTGCTCTGAGCGCCGCCGATGCCGCGCATACCGAGTCAATGACCGCTTTTGCTGAGGCTGAGCGCGAGGCCAAGCGCGAGGCCGAGGCTGCTCGCAGCGAGACACTTGAGCTCCACGCAAAGCTTGCAGATACAAGCCGCGCTGCCAGCCAGCTTGCAGCCAAGAGCGCACTTGACCAGCAGCACCAGCTGGCCGACGCCAACAGGCAGTTGGACGCTGCCAAGCAGACAAACGAGCTGCTTCAAGATCAGGTGCAGGAGCTGCAGCGCGGCGCCAAGAAGCACGTTCTGGATCTCGATGAAATCCACAGCGAGCTTCTGTGCCTGAGGAAGGCAGTGGCAAACTACCGCGTGGCCGCGGCTGGTGGCCACCAGATGTGCATCTACTGCACTGCTACGCTCGGCGCTGCCACTGCGAGCGAGCTGGCCAGGCGCTGAATCGACGCAGCCGCGCACTTTTATTTCTTTTTCTCTTCTTTCTCTTCTTTTTCTTCTTTTTCCCATTTTCTCATTTTTCTCTTTCGTTTCTAAAAATTCAAATGAAACTTGAATAATTCGAAACTAACCATGCGCTGCTGAAAAATAAATCAAATACCACATTGCAGAAATAAAACTAGAGCTTAGAATTGTTAAATATTGACATTGCTCATTCTATTTGCGCTATTGGAAACCATTTGCAGTGTTTACTATATAAAAAGGGAGGGGGGAACGCCCGACATGATACTGTTTTATACATCAAGGCTGCTCCAAATAACAATATTAATAATGGGGTGGATTGTATATTGTTTCCCTGTGTTCCCTTCGTGAAGAAATAAATGCAGTACATGTTCTGATAAGTTGAGTAATTGTAATATATCTATTTCAACAATTTCTTTTCTTTCTTTCTATATATATTTTATTTTTCCAATTAAATTAAAAAAATTGCAAAAATTATACATATATTATTTTTTACACAGTTGAACTTGATTATTGTTAGTTCCAAATCTAGTTCTGACTCTGTGCGGCCAAGCTCTGTGCCTTTGCGATGCGCGTCTTGACAAACTCAGCCCAATCGTAATTGACCTGCACATCGCCACTGGATTTCCACACATGTGTCTTAATTGTAGCCAAAGTCTGCTTAGGCCTGAGCTTCTGGCCCTTACAGTACAGGTCCAAGTAAAGCTCTGGCCGGCCAATATACCCCTGCTCCTCCTTTTCATCATCATCGGCATCCTCCTCCTTCCTTCCATTACCACTAGCAAAAGCCACCGTCAGCAAGTCACCTTTGCTGCGACTGCTGTCTCCGCGATCGTTCTTCTCCACCTGCATAATCTCCTGCCACTCAACCATATCCACAAGCGCTGCCAGCTCGGTATCCCCCAGAGTCTCACCAGCCAACCTGAACGCATCAACGTACTTATTCCCGATCAATACAATCTGATCCGCAGTATCCGCTCCCTGCACCTGCATCTGCCCCTCCATCATGCGCAAGTACGAGCGAAGACACGCCTCGACAGCATTAATGTAGTTGGGGGCCGGCTGCACCATCAGCGGCAGGCCAAGCTTATCCACGACATAGACAGCCAGCTTGCGCGCGCGCAGCATGCGGTTAGCCACTAGCCGAGCATTGGGTTGCGGGAACGGTGGCAGCGCAGTGGACTGCGTCGGGGTCAAGACAAACGACACCTTGGCAGGCTCCTGGTATGACGCCGGCAGCCTGTTGAACAATAAGAAATCCGTCAGCCATGCGGGCATGCACAACTCAAAGGAAAGCAATGGGTCATCAGAGACTCTGAACACAGACATGGCGAGATCACCATGGGAAGCCATAGAAGTAGCACCAAGTGAGGACTTTGTAAAAGCTGCCACAGTGTTGCGATAGATGGCGTAGGGCTCTGAGGCGTCGCTGTGGTTCTGGTAGATGTGGATGATGACGCTGTGTGGAAGCGGCAGCCGCGGGCAGATCACTGGCGAGTACAGCTGGTCCCAGGCCGCCGGTGGCTGCTGGAGAAGTGCCAGCGTGCGCTCAGTGTCTGTCGGATACCGCGGCCCGGCCCACTCTGCAAATTCGTCGCGCTCAGGCTGCGGCGGCGGCACCGGAATCGCCCGCTTGACGCTGTCCATGGAGGACGACCCATTGGTTCCCGGGTCTGGTGTGCTTATTGTCCGGTGCGTGCTGGGCAACGCGGGGGCGCTAAGCTGGCTGCCGCTTGCTTGCACGTGGCCCGGCATTGTCGAGGACAAGGGAGGCAATGGGATCGCCTGCGAGACTGGCGTGCTTTTCTGCCGCCGCACACGCATCGAGAGCAGCCGCGTCATGAACTTGCCGGTTGGAGCGTTGGCATTAGACTCGGCATCCGCGGCCTTTCCAGCAGTAGCGGCATTGCTGGGCTGCTGCTGTGCTGTGCTGAGCGCCGAGTCGATCGACGGGTTGTGGCTGTGGTGGTTATGGTGGCTCGGGGAGCCGCCTGGAAGCGCCAATTCTGAGAACTGCTGATTTAGGTGCAAAAGGCGCTCGTTGGCGTCACCCGAAACCATTAGTCTGCCGTTGTCGCCGCCGTCGCCGAGACTAGAGCAGCCACCTGCGTCTTTATCGTTGTTGTTTTTGTTGACATTTTCGTTATCGTTATCGTTACCGTTATCGTTGTTGTTGTTGCTGTCGTTGTCGTTGTCGTTGTCGTTGTCGTTGTCGGTATCATCTCCAGTGTCATCACCCAGATCCTCCTCATGGCCCGTGGATGTCTGCACGATCCTAGGCAGCTCTGGCGCGGGGACCTCCGCTGGCGATGGCAGTGCCGAAATAGAGGCGCTAATGCCAATCTCCTGCGTCGACGCACACAGCTGCGAAACCGCCGACGGCAGAGGACCCGGCAGTGCATCTGTGTCCTCCCCCTGCAGCGGCAGCGGCGAGCGCGCTGCGTCCAAACACAGCTGCGGCTGCGACCCGGTCGGCTTCAGGCCTGGCAGCTGCGCCTGAAGCAGCGTGGAGACATGCGGGGTGGACGCGGTCTTGGACAGCTCCGGGTGCGCGCCCCTCTGCGGCTGGGGCGCGCGCGCCGGCACAACAGCGGCGGCCGGCACCTGAGTGGCCCAGCGGTTAAGTAGTGCGGCGTCGGCGCGCGGTAGTGGGCCGCGCCGCACGCGATTGCGTGCGTAGGCCAAGAACAACCGCTTGAGCATCCACTGGCCAATGTTGACCCGCTCGTGGTCGCCCATGGCAGCCACAGCATCCGCTGCTACGCCGTCGACTTCGTCGACGTGCACCTCGGCCGCCCACACCTGCGTCTCATCCATATGCACGGTCAGTGCGCCGACGCGCGTGTCCACGTGGCACCACGACTGCACCGACTCGGGCTCGCTCGAAATAGCTGCATGGATAGCGTCCAGGTCGCGGCCGCAGATGCCCTGGAACAGGCCCGACTCCGCGTCGGTGCCCGCGTCCGAGTCGGGGAACTCGTGGAGTCGCCGGCAGAGCATGATGTCCCATAGCGATACGCGGCCGAGCGTGTCCTGCGCCAAAACGTGGCGCCGCGTCTGCAGCACCTTATGGCGCCGCAGCCCGTGGCGCCCGCAGATCGTCTCGTCAGGGACCGCACGCACGGGTCTGACACCACTGTCGAGCCCGTTAATGTTGTTGCCGCCGCCGCGGCTGTGCGGCGAGCTGGGCGCAGCCGCCTCAAGCAGCGCGCCCAGCGGCAGCGGCGACTCGGGCGTAACCACGGCATGCAGGCCGCCGCCACCAGCCATCGGCACACGGGGCTCGGGCACCCCGGTGAGAATCGACGCAAGCGACCCGAACTGCTGCGCGAGCCCAGTCCCTGCCGACATTGAGCGGCTGTGTGATACAAGCGGGGCGGCCGGCGCAACGTCGTCCATGAGGCGCGCCTGCTCGGCGCAGATCGCCCTGAGCACCGGCGAGACGGTGGCATGCGGCAGCGGCGGAGAGCGCGCGCACTCGGGTGGCGGCCGGATGCGCAGCCCGGCGCAGTCTATAGTGTGTGTGCGCCGATGTCCGGCGCCTGGTGACTGCCAGGGCTCGATCAGCGAGCAGCTAGCGTCCGTATCAGCATCGGTTGCACCAGCGTCGGCTGCTCCAGCGCCGACGTCCAGCCAGCGATTGAGCGTCGTGCCCTTGGTCGCCGTCCATACATACGCGTCATCGGCGGCGACCAGCTTGACGACACCGTGCTGCTCCTTGGCCACGGCCACGCACACAATGCGCGGCTCGTCGACCGACATGCGGCGCGGCGTCGGGCCCTCGTCGGCAAAGGCACCGGCGCCAATGGTCTTTGTGACCAGCCCGTCGCGGCCGGCCGAGTAGAATGTGGCGAAGCGCGGGTGCGCCGAGTGCAGCGCCCATACCGAGTCTGTGTGCTGCGCGAAGGTCGACAGGCAGCGGCGCATGCGCAGGCTCCATAGCTTGACAGTGGTGTCGGATGACCCGGAGAGTACCAGCTCGGAGTCAGCCGACAGCAGCACGGCGCGGATATGGTCGGTGTGCCCGGACAACGTTGCCAGCTGCCGCGCCTCGCGCGGATCCCACAGCCGCATGACCTTCTCGGGTGATCCCGACACTACCAGTGACCCCGACGCGTTACACGCCAACGCATACACCGATAGCAGCGATGCGCCGCCAAACTCGCGCACCGCGCGTACCGGCCCAAGCGGCGCCTCGGTGGCCCGGGTGATGTCCCATAATTTGATTGTGCGGTCCAGCCCCCCGCTGATGATCGTATTATTTTGCGCGCTGAACGCCAGCGCCTTGACGTAGTCCAGATGTGACCCGACCGTGGCTGGCTGCGAGTCGCTGTGCCCAGGTGTCCACGCACGCACTGTCTGGTCCGATGACGCCGACACAACCGTTGCGCCGCCGTTGACCACCGCCAGGTCATTGACCCAGTCGCTGTGCACCACGCGGGACGCCCGCAACGTCGTGCGCGCGCGCCTCTGCCGTGCCCGATGCCGGTCAATCGCCCATGCCCTTGGCTCCTCCTCATCGCCCCCAATACTCTCGACTTGGCTCATTGGCGCATTCAGGTCCCACGCCTTGACGACGCCGTCGCGCCCGCCCGAGTACAGCGTGCCACCGAGGCCTGGGTCGTCGAACGACAGTGCCAAGGCGTTGACGCCGAGCACATGACCCTGCTGCTCATCTGAATTTGCCGCTGTCAAATTGTCGTCTGGTAAGGGAATTGTGTATGAGAGGGTGCGTTTGGGCGCGCGCTTGGGTATGTTGCGCTCGGGTGCGGGTGTGAACATGCCTGGGTCAATTGACCCGAAATCGTACGCGAACCGGTTTGGCCGATTGTCCTTGGGTCGCGCGAAATTCGATACTGTGTTGAACGGAAGCGTCATGGAAGGGGGGGTCTATGGTGAATGTGTGAATGTGTGTGAATTTAAAGGGTGAAATAATAAGAATTAGGAGAATTTGCGAAATGGATAAGATAAAGGACTTAAATGATACTATTATATACGCGAGAAAGAAAATAATAATAATGTCGATAAACCCCAAAACCCCTGGTGGCGGATGAGTTTTTTTTTCTTTCTTGACGCCCTTCTTGTGTTACTTGGAAAGCTAAAAGAAAAATGATTAAGCCATACTTTTTTTTACTTGTTTTTTTTTCTTTGTCGTTTTTGTAGTTTTCGTCATCATCCAAAAATAATAAAAGTGATGATTGGCGAGCCGATTAAACGGCAATATATGCTGCAATACAAAATTAACAATGAATGAATTAAAAAGATAGCATAGAATTCTATACATACACAAAAAGTGTCTATTATGTGCGGTGCGCCGAATCAACAGCCCGTATGATCCCCACATAATGGCATAAAGCGGCCAAAACAACAAAGATGTGGAAGATCTGGTGCGACTGCAAAAACACATCGTGCTTACCAGGCCTCCACCTCTCCGGAATCTTGAAAGCGTAAAGCAGAGTTCCAGAAATATACAGAACCCCCATGCCCACTACATACCAAAGAGACATTTTATCGACCGCTCCCGAGTACCCATTCAGGATGGCTCCGTGAATAATAGGCACGAGGCCGGACCCTGCGATTCCCATAAAGATAATTGGCCTCCAATTGGCCCTCTTCGGATCCTCCACCTTGCCCAGCACGGAAACTGCGACACCTGCCATTCCGATAACCACAAACATGACCATGTATCCAATGAGGATCTTGCGGGAATGCAAAAAGCCATAGTATCCGATGGGAACAAACGACCCGACAATCAGCGTCAGGATGCCGATAAAGTCACACCGCAGCGAGCGGAAATGCTTCCGGTGCGAGTGGCACGAGAGCGTATGGAAGGCTGTCGACGCTGTAAGGCAGAAAAGCACAGCAACCAGGTACACGTACACGATTATGTAGTCTGCGGCCTTGGCTTTCTGTTCCCCCGGCTGCGTGGACAGCATTGGGATGATGACAGGGCCGGTGATGAACGCGAGGATAATGAATATAATGGAGCCGAAGAGGTGCGTCATGATGTTGCCCAGTTCCGAATGCACGTAGCCCCAGGATTTGATGCAGTCGCCGTAGGAAAAACTCAACGGCCGGTAGGAGCCCCATATATAGTCCTCGACCATGTACTCGGGGATCTGGAACATGGACATTAGCTGCCTCCTCGGCTTGTCCTCCGCCACGACCACCAAGCTGCTCTTCTCCTCATAGACCGCCGCCACGCCCTCAAAGCCGTCATATGGCTTGTCTCCCAGACTTGCCCTACGATGCGCCACAGCCACTATCTGCCCATGCACCTGCGCATACCTCTCCTTGTCCTGCTCATGCATGCATGATTCGCACACACTCACGCTGCTGCTGCTGTTGTTGGTTCTTTCCCTGCTGATGCTGTTGCGCTTTTGCCCTGTGGGATTGGATAGTAGGCCAATACGCGGACCGATGTAGTTACTTATGCCGTCGATGCCCAACCAACTGGGGAGTGCAGGTAGCCGGCCTGTTTGCACTGTACTTGTCACCCATGAGCGCACTCGCCGTAGTCCATAACCGTTCCACATGCTGTTTTTTTCCTCGTCTGTCCAGTCTAGTATATCTGACATGGGAAGCATGGATACCGAGTCGGTGAATGCTATGGTAGCTGGTCGGTCGTAACTGCGCCGGCTGTCTGTCTTTTTCAGATCCATCTAATAGTGTGTGTGCTGTGATTTTTTATTTTGTTTTGTGTGTGTGTGGAAGAATGAAAAGTGTGGACCGTGTGATTTTTTATACTTTTACTTCTGCTGCTGCTGCTGCAGATCGGTCTGTTATTATTCTTTTTTCTTTTAGTGCGGAACAAAAAAAATTGGGGAGGGGAGAGGAGAAAGACAGGAAAAGAGATGGGGGGGGGAAGAAAGAAAAGAAAAAAAAGTCTAATGTTTACGTTTTGTAAATATTTATATACCGTTTCTGAAAGTGTATAAGGAAGACTGGTTTTGGTTGATGACAAACAACACTAAGATTTACTGAATAAATAAAGAAAATGAAAAGTTGTAACTCCAAAAAAAATATATAAAAAAAAACAAGGTGTGCCAAAGAATGTGGAGATGAAAGAATAGAAAAGAAAAATATATTAAGAGTGAAAAGAATGAAACAAAGAAAAGTAAAAAAAAGAAAGAAAAGAAAAATATAGATGGGTATTGTTTTAAAAAGCAAAATTTATAGTTTTACATTTTCCTTTATTTCTCTTCCGCTGTTTGATTCTTTTTTTTCTTGTTCAAAAACTAGTTGCCAAAGAAAAAAGCATTTTTCTTTGGTGATTATCAATTACCATTGCCTTTTGGCATAATTATTGCTTTTTTTCTAATGTTGTTGTTGTCTGAAGGATGGATTGTATGGACTGTATGTGCGGGGGAGAGGGGGGGAAGAAAGAAGGCGCAATTAACGTAAATTGTTAAAGTACGTCTATTCAGCCAACAACCACTGTATATTTTTCTTTAGTTTTTTCTTTAGTTTTTTGATAGGTGTTTTGAATGGATGGGAAGAGCAGGGAAGGAAGGCAAGATGGGGGGAAGGCTATATCATTGGCATTTGTATCTGACGCCATTTGTCAATAATAGATCTTTTTTTCTTTTTTTAGTATTTCGGGAGAACCATTCAACAATCATGTCCGTGAGATTTTCACATATATTTAACATGCGGTGTTCATTTAGTGTATAAAAAAAGTATATTCTTGTCAGTGTGTGAGTAGGTGAAGTGAATGGGGAAGGGCGAGTGAGTGTGATATTAATTGTCCGAATAATTTAGAAGAAAAAAGTGGACATTTATCCATTTTTAAATATCCTGCTGCCCCCTTATTTGTTTGAAATTTATCGGTCTTCCATTTAGGAGGAAGAAATGAAAACCATTTCTGCAGTGGTTATTTTCTTTTCTTTTGTTTTCTTATTTTTTGTTGTTGCGGACAGACGAGCAGATGGACACATGAATTAAGACGTTGTCGTCGATCATGTATCTTTTTTTTACCTGTCTATCCATCAATGTGCGAGACCAAAAAGAGAAGAAGACCGACCGAACGCAACCACATCCTAGCCTTTAAAGGGATTTGCAAGACCGTTCTCAGAAAAAAAGATGGTTACACCAAAGAAAACACTCGCGCGCGCGCGCGCGCATGAATGGATAATGTGTAAAATTAGATTACGATTAAAAAATCAAAACTTGTAGCCCGAATGGATGGCCACAGTTCCAAAGGTCAAGTTCTCGTAACCCTTACCAATAGTCGTGAACCCTTGGTCCCTAATAATCTGCGCAAACTCATTCTGCGGCGGGAACTTGCGGATGCTCTCAACAAGATACTCGTATGACGCACGATCATTCGCAATAAGCTCGCCCATCTTCGGAATAACATAAAACGAATGCATGTCATAGACAGCAGCCAGAAGGGGATTCTCCACGCGCGAAAACTCCAAGCACATGAAGCGACCCCCGGGCTTCAGCACACGGTATGCCTCCCGGACGACCTTCTCCGGGTGCGTGCAGTTGCGAATGCCAAAGGCAATCGTGTAGACGTCAAACGAGTTGTCGGGAATGAACTCTAGGTTCTCCGCATTTCCCACTGTAAATGAAATCCGCCCGTCCGCCTGCCACCGGCTCGGCGCAAACCGCCGCTCGCCCTCCTGCAGCATCTCCGGGTTGATGTCCACCATATGAACCGACGAGGCCGAGTCGCCCTGTTGGTCCTGGAACTCAAGGAACCTCTGCGTGATGTCGCCTGTACCGCCGGCCACGTCCAGAAGCTTGGCGCCCGGCGTCGGGTTCATTTTGCGTATAAAGTGGTCTTTCCACAGCCGGTGCACGCCCATGCTCATTGCGTCGTTCATGATGTCGTAGCTCGATGCCACGTTGGAGAAGACGTTGCGGACGAGGGATTCCTTCATGCTTTCGGGCACTGTTTTGAACCCAAAGTGCGTGGTTGGCTGGTTGCTCTCGGACGCCGCATCCCTTTGCTGCTGCTGCTGCTGCTGCTGGCTGTGTTTCTGGGTGGCCGATTGGGCGAACGCGCGGATCGGAAGCTGTGCGCGTGTAATGGTGGCGCTGGCCCTGCCGACTCCGCTGGCCAGAGAGCGAATCGCAGTTGAATTCATAGGTGGTGGGGTGGTTTTTTTTGCAGTGGGCTTGTAGTTTAGGGTTCTGTGAATTCAAAAAAAGGCTCGAAAAAATAAATAAGAAAAAACAAATGTGTGGAGAAGCAAGCAAAAAATATAGATAAACGTGTGGACGCATTTGGCTTCGTCTGCTCAACTTCAAATCCAATTGAAGGCACCCCCCCCCCCTCCTCCACTCCAGTTGGCAATAAACAGAAAAAAAGACGGGTCGGGTTGGATCAGCCGATCAGCAAGATTAATACGGGTTGCGGTCGAACAGATAAGAGATGGACTCGCCATTATGGTTGCGGCGGATAGCCTCGGCCAGCACTGGGGCGACGTCGATCTGGATCAGCTTGGACGACGCCGACGTGAGCTCGTCGGGGATCGGGAAGGTGTTGGTGACAATGACGTTCTGCACATACGGGCAGATCTCGACCTCGCCCAGAGACGACCCGCTGAACAGCCCGTGTGCCGCCACAATGCACACAGCGCGGGCGCCGCAGTGCACCATCAGGTGCTCGGCAGCCGTCAGGAACGACGACGGGTGGTCGATCATGTCGTCCAGCAGCAGCACCAGCTTGTCGCGCACGTCGCCGACCAGCGTGATCCGCGCCGTGCGCTTCTTATGCCACGACGTCACGGCCACCGGAGGCCGCAGCGGCGGATCCGACATCAGGTGGGTGCCGGACGTAATGCGCTGCATGGCCAGCGGCGACGACACCGTGTTGCGACGCGCGCCCGGCGACCCAGGCTCCACCGGCACCGCAGCCATGCGCGCAGCGCGGTGGCCCTGCTCCAGAATCCCCGCCGTCGCCTGCGCCATTGCCTCGGAGTTGTGCGCCGCCGTCTCGAGGTCGTTGCGCGGCGTGTTGACCATCTCCAGAAGCTGCGAGTCGTCCAGGTCCGAGTCGCCGTCGTCGTCCGACCGGTTCAGAACCTCGCTGATCTCAAGGCACGGGGACGCCGCGCGGTCAATGTCCAGCGCATCGGGGGTCGGCGGCCGCTCTTCGGCCGCCATCTGCGGGCTGACGTAGAACGATGCGCGCTGCAGGGAGATCGCCAGGCTCTCGACGTCCGACGACCGCTTGCCCTTGGTCTTGCGGGATCGCTTGGCCTTCTTAGGCTGGTCGGGCATCGGCTGCGTGCTGCCGGCCACGATGGTCTGCAGGTCGGGGTTGGCCTCGGCATCCGAGCCGCTGCTGCTCATGGACTCGCGCAGCGGCGACCCAATGGCCATGGCGTTGACGGCCGTCGCAAACATGCCAGGCCCCCTGGGCGTCTGCGGCAGCGTGTGCAGCGCCACGGTCGACGGCGTGCGCGAGAACGGGCGCGTTGTCGGCGCATTGTCCGTGTGGATCAGCGCAAAGCCCGAGCCCAGGCGGTCGGCCAGTGCAGTGACGCGCTTGGCGCCGCCGGCATTCTTGGCCACCACCACGACGTTCTTGCTGCCGCCGGCGCCGCGCACAATGTTCTCAGCCAGCCACCGCGCCAGCGTCGGCTCCGACAACAGGTTGTCGACGGGGACGCCGAAGAACCCCGACATCTGGCTCGCGTGCAGGTCCATTGTGATAACGTGGTCTGCCCCGGATACCGTGAGCATGTTGGCCACGAGCTTGCCCGAAATTGCCCCGCGCCTCTTCTTCTTCTTGCTCTGCTTCGAGTACGGGAAGTACGGCATCACCACCGTGATCTTGCGCGCGCTGGCCAGCTTGGCCGCCGACACCATGATCAGCGCCTCCATCAGGTGGTCGTTGGTCGTCATCGACCCGCTCTGCAGGATGTACACGTCCTTCTCGCGCACCGAGCAGCCCAGGTCAACGGTGGTCTCGCGGTTGGTGTACCGCCGCAGGTTGACCGGCGCCAGCTCTACGCCGAGGTGCGACGCTACGCGTTCTGCCAGAGCCAGGTGCGATGTTCCGGCAAAGAGCTTTGCGTTGCGCATTGCGGAAGGCTTTTATTTTTGCTAGGCTGAGAAAGGGCTTGTGAAATAAAGGTGGGTTTGGCAAATTCCAAATAAAAGGGTTCAGAAGGCAGTCACAAGTTTAAAGCAGCCAGCAGCTGCCTTTTGTCGCATATGCCTTCGTCTCGCCCTTTTAAAAGAAAATTTTTTGCCTATTTTCTCCTCTGCGGTGCGGCTCGCAGCCCTTATCCACTTTGGCTCTTTTTTCCTGCCCCCCCCCCCTTTTCTCTGGCCAAGTGGCACGACTGGAGGCTGCAGATAAGCACACGTGCACACTGAAAGAAAGAACGAACGAACGAAAGAACGAAAGAAAGAAAAAAGCATGAGATGGGATATGGGTGATGGATGATCGATGATCTCATGAGAAGAAATGCAAGGCCTGATCAGCAAAATAACAGAAAAGCCAATAATTGCAAGCAGAAATGAAACGGAAAGGAAAAAACACAGCCAAAGCTCCAGCCCCTGCCTGGAATCAGCAAGGCTTGCCCGCCGCCCGCCGGCTCAGCGCCACCTGGCCAGCCGCATACGTCGGCAGCGCCAGCACCAGCGCATACGTCAGCGCCGGGAACAGCTTGACGCCCACCCAGTACGCCACGGCCAGCGCCATGTACGCGCCCACCAGCCCCAAGAACGCCGCCGAAGCCACCGGCTCCGCACCCAGCCCGCCCACATTGACGCCCAGCCTCGCCCACACGCCAAAAAGCACCACCAGCGGCACCACGCATAGAACAGCAAACGCCACCGACACAGCGGCACTGGGCATCCGCTGCGGCTCGGCAAACCTGTGGTGAATCTCGGGCCGGGCGCCAAACACCACCGTGTCGGACGTCTGCTGCTGCTGGGGCTTGCCGGCGGACATCTGCACCGTTCCCAGCGCGTAGTGCACGCCGCCATCGGCGAACGATCCGAGCACTAGCGAGATGTCGTAGAGCCCCGGGGAGGGCACAAAGTGAGCGCGGAAGTGCTTGCGCGCCAGATCCATCCGATATGCGCCAACGCTCGCCCGCTTGGCCACAAACGCCGTCTCATCGCCTGTCTCCTTGTGCCTGAAATTGACAAACGCCTGGTCCACCGCCACTGCCTCGTTGGTCGTGGTGGATTTGACCGAGAAGGACACGGAGAGCGGCGTTGTGCTGGTGATTTCGGGCACTTTGCCGAATGTGTTGGGGTACTGTGGCGAGGCTGAAAAGAGCTTGTCGCCGGTGCGCTCCATCACTTTGATGTGGACGTCGGTGGGCTGGAGGGCCGCCAGGCAGCCGCTAGCTAGCGTGCATATTGCCAGGAGCATCCTGGTGCTGCTTCGGAAGCACCGCATTTCGATAGTTGCAGTGAATTGAGCTGGGAAAAGGGAGAAGAGGATAAACAAAGAGTGGGAGGTGAATTGGAGACAACGCGCGCAAACAATCTTGTTCTTTTGCAACGCCGCGAGACCGCTTACGATTCTTTTTTCTCTCAGAAATCCAAGCCTGGGAGTTAATCGACACAGCCAATCACAACCAATGTCGTGGCATATCCCTCCCGCATGGGAAACCCCCAAGCAAACTCAGCCTTGAAGCCTGAGCCTGAGCCTGAGCCTGAGCCTGAAAGCCTTGAATCTTAAGCCTGCTGGAACATTACGCATTTTTGTCTTTTTTATTTTTCTCGCTTCAATCTTGTCTCTTTCAATTCGCAATTTTTTCCACCTTTTTTCCTATTTTTATTATTGCCCTCCATTTCCTCGCTTCGCATCCTACACAATAAAATGCTGAAGAAGCTCGTGGTCCTCTTCGCCCTGCTGGCCTTAGCCAATGCCGTGACTCTGCGCAAGTGGATTGCCTCGCACGAAAAGAGCTGCTACTACGCATTTGCCGACGCTCCCGGAAAGAAGATTTCCTTCTACTTTGCTGTGAGTCCAATGAACAATATTTTTCTTTCACCCACGAGGGAAACAAAAGCTGAAATACCCTTCAGTTAGTTTGTCTTTGAAATGTTTGCCAACCCAGCAACTCCCATTAATATTCTTTCTTCTCTGCGATAGGTTCACAGTGGCGGCAACTTTGACATTGATTTTGAGGTTGAGGGCCCCAACAACCGCCAGCTATTCAAGGGTGATGCCGAGCGCCAAGGCGACTTTGTCTTCACAGCCACTCAGCCCGGAGAATACTCCTTTTGCTTCAAAAACGGACTCGCCTCGTACGTCGACAAGCTTGTTGAGTTTGACATCACTGTGGAGAACGAGGCCCGTGCTGACGACATCACCAAGCGGTCTAAGCGCGACGAGGTCATGAACAGCGTCGTCACTATTGCTAGCGACTTGGGTCAGATCACCAAGTTTATGAAGTATTTCCGCTCGAGGGAGAACCGTAACTTTGCCACTGTTTCGTCTACGGAGTCTAGGGTTTGGTGGTTCTCGGCTTTGCAGAGCTTGAGTGTGGTTTTGGTTGCTGTCATCCAGGTGTACGCTATCAGGACTCTGTTCACCGCCAAGAGGACTCGTCTGTGAGTCATTTTTTCCTTTTTGTCCTTGCTTATTTTTCTGGCTTTTCATTAATTGCAAGTTACGCTAGGAAGCAAAAAATATATATAATTGAAATATAATTGAAATATGTTTTAGCTCTTTTAAACGCATTTCTCGATTTGATTCATCTCTAGATTGGATTGGATTGGATTGCGACCACCAGCTTAATTAAGTAATTGACAAATATTAGCGTAAACATTTCGACAATCCTACTTGCCCCTTTTTTCCCTTATTTTTAAAGATACGAAAAAAGAGGGTTTTTCGCGCAAATGCATTACTTTTATGTATATATCACTATTTCGCAAACAATTTTTTTTTACTTTTTCAGATACCTGTCGTAAAGCCAGAACAATCACTTGTTTCATTATACATCCACACGCGAGTTTTTTTTACAACGCCCAAAGCACACTATTCCTGCACACTATTTTTCAAACCATATGTGTTCTCCCCCCCCATTTGCTTGAATTTTACCGCCTATTTTTTTCCCACCACTTGATTTAATAAGCCATTTGGATGACGATGATGAAAAAAAAAAAAAAAAAAAGTTATAAAGCCAGGACTGGGGATAGGTGGTGTCAGGATGAAAGAAAAAACGATTGCCATACTCCTTTTTTTCTCTTCTATATTCCTAATCCTCATCACCATTTTTTTCGCTCTTGTTTCTCCCCTCATTCCCCTCCCTCTTCTTCATCTTTCTTTTTTGCTTTTGCTTCTGTTTTGTTTATTTTTATTATCGACGGTTGACACAAACTCAGAAACCTCCCTAATCCCTCTGACACCTGGAGCTCTCTCTCCCCCCCCCTCATTTCTTCTCTTCGTCGTTTATATCGTTGCGTTCCCATTAAAAAAAGCACCAAAAAAGTATATTCCACTAGTTTCTCTTCAAACTCTCTTCCATATTCCATCATCCCTTTCCTTTCTTTCTCTCTCTTTTTATATCACGTCAATTAACTTATATATACTCATATTCCATCACCTTATATTCTGCATATCCAATCACTCCACTTCGTTATAATAAAGCCCGATCAATCATGATCATGCACAACGCCAACGAGCAGCAGCTCTCGGGAAACAGGGACCTGGATTGTCTGGGCCAAATGTTTGATCACCAACTCCTTGTCACTGAGGTCCCCGAGTCAGTCTGGGGCGTCCTGCTGTCGCTCAGCCCCGCCGACTATAAAACCGTCCACCTGCAGCGCACGAAGAGTAGCAGGGGCAGCGACCTGGAAAAGTTTGGGTACCAGATTGGGCGGCACAAGCGCTGCGACGTGCAAATCAACAACCCTCATATCAGCAACCACCACTGTCTGATATACCGCGTAGAGAGCGAGAACGCTGTGTATATTGAGGACACCAGCACGAACGGTACGTTCCTGAATAAGGAGCGTATGGAGAGGAATATACCGGTTAGGCTGCATGACGGGGATGAGATTCAGCTGGTCCGGTACCAGGAGTCCAAGGGTATGTCTTATTTCTGCGATAGCTTTTACAAGTTCCAGAATCTCGCTGTGCATCGCAACGAATCTCGCGTATTTACTCAGAGTTATTTGCTCGATAGGCGTCTGGGTAAAGGTGCATTTGCCAGCGTGTATTTGGTTAGGAATCGCGTGACGGGCGCGCGGTATGCGGCCAAGATTATTGACCGTAGGGCAATTGTGCATGCGGAAAAGTTGGAGAAACTGGACTTGACTTTTCAGAAGGAGGCGTCGATTTTGTCGCGGGTCAAGCATCCGTCGATTGTGCAGATTCATGGGGCGTTTAGGGAGCACGATAACATGTATTTGCTCTTGGATTTGGCTGATGGAGGTGAGTTGTTCGATGAGGTTGTTAATCGGGGGTGTCTCGGCGAGGACGATACCCGCCGGATTCTCCTGCAGTTGCTTTTGGCCGTTAGGTACCTTAACCGCAGGGATATAGTCCACCGCGATATCAAGTTGGAGAACATTCTGCTGACGGATGCGCATTCTATGCGAGTCAAGCTGGCGGACTTTGGGTTGGCAAAGATTGTCGGTGATGATACGTTTATGAGGACCGTGTGCGGTACCCCCATGTATGTGGCTCCCGAGGTGCTGACTGTCAATAGGACGGGCCGGTACGATAGGCAGGTTGATATGTGGAGTCTCGGCGTCGTCATTTTTATCTGCCTTTCTGGACGCCCGCCGTTTTCTGACCAGGATTCGACGATTTCGATGCGCGAGCAGATTCTTAGCGGCAATGCTATCTATGATGAAAAGGACTGGTGCACTGTTTCTCCTGGAGCGCGGGACCTTGTTAGTCGGATGATTAAGGTCAATCCGCGGGAGCGGATCACTGTTGAGCGGGCGTTGGAGGATGAATGGCTGGGTGCCAAGTGCTCCGGTGCCGGTGTGTGGACTATTGAGGATTTGGGTTTTACCGTGGAGGATCCTTGGACTGTCGAGGATAGCCAGATGACGGAGAGTGTGACGGCGGAATGCTCCCAGCAACACCAGCAGCAGCAACACCAGCAGCAGCAGCAGCAGTTGTCGCAGCCTTGGTCGCCGACGGGATTGCGTGTCTTCCCGAGGTATATGCACTCGCCTGCGACTCTGTTGCCATCGTCGTCGCCGGTTTCTGCTCGTGGGTCGCCGATTTTTGCTCGTGGGTCGCCGGTCTCTGCTCGTGGATCGCCTTCTTCTGCTCGTGGATCGCCTGCTTCTGCTCGTGGACCCCTGGCTTCCCCCAATGGATCGCGTGGGTCTTATGGCTTTGCCAGATCTCCTGCGTCTAGCAGCCCCCGCGGCCAGGTGTACTCGCCTGGCGTGCAGACTGCAGCCATTGGCGGCAACTTCAATTTTTCCAACTCTCCAAGGGCTAACGCGAATCCGGGGCAGAAGCGCAAAGAGCCGTCATTTATGCGCTCGCAGTCGGATCTGGGGCACTTGGCAATTCCCAAGCGGTCCATGTACCTTAACCATAAGCCACACCCACAGCCGCAGCCACTGCAATTGCAGCAGCCACAGCCACAGATGCCGCTGCACAAGCGGTGGATAGAAAAGGATATTCTGGCTAGACCACGGGCCGAGCCGAAAAGGGATAGCGGCCCGCTGGTAATGTTTGAAATGTCGCCCGATGTAAGCCGTCATCCCAGTCCCCTTAACAACCACCGTAGCTCGCCGGTTTACCCCAAGCCAGTGAACACGATAGCTCGCCGCCCGCTGCTCAATTTCCCAAAGCCTTTGCCCAGACCTGGGGCCCAGCACACACCGCCGGTGCAGAGTAGGCTCTCGTCATCCACTCCGCCGCCTGTATTTCGTATGATGGATGCGTTCAATAATGTGGCCAATAGGGTGCAATTGGTCCAGAATAGCGGCACTTCGGAGGACGTTTCTATGGATGGGCAGTCGATTGTCATGCGTAAGCCTATGTCCCCGCTGTTTGGCTTTGGCAATAAACGCCGCTAATGGTACTTTTACTTCGTTTTCGACTTTTATTATGACCCCCCAAATTCATCGAGAGTTTTGGAACAAACCATCCTTTTTCTATGTTTACAGCCCGCCCTGTCTTTGCTGGATTTGGCGAAAGTAAATAATTTATAAACTATCAAAAGATCCGAATGCTGGGCCCAAGCCCAAGGCCGCAGTCAAGAGTAAATATGATCCAAAGACTGGTGCAGCACCCAAGCGAAACAAGCCTGGATAATTTTTTTATCCTTTTCCTCACATCATGGCGGCCATTAACTCCCTGACAGCTCAATCCCCGCTAGTTAAAACCAGTGACAGCAAAGTAGATAGAGGCATTTGTCCAAAACTCGACAATAATTTTATTATTCTTTTCCAAATATACATGTTAGAAAACATTTGGCACGATTCAACTGGTGCTTTTTGGCTTTTTTTTTATAATGTTGAAGATATTATTTACAAATTTTTAACAAAATAATTATCAGAGTTGGCGGGATTACACGGTACGAAAACAAGCAAAATGTTTTTTCTTTTCAATTACTCAAAACATTTCACTGTTTTTCGGAAGACCCAATACAGACAAGCCTTGGACGAGCCAAGCGAATTTTCTTACTATCCAGCAAAAACAATTGAATGGTCTCGTGCGTCTGCTTCTGCATCTGATTCTGCCCAGCTGACTCAGCAGTAGGAGATTTGTAACAGCCCTCACACCACGCGGCAACATTCCCGTATATTGGCATATCCAAGGAAGAAATGCTTCTGCTCTGCAAACTAGCCGAAAGTGGAGGCGACACGGACGTATGCGCGTACCCATGCTCTGTATACACCGGTGGTGATATTGGTGGTGTCAATGGCGAGAAGAACATCATGTGCGAGTCATCTGCCTCTTTAATTTCTGACTTCCTCGCCTGCGGCGGCAATATGTTGGCCATTTTCCCCACTAGCAATGGCGCCACGCGCTGTTTGTCCTTGTTGAACATGGCCGACAGCATATGCGAGGCCGATGTTGAGGATACTCTGGGCGATGGCGAAATTGATGGTGATGAGGGTGATAATGGCGGTGATGCGAGAGATGAGAGTGAGGCGGCGCTGACTGTGTTTCGGCGCCTTCCAGCAGTGCTCTCGACTACGCATGTTATTGTTGACATGGCAAAAGGGATTCTGGCATCGCTTACACCTCTGCGGCGCTTCTCTTGAGCCATTCGACCCTGAGCCAGGATAAACTCAGAATCGGTGGGCATCGGGAATGTGGACATAGTGTCCATAGTGTTCATAGTGTTCATTTAATAATATGTAGGGTGTATAGTGATGTTGGTTTGAGGGATTGGAGCTGGAGGTGTTGATTTTTGATGTTGTGGAATAGAAAATAGAATATATCGATGAGAGCAAAAAGGATTATATGCTAATGAAATAGGAACCTTGTTTGTAGATTTGAAATAAATTAAAAATATGTAATTGCCAATATAAAAAGTGGGAACATTATCGGCTTTATATATTATTTGTCTTCTCCAACCTCCTGTCCCAATTTTTTGCGGCTGTAGGGCACTGGGAGAGAGAGGGGGTGTCGGGGGTGAGGGTGGGTAGCCTATTTGCGTTTTGAAAAGGCTTGAGGGCTTATGTTGAGACTTTAGGCCATTTTATTTTCCTATGCTTGAAGGACAGTGAGGAAAAAAATAAGAATAGAGGAGGAAAAGCAAGCACAAAGCCCAGCACAAAACTAAAAAGAGTGGCAAAAAATAATCTGTTGCAAACACCCCCAACTCCTACCCCCCCTGCTCTCTCCCTAAAAATTATTGCTCCCCTTTTTTATTTTTCTGGGCGTTGTTGCTTTTACCACGTTGTTATTTCCCAATGCTACCTGACCAGCTGGTCGCATACGAATTGTTCCCAATCATATGGATACTGTTCATGTGAGTGACATTATGAAAAAGGTATATATAAATATATCGTGTTCACAGCGTTGGACGATATTCATCTCGGGCGCAAATAGAGAAAAACATAATGCAATAAATTCGCCCATCAATATGCACCAATTGTGCCAAGCGCAATAATAAATCCGTCGATTTTATTTTGTATATTTTACTTATTTTTCGATCAGGTAGATGTTGGTATGCAAGTAAAATAGAGACCTAGTCCAAAGCCTCCGCCATTTTTTTTTGCTTGTAAAAAATAAGAAAAAGAAAAATGAGACTTGCTTTTCTATTCGTATTTTTATAAAAAAAAACTGCAGTCAACGAATTTTCCCTATTTTCAAGCAGACAGTCAACCAAAATCTTGCGATTGGCTTTCTTTTGACAAGCGAAAACAAATGAACTGCGGTTGTTTTGCCGCTTTGTTTTTTGGGCGTAATTCTTTTTAAAATAAAAACGAGCGAAATTAAGGCTGCGGCCACGTCAAAAAATTCAATTTTTTGTATCCATATAAATTATACAATAATTATGCTTGCAGTCAATCATAAGGATGCGAGACTTTGCGAGTACAGCCACACCTTTTCAACTTGGCTACTCCGTGTATTTCAACTGATATCCCCACTTCCTATCGGAAGTAAATAAATATGAGTAGAAGATAATATTTTGGAAATTGGGTATTTGCGTTTTGCATTCACCAGTTTAAAAAGGATGCATTGTATATGGTGCAGATTCAACATATTACTGTGGACGAGCGTGCGAGCGTTTTGCGGAGACAAGGCCATCTACAATACCCCTGCTCTGCATCTGCGCTCCCTTCGCGGCTATCATTTCATCTGTGTATTTTGAGGTGCGTATCATGATAGTACACCACAATTTTTCTCTGCGTCAAAATGCACTCCTAAACAGTGTTGTTTTAAATACAAAAATCTCAACATTGTTATTTAATTTCTTCACACTCTACTGCCACTTTTCTTTAATTGTCCAACCTGCACATTCTTTTTAAAAAGAGGCACACTTGAGTTGTCAGCTGGGTGCCTTAGACATAAATAGGTCATTGAAATATTTCTTTTAAAAACATTCCGCATTATAGCATATTGCCACCATCCCTCCAATTTTCAGTGGCGAGTTTGTGGTTGCGAGTTGTACCACTCTAGCCGATGAATTTATTATAAAAATAAAGCACCTAAATTCACAGGGGCCTGCTTGTTGATTGCATGCAAATGAAATACTTTATAATGCACAAAATGGTATTATATATCGTTTTAAAACTGAGTAAAAAAATCTCTGAAGACTGGCCGAACAAACTAAATAAAATAACACGGACGCGCAGTAAGGTTTTACTTTTTTGGGTTATTTTTACTCGACAAGTTTAAACCGCGTGTATGATCTGCCCCCCTCCCCCTGAATGCTGTCTTCACGCGGACACTTGCGACACAAAAAAATATTTGCGGCGGTTTGGTTTCCCCTCGATGCGCTACTGCTCGTCTATTAATGCTACCCCATGTCCACAATCGCAATCACAAGGGCATGAGTCCCCTGTTTTTGTTTTTATTTTTGAAACTAGCACAAAATAGTTACTGTCATATATCCTAACACGCGACAGCCTAGCATGTGTAATTTGTACACACGTCGCATGCGTCTGCTGCGTGATAACAAATGTGTGCTAGTGAGATATATTTAACTTTGTTTGGCTTCAATTAGTCACAAATATGCCGCCAACGTTTTGGGATTCGCAATATTTTCTGGAATAAACCAGTCACCTTTTATGCGTGCATAACTTTGGTTCAGCGTACAGGCTGCAGCCAAGGCGATCTGCATGGTTATTAATAGTTTGCATGGCCGAAACCAAGCAGCGCATTCAAACATTAAATGCTGCTGTTTTTGGCCGGAAAATTAAGTAATCCAATCATGTTTTGATTACTGGTTAATTTAATTGCATGGCTCCCCGAACCACTTGGGCAATCCGCCGCTGGCCGCATCCACGGGAGCACTCTCTGGATTTTGAGAGCCGAAAGGTACATGTCAACCTTGTAGCACATGCCTGCTGCTTCCATTTTTTGCTTTGAAATGCACATCCAACTATCACATGAATTCGCATGCATCTTCTTTTCACGTGCATACGTGGGGGGAATGTACATTTGCTCCGTGCATGCTAAAGGCACAGCCTCTATGCGCCTGCGGCGTTAAACGGAAACTTTGCTTTTGCGCCTGGGCCTTACAGTTGATGACCGCGTCCCTGCCACCTTTTTTTACCTCACTGCATATAAATGCTGCAAACCCTCTTTCTTTCTTTTTTGCCAATTCATTTTATTTTCTTTCTTTTTTGTAACACTAAATACCCAACCTTAACCACCACACCACAACATGCTCCGCTCACAAGCACTCACTACTTTGCGCAAGTCAAGCCGCGCGTTCAGCACTAGCATGTACGCGCGCAGCTCCAGCAGCGCATCGGCGCCTGCCCTGGGCTTCCAGCTTTCCGAGGACCAACTTTCGATTCAGGAAACCACGCGCCAGTTTGTCCGCGAGGTGGTCATCCCGGCGGCGCCGCACCATGACAAGACGGGCGAATACCCGGTCGATATTATCAAGCAGGCCTGGGACCTGGGCCTGGTCAACTGCCACATTCCCAGCGAGTACGGAGGTCTGGGCTTTGGCGTTTTTGACTCAGCACTGGTCTCCGAGCAGCTTGCCTACGGCTGCACTGGCATTCAAACTGCCATCGAGGCCAACACTCTTGCCGAGGCTCCGGTGATTCTGGCCGCCAACGATGCCCAGAAGAAAAAGTATCTTGGCCGCATGACCGAAGAGCCACTGATGGCCGCGTACTGCGTCACCGAGCCCGGGGCCGGCTCTGACGTAGCAGGTGCCAAAACCCACGCGGTGAAGAAGGGCGACAAGTGGATCGTCAACGGACAAAAGATGTGGATCACCAACGGCGGTAAGGCTAACTGGTACTTCCTTCTGGCCAAGACCGACCCAAATGCCAACGCTGGCAAGGCATTCACCGGATTCATTGTCGACGGCAACAGCCCAGGAATCACAGTCGGGCGCAAAGAGTGGAACATGGGGCAGCGCGCATCTGACACGCGCGGCATTACGTTTGAGGACGTTGAGGTTCCCGATGAGAATCGCCTCGGAGAGGTCGGCCAGGGGTTCAAGATTGCAATGGGCGCCTTTGACATTACCCGCCCGCTGGTCGCTTCAGCGGCTGTCGGCTTGGCCCAGCGCGCCATGGACGAGGCGTCGGCGTACGCCCTGCAGCGCAAGACCATGGGCAAGCAGATTATTGAGCATCAGGCAATTGCTTTTATGCTGGCCGACATGGCCATCCAGACCGAGGCCGCCAGAATGATGGTCTGGCGCTCGGCTTGGCTGCGCGACCAGAACAAGCGCAATACCTACTATGCGTCGATTGCCAAGGCCCTGGCCTCGGAGACTGCCAATAAGTGCGCCTCGGACGCGGTTCAGATCTTTGGCGGCAACGGGTACAACACCGAGTATCCGGTCGAGAAGTTGATGAGAGACGCCAAGATCTTTACGATTTACGAGGGCACCTCGCAGATTCAACGACTCATTATCTCGCGCACAATCGCAGACATAGCCAAGCAGAACCAATAAATGTGCGTCTTCTGTACTAATACAATTATCTACACTCATTTGCACTCCCCAAATAACCCAATGCCACGAAAATTGTATGTCTCACTGGTGGTTGCCAGCTTTTATAAATGTAAATATATATTTAAAATTTTGTCTATTAAATACGAATTGATATAATAATGGCTACAAGTCTGCTATAACAAATTAAATATACATGAGTATCTCATTAAGTGAACGGGATGTACCAGCTTGGTCGATGAGATTCGGCCACATTGTCTCTGGGCACCTGGCTCGTTGTAACGGGCGCCGGCATGTTTCCTGAAAAGTTGCTCTGCATGCTGGCGTAGCGCGACCGGCCAGACTCGCTCATATTGCTAATCTCGCCCATATAGCACTTGCTGGCCATTTTGTAAAGCTGCGCGAGCCCCTGCTTTTCGATGCGCTCGACAAACACCCGATAGTACGCCTCGCTGTCTCTGAGCGAGTGGTAGATTGGCGGGCCAAGGATAATGTAAAAGTACGCCTGCTGTGGGATAAACACAGCTAATAGCTTCAGGATTCCGGCCAAAACTTGACCATCAGGCCCAAACTTGGCATACTTGAACGCAATGGTCAGGATTCCAGATAGTGTCAGAATCCCGGTGACAATGAGCATTTTTTTGAACTCACCAAAGCAACTCTCCATCTTGCGCGCCTTGACCAGCATACCGCATACCACTAGCCCTTGAATAATTAACACTCCCATTCCGGCTAAGAAAATGGGCGACTGGACAATGCACATGTTTGACTTAATGTCGTACCCGTAGCCGGCATTGGAATCCAAAACAAAGGCCAATGCGGCGTACACTACGCTGACAGACACCAGATAAATTGACGGGATTATCAAAAATATTCCTTTCGGTTGCCGCTTCAGCACAAAAACGTTGATGTACCGGTAAAGACGCATCTGGAACATAGCAACAAACATGAGAACTCCAATAGACATACCGAGCCAGCCGATAGTTACTGCACAGACCGCCCACTCTTTAACCGCATAACGAGAGCTGCCAATAAACACGCTCCCGATGAAAGACATCACCATGGACACGTAGGTAAAGTACATGTTCGATAAGTTTTGCGACTTTAATGGCGTGTACTCGCGCTTGATGTAACTGTATACAAGTACGGTAAAGTTGACCATGAGGGCGAGTATGCATATCACCAGTATAACTATATCTGGCGCATTGTTTGGTTGGTCCGCCATTTTTGATACAGGTAAAAGTAAGAGTCTAGGCAAAATAACTTACAGATAGTTAATAAGATATAGGTGCAAATGCAAGAAAGACGTGAGCAAATAAAAAAGTATATAGATGAGAGATTTAACAAAAAAGGTATAAACGAAAGTAAAAATTAAGTTGATATATACAATCAATAAATATGGAGAAAATAATTAAAGAGCAAAAAGGTGTGGGCAAGGCTGCCCTGTTTTGCGTTTAGCTATAGCCACACACAGCTTACGATTTGGTGTAGAGCTGGCGGCCAAGCCAAAGCTGACAGCTGTATTTTTCTTTTTGCACATTACTTTTGCCTTTATTTTCATTGCTTTTTTTTTGCCCACATCGGTTTTATTTTACGTGTCGTATAAAAAGAGCATGGAATAAAAAAGCGTGCAGACTTTGCTCTTTTTAGTGTTTCATTTAAAAATATTCTTTTTTACTTTTTATAAAGAGCTCTTTCGCTTTTTTCAATAATAAAATCAAAGCGAGGTGCACTCAAATAAAACGAAAATAGTGCGACCGGCGCCAAGGAAACAAATGGGTAGAGTGGATGAGGCCAATTTAAAAACGCCCAATTTTTTTATATTCTAGTTTACAATTAGTTGATTTAACATTGTTATTGTTGATGCTACTCTCATCATTTTCGAATTTCAAATTTTTTGGTAAAATAAAATAAAATAAATGAGCAATGAGAACGCGTTGTGTAGATGAAGTTAAGGAAATACAATTTGTGGTGACATTACTGCTCCAAAACTCGTGCAATGTAATTACTCGATAGAAAAATACGGAAAATAGCACGTCTGTTTTCAATGGTACGCTTACTGCTATTGTGAGTGTATGCTGAAAATAAGACAACATGTGGAGACTGACGCATAAAAATAGAGCACGGTTGTCGCAGACATTTGGCTCACTTTGCCATTCACCCTGTACATTTGAAAGAGGATGAAGACAATTTTCCAGTCGTTAATAATTAATCGTATTGTCTTTTTTATTTAGCTTCTATACCTGTACACAAAATCATCTGTTTAATTTAATAAGCAAAAAATGCTCGACTATCCGCCCGTATACAGCGCCAACCAGACCGGTAACAATTCCTATGGGTACGTCACGCGTATCAGCGCCCTACAGAACCTTGTCAAAAGGAAGCGCTATGACATATCTATTTGGCTGCAGTCGGGGCTCAGCGTCATTTATGCGACCGAGTTGGTCTATTACTTTATACGGCTTCGGAGCGTGGCAGGCGCGCGGGCAGCATCATGGCGATCCGGCCTGATGCTCGTTCTGCTGATAATGGACATTGCTTTGATCTGGCTGACTGTGCGCAGCAAAAAGTTGGATATGTGCGGCCACAGTGTGCAGGCCAATTTTTCAGCTGCTAATGGTGTTGGAATGGGGCCTCGCGGCTATAACGTCGAGGGCAATAATCCCTTTGCAACACCGCTTCACAGAATTGGCGCGCATGCTGACGGCAACCACGCCACGCATCTTCCCGAATTAGGACGCAGCCATGAGCCGTCTCCCTATGTGCCCGCACCCCGTGCGCCAGAACCAGCGCATGCCGAACTGAGAAGCCACTTGCACACACCCATCACCGGGTAAAGCAAAAAATATTGAGCACGACCATGGCCACATCAGCAGCCGATAAACAAGTTTTGAAATAAATTCGATTGAATAGAAAATTGGTTTTGGAGAGAAAATTGAAATATTGAAAATGTAATTAACAAGATACAGAGTCGGAATAGTATTTGCCTCATTGGTATTTGTTCTGAGAAGAACCGTTCGGCATGCGCGGCGAAGTGTGTCTGCTCGAGTAGATCTGCTCGTGCGAGTTCTGGTACCACTGCTGGTCACCGCGATCGACACGATCGGCGGCAGAGGCCTGCTGCTGTTGTTGTCTCATCATCTGAAGCTTTTGCTGCTCGTGTTGACGCTGTTGCTGTTGCTGCATCGCGACCTGCTGCTGGGCTGCCGAGTTCTGGACGTGCCTGCGATATTCGTTATACTCAGTAGCATTCACAAACTGAGTGGAATTGCCAGACTGGCGTCTGGGGGAGTGCAAGCCTCCTGATGGGATCGCCTGCGTCTGTTGCCCTGGAGCCTGCCGTGCTGGAGTCGGAATAGGTGGTATTTGCTGGCGCGGACGGGAATGGATGTCAATTGGAGGGCGAGAATTCGCTATTCCTACGCGCCCGATGGGAGAATCTTCTCTGAGAATACTTCCACGCTCCTGGTTGGCAAAGCTCTCGCGCATTGGTGGCTGCGACTGCGGCGGCTGTGGTGACTGCTGCTGCTGCTGGTAACGGCCCTCAGAGTACATGCGCTGCTGCCGGCTAAGGTATGTCGATGAGGCAGTCTGCGATAGCTGAGACGGGTGAGTGGGACCACGCGAAATAGCTGCGGCAGCTGGCAATGGCACGGCGGATGGGGCCCGCTGGCCTGTCGCTGAGCGATAGCCGGGGGCCGACACATCGACTGGAGGCGTTGTCGAGCAGTCGGATGCGCTCACGATGTTGTGCATGACCCTCTCCATCTTTCCCATCCATGTGCGCATCTCGGTCCTGTGCTGGCCAAACGTATACTCGAGTCTGCGCAGCTGGGATTTTAAATCATCGTTCTCCATGCGCAGCTCGTCTATGGCAGTAGCGACCTCCACCGGGAGCTGCGCTGGGTTGATGTGCGTCGCTGACCTAGGGCTAATCCGATTGTGCACATCGCCATACACCTGACCCATGGTCCCATTGGTAATCGCATCGTACACCCGGCGGCTTCGCTTGGGGATGCTGCCAACTGAGTCGGTGCCTGGCCCGTACGCATACTCGGGCTCGACATCACCAAGTCTTGTCGGCGACCGCGCGCGTTTGCGCTCAACGGGCTCGTTGAAGTTGCTCCGCGGCGACAGGGGGCGGGGCAGAATCGGAAGCGGCCGCTGCTGAGGCGATGCCGCGCGGCTCTGCGCTGCACTATCCACGATAGACGCAACGCTGGGTAAAAGTGTAAAAGCAGGCTTGGTCTTGACCTCCAGCTTCGGCACCACTGGCTGGACCTTGGGAGGTGGCATCAAGGGCCCCGTGGCCTCCATCCTCTTGGCGTAGCCATTGGGGTACTTTGACCTGTAATCCTCAGCGTGCTGAAGGGCACTGGCAAGCAGATTGTCGGCAGCCTTGATGTCAGTCTTGGCCAGAGCGACGCGCAGCTGCTCACGGTATGCCTTGAATTCATCAGAATCAAACAGCACGTGCGAAAACAAAGGGTTGGCCTCCACCGCCTTGCTCATCGAGGGCATCTCAAGCATAAAGGCAACGTCCTGGATCAGCACGACGCGAAGTTCCTTTAGGAGGCGCAGGAACCGTGTCGCCGACCGCACATCCTCGTTGTTGTCATTTTGGCCGAATGCGTTCATGAGCAGGGGCTTGATCCACGGAAAGACCTCCTTTTGCAGCGACAGCGGCGGGATGATGCTGAAACGCTGGGCCATCTTGCCCGCATCACTACCCTCCAAGTCATAGCCCGCGTTGACCCTCAGAAGTACGTCGAGAACCTCGGGGAGAATGGCATTGCTGTCAAGGGTATTAACGCAATTCAGGCCCTTGATTCCATCAGCTGTGGGGCGAACGAGCTTGAACGCGTCTGCATAAAAATAGCCAATGTCACTCATCAGCTTTGACCCGGTCACACTATTGGTTGGGGAATGGAATAAATATAAACAGCACAACCGGAAAAACGAAATTAGCTTGCATGTCATATTCGGAAACATGTCATTTTCAAATATGGCATTTTTTGTAATATAGCGCGCAAATATATTCTTGTCTGCCAATGGCATTGCAGGGATTGCCGAGCTGGAAACACGGCGGGTTCCATTTCGCGAGCCGAAAACAAAGTTTGAAAGCTTTCCGCAAAAGCTCGGATGAACTTCGAGACAAGTAAATTTAAAATCGTGAATGCTCAAGCGTAAAGCTACCAACAACGGAGACTTGTTTTTAGGTCCATAAAGGGAAGAAAAATACGGAAGTCGCGGAAACAAACAAACACAGAGCACGAGCTTTCCCTACGAAACAGAATATTAACAGCATATTATGGGAATCCTGAAAGAAACAGATCTTTGGATCAACCCAAAAAACATTGCGCAAAAAATACTTCTGCCAACGCATGGTGAAAAAAGCATTTGTGGATATATGGATGCAAAACCGAGCAATATTTTCGATTATACAAACAGGTTTATGCATCAATGTGCATGCGGATTTGTAATGGGCTGCAATAGAAAGCACAATTTAAGGGGGTTGATTTGGAACAGTACATATGAATAAAATTTGCTGAACTCGCGACATCAGAATTCAAAAGGCAACGAATGACAATAAAAAGAAAAGGTCGGATGCTGTGCGTCCCTGCGCTGATAAAACGAGATGCTGGGTTTTGCCAACTGAAATAGTCAAAAATAAATAATACATAACGACAGAATTGATGTACGCAAGAGAACCAAAGAAAAAGGGAGTAGGAGTGACATTTGACAATCCATCAAGAATAAAAAACAAGCGGGGGCAATAAAGATGCAGCATGCATGTGAAGTATTGTGAGGCATAAACAGATGCGTATCTCAATACGAAACAAAACAAAAATAAAAAATAAAATAAAGCAAACTTACATGTCCTTCGAAATTCCAGCAAAGGCTATCCGGGTAACCTGATCGACCTCCATTGGAAGCTCGGCCCCGTCGGAGAGCGTGGGGAACAGCTTGAGCGACTGCCACTCTGCCGTGGCAAAGTCTGGGATGGCCTCGTTGGCAACGTGCCACCTCCGGAACAGCTCAAAAGACAGCGCGTTCCAGGAGCATAGCAGCGGGTTGGCATGACGCATAATGGCAGCCTACGCGAGCGAAGAAAAGAAACAATTGGAGATCAAATTGTTAGGACGCGTGGTTGCGCAGTGAAAATATTTGAAAACAAAAATCCAGTCAACAATCAACAATTAATAGTCAATCTTACCTTTCCGGGTTTTAAACCTGCTAAAGTGTTTTTAGCAGAGTGATGCACGGTAACCGCAATGCACTTGGAAAAGGGCTTGTCGACATGTGTGGTTTTGTCGCCAGAAGTAGGTATGCCCACTATGGCCTGTTGCGGGGTTGTTGCCGTGTTCAGGGCTTCGTCCATCGACACGTCGGTGAGCGTCAGGTTAGTGCGCGCCCCCGATGACATCCAGGTAGAAATACCCAGGCACCGGTGTGTGCGCGCTTGACTTTGGGCATTTGAGCCCATTTCCAGCTGGCGGGCGTTCAATACAATGGACTCTTTCAGCGTCAGAAGATTTCCCTCAGTGAGGCTTTCGTCGTTCTTCTGCCATTTGGGAATGACCTCAGGAACTACACCCAGAAGCTTTTCTGTTTCGACATCCATATTGGGGGAGCCAGGCACCATCGTCTCATCAGTGTCGATCTGCGGAGACCGGCTTACAGATGGAGATGCAGGCTGCAAAAGCTTTAATTTGTTGGAATCCTGGTCAGTGACGCTATGGCGTCCCTCGTCGTCTGTGGTCGGGCTGAAGCGGGATCCGGCGCGCGTGCTGCTTGACACGTCTGCATTGAGCGGTGCAACTTGCAGCGGCGCTTGAGACAATGAAAACTGCTGGCCAGAAGTCGGGTAGCTCGGCTTGCTCACATACTTGACAATCGGAATGGCCTCCAAAGTCTCAGGCGGCGACATGCGCGAATTGATTGGGACAGGCAGCTGATTCGGTCTCTGCAGAGTTTTCAACAAGCGCCCCTGCTGTTGCTGCTGATTCTGCTGCTGGCTGTGCTGCTGATTCTGGTGCTGATGATGCTGCTGCTGGGAAATATGGCCCTGTGGGTACACCGGACTGCAAGGGCGGTAGCTGTTATCAATATTTTCGTGTGGGTACAACGGCGAGTTGCTGCGGTACGAGTGCGTCTGTGTGTATTCGGGCCTGACCGTCGGGTAGCGGTGCCTGTGGATTGCTTGTGACGAGCCCAGGACCTGTCCAGGCTGACCTATCGGGTGGATAACGCCATTACCAATTACGCCGAATGTCGGGCGCAGGCTGATCGGAGGCGTTCCGTTGGGGTGCACTGCCCCGTACTCATCCGTGCTCTCGGACCCTGAGCTTCCCTTTGGCACGCCGTAGATTGGCTCGCTGCGCCTGGACTGGCGCGGGCGCGGGAAGCGCATCACGATCTGCTGCCACTTGCTCATAAATATATGGCCTACACGTGGATCAGGGAGATCGGCACGGTTACCGTTTTGCAGCCTCCAGTAACAGAGAACGCCCTGGAGCTGGTTGCGCAGAACCTGTTGCACATGGGTAGACCCCTGGCGGATGCGCTCGGCAGAACCAGAGGTCACCATCCACTCTACGTAGTCGGCCAGACGCTCTTCAGTTACCCGCTCGTCGCCGCCGCAACGCTGGGCGCAGTAGTGCATCCACAGGGCAATGCGCGAGGAGTAGCAGCCCTTGGTGCTGGTGGAGACAAAGTCACAGGCTTCAAGAACTTCCTTGGCCCGCATGAGCTCTACAAGCGTGCATGGCCAGTATGGATTATCCGCCGTGTAAAAGTAGGACATTTTTAAAAATAAAATTAGTAGTTGCGTCGAGTTAAGCGAGGGTGAAAAAGAAAAAAGGAGGAATGGACATCAAAAATAAGCAAAATGAAAGATTATTTGTCCAGGACGTGGCTATTGAACAACAATTCAGGTCAGCCGGGGCAGCGCGTTCAATTGAGAAAAACACACTAGCATTCATTGCCTCCCCTCATTTCCCCCCATTTGGCAGTTTAACAAACCAATTGTTCGCCGAGTGCATGGTGGAAATATGCGATAAGCCACAATTATATTACACAATCACTTTGAGGGAGGAAAAAGATAACAAGTATGATGAGCATTGACAAGTGGGTGCTTGCAAATGGGTGGATGGATGAATAAAACAAGTGGTTGCTACCCCAAGTGTAAAAATGCAAGTGTCACAAGTCCTAATTTACAAATGCATATATGATAGTATATGCGCTCCACGCGCTCTTTGTTTTACATATAAAATATAAGGTATTTGAGCGGTCAAAACGCACACAAGCATACAAGAATATGCAGCAAAAAATACAATGTCTGTGTGATAGATCTACATTTATCACCTGGGGATATGTGCAGCTGCCATTAATGTCAGATGAAAAGCAACAATAGTGAGAATTGATTTTTGGGGCAGTAACCCAGGCGTTTGCTTGTTTGTTTGTATTTGTATGTGTGTGTGCATGCGCGTGGGGAAATATTTGGGGATGTTCATGCAATGGAAAGGCGGGGATGGCAGTATATGTCAGGGAAGTATTCATTAAAGCTGCTAACAAGGGACAAAAAAGCGCCGCTTTCTATATATCTCTCTTTGGTAGCAGCTGAAAGCTAAAGTTTTTAATATAAAGGGGAAGGTAGTAAGTAAACAAAACAATTTACAAAGTATCGGCATTTGTGCAAAAAAACACGAGTCATGCTTTAATTGTTTGCTAAAATGTGGGAATTTAAGGGCTTTATTGAATGATAAATAAACTGGGTGGTGTTTAAATACATACGCGCCCATGGCATTAGGGGGATGGAGAGTTCCAAGTAAAGTCACAATTTTGCAGCGCGGTTGTACTTATTTTCCTAAGTCAAGCGTGGAATATTCGCTTTTGAGGGCGGAAAAACAAAACAAAGAGAAAAACTGTGAACAGCGGGTTCTACAAGAAAGAATAAGCACTTGGTTGAAATGCTAAAGACGATACTACTGACAGTGCCCAGGCGTAGAATGTACAGGAGCGCACCTAATGCGGGTGCCAAATACAATACTACTCACGCGTGATATAGTGTTTTTGCGGATTGTGTGCTTCTGGCTAGCAAGCCAGAGCAACTCCTTACAATGCGCGCAGTACACATAAAAACAAAGGGTGTGACAAATGGATCATCTGTCAGAACAAGGGATATGAGGGATGGTATTCAAAGTGAGTCTAATTGGCATTCAAAGTGAGCAAAAACAATAAAGTATAAATGCAAGCATGGTAAAGGGATAAGCAAAGGACAGCGGCGGTGTACAACAGTGGACTAGCGCTTTGAATACAACTTCAATTGCGTTTGGTGTAGATATCATGGCACCTTTCGCGCCTCATTTCCTGTAAGACACCCCCACTTTGGTTACGCCATGCATATATGTGAATATATGGTATTGGTGGGTGAGCCCAGGAACAAAAAAGCTATGGGAGCGCTGTAGGTAAGCAGTGGCGCGGTATAAATAATCACGCACAGTCTTTTAAGTGTTGTTCTGAACACCACACCCGCTACGCACAGGGAGGTGCAGTGTGGTTGTGCTCCAACCCTACCTTAGTTCGCTTACCTTTATCGGTGTATGTCATGGTTATTATGTCCTAGCTAGCCAGTTGAGCCGCGATAACTGGGTGCTATTGTGTGAAAAAAGACGCGTGCCTGTAATAAAGCAATGAAAATAAAAAATGTGTGTGCAAGTGCGTTTAAGGGTAGTATGTATCCTTGTTTTGTCAGAGCAGTGAGAACGAGTATATGAAATAAAAAAGACAATAGAGTTCTACAAAATAATTAAAGTGCAAAAATAGGGTTGTGTGTGGCCAAAACTAGAAAAAGAAAACAATAAAGAGAAAAGGGTATATCACAGTGGACGTATTGCGGCGGCACTTTGTAACTCGTATTGACAATAATGAAAAAGGCAACTGGCTAGTGCACTAGTGTATAAAACAAATATCACAGCTATAATGTGAATACGATTGAAAAAGAGGGAGGTCAGTGGTTGTGGTCGTGTTTGTACGAAAAATGCAGTATATGTGTAAATATATAAAAACAAACTATTGAAATCGAATGGACAGAGAATAAAGGCTTTTGTCGAGCAGATGGGGGAGAAGGAAAAGTATTTCTTAATTTTTTTGACTTGGCATACGGTATGAAAGGGCCAATATTATATTTTACATCGCGCCCAAAGGGTAGCAATCAAATACATTTGGGAGTACTCAAAAAAAAGAAAAGGTTTTTTAAAAAGCAGGTTTTATGCGCTCGAAAATTTTGAAATTTTCGCTACTAAGCGTATGGAGTGATCACCACTCTCAGATAGCATAAAGCCGAAAATCGCCTATTGAAAGGGGGGGTGAGTGGGGGGTGGGTATATAGCCCTGGGGCCAATGGCACAGAGTGGGGAGCAGAAAAGGATGGGGTTGGGTGACCAGACAAATTAGATTTGCATCGAATATTTTCTTTTTTTACTCCATTGTTTTTTCTTTTTCAGTGAGAAATTCAGCACAAAGAGAAAACAGAAACATTGAAAATATTGGTGACAAAGAGCTAAAAACAAATATGAGGGAAACTTTATATTTTTCGCCTTCCAATAGCTTTGGCTCCTTTCATTAATTACAGAAAACCCAAGGCTTCATGCGTGTTGTCAAGCAACCTTTGCTACCGGATACAATTGTCTGGCCAAACCAAAATATTCACGACAGCGCAATCTGAGCGCTGCGCTGTAATTTGGCGTCCAGTTGATACCGAAGCTTTTCCTTCCGAAAAACTCCTAAGTGGAAATTATGATGAGCGTCATCATAGTGAGCCCGCTTGTATAAATCGCGTTTTGTCTGCGGGCGGAATATGAGCGTTCGACCAATAGGACGCTTTATATTCCCATCGTTTGAATATGGCAATTTGAACACTAAAATGCCTCGATTATATCTGACAGGCAAGACGCACAAAAAAGCGTTTGACAAAATAACCAAACTGAGCCAAAAGTTCGCAGTTTAAGCTCGCCAAAATGGTGCCTCTTTTTATTTATTGTTTCCATTTTTAACTTACCGCCCATCAGGACTGTCATTGTGCGTCCTATTGTGAAACCTTGCTTCAAATTCAGTTTGATGAAAACTTTCTACTTGCGGCATTCTATACTTAAATGACATCAATGTTGCCATCACTTAATCATGCGGTTCAAAATATACAAACAATTCGTATATGGATCACTGTAAATACTGGCTATCACATTAATTATATTGAAATAAAGGGCAATGCTCTTATTAAAATGAAAATAGACAATATAATAAATCTCTTGGCATTAATCGAACATTTCTATTGTTTTAGCTAAAATATGAGATTGTGGAAAACATGAACTATCTAATAAAAAATTCAAGTCACTGCTTTTTCCGGAAGGGCAGGAGGGCCTCCAACTAAAGCTTGCGCCGACGATGCTGATAATAGCGACATGTACGCGGTATTGTTATTTACACTGTGAACCTGATGATAATAGGTGGGAGGACCCTGTTGTGGTGCATAATTGGGCTCAGGGTACGCCTGGGGCCGTTGGTATTTAAAAACATTCGAATATCTGCCATCCATGATAAGCTGAGGGGGGGTCTGCAGATTTTCGAGCCAGCTCAATTTCCGCCTCATCTGCCTGACGCCAAGCACAGTGCCTATTATGTCAAATATTACAAGTCCAACAAGAAGACCAAAATACCATCTGAATTGGCGAACATAAATAGTTGAATTGTTTAACTCACGGTAGAAAAGATACCCCAAGAGACCGGCAAGGGCTAATGCAAAGAAGACACCCGCACACACCATCATTACAATGAGCCGCCTCACCTCTGCAATGCGATTTTTTCTGACATCTTCAACTTGCTCGGCCGTGTATGTAGCAGGTTGTTGCAGCGGCGGGTAAGAGTATTCCATGGCGAGAACTTCCAATTTATTTTAATGGAAGATTAATAATAATAAAAATAAAAATAAGAGCGAGGATGAAGCGACGATGCAACTAAATAATGAGACATGGCCACTGCACTCTTCTTTTAATTGATTTGAGGAATAAGAAACACCCTGCTTCTCAACTATGTGGGTACTAGCTCCTCCTAGGGCCGCAGTAAAGAAAACCATTTTATTTTGCTTGTAATCTAACTTCAACCTGTTTTTGAAGTGCCATTGAATTACATCCTCGATATGGCCACCGCACTTTCCTTTTAACTGATTTGAGGAAGAAAAACATCCTGCTTTTCAGCTATGTGGGTGCTAGTTCCTCATAGGGCCGCAGTAAAGAAAAGCATTTTATTTTGCTTCTAATCTAACTTCAACCTGTTTTTGAAGTGTCATTGAATTCCATCCTCGATATGGCAGTCCGACAGGCAATTATTTTTTACCAACGCCTTTGTGTAAATTTGCGTAATACCTGCTTATTATAAGATCCCTAAACAAATATTTAATGGACAGCAGGTTGAATGCTAATTGAAAAATGTCAACCAATTACTTATATTGCGTGGTGCTGCTGCTGTCTGGTTGAAGCTGAGTGCAATATAAATAGTAACCAAATCGGGATATTCTGGATGTTTAGTATTGAAAGCAGTTTAGTAACAAGAGATTCTCGGTAAGCCCATCTTAATCAGGTTGAAAATGGAGAATCACAAGCACAGACACAGACACAGACACAGACAGACAATAATGCTTGCAAACCAGCGGCTACATAAGATATGTGCAACATCAACTTTGCAAAAAAACAGTGTAATTTTGCACGATGTGGCTTTACATACGAAAAACTCTTCGCGAGCGGCAAAAATCAGTTATTATCGCGGCATTATTTCTATATTTAGATAAAAAATGTCAGCAATACATCACTTGTTCTAATATACGCAAGCAGTTCAAACATTAATCACCGTGAACGCTAAACATTGAAGACCTTGTTTCAACTAAAAAATGACTATGAAAAACTATGTGAACTACCTGGCAAACAAAATTAGTACGCCGACTTTTCCGGAGCGTAAGGGTTGCCCGACAGAGGCTGCACAGGTGGTGCCGATGATGGCGGCATGTACATGTTATTTGCCCCGTAGCCCTGCTGATAATAGGCGGGCGCTCCCTGCTGGGATGCATAATTAGGCGCAGGGTATTCCTGTGGCTGCTGGAAAATAACGATCTTGGAATATCCACCGTCCATAATAAGCTGAGGGGGAGTCTGCGGGTCCTTGAGCCAGCTCAGCCTCTGTTTCATCTGCCAGACCGTGAACGCGATGCTCAACACGTCTAGAACCAGGAGGCCAATGAGAAGACCGATGTACCAGCTGAACCAGCTGGAATATGTCCTCGTGTTGTTTTGCTCGCGATGGATGTAGTACCCAAGGAGACCAGCGAGGATTGCTGTGAATAATACTTCCAGACCCAGCCGCATGCCAAAGTGCTGCTTCACCTTTCTGATGCGCTGCCTCCTGACATTCTCGACTTGCTCTGCCGTGTATTGGACGGGCTGTTGCGGCGGCGGATAGGCGTATTCCATAGCAGGTATTTTATTATTTGTGAATATATTATGTGTGTGAGTGAGTGGTGGCAAAAAAATAAAAGAGCGAAAAAGAAGCAAAATAAAAAAGCAAAGAGGAAGTGTTTTGTGACCCTACTTGTTTTTTAGCACCTCTCCCCACACCCCATTTCACGATGCAAGAAAAAAATGTCAGACACATTCTATGTAGAAGTCCTTTTGAAGCTTTTATTCGATTGGCCAGCCAGCCAGAGCCATGTGAGTATTGGATGGTGTTTTTTAACCTCGAGCGTCCGTGTTCTTTTTGGCTCAAGCTTGTCGCCGCCCATGCGGTTAAATCGCTCCGTCTTAGCGCGTAGATGGCCAACAGGCAAGCATATATGCCAAAATATAAACAACTAAAAATTAATATAATATAATATATATTACATTCTTAAAAGAAGCACAATGAGTACCACGTACGCTGACAGGCACATTGCGCCAGACAGCAGCACTGTGCTGCCGCTGGTGACAAAGGGGCCTCGGGCGTGAGTGTCCTGGTTGAGCAGCTTTCTCCTCCGAACCAAGCCGATTGCCAAGAACCCCAGCGCTAGCGCTAGAAACACAAGCCCAACCGGGAAGAACGCCAAGCCAAACACGCGCAAAATGACAAGCGACGCGCCGAACAAGCCGATTGACGTGCGCCAGTATGCGCCATCAAAGGTGCGTTCGCGAGCTCGCACTTCTAGGAGCTCAGCCTGGGACCATGTGGGCGCAGAGGATTCGGCCCCTTGATCCCCTGGCGGTGTTGGTGATAGCGACGAAAACGTGGATATCCTGGACACCTTTCCGTGACCCTTTGCTTCACCGTCTCTGTTTGAAAGCGCTGCTTCAAAATGAGTGGTGGGTGTTTCGGCGGTGTTGGGAAGACTATTTTCACTATCGTCTTTGTAGCGGCTGCTACTTCTGCTCCTACCGACAATACTGCCAGAGCCATCAGTGCTGACGCTGAATATCCTGTCGGAGCTACCCACCGAGCACAGTTCGCTCTTTGCCGAACTGCCTCTACCTGTGGGTTTGCTATTATCCATATTGTCCATTTAAAGAAGAGCCCAGCTGGTGAATTCGCCTGCACAAAATTGAATGAAGGCAGCGTGAAAGCAAATAAATAAATTACTGAATGACGATACCACCAACAAAGAAAAAGATATAAAAAAGAAAACATCGAATAGGCAATTGACTGGTCGATAAAAAAGATTTTATTTTTACATATTTCGAGTGTGGGGGATTTTTTTGGACAGAACACCTAAAGCGGAGCAGGGGTGCTGGGCACCTTCTGATGACGTCCCGTCTGCGGTGGCCGCCTAAGAGCACCCGGCTCCACAGGACCGAATGGCAGCGACACGTTGTTTAAACTTGTGCTAGACATGCTCGAGTCTCGCTGTAGCGCACCGCCCCACTGGTGATGCAATCGCTCGTTCGCACGCATCTGGCGCCAAGCACGTGGATTTTTGCCGCGCGTAGAAAGCCACGGACGCTGCATATCAGGGGCCTCGAGGTTCTGGCTCTGCTGGTACTGGTGTTGCACCGCAAGATGCCGGTGATAACTGCTGTACGTCGGAAGCAGTGAGGGCGGCCGAGACTGCGGCTGGGCGTCGCTTCTGGCACGGCGCCTCGATTTCAAAAACGCCCAGCTAAACTTGTGGGCGTTCCGAGCGCGCGGATTCTGCACCTCCTCATCTGTCGTCTGCGGGTCATTCACCCACACTATAACCGTGCGGTAGTAGTACGCCGTAATGAATATCGCAAATCCGGAAACAACGAGCAGGATGGAGAGCAGGACCATCACCCAGCTGGACGACCACCGCACATATGCGTTGTCCCTCTGGTTTTTATTGAATCGATAACTGTATAAAACTAACAGAACCAGGATCAACACGCATACGAGTGTCTCGATTGTAATCCAAATTGCGCGGTTACGCCTCACTATTTTTAAGACCCGCTCCTTTGCCGACGTTAATAATACAGCCCTGGATACGGCTGTTCGGATTGTCCTGTCATTGTTGGCGGCCGCATCGATAACAATGGTCCCTTGCTTTTCATTGGTAATGTGTGCGTGTGGAATCGAGTGCTGCCGCTGCTGCCGTTTTTCTGATATTTGTGGCTGTGTCCAGGCCGGAGGCTGGGGATTGTTTGTGATTTCTATTGACGGCCGCATGAGGGCAAAAAAACTACGGTCTATTCTAGTAATAAATAAGTAAACGAATATTCAATGATGCGCAAACAGAGTACTATACAATCGCAAGCGCGACTTGTGTAGAATATATAAAAACAGGAGTAAAAGGCGGGATGATGTGCGTGCGTGTGAGCAGGAGGTGAAATAAAATAAATTGGCTTTTAAATAAGAGTAATGAAAATTGCCGAAAAAAGGCAGCGCAAAGCACAACACAGAACAGCTAAAAAAAATATAAAAAAGGGGCGAATACTGCGATGATAAAAATTTCAAATAATGATAAACGTTGGTCTTTGAAAAAGAGAAAGGAAGAAAAAATGCAGAACGATAAATCGGCGGTGTGGAACATAAAGATGGAACAAAATTCCTGGTCTCGAAACAAGAGAAAAGTACTCTTGTAGTTGTCTGAAAAGAAAGATGGAAGGAAGGTGCAGACCAACAGAATTAAAGCAGAAACGATGTATTTTATACTATTATATGCAGCAGAGGAAATCGCTGCAACTCTCATTTTATATTGTTTGTGCTCAGCACAGGTCAAACAACAGGGGCATTATTCCATCGATCGGCAACTATTTGGTGGGAGGAGAAATTCAGCGCATCAGCAGTCACCGGCACGCAACGAAATAACAAGACTTACTGGCAGGCCTTGCGCAATACTTTGTTGTGTCCCGTCTCGTCTTGTCACGTTACGCCATGTATTGACTGCAACTTTATGTTTCTTTCTCCGATTAACGCAACCCGCGCTTTTTTCGACATTAGAATAAGTCAGAGTGCGCAGCCGCCATGCTAGTAGGAAAGGTTCCTCTCATGTGCTTTAAATCAGGGTCGGAAGATGGCCGACACATGTGATATGGCTAGTCGCATGGTGCGAAAGTGCGCGTAAAAGTGAAACGCTTTCTTGAATCGGCTACTTACTTATTTTTAATTCATTACTTTCCCTTGTCAGAACAATTGCATTTTGCTATCCCATCTAATTACATTCACAAATAAACAAATAAACAACAGCTCGCAAGCACAATTACCCATCTAACAAATGAGAAAAAGCCGACTAAAACCCACACACACGTCTTGCTGTTTACATCACTTTCTTCTTGCTGCCGCTGCTGCTTCTGCGTTGGCATATACACGTAACGATTATATATTAGCTCGCCAAATGTGCTCCCTCTAGTCCCTGCAGCTTGTCTAAAAATATAATAAAAACCCGACTTGTGCGTCGTTTAACTAAAAAAGGCTTGAACACATATTATGTACAATAGCAGAACAATACGGAAGAAAAATTAAAGGCATCGGCCATTTTAGCTAATGAAACGCAATCGTGTCGATCGACTTGCCAGGCTATAAAATATCATTGGCAAAAATTGCAAAAAAAAGTAATTGCTCACTACAGGGGTCGAACCTGTGACCTACGCGTTATTAGCACGTCGCTCTAACCGACTGAGCTAAGCGAGCTGAAACAACTTTTAATTGTCTAATTCGCTTGTTCTGATCTGTGTAATTATAAAACATACTTACTTCTAAAACAGTTGCAAAACATTTGTTTGCCATTCAACAATAAAATATTTTTTCAGTTGGATTGCGGATAATTCAAGCATCGAGAAAAAAAGTGTTCTTTCAGTGCGCAGCCATATTATTTTATCTTCCCCTATATATATATTTTTTAAAAGCAAATCACTCAAATTCACACATACTCACACTCTATGAGTTCAGAAAATGACGCGCACGCTTGCTCAACCAAACGCAAAATCGAGGCAGCTGACCCACCTGTCACTGTGCCCATAGAATCAAAGTCGCCAAAGAACCCGCGGCGTGCAGATAATGCAGAGACAGGAGAGATCGTGGTTTGCCCGTTGTGCCAGGCCACGCTGTCACACCTATCAGCTGAGAAGGCCGAGCTGCACGTCAACGGGTGCCTAGATGTGGTGGTTTTAGAGGAGAAGAAGGCCAACCGGTCCAGGCGGAGTATCACCGCAGCACTGCTGTCTCCAAAACTCGCTTCAGCCAAGGATCAGAAAGTTGCGCAGTCCTTCAAAGTGGAGATGCTGGCTGCAACGACCGAGAAAATTTCCCAAGCCTTAGACCATTTAGTAAACAGCAGCAGCATCGAAGCCATGCTTCGGGAGATCGAACTGGTCTCTTTTAAGCCCGAGTCTCCGCCCCAGGGCGCCTACACATACGTTTATGAGCTTCCTTCCGATAGTGTCACTCGGCAGCCAGCAATGCCACCGCGCAGCACTAACCCTAAGCGGCAGCCCAAGCCCCTGCCGTCGTACAAGCGAATGCCCGGAACAACCTTTACCGTTGACGCATTCAAGTACGGTATTCTGGATTTTTGCACCGCATACTTCCTCACGCATTTCCACTCCGACCACTACGGCGGGCTCACCAAAGGGTTTACAGGTGATATATACTGCTCACGCATCACCGCAAACTGCATCACTGCAAAGTATGGCACTGACCAAAGCCGGATCCACGCCATGCCCATGAACACCAGGTGCATTGTGCAAGGCGTGTATGTGACCCTGATAGATGCCGAGCACTGCCCAGGCGCGGCCATCATTCTGTTTGAGATTCCGGGAGGTCCTGGCAGCCAGCCTACTCGCATCGTGCACACGGGTGATTTTCGGGCGTCAAGGAGCCATGTGTACCAAATACTCAAGGTATTTGGCACTGACCTTACTGTGCCAGTGACGCCTGAGCTTTTAGACTCGGCGACAGACAGTTTTGAAAGTAATCTGTCAGACATGCACGAGATGCCGGTAATTGACTATATTTATCTCGACACGACGTACTTGGAGCCGACTTACTCTTTTCCCAAGCAAAGGCAAGTCATAGACACTGTAGGTCGCTTTTGCCATGATATATATCGAGATCCGGGATACTTACCGAGCCATTTGAACAATGTCCGTAACAGTACAAAACAGTCCGGACAACTGAACCAAATCGACTCTGAAAACGCAAATACACTCCAATCGCCAGCGCCACCATTGGCAACAAAGATATCGCTGATAACACAATGGTTCCGGCCGCTGCAGAGGCCATTTGCGCCAAAGCTCGACAGCACGACAATCGCGGTCACTAATTCTGGCTACAAGAGAAACAACATCTTGTTTGTTGTCGGCACATACACAATTGGCAAGGAGAAGTTGTTTATCGAGATTGCTTGTCAAATCCAGTCCAAAATATTTGTGAGCAAGGACAAGCGCAAACTGCTCGAGTGCATTGCGAGCCCCAGCGTTCTGGCACTGCTCACGGACAACATGTATGACGCCCAAGTCCATGCTGTTTCTCTAGGCATGATCAATATGCGCGGCATGGCTGAATACTTGGCCTCGCTTCAGCCCAAATCAAAATTTACCAGCATCGTCGCCTTCAGCCCAACTGGCTGGTCGCACGCGGGGCCATACATCCCAGGCCACAGGGAGACGCTGTCCCCGATAATCCCCAAAACACCGTCTGCTGCCGAGTTGGACTTGGTTTTGAAAACAGGATCTGTCGAGGCCCTTTCGAGTCTGCTCGCGCACTCGGCGCACACTGGCGACGACAAGCAGCGCTTTGGCTTGGACAAGCTAAAACCCCGAGGCTCGTCAAACAAAGTGACTATATTTCCGGTCCCTTATTCTGAACACTCTTCTTTTGCCGAGCTCGCGCGCTTTGTTTGGTCATTGAGGGCAGGGCAGGTCATCCCAACCGTGTTTTCTACCAGCGACAAGAACTACCAGGCCAACTGCTGGCTGCGTCACTGGCACGAACTCAAAACCTTGTCTGAATCCCGAATTTGCCAGGGCATCGATGGGGCAAGCACAGCCAAGCGCAGTCATTGTCTTCAGGTAGCCAAGTTGGACATGCTGCTAGAATGAGAAAATGTTGGATATAACGTAAACATATTTAGGCTAAAATATATAGAGAAATTCCAAACCACCACTAGCAAAAAAAAGAACAAAACATTTGTCGCACTGAGCGCTTAGTCCTCCTCGCGAACCACAGACAGGCCATTATTACCAGAGCTGACAACAGTGGGTTTTGCTTGATCCTCTGGAGCCCCAACAGTACTGCTTTCATCGATTTCAATTGCCAGCTCGCGGCTGGCCGATGCAAACATCTGGTCAATGAGAGCCGAGGCATCTGCCTTTATCATCATGCTATTGCGCATAACTGGGCTGTTGCTGGCCAGGACACTGCGGGTGCGGAGCGCCATTGGTGAGGCCATCGGGGAGGCTGCTGGCGAATAGCGAGATATCGGTGTGAGCTCTTGCATCGCCGAGGGTGGGGGCGCCAGCGCATCCGCCAGTGATGGGCGGCGACCGGTTATGGCAGATGGGTCGGTGGAGAATGAGCGCATCTTGGGGGGCTTCATGCCGAGCGCGTGCGTGGGGCTATAGGGCATGTGAAGCCGGTGGGCGCCCCATTCGGCGATGCCGCCGGTGCCGGTATAGTCATTGGACTTTAGCCCTGCCGCTTGCTTTTCCTTTGTGCTGCCGCCGACACCGACGCCGCTCATCGAGTACGCCTCGAGACTGCCAAAGTCTGCCGAGGTGTTTGTGAATGGCTCTTCGTCATCAGATGGGAACAGCTCGTCATCAGGGATGCGGTACTTGCTGTTACTGGACAGGCCCATCATCTCACTGATGTCGCTGGCGTTGCTGTCATCGCTGGCAGCCTGGTCCGATCCGTTGTCGCTAAACTCCTCCACCTCCCACGGGCAGACGTCTGTCTTTTTCTTCGCCTCTTTGCGCTGAGTTTTCCTGCGGCTCCGCAGACGCTCCTCCTCTTTGCGTTCCATGTCCGGCTGTACCTGAAGCTCGCCAACAACGCCCTTGAGCTGCTTGAGCAAGGAAATCATCTCGCTGCGCATCTCCGTCTGCAAGTACCACGACTGCGGGCCCTGGGACAGGCCATGCACCGATTGACTGTCCGACGTGCCGGTCTGGGTAACCTCGATGACCCAGCTGCGGCCATGGAACGAGTCGTTTACACAGACAATGGTTTGCGGGCTCAGCCTGATGAGTGAAATCGCCGTGGCTGCGGGCGAGCTGCTCTTGTACAGATACAGCACGTTTCCGGCAAATATGACAAACCGCCGTTGCCACTGCTTGCGCCGCCATAAACTCGGCTTGGAGTTCTCAGCTGTGGAGTGCATGTTGAGCCAGAGCGCCAGACGGCTGGCTGGAGTGATCTCACGAACAGTGACTGCCGGCACACTCATGTGCGACGAGCTGCTGCTCTTTGAGCTCGGCTTGGTCAAGAACGACATCATGCGGTCAATCTCTGGGGCAACCGAGGAATCGCCATTTGGGTGCTGCTGTGCCTTGTCAAAGCTGGCTTGGGTGTGTGTAGACTCACTGTGGACGCTCATAGCAGCAACCGAGGGCGCCACATTTGCCTTGTCCTGGGCAAGGCTCTTGGGAGTCAACGATAACCCAAACATACCAGGGAACCTGGATGACGTCGGCACCTCGGTGACATTAATGCGGCGGCGCGACTCATTCGATGTGGCAGACACAGCCGACGATGACCGCGGGCGCATTTTGTCATTTAAATCGTCTCCGTCCTCCATCGCCTGGTTTTCGTCGACCGGCGACAGACGCGGGTGGACATCAGAATACGACGGTAGCGGCGGCATGCCGTCAGAGGACATGTACCCACCTTTGCCAGAATGCGCGGATGCGATCGACTTGGCACCCAGACTGGAAAGTGAGCTCTGCCTTTTGTGCTTTGGCACTGTCTGAACACCAGTGATCGAGGGCGCCCGGACACTGCCAGAGGACTTGGCCGAAGCGACTTCGGGTGATACCGCCTGGAACTTTGAAATGCACGCAGTGAGCCTGTCCATATGGGCATTGAGCTCAGTATACGGCGTGGTGCTAGACGATAAGTTGCTGAAAATCTCGCCAGACATGGCAGAAATGCGAAAGCGCGTTCCGTACTTGTCGTCGGCTCCGATACTGCTCTCTTGGCCAGTCAAAAGTATCGACATACGCTGCTTGCGGCGTGCAGACTTTCCCGCAGTGGCGGCAGCAAACAAAGCCGCAGACCCAGCGCTAGTAGCACCCGAGGCCAATGCCGATGCCGATGTCCCTGCACCACCAGACCTCTGGCTGTGGTAAACGTGTGTGCGGTTTGGCACATTCCGGCGGGCCAAAACGCCCATCAGCGCTTTTTCGAGCTGTGATAGCGCATCTGCCGGCGGCGCAAGCAACAAAGGCACGCGATTGCCCGGTTGTAATGGTGGCTTGGAGCCGTTTACAAGGTTGCTTGTGTCAGCCAACCGACGCAGCTGGGCAATGGCGGCCTCACGCGTGTCCGGCCCAAATGCACAATGTGTCGTGGAGGGTGTCAGCAAGCAGTACGAGTCGTCGTACGACGACAGAAAAAGAAGCTGCTGCTTTTGGGCGGTGGCAGATGCAGGTGTGCTGGCCGCATTTCCGGAAAGCTCGTTACTGTAGTCGCGCAGCTCATCATTTTTGTCGAGCAGCTGCAGCAGCTGCTCCTGATGTTGCTCCGAGTCCCACTCGGCAATAGTCGGCGACTTTAGCGTCGGCGCCTTTGACGAGGAATGCGCGCCGTCGCTGTCTGAGAGGTTGATGCCTGTTGGCGGGTATAAAAAGGTGTTGCGCGGCGTTGGCATTGCGCTGAACGAGTCCTGGCTGTCCATCATGTTCACTTTCGCTTCCCGCACGTCATCGATGCTGGTTATGCTGTTGCCGCTGATCGTACTCACTGGACGCGACGAGAAGCTGTTCTTCTTATCGGATTGGGCTAGCTTTGTCGATGCGGCGGTGAGGGTGGCCAGGCTGTTTGCGTCCTTCATAGTGCTAACAGCAGCGGCAGCAGTGACGGCGGCCGTTGTGGTGGTATTGCTGGTGGCAGTCATTAAAGTAAATGGAAGCGAGCTCAGCACGAGTGGAGTTGTTGATGATGATGATGATGATGATGATGATGATGATGATGATGTTGTTGGTAGTAGTGGTGAATTGCTACAATAAATATTTATAAAAAATGGTGTGTGTGGGTGTGCGTGCACGTGTGCGTATTTAAGTTGGTTGGTTAGTTAGCGTCAAAATGAATAAAAGTGAAAAATGTTTGTGTTGATAAAGTTGGCGTGTCGATAAAAGAGAAAAATGATGGCAGCAAAAGGCAATTGGAGGGGGGTATCAAAAAATATAGCACCAATTCGCGGGGAGAGAAGAGAAGAGGGAGCAAAGTGCGAGCTATCCCGAATTGGGCTTTTCAGAACGACATCCACAATCGAGGGCGATTGGTGGACGAAAAAGACCAAACGACTTTAAATGCAAAAACGCCAATACTGAAAATTGGGACTGTATTTAGGGAAACCGTTTTTTACTGGCTTCTGTCTGAGGGGTTGATGTGATTGCTCGAGGTGTGACGATAGGCCCTCCCAGTAAGTATGCGGCAAAATGAGATTTTGTATTATTTCGGCCTGCGCAAATAAAAATATGACAACCAACCCAAGAAAAAGAGGGAAAAAACATAGCGCAAAAATTGGAGGGAGGATGTGCGCAGACACGGTAAAAATAAGACAGATATGCAAGGAGAGCAAATTCTAAGGATCTGCGAGCAATACAAACCACTACTCAAAAAAGGCCTAATCGCCGTCAAGTAATGGGGCTTTTCTTGTTCTTTCATAGGACCTATTCCACATTTGCGTCGTTTATCGAGCGAAAATACAAATGCAGTTGTTTTGATTTTTCTTTTACACTCTGACCAAAACTGAACTTGTTATTTTTGGGCGTTGGGGAGCGAAAAAGGAAGGATCGAAACGAACAAGAGGTAGACGGTAAGAAAAAACAACAGACAACACACGACTTTGGATGTCGACATTTCAGGGTTTGAAAACAATTTTGTTATTTCAAACTCCTTTTTCCAAAGTTTCTGGCAAGCAGAAACTTTGGACGAAGATGGTAAACGTGTTAAGTTCCAATGGGCTTTTCAGTGGCAAACAGTTATTGCAAAATATATTGGAAACAAGTTTTTCACTGCACTGCAACTGCACTGCATTACATGAACTGCCAACTGCAGACACTAGCAAAGAGCGAAATTGCCAGTAAAGGCGAGGGAGAGCGTGGAAAAGTGATTCAAATTGGTTTGTCTGTGCACAACAGCAGTCCAGATAAACAACTTTTTTTTTTGCAGCCGCTGGCGTGATTGAGGTTGCAAGAAATCAAGCTTTCAAGATGCACACTTTTAATAACCTGTATGCAGTTGGATGCTACCAGTAATGACACTGTGCAAGAACGCTGGCTATGCCCACATACGTGTGCATTGGCAGCGGCAGTAGTGGTATCCACACAGTGAAAAAACGATGTATCTACGGTACTCATGCTCGCTTGCCGTACTGTTGGAGAAATCGAACAGTAAGCGAACTTGGAGTAGCAGTAGCGATAGTAAAAAACAAATAAAAAGCGTGCGACTTTTTGCGCTTGAAATCGATAATAGCGGAACGGATATAAGTTCGACAAAGAAGAATTGTTACAATTATGCCATGCAGGCGTGGGACCAGAGAGCTGCGCAGGCGACACAGATCAATTGGATCGGAACACCACGGCAAAGCGCAAGATCCAGAAAAGAATATATGGGAGCGGTGGGAATATATCATAATATAATATACAGTTGACCTACCTGATATCCGTGCGGAGATGTGAATATGCGTGCGCGCGCGTGTGTTTAGAGTGAATGGCTGTTTGTGTTTCTTTTTGCAGCAGACTATAATGATAGACAGACAATGGTCAATGTAAATAATAATGCTAATAAGATGACAGTGTAATAATTAAAATTAGACAATAGCCGAGTAAATAAATATAAATAGACAATGCGCAAAATAATGGCTTAATTAGTTGCAGCGTGCAAAAAAACTTTGAAGAGCATGACGAAACAAGTAGAGAATAAAAAAGTGAAAAAATGAAACGCAAAAAAATGAAACAAGGGCGAAACCCCGAATGGCAGCTCTTCTTACAACAAGGCCAATATAATTTTTTCAGACAACAGCGTGCTGCAAAATTGAAAACAACAACGAGCAGGATGGTAAAATTTTTTTGGGACGGGCAAGGCTAAATGCGGTTAGTGACAAAAGGGGTATCAGACTTTTTTACTCTTTTAATCACGATTCACAGGATTGAAGCCAAAGCTGAGATTTTGCAAATTGCCTCTTTACAGCGCTTATTCGAGCTTGAGATTGACACGAAGCCGAAGCAAGATAGAAAGTGCATTATAATGTACGCTTTGCGCAGTTGCGTAGGCCGACAATCTGCAAGGGATGGAAAAAAAACAGCGTGCGTGGATTAGGTGTTGCCCCACGATTAAATCGACTGTGGGAGCGTATCCAAAGAAATAATTACAAACCTGCAGCCGTAAATCCGGGCAATAATGCTGATGCTGGTAGTGGGAAATCAGCTTGTGATAGCCGGATGTCGAGCAAAAATGTTATTCTTTTTAATTATGCCAATAAAAAAATAGGTGTGAGCAAATATTATAGGATTGATTGGAGCTTGTCGGCCCGTACGCGGCACACTGCAGAAAATAAATGGAACTGGATACGGTACGAAAGTTGGGTCTACTAGAGATGCGCGGAAATAGTACGAATACTCAAACCCCAAAAATGGAGCAAGATATATGCAAATGTCAAAATGAGCTAATGAGAAAATAAAATAGAGGCAAGCCAAGTGGCATCCCTGACCGCGACCATATTCAAATATTGTAGACAAATGCAGACCAGCAAACATTGCTTTGTTTGACAAGTGGACGGTCCAATAGAAGCTTTTTGTTGTTGGAGTGCAAAGGGATCACTGTAAATAAAGCGTCAGCGTAACCCTGTGAATGGGCAAAGCTATTCCCAATAGTATTGATACAATGAGGGATTAATGCAAAAAAAGCCAGAAACAATAAATGTAATCGGTCATTTTTGGCGTCCCTTGACGCCAAAAATGAAAATAATAATTAGGCGGCTGGCAGCAACAAAGAATTAAAAGAATTAATAAACAATAAACACCAGAATATTAGTGTTTTGAAGCGCCTCTCTTTGTTGCCATTTTAAAGTAGAAAAATAGTTTATTGTGTTGTGAGTAATAGAGAATTTGGAAGTGGCTGTTCCTCACGCCTTGTTGGCGCATCTCGAGTACATTTCCGATAGCAAAGGAAATACTGGTTTGCACCTGAAGTAGGAAAAATAGTGGAAGTGGAAATGTCATTTATCGTACGAAGGGTGTTTTATTTTTAGATACGTTGCAGACGAACGCAGGATGTAAACGAGAAAAACATACGGTAACTGGCGATTACTGGCACTTTTCAACATGTACCAAACAACAAAAAATGCGCAAAAGTTTACACATGTATCATTGGTATGTTTGTGCCATTTAATAGCATAATTTAACAAGTCGAGCAGCATGTAAAGCCAAAGTACCTTTTTTATGTTTGTTAGGAATTAAGGTGTCGCTTATTGGGTGTCAAAAACGATGCTGAGAATGGCGCTGCTGATGCACGGGCCGCTGGGCTAACAAGGTAAGTGATCCAGAAAAATAAGGTTGCAATAGTTGTTAAAAGAAAAAAGAAAAAAGAATGGCGTATCTACGAGTAGCGTAAATATATATTATATGCTAAACAGTATAAAATTAGGATGAGAAAAGAGAAGTGGATATTTGCAGAGAGAAAAAACAAAATAGGGCCTTTAGCATTGGTGAACACAGCCGCAATTGCGACCGCAACATCAGCTCCCAAAATGCAAATAAAGAAATTGCAAAGCCAGCGTTTTGTGCAAATGTGTCTGCGTGTATGTTCCCCATTGTGTTCATTGCGCTCCTAACATGCACACTGCGCACTCCTATCTGCTCACGCCACAGCCGCATAGAAAAATGCGCACATATTGCCCTTGTCTTTTGGTCAAGTTCTTTTTTATTTTCTGCAGATGAAAAATTCAGGACAAAGAAAACAGACCAGCAGACCTTTTTCTTGCACACCTCTTTGAATTGTGACCGGCGCAGCACGTGCAGCAGAACAAAATGAAAGCACACACTTTGTGAATGTCGCTCAGCTTGCCAATCGCGCTTCGTTTTTTTGCTCTTCAATTGCAACTTATATGATCACACGCATTCCGAATTGTGTTCATTGCCATGCGCCGGACTCGTCTGCTCAGGAAAATCAGCATTGAATTGAAAACAATATCAAAACAATATTGGTATTCTACATAAATTACATAAAAATATCAATGCAAGAGGCAACAGAGTGGGGAAAGAGCACATCAAACTGCTTCCGCAATTTCGCCCTCTTAGACGTTGGCAGCTGGCTCCGCCGCCGCCGCTGCCGCTTCTGCCACAACGCGTCTAATCTCAGCGCATGTACAAACCGGCTTGAGAAGTTTTTCCAGCGTAGTGTCTCCAGGAAACTGGCTTTTAATTGCACTCAAATCGCCATACAGCGCGTTCGGCGCTGTCGCTCCAATCTTGGCTAAGAACGCATTGGCGGCGTTGAACTTTGCATGCCGCGGGGACTCACCCATCCCCACAGCCAGCGTCTGTCCATGGGACTTGACCTCGCAAATGTGCTTGTTTACAAACTCCAGCAGGTCCCCGTTGACTCGGCCCTTCCACGTAACTTGGTCACACCCCCACCCTTGGCAGATCAGCAAGCACTGTATTACCGGGTGCAGCGACAGCTTGCCCGAGTCAACAAAGCGGTCAAGGAACGGGCACAGCAGCCTCTTGTAGGCGGTCTTTCCAGCCTCATTGTCCATGCCTGAGTCAATGTAGATGGCGCCAACCAGCGACTCAAGAACATCGCCAAGCACTTTTGGCGCCTGCACAATGTTCCAGCATTCGGGCGGCAGGTTCTTGTAAATATCATTAGCATTGTTTTTGGTGCTGAAAGCGCCGACCCGCTTGAATTTCGCAGGACGCACTACAGCATCCTCCGACAACTGCGGTGGCGTGACCTTTGCCATACTGTCCTCCCACGAGGATGACGAGCCGCTGGAATTTGCAGAATCCGATACGTTTGCCACCACGTCCGAAACGCCCCCGTGTTCTTCGGAATCGGGCGACTGGCAGTTCTTTGCCCAGGCATTGCGAGCGTGGTCCAGGCGCATCTCGTAGTCCCTCAATGATTCGGCCAGTATGACTGAACTGTGCCTGATGTATTTGTGCAAGCCGTGGCACACCAATATCAGGGCAAATAGGTCGTTGCTGACGGCAACGTGCTTGACTAGAGTTATGCGGTGGGGGCAGAGCTCCGGTTGGTGGTCGTAGTAACGCTTGGTTATGTGGTAGTCCAAAACAGCATCGCCCAAAAACTCGAGCCGCTGGTAGCTGTTTGACAGAGAGTCAGTTACGCTACAGTGGGTAAGCGCCTCAAGCAACAGGGCCCTGTTGTTGAACGTATATCCAAGGCTGCACTCAATGTCCTTGACCCACTGGCCCTTCAAATTGCTGGCCTGCACATGTGCAAACTGCAACCCGCTCTCCCATTCGGTGATGCCGGGTGCAGCCGATGCAGCTATGCTCATCGGCGCCAGTCCAAAAATGACATCTTCTTGGTCTAGCTCCGCCTCCTGCAGCAGCTCCTCAGTCTCTGGTGTCCTCTCGGTGCACGCGATCAGCTCAGCGCACAGGCTGTTCAAGTTTGCCACACCGCACTTGCGCGTAACCTCCTTGTTCTTCCATGCAGTCCCAAAGCGAGACCAGGATGTCCACGACTGTCCAACTATGCCAAATGACCGCGCCGCTGCCAACGCACCTTCAAATCCACCGTCGAGGATAGTCGCCCCAAGCAGTGACTCGAGAATATCAGCAATAGTCTTTTCAGACAACTGCTGTTTTATGCAGAATCTGCGGATTTGTGGGCGTCTGCTCTGCTGGGAAGTGGGGTCGCTCACTTTGGCTGTCGCCACAATTGTGCCCGTGCTCTTGCTGCTGAGGCTGCTAGAGCTGCTGTCGTCCGAAAGACTGACTGACGACGATGAATGCGAAGATGGCGGATACTCTACAGCGCCCTGGGTGTCACTATCGCTGACGACAGTCCACTTCCTGGGCAAACTCAGCAAGCGCGCCCATCCGGCTCCAGGGAACCTGATGTCGCGCTTTGAAAACGGCTGCGCTATAATGTACTCGGCCAAGCCCAGCCGCCGGGCGAGCAAGAACAGGTTGGCATTGCACACTATTCGGCCGCGACGCGAAGTCAGCAGCCCCTCGTGGTCGTTCGGGTAAGAGACAAACAGCATAATAGTTGATATGTACTTGAGTACTGAGTCGCCGAGCGTCTCGAGGCGCTCATAGTTGACATCCATGGTTGCATTGGGCGCTGTGATCGCCTGGCGCACGGTCTCGACTTTGGCCGTCAGCCCAAGCTGCTGTTTGACCGCATTGGCAAGCATGACCTGTTCGAGGCGCACAAAAAAGGCTGGCAGCAGCGAGCTGTTGTTGATGTCATGCAGGCTGATATTGTCGAGTGAGCAGAAGAATGGAGACGTGTAAATGACGTCCGGGTAAGGTAGGTTCGAGGACTCCAAGGCGCCCACACTGCTGACAACGTCTTCATCGGTCTCCTGTTTCGGTGGCACGTTGCCCATATCCACAGCAAACAGGTAGTTGTACGTCAGTGGTACTGGCTTAACCCTGAATAAAGGCACGCCGTGGCCGATTTTACCCCTGGGCAGAAGATGGGTCAAGGTCTTGATCTTTGACCACTCGGCCATCGTCCTCGCAGAAAACCGGGCGCTCACATTTGATTTCTTCCTCTTCCCGCCCTCGCTGCTCGCGAACGCGGGGATTCCTGTGGGGCTCGCCAAAACATACTCCGGGCCCATCTTGCCCCTGGCGTGGTACACGGCCAAGTTTGTGTGCAAATCGGCATCGTGGCATACTTTTGTGACAATCTTAGCCCTGCCGTAGTCCAAGCCATCCAAAACCACTAGGTTCTCACACTGCGCAAAGTCGCCATTGGTGCGGCTGAATATCGGCGAGCGATCCTTGAAGCAGTTTTCTGCCATGACAAAGTCGATTCCCAAGCCGTCGGGCAAAGGTGGTGCGATTAGCACGCCGATCTCGGCAGTGTTCCACGCCAGCGCCGCATTGATAGCCCGCATCATCAGCTTTGACGAGAACGAGGCCAGCATGTCGACATCAGCCGCGCTGAGCGTCTGTTGACCCAAATACAGAGGCCGTATGAACGTCTGCGTTTTGTCGATGCTCTTATTATCCTTGGTGTACTGGGAGACATACAGCGGAACAGCAGTGTCCGGCGGAAGCACCTGTATAGTAGCCAAGACTAGCCGCATGGGGGTGGGTGATGACGGGTGCTGGAGCCAGAACAGATGGAGATGCCAGGGGATTGGGGTGTACTCGGCGACATCATTCTCGAAAGCTTTTGCAGCTTCAGCAATGTATCCAGGGTGGTTGGTGGGCGCTCTAGCTGGCTGGACAAATTGTGGCGGGATGGCAGTTGTGTACTCTTCAACCGACGACCTGGACCCCTTGGCCTTGCTTCCGCTCTTCTGTGCCGAGGCAATGTCCATGTCCATATCGCTGAAGTCAGGCCCAACGACAATGACTGGAAGCAGGTTATCATCAATCGCACCCAGCTGGTGGAGCTTCTTCGCGGCACGGTAGGTAGCAACCTGCTTGGCTAGCTTTTTCTTGGGCATAAAGGGCCCGACGACCATGCGAAGCGCGGCATTAGCAGGGAAAGTTATGACACAGCGAAAGACGGACACTCGCAGTAGCTTCGGGTTCTTTTTGCGGATGGCAGTGCCCCCTTCCAGCCTGCTCTGCTGATCCTGCTCCAAAGCCTTCTCCTCGTAGTCGATAATGGGCACAAGCTTGCAAAAGTCGTCCTGCGGCAGCGACTGCACATATTGAAAGATGATGGGCCCGGCGGACATGTACGTAATGCAGGCTTTGGTCGACATAATTGTGTACACGCGGCCAGCCGAGTCCCTGTGCTCGATCCAGGGCTCCTCCTTCCCCTCCGCGTCGACGTCCGCATTGTTGTCGATGAGCAATAGCATGCGAAGGCGGCCCAGTAGACGACTGTATTCGAGGTGCGAGCGGGCGCTGATGATCACGCCATCGGTGGACTTGCGATCGTTGGCCTGTGACTCGGCCAGGCACCAGTCGCGCAGACACTCTTCCAACATCACCAGCTGCAAGTAGTCAGTATACGTTTTGGGCTGCGTTTTGACGGCGTGCTGAGGCAAGATAGTGCTTCCGATCGATGGCTCGGTATTTTCATCCACGTCCATGTCGCCTTCATCTGCAAGCTCTTTGGCGGGCCTGTTGCAGGAGATCACCGCTGGGGCGCCTGCTGGTATTTTGGCGCCCTCGAGGGCGGACTTTTCCTTTGAATCAATTTCAGGAACCATGACGATGAACTGCGAGTTTGCCATCCGCGCACGGCCGCGCGACTGTATGAGCGATGTTGTGGTCTGCGGCATATCGAAGCGAATGACCAGGTTGCACGGCTGAATATCGACGCCCTCCTCTGCGACCTGAGTCGCAAAGATCAGGTTTAGGCGGCCGCTGGCAAAATCAGCCAACACAGCCTGGTTGGCTACCCTGACAGAGCCGCTGCGGACGGGACGATCGACAATGCTGGACCCGGCCTTTGTAGACCCGCCGAGAAGAACCTCGGTGCGGATGTATGAGAACTCAGCAATCCGGGACACAATGTACGTGAGGAGCACAGCTGTCACACGCCGACTGGTGAATACTATGCCGCGTAGCTCGGTCGGGCGATCGCTCCACTGGTGGAGAATACTCAGGAGACGGTTCACTTGCGGAGACAGTTGGCTACGCACTTGGTCCCACGGCTCGCGGCTCGCGGATATGGATCGCAGCAGTGGCGTCGGGTGCACGTCCTGCTGCTGTTCGGCGTATGACTCGGGGTGCGCATCCGGGCGCAAGCTCGGGTGCTGCGATGGGATATCCAGTCCAAAGTCCACGCTCCTAAATGGCCCGCCGCCGAATTTGCTGTCAATGTGTAGTGCACGCTTGAGATACAGTGCATCCTGCAGAGGATTCTCAGCCGCGCCCTCCTTGGACGCTGGCTGGTTGGAGGCGATGGTAGCAGCAGGATGTTCAATATCCGCCAAGATCTTGTCGCTATTTGTGGTATTCATATCCTCACCATCTACATCCTCTTCGTCTTCGTCGTCAACGTCGTTATCGTAGTCAAGCCCGCCTTCTTTTTCGTTATCGTCACCCCTCGCATTGAGCGTCATGGTGTCCATGGATGGTGCCGATTTCTCCGACAATACAGACGCAGACGCAGACACGAGCATAGGCATGGCGGACCGCTTGGGGGGCCTGCGAGAGGCTGCGGGGCGCGTCAGCACCTTACGGTGCCATTGGCGAATAAAATGGTGCCACATCTGGTCGACACCAAAAGGGCCCAAAAGCGGCAGCACAATCGGCAGATACTTCATCGCCGACCCCACCGCCTTGCTGCCAGAACAACCCTCTGCCAGAGATACAGTCAGTGGCGTATGACCAAAATCCGGTGGCAAAAGGTACTCATAACACAAGCTAGTCTGCTGCTGCTGAGTCCCAGACGTATGCGAGCGTGTGGTCAAATCCACAGTGCAGATTTGCGAGTTCAGTATGGCTTGCAAGTGCATGACAGAGTCCTTGGCGGTCTGGTGAGAATTAAGCGGCGACGCAGTCATTCCGAAAATATGCGGGCGGGCCTTTGGCTCACAATGGTCGTAGAACTCGCGCATGATCAGCGCATAAGGATGGTTGCCGCGTGCATGATGACACTCGTCAAAAATCAACAGATCAATATCTGACAGGTGAGCGCGGCCAACACGCAATGCGTTGAGAAGAATTTGGTGTGTCATCACTAGGACCGAGGCACTAGCCCATTTGCCCGACCATGCGGTTTCGTCCCAGTCGTGGATGCCCATGGCACCAACAAACGAGTGCACTTTTTGGTTCGTATTCTCGCTGATCACCCGTGCCTGCTGGCACACTAGTGTCACAGTGTTGTTGAGGAATACGCGCACTTTGCGCCGCGCGGGCACTGTCTGCTCGCCAATGCCGATATTGGTGGTTGGGCTGGTGGCTTGCTCGGCTTGTGAGTTGGCGCGCTGTGCGAACCACTGGATTAGCATCACTGATACTAATGTTTTGCCCGTTCCAGTCTCCAACATCACAATCGAGTTGCTGTTCAGGGCTTCCCTGAACAACGCCAACTGGTAGTCGCGCGGCTTCAGTGCGATGTGCGTGTTGTCTGTGCTGTCGTTTCCGCCACTGCCGCCGTTGTTGCTGTTGCTGTTATTTCTGCTGCTAGCGGCGACACCAGGCTCGCCTATTGTCATCATTGTTGGCGGATTTGCTGTTTATACCAGGCTGTCGAAGAGCTTGCTACTAAATGTAAAAAAACAGCGAAGCCGTGCGAGTTCAACAAATACGTTGCTAAGTTCCATGTATTTTTCGTTCCATGCGCATAAGTTAAGGAGTGGTTCTTGTTCCTGTTTGCGTTACCTTGCTTTCTTGTTTGCTCGCTCGCTCGTTTGTGTGAGTAACTGGTGTTTTTATGCTAAATGTTATATATAATACAAAAGAAAACGCTACTCTTATTTTTGGAGTACTCGATGAGAATAACAAAATGAAATGAAATGAATAATAAACAGAGCCAGAGTCAAAGTAGTGATAAGTTTCAAAATGCATTTGGTCGGGTGTTTTTTGTTGGCTTTTTTCGGCCCTCGGGTTAAATTTGATCGATTAGAACCAAAAAAAGAGATGAAGCATGCGTTGTTTATTTTAAAAATACGAGATCAATCTAATAAATAATTAGTTGCTGCTGGCGACGAAAGCGGTACCCTTGGTCTCGCTCTTCTTAAGCTCGGGGATGGCGTTCTTGACCAGCTCCTGCTCAAACTCGGTGATGTTCTTGGGCAGGGGCAAGATCTCCTTGACACCCTCCTTGTCGAGCTTGATGTAAGTTGAGAAGAACTCAAGACCCTCGTTCTTGAACAGATCGGTGCGGATGAAGGCCCACTCGAGGACATCCTCACCAGCGGCAGCGCGCATCAGCGAGTCGGCAAACCGAGCACCGGCGTAGGCCATGGACAGGGTAGCCGAACCAGCACCGTCCTTAGCCTTGACAACCTCGTCACCGCCGAACTGGACGCGGTGGGTCAGGGCGTCGCGCTCCTCAGTGGTCAGGCTAAGACCCTCAACCTGGGAGAACAGGGGAATGATGGTGACACCGGCGTGGCCACCGACAACGGGGACATCGACGACCTTGCCGACCTTGTCGCCGATGAACCGCGAGGCGCGGACGAGATCGAGGCTGGTGACACCGAAGATCCTACAACAACAAAGCAAGCAGATCAAGGCAACAAAAATGTATCAAATGGTTAACAACACTACCCGCGTCAAAAAAAGTTGGCCTGGCCTGAACACAAAATGAAAAGTTCAGAAATGAAATCCGCCACATATGCGTGAGAAAGAGATAATTACAGTAAGCGAGCAAATGTCGATCGCTCTCCCCTTCCCCCACTGTCTCTTCCTTTGGCAGTATCCTATTATCTATCTCGCACGCACCCAAAAAAATCAGCAAAAAAAAGAGACAGCAAAAAACAAACTTACTTCTTGGGATCGTAGACACCGGCGTTCTTGAAGACCTCGGTGGCAATGGGCACAGTCGAGTTGACGGGGTTGGAGATAATGAGCAGCTTGGCCTTAGGGCAGAACTCGGCGCAGGCCTTGGCCAAATCACGGACAATGCTAGCGTTGGTGTTGAACAGGTCATCGCGAGTCATACCAGGCTTGCGGGGGACGCCAGCAGGGATAACAACGAGCTCAGCTCCCTCCAAAGTCTTCCTCAGACCATCCTGGTCCTCGGCGGTGTATCCGGTCACGTTAGACAGGGTGTTGATGTGGCCGACATCGGCGGCAACGCCGGGGGTGTTGCGGATATCGTAGAGACCGAGCTCAGTGACACGGGGGTTGGCCTTGAGCAGGAGGGACAGGGGCTGGCCGATACCGCCGGCGGCGCCGAGAACGGCAACCTTGGACTGCAGGGCAGCGCCGGTCGAGAAGGAGCGGGCAGCGAGCTTGATCGAGTTACGAGTGGCAAACATTTTTGTAACAAAAATAGAAAATAGAAAAATTAAACAAAAGACAGCGTATACAAAAGAAGAACAGAGAAAAGAAGAGGAGAGTAGGAGACGGGCGCGACATGCAAATTATATATGCCGTTTTCCTCTGGCTCCACTTTCCCAAATCCGCGCCGCTGGGCTGCAAGATATGGTGGGCGCTTGCGATTGGCTTGAAAATGCGACTGCGTGCTACAGGAATGCTTTTTTTGAATTTGCGGCCCTCATCTGAAAGTCCTGCGTATTTTTTGCCTCGGACTTCCACGCTAACTTCGTCATGAATCGGCGGATAAACGGGCAGAACAGACTGTTATTTAAACGGTTATGATAGAAGTCGGGGGTTTCCCGTACTTTCTCGATGGAAAAGTTAAGAGATGAATTACTACATCAACAAATCTGATTAGACCAAGGATCCGTGTGACGTCTCGCTTTTTTAATATGGCCTGGCCCCCTTTTTTCGTCGCATTCGTTTCATTCGAGTCAGACCATCGAGACAGGGCCGCATGTTCACATGTACACGACGGGGGCGCAGAGTTCTGGCGCGCAAGTACTTATACTGGGATCTTTGAGACCCAGCCGCGAGATCTTGCGGCTGAGACGGCCAACAGACTCCAGGTGTATCCAGGTCTGCTAGAGCCCATGATAGGCAAGTTGACATGAACTAAAGCTAATGAGTAATACTTATTATTTACCATGTTTTTTACTTTTATATCTCGCTCAATGAATCTATTTCCTCTCTCTCTATATAACTTAATTTTTATCATTCACCCGTGATTATATAAATGAAATCTACCCTACTGGGCGCCGTCAGCCGCCTCTGCACTCAGCGATGCGCGCGCACCCTTCTTCGCCAAAAAGCGGGCATTGCGCTCGTTTCTGCGCTCTTCCAGAGCACACGCCTCCTTCCATGAATCCCAGCTGAGCTCCGTCTCCCCCTTGCCAATGCTGACAAGCTTGGCGACGGTAACGGCCAGGGCCAACTCCGCCTGCGTCATCATCTTCTCTCCCCTCTCATGCGCCTTGCGCCGCAAGTCTGCGTAGTCCTCGGAGATCCTGTCCGAGGTATCCTTTGGAACGCCAAACTCCAACTGGCGCGCATGCTCCAAGTACTGGCGCAACTGCTCGGTGTGCATGGGGTCCAGGGGCTTCAAATCGTCCACACTATCCTCCCCAATACCAGCCAGGAACTGCACGGTGGATTCTGAAAGATACACGTCACAGTCGTTTTGCAGAATCGACTTTCCCGACGACAGCACGAGCACGCGCAGGTTAGTTGCCATGTCGATCGGTTGGAAGGGATACACGTATGTGACGGTTTGGTCGAGAATGGTGGTCTGCAGGGCATGCAGGTTGCGCACACCGCGTTCGCCCAGGGTGCCCTCGTGCAGACATGTCTCGTCGCAGACAATCTGCGTACCGGCTGCCAGCTGCAGAGCGCCAGAATGCAGGTCGCCAGACTCAGCGTTGGGCAGGAAGGGCGTCTCGTTGAGCAGCTTCAGCTCGAACGGAATCTCCACGCAGCGCGGCAAAAGCAGCGCCAACGCGTCGCCGACCCGCTTGGTGGACAAGTTGCTCAGCGCAAAGCCGCCGTTCACAGCAGACATCTTGGCGTCCTTACTCGTCGTGGGGAACCCTATCAGATTAAGTGAAAACTTGCCCACCTTGGTATCCTGCACCGCGACTGTCTTCGACAGAAGATGGAGTAAGAGGTAGTGTGCGGCCAGATCGTCGCCGCCAAGAACGGACGCCAGGTGGCTCACACATATGTTGCGTCGGTCTGCAAACTCCCCGGCAACAATCGTGGGTAGGTCAGGCACGAGGCTTTCCAGTGAAACGTCAGCGTGGAAAATCGAGTGCACACAGGGCCACTGCGCGTTCTCATCGGCACCCTCACTGTGCTGGTCCCGGGAGCTATACACCAGCTCGTAAATGCCAACGACATCGATGAGGCTAGACACCTTGGGCGCTGTGCTAGGTGCGTAGAACTTGACCAGCGCGGCAGAGTGCTTCTGCCCCTTCAGCGGGTACTTGGTCGCCGGCCCAGCTGACGCGTCACCGCTTTCGTCAGAGCTAATGGCGAGCGATCCCAGCGCACTGTCCAGAAAAGCTGTCGACCCGAGCTGTGCCCATTCGCTTTGCCCGGGGACGGAGACACAATATGCGACTTCCTTCTCGGTGAACAAGTTATTAGCAGAGGTGTAGTCGATCTCCCAACCGTCCTCCAGGACATAGTCCACATCAGTGTACTGGGAGAATATCTGCTTGGTCTCGCCGGTGCTGGCGTTCACCAGATGGGCCACAGACATGTGAAGTTCCTCGCCGTAGCTCGGATCCTGCACCATGCAGCGGAATCTCACCAGGGTGCCAAATTCGGGCTTTGGCCGGTTACCCGTCTGATCCAAAATTGGGATGCGCTCAACCGCCTTTGTACTGCTAAACACGCTCTTAAAGTGCTCTTGGACAGCCTTACTGAACGTGTGCGGGTCGTCGCTTTCGCTGCCAGCGTCTGTGGCCGCTGCGCCTTTGTGGGTTTCTAAGTGCAAGTATTTTGGAAAAGAAAAAGTCCATGGGCATTCAAAGTTTTCAGTTTAGTGTAGTGTTGGCATATCAATCAACTTTTTTGCTTTTCTCAAGAGCCCGGGGTATCGCCAACAGCAAAATGTTGGTCTCTACTACTGTTGGCCATATGTTGATTGATGTGTACAGTGTGTTACGCACCAAAGAGCCTGCTAATGGCTGTCAGCGGCGAGTGGATGTGCTCGCGGATCGCGTCGGTAGCTAACGCTGTCGATGCTGCTGCTGCGACGTTGGTATGCTCCATTTTTCGTTTATTTGTTTGTTTGTTTGTTTTAAAATGGAATGAGCAGTTGAATGTGGAATGGTGTGGTGCAAGGTGAAACAAGAGGAGAGGAGTAAAAAAGCGCAAAGTTGAGCCTCGTATTGGCGCTTTGTGCGCAGCGAAACGGACGCGCAAAGGGATTTTCCAAATTTTTTGAGTCTTTTTTGTTTAGCATTAATTTACGGGTGTGATTGCGATCAAAGAGATGTAGCAAAATTTAAATTACGTTAGTTGTAAAAATGCTGTGGTGCCAAAAAAAGAAAATGCTGTAAAATTGGAAAAAAAAAATCCCTACACAATATGCGAGCACTCTTTATTCCTCGTCAGAGCTGTCGTTGCCTCCACCACGAGCAACAGCCTGCTGCCCACGCATCTGCGCCATCTGCCCGGCAATCGAGTCTGCCTCGGGCTCAGAAATGTCGTCGTCGACCTGTGGCTCGGCCGGAAGCGAGGACCTGTCGACGACGGTCATCTCGACATCCTGCATGAGATCGCAGCCAATGTACGAGTCTGACTTGATCGACAGCTGGAAGCGGTAGGAGCCGTTCTGGGGCGGGGACTGGAACTGCACGGTGATAACACGCTCGGTGGCCAGGTTGCTGATCAGAATGGGAGGGACAACCAGCTTGCCACTCTGATAGTTGGCAAAGCTCAGCCACCACTGCGAGTCCTTGCGCCCAGCAAAGTACGGGCAGAGCGCCTCGGGGGGCGACTGCTTCACATTGACCTTGGCATGGTCGGCGGTGAACTGCTCGATTGCGGCAGTGTCCTCGTCGGCGATACTCTCGATATCGAGCACCGCAGCATCCTTGCCACGGGGCACAATCTTGCTCTGAGCGTTAGCAACCTTGACCTTGACTATAAGCGTGACAAACGAGTCCTTGGTAATAACCTTGTCGCCGACAACAGTGAGCAGGACACGTGGGAATTCAATTCTAGGGATGGCCTTGGCATACTGCACGGCCTCTTCAAATTGCTTGTCGCTAAGGATACTCAGAGCCTGGCGCTGCTCGGCGGCCGGGAGACGCAGCAGCTGGTTGATACTGTACAGCTTCTTCTCCTTGAAAATCTTGGGCTGGTTCTCCCAGGTGATGCCAGGCAGCTGAATGAGCGGCGCGTCGTGCGAGTACACGCCCTGCACGAGCATCTGCGAGATGTTCATGAGCAGACTGGAGCAGCTGTACCACATGTGCACGGTAGCAATCTGAAGCAAGCCACGGTGAACAAGCAGCAGTGAAGTCCCGACCATCTGCTGCTGCTGGTCAGCCAGATTGGCATCGTCGATCTGCACGCGGAAGAAATGGGCATGCAGCAAGACGTTGGCCTTCCATGCGTCCTGACTGGTAAACTTCTTTGACCTGGAAAACAGCTCAACCGCGTAGCGGCGGCTCACGAGCTGGATCTTCTCGGCAATTGCGTTGAGTGCAGCCTCTTCAGAGTCGCGGTACTTGAGGTTGTCCTCGGAAAACTCGCTGGCGGCTGTCAGCAACTCGACAAGGTTGCGCTGGCTGATGTGCTCGCGGATGTTCTTGAAGAAAATGCCCATGGTCGGGTTGAGGATGCCGTCCTTCTGGTAGCGTGTCGAGTTGTACCACCAGCCGCCGACATAGAAGGGCATTACAAACCCAAACAAGATGCCGTACAGCAGCAGCACAAACGGCGACGCGTGCGCCTCAACAAGGAACTTTGGCAGCGCAATGCCCATCGACTGCGTCTGCATGCCATCGGGGTTGCCGTACTTTTCGTAGTTCTCGCGGGCCTCAGCGTCGGTCAGCGTCTTGTACGCGCGGTTAATCTCAGCCATCATCTCTCCGGCCTTCTCCTTCAGGTTCTGGGTGACCTTGTCGGGATGCCACTTGATCGAGAGCTTGCGGTAGCTTTTTTTGATGACCTCCTCGCTCTCACCGTTGTCGATGCCCAGAATCACGTAGGGATCCCACCTCACAGTCTCCGCGACCTCGGTATTCTTGACTTTGTAGGAAAGCAAGAAAATCAAAAACCAGCCGAGCAGAACCAGCCCAAATTTAATATTTGGCAGGTTCGATTTTGTCTTGAGCTTGCGAGTACGCACTTTGGGGGTCTTCGCCTTTGAATTTATATCCGAGTCCTTTTTGCCCGCAAGCAAGAAAAGCGTGGCCGGTGCCACCAACAAACTGAGCACAGTCAGTGCAAAGTAGAAGAAGGTGACGCCCGACTCGTCGTAGGTGTACTTGGCACCCATTTCAATAATGAAGCGATGAGCCTAAGAGGTTTTTTGCGTTGGTATCGGTATTGGTGTTGGTGTTGATGGGATGGTAAATAAGAGAAGAGACTGCTTCCTGTGAGCGCACAAATGCGGATGCTGGTGCAAATGAAATGAAATGACGGTCACCAATTCGCCGTGTTAATTTCAGTTCTGTTGAAATTGCAGCTGTCCCAGAGTTGCGTGTGTGGTTTAGTGTAGGAATTAAAATATGAGCTGGCGTTGGCAATAGACTCTAAAGTGCCGGGATGAGAAGAATGGCAATTACAAATGAAAAGACAAAAATAATGAAGAGCGCTCGGCAAAGCAAGTGCACCAAAAATGTGCGGTGGCAAGGCAGCGCGCATAGGTGTGTATGTGTTGAGAAGGCAGGCACTCGTTAGCCAAGAATTTACATCTGCAAATGCTGGCCCAAAGCTGTGATGATGCACAAAAGAGGTTTGTTCAGTCAGCGTCTGGCGCTGGAACATGCTCATTGGGTGGTTGCCCAATGAGGCTGGGGAATTTGAAAATTGGGTGATCAAGCCACTGTTGATTTATCACAAATCCAGCCCACTTAGATCAAGGGCCAGGGCTGGGAATGTGCGCAATTCAGAAAACCCAAGAACATTGTTTTTTGTTAGGCTTTCAAGGGATTCGACCCGTATATAAAAAGCCCTGAAAATGTATACGGTTGTGATGGGGCAGCGACGCCTTCAAAGCTAAGCAAAGATCCTATTTAACAAAAAAAAGAGGATGAGTGCAGAATCAAAAATTATGCTTACAAAGACCCTCAGCGACAGCCATCTCTGCGACGCAGCCTGAAAAAGGAGTCCCAAGAATAAAGCTCAAGCCCAAACTCAAGCCCAAGCTCTTTGCTGACATTAATCTCCAGATGGCTGATTAAAAATGTTTATTTTCCACAGAAGTTATCGCTGCCATTTGCTTGTGCATGGGGTTTCTGAAAGGTTTCCACCACAACCGTGTAGCTAGCAGAAACCAACATGTTTCATATGTGCCCAGAGACAAAAATAAAGGCAGGCAAGCGTTGCTGAGAACTTTTTTTTTGCAATAGCCCCATGTGCTACCGTGGCGCTTAAAACTTGGATGCACTTGACTCCTGTTTCCCAGTGGACCTAGACTAAGTATTTCAACCAATGCTGTACACGAACTTGTGTCGGGCGTGGCCAAATGATAGGCACAAGGCATTTAGGCAAAATAAATGCATAAGTGTATTGAGCAAGTTTGACAATGCAAGACACTAAAAAGACACGAAATGGCAAAACCTAGACTTGTATGCTTCGACATCCACTTTTCTTGCTTCAATGCACGCAACCGAGCTTAACATATATATTCTCACATTTTTCATCTTATATTTTTGGCACTCTTTTTGCCCCACTCTTACCCCACTTTCTTTTCCACGCGCGCTTCTTACACTCTTGTGAGCACTTTGACAATAGCACGATCTTATATAAGCAGCGCTGTGTTCCTGTTGACGCTAGTTTTTACCCTTTTTGTATTTTTGGCCTCGTTTTCAATAGTGTTTTGACATTGCTATTAACACAAAAACCTAGCGTTCTTTATTATCTGTTTTTAAGCTGTACGTGAGTGGTAAGTGAACACTTGAGTGGCCTGTTCTATTCTATTTATGCTATTAACTTTAAAATATTATGTATACATTATTTAAACCAGGGACTAACTTTACTGCAATATCGCTTACAAAATGTAGGTTTACATTGAGGAAGAACGACAAACGATTTCAAGCACGCAATCCGGTCAAGAAGTGGATCGCTAACTGCCCACTTAAGCTTCAACATACACACACGCAGACTTCAGCACAGACCATAGACAGGTGTGAATGCAGATACCATGTCAAATACATGTCCGCCCAGTAACACCCAGCAGCCACGCACAAAAAGCGCATGTCGACTGTACTGCCGATACTGCCACAATAACGTCTGCACGCGGGGAATGCGGGTAAGTGAACATGCGTCTCCTTGGAAGGCTATATTTCTCCACGATATCGTGTAAATAATATGAAACATGAGGCCGATCACAACTGAATGGAAATTTGCAGCACGTTTATTTTGTTCCATCTTGCGCATGATGGAACGATCTCTCTTCTGCTTCCTTATTTGCAGAGTTTTTAACTAGCAGCTTTTGTTGCAGTAACTAGAGAAATATGTCATGTTTTAATGCGCACACGCCCAGACACCCGTGCTGGAAAAAGCATTTCTAGAAATAATGTGACTACTTTAATTTTTGCTGCATAATTATTATGTTTCAAACTAATCGAATCAATTTTTATAATTAACTTTACCATATTAATAGGCATTGCTGCTTGCAGACAACCGGATCGAGTTGTTTTCTACAGACATGCCGCCAATGATGTAAGTGGGATTGGCATTAATTTATTACAAACGCAAATTCAACCCATCAGCTAATTTCAGCACACAGTATATATTGCTTTGAGTGTTAGGAGGATTCAGCTCGTAGGCGCAGATTACACCACAAGATCGTGCCGCTGTAAAATTAGAAACGTCGCGTGTCTTGGCTGGTAAGTTTATTATATTGGGTTTATGTATGCAGAAAATATTCTGTTATGTATTAATCAATGTGGACTGTTAATAATATGCTATTATAAATTATATGCACTTTGTTTTTTTCAAACCATATTGTAGTGGGAACGAGATTGGCTATCATATCACTCAGCCCTGCTCCGAGTGCTTGAAAGCGTGCAACAATGGCCACTTTTGGATGTTTTTGACAGAAAGTGTTTATCCTGTTGAGCTCAAAGATCCCAAAAACTGCACTGCTATTGCATGGCTGTGCCACCCCCAAGAGAACGAGTTTGACGAGCTCAGCAAGCTCATCTGCAGGGATGCCATATGTAGATAAAAGAGCATGCGCTGATGTAGTTTTCTTTAAAAGCCCGGTATTTTGACCCAGGCGTTAAGGCTGCAAAATTTTAAAACATTGTGAATAAACAAATTCAATTCAAGTAATTGTAGACTACGCTAACAGAAAATAATGAGGCTACAAGTATCCTGCAAAACGACATTCTTCCCACAGACTGCATAGCAACCTAAAATGTGTTTACAAACAGTGGCAATAGACCACTATGGTTGAAGATATTATCCAGTTTGTTTCTTCTTTTGAAGAGAAGAAGCATGGGAAGATTGATTCTTGCTCATATGCTTGGGCTTTGGCTTGAACAAAGTCTCGGGTGTCGCTGTACACTCGGGCTCACCCAACTCTGACGGTGGATTATTGCGCAAGAGATAGGGAGGATGCTCGCCTTTAAGCAGGGCATTAAGAATGATGCGAAAGTTTAGCACCGCAGCCATGTCACGATTCCACTTCCGCCTGCTTGATGGCACTTTTTCGCCATCCTTGATCTTGGTTCCGTCGGTCCTAAAGGTTTGCAAGCAGTCTTCCACTGTACACTGAAGCAAGCTGTGGCGTAAGATTTGGCGAGGTTTTTCTACTGCTGGAATTGTATTAACGCCTGTTGCGGCTACCTGCTGCTGTTGCTGCTGATCCTGCACCTGCTGCTGCGCGGCCAACTCATTGCACATCCTCTGTCTGATTTTGCGCTCAATTTTGCCCCGCGACCAGCCGCTCAGCCTGGCAATGCGCTTGAGATTATCAGCAGGCTGAAGATTAACGAATTGCTCCCAATTTCGCTCAGCCAGCTCATTCTGCAGCTGCTGCTTAATTTTGTGGGAAATTTTGCGCTTAGACCAGCCCTTTTCCTCCCCTATCCGCCGGATAATATCGGCAGACTCTGGGCGAATAGGCATCCACTGGTTGCGACTCTGCTGCGCACTGTCAGTAATAGCTGCGGCGTCGGTGGCTGCTGCTGCGACAGACGCAGCGGCCGAAGTGGTTGCAGCTACGACGGAATTAAATGCTGCTGCTGCCATTGCGACGTGGTACTTGCGCTTGGGATTCTTCAGACAAGGATCATCAATTTTGTGGAATTTCTCGATCCTGCTCTCACATACCGGGCAAAATGTTGAAGTACAATACTCGTCGATCAAATAGACAGTGAATCCCTGACCTATTGGCATCTCCCGCCGCCCCTTGCCACGAATTGGCTCATGGTGACGGGCCATGCCTGGGTCCAATTACCAAGAATTAGGACCGGATCTGGCTCAAATTTTGCATGTAAAGATTTTGCGAGTTTGACATCGGCGCGCTTTCTGTTGACGAAGGAAAGATAATGGAACTTGCGGTGCAAGGAGTCAGTTGAGCTGCTGCCGGCATGTTTCTGACTCTTGCCAAGGGTCTGTGTGTTGTGGTAGTGCTCTCCCAAAACAAAATCACCTTTCCGGCGCTCAAGGAGGTACTCAGCATATAACTTGCAAGCAAGTGTACTGGAGCCAGGGTGGTTGAGCGCGCGCTCGGTATCCTCAACAGACATATACCAACCATTTGTTTCTGCCTTGGCGAGCTTTGCTGGGTCAAGCTGGAATACCTTTTTTGCGTTTTTGCGGATCCAATGAAACACGCGCTCACGACGCTTATTAGCCTCGGAATATTTGGTGTGGCGGAAAGTCATTCTCTCACCCTTTTTGTAACTGCTTTTATATCCCAGATAATAAAGCATATACCGTCGACTGGTATCAAAGAGAGCTGATCTGTCACCAATATCATGTATGCCATTTTTGGCAAATTATCAATGTACTCGGGAGGAGAACCTTTCTTACTGCAGGGTACACCATTGGCAAGTTTGCCACTATTGCTGGTGCTGGTGCTGTTGTCTTTGTCGCTGTTGTTGTTGTTGTTCTCGTTGTTGTTGTCAGCATCGCCAGAACCTTTCTTAGACCGTAAAATCCTCTCTGCCTTGACCCTCTTCCTCTGTGTGTTGGCGGGCGAGTCTAGTAATACGATAACTGCAGTGCCATCAGTACGAATGACCCCACCAAACCTGTGCGGGTTTTTGTCCTTTCGAGAGTCGAGCAAAAACGGCCAACATGAAATATCATAAAAGAGTGACCAAATTTCTTCTGGTGACTTGCCTTTGAGATCCTTCAGACGCGGAATCTCGGGAAGCTTGATATCTAGGTAAAGCTTCCCATTGTGCAGCGCTTTAAGTCGGCTCTTTGTGATAGGCAGAATACCCCGTGCAAGAATGGTCTTGTCGAGCGTAGTAAAACCCAGTACAATAGACGTCCTCGTCGGAAAGAGGGAAATTGTATTCACAGCCTCGTTGAGCTTTAAAGACCGGAACATCTCAACAGAAGCCCCAAAGTGGTTTACTGGCTTAGCCACAGAATCATACTTGAGTCCATTGTCACTGAAGATGTAGTCCTCAGGGTAGGTGCCAAAGAAGCTCTCAATTAGGCCCGCCACCCTGTCACGGAGAATAGAGTCTGAAGTATGCTTGGAGTTGATCTGCTTGCTGTCTTTGCTGGTCTTAGCACACAGCAGAGCCCACTTCATCCTGCCTGCTGGAATTCTGATCTCCTTGCTAATGCATTGTTGTATTTGTTTTTCGGTATGGCCATCCTCACTCTTAAGAATCTCGTGCCGCTGTTTAGTCCTTTTCTTTACGTCAAGTTCTATGTTGACCATATGTTTCAACTGCCCGCTAAAGCGCTGAGACACATGGGATTTATATGCGGCGAGGATTGTTGTACCCTCATAATTAGCAACAAAGGCCGCACCAATGAGCTGCGGGCACTCAAACTTGATTTCCTTGAGGAACGTGTGCCTGTGCTTGTTGATCAGTTTGCAGTTTGCAGTTTTAAGGTTGTTGCTGCATGGTTTGCTTTGATCTCCGAGGCAAGGGGCGATAAAACTCTCCTTAAAGAATCCTTGATTCAGATGGTCGACGATATTAAAGTCCTCATTATCCAGCTCTTGTAAAAAGATATACTGTGCGAGCTCGTATGTAGCTGTTGCAACACGATGGACAGTGACGACATGCTCACGCAAAACTGGTAGGAATTAGGAACAATGCATTTTGCAAAGGCCGAGGAGGGCCTCTATGTTGATGGGCATACTGAAAAAATAAAAAAATATAGCTGGGTGAATTGATTTGAGTTGATCATTTTTTATTAAAAAAAATAGCTGGTTGCACAGCCAAAATAATTATAATCGACCTTAACTTTTACATTTTTCACCCTGTCCTTTCAAATCTAGTTACCAGAAGTGATTTAAATAGGCAGAGCTGATTATGAAATAATAATGTGAGAACGTTTTGCTATATGAGACACCGGTCAAGCTGTGGTCAAGCGTTCAAGAAACCAGGGATTGAGTAAGCAAACAATAGCTGAGTTTTTTGTAGTGCCTGATTTCCTGCCATTTCCTGCCTGCATCAGCGCTGGCAAAATGGCCCTAAAAATGGGCGGTACAAAGCCAGCAATTTTATATCATTTTCATATTCCAAAAATAAACCGAAAATTTGAAAATTATTCAACGACAAAATCTAGCCATGGAGTGTGCTGCAAATGTTCGTTTTTAAGCAGTGAAACCGTGGGGTTTCACTCCTGCCCCCCCCCCCCCATCTCCCCCTTGTGTAGTTGAAACAATAATTAAAAACAAAGAGAAAAATACTTATGTTAAACAAGATTATGACGATGTAATTTTGTTGCCGTGCGAGACAGAACTCGCCGACATTGTATAGCACCGGTGGCAAAGAACCTTGGCACTAGACTTGTGAATTTTCCTGTCTATTGTCTGCGTCGCGCCGTTGCTGGATGATCCCGGCGACAGCGGCCACCAGACCGGCGAAAACTCGGTCGAGCACTGCGCGCAGGACGGATCGATCGACAGTTTAGACCATGCGACCATCTTGGGCCGCATACATGTAGGCTCCTTCGACGATCCTTGGCCGCTGCTCCGTCTGGAAGACAATGGCGGCGGCGGTGATGAGGACCGAAGCACGGGCGAAACGACCGCCGCCTGCACAACTGAAGAAGTGCCCGTATCCGGCTTGGCCACTGCAATGGGTGCCGCTGCGAAGGACATTAAGTTATCGTTGCGCGCCAACGGGCCCGAGGCAACCTTTGAGGCGACCACCGCGGACATCATCGAGACACCGGTCTGGTCGGCCGCGCTGAGATCGACATCCGATGACGAGATCCTGTTCGCGTGCCTGGCGCACTTGAGCACGACGCTGAGCTTGTGGCCGCCGGCAATAAAGTCGGCCACGCTGCTGTTGAGGATATCCAAGTCTCCGGCACGCCCACCGTCGACCATGCGGCCCGCCAGGGTGATGCGCAGGCCCAACGGAGACAGCTGCTCGCCGCCGCCGCCTCTAATGTCCAGCTGCGCACAGGAAGCGTGGGCTCCCTCCTGGCAGCTTTTCTCGCAGCACTTGATCACCGCCCCCTCCGCGCTGCTGCACGCCGAGCATTTGCGCTCCCACGCACTGCTGGGCACAGCCGAAAAGCCACTGACAATGATGTTACCGTGAATAAACGACAGTTGCAACTCGGGAACGACCAGTGCACAATGGGCGTGCACCCAGTTGTTGCCGCTAGTGCGCCACATCAACGGCCGCGGGCGCTCAGGTGCAGCCAGCAATGCCGGCGCACTCTTGTGGCAGAGCATGCACTCGTAGTTGATCGACACCGTTGGATTTGCAACGTTGGAGCACACGCCGCAGCGCCAGCGCTTGGGGTTGATGCGCGCGCGCGCAGGGTAGCCGGAGCACGCCAGGTGCAGGCAGAGTCCGCAATCCTGGCACATCAGCGCTGTGTGGTCAGTAAAGCGCGTCTTCAGCCTGCACACGTCACATGGAATCAGCGGCCACGACGCAGTTGCACGCGCCTTGGGCTGCACACTGACTGTCTTGGAACGAACGTTACCGTTCCCCTGATCTGCCGCTGACACTGATGCCGCCGCCGATGCCGATGCCGATCCTGATGCTGATGCTGGTGCCGATGCTGGTGCCGCCGCGCCCCGGGCCCCATTGCTGGCCTTCTGCTTCTGCTGGGAATGGTGCTTGCGCGCGTTGATTGAGTCCTGGTCGGGCATCAGCGCGTAGTGATTCCAGTACTCGCGACAGTCAGCGCAAATGATGCGCTGGATGCCGGACGACTTTGCGCCACGCGTGTAGTGCACCGTCATATCGGCGGGAGCCGCGTACCACCGCGATGAGTTCTCCTGCTGGCAGTGTACACAGCGCCGGTTCGGCTTGTCGCCCAGCCCTGAAAGCCGTGGCGAGCTGGCCGGCGTGTTTACGCTGCTCACGCCGGCATCTGAGGCAGTGTCTAGGTGCGCGTTGCTTGTGCCCTCGCCGAGATTCGGCCGCCGCTGGCCCGCGTGGTTGCGGTTGTTGAACTCCTCCTGCAGCCGCCTCCCAACCTTTGTCGGGTGGATCAGATAGTAGCGCAGCACAATCGCGCGTCTGCTGTTCTCGGGCATGACCTCGTGGATGGACTGCAGATTCGAACCATACTCGCGCAGGCCCTCGATGAACTTTGACAGTGCCTCGTTTGTCCACATATCGCCCGCCGCACGCCGCCGGATGTACTCCTCGGGGCATTCGGGGATCGTAATCAGCGCCTCCTCGACGTCGTAGTTGTGCTGCGCCAGCCCGTGCAGCGCGGCGTCCTGGCAATCGAGCAGCGTGAAATCGCGTACAAGTCTAAAGTGCCGCTTCAGGTACGGCAGTATTGAATCCATGTACATGTCGAGCTCTTCATTATCCAGGAACGATGGCTGTCTGAAGAAGAGATGTTCGTCGTGGTTGCCGCGCTCGACCTCAATCTTGTCCCAAGTGGTGTCCATCTGGTCTGCGCTTTTGCCATGCCACCGCCCACCAACGCCAGCGCCACCGCCACCCTCCTTCCCACGATGCGTGTACTGGTTCGTCTGGCCTGCCAGCGGCGTGGTGCTCCCGGTGGACGGCCACGCACTGTTGCTTGCGGCCGTCTCATGCACGCTGGACTGCTGGTTCGCAGGCCCTGTATCGTCGCTGGCCTCATTGCTGCCGCCGAGCATCTGGGCGCGCTTCTTTGTGAGGTACTTGTCGAGCGCGGGGCCGCTGGGAGAGACCATATCCGGGATGAGGGCCTGGTACTTGGGCCCGATGCGGCTAACGGCACGCGGATAGATGCGCTCATCGTCGTTGAGTACGTCCTCGATGTTGGTATTCACGCCAAAGTAGCGGAACGGCCACAGCCCACGGTTCTTGGGCCGCGGAATTGGCGTTGCCGCAGCCTCTGTGCCGCTTTTGCCGTCGCCGTGCGAAAGCTTTAGCCGTTTGCTTCCCGCACGCGACTCGGTATCCGAAGCCGACGCGCCACCGGCCCCCGACAGCAAACGCCGCGAATTTGAAAACTCCTCAGCGAGAGTCGTGCGAGTGGTCCGCTTGCGGTCACCAGTGACATCCGCCGACTCATCAGCATTGCTCGAGGCATTTGCGCGCTGCTCCTGGATGCGCCGCAGACACGCAGCGCACTGCCAGCTGTACCCCTTCGCCGGCTTGCGGCTAATGGGCGGATCCAGGCACTGCATGTGGTAGTGCTTGTCGCAAAGCGAGCACTTGAGTGACTCGCTTATGCTGCACCACTTTGCGCAGACGGTGCACGCGCGCCGCGTGTTGACCAGGTCCGAGATTTTCTGCGACTCAGCAAAGATAAACTCGTACGTGTCAAACAACTTTTGCAGCACGTCCTGCGGTGCGTTGCGGATCTGACTGACCGGGATAATGTCAAAGAGCCGCGAGCTGTATCGGTCAAAGAACTGGTTATAATAGTAGTGGTCGGGCGTGTTTTTCCATACACTGAGGTCGTGGATCTCGGCTGTGTGTCTCACAACGCACTTGCCTTTGATCGCCGAGACGAGGTACAGGTCCGAGTACATTGTGGCAATCACCAGCCGCGTGTCCTTGACCTTTGCCCGCGACACTGGCAGATCTCGCGAGCGCGAAAAGGTTGCGATGCGAGCCCGCAGCTGCGCCGATGCAGCGGAAGTTACTGACGATGTTGACGATGCGGGCGTACCCTCGCGCTTGAACTTGGGTGTGTCACCTGACTGCTGCGTGTCATTGTCCCTGCCCTTTGATGCATCAAACGCGCCTGAGTTTTGACGCCAGCTTGCGGACATCAGGGGCTTTGGCTGCTTTACGCGCGGCACGTACGCAAACTCCATGACCCGCCCAATAGAGAACGGCTCGTCTGACAAGTCATTTTGCAAGTACACGTAATCTACATGTATGTTGAGCACCTTGATGCCAATAATAAGCTTAGTATGAGCGAGGAAATTTTGGACGCGACAGAAATAAAGAAACAAATACAAGACTTTAAACAGGACAAAAGAAAGCATTTGAGCTACGTATTTTTTATGTAGGTACCGCTTGCAAAAGTCGCAAAAGGCAGAGCAAATATTGGTGTGAATAATATACTAGAGGCCAGCAAAATAAGAAGGCAGTGCGGTGGCATGCTTTGCCAACATCGTGTACATATTTCCCAGAAACAATAAAACAAAAATACAAAATCTATCTATCATATTGCACAAAAATAAAAAAATTGCCTATATGAGCCAACAAGTTGCAGTGTCGGAGAGCTTTAACGAAGGCGCATTAATATCTTACCATCTGTGCTGATAACCGTGCCGTCAGTAATAGTTATGCTTTTGGGGGAAACCGGCAACGAGTTGTCTGAATTCGTCTGGGCCAAGTACTTTGACATTGCTCTAAGAAAAATTTTAAGAGCAAAAATAGTATGTATACGCACGCGTGTGCGGCTTTAGGTATTGAAAAGAGAGAAGGTTAAAAAATAGGAAAGAGCTTTTTATTATAGCGTTTGCGAATTCAAAAAAATGAAAAAGAAGGCAGCAGGAACAGCAATAGTAATTATTATTAATATAGATTTTTTTGAAGAGTAAAAAATGGTTTGAAAATTATAGTTAGAAAATAAGGAGAAAAGAGGCAAAATTTTAATGATAAAGAGAGAAAGGGAAAGGAAAAGAAACACAAGTACAATTAAAAGAAGGGGGGCTTGTGTAATATAAAGTTTTCAAAATACTAGCTGAAAAAAGAACGGATATAGATGTATGTTGCTAAATGCTAATATAAAGCTCGTACTAGCATAAATAAATGTGATGTTGGCAAAGTAAAGAAGAGAAAGCAGAAGAAAAAAAAGAAAAAGAGGGGAGGGGAGGGGAAAAGAACTGTTATTCGAGCCGAAAACTTTCCAATCATCAAGTGGAAAAATAGAAAAATGAAAACTTTGAGATGGCCCGCACCTATTAAATTTTGCCAATTATCTCCCCCTTTTTCAACTAACGGGAAAAGATTGAGTACACAGGATTTGTGTATTCGGCCGAAAGCCCTTATTACCAATGTATTCTTTGACACCATGGACTATGTGTTTATATTGGATTCAGTGTATTTAAAAGTATAATAAAATACACCTTTCTCCAAATAAAGGCGCATCAAGCCATCAAATGTTGTGAGAAAGCAAAGAGGGGGGTTCGCACATCTTCCAGGTCACTAAGAAGAGCAAGTCCAAAAATAAAAGCTCGACTTTATCTACTTGTTTGGCAACACACTGGCTATTCGCTTACTAAAACATGGGACTGAGAACGACAGGCGATGCGCGCCTACAGAGCTGCCGACTCTAGAATTTGCAAAGATAAGGAGAAGCTGGGCGTGTATGCGCAAATGACAAGCGCGACAGTAGTTAATATGCACGCATAGCCACCTCTGCTCTACGTTCTTCTGCCCACACTGCTAAAGACTACACACGTATACTCTGTACTCTGCAAACAGGGCCAGCGTAACTCAAGTTCGGCTATTTTTTATATTTCAGCATGTATTTATCTGACCACAAACATCGCCAGCTCGGATATTGTGTACGTATGATAAAAAAAAAGAATATCTCAAAACATTGGCCAAAAGAATGAGAAAAAAAGACAGTAGCGCCAACATGCCACTATCAACTAGCTCAACCTGCCACAGCCATACGCGCATTATATTATTCCAGATAGTTTACAGAAAAAACACGTACTCGTCTCGCAGGCACACGCTTATCGCCAAAACGGTGCGCTGAGCACCACCCCGCCGAACCAACCAAGAAAACCTGTTTTTCCCGCCCACGCCGCAAAAAATGGCAAAAGATAATTTGGAGGACCTGGGTATCGATCCCAGTGCCTCTCGCATGCTAAGCGAGCGCTCTCCCATTTGAGCTAGACCCCCATTGGCTCGTGATTGACCCTTTTTTGAGCTAACCAACTTCCTTCTGAGAGTCTACCTTTTGGTAGCTACATGACCTAACAATTACTGCTTTTTGGTTTTACATTGACTTTTTGGTTGTTTTACTATTTTTTTGGCGTGGTGCTATGCGGGGTGCGAGCTGCCTGTGCCTACAGAAAACAAAATAAACTCAACTGAATGATGTTGTTGTTCCGCTGATATGTACAGCCAAAACACGGATTCTTTTCTGTTATTGTTGTTCTGGTCTTTCTCAGGTGTGCGCTGGTTTTCCATTCTCTCCATAGAAGCAGGTTTTTTGTAATCTCCAATCAATCTAATGATGCCAATATGATATGAACAGCAACTGGTTGGAAAAAAACCTCTGGCATTATTACATTGCATTCTCCAACATTGCACCCGCCCCTTTGAATCACTTGCGCCACTTGTGTCCAATGGTGAAGGGAACAAAAAAACATAAACTTGCCGTCATTTTCACTATTTTCACTATTACTCTACTATATGCTCAATTGAGTGGCGTCTCGATGTGCGCAAAATACAAAAAGCCCATTCATAGACCACAGTTGTTTGAATATCGAGATTTTTTACATCTCAGTAAATTTTCCAAATACAATACAATGATGAGCCTCCCCTCTTTCCCTCTCTCTCTCCCCCCTTTGTACAGGATGTGTTCTCACACGCATTCATATTCTTTTGTTTTTCTGTGCAATATGCAATGTGTCAATATTGCATGTTTATTGGTTGAAACAATAAAGAAAAAGCTAGAATTTTTTTCGTATGACAACTAATATGCAATACACCATTTATCTATTTCCATTTGGAACTCTATCAAGTGTAACCATTGTTCCGTATATGATTTTTTTTGTGTATCATTTTTAGAAAAGGGAATTTTTAGTGTTTAATGTTGAATTATTGTAACATCTTTTTGATTTTGTATTCTCTATTCTCAATACTCATTTTCTTTTATTTGTCTGGATAATTATCGCTATTTGAATGGCGACAAAATAGCAATTGTACAATGCGCCCTTTTTGACTGAATATTAAAGGCAGATCCGCGATTATACTAGTCAGTTATTTCCTCTTACCTTGTTATAGTGTATATCCAACAATGCCCGAGGTATAATATTGTATTTTCATTTATTCAATATTGATGTTTTCATGATGGCCCTCGCAGAAGGACGAGCGTTCAAGTGGCTTCATCCAACCCAATTCAATACAATTCAACTCAATCAAAACAAAACAAAAACAAAAAACAATACTGTACTAATAAACATGCCACGTATAGAAGAAGTGGCAAAAAAGGGAGCAACAAGTTGCAATTGCATATGAGATGTCAATAATTTCAATGATCGATTTTTAGGATACTCAGGATGTATATGGCTTAGCTATATGAACAGTTTCTATACAAAAAACTGGTTTTTTTTCTACAAGTGCTTGGTTGCTTGAATTCTTCCAAAGCATGTAAAATTGGCTCCTTGTAGTTTGGACTAAAGTATCGACCCGAGGTTATCATTTTGTACTCTCGGAATTGTGCCATTATGCAACAAGGGGGGGGAGGAAGGGTGTACAATTGCAATGTACTAAAAAAAATATATAAGCAAGTCCAGCCTTTCTTTTTCAGCTGCTATCTGAGCGCACATCTTGCTTCCCCCCCTCCACCCCTGTCTGTTGCCAACTAAAAAGGAAGTCAAAAAAAGTGATTGGCTCTAAAGTTTGTCTGCGGAATTAACTAAAGAGAAATATATACACTTATTGAAGTGACTATTTCAACACTCTTGTTCCTTGAACAGTCAAGCGCAATCAAAAAAGGGAAAAAGGCCGCATTGATGCAGAAAAAAATCAGGTTGGTTTTTGAGTTCACCAAGCGTGTGCAATCCGTTTTGTTTAATTATTGCCCTTGGAAAATCCTTTTTCATTTTTTCTCCTTGCAAATTTTGTTCACTTAACCACGCGTGGCAAAATAAGATGTTAAAAATAATTTAGAATAACCAAATTGAGAAAGGTTATATTTTGTTTGTTATTTTTTTTGCAAACTTTCTCTATTTGGCACGCTTTGAGAAAGAGACTGAGAGAAATGGATTTCCTCATTTTTGACACACTTGGTTCTAGTTCAAGGCCGGGTCACAAAGTCAAGAAAAAAAAGATGCATGAGAGGGCAAAATGTCAATGTGAAAATATTCCCATCTTCATGCTACCTGCCATTTCTATCGTGCACCACACTCTCTACAAACTGCAATACAAAAAATAAAGGGTACAAGCTAAACGCGCGCACCGCCACTCTGCAAAGGGAACAATATGACAATCGCCTACATTCTTCTCTTGCTATTGCAAAAAACCCTCCCTTTGTCCTTCTGGCATTCATCGTCAATTTTTTATTTTTGCTGTATGCTTCTGCTTAAATATTTAACCAGGGCACAGTAAGCGAGTGGGATAGCCGACGGTAGCCGAGACGAGTACTGTTATGCATGCGCACCACCCATCCACACTTCCAGACCTGTGTCCAAGGACTGCATATCATATACAAGCATGTGTTTACTTTTTTTCTTCTTTTTTGGCCGTTTTATTCAGTGCCCGAGAGAAAAAAAGCAACACCCGCTGCTCCTCCCCCCTTGTCTCTTTTTTATTGCATTTTTTGCAGCTGTCTTTCTGCGGGTACGGGAGCCATGATCAGTGGCCTGGGTTGACAAGATGCAGGAGGAAAAATTGTTGATTGCAACAGAGTAGACGAAAAAAGAGAGAAAAAGGAAAATAAATAAAACAAACATGGGAGAGGGGGAGAGGGGTGTAGACTACACCCCCTTTTGCCAGCCCATTTTGCTCCCTTCCCTTCCCTTCCCTCTTCCCACTCTTTCTTTTACACCCCTTGCCACAGCGTCTTTGTGTTATTTTTAAATGGTGGTTTTTGGTTAGCATCAAAGATAGTACTGGCGGCAGAATTGTATATATATCGCAGCCAACGCCAACCAACTTTTCTTAAAAAAAACTTTTAAAAAGTCCGTTCGAACCTAATTTTCATATCCTTTTTTCCCTGCCCCTGCTTTTTGTCGCAGCACTTGTAATATTTTTCTTTTTTAATCACTTTTCATTTAATAAGCACCAAGCTTACCCGACAAAACCTCCAACACCGCTGAGCCTCTCTCTTTTTTGTTACCTTCAATACTTAAGCTTTTAATATCCAATATTCTACATCACCCTTTTTTCGCAACAATAGTACATAGTCCCACAAAAAAAATCAAATATGATTAATATGCCCGCCACATCTTCCACACGCACACCCTCCGACCTTGGTCTTGGTCTTGCCAGCTATGGCTCAGCGCCCAGTGTGCCGCGCCAAGTTGTCTCTTCGCTTTCGGTCAAAAACGCAAGCGGAAGTTGCGTCAGTATTCTCAACGATGCCAATGAGGACAGCAGCAGCTTGCCCGAGTGCCGGCGGTCCAAGTCCATGCCGGGCCTGTCAATTTGGAAGAACCCTGCCAACGGCGCCCCCTCCTTCTCCAAGTCCCGGGCAACCTCGTCAAACCTGAGCCTGATAACTTCAAGCACATCATCCGGCGCCTCCACGCCCCAGGGTACAGCCTCATCTCTGCCCTCATTGAGCATGCTCGTCACTGCCGCCGGCCTTGCCGCCTCGGAACCCAGCACGCCAATTACACCGAGCTCATACACCCCCAGCTTTACGCACTACCCGATGAGCGCCACCACATACCAGCACAGCCTTGGGAACCAGGGCGCCATCATGGTGCACATGATGACGACCGGAACCAAGACCATGGCCAAACGCAAATACAAATGTGCATTCGATAGCTGCGGAAAGGCATTCACCACCAGTGGGCACTTGGCTCGGCATCAGCGGATCCACACGGGCGAGAAGAACTTTGCCTGCCAGTATCCCGGCTGCAACAGCCGGTTCTCGCGCCAGGACAATATGATGCAGCACTATCGCACCCATATGTCGCCAAAGTCGCGCCGCAATGGGAGCCCGCGTAAGGTTGTGTTTATGGAGTCTGCCGCTGAGCAGCAGGCTTACCATGCACATGTGCACAGCCAAGGCCATGGCCATATGCCTAGCCCAATGTCCGCTGGTCCCGTTCATATCCAGCATCACGCTGTGCACCCATATGCGCGGCCACTGCCTTCGCCTATGAACATGAGCATGAACATGCACCCACAGTATAGCGCCCCAGCTTCACCCGCCGGTGCTTACCACCACCCCAACCACAGCCACAGCCACAGCCACAGCTACAACCACCAGCACCAGCATAGCCACAATCCCCAGCTGGCGGCGGCCAAACAGCCGGTGATGCCCCTGAGCGCTCACTCTGTTGGCCCATCCATGTACTACTAAAAAAGCATCATGGCTGTTTGGTCAAAACACACATTCCCCCCCCCCCCAAATTTTTTTTTTAAAAATAAATGTTATCATTTCCCGGGTTTTTCATTTGGCGACATACATCCAAAAAAGACAAACAATGTAGGCGATGTAAGCAATTGCGTCCATGTTGTTGCGGTCTCCAGCGCGTTTCGCGGGTAATAAAAAACATGCTTTTGGGGTTTGAGTTAATCATTCAGCCGAATGAAAGGGGCTGGTACTCTCAGAAGCAAAGCAAACAAACAGACAAACACAAATCCATTTTTTTACCGTATGGGCAAGGTGATTCGTTTGGAAAAATAAATTGTAGGGAAAAAAGTGGCGGCAAACTGACTCGTTTTTTTGACCACTTTCTTTTTGTGCGCATCGGAGCACCATAATCTCCCGGCTCCGGGCGGGACATGCAGGTGCATCTTGGCACAACCCCCTCTCCGCCCCCGTCCTTCATTTATAGGCTGTTTGGTTATTCTGCCAATTACATTTATTTGGTGCTGCTTGTTTTCTTTTTAAGCAGGTAAATCATAAAATAGAAAAAAGCCCAGAAAAGAAGAAAATAAAACCCGAAAGCGCGAGGGGTCAAGCATATGGAAAAGGAGGCCTGTTGATTAACCATTGGTTGCTCGGGTCTTTTGTTAAAACTGTCAAAGTTGGATAAAATATTTTTTTATGCCGATCTGATTTTATCTTTTCCAAAGGCAAACAAAAACGCCATTTTGCCCTTTGCAAATCACTTCCTTTTTTCACCTTTTGCGTTTGAACCTTGAGGGGGGCCGGATCGGCATCCGCAAATAAAAAATACAAATGCTATTCGCCATTTTGGAAGACCCTCCCCTCCACGCAACTCGGAAAAATGTATGTTTCTTAGAGTCCGCGCACTGCGAAAACCCGGTTCATAATAGTTTTTTTGCTTGTTTTTATTCCTGACTGTGAAGAAGCAAAAAATATATATAGACCGCGCCAAAAAAGGGATGGTGTTTACATTGGTGCGCGGAAAAAGAAACCTAGTACCGCATCAAAAGTTGAAAAGCGTCAAAAAAACCAATATTTGCAAAAATGTCTTTTTTTGTCTGAGAATGTGCTCTCTTTCATTTCCATTTCCATTTTAATCTGCAGATTGTACTTGGTGTCATTTTTACGCGGATATACATGTGTGTGAATGTATAAGAGCTCGAATACAAACTACACATTGGCCATATGTGGGCAGCATATGCAAAATACATGTTGGCTGCAAATCCCAAGATATTTTCAGAATATATACAATTGAAAAATATGTGTGCGCACACATACGATCAAGAAAGGAGGCCAATTGTAAAAAGTCCAAGCACATTGTTGTAATTTAACTTTTTTATTCGGGAAACAATATCTTGTCCGAGCGAAACCGCATGGCAGGCGTCGGCAATTCAACTACCTAATAATCCCCCTGCAATTAATGCATTCAAAAATAAAAGAAACAGGGGAAATATTCGCATCACAAAATGCAGGGCAAAAAATAAAAATAAAAATGCAGTTTGCGGAATTCAAAATAATTCCTTTTTTTGCCAAGACCGAAATCCTTGGCATATGCATGTCAAACTCCAAGACAAAATGTCAATCTCACACGTATCAACGCTGCATAACAAAAAAATGTGCATATACATGTATAAACACCGGTATTGCAGCTGTACTATTCTCATAAACAAGATATTCTTGGTCACCAACCAGCATGACATATCCACTAAAAATGCTCTATATTTTTTTTAAAGGTAGGGAATTCCCCACTTTTTCTCTCGCACGCATATTTTTATGATTTTCCATGGCATATACTTTTATGCAGGCGCCATTGATATCCGGTTTCCTGCTCGCTTCAACTGGCCTAAATGCAAATATCAAAAAAAAGAACCCGCTGCAAAAGAAATTCTATGTGGAACATTTGTTTTCCCTTTTTTCAGAATGATAATCAGACATTTTGCCACAGATGTGTGTTCGGGGGGTCTGCCGATACAATTGTCTCCGCCTAATAGCCATCTATAAAGTTGTGAGGTTGAATTGTTTCAGAATCCGAGATTCAAAAACCCAATTTACATCCAACAGATCGTCCACGTGCGCATGCTTGCTCATAGTCAACCTCGAGCTTAAAACAGGCGCACAATACATTGAATGGTATCAAAATTGGCTGATCACTGTAAACATGATGCTAATTATGCTAAATATACCGAAATTGGGACTACGAAAATAGCTGAGGAGGCTCACATTGTAAAATCGCTGCTGGCATGAAACATCAACATTGATGTTGCATGAATTTGCACTGGTACGTGACTCAGCCCAATTCTAGCATCACCTTTTCGTTTTTTTTGTACGCAGGGTAATGGAGTCTGTAGCGCAGCGGGACAAGCAACTCAGCACTGTCGGTCGTAATGGTGTTCTGGCAGAACTCGTTGAGGACAAACTCAACCTTGCGCACCTTCAAAAGTTACTTGATAAACTTGTCAAGCTTTCCCGACTTTTCTATCGAGAAAGTATGCTAAATCCCTGACTTTCATCACAATCATACATTTGCGTTTCAAAACACACACCCACAGACATATACGGGAACTAAATGCCCAGCCACATTGACCACCCGCCTCCATGTACAGTTTTTTCATTCAATTTTCTTCTATAATATCTTGCAATCACATTTCTGCAGACATAAGGATGTGCGCAATAGATAAATAAGTAAATAACCTCAAGAAAATACTCTAAACACGTTAAAGAAACAAGAGCAGCAGCTGCTACGGCTGCTGAGTTGACTTGATCCGCTGGGCAATAATCTGGTGACGAGCGCGGCGAATGGCAGGCTCAAAAGATGGCAGCATGAAATAGCTGGCCATGTTTGAAATGTCATTATCAGTAACCAACGGCGGGTCCTCCTCCAGCAGATGGCAGTTGCTATCCAACGTTCGGCGGTCAAAATCATCATTGACATGGTCACTGCTGCCAGCCGACAAGCGATCCGGCGAGCGGCGATCCAGCGAATGGTTGACATCTACAGACTCCGAGCTGCCAGCCACAGTGTGCGAATCTGGGGTACCGGACTGCGCAGGCGTCATTGCGCCAGTATACCAGCGGCTCAGCTCAGAATCATGCACTACCTCGTAAGCGCCCGAGTCCAAAAAGTGCAAGAGATGCCGAGCTCCATGACGCGCCTTATAATGCGAGTACACGCGGAACAGGTTGTAGAAAAATGGAAAGTTGGGAATAATAGGCACCAGCGTAAATAACGACGACACAGGCAGCATATAGCAGCAATATTTCATCCATTTGCCGTGGTACGGATCCTGCATGACTGCCAGGGCGCGCAGCTCCTGGAGGATCTCCGACTGGCCAATGATGCTCGGCGCAATAATATCCATTTTTGTCATCAGGGCGCCCTCACTTTTCGTCGGGATCTCTTTGAGAAAGTACTCGCGGAAATCAATCTTGTCCATTAGCGTTTCTCCGTATGCGTATATCTTGCCGCGCCAGCTGTCGCGCGGGTACGTACTCCACTTGCTCCACTTGTCGTGGGCGACAATGGCCCACTTTGTAATTCGTGTGGGCACTGAATTGGTCGGATGGCAGTGCAGCGCCCACCGCGTCCGGGTAATAGGAATGACAAATATGCGCATGGCTTCTAACACGCAAATTTCGTTTTACAGTGTTGTTGGCGGATGCGGTAATGTATTGAAATGCGCCAGTGGTAAAAAAAAGTGAATTCAAAAAATGGAATTTAGCCGTGTCCTTTCCCCCTGTTTTTCTCCCCTCCTGCTTTTCTCTTGAAATAAATAGTGCAATAAAAATGATGAATGAATAAAGAAGCAAAAGAGAAAGGGGAAAAAACACGAAAACCCAGGCTCAAAGAGCGCAAAGTGTATGTGTGTGGAGGTGTAGGTGAAAACAAGTCGAGCCCTTTTTTACTTTCCAGGCTGTGCAGTTTTTTTTGCGCTTCACACTACCAAATATATTCGTCATTCTTTTGATCATCGCTAACATCGTCATAAGCGTCATCAGCCAAGAGAATGCAATTTGCCCATCTCGCCTGGTTTCATTTAAGCATTTTTGTTTTTACACAGAATGCAAGCGAAAATGACTCCAGACAGTAGAGACAATAGGGCCTTGCAACTGAGGCTACACAGCCCAGAAGCGCCGCGTCTCCTCAACCCCCTGCTGTCTCAATCGATGGGGCGGCGGCGAAAATAATTAAAAAAGCAAACATGTCCTGCTCACGCTTTGCTAGCAACAACTCGTCTCATCTTTTGCGCAAAAACAAGCCCTATTTTTAGTTTTTATTTTTGCATCACAATGATGCTTTTATTTATCTGTGGTTTGGAAAAATTAACGTGAAAAAATGGATGCAAAATATCAAATGTCAGTGCGAACGCTAAGCAGCTGAAAAACAACATGAGAAGTGGTGGATTTGAAAAAAAGGAGTGAGGAGTTCACCCTGTTTTCAGCCAGCTTAAAGGCTGTTGCTGGCATTTCCAGTACTGCCGGTGCCGCTACCAACCTTTAGGCGCAGCCAAAGGCGGTAACGATGGCGGGCAACGGCAGCGGCCAATACTGCAATTAGCAGGCCTGAAACCCACCAGTTTTTGAGCAATATAATAATCCGCAATTCCAACTGGCCGACGCCAATTGTTGCCAGAAAAAAGGTCGACAGTACAAAGGCCAGCCCCACGGTCAGTAGGAGTAGCACGGCCAGGCCACCAACAATCTCAGTCCACTTTACAAGGTGTCTGGCCTCCCTCGACGGATGTGCTGTGTACTTTGCGTCTGTTGTCTGTGCAGTTGGGCGCTTGCTTATAGCTGCCATGTCCGGGCAATGTGTTGAGAAACGATGTGTGGGTTTGGGTATAGTGCGCCAGAATAAGAAAAGTGCAAGTCAAAAGCAAGTATTGAATAATAAATGAGAGAAAAAAGTAATGAAGACGTAACAAAAAATTAAAGGAGCAAGTGTGCAAGTCAGCAGCACCCGCTTAACCAAAAGCACCAGACTCGTTCACAAAATAATGCAAAGGCAGACAGGCTAAAAAGAAGAAAAGAAAGTACAGCTACAAAGCAGAAAAAGGTATACTATTCGAATTTTCTCATTATTTTAAAAATTTATAGCGCGGAAAAGTCAGAAATTGCAGTGGGGGCAGCAGAGGCAGATGATGTATGTGAGGAAATACAAAGACAAAGTTATAAAAGCATTCGGTATAGTGGTATATCTCAGCTTACACATCTGCTGGTTGCTCCTTTGCGACATTGTAACTCGATGACGCCGCTTCGGATGTTGCCAACGCACACCCTGAAAGCGCCCAACATTTTTTCTCTCGTTTTTCCTTGCAGCATCTCGCATATAGATGGCAATATGCAGTTGCTATTTCCAGCAAACAAATATCAGATTAGCAGGTCCCAGCCAGTCAACTAGTTGACACAGCAGAGTGAAGGGGATATATTTGAACAGGGCGCAGCGCTCAGCCGATGCATGGCGCTATGAGTGGTGCCGCTCACTGCGACGCCAGCCAAATGCAGGAAAAGATCTTATATATTAAATCGGGCGACGATGACAATGGTAGCTTTATGACACATGCACAAAATTTAAAATGTCATTTGAGAAATGATTTATGCGGTCGTCCACTGTGGGCCGAGATCCTTGGCGCGATCAGCTATACTGGGTGCCGAGTCCAGCAGCAGCAGCTCCAGGATAGCACGCGCCTCTGCACGCCATGCCGCTGCGTCACCTGGAGCTTCCCGCAGCGCTGAAAACAGGGCCTCGAGAGAGTCAAGTGCTGCTGTTCGTACAGCCAAGTACTTGCCTTCGGTTGCGCAGGCCCTGACAGCACCAAGCACGACGCCAACATCCATCGCGCACAGGGTGTTCCAGTTTCTGGCGCAGTGCTTGCTCAGTGCAGCCAAACCCTCAAGGCTGGCAACACGGATATTCCACACGCCAGTCCGCGCATTTTCTTTCAGTGCCGCTGATAGGCAGCCCGACTCATTGGCAGTCAGCACGCGAGTTGTGGGAAGCGACAAAAGCAAAGCCTTGGTGGCTGCCGCAATGAGCATTAGTTGCTGCGGCTGCTGCATCGGCTCATCACCATCCGCATCAGGGGCCGTAGCTGCAGAAACGCTCTGCCGGACGGTTTTCAGAAGCACATCGGACACCATACTGTAGATGTCGGATGGCGACAACGCAGTGACAAGCGAGTTGTAGTGGCCAACGGCTGCCCGCTGGTATGCGGCTGTTCCAACATCGAGCTGCTTCAGTAGAATGGCATACACGACAAGCGGGGTGTCACTGTCTACGCCTGTAACATTTGTGCCATCGTTGTCTGCCACCATGTCGCCGAATAGCCGCGAGTTCGCCGCACACACTCGCACCAGGCACTCTAGAACGTGCTCTTTGCCAGGCCACATGCTGCCCTGCGATGTCTTGATGAGCTCGGGAAGCGTCATCTGTGCCAGTGTGGAGAGCGCATCGTTGGGCAGCGCCACGCCACCGTCAATGTTACTGGCGCTGATGCTAGCGCTGGCTGCCGCTCTGGATGTGCGCTCTAGCATGCGAGTCACATCGACAATTGTTTTGGCGCTCTGAATGCGACAGTGCCACCGGTCGTCGGCAAGATGCTTCAGTGGCAAATTGAGCAACTCTGTCAAGTGGCCCCCGACAACTGCTGTGCCAAGGCCCAAGACGCACTCTTGCCACGCGCTCTGGAACGCCTCTGCAATATGTTCGTCTGAATCCCGACACCCAAACAGAATAAATGACATTGCGCCAGCTTCACCAGCATGCTGGCGCAGTTTCTCGGGACAGTTGCGCGCCAGCTGCTGCAGCACCTGACCAGACACGTCGCGGACATCGCTCTCGTACTTGCCAAAGTATGTCTTTTCTAGGTGTCGGAGCAGGTTGCGAAGCATGCCCGGCGTGAGCATCCCGGCCATGTATCCAATCGACGACGCCCATGCCTGCCGCTGCATGGCTGAGCTCTCGGTCAGCGAACCACTGATCGCCTTGACCAACGCTCCAGAATGAGGCTCTACAAGCTCCAATTGCTTGACGCATAGTATGGCTACGGTCCGCGCACAGCCGGCTCGCGTGGCCATCCCAATTCCATGGCGGATGATGTTCTGCAGTCGGGGCACCAGCTCGGCCATACCTTGCGGGTTGAGCTGGTCTAGCGCGAGCTCAATGCCTTGCATTATTGGCGATGCCTTAACTGCGCTCAGTCGGAGAGACTCAAGCTGCTCTGGTGACATGTTATGCTCGTTCGCGTGAAAAGTCAGATAGTTTGCCGCCTGTGGCTCCATGTTCGAGAGCGACTCCAGCATGCGCTCAGCAATAGCCGGCACGAATGGCGAGAGATAGGCACCACTGGTGCGGCAGAGCTTGAGTGCCAGGCCCGTGCCGAATTGACGCACATCTTCGGCGTCCGAAACAATGCCCTTGTCGATGAGGAAAGGCATTACTATAGCCAGCACCGACTGGGCGTGCTGGGCGTGCTTTTCGTTGGGCGGAATGCGAGGTGTGCACCACGAAACAGTCGAATTTGCAAGAGCCTGGCATGCCTTCAACCCAGACTCCCGAACCGTGGCTTTAATGTCATCGAGCGCGCGGAATGACATCTGCCAGATCCTCTCCAGATATGGCACTATGCGATCCGGATTGACACCATACAGCGCGCTGGCCAATGCATTACAGCCACTTTCGCGCACCTGCCACTCGAACTGGCCCATGCTCGACAGACATTCCTCAATGATAACATCCCAGAAAAGTTCCATCATACCTGCGTCCGAATCTGAGTCGTTGATGTCCTGAGAACCAGCGGGCGCAGTCTTTGCAAACGCTTTGAACTTTAGCAGGGTATGCCAAATTCCCTTCATTGCAGTCTGTGTTTGCGGATTCGGATCAAACGTGCTCCGGAACAGTTTGGGAATGACCGGGCGGATATGTGGCTGCACTGCCGCGCACGCGCGCTCGATATTTGCGGATAGGCCATATGAATGTCCGTATCTTCCACTGGTAGTGCTACCACTGCCACTACCGCCGAGCGATGGCGCCTGGGATGCCAACTGGATGAGGGGATAGAAAAGCGACGGGTTGCGCATGTCCATAGCCAACGACAATATGCACTTGAATGTGGGGTTGGCTGTGCGCCCTTCTGCTGCTCGCTGCTGCCCTGTTGCCTGGCGCTCCACGGACAAGCCCGTGGCGTCGGCTGGCTTGTCATTGTTACTCCCAAAAAGCATCTTCAACGAGACCATCATGTCCTCCTTTGAAAAAACATCGCCCATCTCGTATATGAGCGCCAAGGCGTTCGAGGCCAGCTCTCGCACAAACTCATCGCGATCTGTCAGCAGTGCACACACGCAGGCGTGTAGTCTCGGCAGCCACGGTTTCAGCTGTGCCATGCTAGGACACAGCTGTACCAATGACAGCGCCCACACAACGGCCGCCTGTCGGTCCTGTAGATTTGTCGATACAGCCAGCTTGTCCGCAATTAGTTCTAAAAGCGTTTCGAGGGCATCCGAGTTTGCATTGAGTTGTTTTTTGTTATACACCGCGGCTGGATCGATCGGGAAAATCCACTCCAGCTCCATCAGTGAGCACTTGAATCGCCCCAGGGACAATGCCAGCGCCCGGCCCATTTTAAAATGCAGGTCCAATTTCTTCTTGTTGACCGACCGGGCCAGTGCCTGCATGGACTCGATCAGCGACGCTGCCAATTGTGGGCTTCCAAGCACTATCTGCGCCAACCCATCGAATACCGCGTCCTGCTGTTTTGTAGTGGTAGCTATCTTGGCAAGGTTCACCATCGCTGCCATAACAGCTTCACCGTCTGTGGCTGACAGCTGATTCTGCTGCAGATCGTCTGCAAGCGCGGACATGCCCAATGTCCCAACTGCCATGCACTGGGATACCGTGGTGATGGGGAAAATTGACGCCTTGCTCGCAAGCTGAATTTTTTGAAGCAGGGTCAACCGTGTATTTTCAATGACGACTCCCAGACCGGAAAGACCCAAACCAGCCCACGACTGTCTCAGCGCCGTGCGAGCGACATCCAGCCCATACGCTATATAGCCAAGCGCTAGGGTTGCGCCTTGGATCTTGTCGATCAGTTTTGGGTGCTCGGGCTCGTTGGCGGTAGCTAAAAGCTCAGCCATAAACAAAGCCACCTGGTCGTTCCAAAACGCGCGCTCCAGCTGGCCACCGGGCTGCCCATCGGCCCATAGCTTGGTTGCAAACACAGTCGCCAGTGCCCGGACCGCGGACTGCTGCACAGTGAAATCACGGGCCTCCATGAGCGGAAGCAGCATCTGTCTCTTGTCAAACAGCGCAAGCGACGCGCTGGGCTGGCCCAATGATAGTAGTTCAACTAAACACATCAGAGACCTGCTCAGGGCGCCAGACTCAAAAACCCGAGAAACTGTCAGCGCAACCACAACAATCTCCATCCACGCGCTGGAAACAGAAGTGCTAACAGCACCAGCAACCACTGTGTCAATGTCTGCGTCCATCGATCTAAGTGCCGCACGCATGCCCTTGCGCAGCGGCTGTAACGAGAGCGGCTGCACATCCGCCAATGTCATCGAAAACGCAACAAACATTGATGCAAAATCGCCTTCACAGTCTTGCGCTCCGCTTAGCTGAAGTAATCCGGTGGCCAGAATAAGAAGTCTCCCAAAGTCGACAATACCGCTGTAAATCAGTGGGTTGATTGCATTGGCCCGCGCTCTAGCCGCTGACTGCTGGTCGGAGCTCAGTTGCAAGGCCTCGGCAACCCTCTTGTGCAGAAAGCGAATGGCGCCAGCCAGCTGTGGCAAATTAGCAGTCCTCATCTCCGGCGCTGATTTGGCATCAAGCGTAATCGCCAGTCCCGAGTGGGCGAGACTCTGGATTTCGGGCTTCGAGTCAGCAAGCGCCAGCAAACATAGCCACCGAGCTTCCATGTTCGCGAATGGAAATGCGGCTATGGCATAACGCAGAGCACAGTACCTAGCCTGATGAATTGTCGACTTTAGCTGTACCTGCAAGAACGCGAGCAGGGTGTCCTCGGTCTCTTTGCTAAGCTTACCAAACTCGTATGCCGGAAGCATTGCCAAGAGCGCCTCCTGGATGCTGATGTGAATACTGGGCGGCTCCACACTGAACGCGCCGAACAGAGCCTGCAGGCCCTCCAGATCGGCAGTAACCAGCGATGGCACACGCCTTGTCAGGGTTCCCCAGGCGACAAACGCTGAGCCACGCACGACATCATCGTTAAACGAGCCACCCAATCCAGATTCTGCGTCATCGGACACTAACAATTGGCGAATCATCTGCATTAAGCCATTTGCGACGTCGTCAAGCTTGGGTTGAGGCGCGGTTCTGACTACCCATTGCAAGAATGCCATTCCTTGGCGGCGCAGGTTGTTTGTTGTGCCTGTGCCTGTGCCAAACAGCGTTTGAGAGATCACTTGTGCGCACTGGGGAAACATGGCTACCGCTGTTGCCGATTTGCTGAGAAAGCTGAACAGTCTGAGTCTGACAGCTACTGCAACGGGTGAGCGCCTGCTCTTATCGTTGCCGCTGCCCAAAAACATGCTAAAGGCTGCATCCACAAATGTTTTCGAGTCGACATCTACCGGTCGAAGGCGCTTGAGCGAATCCTTGCCCTGGCTAGCAACTTGCGGAAAAAATGGGTCGCAGCTGGCGTAGAGCAGCGCGAGCAGTCTATGCTCATGAACGCCATCTGCCACATCGTTAGGAAACGCTAGTTCCGAGGAAACAATATGCAGGACGCTCAGCTTAATCTCTTCCAGAAGTTTTGCATTGGACACCCATGGCGCTTTGCCCTCGTTGGTAATAGTCAGTTGAGCGCTGCTGCTTAGGCCCATTGCCACAGGGATATTCGCAGTTTGTACGCCAGGCTGAACGGGATTGAGCATAAACAGGTCGGCAGCATACTTTAAAAACATTTCACCTCGGTGCGGAAAGCTGTTGCCAAATCCCAGTCCCTTAATCTGACAGTCGGTCAACTTTATCACTTTTTGCAGAGCCGTGAACAGGGCTGTGACCAGCACCACGAGCTGCGACATCGGTCTTCCACGTGTGCCGTCAAGAATGCGCGGCAGTATAGATACAAGCTGGTCCTCGTCGGCACGCTCAACCGCCATGGGAACATACATAAGTTTAAAGCTTTGCGAGTATCCGGTTGCCGTCTTTGTGAGCGTCGATTCTGCTAGTGCCTCGATGGGAAGCTTAACCTCTGGGTTGCTTTTCAGTTTTCGATTGATCTGCCCGAGCAGCCCGATAATCTAAAAAACAATGGTAGTATTAAGACATTGATTTAGCGCAGATTTTTAGATTGTTATTGCGCACGCGCGCATAGTTATGCCACCACAAACAACAATGCCACGGTTACGTTACCTTTGCCTTGACTGCGGCGCTGGCACTGTCCAGTTTGTCCAGCAGGGGCACGAGTAAAGTAGTAATCAGCTTTTGCACCTGCTCGCTCGAGGTTGCCAACGCAAAGCGCATCGCCAGGGTGTCCAGAAGTTCTACAAATTGATTGCATTTGCGCAAGTTAAAAAATGTGGGTTTAGCTGCATTGCAAAATTGAAAAGGCTGAATTCGCGTCTAGCTTGTACCGGAGCTGCTCACATACCAATATCAGCAGCGTCAGTCATGTTTTAATAGTAGTTGTGTTAATAGAGAGTATTAAATAAATATAATATAAATTATAAATGAGCTGAGTCAAAAGTGAACAGTTGAATGTGACAGCCCTTTTTGAAAATGTAATACAAAAAAATAAAATAAAAAATTAATGTCCACGTCATCCGCCATACTTTTTATGTTTAAAATTTAAAGTAGCGTTTATCAAGGCCATTTGTAAGCATGTACAAAGCGACGTGAGAATCGTTGGTATACATAATATCTGTTGAATAAGAGTGCTTCAAATGATTAGGGTTAAAACTATTATTGAAACACTGAACGGCTGAAAACTGAAAACAGAACTGAAAAAACGGACTAAAATATAAGGGTTGACAATAAATAAACGAAAGGAGATTAAACCAAAATACTCGCATCAGAAAGACACTCGTTGTACGTCCTGCTAAACACAAGCTGTGTGCAGCCAAGTGTGCGTGTAGCAAAGGCACCCTCGCAGTATGCAAAGTAGTACTCCCACTTGCGCCGGAAGACGTCGTTGTAGCTGGTCACTCTGGTGCCGACGCTGCCTGTCTTGTCAAGTGTGTCGGTTATGCTGTCGGCAGTGTCGCTGCCGCACTTGGTTGCAGAGCTGTCCGAGGATATGCGCGGCCGGTCGGTGTCGCAGTTATTGGCGCTGTTGTCAGCACTGCACACCAGCTCGCGCTCCTGTAGAATCAGCTGCGGGTTCTTGGGCGCCACCATTGCCAGCACCTTGTCGTACCCGCTCAGAAACCGCTCGCGCCACACGCGCAGTGTGCGGGCATAGTGGTCGGGGAAATTGGCCGCGCTCTCAAGCATCAACATGCCATTGCTGCCCTTGGTCGCGCCTGCCACCAGCGCCGACACGCTTGGGCAGTGGCCTCCTGGAAAGATGTGCTTGTTAATAAAGTCCACGGTGTGCCGGTACTCGGAGTAGCGCTCCTCGTTCATCGTGCTTGCCTGCAAAACCATGACGCCGTGCTGAGGGTGCAGCAGCTTGTGGCACTGCTCAAAGTACACGGGCAGGTACTCGTACCCGACGTGCTCGACCATCTCAAGCGAGATTATGCGGTCAAAGCAGTGCTCGGCCGGGTTTAGGTTGCGGTAGTCGATTAGCATGATTTTAATGCGGTCACTCATGCCGGCCTTTGCAATGCGCTGCTCAGCAACCTCCTTCTGTTCGGTGCTCAGCGTGATTCCCAGCACGCGGCAGCCCGTGCGCTGAACAGCGCGCATCGACAGCGAGCCCCACCCGCAACCGAGATCCAACACATAGTCGGTCGGCCGGAGGTGCGCCTTGTCAATAAGCATATCCAGCTTGCGCAGCTGCGCCGCCTCGAGTGTGTCTCCAGGCCCGTCCCAGATGGCGCACGAGTACGTCATCGACGAGTCGAGGAACATCTCAAACATTTCGTTTCCCAGGTCGTAGTGCGCGCTGATGTTGCTCGCCGTGTTGAGCACTGAGTTTCCAAAGCGCGTGCTCGCCAGATACATCAGCGAGCTGACCAGCGGCGACGACGACGCAGTGTCCAGCGCGGCGCGGTTGTAGATGTAGAAGCGGATAAAGTTGACCAGGTTGTCGACTGCAATCTCGCCTGCCATGTACGCCTCGGCAAAGCCCAGGTCCTGAACCAGCATCAGGCGCACCCAGAACTGCTCACTGAGTACGGTCAGGCAGATGTGCGGGCCGCCGTCATCAGGGTTGCCAAATACCATTGACTCACCGTTCTCGATAATTGTCAGCGACCCCACTGTTGCTTTACTCAGGGTCAGGGCAATCTGCTGCTTGACCGTTGGAATTATGAATGCCGATGGTCTGGTCAACAAAATGCGGCTGATCCTATGAAAGCACATCTCAATACCCTTGAGCGCAATGTCTGCAAGGCGAAAGCCCGTGGTAACTTTGGCAAAGGCGTAAGAGAGAGTAGACATTGTCGTAAATTTAAGATAAAATAATGAAAATATTCGGTAGGCGTTAATGAAGATTCGTGATGATGCGTGTGAAAGTCGGTTATAAGAGAAAAGTTAAGGTGGGATTGTGAATTGGCGTAATGATATAAAAGTATATTTTCGTTTCGGATTCGACACTTGCAGATTGACTCTTATATAAGGGTTATTGCACCTCCGCCTCATAGGTTGCTCAAAATATGCAGCGGATGCCAAATTGTATATCATTTTTGTGATAATCTGTACGTCATTATTTGGATTTCTGCAGCTTGGGATGGCGTATAAAAAAACAACTTTGCCACACACATTTTGACCAAGGGGCTGATAAACCTGGAAAGGGCGCGCTTTATTTGGTGTGGACAGGAACACATTTTTTATCGACACTACAATTCATCAGGTTTGCGTATAATCGAAAATATGTTGATTATGTAGCCAATTGCAATATAATGCGTGGCTCGTAAAATCAGTGGCACATCCAAATATTTTGGTGAAAGAAAATCAGTCAACAAATTGAAACACGTTGTTTACAATACAAAGTAAAAAATGAAAAGTAGACAACAGGCATTTGAGCATAGAAGCGAGCGTCGATGCCGGTTGGCCTGAATGCAAAGGGTGGATAATATCGCAATTTGAAAATATAAAAGCACATGATGTAACAGCAGAGAGGCTTAAGCGTTGATAACACTTTAAGCATTGTTAGTAAAGCGTGGCTGGGGTAAAACAGCCCAGCTCGTGTGTTAAAATTAAATGAGCCTAATATGGCCAAGCCACTGGTGGAACTACAATTGAAAGGCGTCGGATCGGTTTTATTGGTGCTGATGTCAAATGCGTATTTTCGGAATTTGCCTTGCCAAGTTCATTGGGTAATTTTAGATTATCCACCTTTTCAGTTCAAAGTTTGTATACGAGTTTAGGATGGCAAATTTATTCCGCTTGTACAATGCCTAAAACAAACCCACCAGTGGAATTGCTTTGAAGCCATTTTTAGTATAATGGACAGTTTCTTGTATTGCAATATTTAATGGCTAATAGTATTTTTGGAGAAAATAAATTCAAAGCCACGTTTTTAAGTACAAAACTTTAGCAATGCAGCTAGAAAAAAACCGCACAGCGGCAAAATTTCCAAATTAACTATTTTTTTCAACAGCCCGGGGCAATTGTCATTTTCTTGTTGCAGTTGTAACAAGCTCAAAATCAATTTAATGTGTCTGATAAATTTACACGTTTTATTGTGCCTAACCATTTCTACTGCGATAATCTGGGAGCTCTGTAAATGACACCTTATGTTTATTGATATTACCTCTGTAATGCACATGCTGTCTACATGACATGTTGGAAATGCACATCTGCAGCAGTCACTATGTCACTTTACCTATACATATATGCATCCAAAATTGTCTGCTCGCGGTTCGACTGACATCACAATTATACAATCCAATGTGGGAATATGCAAATTGGAAACTTGATCTGCCAGGCATTCTCTTTGTTTTTTATGCATGCGTTTGGGATTAGCTAACTATCGTGGTATTTATTTTCTTTGTTGGTTTTATCGACGCCTTCTTGATTGAAATAGCTGTGGGTCATCTATTGTTATATAATTCCACCCATCCCAAAGCAAATTTAACTAAAAAGATAATAAGTGTTTAACTCTATACTGAATATGAATGTGTGCAGTTATGATGCCCTATTGGCTAGTCAGATAAAAAGCCAAAGGGCAAAGACAAAGCACCATGTCTAATGGGCTAGTAAATAGCTTATAAGAAGCAGCCATAAGAAGCAGTTGTTTGCTATGCGCGTAACAGCACAATACCCTCACACAATGAAAAATCTCACATTATTGTACAAAATATTGCCTTATCATTGTTATTAGGTAAAAATTGTTTTATAAATAAATAGTATGAATGGAAATTTGAAATTTGGTATCTATTTTCTAGAAACACAAAAAATTGCAAGCACCTGGTTGTACGTCGGAAACAGCAACAATCAGACTTAATAATAATACTGTAAATAATGGTAAGCCTTGTCCCTATGTTTCTGACCTGATATGATTAAGCCGATAGTGTTGCAAAATTTGAAGAAAACATGGTGGCGATTTTTAGTGGGTTGCTATAGGTGGCAACCAAAACTTAATTAAAGTTTACCAAGCTGATCAAACAAGTTCCTCTATAATGGCTCTAGATTTGAAATATTTATTTATATTAGCTCTAATATAAACATTAGTAATAAAAATTAAAAATAACAGGTTGGAAAATTAACAAGTATTTATATTTGCCAATTTCAGTATTTCCTATTTGTAAATTAAACGAGCTTGTGCTTACTGTACAAAGCAGTTGAGCTAAAAAAAATAGTTTTCAGTTAAACAAGCCTATTTGTTTGCGTTGGCTGTTTCTGAAATAAAGCAGCAAAACGCACTCTTCCACAATTAAACGGATATTAATTATTCCAACGCCGAGTGGGAAAATATTCAATCCAAGGGTTGGCTCCGTGATGCTACAGCCCCAGCATTCAGCTGGTAATTGTGAATTTAAATAATAATGAAAATATATTTTGCATCAAGAGGCATTTAGCCATATCTACGGAGCTGTGTCTGATGTTTCTACGGCATTATTTTTATTAACACAAGAAGTGCTATACAAAGCCACCTGCGTTGTCTTATGTTTGTATTCAATTGTTCAATATCCATACATGCCGGATGTAGTGAGTGCATTGTAGATAAGCATCCGAAGAAGCCATGCTGTATATAATCACATGTTAAAATATTATTTTCAACAAGTGTTTCATGGAAATATTTATATATCACATACTATTTACTTGTGGTCACTTAATTAATAAAAAAAACGTCTGGTCATTTGACTTGAAATTCAATGTTTTTTGACGCTAAACATGCGAAGCAAGCTTCCATGCTACTAATTGTACAAATTTCATAAATACACGTGCCGTTATGAGCTGTGCGCCTATTATAAATGCGGACTTTTACATCTTACATGTTACAATGCTGGGCATTTGCAACAATACGCTCACATTGATTTTTGTGAAACATTCTTAAACAAGGCTTTGAAAAAATAAAATATATTGTAGAAAAGAAAACATTTCACAATTGTTTCGGCTTTCGGCGTCTGCGATTTATTTTTAATCATACAATTTACTCAACATTATTCTTTCATTTTAATAGATATATTCAAATAACATGCGATTATCAGCGATTTCTAAATTAAAAATACAAACAGACTCGCAAAAATAGTTTATATATTATTGGGGATATGTATGTGTTGCTACCTTATCAGCCTTTGAATATCCTCAATGGCGAGCTTGGTATTCGAAAAGGTATGTTATAAATACGTTGGGGAGGGGATCCGCATGCAGGAGCGTCATTCGCTGGACATGAGACTGTTTGCATATGCATATTTGGCCCTTATGTTTTTTGTTTATTTCTTCCGGCACGAGTAATGAAAAATATATCCTGGTCAGCTTTACAAAAAAACCATGGACACTTGGCGCTCGAAACAAATATACCCATACAATTATCGCACTATTCAACTTGACGTGCGTCTTATTGGGGTGAGCTATTTTTTGTGAGCGCGCACGGTAGCCTTTGTTGGTGATAAGTTAATAAAACATATTCGGATAGACGCTCAACCGAATATAGTTCTGATTGGCTGCAAAGCGGAAATATCAGCCCACACTAAACACTGCGTTTTCATTCAGCAAGGCGACAAATGAATTGGATTACCATAGCGAGCATGTGCATGCCTAAATAATTGTGCCACTGCAAAGCACATCCTCTTTGCACATAATGCCTCGCATTCCTGAGAATTCTTTTTGCGTCGGTTGTTTTTATGTTTTGACGAACTTGACAACTCCGTCCGCAATGCTACACTCTTTTCTTTGCACATGCAGCAACTTTCCGGAACTGGAAATATACTTTTGCACGCCGGTGTCAGCAGTGGCCAAGGATCCACAAATTATTTTTTAACACAAGACAGGCGACATTTCTAAGTGCTTTGTTTTTCAGCAAAAAGTTTATACGTACACCAATGTAGTATTACGCAAAAACAAAAACCCAAAGTCGCCTGCATATATCCTGAGAATGTGTTACATGCCATTTTGGCAGTTGTAATAAGAAAAACAAGACTGCGTCTTTTGCCAATATTCCGCTTAATTGTATTGTCATTTTATGTTTCTGAACCCGCAGTGGAACCTCCGAGTATTAAAATTGTTTGCTGCCTGAAATATTATTCTGGAGTGAGAAACCCAACATGCATATTACGGATATTCATCAACAATGTAATTATTTACCGCCTATATTTTGCTTCCAACAGAAGCTGGTAATGCTTTTTGGGATTGATATTTTTCTTTTGGTTAAATATCGACTCTACTTCCTGGGTATTCTCACTTCACACCATTACACACCAAAGTCATTCTAATTTTCACAACTTTTATAATTTTTGTCTTTTTTGCTTATAGCAGCCCACTTTATATTGTAAGTTTTCTTAGCACAATGCTACAGAAAAATTATACGAGTAAATAATGCAGCCCGCTAAGTCATGTTAGAATATACGCTAATTTTTGCATATGTATATTGTCCGTCTTTTTTGTATAGACCACTCCACGCACAAACAATTTCAGGCTTTTTATAACATGGACTCGATTTTCTCTGCTGAATATTGCGAATATTCTCCAGTACACACCGGAAGCAATTATACCAACCAAAGCAAAGGTACCGCTTGGTTTTCTATCAAGAAGTCTGCGCTTGGATCCATTGACTCTGGATTCAAGGTATTCAGCCGGGCATTACGTGGCAAAACATGGTCATTCATGATTCCGACGGTCAAGCAGCAGATTGCCCTGACCCTGAGTAAAGCAACAGTGGGGTCGCTGACAATTATCGAGAACGGTGAGTCAATGGTATTTGGCAACCCTGATGACGGCGGCCCGCACATCTGCCTGACCGTACTCAGTGAGCAGTTCTGGGTGCGCCTGATGCTGGTTCAGGACCTGGGCTTTGCCGAGGCGTACATGGCAGGCGAGATTGCAGTCGACAACCTGGTCAACTTTATCCGCTTCTACATCTACAACCGCGCCGCGCTGGACACTGCGTCGTCGTCGCCGCTGGTCAGCTCGCTGATGTATCTGGCGAGCACGCGCTTTGGAAACTCAGTGCTCAACACGGCGAGCAACATCAGCGCGCACTACGACCTGGGAAACGAAATGTTTGAGATGTTCCTCGACTCGTCGATGACGTACTCGTGCGCCATCTGGGACGGGCCTGGAGACACACTCGAGGCGGCGCAGCTGCGCAAGCTGGATATGCTTATTGACAAGGCGCACCTCCGGCCGACCGACTATGTGTTGGATCTCGGTTGCGGGTGGGGCTCGCTGTCGATGCGCGCTGTTCAGCGCACGGGCTGCCGCGTGCTGGGAATCACGCTGAGCACCGAACAGAAGGAGGTTGCTGAGCAGCGCATTGCAAAGGCCGGCATGAGTGACCGCATTAAAATCATGCTAATCGACTACCGCAACCTAAACCCGGCCGAGCACTGCTTTGACCGCATAATCTCGCTTGAGATGGTCGAGCACGTCGGGTACGAGTACCTGCCCGTGTACTTTGAGCAGTGCCACAAGCTGCTGCACCCTCAGCACGGCGTCATGGTTTTGCAGGCAAGCACGATGAACGAGGAGCGCTACTCCGAGTACCGGCACACCGTGGACTTTATTAACAAGCACATCTTTCCAGGAGGCCACTGCCCAAGCGTGTCGGCGCTGGTGGCAGGCGCGACCAAGGGCAGCAATGGCATGTTGATGCTTGAGAGCGCGGCCAATTTCCCCGACCACTATGCCCGCACACTGCGCGTGTGGCGCGAGCGGTTTCTGAGCGGGTACGACAAGGTGCTGGCAATGGTGGCGCCCAAGAACCCGCAGCTGATTCTACAGGAGCGCGAGCTGGTGTGCAGTGCTGACAACAGCGCCAATAACTGCGACACCGACCGGCCGCGCATATCCTCGGACAGCTCTGCAACCAAGTGCGGCAGCGACACTGCCGACAGCATAACCGACACACTTGACAAGACAGGCAGCGTCGGCACCAGAGTGACCAGCTACAACGACGTCTTCCGGCGCAAGTGGGAGTACTACTTTGCATACTGCGAGGGTGCCTTTGCTACACGCACACTTGGCTGCACACAGCTTGTGTTTAGCAGGACATACAACGAGGACTTGTCCAACCCATGGCTTATTAGGTAAATGGCATTTTTACGACCTTTGTTTTTTAGTTTTATTCCTCCAGTTTTTCTTTGTTATAATCGTGTTTATTCTTTTCAGTTTCCAAGATGTGTTTAGATGTTTGTAAATATTTTGCGTATTTTAATTTTGCAAATGAATTTATTGTTAATGTGTACTCTAGTACGGAAAGTTTTCTGGTATGCTTTACTGTGCTGTTTTCATTTTACAATGCATGCTCAAACGTGGTACAAAAAAGGTCAGCAAAAACTTTGGGAATTCAAAAATACATTTTCACCAGTGTATTGTTTGCAATGTTTACGACATTTATAGCAAAATTTTATATTTTGAGCGGGGGGTTTTCGAAACCCGGTTTTCCAGTTTTTTTTAGCCTAAAATACCAGAAAGTCCAGATTTTTGAAGATGCAGGGAATTATTTAGGCTTTATTTCCGGCTAGTGCTTTGGTTATGGGTTATGGGTTAAGCGTGACGCTTAATGGTGTGATCATTTTTTGATTTTAGTTTTAAAAATATATATTTTTGGACGTTATTTGCATTTATTGAATTAAGTACAAATAAAATCAGTAAATACAATCAGTAGACAAAATGCTAAACAAATTCTAAAAATGAAGGCTGCGGAGCTGCGAGGCGCGCTGGCACCGGCACCAGCACCCATGTCAGAGTCAGGTTTGCTATGGGTGCATCAGTACCAGTGCCAGTGCGCGTGGCAGAACCAGTTCTGCAGCGGCAATCTTGATGTAGAGTTCAACTTAAAGTGGCAGCAGCGAGTTGAAAGACAAGAGCAAGGCAAAGTGCGTAACAAAATAACAGCGGCAAGCGAAAATCAATATCCAAGACGGGGAAATAGTGGTGAGCGCGAGACAGAGCCGGAGACAGAAAAACAGCGGTGAGTGGATGGCAGGAAATCAGCGGCAATTATGATAAGTACAAGTACAATACCAATTTTGCCTATAATATGAAAAAAGTTACAAGTGAAACCATTACAATAAAACTGCCAATATTACTTGCTAAGCAAAACGACGTCAAATAAGAGTATACAAATTGAAAATTGAAAATGAATGAGGAAGATAAAGAGTGAGATGCATGTCTTATCTTGTGGACGCAAATTCTAATCTTTTTACTCTCACATTTTGCATCATTATTGCCATTTTATTTCTTCGCATTCTTTTCAACAGGCAATTGATTCAATTATTTAACACGTGATGTAATAGCATAAATAATTTATTTGCAAAATCAAAGTTAAAGAACAGTAGAAATGAAGGATAATATTTCAATTTATCATTAATTGCTAATGAATATTCTGACTACAGCACATAGCCGATTGCTTTAAAGGTTATTGAATTTGTTTTATATTTTAAGTTTGCCTTATTTATTAAGTTAATATTTTCATTTAAGGAAAGGCATAAAACCTAAACGTTTTATTTGTTTGATTCGCATTAGAACACATATTTAACGTGCCATGCCTTAAAAATATGTTACTAAAAAATAGACAGAGTCATGCTCAAATGAGTAATGATTAGCATTATAATTCGCATATAAGTTTTTATTGGATTCTATATTCATTGTATGTGTATTTAAATTACCATATTGTTCTTCCGGTATAGAATCGTCCTTCTCTTTTCTTAGAACTAATTTTATAATGCAATACAATACTAGTAAACCAAAATGATACAATTGCATTGAATAAACTTATATCTATCAACATAATAGTATAAAATAAGTGGTATAATACAATAATTTTAAAGAGGGGAGGAAAAACAAATAGATAGTTTATGCTGTAAGCAACTTTTTTGGTTTTCTGGGGGTTTCCATCTTTCTTCATTGAATGATGGTCCAAGCAGGTATACTTTTTATTTTTGTGTAATTTTCATCATATAAAATGCTGATCAAAATTTAAGTAAAATATGTGTCACAGTTGAGGCACATGATGTTGCATAAACAAATATATAGCCTTACTAAAATTATTGGATTATGCGCATAGCAGCCAGAACAACGGTGAGGTTTTATTATAGTTTATTTACATATCAAGAACACATAAAGGAATGGCTTTTGAGAAGATAGGGAATGCTCTCATTTAAAAAAACAAATATTTTCTTTTTTGATTATATCATTTTGTAACATATAATTACATTATTTGAAGTGTTTTTATATTTTACATTTTTCACTATTTTCAACTCAAACCAATTCACCCAGCTATATTTTTTTATTTTTTCAGTATGCCCATCAACATGGAGGCCCTCCTCAGCCTTTGCAAAATGCATTGTTCCTAATTCCTACCAGTTTTGCGTGAGCATGTCGTCACTGTCCATCGTGTTGCAACAGCTACATACGAGCTCGCACAGTATATCTTTTTACAAGAGCTGGATAATGAGGACTTTAATATCGTCGACCATCTGAATCAAGGATTCTTTAAGGAGAGTTTTATCGCCCCTTGCCTCGGAGATCAAAGCAAACCATGCAGCAACAACCTTAAAACTGCAAACTGCAAACTGATCAACAAGCACAGGCACACGTTCCTCAAGGAAATCAAGTTTGAGTGCCCGCAGCTCATTGGTGCGGCCTTTGTTGCTAATTATGAGGGTACAACAATCCTCGCCGCATATAAATCCCATGTGTCTCAGCGCTTTAGCGGGCAGTTGAAACATATGGTCAACATAGAACTTGACGTAAAGAAAAGGACTAAACAGCGGCACGAGATTCTTAAGAGTGAGGATGGCCATACCGAAAAACAAATACAACAATGCATTAGCAAGGAGATCAGAATTCCAGCAGGCAGGATGAAGTGGGCTCTGCTGTGTGCTAAGACCAGCAAAGACAGCAAGCAGATCAACTCCAAGCATACTTCAGACTCTATTCTCCGTGACAGGGTGGCGGGCCTAATTGAGAGCTTCTTTGGCACCTACCCTGAGGACTACATCTTCAGTGACAATGGACTCAAGTATGATTCTGTGGCTAAGCCAGTAAACCACTTTGGGGCTTCTGTTGAGATGTTCCGGTCTTTAAAGCTCAACGAGGCTGTGAATACAATTTCCCTCTTTCCGACGAGGACGTCTATTGTACTGGGTTTTACTACGCTCGACAAGACCATTCTTGCACGGGGTATTCTGCCTATCACAAAGAGCCGACTTAAAGCGCTGCACAATGGGAAGCTTTACCTAGATATCAAGCTTCCCGAGATTCCGCGTCTGAAGGATCTCAAAGGCAAGTCACCAGAAGAAATTTGGTCACTCTTTTATGGTATTTCATGTTGGCCGTTTTTGCTCGACTCTCGAAAGGACAAAAACCCGCACAGGTTTGGTGGGGTCATTCGTACTGATGGCACTGCAGTTATCGTATTACTAGACTCGCCCGCCAACACACAGAGGAAGAGGGTCAAGGCAGAGAGGATTTCACGGTCTAAGAAAGGTTCTGGCGATGCTGACAACAACAACGAGAACAACAACAACAACAACGACAAAGACAACAGCACCAGCACCAGCAATAGTGGCAAACTTGCCAATGGTGTACCCTGCAGTAAGAAAGGTTCTCCTCCCGAGTACATTGATAATTTGCCAAAAATGGCATACATGATATTGGTGACAGATCAGCTCTCTTTGATACCAGTCGACGGTATATGCTTTATTGTCTGGGATATAAAAGCAGTTACAAAAAGGGTGAGAGAATGACTTTCCGCCACACCAAATATTCCGAGGCTAATAAGCGTCGTGAACGCGTGTTTCATTGGATCCGCAAAAACGCAAAAAAGGTATTCCAGCTTGACCCAGCAAAGCTCGCCAAGGCAGAAACAAATGGTTGGTATATGTCTGTTGAGGATACCGAGCGCGCGCTCAACCACCCTGGCTCCAGTACACTTGCTTGCAAGTTATATGCTGAGTACCTCCTTGAGCGCCGGAAAGGTGATTTTGTTTTGGGAGAGCACTACCACAACACACAGACCCTTGGCAAGAGTCAGAAACATGCCGGCAGCAGCTCAACTGACTCCTTGCACCGCAAGTTCCATTATCTTTCCTTCGTCAACAGAAAGCGCGCCGATGTCAAACTCGCAAAATCTTTACATGCAAAATTTGAGCCAGATCCGGTCCTAATTCTTGGTAATTGGACCCAGGCATGGCCCGTCACCATGAGCCAATTCGTGGCAAGGGGCGGCGGGAGATGCCAATAGGTCAGGGATTCACTGTCTATTTGATCGACGAGTATTGTACTTCAACATTTTGCCCGGTATGTGAGAGCAGGATCGAGAAATTCCACAAAATTGATGATCCTTGTCTGAAGAATCCCAAGCGCAAGTACCACGTCGCAATGGCAGCAGCAGCATTTAATTCCGTCGTAGCTGCAACCACTTCGGCCGCTGCGTCTGTCGCAGCAGCAGCCACCGACGCCGCAGCTATTACTGACAGTGCGCAGCAGAGTCGCAACCAGTGGATGCCTATTCGCCCAGAGTCTGCCGATATTATCCGGCGGATAGGGGAGGAAAAGGGCTGGTCTAAGCGCAAAATTTCCCACAAAATTAAGCAGCAGCTGCAGAATGAGCTGGCTGAGCGAAATTGGGAGCAATTCGTTAATCTTCAGCCTGCTGATAATCTCAAGCGCATTGCCAGGCTGAGCGGCTGGTCGCGGGGCAAAATTGAGCGCAAAATCAGACAGAGGATGTGCAATGAGTTGGCCGCGCAGCAGCAGGTGCAGGATCAGCAGCAACAGCAGCAGGTAGCCGCAACAGGCGTTAATACAATTCCAGCAGTAGAAAAACCTCGCCAAATCTTACGCCACAGCTTGCTTCAGTGTACAGTGGAAGACTGCTTGCAAACCTTTAGGACCGACGGAACCAAGATCAAGGATGGCGAAAAAGTGCCATCAAGCAGGCGGAAGTGGAATCGTGACATGGCTGCGGTGCTAAACTTTCGCATCATTCTTAATGCCCTGCTTAAAGGCGAGCATTCTCCCTGTCTCTTGCGCAAAAAGACACCTTTCGAGTTGGCTGGATTTGAGTCTACAGCAACGCCCAATAATTTTCCCAAGCCCAAGCCCTAGCTTCTCTTCGAAAGAAGCAGCGCAATAATTAATATCTTCAATCGTAGTAGGCTATTTGTTGCCTCTAGTTTCTAAGGGCGTTCTGGGTTACTATGCAATCAGGATAGTAAGGGTTGATGTCGATTTGCAGGATGTTTGAATTTTATTTAGGTATTTGTAGTCATTCTTTTCTTCAGTATAGAAAGAATTAGTTTTCTAAACCCAGGCGCTGTGCCTTGAAGCGGGACATTTTTGGCTTTGCTTGTTGCAATCCAGGCGCAGCAGCGGCAGCAGTAGGGGCGACAGACTCCTTGACAGACTCCTTGACGGATTCAACCACTGGTGTGCGCACAGGCTTGGGAGCGCAAGCAACTTCGGGCGGGCTCTGATTCCTGTTCATCATGGCATATGGAGACGGGTCGCTAGGAATCTCGATTCGCTCAAATTCTTGCTTATCCATCTCCCCGTCCTCCCCCCTCTTGTCGACCAGAGTGACACCAGCCATGGTGGCCAAAACCTGCTCTGCAACTTCCGCGGCGCCCTCGAGTTTGCCGCCAGACATCTTGGCAAAACGCATCCGGCTATATGCCTGGGCAATCTCCTTGGCGTGCATCTCCTCGTCGACAGTCTCTGTGGTGGGCTCAGCAGTGGTCTCGCGCTCAACCACAGCGGTTTTCATCGGCTGGTTCTGCTGCTGTTTCTTGGGCACATTTGGCGTGCCCGGCGCCTTGTTATCGCTCCTAATGCTGCTGCTGCCGGGGAACCGGACGCCTGACAGGCCAGTGTTGGGCTTGAACAGTAGGTTGGATTGCTTTTTCTTATCCTCGGACACTGCCATTTCAGCCAACAACCCAGCCACAGGGTCCACAGGACTGCTGTCCCCCTGCGGCAGGCTGTATGCGACGGCCTCTGGGTTGAACGACACCGAGCGTGCGGAGGACTCCCTGGCAGCAGTATCTTCGGCGCGTTTGCTCTTGAACAGGGATACAGGGGCCTTGAGAATACCCTTGGGGGAGTTGCGCGGCGGGGCCTCGACGAAGCGCTCGATGACTTTGGATTTAAGTTCCGAGGGCTGATCGTCGTCGCTATTGGATCCGTTGCGCGTATAGTCGTTAAAGTCATCCTCGTCGTCGTCCTGGGCTGCGTTGGCGCGGTCCTCTTCGGAAAACTCGTCACCCTCGTCCTCGTCCTCGTCCTCGTCCTCTTCTGTATCTTCATCGTCGTCATCCTCTAAGTCGTCATCGGAGTTGAATTGGTCCAGGATATCCAAAATCCTCTGCTCTTCGAGACCCAGATTCTGACGATCAATATCGGCAACAGCGCCGGCTTCCTCAATAGCCCGCAGCCGCTTAGCCTCCAGGTCCGCGGCAACCCCCGCACTCACTACCAGTTCAGCCTCCTCCAGCTCATCGCCCTGGCTAAACGGCACCTCCACGCCTTCTTCTAACTCCTCCTTAATCTCCACAAACCTCTCACCCTGCTCATTATACAGATTCCCCTCCAGCTCCTTCCCAAACGGCAAGCCTCCTAGGTCCTCGGCCTTCTCACCTTTCATCACCTTGATGCGCTTCTTAATCAGGCTAATCTGCGCATCCGCGTATTCCTCGCGGCGCCTTGCCATGGCCGCGGCTTGCGAGGCCGAGCGGTCGACGAACCAGTTGTCGCCGAGTAATACGAGGATCTCGTTTGTGTGGATCAGCTGCCCGGGGAAGAATGCCAGGGGGCCGACGGGGACCATGGCTTCGTAGGTGAGCTCACTGGGGAGATCCGTTAGGAGCGTTTGCAGAGAACTGTATTCTTCCTTGTGGCCCTTATATTGCGATAAGAGGGAGGTTAGAGAAGGCATGTCGGTTGGGAGGCTCGGCGTGGAGGGCGACGAGGGCGTATATACGACTGCTTCTTTTCCTTTGGACATTGCAATGTTTTCCCTTTTTTGGATTTAGAAAGTAAAAAAAATTAATAGTAAAAAGCTTGGAAATATGAAGAAAAATATTTTTGTGGGGGTTCAAATTTTATTCTGGTTAATTTCTTAGCTCCAGCGTTAAGGAAGTAAGAACGGGAAAAAAAATTTCAAATCGACAATCATCGCTTATTGCTGCGCAGCAGCAGCAAATAATAATAAAAACAATTTCAACACTTTATTGCTAAAAAATACAAATCCCAATTCACGCCAATTCACACCACTTCACACACACAAATGGATACAGGGATGGAAACGCTGAGCAAAGAGGACCAGGACCTACTCGCGCGGTGCCTGAGCAAACTCAACACATCCGATATCTCACACTGCCTGCTCCTCCCCTCCGGCGAGTTCCAGCGCGCCACCGGTCTCAACGACCGGCAATCCGCACACGCACGCACTCTTATTTTCCAGATCCTCTACCCCTGGCGCGCCAACCTCCAACGTGCCCTCCCACACCCCCAGCAGCAGCAGCAGCATCCCCCAGGGATCACCACCGGTGACCCCCGCCTGGACCTCTGCCTCGGCGGCTTTCTCCCACCAGGCAGCCTAACAGAAATTGTCGGCGAAAGCGCTACCGGCAAAACTCAGCTCTGCCTGCAACTAACAGTCTCCGCACTTCTTTACAATCCCTCATCCGAAGTCATCTACATCTACACCGAGGGCGCATTCCCTGCAGGTCGGCTTGCCGGGATGGCGCGCAGGCGGACGAATGATGTGGATGCTTTGATGCGGCGCGTCCACGTGGCGGAATTCGCTGACCTGGAGACTATGCTGCATGCGATGGAGTACAAGGTGCCGGGAATTTTGGCCAAGGGGGTTGTGCCGCTGGTGGTCGTGGACTCTGTGGCTGCGCATTTAAGATTCGGCGATGATCCGGATCAAATGGCATTTTATCGCAGGAGGGCGGCGATGATGGTTCAGTTGGGCAAGAGGATTAAGAAATGGAACGGACAATGGAGATGTGCGGTTTTGGCAACGAACCAGGTGCGAGATGTTTTCGGAGAACCGCCCGCGGGCGCATATAGGGCTCAGGTGGTTTCGTTAGTGGCTGATAGGAAGGCGCCGGCGTTAGGCGCTGTGTGGGCCAATATTATTGATGCCAGAATCGTCATGTACCAGCGCAGAGCAGCCGATGCTGGTGCCGCTGAGATTGCGGAGAACATTGGGCGGAACAGACGCTGGATCGAACTGGAATTTTCGCCATGGGCACCGCGAGCGCAATGCGAGGTTACTCTTAGCGACAGTGGATTCCACCACATATAATGTGTTTTGTTTTATTTCAACAACCCTACACTAACAGAAAAGAATGAGGCTACAAGTATTCTGCAAAACGGCACCCTTCCCCCCAGATTGACTAGCAACCTGACAGGTGTTTAGAAACCAGTGGCAATAGACCATTATGGCTGACGATATTAATCAGTTCGCTGCTTCTTTTGAAGAGAAGAAGCTGGGGCAGATGGATTCTTGTGGACACGCTTGGGCTTGGGCTTTGGCTTAAGCAAAGTCTCGGGTATCGCTGTACACTCGGGCTCACCCGACTCTGACAATGTCTTTTTGCGTGAAAAACGGGTTTTGAAAATCCCCCGCTTAAAAATCTGGACTTTCGCTATAAATGTCTGGAAATTCCAAATTACATTTTCAATAGTGTAGTCCATTCAGTAATGAGGATTCTGTCCCACGGGCAAATGCACACTACTGAATCTGAAAGTGGATCCTCAGTAGGCTGTGATAGCTGGGGGAGGTCCTGGCGGAGTTTCAAGAAGCAGGTTTCACAGAGTCGGTGGTCGCAGGGTGAAAGCACGATGGCTTCGAATGTGGTGTAGCAGAGTGTGCATGTTCCAGGCAGTGTCTCTGTGCCCGAGTCTTCGTCTGCCAGTTGATGTTCCAGAGCCAGGGTGCCTAGCCGCCTGCTGAACTGGCTTGTGAGGTCGCTGGCTACTTTTAGGAAGTCCGGGGCTGCCATTGTGCGCTCAATATTCAGGGTGCTGAACTGCTGGTCGCTGTGGCGAGAGGCCAGCCTCAGCAGCGATTCAACCAAGGTGGCAGTTTCTCGCAAGGTATCCGGTAGTAAATCGCACTGCTGATGCTCCTGCTTCTGCTGCTGCTGCTTCTGGGCGCGGTGTTTCAGCGTCCTAGAGATTTGCGCGCTCATATCGGCAACGCGCTGGTCGATATTCTCAGATAACCGCAAGGTGGTGATCTGAAACGCCACAGCCATGTCCTCATCCACAGTGACCATGATAAACTCATCGTTGTCAATAGACTTCCTGCGCAAGGCCGTGACCTTCAACCACGGAAACTCCAAAACAACATCCTCCATCTGGCCGCCGCCACTAGCACCATCGCCAGCGGAATCCACCACAGAAGCGACTTCGCCAACAGGCTTAATGGGGCCAATAATTTGGCCGCGCCAAACCACTGCCTGGTCGGAAAACGCCAGTTCGCCATGGCCCATTGTACGGAGCTGGCAGAGCAAAACCGATGACCACCATTTGCACGCAACCGCAGCAGCTGGGAATTCCACCTCTGCTGTGTATCCGACCAATCTATCGCGCAAATCCTTTATTATCTGCTGCTCGGTTTCTGCCTGCAACTGTCCGAGTTTGAGTCTCGCTTGGTCAAGGTTTCTCTCTGTCATCATGGTTTCCTCTAGGTCGCCCAGTGGGCCAATAGCCGACTCGGAAGCATCCAGGCTGGCCAAGTCGAAAACCATATCCGCTGATTCCTCTCCTGCCACTGCTAATGAGCCTGCTGCTGCTGCTGCTGAAGTGGTGGTGGGAGTGGGCGACCCTTGGAGTTCGAATGGTCTCCTGATCGGGGACCACAGTGGACTCGCAGGTGAGCTTAGCGCCGGCGACACGATGTGTAATGAAGTTCGGAATAGTGGTGACTGCGCATTGACTATTTCGGATTCTGGCGTTCTCACCGGTGGTACGGTTATTCCCGTGCTTGTTCGCCGATTTGCCTTGTGCCTCTTTGTGTTGCGGGGCAGAAGCAGCGCTGCGAGTTCTCCTGGTGTGATATTCTTGCTGTTTGAGCCTGAAAGCTTTGTAGGGTTATGCAATGTCGTTGCTGGTACTGGTGCTGCTTGTTTGGGCACGATGGGCATGGTGGGGGCTGGTGAATTGCTGTGGGTGCTGTAAGTGGTGGCGTTTGGTTGGTCTCTGGTCGGTGTGTGTGCTGGGATTTTGGTTTTAGCCTTGGCTTTGGAAAGTCCAAATTTCTGCCGGAGTGCGCGAATTTCACTGAAAAAATCGTCACTGTCGCTTTCAGAGTTATTCATTTTGTGTCCTTTACATTTACAAAAAAAACAAGAATAAAGTATAAAGTATAAAGGCAAAATAAAATAAAACAAGACAACCAAAATGGGCGCAGCAAAAAATAAATAAAGGGATCCAGATGTATGCGTATTTTTTTATTTGAGCAACAGTTGACTCGAGTCGGCTCTCGATTTATCACGTTCAACGAAATTGTGTAGGAATAGAAAAAATATTCATATTTTTTTTCTTCCTTTCTTTCTCTTTTTGGGGAGTACGTTTCTTTTTTATTTTTGTACGAATTCAGTCAACCAAGACGCTCTCTCTCTTTTTTTTTGAATACCATGGCTAGGAAACGTAATAACAATAACGGCGGCGGCAAGAAAAACAAGGGAAAGAGCAAGAAATCTAGCCGCAGCTCCAGTATTTCCGCCAGCCCTGTCTCCATCCCCATCCCCTCAATCGTTACCGATGCTCTTGCCACAGAGTCCATTCTGACTGCTGTCAGTGATATTGTTGCCGAAATTATTGATGAGCGCGACGAAGAAGAGAAAGAGGATAATGGGGTAGTTGAGAACCCCGCGGTACCTGATGATCTGGAGAACGCTGAGTCTGTGGATGTGGAGGATCGGGTGGATCAGGAAGAGGCTGAGGAAGTCGACGCCGTTTCCGATTCAGAGGAGGCGATCGAGACCACAGAGTCGGTCGATCCGGCGGAGACTGAGGCCGTCAGCGAGATCAATGACCAAGAAATTGTCAAGGACGTTGTTCAGGCTGAGGTTGAGGAATTCGACGCTGTTTCCGATTCAGAGGGGCCAGTCAAGGTCACAGAGTCGATCAATGCAGCGGAGACTTACACTGTTGATGAGGTTGATAATCAGGAGGAAGCCGCTGTCCAGAACGAGGTCGAGGAAGTCGACGCTGTATCTGGTTCAGAAGGGGCGATCGAGGCGACAGAACCGGCCGATCCGGCGGAGACCGAGGGTGTCAGCGAGATCAATGACCAAGAAATTGTCGAAGATGTTGTTCAGTCTGAGGTTGAGGAATTCGACGCTGTTTCCGATTCAGAGGGGCCAGTCAAGGTCACAGAGTCGATCAATGCAGCGGAGACTTACACTGTTGATGAGATTGAGAATCAGGAGGAAGCCGCTGTCCAGAACGAGGTCGAGGAAGTCGACGCTGTATCTGATTCAGAGGAGCCAGGTTATGTTGACAAGCCATCCAAAACAGACATTGCCCCCGAGCCCCAACCTATCCATAGCGAACTTGAGGACAGCTACCACGTTGATTTTTCCGAAGCAACCGAAGAAAAAGATGCCACACCGGTGACTGAAGACCAACTTGATGACCTCTACACACGCTCCTTCACACCTTCGTTGACTACTGGCCTTCTGTCCGATAGATTTTCCTACACAGGTTCTGTTAACATGGAGGACTCCGAGGCCGAACTCCTGGCGAGTAACCTTGAGGACAGCATGTATCGGTCGTCAGTTGAGAACAGTCTCATTGATGAGATGCATGTGCTGGAGACTCCTGAGAGCGGCAGCTTTGTTGGTCAGGAGGAGTCTTTGGAGCCAGTTGTAGTTGAGTCGCTTGAGAGAAAGTACGTTGTTACGCCGGGTGCTTTTGATGGTAGCGGTGAGGAGATCGATGAGGAGGATAAGGAGCCAGAGGAGGTCGCAGCGGTTGATATCCCGGAATCGGCCGAGCCTGAGCCTGAAACCGAGGCAGTGGATTCTGTTGCCGTGGAGGATACCGCTGGCGACACCCCCGAGACCCCTACTGAGGACGCTGGTGCATCTCAAGTTACCAGATCCGTGGATTCTGCAGAGATCGAGGCCCAAGCAGGGGATTATGTTGCAGAGGAGGGTGCGGGCAAACTTATTTCTGCAGATGGTAATTTATCTCCACCGATCACCGAATCTGCGGAGCAGCTGGCCACTGAGCCAGAGGTCAAGGTCGAGGCTGTTTCAGTTCCTGAAAGAGACACAGTGATCGTCGCGGAATCCGAGCCAATCGAGGAGACATTGGTGTCGACGTCATCCGATCATGCTGAAGAGATAATTGGGCATCAAGAACCTGGTAAGTTTTATTTCAAAATTGTTTCTGTGCGTTTTTTTTTGATATCTTGTTTCGAGGAGGGATGTGTTTTTTCAGGGCTGTGCCATAACGCAGTTTTTCGTGTTTCATATTTTCGATTCCAAATTGCATATATATATTTCGTGGCAGTGATGTAACCATTTGATATCGAAGCATAACAGTCTGGATACAACTCCGTTTTAGCTTGTGTCTTGACAAACATAAAGCAGGCCCAGAGCTATTCCATTTTTATGCAAGTCAATGACAGCATCTCGTTCCCAAAGCTCAAGAACACATTTGTGTGACCTCCATTTCCCCCCTTTCTTCGTATAAAAAACAACATTGTTTCGTTATTTCAATTCCAAATCTCTTGTTTTTTAAAAAAAACATTTTTTCCTTTTGATAATAATTACCACACTTTTTATATACACATATATACGCATTTGTAGCACTGACAGCTCACTCGATCAATACAACAGAAGCAACCATGGCTAACCGTAACCAGTCCGCAAAGATCGACCGCGCGATCGACAACACCGCCGAAGGTGCCAAGGACGCAGTCGACAAGGCCTCTGACGTCGCCCAGAATGTCGACAGGAAGGCCGAAAATGTTGCGTCGGACGTCAAGGACGCCACCCATTATGCTGGCAATAAGGCCGAAAAGGCCGCGTCGGACGCCAAGGACACTGCGAAGGATGTTGCCAGGGATGCCGACAAGAAGGCGAAGGAGGTGACAGATGCCGCGGCCGATGCCGCCAATAATGCGGCGTCCAAGGCCAAGGATGTCCTGGATAGCGCAGGCAAGAGTGTTCGCGAGGCCGCGGCTACCGCCAATGACAAGGCGCATGGTGCTATGAGCAGGGCGCGGGAGTCTGGCGAGAAGTTTGCCAAGAAGGCGAGAGAGGAGGCGGAGGAGGCAGAGAAGGCGGTTAAGAAGGGCGTGAGAGAGACGTCGCCGGATACTCTGAGGGCTTTGGGCATTATTGCCGTAGCTTTGGCGGCTGTGTCTGGGTACTACTTCCGGCTGCCTGGAAGGGATAACCAGAGGCTTGGATTTGCTGGTGGTGTTGCGTCTGCTATTATCGGTCTGGGCACTTTGGCCACTGCGTTCATCAAGCGGAATGCCTGATAAGGAGCAAAATATGTTTTCCCCCCCCCTCGATATTCTTTAATTAAACCCGTGGCAATTTTTTATAGTGTCGCCGTTGTTGGCATGTGCACACATGATGTGGATGACAAATTCATTTTGGCGTATAAATACTTCCAGCAAGAAAAAATACAACAATCGCATTGTTTTGTTTTCAAAAAGCGAAATATAAAAAGGCAAGGGCCATCATGAATGCAGGCCACGTCACAATATTCAGGATCCCAAGCGGATATATAAAGGGCGTCAGCGGGCAGACCAAAATATATAAATGACACTTTAGACCATCATCATTTCACCTAATTCGCTCAATTCTTCAACCTTATTATTTAAAAAGCAAACCATGGCCTCTGACACCCCTATCAAAACCGAGGAGCAGAAAATGCTTGACTGCGAGATGTACCTTGGGAACGACCCTGAACTTCTAGAGCTCCGCAAGCAAGCGCGCCACAAAGTCGCCGCGCTAGGCAAAGCCCGCGACGACCCCGCAGCCTTCACCCAAGCGATCCACAACCTCCTCGGCACAGTCGGTGATGACAACGCAGTGATTGAAAGCCCAGTATACTTTGATTACGGCAAGAACACACACGTGGGCAAGAACTTTTACATGAACTCAATGTGTACTATTTTGGACTGCACGCGCGTGGATATCGGGGATGATGTGGCGTTTGGGCCGAATGTGCAGGTTTATACGGCAGAGCATCCGGTGGATCCGAGGCGCAGGCTGGAAGGGCTAGAGTCGGCGAGGCCAGTGAGGATTGGAAATAATGTGTGGGTGGGAGGCGGCGCTATAATTTTGGCTGGTGTGACGATTGGCGATAATGTCACGGTGGGCGCGGGCGCGGTGGTCACGAAGGACGTGCCCAATAATGTGCTTGTCGTCGGTAACCCCGCGCGTATCATTAAGCACGTATAATTGCTTTTTATTGGGCCTTTTTTTTGCATTTTGCGTTTTGAGAATGATAGCGGGGTGGATTAAGCGCAATATAGAAAATCAGATGTTTTTTACTATGCGAAAAAAAAATTGATCGACAATCTCGACTCGCTGTATTTTTTTAGTATGGAAAATATGAAACAAAAAATTATAGATTTCGAATTCTTTTTTTTTTCTTTTTTTAAAATTTCGAATTTCGAATTTTTCTTTCTTTCAATCAGCATTTCGTAGAAATTATTTAGTTTATTCCCTTTATTTTACAAATCATGTTTGGTGTTCGCGCAGCTATCAGAAACGCCGCCGCTATTCGCGGTGCCGCCACCCGTACCGGTTCCTCCGCCGGTAAGTATTCCTCCTTGCTGAATTACAACAGCAGCAAGAGATAAGAATTGAAAACAGGCAGAAAAGCAAAAACAAAAATTCATATATATATTTTTCTAATCCCTCTTCACTTCACTACATTACACTACACTACACTACACTACACATTTGTCTTTAGTTGTCGGTCGTCGGTTCTTCTCGGATCAGCCGGAGGAGACTTATGAGCAGTTCACCAACCGCTATGTCAAGTTCTTCGAGAACATTGATGATCAGTTTGAGCTCCAGCGTGGCCTGAACAACTGCTTCGCTTATGATTTGGTTCCCGATGTGGCTGTCTGCGAGGCAGCTCTGCGTGCCGCCCGTCGTATTGATGATTACGCCACGGGTGCCCGCGTGTTCGAGGCTCTGAAGACTAAGGTTGATAAGCCTTCCCAATACCAGGACTACCTCAAGGCTCTTAAGCCCGTCAAGGACGAGCTGGGCATTCAGACCAAGGAGGAGCTCGGCCTTTAAGCCATTTTTTAAATGTCTTTTCGTTCTCAAGTTTTTAACAAGAAAAAAAGAGTGGTTGGTCAAATACAATTATTTTTATTATTATTACTTGGACATATCAGATAATACTTGGAGACATGATCTGATGCGGTTAACAAGGTTATGTACCAAGCCCATGTTGGCTATATTATCGCATACAACGGTGCCGTAGTACGGGCCGACGCGGAACTGAACCACCTGCATTGCGCCGTATATCAGGGTTAAGACACGACTAGACCCAATCTGCATCTTCCTAATATCGTCAAAGGCGTCCTGGCACTTATCCAAAAGCGTCTCCTCGAAGAGCGGCTCGTGGAAGATCGGTAGGGCTTCGCGGAATAGCGGCTCGCGTTCGGCATCCGTCACTGTTACAAGCATCAGGCCTTCGATTGTGTTCATGGCTTCGCTGAGCATCTTTTCAAATTTTCCGTCGCCGTGTTCGGCTGGGCCCGTGGGCGGTGAGCTGTGCATGAGCTCGCGTTCAATCTCGAGGTCCATTTGTGTGTGCTGTCAAGTGGGGAGGGGGGGTGGGGAAATGAGGGTAAAGGTGTAAATTCAACTTTATTGGAGAAAAAAGAAAGGGTTGGGCTTCAAACTGAGAAAAAGAAAAGAAGCGAAAATAACAAAAGAGAGAAAAAGACGGGACAGGTGAAACATGCCCATCACATGATATGTCAAGCAGACACATGGCCGGCCAGCGCTATATCTCCCACTCTTCTTTCATCTGGAGAATTAGCGCCTGGCGTTGCCTTCCTGCTGGGGTGCGTCCTCGCCGGTCAGGAGCAGCATCAGGACAATGGGCACGATGTAGTACCAGTACTTCATAATAAAGCTCTTCTGCACCTCCGGGGCCTTCTCCGATCCGGTATTGACATCAATAGAAACAGCTGCGGCCAGCTCCGGCGTCGGGCCCTGCATCCTCCTCCTCACCACCACCTGCGTATCAAACCCATCAACATCCACGAGCTTCCTGCTGTGGCAGTTCTCCAGCGACCCCACGGCGTAATCCACATGCAGCAGGGCGCCGTTCCTCTCGGCATGCACGACAAAGGTCTCCTTCGGGCGAGCGGCTCCGTTGAGCCGGCAGCGAGGGGCTGCCAGGTGCACCAGTGATCCTGTCTTCTGCGAGCGCAGAACCACAGTGTACTGGAGCTTGTCCCCCTGCTGCGCCCATGCATCGGTGTCCGGAAGAGTCGGTGGCGGAATGCCGCCGCTTATTCTTGGCGAGTAGGCCGGTGGGTCGGTGAGGGTTAGTTCGCCGCGTTGTGTGAATTTGTTCGGCGCCAGGTTGTGGAATACCTCCAGGGTGTCTGCGGAGGCGTGCGCTGGGAGGAGCGCGCCGAGGAGGAGCACGAGCACAGAGGGGAATAGTGAGCGCATTTTTCCTTTTTGAAATGCGAATTAGTGTTTTTGTTTTGTTGTTGGCGGACAGAGATTTGAATTCGTGTATCTGGGGGCTTCAGCCCGAGTTTACTTGGGTAATTTGGACCGCAAAAGTCATGTGATTGAATCATCAGGATTCGGGGTGTGCGTGTCGCATTCTGTCAATGCCGCCATGATCAATGGCGATGAGCCAGAAGAGAGACACTCATTCTCGCCCTCGGCCTCAGCGCCTCCTTCCTTTTCCTTCTTTGTTCCCCAGTGTTTTTTTGATACTATATATTTTTTGACGCTTCATGTTTTGTCGCCTAGCAAGAACCGCGCGCAAAACACTCTTCAGCTGCATCCAACAACAACAACAACAGCAGGCCCAGCAGTCGAGACCAGGCTTAGTGCGCACATACCACACGGGTAGCGTTCACTCTAGCACCACGACAATTGCAGCGCACAGCGGCACAGCCAGCAGCAGCAGCAGCAGCAAGAAGAAGCGCTTTTACAGCACGACAGCAGAGACAGAGGAAATGGCAGCACCGGTCAATACGACAGACAGGCTCAGGCAGCTGCGCGAGCTGATGAGCATGGCGGAGCACAATGTGGCAGCATACGTAGTGCCCAGCGAGGACGCGCACCAGGTAAGGCTGTTTGTAAAGAGCAGCGATGGCAGTGCATCCACGGCAGTGCATCCGCGGCAGTAGCGCGTAGTGAAGCAACAATTAACCACCATGCATTTCATCATCCCGCCATTTCGTCATTGTTGTAGAGCGAGTACGTTGCCAGCTGCGACGAGCGGCGCGCGTTCATCTCTGGGTTCGACGGGTCCGCCGGGTGCGCAGTGGTGACAGGCAAAGAGGCGCTGCTGTTCACCGATGGGCGGTACTTTCTGCAGGCGCGGCAGCAGATGGACAGCAACTGGACGTTGATGAAGAGCGGGCTCCCCGGCGTGCCGACCTGGCAAGAGTACGTCGGCGGCCTTGCCGCCGGCTCGCGCGTGGGCATCGACCCGACGCTCGTGTCCGCGACGCAGGCGCTCGAGCTGCGCAGGAAAATGCAGGCCAAGGGCGTGCAGCTCGTGAGCGTCGCGGACAACCTCGTTGACCGCGTGTGGGGCAGCCGGCGGCCCGAGCGGCCCCTCAACGAGATCTTTGTGCACGACGTCAAGTTCGCCGGCGCATCGCACGCGGATAAGATTGTCCGCGTGCGCGCGGCCGCGGCGAAGGCCGGGGCGGACGGCGTCGTGGTGGCGGCTCTGGACGAGGTCGCCTGGCTGCTGAACCTGCGCGGGTCCGACATCTCGTACAACCCGGTGTTCTTCGCCTACGTGCTGGTGACGGCCGACAGCGTGACGCTCTTTGCCGACGAGCGCAAGGTGCCCGACGCCGTGCGCGCACACCTGCAGGGCGTCCAGCTGCAGCCCTACGGCGCGGTCTTCAGCGCCATGCGCGTGGCCGCCGCCGGCCGCTCGAGGCTGCTGGCCGGGGCGTCGGCCAGCTGGGCGCTGGCGCAGGCGCTCGAGGATGCCGGCGCTGCGGTTCTGCCCGAGTCGCCCCTGCCCATGCTCAAGGCCATCAAGACGCAGGCCGAGCTCGACGGCATGCGCAGCTGCCACGTGCGCGACGGCGCCGCCATGGCGCAGTTCCTCGCGTGGCTCGAGAACGAGCTGCGCTTCAACGCCGGCCACCTGCGGCTGTCCGAGTGCGACGTGGCGGATAAGCTCGAGGGCCTGCGCCGCGCGCAGCCGCAGTGCGTTGGCCTGAGCTTTGCGACCATCTCGGCGGTCGGCGCCAACGGCGCCATCATCCACTACTCGCCGACGCGCGGCTCGGACGCTCTGCTGGACGTCAACCAGATGTTCTTGTGTGACTCCGGCGGCCAGTACCGCGATGGCACGACGGACGTCACCCGCACCTGCCATTTCGGCTCGCCGTCGCCGTGGCAGCGGGAGTGCTTCACACGCGTGCTCAAGGGCCACATTGCGCTGGACCGCGCCGTGTTCCCTGCGGGCACATCGGGCTTTGTTCTGGATCCGCTGGCGCGCCTGCCGCTGTGGGAGCTGGGGCTGGACTTCCGCCACGGCACAGGCCATGGCGTCGGCTCGTTCTTGAACGTGCATGAGGGCCCGCAGGGCGTCGGCATGCGCCGCAACTACCTGGATGCCGGCTTCCAGCACGGCATGACCATCACAAATGAGCCCGGGTACTATGAGGATGGCAGCTTCGGTATCCGCATCGAGAACACCTGCCTTGTGGTTAAGAAACAGACTCCGTTTGATTATACTGGCGGCCCTGGCTTCTTGACCTTTGAGCCGGTCACCATGGTGCCGATCCAAAAGTCCCTTGTGCAGGTCGGGTTACTGACCCCCGACGAGCGCGCGTGGCTGGACGCCTACCATGCAAGTGTGTGGGCAAGTGTCAGCCCGCTGCTGGAGGAAGGAAGTCTGGCATATGAGTGGCTTAAGCGCGAGACGTCGCCAATCTGAACAAAACAAAGATACGAAGCTATTTTTTACTCTCTCGTTTTATTGGGATTAGTGAAAGCAACACATATTTAATAGGACTGAATGTTTGGTTCTTCGCCACACAGTCAACAAGTGAGGCATGTCTAATTGCTTCTTAGCCAGTGAGTGAGAGTAACACAGTGATAAGCCCTAAAAACCACATGGGATGTGTATTAGAGAATTACGAGTGGCTTTGGGACAAGGCTCAGCCAGCAGCTGCATTTCCGACTCTGCCTACTGGCAAGTTGGAATTGTGACCCTCTCTTGGAAATAATAAATATATAATACCATCTATACTACTACCCACCACAAGACTCTCACTGCGGCACCATTTCTAAGCAATGCATATCCCATTATCAGCCTATAATGGGCCCAGAAACTTGCCCCTATGGTGACAGCACCCCACCACAGAGGGCATGACATCAATTAAGGCAATGCCACGTGACGATCGTGGTTACTACTAACCGCGGTTATATTTTACTGCTAGCGGGTTTCGATTGAGCTTATTTAGCTCGCTTATAGTAGTAGTATATATTTTTATAGATTACATTTAACAGACAGTTTGTTGATATTACAGAGGGAGACAGCAAATGTATTATGTAGCAACAATAAGCTCTACATATTAAGTATAATCAAATAAATACACTATAAAGGATCTAAAGTTCGCCTTAAACAATCAGCATCTGTAAACAATAAAATACAGCCACGATTGATAATAATCACGTCTATCGCGTGTTATTTCCCTAGTTGATGTTACACCACCTCCCTCCCCCTCATCAATATAAATCAATGTATTTTAAATGACATTTTAAAAAACACAACACTTGCCATCATAAACTTTAAGTAAAGGGCAGCTCATGCGTAAGCAAGATTGAGTGTAAAAAATGCATGTGTCGGTCATGTCGATATACAATCCAACCAGTTAATGAAAATAAATTTAAAAACATGGGGGGGGGGGTCAAAACATGGTTACTTGAAATTTTTCATTTCATTTCGTTTCATTTTATATTTGATTTTTCTTTCTTTTTTTCCCTCTCATGTTGCGTTGGTGTGCAATTTCATTATGATATTCTTATATCGTTACAAAATTTTAGTACCACTCTGCTTTCAAACGTCGTTGTAGACCCCCAAAGGGTCTGAATGCCGCGCCCAAGCCCAAGGCCACGCCTAATGCAATTCATGACTGGATAGTTCTTATCATTTTTCTCACATCATAGCGGCTATTACTGTCTGACGGCTCAATCCCCACTGGGTAAAACCAATGACTAAGAAATGGAATAAAAAGACTTGGTCCAAAACTACATAATAACAATTTCATATTATTATTTTCTAAATTAAAAATAGATAGTTTACAAACTCAAGCATTCTTCTTCTACTACTGCTACTGCTGCCGACTTTCAAACACCATCCGCAGGCTGCCACCCACAGCCTGCGCAACCTCAGCATTAGTTGCCCTCAGCGTGACCCTCACTAGGCCATGTGTGGTCTTGGGCTCAACCCTGACAAGGCACCCAAAGCGGCCAGCCTGTGTCGTGGCAATACCTACGCCGACAATATTGGTCGGCTCCGGGTCTGCACCCTGAATCAGCGCAAATCCCATGCCACCAACCACACTGCGCAGCCACTCGCCGGCCGCCGAATCCGATGCCAAAAACGCTGCCTTCAGCACCTGCTGCGACTCGCCAATCCCCGAATCCCCCAGTTGCTTCCACCGCGCAAAGAAATCCCCCACAGCTATAGTCACCGGATTCATAAAATGACCCACAGTCACCGGCAACTGCAGCTCCGACACCGTCGGTGATCCTGCCACTGTGTACGAAATCCGCAGCAAAGGTGCGGTTGAGAAAACCTGCAAGCAGTGGACGTCAAAGAAGATACGCGCTTGCGCCAAGGGAAGAAGTGTCTCCGGCAGGACGTCTTGACCAGCAGCTGGCTGGATAGAAACCTTGCTTGCATCGGAGCTGCTGGCGCTGATGGAAATTCCGTACATGGGCGCTGTTGAGCGGTTGCCAAGGAAGACGCCGATACGGCCGGCTGGGGGCTTGTACTGCGCGACCAAGCCCACTTGAATCTCATCGCCATCGTACAAAATGCCGTCGTTCTCCCAGAGAAGCCGTGCGTAGTGTCGCATGCTCTTGGCCACAACCTGGTCTGAAGCCGTGAGCTGTTTCTGCTCCAACTGTGATAGTGATTGTTGAGTTGGCTGCTGCTGCTGCTGCTCTTCCTTGGCAGCAGCTGCTGGGGACTCTGCCTCGGGCTGCGATGCAGAGAGACCACGGCGCTCGCGGTTGATGTCGCGGCCGCCAAATACCCAGGTGCGCTGGTCCTCCGTGTGTGACTCCCTCTTGAGCAGCCGGGACATCAGCGCCGATTGGCGCTCAGGGAACGGCGGCATCTCCTCGAAAACCGTCGGCAAAAGATCCTCGCTCTCCAATGTGCCCAACGCATAGTACTCGCACGCCCTCTGTTGCAGCTCAGCATCCAGAGCACCGCGATACCTGTCGAGGACACGCAGACATAGGGTTTTGATCTCTGGGAATAAGTTGATGAACTTGCCGACAGTCGTCAGGGCCACTGCCCGGGCGGCCTGGGACATCGCTGGCATCTTGCTCTGTAGGGCTTTGAGCTGCTCAATGGGCGCGCTGTCGTCCGAGTTGGCTATCAGGTGACCAAACTCGCCCAGCACATAGGCGCTTACCTTGAATGCGCTCTCGTGGCAGACCGGAGCCTTGAGCGTCTGCAGGGAGATCTTGCACGCGTACACTTGCAACTCCTCGTTGCCCAAAATAACCTGCACAATGCGGTGCCAGACCTCATCACCCATGTGGTCGCCGGCCAAGGACACTAGCCGCATCATGACATCGACGTACCAGGAGTACTCAGTGGCAAACTTTTCCGTCAATATCGCCACCTTGAGCGCCATCTCCTCGCGCAGTCCGACGTCTGCCAGCGCCATATGCCGCAGCAGCTCGGAGACCACGGTCTTGGCGCTGCTGACGTCGCACATTGAGTAGAGCAGGTCCAGGGCGCGGCGCCGCACGCTGACGTCGCGGTCGCGCAGTGACTGGATGATCACCCCCTGGTAGGTCTTTATCGAGTCCAGGCGGTCAATGTACGCGGCCAGATGCGCCATGGTTTCAAGCCCGAGGTAGCGCACGTTGGTTTCGCGCGACGTAATGAAGCGGCCAAGCAGCACAGCGCACTCTTGCATCAGCCCCTGGTCGACATCCAGGTGGATACCCAGGTTGATGGCCTCGAAGAGAATCGAGTACTGGGCGTTCATCTGCTGCAGCTCACGCGGAGTATCTTGCGACACGTCAATGATATGCCGCAGAATGCTCAGTAGCACGGTGCGCATCTCGGTGGATTCCGGCGCTGGGTAGTACTGTAGCAGCCGCAGGAGTTTGATCTGCAGCCACGGCGCCGGCACCTTGTAGTACACGTAATCCAGAGTGTACTCGTTGTCGATGACCAGGCTATTGAGTCTGCGCACGGCAAAGGACGCGGCCTTGCGGGTCTCCTCGGGGAACTGCTGGGCTAGCGCAGTCACCAGCGAGGCCACCGACTGCGTGACGCCAATGTCGCGGTGGCCCAGGTACGGCACCACCCTGGACGCCCACTGCGGGGCATTGACAGCCTCAGGAAACCGCCTCAGCAGCCGCAGCAAACACAACGCAGCCTTTTTCTTGATAAACATGCTGGCTGCTGGCGAAAGCAGCTGTACAACTATATCCTGTGTCAGGCCTTCGGCCATTTCGCGCGTGCAAATGTTGGATATAGCATTGAGCGCCAGGCATACGTTGCATTCGTTTGTGTCGTGGAGGTCACGGCGAAGCGCTGAGACTACGGTTTGTGCGTGCGTCGTGTCCTCGGACATTAAAAGGGAGACTGCCAGGTATCCGATCTGCTTCTCGCTGTATTTGGCGCCCGTGATCAGCTCGACCGCCTCGCGGTGCCCAAAGTTCACATCGTAGCCGAGCAGCGACATGTAGATCAGCTTGCACACGTACTTTTTGCGGTTGTATCCGTTGATATTTGTCTCTACAAGTACGATGCGAGTGAATGAATGCGTGTGTGAGCAAGCGTGTGAATGCGTATGAGCTTAGTTACAGGACAGCTTGCTGCAGCTGCTGTCGTTGCTGGTTCATTATCAGGTTTTGACTTCTGGTTTAGTTCCTTACCTTTAAACTTCGTGCGAATGTTGGCCAGCTCCTTGTTTACCCGCTTCTCCTCATCCTCATGCGACCGACCTAAGAAACTGCACCACTTGGTTTGTGTTTGCGTGTACTTTTTTGATTAGTATTGGTTGGTTGGTTGGTTGTCTGTATATGTATATGTATACATGTGCATTCTTTCTTTATTTCCTGTCTAAATTATCGAGATGTGCGCGCGGAATTCCCTTACATTTGCGCAGGTCCGCTATAAACACCGTCAGTCCCTTCATTGGCGCCATTGCTGTGGATTGTTTGAGATTAGGTCGAGCAGCAAGTATGAATTATCAAGACAGAAAAAGGAAAAGTATAGAATATTGTGATTAAAGAGAAAGAGCGGAAAGAAAAAGCAGAGATGAAAAATGAAGCAGTCAACAAAATGGATACAAGGGACCAATGTTGTGATCACCTCTCGTCTGTTTGCCACAAAGAAAGGAAAAAACAGCAGCGGCATATGCTGCGTTCCCTCCCGGCTCACTCGAGGACAGGGCGTGTGGCGGCAATCATGTAAACACGGTCACCCTCGCGCATGACGCTGTCAACGGCAGGATTGGGCACAACGTACCACAACGGCTGGCGATGGTGGATGGCCATGCGGTATAGCCCCATCGGGACGGCGCTGTGCTTGAAGCAGCAGTGCGAGAACAAGCTTGAGTAGCTCCTCCCATAGAACCTCTCCGGCACTTCGACCAAAAACACGTGGCCGGAGCTCTCCTCATCCTCGTCCTCCAGCATCATCGCACCGTCGATGCCGGCCTCCTCCATCTTGGCCATCCCCAGGGCATGAACCACGTTGCCGTGCGAGAAGATCAGCCGCTTCATGATCTCCAGAATATGCTTGTTGTAGTACGACTGGCAGATGAGCGTATCCAGCATAACTGGCGCATACACGCGGCCGGACATAAACGACGGGCGCAAGAACGCCTGTCCATACACCTCATTGACCACCATAGTCTCGCTATCACCGACAAACTGCATGTTTTCGCGATGAATAAACTCCACGCTGAGGAAAAAGTCCGGGCTGTTGTACGTCAGCGCCTCGATATTGAGCACGCTGAGTAGCGCCGGCGCATCGGCCGTAGCGGTCGCCGAGGTGTCCGACCCCGCGAGCGACAGCTTGTTGGAGGAGTCAGCGGCGGCGTTGAGGGACTCTTCGCGGTTGGCCAGGACGATACTGCTGCTTGCCGTGTGGATGCGCACGCGCGCGAGGTCTGTGCGCGAGAGCGGCGACCCATGGACAATGTGGAGGCAGCCGAACCGCGAGAGATCCTCGCGCTGCAGATCCGTTGGCTCGCCCGGCGACAGAATGACGATGGGCTGCATGTTGAGGAACGAGCCCTTGCGCTCACCCGCCTGCTCCTGCGTGGGCTGCTGCTGCTGTGCGGCGGCAGCGGGCTGCTCGTTGTAGCTGCGCGAGATCTGCTCGTAGAGGGACGCGAACGGGTTGGATTTTCTCGCCGGCGCTGCTGTTGTTGCGGCAGGCGCAGCGTGGGTCTGGGTCTCAGCCTCGGCAATCACCGTTACCTCCGATGGTGCTGCTGCACGGATGCAGCTGACCAGGTATATGATGTTGCTAGGGAACTCCGAGCTGGTATCGCAGACGATGATATGGCCGGAAATGTCGCCGGGAAGCCCGTCGGACGTCATCCCCACGGGAGCGGGCTTTGGCGCTTCCGCGCCCTGGGGCTTGGACGCAGGCAGCACGGATCCAGCAGCCGTTTTGGGTGTCACCTCCGCGCTGCTGGTCGCGGCGGCCAGCTTGGTAAGATCCACCTCGGACGCCTTCTGCTGCCGTGGGTCAAACACCAGCGGTGTGCGCTTCATCTGCACCTTGGGCGCCGGCGCCATCGCGCTGTCTGAGTGCTCGCTGTCGCTGCCATTCGCCAGGTCATCGTCCACCATGATGACAGCCAGCTCTGGCGACAGAATGCCGTGGTCGCTCAAGTCAATCAGGTCGCTGCTCTCCTCGTTCGACGGCTTGGCGCTCAGTGCCTTGGACACGGCGCTGGAAATGCTCATTTGGTCATGATCGTCGTCGTCCATGTGCTGTGGCAGCGCATCCGACACAGCCAGCGTATCCATAACGTTACCGCCGAAGGGGGACAGGAAGGTGCGTTGCATCTCGGGGACAGCAAGCTTGCGCTGCAGGGGGCTTCCAATACCCGCGTCCTCTGCTGAGACAGCAGCAGCGGCAGCTGCGTCGGTGATGGCCAGGCCGGGGATCAGCGGCGTAGTCTCCTCGTCATCGCTCATCACATCGCCCATATCCACAGACGCCTGCTCGGTCAAATAGGCGATATCCATGGAGACCAGCGAGTTAGACGTGATGACGAAACCCAGCTCGTCTCCGATAAACATGTACCCGGCCGGATTAATCAGAATGCGCCCGTCCTCAGGCCCAGCCTCCACACGGCGGTCGGGCACGCGCAGGGCAAACAGCGTGGCGCCGGTCCTTTGGAAAATAACCTGTGCGGCGCGCTGGAACCGCACACCGTTGAAGATAGATGAGATACGCGTGGCATAGATCTCATGGGCCATTCCCTGCGCATACTCGGCAAGCCACGGCTGCCTGCTATTGCGTGCGACACGCACCAGCGGATCCGTCGTATTATTGGGGATCGACGACGTGAGCAGCTGCAGCAGGGAAGCAAACCCTGGGACCATGACACTCTTGGCCAACAGGCCGAGCCGCAACTCCTCGACGCAGATGACATGGTCTGCGAGGTACTCCAGGTGCAGGGTGGTTTCAGGGAGCAGCACCTGGGCGTAGATCGGCACCGGATGGCGCGAGTTCCCGTGTCCCTTGAGGTACTTACGCACGGCCAGTGCAATCATCACTTTGGCCGCGTCCTCCTTGGCAGCGTCGGCGCCGGCCTTGGAGCTCAGCAGGAAGATCGCCTGCGCTGCCTGCGCCTCTACCTTGGCCAGTTGCTTGAATGATGTCGGGCTGCCCAGGACAAACTTTACCCTGTTGACATACGCCGGGTCGCTCAGCAGCTCGGCAACTTCCTTCCCGGGACTCCGCTCACTCATCACGACCACCACAGTGTTGACCGTGCGCAACCCGTGGTCCTCGCAGAAGAACTCGCGCAGGAACTCGAACAGCATAGTGTACTCGAGGTCGCCGATCACCAGGACGTGCGACTGGTTGAACTCTGCCTCGAAATGCGCCGGCCACGGGCTGCGGTCCTGCCACAGGCTGAGCATCTCAGACACGCGTGGGGGCAGCCAAAAGATACCGATGAACATGACAAAAAGCACGATGCTGCGCGTAAACCACGTGTCCGGCTCAATATCGGAGCTCAGACCTGTAATGCTGGACACCGCGATAAAGAAGAGTGCCTCGTCAAAGCCCTGGATCTCCCCGCCCTTGTCCTTGTTTTGGTAGTACACCATTATGTGTGTCAGCACCGTGATTGCCAGTACCGTGGTGAACACTGTTGTGAGCGCACGCAGGACATTTCGTGTCATTGGCGTCATCCTGTAGACGTTTTTGATCGGCACAAGGCAACGCAGAAGAGCGGGCTGCAGGCGCCAGAAAATAACCGGGTAGAGGAAAACCCAGGGCCCGGCCGACATGAAGGTGTCGTAGATCAACGGATCCACTGAAATATGCGCCACGACAGCCAGCGGTGTCAGCGCTGAAATCAGCGTAATGATGGAAAACTGGCTCCGGAAGTACTCCAGCGGATCCGGCGCCAGCATATACCGCGGCAGGAACTGAAGGAGGAAGATTCCGCTGATAATAGCCTCCGTGGCCAACGACCAGTAGGGGACACTGAGCCGGTGCTGGCTAATATGCGTGGTGTTATACACGTGCAGAGCGACCACCGCGGTATTCAGCAGTGCGTCCAGCTGATCCCACCGTCTGCCCGCCGCGCTGGCATCCAAGTACATACCGATCATCTGGCGCTGCGTCGGCGGCGGCTGCAGCTCACCATCGGCGTTCGCCCGCTGTGCTGTCAGAGCCGTCAGTCGTGCGCCCGCCAGAGTCTCGCTGTTAACCCGTGAGATTACTGGAGCTGGCCCGTCGGTATAATCGAAGAGATCACCTACGTCGTAGTTGATGCTTTCGCCGCTGTCCTGCTGCGGCCCGCGGCTTAGCATCGAAGTGCGGCGTCGCTGGATGTTGTCTGGCCCCAGCATAGAGCTGATGTCGCCCATAGTCGTTGTGCTGCGACGCCGGAAGCCGCGCACGACGGATGATTGCAACGTGCTGCCAAAGTTGATGCGCGTCGTTGGTCGCCGGTATAGTGAGCTGGTCTCTGCGGGGGCCAGCTCGCCCTGTCTGCTTGGGAGGTTGTTGGTCGCCATGGGAGCAATAGCAGGCGGACTATATTGTAGGGTTTGGTAATTATAGTATCAAAAGGAAAGCCCCTTGAATAATATCAAGAATTTAAATGGAGCAAAGCGAGGGAGAAAAAAAGGAGGGAAAGTTAGTTGCCTGTTTTTTCACTTCTTTATTTCAACAACTTTTTTATGGTCTACACGGGTCCAATGGCAAAAGAATTCTCGTCATGTTTTTTTTGCGGTCAGACAGCCGAAATAAAATGCAATTAATGGTGACAGAAGAATGAAATGTCATGTGTAGTGTGACATACAACGATGATCCTGCCTGCTCATGCGCACTATTGCAAAAAGTCGGTTATAATTTGGCGCACTATTTATCTTTTTTTGTCTTTGCCCAAAAAAACGGCAATATGTGTCAAATTAAAAAACCAATTTTGTACCAAAAATGCGGCAATTGTTCATGAGCAGGCTGCTTTTTTTACGAGCAGCTTGTGCTAGTGTTGTGATTTGAGTGGAGCACTATGATGTAGTGTTAAAAGATGGGGTGTCAGTTTATAGAGCTTTTTATTATTAATGGAATTAAAAGTAGAACTAGGGCCAGTCTCGTCATATATATATATATATCTCGTTGCCTTTGTTGTGTACTTTGCCAGTTGTGCACTCCGTTGGCAAGAACTGGTTCTTCTGCGAGCAAACCGGTGTCTTGGCAAGTCAATGTTGTGATATTCGCATGTGCGCATCCATGCATATACATTATCAAATGGGGGGCATATCAGGGTGTCATTATTATGTCCCCTGATTTGATCCTACATGGTACCACCATCTATGCCCTGTTAATCGGCATGTCGATGAAAACTCGTTTCACGGCCCTTAACCTCAACATCCACTTCCATATCATCAGTCTGCTCAACACTAGTTTTTCCTCTTTTGGTCGTTTCATTTTGTCCAGCGAAAAAAAATTGCAAGACGGCGCAGTCGCAAACTTGACTTGCAAAATTGCACATGGAATTTGTTGTTTGGTTAAGCAAATATAATTTATCAAGTATAAAATTGTAAAATTGTAATTGTACAAATGTGTAAAGTGACTGCATTCAGTAACCATTATTTTAAGCTTGAAGCTTTCCAAATTGCTTTTTTTGAAGAATGAATGATGTATTCATAGAAATATGTAAAAAAAATTAGAAAATGAAAATGAAAAAACACATATATATCACTCTGCTCAGTGCTTATGCACAGCGCGCGAATGGCGCTCCAGCACATCCATACGAGCAAACCCGCGGTTGCAGTTCTTGCACTTAAACCCATCCGAGTCATCATGCAGGACCTGGTGGCGGGTCATATCGTGCTTTCTGGTAAAAGTCCTTTGACAATGGGCGCAGTTGAACGGACGAGCCTTTTCTGACCGCGGTTCGTGCGTCTGCTGGTGTGTCCGCATATTGTACAGCCTCGAGAACCCGCGGTTGCATATCTCGCAGTGGAACCGCTTCACCGAGCCCTCCTCGCCGTCATCTTCCCCCTCGCGCTGGCGCTTGCAGGATTGAGCAGCGGGCTGCGCAATGGGCTGCGCAATGGGCTGCGCAGCTGGAACCTGGAAAGTGGTCGTGGTCGTGGTCGTGGGCAAGTAGGATGTGCGGAATACGTCTTCGGGAGCCATGGCAAACAGCGGGGTCTCCATTGTTGTTGCGGTGGTGGATGCGGCAAGGTTGACAGCGAGCGGGGATACCAGCGGCGTGAATGCGTCGATGATGGGCGGACTGAGCAGACCAAGCAGCGAGTCCAGAAGGGGCGCGTCGCCCGAGATGCTGTCGTCGCTGAAGCCATTGGGAGACTCGGAGAACAGGGCGGCGTTGGACTGGTCGCTCCACTCGCCAAGGTGGGGAGCGGCATCCGTGAGGTTCTGTGCCTGCGTGAGCAACGACATCGCCAGCAGATCAATGGAGGAGGCCGAGGACGATGCCGTGGGCTGCTCGATGGGCTGGTAGGCGACCACAGGCTTGATAAAGTCAACGAGGGCGTGCACCAGATTCTGGCGGAAAGTAGGGTCATTGTAGGCCATCTGCTCCAGGATGTTGTCGGCCGTCATCTGAGTGTCCTTGGCCTTGATCTCATCGAGGGGCGCAAACAGGGGCCCACTGCCATACAGAGTGCTATAGGGGGCGCCAAGGCCAAACTGGGGCGAGGGTACGTTGGCGGGGTTAACGGGTGTGTTGAGGTAGCTCTCGTAGGCACTGGCAAGTAGGCTATCAAAGGCGGCAAGAGTGCCGGAGACAGGGGGCTCGGTGTACGTGGAGTTGGGAATCGGGGCGGTCGCAGGGCCACGATACAGGCCGAATGCGCTCAAATCCTGGGTGTCGACAGGGTGCGGTGTCGACCAGATATCGAGCGAGCGCCTAGCGTCGGTAATGGTAGGCATGGAGCGGGAGGACGCGAGCACAGCGGGGGACGAGGGCTGGCGCGACAACGACTCCATCTGAAGCTGGAGAGTGGGGCTATAGTAGTCGGCGCCGACGAACGAGTCGAAGAGCGAGTCGCCGGTGTACGGGACGTTCTGGTTCTGGTTGTTAGAGTTCATAGTTATGTAGGTGTTGCTGTTGCTGTTATAGTTTTTGCTGTTGCTGTTGCTGTTGCTGTTGCTGTTGCTGTTGCTGTTGCTGTTGCTGTTGCTGTTGCTGGTGTTGCTAATATTGTTGTTGCTGGTGTTGTTGCTAGTGTTGCTGTTGCTAAAGATGCTAGAGCTGTTGCTAGAGTTGTTGTAGTCGATGTTGTTCTGGTTGTCCTGGTTAAAATGATTGCGTTGACGGTTGCAAGTTTGTTCAGAAGTGGCAGAGTGAATATCGGTCTTGGTAAAGGTCAAGTAGTCGGTGTCCGAGTAAGTAGATGTGCACGAAAAGGCAGGCAGTCCGTGGATATAGTCGGCGGCGACAGCAGTGTCAAACAGGACACTGAGCGCATCCTCATTCAATACACGGTCATAAGAGTTTCTCTTGGCATTAACTGTGGAATCCGAGGTGGACTCACCAAAGATACCGACCGAAGCGTAACTTCGATGTCCTTCTGAGCGGCATCCCTCTGAAAAGAAGACGTGTGTATGGTTGCGTTGGAGTTCATTGTTGGAATTAAGGTTTTTGCTAGTTTCGAAGGCAGAAATGTCTGGTGTTGAAACTGGAGCTGGGGTGCAAGGCACGGTGACTGAATTCAGTAATGAAGAGAGTGAAGGTGTCTGCTTTAATGAATACACGGCTTCGGTATGAAGGCGTGGAACGGTGCTACGAGAGCGCTTGCTGTTGGAGCTATCGCGCGGTTTAAAGCGATAGCTGGGAAGCGGGTTGACAAAGTGGACGCCTTATATAAGCGTCTTGCTCCTTACGCACTGGACCTTTCTACCTGTAGTAGCCCGAGCACGCTCCTAAACTTGCAGTTAGTGGAGCTAAAAGAAAAAAGAAAAAAGAAAAACACTCTCTGGGCTATGGACAAATGCACGCAAAGAATGAGTTGTAATAAATAGTATGTTGGCAAGGAGCTAAGTGAGGAAGCGGACAGATGTTCTTGCGGCCTCTATACTGCGGTTCTAGTATATGAAAAATGGTTGTGCTGGCTGAAGAGAGCTAACAAAAAAAGGGTAAAGTGGAAATTCCTAATTATTTTAAGTATATGAAAATTGAGAAAGGTGTGAGAAAAAGAGAGAAAATGTGGGCGAAGGGACGGGCGACTGCGGCCTCCATTTTAAGCCAATCTGGAAAGGGGGGCGAGGATGATAGCGGAGAGGGGGAGGGGTCGGAAGGGGCTGAAGCGAGCGGAAATAAAAAATAAGTGGGGCCATACAAAAAGAAAATCGACCTTTTTAATTTTTTTCTTCCTCATCGCGAAGACTTTGGCCCTACAAAGCAAGTCTGCAAAGCCAGCAAATTTATATATCCCCTTGTCTTGTAAAATCAAGTCTACGCTTGTTTCAAGCAGCTTATTTTTCGTCCTTTGTCCTCATGCCAGCCCGCTTGATTTCTCAGTAATTAAAGCGAGCAAAATGTGTGGAAGCACGAGTGGCATTAATTTCTTCGCACATGTTGCGCGCGCCTTTTCTGCTGAGCGTCACCATTGTTATCTCCCGAAAAGGCTGGAAGTTAGCCAGATTGGCAACATATCCTTTGCTTACGTGGCCCTTTTTTCGCCAGACCATCTTTTATTTTCCTGCAAATCCGGCCGCAGCAACAACAATGTTCCAAGTTCCGCTGTTTTTTATTATCTCCCCAATTTTTCGTTAACTTGGATGAAAGCGCGCTTCGAAAAAGCAAAACAGTCACAGCGTCGTCCAAATACTCCACAAAAGCATTCCGAAGCATAGATGTGACACATTGGCAAGGTTGAGAGGGTGTGCGAATACGGACATGTTATCAACCCATTGTAATTGCAATTGTAATTCCATTTCAGCCCTGATATCCTTGATTGTCACATTGCATTATTTTCAATTGCGTAAAAAATATATAGTAGGTACAAGCGTTTTTTTCCACTACGCCTTTGGCTTTTTAGTCACGCCGTCGCGCTCTTCTGCAGATACACGCACAAAGCTGGATCCCGCCCAAGCAACGCCAAACACAAATGCCGCAGCAGCCACCAGTTCCCAGAACTGATATATGGCGATCTGCGTGTTGCTATATCGGCTCGTTCCTGCTGTCTCCTTTGCATGTCTCCCAATATCCTCCGCCTTCTTCTTCATCTCCTGATAATGCCGCTGCTCCCACTCGGCAAAGTTAGACCTAGGGCGCTGGCCGGCCCGCGAGTTTCCCGGATAAGCGCCATTCGATCGCCTGTACTCCTCGGCCCGTCCATCCGGCGCAGTCTTCCTCGACGAGTACTCGCCGCTACTCGAAAACGCCGTATTGTGGTATCGATGCGTAGATGCGTTCCCAGAATAACCACTGGTGGTGCGGATCTGCAGTGAGCGGTCGTAAGCCCGCCGGCTCTGCTCGTTGCCCAGTATCGAATAGGCTTCGTTGATTTTGAGGAACTTTTGGTGTGCGTTGTTCGATCCTTGGTTTCGGTCTGGGTGCCATTTCATGCTGCTTTTGTAGAACGCCTTTTTAATGTCGCTATGGCTTGCCGAGGTGGGCACGCCGAGCAATGTGTAGTGATTGGTCCGGTGCACTATGCTGCAGGCTCCCGAGGTGTGTATGTTTGCGTGTCTCGTTGAATTTGAGCCGACCGCCGCCATGTGTTTGAGTCCACCCGCGAATCTGCTGTGAATCGAAAACATGGGATTATGCCTTGCGAAAGTGTAAAAGTTGTAAAAGAAAAAAAAGAATATTATAAGCAATTGAAAACAGTTATGATAAGGTTTCCAAATGCACAAAATTAAATAGTACACGGCACAAATATAAAGGCTGTTGATTTTCTTCTTCTTCGGTGTGTTAGTGTATGCAATGTGATGTCCCATGCGCAGTCGAGATAAATGCTAAGAAAATAGAAAATTTATTGATCAACGAGAATCGAATATATAGATCATCACCCCACCAATTTGCACAGTAACAAAAAATGCGGCTAAGCTTCCTTCTTGTTCTTGCCGCTGCTCTCGTTTGTCAGGTAGGTCCGCACAAAGAATGACGAGAACAGGCCAAGCAACGGGAAAAGGTACGCCAGGTTAATGTAAATAGCAATCTTTTGCCTACCATTCTCGCATCCCGGGCAGAACACGTAAAAGAGACAGCAAGAGATGCCAAAAATGAACTGGAAAATCTGACTCGACGTCAGCAGGCGCTTCCCAGGCGGCCTAATCCCCGCCGCTGTCAACGCATAAAACGTATACATCCACGTGTGAATCGCCGAATTCACAATAACAAAGAACGCAATAGGCACAGCAATAAAGTAGCAGCCAGCCCACATTGTGATGACCGCCCCTGCATGGTGGTACATCTGGAGCGTACTCGCCTTGCGGCCCTTATACAGAATAATCAGCGTGTCGATGAACTCATAGTACTTTGACAAGTAAAAGTAGAACGACAGGCGAAACAGTTTGGCGTTCCACATGGTGAATTTCGTGTCGCAGACGCCCTCGTACAAACCGTGTGTGCGCAGATTATCTACTAACCCAGAGACCATAGACACTAGAGTCCACAGGGAGTAGACTGCCAGGATGATGTTGTGGCCAATGACCACTCGCTTAAAGACCGGTGATTGCGCGCGCTTCAGTGGCTGCGCCTTTGCAGCGATGGGCTTCTGTGGATTGGCCTTCATGATTAACACCGTGTATGCAGCAGCAATAACCAGCGGCGTTTTCCAGTGCATTGCATAGGGGTACAGCCATCCCAGAGCAAATGAGTCCAGGGAGGTTGTGATTTCGGCCGGCGGGGCGTATCTCTCAAACATTCCTGTTGCCTTTTTGTTGATAAAAATAAAATGTTGATAAATCCGCCAAGTACAGATATGATGATAGATGAAAAGTGTGAGAAAAAAGAGTAGATAAATATAGTTATCTCAAGTGCGCTTAATGATGCAATACAAAAAATACTGATAAATGGCAGTATATGAAACAAATAGATATAAGGGCTAAAAAATGAAAGAAGAAAAACAGATAAGAGATAAAGGAAGAAAGAAAATGAGAAAGACAAAACAATAGTAATATATAATACTGAGAAATAGCAACTGCACCGTGTATCGTCAGACAGAAAAGGAGGGGGAGGATGGTGATGAAAAGGTACCAGGGTGAATGCGACAAGGCGACAAGGCGACAAGACGACTACAACTGGAAAACACGAATTCGCAGAAATTGCAGTCAATACAACTGCTGTACTATGTATGTCATGAAATTGAGGCTTGGAATAAGGCAGATGCAGGAAATAGAAACAATGATAAGGCTTTCTTAACGCCATACATACCATGAGCGGAAAAAAGCAGTTAATTACTGTACAATAGATGTTGGGCTGTGCATTACTCCATTTCTACAAAAAATAATATTACAAAAGATAAAAAATGTTTTTGGTACATTATATTGCATGTGTTGAGCACATGTAATAGGCATATATTGACGCAAGTGTCAGCTGGAATATGTAAAATACAACTTTGGACCAGCATTGATACTACAACTGGCGCATGCGCACATTGCCTTGCCTTGCCTTGCACCCCCCGCCAAAAAGACAAACAGTGATATCCTTTATCGTTGTGGAATCCCAAAAAAATTAATGCCTCATCCCACTATCCCAACAAGAATCCGTATGTAAGTACAGGCTGTGGCCGTGGATATTTGCGGACAAATGTTTATATGCCCAACCAAAATCAGCTGAAATCAGCTGGCACCAACCGCCATGTTCCTTATCTCGTGATAACAACCCATGGATATTTGAGCGAGCGGTGGAGTGTGAAGGAACAGTGTCGCCGTAAATTTTGCAATCCAAGCAAAACACCAAACGAATAGAATAAAACAGTAGAAACAATAAATGTGGAGTTTTTCTGAAAAATTGAGCGGTGCTCGCTGGTGCCAAAAAAACAATATATCTGACGATACATTTAGAAAACTCAAATAAATTATTTACACCCTATTTTATACCAAAAACAATGCCCGCTAATTCATGCTTTGTTTGTTTTGTTTGTTTTCGATAATAACAGCGCCACATCCAAAAACACGACGTGCTTGTTTGTTTGTGTCCAACACAGAAGACTCGCTCCCACGGAAAACCCTATTATCACAAATTAAAGGCGGCTTTGGAAAAACCTGCATTGTGCAAATCCAGGGCAGCCACCGAATTTGGCGAGCGACTCATCTATTCACAAAGTTATCATGTGGCTTATAGCCTTTTTGCAACAGCATCATTGCTTCTTGGGCCCCCAGTTAATCCTAGCTTGCACGGACGTTGTCGACCGCTTGCCATTGTCCATGCCAGCCCTGCGCCTGGAGCCGCCCAGCCCGTCTGACATGGATGTTGCCAACGGATAAGCGAGCGAGCGGGAGGGCCGCGCCAACTGAAATATGGCTGTGGTGTGCGATTTTCCAATGGGCTGCCCTGGGCCGTTGTTAATAGCATTCTCACCGCCAATTCCGTTCAGGTTGATGCTGTCAACCGGGAATGAAAAGGTAAATTCGCCTTGCTTCGGCTTCACTCCATTCGACGGCAATGCAGCAAACGGGTTTCCGGCAGGTTCCTTTGTCGTTCCAAATGCCGCCAGCGGCATCTCAAATGTGGATGTCAGCCTGGCCGGGGGCTTCGCGACTCTGGTCCGATTCCACGCCGCTGCAACGGAGCTGCCGACAGCCGCCGCGTCCTCTTCCAAATCGGTGTCCGTGTCGGCGACCACATGATAAGAGGCATTCTCATCGGCAGGCGCATCTGCCCGCATGCTGTGATCCTGTTGGGTCGATTGGCCACTCGCAGACCTTCCGACACCTGCGCTGTTTTTAGATATTTGTAGTTCAAGGTCTGCAACCTTGCTGGCTAGCTGCCCATTTATACTCACGAGCGTCTCGTTCCTGGACTTCTCCCTTTTCAGCGTCCGCACAAGCTGCTCGTTGGTCGAGCGCACGTCACCCATACTGAGCACAACGCGTTTCTGGTCCTGCAACTCAGCCCTTGTTGTCGCAAGCTCATTCTGCAGCACCTCGATCTGCCGTGCCTGTTCGGCAACTGTCTTTTCGAGCCGCATATTGTACGTTTTAAAGTCCGATGCAATCTTTTTGTACGAGGCTGCCTTGTCCTTTATCAACCGTCCGCTTGAAGCTTCCATGCCGCGCATCCGGCACTCCTCCAAGTACTTGGCTTCCGCGGCCTCCAGCTGTGCCTTGATCTTTTTGGTCTCCGACTGCGCCGATTCCACGTTAGCGCAGAGCGTCCTTATCACTTTGTTCCTGTGCTGCACCTGCGCAATAGAGACTTCTGGTTCGCCGTTGGCGTCAATTTCGCCGGGCGCATCGACTTCAAAAAACAGAGTAATGGGATTGCCCGAATGTTTTGTCCGGCATGTGGGGCATGTACTGCGGTTGGACTGTGCAAGCCAGGCGCTTACGCATCCCTGGTGGAAAACGTGCCCGCAGCTCAGCACCGAGGGCTGCTCTTGCCAGTCGGTCGGCACGCCTTTGCTACCCTTGTCGCCGCCGGATGTGTCGAGCTTGTTGATATGTTCGAAAAGGCTTTCGCAGCAGATAACGCATGACATGGCCGCCTTAAAAATGTAATGTGAATTTGTCGATTTATCTGAGAAATGCAAATGAATACAAAAAAGAAAACGCGAATGCAAAAAAGAAGGAAAATGACAAAAGCGCAGTCGCATGAGAACAAAGGTTCACACTAGTTGGTCTTAAATATCAGACATGAGCAAGCACAATGCCGCGATTGATCAAATTTGCTAATTTGATGTATTTTTGTTGACAAAAAAGTGAAAAAAATTAAAATTAAAATGGCTGCGCATTTCCTTGTGCAAAAAAATTAGCTGTCCATGTTTACTCCTTTTGCACCCACTTGCACGTCGGAAGGTTATAGCTCTTGATCATCCAGTACGGGCGCTTGATACCCTTCCAGGTCCCCTCGTCCATGGCAATGTCGCTGGCCACCTGCGAGTACTGCGTGTCCATGCCCAGCTTCAGCAGGTCGGCGCGTGCAACGTGGCAGTAGACGTCGTGGAACAGCTTGTGGTCGCCGCCCATTCCGTTAAAAAAGCTGTATATGCCGTCGGGCTGGCTGAGGATCGGTTGCTTCTCCCCATCATCGTTGTTGCCCGCGAATATGGCCTTGTGGAAGTCGTCAAGGTCCTTGTAGAACTCGCCAAAGGTATCAAAGAAGATGCCGTCGTACGGTCCCAAGGCGCGAACCTCATCGAGCTTGTCCTGCCACCGGCCAAAAAGAATATACACGTTGGGCTTCTTGTCCCAGCCCTCGTCCTTCATGTGCTGGTAGACGTCCGGGTGTGCCTCAATAATGACGTGCTTTCCAGGGCTCAGCTGCTGCAACGCAGTGTCAATGATGCCCATTCCAAAACCGACGTTGAGAACAACACCGCCCGAGTTCGCGCAGATCGTCTTGGCGTGCAGCTCCATCAGCGGCGCCTCCCAACTCATCATGACGCCGTTCTTCTCGGCGTCAACCAGCCTGTCTCCGCTGTACACGACGGGCTGCGTCAGGTAGTCCTCATTGGCAGCCTTGCCATCAACTTGGCCCTTGTTGAACAGACGCAGAATCATCTCGGCGCGAATTCCTGCCTGAACAAGCTCGTTGTACGCTGCATCGTGCCCGCTGCTCTCCGCGTAGTCGCCGGCAGTGTAGTTGCCCACATCAAGCGAGTTCCATGGAATGCCAGACTTTAGCACAAACCTATAAATAATCAATTGCGATTATAATAAGCAAAATGCGGAAGAAGGGAAATTAGCAAGCGATTTGTTTGTCATTTATATTTTAGCCAGCAGCTGTGCGCATTTTGTGCATATTGCAATTTGCAAACGCGGATTATTCACTAGCGCACCTCACCGTGTCCACATCGCCACTCGCAGCGGCAAAGTGCAGTGCCGTGCGGCCTGTCTCGTCTGTGACAAAAATATCTGCTCCCTGGTCTACGAGCTCCTTTGCGCGCTGGCTATTTCCCTCATAGCATGCGGCGAGCAGCTGTGCCTCCTTTGATGCCACCTTCTCCTCGCAATTGCGCTCGTTATCGATGTCAGCCATTTGTAAAGAACCCTTTGTTATTTTTGTATATCAATTGAGTTGTTATTTTTAGTCTGAAGCGATCGACTATTTGTTGTTAATTGCTACCTTCCTCCTTAAAAAAGGTGTGTTGACAGTAAGCAATTAAAGCGCAGAAAGAAATGTATATAAATAGAGCGAGTCCTTTTTTTCTGTACACAAAGAACGTGAGGTGCATACGGGTGATGGTGCCCGTCGGCCTTGGGTCGGCAGAATTTTAGATAAAGAAAGAATTATGGCTTTTTAAAGCAAGATTTGTGGAGCTAGCGATCCAATTGCGACCTATTCGTGAACACGCGAATTAGTGGCCGCAAGTATGTAGAAAGGACAAAGGCGTATCCAATTTTTTTGCTGTATTTTAAAAGCACTGAGCGTTTAAACTTCCAGCTAGTCTAATTTAAAAACAAATACAAGAGTAGTCCGGGCACATGGTGCGATTATGCCAATTCCGTGAATTGCTAAGGAATCTGTTTCGTGAATACTACTACAATAAAATTGCATTATTGCAATTGATAAACATGTGCGATAATACATACACCACAGCATTTTCGTGCATTCGAAACATTTGCTCCTCAAGGAAATAACAGCCACGCTTAGACGCTGATTTCTTGATGTGAATGAGGATATTAGTGACACATATGCTCGCTGGAGTACAGCTAGCTTGGCACACACAGTAGTCTGGCAGTCGCATGCTATATCTGGGAAAGGTAAAATGGCTTTGCTGAAATACTCAATCCTTTACATTGGCACCGTTGTCAATAATTTAGCCTTCAAATGGCGCATTATGTATTATATCTTCCAGGCACAAATGACATCGACACACCGCCATTGCCACTTAGCAGAAATAAAACCAACCATGAAAAATTTATTTCTGCTAGGTGTTGCATATTACCATCTATCCTCGAAATTGTTATCAAACATCGTTATCGTTATCGCCAATGCTAAAACAGAAAACCTACCCTTGTTCAGTGCTTACATTATGTGCAAAGCAAACTCGACATTCTATCTTTAAAATGAGCATGACTGCATACATGATGTTTACACAAGTCAAAGGATCAACTGTCTGCCATGTTATTCTCTTTGCCTTTGCAGACGCTACTGCGGCCAGCTTACTACAATAAACAAAATAAAACATTGGCATGCATCAACACGCATGAGGCCTGTGATATTCACAGTTGCTGTTTACATAGTCGCCATTGCCGCTGATGTTTCCAGCGATGTGCTAGTGCAGGGGCAACATGCTAAGGCGCGATATGTACATAAGCATTATCTTTTGAAATTGGGTTTTAAAGGCTCTCGCCATCCAACTCTCAACATTTTGCCAAGAAATCCGTTCATTTTCCCGCCCAACTTAAAAGCGAGCAATCCAATCTCTGGAAAATTATAATTTCCGCCGGCCAATTTTACATGCAAATATTTAACGCTTTAACCATCCACACTCGTCATTTCTTCTACGCTTGTATCTACCCAACATTTTTCTTGACTACCCACCCTTTAACCTGTCAGAGCTATAGCGAAATATAACCACCGCCATCGCTAATTTTCGCAACCTGTTGCAAGGTCAAAGATACCGCTCACACGGGATCTATCGTTTTCCAGAAAACAACACATTGTCCAAACTACACCAAGCTGCACCAAGCCACAGACTCCGCTGCCCAAGACATTATAAATATTGCACGACATTCCTCTTATTTTCTTCTCCAAGTTACTACTCGTTTCATTCTTTTCTACACCTTACTCTTACGCTCAGCAGTTGTCAAAAACATCCCGAATACCTCATATTCAACAGCAGGACCGCATTCTTTATTCTTTCGCACAATGATAGCCAATCACACTACAAACCATCTCGCCAGCACCACAAATACCTGCTGTCAGCTCCCAGCAGCCCACAAGGCCGGATTTCCTACACTGGTATGCAGCCTGAATTACTACTACATTTGCAAGGTTTGCGGATACTACTCAATACACCTGGCCGACAAAAATTTGCACCTGGTCTTTGAGGGTCACGAAGACTGGCTTGAGCTCTGGGCATAGCGCAGCACGCTACGCCTGCATCCACCACTGACACCTGTATTTCATTTGGAACGCCACTTTCTCGCTTGGTATCGTTCACTGCATTTAATGAGTCCCCAACATCACTTTATATTTTCTTTTTCTTTTTCTATACGATATTGCTATCAGTGCTCTTCTTAACGACTTTCCTTTATTCACTTTTATACCGCAACGCTTGGCCATCATGTTATATATATATATTTTTTTTTACTTTAAATCAATATAAACCAAACATGTAACTTATCACACATCCATTGCTACATTCATATCGGCGCATCGCATTGAGTTGAACCATGCGATACAAGCGGACGCTGCCTCCAAAATAACTGGGCAATTCCGCAGCACATATTACAATATCTCGAAACAAATAATTTATCTATGCAGCCAACAACAGCACGCTGCAATACATTACACAATATGGAAGAAAAAAGTCAAGTAATGTTCGCGCAGAACAATGCGCTGAAAACCTCCCATTCATTGGCTACACTTGAGTTACCAGAGTGCTTATTTCTCCGAAGCGCGGCCGTGCTTGGCGTAGTAGGTCTCGGTGCGCTGCAGGCGCTTCTCAAAGTAGTGCCAGTAGACCTCAGCAACAACGTATCCGCTTCCAAGGCCGATGACGAGATCACGGGCGACACGTCTCTTGAACATACCAACGATAGGCTTCAGGGGAGTAGCGGACGGCATGATTGATAGTTAGGCTAGTGGATGTCGATTGTTATCTATATGTATACACGTGTAGCAAGAAAGGGTTCAAGTTGTATATTTTTTCTTGCACAAATTAGAAATTGGTTCACTCTGCCAAACAGATTGTGCTTCTTCGCATTTGGGGTTCCCACATTTATAGAGACCGTCAATTTTTAGGTTTGCAATAGGAGGGCTTTTCTCATTCCAAAACGAAAGTGTGGCAAACATGTGCTGGTGCCAATGACAAAAGACTCGCTCTGATTCGAATAACTTACACAAACAGAAAAATAAAATGAAATTGAAGAAATCAAAAAAGAAGGGAAAAAAGAATTTGAATTCGAATTGTAATTGCGCAAAAAATATTAAGCGTATCTCGCGCCCCACAGAAGATCCATCTCACAAAAATGTCTCAGCGATAACAACGGCTCGACTCGGATGTGCAATCTTTGTGGTGTGGTCACAAACTGCGGCTCGGATGACCGTCATTGCCCTTTATGTATTTCAAATTTATGCTCCTTTCCATTTGTTTCGCTCTCTTTTATTACCGTTCCAATTCGTCAATTCTTGCTACTAAATTTTCCAAACCTTACAACTATAGTTAATTGCTCATGGAAAGACATGGCACAAAGTACGACCGCACACAGACGACACTAGGATATGATCATGGCAGCGAGCTCGAGGCTGAGGAGCGACCTGAAGATTTTCATTCGCCCGAGTGGCGCAAGCGCAGCAGACACTTTCTAGTCTTGAGTAGTGCTGGAAAGCCCATATACAGCCGATATGGTGACGAGTCGCACCTATCGACGCTGATGAGCGCCATCCAAGCGATTATATCAACATTTGCCGATATGAGCGACCCAGTGCGGTCAATGACTGTCGGCAGCCACACACTGGTATTTTACACAAACGGGCCGCTGTATCTGTTGGCTGTCTCAGACAGGGGAGATCCAGAAGACCTGCTGCGCAATGAACTGCAGATTCTGCACAGTCAGATAGTGAGCATATTGACATCGGCGCAGCTGACAAAGATATTCGAGCAGCGCAGCAATTTTGATCTTCGGCAGCTGCTGGGCGGCACAGAGACCATTATTGACCAGCTTGTCGACCGCATGGATACCGACTTTACTTTTTTGCTTGGGTCGCTGGACACGCTGTGGATACGCTACCGGCTGCGCGATCGCATCGGAAAAGCCCTACTGGCATCGCGGCCAAAAGGCCTCTTGTATGCGATGATGGTTGCAGATATGAAGCTGGTGACACTCATGCGGCCGCGCAAACACAGCCTGCATCCGTCGGACCTCCATCTTCTGTTCAATATGTCATCCTCTAAGAACTTTGCCACTGGCGAGCATTGGACGCCCGTGTGCTTCCCAAAGTTTAATGACAAAGGGTTTTTGCACGTGTATCTAAACTACATCACGCCGAACGTCGCAATTATGCTTGTTTCTGCCGATCGCAACAGCTTCTCAACCATATCTAAATACTGCCAGAACATTGCTGAGGATCTGTCGACCGATGACTCTCTCAATAGGCTGGACGATGCCGCAACCCAACGAGCTTTGAGGCCACGCGAGCTGGGCGTGAGCGGGCTGCTACAGTTATATTACAGACATAAAACGTTGGTCCAGCATTTTGGCACGCGCTTCGAACAGTCTGTTGATAGCGACCAGCAACGACGGATCATCAGCACGTACAAGAGGATGCGGCTGTACATGACCAAGGGCGGGCCGAATCCACTGCGAATTATATACCACCGCAGTGCAGAGGACACAGTCCTAGCCTGGCAGTCGAGCGCGTTCGAGTTGTATGCGGCGGTCGAGCCGTTGATGGACGTGAAAGTCATGATTCGCCTGGTCAATACTGTGCTGGAGTGGATCAAAAACGAGGAGGACCACTTGTTTGTGATAAACGCACCCAGCTACTGACCAATTCGGCCGGCAGCCTAAAATTAATATCTTTATAATACCCAAAGCTGCAAAGGTAGAATAGTTGTGCCAAGCACACGTGTATAAAATTTATAAAATTTCTAATATCAAAACCAATTGTCTATAAGCACTTTTAAACAAACAATATACATCATCGTATCGCGCAGTCAATTGCGCGCGTCCTTGGAAACGCGCCAGACATGTGCTGGTATGCGCTCTAGCTTCATCACCGTTGGGCGAATGAAGCTGTAGTACACGACTAAGGCAAACAACACGCACACAGTAGACATGACGTAGTAACCGTCCCACTTCACATCGCACACACTGCCCTCCTTGGTGCATCGGTTGCGGTCCTCCTGCGCAGCGCACGAGTACAGCTCGTTGATCGAGCCCTCCGGGGGAATGCACGTGGCACGTGTAAAGTAGTCGACAGAGCGCATAATGAAGAAGACCGGCCAGGTTCCGCCAAAGTTGCTCAGCGTGTTTAGCAGGGTCATGTAGGTACCACCAATGACCGGGTCAGCGATCTGGGTGATAAATGCTGACAGGCCGACAAACTGCACAGTACCGGCCATCGATCCCGCCACCTTGGTTATGATGACAATGCAAAAGTACCAGTTGGTCAAGCCGGTCTGTGGGAAGTAGTGCACGGTGGCCATGCTGAGTACGCTGCAGAGCAGCCGCAAGATAAATGCCACCCTCCATGGCTTCATCTTGCTGTCGCCCTGGCTCCAGCGTGCAGCGTAGTACCCAAAGAAAATCTGGACTGGGAAATCAATAAGGACCGCCAGCGCCATGTCTTCCTTGTGCAAGCCGTGCTCGATGAGCTTAAGCTTTGTTATGGCGTCATTGGGAATGAAGCCGATCTTGGCAAAAAACAGAACGGCGATAAACAGCTTCATGTGCGGCAATTTGCAGATGCGCCAGATGGTCCTGTACGTCTCGACAAGACCGTACTCTTCCTCCTGGTCTCCGTCATTTTCAGCCGAAGAGCGCTCAACCTTGAATAGCACCAGATACAATGTAACTAGGACGTAAATGACCGACCACAACGCCATGTAGGATCCAAGCTGCAAAAATCCGTCTTCGCGCGGCGAAGAGTAGATGTATTTGTTGCTAAACTCGGAAGAGTTTAGCGCGAGAAACACGGTGAACGAGAGAAAGAAGCCGCAGTTGATTCCAACTGTCTGACATGTTGATGCGTAAGACAAGTTCTCCTTAGACAGGAGGTTCAGCGCCCACCCGTCGACGGCAATATCTTGGGTCGCGCTCAAAAATACAATGATTAAGAACAGGTACATGATCTCATATATGTTGTCTGCAGGGTTGCTCATGAGTCCGTCTATGTGAGAGCCCATCCACCAGAACATCACAGCAAGCACAAGCTGGATAGGCACGATCCATGACTTTCGCCGGCCAAACTTGCGGTCGTACAGTGAGTCGACAATGGGGGACCAAAATAACTTGAGCGAGTACGGGTATCCGGCCAGCGAAAACAGCCCGACTTGCGCGTAGCTTAGCTTTTCTTTGAGCAAAAACGGAATGCTGCCGTGGGCCAGTCCAAGCGGGACTCCCTGGAGCCAGTAAAGGGCTATAAGGAGAACAATGTTTCCAAAGTCCTTGTTGCCGTAGAGGCGCCTCCACTTGTCTACCAGGTTGCCGCCTTGCGTGCTTTTGTTTGTATCGTAATTCTCGGGGTCTTCAACCTCGAACACCTGTCTGTGCGACGGTGAGCGGTCACGAAAATTTACAATAGTGATTCCAATGTCGCTCGAGTATCCGCTGGGTGGCGGCGATGATGCCTCTCTTCCACGGCGCCGCGTTCTTTCGGCCATGTGAGTGTGTGAATAGTCTGTGTTTTTTTTGGGCTGCACAAAGTAGAGATGGCCAGAATAAATTCACAAGAGACGATTGAATTGCTTAAAAATAAAAGAAGAAAAATACAAAAGAAGAAAAGTTCAAATGCAAAAATAAAATAGAACGATATTGCGGAAAGAAAATACAAAATGACAAAATAAAACAAAAGTTTGCCATCCGTTGTGCTGGTTTAATTTCAAAACACAGCTAAAGTGGCCCGTGCGTTGATCGCTGCGGCGAATGGCAGCGAGCTGATTCATTTTGATAAATGTTTCAAAATACACCCGCACATGGAATTATTTCATTTGTCGCTTTACGATCAATTAGTCCAACAGAGCAGTAGCCAAATATTTGGCCGCGAAAAAATCAACAAACTCGAGTTAATCGGCGATAAAATAACATTAGAATATCTCTTGGGAACTTTATTTTAATATTCTCTCGTATTTAATTTTTTTGCCAAAAGAGCAGGGCGTGACGGTTAAAAATATAGTATGAAATGAAAAAATGTGATGAAAAAAGAACATTGGAAATAATAATGCAAAAATTAGTATCAAGTACCGCGCATGGCCTCAAATGTCGGTTGGGTCATTTTACTCATTATCTTTATTAGCAGCCTCTGGAGCCTCGTCGTCCTCATCGCTCTCTTCGGCATTGCGGTAGATCGGCGACTCGCAAGACGAGCTAGGCGGCTGGCTGCTCTCGCAGGAGCTGCTGGCGCAACCGGTCTCAACTGCGTTGATGACAGTGTGGGTCGGAGACTTGCACCGTGTCGAGCTGTCGATCACAGCATACTCAGAGTGCGTCTTCTTCGCCGGCTTGTGCTTATGCTTGTTAGCAGCGCACCCGGTTTCGATGGTCTCGATCACAATGTGACTCTTGTTGCAGTCAGTACCTATGTACACATATTCGGTATGCGTACGCTTGGGTGACTTGCTGGCACACCCAGTCTCGATAGACTCGTAAACAGTGTGAGTGTTCCTGGCAGCCAAGCTTTTGCACTCGCTTGTAAGCTTTGGGCACGCAGAGCTGCTAACACATCCAGTTTCGATGGACTCATAGACAGTGTGGGTGTTCTTAGCAGCTGGGCTCTTGCAGTCGTCGGCGGGCTGGGGGCAAGCAGAGCTAGTGGCACACCCGGTTTCAATGGACTCGTAGACAGTGTGGGTGTTTTTGGCTGACTCGCACTTGCAGTCGTCAGCGGGTGGCGGGCAAGCAGAACTGGTGGCACACCCAGTTTCAATGGACTCGTAGACAGTGTGGGTGTTTTTGGCTGACTCGCACTTGCAGTCGTCAGCGGGTGGCGGGCAAGCAGAACTGGTGGCACACCCAGTTTCAATGGACTCGTAGACAGTGTGGGTGTTTTTGGCTGACTCGCACTTGCAGTCGTCAGCGGGTGGCGGGCAAGCAGAACTGGTGGCACATCCAGTTTCGATAGACTCATAGACAGTGTGGGTGTTTTTAGCAGCTGGGCTCTTGCATTTTCTGGTAGGCGGCGGGCAGGCAGAGTTGCTGGCACATCCGGTTTCAACAGCAGCAATAACAACATGGGTAGGCGCAGCTGAGCTCTTGCAGTCGCTAGTGGGTTTAGGGCACACAGAGCTGCTAGCACATCCGGTCTCAATAGACTCATAGACAGTGCGGGTGTTCTTGGCGGATGAGCTCTTGCATTCACTGGTAGGTGTCGGGCAAGCCTGGGACGACAGGCAGGATGAGCCAATGGATACAATAACCGTATGGTAGGTGTTGTCACCCTTAGTGGGGCTAGCACGGAAGGTGGCTGCAGCCTTGTGGATTACAGGGGTGGGTCCTTCGTCGTCAGAGTCAGAGTCAGAGTCAGAGTCAGAGTCAGAGTCCTGGCTCATGTCAAACATGCGCTTGCCCAAAGTGGTTACGCTCTCCTTATCGTCGTCATTAGAGACGGATACAACTGCTCTGCCGAAGCAGTCGACGGCGTCAAGCGCAATAATGCAAGTGTCAGGCTCATCGCAGTCATCATCAGACTCCTCCTCGTCGCAGTCCTTGCTCTTCTTGCTCTTTTTGGACCTGGTCTTCTTGCTCTTCTTATGCTTGCTCTTCTTATGCTTGCTCTTTGACTCACTGCAATCATTGGTGGGCTCGCAGGCAGCAGTGGTCTTGCAAGGGTTGCTGGTGGGCTCACAAGGGGTGATCAGCTCCTCCTTTTCGCAGTCATCGTCCTTGTGCTTTTTTTCCTTCTTGTCGCCCTTGCTCTTGTGGTGCTTGTGTTTGTGCTTGTGAGTGTGCGGGGCCTCGTCATCATCCGAGCAGGCTTCTGAGCAACCAGCCGCGCTGTAGTTGGTCTCGATCGAGATGTACACGGTGTGGGTCTTCTGGATGTCGCTGTCGCACATTATCGTGGGGGTATTGGCAGAATACACAACGGGGGGCGGTGAAGGGCTGCCGGAGTACACTGGCGCAGGAGCATTGCTGTAAACAGGAGCAGGATAATTGCAGTAAACAGGAGGAGAGTTGCTGTAAACAGGAGCAGGGGAGTTGTTGTAAACAGGAGCAGGAGAGTTACCATACACGGGAGCAGGAGAGTTGCTGTAAACAGGAGCAGGGGAGTTGTTGTAAACAGGAGCAGGAGAGTTACCATACACGGGAGCAGGAGAGTTGCTGTAAACAGGAGCAGGAGAGTTGCTGTAAACAGGAGCAGGGGAGTTGTTGTAAACAGGAGCAGGAGAGTTACCATACACGGGAGCAGGAGAGTTACCGTAAACAGGAGCAGGAGAGCCACCATACACAGGCTGGGGACTGGCGCCATAGCCCGTAGGAGCAGGCGGAGCCTGATTAAGTCCCAAAGCCGATTGTAGCGAGAAAAGGAGCTGCGGGAACGGGATAGTCTCCGGAGCCATAGCGGCAAACGGCGCGGTCATTACCTGGTTAGGCACAGAAAAGCTCTCCTGAGCCAATAGCGTTTGGGCACCAGCATTGACAAACGCAGCCGGTGTAGCGTAGTTGGCAAACTGAGGTGCCCGGTCAGTGGGATAGGGGATGTTCACGTACACGGTGCTCAGCTTGCTTTCAGCTTGGGGCTCGGCGGGCAAGGCGCTGGCCTGCGAGTTGGGCGGCATTGGATAGGGGTTGTACCGCGGGTTGAACTTGGATGAACTCTCAGCACTAGCATCAGCACTAGCACTTGAGCTGCTGAAATCCGGCTGCGCGTTGTTATATCCCTTGGACATTGCAAATCTGCCGGAATCGTGCCCAAACACATCGGAGTGGTCAAAGGTGTTGCCAAAGGTGTCGTCGTTGTCGTACTTGTAGTGATTGTGCTCCGCTGGATTGTAGTCGACGTCAATCTCCATCAGGTTGAGGCCGCGAGGGCGCAGTGCAGCATTGCTCTGTGCTGTGGCTGGACTGTTGTACTTGTCAAAGCCATCGGGGTAGTGTGCTGCAGGTGCAATGGCAGATGCCGAGGCGCTAGCAAGCCCGGCAAACCCGGGAGCAGGTGCCTGCACAAAAGCTGGCGTGGGTGCAAAAGCAGGAGCAAAAGCAGGCGCAAGAGCAGAGGCGGGGGCGGGAGCAGGCGCAGGAGCAAACCCAAACGCATTAGCATTGGGGGCAGCACGGACAGGGGCGAATGCAGCAGCGACAGCAGCAACAGGAGCAGCAGCAGGAATAGCACCCGCAGCAGGAGCCAGCACAGGGGCATATGCAGGGGCATACGTAGGAGCAAGAGCAAGCGCAGGGACAGGCGCAGCAGTAGGAGCATGTGCGGCAGTAGGGAAGAGAGCTAGCGCGGAATTAACAGCAGCATTAGGCGCCGGCACGACCGGGGCACTAGTCTGAGCGACCGACAAAGCCGCCAATGGGGCAGCGGTCGAGGGTGCAAGAGGGTTCGAAGGGAACCTAATCATTTTGTTTCCACCCTTATACGGACCGCAGCTGACTTGGAACGGGCCCTCCTGGTAGCAAGTCAAACCGGCACCGCACATGAAGGACACTTGCTCACCACTAATGCATCTGCTAAACTCAGCGCTAGTACCGTCCGCGGCACCGCAGGTGAGGGCTCCAGGGGTGCAGGTGTTGGTAGTGCTGATGGTGCCGCACATAATGCTGTTGCCATCCTGGTAGCATACGGAGGAGCCGCCGCAGGTGAAAGACTGCGGCTGACCGTCGGTGCACTTGAAGAACTCTGAGCCCTTGCCGTCCGGTGCCTTGCATACCGCTGACGAGCTACCCTTGGCGCACAGATCAACAGGTGCTGTCGACAGTGTGGTTTTTTCCAGCGAAATCGCAGTGGTGTTGAGGTTGTCTGGCGCTGGGATGTTGTCGCCCGATCCGGCACCGCAGTAGATGCCCTGGCCGAGCTGGTAGCAGGAAGTGCCGACGTTGCAGAGATGTTTCTCATTGCCATTCACCGTGTACCCACGACTGACGCCATCAGCATCGTCGCATTTGTACTGTTGCGCATGTGCTGCCTGCCACAAAAACAGCGGCAGCAGGCCGAGGATACTGAGATTCTGTTTCATCCCCTAGCTGTATTATTGCAATAATATATAAAAGTGCTGTTGGTTTTGTGAAAATAAAATAACTATTTAAAGTTGAGAAAGCCAGATGTAAAAAAGAGGATATTTGAATGGTGTCCAAATGGGCTGCTTGATAAACCCTCGTATACTTAAGGCTTCTAGATTTTGACTTTTTTTTAACGCGTATTTACTTTCACTGTTATTTTTTTCCTGGTGAGCGTGAAGGGGAGTGCAGGTGTAATGTGTTTGGAGCTCTAAAACAACAAACATTTTTTAAACAAAGAATCCTATTTGTGAGAAACCAAGACAACGTATACTGCGCATGTTTAGCTATAAAGTCAGAAACATTGGTGCTATATTAATTGCCGGTATGCTTAATTCATCACTGCCCAGAGCTTCTGAGACAAGTGTGTGATACAACAAAAAAAGGGGAAAGGAGAAATGAGGGAGGGCCCTGATTCATATGTGGCCGAATGCCATGTAGCTATTTTTGCAAATATTATTCCGGCTATTTGTAAGATGTAGAATCTCTAACAGATCTGCTCCCTCTCCCAAATATCTCCGCTTCATTTCCCCTCCCCTGCATTCTCAGTTACTCGGGTTACTGTTTTATTTTTATTATTTAAAACATCACTCGTTTTTTAAACATCCGCATTTGAAACAAACACATCATTATTCGCAAATCATTGAACACATTTTTTGTTTGGAATAAGCAATAAGCAATAAAATTAATACTGTCGCAGAAAAAAAATGAATGAAAAATTATTTTTATTGCAGCGTCCGCAAATGTTACTTTGAAGCGGAGTCTCCTCCAATTCCACCCCCGCCACTGCCTCCGGTAATACTTGTGTTTGTGGTTGGCTTTGGCACAGCAGGACCGAGTGAAGAAATGTCTCTCTGCAACTGCGCTTCCCGCAGCAAGCCAATCTGTTCCCGAGTATCCTCCATTCTCCGCATATCCAACTGAATACAATCCATCGAGTAGTATGTCTCCGACCCCTCACTCGCCAATAACGCATTGTACCTTTCAGCGAGGCTCTGCAATTTTTCGCCCAAGCCAACCACTGATTTACTAATCCTGCACTCCTCCTGGGCAATCCCTGCCTCAGCGACTGAGTCTGGGTACTGGAACACATGGAAGGGCAGCAGTCGCTGGATTACATCCCGTGTCCCGGAAAATGGCGTGCGCCAATCGGGGCTGTCCACCATCTGGTGGTCCATCGCTAAAGCGTCACGAAATCGCTTACTGATATCAGCCTCGTGCTTGAACTGCGCTGGGCACTTGCGCCGTTCAGCTATCGGCTTGGGAAGCTTCCTATTGAGATCCGGATGCGAGAAGACCGCCGTTGCCACCGGAGGCTGCACCTGGGGCCTACGCGGTTGCTGTTGTGAGGGTTGTGAATGTTGCAGATTTTGTGGCAACCGGGGCAATTTCATATGCTGCGGAGACGCAGGCATGGGCGACGGCGGTTCCGAGTCCTCAAGCATCAATGACGAGCGTTTTTTCGTCGAGTATTTCCCAGTCTTATTGTATTTGCGCTTGAGAGTCGGTGTAGCAGTACCTGAGTTAGGCGTATCATGGGCGCCGTCGAGCTCGTAAGCAGAGCCGCCTTCAGCATTGGGCGATGCCTCGCGCGATGATGGTAGCGAGCCCATCGGCGAGGATGACTGCACGCTGCTGCTGCCGCCGCCACCAGTGTTGATATCCAATGAGCCTTTGCCTAGTTTGAGATCCTGTTCGTACATTCCGGCTAGCTGCGACGCTTGTGATTTCGTGAGGGCCTTGAGGATTTGGAGTAGCATGGCCGGGGAAATGACTTCATCCATGCCCTTGTTGACTATCTTGTTGAGCTCAATGGGTGGGCTCAGTTTCCGCAGGATCTCCTGTGGTCCACTAAGGAGCTTGAGGTATGCCGACTGGTACATTTTCTCCAGCGCTGATCTCTGCGGCGTAACCGCTGCCGGCGACGGTGAAGCAGTCAAAGTTGGTCGCCGAAAGGGCTGCGCAGTGCCTGCTATTCTAGACTGCTGCTGCTGCTGCTGTTGATGCTGTGGTGGTCGCGTTAGTGGTGCCGACAGGGGAGTCGATGGGAATGGTGGCGGAAGGCTGGAGCCAGACACGGAGCGCGGCGCAATATTAGGGAGCACCGGGTGCGGCCGTCCGAGCCGCAACGCATCCGAGGATACCGCAGCAATAGACTTGGTCCCAGGGATCAACGGCGCGCGTGCCTGGGCAGTCCCACCCACAGGCCTCATTGCCGCCGACGTCTGCGGCGTGTTCGCCCGAGGCTGCTGCAGCTGCAACTTTGGGCGAGGAGGCAGCGCAATAGAAGCTAGTCGCGGCGGCGGTATCGATCCCGAGCCCAAGGTATTTGCCAAAGCAGACTGTGGCCGCACACCCGGCTGCACTGGCTGCATGGGTGTACGCGTCACACTGGACACTGTCGTGTTTCTCATGCGCTGGATCTCATCCATAACTTTGGTGCGCTGCTCTGGCGTCAGCGAAGACACGGGCATGTTGCCCGGCAGTCTATATATAATCGTGCTATCCTGCCGCACTACCTCGACAGTGACTCCGGCAACGTTGATTTTGCGCAAAAGCTGGCTATTACCCGGGGCGGCAGTTTGCGGCGCGGAGGGTCGTGGTCGCACAGATGAGGATCCGGTCGCTCCTCCAGTTGCGGGCACCGGTATCCTGGCCGATGGCGGCGGAGTCGGCATTCCTGCTTGCGAGGCTTTGTCAGAGGATGCAATTGGCAAGGTCAATGCTGCTGGAATAGACTTTAGGTTTTTGTTCTGACTCGGCGGGTTTGTTGCTGTTGCTGCGGTATTGTCTGCGGTCTGTGTGTGAGAGTTCGAGTCGGATGGCCCCGAAACCATTGAATGTAATCAGATTGCTGGAACTAAAGATAAATTCATTATTAAACGTTTTCGTGTGCGAAAATTGAGCATGAAATTAGCGGAATGCATGGAGGTGGATTTTGCAAAAAAATAAACAAACAAAAGCACTTTAAAAGAAAGTTTATAAAGCAAGAGAACATGGCCCAGTGTTGGTTGGTTCTAATTTTATTTGATGCTCTCCTTCAGACGAGTTAGACGCTGTTTTTTTATTTGACGGACATACCTTTTTTTTCTTTTCGTCGAGAAAAAGCGAGCGAGCTATAATAAAAAATGATGAAAAAAATAAAGTGCGCTTCACCTGAACCAACCGCAAAAAAAGGACTCCTTGCGGTCAAACAAAATTGAATAAGCAATTCAATTTTTCTTCACGCATAATATTTTTTACCCCCCCCCCTCACTCCCTCTCCCCTTCATTTTTCGCTTTTTAAGAAATCAAATCAGCGTTTCAGAAGATCCTAATTTATTTGGGGTTTTGTTTTTTTACTAGGCAGTGGGGAACTCAGAAGCACGTGAACATGTTGTGCGCTCGGCCGGAAATACGGGCTTGAGCAAAGTGCCTCACATGCAAATATAAAGTCCGAGGCATGTGGCGGTTAAAGCAAGCAGGAGTCGCTTGCATGCTTCTTTGTGCAAAATTAAATGACAACAGTTCTTTTTTTGCTGTTTACGCCTTCAGCCTTTATTCTCTTTTCTCGCCACGAAAAAGCTATATACCTGTTCATTTCTATATCATCTCCTCTCCTCTCCTCTCCCCCCTTCCTCCTCCCCTCCGCTAACACTAATACTAAAATTACCACAGCCACCGACCAAAGCACCAAACAAGACTAGACTAGACTAGACTGGGCAAAAAGAAATGGCCGACGGAAACATCGACAATGCGCAGCGCAACGATGACAACAGCGATGACGACGCCAACACAAGTGCATTCAATGGGCGCACGCTGGAGCTTGAGGAGATTGGGCCCGACACGTTCAAGTCAGTGGACCTGTGGCAGCCCGAGGGCAACCGCGGGGTCTTTGGCGGCCAAGTAATCGGACAAGCGCTGTCGGCAGCAGGCAAAAGCGTGGACAGTCCCTACCAATGCAACTCATTCCATTGCTACTTCCTGGCGGCCGGCAGCAACACCGAGATGATTGCCTACGAGGTTCGGCGCATGCGGCAGGGCAGGTCCTACTGCTCGCGACTGGTGACAGCAAAGCAGGGCGGGCGGGTGATATTCATGGCAATGGCCAGCTTCCAGGTGCCAGAGCCGTCGGCGCTGCAGCATCAGTACGCAATGCCACGGGTGCCGGCGCCCGAGTCCCTGGCCAGCCGCGAAGAGATCCTTGCGCGCAGCAATAGGCTAGGCAGGGACTCGATGGTGGCCGAGATCAACGCACTGCCAGTGGAGACGCGGCCCGTACCGATGCGCTCGAAGCGTGGAATCCCGGTCAATGCCATTTGGCTGCGGGCCCGGGGCGACATGAGCGCGCTCGGGCTCAGCCATCACCAGAGCATGCTGGCGTATGCGTCGGACTTTGCACTGCTCAGCACGTCCCTGAAGCCCTTTGAGATGAGCCGTCCGGGGTCGGCGTACACAAGGTCGATGATTGTTAGCTTGGATCACACGATCTGGTTCCATGCGCCGTTCCGCGCCGACGATTGGCTGTTGTATGTGATGGAGAGCCCGCGCACGGCGTTGGGCCGCGGGCTGGCGATCGGCCGCATCTACAGCCGCGACGGCGTCATGGTGGCGTCGACAGCACAGGAGGGTGTGATCCGCGGCGAGAATTCGGGCCCGGATTACAGCGTCCTGGAGTTTACGTCCGCCGTAGAGCCTGTTGGACTGGGGGAGCCAAAGCTCTGAGCCCCCGATCGGCATGCACCTTTTTTTGAGTGAAAATAGAGTTTTGTCCAGAATGACCTCTCGATTTTTATCTTGATCAGCTTTCATTTTTCTTTCTTCTTCAGCTGTATTTTTTATTTTTTATCTTTTATTTTTTTATTTTTTGGCGCGGCAAGTTTTATACAAATTCATTTTTTCTTATACTGTACTCTCACACAATGCGCAGAGTCCAGCAGGGAATTTGCCAGCACCTGGCGCTGCTATCCACAGGCGGAAAGTTGCAGCAGCGGCAGGCCGGCCACAGCGCATTCATGCTTGGGCGGCGGCTGCAGACGGCCGGCACAGCCAGCACGGCCAGCACAGCCAGCACAGCCAGCACAGCCAGTACGGCCAGCACAGCCAGCGCGGCCAGCGCGGCGGCACCAGTGCATGAGGTGGCGCACGAGGACGAGCGCATTCTGCGTGACTTGTTCGACCTGCCGACCCAGACGACACTCGGGTCGCGGTGGTTCCACCAGGGGCGGCCGACGGGGCTGCTGATGGAGGCGCGGTTTGTGTCGCCGGCGTCGTTCCGCAGGGCCGGCGAGCAGGCAGTGGCCGAGGCCCAAGCGCTGGTCCTGCGCGTGCTGGCAGCGCAGACGGCCGAGCAGAAGCGGCAGGTGGTCAAGTGCCTGGACCAGCTCAGCGACGCGCTGTGTCGGGTCATGGACGTGGCCGAGCTCGTGCGGCAGGTGCACCCAGACAGCAGCTGGCAGCGCGCGGCCGATGCAGTGTACGGCAGCATGTTCGACTACATGAACGGGCTCAACACGCACGTCGGGCTGTACCGTAAGGTGGTCGAGGCCATGGACGACCCGGCGTGCAGCGGCAGCTTCAGCACCATTGAGCGCGAGGTGGCGCTGTCGTTCCGTCGCGACTTTGAGCGCTCTGGAATCCACCTGCCCAAGCAGGCGCACACGCGCTTCGTCGCATTGTCGGCCGCCATCCACGACCACTCGCGCGCCTTCCTGCGCGGCCAGACGCAAACGCCGGACCGCGCCGTCGATGTGCCGCTGGAGCACTTGCGCGCGCTGCCGTCGCAGGTCGCCATGGCCATCCTGCAGTCGTCGAAGACGCGCAAGCGCAGCGACGGCGGGACCATCATACAGCTGATACCCGACGACTACGTAGCCCACCACGTGCTGCGCGACTGCACCGACGAGTCGACGCGCGAGGCTGTGTTCTGTGCGTGGCAGCGTGGCTCGCCGCGCGCCGTTACGTCGCTGGAGGCGCTGCTGCGCGAGCGGCTAGCGCTGGCGCAGGCTGTCGGCTACGAGTCGTTCGGCCACATGACGCTGGACGACAAGATGGCGCGGTCGCCCGGCCACGTCGACGCGTTTCTACGCGGGCTCGCGGCGCAGGCGCAGCCGCGCTGGTCGGCCGTCGTCGACGCGCTGCACGCAGCCAAGGGTGTGGCCGTGCGGCCGTGGGACCGCGACTTTCTAGTGGCCGGGCAGCAGATGGACGGTGGCGCGCTGCCTTCGCTGCGCCCGTACCTCAGCCTCGGCCGCGTGGTGCTGGGGCTTTCACGGCTGTTCAAGCGGCTGTACGGCGTGGAGTTCCGCGCTGCGGCGCCGCAGCCGGGCGAGATCTGGCACCCGGAGGTGCGCAAGCTCGAGGTCGTCGACGACGCCGGCCGGCTGCTGGGCCTGATCTACTGCGACGTGTTCGCGCGCAGCAGCAAGGCCCACGTGGGTGCTGCGCACTTCACTGCGCGGTGCGCCAGGCGCGTTGACAACGACATTGGCGTGCAGGGCAGCGCCGACCACGCAGGCCAGACCGTCGTCGAGCGTGACGGCCAGCGCTTCCAACTGCCTGTGGTTGTGCTAATCTGTGACTTCCCCGTGCCGGCCGAGGGCTCGCCGCCGCTGCTGAGCTGGTCGAACGTCGAGACTATTTTCCACGAAATGGGCCACGCCATGCACTCGATGCTGGGCCAGAACGGCTTCCACAATGTCGCCGGTACGCGGTGTCCCGTTGACTTTGTGGAGCTGCCGTCGATCCTCATGGAGCACTTTGCAAGGTCGCCCCACGTGCTCGAGCTCTTTGCCTCGCACTACAAGACCGATGCGCCGCTGCCGCTGGAGCTGGTCCGCAAGCACACGGAGCAGCGCCGCCGGCACTCTGCGCTTGACCTGCATGCGCAGCTGTTCATGGCGGCGCTCGATCAGCGCTACCACTCCAAGGACCTGCACGTGGAGGGTGGCCCCGGGTGGTCATCGCGGGTACTGGCGGATGTGCAGCAGGACCAGATGTTCTTTGGGGGGTCGCCCAGTGCCGCGTCCTTCTTTGGCCATGTGCAGGGGACCCAGTGGCAGTCTCGGTTCACGCATTTGGTCGGGTATGGCGCTTCTTACTACGCGTACTTATTCGACCGCGTGTTGGCTGGGCGGATCTGGGACCGTGTGTTCTGCGGGGACAGCTCGGATACGCCGTTGGTGCGCGGCGGCGGCGAGGATGGATGCGGTAATCCGCTGAGTAGGGAGGCTGGAGAGAGATTTAAGAATGAGGTTTTAAGCTGGGGCGGCGGTCGTGACCCATGGATGAGCTTGGCTGCTGTGCTGGACAATGGAAAGACGAGCGCAAAGGAGATTGAGGATATTGCTCAGGGCGAAAAATCCGCTATGCGTGCGGTTGGTAGCTGGAGACTGCCCGATCTTTAAAAGAAATAAGAACACAATGGACTTTTTTGTATATCAATTGACAAATTAATAGAATTAGATGGACTACTGTATTTTTTTTTACTGCGGAGGGCAATTTTTGCTGACGCGTATATTTGCTCTCTTTTTGTCTTTTTTGCCCTTTCTCTTTACCAAGCTGCTCAGCTATTTTTATTTAGTTTTTTTTATTTACTGACACATCAGTTCGAATTCCCAGAATACAAAATAATTAAAAGCAATGGTACGTGCGGCTAATTCGCAGCACAGAGCCACATCAGACGGCGCCCGGGTGGTGAACTGGTATTATTCTACGCCACTGATAACCCGCCTACTCCTCACAAGCATTGTGGCATGCACCCTGGCCACCTCGCTCGGGCTCATCAACATCTACTTCATGGGGTTGAGCTGGAAACTGATCTGGCAAAACTTCCATATCTGGCGTCTAGTCACCGGTTTTGTCACCACCAGCGTGGGACTCAACGAAGCCATCACCGTAGTGATGCTCTACTACTACTCTAGCGACCTCGAGCAGGAGGAGTTCTCCGGCCGTACAGCGGACTACGCCTGGTTCCTAGTATTTTGCATGGGCATTATGGCTGCGGTGTCCTGGATTACCATGACCAGGTGGCTCTTCCATGGCGTTTTCCTGGCTGTCGCTACATTGTGGTCTTTGCACCGAGGCGAGCAGATTGTTAATTTTGTTTTGGGCATTAAATTGCCTGCAAAGTACCTCCCTTATGCTGTTATTGTTTTGGAGTTTGTGATGAAAAAGGGGTATTTGCCGGCGGTTTATAGTATGCTTTATGGATTCGCTGCTGCTCATTTGTATTATTATTTGTCCGTGGATTTGCCTGCTCAGGGGGGGCTGATGTACGTTCCGACCCCGCAGGTGTTTTATCGCTTGTTTGGGAGTCCACAGAGAATCGGCGCAAGGTTTGCATCGTCTGGTATGGCTACCGTTGGTAATACTGTGCATCAGCGCCCTGGCGGCGGTCATTTCTGGGGCGCTGGTCGGACTGTTAGTTGAGCTAAAAGAAAATGCAATACGCAAGTGCGTATTGCATTTTCTAGTTTTGGTTTTATTGAATAAAAATTCGCTTTCTTTTCTCCTTTTCAATATGTTAAAATGGACAAGAGTATGTTGGTTGTTTTGCGTAAATAATACAGTAAAAGAAATATTTATAAAAGAAAAGAAAAGATGTAAAATTCCCCTCTCCTCTCTCCTCCCTCTCAGCTACAACAACAAGTGTTTCTTTGCCAGCGCATGAACCTTAGAGTCAAACGCCAATGATTGAATCGGGGTATTAGGTTCATAGAATGGATTCATTAAAGTTTTCAAGTACAGCTCATGACACTCCATGAAAAACGCCCTAACAACCTCATCGGACTTTGATTCAAACAACAGCATTAGTCGGATATTGCTTGGAGTCACATATGCTGATACATTCCAGTCGTTATACCGGTCGACGGTTTTCAAAAAACAAGCGTTGTTTGTGAATTGTGCATCGTCTACTAGGTCTAGGGCTGCGTGGACGATGAATTGGTTGAGGTATTTGTTCTCGTCTCGTTGGATGCCGAACTCTGCCTCGTAGAGTGGCGAGTCATTTGTACCGACTATAGCAAAATAGTACGTGGCGGACATTGTCTAAATTGTATTGGACAAGTGTAAAAAAAAAGGAATTGCGGATGGTATTTGGGAATATAAAAGAAATAAAATGCAATGCAAATGAAAAAGAAAAAAGAATAGAGAAAATGTGGTTTTTTTAGCTTGTCGATTGATTCAGTGAGGAAGAGAGGTTTTGCTTTTTTTGCTTTTTGCTGCGAGCACGCAAAATGCACATGTGAGTTTTTAATCAGAATACAAACAATATGATCATAATCAATTTTAGCCAAAAAAATTGGGTTCATATCTAAATTACGCGCAAAAATAGCATTTTAACTGTCAGTGTTGCTGTCACTTGGTTATTGTCTGCCATTGTTTTTTTTGCTGCCAAACATACCAACATCAATCAAATTGTCAATGGTATTAATGTTGAGCCTTTATTCTGCAGTAAGCAATTTTTATAATAAATCAATATTACCTTTAAACCTATTCTTTCCATTGACTGGAGTGAGTATAGGTTTATTTAACATGTCTATCAGCGCTCTTCTCCCAACGGCAAACAATTGGTTATCCACATCCAGCGAATCATTAACGATCGTTCAGTTTGACATCCTCCATCTTTTTATTTAGCCAAAACCCATTTTATAATTCATTATTAATGACACTGCTTTTTGTCTATTGCCTGCGCATACATTTAAAATATTCGATATTTAGTTATTCAAATTCTTTTTTATTTTAAAAATACTAGTTATGCCACATAAATTTCCGTTGTACTTCACATCGTGAACACAATATTTAGTTCACGCCTGATATGAACCACCAAACCAGAGCTACGCCAACGGCTGCAGCGCCCAATTCGACCGCAGTGTCCAGAACATCCTTACGAGTAACCTTTAGCCTGATCCTTCTCGGCGTGCGGCACCCATTCTCGTCGCAATGGTCCTCATCACTATCGACGTCCTCAACGGGCTCCTTGTCCTTCTCATTCCCGCTGTCTGTCGCCTCTACGCCATTGTCTTCCTGACTCTGCTTCTGTGAGTCCTGGGAGTCCTTGTCTGCGACCTTTCTGCGGCGGATCCGCGACTCCACATAGTTCACGCGAGCCTCTACCTCTTCCAGAAGCGCCTTGACCTGGGTGTTGTTTGGCTCGACCGAAATTGCCTGGCGCAAGACCGCCTTTGCCTGATCAATCTTGCTCTCACTACTCAGGATCAGGCCCTTCATGTAGTACCCCTTGACCCACTGGGGCTCCAGGGCAATACACTGGTCGGCGTGCTTCACCGCCTGCGACCACCGCTTGAGCTTAATCAGCGCCATGCACGTGTTGCTGTGCAGCTTGGCACTGTACATATCGTACCCGAGCCCGTTTTTGTAGCAGTCAAGCGCCTGAATCCAGTTTTCCTTTTTGAACTCGACATTGCCCTTCTCTTTCCACTCCTCTGCGGCCTCACGCTCGGTGGCCATCCGGCTCTCCCTGTCCTCCTCCTCTTCCTCGTCATCGACCTTGTCCCGCCCGAGCTTATGCTCAATGGCGTTTCTGCGCATCAGCGCGCTCTTGGCCTCCTCCATCTGGCCCAGCTCTTTGTACGCCTTGGCCATACGCATGAGCGCCAAGGAATGCACCGTTGTACATCCCTCTTCGACGTGGCCCTGGACATCGGCGTTGAGGAATTTGAGCACTTTTTCACAGTCCTCTAGGGTTTTCTCGTACTTTTTCAGCTGCAGCCGGCAGGTGGCCCGCGAGAGCAGCGGCAGGGGCGATTGTACTGGGAGGGAGCAGAGCTCGTCAAATTTTTCCAGCGCGCTTTCAAAATCGTCTTCTTTGAGAAACTCCTGGGCTTCAGCGAGAAGCATCATGGGGTCGGGTGGTGGCGCCTTTGGCTCTCTGTTCATAAACGAAAACATTATATTCCTTATGTTGTTATACTGCTGAATAAAAAAATAAAAAAGGGAAGAAAATGCAATAGGGTTTGAAAAGCGTATGAATTTAACTTGTGGAACAAGACAAGAGAGAAACAGGAAGAAAAGCACAAATGCAATCTTTGCTAGCCTGTACGTCGACACGACAGTTGGAAATCAATCCGAAAACAATGTTTTTTCTATACAAACATATTTTTTAGGCGCTATTTTTAGGGTCCTAGTGCCGTCACCCGCACCTGTCTCTCCCTCTCCTCATTTCATTCATTGACTTTTCCCAATGCCCACCCCGCACATTTTTTAATTATATTTGTATGATGTCGAGTCGTGCTGTGCTGTCCTGTGCTGGACTGGGCTGGGCTGGGCTGGGCTGGGCTGTTCTGTTCTGTTCTGAGCAAGATAAAACAAAAACGAGGACATCGGCGAGTGTATTCTCCATTCATATACGTGTTAAACAAAAAATTAACCAAACAATTGTAAAAAAAAGAACAAGACAAGGAATACCCTTCCCGTCTGCCTTGCCTGTCTTCTCTATCCATCTTTTTCTCATGGCAGGTACGGCGGGCGACCACCCATCTGCGCATCAGGAAGATCCTTCAAGTAACGCTCGACCAAAACACGGCAGTTCTGCATATGGTTAACGCTCTCTTTATGGTAGCACTCGGCGAGTTTCTCGCGCAAAATACGCAGCTTCATGATTTTAACCCACTTATCGCGCACAATACGGTCTCTGTTGTCGAACAGCTCTACACAACACAAAATATATAAATAAAAATTGACACATAGAGTGTGGAATTTAGCGTTTTGGTTTGAGGGAAGAGCCACACGATAAACAAGATACACGGCACATTTGCTTTTTTTATCTGGTGCTAGGGCAGGCCTTGTCCCCGCTTCCAAATGTTTTTAAATTCTGAAATTACGTACCGGCGCGATCGGCAGTGTAGAGTGTCTCGCGGGTTGCCTTGACCTGGCCGTTATCTGACATAGTTATGCTTTGTGGGTTGGCGAATGTGTGTGGAAAAGAGGGTATAATAAATGAAAAATTAACTATAAAAAAGGTTGAATTGAGAACAAGGCGAAACAAAATAAAAATAAAAATAAAAACTCAAATAAAAGAGTAAAAATCTCATCTCGAACTTGACCTTGCATCAAAAGATACCACCCACACAGTACTTGATCGAACAAGGTGTGTGTGATTACCAAATCATTTCATCGCAGAGGGAGATCAAGACCAATTTTTCAAAGGCTGGAGAAAAATACTAAATAATACAAAATATTTAAAAAAAAAAAATACTGGGTCACCATTCAGTCCGCCGCTAAGTCCACCACTCACCCTGCTGACGAGTACTACACTGCAGTGACTCCTTCCAATTCCAGCTAAGATCCTATTCAACAAAAAAGAGTATGAATGCAGAGTCAAAGGAACTAAGCGCATAGTCAAGATACAATAATGACAGCTATCACTGCGTCACAGCCTGAGGAAAAAAGTCACAAGAATCAAGAATCAAGCTCATTGCTGATCTTAATCTCCAGAAAGCCAATTAAAAAGTTTTGCTTTCCACGGAAGTTATTGCTCCCGTTTATTTATGCACGGGTTTCCGAAGGGTTTCTATTACAGCTGTTAGCTTCTCTTGACCTTAATCATTCGCACTATTTATATACCTTTATTTCTTTTTTAATTTCACAGTTGTTTGAATTTAAAAACAAATACAATGAGCGCATCAGTATTCGGCACAAATGACAGCTCACTTGACCTGTTGCTTAGCCAGGCCAAGGAGACGCTGGCGCGCAGGGAGCAAGATAAAATCGCAGCCGAACAGGCAGCCGGGAACAAACAAACGAGCAAGAAACAACAGCTGGCGCTCTCCGTTCCGCTGCGGCTCGACACCGGATGTAGGATTGGCGAATCGCAGCTTCTCAAAACCAACCGCACAACCGGCATGACAACACTAAACACGGATCTTGTCTATGCCAACGCAAAGGCAGCTCCCGGAATAGACTCTGCAATTGACGAAAAGACAGCCACGCCTGATCCAACCATCAAACGCCAGTCGAAAAACACTGTGGCGGCTGCCAAAGACCAGACTGCGGGCAAGCAGTGGTTTGGGATGAAAGCACCCGTGCTTACCCAGGAACTCAAAAACGACGTGCGTGTTTTGCAGCTGCGCAATATTTTGGACCCAAAGAGGTTCTACAAGAAGGATGTGAGTACGAAAAAGATGCCAAAGTACTTTGAAATGGGGACAATCATCGAAGGGCCGACAGAGTTCTACTCGAGCAGGATGACAAAGAAGGAACGCAAGAATAATTTGGTCGACGAGTTGCTGGCTGACAAGCAGGCGAGGGATTACTTTAAGCGTAAGGTAGGCGAGATTAACGCTGTGAACAATAGCGGCAGGAACCGCAAGCACTTTAAAAAGTCAAAAGGAAGTGGCAATGCAAGTGGTGGCCACAAATCTGGGGATAAGGCGAAGCGTGGCCATTAGCTTTAACAATAAAACACCTTTTTCAATTGCATCTGTGACTATATCGTAACTTTTTAAAATACTGAACGCTGATTTGGATAGCTCCGAGTAAATGAAAAAGGAAAGTGTAGGAAATGCTTTGTTTATGTTTTATTTATTAAACAATTGCATTTGTTATAGTAAGAGGGGGGTGTGGGGAGCACTAGTTGTCTAGTGTTAAAAGTTAGGGGTGATTTTATAAAAGGTTTTATTACTGATGTTTCTAAAGTACTACTAGGGCCGGCTTCATCTTATATATGTGCCTTGTCGCCTTTGTTGTGCACATTGTCAATTGTGCGCTCCGTTGGTGAGAACTGGATCTTCTGCGAGCAGACCGGTATCTTGGCAAGTCGATGTTGTGGTTTTCGTGCGTGTACGCTCATGCGTGTGCATTGCAAAATGGGGAGCATGTTTGGGCATCAATGTAATGCCTCCCTAATTCGCGTCTGCATTATCCAATTAGCGTCCTATCAATCGGCACGCAGGTGGAAACCTGTTTCGCGATTCTCGACCTCAACATCCACTTCCATATCTTCAGTCTGTGCAACACGTTGAAGGTTATAAAAATTGTACGTAATCGGTCCACTTATAAAAGTTTTATAATAAGCCTAAGATCTGCAGCTCATGAATGATACTCCTTGCAAAGTAAAATTTTTTTATCTTTAAAGCCATTTGAATCTACAATATATTTGGCTGGTAGGATGCAATTACAATGGTTCTTTTTTATCATTTCATTCATATTGAATTCATATCTCTTGTCTGTGGTGTTATTGGCTGATCTGGAAATTTTATAACCAACTTTTTGGCAGTTATCAATGACTGACACAATTAGGAATGCCACATAACAGAAAACGTTCATTATTAATGCTTCTAAAAGTCGCTTAAAATGTGAAACTCTAAACCCTTATAATGTAGTTCAACAAATCTATATGTATTATTACAATAGTTTAGATAAATTACCCAAAGTAATCAAACTACAATGTAACTATGATGAGCGAACCAGAATTAACAGATGATGAGTTCAAATTGATGTTGTATCGAGTTTATACTAGGCTGATACTACATTGAACTGTAACTCAGATTAACCAACCTATGGCTTTCCCTGAAGTGCCACAATAAGAGTATTCAGAACAGTATTAAAAATACCCTTAAACTGCCTCAGACCCTCAACGGCAACTGGGGTAACTTGGTTTACAAGAGTCAGCACATCAACACCGCCAATCTGGTATGGGCTTGCTGGAGCACGGCTGGCTTTTTCAATGATTTGGTTGGGACTCATAGGAACTACGTTAGGGATAGTTTGGATGCCTTCTTGGGCTGACTGAATGGGTCCGGCCTGCACAGATGAGGCAGCAATGAAGAGCAGAGATGCAACGGCAGTGAATTTCATTGTTGGAAATTGTAGTGGTGTTTATAAGTTGGACTGGGTTGAGAATGCTGTTGTTTTTGGATAATTATCAAAGATCATTTTGGCAGTGAGTGTCATACTTATATATTATTTTAACTGACTGCTTTTAGTGGCAATGATGTAACTTTTACATTATAATAGTAACTATACCCCATTAAGTTTTGAAGCAGCTCTTGTAACACGGCTATAAAAATAAATGACAAAGCATGCCTGAATACAATTGGGGAAATTTGTTTGTCTCATTTGTTAGCATGTGTGGCTTTATTCGGAAGTAATTTAAATAATGATTGTACTTGGTGTAAAAAAATTTCCAATCGGCAAGTTGGGCATATATCTTTTTTTAAGCACTGAAATTGGTTTCAATTACATTGTCAAGTTTGGTGGTGCTTTGTTTTGCAGAAAAGTCAATGGCAACTGACAAATGAGTGGGCAGCCGCCAAAAAGCGTTATTATTAGGAAAAGGAAAGCGATCTTTGAATATGCAAACATAGGTTACACACCCAAAAGAGAAGCATTCACATGTGTCATCAATGTGTTGCCACCGCCGCCACCGCCGCCAAAAAAGCTATAGTTGTGATTCAGTTGCTTAAGCAGGAATTATTATCTATTTAAATTCCATTGGTTATATATTGCTTCTCCATTACGAGCTGCATATAATGTGTTGTTCAAAGTTATACATTGCTACTATCTAAAGTTCGGCAAATAGGCAGTTTTTAATTGTTCATATCGCATTCTTATTTGATAAAAAAATATTTTATTAGACAAAAAACAAATTTGAAATATTAAAAATAGACTAAATGTCTTCAATCATTGCCGTCTTGATATTCATAAATTGCAGGTAGGACTATTCCCAAATCAGTATCATTGTGGTTGGTTTTCTCGATTTCTAGTACCAAGCATGTTATGTTTGGCAGTTGTAACTTGATTTTACGCGCAAATTCTGCAACTGCCGCTTGCAAGTCTTTATCAACATCGCGCAATGGCTCCACAATGTTTGAATCACTCATATCATCAGTATCGTTAATATCATCAGTATTGTCAGTATCATCAGTATCGTAAATATCATCAGTATCGTCAATATCATCAAAATTTGGTACACATGTTCCGGTTTCTAAATGCAGAAATGTCACATTAATCCATGGAATTTGACTCGTACCAATTACTTTTTGCAGGGCTCGATGACTTGCATTAGTGACTTTCACACGAGAGAGTCTGGGACAGTTTATGCTGTTCTGCTCGTCACCAGTCTTCGATAACTGTAATTTGATAAATTCGCTATAATCTGATTGCGTGTCAACAAGACTCGGCTTAAAACCAAGTTCGAAATGCTCCAGTCTTCCAAAGTCAATAATTTTGTCCTCCAAGCAATTCCGAAACTTTTCCCACGAAAAATCAAAAGGCACGTTATTCAAGCGCAGGTGCTGCAATTTCGTGGTGTTTATTTTCGGAAAACAGTCCCATTCGCCTTTTGCAACATTGACATCCAAGTAAACCAAATCATCAGAGAAGGATGCTATCTTGAGCGCAGTGTGGTTTTCACAGTGCAAATAACGCGCCTTCTTTGCAAAAGCATTGGCAACTGCGTCGTTGAGAGGATTTTCTGTTTCAAAGCTTACATACCTACCTAGTTTCAAATTTATAACGGATGGCATGCTTTCAGACAAGCATTTGGTGAAGATGTTTATGTTTTGTTCTAGAGTTGCTTCAAAGTTGCGCATGTGGGTATGCAGTTCTCCGAGCCCGTATATTTGGAGAGAGCGCACACGCTGCCAGGTGAATAGAGCAGAGCACAATAGATTTTGCGCCACGTTAATGTCTGAAACCTCTAGTTCGATAGTGTCAAGCATTGGGAAATTTATCTTGATTCCTCCATTGGTAGCTAGTCCTGGTACCAGCGCTACATAATCACTCGAGATGTCCTCCGAATATTCTCTCTGGTAGGCGAGCTGGAGATTGCGCAGATTGGAAAACTCAATGCACGTTTGCTCAGGCGTGCTCTGGAACTGGGTCCAGTCAAAATCAACAGGCAAGTCAATCAGATTCAACGTCTTGATTTTTGCTGTGGGGATCCAAGGAAGTATGCCACCGATCTCGTCTTTCATACGAACAACAAGCGAAGTCAGTTGGTTTGAGAATGCCGAAATACCTACTAAATTTGTATAGCAACAGTTGAGAGAACTGAGCTGACCAGAATATGCCTCGGTTAGCTTTTGTCCAAACCGCTTGCTCAACGTTCTTAAGTTATCGGTATACATCCTGATATGTACAACTCGCGGCACCCTTTGAGCCATCCGCTTGGCAAAGTAGTCTACTTGCTTTTCTAAATTTGATACCACTTGCGGATCTACGTCTTCAATGTCGTCCTCGTCAATACCAATGACGACTCCTATTGATGTCACGCCGGTCCACTCGTGGTCGTTAAACCCAAAAATGGAATCTACTCTTCCGATGCTCGCCTTGAAGGAGTCCAGGTTGCGGATATACATCCCGATGTGCTTCACCGCAGGCACGTTGCCAGTTGAGATTATAAGGTCAATGTTGCTGTCAAAAGGCTTTTTCGGTAAGTTGCTGTTACTGTCATCGTCACTATCACGGTCGTTGGGGCCTTCCAAGTACGCTCTACCATATACAATTCTAGTGGCACTGTCTCTCCAGCTGCTGCAGACAGCGAGCAGTGGCAGGGTGTAGTTCCAAGTGCTGATGTCGTCAATGTCCGTTTTTACAGCAAACCGAATAATTCGTTCTATGATGACAGAGGGCAGGTTGGAAAAGTCAGGCATGGTTGTTAGCGAATAATAGCACAGTGGGGGTATAATTGTGTATATGAAAAATATGTCAAAATATTAATGAAAAATTGGACAGATACAAGAAAAATATTTATAAACGAGTGGGATCAGTGCAGCAAAATATAAAAGCAATGATGCCCAAGGTTTGCTTTGAGGAAATAACAAAACATGGTGGCTTGGTGGTTTTTTTGCTTAATAAAAAGCAAATTTTTTGTTTTAAAGCATCAAAATAAAGAATACAAAGACATTGCAAAAAAAAAGAATACATAGCCACCGCAAGCGATAGTAAAAAGACGTCTTTTACTATTTTTTATTTAGCAAACTACGGGCGCAAGCCAAACGACAGAACACTCGGAATAGTGTAGGACTCGATTAAATTTTTTATTTAATTTTTTGGCCTACATATTTGTGCGGCGGCGCGGTGTCTTAAAGCGCGGGGTACTGCCAGCACCACCGGGCGTAACAATGCTCGACCGCGCACCCATACGGCGCCTCACGGCATCCGCCTGGGCGGCTTCCTTGACAGCATCTTGCTTTTGCATTAGCTGGAACTCAGACTCCATCCTCGCCTGATGCTCCACCGCATGTTCCCTCCTACCGCCGACCCCGGGCTCCCTCAAACTGAAAAACATCGGGCCCATCTCTGCCAGCCACCTTGGGTCCACAGCCGTCACGCACTGCATGTACTCTTTGGACGTATACACCAGCTCGTGGTACACAATGTAGTCGGGCGTGTACCCCATGCCGTACAGCGCGCTCGTCGGGTGCAGGTGGCAGGGCATCCCGGTGCGCAAGTCCGAATACTCGCCCAGGCTCTTAGACCGCGATGCCTGGTGAAAGTATGCAGCGCAGATGCACTGGCGAACAATGTCCCAGTCAGCACCAGCGCTGGGCAAGTTGCCCTTGATGGTGGAGCTTAGAATGTCTGTGAGCTGGTCGCGGACCTCGCGGGCCTTGCGCATGGACTTTGAGTGGACAAAATGGCGCACGCACCAGGCGTCACGGTAGCCGTTGGCCTTCCACTGGTTGTAGACGTTGAGCAGGGTGAGGTGGTCGGATTCGGGAACAAAGAACTTTTCCCTCGCAGCATCTGACTCGTCCAGCCGCTCCTTTGGTCGGTAAAACACTGATGGCACGGCGAGCATCGACACGATGGTGACAACCTCGGCGGCACACCCGCGCGCACACGCGGTGACAAGCATCTTGGCCGGCGCCGGGTCCAGCGGTAGCGCGGCCATGCGGCGGCCCAGGTCGGTGATCGACCCGGAGCTGTCCAGCGCACCCAGCGTCCACAGCTGATACATCGACGTACGAATAGTGTCCTGCGGGGGAGGGTCCAGAAAGTCGAACTTTAAAAGGCTGCTGATCCCGATGGACTTTAGCAGCATGACGACGTACGCCAGGTTGGTGCGCTGGATCTCGGGAATCGGGCTTGCGTACATCTCATGCTGGAACGCGCGCTCTGTATACAACCTATATGCAACGCCAGGCCCCGTGCGTCCAGCGCGGCCGGACCGCTGGCTGGCATTTGCCTGCGAGATGGGCGTGATCTGCAGCGCGTCCATGCCGATGCGCGGGTTGTACACTTTGAGCTTGTAATACCCGGCGTCGACGACGAAGCGCACGCCGTCAACGGTCAGTGACGTCTCGGCAATGTTCGTTGCCACAACAACCTTGCGCACAGGCGATGGCTCAAAAATGCGCGCCTGCATGTCAGCCGGCAGTTGCGAGTATATAGGCAGCACAGACAGCGGCTTGGCGCCTTCAATGGCTGCGAGCCGCTCACGCACGGTCTCACAGCAGGCCTCAATGTCCTCCTGGCCCGTCATGAACACTAGGATGTCGCCGGGGCCCTGGCCCAGATGGATGGTCAGGATCTGGCGCACCGCGCTGTCCACGTAGTCCTCGCAGGGTGTCTTGCTGAACATGATGTCGACGGGGAACGTACGCCCGGGGATCGTAAACACAGGCGCGTTGCCAAAGAAATCAGCAAACCGTTGCGCATTCATCGTCGCCGACGTCACAATCAACTTCAAGTCGCGGCGCTCGCCGGCAATCTGCTTCAGTAGGCCCAGGAGGACGTCCGTATTGAGCGTGCGCTCGTGCGCCTCGTCCATGATCACCGCCGAGTACTGGCCCAGATCGCGCCGCGTCAGCGTCTCGCGCAGGAGCACACCGTCGGTCATGTACTTGAGCCGCGTGTTGCGGCTCGTGCAATCCTCGAACCGGATCGCGTAGCCAACCTCCTCGCCCAGCTTGACGTCCATTTCCTCAGCCACACGCTTGGCCACGCTCATTGCGGCGACGCGTCGCGGCTGCGTGCACCCGATCATGCCGTGGCGCGTGTACCCGGCCTCATGCAGGTACTGGGCCAGCTGCGTCGTCTTTCCAGACCCGGTCTCTCCCACGACAATCGTCACCTGATTATCGCCGATGACCTGCATCAGCTGGTCACGGCATGCAAATGCCGGCAGGTACTCGCGCTGCTCGCGGAGCGATTTTGACCGCGAGAACTCCGATCCTGACTCCTGCACAGCCTTGCCATTGTCCGGGGCGGGCTCACTTTGATTGGGTTGAGGCTCGTCCCCTTCGTCGCCCTCCGCGACCACTCCCAGCACATTGCCCAGCGTCGTGCCGGCCATGTCGACAGCGTCGCGTGTCGCCTTCATGCGCTCGCGCTTTTCGCGCAGATCGCGCACCAGCGCGCTGCCCTTGCGCGCAAACACGGCCAGGTCGCTTGTCGGGTCGACGACGGTCTTGACGGGGTCCAACTGTCTTGTCAAAACAGTGCCCTCAAGGAATGGCGGCTTCAGATCATGCACCAGCAGGTGCATGCGGTTCTGGTCGCCGTCATCGTCGTCTTCCGCGGCCGCAGCCTGCGCCACGCCCGACTGCACGAGCCGGCTGTTAATCCATTGGTCATTGTCGCGGGAGTACTGCATCTGGCGCGCGGTCATTTTCTTGGTCTGCTGGCCGAGAAGCTTGGCCTCCAGCTTGTTGTCATGCTCGACATAGTCGGCGAACGGATTGTGCGAGTCATCGACCGTGCCACCGGTCTCGTCGGTGCCGTACCAGTCGCGATCAAGCTGCTGCTGCGCCAGGTCCCAATCCTGCCGCAAAGCTGCGGTCTCCTCGTCATCGGCAATAGAGTTGCGGTGGCTTGTGGCCGATGTCCCCGTGCGGGATCGCGGGGTCGACCTGTCTGTGCGGCTGCGCAAGTGAGGCTGATCGGTGGGTCGCCGCGGCGTGGGCGCGTCCCAGGCCGATGTGCGCTGACTGGCTCTCCTTTCCTCACCGCCTCTGCCGCTGTCGCCAAGCAGTGGTGTCGCTGCATCCCACCGGCTGCTGCGAGATTCTCTTTGGCGATTATTCGCACGTTGCCTATCCTGCCGACTAGGCGACCTCGATCGCGAACGCGACCGTGAGCGCGACCTGGCTCTTGACTCGCGGTGATGCGCCCGTTTACTCGAGCTCTCGTACGCTAGTCCGTGTCGTCCACCCTCGGCACCATGCAGTTTCCTCCGGTGCTCCTCCAGCCGCTTCTGCGCACTCGCTGACACGCCTCCGGGATCAGACGGCGTTTCGGCTCTCCTCTGGCGCAGACTCAGGGACACCCCCTGCGGATGCCTGAACCTGATCGACCCGATCTCCGGCTCGTCGTCCAGGAGCGCACGTTTCTCAGTCATCGACTGTAGTGCCTTTTCGCGCAGCTCAGCTGCCCGCTTATCCAGCCCCAAGCTCGACGTTGTCTTTCCTAAAGATCCTGGTTTTACTTCGCCTCCAAAACGCTTAGCCTTTGGCACATACACCAGACCGCCCCTGCCGCTGTCCTCTGTGCCATTGGGTGCGGTGGATCGATCGGCGTGCGTGCTGTATTCTTTGACTGTTTTGTAGATGGTCTCGAGACACGTGCTGTCGAAACGACCAAACATTTTGCACGCATTTTCAAACTGCTGCAGACTGTTCGCCGTGCTGCTAAACTGCGCGAGTCGCTTGCATACGGCTGGTGTCGATAGTTGTGCTGTCTTTTCGCCGGACCGTTTCAAAATTGTGTCTATTGTTGCTTCCAATTTTCCATTCGTCTGCAATAAATTCAGGTCCATTGTCGGCAATTGTACTGAAATGAGAGAACAGGGTGTGTGAAATTCAACCCTGATTTTGTGGCTGGAAAAAAAGAACAAAAAAAGGTTTGAAAAATAGAAGAAAAAAAGTAAAACACCGAAATGCGTCGACGCAGGGCACTTGCAATCAACCTGGCAATAAAACATATTTTATATGGTGTCATTTTATTGGCCATCTCTGTCCGCACCTCTGATTGGCCAAGAAAACAATCTGTGGGTATCATCACGCTTTTTTTCCTGGTCATTTCACCTGCCAAAAAATAATGGGGGAGGGCAAGGCGAAAAAAGGGCAGTTTCAATTTTTTTCTTCAAAATCTCGTCCCCTTCTTTTAATTTTGCGCCATCACAAAGAAAGGGAAGAAAAAATGAAAAAGCGTGTCTTTTTGGATTTCCTTTTGCAAAAAATTCGATAAAAGGTGGGCAAAAGCGCCCATCTTGTCGCCAAAAAAGCACGAAAAATTCATTTTTCGCACACTTATCCTTTTCTCCTCTTGTCTCGTGAAATAATTATTGGCTCTTAATTTTCTACCTTATAATTTTTGCATAAATTTACACTTTTGTACTTTTTCCTTCTTATATCAGGTGATATACACACAGGACGCCTTTTTTATCACTTTACCACGGTACCTTTTTTGCACTTTTCTGTCGCAGAGTGTGTTTTTACCCCCCTTTCTTTCCTTTCCAACGAGTGGTTCTTTCATCTTTTGTTCATCACAGTCGGAGAATATCCCTTTTACTGCAAGTCATCTATTTTTATTAAGGAACATCCTTTTTTCTGGTTGCTTACAAGGACGCAGGTCGGACAATAAAACTCCACCCCACTCCACTCTACTCGACTCCGCTCTCATCCATTCTTTCCCTACAGGTCACGCATCGCAACAACGTGTCAACTATCCCGTTTCTGTGTCCTGACATAACAAAGCTCCAACATATTGGAACCGCCACCACCATATTTTTTGTTTTATTTTCTTTCCCCACGCTTTGACCCAGGACGAAGAAGAAATACCAGAATTTCATTTTTTATATTTATTCTCTTTCCCCTCCCCTCGTCCTCGTCCTCTTTTTTGTTTATTTCAACGCCGCACAACAATCAATGTCGACCATGGCACGGCTTCGTGAGGGTGCGACAAAGAAGGCAGCAGTTCCTACGAAAAGCAGTAAGACCCCCGAGGTGATGGCATCAGCTGCGCCCAGCAACGAGCCCCGCCGCAGCAAGCGCAATGTTGGGAAGCCAACTGAGGCAACCCACACACCAGACGACACGGCCAGCCCACCTGCCACACCCAGCTCAGCAGCCCAAAGGCCCAAGCTAGTGAGGCAGCAGAACAACTTGCAACACACCGCAGACTCCAGATCAAGGCAGGCCGACCCCGAGGACCCAGCGACACTTGCAAGGGCCACTGAGCCCGGCGCCAACTTTATCATGTCTTCGCCCAAACGCAAGCTGCGCGAGGCAGGCAGCGAACAGATAACACCGGTTGCGGGCTCATCAACCAGGCGGCGAAAACTGGGCGACGTCGACCCAGCCTCCGGCGAGACAGGGACTCCAGAGATACCTGGGTTCCACTCGCCCTTGCCCAAGCGCCTACGGCCGTTGAATTCTCCGGACTCGGATGCTTCTGCGACAAATACGCCGACAAAAGCGGCGTCACGGTGGGCCATGCGGTCGTTGGACTCGGATGCCTCGCCGTCGCCGCTAAAGTCAATCTTGTCGCCAGTTCTGGACCTTTTTCGCCGGGTTTCAGGGATGGCACAGGACCCTCTGGGCCTGCAGAGGCAGGCTTCCAACAGCTCGTCGGTGTCTCTGGAAGAGGAAGACATGGATATGGAGACAGCTATCAGCACGGCGTCGGAGGATGACAATGGCACGGGTACACCGACCGACTCTGCCGGGGCCAACTCTCTGACCGCGCCCCCCATGAACCCCACTACGCTGGGCGCGCCCGCATCAACTATCCCGACGTACCTCTCCAACGGCATGAACGGCGCGGGGATCCAGCTGTACCTGCCGGAATCCGACCTCGACCCAGGCAGCGGCGACATCTCGCTGGCCTCTGGATTCCCAGAAACTCCCAGCAAGGAGAACGTACCCGTGTTTGATGCCGCGTCGCACAGCTACGACTTTGGCGCCACCGAAGAGCCCTCCGAGCTGTCTGCCATTCCACTGTCCGATGCCGACGCGCAGCCTGCCAGTGACCTGTCCATGGACGCCGACCTCTCGCACATGTCGTCGTTGGGGGACTCCGAGATTGACGCGCAGTACGAGCAGTATCTGTACGACGACGACGAGGATGACTTCAACCCGTATCTCTTTATGGCCGACTTGCCGCCGGTGCCCAAGGAGCACGCGCTTCGGCCATACGCGCTGCCGCGTAAGACACGCTCAAGCCCACCTATCACCCTGGTGCTGGACTTGGACGAGACCCTGGTGCACTGCGTTCTGAACAAGGTGGACAACGCCGACTTGACTTTTCCCGTGGAATACAATGGCATAAATTATGACGTCTACTGTCGCCTGCGCCCCGGGTACAAGGAATTCCTCGAGAAGGCTAGTGAGCTTTTCGAGGTTGTTGTATTCACAGCATCCCAGCAGGTCTACGCCGACCGGCTGCTTAACATCATTGACCCCGAGCGCCGCTATATACGGCACAGGCTTTTCCGCGACTCGTGCGTGTATGTTAACACCAACTATGTCAAGGACCTGGGAATTCTGGGTAGAGATGAGTCCAAGATGGTTCTGGTCGACAATTGCCCCCAGGCCTTTGCTTACCAGCAGTCGAATGGCATTCCCATCGAGAGCTGGTATGAGGATAGGGGTGATCAGGAGCTGATGCACTTGATGGAGTTTTTGGAGACCCTGGTGGGTGACGACGACGTGCGGCCCAAGGTGGAGGCGCAGTTCAAGACCAAGGAGAAGATCGTGGAGGCCAAAAAACGGTACCAGTTCAGAATGGGCGTCCCCTACGGCTCACCCATCTGGGCGCGCGGCACGAAAGTTTAATGTTTTCTTTATTTTTCTTTATCGTACGTGTATTGCAAGCATATTTTTCTTTTCTTTTTTATTTCATTTATATTTTCTTTATTATTTCATTTCATCTCTCATTATTTATTAAAGGCATTTTTCATTCAAGCTAATAACTTGTTGAACTACTTTGAACTGTATGCATTACATAGCAAAATATGATAAAAAGGGGGGTTATGCAAAGTGTAATCAACAATTTTTCAACAGCTGTGAGCTGGACCCGCACTAGTCTCTGTGGTCGCGACGACTGTCTTCATCCGCTGTTAACCCTGCAGCTGCAACAGCAGCAGTCCGCTGCTGGCGCTTCGTCAATGGCTCGGTGTTCAATGGTGGGCTGCTCCCGCTGGTACTTCCAAGTGGCCGCTCTGTCGAAGTGTTGCTCCCAGGAGCGCTCAAACCAGCCCCCTGAACGTACTTGTTCAACGACTCCTCAGAAGTGCCCGCAGAATCAACAGCAGCAGCGGAAGACATCTCCCATTGCCCAGTAGCCCTTCCGCTGTCCCCGTACTCCTTGCGATACTCGTGTTCGCGCCACTCAAACATGACCTGCAAATGCACGTTCAGCAACACATACGCGACGGCCAAAAACAGCACTCCCTCTCGACTGAATATCTTCTCGAGCATCTTCTCGACGCCACCGTCGCCAAAGCCAACCAAGTTGGCAACCATCATGGCAATGATGTTCAGCGCGCCGCCCAAGGAGCAGATGAACCTGAAGTAAGGCTTACGAGACCACTGGGATTTCCCGAAATACCACGTGGCCAGACCCTCGGGCAAAAACAGCAGAGCGATAATCCACGCCCACTGCAACAGCCGCATGGTTAGATCGTGCCAGAGCGCGACAAAAGTAAAGACCACAAAGGTATTCCATGTGCTGGTTTTGCGGCCTCCCAGCGGAATGTACACGTAGCGCACCAGCCACTTGTTGTAGCTGCAGTGCCAGTCCCTCCAAAACTGCTGCAGCGAGTAGTTGTTGCTCATGCAACGCCGCATATTCTCGACGGTCTCCAGGCCATCAGCCATGGCCCAGAACCGGGCGAACCGCCAGATGATCAAAAGCTTCAGCCAAATGAACGACAGCCGCATGTACCCAATCAGACTGATCTCGTACGCTGAAAACGTATCCCACTGCGCCCACTTGCTGATCGCCACGCAATAAACCGTGTGCAGGATGAGCTCCATCAGAATCGCCGAAACCAAGAGCCGAACCCCGTAAATCAGTGTGCTCTTAACCTTGATTCCCGGCGATGGGTACCGCATCTGCGACACAAAGTTGTTGAACGTGATGATGGGGCCCGTCAGGTAAAGAGGCGGGTACAGCAGGTACGCCCAGTAGTTGACAAAGCAGTAGTCGGGTTTGAAGCACGAGCGCTCAATCCGGTCCTTTTCCGTCACCGGGTTTGCCACCAGTCCATCCACCAGCTGCGCTCCGGCCTCCTGCTCCTGGCGTACCCGCCAGTGGTAGTCCATGGCAAAGGACACCATCCGCAGCATTGTGATGTTGAACGTCACGTCCCACCGGCGCAGGATGCCGCGGTGCTGGTCGAGCCACGCCAGAGACTCCAGTATGCGGCCAAACTCGTACCCCTTGTAACTCTCGTTGGCAAAAAGCACCGCCAAGTTGTACGCCCAGATGACCAGCGGCGCCCACCGCCTCCCACCCAAGCGCTTAGCCAAAAGGTAGTTGCCGCCAGTCAGCAGCAAAATAAACAGCGTTGATGAGCCCGACAGCACTATGGCAAACATAGAGGCAAACAAGAACGGAAACCACAATGTTGGCAGCGCGCCGCGCACCGATGCGGGCGAGCGCACAAACCCCCTGCACCATTTTCTCACCACGCCCAGGTAGAACAGCCTGTTGAACGCTGTGTATGCAAACATCGCCAGCGCAAAGGCCGGCAAGTTCGACCTGAATGTGCGCCACTGCCCGTCAGACAAGTCTATCTTGCGTCCAAGCATCCACCCGTCGGACAGCCTCCGTCCATACCCCTTGTATTCAGGCCTTTGTGGCGATGACGCCGTGTACATCGTATATATCATGTTGGCCACGGTCACCACATACACCAAGTAGTATGCTTTGAATTCGAGTGTGCCCCAGAGTGACTGCGTGGGCGGCCGCATTTTGCGCTGCGACGTGTGCGTTGTGCCTGGGAGGGGGTCCTGCGTTCGGCTTGGCGCTTGCGGTGCTGGCGATGCCATGGTGGGCAGCAACGTGGTGTTATGCGCGTCGGTGAGGGACACCAGTGGACTGAGGAGCAATGTGTGCGAGAGTTCTCGAATTTGTGGGTTGTGTGATTCGCTGATGCGTATAATGTGCTCAGAGGAGCTGTTTGACATTCCGATTGCTTGCCGCGGAAACCAAAAGAAAAAAGAGCAATTTTACTATAACGTTGAGGAAGCGCAAAATATAAAAATATAAAAAACTTGAAAGCGCCGTGTTTGTACAAGAACAACAGGAAAGGCGAAACAAAACAAAACAAAACAAAACGAAATGGTAAACGTTCTCGGGAGAAAAAACTCCGTATTTTTTTGCCCCTTTAAGCTTGTGAAAAAATAAAATCGCTATTGAATTGATCAAGCAAGAAAAAAGATACATTGTTATAAAACAATAAAAATAATCAAAAAACAACTTGAAAGAGTGCTGAAACAAACCCAACTCATATATGAACGCACTCTGGATATCCAACGCACTGCAGCTATTGTTTGCATTTATGCTCAATCAACTACAATCATTTATGTGGATACCCGCATATTACGAAGCTTAAATACACTAAAAGAAAATAATGAGGCTACAAATATATTTCAAACCGACATCCTTCCTCCATAGTGTTTAGAAACCAGTGACAATAGACCACTATGGTTGACGATATTAATCAGTTCACTGCTTCTTTTGAAGAGAAGAAGTAGGGGAAGATTTATTCTTGCGCACATGCTTGGGCTTGGGTTTTGACTTGAGCAAAGTCTCGGGTATCGCTGTAGACTCGGATTCAGCCAACTCTGATGTCTTTTTGCGTGAAAAACGGGTTTTGAAAATCCCCCGCTTAAAAATCTGGACTTTCGCTATAAATGTATGGAAATTCCAAAATACATTTTCAATAGTGATATAACATGGATAATATTAATATTCAATCCGCTAGCCTTCAAGTATGATGTTAGTATATAATATATAAATATATTTGTGACATAAATATGTTAAAACTAGATATATTCTTGCAGTTGCCACAGTCTTTAAAGTTGGCTTAGAACTTTGTTTGCAGAATACCAATAAGCGAGGCCACGGACTTGTCAACATACTGCTTGAGGGCTATCAGCACGGTAATGACGTTCGGACGAAATTTATCAAGGATAGCCTGCGCTTCAGCAACTTCCTTTGGGCTCAGGCCCAAATCGGCTGCAGCACGGGTGGCCTTCTCTATGGCCAGATTGAAGCCTCCGAAGAAGGCCTCCTCCACGCTCTGGAGAGTCAGACTACCATCCTGGTTTGGCTGGGCAGTTGCGGCGTGCACAGATGAGGCAGCAATAAAGAGAAGGGGTACAGCGGCAGTGAGTTTCATTGTTAATCTTGTTGAGTTGGAAACGATTTTTGTTAATCTATTTTAATGCATAATCTGACCCTGGGTGATATGCTTATATACCATTTTTACAGTCTGGTTTCAGCAACAATATCATATTTTCACTATTGCAATAGTAACCTTACATTGTCAGTCTCTTGAGTATCTTTTGTCACATGGCCATATCAATAAATAATAAGACATGCTCAAACACAGCATGCTCACATTTATAAGCAAAAGTTATTAACAAATTATTACACATCTCATTTGTGAATATACGTGGCAACAATAACGCAATTAATTATCAATACAAAATTGCCCGTTATCAGAACGTCAAAACACATATAAATGAACCAAGACAGATAATGATAATATTTTATATATGCATTATCAATGCACTGCCACCACAGCCACTCGCACAGCTGCAAAACAAGTTATTTGAACGCAAAGGGGAAAACAATGCATGTGGTAGTTCGACAATGATTGCTTTCAACTATCCAAAATAATAAATATATTCCTATAACGTGAATTTTTCAGCGCATTTGTCTAAAACCGCATGCTTGCCAAATGAGGATAAACACTCTTGTACATTTCAACAAATGTAACATGGTCAAAATGGCCACCTGTCCAAGACATTTCCTTTAGCGATGGCATCGACAATATTAAGTATTTGACGACAGCATTCATCGTACCTTTAGGGATGCCTTTAGAAGTAAAATCAAGCTTCAGCTTGGTAACACTAGTCGATATGCACTTTACTCGGTAAATTGATATATATGATAAATCATTGCACAATATATCATTTACTGTCAACTCGTTCATTCTAGGCATCTTTGACAGCAGTTCCACAAGGGTGTCAAACTGTATAGACTGCTTAATTTCTAGGTCATAAAGATTGGCCCACAATATTGGCTGGGTATTCCATCCCGATTTGTCCATATTTAGTATGAGTGATGCGCGGTTAAGCTTGATGGTACTTCCAAAGATAATGTTTGTCAGCTCATAAAACTCATTTATGTCGTCATCAGGGCTCACGCTCACTTCAACGTCACAGTAGGACATTTTTCCTTCATGCGAATGTTTAAACAGCTTTAGAATCTTGTATGAGCCTGTTATGTTTGCTCTGCTGATATGTTTAAAGTTGATAGATGCAGTCAACAACTTGCTGTCGTCATCAATATCGGTGAGAGTAATAAAAGTTAAGCTCGGCATGTGCAACTGGAACGCTCGTTCGGCAATGTTTGTATTGCTATTATTGTGGCCTGCCAAATCTGGCAAGGTTCTTTTGTCGGTGTGCTCTACAACTATGCTTTTCAAATTGCTAAATTCAATATTTGTCGACTCGCCTTTGCTCGCAAAGTTATTCCAAGAAAGGCTGCCTAGACATCCCTTTATGGAGATAATTGTGATGGTCGATGCATTTATTTTGGGAAGCGGTGAGATATTTGTCCAGTCAATGGTTATTCTCAATTTTATGAGCTCGGGTGAAAACGTGGTGGCGGTGAGCACAACAGGGACATTGGAACTGTAAGATTTTAATTGGTGAGCGTAGCTGTTGAAAGCAATGTTGCAAAAACGCTTTGTATATGCGTCACATCCACTATAATAAGAGTCGAGGTTTAGCTTGTTGATGTTGGGGATACTAGCAACCATATTTCTGGCAAACGTAGATGTGGCCAACATACAATTATCATCAGAGACTTTGTCAACTTCAGCCTCACTAAACTTTTTGAATTCAACAACCAAGTCATGCATGCTATTCCATTGATTAGCGCTGTTGCACATTATCCTTTGAATTCTGCAGACTGTGGCGTTCTTAATAGATATTTTTTTGACCCTCGGGCATAAAACAGTCAATTCATCGTGCTGCGTGTGCATCTGTTGAATATCATCTGTAAGCTGCTGCCAATCCAAATCAATATAATCATTGTCCGTATTGTATTCTATATTTATACGCTCCAACTGCTCAAAGTTTATCGTTTGGGGCACCTCAGGATTGCTAATCAACATGTCCCAGGAAAAAGCTGGATCAGTATTGGTGAGCGTCAAGTGCCTGAGCGATTCGGCAAATAGCCTGGGAACACTCTTTAACGTACCCAAACCAACGTTTAATGTCAAATGCGTTAGCTTGCAAGAAAAATGTTTTTCAGTGAATGCTACCGGAAGCGTGAAATTGGCATAAACAAGTTGATGAGCATATACGTTGGCCAATGCGTTGTAAAAAATATTTTCTTTGTTATCAGATAAAGAATTTCCCAGAGACATTTGGGTTATACAAGGCATATGCCGTTTAATTGCAGCCGTCAGGTTGTTGTTGCGCTGAATAACCACAAAAGATGCTTCGCGTTCTTCGTTAGACAATTCGACCACATCAATATGTAGTTCTGTAACATTGTGCCATTGGTACTTGGTAGGGTCAAAATAATGCTTTAGCGAGTCAGATGTTGGAACTGTTATATCCAAACACTTGAGATTAGGGAAACACACCATTGGTTGAATTTCGGTATTTTCAACGGATAGTGACCCTATACAATCCAATTTCAAGCTGTGCAATTGTGAAAACTGGATATCATGTGTCTGTTTGGCATTTATCAGTCTGCTCCATGGAAACAAACTCGTGGTATTTCTTAGCACCAAGGTCTGCAAAGTCTGGCTGCATATATGTGGCATAAACTGTGTTTCTATCATTTCAACGTCAATATCGAGGGATGTTAGCTTTTCAAAATAAAGTGAATCCGAAAGCATAAAAGGAAACTGGTTGTCGTAGACTTTAAGCCTGCGTGAAAAATTTTTAGACATCAGTTTGACTATGAGTGATCCAATTCCAAATTGGTCGACCACAGCAAAATTCAAAGCGTTAACATTTGGCATGTATTTGGTCAGCTGCATAACAAAGCGATGTGCCTTCTGCATGTGATTGGGTTGAAGCCCGTTGATTCCATTTTCAAATAACCGACCACCAAGCGCAATCTTGCTAACATTGCTCCAGTCACACTGATTGAAAGCAAATATTGCATCCGTGTCGTTGACCAGAGAATTTCCAAACTGGGGGCAGGATATCCTGATGGAAACTGTTTTTACGAGGTGAGTTTTTCCAACTGACTTTACTAAATCAATGTTAGTGTTGAAAAGCCTGCCTTCAGTGTTGGTGCCATCCGAGCGCTTAAAAAACCCATCGCTGTTAAACTTATTGTATCCGACCATTACAACGTTGCTGTAAACCAAACTGACTGCTATTTCTCTCCACTCGCGACAGACGCCCAACAGCAGTAGGCTTTTTGCCCAGTTGCTTAGCATGGGGTCTCTTGTGTCTATGGTTTTGCGCAGTATTTGGTTGAGAACAACATATGGAAGCTGGTTGAAGCAAGGCATGATAAGACTAGGGGTTTTTAATAACTAAAAGTATAATGCTGAGAGAAACAAAAATGAAATGTGCGAAAATCAAACATTGCCAATTAATGCCTACTCTAAAATATAAAAAATAAGAGTACATTTTTAAAACAAACTGTACAAAACTTGTTTTAATTTTATTTGGTGGAAAGAAAATAAAAGCTTTGCCAATTTACTTTTGTAGAAAGCAGTATATGGGCGCATTCATCGTTTATGGCCTGCTATGCCAAGCATTGGAATAACAACGTGGGCAATAAAAATTGGCGTGTTGTGCATGATAAATTTTATCTGAGATATTATAATGTCGATGGGTGATGCTGAACTCAAATTATCAAAACCCAAGCAGCACTAGCAGAAATAATTTTGAAAGATGAATTAGCAATTTTACTCAAGCGGCCACTTATTCAAATTTTTCTAGAGTTGATTATGCTTATTTATTTCGTGGATGGCAATATTGATTTAATTTATTGAAAAATATCTGAAAAATATTTGGATGCTAAATTATAGCTGTGCTCAGTCACATTTAACCTGCGCCTAATTATCAACAATAATAGGTTCCGTGCACTGACAGTCCACTCCCCTCACGGTATTTCAGCTGAAGCACATTTGAAAATTGTCGGCATCGTATACATCGGCAATCTTTGTTTCGACCGACTCTGTGGGTATGAAGTGACTTCCTTTAAGAACCTTTAGAGTCATCACACGCCTGTAAAAAAGCGTGCGCACCTTCTCATGAGGTATATCTGTCAGCGGCATGTAGACCTCGCCCGATTTAGAAATCTGGTCTTTAATGGCTGCAAAATGCCCGCTGGAAATCGCCACAACGAGCAAGCTGCAAATAACGGAGCCGTCATGGGCATACCAGCTAAGCGAGTCATTGTAACATTTAAACTTTTGCGCCAAAAGCAGCGATTTGAGCTGATACAAGTGCTTGCATTGTATGCTGTAGAAGTGAGTCATCGACTGATAAAATATGCAGTCAGGCAGTAAAAACGTGTGGTTTTTGATATGCTTGATGACGGCCGGCCGAAATCCCTCGGCACGCCTCCAGCTTTAAAAAGACGCACTGGACGGGCTTTATGACCCCCAGATGACTTTGCGCATTTGGACGGCGATATACCAGTAATAGTGGACGAACTATTGCCAAAACTTTTTCTGGACAAATCCGAACTGCTCATCTTTCATGCTGTGCAAGCGAAAATTTTGGATTATATTTGAAAATGTTAAGGTCGTTAAAAATGAAGAATGAGAGGAAAAAGACTAAAAAGGGACTTGAATCCGAAATTCCTATAATGAAATATTGCGCGCCTTTTATACCATTCCCTGACAACTCTGTCACTCTTGATACAATCCGACAGAGTGTGTGATAAGGTATGTGGCAATAACCAGAGCAGTTGAAAAACTAGTGTGTTTTGTTAATACGGCAACGACAAGTCCCGGTCGTAACTTGACCACATTCATAGCAAATCGTACTATAATGGCAATCATAAACATCAGCTATTCTCGTGCCGTCTGCTCTAGTCAAAAGCTTGGGTGCAGCCTCCAGACCGCCCATAGACAAAATTCAAAGTTTGGCAAGCAGACACGCTTTATCGTAAGTATAATTCCTCATCGAAACTTCCATTTTTCCAAATTTAGATAGTGCGTCAGCCAAGAACAGTTCGCTGGTATGATTTGTTGGAATGACAAGCAGGCGAACAATGCGTCGATTGTCCTCCGTGTGCCAATAGTAAACGGTATTATTAGTTCCAACGTATGGCGCATCTACTAGCATTTTGAATTGGTTTATGCTGTTGCAGCGGACCCAGTAGTGTCCTTCAGCCTCATCGTAATAAACGCAATCAGGAGACTCGTTTGTTTTTTTTCTACGTGGCAGATAAGTTGAGTCAGTAGTCCGCATGTGACCTGCAACTTCAGATAAGCATAAGGTCTCGACTTTTCTTCACAATCTTCCACTTTAATTGGTTGTACGGTCAACATTGGTCGAGGGGGTTTATTGTAATACTTGTAGGACGTGGGTGCGATTTTCAGTTAATTTAGGATTTAGAGTGATTGTACTAAAGTTGGAAGGTGAATTGAGGTAAAGTTGAAAGCTGGAGGAAAATAAAAATGAAAATGAAAATTGTCAAGGTGAGAAGCATTCCAATGTTTGCCGCGGTCTTCTGGCATTATAAATTATTTTTGACGAGGCTTGCAGTATTTTTTGTCTTGCAAATGTTTGTTTTGACCGCCAGAAAATGTCTATATTTCTTTATTTTCTCACGTGGTAACAGCCTGTGAATGCATTACGGATAATGGTAACCTGATATGCATATATTAAGCAACCAAAAACATTTGATTTCGTTTTTTTGTCCCCAGAAAATAAAAACAAGACGTTGTAACACGGCAGGTCCCGAGTATCACAATACTGAGTATTGGATTGATGGTGCTCAAAAATTGGCTTTTTGTTTGTATGCATATTTCTGTCAATAGAAAATGGAAGTTTAAAATTAAACGACAAAAAACATTGATGTATTTGGTGTGGACCAAAAAAGAAAAAACACAAGCCACACAACTATTGCGCACATTCAGCTTGTTGTTTTACAGTTGTATTGAAAGTGGCACAATAATATTAGTCCAAAACAAATTTTGCGCGTGTTAATTGTGTTTAATTTGTAGAATCATGTTAATTTTTGCCGTTAATAATTTGTTATTGTTGTAAACAGGCAGGGAAAAAAGTAAGGGTCAAAAGGAAAATTTGTTTAATATCAATATCTCCAATTTCTTCTCTCCGCATATTATTTTTCTCATTCGCCTTTTGCTTTTTGCATTTTACTTTTAAACCCATTTCCTCCTGAGTATTTCTCCTGTCAATATTTAATAAACCATGAGCATCAACAGCTCTTCAGCCGAATATTTGATGGCCAAAAGCTTGTCCGCATATAATAACGAGCTTGAATCCCTTGACGTAAGTTTAAAATGTTGAATAAAGGTTTGATTTGGAAATAAACAATTCAAGTAACTCAAATACATTTTGATTAATTTTTACAATGTTATAATTGTAGTTTCCGCCACCTGAACCCCGTCAGCTAGTTTCGCCAAACCATTTCAGCAAAATTGGTGATTACGACGACGTTGGCGATTGCCTAACCAACGAAACAAGCTCCGAGTCTTCAGTCAGCGTGCAAAACAGCAGTTCAGGGACCATTAGCTTCGACGACTTTATAGACTGGCTGGGGAGGACCGACGATTTTGCCCTGTACATGTCCTCGACAGTCGGTCTCTTTGACCATATTACGTGCAGTGCGCCCAGAATGGTTAACAGACAACTTCACACCCACTACGGTAGTTCCGAAGAAACAAGCAAGAAAGGAATAGTCAATGTTCTCGACTGGATATACGCGCAAATGCACGAGTCTGATTTTGTCACTTATCCTTTGGCCATGCCCAAAGCAACTTATCTGCACATCAACCACGAGCAGGATAACAAGGAGCGGGCATCATATTTTTCCAGCAGCGCATTTTATTATCCCAATGGTTTTACGTATCTCAGGTCGGTGCACTTGTTTGTCTCAGTGGAGCTCACAGAATTCACAGATGATGTGCCAGCGGCTGTGATGAGCGATATGGTCAGCTGCGTCGGGGTGTTGTGGAATTGCCAGCACACTCGAATGTTTGTTCCTTGCATTCTCATACATGGTAATAGGGCTACGCTTTTTGTTTTTGGCCGTGGCGGATATTACAGTGTGGATATCGGGATGGTTTTTGGCGCAAGCTTGCAGATGGAGCCTGAGGATGTGTCGGCGCTTGATAGGTCTCTACGGCAGCTATGGTTTCTGATGAAGCAGCCATCAGAGAGTTTTGGACATTTTGTAGAAGTTGCGAGGAGTCCGCAGTTTGTCGAGTTTAACAGAAACTTGGGCACAGTGACCGTCAATGCTGTGAATATGCACACAGCTGCAGCAGTGTCCATTGCTGATTGGGTTGAGAAAGAGGTCAGTGAATTTGGTCGCGCAGCGTTTCTGTTCAATACTGATTTTGGCGAGGAAATGAGGCCAGCCGTGTTCAAGCTGTGCTGGGCGCCAATTGGCGATTCACAAGAGAACGTGATTTACATGACGCTATTGGCAAACAAGGTCGAGGGTGTGCCCAAAATTTATTCCAGCGGTGTCATTTTCCAAGATATCTTGGGGTACCAACTCGTGTACTTGGTTATGGAGCACTGTGGCGACAGTTTGGGGACCATATTCGAGGATTGCGGGCAAAACGTAAACAACTTTAACCAGCTGCGTTCTATTGCCACCGACGCGATCCAGCAAGTCTGCTCTTGTCTTCTTCAGGCAAAAAAGGCTGGTGTGCTGCATTGCGATATATTGCCAGACAATATCATGGTTCGCAACGGAAATATCTTTGTCGTCGGATGGGGGCATGCTTGTGTACTGAGGGACTCTGTGATGAGCAACAACATGCGCGAGTTCATATTGCGCATGGGTGGCTCGTTCAAACCACTTCAAAATAACAACAAATACAATGGCAAAGTCACCTATGCAAACTGCTTCAGGAGCATGCGCATATTGATAGGCCATACGTACCGCAGTATCATGGACGACCTTGAATCATTATTCTATGTTGTTGTGCGGTGTTTCTCGTGTGTGGGCACGGGTAAATTTGATTACAGGGCGGGGCTGCTCAAGAGTTTCTGTGGTGGTGAATATGTGGCCATGAGATTGAGCATGATGGTGTGCCAGAGCAATTATCCATATCTTTTTGGCGTCAATGAGCGGTTTTCTGACGATGTGCAGCAATTGCTGGCGCCGCTGTGTAGGCTGCTGTTTTCTCATGGAGATAGCAACTTTGTCAGGATTCTTTTAACCTGTCCTGTGGATCCAAGACCAGACTCGTACTTGAGTTTTCGCGAGGTCTTGGGTGAATCCAATTATTTCCGCATATATCTCCAGTTAGTGAAGTTCACAAAAACCAGAGTGCACAGAACCAAAAAACCAATGTACTCTTTATATCCGCTGCTTTCTGGAGCCTTGGGGAAGGATGGCAAGCGTCAAAAGGTATTGGTGCGGACAGAGGAGATGACAGGTTTTGAGAAACTGTTTTTCCAGCAGGTCGATATGATTAACGACCACGAGACCCGCGTGGGTTATTACGAGTATCCCGAGGTATCCATGAAGTCATTGGTCAGTGTTTTTAGAGACCAGCTAAAATTTACCAGCGCGCTTCCCTCGTTATTTCCAAACCAGCGGGTGGCGTTGTTTTCTCAATTAAACGAGACTGCCAATATGGCTGTACCCAATGTGCTTGAGAGGATAATTGAACGCAACAAGTTTCGAAACAAAAAGTTCATATAGTTTAGCAAATGATTTTTGATAATTAAATGTTTAAATGTTTAAACTTGACCTTTGAACATTAAAGATAATTGGTATGCGCAGTATTCATGTTCAACGGCGACTTCAAAAATGTAAAAATAAAAGCGCGTGATCATGACCATACGCATGCTATTCCATCTAGTGGGTATAAATAAAAAATTAAGCATTTCATGTGGGAGGACTATAATATTATTTAATCTCATTACACATTAATATTATCTCCTTACTTTATCATATAAAATAAATATATACCACATACTACTAAACAAAAAAGGCCATGCGGATTCATCTAAAGGGCGGAGTATGGAAAAACACTGAGGACGAGATCCTCAAGGCAGCGGTGATGAAGTACGGCAAAACGCAGTGGGCGCGAATTTCCTCCCTCCTCGTTCGCAAAACACCCAAACAATGCAAGGCGCGGTGGTATGAATGGCTTGATCCGAGCATTAAAAAGACTGAATGGTCCAAAGAAGAAGACGAAAAGCTTCTGCACTTAGCCAAGCTTATGCCCACACAATGGCGCACAATCGCGCCGATCGTCGGCCGCGCACCAGCTCAGTGCTTGGAACGGTATCAGAGGCTCCTGGACGAGGCCGAGTCCAGGGCAGCAGGACAGGAGGACCTTGGATTGAGGGGAAGTGATGCGCAGGAGGCCCGCAAGTTGCGACCTGGTGAGATTGATCCGAATCCAGAGAGTAAAGCAGCGAGGCCCGATCCCGTGGACATGGATGAAGACGAAAAAGATATGCTCTCGGAGGCGCGCGCCAGATTAGCCAACACTATGGGCAAGAAGGCTAAGCGCAAGGCCAGAGAGCGGCAATTGGAGGAAGCCAGGCGACTGGCGGCGCTGCAGAAACGCCGGGAACTCAAGGCCGCTGGCGTAGAGCTCAAGCCCATGAAGGCCAAGAAGGGCAATAAGGCGCATTTGGATTACAATGTCGAAATCCCATATGAGAAGAAACCCATGCCTGGGTTCTACGACACCACGGAAGAGCTCGACAAGAAGGACAAGCCGGCGGAGGACGCGCTGAAGGGGAGGTTTTTGGATACACTTGAGGCAAAGGGCCGCACACAGCGCGAAGAGGATGCTCGTACAGAGGCTAAGCGCAAGCGCGAAAAGCGTGGCCCTATCAAGTTTGTATCTGCTGCTGGTGCCAAAGGTGATGATGCGGCCAGGGAGCGCGAGGAGGCAGAGCAGGTGGCTAAGCGTGCGCGGCTCGTGCTGCCTGCTCCCCAGGTCACTGACAGCGACTTGGAGGCCATTGCTAAGCTGGGCCAGCAGAGTGCCCTGGCGCGTGAGCTAGTCGGCAATGGCCAGGCCGACGCGTTGCTAGGCGACTATACGCACAACTCAGTTGCAGCAGCTACTGCAGCCGCCACCGCGGCGCGCACCCCCGCAGTACAGGGCGACCGCATTATGGCCGAGGCGCTGGCGCAGCGCATGGCAGCCAACCAGGCAACGCCACTGCTGCTGGGAGCCAAGGCCGGTGGAGATGCCACAGTGGTCTCTAAGTCTGAGACCCTTACGGCCGATGTGGCTGGCCCCATGGCAACCCCCAATCCGCTGGCGGCCTCGCTTGCGGCGCGCACAGGATCATCGGTCGCTGTGCGCGACGAACTCGGGCTGAACACGCCAGCGCACGACATGGGGGCCACACTGCGCGAGCGCAAGACCGCCGGACGCGGGCTGCGCGAGCAGCTGGCGCAGCGACTATTAGCGCTGCCCAAGCCGCGCAATGAGATTGAAATCGCCATTCCCGACGCGCCCCAACCGCCGCCTTCTGCTTTGGCGCCAGCTGCTGATATCGTCGAGGACCAGGCCGACGTTGAGCGGCGTATGGAGAAGATGCGGATTTTGGGTGCCGAGGAGGAGCGCATGCGCCGCTCGCAGTGCGTGCAGCGCGGCCTGCCCCGCCCCACTGCGCTGCCCGTTAACCCACAGGACGCCGTAGGCTCGTTGGCAGCGGCATCGGGGGCAGAGGCGGAGGCTGTGGCGATGATCGGGCGCGAGATGTGCCGGCTGATCGCCCACGACGCGCAACATTTCCCCGAGGCCGGCGTTGCCATCCTTCGCCCGCCGCCTGGCCTGCAGATCCCACCTCTGGACGATATTGCAGCGGACGAAATTGCGCTTGCCCGCGCTCTCATTATTGCCGAGACCTCGCCCGCCGCTGCCGATGCCTCTGCGGACGACTCAGTCTGGCGGGCGGCCGAGCAGCGGCATACATGGGTGGGCAGCGGCTTTGTGCCCACCACGGATGTGTCGCCGGCGCAGTGGATTGACAAACACCGCACAGACCTGGATTCTCGGCGCTCGACCATGGCGGCCCTAGCTGGCAGAGCTGCGAAGGTTGAGAAGCGCCTGGGCGTGGTGCTCGGAGGATATCAGGCACGCAGCAAGGCGATTGCTGAGAAGATTGGCTGTGCGTATGAGGACTTTGAGAGGGCTCAGATGGATGCCAGGGCGTTTGCTGCGCTGCATGCGGCTGAGCAAGCGACGATGCCTGGAAGGCTGCAGCGGAGCCAGGAGGAGGTTGAGCAGATCGAGGCTAGGGAGCGCATGCTGCAGATGGAGTACCAGGCGCTTGTGGAGCGCAGAAGCGCGTTGCTCTAAAAATGTATGATGTAAAGTGTGACATGTGCCTTATGTTACGAGTAACGCGTGCGCGTGCGGGGAAGTGCAATAAAGTTATTGATTATGCATGTTGCCTTTTTATTTTTTACTTTATGCAAAAAACACACCCGTTTACTTATCTTTGGAAGCTATTGCGTGTGGGAGATTTTTTTGTTACACTGTTATATATTCAACATGTTCGACAGTCTCTTTTACTTTGCTCACTAAATTTATACCACACATTAATACTTTCAAGAAGAAATAAAGAAAAATATGCGCTCATTCTCGCTATTGTTGCTGCCGCTGGTGCTTGCCCTCGCCACGCTCGTTCACGAAACGCACGCTTCAACCGTCTGTCGCGCGCAAAACATCCTCGATGCATGCCTAAACATGCAGCAGAAGCAGTTCCGGTCCTGCGCGTACGACAACTGGGAGTGCAAATGCCATTGCCAAAGAAAAGTCCTCACGTGCTATGACAACTGCCCAGATGCTGAGAACCGCACATTGCAAGAAATGCAGGTGCAGATTTTTTGCGCCGCCGTCAATGGTAAGGAGTATAACAGCGAGATGATGGACCGGATGACGAGGCCGGCGCGCAATCTGGCGGATGATATCCAGGTGGTGGTGAAGACACAGGAGCCTACTGAGGCGGAGAAGACCAAGGCTGTGGCGAGTGCTGCGAAGCCCTCGCTGGTGCCGTCGGAGAATGGACTGGTGGGTGGCGGCAGTGATGATTCCAGTGGGGGAGGGGCGAAGGGGAAGAAGCCGAGTTACCGTGTTGTTAATGATAATTCTGCGCTGCGCATTTGTGCTCCGTCACTCGCCCTTGTTTTAACAGCAGCTGCGTCCCTGTGGATCCCTTCCTTCGCACTTTAAACAAAGCCACCCTTTTCCATTCCCACTCTTTTCCTTTCTTTATATTTTGTTTATTTACAGCGAATCTTTTTATTTCTATTTTATTTGTAATTCGTGAAATGATACATTTTGGACGCCGTGTGCTCGCCGGCCTGGACGCCCTGCTGGCAGAGCACTCACAGGGCGCACAAACGACAATCTACGCCGACCAGGCCATGCTCGACGTAATTAACAGCGCCATGGCACTCCCCAGCGTACTCAGGGGCCTGCAGGGCCTACGGGCACGCAGCATCCACCTGCTGACCAGCATGCCGGCAGACGAGGGCGCGTCAATTGAGGACGGCCCGCACATACTTTTCTTGCTGGGGACTGTAGACTGGACGGGCACTGAAGCCTGGGAGGCCATTGAGCGGGTGATTCAAAACAACAGCACACGGCAGCAACAACAGCTCCAATACTGCACGTTGTGTGTGTCAGTGCCTGAGTCGCTGTGGGGAGACTCGCTGGCGCTGAGCCCGAATGCTCGACTCAAGGCTCCGCTAAACCAGCAGGTGGTGCAGTCCGAGCTGCAGCGCATGGTAGGGCGCCAGTCAGACGTGCAATGCAAGGTGGCTGTGCACACGGTGGTTGCCGCAGCACTGCCCGGAGGTCACTTTGAATTGCCAACAGCGAGGGGCCGGCTGCTCAGCTCCCCGGGGATGGCGGTGGAGTGGGCGGATGGCGAGCGTGTTGCCCTGGGGCTGGCATCCCTCATGCATTCTCTGGACGTGGATGCGCGGTACTATTCTCCGCGCAACGCGTGTTTGGCCAGGCGTGTGGCCCGGCGCTGCGCCTCCATGGCTGCGCCTACGGGTGTGCAGCATAGGTCCTCGGCCACCGTGGTGATTCTGGATCGCGCCTCTGATTGGGCTGCTGCCGTGCGCCATGGCGGGCATTTTTTGGATGACCTCTACCGGTGTTCTGCCGTAGACCGTCCCCAACTCGCAATGCTGCTGCGCCGGTCCGGCGTTGCGGACTCGCTGGCTGCGCAGGCTATTCGGCAGCGGGCTGATAGGGTGGCTGCGGAGTGCGAGGGGTTGCGGGAGGTGGTTGTGCGGATGGAGGAGGCTGCGAGCAGAGGTCGGTGGCGGGAAATGCAGGCTGTGGAGAAGACCCTGGCGCTGGTGCTGGCCGCTGAAGATGACGTGCAGGATGCCTGGGATCAGGTGCTGGCGGCTATTCCGCCACTGCCCAGCGATGTTGATGACATGGCTGGGTTGCTGTCGCACACGCTGGCGCTCATGGCCATGGCGGCGGCCCTTCTCGGGTACCGCCGGCTGGGAATCCCGCCAATCCAGCGCGCCCTGGCTGCGCAAAGGCTGGCCTCGGACTATAACGCATTGACCTCGCAGACCGGTGCTGAGGAGGGTGCCGCATGGGCTGCTCGTGCGGTCGAGCGCCTGAATAGTATAGCTGAGGGCGGCAGCGGCGGTGGCAGTTTCCGGCTGGACTCTGACGGTGTCCATGTCCCGTTGCTGCCGCGTGTTGCCGCGGATGTACTCAGTGGATGCCCACCATATGTGCCACTGGAGCTCGCCGATCGCCGTAATGGCGGTGGTGCCGGCGCTGCGTCCAGTTTGCTCAAGGGTATAGGCATGCGGTTCTTGTCGCACCGCTCTCCGTCTCCCGCTTCTCCGACTGAATCTGCTGGAGACTCGTTTGGCTTGGGCGGCCAGTCGGCTCACCACCGTGTCGAGGAGGCTGCGGCTGCCAGCGATATGGTTGTGTTTTTCATAGTCGGCGGCATGACGTTTGGGGAGGCCGCAGATATGGTTGCTGCAGTTTCTGCTAAAGGCCCTCCTGTTTTGGTAGGATGTACGGGGATAGCATCCGCCGTTGGCCTATTTGCCAATTGAGCTATAAAACAAATTAAAATGCCATTTTTTTACTGAATTTTTTCTTTTGGTCGGAAGTTTCCCAAATATGGATCTGATCTCTGCGAATATGAAGGTGGTAGGTAGCATGGGCAAGTAAAATGCATACATGCGATTGGCTGCTGGCGCGCTGTTAATACCGCCTGTGATTTTTTTTCCGATTTCTTTGAGGTGGGAAAAAAGAAAAATATGTGCATGTGGCTTAAAGTGCAAAAAAAATGGGTGTGAGAATGGGATCATCTATGAAGGCATTTTGATCACAGCGTTTCCACCGAGTCACAAAAATTTACGAAAAAATGTTATCTTGATATTTTCATGCACATGAGAAAAAAAACTGGCGTAAAATATGGTGCTAAAATTTTCTGGTCAACGGAAATAAATGCAAAAGCAAAAAAGAGAGAGCATACGTCTGTCTCGTCCATGTTTCAGGCGCAATGCTTTAAAAGACGCGCTGTTCGCTCACTTACCCCCTTCCTTTCCTATCTGTCTCCCCTTCCATTTCACTTTACTTCACTTCCAAACCATTTTAATCATTCGTCACAGCCTTGGAACGCTATCAACATTATATTCTCCACTCACTCACCCTGCCCATATTATTACCACCAACATATATTTATTTTTTCATTCACTGTTATTTCGCGACTCTAAAAACAAAAGAAGCTTTTAAGATGCTTTCAAGATCAACTCTTTCCAAGGCCCAGTCGGTTGCCCGCCTCAATCCCATCCCCCGCACCTCCGCGATGCTGCTGCGCACAGCCCTTCTACACACACTCAAGCCGCGCCAGCAATCCTCCGCCTCTCCCGCCACCAGCACTAGCACTGGTGAGTCTGCTGCTTCCGCAGCCGCTGTCACAGCCGCCGCCGCCGAGGCCTTTGCCCCGCTGGACACCTTCCTAAGACGTCACAACGGGCCGCGCGAATCGGACATTGAGGCAATGCTGCATGGGCTGGGATTCAAGACGTTGGACGAGATGATTTCGGCCACAATGCCCGACAGCATCCGCCTGACATCCCCTTTGCATATCGCTGACAGCGAATATGCTGAGCGCGAGCTTTTGGCTAAACTCAAGCAGATAGCGTCAAAGAACCAGGTCTTCCGGTCATTCATCGGCACCGGGTATACGGACGTTGTGTTGCCGCCGGTCATCCTGCGCAATATCCTCGAGAACCCCGGATGGTATACGCAGTATACGCCTTACCAGCCTGAGATCTCGCAGGGAAGGCTGGAGAGCCTGCTGAATTACCAGACGGTTGTTGCGGATTTGACTGGGCTGCCAGCGGCAAATGCCAGTTTGTTGGATGAGGGCACGGCGGCTGGAGAGGCCCTGGTGGTATGCTTGAATGCGGCGAAGAAGAAGACCAGAAATGTGTTTTTCGCCGACGTTAACTGCCATCCGCAGACTTTGGCTGTGCTGAAGACTAGAGCTGAGGGCTTTGGTGCCGACGTCGTGGTTGGTGATTACAGCTCGTTTGATTTTGTGAAGATTGGCGATCGTCTTGCCGGTGCCCTGGTTTCTGTAAGTACCACACGCCCCCCTCCCCCCTTTTTCTTATCGTGTATCGATCTGGCCAATTTTTGTTGTGTCGGAGCTTTATTTTTGATTTTGTTCCTTTTGTTTTTTGTTATTTCGCAGTCTGTTGCATTCGGAAATGCTCTCGCATTTTTTTGTGTTCGCATGTGCCTCGAATATCCTTTGCTCTTTGTGTTATCACGCTCGCATCTTGTATTTGAAAATCCCCCCTTTCCCCCTCTCCCTTAACCACCACCTCCCTGATCCAAAAAAAATACTGCACGCACGCATGCGCTATGCCCCCCCTCTCTCTTTATGAGGATTGGCGCTCAAAAGTTAACCCTGTCTGTTCGATAGCTTTGGCTGGTACTGAATCACCAACTTTCACATTATTTATTTTGCACTCATTGCATTCCTTGGTAGTATCCCGACACTTACGGCAACATTGGTGAGTACAAGGCGCTTGCTGACAAGGTGCACGATCTCGGCGGCCAACTTGTCGTTGTAGCCGACCTAATGTCCCTGGCTGTCCTGCAGTCGCCGGGCGAGTTCGGTGCCGATATTGCCATCGGCAACAGCCAGCGCTTCGGCGTGCCCCTGGGCTACGGCGGGCCCCACGCGGCGTTCTTCGCCACGACAACAGCCAACCAGCGCCGCGTCCCAGGCCGCATCATCGGAGTGTCCCGCGATGCCTCCGGCAACCGCGCCTACCGCCTGGCTCTACAGACACGCGAGCAGCACATTAGACGCGAAAAGGCGTCGTCCAACATTTGCACGGCGCAGGCGCTTCTGGCCAACATGGCTGCTATGTACGCGGTCTACCATGGTCCTGAGGGCATCCGCAACATCGCCAACCGCATCCATCGGTTCACTCAGGTCCTGGCACAGGCTGTCGAGGCAGCAGGCCACTGCGTTGAGAACCGGTCGTATTTTGATACCCTGCGTGTGAAGCTTGCCGACAGCGTCAATGCCGCAGACATCCATGCTCGGGCGGCCGAGCGCAATATTAACCTGCGTCGCATTGATGCGCGCACTGTGGGCCTAACCCTCGATGAGGCTATCAGCCGCGAGGAGCTCGTACATCTTGTGGAGATCTTTGGTGGTAATGCAGCGGGCATTGATGCGCTGGCGGCGGCAGCCGCGCCAACGGTTGCTGAGTCTGCAGCCATCCCTGCGGGTCTTGTGCGCCAGAGCGCCATCCTCACGCACCCGATTTTCAGCCGCTACCACTCGGAGACCGAGATGCTGCGATACATCACGCAGCTGCAGAACAAGGATCTGTCGCTGGCTAACGCGATGATTCCCCTGGGCTCATGCACGATGAAGTTGAACGCGACAACAGAGCTGATTCCCATCACCTGGCCTGAGTTCTCACAGATTCACCCGTTTGCGCCGCGCGAGCAGACCCGTGGGTACGCGCAGATGATCCAGGACCTCGAGGAGGACCTTGCGGCGATCACCGGCATGGATGCCACCACAGTGCAGCCCAATAGCGGCGCCCAGGGCGAATATGCTGGTCTGCGTTCAATCCGCGCGTACCAGGCGTCTATCGGCCAGGAGCACCGCAATATTTGCCTGGTGCCTGACTCCGCACACGGCACCAACCCGGCGTCGGCCGTCATGGCCGGCCTCAAGGTTGTCATTGTTAAGTGCGATTCCAAGGGCAACCTGGATTTGGCCGACCTCGAAGCCAAGGCCAAGAAACACGCCGCTAACCTGTCGGCTGTCATGATCACGTACCCATCAACCTTTGGAGTGTTCGAGGACGGTGTTCTGCGCGCCATCGAGATTGTGCACGATAACGGCGGCCAGGTGTACATGGATGGCGCCAACATGAACGCGCAGGTCGGGTTGACGAGCCCCGGCCACATGGGCGCAGACGTGTGCCATCTGAACAACCACAAGACTTTGGCTATTCCACATGGCGGAGGCGGCCCTGGTGTCGGTCCGATCTGCGTTAAGAAGCATCTTGCACCTTTTCTCCCGGGCCACCCTGAACTGTTCAAGGCCGACGGCTCACCCTTTAGCACTGTGGGGCCAGTTTCCGCTGCGCCCTATGGTTCCGCCGGTGTGCTGCCCGTCACCTGGTCGTACATCAAGCTGCTTGGCGGCCGTGGCATGACTGAGGTCTCAAAGACCGCCATCCTCAACGCCAACTATATGGCCAACCGCCTGCGCGATCATTACTCGATTCTGTTCACAAACGAGCATGGCATGTGCGCGCACGAGTTTATCCTGGACACACGCCCCTTTGGCAAGACAGCGGGTATTCAGGCGATTGATGTAGCCAAGCGCCTGCAGGACTACGGCTTCCATCCCCCGACAATGTCGTGGCCTGTGCCGAACACCATCATGGTTGAGCCGACGGAGTCTGAGAGCAAAGAGGAACTGGATAGGTTCTGCGATGCGATGATTGCTATCCGGGAGGAGATTCGTGAGATCGAGGAGGGGAAGCAACCGGTGGGTGATAATGTGCTGAGCCATGCCCCGCACACTATTGCCACTGTGTCTGCTGAGGAGTGGACTAGGTCGTATTCGCGCCAGAAGGCCGCGTACCCGTTGCCTCATTTGAAGGAGCGCAAGTTCTGGCCGTCTGTTTCGCGCGTCGATGATACGTATGGTGACATCAACCTTATTTGCTCATGCCCTCCGATGGAGAACTATCAGTAAAAAAATTGCTATATTTTTTTTAATTATCTGCAGTAAGCTTTCATTAATCTAATATACAGATAGTAACATTTTGTTGTTTTTCTACCTGATATTGCATCTCTTTTGTGTGCAAGATTATATTTGGTGCATATTCAAGATGTGCCTCATGCAGGCAGTATAATACCACACGTATTTGGTTTTTTTTTCCACAATGTGAAACTCTGGCCTTTTTTCAACAATTTACTTTTTTACAATTAAATAAATTATTTATTTGATATACAAACGCAATATTTTTACATATATCAGCTTATACTATGTTGAACGCACACACATACCTTGTTTGGATATGCGTTGTCTGCTTTTTTGTTGCTAGCAGCGCACTCGCCAAAGTCGAAATGAACGTATACTTGATGTCCAAATGTCCAGGTACGCACGAGATAATGATACATAAAATTAAGGATTATTGGTCCGGTAGATATTGTGCTGAACAAAAAATATTAACGCGCTTTACTTGAACTATATTTTTTTTGTAGACGCTGCTCGTGCAATGCGAGACCTGTCCGCTGTATGTAAGTACATGAACAATAAAACAAGCTTATTTTAGTAAACACTTTTTTTAATTAAAACGAATCAAATTATTTGACTAAATTCAATGTTGCTTTAATCACTCTTGACCTGTAGACTATGACAACTCAAAGGTTTTGGACTTGAGATTCGATTATATTGGCGAGTTGAATAACAAAACCAAGTACGGCGTAATTTGTGCGCACGGGGACACAGGTAAGCTATAACTTGCAATTTGGTAATGCATTAAATGTCCAATTTTTTTATAAACCCTTTGCTAACCAAAATGATATATTCAATTGTTATTTTTTTGTGAGCTGTGTAGAGGTAGGCCATAGACGCAAAATATGCGAGCAGTAGCATTGGCAGAAACCACAGATAAGAAAATAATAATATTGAATTTGACCTAAAGATAAAAACAAACCGATTTAAATTATTTATTGTATGTAGTGCTTTGGAAACATCCAGCATCTTTGCGTGCAAAAGAAGGCCGGCACAGACAAGGCACTGGAATTCATGCTCTGCCAACAGCGCAACATCAACCGAATCGGAACATACATTCAGTTGGCCGAATGCCTTAACAACTCTTCATATTGGATTCCATCCGTTCGATGCGCCTTTGGCGAGGAGGGTAAATTGTTGCTCCAGAATAGTGTCCAGGAGTCAAAAAAGAAGGAGATCAAAGCCTCTCTGACGTTTAGTCTGAATGGCACACAGAGATGTGTTTTCGACTCCAACCATTGGGTAGAGCCCGAGGACGGATGCCCTGGTGGCGGCGGCGTGCCCCTGTTCACCAAATCAATCTTGGAGCTCACAAAATAATTTTTTCTTTCAAATGATAATTGTGTGGCTGCGACGGGTATGTAAATGGTCGGTTAGACCATGCGCATCATTTCATTTGAAGAATAAAATGGACTTTACATTACCGCAGCAAAAAAGGAATAAATAAAACCCCTTTTGGGCGTCATTCTAGCAACCTTAACCAGATCAATGCAGCGGGGTAATGGCCAGTAAGGTGTAAAGAGGAAGCACAGCGAGAATGCCGGTTCTCTCCAAGCGCCAAAACCGGCCACATCTGACATGGATCAACTATAGTTGCAGATTTAGATAAAGAAAAAGAAAAAGTAGAAAACAGCGCTGCGGTCCGAATTCCCATCGCTACGAGTACCCGCCTGCATCGCCGGCGCTGGTATTATAGGGGCCAATCACATGCACCAAAAAAGACAACGCAAGCCGCTGCTTCATTTGATCCGATCCTCCACCATGATAATATGGTAGCCAAACTTTGTCTTGACTGGCGGGTCCGAGTATATCGGCTTGCTCGTTGTGCTCGGCACAAGCCTAAACGCCTCGTCCTCAAATGGGCCTGTCATCGAATGGCGCGGCATCCTGCCCAGACTGCCACCCACCTTGGCCTTGTCCTCGGAGTACTCGGAAGCGACCTTGCCAAAGTCTGTACCAGCCTTGAGCTTTTCCATGGCCTCCATGATCTTTGAGTGCTTCTCGCATAGGATGTGGCGGACGACTACGGCGCTGGCTGCCTTCAGTTTGGTGCCTTTGGCGTCGACTGCGTCTTTGGCGCCCTTTGATATCTGCACTGCTTCCTTCTTTTTGGCCATTTTGCAAGTTTGTGTGTATAATTATTTGGCGAGAGTAAAATTAAAGAAACAGATTTTAGAAGCAATAATGAGATGTAATTGTGTTACTATGGCGGCGTTGGCGTCGGTCACCTCCCGCCACTAGCCCCCTGCCGTTTGATTCACAGCATCTTGTGGGGAAAGGTCGCATGATGACATGTTTCGCAATAAAAAAGTCAGCTCTGTTCTGTAAATAAAAAACCCAACAAAAATAGGAATTCAAATAGTTATGCTTAGTTCTTCTCCAAGTTGATAGCCTGTCCAAACTTTGCGTAAAGCATCTTCTTCAGCTCCTCCATCTCCGAACTGACCTGAGATATCTGGCTGTCAAGATCCTCAACCTGGACATCAATAGCGGTCTTATCCTTCTCAACACGCTCCTGAGCAGCCTCTAAGGTGAGCATCACAAAGGCATCGCCAATTTTGTAGGGAACAGCCTCATCCTCGTCCAAAAGCTCAATCTCCATAGCCAAGTCGTCCAGGTATTCTTTCTCGGTCTTCTGTGCCTTGTACTCGTCTTCCAAGCGGTCCATACGCGTACTCAACTTGCTAAACTGGTTGATGCGGTTCTGATCCTCCCATTTTACCTCAACGTCGCGCTCCTCTTCGCGCTGAAGCTATTTGTTTTGTGCAATATTTTTGCTGTGTTTTAATTCGCATGGTTTGTGTGGCTTTGCATGCATTTGCAAGTACTTGATTCTCCAGGGAGTTTATTATTCAATTTATGTGTTCTTTCAGTTTACATACCAGTGGGAATTTGCCTGATGACATTTGATATAACAAGAAAGAATAGCAGTGGTCTGGGAGTAAAATTATTTTAAAAATGATTAGCTGTATATTTGTTTAACGCACGCAAACGCAAAAAGCACAATTTAAAACATTAGGCTGATCGCCGATCACAGTATATTATAGGGCACATAGGGTGGCTTGGGCCAACTTTACTCTGCAATGATATCTAGCTCAATAAATATATTTTTATTGTTTGTGTTGCTAAACAGCCAAGACTGGTTAATCAGTTGATCGCCATCAACCAATAGGGATAGGCGTTGCTCATTTTAATTAAATACAATTTATTGTTTAGTTCCCATTCGTATAGAGCAAGGGGGTTTGTTTTCCAATCTGTCCGTATATTTCCATTTTTGCCGTAACAATTTTCTAAATATAATGCTAGTGTGCAGCCTGAGGATATGGAAGTAGATGTCAAGGTTGAGAATCGTGAAATAAGTTTTTATCTGCATGCCAATTGATGGGGTACTAATTGGATTATGCAGGAGTAAATTAGGGAGGCATAATAATGGTGCCCAGATATACTCACTATTTTGCAATGTACACGCACGAGCGCAGATATGCAAAAATCACATTGACTTGTCAAGATACCGGTCTGCTCGCAGAAGAATTAGTTCTTGCTAACGGAGTGCACAATTGGCAATGTGTACAACAAAGGCGATGAGGTACATATATAAAATGAAGCCGTCGCTAGTAGTACTTTAGAAACATTAGTAATAAAATCCTTTATAAATTTTCCCACCCCACTTTTCTAACACTACTACTGTAGTACTCCTTAAACCACCCCCTCTCATAACAGCTGTGTATAAAGTAAAAAGTGAGTACAACTAAAACTTGCTTTTAAAAAGAAAACTGAAAACACCTCACATTGGGCCTTCCCACTGTTACGCAGCCTGAGGATATGGAGGTAGATGCTGAGGGCAAAAATCATGAGACAAATCCCCGCTAGCTTGCTGATGGATCTGATATGAATCAAGCCACAGGGGATAAAACCAGGCGCCACTATTGTCATTCAGACATACTGTCGGTCTTGAAATAGATGTGTTGAGCGCACAAATGTAGATACGTCAATAATGCCATATTAGAGACCCGGGTTACCTCCATAAGAACCAGTTTTCACAAACAAAGCACACAACTGCCAGTGTGTGCCACAAAGACAATGAGTCACATATATAAGATAGGGTCGGCGATAATAGCACTTTAGAAACACTAGTAATGAAACTTTATAATTTAACATCTATTCTTTTAACACTATTACAGTAGTGCTTTCCACACCCTTCTTTTACATAACACAATCATTTAATCGTGATTTTGATGACTAATAATTAAATGGGTAAGGATGGCCTTTTGATTGGGCTAAACTGTATTGTATTTACTTTTAATTATTGACCAACAGACTCGAGAGACATCTGCCAATGCTTTGACTTTGGCAGCCATGCCTTTATTTGCAAATGATAATATTAAATATGAAATTCTACTTGCATTGGTTTAAAATATTCCAGTTTTTTTAAAACTTTTACGTGGCAGCAACATATAAAACCACAGACAATAATAAAAATTATATTATTGATTTAATAGGAGTAATGTAAAAACAACACACTAAGCTGTATATATGAAAAACCAAGGCTATTTAATATAATTGTGTTCATTTTTTATTTTATATTCAAGATAACTTTTGCTTGTTTTATCTTATCCTCCATAATTCTAATCCAATTAACTGCGGCAACTGTTCCCCACATATCCATTTTATCGCATGATGTAGGATCAGACGTTTTAAATTTATAATTATACTTTCCTTGTTTTAAAACTTCCATATTGCATAAGAACTTAAAACCTTTTGGGCATTCCAATTCTCTATAGGCAATATGGAATTCATCCGAGCCCTTTATAAGAACCTTATACTTTCTCTTATTTAATGCCAACTTTTCAAAGCTATCCAATAATTCTCTGGCTTGGGTATCCATAATAGATGGTGATAACTATCATAAAACAATCATAAAGTTGGTTAGTATGAATTCAGGGTTTTATGCATGTATAATATATGTATTTTCATTTTGTATACTTACATCTATGAACGTGATATCAGAGTCCTGTGTTTTCATGGATTGCTTGGTTGGCTTGGTTGGCTTGGAAGACGACATGACAAATAAATGATGCTTAATACAGGCTTGTTAAAACAAATGGTATTGTAGTAATAAAGATAATGAAAAAAGATATTTAGGTGGAAAAGTGTATGGTTTTTATAGGTATAGGACAAATAATTTTCATCTGAATGCATTAGCATAATATATTTTAATAAATTATTTCGCAAAAAAAGCGTACATAGGTATGCCAAAAAAACTACAAGCAAATTAATTAATTGTGTTGTTATAGTAAGAGGGGGGTGTGAGGAGCACTAGTTGTCTAGTGTTAAAAGTTAGGGGTGATTTTATAAAAGGTTTTATTACTGATGTTTCTAAAGTACTACTAGGGGCCAGCCTCATCTTATATATGTTCCCAGTCGCCTTTGTCGTGCACATTGTCCATTGTGCGCTCCGTTGGTGAGAACTGGATCTTCTGCGAGTAGACCGGTATCTTGGCAAGTCGATGTTGTGGTTTTCGTGCGTGTACGCTTATGCGTGTGCATTACAGGATGGGGGGCATGTTTGGGCATCAGTGTGATGCCTCCCTGATTTACACCTGCATTATCCAATTAGCGTCCTATCGATCAGCGCGCAGGTGGGAACTTGTTTCGCGGTTCTCGACCTCAACATCTGCTTCCATATCTTCAGTCTGCGCAACAATAGCAATGCCCAAAGCTAACTAATAATATTGGTTATTGGTTATTGGCTAGTTTTTAAATAGTTGTAAGGCTTTATTACCCCTTGTTTTGATCAATCCACAACACTCCCTTAGTTGGGGATTGTTGGAATATAGGAACGTTCTATGAACGTGTAGATAAACTATAATGATATAAAGTATATTTTATAAATAAGTGCTATGCACTGTGAAAGGTAAAAAGTAGAAAGCATATTGCTTTGGTCATTGTGTGACTTATTGTTTGTGTTGCTAAACAGCCAAGACTGGTTAATCAGTTGATCGCCATCAACCAATAGAGATAGACGTTGCTCATTTTAATTAAATACAATTTATTGTTTAGTTCCCATTCGTATAGAGCAAGGGGGTTTGTTTTCCAATCTGTCCGTATATTTCCATTTTTGTCGTAACAACTTTCTAAATATAATGCGCCTTACATTTGAACCAGGAAAATACAACTACATTTTCCCTGAATGGCTTTCATAAATTGCCCCAGATTATCCAAGTTGACCTCATTGATTTTTTATAATTTCCTATAGTATACAGTATATGCAAATAAAATTAGTTTAAGCAAACAAAAGAAAAATAATATGAAAAATGTGTAGATTTGTGTGTATGTGGTCAACTTACATTTGTGGCCATAGGTTCGGGGCCGTTGTTACTTGTGGTGGACATGAAAATGAAGTATACGCTTGGCGAATAATACTTTTTAAAATAACTAGTAGTATGTTAAAAATAAAGAATAATAAGAGGAAAAAAAGGAAAAGGAAGGAGAATAAATAAAAATATGTAAAAATGTGTGGAAAATAACAAGGAAAGCAAGTGCAAAAGTTTTATATTAATTGTACAATGAAAACAAGAATTTGACAGTCTTTGTCTTGTATAAAGTAAAAAGCGAGTACGGCTAAAACTTGCTTCTAAAAAACTGGGAAACCTTTACATTGAGTCTTCCCATATCATGTTTTTTAATTGACCATGGCCTGTTGCATGTGCCATGGTCCAATTCAACTGTATTCCCAATTAAGCTCACATATAACAGGTTTTGTTGGCGCTGTATCATTGTACAAATAATTTGCAAATTTTATTAAACAAATCAGTTTATGCTACTGACACTTTAAATGTAATCAATAACGCTTGGAGGGTTGGACAACAATTATTTGCGAGAATGAATAGCAAAAACATTTAATGGTGCGGCTCATTACCGAGAATTTACAGCAGATGAACATATCATTCACAGTGAGTTTGATGTTGACCTATGTTCAAGGCCATTGACCACTTTTGGATTGCCAACTAGTAACTTGGGACCCATTGCGGTTTAGAAAAGCATTTGGTTTTAGCGTAGACACATGCGGGCCAAGTTTGCTTGAAGTGGGTTTTGAGCAATATAATTTATTTGATCAAGATCAAAATCATGATCAGCAGCGGGCAAATAGGCTTTTCGCGTTGATGAAAACATTAAAATTTGGCATTTCACTTGGCAATTTGGTGTTTCTCGTTTCTTTATTTTCCTCTTTTTTGAATTCAAACCTTTCGATTTACAGACCACAATTAATCATCCACTCATTCTCTCGCGCGAATAATCAATCCTCAATTCAATGGCTACCCATGCGGGCACAGGGACTCTGGAGCACGCTCAGGAGCTCTACGTGAAAGCTGTTCACGAAGTGCCGCCGAATCGCAACATGTTGGACGACCTGGTAGACTATTTGCGCGACAACCCAGCCTTGCTTTACGGCAAAATGTTTGAAACGTCATACGACGCGGCCAACACAGTTGTCGACGTGTGCCATGGAAATAACAACGGACATGACGACGAAAATCTTGCTATTCTGACACCACCAGCGGCCTGGGGCTGGGCAGTGATGGAGGAGGCCGTGTGTCGCAGCCCACCGTCGCCGCAGTTCTGGGCAGAATACAACGGGATGGTTCAAAAGTGCATCGATCTGGCGACCGGCACGCTTAGACATATGGACAGTACACCCGGGCAGATTGTTCGCCGCGCAATCCAGACAATGACCCGGCTCTGGCCAGTTTTGATTGGCAGCTGCATTGCGAAAAATTTAGACAGCTCTGCGTGGAGGCGCCCCTTTGAGACAATGCTGCCCCTGGCAATAAGGATCTTCCAGCTGTCGGAGCACTCGGACGATCCGGCGCTGCAGGTACACTTGGTCAAATTTCTTGAGGTCGAAGCAACCATTTTTGCGCCGCTGCCATACCCCGACGCCGTTGATAAGGGTGGTATAAGCCTGGAAACCCTGCCTGAGCTTCATCCTTTTATTGAACAGGCGGTACTGGCCAAGCGGGGAGAGGCGGCCAGGTACCAGCTTATGCGGCTGCTGCCCAACAGCGACAATCTGCAACTATGTAACATTGCGTTTATCACGGGCATAATTAGCTCCATCATATACTTGATGAACCTGCGGCCACAGTTTTGCGCGCAGCTGCTGGAGAAGCTTACAGAGTGGTACGCGATTATACACTCGTCTGAACAAGTGATGACACAGCTGCAGCTGGCAATTGTGTGCAAGACACTGAGCCTCAATCTGCTTAACTTGTACACGCGGCGGTATATGGGCGAGTACTCCGAGCTGCTGGAGAACACTATGGACATTATCGGCGGGCAGGACTGGGCCTCATGGCAGGAGCGCCAGGCGCGCGACAGGGAGCGCAAGGAGCGCCAGCGCATCAGGGAGCGCAGCATGATGCCCAATCGCCACCAACAGCAGTATGACCGCTGGATTCCCACCCGCGATGCCAATATGGCGGACCAGTCGGGCGTGCCGCCGCCGCCGCTACTGCCGGGCAACCACGACGCACGCATGGAGGTTCTGAGCCGTAGCCAGCATGCATCTGCCCCCTCTTCTTCGCAGCGACAGGGTGACTATTCAGGCCAAAAACGGTCGAATCGGCAGGAGGACGACGAGGATGAGGAGTACCAGCGGCGCATGCTCGAGGAGAACACCAAGCGGGTTAAGCTTGAGGAGGTCAAGGAGGCAGCATCGTCTACGTCAAAGTCGCTCACCGGGCTGGGACAAAATGGACCTGCGGCGCAGCGCGTAGCCGACAGCGAAAAGGAGATGGAGGAGGAAATGCGGGCGGCGCTTCACACGGGCACCTTTGAGTTGCAGCCAACGCTGCAGCTGGCCGCGAGCGAGCGCAGCACGCTGATTGTAGACACCATGAAGCGCGTGGTGGCGGGCAGCAAAGCCGTTGAAAAGTTTATATCGCTCAACCGCATGCAGGCATCGAGCAGTCACAGCCAGCTGCCAGACGCGCAGCTGGCGCGCGGAAAAACTACCGAGTCCAGCGCTCAGGTCACGCTTCCGAACGGTCTGAGCACCAACGCTGGCGTGCTTGAGGACTCGATGCTGCTTCTGGTTCGGATGGTGGCCAACTGCTATATTATGTCGTTCGAGGCGGCTTGCGTCGAGGGTGCGGCCGAGGACATGGGCCCAGACTCCAAGTGGGCTGAGATGCACACTTGCATGGAAGGCATCCTGCAGTCCATCACGGAATCCCCGAGATCACAATACAACCTGGCCATTCTGCTGCTCTACGAGATGTGGCTGGCCGTCGTGAGCACGGACCCAGAGCTCAAACAGGACTCGCAGGGCCCTGGCTTCGAGTTCACCATGCACGCGCTGTACTTGCGCTGGTGCGAGCAGATTTTTGACGCCGTTGTCAAGTGCAGCATTGAAACCACGCTGACGAAGCAGGTTCCGGTGCAGGTCGTTCCGGATGTTGCGGCATCGGTGGGCGAGCCGACGCTGACCGCAGGCAGCGCGAGCCACGCAGCGGGACCGGCGCCGGCCACGCAGATGCAGGACCGCTTGATCCTCGACTTTATTTTGGATGCACCAGAGCTGCCTCCCAGGTATTTGGAGAAGCTGTCAGCTTGCTTCCAGGCGTCAGCCACAGCCACGCTTGGGTTCTCAACTCTGGAGAAGGCCATCGAGATGCGGCCGCCCGTGTTCAAGACTGGCATCAAAATGCTGCTGACCTACTGTGCAAGCCACAGTCGGGGAACGCGCATCGGGTGCATTCGTGCAGTCAAGAAGCATTACCCAGCGTCACCAGAGTCAGCGCTGATCGAGAACATTGCCCGAGGCTCGCTTAAGCGCGGCGTCGAAAACGCGGACAGAAAGAGAACAGAGGTCGCTGAACGCATCAGAGAGATCGTTTCGGCCGATACGACTGATCCTGAGGAGATCACCAAACGCTGCGCCGAGCTGGATGTGCTGAAGAAGAAGGGTGAGCAAGAGATTGACGCCGAGATGGCGGCGAATTCGGAGCTTTTGCTAGCATTGTGCACGCGCAACATGGATCTTCTTTTGGCCGTGTTTGAGGCATACACGTCGGCGCACGCCCAAATCAAAATGTCCATCAATCGTCTGATTACGCCGCTGATAAAGTCTGTTTCCAACACGCCTGGCAAGGTCGTGCCAATCCTGAGCCAGTTCCCGGCGGGCGCGGAGGTGATGGCAGTGAGGGTAATCCGGATTCTCACACGCGAGAGTGGCCATGTGCCCTCCAGGGATCTCATTCAGGGCGTGCTAGACATGCACACTGCGCGTAATCTGGACCCGCGGTTTATTGTGGCCATTTGCAACGGCCTAACCAAGGCCGAGGCCATTAGTCATTTGGGCAGCGTTGTCGGCGTGCTCGACGGCCAGGACCAGCCGAGGGCGCTGGTGGGCGACTTTTTTGTTCAGCTCACAAAATCTTATCCTGGCCGTCCCAGCGTGCTGAGCCCGACCGAGCTGCTGATCGCGCTGCACAACAACCTTGGGGACAACGCGACCGATAAGCAGGCGATGGAGGCTATTGCTTTGTACGAGGGTATCCCCACAGCCGATGGAACTCCGCTGTTCCACTCGAGCGTGTTCACAGCCGCGTTCAACCAGCTGGTCGCGCAGGAGCATGTCCCACCGCTGATGTTGTATACTGCCGAGCTGTTTAACCAAAAGCGCAAGGGGAATGTTGGCCCGATCATCAATATTTTGGCAAAGCTGATCGAGAAGAAGGTCTGGACCATGGGCGACACCATGGTGCAGGCGTTTTCACGCTGCTTGCACTGCTTTGAGCCAGGGACGCTATCGCTGATCAAGACTATTCCGTCCGAGCCGTTGAAGAAGATTATTGGCGCAGAGCCGCGCTTGCAGCCGATTATCCGCGACTATGTCAAGAAGATGTCTCATAAGGACCGGGCCCCGTACAAATGGCTGCTTTCGAGCAAGCATTGAGCGTGTTGGTTTCTTTAATCATATACAGTCTTTGTCTGCGGTTATTTGTCGCTGCCAATGTGAAAGCAGCCCTTTGTTGGTATTCGTTTTTGTGCAGGACAATTGACTTTTTGTTCTTTGGGACCAGCACCCTCCACTCAATCGCTTTGTGCTTTATTTATTTATAGCATTAGTTTAGTTTAGCACAGTCATTTTTCATCTATTTTTAGTTCTTTTTTGACTTTATTGATTCTACTCTATTCTACTATTTTATATTCAACTCTGCTTAACCATTTTCCATTGTTTTTTATACTTTTGATTGGCAAGCAAGGACAATTGCCCGTTCGATTTGATTCGCTTTGCCGGCACCAAATATGCATGTCAATTATTTTAAAAATCTTTATTTTCATTTTTGTTGTCGTTAGTTGTGGCAGCGGCGGCAGCAGTGGGTGGTGCTACTTATCAGCGCCAAGATATCATTCTCTTTTCCCACTGTATCTTGGATTACGTCACTCATGCATGTTTCTAAAGGATTGACAGTTCGAACAAAAAACAGAACGCTGATCGCTCTCTCTACCAATTAAAAATATGTTGATTTTTTGTGGCCTGAGACCGGATGTATTTTTTGGCGGTCTAGTGGTCTTGGAGGCGCATGCTGTGATCTCCGCCATGCATGCATTTTACATTGTGATTTTTGAAGCAAGCAAAATCTGAAGAACATGCTATGGAAAAATAAATACTGTGTATCAGCATCTCCACAAAGTGTGGATATTGTTTACTATCTTTCTCATCACATCACATTGTGTGTTGTCAGAAACCCAAGCGAGATTCTGCTAATTATTTGTGTTTTGTGTATCTTTGTTGCTGTACGAGGCTTTTCACCACGTGGTGCTCGTCTGCACTTTTGACATATGCGGAATAATTTCTTTGTGGTGCCATTCCAATTCAAAAAAATAATCTGTGCGAAATATTATCGTATTTGAAGTATTTGAGTGCCAAAAGTTTAGGGAAAAGAAGCGTGCACTAGATCATTTCTTCGTGTCCAACCCCGATGTTGGATAAAATAAACAAGCAATCCACATTACCAAAAAAATCGCTTTAATTGGAAAATGGTAATGGAAAAAAACAGTTCGGTGTAATTTTATTTTTCGGAGCATCATCGAGCGTTCCGGCCATGTTCGTCGGCTGAAATATCAAAAAAAACTTGGCTGAATCCTGTAAATGCTGTGTCAAACCCGTTGCTGCCAATGACGTCTGTCTCCCTTCTATTTCTCCCCCCACCAGCTCCCCCTCTCGCTTAAGCTTGTGGAATAGTAAGCATGCAAGTTGCATTCTTTTCGCTAATTTACTGCTCATATTCGCGTGGATATTTTTATAGCATAATGGTGACTGCTCTATTTTTTCTCTATATATCTTTCTCAGATACCATTTTTTTTACCAGTGGTACAATCAACAAACAGACAGCGGACAATTGCTAGGCTCGCGATCTTGGAACCTCACGGTAATATCCAAAACATGGTGAGGCAAGGCGAAAACAAGACAACAATTACAACACTTACAAAGCGACAATGCCACATGGGCTGTATACCCAGATTCAACGCCCTTGTCTTTACCACCCCCCTCTTCTCCCTCCCCTTTTTTATTATCGCTTCTCGAAAAATAAGACCATTTGCCGATTGCCGTGAGACACGCAGAGCCTATCATTCTCTTTCCATTTTTTTATATTCACGTACATCGTCCTTCAACCGAACACGCTTCCTTTTTTTGGTAGGCTCAACATTTTTTATATGGTGCTCAGAGACGGTTCTATATAGGGACGAATTTTGGCCGCCTTTTTTTTAATTTTTCCTTTCTATTCTTTGTCTGCATTTTATTATTTTATATTTGACCACTTTTTTCTTTCCTCTCTTTCGTCTCTTTCCTTTCTCTCCTTTCTCTCTTTCTCTATTTTCGACTCCCCCCTTTCTGTTCTTTCTATTGCTCTTTGTATTTCGACCATGCTTTCCCTTTTCTTTGAGAATAAAGGTAAGCCAGGCTTTTTGCGCGCCAAGCCATGCGATACACATGTTATTCGCCACATGTAATAGTTCGTAAAGCACATATGATAGTACTCTCCCATCCTTTTTTATTTACAATGTATGGTTTGAAAGGCGCAGTGTAGTCGTGCTCTTTTCAGTTAATTTTGCTCCAAAATACTTCTTGTTGCGCAACAAAAGTGGCCTATGGAGACTATATAATTGTGCTCGTGTTTCTCCATGTTATCTTTTCAATTTTATTTCACAATATATTCCATCATCTACATTAAAAACACCACTTTTCGCTCTATTTTGCACACTTGCACACTTGCATTTTTTTCTTCCATTTTTCCATTATATTTTTATCAGCTCTTGTTTAGCTATATTATATATAAAATACTATCCATCTCTATTTATTTGTCTCCATCCCACACACTCACATTAACCCTCTCTCTCTCTCCCTCCCTCCCTCCCTCCAACCCACTTTTTTAAACGAAAAACCACATATTTAGGCATGCGTCTGGCCATTGCTAGTGCTCTTGTATTCTGCATTGCTGCCACAACTGTGCTGGCTCACAGTTGGGTGGATTGCGTAAAATACGACCCAATTAACCAGGTGTGCTTGGGCTATGCTCGCGGATACCCCGGGCGCGATAACGCCCTGACCAACAACATCTACACATATCTTTTCGACGGATCACCAAAGTCCCAGGCCATGTGCAGCACGGCTCAGCAGCAGGTAATGAACTACACGGACCGGTTCCCCATGGCCACAGCCCAGCCCGGCGAGACTATTTTCACCACCTGGGAGGTCAACGGACACTTGGACAATGCCAATCCAACGGAGGTCAAGATCCTGTACTACCCTGCGTCCAATAAGGAGTTCCAGGATGTCTCAGAGAAGGACACAGCAATGGTCGCGGGAACTATGTCATTTGGTACTTCGAATAACTGCTATACCCCGGAGAGCCCGAACACGGCATGCTTTGGGAGCTGGAAAATGCCTGAGGACTTGGTGCCTGGACAAGTGTACCATTTCGTGTGGTTCTGGTACTTTAACGCCAATCCGGCTGGTCAATGGTACTCGACTTGCTTTGATGTCAATGTGCAGAGCGCCTCGCATGTAGTTCCTGGCGGGGACAATGCATCGTTGTTGAGCGTGGGCGAACCAAATTTGAGCTACATCTTGGGATTCACGGATGAGATTCGCAAACAGGTTGCCGATGTCACGACGATTGGAGGCAACAATCAGGTTGTTGTTGCGCCGATTGCACCAATTGGTCATAATGCTGGTGCTGCTACCACCAGTAGTGTAGAGTCGTATTCGTCGTCGTCGGCATCCAGTTCTTTGGCGTTTGTTCCCATGCCTACTTTCTACAGCAGCGCTCCCGAGGTCATGACGCCACCTGTTGAGTCTACCTCGACTGTTTCGACCACCTCGTTTGCTGAGACCACCACGACTATTGTGGACACCTCGTATATCCAGCTGCCTGTTAATGAGTCAACATATCTTGCTCCCGCTGTGCCAATTGGTTCTTTCACGGTCACTCCCACTTCCGCTGCCACTACCTCTGAGTATGTTTTCCAGACTCCTGCTCCCAAGTGCCGTATTAGACCCATGTACTGAGATTTTTTTCTTCTTTGTTTTTTGGTTCGCATTATTAATATTTTTTTTAATATTTTTTGTTTTTGTTTTATCTTGTTTCATTGTTTGATAAAAAAATATAAAAACAAAATAGAAGTCTTTATTTTAAAAATTTTATTAAATGGATATTGCATTTTGAAATTTGCAATTAATATCTGTTCTTCCCTGAAAAATTCTCCAGTATCGTGATATCAACTGTATTAAACCAGAGAAACAAAAAATTATATATATATATATATAAGGCAAAAAAATCCTTAACTCGATCAATCCCATTTTCTTTTCACATTAGTTCTTGTAGTCCTTGGGGCCCAGCATATCCTCGGGGCGCACCCACTTATCAAACTGCTCCTCATTCAGCGATCCAAGGGCAATGGCCGCAGCCTTCAGGGTAGTCCCCTCCTTATGCGCCTTCTTCGCAGCCGCCGCAGCGTTATCGTAACCAATATAGGGGTTGAGAGCGGTAACGAGCATGAGGGACTCATGCAGGAGCTTATTAATACGATCCTCGTTCGCCTTAATTCCAACAACACAGTTCTTGCGGAACGAAACACAGCCATCAGCAAGCAGGCGCACGGAATGCAGAACGTTGTAGATCATCATGGGCTTGAACACGTTGAGCTCAAAGTGCCCGTTGGCTCCGCCAATAGTGACCGCCGTGTGGTTGCCCATGACCTGGGCGCAGAGCATCGTCAGGGATTCGCACTGCGTCGGGTTGACCTTTCCGGGCATAATGGAGGATCCAGGCTCGTTCTCCGGCAACTGCAACTCGCCCAATCCGCACCGCGGCCCACTCCCGAGGAGACGAATGTCACTGGCGATCTTGAACAGCGACACGGCAATGGTGTTAAGAGCACCGGAGGCCTCCACAAGGGCGTCGTGCGCAGCCAGGGCCTCGAACTTGTTCGGAGCCGGCGTAAACTTGTATCCGGAAATCTCCGAGATCTTCTCAGCCATCTGGGCGTCAAACCCAGTGTAGGTGTTCAGGCCGGTGCCGACCGCCGTACCGCCAATGGCCAGCTGGGAAAGGTGTGGCAGCGTGGCCTCGATCCGCACAACCGCGTTGCTGAGCATCTGGGTGTACCCGGAGAACTCCTGGCCAAGCGTCAGCGGCGTGGCATCCTGCAAATGGGTCCGACCAATCTTGATAATATCCTTGAACTCCTGCTGCTTCTCCGCAAACGCATCTCTCAGATCCCGAAGCGCCGGGATCAAGCGCGAGTTAATCTCGGTCACGGCGGCAATGCTCATAGCCGTGGGGAACGTGTCATTGGATGACTGGCTCTTGTTCACATGGTCATTCGGATGCACGGGCTTCTTCGAGCCCAGCTCACCGCCGAGAATCTCAATTGCGCGATTAGCGATGACTTCGTTGACATTCATGTTGGTCTGGGTGCCGGAGCCGGTCTGCCAGACCACCAGAGGGAAGTGGCCCATAAGCTTACCCTCAATGACCTCCTGCGCGGCCTGCTGGATGGCGTCGCTCGCGCGGGTGTCAAGACCAAAGTCGCGGTTGACTATGGCAGCGGCCTTTTTCAGAACGCCCATGGCCTTGATCACGGCATCAGGCATGCGGTCGGTGTCTGCGCAGATGTCAAAGTTGAGCTTGGAGCGGGCAGTCTGGCATCCGTAGTACTTGTCCGAGGGCACTTCGAGCTCACCCATGGTATCACGTTCAAGGCGCATCTTCTAAAATAAAAAACCAAGTGGAATTGGAATTGGAATTTGATTTAGAGAGGTGAATTTTATAAAAAAAGTATTGTGTAAATAATTTTTTGTTAGTAAGGAGAAAGAAGGAAGAGAAAGCAATTATGAAAACGGTTCATATAGCATAAAATCCAAAAATTAGTCACATATTTTCTATTATCATCTTTTTCTTGTTCCAGTCAAGTCAACCAAGGTTGGTTTAGGGGGGGATATGATGTAAGAGTTGATAGTTTACCGTGAGTTGGGAGGCAGAGGCAGAAAAGGCACGGGCGGCGGAACCGGTGGCGGTGGTGGAGAGTCTCGAGACAGTCTGGGCGCTGGCGGCAATAGCAGCCTTCTTGAGTACGGGTCTGATAGAAGCCATTTTTTTTGAACAGAAAATAATTTCGAACTAAATAAAGCAAATAAAAAAGAAGAGAAAGGAGAGGTGAGAGAACAACAGGATATTTTTTGTTTAATGGTTGAAGGGAATTGACACGGACCACATTACCAAAAATAAGCATGCCCTCCTCCATTCTTCCAGCTCTCCTTTATCTTTGTCTTTGTGCGCATTTCCCGTATCACACGGGAAAGGTCGGAATTACGCACTTGTGGTGGGAAACCTTTCGGAAACCCCGTGCTAAAGTAAACGGGAGCGATAACTTTCTGTGGAAAGTAAAGAAGCTTCTTAATCGGCTGCCAGGAGGAGATTAGTGCCAGGGTGTTGCTTGATACGCCCCGTTCGGTGTTCTCCAAATTTTTTTCTCATCTAAATCGGTCCAAAGTAATATTCAATTTTCATTTATTCAAGCCAGGAGATTTAGAATCGGCGAGGAGCCTGAAAAGCCTGAGGTTAAGCTTGATGAATGGATGATTTTATTCAGGCTGTGTTGTATAAGCAGCTGCCAGCGGGCCTCTGGGGTCTTGGTCTTGGGTATTATACGCTTGATTATTTTGACCTGCATTCATCCATCCCTTTCTTTTTGTTAAAGGGAAAGCAGGAGGGGGGGGGGGGGGAAATAATAAAAAAACCAACCTTGCTTTTCCCCTTCACAACTGTGCTAGATAAAGACCGCATGCATATTTGTTGATTTGATCAGCAAACGAAAATGAGGGAAGGCAAAAATAACAAGCATAGAATGCAAATTACTTAAGCAGGGAAGCCACATGGAGTAATTCCAAGCCAAGGCTGGTGGTGCTCTTGTTCCTTTGTTATTGTGAGCATTTTATTTTGTTTTGTTTTACCTTTCGCGCACCTGTTCTATCTCTAATTCGATCAGAATCCAATATACTTTCAACCTCAACACTAAATAATGGACGACACACAAAAGGAGCAGCTCATGACGCCCGGGCCAGCAGTCCCTGCGCCAGAAATAACCCCGAGCCTCCGTCTCTCGTCGCTAACCCGGCGCGAGGAAAACTCGGTAATAGAACTGCGACGCAAACAAGCCTGCCAGAGATGCGCTGCCTCCGTTGGGCTGTTCTCCGAATGCAGCGCACAGTACACAGTAGGTGTTGTGTGGAAATGCAGGGCACTGAAGGATATAATGAATGAGTGTTTGCGGCGCGCGAATACTGTGGATGATATGGATCGTGCGAGATCTATATTTCTGGACGAGAAGCAGAAGGGCTTGGCTGCGAAAAAGGACAAGCCGCGGACGCTGATATAAGGAAAAAGAAAAAGAAAGGAAAAAAGCAGTTTTCCTTTTGCTTTTTTTTTTTTAATAAAAGGATTAATTTTATTTTAGAGAATTTCTTAATACACCACAATTTAAAAATGGCTAAGCGGTTTCGCGGCCCGGAGCTAAGCGACCAGGACGACCAGGCCCGCCAGGACGACGGCAGCGCGTTCACTTACACCCACCCGCCCACTGACGAGCTCCCGATCCACAAGCACCGGCTGCAGATCCTCTACGCGCTCGAGCGCCACCAGGTCCTGATCCTCACGGGCGAACCAGGCTCGGGCAAATCCACGCAGCTCCCGCAATACCTGTGCCGCGCCGGGTACACGCAGAACGGGCAGCAGATCGCCATCACACAGCCGACCGCTCGCTCCGCAGCGCAGCTCTCTGCGCGCCTCGGCTCGGCAACCCGCGCGGCGCCAGGCCCCACGCGGATAAGGTGCCTGGCAGACCAGCGGCTCGTCGGCGAGTTCATGCAGGACCCGCTGCTGAGCCAATACTCCGCAGTGATCATCGACAAGGCTGAGCAGCGCACGCTGTGGACGGACCTGGCGCTGGCGCTGCTCAAGAAGATCCTGCGGCGGCGCCCCGACCTCCGCATCATAGTGGCCCTGGCGTCGCCGGACATCGGGCGGCTGCGCGCGTTCTTCCCGGGCGCCCTGGCGCTCTCGATCTCCGAGCGGCCGCACGCGCTGGACATCCACTACCTGCGCACGCCCTGCGAGGACTACGCGGCCGCGGCAGTTGCCACCGCGCTGCGCATCCACGCGGCAGAGCCGCCGGGCGACATCCTGGTGTTCCTCCCGTGCGCCGCGGCCATCGATGCCGCGCAGGCCCTGCTGCTCGCGGCAGACCACGCGCGGCTCGAGGGAGACGGCCGCCCGCGGCTCGGGGGAGGCGGCCGCCCGCGGCTCGTCGCCACGCCGCTGTACGCCGACCCCCCGGCCACCGCGCAGCACCCAGCGCTGGGCGCCGCGCCCGCAGGCACGCGCAGGGCGGTGCTTGCCACCGGCCTCGCCGCCACCTCGGCGACGGTTCCAGGGATCACCCACGTGATTGACACCGGGCTGCACACCGTGCGCGTCTTCGACCCGCGCACGGGCGCCGACCGGCTGTGCACGCGGCCGATCTCGCAGGCCTGCGCACGGCTGCGCGCCAGCCGCGCCGGCCGCTCGCAGCCGGGCAAGGTGTACCGCCTGTACACGGCCGCGGCGCACGGGCGGCTGCTGCGGCCGCAGGAGGAGGGCGCCGAGGTCCGCCGCGTGCCGCTGGCGCCGCTGGCGCTGGCGCTGCTGGCGCTGGGCGTGCGCGACCTTGCGCGCTTTGACTTCCTGCACGCGCCGCCGCCCGAGCTGCTGGCGCAGGCGCTCGGCGAGCTGGCCAGCCTCGGCGCGGTCTCGGCGCGCTGCGGCGCGGCGCTGACGCCGCTGGGCCGGCAGATGGCGGAGCTGCCGCTCGAGCCCAGCCTCGCCGCCTGTGTGCTGAGCGGCGCCCGCGCCGGGTGCGCCCGGGAGGCCGCGGCGGCGGTCGCCGTGCTGGGCGCCGGCGCATTGTTTGCGTCGCGGCACGGGGCCCCCGCCGCGGCTGCGTTTGCCGTGCGCGAGGGCGACGCGCTGACGGGCGCCAACGCCCTGCTGGCGTTCCGCGCAACGCCGCGCGCCCGGCGGCTGCGCTGGTGCCGCGCGCGCGCACTGAACATGGCCACGCTGGACCGCGCCGACCACGCCGCCGCGCAGCTCACCGCCAAGCTGCAGCGCATGGGCTACAGCATGGCGCCCTCGCCCGCGTGCGCCGGCGGCCAGCCCGAGGCGCTGCAGAAGTGCATGGCCGCCGGCCTGTTTGCCAACGCCGCGCGGCTCTGCCCGCAGGACAACCTGTACCGGCTGCTGCGCTCCGGCGACCCGGTGCACGTGCACCCGCAGTCTGTGTATTTTGCGCAAAGCGCCCGGCCCGAGTTTGTTGTTTTTGCGCACGCGCTGCCGACCGCCGCCGCCAAGACGTACATTCGCGGGCTCACTGCCGTTGACAGCGCATGGCTGGCCGCACAGGCGCACTTTTACGAAGCGCACTAGCCCCGGCCCCTATTTGTTCCTCTGTTTCTTTGGCTCTTTGGCTCTTTGGCTCTTTGGTTCTTTGGCTCTTTGGCACTTTGGTTCTTTGGCTCTTTGGTTCTTTGGCTCTTTGGTTCTTTGGTTCTTTGGCTCTTTGGTTATTTGCTTCGTTACTTCGTCGCTTCGTCACTTCGTCGCTTCGTCGCTTCGTCACTTCGTCGCTTCGTCGCTTCGTCGCCTCGTCGCCTCGTCGCCTCGTTGCTTCTTTATTTCTTTTTCTTTATTTCTTTATTTCTTTTTAATGGGCCCAGGCAACACATGCGGCTTCGGCATGCGCTTGGCCAGCTCGGCCTTGGTCAGCCTGTGCACGGCGTCTCTGGAGAAAAGATACCCGACGCCCGACGCCACCGTTGTCGCGCCGGTCGCCCACTGCAGAGCAGCCAGCGGCATGCACTCTGCGGCGGCAACCCCGCACACCGGTGCCGCCAGGGATGCTGCGACAAGCGCCAGCTGCAGCGCCGTGTTCCACTTGCTCACCAGCGTCGGCCGCACCTCCACGGACAAAACGCTCAAGTCAAAGTACCTCCGCGCCGTCCGAGGCTCGGGCAAAGTCGCCCACCGAACCACCAACGCCGCCAGCGACAACGCCAGGTCGCGTCCAATGATAACCCCTGCCAATAGCCCCGGCATCAACCCATTGAAGCTCAGAGCAAGCGTCAATGTGGTCATGAGTATTTTGTCTGCTGCCGGATCGAGGATGGACCCGACAAAGGACTGCATGTTGTATTTGCGCGCTATGTATCCGTCCAAGGCATCTGTGAGCCCGAAAACTATACAGCCGCTGAGCGCCCATTCGTACTGCCCCTGGACTATCAAGTAGCCGATGTATGGCGATGATACGATGCGTGCCATTGTGAGTGCGTTGGGGATCGTGAGGATTTTTTCCCGATGGTCTGCGTCTGTGTCTGCCTGTTGCTGCTGCCGTTCTTGCGGCTGCTGCTGCTGCTGCTGCTGCTGCTTTTGTGTGCTGAGCTGTCGGTAGATCGACGGGATGTATTGGCTGTGTGGTTGCAGCAGGGCTGTGCGTAGCCGATACATGTGTTTCGGTGTGAATGTCCGCGAGTGCCTAAAAATACAAAGTGCTTTGAATTGAATTGAATTGAATTAAATCAACTTTAGCATGGTTAAATGCTTCATGAAATTAAAAGTCTCATTCTGCTTTCTATTATCTCCCCTACTTACGTTGAGACGACGCTGTTTGGCCGAAACAGTCCTCTACCAACCAAACCAACTATTGACATTGTGGATTTAATGTAATGTAATGTAATAATGAATGTAATAAAAAAGGTGTATAAAATAAAATAAAATAAAATAAAAAAGATAAATCCAGTGCCAACAAAAGATAAAAAAAAAAAATTCCAGAACTGAAAAAACAAATAATTTTTTTTTCTTACTCAGCCAGACGGAAAGGCACATATCTTGCGCGATCATACTCCTCAGCCTCCCACACCCTCCGATTCTCCCTTCTCCTCCTTGCCCTCCTTCCTGCCAACACCACAGCAGCAACCCACCCGCAAGCAGCAACCAATGTCGACAGCAAAAACGCACTGCGATAGCAAACGCCCCCAGGACACTTCGACAAATCCTGATCGGGCAAATTGCGATCATAAACGAACCCGAAAAACGCGCCCAACCCCTGTCCGCTAAACCCAATAAACAAACTAGTCATTCCCCAGTTTGATCCGAAATGTCTCGTCCCAAACCACACGCTGACAAGCAACGGGACAAATCCAAAAATAAACCCATAACTCACTCCCGTCAATACACTCCCCACCAGCAACACCTCCAAGTTACGCGCGTTCAAAATAACCAGCTGAGAAATAACCGTTGACGAAACCACCCCGACGAGAATCCCTGACCGAGGCACATGCCAAATGCGCTTACACAGATCAGTGATGATTCCAATTGACAGCCGACCAATAAAGCTTCCCATGCTGATTGCCCCCACGTGCCGGTTGATCAGCCGCTGCGCCGTGCTAGCATCCGGGTGCGCTACGGATGAGTGGTAGAGCGTTGTGACGATGGTGCCGACATTGTTGTTGTAGAATACTCCGACACCAGCGCAGAAAAACAGAACCAATGCGAGCAGCTGCGCTTCGTGGTCGCCTATATATGATTTGCCGCCAAGATCACGCGCTGTGTCATAGTCCACCGCGCCTGGACCACCACCCGCATTGGCAGCAATGGCAGGGGCGGAATCTGTGGCAGAGTTTGCACCAGCATCCGTAGCTGAATTCGCTCCAGCGCTGTATCCGGGCTGCGCCTGTCCGACCAACCCACTCTCCTCATCCATGCTCTCCTCCAGAATGCTATCCGCGCTACCATCAGCAATAAACCCATGTGGGATATCCCTCCGATACCTGCTCGGCCCAAACCCAACAACCGACAAGCTAACCGCCGCCAACAACGAAGTGACCAATCCCAGCATCGCCAAAAACTTCAAAAACCCAAAAACATCCGGCGGGCCACCATTGGACCCAGCAAAAAACCACGAATTAACATGCGACAAAACAAACGGAGACAGCCCGAAAAACGCAACACACAGGGACACAGCCGCGCCCCTATTCTCTTTAAAATTCCGCGTAGTCACCGTAATGGCGCTCATATTAACCGCCTGGCAAGAAACCCCGACCAAAACCATATACCCAGCCAACCCGACCCACCCAGGAAACGCCAAATCCCCCGAGTACGTGTACGCCAGTGCGGAAAATGCCGAAAACGAACCTACCGCTGCAAATGCGCAGAGGATGCGTGGGCCGAGGGTGTCCGCTAGCCACCCAAAGAGCGGCCCGGAGAGGAGGAGCCCATAGTTGGCTGAGATTGCGACGAGGTTGCTTTGCGTACTGCTCAGGTGGAGTTGTCGGGAGAGTGCTGGCCCGTAGGTCGAGAAGAGGTAGACTGTGCCAGCTGTGGTGGTTGCTAGACACGCACCGAGCATGGACACGGACCGCTGCCAGTGTCGCTCACTGCGGGTTGTTGTCGCCATTGGTTTAAAGCTGTTTGAAATTAATTGGTTTGGATTGGGTTTTTGGTGGAAACTTTATTGTTTAATGTGTGGAAAAGTACAATAATATAAATATATGGACGAATTCGAATGAAAATAGTAAAGACAAAAGTAAAAAAAAAAGAAAGAAAAAAGAAAACGCCATGAGAATGTCGTGATATAGTGCGTGGGTGGCAATCGGAGCACATTAACTTTTAAAAGTCACATGTGCTGTGCAAAAACAAACATGTCTACTAAAAGAAATTCAGTTTTCTATTCTTGTTGTAATTGAAGCTGTCACTACTATAACGAAATAGTCACATGTTTTTATTTAAAAAAATTAATAAAATTAATAAAAAAAGTAGACATATAAATCCTTTTAAAACAAAAGGTTTGGAATCCATACAAAAAATGTAATGTCCGCCGTTTACACCGTATTACTAGACTCCTTTGACAAATTTATAGCAAAGTCCACTGTTTTTATAAAAACCAAAGTTAAATCTGTCGCGTACAACTTTAGCAAGTTTTTCATAATAATGGTAAACCTGAGAATTTTGCAAATGAACTATCGTCATTTCCAGACTCATACCATGTTTGTAAAATTCATACCGACAGCTATCATCAAACGCCTCGAACCTTTTTGGATCAAGATACCCAGCCACCATTTGAATCTGTCTCAATTTCTGCTCTGCCAAACCCTCCTCTTTGGTGTAAAGTCCATATTTCTTGGATACTGCGAAATCCCTTGCTCTATATAAATACAAAATGACTGGAGGGCGTAATCCATTGTTATTTCTTATATATTGAATTCCGTAGGCTGCTAGAGGTGAAATATACAGATCAACAGGCTATTGCATAAAAAAATAAAAAAAAATAAAAATGGGTTTTTGGAAAATTATGTGATTTAGTTGCATTGAGAAATAAATTCGACATAGAAGTGGTACATTGCTAATAAAAATAATGTATATTTACCTTTGGAATATGAATATGTTCGTAAGCAATCCAGACTGAAAGCGCCATTATAGTTAACGTTGTTTTTGTTTGTGTATATTTGTACGTGCGTGCGTGAATGTGAAGGGAGAGATAACTTCAACCAAGTAATGTATTTGCAAACAAAATTGTCATGAAGAAAAATATTCTGAAAAAAATATGCCAGACACTCATTTTATATACTTCTCCCGTTTCATTTTACTATATGTTACTATACTACATTTACAACAACAACAAATTTATTTACTTTAATTCAACCACCCCTGATGTATTTTAACGCATGCCTCATAAAAAAATCAACAGTACCATGACTTTGAAAATAAGCCAAAGGTACTAGACCGATATTTACTCTTAGTCATAGTTGATGTTGAAATAAATGACACAACAACATTTCCTCATTTATTCCAAATAATTGTTGAAAATATTATACAAAAAATTGTTGCAAATAATTATATAAAACCAATTTTTTTGTTTGCAACCGAGACTTGAGAACGCACGGGAAACAAAAGTTATTTTTAAAATAAATAATTTATTTTCAAATGGACAGGAGGGCTGACTGTGAGATACACATGATAAAATAAAGGATTATTACAGCTCCAAGCAGCCCTATTTTTTTCTCTCTCTCTCTCTTTTTATTTTTAAGGCAACATAAAATATAGTCGACTCTATATATTACTTTTTTTTTAAAAAAAAAAAGTGCTGACTGCACGTACAATTGCAAGAATATTTAAACATCAGCAGTTTACATCAAAGGAATATTCAACAACAAAAATTGCAATCATTGATTTAATGCACGCGTTATTATTTTTCTACACGTAATAGCTTTAGGAGTTCTAAAAAATTTTAATAGTTGGGAAGGCAAAAGCTAAATATTTTTTTGTGGAGGTACACAAGCACGCATTTTTTGCAAAATTATTTTTCCAATGTATCAAGTTGAGCCTGTTTAACATGATGTCACTACTCAATTTATTAGTGGAAATATCCTTTTTAACGCAAGAAAAAGTGCGATATTAAAAGCAACAATATGCACCAACATAAATAGCAAAGGCTGCTCCCTTTATATTTTTTTTAGTTTTTCCCCACTATAACCACTGACTTTTCAATTATATCACAAATCATTTAATTGTGTTTAATTTAGTATATTAATTTCATAATTAAAAGCAAAATAGCATCGTAATTTTTGATAACCAACGCAAATAAAAGTTAAATCCGGGCACTTTATATTCCCAGCAATGGGGCCTGGGTTTCACTATTGTTATCTTGTTCAAACTGAAGATTGTACTGCTTCTTGCACCATTCATACTGTCTATATACAATTTTGTCTACAAAAATTGGTGCTTGATTTGCGCCCCTGCCTTATAGGTTCTTAAACAAAGTTGTGTACCAATCATATGTCAATTCCTTTTAGCGGCGCCTTATATTTAAAACCAACTTCTTGTCTTGGTAGTGGGCGTCGACACGCTTCTTGAGTTATTTAAATATAATATCTGTCAGATACCCAATGCCATGTTAGAAATATATATATTGAACAAAATGAACTAAAAGAAAGCTAAGGGATGAACAGCCTCCACTGTTTATATTCATTAGTACTTATGTGTGCGTATGAATTCCCGCATATCCAAGTAGGGAATTAACTAGCAATTGATTCATTAATCAATCGCCGGAGACAAGCCGTAATTCCTTGTATCACACCCAAGTTCTGAAAAATGCAGCAGCTGCAAGATATTCATTAAGAGTGCACCTGCCAAACGATTGCATTACTTTTAAATTACAAATAAAAATATGTTAATTAATAATCTATAATATTAATAGCAAATAATTAAAAAAAATACTACTCTCAATTAATAATGGCAGCTAGGCACTAAATAAAAATAAAACAATTGCAAATTAAAAATTATTGTTTGCGTTCATCATTCCTCAACATATGTATAATAATTATAATTTTCTTCAACACCCTTATTAAGCGTGTTACATACTAGATTTGCGTTTTCTTTAAAAGGTTTTACACTATTAGGGCTTCTATTTACTAAAATGAGTTCCAACTTTTTATTATTCTTTGACAGCTCATAGTAGCAGAATTTATCAAGAGTACTTTACTTTTTCTTGGCTTTATCCTCAAAATAAAGTCCATATGTCTGGGAATCGATGATACTTTTTATTTTAAACATGTACAACTTAATGGAAGACAACTTTCCCTCATCCAATGCCAATCGCAAATAGTGGGTGGATGGGCCCGCCTCTTCGATCAATTCCAGTTTATCTATCTATACAGCACAATTTAAACAATACAGGTCAGTTTAGTTAAACAACACAAATAGCATTGGGTGCCTTAATGTGGAATAGCGGTACTATAAAACAATTATTACTTGTCTTTAAATTTTTTGCTTTTGAGTTTCTGCCCTTAAAAAACGATACCATGATATATTGAGTGTATTTATTTATTTGTGCGTGCGTGCGTGCAATATTCTTAAAATGTATAACGGTAGGAGGTAAATAATGAGCAAAAAAAATTAAAAAAAAATACATGCCGAGGGATTCCCACATTATATAATTATATATAGCTTATTGTTACGCAGCCCAAAGATATGGAAGTGGATGTCGAGGTTGAGAATCGTGAAACAAGTTTTTATCTGCATGCCAATTGATAGGGTACTAATTGGATTATGCAGGCGTAAATTAGGGAGGCATTACATTGATGTCCAAACATGTTCCCCATTTTGCAATGTACACGCATGAGCGTACACGCATGAAAACCACAAAATTGACTTGCCAAGATACCGGTCTGCTCGCAGAATAACCAGTTCTCGCCAACAGAGTGCACAGTTGGCAATGTGCACAACAAAGGCGACAAGGCACATATATAAGATGAGGCCGGCCCTAGTAATATTTTAGAAACATTAGTAATAAACCCTTTTATAAATTCAACCCCATTTTCTAACACTAGCTAACTAGTGCTCTTCACACCCCCCTCTTATTATAATATTGTTAGCAGAAAAATAATTGAGGATGACTACAGCGCCAAATACTGCAGCCACCTTTCCAATAAAAATGTATTATACCTGTAAATGTGATTTTGCTGCCAATTATCTTTACTGTAAAATATAATTGTCCAAAATTGAGCCAGCAGTGCACATATGACAGTTGAGAAAATTCCAACGTCGCATATGTTAATACCTAATAATACAGCACGTTGTGTTTTTTTAGCTTTTATTACTTTCTATAACACAATTTGAATATGAGTGGCCTGCCACTGTGGGCAAACAAATACTGGATTTTCAACAAGCATCCATATGTGTCTCAGCTATTTAATGGCAGCATTATTTATTGGTACTTGAACATTATTTCTTATATTTGTTCGTTTCTTTATTATAAAAGTACGGATAAATACATATTGAAAATAATAACTAAAGTAGCCAAAAAAGATATTTCAATAAAAAAGTCTGCGTTTTGCTCAGACCACCATCGGTAAATCTAGTGGCTGATCACAATAGTGGATGCATCTTCTATATCCTTTATTTAATAGCGTGCATACTTTTAATGCACAATCCTTATATGTCTGCAAATTCTCTGTGTCAATACTACCAGGCGCCACCTTGAGCTTTAGCTTTTTTGATCCCTTTTCCTTGAATATGACAAAGTGACAAAATAACTTTTGATAGTCTAATTGTTCGCCGTCCTGAATTCTTAGCGTCTTCGATGCACTGGGATCATTTGGCTGTAATATGTACAGGCTACGGTTATTCAAAACTCCCGATCTCACAAATCGATTTGCTCTCTTTGCGTTTCTTTCTAACTTGATATCAATCTATACCAGATTATAATATAAGCACAGCCCAGAAATTTATTAACTTAAATCAATAAAGCGATATAGAGACGTGCCTTTTCATCATATACTTACCGTCGGAACGCTGTCGTCGCTGTATACTGTTTGAGCCATGCGGTTTTCTGATTTAATACTATCTGACATAATAAATAAAAATACAATAAAAATGACAACTGGAAATAAAAGAAAAATGGATAAAATGAAAGAGAAAGCGAGACAGGGCAAGGCAGGGCAACTTGTATGTTCACTCACTATTGAGCGCTTTTCTTTTTTACAAAACCTTTCTTTTTGTATACAAAGGTTGGAATAAAAAATTGAGGAAAGTAGCTTGGAAAAGCACTTATTTCTAAACGTAAAATAAAGCCAAGGAAAAGATATCATAAATGGATTATACAAAGCGAAATAACGCTTTGTAAATGCCAATTTTTTTACATTATAGATATTTTAATTGAAAAATAAGAGCAAAAGCAAATGCCACCGCAACCAGGACTCACACAAGACACACGTCAGTCTAGGTGTATGCCGACCATCCAATATACATCTGGAAAAGGCGCTCGGGGCTTGTAGCCTCACGGATGAGTGCATCGACATGGCCCTCAACAGAGAGTGGGGTCATAGACTGGTGAGTGCCCTGCAGCTTGCGGCTAATTATAGCCAGGCTTCTTGTGGCCTCCGCATTGGGTTGCTGAAGGCCGCTCTCCTTGTTGGCAGCCACTGTGCGGCTTGCCCGGGTCACAGGTTTGCTCCACTCAACTAGCGGGTCGTGAAGAAAGGCCTCGAGCACAGACATCAGTGAGTCTCGGTTCTCGCGCAGCAGACTTAGCGTCATCTCGCACGTCTTTCTGAACATGCCCTCGTAGCCAGTGACCCCCATCGCATCGACCATGTTGTGAGTCAAACGGAAGGGCACCCTCTCGGGCTTGTCAAGCTTCAGTCCCTTTTCGAACAAGCAGTTAAAATCGACATGCACTACACCGCCAGTGCTCTCGTCAATCAAAATATTCTCGCAATGACGGTCACCCAAACCAAGGATGTACCCGACCATGGACATGACAGCCGCGCTCCGAGTAAAGTTGGTTCGGCTGGCCAGCCAGCAGAGTGGGTTGGGGAATGATTGCAAGTACCACTCATGCATGACCGATGGGAACAGCGGCAGCAGCTTTTTGGTGAATGTCTCTGCAAACGGAGACGTGGTACTAGGGGTGCGCAGAATCTCCTTGATACGCTCAGTACCCACGACCACATTGTGAGCCTTGTACAGCTTGCTCAGAATTTGACGAATACCGATGGTCGGAGAGATCCACTGAATCAGCCCACACTCCTCGTTCAGCGGGACTACAGCGTATGTGCGAATATGGAGCCCACGCTTGTGCGTCTCTGTGCCAGCACTCAAAAGCTTGTTAATCATCGAGTTGAACTCCATTAGCCGCGAGTCCTTGCGAAGGTCGTCCTTGGGCTTGCACAAAAAGCTGTACCTCTTGCCATTGCTGCCGATTATAGTGATTTTCTTGGGCCTCTGGAGCGACAGCATAACTTCGATTTCGTTCGCAAAGCTACTAATGGTTGGCAGATCACCTGAGAACGGCTGGTGTATCATGGTGTGCTGCGAGCCAGAAAGTGCAGAACCATTCCTCTGGGAGTGCGGCTCCCCGGCAACAACCGAAGAAAGTGCCAACTCAAATTCGGGGTTTCTTGTCACATCGTCTAGGGTCGGCACCATGCTTTGCTGCAGGGGGATAATAATGTCGAGCGACGTATACTTGGCCAACATCGGAAAGTCCTTGGACATCTGCATGACCAGCGAGCTTTGTGGCGTCGGTGTGGCATTGGACAAGTTAAGCAGCAGGTCGGTCAGCTTGGACGCCTGCTCAATCAGCGTGCCGACCTTGTGAGGAGCGCGCCCGCCGCCCGCCATGTCCATGGGACCGGGAATGGTCTTTGCCATTTCCAAAATCATGTGGCAGCGCTGCGCGCGCACCGCGAACGTCGACCGCTGAACGCCCATCAGCTGCCACAGCGTTTGCTGTGGGAACATCTCTAGCAGCTGAAGGATAATCCTCTGTAGGTGCTTGAACACGTCCATGTTGTCGTGGCAGATCCGCGAGACCAGTTGTGATAGAACAATCAAGAAGTTGTGTGTGGGCAGTCGGTTCGTCATATTAGTGATTAGCGAGTCGATCTGCTTGGCGATGACGCCTGCAGTCATCCGCTTGGGGTCGGGCTTTTCGGGAATGGGGCCCGATGTGTTGCTAAACTCGAACCAGACAGTCAGCAGCCGTGGGAGCGCCTGGAACAAGAAACGCGAGCTACACAGGATCGAGCGACAATAGTAGCGAAGCAGGCACAGCTGCAGCATCAGTCGCTTCTTCTCGTGGTTCTCTGTCTCTTTCTCCTTCAACACCCGCGTCATCATCCTACTGTCCATCGCAGAAAACAGCACGTCATTCAGACGGCCCATCGCGTAGAACGCCTTGGCGCTATCGTGGATATTGATTATCTGCTCGTAGCGGCCCACCAGGACCGACGGCGGGGCCGAGTTGGTCGCCGTCTGCCAACTGAGTAGCGGCATCATTGCCTTGACAAACGCATTCTCGACATCGGTCAACAGCTCGCCCTCTTTCTTTCTAGTTGGGCCAGACGACAGCGGAATCGTGCTCCTGACAGTGGGAGTGTCTAAGATAGACGCCGTAAGGCTCGGCAGCTTGAGCTGCTCATTCAAGCTGTTGGTGACGTGAATGAGGGATGACATGGCGTCCGCCGTGTGCCCCTCGTCCCAAAGGATCCGCGCGTGCTCAGTCTGGATCAGCGCCCGGAGCGCCGGCGTGGCGGAGCATGTCAGATCGGCATGCACCAAAATCCCCATCGATGTAGCACGGAATCCGGCCATCCGCGCTAGCTGCGCTGCCTGCAGATTCGTGCACACTTTTTGGCGCATCGTCATCTCCGCGCACGCGCAGCCGCTGGTTCCACCAGAGCGCAAACAATGCCCATGGTTGCCACCAGCCTCCATGCGGCTCAGCAGTATGTCGTAGAGCCGCGAATGCAGCATCAAAATGGGCTCCTGCACCGAATATGCCTCGGGCAGGCACAGCACACGCCTCCGCCACTGTTCAAACAGGTCGCCCAGCTTCTCTGAGTACTCTTCGCAGTCGCAGTTGTAGCTATCCATGCCCCCCAGATGGCTAGTCATTATTGCAATATCGCCGAGCATATGTGCGTACACCTCGCTCGGCGCCTTGCTGGCCGACGTGGCGACCTGCGAGCTGCCGAGCACCGATGAGCGCAGCGCTGCAGTGTGGGCGACGCCATGCCCGATAGAAGCCAGCGCCAGGTTGGCCAGCTTGGCAAATGGGCCACGCAGAATGCCCCTCCCATTGTCCTGGCCCAGCACAAACGCCCGCAGTGGCAGCGGCAATTTCAAATTGCACGTAGCGCCGGACCTTTGCTCGCGACTCAGGCGCAGAAGCATAGCGCTGTTGAGGGCGTTGAATTCGGGAAGCGGCTGGTGCGAGCCTGATGACTCGCCTATGGTGCCACTTTGCACAGTGTCCTCGACCCAGTCCCATTTGCCCAGGCGCCAAGCAGCCGCGAAGCAGGCCGAGTTAAGCTGCTGTTCGTCCTCGTTTCGGGGACTCGGGCGGAAAAGCTCCCTAGACGTCGACCACGCGCCCTCCCACTGGCCCATGTTCTGCAAGCAGCTGATCCAGCTCCTCTGGTAATCCTCATTTTCGGGCTGTGCGCGAAGCAGCGACTCGTGGCCGATAAGCGCATGCGACCAATTGCCCTCGATTTCGTACTTGCGGATATCCAGCTTATAGTCAGTCTGCTTGCGACAAAGCGAGACGCCAATTACGCCGTCCACGTCGCCCATGCCAAAGTACAACTCTTGGACCGTCGCCATGACCGAGTCGTCAACGTTGCCAAACAACGTACTGAACTTGCCAAGAGAGTTCTCGCGCAGGGCCAGCTCGGTGTGCAGCATGGCGCGCTCGTACTGGTGGCAGGACATGGCGACCCGTGCGATGGTCTCGTGTGATACCGAGCTTACTAGAGCCAAAAGGGCACGCTCCTCGGCGGTCATATTCACCAACCGCGAGTCCTTTCGAGTGCTGCGCTTGTCTTTGACACGGGCCATCTGCATTACGCGCACATGGCTAGCGAACGTGTCCAGCAAGTCCAGACCAACCTCCTTGCATAGCCGCCACTGGTCTCCGGGCAAAGATATCGATGAGGAATCGAGCGAGAAAACCGCCTTGATTTCGTCAACAATGATGTAGCCTAGCACAGAGTCCTTGGAATCGACGTCCATGGTGTCTTCGTCGTCTTCATCGTCCTCGATAACAATGGGCTTTTCCTTGTCCGCTGACCTTCCTGCCCCCGTGGCTTTACTGCTCGTGTACAAGCAGTACTGGTACGCGATTTGCGGTAGAAGGAACAGCAGCATGTCTGCCGAGCTCTCCTTCATCGCACTCGTGCATACCTTGAACATGCGCGCGGCGGGGCTCAAGTCAGGTAGCGCATTGGTGATATCAACCATCCAGGAGCGCAGCCACGCAATATGGTTGGCAGACCGCGCAATGCATGGCACTCTGGCACTGCGGTCAAACTCTGCGGTTTTCCGGCCGGACGACTGAATCGTGTACTTTGAATTTAAAAGAGGCTTGATAACCTCAACGACATTGGATGGGAGTACGTCCCAGCGCTGCTTCAGCTGCTCGGCATGCGCCCTGTCCCGCAATGTCCGCTTGGCAGTCTCGCGCTTCTTCCGGGCATTTTCTGCCGTCAATAACTCGTTGTCGGCGGATCCGTTGTCAGTGTCATTGAATATGAGCTCCTTGGTGAATCCGACAAATCTCAGTAGCTCCTGAATGCTGTACGCCGCACATGTCTGCACGCTGGGGGATGGCGCCATGGCAAATGCGTGTGCCAGGTAGTCGACAATCAACGTACACACGAATTCAACCTGCTCGTCCTTATCGTGCAGATTGTACAGCGCCGGCTGGTTGTGGCCCACACTCACTGCTGGCCTGGCCATGTCGGAGCCGTCCGAGTGCGACTTGTTTTCCAGCGCGCGACTGTCGACGACCCCGATAACCGCCAGGCAAGCCGCACAGCTGGCGGAGGCCAGTTCTCCAAGCCGATGCGCAGTGTTGGAATGGCTGCACGCAGCTCTGAGTGTCTCTATGACGCTATTGAGGAGTCTAACGTCTGCGGCAACGTTGCTGCGATCCCTGAACCGGCTGCCGTTACTGTTGTCCCTGTGGGAATTGGGGGAGCTGCCCTTTTGGACAAACATCTGCTTCCACGCAATAACCTGCTCATCGTGTTGTTGGAGCATGGTGCACAGCTCTCGGGAAGCGCACAAGACTATTGTTGAGTCCTTGGTTTTGAGCATCTGCGTCAGACTAGACAGTCTCTCGCGAAGGGCTGCGCCCGAAAAGAAGCCCTGCAAGATGGCCCGCGCGCTGGTCAGCAGCGGGTCGTCAGGAATCGGGCACACCCTCTCAATATGCGTATTGATATTATGTTGGTGCCGTGCAACAACAGAGTTGATGGCGCTCGCAGCGCCGCTCCGCACTTCGGCGTCGCTACTAGCAAGAAATGCTGTTATCAGGGGAACCAAGAGCGCATTGACTTGATCCACGGACAGCGACACCTTGGACAGGTTCTTGGCTAGAACCACCCACGAGTGAAACGCTGGTGCGCACAGAGGCCCTTGCAGCGATGGCGTGAGTGACGCAACAATGTTGTTTGTGTGTGGGGTCGACCGCGATCCGAGCAAAGTGACCAGCTCGCCGATTGCGCGCAACGCCTTGTGCTTGGCGCGCGGGCCTTGGCGCGCAGCATCACTGGTGCAGCCATCCGAATCACGCAAAAGCTCGTTCACATACGCCATGACGCCAAGAATATGCTGGGACAGAAAGGCGGCCAGCTCTGCGCTCGCAGCCGATTGCCCCGCTTGTTTTCCAGACTTGGGGCTTTCCGTAGTTGACACGTCTTTCAAGTTACTAACGCTCCGTTGCACAATGGTTGTCACGCCTTGTTGTTCGTCTGATGCTGAGCTGCCGAGAATGCTTTGGACAGTCAGTAGTGCGCTCCGGGCCCGCTTTCGGAGCACGTTGTCCTCCTCGCCCAGAGACAGAACGAGATTGAAAATCAGCTTGACTGAACACGAACGCAGCAGGCTCGGGATGTTCACCTCCACCTCGTCCTGCTTGCCGTCGCTGTCAGACCCAGCCGAAATGAGCCGGACAAAGCGCAGCAGAGCCTGGTGCATAAGCTGGTCGTCCATGAGAAATATCTTGACAAAGACGGCCGGCGCCTGGTTGACGCACAGTACGGGCAGCCGAATCTCTAAAATATCAGCAACGTTTCTCAGTGCCCTTTCATTGCCTGTGGCCACAAGGTGCGGCACCACGATATCCTGGTGTGCAGATAAGAACTGCTGCGGCGTGGTCTTCAGAATGCTCATGCAGTGCACAAAGGGCCGCGGCGACTGCTGGTCCAAGATATTGGCCAGCGTGCACGTGATGCTCCTGGCATGAAGAGCTAGCAGCCGGGCGGGTGAGATTATTTGCTTCTTGGCAACCCGCAGCACCTGTTCCATCGCCACAGCCCGTAGAAATACGTTGTCGCCGCAGTAGTAGCCCATCAGAAACGACATGACCTCGCCCAGGGCGTCGTCATAGAGCTGGCAGGCGCAGCCCAGCCCTCCAGCAGCCAGCTCCAGGGTCTCTTCAACAATGCTGGGGCTGTGGAGCCCCCGCACCAGGCCACGCAGCGTGCCCACAGTCTCCATGCGGTTGGCGCGCTTTATCTGGGATATTTGCTCTGAGTCGCCCGGGTGAGCGCACGAGTACGCCAGGATTGCGTCCACGGCTGCCAGCCTCATTTCACGGTCATTACTCGACAGCCGGCGTATTATACCGCGGCCCAGCGGCGACGCATGCAAACCGATGTCCTCGGCTGCAGCGTGACGAACGAACCGCGACACCCCGCGCACGAACTGCACCGATGTGTCCTCGCGCAGATTTCCGGACGCAATAAACCAATACGGAACCCAGCTGCTAAGCGACACGGCCCTGTGCGGCCTCTTATCTGCTGCTTGCGGTATATCGCTTCCATATTGCAGGTCGCACGCGGAGCATCCGTATATTGAGGCCATGCCGCTGGTATAGCTGACCACAGGCACGGGACCTTCTCCCATACCCCATTTCAAGCATGCAGATACAGCGGCGGACCGCAAATGCAGGCAGCCGGATCGCGCGCAGGCTACGTACCCGATCGAATTACCAACCACTTCAAGAAGCTCATCCGGGTCGCCCACAGTGACACGCGACCCACCAGCAACAGCCGAGAATCCGTCCACGCCGCCAAAACCAGTGCGCAGACAAAAAAGCGGAAACAACGACCACGCAACCAGGCGCAGCGCGGTATCTGAGGTCTGAGATAGGCACCATGAGAATGAAGATGTCGTCCACAAAATGCAGTCATCTGAGTACGCGTTGTCTAACAATACTGTGGCAATTAGTGATGCTGTTGCATTGCGCCGAGATATTGCGCGCATCCGTGGGCCAGCAGAAACGCCCAGAATACTTGGTGCTGCTGTAACCATTGTGTTCGAGGATTCTGCTGTCAAAGCTGCGCTTGCGGCTAAAAATTCTGTTGCCAGTGGCAAGGCCACCAGGGCGAGCCCCCGGGCTGTCTGTTCATGCAAGTCGCCAGTAGCGGCGTCACTGTGGCTGCGTAAATCTATAGAAAAAAAGTACAGAACCCTCTCCCACAGAAAAGTTTGGGCGAAAACGCCAGTAAAATGTAGTCAGCGCACAGTACGAAATTGCTTTCAGATAATGATTTTTAAAGATATGTCACACGTACACTCGGAGTGCCTAGCGATCAGCTCCACCAGGTGCTGATACACGCTGGCAAATGATGCCAGCATCGGTTCCTCGTCGCTACTTCCAATACCACCGCAGCTGCTGTCGAGATCGGCCTACTCGCCAATGCATCAATCAAAAAGAAAAAACAGTTAGTAACCGAATGAATGCGCAATTGTCATCCACATATACGCATGTCTACCTTTATGCATTTTATTGTTTATAAGCTAACCCGAGCAGCTTACCTGTTTGAGCTGTCCAATGAGTTGGCTAACACACTCCAACACGCTGCCATAAACCCCGTTAAACGCCATTTGTGCAGCATCGGTTCCGAATGACTGTAGTTGCCTGAGGCTCTGCACCAGTTGTGCTGCGGTGTCCGTGCGTTGCGACAGGGATCCGCTGCGAGCGCGCTGTAGCAGGTTGGAGATCAGATCGGCACAGCGCGCGTCTTCAGTAGTATGCGTTGCGGCCCACGGCATCAGAGGCATAGACACAGCGTTTCGCAAACGCTTCCTAGTTCGCAGAGCCAAAGTTGGTGACAAAAAAGCAAAAATGAACGAGAATGTAAGTAGAAACAAGCGAGAGAAAAGATCTCACACCAGGGCGTATAAGGACTGCGTACAAGGCGTGGGCTTTATTTTTTGTTGTTTCGGGTGGTTTACCTTTCGGACGACTCCAGGCTGAGGCTAACGTCGCCACCTCGTTTGGCCATATTTATTCCCTCGTTGTTTCGTTGGCGTGTAGAGTGAAACTGGTGTTGGTGTATACAAATTGAACAGTAGAAATAAATGAAATGCAAGAGTAATTACAAGCTGTGGTTTTAAAATTGAAAGGGAGTGAGTAAAATATTCGTTAAATTGCAAACAAAAGAAAAAAGTAGGACGATGAAAATCGTGCAAACTTTTTTTTGGCCGCGATCTCGACGTTTCCCAGAAAGTCAAAAATTGGATATTGAAATACAGCTGCGGACTGAAAAAAATGGCGTTCTTTTTTCTCCTTCAGATACCATTCGAGGGACTTGTTGGCGCTGGGCAGCTAGTAATTGGCGGGAAGGGTACCTGCTTACTGAGCACCGCCATACCATGCTCGTGGGCCAAGTAGCCCTTAATGTATCCCACAAAAATCATGTCAACCAGAATGCACTCGACGCCAGCCACGTCCATCGGCAGACCAGCGGCTGTAAATCCCTGGGCAAAGCGCTCGAACGAAATACGGCTGGGCTTACCGTCAATCAAGTACACTTTGTACAACAGCTGCCTCACGGCAATCTTGTGCACGTGCTCGACAGCCAGAAAGACGCCCAGATCCATTAGTTGCTGCTCCTTCTCAGCCATCAGCGCGGCGAAACGCCCGATATTTCCGGCCTTCGCCGCCTGCGCTATATCACTGTAGAGAGCCTTGATGACCGGGTACCTGCGCAGAATACGCGAGTGTGGCATCCGGCCCTCCATCATCAGCATGGGGGCGAGGTAGATGAGGATCCGGGTCTTGTTGCTGTACGCGCTGCGGTGGCAATGCTCCAAGGCAAATAGTAGATCCTCTTTGGCCGCATGATACTTTTCCGAGCGGAACGACAACATGCCACGGTAGAAGCGGAACGTCACCTGGTCGCTCATTGGAAATGCCTCGAGTGGCGGCAGCTCCGACGCGCGAATGGCGCGGATCATGCTGACGCATAAGTTGTAGGCGTGGAGCCGCAGGTACAGGCCAAACAACAGGTTAGCCATATGGTACGTACCCCATTTGCGCGACTGGTTCAGAACAGGCTCTCTGTCGGTCATGCACATAGAAAACCCCTGGTTGATTGCCCGCGTCGCCTCCTCCATTTTTCCTGTTGGCGCGCCCGCCGCCCTGAGCTGCATATCAGCGCGCAACGCAATTTCGCTCAAATCCTTGCTTATGGCAAACAGCGTGTGTACGCCCCATCGAGTCATTTCAAGGAAGACGCGCAAGAAGGCATTGTAGGATGCCAGTTGGTGGTTGTACGCCGCAAGGAAGTTGCTCTGCCGGTAGCAGGCGGCTGCCTGGAAGTGTGCCAGCGAGACCTCGTCTAATCCAGACTTGGCCTTGCGCTTGTATAGAGCGTCCCAGCTGCCGTCTTCCTCCCACACTTCGTCCAGAATCCTGGCTGTGTATGCGTCGTGGATCCGTATTGAGCGCATCATCTCTTGCGCATTCTTGGTGCCGTTGACGCACCGGAACTTATTGATTCCATTCTCCAGCTTTTTGTAACCCAGCCCCATGTGAAAAATTAAATGAAGTGTTTGAGTATGTGTATGTCTAAATGAGTGGGCGAGTGGCTGATCGCAGTTGATTGGAAAATAAAATGCACGCAAAAATTACTTTGGCTGCTGCTCGCAGGAGTGTATACAATTGGTTTGTGTCACGTGTACTGAATAATACTTGACACAATAACATAACAATGCCATGTTTTTTGCTGAAAATCTGAAAATTATTCGTACAATGATACAGAGTCAACAAAACCTGTTATATGTGAGCTTAATTGGAAATACAGTCGAATTGGACCATGGCAAGTGCAACAGGCCATGGCCAATTAAAAAAACACGATATGGGAAGACTCAATGTGAAGGTTTCCCAGTTTTCTTTTTTAGAAGTTTTAGCCGTACTCGCTTTTTACTTTATACAAGACAAAGACTGTCAAATTCTTGTTTTCATTGTACAATTAATATAAAATTTTTGCACTTGCTTTCCTTATTATTTTCCACACATTTTTACATTTTTTTTACTTATTCTCCTTCCTTTTCCTTTTTTTCCTCTTCTTATTATTCTTTATTTTTAACATACTACTAGTTATTTTAAAAAGTATTATTCACCAAGTGTATACTTCATTTTCATGTCCACCACAAGTAACAACGGCCCCGAACTTATGGCCACAAATGTAAGTTGACCACATACACACAAATCTACACATTTTTCATATTATTTTCCTTTTGTTTGCTTAAACTAATTTTATTTGCATATACTGTATACTATAGGAAATTATAAAAAAAATCAAAGAGCTCAAATTGGATAATCTAGGGCAATTTATTAAAGATATTCAGGGAAAACATGGTTATATTTGCCTGGTTCAAATGAAAGGCGCATTATATTTAGAAAGTTGTTACGACAAAAATGGAAATATACGGACAGATTGGAAAACAAACCCCCTTGCTCTATACGAATGGAAACTAAACAATAAATTGTATGTAATTAAAATGAGCAACGTCTATCCCCGACTAAGGGAGTGTTGTGGATTGATTGAAACAAGGGGTAATAAAGCCTTAAAATTATTTAAAAAATTAAACAATAGCCAATAAACAATATTATTAGTTAGCTTTGGGCATTGCTATGTTTACATTAGTGTCTATTTTTTATATCACCGAATAATTTTTTAATTTTATTATTCTTCATATTTATGGCTGGATTAAAAATAAAGTGCAAAATTCAACCAGCATCTTTATTTATTATTTACAACTGCATGTTGTAGAAAACCCATTTGAAAAATTTAAACAACGCACAAACCCAGCTATTCTAGGATGTTTGTGTGGAATTATGTTTAATAATGTACGGAGAAAACCTGCAAAGCAAATATTTATACTTTGGAGATACATTTTCTTTATTTGAATTTGCCTTGATATATTGATTTAATAAATTATTTTTTACTCATTGGCAGAAAAAAATGTAATGAGAGAAAACATTAGATTTTAATACAGCCATTTTTACTTATCTATAATCAAGTAAATTATTTTAGACAGGTTTATTGCGTTTGGCAAATAAAGTCGTACATTAGTAAATTCCCCGCGCTAAATTCAGTAGCACAACACGCCTCTTTATGAGTAAATGGGTGCAAACTTTATGGATTCATGTAGGCCCACAAAGTAAATCCGTCTTTAACTAATGTATCTGTCTTCTTTCTCTGAACCCTTCTTTAACTGAAAATAATTATACGGGTAGGTGTAGGTTTAAAGTACTCTATTTAAAAGTAAACCTAAAAATAGAGTAAATATATGTTCTTTTTACATTGTAATGTTATTTTTGGTTTTTTTCTTTTTATTATTGAGAGTAAGTATACTATAACATTTTAAAAGTTATTTTAAAAGTCTATAAATAGAACAAGTATATCCACTCTTTTTACACAATTAATGGATTTGCTTGTAGTTTTTTTGACATACCTATGTACGCTTTTTTTGCGAAATGGCTCATTAAAAATATTTTTATGTTAATTCATTCAGATGAAAATTATTTGACCTATACCTATAAAAACCATACACTTTTCCACCTCAATAGCTTCTTTTCATTATTTTTATCACTACAATACTATTTGTTCTAACACGTCTGTCTATTAATTGTTATTCATTTGCCATGTCGTCTTCTAAGCCAACCAAGCCAACCAAGCAATCCAAGAAAACACAGGACTCCCCCATCACGTCCAAAAAAGCAAGTGTACAAAATGCAAATACACATATCCTACATGCATAAAACCCCTACTTCATACTAATTAACTCTATTTATATTTGTTTTACAGTAGTTAACAGTGGGTAATTCAAATGATGAAGACAGAATAATATTGAATAACTTTGAAAAGATGACATCGTATAAGATAAATTATAGCCTTTTTATGAACGACTTAGAAGAATTCCATATTGGCTTTATAGGATCAAAATGCCCAAAAGATTTTAGCTTGATGGGCAATATTAAAATTTCAAAGCAACCAGGAAAGTATAATTATAAATTTGAAAGTCTTGATACTACGCTGTGTAATGAAAAGAACATGGTTAACATATTATTTGTAGATTATTGGATTAAGCTTACGATGGCAAAAATAGATGAAGCAAAAAAAAATTTGAATATAAAATAAAAAATGAACACAATTTTACCAAATAGCTTTGATTTTTCATATATACAGCTTAGTTTGTTGTTTTTATATTGCTTTTATTAAATCAATAATATAATTTTTATTATTGCCTGTGGTGTTATAACATGTTGCTGCCACGTAAACTTTTAAAAAACTGGAATGTTTTAAACCAATGCAAGTACAATTTCATATTTCATATTGTTATGTAAGAGGAGGGTGTGAGAAGCACTAGTTAGCTAGTGTTAGAAAAGTATGGGTGATTTCATAAAGGGTTTTATTACTAATGTTTCTAAAATATTACTAGCGCTGGTCTTGTCTTATATATGTGTCTCGTCGCCTTTGTTGTGCACATTATCAATTGTGCGCTCCGTTGGTGAGAACTGGATCTTCTGCGAGCAGACCGGTATCTTGGCAAGTCGATGTTGTGGTTTTCGTGCGTGTACGCTCATGCGTGTGCATTGCAAAATGGGGAGCATGTTTGGGCATCAACGTAATGCCTCCCTAATTTATGCCTGCATGATCCAATTAATGCCCTATAAATCGACATACAGATGGAAACTTGTTTCACAATTCTCAATCTCGACATCCACTTCCATATCTTCAGACTGCGCAACAGTATTATCATTTGCAAATAAAGGCACAACTGCCAAGGTCAAAGCGTTGGCAGATGTCTCTCGAGTCTGTTGGTCAATAATTAAAAGTAAATACAATACAATTTAGCCTGATCAAAACAAGGCCATCCTTACCACATTTAATTATTAGTCATCAAAATTACAATTAAATGATTGCATTTTTTATTTTGCACAGATGATTTAATTCAATTTTTACCAAATTTTAAAAAATCGCTTAGTTACCGCGCTTCTCCAACCGCTCGCTCTCAGCAAGCGAACTGCAGTTAATGCCGACCATGGCCTCGCCCAGGTTCTCAGAGACCTCAGCCAGGAGCTTGGCGTCTCTGAAATGGGTAACGGCCTTGACAATGGCGCGAGCGCGCTTGGCCGGATCTCCGCTCTTGAAAATACCTGATCCAACAAAGACACCGTCACATCCAAGCTGCATCATCAACGCGGCATCAGCAGGAGTGGCAACACCGCCGGCAGCAAAGTTGACGACCGGCAGACGGCCAAGACGAGCGACCTCGCGCAATAGATCAATCGAGACACCGAGCTCCTTGGCGTAGTTGTACAGCTCCATTTTGTCCAATGAAGTGGCATGACGGATCTGGTCGTTCATCGTGCGCATGTGCTTGACGGCCTGGATAACATCACCGGTTCCAGCCTCACCCTTTGTGCGGATCATCGCGGCACCCTCCGAGATACGACGCAGAGCCTCACCCAGGTTGCGCGCACCGCAGACAAAGGGAATCTTATAGTCGTGCTTGTCAATGTGGTAGGTCTCGTCGGCAAGGGTCAGGACCTCGCTCTCGTCGATGTAGTCGACGCCGATGGCCTCGATGATCTGGGCCTCGACAAAGTGGCCGATGCGCACCTTGGCCATGACCGGGATAGTGACAGCCTCGATAATCTCGCGGATCATCTGCGGGTCAGACATGCGTGCGACACCGCCGTCCTTGCGGATATCGGCAGGCACGCGCTCGAGGGCCATGACAGCACAGGCACCAGCCTCTTCGGCGATGCGCGCCTGCTCGGCGTTGACAACATCCATGATCACACCGCCCTTGAGCATCTGGGCGAGTCCGGTCTTGACACGGTAGGTGTTGGTGGTGTCGACGGTGTCGACGGGAGCATTGGCGTCCTTGGTCAGGTTAGTTGCGGTCTTGAAATCAGACATTTTTTATTATTGTTATAATTGATGTGAGGCTATTAGAAAAGGAAAAATAATGTTTTATGGAGGAAAAAAGATAAGAAAGGAAAGGCTTGTTAGTTCTGCAAGCGTGGACGTGCATCTCTCGACTCCTTGCCTTTGTTGACATTCTAATTGTTCCTGACAGTGCTCGAGAGATAGCGCAGACAACTTCGATGATGGAAATGGCAACGGAGGCGAAAGCAAAATCAACCGCCCGACAATTACTCACTACCACAGACAACTCAGTGATCTTTTTTTGGTAACAAAAAATAAATTACCACGGCCAAAATCACCTACCCCAGCAGCTCCTTTGAGCAAGGTGATGCCGATCAATATAATCCATGCGCTGTTTATTTCTTTTATCTTTTAGTAAGCAAAAAGGCTAATTAAAGTCAAGTGTTGAATCGCTTTGAGGATCGACGGTATAATTTTAATTTTTCTTCAGATTCTCGAGTCCGCCAAACCTTGCAACACAGTCAAAAATGGTCTTAGTATCCACCACCGTGTCGATATTGAGATAATCCCAAAATCAAGTATTTTTTGAATCTAAAAAATGAAAAAAAAAACACTGGCATTTAGTAGCCGTTGTTATTGTTGTTGCCTCCCCGTCCGCGGTAGCCGCCACGATATCCGCCACGGGACCCGCCGCCATTTGTGTTACCACCATGGTATCCGCCTCCACCTCTGCCTCTGCCACGGCTGTTTCCATTATAGGCACCACCACCTTGGCCTCCGGCCTGCGACTGCGCGGCTGGCGGACGGCCACCGAATGGTTGGTACCCCATGGGGCGCGGTGGGGGCGGGCGCGAGTTGTATCCAGACTGGCCGCCGCTATTACCGTAGTTGCTACCATTATTACCGTAGTTGCTGCCGTTATTTCCATGGTTGTTGCCATAGCTGTTCCCATGGTTGTTGCCGCGCGACTGGTGCGAGGGATTCGGGTAGCGAGGCCGGGCGTAGGGACGCGACTGGCCACGACCAGAATGGTACGACTGGTACTCCGGGTTCACATTACCCTGCTGGTCGTAGCGACTCGGGCCACGGCCGCGATCTCTCGAGACGTCGTTCCCCTGCTGACCGTAAAAGTCTCTAAAATCGCGGTTGTTCTCGGGCGTATACGTGCGCGGCGGGCCGCGGAAGCCAGACTTGCCGCCAGTGCGCATGAACTCAATGTCGGCCGAATTCAGCACGTGGCCTGGGAGCCTCAGACCGGGAAGCAGAACGGCTGTATGGCTGGAGTCAGGCTGCGGCTGGTGGTAGATGACGGAGATCGAGCGGTCCTCCTCGATATCGGGCTTGTCCACAGTGTGCAGCGGGGACTCATAGGCCGTATGCGGGACGTAGTTCGGATCAATGGAGACGGTTCCTGACATGCGCTGGCTGAGCTTCGGATCAAGTGGCACCTCGAGCTTTGGGTCACTCGTGTTGTACAGATCGCAAAGACTCTCATAGAGTGGGTGTGCCGAGCTGACCATCACTATCTCGGAGCCACGCGAGTTGCGCGCTTCCTCCTCGGGCGTCAGATACGGGTACACTTGCCCAACGGCCTTGAGGAGGCGCTCCGACTCAATGAACGGCAGCAGAATGACCGCCTGCCACAGGAACTTCTTGCCATTGAGATCGAGCGGGAAGTCGGTCGGGTAAAAGTCGATGATGGGACTGGTCTCCGACGTCATCAGCCGACCAAAGGGCTCGGGCAGGTGATGGCGACTGGCCGCGGGCAGAACACCCATGAGCTGCTCATAGGGTCGCAGAGGTGCGCTGAGGTCGAACGAGACATCCATGATGTCCAGGTCAACAAAGTCCGAGGCCAGCGGCGCATAGTGATAAGGGTAGTACCAGCTCCACGAGACGCACCCCTGGTAATAATACTTGAGTACCCAGCACAGGCCGCGCACGTAGTGCTCGACAACCTTGTGCACTGACTCCTTGTCGTTGGCGGAAAAGCCAAATTTGAGATTGTAGTAGCGGTCCTTGTACCCAGACTCGTGGAACTTGACCGTGTCAGTGAAGGGGTCCTCGACGGGCACCTCACTATCGCCGGCGGCCTCGCTGTCGTCCACAATGCTTATGCTTGCCGCATCATCGGCTGTCTTGGTCTCAGTGTCTTCAGCAACGATAGCCTCGTCCTCCACAGGCTTGGGCTCCACAACGGCAGCCTTCTCGCCGTCGTTGAGCTTGATAAGCTTGGCGTCAAGCTCGACGGTCTTAGGCTGCGCGTCGCCGCCATTTAGATCGTCCTTCTCAAGGGAGTCTTCATGGCTGCGCTTCGTGCCGCTCGCCAGAGCAGGCGCCACACCGGACACCATGATCTCGTCGCCGTCCTCGTCCTGGCCCACAGGCAAGGGAGCTGGAGTCGGTGCCGCGCGGCCGGCCAGCCTGGCCTTGAGCGCACTCGCAGCGGCAAAGTTCTTCGCAGCTGCGCTCTTCTTCTCTGCCTCCTCCGCCTCCCTGCGCAATTTGGCGCCAGCCACCGCAGCCATTTCGTCGGCGGCAGCATCCAGGCGTGCCTGACCGTCGGGAATATCGCGGTTGTTACGCTGATTGTAGCGCTGATTGTTGCGCTCACGCTTGGCCTCCTCAATCTTGCGCTCCTTGAAGGTATCCTCCTCGATCGCCGCGATCCTGTCCATAATCGGCTGCACACGGAACATGTCAACGTCACCGTTATGCGTGATGTACCCGCCCGACGCGGGCAGCCCGTCCTTCCAGAACTGGACAAGCTTTTCGAGCGCGCCCTCGCGGATCTCGAGCGACGGCAGGTGCGGCAAAAAGTCATTACCGACAAAGAAACACAGGAACACCCAGTCATCAATGGCGCGCTCAAGATCAAAGGGGAACGGCACACTCACGGTGGGCTTAAGCTCGTACTCGAGGTACTCGCGCAGAATTTCGATGTGCGCAAACACGAACGGCTGCTTGGAAAAGTCTGTATTGGGAGTTTCGGCGCCACGGCCCTTGCATTCTCGCTCGAAATGACCCTTCTTGCCGCACTGGCGGCACGGCTTGGTCAGCATGTCGGCCCAAGCGACGTCCTCGCGCAGAATCTTAAAGTACGGCTCGTGTGTGGCTAACGACAGCATGATAAGATCGGCGTCCAGGCCGTACAGCACGTGGGTGGTGTTCGGGTCGTGGGCGGGCATCATACGCTGGCGGCGGATGTAGTCCATGATCTTGTGCTCACCCTCGCCGGGTACATTCGAGTCGGACAGGACCACCTTGACCGATTTCCACGCCGGGTCCGAGTTGAGCTTGGTCACAATATAGTACCGCAGCGATTTGGCCAGCAGCTCCATGAATGGCGTACCGGGGGTAATGCAGTTGCTGTCCCAGGCCTTCTCGGGCTGGGGTGGCCGCTCGCCCGTCGCCTGGAAGATCTCCTCGACAACCTTGGCCTGATCTGCCTCCTTCTCCTCAGCCTCCTGCGCCGCGCGGAAACGGCGCGACCGTTGTTGGTTCATTTTGGCTCTCGGTGCCACGCCATCGAGCGCCATGTAGACGATCTTGCGCGGGCGGACCATGTTGAACACACGGTCTAGGCACTTGAACACCTCGATCATCATATCCTCCTCTGTCTCGGGCGCATCGCGGAACTGCGGGTGGCAGCACGGATGCACGATTCCGTTCATGTCCAAGTACAGGTTGTCGAACTCGACGCCGTTCGGGTTGGGCTTGGTCGCGTCGACAGGGATTTCAATGTCATTGACTATTTGCGGTCTCTCTTCGATGACTCTGCTCTGCACTCGGGGGTACTTGCGCGTAAGCCAGCGGTAGAATGCAGCGACTCCCATTTTTGTTCGGTCTCTATTATTATGTGGTTATTGTTTGTTCCTGGCTCGTTAATCGATGACAACGACGGCACTCCTAGCGGTTCAGTCGATATCTCTAGGTAATAAGAATGTGGTACGGTGCGAGTTGTACTCTTAGGGAATATACACAATTGAACGAATAAAGTAAAAAAATATAACAATAATACGAAAGAAAAGGGAAGGAATAACAAGTGACAAAAAAAGAGCAAAAAGGAACTTTAACGCCGCTAAAACGAAAATTTAATTTTTTTAGTCGGCCGCACGGATTTTTTTTATTTATTTTTTGCCATCCCCGGCTCGGCTCTAACCAAATCGAGTCGAGAATGGGTTTTGGTGATGAATGATTAAAGCTGGTAATGGTCTGGTTTAGGCCCAGAAGCCATTAAAAAAGCAGTCAATGAGATGCGACGTGCTACGCACAAACAAACTGAAAAATCAATGTCCTTGCTTCACAATTTCATTTATTTTTAGCTTTTTGGCTCTACTATATTTATTTCAACAGCTAGCTCGATTTTCACCTGACCATGGCTGAGCAAAAGTACTTTACCAACCGTGAAATCGCCCTGGAGTACCGTTCGGACCTGACTCGCTGGAGGCTGGACGTGGACAATGGACGCCACACATGGCTCTATCTGAGCGAAGAGGAATCCAAGGAGCGCCCCCAAACCTTCTACGAGAAATACTGGCTGGGCCTCGAAGCTGAAATGCCCGAGCTTCCCAAGGCCACGCGCCCAATGCAAGCTGCGCAAAACGGGTGGGAGTTCTTCAAGCGCCTGCAGACCGAGGACGGACACTGGGCGGGCGCCTACGACGGCCCACTGTTCGTCACCTGCGGCCTCGTCATCATGCAGTACATCACGGGAATTGCGATTGAAGAGGCGCATAAGCGTGAGATGTGCCGCTACTTGCTCAACATGGCGCGCGAAGACGGCGGCTGGGGCCTGCACACGGAGAGCAAGTCGACGGCTTTCGGCACAGGCATGAACTACATCATGCTCCGCATCTTGGGTCTGGAGCCCGACCATCCGGCGATGATAAAGGCGCGCAATACGCTGCACTCTCTGGGCAGCGCCCGCGCGATTCCGTCGTGGGGGAAGTTCTGGCTTTGCGCGCTCGGCGTCTACGACTGGCAGGGAATGAACCCGATTCCCCCGGAGCCCCTGCTGCTGCCGGCCTTTTTGCCCGTCAATCCGGGCAACTGGTGGGTGCACACGCGCGCGGTGTTTGTAGGCATGAGCTACACGTACGGACAGAAGAAGTCCATGCCGCTGAATGACCTGACCCGGTCGCTGCGCGAGGAGCTGTATGACCAGCCGTATGATGAGATCGACTGGTACGCTCAACGCGACAACGTCTGTGACGCTGACCGCTACGTGCCCAATACTTTGCTGCTGCGCGGGTTCAACACTACGCTGGGAATCTACGAGAACTGGAAGCCGTCATTTGTGCGCAACTGGGCGCTCAGGGAGGCGCTGTACCAGATTGAGAACGAAGTCAAAAACACCCACTACCTGTGCATTGCGCCGGTCAACTTTGCAGTCAACATGCTGGCACTGTACTACGCGCGCGGCGCAGACAGCGACTGGTTCAAGGGCATGAAGGACCGCATTCCTGATGTCCTGTGGATGTGCCGCGAGGGCCTGGCCGCATGCGGAACCAACGGATCGCAGTTGTGGGACACTGCATTTGCCGTGCAAGCTGCCATAGACGCGGGCCTGGCTGGCTTGAAGGATAACAGGGAGTGCATGCTCAAGGCGCTGCAGTTTTTAGAGAGCTCGCAGATTCGCAAGAACCCCGAAAACATGAGCCGCACTTATCGTCAGCCGACCAAGGGTGCATGGCCGTTCAGCACGCGCGACCAGGCGTACACTGTTTCCGATACCACAGCCGAGGGCCTTAAGGCGACCATCATGCTGCAGCAGGCGTCGTTCGTGCCCAACCTGGTCTCCGAAGAGCGCCTCTGTGAGGCCGTCGATCTTCTTTTGGGCATGCAGAATTGGGGCGGCGGATTTGCCTCCTACGAGCGCGTGCGTGGCCCGCAGGTCATGGAGATGATCAACGCGTCCGAGGTTTTCGGCAACATTATGGTCGAGTACGCGTATCCCGAATGCACCACTTCGGTTGTCTTGGGTCTGACCACATTTGCCAAGGCGTACCCAGACTACAAGCCCAAGGAGATTAAAAAATGCATTGATAGCGCAATAAAGTACGTCACCAAGGCCCAGCGCAAGGACGGCAGCTGGTACGGGTCTTGGGGCGTGTGCTTCACGTACGCCTCCATGTTTGCGCTGCAGAGTTTGGCCTGCGTCGACATGCTGTTTGACACCTGCTGGGAGGGCATGAAGGGGTGCGCCTTTTTGGTTGATCGCCAGAACCCCGACGGCGGTTGGGGCGAGTCATTCTCCAGCTGTGAGGAGAAGAAATATATTCCGCACCCAGATGGAAGCCAGGTTGTGAATACAGCTTGGGCTGTGCTCGGGCTGATGGCCGCCAAGTGCCATTACAACGACGCAGTCAAGAAGGGTATCATCTTTTTGATGAAGAAGCAGCAGCCGAATGGTGAGTGGCTCCAGGAGGGCATCGAGGGCGTGTTTAACCACTCGTGCGGTATTCGCTATCCGAACTACAAGTTCGTGTTTCCCGTGTGGGCGCTTGGTCGCTATGCTGAGATCTATGGAAATCTGCCCGTCATTGAGTGAAAAATATACCAGTAATGAAATGCATGTCATATGCGCTATCAATTTAAACCCACTTGAAAACAAAATAAACTAATGTAAAAAATATTCATTAATTCTTGTGCACGTTCCTTTAATCCCTCTTATAGAAAATATGACTATGTTTTCAAGGGTAAAGCCGCTGAGTTCCAACTGAAAATTTCTCTTGACCAACGAGCAATGGTAATGCCCATACTTTTGTATCCATGATCATTTCTGAAGCTTTCATTCTTCATTCTTACTTTCAACCAACACAAGTTTTATAAACACACCCATGTTTTGTGGCAATTCCTTATTAATATTGGAATCCAATACAAGGTCCTGTTATGTAAGAGGGGGGTGTGAGGAGCACTAGTTGCCTAGTGTTAAAAGTATGTTTGGGGGTTTGTTATAGTTTTTATTATCAAGGGAATCAAAAGTAGAACTAGGGCTGGTCTCATCTTATATATATCTCGTTGCCATTGTTGTAGTATTTGTGTATTCACACTTGTGCGTGTGCATTGCAAAATGGGGAGCATGTTTGGGCATCAATGTAATGTCTCCCTAATTTACGCCTGCATAATCCAATTAGTGCCCTATCAATTGGCATGAAGATGGAAACTTGTTTCACAATTTTTAACCTCGACATCCACTTCCATATCATCAGACTGCTCAACACTTACATATAGCAAATATTTAATAAAAATGTTTATAGACACAATCAGCAGCAATAGAAGCTAAAAAGGAATATACGGAAAGAAAGCTTCAATTTTAAAAAGCAAACCTTTTCTGCATTTTATTTTTCCGCACTTCTTTTTAATATAATAAATTGGAGTAGACAAAGTCGCTTTAATTCTTTTAATATGCAACTCTTTTTAGATTATACAACTTGTTCTACTCGTACGATTAGCTGTACATTTTTCCCGCTGTGGATTTTCATAGTGCTCCATTGCTATGCTCATTAATGCATTTTTAAACTAACAATGTAGATATTACTATTACTAGCAGAGCCAAACTTTATTTTGAAAATTGATTTTATTGGTGACTTGTTATGACTGAATAAGATAGTTGAAAATGTGGTTTTATATGAGTATTTATTGAAATACAATGTTAAGAAAGTAGCTTGGTTAGATTTTCGGAAACAACATCTTCATAATCTGTGTACACAACTTTGTCATAGTCATTATATCCTAAATCCTCAGCAAATTTAAGGCATGCTTTTTTGTTTTTGAAAGTGAAGTTATAATACGAACAGGTTGGTTTTTTTTTGTCTTTCCAAAGCGCAATATGAGTAAAGTTTTTGCATTCCTTAAAATATATTCTTGTCAAAGTGCCATTTAAACTTTTTTGCAAGTCCTCTCTGGTTAGCTCTGGATCCAACTTGAGTTTCTACATTTATGAATAAAAATTGAATATTGTTTTGGAACGAATTAAATGAAAAATTAGAAAATGCCGAACGCGTACCAAATAACACTCCTTATGGGGACCAATTATGGACTTATGAGCCTGAGAAAGCTATTGTTCAATTTACTTACATCTTTATACCCAAACCAATGGTTGCCTTTGCAGTCATTTAATATTGTGGGATGTATACACATGCTAACAATCAAACTATATATAAAATTATGTATATAAAACTATGTAAAAAAAACTAAGGAAGAGAAAAGGAGTTGCTGTTTAGCTTCATTTGCTTGCGTATTGCCATAGCAAAAAAAGTAGTTTGAAGTAGATTAAAAAGGCATTAAGAGCTATTGCACAAAAGGGGCGTCAAAGCGGGAAATTTTGCTTTGCAGTTTTTCTCTGGAATTTGTAAAATGAGCGCAAAGTATTCGGAATGTATATTTTTTGTGCATTATTTTAAGCTTTTAGTGTAATAATTGGTTGCAATGCAAAAATAATGGACAATTGTGTGGTATTTATTTAAACATGGTAAAAGAAACTGCACATAACAGTGCATAAAAAACCCAAAGCTAATAGGCAAATAATAAAATAGCTTCTTTTTTATTATTTATTCAGTACTTTCTCTGCTCCCGTTTTCCAGAACTCAAGGCTTGATTTCAAACTGGCTTGGAATTGGTCCTTGTCCATGAGCTCAAATTTATATTTACTTCCAACTTTAACAACCTCAAACCAAGCGAGTGCGCTATAATCTGGTAATACTTTGGCATCCTTATTTTCAACCTTGAGGTTTCCTGATCCATTCACGTCAAGGCGAATTGTTGCCTTTTTTCCGATTATATTTTTTATAATAGACCCTAATACTTCATAGTTAAATAGCTTGACAGTTTTTTGGTTCACCTAGTGTAGAATAGAGGTAGATAAAGTTAGTTTAAATGTGCATCGATAATTATGCATTTTAAATTGTTTGCATATTTGTAGACTACTTACTTTAGAGTGAGATTTGGTGTTACCGGTTTTAATGTTGGAAGACGACATGGTAATAATAATAAAGGTTGACAAACTGTAATGTTAAAAATATTAATATATCTATAGCAAAGAAGGAGAGGTTGAGGTAGAGATGTGAACATGGTTTGTTTTTATAGGTGTAAATTGAGATGAGACATTGCAAATAAATGAAAACGTTTACATTTTTTGACTGTCTTTTTGGCAATCCTACAAAGGTGCAAAAATAGAGCGAGAGTATTTACTCTATATATAGATTTACTAACTGAAAAAAGTACTTTAATATTTTAACTTAATTCAATTATAATATTATTTATCTAGTTGAGTAAAACGTGATATTTAAAATAAAACTGTTTATTTAATGCAACTGTCTTTTACATATATCTAGTTGTTTTAATTAATACAAGTTAATTTCAGTTTTATACAATAATAGTCCAGTTTGAGGGGTTAAAGGTGACACTGTTGCGCAACCCGAGGATATGGAAGTGAATGTCAAGGTTGAGAGCCGTGAAACGAGTTTCCATCAACATGCCGATTGACAGGGCATAGACGGTACCATGCAGGATCAAACCAGGGGACATAATAATGACACCCTGATATTCCCCCCCATTTCATAATGTATATGCATGGATGCACACGTATACGAAAACCACAACATTGACTTGCCAAGATACCGGTCTGCTCACAGAAGAACCAGTTCTCGCCAACGGAGCGCACAATTGACAATGTGCACAACAAAGGCGACGAGGCACATATATAAGACGAAACCGGCCCTAGTTATATTTTTGATTCCCTTGATAATAAAAATTATAACAAAACCCAAACATACTTTTAGCACTAGTACTCCTCTCAAATCACAATACGTTAAACAAAGAAATTGGACATGTCTTTAACAGTGCTTTGAGCAAATATTGTCAAAAGGAAGAGGAAAAGCCAAAGTGTAAAAAGGAAAATGCGAAAAACAATGCATAAAAAGCAATAGGCAAAAAGAGAACGTAAAAAGAAAAATAAAGAAAAATAAATTCATTATACAATTCACGATTTTTGCTCACTGGAAAGACTTTACAATGTCTCTCAGCGCTGGATCATCAATGAATTTGTCTATGGACACGTCGTCACCCAATCCCTTCCTCCTGCGTGTCTTTAGCATAAAGTCTCTAGCCAAGGCGTCTCCGCGGGCAGGCTCCAAGGGCGTCAGTACCACGCTCTTATCCAGGGGATCCCCGGGAACAACCTGCCAGGTCTCAAAGTAGTGCTGGCAAAAAGCCCTACCACCCGTATATGTCCTCAAATCGGTTTCGAAGCCAGCAGCGTCGATGGTCGGAATCAACGCTGAAATGGCGTACATGGCGGAGCCAGCCCTGGGCGCGTCTTGGGTGACGTGGCCGCGGCGGCGTGCAATGACAGTGTACACAGAGGCGACACAGTCGGCGGGCGCCTGGATGTCGACGCGGTTGATGGGCTCCATAAGGCGCGGCTCGGCAGTGAGAAATGCGGCGTAGCAGACGCGGCGCGCCATAGGAATGATCTGGCCAGCGCCGCGGTGGATGGGGGAGTCAGCGAGGGTGGCGTCGAGAATGCGGAAGCGCGTGGCGCGCATGGGCTCGTCACACAGTGGGCCTTCGCGCGCTGCCCACTGGAAGCCCTGGCGTACGGAGTCGCGCACGGAGCGCAGCCGCTGCTTATTGGTGTCCTGTGGCAGCGAATCGTCGCTCAGCACGTTGGCGCCCAGTGGACCCGGCCCGAAAGCCCAGATGGACCGCGCCGCCAGAATGTCCCAGCCGTGCGCCTCTTCCATGTAGTGGCCCAGCTGCCTCGCCGGCCACCGCGCGTCCACCAGCCCACACTCAATATCGCGCGCCACGGCGCTGTCCAGCGGCTCAGCCATCAGCGTCAGTCGGTTGTGGCGGTTCGGCGAGTCGACAAAAGTGCGTACGGCCGAGGTCTCAAGCGCGCATTCGCGGAAGGACACCACCGGGTCGGCCACACGCACCTCAATGGATGCGTGCACGTGGCGCAGGTCGTGCAGGATGCAGTCCAGATACAACTCGCCGGGGCCCAGAAGCACGTGCTCGCCACTCTCTTCGACGCGCGTCTGTGCCTGTGGGTACGTCTTGGCAATGGCGCGCAGGCCGCGCAGCAGCTGCGGCAGCTCGGACGGAACCGCAGGCTCAACGGCCAGCCGCACGACGGGTGTCGGCAGCCGCAGCGGCAGCAGCGCTTCGGCCGGGCCTTCGGCGCCAACAATCGTCGCAGTCTTGGCCATCGACGCATCGACGCCGCCGAGAAGCACCAGGGCGCCGGCGCCCAGGCCCGAGACGCGCACGCGGTAGCGCGCACACCACACCCACAGAGCGTCGACTGTGGCCGCGGCCGCGTCCTCGGCGTCTTCAGCAAAGCCTTCACCCAGGACGCGCACGTGCTGGGACTCTGACACTGTGCCGCTGAGGATGCGCCCGAGGGCATAGAAGCTCTGGCCGTCGGCCGCCGCCACCTGCTTGGCCACAGCCACGACCAGCGGCCCATCGGCGCTGCACTGCGCAATGGCCTGCGCAACGGGGCCCGGCGCACACAGCCGCTGTGCCATGGCGGCGGCGTTGGCAGCGGGCGATGGCAGCTGCTGCGCGCACACGTCGACAAGGCCGCCGGGCGGGCCAAAGAAATGGCCCAGCGCGCGCCGCAGCAGTCGCCGGGCATCCAGCGCGTAGTCAGCATCGCGCAGCCGCACGCCGAGCGACGCCAGCGCCGGGCGCAGGGCGGGCGCATCCTCGGCCACAACGAGCGCGTGCAGCTTGTACAGTGGCTCCAGCACAAAGTGCACGAACGAGCGCGGCGCGCGCGCGTCGACGCCCTTGCGCACGAATGAGCGTGTCTGGGCGCGGTAGAAGACGTCGCCCCATAGGCGGCGTGCCAGCGGCCGCGCGTCCGGCATCTGCCAGCGTGCCGCGTACTGGCGCGCAAAGGACTCCAGCGTGAAGCACCAGCCGTACGTTGCCGACGCAAAGCACACGTTGCCAGCGGCCGGCGACAGCAGTGGGTGCGTGCCGCGCGGACTCTGAGCGATGGCAGCGTTGACCTCGTCGATAGTCAGCCGCAGCTTGTGGTAGGCGTCGGCCGGCGGCAGCCGCAGTTCGAGGATCAGCCGGTCGACCTTGGTGACAACCAGCACAATGCGCAGACCCTGGCGCATTGCGGCGGCAATGACGCGGCGCGTGCCGCTCATGACGCCCTCGACGGCGTCGACGGCCAGCAACACTCCGTCGGCCAGCCGCAGCCCAGCCTCGACCTCGTCCAGAAAGTCTGCATGGCCTGGCGTATCAACCATGTTGAGCGCCCAGCTCTTGCCGCGCGAGTCCTGTGCCACCAGCGCCATGGCCGCAGTCTTGAGGCTGACACCGCGCTGCCGCTCCAGCTGCAGCGTGTCGGTGAATCCGCTGGCTGTGCTGCTGCCGCCCATGCGGTTGACCGGCGTGCCCTGCGGTAGCGCCGTGTCCCACTCGGCCCACTCGTGTGTGGCCGCCACCAGCAGGTCGACCAGCGCTGTTTTGCCGTGGTGCAGGTGCCCACCCACCGCAACGTTGCGCACCAGGTTCGGGTGACCCAGGAGGTCGACCAGAAACTCCTTGGCGTACGTCGTGGCCGGGAGCTCGTCGGCGTTGCCCACTGTGAACTTGCGCTCCTTGATCGGTGCCACGATCGGCTCCGTCAGCGCCTGCGTGTCCTCCTCCTGCACCAGCACCTCGACGTCTGCGCCAAAAACGGCGCTGGCCTCCGGGTAGTACTGTTTGTCCTCGTGCTGCACGATCTGCCGCTCCTGTGCCTGGGGCGCCAGGTCGACGCGTCGCATCATTGTCATGAGATTGTGTGCCCTGTCCTCTGCTTCACTGTCGCTAGAACCAGGACTGCTGTGCGCCTGGTAGTCTGCCTCCTCCCGCCTGATCCCCTCCTCGTCCTCCACCTCTTCTTCGCTCTCTGAGGAGGAGGAATCCAGCTCGGGTCCAATGTAGTTGCCAAACTCGTCGTACTGTGAATCGTCCATAATGTACAATAATATATATTTTAAATCCTGAGTCGATAATAACAATGAAACAATAGCGAGTTACAAAAAGAAAAAAATAAAGCTTGTCGAATTGAAATGGCTGAAAACGCGAAACGATAGCCCAAACATGAAAAAAAAGAACCAGGTCAACTTCCAGTCGATCCAACGGCTTTTTTCGCCTGCTTGATCACTGGCCACAAATCTATCCATTCGCGCAACTAATCTGATTAGGGAACGATTGCGTATGCTTCCCCTTCCACTAATTTTTTTGGCCTTATTTAAGCGCATGCGTGTGCACATACATCTTTTCTTATTTTGTCGCAGGTCAGCATGTGCAGTCTAACAAGCAGCACACACAACTCGTTTTCTCCACTCCTCGCTTTTTCGAACTATATTATACACCAAAAAAATTATTATTCATTTCAATTCAATTCACTTCACTTCACTTCAGCTCAGTTCTATACCCTTTACATTTTTCGTTCTAAAATTAATTGGAATCCTCACTTTATCTTTATTGTAAATGGCCGCTCACATCGACTCACTCACTTCCGCCAGTGGCCTCATTTCCCTCCTTGACGAAGAGGAGCGCGAGCTGCAGTACTACGGCCTCACGCAGCTGGATGCCGTGACAGAGCGCTTCTGGACAGAAATCTCAGATTCAATTTCTAAAATCGAGATTCTCTACGAAGATGAGTCCTTCGAACACCGCCAGCTGGCCGCCCTAGTCGCCTCCAAGATTTACTTCCATCTGGGCGAGTTTGACGACGCCCTGTCGTTTGCCTTGGGCGCTGGGTCCCTCTTTTCTCTCACTGAGTCGTCGGCCTATGTACAGACAGTCGTCAACCACGCTATTGACAAGTACATTGAGCTCAGGCGTGTCGACGGTGGCCCTGTGGACGCCAGACTGGAGGCTGTGGTGGAGCGCATGTTTGAGAGGTGCTTTGCGACGGGCGATTTTGACCAGGTCGTTGGCATTTCTATCGAGGCCAGGCGGCTGGATGTCCTGGAGCGTGCGCTGAAGAGCGGCGACACGAAGGCCCTGCTGGCATACGTGCAGAAGGACTGTGTGGATGTGATCAGCAGCATTCAGGTGCAGACTGCCGTGCAGGAGCTGCTTGTGAGCGTACATATGCAGTTCAATGACCCCGACTACGAGGCCGTCTGCATGTGCTTGTCCAAGCTTAATAACCCCGAGAAGACCGCCGAGATCTTTAATCTTTTGATCAGCGACGACACCAACGAGGAGCGCGTGTTGTCGGCGTACCAGATTGCCTTTGACCTGAACGCCAATGGCACACAAGAGTTCACCAAGGCTGTGATCGCCCACCTGTACTCGCCGGGCAAGGAGGACACCGCGTGTGTTGCCCGGGTCAAGTCCATTCTCAGCGGCGACGAGACGCTGAAGTTACACCTTGAGTTTTTGTTCCGCAACAACAAGACGGACCTCAACATCCTCAACAGCACATGCAAGCTCCTGGACTCGCGCCTGTCCTTGGCCCACAGCGCCATCACCTTTGCTAATGCCTTTATGCACGCGGGCACTACTGTAGACAACTTTTTGCGCGATAACCTCGAGTGGCTGTCGCGCGCCAACAGCTGGTCAAAGTTCTCGGCCACCGCGGCGTTGGGCGTCATCCACCACGGCCATATCAAGCACGGGCTTAGTCTGCTTCAGCCGTACCTGCCTGAGGACAAGATGTCGGCGTCGCCGTTCAGCGAGGGTGGTGCGTTCTTCGCACTCGGTCTTATCCACTCATGCCACGGATCCGACCAGGTCATTGCCTACCTGCAGGATGCTCTTGTGTCATATACGGGCCAGAACTCGGAGATTCTGCACCATGGTGCTTGCCTCGGCCTGGGTGCTGCCGGCATGGGGTCCGGGAGCGAGGACATGTCGCAGGCGCTGAAGAACGTCTTGTACGCGGACAGCGCGGTTTCTGGCGAGGCTGCTGCGCTGGGTCTTGGCATGGTCATGATGGGAAGCAACAATGATGAGATTCTCAAGGACATGCTGCTCTATGCCAAGGAGACAGAGCACGAGAAGATCATTCGCGCGCTTTCCGTTGGCGTTGGCTTGGTGATGTTTGGACGCAAACAGGAGGCTGATCCCCTGGTGGAACGGCTGCTTTTGGAGAAGGATCCCCTTTTGCGCCTTGGTGCTGTGCACACCATTACGATGGCATACTGCGGTACGGGCGACAACGGGGCGATCCGCAAGCTGCTGCACTTGGCTGTATCTGATGTCAAGGACGACGTGCGTCGGGCGGCAGTCACTGGGCTGGGCTTTATTTTGCTGCGCAGTCCTGAGCAGGTGCCCCGGATGGTTGAGCTTTTGTCGGAGAGCTACAACCCGCATGTGCGTGTTGGCTCAGCGCTGGCTCTGGGTATTGCCTGTGCAGGTACGGGCAATAAGGCGGCGATCGCGATCTTGGAGCCCATGTTGGATGACTCTGTGGACTTTGTCGTCGAGGGAGCATCGATTGCGCTGTCCTTTATCTTGATCCAGCAGAACGACGCGTACGAGCCCAAGGTTGCCGACGTGCGCAAGCGGTTTGCGGCTATTATTGAGACAAAGAATGCCCAGGGAGTGACCAAGTTTGGCGCGGCCATTTCGCAGGGTATCATTGATGCCGGCGGTCGGAATGTCACCATTGGACTGACAACCTCTGATGGTCAACTTAATGCTCCGGCGTGCGCCGGTATGCTGCTTTTCACGCAGTTCTGGTACTGGTTCCCGTTGGCGCACTTCCTTACGCTGGCGTTTAAGCCCACGGCGCTGATTGCTGTGAATGCGAATATGCGGATGCCGGATATGGAGGTTTTATGTGTGGCTCGTAAGGCCCTGTTTAGTTACCCGGCCAAAATTGAGTTGCCAGTTACGCAGGCACCAACAAAGATCGCTACGGCTGTGCTTTCGACTACGGCCAGGGCGCGTCGTGCAGGCAAGAAGGAAGACGAGAAGGAAGACTCATCTACATCTGCTGGATCCGCTGCCTCTGCTTCTGCTTCTGCATCTGCTGGCAGCATGGAGGTCGATGAGAGCCCGGATACCAAGAAGAAGAGCAATGTGAAAAAGGCAGCTTCAGACACGCCGTTTGCGGTTGGCAACATGACTCGTGTGTTGCCATACCAGGAGAAGTTTGTCAAGTGGACTGCTGGCTCGCGGTACGTTCCTGTCAAGCAAGGTCGGGTTTCAGGTGTAGTTCTGGTGAGGGATACTGCTCCGGAGAATCCTGAGACGCTTCTTGCTAGCTTATTGCCTGAGTCGCAGGAGATGGAGGAGAGCAATGCCCCGAGTGTCCAGGCTCCTGAACCGTTTGAGTATCCGTTTGGTACCGAGCAGGCCTAAAAGCTCCGTGTGTGTTTTTTCTTTACTCTAGTTTTTCTTCATTTCTTTCAATTTTTTATTTACTTTTAAAAATCAATTTTATTTATACTTTTTTACTTCAACGCAGTGAGTCGTACATGAAGAATTCTTGTGTGGAAAAGGGCAAAATACTCTCCTTTCTGAATCTCTCCTCCTCTACCGGCGGAGCCAAAACCCTCGCAATCCTCACTTGAACATTTCTCCCGCCATCATAATTCTCAGGAAACTCCACACACAATAAATGTGCTCTCTCCATTAACTTTAACAAAACCCATCCGCGAGGCTCTGTGGTAAATACATGATTGATACACAATTGTTTATCATATTTACTTGTGCCAGCGTATATGAGTATTTTACAGGGAGTGTAGCTTTCGTCTGTGTCAATGTTGAGGTAGAGGGCAATTGTGTGGATGAGTTGGCGGGTGGGAAAGTTGATGAGAATTTGGTGCGGTTGGTGGCCTTCGGATTGCCAGAAGGTTTGCGGGTTGGGGTCTTGTAGGTTGAGGACACCGTGGTTGTGCTTGCTGCTGCTTACTGTCCAGTGGGCTTGGCTGGAAATATCGCGTAGTTTGTCCATGTAAAAAAAAAGATAATGATTTGTATTTTTCTAAATACTAATTCCTAATGGAGGAAAACAAGTTGATTTATTAATCCAACCTTATGAGGATAATGTAAATATGGGCGAAGCTGTTTACCACCTAGGCGAGGTTTGGTTCAGACCGCAATATCTCTGCTTTAAAAGTGCCGTCTGATTTCGGGCGCTTTTTCTTTGGGTGGGGAGGCTGCAACATCCACAGGAGCCACGCTAGTTGTAGCTTGTGCCGTGCCATCAAAAATGGGGGTGGCAACGTTGGCAACTGGGAGTTGGCTATCCAGACGAAGGGGCAGCATTAATCAATGACATGTATTTTTTGGTTTTTGGGTTTTGATTTTTTCTTTTGTTTACGGTTAGGTGGAATGATTGGATGAGAGTTGTTGTTGGATGATGATATTTTGAGCAAGAAAATTTTTATCAGGCAATATTGTGACCCACTTTACTCCCTAATTTTGGTTTTCTCCACCTTTCTTTTCTTTTCTTGTTCTTTTTGTTTACTTTTATTTTATTGTATTTTATTAAAGGCTTTTCTCCTTCTGAATCTAATAACTAGTCCATTTTTTAACAAGCATGAATTACCCCGGTGGTCGTGATATATTCCCGACAAGTAAGTAAATGCATTTATTCATAATAAAAAGAATAAAGAGTTTAACATTCTCTAAAAAACAACACCATTTTCATTTTCACTTTTTTTATAGCCAACGCTGATATACCGCCGCCAGGGAGCTACGATGTTACGTCTCCCGAGGATCGGTACAAGAAATATGCGTTTATCAGCCACAGCGAGCGATTCAAATACGATCAGCCATCGGCATCAGAGGCACCCAGTCTGCGACGGTCCAACCCCCACGCCAGCGGCAACAGTCAAACAACCTCTCACAATCCGGCGTTTCACCACCGCGCACCACCAGACAGCAGCACAAGCATGGCGATATTTCGGGCCGAAGAGTCCCGGCTAAAACGCGAAATCGAACGCTGCCAAGCGCTTCTCCACGAGCAGCAAACCGAGGGCGCACGCGAAGCCCGAATGCTCGCCGAAAAAATCACGCAGGCCGAATCCCGCATCCAATCTCTCCAGCGAGAACGCGGTGAACTGCGGCAGCGGGTTCTGCGGACCGAAGCTGATCTTCGGGCCAAACAAAAGGAATGCTCAGTATTAGAGAAGCAGCAAGTTTCTATGCTGGCGAATCCGCGGCCGGACCGACCACTGCGTGACCACGCCGAGGCAGCAAACGCAATGTGCGCGCGACTCAAGGCGGCAATGGAGAAAATGCGCACGGGCGCAGAGGAGGACCGGCGACGGGTACGGGCGCTAGAGCAGTTGGCGCGCACGCTGGAGCAGCAGAAAGACGCGGCAGAAGCAGAGCTCCGCACAGTGGCAGAGCAGGAGTACCCGAGGAAACTACGTGTGGCAGAGGAGGACCGGAGGATGCGCGAGGAGCAATGGCGGGAGGAAACCAGGCGCCTGGGTGTGACCCTGCAAGAGGCGCGCGATAACGCTGCGCGGTATATGGCCGAACTCGGCGAAGCCACGGTGCATGCGACAGCGCTGGAGGCGGAGCTGCAGAAGGCGCGCGAGCAAGAACGTTTGGCGGCCAAGGATACGCGCGACCAGGTCGATCGCGCAATGGACCAGCTGGCGGCGACCCATAGCCGCATGGGCGACCTCGAGCGCCTGTCGCGCCAGCGCGCGGAGGAGTCCGAGCGCGTTGTGAGGGCGGCTGGCGGCCACGTAGACGAGCTCAAGGCGGAGGTGGCAAGGCTGGAGGCGGAGCGCGCCCGGATGCTCGGCGAGCTCAACGGCGAAATCCAGGCGCTTGCGCTGGACTACCGCAGTGCGCAGCGCGACTTTGCGTCATCGGTCAAGGGCGCCGACGAAGAGCGTGGGCGGCGACTGGCAGATGCCCAGCGCGAAGCCCTGGCATTGCGCGCAGAGCTCAGTGAGCTGCGCGGCGTGCTGCTGAAGAAGGAAATGGCGTGGAAGGATAAGCAGGTGGAGATCCGCGGATACCTGCAGGCGGCGGCCGACGACTACGAGGCGCTGCGCAAGCAGTCAGATGCGAAGCAGGCAGCGCTGGAGCAGCGGCTGCGCGCGCTTGACGAGCAGGCGCAGGCGAGCGAGGCGGCGTGGGCGGAGGAGCGCAGCGGGCTGCTGACGAAGCTGGATGGCGCCCATAAGGATGGCTACCGGCTGCGCGACACCCTGGATGCGCTGCAGAAGGAGGCTGCGCAGACCAAGGCTGACTGCGACGCCGACCTACGGCGCATGGCGCTGGAGCTCGGCGATGTGCGCGCAGACGCCGAGAAGGCTGCCGTGCGGTGGGCGGAGGAGCGCCGCGAGCTGCAGCGCGCCCACCGCGAGGCTGTTAATGCACTAAAGGAGGAAAACGCGCTGTTGGAGCAGGGCATGCGTGATACGCGCGTGGAGCTGGAGCTGCAGCTCCATGAGATGCAGGCGGAGCTGGAGTACATTGAGCGCGTGCGCGGCGAGGAGCTGGATGCGCGCGACGGCCAGCTGGCTGACACAGAGAGCAGCGTTAAGACGCAGGCGCGCAATAACCGCGAGCTGCAAATCCAGCTGGAGGCGCGCGATGCCGAGCATGAGATGCAGATCGTGGCTGTTGAACTGGCCGCTGAGGAGACCCAGCGGGCGCTGCGCCGCGGCCACGAGCAGCAGATGGCAGCTTTGCAAGACGAGCACGAACAGAAACTGGCAGCTTCGCAAGACAGGCATGAGCAGCAGATGAAAGCCTTGCAAGGCAAGCATGGGCAGCAGATGGCAGCCGTGCGCCGAGAGAACGCCGCGCTTGAGGCTCTTTCCGAGGAGAATAGTAAACTGCGGAACCGCGCCGAGGACCTGGCTGAGGAGAACAATGTGCTGCGGAGCCATGCCGATGATCTGGCTGAGGACCTGGCGGCGGCCGGCACAGTGCGCGACGATGCACTGAGCCACTACATCGGCATCATGCATGACCTGGCCGACCGCCACAGCGCGGAGAAGAACGCGTGGAAGGCTGAGCGCGAGGCCATGCGGGAGCGCGTTGGCCGGTACCAGTACCGCGAAGCCATGTACGCGATCTCGCAGGACTATCTGTTGTGCATGTTGGATCTCAAGGAGAACGCGCGCGCGCATATGGTGCGGGAGGCACGCAGCCTGTATTGCGAGCTACAGGACCAGGCTGCGGTTGCCGATGACCACATGGATGCCGGCAATGAGCTTGCATTGGATCTCCAGCGTCTGCTCTCCCTGGACTCCGCAGATGGGTCATCGCGCGCTGGCGGGGATGTGCCTGGTGCGGAGCGGATGATTGATGAGCTGCGGACATGGACGCGCCATGCGTTTATTGATGACATGGAGCGGTTGCAGGAGGCGCGGGTCGCAAAGGTGCGGGTTGATGCGGATCTGAGGGAGCTGAAGAGCATGCGCGTGCAGGGTGAGATTGTAGAGACTGTCGGTGGGATGAGCACACAGTATAGGCGCGAGCGGGCCCGCTTGGAGGATGACTTGACTGTGGCGAACAAGAACTACCAAGAGCTGGAGAACCTGGCTGCTGCTAATCGCCAGGCCTTTGAGTCGCGCATTTCTGAACTGGAAGCTGCGCTGAATGATGAGCTTGAGCGCCGGTCGGGCTTGCTGGCGGCCAACAACAGCAACAATAGTGGTGACCGCAGTGTGCTTGAGAAGGGGACTGCGGAGCTGCAGCGGCTGAATGCTGAGCTGGAGGCCCGGATCGAGGGAATCGGATATGAGGTCGAGGAAGAGCGCACGGAGTACGAGCGCCAGCTCCAGGCCTATGACCGCCAGATCCGGAAGATGAACCAGGTGCTTGAGCAGTGCGAGGCAGATATGGCTTCGCAGGTCGACGATATCACGCAGATGCACCAGTATATTGTCGAGATTGAGGGCGAGCGCGCTGTCATGGCCGAACAGTCGCAGTTCCAAATCAACTGGCTCAAGGAAAACTACACCACAGCTTACCGCGACTTGGACAATGTGTTGAGCAACAATGGAGGTGGGCATAATAACCTGCGTCAGCGCATCAAGTATGTCGAGGGCCTCAAGTCGCAGATTCTGGCTTTGAAGAAGGAGAACTTTGAGTATTTGCGCGAGAGGAACAGATACAAGCAACATGTTGTTTTGCTTAAGAGTGAGCTCGACGCGTATAAGGAGGTTGGCGATACTGAGTCGATGCATTCTCACGCTTTACATACGCGACGCCAAACAAAGTCTGTCCAACCCAAACAATAAATAAACAAAATACTGATTAAAGTTTATTAATTCTCATTTTTTTAATATTTCTAGACTACTTGAAATTTATTCAAGGTTTTATTTTTTAAAACACTTGTCCCTGTTATTTTTATGTTTTATTATTAGTCAAATCCTTAAGTGCTGAAAATCCAATTCACGCAGGATTGCCTGTGATTACAACCGGAGCTGCACTATTCTTTCAAAACGTGCAATGCAGGAATGCAAAACAGGGAAGAAAAAACTGAGTGCTAAAAGAAAAGAAAAAAATTTACATAAAAAAATAGGGAAAAGCGAGAAAATATTTTTGTTTTAATTGCTCGGTTCGCAGGGCTGTTGATGTCCTTCATCTCCTCTCCCCTTTTTTCTGTTTCTCCTTGCTATACTTGTTTTGCTTTTTTTGATAGAGCTGTTTCCACTACTATTATTCATTTTTCTACTTTCCATTTATATTTTTCACTCTGCATTATTATTATCTATATTTTCTTTCAAAGTTTATTTTCCGACACAACCACCAGTACAACACATACATAGATATATAGACAATATATACACATACACATAGCGTGCCCAAAGATGGTATCTGACGCGGTTGTTCTAGACTTTGAGAATGCAGAGGTGCGCACTTCCGACTACGAGTCTCTAATGCCCGAAGGCTGGCTAACCGGAGAAATCATCAACTTTTACTGGACCTACCTCGAACGACGCGAGTTCACAACCGAGCCCTCCGCATTATTCCTAGGCACCTACACAGCCTACCGCATCTCCAACGCGGAAAACTCACAAGTAACAGATAATATCTCCAAACAACTATCTCAGGAACTAGGCAGCCACCGACATTTAATTCTCATCCCGCTTAACCACCGAAGCCACTGGTCTCTCTTGATATACTGCCGGTTGACTCGCACATTTTACCATTACGATTCGATAAACAGACATAATAGGAATTTTGCTGAGCGCGCGGCGGGAAGGTTTTTGCGCGTGTTGGAGCCCAAGATGAAAGACGGGTTTTACTTCAAGTCTATGCAGACGCCTCAGCAGAATAACGACCATGATTGCGGTATCTACGTGTTGGCTATTGCTGAGGAACTGGCCCGCCGTTATATTAATCATTTGCGCAAGAACAAGAGTCGTGGTAATCTGGATAAGCACAGGCACAATAGGGTGGCAGAGACTGAAATCCAGAGTAAACACATGGCTGCCGAGCCCGAATACTGGAGTAGCAGGGCAGAGCCCAAGGAGACTGTAAGGAGGGAGCAGCTCCAGGACAGGGAGCCTTCAAGGAGGGAGCAATTCCAGAACAGGGAGGTTGCAAAGAGGGAGAATTTCCAGGACAAAAACGGCACAGTCAGCGCGTATGAGCGCCTCAATGGCGCCCGCAACTTTGGCGGCGATATTGCACGCAGCCGCACGGTCTCAGGCTCCACAGCAGCGGCGTATTCCATGCAGCGCAACTACCCAATGGTGGGATCCACTGTGCGCTCACCGGCAGCCACCATCGGGGTGTCATCGGTGGCGCGTGCCCAGACATCAGCGCCGGGTCGGGCGCTGGCGAGCGACCTTTTGATGCCCAGGTTTGGTCAAACTTTTTCTGGCTTCCAGAACCCCTTCGAGTCTATTTACAGAAAACCCGATGGCGAAACATATGCGGCCATAGAGCCTATGCTTAAGGGCGGCGGTGTGGATTATAATGGCCAGTATGCACCAGATTCGAAATCTGGCGGCAGCGGCAGCGGTCGCACAAGGGAGGAGAGGCTCAAACTGGAGGTTGATATGATGGAAAAGGCTGGGCTTCCGAGAGACTTTTGGCAAGTAACGGTCGAGGATATTGAGTACCCGCATTTCATGCGCAAGAGGATTCGCACTCTGGTGCTTGATTTGAAGCGACACCAGGCGGGGTACCAGCAGCAGCAGACCAAGTGGGGTTGGTAAAAAAAAGGTAAAGATAAAAAAAGCGTGCGGAAAGTACTATTTTTTCTTTTATATAATTTCTTATTCCCATCCAATTCTCATCTCGTTTTATTTTAGCGGCCCAGACTGCGCAAATATATTGATTACATTTTTTTTATCTAGAATTATTTATTCACTGGAGACAACATCTGGATTCTGCAAATACAGCTTGATCTTGTTTTATTTTATTTTTGTAAATGATGAAAAAAGCGAGGCCAAAGCCAAGGCTTTTGTTTATTTGTTTTCTTTCTATATTTTTTATGAAAGTATGCAAATAATAATAAAAACGTACACACGAAAACAAAACAATCACTCCATTTGACTTTGTACTTGTTTTTATATTTTTACAAACAAAAAAAAGAACAAAATGAATGACGTGGGTTGATGCAAGAGGGGAGAAGTGAACTGAGGTGAGGGAAGAAAGGGAGAAAAAGAAATGGGGGAGAGGTTGTCCTTTTATTTTCAGAATTAAAAGATAATAACGAATACATTCTAGAATTTCCAAAAAAAATTTAACGCCCATTTTAGACAAGCTATTTCATTCTTTTTTCGAAATAGCAAATTTTTTCTTTCTCTTTTTATAACTTTTTTATTTAAATACTAGGGCCGAAATAGACTATTATCTGTACTTTTAATTTTTTTGGGATTTTTGTAGATAATCTATTGCTTTTCGTTTATCGCAACAAAAATAGAAAAGCTGTGTTTAGAGCAGTCTAAATTTTATCTTTTTTCTTTCACTCATCTCAAATCTTCAAAAAATAATTGCGCCTTTTCCAATAATTCTTTTTTTTAATTTCAGAAACTTTGCTCAACAAACAAATAAAAATGCAGGGTCCTGCAGGAACGCCAGAGCACAGGCAATACCAGTGTCGATATTTTCCCATGACGCTGTCGCAGGACGATATTGAGGCGCTACAGCCAGGAAAATGGGTGACAGACGATGTGATCGACTTTTATTTTCGGTAAGTATGCAACAACAAAAAAATGGAATGATAAGCTAGTCTAAAATATTGAATAATATCGTAAAACTGCCCCATTTAACTGTCCTAAAAATCCTTGTCTTTTCATTTTTCATTTTGCCCATCATCAATTTATAGATCACTCAAGCACAAATACTTTCGGGACAACAAGAAGTACGTCTACATCCCAGTCAATATCGCCAACCTGTTGACGGAACGCGCAGTAGGTGAGTGTCAGAATAATTTCCAGAACACAGATATAGACCAACAGATCAATATCTCGAACAACACTAACTCCTATTTGTGCTTGCTTTCGAATTTCTCACCTAGACAGCAATCCAAAGTACCTGAAGGACCTGACGGAGGACGCTAATTCGCTAGACTTTGAGACACAGTGCTTGCGAAAGCCTAAGAACATCAGGGTGGCATTTCTGCCGATCTTTGGCGACGGGCACTGGTCACTCCTAGTTTACCGTAACCAAAAGAACAAGCTGCCTGAATTCCTGCACTTCAATTCGTACTTGGACAGCACCCGAGCAAACCACACACAATGCGCGCGCACGGCGCTAATCAATCTTTTGTACGTGTTTCGCGAGAACGATCCTGATATGGAAATCTCCAAGGAGTCATACAAGCTGGTGGTCAAGAACTGCCCACAGCAGACGAATGGGAACGACTGTGGTGTGTTTGTCTGTATGTATGCGTATATTCTGTCATCGAGGCTTGCAAAGAGCGAAGGGCAGACCGGGTCGTTCCAGTCGCTTGTTAAGAGGTTGTCGACTTTGTCGTATTCGCCCTCGGCGCCGGCCCAGGGGAGGAGCACGGATCGGTTAAATTTTTCCGAGAAAAATAAGGATAAGGATCGCAATAAGGCGATGGAGTTGATGTGGAAGGTCAAGGATAAGGATGCGCTGCCGCCAGACGAGATGCGCGCGTACATACAAAAGGTCATATACCACGCGTCGAGCTCTCGGAATGCCTCAGCCAGTTTGTAATAGACACAATACATTGCTGTACCGAAGGAGAGATAGTGTGTTCATATTTATTAGATTTATACATTTGGTTGGCCTCTCGTAAAATTAAGGGAAACTCGTACGATTACAACTTTCATTTCTATATTTTCAGGGCAGCTTGATACGGTCTACATATTTGAGAATGTCGGAGCTGATCTGGTCCTCGACCATGGGGCCGTTACCAGAGACGATGCGCAGAATGTCAGCGGTTGCCGCATGATTGCCCAAAATGTTGATATGATCCGAGGCGCCAGCACCGCCACGCATGTCCTTGTACGCAGCAGCCGGATTATGAGCAAACTCGCGGGCAACAATCCTCACACCATGCGGGTTATACAGGGGCTTGCGCCAAGCGCCCGAACACATGTACCCGAGCGACAAGAGTGGCACTGTCCCGTCACCCTCACCGTTGATGATCCCAATGTCGACGTTCTTCAGGTGCGCGCGCTGCCGTTTGTCGATTCGCAATGCCGGCGTGCCAGACTCCTCGTGAAATTCGTCTACGTTGGCCTTGTCCGTAGTGTAGTAGTATGCACGCTCGGTGGTGGCGCCGTGGCCGTAGAGACAGTAGATGGTCATGTTGGGAGCGTTAGGGAGTTGGTGTTGGAGCGGGTTGGTCCACATGCGGTGGTCGTCCGCGTGGTCGTCCATCTCGGCCTGCGTCCGGAACACGCCGTAGCTGTAGTCGCGCTTAAGGAACCGCTGTGCGTCTTGGTCTAAGACGCGGTACAGCAGGCCCAGGGCATCCTCCATAGTCTGGTTGCCGACACTGCCACCGTCGTCAAAGCGGATCTGCGCACCGTAAGACACGGCGCTAGACACGTCGTCAGTTCCGACATCGATGTCGTCGGGTGCGCCCGAAAGATCACCCCAGATGGCGTTTCCGCCCTTGGGCAGCAGCGAGGGCAAGCCAGTCCATGAGCGGAATATGCTGGCAAGCTCTTTGCGGTTCATAAAGTGGTCTAAAAGGTAGTTCACCAGGGGCTGCACAGTCTCGCGCTGCTCACCAGAGAGCAAGGACGATAGAGTTTTAGGCACACCCAGTGGCGTGCCAGCCAGATTAACCACAGCCTCAATGTGATCGTTGACCCACTGACTGCCGCCATTGCCGCCCTTGGGGGACTCGGCCCATTTCATAAAGTACTGGATAACCTGGGATCCCATAGAGTGCGGCACAAGCACGGTCTTTTTGCCTCCCGCTCTTAGTGCCACTTCAATCTGGCTCTTCAGCGTGGAGAAGTAATGGTCGCGGCGCTCCAGATCCGCGTAGGAGAGGCGCCAGTCATAGGATGCCAGCGACATATCGTTGCTGTCATATCCCAGCACCCCGAGGTTGTTGATTATTTTGCCCCAAATCCAGTACGATGTGATGAAGTAGTCGGCGGCATCCAGGCCCTTGGCCGCGCGCAGCTTTATGCCGGGTGGATCAAGCCCCGTCTTCTTGTCCAGCATAATGTGCTCGACCCAGCATTCCTTGTCGAGCAAAATGGCCTTGAACATGGTGGTAGTGCCCCAGAGTCGCTGGCGGAAGTACGGCTTTGAGCAGTTGACCGTACTCCAGCTCTCGAGTCCTGTAGAGATGATGCCGGGAACCAGAATAACATTGTGCTTCTTCACCAAGACCTCATCCTCAACTAACGACAGGGCTGGCTGGTAGTCACCGACCGTGTACTGCGGAACCGTGGAGGGTTCCGTATTGGTGATGAGCATTCCAGTGATATCGCGAATAAAATCGTCAGGCATCAGGCTCTCTGGCAGCAAAGAGATGACGTCCAGCTCGCCGAAAAACGTGTGCATATGGTTGATGTGCGAGCTCTGAGTGGGGTTCGTATAGAGGATGCTCAGAACCGCTGCTGAGACGCCAAAGATGATACCCGATAAAAACCAGCGCCGGCGCTTGACCCGCTCGGGTTTGAGCTCTGCGAGCCCTTTGCCAAACTTGCTGTTCAGTATGGCACTGGCCAGGTTTTTGTCATTTTCTGTCGGCGTGTTTGTGACTGTGCGCTCGTCGTCGCTGTTTGCTCCTGAGCGCTGGTTCGAGCTGGCACCGCTGCTTTTTTGCTTATTGTTCTGTCTAGAGCGGGGCTTGCGTTGGCTGGCCCTCCCAGAGGCCGCGCTCTTTTTGTCCTTGGTCTTTGGAAGTGGCATGCGTGGTGATGAAATAACAATATATTGAAGTAACTAAATGCAGGAAAGATAGGGAAATGTGAAGCGAGGAGAGGAGAGGAGAGGCGGGGGAAAAAGTTGGCCAACTAAAAACAAAGGCGTGGAAGAGAGGACTTGGTATTTTTTGTTTTTTTGGATTTTTTTAGTGTTTGCGTGATTTGGCATTGGCTGAACTTTTACGCTAAGGTGAAATAGGGACAGCATTTTCACGCTTTCACAGGTCAAAAATCGGCTCGGTGGTTATTGTGACCACTCACCAATGCAGGCACATTGTTTGCTTAATGATGTCATCAAACTTTTTTGCGGCTCGCGAGCCGCCAATAATAACTGGCTGTGCAAAAGAAAACCCATTGGCATCTATAAATGTAGCGCGCGCGTTCTTTTTTCTTCTTTTTAATTTTTCTTCATTTCTAATTTACGCGCACAAACTAAACCAATTAATTATATCCGATGAGTCAGGGAGAACCCAGTCCGAATCAGCACACAGCATTGACACAGGCGGAAAACCCAGCGACGCCCACAGGTAAGTAAGCCCGGCTTATGTATGCTCATTTGGCTAGACTGCTTAACTCTGGAAAACTCTGCGTTCCAATTTCCCCTTTCTAATACTCTGCTTCAATTGGTGCACTCAACTGTGCCCGTTTTGTTTCTACTGCACCTTTAAATATTTCTTTTTTTCTCTTTTTCTGCATTCTGCCCTGGTGTTTTGTGTGTCTCTTTTTCCATCGGTGTACAGAAAACTTATGATTATCTCGATATAGAACCGGGTTGAAAATACAACGCAGCACAAGGAGCAATGCCAAAGAAGAACTATAACTAGAACCACACAGACATAGAGCAAGTGGTGCAGGGAGAATAATAATTCAAGAGTCGAGAAGAGTCAAACACGATAAAGAAAATAGGCATCAGAAGAGGTCCAAGCACTTGCACTCATTTGTTCCCCATCGAAACAGGCATACTAACCGCAACTTGTCAGACACATTATTTTAAAAATAGCGGCCGGTGGCAGTGTGGCTTTAGGCCTTGTGAACAGCGGACTGACGCAGGCCCAGCAGGAGGGCATTGATCGGGCGCTGGCGTATGCACGCGAGCTGCAGCAGACGGTATTCAAGGAGATGCTTGATGCCGAGCGTCGGCGGCGCGAGGATGATGCGCGGGCAGCTCCGGGCACGGTGAACCCGGGCCGGCTGGCCGGCATGGACGCGCGCAACCTATCGGTGATGTCGCGAATCTACGTCGGATCGATCAACTTTGATCTAACCGACGAGCACATACACCGGGTTTTTTCTGAGTACGGGCCTGTGCGCAGCGTCAGCATGTCCAAGGACCCTGCGTCAGGGCGGCACAGAGGCTACGGGTTTGTCGAGTACGAGGTCCCTGAGGCTGCGGCGCTGGCCGTTGACAGGATGAATGGCACAATGCTGGGCGGCCGCCAGCTGAAGATTGGCCGCCCGAACAACTACAACGTGGCAGTTGCGCAGGGCTTTCCGCAGCCGCCGGCCGAGCGCATCTACGTGGCCAACGTCAACGAGGCCATCACGGAGGACATGCTGAGAGACATATTTGCGCCGTTTGGCGCTGTCAGCGCGTGCATCTTGGCGCCCGACATGGCAACACGCAAGCATCGCGGATGGGGGTTTATCGAGTTTGAGGAGGCGGTGGCTGCTGAGCAGGCGGCAGCGACCATGGACAGCTTTTCTCTGGGGAACCTGGTGCTGCGCGTCAGCCGCTGCGTTGTCGGCGGCCCGCTGGGCGATGGCATGGCGGCCCTGGACGATATGCCAGCTGACACCGAGGTTGAAGCCTCTGTGCCTACTGTCAGGCCGCCGCAGCAGGTGATGGACTTGGCGGCGAGCATCAACCGCACCATTGATGCCCAGCCCGCAGACCAGGTTAGCCAGCAGAACGCTGCCCCCCAGGCTGTAAATGGGCCGTGGTCGACTGTTGTGTTGCTGGAGAACGTCGTTGGCGACAGCTCCGAGGTTGACGATGACTTGGCCAGCGACATGGCCGGCGAGGGGGAAAAGTGCGGCACGGTTGCCAAGGTTGTCGTGCACGTTGCTTCGGACCAAGAGATGCAGCAGGCACCTGGCCAGAGCGATGTTTGCATTTTTGTGCAGTTTGCCGAGCCTGACTCGGCCTTGCGTGCGCTGAAGCTGTTTGATGGCCGGTGGTTCGGTGGTCGCCGGATATCCGCCCAGCTGTATGATATTGATCGATTCCGTGTGCTGACGAGCTCTGATACCATGGTCTACATGCCATAGATGCTTATCGGGCCTTCCGTTGCAATTATTTCAAAGAGGTTGTGACCTTTTCTGAGGGTAAATAATCTATAAATGTTTGCCTTTCCTGAAATCAAAATCAAAATCGAAACAGAAAATAACAGGAAATGTATTTTGAATTCAGTGGCGGGAAAATTCGAAAAATCAAAAATGAAAAAGGGAGGGGGGGTGCTGAATCCGGGTGTATGGGTGGAGTGGCAACTGCCCCCCAACACCTGCGTGTTTTATTAAGTTCCGGTAACAAGAGCGCTGCAACACATTTATCGATACCCTCAACGATATTTTTCTCTTTGGCTGGCTGCCGTGCCAACACAGTTGTAAAATAGGCGCTCAGCCGAGACCAAACTGTGGACAGAATCTAAAGAGCTTCCAAGCAAAAATGAGTTGCAAGCGAGCTTTAGCGCCAAACAATTAAACAGCGACATAAAAATAAAAGATATTTAGGGATTTTCAGGTTTGACGCGCTTAAAATTACGCGCAGTTCCGATTCGACAAGCCTTTTTCAAAGTGCGTGTGTGAGTTTGCGGAACTGGGTGTTTTGGACCTCGTCCTTGGATCTCTCTTCCCTTTTCCAATTCTTTTCTGCTGTTCAGAACAAAGCCAGCACACACCCAAAGCATAGCGTTTGTTGAGCGCGGTGCCATCCTCTATATGCTAAACGCTAAACGCTATACGCTAAATGATAAACGCCAAATAATAAACGCTAAATGCGCGCATGCTGCCGCATAAACAGGCCCAGCGCCGCTGCCATCGCCACCATTTCTCCTGCTTATTTTCTGACATTCTCATACTTTTTTTGTTGTCAAAGGTTTTGATGCTGTCTCCAAGCTTTTCTTTTTCATTTCCTTATTGTTCTATTTTCCTTGTTCTTTTTTCCCTTCTTTATTCGCTCCAAGCAAAAGGCTTTATTTTGGATATCCCATCTCACTTTTACAGAAGACGACTATTTTGTATCTACTCGTATTGTCCGGCCGCTCACTTTTTCAGTGGTTGTTTTATTTTTACACCTTATATACTTTTATAACAAATTCCGAATTCGCAGACACAAACCGTCTCGCCCTTCTTTTTTGTTACTCTTTTTATTTTTATTTTTATTTTTCTCTTTACACGTTTGGCGGCATAAAAAAGTAGAGCTCGGAATTAGTCACAAGCTTTTTTTTCTTCTTTTTTCTCGCGGTCCTTATTTTATTTCCTGTTTAGTTTTTAATTATTTACTCTTTCATTATTGCCAATTGTATATCGGCCGCAGCTTCCCAGTAGGCACCACTTGACTTGGTTTGACTTGACTTGTACTGCTGCTGCCATTTTTTTCTGTTGGGTAGAGTTGAGCGAACAGGCTGGTGAAACATCAAAAAAATACTATCGGCCGCTTTAGCCACTTCTCTGTACGCCCCTCTTTTTCCTTTGAACTGGGATTAAAGCGAATCCTTCTGGACTAAAGAGTGGAGTGCGCGCACGCTTGACAGAGACCCATCTTGCATATTATCTATTTACCAACCGCTCGCCCGCACACGCACCATTCGCACACACGCAGCCGAAACATCATATGCGCTTTCTTTTCTTGTTCATTTGCGCTCACTCACTTTTTTTTCTCTAAAAAAATAAGATCCCGAAGCGGACCAAAAAATAAGTACGCCTTTCGGTTTTATAGTTGATATTTTTTATTTTCTCCTTTCGGGTCTTTTTCTTCTTTCCTCCCCGCCATCAATATCAATCAATATTTTCAGCTTTTTATTTTTTTTGCTCAGCTTTCATTCTTGCCATTTAATCCCTCTTTTTCTCTTTTGCTTGTGACTGAAAAAATTATATTGGTGAAGCAAACCTTGTGTAAAATCAAAATTTCTTTTGTTCTTTCTTTCTTTCTTTCTTGTGCGTCTGCTACTCTCTTTATATTATTTTTCATCTCTTCTTTTTTAACACGCTTACTTTATTTTTCATTTATTCACTTTCTTGGCTCTCAATATTTTCACTATAACTCTCTTGCTCTCGTTTATTTTTTCTCATATACACTTTCTCCTTTTATCTTTCTCTTAACAAGTAGGACAATAATTAAAAAATAATGGAGGTTGACCTGAGCCCCGAAGAGTACTTCCGCCAGCAAGCCGCGGCGCTGCTGCACAGCGTCGAGGACCCTCTAGACGACAACAATAACAACAAAGGTAAGAAAATAACTTTCTCAACTCAATCGACGCTGTCCATCATCCTCAGCGAGCAAGCGAGCACTCTCCTTCTCGCACTATTATTTTCTTTTGTTTTGCTAGTGATTCGCGTTTCTGGGCGATAATGGCGCACGATGAAGACTACGCGCAGTCCTCACCCTCTTTTGTTCTATTACCCGATGCACACCTCTTGTACACTGTGCCTCGCACTTGTTCGTTTTGTGTTCAAACAAACGCGCCGTATTTTTCTGATAGCGTGTTGCCACACACCAATATCACTTTCGCTCTCGCTCTCTTTTTTCTTTAGCTTGCTTGTATGCACAGCAACGCAAGGAATAAAAAAGAGGGGGGGGGTGGTAATGCGGGCTTGTGCATTTTTCCATTTTTCCTTCGACGATTGCCTTCGGGTTTTCACACTTTGTTTTGCATGCAGAGTTGATGATTTGGGGGTGGTATTTACCCCCCGGCCTGTACCCAACCCCCCTTTCCCCTGTCTTCTCTCCTTGGTTCAATCTTTTTGGTCACTTCTCCAGTCCTCATTTCCATCTCCCCCCTTTTCATTACTTTCTCTTGGGCTTGGCAGTGCGTTATTTGTCATTTAACACTCCCTATTTATTTGTTTTTACTTGCTTTGCTTGTCGCCGCAACTTTTATTCAGCGCGCGCTGGGAGTTGTCTTTATTTTTTATTTTTGCCCTTAGTAAAATGAGGCGCATGCAAAGCGGACGAACCTTGAAGCAATCGGGTTATCATCCTCTTTGCCTGTCGATTTTTTTTGGGAGGGCCCAGAGCCCCCGACTGTCTCTGACTTTGCGAATTGATAGGCGACTGCAAGAAAGGTGCATATATTTTTCTTTATGTTTACCTTTGCAAGTATGTTTTTTATTGGCTTTTACCCGCCCGCCGGCCACAGCCAAAATATCACACAACTGAGGCAAGGCAGAGAAAGAGAGCATCAGCCTGGAATTGTATTATCCTTTCTACTCGTAGCATGTGGCCACATGCTGGATGGATTGTCTGCAGTTCATCTTTTATGATTTTGGATATCCGACACTAAACACAACTCTATTTTTTATTTTGCTTCTGGGCGCTTTCTATTACATTGTAACGTAGAGTCCTGGTCTGAAATCGATGACAACAGTGGTGCTGAGGACAATGCAGCGGTGCTTAAAAGGAAGCGCATCCTGCGCCACGGCCGCATGCGTCTGTCCGAGATTAACGAGCGCTTCAGTGCGTCAAAGAAAAAGTAAGTGTTGGCAGCAATTGCTTCTTGATTTTTTTGGTTTATTGAGCATATCCTATCCTGATTATTGCGCTCATCCTGTTTACAATTTTTATCTCGCTGCTCTCGAGGGGACGCAAGAGTTGAAAAATAAAAATAAAACAATTGCACGCCGAAAGGTCCAATTTACTACGCTTGTCTCCTCGTCCTCCCCACTTGTCCCTTTTCGATTTTTAGCATGTTTTGCGCCATAGCATCACGCATTCATTCATTCGATTATTGCCTCCTTATTTTTTCCAGTTGAGGGGCAAAAAAAGGAGAAAGGGCGATCTTGATTGTGTGGCCAAGATGCATTTGGAAGCACGAACATAATCAATTACCGGCAGTTAACCAATCGAAAAATAGCCTGACCACTAATATTCCGATTTGCTTCCAACTATATCACGCTTCTCGATTTAATTAAAAAATGTAGGCTTGTCGAGGCCCGCAAGCACCAATTGGATCTCGAGATGCAGCAGCTAAAGGACGGGACCCATCCGCAGTACAAAGAGTTTATCGAACAAGTCGATGCGCGGTGGTCCGATCGCCTGGCCAAAATCGAACTTGAGATGGAGAGCCGCCGCGCGCTGGCCAAAGTAAAGCTGGACTCGTCGCGCACATCGGCAAAAAACACATTCATTGCGTCCAAGGGCGAGGTGCGTCGGGCCATGGTCTACCGCCGCAAGAAGCAGATGTGGGCCCTGACTGATAACCTGCGCAACCTCGAGAGGATCCGCGAGGCCATCACCAACGTCGCATTCCCGCTGTCCAATCAGGCCGGGATAAAAATCCCCGAAAGGGGCACCAAAGCCTCCAATGAATCGGACCACCTGCTCAGCATGCCAGACACGCACTTGGCCAGGATTGACGAGGACGCCGATGTGTCCGCCGTCTGCGGCATCCCTGCGCTGCTCAACTACGCCGAAACAGAGATGTCCGCGCCAGAGGACAGCGCTGCAGCGCGCATCCCCACGCACAACGCAGCAGCCGCGATCACCGAAGCTACAGACACCCGGGTGCCTAGGTCGCAGGTTGGCTACGCTCACGACGATATGGGCGCGGCATATGGATACCAGGGCGTCGGTGCGGGTCACAATGTCGCTGACGAGACTGTTTTGGTTGGCGGCACTGTTGCCACGTACGAGCCAGCGGAGAGCACGCGCGACTACGGCCGGGCATACGCGGGCCAGCAGGCCATTCCCGATGCGCGCGCGGCGGCGTACAACGCGCAGGGCTCACGCCATGGCTCGGTTGCTGCGCCGGTGGCGGTAGCTGTAGTGGCTTCCGCTACGGCTTCGGCCCTGACCTCGACCTCGGTTGGCGTACAGCCGTACGCAACGAGAAACCAGACGTACTACGGCGACTCTGCATACCAGGCAAGCTACTACGACTCGAGTGGCCACAAGGCTCCAAATCCCCGAGCGCCCACAATGCAGCACAGTCCGTCTGTCACCGCTACTGTCACTGGTGTCGAGAAGTACGCGTATGGCTCGAAGAGGCATGCGCGGATCAACGGCGCGACCGAGGAATACCAGACGCCCGGATACTATTGCAGCAATGGAACGACTACTGCGCCCGTGGCTGTGTCGGCACAGAACGGCTCTGTGGTGACCAAGCACAAATATCCTGCCGAATTCGATGAGGTTCCTGGAAAGCGGCAGCGTACAGTGCATACGTCGAGTACGTGGCCGGCGTCGCAGTACTATCAGCAGCAGCAATACCAGCATCAGGACGCTCGGTCGTGGAACGAACCCGTCTCAGCGACTGACAAGAGCGGCAACCCAATGGTTGATTCCGGTGCCACAATGCATTCTTATGGCTATGGCAGACAGGCAGAGTACCACCAAAATTATTCTAGTGTTGACGGCGATGCTGCGAGCGGCAATGCGTACCAGACGCAATACTCTCATCCACCGCCGCCGCCATTGTCTGGTGACCAGGCGTACCATTATAGCCAACAGCAGCAGCAGCAGCACGACTACAATCGTCAGGGCGTTTCGTCGTCGTACTACGGCTCTCAAAAGCATGACTATTCGGCAGAGTCAGCGGCGTACTATCAGCAGCAGCAGCAGGCGCACTACCACAGCCAGGACAGTGGGTACTACCCGCCACATTACCAGCAGACCGCGGCCACTAACGGAGCAACACCCCTGGCGGCAGGCTCGCACCACGCAGATGCAGGCTACCACGCTCAGCACCACTATGGCCAGCAGCATCAGCACCAGCAGTCGGCAGCAGCTGGCGTGTACGCGGGAGGCGTCCAAAAGACACCTGCTGACTACCATCCTCAGCGCCATTCTCATAAGCAGTACGCCAGCAACAGCAGTTACTCGGGATTGGATGCAGGCATATCCATGCCAGCGCCCAGCAGCAGCAGTAACGCTTGGAGCAGCGACTACTACTCGCAGCAGCAGCCACATCACTCGTCTGCGCAGGTGTACGAGTCGCAGCAGCACCCGCACTACCGCCAGCAGGGCCCGTCCTCCTATCATCACCAGAAACACGACTCGCACAGCGCAATGGTTGTGGAGTATGCCGGCGACCCTAGGGCATACTACGGTGGCAGCCAAGCGATGCACCAACAGCAGCCGCAGCCGCAGCCGCAGTCGCGTTCTGGGGATCCGCGCGCTCACGGTGTGCCAGCGATGGGTGCGGGCGCAGTTCCGTCGTACCACCATCGCCAAGCGACCACTGGCGGCACCGATGGGCACCATTACTCGTCATCGTCACTGACAAATATTCTCAAGTAAACCCCTTCTTTGTACTTGTTTTTTGTGTGGATCTCCTTGGTTTATTTTTGTGACAATCCCTCCCTTTTTAGTTTTAGAAATTTGTTGTAAATTAATTATCCAAACTTGTCAATTTTCTTGTTGGATCATCGGATCAAGATAATCATATTCCTTTGGATGAGGGGAGTGGGAGTGGGGGATGGAAGATGTGGAAAATAGCATCATTGTGTTTGAAAAAGTGTTTCTTTTCATTTTCTCTTTGAGTTCTTGAGATTTTTTTTTGATTTTTATATTTTTAGAGTATTGCTTTATATTCGTTGTATCACTAAGAAAAATAACAAAAACAAAACAATGTCGTCAGCTATCAGGATTGGATGTGGCAAGTGTGATTAGTTGTTAGCTAAATGAGTTGGTTTACTTGGGCAATACCGATTTTGCTGAAAAGGTGTCCATTGGCACACCCTGTGTGTGTGCGCTAGTGTATTTTAACGCTTGCCCAAGTGTAGTAATAACAAAATAACAAAAATAAAACTAATATTTTATTATTTCATTATTTTTTGAATTGATTGTTAGTTCCCGAGCACTTTTCTGCGCCTCTTTTGCATGCGGTTGAAAGCGGTGAATTCAAGGACAACGAGATAGAGCTGGTGATATGTAAACGCAAGTATCAATACTAGCAACAACAATAACAAAAGAAATAACGCACACTAAAAAGGGGATAAAGGGATAATGATGGACTAACCGAGTATTGTTTTGCAATTGTTTTTTATTTCTGAAAATTGTAGTTGGTACTGGAGATGTAGGCTTCAACTTTATTTTTCAGCGGTGTAAGATGCAGCTTAGGTTAGTCTTAGGGCTGAGCTAGGCTAGGGGAAAAGGCAAGAAATTAAAAAAGAAAGTGATGGCATTTCTTTTTACATTGGTTTGTAGATGGTTAAGAAGCTGGCTGCTGGAGAGCTGGATGTGGCGATTTGCGTGACTGAGGGACTGGTGGCCGGAATCAACAGCAACAAGGACGCCAGTCTTCGTCTATTCGGAACTTACGTCGACACACCCCTACGTAAGCACCCCAACCTATAATATTCAAATTCACATGTGAATATCCACCACATCAATCACGCCAAAACAAATAAAACATCAATGTGCTAAATTTAAATTAAGACACCAAATGATCCGAATATATAGCATGGGCGGTTTCAGTTGCGACCGATGCAAGGTTCTGCAGTCTCGATGATCTGGGATTCGGGGCAAAGTTTGGGATCAGCCGGCCAGGCAGCGGCAGCGAGGTGATGGCTCGGTACGCCGCAAGCCAATACGAATGGGCCACGCCGCAGTTCGCCGTTCTCGGCGATATCAACCAACTAGTCGCCGGCACGCAGGAACACAAGGTGGATGCGTTTCTGTGGGAGCGCACGACTATGCAGAGACACTACACGGCCGAGTCGGTGCGCTACCTCGGGACGGTCAAACCCCCATGGCCGGCGTTCTCATACGGAGCGACCGAGCAGTTTATTCGCCGGAACCCCGGGTTGCTGCGGGATTTAATTGCGAGGATTGGGCAGGTGGCGGGGCGGTTTATGGAGCGGAGAGAGGAGGGGCTAAGATTTGTTTGCGACTCCCTGGGGTATGCTGCGGAGGACGCAGTGATGTGGGCGGGGTATGTTGGGTTTAGCCCGGATGGCGCTGTGGACGAAGCTAAGGTGCGCGCGGTTGCTCGCGCATTGCAGCGCGCTGCGGTTATTGGTGACTGTGCGCTTGAGGATATTGTTCTGCGCCCTGGCCAAGCGTGAGGTTACCCGTTTTTTAATTATGGGGGTATTGTCTAAATAATATTGTAATTTACAAGAGCAACCGCGCCCCACTGTTTGTTTGCCAGCCTCATCTTCTCGTCTCTACACCCCGTCATTCGTGATGCAGGTCCGTGGGTGCATAAAGAGTGAGGGGGGAATGGAATAGTGTGCTATTGCACTTTCATGTAGGAAAAACAATAAAAAACAAACAAAACAACTGGTAACATGCACACGGTTTTATTATTTTTACAGGGGATGATCTACAAGGCACTACATTTTATCGACGGTGCTTTCCTTGTTCTTTTTGTTCAACAGCAGCAGAAAAATAGCTGAAAACATGCCAGTGGTTTTCAGCAAAAAGGGAGGAAGAAAATCCTAATTTCCCAAAAAAACTTGACTATCTGATAATACACGTGACACTAATCCATTTTTTCTTCTTCGGGAGGGGGCAAATAGAGCACGAGAGCGTGACCAAAAGAAAAGAAAGAAGTGACACTCGAGGGGCGGTATTTTTCATTTTCATTTTCATTTATGACAACAAACATTCAAGCCACGCAAAAATCTTATTATATTGTTTATTTGATGGGCGTGGGCACCCACTGTATGATATTAAAAAAGAAAGGAAAAAGCCCATGAAAAAGCTAAGCCCACTTTCTAAGTATGCACGTTCAAACTGAAAGGAAAAAAGAAGGGGGGATTATAAATCACTGGGATAAATTGTTTTTTTTTCGCAATAATAAAAGAAAAACAGAGCAAGTGTTCACACACACATAGTCTGACGCAGACGCGGACGCGGGCAAAAATGGGCAATAAGCAAAGAGCGGACGCGTGGCTAAGCGAAAAAAACCATCACACCAACATCGTCCTGGTAAAAAAAAAGAGGAAAAAGAGGGGAAAAAAATTTAGGAAAAAGCCACAACTTATTTATATACATATATTTTTTGTCACGTTTTAAGGAATTTTTTTAAAAGACGCGAGAAAGCAGAATTTCTTTTTAGTCTTCATTCAAAACGTAAACAAAAAAAGAGGAAACTCCGCAATGAAAAAAGGTTTTTTATTAATGCGGGCCAAGCATTAATCATTGCCGATAACTCGGATTTTTTTGTTTGCTTTTTATTTTACGCGTAATCCACATATTCTTTGGATTTTTGGATTTTTGCTCAAAAAGAACACGAAAAAAGAGAAACCCCCCCCCCAGAAAAAAAAGAAAAAAGAGAGAAAATCGACGACACATTTTTTTCTTCTAGAGTTCCTGAAAAAAAGAAATAAACGGCGATTATATATCATCTGGCATTTTCCTTGATTTACTTTTTTTTTTTTTTTCCTCTTCCCATTTTTTTTGTAATTCCACAATTTTCCCTCCCCTCTTCCCTCTTTTTTATTAGTGACAAAAAATTACTTTTATTTTTCTATTTATTTATTCTTGTCAGCTTTTTATTTTGTATTTTGCACTCTATTATTACCCTTATTACCCACACACACTCGCTCACTCGCCCACCAGCACCAGCACCAGCACCAGCACCAGCACCAGCACCAGCACCAGCACCAGCACCAGCACCGGCACCAGCACCAGCACCAGCACCAGCACCGGCACCAGCACCAGCGCCAGCGCCACCACCAGCATCAACACCAACAGTCCTTGTCTTTTATTCTTGTCCTTTTTTATTCAGTTCGTTATCCACTTCCATTCCATTCCATCCACCCATATTGTCTAGCATTATCATCCGTGCTGCGCTCACAAACAAGACGCCCCTCCCCCTTCCCTCCTACCTTCCACACTTGCACTTCTTTAAACATTTTCCTAATGGCAGAAACACCGAGACGTCCAACGACACGCGCACTGCGCCGGAGTCTCGGCGGCAACGGCCGCACAGCGTCGCCCCCACGGGCGCCGCTCACGCGCAGCCGGCTGCGCAACTCCCTATCGAACCGCCCGCCTCTCAGCCGTCCGCAGTCGTCGTTCCCCACGCTGGCCGTGGAGAGGACGCCGGTGGCGCGGCGCGTAGCCAGCCCGCGGCCGGCCATTGGCAAAGCCCTGCGCGTGGCCAGCCCTCGGCCGGCCATTGACAGAGCCCTGCGCCTGGCCAGTCCTCGGCCGGTCGCCAGCAGGGCGTTCCAGGACGAGTCGCCGACGCACGGCGTGTCGACGCCGTTCCGCCGCCAGTCGTTCGTCAATGCGCGGCACGGGCGGCTGGCTGCGGACGCGGACGCGGACGCGGAGTCGCCGACTGGCCGCGGCTCCGTGCTGTCGCCGGGCAGGCCCGCGGGCGCGCCGGGCCGGCGGCTGTCGTTTATGGGCGCCCGGCATGCGGCGCAGAGCGCGGATGGCGCGGCAATGTTTACGCCGCTGGCCACCAAGCTTATCCGCCCAGACCCCTCCGTCTTCATGTCCTCCGGGCTGCAGTCCAAGCGGCAGCGCGCCAGCCGCCGCATCTCGTCGTACCTGGCCCCCGAGACGCCGTGCAAGAGCTCCAGCACCATCCCCAGCGTCATCGCAAAGTCGGCGCCGGAGCCCGTAAGGCTGGGCCATATGCCGGGGCGCCCCAGTGGCGCAGACAGCGGCATGGTGACGCCGACCAACCAGATCCACGCGCCGGCATTTGACGTTACCGCGGACCCGGGAAGGCTCGGGAAGCACCGCAATTCATCGGCCAATAGCCTGCAGAGGCTGCGCAAGAAGCCGCATTTCGGGCCGGATGAGGGTGTGGACGATGAGATGGCGCTGGCGCTGGCGTTTAGCTCGCCGCGCAGAGTGCCCCGGCCCAGGCGGAGCACGCTGGTCGAGGATGAGCTCGGGCAGGGCATGTCGCCGCCTGGGCTGGTCCTGCCGGCGATGCTGGGCGGGCTCGACGACTCGCCGACGCCGACGCCCTTGGCCATGCGCTCGCTGCAGGGCCGGGCCCAGGACCAGGATCAGATGCAGAATCGCCAGCAGCAGCGCCAGCAGCAGCAGCAGCTCCACTACCGGCAGCAGCACCAGCAGCACCAGCAGCACCAGCTCCAGCTCCAGCTCCAGCTCCAGCTCCAAAACCAGCTCCACCACCACCAGCAGAGCAGCGGCCAGCAGTTGTTCCACAGACTGGCCGCCGACAGGTCGCTTGACCCTGGCATGGCTATCCAGCGCATGCGCGCCTTTGGCAGCAGCCTGTTGTCGTGGATCTCCGGCAGCGAGCCGTGCCCGAGCGAGTCCTCGGCGGCCACGCTGGCATCCAGCTCAATGTCGCACGAGGCCGAGGCCCCAGCAAAGCAGCGGCGCCCACTGCCCGCGCTGCCAGCCCGGCTGGACCACGACATGGACCACGACATGGTCGTGACCGAGGACGACTTTAGCGAGGACGACGTGTTCGGCTCCGGGCTAACGCGGTCGCCGCGCATCCTGGCGGCAGAGCGGCCGCAGATGCCGCAGATCATGCAGGGGTGCGCGACCAACTACGCGCACTTCCTCGGGCGCGAGTACTTTGCCCAGGCCGACCGCTCGCTGCCGTTCCTGTCGCCCAGCGACGAGTTCCGCGTGGACGGGCTCGGCTACCTGGACTACTTTGCGCACCAATTCGAGGCCATTGGCCTTGCCGGCGAGGGCAACTTCTCGACCGTCGTCAGCGTGCGCAGCCTGGTTGACGGCCAGCTCTATGCTGTCAAGAAGACGCGCGAGCCGTATACTGGCCGGCAGGAGCGCGCGCGGCGGCTGCGCGAAGTCGATCTACTGTGGGCTGTGGGCGGCAGCCCCGGCGTCGTGCGGCTGGTCAATGCCTGGGAGCAGTTCGGCCACCTGTATATGCAGTTTGAGCTGTGCGAGCAGGGCAGCTTGGCTGATTACTTGGACATGTGGATGAGTCGTGAGGGCAGTCTGCCCGAGGCGCGTGTCTGGGCCATTCTGGCGCATGCTGCCAGCGCTATCGGCCGCCTGCACGACGCCGGCATCGCGCACCTGGACGTGAAGCCGGCGAATTTTCTGCTGGGCGCAGGCTTCGGCAGCCCCGGCGGCGAGCAGCACGAGGGGTGGCTGAAGCTGGCTGACTTTGGCCATGCCGCGCGGCTTCCGTACGAGAAAATGGCCTGGGTGGACGAGGGCGACCGCGAGTACATGGCGCCCGAGGTTCTGCATGGCCGGTACACTGCGGCAGCGGATGTCTTTAGCCTCGGGATGATGATGCTGGAGATCACCGCGGAGATCAACCTGCCGCACAACGGCGTTGATTGGCAGAAGCTGCGCGAGGGTCTTTTCGACGACCCAATGTTCCACAATTTGCCGTATTCCAAGGACCTGCAGGAGACCATTAAGCGGATGCTCCACCCGGACTCCCGCAAGCGCCCCGGCCTGCGTGCTGTGCTAGCGCTGCCGCAATGCGCCCTGTATACTTCGGCGCCGGCCGGTCGGCCTGGCAGCATTGCGGCGGTGGTGGCGGCGTCGGAGGATGATGATGATAGGGATGACCTTGTGTCGAGACCGCCGATTCTGCGTGGTTCCTTCCAGTACCACCACCGTATGCTGATGCGCGCTGCCACGGCGGATGCAGAGTCGTTTCCGGGCATGGTGGATCATTTGTCTGTGCACCCGATGATGACTAGGTCGGCGGCTGCGGCGAAGACTCCGCCGCCGCCGCCGCCGCCACCACCAGGGAGGTCATCGAATACTGCGCGTCGCCCGGCTCCTACCCCGGTGTCGAGGAGGCGTCTGCCGCCGAGACGTGGGCTGATGAGAAGGGCGGTGAGTGCCCCTGGGTCTGTCGCCACCATCTCGTCTACTGGACAGTCGTCGGTGTCGCGTATTTTGCGTGCTGGAAGAGTGGCAACGTCTGGGTCGCGCAGATAGTCCAATCCAAGCAATTTTTTTACTTTCTTTTATTTTTCAATTCATTTCAATTTTATCCATCTCATCCTTTTTCATTGTACTTGTCACTTATATAGCCAGCCGAGTCTGAGTAACTTGGGCATCTTGGACTCATATGTTCTTGAGATAGACCCGCTTTTGCCGGCTGTTCCAAAGTCACTGAGAATGTGATGTTTTTTGGGGGGAGGATGGCAATCATTCGGGCTTCTAGGTCTGATAAGGACAACCCCGTGCTACATTAAACTCCTTTATTCGACGCGTCAACCATAAAAAGAAATAGTAAATGAGTAAATCGAAAAACCAATCTTTTGGTGGGAAAGCATTGGAAAATCAGTATGATTTATACAAGAATAAAAAACAAAGCCTAGTCCACTAAAACCCTTATTACTGAACCGTCCTCTACACCATAGTAGGATAACGGTCTAGTATCGTTATCCAAAGCAACCCAATGCCTATGATCCTCCTCTATCTTATCATTAGAAACCTCCAACCGGAACCCCCTACACTTTGCCAGCTTGACCGCTATCGGTCTGATTTGGCGCACAAGCATCGTGCGAATAAGCGATCGGGACTCCGAAGCTACCACGTCCTTTCCACCACTCCGCACAACCATCAAAGTAACTGAGGCCAAGCGCGATTTCAGCCGGGATTCCCGCTCAACAGCCGGTGGCGGTGGCATCCCGTGTTTGGCGACAAGCTCATGGATGCGCGGGAACTCTGCAGCCATCCGATCTACCAACAAAGACCCAGTCTCCTGTGCACCAGCGGTAGTGGTGGTGGTGGTGGACCGAGAGCAGAGTGCCAGATAGTACCGTTCCATCTCAGTGCGCTCATCCGAGGTGATCATTGACCCGTCGAGTTTCGTGATCTGCGGCAAACGTGCGATAATCTGCGGGGCCATGTCCTTGGCCGTCAACGGGGTAGAGACAATAGCCAGGGTGCGCAACGAAGCAACACCCAGAAGCGAATCCACCGCCGACCACTGCGCCAAAAGCGTATGGCTGAGATTCAATGTGTGCAGCTGGGGAAAACACACTGTGGAAAAATCCAAGGTTATATTGCTGATCGGGTTGCCCCGCACATTAAGAAGGCGAAGGCAGGGCAAGTGAGCGAGCGGGGAGATATCTTTAATCTCGTTGCTCTCTAAATGCAGCTCCTCAAGATACCATTCCACGGGTGTGTCCAGGACTGCTGCCACCTGGCTCCAGCCAAACGACAGCGAGCGTACATTAAGCTGCTGCGCAACATTCACAATGTCTAGCCATGTTAGCGCGTCGGAGGAATCAACCCGCAGGGTGTCCACGGTGAACCGCTCCTTGGTTACCCTTACTGGCGACTCGAAATGATTCGCGCTAATGTCCAGTATTTCCACCAAAGGAACCGTACGCAGGATCCCCAGCAGCCTATCCCACTGCGTAAAATAGTTGTTGGCCAGCGACAGCGTGCGCACATTAGCCAGCTCCCATTTAGTCTCCTCTGTGTCGCCATCTACCCCGTCAATACGCAAGGAGTCGAGACCAAGCACAGAAAGTGACCGTAGGTCGCTCTGCTCCATGGCTATTTTATCCAAACCAACCGCTTCGATCTTGCCACGTCGCCCGTCGATGGCCTGCGGTAGCGTGTTTAGCTCCGCGAGGTCGTCGACAATGTACCGCTGCTTGGCCGCCTGGAGCAGGGGCTGGCCCCAGATCATCCGGTCGACCTGTCGGATGAAGGACCCGTGGGGGCCGGAACCCTTTTGGCATTGGAAGTATTGGTGCCCGGAGTGCGTTCCGGAGTGCTTGCCGCGGTTTGGTGTGGCCCACTCGACTCCTAGCCAAACACCCTTGGTTCCGCTGACTGCACCGTGGTACCGAACTATCCCACTGTCGCCGTCTATGCTGAACCACCGCCCAACAAGGTCATTTCCCGTTGACATTATACAATTATAACGAAAATTGTGAAATTTAAAAAAAGAGAGGGAATTCGCTAAATGCAAGGAAAAATTAAAGAAAAAATAAGGAACAGAAATAAAGAGGAGAAAACCTCCCAACCGATCGGTTTTGTTTTCAAGGCCCCAGTCTCCAATACCTTTTGGTTATCAAAAACCTGGTACATCCAATATCTTGATCGACTTGAGCTTTGAAATGCTGAGTATCTGTGTAGCAATATCCTCCTCCTCACACAGACTCTCATTTATTTCAGCAAAAGCTCCCTTTTCATCCCTCGGACTCTTCAATTGTCCACTCGCCAAACTTGTCACCAGGGTTCTTGCAATTCCACGCTGTCCATATACGACTACTACCCTCTCCAAGCCCCCTCGAAATGGTAATCGATGACATCCCAGACTAGTCAATATTTGCCACCAGGCCCAACCCTGTAGTCGCTGTTCACCAGCGTCGAGTGAGAGGAGTGCTCCACTTCTTTAAACGCAATAGCCTTGTATTTCAGAATAATGCCGATAAATATTTTTTTTCGACAGTGAATGAAATACAGATCCAAATGATTAACAACCCCCCCCCCTATTCTTGTTGACAGTTGTAAGGCAAAGGCCCTCTCCGCCTTATGGCCATCTGAGGAAACCAGTCGCAGTCAGCACAGACTGCTCTCGCTCGCATATTTTCTGCGCTTCCATTGCTGCATTTGTCTGCACCTTAGACTGTTCTCGTTCCCGTCAAGAAAATTAGTTGTCATATGGTTTGACGAGAATCAGTGTTTTTTTTCACGCACACGTCGCGGACATCGTCTTCGGTCATTATTTCGTAGTCGTTGAGCTGGAGGAAAAATGGCCCTTGATTATGGTGAACAGTCGCCGGTATATTTTGTTACGCAGCTCCTTAACAGTTGTCTTGTTGAAAATCTGAAGGAACTTTTGCTTTGGAAGTGGGTGCTGCAGTGCAATGCGCAGTATGATCTTATTGGGTAATGGTCCCATGTATTAGCGAAAGAAAAAAGATTTGTTAGTGATAAGTTATTGAAATTAGTTATTTTTGAAATAAAAAAGCTAAGCTTTAACACAACAAAAAAATTCTAGTGACATTTAATTTGTCACGTCTGGTCGTGTCCAAAATCTTCAGCACCGTAAAAACCATAAACCCACCCATTACACGCCCCCAAAAATTCGCTCACCTGCCTTGTGCCCACAGCCTTCTACGACTCGAAAATTACAACACTGTCAACCAGCAACCCCCAGTGAACATACCAACCGCTAGCACACCGGCCAATATGGTATGTTGTGGCCTCTGCAAACATGTACAGTGCCGTTAAATGATCGCAATATCTATTCCACCTGATAGACCACTAGAATTACCTGCCCAGTAATAGAGCCTTGTAACATGCAGTACATATTGTTTTTTTTGGATGATATATGCTTGAGTGATCTTTGTGAAAATAATTGTAATTTTTTTAGTAAAAATGAGTTAAGAAGATACAAAATATAATGCGATTTCGAATATTTTATCCGTTTCTAATTTTCCCAGCCCCAACAAAAAGAAAAAATGCAAATTAATTTTTTATTTCGTACATTCCGCAGTCACACTATTTTGGCAAATACAAACAAAACAAATTTTGTTTACTATACTGCCTGTGTATTGTCAACAAAATTAAAAATTAAAACCCCCAAAGCCCCCTCACGGATCCATAAGTCCGGATCCGTCTCTCGGGGCTTGTATTTCAAACAACTGAATTACCCAATATCTTTACAGAAACCAGACAATCGACATGCAGCTTTTTAACCATCACTTCGCCATCATCCATCACCTCATCTTTGCCTAGCAAGTTCTCACGGCGTGCAAATGTGCGCTTACTGACATGCTGGCTTTCCTGACCTTTATCCTGCTCTAAAACCCTCAGTACACAGATGGAAAGCACCCCATTGTCAACACGCATCACTTGTCCGATCCTATATGTGCTGACTTGTGGTGACATGTCAGAGGAAATCTCTAGCTCCTTGTACGCAATAGTTTTAAAATGAGAGTGGTGCAACTGGATATTTTGATCTGGAAGAGCATCTAGGTCCGAGGCTGTAAACCCCAGAATGTTGATTTTTTCATCACCACTGCTACTGCTATCTGAGGAGTCATTGTTGGAGCTGGAGTCAGAGTCGCTGTCCGAGGAGTCAGTGTCAGAGCTAGATCCAGAGTCGCTGTCCGACGAGCCATCACTCAAAGCGTCAGAAGCACTGCAAGCATTCTCATAAGCCACCTGTACAGGCAACATCTTACATAAAGACGGCCTTGCATCACCGCGTGCATCGCCATGCACACGCTTGCTAATCTTAACCAGTCGCGGCTTGCAGCCCATCTTTATATTTGCCTCTTCCTCTTCCTCCTCACTGTCATCGTCCTCATTATCGTCCTCTTCATCCTCATTTGCCAGATGCACGCAGATGGCCGACTTGTTGCTGAGCAGATCGCAGGCCGAGTCCTCGTCCATCAGCTCGTATCCGCCCAGCGTCAAAGTGATCGGGCTGTTGATCATCTTGGAGAAACGGCGGATTATTTCGGCCTTGAGTTCAAGGATGGTATTCTGCGTAAAGACAATGAAGAACTTGCGGTCCGGCAAAGGCGGTTGCAGAACAACAGAGAGGGTGAGCTTCTTGGACTGCATTATCCGAGGTTTCTTTATTTTAAAGTGATTTTAATGTTTGAAAAAAAAGGAAAAATAAAAATAAAAATAAAAATAAAAAGAGCAGAGCGTACAAGAAAGAAGAAAGAAAGAAATAGTTAAGACACAGTTGCACATGTTTGATTTTTTCTGGAAATTTTTTATTTCGATCATTGATCTCTGGGAGGGGTGAAAACGAGATGGTATTTTATATTAACACAACAGGCGCAAAAAAAGCTAAAAAAGGGGGCCAACAACTTTAGGCAAGGGCCTTCTCCAAATGCTCGATAGCCCAGGGTACTACAATGCAATGTAATTCAATAAAAATAAGGTACACTTTAGCATACAGTTATATATCTATGGTCGTTTATAGTTGTATTAAAGTTCACCCGTCACCCATTTCTTTTTCTGAAATGCAAGGTTGCTTACCGAAACGAATGGCGGCGATAACACCAAAGAAGGACATAAAGCCCTTTGCTGCCTCCCTCCGCATCATGGACTGCTGCTCGGGAGTGATTTCAGGGGGACCTGGCATAAACATTGTGTGTGTTTCGAGTAATTTATAAAAAATAGAAAAATTTATGAAAAAGCTGACGATAACCGAAGCAGAAAAAGAAAAAAGAACAAAAAAATAATAATTGATCTTCAGACATCAAAAAGTGCCTTTCGAGTTGTTGGAGAGCCGAGTCGGTTCGAGTCGCGTGATATTCATCTTTCATCCACCCCCCCTTAGCCTCACTGTTTTCGGGCTGCCATTAAATTTTTTTTACCACGACTTTGGGCATGTTGAATACGCGTTCATTTTCTCTTGATTTTTTTTTCGAAAAACATTTTTATTTTTATTATAATCCATTTTTACTTTTAATCATTATTTTAAATATCAGCAATTATGAAGATTTCACTCAAGACATTGCAGCAAAAATCGTTCCAAATTGACGTGGAGCCTTCAGATACCATTGGGCTTGTCAAGCTGAAGGTCGAGGAGTCGCAAGGGTACCCGGCGTCCACACAGAAGCTCATTTTCTCAGGTAAGGTTATACAAAAATTGCGTAAGAATGCATAAAGTGCCAATAAGCTGGAAATCTTTGACAAAACAAGCACAGGCTAATAAAGATATTTTTAAAGTAATTTTAGGCAAGATTCTGACAAACGAGCAGACAGTGGAGGAAATTAAGATTACTGACAAGGACTTTATGGTGGTAATGACGGTTAAGGCCAAGGCGGTGTCTAAGCCCAAGGCTGAGGCCGAGGCACCGGCACCGGCACCGGTACCAGCACCGGCGCCGGTGGTCAGCACACCGGCGAGCACCGCACAGCCAGAGGCGCCTCCTGCAGTGCAGCGGATAGCGACGCAGCCGCGGACGGAGGAGCCTGTGACGCCGACGCCAGTAGCACGCACGGTGACCGGCTCGGGCGAGGCGCTCGGCAGCTCGTTCATTGCCGGCGAGCAGTACGAGACAGCGATCAGCAACATGGTCGAGATGGGGTATTCGCGCGACCAGTGCGTCAAGGCCATGCGCGCGAGCTTCAACAACGCCGACCGCGCCGTCGAGTACCTGATTATGGGCATCCCCGAGGCTGCGCTGCAGATGGCTGATGAGGCCGAGGCGCGGGCTTCGGCTGCTGCGGAGGGCCACGAGTCGGCCGAGCCGGCCCAGGCGGCAGCCCCTGCGAGGCCGGCGGCTCGCGCGTCGGGCAATCTGTTCCAGCAGGCTGAGCAGGCGAGCCGCGGCGCGCCGGCGCAGGCGGGTGGTGGAACGTCGTTGGACAGCCTGTATGCGCTGCGCGAGACGCCTCAGTTCCGGCAGCTGCAGCAGATGCTGCGCGAGAACCCGCAGATGCTATCGGTGGTTCTGCGTGAGCTGGCGCAGCAGCAGCCGCAGCTGATGCAGCTTATTTCCGAGCACCGTGAGGAGTTCATGATGATGCTCTTGGAGGGCTTCAGCGAGGAGCAGATGGCCGGTATTTTGCAGGAGACCGACCGGATGGGGCTGACCGAGGACGACGGCTACGATGGCGGCGGCGGCCCAGAGGGCGAGATGCAGATTCGAGTGACGCTGGAGGAGAAGGAGGCCATTGAGCGGCTGGAGGACTTGGGCTTCTCGCGCCAGATCGTCATCCAGGCGTACTTTGCCTGCGATAAGAATGAGGAGCTGGCCGCCAACTACCTGTTTGAGCATGGCTATGACGACATGGAGTAGGTCCATTTCTTGTTTCAGTGTTCGGCTTTGATGTCTCAGTTCTCATAATTTTTGATTTGATTTGATTTATTTTCCACTATATTTTGCTTCTAGCAGTCTCTCACTCACCCACTCGCTCACTGACTCTGTCCTCTTGTCTTGCTTTGCTTTGCTTTGTTTTGTTTTGGTAAATTCATTTACCAAATAGGGAAACTGGGCATACGCGTGGAGGGTATTTAACTGGAGGAACCGGTTGACTAAATGCCAAGACAGACCCACTTCTGTGCTTTCTTCAGTGAATGCATTGCCCATTTTCTACTCTTTACAAAATGTCTTTTGGTGCAAAAGGCGGGATTTTTATTGTTGTTTTGTGAGATGTGGAGGGGGGAAAAATGGGCCCATTTTTTCTTTGACTATGAATATTGTTGTCCTGTCCACGCGTAAAAGCAGTTGCAGGTCATATACTTGATATTTTTCCGCACCTTTCTTTCTCTCCATCTCTTTCGCAAGCTTGCATTATTCTCTATTTTTTATATTCACTCTTTTTCGATATTCCCTCAAGGGTTGTCGTTCCTGTCTCTGTCTTTGTCTCTGTCTCTGTCTCTGTCTCTGTCTCTGTCTCTGTCTCTGTTGTGTGTACCTTGCTGCTTCCTCCAACCCACTTTTCTTATTTTCTTCTTTTTTTTCTTATTTATTACTACTTTTCAAAAACAAAAAACACCCTTTCAATTCCACTTTTTTTCCGTTCATAAAACATTGCAATCCATATACCATCTCATCTTTCTTACTTCATTCTAATTTATATTTATTTTTGAAATGTCGCGCAACAAACCAGGACTTTCGCTTAGCCAGTTGGGGTTTAGTATGGATTCCAGTGCAGGCACTGGACGCTCCCCGACAAATGCAGGCAATCCCACAGTGCATTCTGCTATGGCAGCGCTGCCGCCATCGACACAGGGAGGGAGACCTGCCATGGACGCACGCGGCCTCCGCGGGCCCACAGCGCCCGGGCGACTACAGGGCGGGATGGGACCATCACCCTTCGCCATGTTTTCAGATTTCGTCGACCCCACGGGCAACCTCAGCTTCGAGGGCAAGGCGGTGATCAGCGCGAATGGCGTGGACTTTAGCAACGGCAAAAGCTATAGCATCTCGATGGCCGAGATGCAGGTGCTTGGGGTGCTGGGGCGGGGGCAGTTCGGCGTTGTGCATCGGGTTTTTCATCGGCCGACAAAGGTGACAATGGCGTTGAAGGAGATCCGGCTGGAGTTGAACCAGCGCGCATTGCAGCAGATTATCATGGAGCTGGATGTTCTGCATAAGGCGGTGTCGCCGTATATCGTGGATTTCTACGGGGCGTTTTTCATCGAGTCCTGCGTGTACTACTGCATGGAGTATATGGACTACGGGTCGCTCGACCGCATGTACCCGGCAGGCATCCCGGAGCCGATCCTCGGCAAGATCACGCTCTCGGTTGTCAAGGGTTTGCGGTTCCTCAAGGATGAGATGAACATTATTCATCGGGACATCAAGCCGACGAATATACTGGTGAACCGCCGTGGCGAAGTCAAGCTGTGCGACTTTGGCGTCTCCGGGGAGCTCAACCAGTCGCTGGCGCAGACCCACGTGGGCTGTCAGAGCTACATGGCGCCCGAGCGTATTTTCAAAACTGGCGGCCCCGATGGATACACGATCCAGTCCGACGTGTGGTCGCTTGGCCTGACTATCATTGAGGTGGCCATTGGGCGATACCCGTATGATTTCGGGTCTGGGAATATTTTTGATCAAATTAATGCCATTGTTAATGGGGATCCGCCGAGACTGCCCGGGGATAGGTATTCGGAGTTGGCGTGTGATTTTGTCGCGGGTTGCTTGATGAAGGAGTCGAGTCGGAGACCAGCGTATCAGGAGCTGCTTTTGCATCCATGGTTGGTGCAGGCGGAGGAGAGTGTGGTGGATATGGAGGATTGGGCTGCTAGAGCCCATGCTTTGTTTTTGGCACGCGAAGCACAAAGTACTTGATCTGAATTAACTTTTTTCTTGTGTTTTGTGTGACTAATAGATTTATTTATTATTTATTATAAAATATGGATATGGAAAAAGATTACAGCAAATATTTTAAAAAAAATAAAAGCATACATAAAAAATTCATGTTACGTATGTTTCCCAGCTTGTTATTAATCTGTTATCCGACTGTTATAGTAAGAGGGGAGCATGAGGAGCACTAGTTGTCTAGTGTTAAAAGTTGGGGGTGATTTTATAAAAGGGTTTATTACTGATGTTTCTAAAGTACTACTAGGGCCGGCCTCATCTTATATATGTGCCCTGTCGCCTTTGTTGTGCACATTGTCAATTGTGCGCTCCGTTGATGAGAACTGGATCTTCTGCGAGCAGACCGGTGTCTTGGCAAGTCAATGTTGTGGTTTTTGTGCGTGTACGCTCATGCGTGTGCATTGCAAAATAGGGAGCACGTTTGGGCATCAATGTAATGCCTCCCTGATTTACGCCTACGTTATCCAGTTAGCGTCCTATCAATCAGCACGCAGGTGGAAACCTGTTTCGCGATTCTCGACCTCAACATCCACTTCCATATCTTCAGTCTGCGCAACACGACCATGGATCGTTTCATAATATCGGGTCATAAAATGTTTGTCCCTAAATGTGCACATTACTTAATTATTGTTGACGATTAAAGGCAGAGCTTTTATAATTATCACTGGTACACATCATCAGTTGTTCTGCAAATACAATATTGTATCTACGTTCTATTATAGACACAGTTAGGCCTACACACGGGCGTAATACAGAACGGGCAGTTAGCGGTGTTTGAGTTGGTATTGCATGGATCCATTATTATTGTTTGATGGTGGTGTTGGTTGGTTGGTTGGTTGGCTGGTTGGTTTGATGATGATGCTATTTGCGAGAACTAGTAGGGCTGAACAATGGCTTTATATACCATTTTTTATACATTTTGTATTTAAAAACATAGGGGTAAAAGTAAGTAATAGAGAATTTTGCACATTACTGCTATACTTCACTTTTGCAGAGCTTTAATGTATGCTTTTTCGCATTCGACAACTTGGGGGTACTTTAAAGTGGAAGATTCAAATACTTTATATTTAATTAAAAAATGTGGAATTATTTTTATTTATTGACTTTGAATTATCGTTTTAGAAATAGCCTTTTTACAAAAAGTAAATATTGTTAGACAAATAATTGAATACTTTGTTGTATTGAGAAAGTAAATATTGTTATTTGAGAGCTTGATTTATCAACCATTTTTGATTTATTTTTAATAAGCCGTATACATGTCACAATATAGGCACATGCCTTACTAAGATTAGTTGATTACGCGCGTAGCAATTAAAAATAATGATAAGTTTTTATTATAGTTTATTTATGTGCCAAGGAGAGCATATATGGAATGGCTGTCAGGCAGCCAGAAATTGTTCTCCTTGGAAGAAATAAATATTATTTCCTTAATTATACTTTTGTAACATACATTTAGGCACAACACTTCAACCTTTTCAGCCATTATGCTTAACACATTTTTTGTTTGTTTCTCAGCCAATGTTTTTGAAATAAAGTAAATGTATACAACTTTGCAATGTATCAAAATATTTAAAGTAGCATGTTGTATCCAACATGCTTTCCTACTAAGATTCAACTGTTTATACTGTTTTACTTACAATTAATAAAAAATTAAATGCTAACAAATTGCTATCTATAAATATAGAGCAACCCGGTCTGTTAATTCAAATCTTTTAAACATTACAGTGTTCAAAATCCTCCTGACTCATACATTTACAAAAACACATACCATTCCCACTTTTAAACATGCCTGACATTGCTGTCACTTTCATTTCTGCTCTTGCTGCCGCCGTTGTTACCATTGCTCCTGGTTCCACTGCCAGTTCGATTATGCCATTTGCTGATTTTCCCGGATTTTTTGGAACTGGCTTTGTCGGACCATTGACCACTGGATTTGCCACTAGTGCTGCCATTGCCGGAACTGCTGGATTTCCGTTTGTGAACAGCGCAGCAATTGCCACCGGCGCTGCTGTCGCTGGCACCACTGGTTTCCCGTTTATTAGACGAAATCATCCCACTGGCAATCATCTGGCCAAGCGCTGCGGCGGTGGCGGCTGGGGCGGTTGTGGCGGAATTGGGTGTGGTGGCGGTGGTTGGGGCCGGGGTGGCTTTCCATTTGCAGCCAACACCGTGAATGCATTTGACCGCGACTTTTACGCTGCCAATTTCAATGACAACACGCTGTTTTTCAACAACCAAAACGCCAATGTGGTCAGCGACAACATGCACGCCCCCAATACTGCCAACATCATTGCTTGATTTGGCCAAATTCGGAGTGTCAAAAACAAACACTGCAGTAACATTAGTAGCAGCGATAGCGACAAAAAATACACGAATACATTTGCCCAAATCAGGCTCTATCATTTTTACTCGATTTTAAATATGATGATTATTTTCTATTGTTTTATACATGGACGAGCATTGCTATAAATTCAACTTTAATGCTCAACAAATTAACTTGTTGCTATTGATTTCTGTAATTTCAAGTGGTGCCAATAATAAAAAAAAAATAAGCAGATGAATCAAGAAAATATGGATAAAACATATGTACAAGCAAATTTTGCATTGCATTCATCAATTTGTCACTTAAATGTATTTTATTTAAAGTTATTTGTTGGACTGCCAGACAGATAAAAAATTGTATATATAAAGCGACAATGAGCGTCTCATATTCCAAGAAATAATTATCTTCACAACACTGCTCATTTGGCTAACACTTTCCACTTTAAATTAAATACCAACTACAACCACAACACAAATTTACAATAAAAATGTCTCACTTCGCCATTATCGTTGTTTTTTCTGCTATTGCTGCCTTTATTGCGCCTGCTGCCAATGCCAGCCCCGTTTCTGCCAGCTATCAGCCCACCAAAAACACTTGCGGCGGCAGTATCAACGGTGGCAGTGCTTATGGCAATTCTTATCCCTACAATGCAGGATATAACAGCAACGTTTACCCCTACGGCGGAGCATACAATGGGTACAATAGCTACGGTGGTGCTGGCAACTACGGCAATGCTGGCAACTATGGAAATACTGGCAACTATGGCAACTATGGCAATGTTGGCAGCAACGGCGGCGCTGGCGGCTACGGAAGCTACACATCGGGCTTTCCAATTGCGCTCAGCACGGTCAACAAGCTTGACAGCAACTCGTTTGCTGCCAAATACAAGGATGACACTGTTTATGTCAACAACAAGGACGCCAGCGTGAGCAAGGACCATATTAACAAGTTTGACAGCGTCAATGTCATTGCTTGATTAACATTTTGATTATTGCCAATATTCATTTATAGACATAGACATACATATACATATATTTATAGATAGACGCAAATAAATTAAATTGCTAGACAAAAGCTCAATTTAAAAATGACATAGATTTACCTGTAGCTAAATATGATTGGCAACATTTATGCATGTTTTATCATTGATCACCTCGCAGATCATGTATTCAAAATGTAATGTTTTCACATACACCTTTTTTAGTTGTAAAGGTTAAACTGTAACTGCTATTAAATACGTTATCAGATGTATCTACTCGCACCCCCTTTGCAGCCTGTTAACTGAAACCCCAACTCAACAACTCAACTACTGAACGAATGACTGATTGAATGACTGACCATCATTGATGCAACTATACTTGCTGAACAGCTTGCTATTTTGCTTCAAATATTCACTCCACTTTTTCTTAAAAATATGTTGCCAGATTTTGTATATAAAACAGACAGCTGTTTCCCCTCATAAAATTACAAATAAAAACATTACAATTACAATTACATTTGTATTGAGAACTCGCTTTAACAGACATCAACGGTTTCATTCATTCATCTACATACATAAAAACAATGCTTAACAACTTTTCCACCGTCGCTGTCTTTGTCTTGGGTGCCGTTTCGACCGCCACTGCCCATGATGCCACTGCTGCAAATAGCAACAGCGTTCAGCAGCCGCATAACTTTGCCAGAAGCAACGTCGAGCATGGTCATTAAGGTCATCGTGTAGCCAAGCGCTGCGGTGGCTGGGGCGGTTGCGGCAGAGTTGGGTGCGGTGGCGGTGGTTGGGGGTGGGGTGGCTTTCCATTTGCTGCCAACACTGTAAATGCATTTGACCGCAACACATTTGCTGCCAACTGCTGCGACAACACAGTCTTTGCAAATAACAAAAACGCTAATGTAGTCTGCAACAACTTGCATGCGCTCAATGCTGCCAACGTCATTGCGTAAGTCAACACAAAATATAAGTATATCCAATTGTATGTGGCTTGATCTACTCGAATGATTTCAGCGCTAGCTCCTTTTTTGCTAAATACCCCTCGGACATTTCTATAAATAAATATTATAACAATAAAATTTGGCACATTACATTTTATAGCATGGCTTTAATACATGGAAGCCACAACAATATATAATTTATATACTATACTAACTAAAACAATAAGTGAGCAATTGCAAAGCCACAGAAAATAGGGAAAATAAAAATGCTTGCTTAGAGAATAATCTATATACACAGTTGTCCTCCCTGCTTTCTGTATATCATTGATACTTAAAAGCATTGTTTTAAATATTAAATTAAAATCCAAAACAAAATAAACAATTAAACAGAAACAGTCAAAAAAAATACAGCAAGCATTCCAACATAAAATTGTACCAAATTGTATAATAGGCCCAGATAATTTATTGAACAATTACCGTTATGCTATTTTGCTATTATTCACATTGAATGCCAAATGTTTTTAAAAATATACACCACTTGTTTACATAAATATAGTACCAGAATTGATATGAGGATACTTTTCATTTCATTTGCCTGGCTGTTATTTGACAATGGCAATCCCCAATATAAAAAAGCTACTGTATTTTAATAATAGAAAACAATTGGCATTAATGCGGAAAGTCCCCGATTGCCCTCGAATAAACCATCGATGCATCTTGGAAAACAGCCCGGTTCCTGTTGAATTCAAATATCCAAATATTTACATATTTTTGTTTTGTCCCAAAAAGCCTCGGCGACCAAGCGCCTCTCCTCAAAAAACCCACACAATCCGACATGTATATAAGCGCGACATCCATCGCCATATTCCATAACGAGATCGACATCAACTTATCTCAAGTCTTCATTACACCAACCTAACCCACTCTTTACTTTCCAATATGAAGCTTTTCGTACTCGCGCCTGCTGCCCTCCTTCTCGCCGTCTTTTTCACCGCCAAGCCCGCAGCCAGTTTGGAACTTTCCAAGGAGCTCACGGACGCCTTCAAGTCGTCGGCGAAGATAGCTGAAGACGCTACCACCTCTGCTCTCAAGTTGATTGATCAATTTGACATCGAGAAAGATGATCCGGAGAAGTTTTTTGATGAATTGCTTGATATACTCGAAAATGCCAAGACAAGAGCTGATAAAGCCCAAGAAATGGTCATCAAGGATTTGTTGGAGTTGGTAGAACCCGAGGAGGAGGTCAATGTTTAGACCGATTAATTTAATTTTTAGTTTAAATTTTGATTGATACAAATATATATATATCGCCATTAATATCCTAAAGGAATAAAGCTATGTTGCCATATCAAAAATATTTAAATAAATAAGTTAAAATGTAATTAAAGTGTAAAATAAAAAATGACTAGAAAAAATATAACACAGGCACACATCTCAATCTCTTCTAAAAAAGCATTTTAATTTTTCTGTGTAGTTGATCTTTTAGAGCATTTTGCGATCCCACGTACCCACGGACCGACTGCGTCGTCTATGTGCAGCCCCAATAGCCCTGCGATTCCTCCTACCCAAACTAACGCCCTGGGCCAGACCCTGATCTAAGCCGAGATTAATGTGAATCTCCGCCTTTGGATCAAACAACCTCTTCGCTGCCGACATATCCTCCAGGGGAACCCCCATAAGCGTAGAGTCACTCGTCGGGCTCTCCACCTTTGCCACCCCCATTGGGTCCATAGAAGCAAGGCGGGCAAAATCAGTAAACGAGCTTGTCCGCGGCAAAGGCGAGTTACGACCAAGCGACCCGCCACCGGAGGAAATTGAAAATGGCGATGCCGGGCGAAGAGCGCGCGGAGTGGCATTGCTAGATGGCAGTTTAAGCGAGTCCAGCAACTGCTCAGCGGTCATGTCGTTTGTATCCATGGCTGCACGTCGCTCGCTGCGGGGCGGCCAATGCATGGTAGATGATTTCGTCGGGGTCTGCGGGCGCGAAAACGAAGTCGATGAGGATGATGGGCGCTTATAGTGCGAGAAATGACCAATGGTTGATGGCGCAGAGGGCTTGGGCGATGTGAACAACGTGGAGGAGGACAGCTGGGCGTCCATTAGCCCCGTCATGCTTGTGATGCTGCTGGTGTCCAGAGTGGTCATAGACTCTTGGCTTGACGCAAAGAAGTTGCTGCCAACCATTGGCGACCGGTGCAAGCGTCGGGCGGGGGGATCGTCAATGTCGGTGGTTATGGTGGAGGAGCGCGTGCGCGGCGGGTTGGCCATGCGTGCGAGGCCCGAGCCGCGGCCCTCAGACTCGAACCCCCGCGCGGGGTCAAAGGTGCGCGGCGGCGGGGTAAATACCGAGGACAGGGTGGCTGCGTGGTGAGCGGGCATGTTGCCAATGACGGAACTCGCACGCTGGCGCAACTTGAAGTGCGGTCGTGGCGCAGGCAGGGCGTCAGCCAGCGACTCGGTCAGATCATCAATCAGCGACTCGGACATTGGAGCAGTGCTCGGCTCTGCCACTGTTACGACGGGTTCCTTGAAAACCTGGGCGGCTGGCGTGCTTGGCGCGGACATCAGGGCAAGTGACCTGGCCAGACTCATGACTGGCGACATGGGCAGCACTGAGGGCAGCTCGGGCGCGGTATCAAACGCAGCCTTGCCAGCCTCTGTCGGCGCAGCACCGGGAATTGCCACAGGGGTGGGTGCCGGTGACGTAGCAGCTGCTTCGCCGGACACTGGGGCAGCGGGAGACAACATTGTGCGCGGCAGCGTCGGCACATGGCGAGACTCGGACCGCATAGAGAGCCTGGACTCGGACCGGTTCTCCGTCTGCAGCCTAGCCATCTGCTCACGAATAAAGTCTGCAGCCTGCTGCAAGTACTTCGCCTGTGTGCGCTTGAGCTCAAACCCTAGTGCCATTGTAGTGTTCTCCATGCTTTTCTCGATGTCCATCAGTTTCTTGAAGTAATCCGCCTCCTGGCTGCTCTCTCTGGTCTCTACGTACTGCTTTTCAAAAAACGCCTGGTCCACAATCTGCATCTGCTCAATGGGCTGCGACCGCTTGACCACAAGAGAATCAAGGTGGCCCTCTTCGCCAGCTTGGTCTCTGGTGGCCATCTTGAGGAGCTGGGTTTCAGTCAGGCCCATGGCCTGCAGCCTAGCCTTGTATTTCTCGCAGCGCTCCAGGAGCATGCATATCTGGTCCGAGAGTTCATTGCACTTTGACGCGTGCATCTCCTTGACCTGGTTGATCTCACGGTCGACACGCTGCCGTGTAGTGTCCAGCCGTATCCGCATATCTTCTACCGTTTTTCTGTGCGCATCCTGATCGCGGTCGAGACTCGCAGTGAGGTGGTCTACTTCACTCTGCAGATCCTGGTTGAGCAGCTCGAGGTCGAGAACCTGCTCCTGGTACTCTGTAATTTGGTTTGCATGGGACATGCGCAGAGAATCCATCTGCCGCATCAGGTCGAGAACGGCATCGTCGCTGTGGATGGTTGTATCCCGCGTCGTCTGTTGTCCGCGACTGACCATGGTGCGCTCGGTCTGCACGCCCACAGAAAGCACAGCGGGGTTTCTGCTGCTGGTGGTGGTGTCGTTGCTGCCGATAACATTCTTGCCGCCGACACCATTGCTGCTGCCAATGCGTGTAAAGGGGTTGGGAACGGCGCGCAGACCCGACACAGGCTGCTCAGCCACCTTGCTGTGCAGTTCAGGCAACTTTGGGGCATTACGCAGGACCTCTTCGGTAGTTGGCAAAGCCACAAGCGTATGCGCACGCGCTCGGGGCACAATCCGACTCGACAAAAGTGGGCTCGGCTTACCAAACATTTTTTCAGGCACCTGCGTTGCCGCTGTTGTTGCTGCTGCTGCTGTTGCGGGGCCGTTGTACCATGATGAGTATTTGGTGCTGCGTGGTTGCGCGCGCACTTCGGCTGGTTTAGTGGGGACATCTATATCGGCGAGCCTGGCGGTGGATCTTTTGAAGCAGCGCTCGGAAGTGTCTGAGGTTTTGGAGGAGACTGAGTCAGAGCGCTCCATGCCAATGGCTTTGTCCAACGAATCCACGGGTTGTCCACTGCCGCTGCTGTTGCTGTTGCCGGCGGGCCTGGGCTTTGTACTATCCGAAAACGCTATCGTTGGCCGCTCGCCAACCACGGTGCGAGCGCGGCGGCGCTCGATAAAGTCGATAAGCTCGGATTTGTCCGAACTGCCCATTGGTGGATCCGCCACCGCTGGCGCTGCTGCTGCAAAAAAAGGTGGCGGCGAGCTGGATTGGAATGGCTCAATGACCACCTGTTTCTGTCTTGGATATTTAAGCTGCGCAATCGGGCGCTGCACCTGTGGTGCGGCAGGCAGATTCAACGGCTGTGTGCTGATTGGAACAGCGGGCAGTGTCCGGGTAGCCTTCATATCGACAAAATCACGAATAGCGGCGTGAGCCAGCTCACTCGCAGGCGCACGCGTAGGAGCAGCAGCAGCAGCAACAGAGGCAGTGTTTCCGGCTCTCATGGGCGCCCGTCCCATTTCAACATGCAAATTAGCCGACACGCGCTCCGCCACAGCCACCGCCGTAGGCGCGCTTCCAGTCGTATAGACGCTGGTGACCCTTGGTTTTGTTGGCAACGGCATGGCGCGGCCCAGCATATCCGCAGACGCTGTGGCCACAACGGTTCTCTGCGAGACAAGCGGCGGCTGGATTTCCGTGGCCACGAATAACTGCGGGGGCAAAGGGATCTGATGAGCATATGGGTTGTTATCTGCTTGGGAGCGCGGCTTAAGGCGGGAGGACTCCGGGGTGCGCTGCGGCGAGTACAGCGTCGCGGTGCCGCCAGTCATTGAGTCTCTGCTGGACTGCGCCAATGGCATCGTGCGCGGCTGCACGGGGGTTGTTGGCCGAGAGTGCCGCGTTGCACGCACCACCGGAGACGGTGGTGTTTGCACCCGGGGTGGCTCCACGCGGGTGACTTGCGCCAGGGGCTTTCTCGCTTCAATGTTCAGCGTTTGGCCCTGCGGTGCTCCGCGGTAGGGGTCAAAGTAGTCGGCCACGGCGTATTTGACTGCGCCCGACGACTGTGGTCTGGCTTTTGCCGCTGCCGGTATTGATGGTGGCGTTATTGTGGGTGCGTTGTGTGGTGAGAAGTATTGCGCCTGGTACATGGGCGTTGTTTGTCGTGGGCCGCCTGGGGCGTTTAAGGGCTGGGTTACTTGGTATTGCGACCGCGCCCAAGACTGTAGGGTGACGCCATTGGCTGCTGTGCCGATGCCGGTGCCGATGCCTGTGGTTGCATTGGTGCTGACTGCTGGGTTGACTGTTGTGTTGGTTCCTGTGTGGCTGAAGGACGCCTGGTGGAGCGCCGGCCGTGTTTCGCCTGTGTTATTACCGGATACTCGCCGGCTGCGTGTCGAGCTGGGCAGTGCCTTGTAGGTAGCCTGCTGGCTTGTGTACATTGTTGAGAAAAAACCACCCTGCTATTTTTCCCCTTGCTGTGAGTTTTCCGAGTAGACTCGCTGCTCTTGTGTGTAGCGTAAACAAAAGATATAATAAAAAAGTACAAAGAAAATAAAATAAATAGTGCCGATAAAGTTGGAAAGAAAAAAGAGAGGCAGAAAACGCACACTTGGAACCACAAAGAAAGAACTGAGGATACAATATATAAAGGGGGGAAAAGAGTGTCTGAATTCTGAAGAGCCTTTTGAAACCCCGAATTTGGAAATTGTCGACAAGAAGGAAAGAAATTGAAATTAGAAGAAAAAATGAGAAAGCAAAAGTGTGGGTATGTGAATTTATTATTTTACGTTTCCTTTATTTCCACTACCAAAGTGTTGGGAAAATAAAAAATATTAACAAGAATGTAAATACGAAAAAAAGGACAAAGCGTTCAACAAAAACCAAAAAATAATTACAAAAATAAAAGCATTAAAATCACCTAGAAAAATTTGAAAAGAAAAGAAAAAGGAAACAAATGACGACGACAATGATGACGATGTATCCTCAATTCACTTTCAATTTTGTATAAAAAATTAAAGAGAAATCCGTTCGAGTTGCTGTTGTTTTAATTTTTCTCATTCGGATATTGCACAAAAAAATTAAACAAATTCCAGCACCAAATATGCACGTTATTTTTTCTTCCATGTTTTTGCTTTCGAATTAAAGGCAAAAAAGTGGCTTTTTCATCACACTACTGCTTTAATTTTTAATTGCCCACATTGCCAACATTGCCAATAGCAGCGGGGAGGGGGCTGTCATGCAAATGAAAGCAGGGAATGAAGGGAGGCGAAGATACGACAGCTTGTGGCATTTACTTTTTTCGTTGCGTAATTTCCATCCTTTCTGCAGAAAACATTGGGGGAGTGAAAAAAGACCATTTGCACTCTTATTTCGATAAAGTAGACATAGAAAAACAAACATTTATCGCATATACACCTTAAATAGTGACAGAATATTGGGGGGGGGGTTGTGTGATAAGTTGGCAGCTGTTGAAATACACACACAAAAAGCCTATTGAGGCACTACTTCATCTTTACATCACATGTCACAACTCATCTGCTCATCTGGCTGCCCTCTTTTTTCCTTGTATCTCGACCGACCTCAGCGGAGCAGAAAACGAAAACAAAGAAATCACAATCGATGTGTACTATTTTCTAGCATGGGCACTTTAGCTGACACTACAAAAAAGATATGTTTCTCTCTTTTTATAGGCACAAAATATTTATTTACCATGGGTTGATGCATTCTCAGAAGCAGCCGCCATAAACAATAGAGAGAGAGCCATGCTGCAGTTATCGATCCCGATACTGCGGATCCATCTGAGCTGTTTTTTTATAATCATTACATCCCATGTGAATCAAAAAATGGCACATATTTTCATTCTAGAGTTACGCTTAGCGTGTGCGCTAAGAATAATTGTAATACAAAGATATCAAAGCCAGCCGCTATAAATATAAATATGAATATGAATATGAATATGTATTTGTCAGAGTGATTGTACTCTTCAAAAAAAAAATCAAACGAGTTTTCATCCTCATGTTCGTCAAAGGATTCACGGCTTGGCTAAACAATCCTAAAAATATCAGGCCAATCCCAGACAAATGGGTAAGGCAGCGGAAGAAAAAAAATAAAGAACACTCGGAAGCCATGAGGGGATAATCAAGCTGAATTTCTCTTTTTTCCTCCTTCCTTTTTCTACTATTAATAATAATTTTTTATGCTATTTGCTCTGGTAATTTATTCTTCCAAAATAAAATTTCAAATTCCAAAACACCTTTTTCTTCTATTTTGCATATCTAGATTTCGCTATTTTATAAATGTCACTTTCTAAGGGTCGCGCCAGGCCGCCAGTAAAGAGCAAAGCTCCAGCAACTCTGGCAGAGGGGTTGTCAAGAGACAGTGCTGATCCGGACAGCGTGGTGAATACTTCCGATGCAGGCCACGACACCGGCTCTCAGCAAAAGGTAAACGACAGTACGGAAAGCGCCTCACACCCCATTATTTGATATTTGTTTAGTTTAAACGCAAAAAAACAGTATTACTAACCTATTTTCTTGCTTTATTTCCATAGGGCAAACATAACACAAGCGGGCAGCCAAACAGTCCGCCACGAGCAAAGCCTGCTCGACCACCTACCGCCACAATGCCAATGCCAGTCCCAGGGCCAATGCCAGTGCGCATAGCACCAACGCATCCCTCAAACTCATTTGCGCCAGCTCCGCCGGCGGGCGGCGACTACTCCTTGAGGCGAATTATCGAGTTGTATGGCGAGCAGGCTGATTTGTTGCGGGTTGTTCTGTCAGCAAAGACAGAGCAGGATAGGGCGCGGGCAGAGTACGAGAGGCGCGTGCAGGAGGAGTGGCGGTATGAGACGAGGAGGGTTGAGTTTGAGATGATGCTGCACGGGAATTACTTTAAGCAGCAGGAAAGGGAGTACGAGCAGCAGCAGCAGCAGCAGCAACAGCAGCAGAATAGGCATATGGGCGTGGTGGTGTCTGGTGGAATGCACCGTGAGATTCATTCGCCAATAGGTACAGAATCACCAGCAACTGTTATTGTTGTTGCATTTTATTTGTGTTTTCGTGCGGGATGTGGGAAGAAATGCATTGTTTTTGTATTGCTTATTAAATGGTTTTTTATCTACTTGTTTTTTTGCAACTGATTGTAGGCCCTCTGCAGCAGCAACAACAGCAACAGCCACCTCTTTCACTTCCGCCACAGGGCACGCATCATCATCCGCAAACGCCAGCCATGGCAACACCGGCAGGGTACGGATCATCGTCGCACGACCCTTATCGAAACGTCCGCTCATATCACCACCCGGACACACCCGGCGGACTGGACGGCCGGAACCCAAACCCGTTTGCTTTCTTCAAAATGCCACTTGGAGCCCCCCTCCACCACCCATCAGCTTATCCGCCGCAGCAAAAGCCCAGGCCACCCATGCGCGATCGCAAAGTCGCCCCGGCCATCAGTGGACTGTCCGTGCGTATTGTCGACCATGGGGGCAACATTGACGACGGCAACGTGCCTCAGTCGGCTCCTGTGGATGGACCGGCGGCGCAGGCGAAGCGGAAAATTTCGCACGATGAGGTCATTATGGCGTTGAGGCGCAAGGTTATGGCCAAAGGCGGCAGCACCAATAACAATGGCGGGTTTGGCGGGCCTTTGGCTGCTGCCTCTGCCGCGACCTCTACGGTTTCGGCTCCTGTCTCGGCGACTGCCGCTGCTGTGGCCAGACAGTCTTCGCTGGGCATTATCACGAATGTCGCCGAGGATGTGGATGTGGAGGAAGCGGTGGCTATGTCATCGTCGTCTTCGGAATCGTCTGATGCTTCGGCTTTGGCTGCCATTAATGAGGGCAGACGAGGCGGCCAGCAGCAGAGGCTGCCTTCTATATCAGATATGCTGGAGTCTGAGAGCACACGGAGTTCTTAAATCTATTTTAAGATATGTTGAAAAAGTTTTTTGTTTTTTGTTTTTTTATCCCTTTTTCGTTTCGTTTCGTTTCATTTTATTTCGTTTCATTTTTCTTCAGCGCCTAATTTTCTATTATCTTTTTTAAAGGGGTCGAAAACGCACATAATGGATAGTAAACATGTGAGGGTTTTGAAAAGAACAAAGATCAACCTGTGTGGTGTTTATTTTTATTTTATTTTAAGGAGCAGAGATAAACCGAAATAACAGAATAAAATAGGTTTCTACAAAGAGGTGCATGTGTTAATCAGGCTTTTCTTTGTGTATATTTTATTTTTATTTTTCTCAATTGGACCCTCTCCTAATTTGCAATTTACTCTTTGCAAAAAAAAAAATAGTATTGGCATTGACGACACCGTCAATTAGTAACAGAAAATGTGGAGATTTTTTATTTTATTTACGATCTGCTTATTTTTGGGCGATTGGGACCGTTCCGGATAAAAAAAATTCAAAGAATGGTCCTCTTTTTTCTATACTTCACATTCATTCATTCATTCATTCATTCTTTCTTCCTCTATTTTTTTGGTTCTATTTCTTTATTTATTTTTTGCGCGTACGCTCAGTCTTTTTATTTCCTATTTTAATTGTTTATTTTTTTTACACATTTATATTTTTGTTCTTACAAGTATTTTAACCTTGTTATATTTCATTCTTGTTTTTATTTCTGTAAAAACCTACTATTCCACCATATTCTTTTTTTACCTTCCTTCCTTTATCCCTTTTTTACACTATTCTCCGACCTTTTATCACTTTCCCTCACATCTTTATTTTCGCTTGCTCACACAAAACAAAACACAAAGCACAAAACACAAAAAACACCTTTTTTATACAACAATAATAATTAATCCCACATAGCTAACACAAAAATGAGAGAGGACACGGAGCAAAACCAAGTCTCCATACGTATTTCCAAAGACAGCTACATGTTGCTAGCAGACGGTCGATGGCAACAGCACGCCTCCCAGGCTAATTTCCGCAGCATCCCCGGCGCCTCCAATTCCTCCGGCAACATTCTCCTCAGCAATGGACTCAAAGAAATTCCGCTTGAACTGGGTCTTGTTCCAGGGTACCATGGCCCGGTGAGTATTGAAATAGTGGTCAGCGGTGAGGCCATAGAGGAGGCCGAAGTCTGGGTGCAAAGGGCAGGACGGCCGGGAATTGAGACCGTGCGGTTGGCGCAGAGCGCCATTGGGTTTACAGCACAGTGGTTGTGTACGGCGACGGGGGATGCGGAGCATATTTCTATGCAGATCATGATGAGCGGCGGTGTGATGACCGGTACCTTGGGCACCCTGGATATCAGCGTCAGTGGGTGCGGCGACCTGGCAGTGGACTCGGCAACTAGTGAGTTTTCGGAGCACGTGTTTTGCCAAATGTTTGAGCACCGCGAGGCGCGCAAGCAGCAAGGGAAACAGCAGCAGCAGCAGCAGGCGTTAACGCGGAAACACCCGCTGTTTAGCGCATGGTCGGCCGAGGATGGCCCAGTGTTTCGTGCGACGCTGAAAGAAATGGAGGAGCAGGCGCAGGCACAACGCAGCCGGTACAGGGACCTAAGCAGACAAACGGCGCATCTACGGGAGGCCCATCAAGTATTCATGAAGCAGTTCCAAGACGCCATGGATTTGTTCCAGGGAATGCCCCTGTTTGCGCCGCTGCACGAAAGCTTTGTACTGCCGTTGTGCCAGGACATTGCGCAACTTCTCAGTACCGTATGCCTGAACTGGGATGCTGTGGTGGTTGGGGGTGCGCGCAAGCTATACGAGGCGTCGTTCAAGCAGCTGGACGAGAGACGCACTGAGTTCAACCAAGCATCAGAGCAGTTTGAGGGCGATTTGGCCAAGCATCTAAGGACAAAAGCAGGCAAGGATGACTTGAAGAGGGACGAGGCCTTTGGCCGCGTCAAGTTGCAGTTTGACAGTGTGCGGTGGACGTACTTTTTGGATCTGTGGAATGCCACGCGCGGCTGGGCCGAGGCTGAAATGTTCATTGCTGCGCTCAAATGGGCTAAATCCGTTATGCGTGCACGAGAGACTTGCAGGACGCCAATGGTCGGTCAGGGGACGGTTGGTTGGTTCTTGGGGAATGTGGCCAGGGCGTGCGAGGAGATTAGGCTGGAGAAGAGCGAGGTCACGGAGTTCCATGCGTTGATGCTGAATACAGCTGGCGCTGTGGCGCGCGAGGAGGACGAGTTTGTGCGGGTGTCGCTGGACGGCGCCCAAGACGACTTGGCTGCTAAGCAGGAGCAGGGCCAGGACCAGGACCAGGACCAGGGACAACAGCAGCAAAAGAAGCAGCAGCAGCAGCCACGGCGCCGAGTCGGCGCACTGCGGTTGTCGGCCGTGCAGTCACCCGATGACTCCAGCGGCAGCAGCAGCCAGACGACAGGGCCAGCGGGCATTCCGGTCAACTGCGGCAGCCTGTCCAGTATTGCCAGCCTGGCAAGCATTGTGCCAGCCGAAGGCACCCGGCTCATCCCAACCCCCACCGCCACGACAGCTGCGTTCTCGCTGTCCGCAGGAATCGAGCGCGAAGGGTTTTTGTTTTCGCGCAGCAGCAGCAACGGCAGCAGTTCTTCGCAGGGCAGCGGCGGCGTGTGGCGCCGACACTGGTGCGTGACTCGCAACGGCCGCTTCTACCGCCATGCGCCCTGGCGGCCACTCGAGACTGACACGCGGACGCCCGAGTCGCTGCCGCTGACCACCGCCACGGTGCGCGTGCTGATGCCCGAGGCAAAGCCGGCGGCAAGGCGCCGGTTCTGCTTTGAGCTGATTACTCCGGCGTACCATGGTGTGTTCCAGGCTGGATGCGACGCCGAGATGGCCGCGTGGGTCGATGTTCTGCGCCGCGGGATCGAGCACAGTCTGCTGCACAGCGCTAGCAGCAGCAGCGTTGATAGTGTTCGGGATTCCGGGCACGTGCTTGTCAGCCGCTTCAGCCGCCTGTCGTATTTGACCAAGACGCCATCGTCATTGTACACTGCGTCGACGGTTTCCGTCCCTGCGCTTGCGCTCAATAGCAGCAGCAATGTTAGCAGCAGCGGTAGCGGCAGCACGGGCGAGGAGGAGGCGGATGTCCTGGCCAGGCTCATGGTGCAGCCCGAGAATGCGCTGTGCGCAGACTGTGGTGCAGCGCGGCCCGAGTGGTGCTCAATCAACCTCGGCTGCCTCGTATGCATTGAGTGCTCGGGCATTCACCGCGGGCTGGGCACACACGTGAGCAAGGTCCGCAGTCTGACGCTGGATGTGACGTCGTTTACGCCGCCAACGGTCGCGCTGCTGTTGGCCACGGGCAATGCCCTTAACCACAGCATCTACGACCCCAGGGGCAAATCGTCGGGCGGCGGTCGGCAGCAGTACATTGAGCTCAAGTATGCGCAGCGCGCGCTGGTCGATCGTGGCTGGGCGGTTGAGTCTGGGTCGGCGCTCGCCGCGGCGCTTGCAAAGCTCGAAGCCGCCGGCTGGCCGCTGCTGGTGTCGTTGGGCAGCAAGCAGCAGCAAGCGGCGGTGGCTGGCGTATGGGGTGTCGAGCGCGCCTCGCGGCTGCTGTTTGCCGCCATCGAGTGCGGCGACGTGGGCGCAGGCCTGCGTGCGCTGGCTCTGGGCGCCGACGCCAACGCGCGGCTGCATATTGGCAGCGATATCGCGGTAACGCCGCTGCTGGCAGCGCTGTTTGGCGTGCCGGCATTGCCCGACCTGCTGAGCGCGCAGCCCGGCGAGCACCCGGTCGCCAGCCTGCTGGAGATGGCCGAGCTGCTGGTGCTCAACGGGGCCAGCGTCACGTGGACGGACGACGCTAGCCGCATGACTGCGCTGCACGCGGCCTGTGTGGCCGACTCTCCGCTGGTGGCGCAGTACCTGGTGGACAAGGGCGCCGATGCGCTGGCCACGGTGCGCGACGGGCTGCGGCCTCTGCAGATGGCGCGCGGCAGCCAGACGCGCGAGGTGATGCTGGGCGCCACGCGGCGCGCCGAGAAGCAGCGCGCCGAAAACACGCTGCCGATCCTGTCGGCCGCCGAGATGCCGCAGTCACGGCGCAGCATCGACGGGCACACAGTGATGTCGGCCGCCAGGCGGTTCACGCAGTCACTCGGCGGCTCTGGCGGCTTGGGTGGCTCGCGGATGAGCGTGTCGACGGAACGGCCCAGCATGATGGAGCTCGGCACGCCGGCGGACGCGGCAGCCGTCGGCTTGAGTTTGGGCGGTGGCTGGCTGACGTCGTTTGGCGGCGCGTCGGCCAAGCGGGAGAGTGTGCGCCGCCGCGTTGTCAGCACGGCGAGGGAGCGGCGCCGCGAGATGCTGCCAGCCATAATGTCGGACAACGATGAGCCGCCGTCCAGCGACGAGTTCAAGATGGCGCGCAGCAAGTCGCTTGTGCGCTCGGCGTCCGCTGCCGTGGCCACGTCGCCTGTCGACGAGTCAGCGCCGCTGCAGATGGTTCCGCTGATGGACGCGCCGGTGCCGCTGCGCACGTCGCAGTCGACGCATGCGCTCAAGAGTGCCGCCGACCCGCTGACGCCGACGACGCCCGGCACGCAGCAGCGGCCAAAAACATCGCTCAGCGCGACCAGCTCGTTTGTCGACATCAAGAGCGACATGTCGTTTTCAAAGTCGTTCGACGCCTCGCGGTTCCACGCCAACTTCTACGGGCCGATGGAGGACAGTGAGGAGGACACAAAGTGGGGCAGGAAGCGGAGCAAGTCGAGGGGCGCGTTCGGCCTGAGGATGTCGTCGAGCGCAGAGGGCTTCTCTGCCTTTGGCCCGCCAAAGATCGAGGAGGGCGGCAACGCGGGCAAGAGCGTCTTCAGGCTGCTGCAAAAGCAATCGCGGATGAGCTTTAACGGCCTGTTTGGCAGGTCCGACAAGAAGCCCGCCTGAGAGCCGAGCTGATTTATACCAATATATTTTCTATTTGCCTACGCAAAGTAGTAAGGTCCTGGTGTTTTATTGCGCGTGCGTGTGCGTGTGAGGTTGATGCATCGGTAAATAGGTCACTCGCAGTAACCCCCCCGCGTAGCAAAAATAGAAAAAAAGGAACAGCAGCAGCCCTCTCTGTTTGTCGTTCAAATACCACATTATTTTAAGTTGTGCTTTTCGACATAAATACGCCAGCGCAGGGGGCGACCCTTGCTCAGCAATGCCTCTTTCTTTGCTATTGAAGACCCTACAAGCGTGGAGGGGATTAATACAACACTTTAGCTTGCAACTTTATGAAATTATCCCACCGCCAATGTCCGCCTCGTTCTGCACCGATGTCTCGCAGCTCTCACACAAATGCGCGTTTCTCTTTTACAGCACAACCAACAGCAGCTACGCGTCAACGCCCGACGCGCTAGTGACGCAGCTCGTATCGGCCATCACCAAATCACTCTCCAATGCACACTTGCCCGGGAGCTGCCGGAAAGCGATCCTCGCGCTGTCCTGCTCGGTCGTCCTGCCCGAGTGCCCCTCGGCCGACGCACAGCTGCCGCATTATTCGGAGCTGCTGAACCATGTCGCTGCCTCCTGCCGCGTGAGCGTCGACGACCTGTCTGACCGTCTGCTGCGCACCGCTGCTTCGAATGGGAGTCCTGAGTGGTTTGCCCTGGTTGATATGGTCTGCGTTGCTGTATTTTTCATGGTGGCGTGCGTGTGCGCGTTTTATTTGCTTTCCCAGGGCGAGCGCATATACTCTGATCTGACCAGCTTTGCCGCCCCTCAGAGCCCGTCGCTGGCTTTCTCCGAGGCTTCTGAGAAGGACGTCCAGGGCGCTGGCGAGAAGCCGCAGCTTGGCTCCATGGATGCTGTTTTGATCAATATTTCGTAAAAAATAAATAAGGAAATTAACAAAGCAAATATGTCTAAATTCTCAAAGAACATGCGCCGTATCGTGGCTCCTAGGAGAAATGCGCCCAGGGATTTCTCTCTCATGCCGCCGCCGCTGCCGCCAAAAAACATCACCAGGAAGTACGGCGTCCGTGGATCCAAGCATGGGTCCGAGCATGGATTGCGCACGCCTTTGGCCGAAATAAGCACGAATGCTCCATCGACCAGTGTCAGAAAGAGGGCTGGCGATAAGGACAAGGATGATGGTAAGGACAATGGTGGTACTGTTCCGTCGTCTCTGCCGCTGCGCAAGCCACGTACAAGTATCAACTCTGGTGCCGATGGGTTCGTCCTTGATTTAGCGAGCAGCAGTGTGGAGCCTGATCACGATCCTCTGCGTGGCGCAACAGAGTTGGGTGACGAATCAATACCCGGCGGATCAACTGGTAACCCATCCACATCGGCTGGAGAGGCACTCTGCCGGGGCGCAGCGCCGATTGCTGCGTGTCCGGCAGCTGAGTCGGAATCACAAATACTCGCGCGGCTCAAGTCCAACTTCAAGTCTGATAATGCCAATGGCAATGTTGATATTGATGAGCTGGCTCTGCTGTTTTTGTCGCATGCACGCAAAAGGAAGAGAAATCTGCCACAACCCTCCCACCCACTTCAGCCTAGTAACAGCAGTCTTTTACACTCCACTATTGTTGACGAGGTCTTTATGCTTTGTAAAACACACCGCTCGGCCTTGTAAAACCCAAGAAACTAAAGTAAAAAGGTCTCCAAAAAAATTATGCTGCTTATAAAAAAACAAAAGAACAAAAAACAAGGCTCTTTCCACAAAAGATGGGAGGAAAAAAAATAATAAATGCGCAGCTTGTTTTTATCGAAAAAAAGTTTGCATTCTTTCTCGCACCTTCCTTCGCTCCAACTCTCGCTTTCTTCTCTCTTTTTCTCATACAAATTCATATTCCAACTCCTTTTTATCACTCACTTTTGTAATTCAGTTTTTCATATAATTTTTAGGGCTCTGCTTATATTCTCTTTTTTAGCCTTTACTATCTGTCTTTGTCTGTCTTTAAAAAAAGCACAAACACCCCACATTCCAATCAACTGCAAATCTCGCTCATTTTGTTTTCTTTATTTTAACTAAATTCAAAAATGGTTGAAACTCGTTCTATGGTCAACGCCCTCCCGCCCTCGGGAAACCATGAAGCTATCTGGGTTTACATCAACAATGGACTCAGCCGCGTCCTTAACAACCCTGCGGACAGCTTGGACAATACGGGCTACATCAACTTTTACACGTAAGTATTCATGGGAAATGTGACATGGTTCACAACCGGTTAGTTTTACACTTGCACACTTGCACACTTGTGCACAACAGCGACAGCGACGGCAATAGCAACAGCAAAAATAATACCATTGCTTAAAAATACTAACATACACATTTTGCGTCCTCCCGCCATTCCCAACATTGTTTTTTAGTGCTGTATACAACTACTGCACGCTGGTTCAGAACTCAGTGTCCGACGGGTTCAGCTACATACCTACAGACGCCGGCCATGGCGCGCCGGGCACGAACTCAGGCAGGGAGCTGTACGAGCGCCTCAAGATGTCTATTGGCGTGTACATGTCTCAGGTCGTCGAGAACTCGCGCTTGCACACGGGCGATGGGCTGCTGAAGTTCTATAACGAACAATGGACTAAGTTCGGCGACTCGGCAAAGCTCATCCACAACAACTTTAGCTACCTCAACCGCCACTGGATTAACCGCGAGCAGGAGGACGGTAACAACGTCTGCGACGTGAGCACCCTGATGTTCCAGCTCTGGCGCGACCAGTTCTTCATGCAGGTGCGCAACACGCTGCTCGACTCTGTGTTTAACCTGATGACGCGCATCCGCAATGGCCAGGTGGCCGATCTTAACCTGGTTAAGAGCGTTGTCGACTCGTTCGTGTCCCTGGGCAATGACGAAACGGGCGTGCAGAGTAAGAAGATGGAGGTCTACGACAAGTACTTCCTGAAGCCCTTCATTGAGGCAACAGCCAAGTACTACCGTATTGAGAGTGACCGCCAGCTGCAGGAGGGCACGATCATCGAGTACATGGTCAAAGTGTCCACGCGTCTGCACGAGGAGGACGACCGCGCCGAGCTGTACCTGCACGAGTCCTCGCTGACCGAGTTTAAGGATGCTTTGAACAGCGTGCTGATTACGCGCGTGAAAGACAAGCTATGCGCCGAGTTTGTGACCCTGCTGGACTCCCGCGAGAAGGGCGACCTGAAGCGCTTGTACACGCTGATGGGGCGCACAGGCAAGGGCGCCGGCCTGGACCCACTGCGCGAGCTCTTTGGCTCGTACGTCAAGACCGCCGGTCTCGAGGCTGTCAATCAGGTGAGCAGCGCGACCAGCGCCGAGGGCACCAGCAGCGCCTCCAACGATGCACGGCAGTTTGTGTTGGCTTTGCTCAGCGTCTACGATTTGTACGCTGAGCTCCTGCACGACTCATTCAACGACGACCCCGGATTCAGCAAGTCGCTCGACTACGCGTGCAGGGAATTCTTCAATGTCAACAAGATGTGCCCTGAGGAGGGCTCCCGCGCGCCGCAACTCCTGGCACAGTACTGTGACACGCTGCTGAAGAAGGGCAGCGGCAATGTGCGCACAGCTGGAGCCGAGATTGCCAGCGACGAGGACGCGCTGGAGGCGCAGCTGTCGCAGGCTGTCTCTGTGTACCGCTTCATCAAGGCACCTGACGTGTTCCAAAAGTTCTATGCGCAGCACTTGGCGCGCCGTCTGGTGTACGAGCAGAGCGTGTCGTCACACGGCGAGGAGACAATGATTTCTAAGCTCAAGGAGGTCAGCGGCGTCGACTTTACGTCCAAGCTGTCGCGCATGTTCACGGACATGACAGTCAGCAAGGAGATGTCCGATGAGTTCAAGGAGCGGTGCCGCGAGACCAACTTCAATCTTCCGTTCGACCTGGACATGAAGATCCTGCACACCGTGTCGTGGCCTCTCAATGCACCCGAGACCAAGCTGGTGCTCCCGCCGCAGCTGTCCTCCGTTTGCGACAAGTACACGCACTTCTACCAGGCCAAGCACAACCGCCGCAAGCTCAACTGGATGTGGCAGCACTCGAAGGCTGAGATCAAGATGTTCTTCCCCAAGGCCACAGGTCCCGCTGCGAAGGCCGGGTATATCTTCATGGTGAGTACGTACCAGCTGGCCATACTGATGTTGTTCAACGCTGAGAGCGGGCCCGGTACTGGCTATGACTCGCCGTCGGGCCCGACGCTGACGCTGAGCCAGATCTCGCAGGCCACTGGCCTGGACAACTCGACCATTACGTCTGAGATTGACTCGATCTGCCGCGCGCGCGTGCTGATTGGCAGCAACAGCGACAGCGAGCCGACCGACGACACCACGTACAAGATCAATGCCGACTTCAAGTCCAAACGCCTGCGCGTAAACTTTGCCGGCGCAAAGAAGCAGGAGCAGAAACGTGAGATCACTGATACTATGCGATCAATCAATGTTGACCGCATGTACACTATCCAGGCTGCGATCGTGCGTATCATGAAGGCGCGCAAGCAGCTTAGTCATAGGCAGCTTGTAGAGGACACTATTTCGCAGATCAAGTTGTTCCAGGCGCCTGTCGCTGATATCAAAAAGGGCATTGATACGCTTATTGACAAGGAGTATCTGGAGCGCAGTGAGGGCAGCCGTGATGTGTACAATTACTTGGCTTGAACAGGATATGCGTACTGTTTGTTTGTTTGTTTGTTTGTTTGTTTGTTTGGGGATGTTTTTTTTCTTTCTCAAAATCATATACGTGTAATTCTGAATATTCGATATTGTATTTGTTTTGAAAACACTTTTGGGACAAACAGACAAGCAGAAATATATACAAAAGTATTGAGAAAAAAAGAAAGTGAAAGTGAAAGTGAAAGTGAAAATACAAATAAATAATAAATGATAAAAAGGTTTATTATTGCTAGGATATTAAAATATTAAACGGCAACAGTATTAAGCACAGAAGAAAAAAGAAAAAAGAAAAAGGATATTAAAGAAAAGAAAATATAAAGGGAATCAAGGTAAACATCAAATTCAGTGTATAAAAAAAAAGAACGGGGTGGGTTTTTTTAAATAACACTAATGAGTTCCAGTCGATGAGTAAGATGCATGAGAAGGCATGGGTGGCAAAGAGTCAGAACTGACATGACTAGAAGAAGCGATTTTCTTCATCTTAGACCATGGTCTAAAAATAAGAGATCTAGTAGACTGCTGAGGCTGAGCTACCTGATGCTGTTGCTGTTGCTGAGCTGCTTGTTGTTGCAAAATGTTCAGACTAGATGTCTCCGAGGTCGAAGAATCCGAAGGTCTACGTTCACTAAAATTATCAACGAATGCACTGCTACCGCCACCGCCGCCACCACCAAGATACCTGCTGACGCGGTTACTGGCATGCGGGAAATGACTCGAGTGAGTGTCTGGGTTATTATCATGGTCGTACTCAATCGTGGTGTTCTCAGGCAACGCCTGGTTAACTAGCGGCGACATGTTTGAAAGCCGCCTGCTGTCGGAAGCCGCAGTGGCAGCAATGGTATTATTGACTGCACGCATATCTGGACTCTGGGTCGCGAACCTGGAGGATGACGGGGAGTTTATAACCGGCGACGCCATGGCTGAGGACTCCCAGGGTCTTCTCGGCAGCCCATGGTCGGTCTGCGAAAAGGGCGACCGCGCCGGGTTGCTCCGCAGCGTAGACGCCGGCGATCCAGACGGTGATTGCGAGGAATACGCAGTAATCGGCACACTATTATTGCGCGCACCGCCACCATTAGCAGCACCAGGGTTGAACTCGGATCCAATAAAGGCGTCGCTAGTCGACCTCTGCCGCGAATCACCCACGGCCTGGTAGTATTTGTCCACCATCGCTGGCGTAAGCGTCTGCGTATCATCAAAGCTGCCATCATCGAGGTTCAGCTTAGGGAAGAATCGGATAAGGCTAGCACGCGAAACATTGGTGATCATGTATAAGGTTGATTTGCGATCGACGCGGAAGCTGCCAATGTGATCCTTCAGTGCAATCACGCAGCGCGCTTGCAATCCGCGGTGATCGCCACGGAGAGCAGCCTCGTAAATGATCGGGGCCGTGGTTTCCGTCACCTTGTATCGAAGCAGGCTAACTGTTTGCAGCGCAAGCTTGTGCAATGCGTATTTGCGCGCAATAACGAGGAGCTCGCCCAGGACGCTGGCGTTTGCCAGGTCGTCGGCGGCTGTACTGGCGCCGGGCTGCTCGCTAGTGGTGGAGTTGAGTCCGAGGCGCGCTTGGGGGTCGATGCGGCCGGTATACAGGTAGAAGAGCAGGACGCAGATGGATTCGCGCGACCCGTCGACAAAAAACTTTTTGGGCCCGGCAGTGAAGCCGTTCAGGACTCCGTTGCCCTCGAGCGTGTAGTCGCCACTGATGAGGGATGATTCAGGCCGGTGCGTGGACCGGCTACCAGCGCGCTTGTTTTCATCAGATGCTGCTGCTGCTGCCGATTTGGCAGGGTTGACTGAGAATTGCGCCGGGGATTGCACTGTTTCCGAGACAAGCCACAGCTGGGCCTGCGCTGGCCAGCGCGCCCTCAGGATGCCGCTGTTGACCATTGCCGCACGCGAGCCGTCAGCTGCAATGACCTCGGCGTCGCCATACTGCGAGAAAAAAAGAAACTGCAGGCCGAGCTCAATGCTGGTCTCCGCGCTGCTGCTTTCGGCAAATGGGGGTCTGGAGATGACTGGCGCCTGCAAGTTCATCAGGGCGGCGGATGCCAATACATCTATGGCCGGCTGCTGCTGCTGCTGCAATGTCGGCGGGCGTGTGCGGAGGTATCCAAGGGCGCGCAAATCCACTGTGCGGATTTCGCCGTAGTTCAGGCGGCGGCGCTGATAGTCGTAGGTCAGGTCGCGGCGGCTGTCACCAAACAGTACCAGCGTGTTGGTGCGTGGGTCGACGACGGACTGGTTCCAGCTGCCTGCGCGGAACTTGGACCCGCAGTTGATCGGCTGCCAGCGCAGCGCCTGCGAGTCTAGCACCCAGAGGCTCAGCTCGCTGTGACCCTCGGTGGAGATAAGCGTGCCGGTCATCAGGACGGTCTGGGCGTCAACCAGGTGGCCGCGCGGGAAGCGCAGGCCGGGGGGCTCGCCCGAGAGCTGCTCGGACATTTCCTTGAGCGCGCACTCGGGGGGTGCCGATAGCGAGTAGAGGGCGCGCTTGACCGAGGCAAAGCTGTAGTTGCTGTACAGGAGGGTTGTGCCGGTCCCCGGAATGCTGGCGATGAATGAGCGGTAGAGCCCGACGGCGCGCGGAAACGGCATGCGCTGGATCCAGCGGCCAACACGCAGATCAAAGACATTGAGCTCCTCCACGTACTGCTCCTCCAGGTCCTGGCCGCCGACAATCAGTAGCTGGCTGCCAAAGAGCGTCGCCAGGTGCGCGTAGCGCGGCGACGGCGGAATGTTTGCGGGAATCTCGGCCGCTGGCTTTGCGTCCGCTGGCTTGGCGTCCTCGAGCGCGCGCAGTGCCACCCAGCACTCGTCGATTGTGTCGAAGACGGCCACGTCGCCGAGCAGCGTTTTGGTTGTGCGCATCTGAAATGACTGCTGGTGGCGGTCGTCTTGGATGCCGGCGGTGTGGGCGGCTGCGCCGGCGGTGGTGCCCGGCAACGCCGAGTTGCTCGTGCCGACGCTGCTCTCTGCGTCCGAGTCTAGCCCCATGCCGCCAAAGACAACAAGGTAGTGCTTGAAGGCTGTGACCGAGTGGAAAAACCGGGGCGCCGGCAGCGCGCACTGAAAGGTGGCCGCGCCGTCGCTGTCCTCGGCCGGGATTGTGGGCTCGTTGGCGGCGTCAATGCGCCGCCATAGGAAGCTGCGCAAATCACACATGTACATGTCGTTGGAGAGCTTGCCGCTGTGCAAGGCGCGGCCGCCAAAGACGTAGGCCTGGCCATCCAAGTAGGTCACTGAGCTGCCCACAAGCGCTGGCGGCACGTCGCCTGTGCATTTGAAGCTTTTGATGAACAGCTCAGTCAGGTCGTTTTCTGCTGTTGCCATTTTTATAGGAAAAGAATAGGGGGTGAGTGGAATATATAAAAAACAACAAAGAAAGAAGAAAAGGGGCAGGGCGTGCGTGCGTGCGTGCGTGTGTTTGTGATAATAAGGGCGCGTGGGGAAATAAGAGGAAAAATGTATTTGTTGTGCTTCGGATAAACGATAATACAAAAGGTACTTTTCTAGTTGTTCCCTTTTTCTTTGGGGGAAGTGAAGAGGGCAAAAATGGACAGAAAAGCAAAAACAATTCAACGAGGGGCGGCAGAATTTTTTGTGCAGTGCCACTTTCTTGTTTTAAACGCAGGCAGCCGAAAAAAGAAAATATTTATACAGGCTTAATTGTTGCCAGGAAGTGAGAAATAGCGATAGAAATGGCCGAGTTTTTATATTTTTGCGCTCAGGTATCCTCGCTTCGTTGTCTGCAGCTTTTCTATTATAAAAATAGCGAGAAAAGAGCTTGAATATAAATATAGAGCTAAAAACAATTATCGAGCACAAATATCAACAAAGAAATGGAAGAGAAAAGTCAATTGGCAAGGAACAAAAAAGAAAAATGCTTTTTTGGAGTGCCTGTGCGTGCTCCTTCCCCAAATTCAATTCGTCTCTTAGCTCCCTCTTTTTTTACTTTTTTAATTTTTTATTTGCCTTGGGAATTATCTCGGGTACTTTGTCTTTGCGCAGTGGATTTCAATTTCCTGGTCCAATGTCGACTTACGGATAACCGAATCCATTTAGTCTATTGCCTCTTGCTTTATTTGGACCTGGGACTGTCGGCCACGCAAATAAAAACTGGGTAAAATACAACGGACCATCTGAAACGCTTTCCCTGCTGGTCCGCTATAATTATGCTGTGGACCGCCTGGACTGCCAAAGTCTTTTTTTGCCATCAGCAACCAGAGCAATAAAAAAACGGGGACCACTAATAATGCAGTAAACATTATACATGTGGTCCTGTTTTCGCGACAGAAAAATAGAGGATTTGGAGATCCCGTCTCTTTAATTTATCACACCACTTTTTCCTTTCAACGCCTGTGCCCCCCCCTCACTAAGCATCTTTCTCAGCGCTTGCTCTCGCTAAGATGCAAGCAAACAAAAAATAAACAACCACAAGGATTCATATGCAGCAAGCAATCTGCTCGCATCACTTTTCTCTCCTTTTTCCACCTTGTTTGTGTGCTGTGCCAATCCCTCATTTTTGGTTATTGCGCTGTGCATTTTCCCGTCGTTTCGTTTGAACTAATCCTGAACATCGCAGCCACCTTCTCATTGGGCGCAGCCTGGCAAAGATGGAATATAATTGAATAAAGTGGAATAAGGTAAGGTGACTTGGGGCTGTCGGTGACCGTGGCCATGCCGCATTTTGCCTTCTTGTTTTACTCGTGTCACGACGACTGTCCGAAAAGGACATTGGAAAAATTACTAAAGCGGGAGCATGCGCAATGCACGCTTCTTTAGTGAAGCGAAAAAAGAAAGATGCCGAATCTCCTAACACAGCGCAGCTTCTCGGGTATTCAAAACCACGTGCAAAAAAAGACACAGGGCAGCGTACTCACATGCCTGCTGCTAATCCTAATACATACTCAACCCCGTTTTGATGATTATTTGATTGAATTAAAAAATAAGAGCAAGGCCCCCTACAGAAGGAGCCGCGACCCTGGCATACGCGTCCAAGCACAGTCATCACTCCTGGTCGTCGTCGTCGTCATCGATTGTCAAGTCCTCGAGATTCTCGGCCGCAAACAGATCCTCGTTCTGGGCCGATTCGTCAATCTGCTCGTCCTGCTGGTAGCCGCCATCGACGTTCCGGTACTGTGAAAAGTCAAAGGTGTTGTCGTCGCCCTCGCCACTGTCGTCGTACGTGTCGGGATTGAACTCGAAGAAGTCACGACCAGACATGTTGCCAAGCTTTCCGGCCTTGAAGGCCTTCTCCTTGGCTACCTGGGCGTCGCGATCCTCGGCCTCCTTGCGCGCCTTGCGCTCGACCTTCCATTTGGTAAACGACTCGAGCGTGACGGGCGTCAGGTTCGAGCCCAGCTTGTGGCGCTCGGTCTCAAGGAACTCGTCCAGGGAGATCTCCACTTTGTCCTTGTCCTTCTTGTCCTTCTTGAGCACGAAGCCAGGGGGCAGCGCGTGCTTGTACTTGCACTTGTCACCGCCATTGGGGCAGTCCCAAAACCACCCGTACTTGCCACTCTCAATAGACTCGAGGAAGTGCTTGCACACGATAGTTGTCGTGGTCTGGGGGTTGCCGTGCTTTGACGTGACAACCTGTTCCAGCCTGGCCTGATCCCAAGTGTCCATCGTGTCCTCCTCCTTCTCTTGGTCGCGCTTGTCCGTGTACACGTCCATTTTGGCGCCCTTGCGCTCCACTGCTGTGTTGTGGGAGAACTTGCACTTGTCTCCCTTTTTGCACGCCCCCACCCTGAAAAACTCGCAAAGAACCGTTTTGGGATCCACGCCAAAGGGCACCTTTTGCTGCACAATGGGCTTGAAGAGCTCGGCAAATTCATCCAGCTTCTTCTTGTCTTCCAGCTTCTTCTTCTCGAGCAGCTGCTTTTCGTCCGCGGCCTTGCGCGTCTTGGGGCTGCCGCCCGACATTACTTGGCTCTCGACCTGCTGCACATATCTGTTGACTTTTGCTGATTTGTTCTTGTTCTTTAACCCGAATGTCTTGTCCTCGATCGTCTTCTTCTTATCTTTGTTCTCTGACTTTTTCGACGGCCCAGGCGGTCCCTTCTTTGGCGGCATTTTTCCGTTGTTTTTAGTTCAAGACCTTTTTTGTCCTTATTGAGAATAAAGAGAAAGGAGTGAGGATTGAATGCAATAAATAATTAAGAAAAAAGACGATGAAATGAATCTGTCCCCCTTGTGAAATTCTCTGATCGAATGAAAAGAAGAAAGAAAGAAGAAATTTGCTTCGCTCTTTTAATCGAGTGCGAATGTGTAGAAAAATTGTGAAATTCCAATTCGACGAGCACCCCCCAAAAAAAACAAAATTCAATACCTTGATTTGATCAATGATTTCCAAATTAACTTTTGATATTTTGGCTCATGTAAAGCGAACCGTGTATTTTCGTGTTCAACACAAAAAAGTCAACATTAATTATGTTTTAAGCTTATAAATGTTAATAAGGAAAAAAAACTAATAAGCAATTGATTGATTCCTTATGTTGGTCTCAAAATTTTTACTTGTTTTCTTCCTTCGCTTCATTCTCTCCTTCCTCGCCATCTTCATAGTTGCCGTCGTCGCCATAGTTACCATCGTTGGCGATTCTCACCATCCTCGCTTTCATAACCTGGATAATCGCCTAAAATGTTTTGGAGAATTCTGCTTAACTGATCAGCAGCCAGCGCAACTTCGCCTATATCCCTTTGACCCATCTGGTCGAACAGCTCAATGAGATTTGAAATTTCATCCACAGATAAGTATGCCCCCAATACAGCCTGCCTGAATTTTTCAGTAAATTTAGTCACGTCTGCATTATCCACTTGGACAGAATTTGAAGTACCCTGGTTTTGAACTTGGTTGGACCCAGTGGGCAAAGCTTGTGCAACCGAAGCAGCAAATGCAAGAAGAGGTGCAAGATAAAATAGTCTCATTGTATTAAATAAATCTTAAAAGTTATTTTTGAGTGGATGGGTGAGTGGGGTTGGAATTGCCCATATGCATATAAAAATTCGTGAGCGTATAGCTTATATATCTGCAATCATAAACATTAAAGAGTCAAAAAATATTTATGCTGACAGATATTGCCTTATACACATGCATAACATTTGGGGGGTCGTCAATGGCACTCATTGAATTTGTGCATGTGTTCGCTTGTTTGTTTGACCCACTCACTCAATTAAAGCTTTTGCCAGTGTATATTTCAAAATTGTAGCTATGCGACTATTCTACATTATTGAACTTTGAAAAACCATATAGTATTCATTATTTCAAAATAAACGAGGCTCATTTAGTTATTTTTTTAAATGCCATACATAATTAAAAATTGGCTGTTAGCTAGCTTTTTACAAGTTTGAATATGTTTTTCAGGCAATTTAAACAAATTTTCAGGAATATTCTTTTAAAATCAAGCATTGCATTAATATTTTGTTGATTGTGTTTGGTTTAAATAAAACTTGAATAATGTACCTTATTCGCCACTTTTCCATTCAAATCCATTGACCAGGGGATGACCCAGTCAAAAATACGTGGGTACCCTTGCATTTTTACTATCTTTTTTTGTGGAGTAAAGAACAAGCAATTTTAAAAAAAAAAATAATGCATGCCAAAAATACTGCACCCCAGCCGTAAAGCTGTATTTCTGCAGTTTATGTGCCGCCACCGCCATTCCCACAAATATACTTCAAATAGTTAATTTAATTGCGTGGTGGATAAATATTTCATACCGGCAGGGTGCAGCCAGTACGACTAGTGGCAAACAAGGCGAGGGTATGTTTGATAATAAAAATAATTTATTTGATGAAAAAATAAATACTACACAATAGTCGACAAAAAATTCTAATATTTGCTGGAATTCGACTTACTGGATTTATTTGATCATAAAAGTCCAAACTTAGATCATCGATTTCGGAATTTTGGCCAGCATATCATTGATGATCTTGGACATCTGCCGAGCAATCCCGGAAACCCCTCCCAAGTTCTTTCCGCTGACGCGATCAAAAATACCAATCATGGTCTTCATCTCATTATCGGTCAGCTCGGCCATGGTTATGGCGTATTTGAAGTTCTCGAGCGAGCGGCCTGTCTTATCAGTTGCCTGTGCTACGTTCGGGCTGACCTGGTTAGACTGAACGGTTCCGGCATGCACAAAGCTGGCGGCGGCGAAAAGCAGAGGAGCGAATGCAAAAAACTTCATGATTAAAATGAAAGCTTACAATTTTTATTTGATTACTGTTGGAATATATGACGTTCTATGAACGTATAGATAAACTATAATGATATAAAGTATATTTTATAAATAAGTGCTATGCACTGTGAAAGGTAAAGAGTAGAAAGCATATTGCTTTGGTCACTGTGTGACTTATTGTTTGTGTTGCTAAACAGCCAAGACTGGTTAATCAGTTGATCGCCATCAACCAATAATTATATAGATGGTAGTGGTAGATATTGGTAATGTTTTTTAAAACAAAAAGTCTTGCCTTGAGTATCTTGTTTATATAGCTATCTAAAGTGGCTGCACAATGATGTCTGGGCCTGTTGCTGTCTTTGAAGTTGGCAATGTTTTGACGTTTCAAAATGAATTTTTATTTTGCTCATTGAATAATTGGCTTTGGTTATTTGTCCGCCTTGCGACTCAACAATGGTAGTACCTTTTCAAAGAAACGAAAAAAGACTTATAAAAAATGTTTTACACCCCCCCTGCTTCTGTTACTTTGTGAAGTGCTTATAGTGTTCCGCGGAAAAGGTGGCGTAATCAATATTTTGTGTTCATAAAAAAAGTGAACACAATCTGCGATTTTGCTACTATTCTGAATCTGTGAATCCGAATGGCTTTTTTTTGCCAGGCTTGGCATCGTTTCATTTTTTTGAACAATATTTGCTTTTATTCCGAGATTTTTGCGAGCAGTATATTTGTATTTTAAGGTTGTTTATTTTTTTAAACAAATGACTTTCTTGCTTGCTTGATTTTATGCACAGAAGATATAAAAGAAAAAAGGGATTATAAGTGGAAAAAGGTGGCGGTTAAAAAAAGCCCACCTTTCCTCCTTTATTTATTTTATTGGCATTGAACCATGGCTCTTTATTTTGCTGTTGAAAACTTTTAGCAAAACCAAAAATAGTAATGCTGCTAAAAGCAAGCTGGTCATTTACACATGCACACATACTGCCAAATTCATCACCAGTAGTTGTAGTATGGACAGACTAGACACACATAATCCTACTGCTTTGATTCCGTTCCTGTTGAGTCGAAATTCAGTATTATCAATATTATCAGTGTTGAATAAAAAATCAACACACGGATTAATTCAATGCGTAGATACAAATGTTGTATTTATAAGAAGACAAAATAACTTAATGTGCGCCAATTGGCGCACACGGACATACGGACACGCAGACATATTCCATGGCTTTTCTGAAGCGCAACATACGCGTCCTCTTTCCTAAAGTTTCTTCAAATGTAATTTAAAGACATTATTGGCATTTATCAGGAATATGCCAGAAGAGGCCAGGGGCAGAGGCAAAAGTGATAAACTTGGGATCCATGACAGTGAATAATTGAATTTAAGAAAGTATTGGAAGCGTGTAAAAAAATCTGGGCGGATAAGAAAATTTTCATTTCTCTGTTGATAAATGTTGCGTTTTTTATATAGAAAAGGTTTAAGTATATGGCTCTAAGAAAGCTTTACAAATTTCATATATATCATTTTATATAGGTTAATTATTTGGGTGGTTCTGCTAGACAACATTTGAAACAAATGATATGTTGCTATTATATTTAAATAAAACAAGTAATACATTTATTATCAAACTTGATCATCGGGATCCACCCGGTTACTATCAACAGCCTTGCCCGCCTCAAAAGTGTTGACAGAGTCCGGAATCCTGTTCGATATGTGTAAAGCGTATATGGTCAACAGCGCACAAATATTCCACAGCAAGTGGGCATCAAAGGGAAACGGGAATGAATGCTTGATAGACCAGCTCCAAATTATTCCTGACAAAACCGGGCCAACAATCCTGGTGGCTGACATGGCCAGTTGCTGTGCACCATTCATAAATCCAAGATCCGCCCTCGTCGGCGCCATATTGACTGTCAACAGATTAATGCTGGTGAACATCAGCACTGTGCCCGTGACGCGCACCAAAAGTAAAAATATAAGCAGTGTCCAGAGCACCCCGCTGGTGAATGAGAATGGGGCGCCAACGGTTTCCTCAGCAATGCGCGCAGCAAGCAGGGAGAGGAAGGGGAGTGCGAGATAGAACGGGATCATGATTTTCTGGCCATTTTGGTAGCACTTGAGTGCACCATGCTTGCGTTCTAGGCGCGGGTATGCAATTAGCTGGATATATAGTACGGCGATGCTGGCGATGGCCATTGAAAATCCGACACTGCGCGTGTCAAAGCCAAGTCCGCCATCAATGGGATCTGTCGCTGCAAAAATCGGATAGGCCTGTTCGGCCATGGATATTGACACGCAGATGATTACGTTGGTCGCCATGACGCTGATGACCGTTGGCGTCAGCAGCTCTCGGGCAGTGCGCTGGCGCGGGGCGCTGCTCACCAGCGATGTGTTCTCTGAATCCAGCGTGGCTGCCGATGACGATGCAGACAGCGGCTTTCTTCTGGGCGGACTCCGAACCAGCGTCTCCTCGAGTCTAAACAAACCAATAAGCAGGCCAGCCGCTGTGGTGAAGCATCCGATAAGGCAGGGGAGCAGGTAAGGAAACTCCTTGAACAACTTGCTGTTGCCAAACAGGCTGGGGTACTGAGTAACTGGGTCGGCAAACAGCCCACCAACAGCGGTGCCGGCAAACGACCCGACGTTCCACATCAGCGGGAGCAAGGCCATCATCCGGGGCCTATTAGTATCGTCGGAAATCTCAGCCACCACAGACTTTATGACCGCCACGTTTCCTGCCATCAGTCCATTGAATGAGCGGGCAAAGAGAGCTGCCTTGAAGGTCTTTGAAGTTCCAAACAAAATCGACGATATAAGGTTTCCCGCCAGGCCAATCATAATGACTGGTTTGCGGCCGATGCGGTCCGAGAGTCGTCCCCAGTACATCACGGTCATTGTCTGGAACACCGAAAATGCCGAAAACAGCATGCCAGCATAGAACGCAATGTCCTTGGGGCTCTCCGCGACACCAAAGTCCCTGACCATCTAATCGAATAAAAGCAAGTAAAAATGCGTTTAGTTTGTTCATTATTAGTACTGAGTCGTCTCGAAAAACAAAAGGTACATGGTTATATGCACAGATTGATACTTACCTGATACACAAATGGCAGAATGAGCGAGAAATTGACAGGCTCCGACAGACGAACTGCCATCAGTGCGCCCAGTTTGTCCCATGGCAGCGGTGTCTCTTTGAACTCTGCAGAATCGGGCTCTTCGCTATTGACCACAGTAACAACATCATCGCTGCCATTGCCACCACCACTACTACTAGTATTATAATTTGGTCGCTGTGCAACCATTACAAGCGAGAGTAAGAGCAAGTAATAAATTATAAATTATAAAAAATACACAGGATAAAACAAGAACGATTAGGAACTAGATTTGTTCTATCGATTTTTTTGGTTTAGTTATTTTATACTATTTGAATCTTAACGGAAAAGTGTAAAGCCGAAGCTTGATCTTCTGACTCTGACCATTTGGCTTGCCACATGTCTGCATTGCCACTCTACCACGCTGGGTATCATCGAGAGTGTCCCTTAACTCTTATTTCCGCTTTTGTTGGGGGTGAGAATATTCAGGACCTGAGTGTAGTTTTTGGTTGGCTGCGGCGGACATTGTGACGTTTCAGATCGATGGCTTTTCCCCCTTTTCGAAACTTTATATTATTGTTTTTTCGCCTAAAATTAAAACAACCACCAACGAAATAACATTAGCAAATAGTGTCATTTATGTTGTATTATTTAGTATTAATGCTAAAAGTGCATTTCAAAAAAACAGTTATATTAAGTCACACGCAGGTCGATTGTTCTATAGAACATATGCGCACACGCTCACGAGAGCCGCGCATCATGTATGTCCAAATTAAGTAGAAAATAAGTTTGTTTACGTGCGTTTTTGGCCAGCCAAAAACCACTTTGGCATCTTCGGACCATCTGTGTTGCCCGCAGCGCCCCTGGTTTCAGATTTGGCTCCGGTGCTAGAAGCCGGCACCGGCGCATTCGACGCAGGAGAGGACAATGTGCGGCCATGCTCCAATGCACAATCATCGGCAGGCTCAGCCGCCTGCTGCAGCCTATCCTCGGCAGCATCATCTGCAGATGCAGGCACATCAAGTGACTCGGCCATACCCCACACACTGGGCTTGAGCAAGTCTCTGGTTCTCACGCTACCGCTGCCTCCACTGGCGCCGATCTGCACACGCACATGGACAACCGCAGCGGGTGTGAGCTTGGCGTCAAACAGGGACACATGGCGCATACTGACCAGATCCACGACAGGCAGCTGGATCACCAGCGTCTTCAGCGTCTGTGGAATAGTCAAGATCCCCTGCACAAATTCAAACAGCTCCGACACTCTTTCCGACGAAAGGAACGTGGCCTGGACCTGGACCATGTCGGGGAACCTGAATCGGATGGCAGTTTTCGGGTACTTTGTCTTTAGCTGCTCGTGCTTCAATTGCTCCTCCTTTTCTTGTTTTATGCGGTTTTTGAATCCACGCTCGGCCTCGGCCTGGCGCGCTCGCTGAATGCTGATGAGAAGCTTGAGGTCAGATGAGCCATCCTGGTAGAATGAGTCGGGCAGAACAAAGCGCGACGAGAGGCTGGCTGAGCTGGTTTGCGGCTGGGTGTAGACGCGGACTTGGCGCGTGCTGAGTAGTGCTTTCTCGTCGTTGTCTATGCCGTCATCTGAGCCAAAAACAACAGTGGGTTCTTCAACAACACTGGACTCTTCAACAGCACTGAGCTCGTCGACAACACTGGACTCTTCAACAGCACTGAGCTCGTCGACAACACTGGACTCTTCAACAGCACTGAGCTCGTCGACAACACTGGACTCTTCAACACCACTGAGCTCGTCGACAACACTGGTCTCTTCAACACCACTGGGTTGTTCGGGCTTTGATTCGGCAATTTTGGCATTGGTATCAGTGACCGGTGCAGAGGAGCTGCGAGTGGGCGCATCAGACTGCAGCCCAACCATCAAGCCATTTCTGGCCGCACCAGCACCAGCTCCAGCAGTCTTAGCCACAGGCGGTTCAATATCCAAGGACGGCGCAGGACCAGCCTCCGAATCCTTAAACGACAGCCTCACCATAACACTGCCACCAGTGAATCCAAGCGAACGCAGCGTCGTGCTCTGCATAACCTCGGTCGACGCAAACTCCTTATTCATGAGGACGAGCACGGGCTGCTGGTATATCATATTTGGACTGGGATTGTCCTCGGCCTCGCTGTTGCTGCCGCTATTTCCAATACGGGGGCTCAACATATTGGTCAGGTAGTTGAGGCCGCGGGCCGCTGGGGACAGGGACCTGGATTCGGGCACACGGAATTTGTTCGTCAGGTTCAATACTCCGTTGGACCTGTTCTCCGCCGAAGTTATTATGTCCCAGAGAGTCGATGCCGCAGTAAAGTCACCAATGACACGGCCGCTACCAATGACTTGCAGGGCGACCTTTATTAGTGCGCTGGCTGTGGGTTTGGAAGAGGACAACGATGGCGACGACGACGACGATACTGGCGGCACTGATGCGCTGGTGCGGTTGGCATTAGCTGAACCGATAGCTGGGGATTTGGCACCTGAGCGTGATTTAAGGGTCAGCTTGGCGCCCTGTGGTAGGTTGGCAAAGCGGATGGTCAGCGACAGATCCATTGTCTTGTTGTTGTACACCAATGTGTGGGACTCTGGGTTGTAGTTGCCCGGTATTTTCTCACAGGCGCTGTTCACCACTGCCTGCAGAGTGGTTGTCGGCGTCGTCTTAATGCTGACTGAATGCCCGGGTCCGTAGACGACTGTGATGCTGGACGACATACTTTTTATTCTTATTTTTGCTCGGGGAAGGCGCAATTGCGGTTGGGTGGTGACTTTCTCAGGTGCTTGTCGTTGGAGATAAAGATAAAGACAAAGACAAAGGACAGAGTGAGTAAGAAAGAATGGAAATTAGGAAAAGAATGAACGGATTCCAAACAAAAGGGAGCAAGACAGAAGGGAAAACAAAAACGGAATCGAATGGAATAAAAAGTGAATTTACTTTACAGGGCATAAATGGCAGGTGTTTATTTTCGTCCGCAGCGCCACCCTCCAGCGCGTTCTGCAGCCAGCTCGGCCTGCTGCGCCAAGTTTGGTGAAAATACAGAAGTATGCATGTGCGTGGCTTTGTAGGCTATCCTGGCTATCCAGGGGACACTCAGGGGACAGGGGACAAGGAACAGGGGACAGTGGCATCTGGGGCACTGCCAACCCAATCCAGCCTTCCGGTTGGAGCTGGGCGATGCGGAAAAACGTAAAATGGCAGGCGAGCATGACGCAGTCCACATGATCGTCCGCATTGCAGTTGCAGTCGCAGTCGCAGTTGCAGTCGCAGTCGCAGTGGAAGTCGCAGCGTGCATTTGAAGTCGCAGCACCAAAAGCAGCAGCAACGGCAACGGCAACGGCAACGGCAACGGCAACGGCAACGGCAACGGCAACGGCAACGGCAACGGCAACGGCAACGGCAACGGCAACGGCAACGGCTTTGCTGCTGTGGTGGCAGCGTAGCTTGCATTGGGCATACAGCTGAGAAAAAAAGGGCAGACGAAGGACAAAGGATAAAAGCGCTGGCTGATTTAAGCGGAGAGCGCCGTTTAAGCTATATGTATATGATACGCGCCCTGTTTAACGGAGACACCACACAGCAGAGCATCCAAAAGAAAGATGAAAAATAAGAAAAATAAGAAAAATGAACGCGTGATAGTGCGTATCAGTATCAGTATCAGCATTTGCTGGACGAGAAAAAAAGGGTTCGTCACCCCCCCTCTCCCCTCCATCCCTGCATGTGGGCTCTCAACTCCTCCCTTTTCTCTTTTCCTTTGCCTTTTGAGATGAAAAATCACCCAAAACACAAAAATGCCTACAGTACTCTTGGCGGGAAGCTGTCTTCCTCGCTTTTTAAATCTTAATGGTGTAATCGTCTGTTACAGCGGCTGCCTGGCCAGAGTTATTTGACAGCGCAACTCTCGTACTGGGCCGATTTTTGGGCGCCCGGCAGTCTTTGCTTGAAAGCGCCCTGGCTCCAAGGGTGATGGCACCGTTGGTGCTCCTCTTTTTGCTTGCCTCGCTTGCTACTGCCTCTTCATCGTGCGCAATTCTCACGCCCACCACGCACAATGAGTTGACCAGCAAAGCCACACGAGGGGAGAGAGGGGGGGAAGGGCTCGAGCAACCCCCCCTTTCCGTTCTTCTGTCCCTCCCTCTGGGGCAGTGCAGTGCAGTGCAGTGAAATGGCTTATAGCTATCATTGTTTGTGGCCAGTTGCCCAATAGAGCCATGGAAATAATAGCTGTGTTGACGCCCTGCAGTATCTGCGACAGGGCAGTAGATGCCACTGCATGGTGGGCGGACTACCACTGCCACTACCACTGCCATTGCCACTGCCACTGCCACTGCCATTGCCATTGCCATTGCCATTGCCACTGCCTCCCCCTTTACCGCAGGCAGCGGCTGGCATTTTCAGGGCGGTTACGCACTTGCTACGACTGTCTGCCATACGCAGGCTGTTGCTTGTTTTTGTCGCATTTTTGGCTAGCATTCAGTCTCAGCAAAACTACTTGAACTGGCCATTTCAAGCGACAACGAGCATATACTCAATGCCAACCAGCACATCCCACAAAAAACAGAGGTGGTGACAGCACATTTGGCTCATGCATTCATGAATCATCGTGAGGGCTCCTCACTCTGAATGTCGTTTTCTTTCTTGTTTAAATCATTTTTATCGATTTAGCCGGCATATAATAATATCTGAATGAATCGTCATCACATATATTGTTTTTTTAGTTGTTGAATAAAGGGGCAATTAACCGGTCTAAATTCATCACATCGGTTTTTTTCTTCCCCAGCGATTTATCGCTTATGCGCCTGAAACCAAACCAATTTCAGTCACTTTTTGTTTACTTCGTTCCCCGCATGGAATTGCTCTTTTTTATTTCCCTCCCCTATTTGTAGCCTTCAGTCCAGCCCGGCCCGGCCCAGCCCGGCCCAGCCCAATACAATCCACCAGTACGTCTCAATCCAGTTCGAGCGCTACATAGCACGCGTATCTTTTCTACCATGCGGTAGAGCATGCCATATTTTTATTTTTGCACCCACTCTGCTTTTGCTCCCTTTTGAATTCGAATAAAAAGAATAGGCAGGCAAATTAAAGGCAAAATCGAACCTTTCGGCTTTAATGTTCTTGAAGTCAAGCCTTTTCAAAGAGCAACCTGCTTTATTTTTCTTTTCTGCACAACCATTATTTTTTTTACCTCTTAAAGCGTGAGGCTGAATTCATTGTTTTTCTCTTCTATTTTTCTTTGAATTCAGTTCTTGCTTTGTCAATTCAGCAGCCGTGCCCACTCCAACCACCACCCCCTCCCCCACCACCCCACCACAGGCATTGCGCGGGTGTGTGACTTGTACCTATTTCTAGGCAGGCAGTCAGCCAGACAGCCCTCAATTACGCTTTCCAACTGCCTTGCCCACATGGAGTGCACCCCTTTTTTTACGCTGCTCGTCTATTCCCCTCTTTTTTCCTCCAGTAAACCACAGTTCTATCTGTCGGCTGCCTCGCTACTATTTATACCGGGCAGACCACCCGCCCTCATTTTCTTCTCTCCACTTTATTTTTCTCTCTTTCATCTCCTGGGACAATAATTTTATTCTAGTACCCCTCTTTTTTCTTGTTATTCATTCACTTGAAACTTTAAACTCAGACTGATACATTGATTGACCGAACTCCGGTACTCAATATTTTACGTGCAAACCCTTCGCATTTTTCACCTTGCTTTTGTAAGCCAATCAAACCAAGCAACCCACTCACTCCTGCCATTCACTTTCGCAGCACTTTGGAGCTTTCTCATTAAAACCAAGCGATATTCACCGCTTGCATTTTTATTTATTTTCTGTGCGGTCCATCAGAGCCTAAAACTTTAATAGTCCACGGCCCAAAACTTTATTCGTTTTTCTCCCTTTCAAGCGCACTATTTTTTGTCTGCCCGTCCAACCAAACCCCAGTCCTCTGCTTATTTACAGAGCTTTATGCATAGCCCGTCAATCACCGGCAGCAGCTGACACGACGACGACGACGACGACAAGTAAAAAAGCAGCCGTTTTCCAAAATAATACCATACCCAACTTTTTATTCCTGCACGCCCAGCCTGCCTCTACTATTGCAACCACTTGGGTCGTTCATTTTTTATTTCCTATTCCTGTTTCAGTTCATCAAGAGTAACGCTCTACTATTATTTCCATTTTTTGAGCTCCCTCCTTTTTTATTCTACTATTTATTGCTTATTTATTTTTTAGAGCTTTAGCTTGAACAATATTCGTCCTTTTTCCCCTTGGTTTCCTTTCAAATTCACCTCGGGCTTTATATTTTGTTCTGTTTTCTTTGTTTGGTGCCTTTCCACCGTGCTCTCAGATATTTTATTTCACCCCTTTCACACAGTGCCGCTAAGTCAGGGCACACACTTTTCAAGGCTGTCAATCTCAACACTTCTTTCATCCTTCGTTGCCATGGGCGAGCGGATGCACAACAACGGCCAGCTAGCAGCTGGTCCACAACAGAAGCAGCAGCAGCAGCAGGCGCAGGCGCTCTCGCCCACTCACGCGCACCCCACATATCACATGCCACCACCCACCAACACACACAGACCACTGGCTGACGACCAGCCGCGCACAAACTCGGTCGAGAACCTGCTGCAGGGCCGGAACCAAGCGCAGCCCAAATCAGACATCAACAGCAGCAGTAATGGCAGTGGCAGCAGCAGCAGCAGCAGCGCAGGACGCCCGTTGAGGGATCGCCTGCATGCCAGCAGCAGTCCTCATCATAGCGGCGAGGCTCTAGGGCCCCCACAGAAATTGAACTCACAGCGGGCACATGACCAGCAGCCACAGGGGGCTGCCTCCCCATACGCCAGCGCCAGTGCAAGACCCTTAAGCCAGGTCAGCTCGCAGCTGCCGTCGACGTCAGCGGTGTCGTACGCCGGCCGCCAGCAGCTGTACAGTGCTGACACCATAGAGGCCGGCCCAATGCAGGCACGGGTGCCGCCGCCTACCGGCAGCTTTGGCCCGTCGCAGTACATAGCCGGCCAGGCACCGTTTCGGAGAGCGCGCCCGCACGCTGCGACCATCGGTGACCCAATGGCAAGCTCGCAGGCCGCCATGCATAGCCGCCCACCGCCGCAGCAGCAGCAGGGCTTCCGGTTCTACCCACAGCAGCAGCCTGCACCGGGTTACGACAGCCGGCATATGCAGCAGCAGGTGCCACACAGCGACTCGCGCCCGCGCCGCCTGTCGTTCTTGGGCGCGCAGGTAGTTGGCGAGGGCCATCGCGAGCAGTACGAGACGTCATTTGCGCGCTCGACATCGAACACCGGCCCGCACTTTGGCCCTGGTGGCCAGCAGCCGTCGCCACAGAGTCAGTTCTACGCCTCGCGCCAGCCAATGCACCCACAGCAACACCAGTACCAGCAGATGCACTCGATGCTGCCGCCGCCACCCGCTTCGGCGCCGTCGCACCAGCAGAACTTTGGCCACGTGGCCAATCAGGGCCAGCGCCCACATGGCGGTCCTGCTGGCACATACGGCCCCCGCAGCAGCTATGGACCGTCGGGCACGCTCCAGCCGCGGTCATTGTCTCCGCAGGCACACCCGCGCCACCAGTTCCCGATGCTTGACCGCTTCGACGCGGCGGATGGTCCGCAGCAGAGGCAGCAGCCAATGGCCTTCCCTCGCATCCCATCGCCGATGGAAAAGCCGGTCGCCATGCAGGCCACACCGACTAGCGGCTCGACAGCGACGGCAGGCACGGCGGCGGCGGCTAATGCGACATCACAGTCACCTGTGCGCGAGACGACGCGGCGTCTGAGCTCGGTGGTCTGGGGGCCGACGGGCTTTGAGCGCCTGGAGTCGGGCTTGTCGCGCTGCCGCATATGCGGCAAGGAGTACTCGCGCGGCTCGTCGACAGGCACGCTGAAGCGCCATTTCCGCCAGCACCAGGTCAACGTACCGTTGGCTGGCTCGTACGCCCGTGCTAGCTCGCCCGGCCCAGCGCCCGGCTCGCGGCCACGCGCATACTCGCACCGCGTCGACATGCGCGCCAGACGCGACGTGTCGCCGTTTGCGCCGGCCATTCCGCCGCGGCCATCGCAGCAGCAGCAGCAAAACCCCGTCCAGCTGCCGGTGATCCGCCACGCACAGCAGATGCGCCAGCCCATGTCGCCGCCGCAGCACTCGATGATGATCGAGCACAAGCACATGCTGCCGATGCTCATCACCCCTGAGACGCCCTCAGCGAGCAGTGCCATGGGGACGCTGTTCTCGCGCAGCTCGGGCCGCTCGGTTGACGACATGGACACCAGCTCGGCTATTGCCGGCTCGGCGCTGCTGAGCATGGCTGCCGGCGACTCGCGCATGGCTGTCGACAGCGAGGGCGGCCGCCGGATCCAGCGCCTGTCAGACCCGATGCCATTCCAGATGCCGAGCGCCCCCGCGCACGTGTCTGAGGCAGGCGACATTTCGGTGTCGCCGACGCCGTCCGTCTCATCGTCTCCGTCGTCTCGCCACCTGCACTTTCTGCGCGACAACGTTGTTGGCAGCAGCAGGGGATTCAGACAGCAGCCGTTCAACCAGCCGATTGTGTTGCCACCGCTTCAGAACATCCCCAACTTCAACGAGGCCGACGAGATGGACGTTGTTAGCGACGGCGACGACGCGCAGCCGCTGCTGAAACGGCCTCGGCGGGCGACTGTCGCCGGAGTGCAGAGCGTGGCGTTCAGAGGCGACGACTTTCCTGCCGAGCTGCGCCCGGAAATCGATTCGCTCTCTCCCAGCCAGCTCATCGCGCTGTCGTCAGAGCTCGTGCGGCGCGTTGCAAAGGTGCTGCCAGTGCTCGCGATTGAGGCTGCCGACACTGTGGCCGCTGCTGCCAGCAAGAGCGATGCAGCATCTACTGATCCTGTTGATATGCTTGTGGGGCACATTAAAAGGACGCTTCTGGACATCCCCAACTCCCCACGCGATGATGAGACCCACCACGATCGCCTGCCTTCCCCCTCCTCGCTCCTCTCCTTCCTCTCTTCACCTCAATCTGCCCCGGCAACAGTATCTTCGTGCTCACTTCCCTTCATTATCCGCAAACAAGTGCCACTTTCGCAGCTTTCAAGCCAGTCTACATCGTCTACTATGAGTCTCCTGTCGCGTGTCTCTGCTGCTATGCAGCGCATTGCCCCTCTCAGCCTGGCTGAGTTGGAATGGGACAATGTCGGAATCTTGCTGGGTAAGGACTTTTTGGCCGTAATTCGTTACAAGCTAAAAAACTACTGCAAATATGTCTATGCTATGTGCGGTCCGCTGTCGCTCGTTTGTTGCTGCCACTGTCTTTTTTGACGACTTTGCCGTTTGCATTAACATTGGCATTGGCATCTGCATGCGAATGTCGAATGTCAAATTGGGCAAATGGAACGCAGCGACAACCTTGGCCCACAAAAACACCATGTTTGCGTCTGCCTGCCTACCTGTTTGTATGCTTTGTGTTGTCTTGCCTTGTATTTTGCTGTTTTACTGTGACCTGTGTATTGAATTATCTGGCAAACGGAAACCACATTTTTTTGGACGTCTATGGTTTATTTTATCCCTTTATTATCTTTGTTCTGTAGAAGCCGCCAAGCCCCGCGCAAACGCTAACAAAGTTTTCCTGACCATCGACCTAACCACGGCCACCCTCGAAGAGGCTCTCAAGGACCCATCGGTTGGCGTCATCGTTGCCTACCATCCCCCGATTTTCTCTGCGTGGAAATCCCTGACGATGGGCAACCTGAAGCAGAGCCTTGTTCTCAGGTGCGCCTCCGCTGGTGTCTCAATATACTCGCCGCACACGTCACTGGACAGCTGTGCCAACGGCATCAACGACTGGCTGGCGTCGCTGGTCGGCGAGGGCAAGGTGACTCCGATCACCCCTGCCAAGGTCGAGAACGCCGCCGGCCAGGAAAACGCTGGCCACGGTCGTCTTCTCGAGCTGGCAACGCCGCGCTCTCTCAGCGATATTGTCGCTGGCGTGAAGACCCGCCTGGCGCTGAACCATGTCCGCGTGGCTCGTGCGCCGCGCCATGAGCAGGACGAGGAGCTGGTGTCCAGGATTGCCATCTGTGCCGGCTCCGGTGAATCGGTGGTTGGTCCTGTTGCTGCAGACCTGTACTTTACCGGCGAGATGGGCCACCATGACGTGTTGGCTGCCGTTGCCAAGAACACCAGCTGCATTTTGGCCGAGCACACCAACACTGAGCGTGGGTACCTTCAGGGAACTCTGAAGGCCCGTCTGCAGCAGGAGCTGAACGCCGACTTTGAAAGTGACTCCACCGATGTCCTTGTCAGTCGGTTGGATCGTGACCCAATCACTATCGAGTGAGGAAAAAAAACCGCTCCAACTTGTATAAAAAGACCATTGGGTGTTTTTTCACTGCTGTGTGCAGTCGGATATTTTTATTTCATTATTTTATGCTTTTATGTTTTATATTTCGTTTTATATTTTATATTTTATTCCACGGAATACTGTATATGCAATTTATAGTTACGTCAGGCATTGCATGTCATATGTTCTGACATTTGAAAATCATATCCAAGCAGCATATACTAAAAGAAAAGTGAGGCTACAAGTATCCTGCAAATCGACATCCTTCCCCATGGTGTTTAGAAACTAGTGACAATAGACCACTATGTGCGACAATATTAATCAGCTTGCTGCTCCTTTTGAAGAAAAGAAACAGGGGCAGGTGGATTCTTGCGCACACGCTTGGTCTTGGGCTTTGGCTTGAGCAAAGTCTCAGGTGCCGCTACAGACGCGGATTCGGCCAACTCTGACAATGCCTTTTTGCGCAAGAAACGTGGAGGATGACTGCCTTGAACTTTCGCATCATTCTTAATGCCCTGTTTAAACACCGCAGCCATGTCACGATTATTCCGCTTCCGCCTGCCTGATGGCACTTTTTCGCCATCCTTGATCTTGGTTCCGTCGGCCCTAAAGGTTTGCAGGCAGTCTTCCATTGTGCACTGGAGCAAACCGTGGCATAAATTTTGGCGAGGTTTTTATACCGCCGGAATTGTATTAACGCCTGTTGCGGCCACCCGGTGCTGCTGACCATGCTTCTGGTGCTGCTGCTGCGCAGCCAACTCATCGCGCATCCTCTGTCTGATTTTGCGCTCAAGTTTGCCCCGTGACCAGCCGCTCAGCCTGACAATGCGCTTGAGATTATCGGCGAGCTGGATATTGATGTAATGCTCACGATATCCCTCAGCCAGCTCATCCTGCACCTGCTGCTTAATTATGCTGTCAATTTTGTCCTCAGACCAGCCCTTTTCCTTCCCTATCCACCGGATGATACCGGCAGACTGTGGGCGAATGGGCATCCACTTGTCGCAACTATGCTGCTCACTGTTACTAATAGATGCGGCAGCGGCGGCAGTTTTAATTGCAATAGAAACGGCGGCGGCTGCAGCTGCGACGGAATTAGCAGTGGCTGAAGTGGTTGCAGCTGCGATAGAATTGAATGATGCTGCTGCTGCCATTGTGACATAGTATTTGTGCTTGGGATTTTGCAGATGAGGATCATAAATTTTGTGAAATTTCTCCATCCTGCTCACATACTGGGTAAAACGTTGAGATGCAATACTCGTCGATCAAGTAAACAATGAATCGCTGGCCTATTAGCATCTCCCGCACCCCCTTGCCACGAATTGGCTCATGGTAACGGGCCATGCCTGGGGCCCAATTATCAAGAATAAGGACCGGATCTGGCCCAAATTTTGCATGTAAAGATTTTGCGAGTTTGACATCGGCGCGCTTTCTGTTGACAAAGGAAAGATAATGGAGCTTGCGGTGCAAGGAGTCAGTTGAGCTGCGGCCGGCATGTTTCCGACTCTTGCCAAGGGTTTGTGTGTTGTGGTAGTGCTCTCCCAAAACAAAATCACCTTTCCGGCGCTCAAGGAGGTACTCAACATATAACTTGAAAGCAAGTGTACTGGAGCCAGGGTGGTTGAGTGCACGCTCGGTATCCTCAACAAACATATACCAACCATTTATTTCTGCCTTGGCGAGCTTTGCTGGGTCAAGCTGGAATACCTTTTTTTGCGTTTTCGCGGATCCAATGAAACACGTGTTCACGACGTTTATTAGCCTCGGAATATTTGGTGTGGTGGAAAGTCTTTCACACTTTTTGTAGCTGCTTTTATATCCCAGACAATAAAGCATATACCGTCGACTGGTATCAAAGAGAGCTGATCTGTCACCAATATCATGTATGCCATTTTTGACAAATTAGCAATGTATTCAAGAGGAGCCTTCTTACTGTGGGGCACATAATTGTCAAGTTTGCCGCCATTGATGTTGCTGTTGCCGTCATTTTTGCTGTTGTCGTTGTTGTCGTTGTTGTTGCTGTTGCTCCTAGAGCCTTTCTTAGACCGTGCAATCCTCTCTGTCTTGATCGTCTTTCTCTTTGTGTTGGCGGGCGAGTCTAGTAATACAATAGTTGCAATGCCATCAGTATGGATAATGCCACCGAATCTGTGCGGTTTTTGTCCTTTCAAGAGTCGAGCGAAAACGACCAAGAAATATCACAAAATAGTGACCAAATTTATTCTGGTGACTTGCCTTTGAGATCCTTCAGACGCGGAATCTCGGGAATCTTGATATCTAGGCACAGCTTCTTGTGTAGCACTTTGAGTCGGCTCTTTGTAATGGACAGAATACACCGTGCAAGAATGGCCTTATCGAGCATAGTAAAACCTAGTACAATAGACGTCCTCATTGGGAAGAGGAAAATTGACTTCATGTTGGAAAATAAGACGTTCTATGAACGCGTAGATAAAGTATAATAATATAAAGTATATTTAATAAATAAGAGCCATGTGCACTGTGAAAAGGTAAAGAGAAAAGAGCACATTGCGTTGGCCACTGTGTGATTTATTGTTTGTATGGCTAAACAGCCAAGCCGGGTTAATCAGTTGATTGCCATCAACCAATAGCCCTGTTGTAACATATATTGCATGCCAATTTATAATACGGATTTTATCTCAGTATAACCAGCATACAAGTAGCTTGCACGTCGACTGGCTCGCTTTACTCATAGAAATTACTCAAGAATATTTTGTAGTCCATGAGGTCTTTTGTGTATTAAAAACACAGGCCAATTTTTTTGCTCTGCTTTTTATAAACAGAACCTACAAAATAGCAAAGATGGTCACATGTTTAAATATAAAGGACAGCCAAAATGAAATTCAAAAAGACACGTACTTCGTTTCTGCCATTGTAGAATAAGCCAAAAGAACACTCAAGCGAACAAACAAATTTATTCATTTGGTTTACTTGTTTTGTCTGATAATTATTTTATTTTTTATTAACACGCGTTTCCCCCCCCCTCCTACAGTAACAATTTATTATAATTTTTTGTATTTATTTAATCATATTCTATCCAAACTTTGGTCTATTTATATTTTCACTTTTTGTTTTATTTTGGGCCATGAGAAGAGTTGCATGCATTTTTGCGCTGGTTGCATTTGCATGCACTATCAGCATTGCTCTCGGAAGCACTACCATATTTCAGCAATACAAAGAAAGTACCGAGCCACACGTTTTACATGCAGCTTTCAGAAGGTTTGAAGCGGGCATGCCAACCACTAGGGTTATGTTAAATGTTCGTCGTGTTGATTATCCGGATGGCATGGCGGACAAGGAAACATCCCAGGCATCCTCCACGGAAATCTCAACAGGAAGCTCATCAGAAATCCCAATTGCAAGCTCAGTTAAAAGCTTGGCCAACAGTTCAACAGAAAGCTCAACAGGAAGCTCAACAGAAAGCACGACGGAAAGTTCAACGGTATCCACCGCAGAGCCCACTACGGAGACCGCCACCGACACTATAACAACAACCGAGTTGATTACATCAATGACGGTTATAATTGAAAGCGGGTTGTCTGTTGACGACATTCTTGACGGCCAAATGGAAATACTCACGGTTACAGAAACATTTACAACCATTGTAACGCCGACAATTGATTATACACCGACTGTCACTCTTGATATTACAACTACTGTTACTCCAACAGAAACTGAGGTATTCACCCAAACTCCAAGTGCGCCTGCGCCACTGGACCCCGAAACTACTACTCTTTCAATATCGAGCGACACCACAACCACTGTTTTTACTACCACTACGCTGGTGACAACAGAAAAACAGGAGGCAGACACTAGCACTATGACAAACACCACAACCACAACAGAAACGATGACGACCACGGAAGAGGTGGTGTTAACATCCGAGTCAGTATCATTAACCACCGTATACACTACAGTGATGGACACGTATAAAAAAACAATTCCAGCTGGCACCAGTACTACTAGTTCAGCTTATATGGTTACACATACCACTACAGAGTTTACAACTACGACAGTTCAGATCTAAACACAGTATGGGTTGTTTTATTTACTTATTTGGTAGCTCCCTCAATATAGCAAATTTACATTTACAGTTAAGGGTTATTCTTGCAAGAAATAAACACATGCGCTTGAAACATTGCGCATACAATGCAAGTAGATGTTTTAATGGGTGATGTATCCGTTATAACAGACAGCGTAAAAATATGAGCATTGTATTTCAATTTTTGTCCACATTTGCCATTCTTGGTAAAAATAAATTTTGCATTCCGCAATAATAGCCCCAGTACATAATTCCATTACAACAGATGTATGGGGTGGTTTATTTTAATACCAAGTGGGCAAAGCACGGGCGGTGTCCAGTGTACTTGTGCCTATATTACCATTTTATAATGATAACTTGCTTTTTGTATTGTGCATTGTTAGCACACGCAAATAAAGCAGGACTTGTATTTGTCACGCCTTTTTTGAAGCATGTTTTTACTAGTTCAACTGTACAGGGCTGCTCACTTGGCAAAAGGCGTGCACAATTTGCTAATGTATTATTAGTCAGTTGGTTTAGAGCAGGACTATGCTTTTGAACATTGTTATTATTCTTTGCAACTTATTTTATTGTTTATATACTAAAAATTATAAATTATAAACCAAGTACAATCCTTGTTTTCAATTGGCGAGCTTATAGCTGGGCTTGTTGGAATATAGGAAACGTTCTATGAACGTGTAGTGTTGGAATATAGGACATTCTATGAAAGTGTAGATAAAGTATAATGCTATAAAGTATATTTAATACCAAGTGCTATGCACTGTGTGAGGTAAAGAGAAGAGAGCATATTGCTCTGGTCACTGTGTGACCTATTGTTTGTGTAGCTAAACAGCCAAGACTGGTTAATCAGTTGATCGCCATCAACCAATAGAGCTATATTCTTGTTTGCCATATTTTATCAGGCCTATGTTTACATATTGTCAAATGCCGCATACTCAAGCAACACTACCGTAAGGGCGTTGTCCCCCAGCATTTCAAGCTTGTTTACTTTGGGTTTAAAACCAACGAGAACATTTGGAGAAGTCTATTACAAAACCAAAGCAAATGATTTGACTGTTGCTCACACATGGACATAATTGCCAAGCAATGCGCTAGTGGCTAGGCAATTAGCAGCAGATGGTCCTGACAAAATTACAACTACAACTACGGCTACTACTACAACTATGACTACGTTGACATCCACAACCACATCTACGTCTACATCAACATTAATAGCCACGTTTATAGCCACATCAACTGTTACAGGCATGTCGATAACAATAACATGGGCTCCAACCACAGTAGACGGAACCAGATTAACAGAGACAGTCTCAGTGGTTACAGAGACAACTACAGTTTACGCTACTACACCATTACCCAGCTCTGTATTTCTCGTGACCATAACAACTACAGTGCCCGGAAAACCCTTTGATACTACAACCACAGGCACAATGACAAGCACAGCAATATATATACCAGACGTGTCTGTGACAACAACAACAGTGACAGAAGCATTTACAACAGCTAAGATGACAACTACCATTAAAACGGAAGAAGTAGTGAGCACAGCGACTGAAGACATTGATGCGGAGAGCTAGTAATTACTACGGTTAATACTATAATAAGCCTGGTTGCCACAATTACCAAATCAATTACGGAAACAACGTTAGCACCGGTTGGTGGTGGTGGCTTTGGATTTATTGATGGCTTACCAGGTGTTCCTATTGATCCAAATGGAATTTAGTCCGTGTGGTTTTATGATAACAATCCTTAAACATTTAATGTAGTTTGTATTAAAGCTTTTATTAAAATGGATCAGCATAGTATCTATCAACGTTCTTGTAGTTGCACAACATGCGGGGGTTTTTTCTCATGTAATTAGATAACCACATATATTTTCCATGTATGATTTTGGTTGCAAGTTTTATTTTTATTCTTTAATTAAAAATTAATCAATAAATAAAGGTGTAATAAAATAAATGCGCCTTGAGCAATGCATCAACTGTAAAAAACCCGACATTTTTGATGGGTGAGTAGAATGTCTGTTACATCCGAGGCACGTGTTGACTGCATGCTCAAGTTGGGCAAATAAACAAAATATTTTGTGTTGTTTAATAACCTGTGTGTTTAGTAACCAAAGTGCTAATAAAATATTTTATTTTGGTTTATTTATACACCTGTAACAACACAAAGGATGTGGTTATTGTTGGAGGAGGGAGGGAGGCAGTTAAGTTAATTTTTCTCTGTAGCAGTGAATAGGTTAATTGTAATTTTTTATTCTAACGTATCATGCTCATCAAAAAGCAATAAAATAGCTCACATTGCTAAATGAACTCGTGTTAACAAAATAATTACTTTTAGCTGATTGGCTTTCAAGCTATGCAAAGAATAAATACTTCATTGTAAAAGCTATAAGGAAAAATAAATGCATGGACGCTTTGAATGGTGTGTGTGTGTTTTGAGCGTTTAAAATGGGTTAATGAATTATTTAAAAAAGGCCAATTGTATTAGAGCAAGTAATTTAAAGTGTTTTTTCTTTATTCTAAGTTGTCCGTTTTTACCTTAAAGCAGCATTATTTTATTATTTTATTATTTTTATTGTATATTATGCACAAGCTCAATTTTTTTCAGTGGTGGACCACCTTGGCCATCCTATTTGTATGCGTAACACAGCAGGTATCTGTACACGCTCAAATACGCGCACAAGTACAAGCACAGGTACAAGTACAAGCACAAGTTTCAAGCATTGGCAATATGGTAGAGAATAATGCATCCCTAACAAGTCACAGTTTATCTAATTTAAGCCTAGAACCAACAAAGGTTTTTCGTGAGATATACTATGAACCAATAGAGGATAATTTGACAGGCACATACACACAGTCAGAATTGCTGAGCAACGTGCCTGTAGCTAAACAGCTGGCAGCAGATGGGTACAACATAATTACAACTACTACAACTACAACTACAACTACAACTACAACCACGTCTACATCCACATCTACATTAACATCAACAACCACGTTGACAATCACATCCACAATTAAGGCAATTCCAGTGTTTGTAACGTGGCCTCCAAATACAATATACGGAAATACAGTAACAGAGACAGCCTTGCCAGTAACAAAGACAACCACAGTTTACGCCGCCACACCATTACCCAGCTCTGTACTGCCTGTGACTGTAACCACCACGGTGCCCGGAATGACCTTTACAACAACAACCACGGACACAGAAACAAGCACAACAACGTATATACCAGACATGTCTGTGACAACAACAACAACAACAGAGACAGAAACATTTACAACAACTAAGATGACAACTATCACTAAAACAGAGGATGTCATGAGCACAGTAACTGAAGAAATTAATGAAACAACAACGGAAACCGTAACTGGAAAGTCAAATATTGTTACATTTACAGCTCAGGTGAACTATTGGTCCACAGTTACCAAAACAGCTACTGAAACAAAATTAGCACCGGTTTTTAATGGCGGCTTTGGAGCTATCGATGCTGCCACTGTAAAGCCTGACTATGGCGTTGTAACTTTCTTTGATCCTATAGATGGTAGGGTAACCCTCTTGGTTACTTGGATGAATTAATTCTTTGGAAACTGTGAGCGTATTCTTTAACTAGCAAATTTTGAATTTTGTAGAGCATATTTCTTGTTTCTTTTATTGCTAAAAATTTAAAGCTATATGTATGTTATAATAAGAGGGGGGTGTGAGAAGCACTAGTTATCTAGTATTAGAAATGTAGGTGTTATGTTAAAAATATAGCTCTATTGGTTGATGGCGATCAACTGATTAACCAGTCTTGGCTGTTTAGCTACACAAACAATAGGTCACACAGTGACCAGAGCAATATGCTCTCTTCTCTTTACCTCACACAGTGCATAGCACTTGGTATTAAATATACTTTATAGCATTATACTTTATCTACACTTTCATAGAATGTCCTATATTCCAACACTACACGTTCATAGAACGTTTCCTATATTCCAACAAGCCCAGCTATAAGCTCGCCAATTGAAAACAAGGATTGTACTTGGTTTATAATTTATAATTTTTAGTATATAAACAATAAAATAAGTTGCAAAGAATAATAACAATGTTCAAAAGCATAGTCCTGCTCTAAACCAACTGACTAATAATACATTAGCAAATTGTGCACGCCTTTTGCCAAGTGAGCAGCCCTGTACAGTTGAACTAGTAAAAACATGCTTCAAAAAAGGCGTGACAAATACAAGTCCTGCTTTATTTGCGTGTGCTAACAATGCACAATACAAAAAGCAAGTTATCATTATAAAATGGTAATATAGGCACAAGTACACTGGACACCGCCCGTGCTTTGCCCACTTGGTATTAAAATAAACCACCCCATACATCTGTTGTAATGGAATTATGTACTGGGGCTATTATTGCGGAATGCAAAATTTATTTTTACCAAGAATGGCAAATGTGGACAAAAATTGAAATACAATGCTCATATTTTTACGCTGTCTGTTATAACGGATACATCACCCATTAAAACATCTACTTGCATTGTATGCGCAATGTTTCAAGCGCATGTGTTTATTTCTTGCAAGAATAACCCTTAACTGTAAATGTAAATTTGCTATATTGAGGGAGCTACCAAATAAGTAAATAAAACAACCCATACTGTGTTTAGATCTGAACTGTCGTAGTTGTAAACTCTGTAGTGGTATGTGTAACCATATAAGCTGAACTAGTAGTACTGGTGCCAGCTGGAATTGTTTTTTTATACGTGTCCATCACTGTAGTGTATACGGTGGTTAATGATACTGACTCGGATGTTAACACCACCTCTTCCGTGGTCGTCATCGTTTCTGTTGTGGTTGTGGTGTTTGTCATAGTGCTAGTGTCTGCCTCCTGTTTTTCTGTTGTCACCAGCGTAGTGGTAGTAAAAACAGTGGTTGTGGTGTCGCTCGATATTGAAAGAGTAGTAGTTTCGGGGTCCAGTGGCGCAGGCGCACTTGGAGTTTGGGTGAATACCTCAGTTTCTGTTGGAGTAACAGTAGTTGTAATATCAAGAGTGACAGTCGGTGTATAATCAATTGTCGGCGTTACAATGGTTGTAAATGTTTCTGTAACCGTGAGTATTTCCATTTGGCCGTCAAGAATGTCGTCAACAGACAACCCGCTTTCAATTATAACCGTCATTGATGTAATCAACTCGGTTGTTGTTATAGTGTCGGTGGCGGTCTCCGTAGTGGGCTCTGCGGTGGATACCGTTGAACTTTCCGTCGTGCTTTCTGTTGAGCTTCCTGTTGAGCTTTCTGTTGAACTGTTGGCCAAGCTTTTAACTGAGCTTGCAATTGGGATTTCTGATGAGCTTCCTGTTGAGATTTCCGTGGAGGATGCCTGGGATGTTTCCTTGTCCGCCATGCCATCCGGATAATCAACACGACGAACATTTAACATAACCCTAGTGGTTGGCATGCCCGCTTCAAACCTTCTGAAAGCTGCATGTAAAACGTGTGGCTCGGTACTTTCTTTGTATTGCTGAAATATGGTAGTGCTTCCGAGAGCAATGCTGATAGTGCATGCAAATGCAACCAGCGCAAAAATGCATGCAACTCTTCTCATGGCCCAAAATAAAACAAAAAGTGAAAATATAAATAGACCAAAGTTTGGATAGAATATGATTAAATAAATACAAAAAATTATAATAAATTGTTACTGTAGGAGGGGGGGGGAAACGCGTGTTAATAAAAAATAAAATAATTATCAGACAAAACAAGTAAACCAAATGAATAAATTTGTTTGTTCGCTTGAGTGTTCTTTTGGCTTATTCTACAATGGCAGAAACGAAGTACGTGTCTTTTTGAATTTCATTTTGGCTGTCCTTTATATTTAAACATGTGACCATCTTTGCTATTTTGTAGGTTCTGTTTATAAAAAGCAGAGCAAAAAAATTGGCCTGTGTTTTTAATACACAAAAGACCTCATGGACTACAAAATATTCTTGAGTAATTTCTATGAGTAAAGCGAGCCAGTCGACGTGCAAGCTACTTGTATGCTGGTTATACTGAGATAAAATCCGTATTATAAATTGGCATGCAATATATGTTACAACAGGGCTATTGGTTGATGGCAATCAACTGATTAACCCGGCTTGGCTGTTTAGCCATACAAACAATAAATCACACAGTGGCCAACGCAATGTGCTCTTTTCTCTTTACCTTTTCACAGTGCACATGGCTCTTATTTATTAAATATACTTTATATTATTATACTTTATCTACGCGTTCATAGAACGTCTTATTTTCCAACAATTAGATATTGCGATAATTAGACTTGTTTTTAATTACAATTATCATTTTTTATTTTGAAAAACATTTTTGCAAAGAGTTGAAACAACACACATTTAATAAAAAAAGAGTAGGCTCACTTTGCTTTATTTCAATGTTGAAAATTTTCTGTGACAGCAATACATATTTTTATTTGTATAAAGGAAAAAAAGCACTTTATAAAAAAAATTTGTCTGCTAAAAATAAAAAAAGTGAAAAAAAATTGCGGATTAGTGTGAGGTATATGTTTGAGCTTTGTGAAAAGTGTTTTTTATATTCAAAGACGTGGTAAATTAAAAAGAACAAGTACAGCTGATCAAAAACAAGACAAGAAACATAAGAAACATGAAGCCGTTTTTTCTTCTTAAAAACTGCATATTTTTATTTTTTATTTATTTTTATACATATATTTTCCTACTATAATGTACACGCTCACTTTTTTCCAATGGTGGACCACTTTGGTTGTACTTTTATTATGTATCACGCAGAAGGCTAATGTACAGGCACAGCACCAATTGTTTTATCCTGAAGGCATGGCAATTAAAGAGATATCCTCAGCAGATCCCGACTCTTCGTTCTCCTCGTCATCCAGTCTATTGTCATCAAAGTTCCTTGGCCAAGTGTATATCGAGACCGGAATAAATGGTGAAACTGTTATCTATACATGGACGGTATTGCCAAGCGATATCTCCTTGGCCGAGCACTTGAATAAGCATACGACCACAACTACAAGCACAACAACGCTTACGACCACACTAACAACCACATCCACGGTCAATTCCAAATACGCATTTACAACAACACTCACTACCACGTCGACCATAACGGGGATTCCGGTTACAGCGACTGTATCGACGGCTACAGCAAATGGAGCTACTGTGACAGAGAATGCCTTGCCGGTCACCGTAACAAGAACCGTGTATGATCAGAATTCTCAGCTAGTTACCGTGTTGCCCGTGACTGTGACCACCACTGTTCCAGGCAAGACCTACGAGTCAACAATCACAAGCACGGCGACAAGCACAGTAAAGCATACTCCAGATATGGTACTTTTAACTGAAACTATAGCAGCAACAGAGACACTCACATCCACGGTTCAGACAACCCGAGTTCTACCAGTTAATGTGGTAAGCACAGCGACAAGCACAATTATCGCAGCAAGCGTCATAACTATAACTCAAGCACCAGTAATCGTTACATTTACCGCTCAGATAAATTATTGGCTGACTACTACAGAGGTACTTGTAGAGTATCTCCAGCCCGTTGAAGTTGTGAATAATGACGAAGAAGAGCGACTTGCTGCTGAAGCTGCTGCCGAAGCTGCTGCTGCCGCCGAAGCTGCTGCTGCAGAGGCGGCTACAAAAATTACAATAGCGCCGGTGAATTGCGTGGATGGACGCAGATGGAGCGGGTGTAACAGACAACTATAAGCACCCTCTCTCTGGTTTTATATTGTTGTATCTTTTGTATTTAATATACACTGTGAAAATCATTTCTAGCTATGTGCAAGTTTTACTGCATAAAGCTCACGGATATCCATACGCCAAGCAATTCAATTAGGCCCAAATCTGAATAGCTCCCAACCACGCACGCGGCTCCTAGGATTATTTACTTTAGTTTGAGATTTTCACTTGTTCTATATCTCGCTCAATGGGTTTATTATTTTCTCTATTCGCCACGTCCTTTTTTCGTTTCAATTTTGGTCACAGGTTATAATTGAGTGCAATCCCGGCGATGAGGAAGTTTATTAAGCCAACTCGCCGCATTGACGTGGACTTTGTCAAGGATAAGTATGATTCCGACACCGGCACGGATGAGGATGCTTAAAAAGTTTTTTATATTAGAAAGTAAACCATTCATTTGTTTAAGAATTGTTGCAAGGTCTCAGGTGAATTTGCTTGAATAGTCTTCGAGATATAGATACTAATGCAGCGCTGCAATATGATGTATAGGCTTTTGCAAGTTGATAAAGTAGCAAAGAATCGATATAGTATTTTGAATAGGTAAATGAAATGAAATGAATTGGTAAAGTTAAAATGGAAAATGAAAAAGAAAACTTGAAAAGTATTTTTGGTCGAGATAAAGTTTACAATAAAAACGCTTACAAAAGTAAATATAGCGCTGGCCCCTCATCTCCTCCCTCCTACGACCACTTGTTTTTTGTACCCTCGAATTAGGCGAGTGAGTGAGTGAGTGAGCGAGTGAAAATGCAAAAAAAATGACTACAAACTCCAATAGGAGCTTTGGCGCGGAAAAAAGTTGGAAAAATTAAAAAGGTGGGAATATCAAAAAGGTGATGGGAGAATGCGAGCAAAATAAAAATTAGTACAAACTCACAAATAAAAAAGTGAGCTTCAGTGTGATATGCGCAAGCAAGCAACGAGAGAAAGAAAAAGGCCGAAAGAAAGAGAGAGGGAGAGGGAGAGGGAGAGGGAAGCGAGGGAGAGGGAAAGAGCCGAAACAAGAAGAAATAAAAAGAGAGAGCGAAAAACACCCAAAATTTTCAGAACAAGTTGCGCCTATACTTTGACGGCAATGGCGGCAGGGGCGGCGGAGCCAGCGGCGACATCTGTGGCACTGGCGACCACTGGGGCATCGGGGATCGATACGGCGGCGACTGGCCAAACAGCATCGGAGATCTCGGCGGCGCCTGCTGGACCATCGGCGACCTTGAGGTCCTCCGGGGCCGCGCCAGTCGCGGCGACCTAGGCGACCGCGCGCGATTCCTCCCAAACAAATCCGGCCTCGGCACAACTGCAGCAGCAGCCATTGCCGCCACGCTCATGGCAAACTGGTCATGCACGGTTTTGCGACGCTTCGTCCTTGGTGAGTCCGCGCACACATCCTCGTCCTCCACAGCCTTGCGTTTCTTTGCTCCCCCAAACAGCAGCATCATCTCCCCGTTGCTGCTCGCCACAGAGCCGCCGTACCTGTGCAGGGGCAGGTGCATTGGCGCGTACATCTGCGGGTTCGGCGAGTACCCGTTCATTGTGGACGCCGCAGACGAGGGCGTGAAGCCGCGCGTCGGCGTGATTTCGGGAGAGTCGGGGAAGGCGTCCGGTGGGACGAAGCTGCCGGCGGCGGCGTTGAAGCAAAAGTCCTCGATGAACTTTTTGTCGTCTTGGTCGCGCGACAGCGTGGCCACGGAGTCGGTCGACTGGCGGCGGTCGACTGGGCTCGTGGGCCTGGGCAGCTGGGCGGGCAGCTGGGTGGACTCCTGGATGGGCTGGTGCGCAGGCTGGCGCGCAGGCTGGCGCGCAGCAGCCTCCTCGTCGGGGTTCTCGGCCTGCGAGGTGTACTCGGGCGCAGGGCTCTGGCCGGCCAGCTGCGGCATCTTCAGGCTTTCCAGGTCATCGTAGTCAGGCAGAGAATCAGCGCGTATGGTTGCCCGCTCCCCATGGACGGCTCCAGCACCATCCGCAGAGCCGCCCGCAGCACACGCAGCACCACACGCAGCACCAGCACCACACGCAGCACCAGCACCACATGCAGCACCAGCACCACACGCAGCCACAAACACCCCCGCCCCCGCCTCCGCGGCCTCCGCCCTGGCGGCACACTCCGCCTCGGGCGCGCGGTAGTTCCTGTCAAACGCCCTCCTGCCAACCAACACCACCGCACGGTCAACGGCAGCCAAGCAGTCGCGCTCGATCTCGTCGGCGAACTGCACGCGGCGCAGAATCGGGTCGACGCTGCGGTTGCCGCGCAAGTTGAAGCGGTGCGTGCCCTGGCACTTGCTGTTCTGGAAAACCGCGCGGTAGAGGTCGCGCACCAGGCCAACAATAAGCGGGAACGCGGGCTCGTTCAAGTACTCGGCGATGGCGTCGTCGAGGTTGCGCGGACTCGCAAACAGGCTGCGCTTGAATTCGGCCACGCCCTGGGCGCTGCACGCCATGAGGCGGTCGCGCAGCTCGCGGAATGCCTCGGTTGACCGCGCGGCAAACATGATCAGCAGCGTCAGCGCCGACTCCCAGTCGTCCACGGCTGTGCGCGGCACGTCCAGCGCCTCGGTGTTCGCGATGCTCATGAAGGGCGGCGTGCCAATGCTGCCCGGCCGCGAGGCGTTGTGCTGCGCCCGGACGTGCTCGGCGTTGTCAAAGTCGATCAGCACGCCTGTGATGCCGCCGCCGGGCTGGCGCACGCCCATAATGTTGTTCATGGAGATGTCGCGGTGCAGCACGCCGCAGTGGCGCAGGATGGCCGCGTGCGACCGCATGGCCGCGGCCACCACCAGGACCAGCTCGTGCTCGAAGTGCAGCGCGCTTAGCGGCACGGCCACGGGCCCAGTCAGCATGCGGCGGTGGACGCGGCTCGGCTGGGCGGCCCGCTCAGCGCCGGGCGGCTGCGCCCAGCGCGTGTACTTGTTGGCCGCGCCGAGCACCAGCGCCGACCCATCTGCCATGCCGTGGATGTCCACGGTGCCGCCGCACACCAGCCGCTGGGACGCGTCGGCGTATCCGGCACGGTCCAGCGCGGTGCGGACCAGCGCCAGCACGTCGATTTCGTCCGCGGCGCCGTCGGCCGCCAGCTGCCACGAGTCCTTCAGCACCAGTGTCGCGTCGCCAGCCGGCGTCGGCGCCGCCGCAAAGCAGCGCGTGAAGCGCCCGAAGTACGACGCCGCGAAAAGCGGTGCGCGCAGGGCGTAGGCCGTGCTGTCGCCGCAGCGGATGGCCCAGCGCTGGAGCGCGCCGTCCCAGCGCATTGTTGGGTCGGCGCCCAGCCGCCAGTCCTCGGCAAGGCTCAGGTGGGCAAACAGCGCCGCCAGCTTCAGCTGCCCGGCGGCCACGCGCAAGTCGATGGGCGCGGCAAAGTGGATGGCGTCGCTTTCGATCAGGCACGGCCGCACAACGCCCGGCGCCCACACGAGCCCCCAGGCAAAGCGCACCGAGGGGTTGTGCCGCGCGTACCGGTCCATTGCCTTGATGACGATCTCGCCCAGGTTGGCCGAGAACGGCCGCAGGCAGTCGTCCAGCGGCGCCGTCACGCCGACCACTGCGGCGTCGCCGCCCTGCAGCAGAAAGTCGCCGGTGCCTTCGCCGTAGTCGACGCCGCGGCAGGCGACAAAGGCGCGCGGCCCGGCTGCCATTGCGTCTTTGCCGCTGGTCCTGAGCAGCCCCCTTCCGCCAGCGCCGAGCAGGCTCTTGGCCACGCGCGCCGCGACCATCTCGACCTCAGCAAACAGGTCCACCCCAGCCATCGGCTGCTTAGCCGCAGCAGCGGCGGCGGCGGCGGCGGCGGCGGCAGCAGCGGCAGCGGCAGCGGCCGTTTGCTGGCGCGTGCTCATACTGCTGTTGCCAGCACTGCCGGCAGCGGTGGTGGCAGACCCCATGCGGCGGCGCTTCAGCTGCTTCTGGCGCTGGTAGATCTGCTGCGCGTCGGCCTCGGTGCGCATATGCGGACGCAGCATTTCGCAGAACGCCTGCGCCAGCAGAAGGCGGCCAGTCTCCGACACCGAGGCCAGGTGCGCGCTGAACGGCCGAAGCTGGGCCCACAGCTGCGACTCGAGCACTTCGGCCGATGGCTGCTCGCTGGCAATCGAGTTTTGGTCCAGGCACACGTCGATGCGGAATGCAAGCTCTTCGGTCTCGGCGGGGGCTAGCGTCAAAGTCAAAAGGGTAAAAATCGGGTTGCCCATTGTTTTTCAATTAGCTAAGCTGTCATTTGAAAACCAATTAAAGTTGTTGTTTTTAAAAAGGCACCATTCACTTTGTGGGTCGTTATGCCTTTTTAAAAACAAGCCATCCACCCCTTTTCAGTCACACTCACTGCCTCGCTGTTTTTCAGCCAGCCAGCTGACTAACCGGCCGGCAAGTATCTTCAACACCTCCAGTCACGCTTATATCTTATATATTATGTCTTTTTTGTTTTATCTTATTCTTACCATCATAAGCAACCGCCGGTGTTGCCTTTACAGCTTGCATCTTGATAAAGAACTTGAAAAGGAGAAAAGGAAAGAGTGAAAGCAAAAAGAATGAGAATGAAAGAGTATCAACGTATCAACGTTGTTGATAGAATGAAAGCTTTGGAAAAAAAAAACTAATGACGAGTGAGATGAAAAAAGAAAACCCAATCAACGGATAAGGAACTCAAAGCGTAAATAAACAAGGTTATGAGTTGGAAAGAAAAAGTACAGAAAAAGTACAGAAAAGGTACAGAAAAAGAAAGAGAGAGAGGGAGGAGAAAAGAAAAGAAAGGGGATGGAAAAATAAATAAATAAATAAAATAGTGCGGCATCCCAGACAAAGGGGCGAGCGTAGGCGCAGGCGTAAATCCACTACCGCCTAAAAAAACAAGCATTAGCACTGCAGCATCACAAAATAAAAAAAACAACCTATTTCATCCCCCGTTTTTATTTTCATTTTCATTTTCTTCAGGCATTTCCCAGAAAAAAGAAAGAATAAACATTAACACAATCGAGTAATATAAACAGAAGTGTTTTGCATGTGCGGCTTGAACGCACATTTGCACGAACCAGGCTCACTAGTCATTCTCTCGGCCCCCTCAGCCAGCACTTAATAACTTTTTCTCTCGTCAGCTTGTCCGCGCCCTTAACAATCAAATATCCTGTCTGGCTTCGGTATAGTAGCCCGGAAAACTTAAACACCCAGGTGCATATGTTATTGTGCAATAAATGACGAATACACTGCGTCTGTGGCTGCTTTCGTAGGAACTTTTTTGTTTATTTATTGATATTGTGTCGAAAACCAACAAGCCAACAAGAGCAAATATGGAATTACGCATTGATAAGAGCAACAATGCCAGCAAATATCACCCCTCGTTTTCATTTTTCTCTTGCTTAAATACACGTGTAGTATCGCACTATATTCATTCCAATGAATTAAAAAGAGGGTATACCTTTAATTTCTGGATAAGCTGCATTAATCCGCTTGTGTACTGACGGTAGTGCCCAAAGTGCCAAATTACAGGAACACCATTGCCTTCGTTTTTAAGCTGATGAGTGATGGTCACAAAGCAAGCCAAAGCAGAGAAAATCCAATTAATATCTGTCTGTCTATCTGTCTGTCTGTCTGGATGAATGGATGAGTGGATGGGTTGATCGATGAAAAAAGCACATTCATCATGCTGACTGATCATACATGACGCAAGAAGAGTTATGATACATAGAAATCATTTATATAACCCAGCTGACTGACCGCGACTGGAATGTCTGACATTAATTATCTTGATCCCTTTCTTTTTTGCCCTATTTAATTCCCCTTTGAAAGGGGGACTGCACAGTAACCACAACACACCGCTAGTAACGATGGAAAAAACACCCCGATTAGCAGGCTCTCCCCCCCCATCACCCAATCTCTTAAAACACCGTACTGTCTTTTCTATTTTTCTTATTTTGTTCGAAATGCTTCATTGATTCCAGTGGATCTGCAGATCAAGAACCAGCTCTTTTTCCATCATTTTTTTTATCTTAACTGCACACAAAGAATCTGATTGCATGGAAGAAGGGAAATCTCTGTTTACTTTTCTTTTCACACACAATTCAATTGAATTCAATTATCTGCTGATTTGTCCCTCCTCTCCCCCCTTTAGTTTTTATTAATTAAATCATATATCAATTATATGTAGACGATACGACGATGGCTAGGGATGGAAAAAAGGGGGGGAAAGGGGGAATGTTCTTGTGGAATAATAATAAAAAAGGACGCTCGCCAATACATTATCAATTGTGGCGTCAATTCAACTGGCCAACAACGATTAATCACAACAAACAAACAAATTAACCAACAAAACAAATATATTTGCAATGGTCTGAAGAGCAAACAAGGTGTGTGCATAATGTATCTGTGTATTCATGTGCCCACACATACAGGCCAATCCATTATTTTTATTTATTCTGCAGCTGGGTGTTTGTATTCTAAAATCCTTCATTTTTTGTTTTTTCCTCCTTTCTCTATATTTAGCTTGTGCGGACATTCAGTTTTTCGGGTCCAACGAACACTCAATAAAAAATATATATAAGCACATGCAAGGTTGATAGTGATCCGAAGCGCTGCTGTGCCATGCTGGTTTCTGACCAATGGCCTGCGGACCACATGGTTCATTCCATGTACAGCTAATCGTACAACAATAATAGAAAAATGGACTATGACGCTGATAACCCCCCCCCCCAGCCTTTACAAAAACTCTGTCCCCCAAAACCAGACGTGAATGCCATTCCCAATCAGGCCTAACATTGCAAAATTGTTGTTTATTTCTTTTTCCACTTTGATTGCCGAACCCACCTTATTGTTGTCTGCATGCTAGAATGCTCATCATATTGACGGCAATATTCGACTGAGAATAAAAACATGATATCATGATATTCGGCACTAACAAAAAACCAATAAGACTGACAATATACACGAAGCAGCAAGTTGGGTCATACATTTCTGTTTCGATAAATACGGGTGCCCCTTCCGCCCCCATCCCCTTCACTCGCTCCACAGTTTTCTTTTAAACCATCTTGTTTATCCATCCATCCACCCACTTTATTACTTGACGCTTACCTTCTGTTTTTCTGTTAGCTTGCTTTTTCCCTCACTCTACAAGCACATTTCTAATACCGAAATACCCTCCCGCCTAACCTCTCCTTTAAGGCTATTGACTAGCTTACCGACTTGCCGCTCTTATTTCCTCAACCAACCAACCATTCTACTATCTACCACGCCTACCCACGCCTATCCCATTAATCAATCAACCCCCGGCGCTCAATGATGAAATTCAGCTCTGCTTTTGCCGCCGCCGTCGGCATCCTCTTTGCCAGCAGCACAGCTGTCAGTGCCCAGAGCACGTGTAACGAATGGTCGCCGTGCTTCCGCGAGGGATACTGCGACGCCGACGCCATGTTCTGCCTCTGGGGCCTCTGCGACGAGACCAAGTCTTTCAACTCAACTTCATGCTGGAAGCCCGAGGGATGCTCAAGCCAGACCGTTGTTTTCGACAACTCCGCCGATGTCGTCCCCATTCGCTCCTATGGCGGTAACCCGAACACCAGCCCGTTCCTTTCGATCTTCGAGCCCAGCCATGCATCGGTTGCTAATGGCGCGCTTGAGCTGCAGATGACCTACGATGCGGCGCAGAAGAAGGGGTTCGGGGCGACGGTTGATGCCGCGCACACTATTCAGTATGGCAAGGTGACTGCGCGCGTGAAGACTGCCTCGGTGGCTCCCGGGGTTGTGTCGAGCTTTATTATTAGGAACGATGTGACTGGCGATGAGATTGACTTTGAGTGGGTCGGGAAGGCGCCCAGGGAGGTGCAGACCAACTTTTACTTTAACGATATCCTGGATTACACCCAGATGGTGCCCTATGTGCTGCAGTCAGATACGTCGGCTGATTACCATGACTACACTATTGACTGGACTGCTGAGGCCATCACGTGGCTGGTCGACGGCGTGGTTATCCGCACGGTAAAGAAGGCAGACACCTTTGATGCGGCGTCCAACTCGTATAAGTTCCCTACGTCCGAGGCTCGCGTGGCCTTTTCGATCTGGGATGCTGGAAACTCGGGTGCCCAGGGCACGCAAGAATGGGCCGGATACCCGACTCCCTGGAATAACGGTGCTGCTTCGTACAAGATGTTTGTCGACTCGGTCTCGGTCCAATGCGATGGCTCGGCGATGCCGTCAGAGTCATCGGCTACTGTTGCTGAGCCCTCGGCTACCGACGCTGTCACTCCACCAGTTGTCACCGATCAGGCCTCCTACACCCAGTCGCCGATGACTGACTCGACCGGTAAGAAGTGCCGTCCTCATTACTAAATATATTTCTCAATTCATTTTTTATTCTATAATTACAAGTCCATTATTTTTCAATAATGATTTTTTTTACATATTTTATTTGCCACTCTGGTACATCCACGCGTCGTCATCCAAGCTAGCCACCTGTGCGCGCAACCTCTGCATTGTCTCTTTTTTCCATGCCGTCTTGGTATCCTCGACAGCCTTGCGCGTCAGTCGCGCGAGGTCACCCTCTTGCCTGAGATTTAAAATAAAATCCTCATCGACCAGTTCCGTTTTCATCTCCGCCTCCGACTGAAGCGCGACGTTCGTCTGTTTTGTCGCAACCGGTGTCTCGTACATATTCATGTCTTGGGTTCCTGCACCCATACGATAGTGGTGTTGGTGCATTATTGGTGTGGCAAAGGCGCTGCTATGGCTATCATGCTGCGGGGATGTTGGTGCATGCTGGGAATACATTGAAAACTGGGGTGCTGCCACCCTTTCAATGCCTTCTAGGTTGAGCCGACGTCCGACGGGTGCTGCTACTGCTGCTGGATTGCTCAGTGTGTTGCCAATACTGAATTGGCCTAGCTCTGGATGACGCTGGCCGCTGTAATGTTGTCCGTCGGGCGTGCGATAGCTGTCATTATCGTCATAGTCTTGTGGATCAAACAGAGAAAATGATTCTGGCCGTCTTGAATCCATTATTTGTACTTGTAATATTCAGTGTGCCAAATTGTATATAAAAAAATGTAGCTTCAGCACTCATAATATTTTTTGGATGAGTTGATTTTTAATTTATTGACTGCGTGGAATCAACAGAAATTTGGGAATGGGCAGCTGTTTCAGGAAGAAAAAAAGCGGAGGTGTACACCCTGCCGCCCCTAGACTAATTTTCGTTATAGGGGCCATGTATCCAGGTCTGCAGCAGAGCCCATGATGGACAAGGTAGCGTGGTAGACAATCAGTCTAATTCATTTAGTTTTTATCTTTTACTTGTTTTATATCTCGCTCAATGTATATTTTTTCTCTTTGCGTGGCTGTGGGCCGTTTTGTTCTGTTCAATTAGCCGGGGACTTGTTGTGGTAAGCGGCCATGTTATTTCTTGTACAGAAAAACAGATATTTAAATTAAATGCCAGTATTAAAGAATGTTGAGTCAAGTGTGGTGTTTTTTGGGCTGCAGTGTGAATTCAGCAGGCTCTGTTTGTATTGTAATTTTGTATATTAACTATCATATATGGACACCCGCTCATTCCACAGTAAAGTAATAATTCGTGTGCTTTTTTGGCATTATTCACATATTCATCAGGTTCTATTTCATACCTGCCACCTTTCAAAGCTGATGTTGGTTTGTTTGTATTATATTGTCCTCTTTACTCACTTATCTATCAGCCTACCACTTTTTCTTTACAAACTGTCACATTTATTGAGCGGATGCAACGCTCCATCCATTTTTATTATTTTTATTTTACAGCGCTTCCCCCCTATTTTAAATTGAAACATGTGAGCTTTTCCTTTCTCCCTTTTCCCTTTGTCATTTTAACATTCAATGTTCAAAAGACGCAGTGAAAACAAACTGTTCATTTTTTTATTTTGCTGTCGCTTTTAAAATGAAAAAGTGTAAAAAGGAGTAAAAAGTGTTCTTTTTAAAATTATTTTTCTTGTCTTTAAAGACATGCACAATGTACATAATGAAAGTGGCAGCATGCCAAGTCTACCCTGCCTTTTTTCCTCATTGCACTCATTTAGTATTTACTGGCAAGCAATATTTCTTCATTTTTATTTTTCTTCTTCGTTTCCGCTCCATCCTAATACTTTTATACTTTATTTTTTATTTAAAAACATTATTTAGATATTATTTTATTTTGAACTTTTTATCTGGTGCCACCTACCTATTTGTATACATTTTTGCATCCATCAAGTTACCAATCGACATTGACTGCCGAATAAGCACATACGCTTAAAAGTAATACAAAAAAGTTCCCATCAATTATTATGAAGGTACTCGCATACCTGTCACTTTTGTTGACAGGCACCTCAATGCTTGCAGCAAACGTCATGGCTGCTGGGCAGTCCAAGTATAACAAACGTCTGGAAACATCTCGCGCCACAGACATAAGGGGTGCTATTCTGCTCAAGAACGCCAAGGCAACGACCTGTGAGCTCGCCCTGGTGAGCAACCTCGTCGGCTTTGTTTCAGCCAACTGCTTGGACTTTACGGGCAACACAACAGATTTGAATGCCGCGACCAAGTACCAGGTTCTCATTTCGGGTGGCAAGACCACCAGTTTGGGCACCTTCGACGTCGACTCCATCACTGTTCACCCGGGCTACGACCCAGTTTCGTTTGCCAATAATTTGGCCCTGCTAAAGTTTAATACTGGTAGTCCCATTGAGTTCAAGAACTACATTGCTGCTAATCGCGCCGAATGGACCAGCACTATGTACGTGCGCCGTGGGGTTACGCCAAACACCGTCAACGGACTGATAGAGCCACAGGCTGTCATTGGATCTAGTGATACTACTAGCAAGTGCGCTTTGGCCTCTACTCTCTACGGCGGCAATCTCGACGACCTTATGTGTACTGAACAGGTTCTAGTCGCCAATGAGGGCAACAAGACGTGCCTCAGCCCCTATGGTGCTGTCTATGGCGTGCGCGACCCTGACCTTGCCATTGCCGGCCTGTACAGCCACTCAGTGCTTGTTGGCGGAGACAACCTGTGCGAGGCTACAAGTGTTTGGAACTTTTATACCGTCCTGTCAAACTTCCTCGAGTGGGGAGGTGATGTGGCCGAGTCGACAATTTACTTGTATGTTGCCGATAACAACTACATTAACAACTTCCGCCCCAACTACAGCATGCTGGTTCCTCCGGGCAAGCCTACTATTGAGGGCGTTGTTGTCGGTGGTGATCTGAATGGCCTCACCATTATTGGCACTGTGGCCAAGGTCTCCGAGCCAGCATCTTCCCCAGCAGAGCCTTCATCCTCATCCTCGCCCATTAAGCCATCGAGCACTCCCTCTAGCTCCACGCCTTCCAGCTCAAGCGAACCCTCTTCAAGCGCCAATAAAAAGGAGGCTACTTCTGCTTCTGTTGCTGCTACCACTGCTTCCACACCCAGCTCTACAGCTAATACTGCCAGCTTGGAGCAACAGGACACGGGCAAGAAGACAAACATGACCACTATTCTCATCATTGCCGGCGTTGGTATTCTTGTCATTGCCATTATTTGCTTTATCATTTACAAGCGCTGGAAGAACAAGCGCCGTCCTAAGCAGACCTACAGGACCGAACTTAACAATGATGACTTTGACGCTGGTTACCAGGAGGATAATGGCGGGCATATTGACCACTTGAATACCGGTATTAGTCAGGGCAGGAGCCGCAGGCCTGTTGATTCGTATGATGAGCGGTATGCTGGGACATACGAGAAGGGCAAACACGAACACTTTACCGACTACAAGATGGACTCGGGAAAGGGCCGTCGTGAGTATGACTGATACCCAAGGCCAGAATCTGATCTAGTCAAGTCGCTAGTTTATTTTTCATTATTTATTTTCCAAGCTGTTTATTATTATTATTATTATCATTACATTCAGCTTGTTTTAAACCCGCAAGACTATAAAGTGGCAATACAACAATACGACATGTATTGCAAATATTAAGTGCAATGTTTGAGATTTTTAATAAATTATATATAATAAATTACGTTATTTTTTTGATGCCAAACCAACAATAAACAAGTACAAATGTCCTTTTTCTTCTCAAAGCAACACATATTGCTTTAATGGCACACTTCAGACACCCACGCTGGTGCTCCCATCAATATCATCCTCGTCCTGATCATGGTCGCTCTCATAAAACTCCGCCACATGCTCTCTCCGCCCCAAACGGTCCTCCTTTGTATCCCGATCCTGATCATCCATCAAGTCCTTCTCGTTCCTCTCTTCGTCCTCCAAAAAGCCCTGAATATCCGGCGGCGCCTCCTGCATCTGCACAGACGGCGCACCCTTCAAGTACCTCAGCTGCTCAAGAATCCTAGCAGTCAGTGCATTCAAATACGCCCTCGAATTGTGGTTGATGACTCTTCCGGAGAGCTGCGGATGCAGGCTGTAGTCGGGCCCAAAAAACTCGCGGTACACTGTGTTGGGCAGTTCAGCGGGAAGGTCGGTGCCACAGACAATGCCGGTTTCGTTAGTCCAGCAGCGCGCGACGTTGCGGATGGTGTAGCCGCCGCCGCCAATTACCATCATGGGGACGCCAAAGCGCCGCATGAAGCGCACGCATTCGCCGTGGGCGGCTATAGACAAGTTGAAGACGCCCAGGCGGTCAAGACCCAGGGAGTCGGCACCGCATTGCAGCACGATGGCGCCTGGCTTGAAGGTCTCCATGACGGCGGACATGACTGTCTTGAACAGATGCGTGTACGACCGGTCGTCGATGCCGTCCTGTAGGGGCACATTGACGGCAAAGAACTTGCCCAGGCCAGAGCCCATCTCGTCGATGGCGCCGGTGCCAGGGAAGAACTCGCCGTTATACTTGTGGAACGAGCACGTCATCACGCGGTCAGTCGTGTAGAAAGCCTCCTGCACGCCGTCGCCATGATGGATGTCAATGTCGACGTATAAGACGCGCGGGTAGTACCGCAGCAGCTGCAGGATGGCCAGCACAATGTCGTTGACGTAGCAGAAGCCGCTGGGCTCGTACTTCTTTGCATGGTGCAACCCGCCCATCCAATTGACCGCAATATCGGCCGAGCCCGAAATCAGTTTGCGCGCGGCTTCAATGCTGGCACCCGAGTATATTTTGCAAAAGTCCCACATGCCGTCGAAGATCGGGCAGTCGTCGCCGATGTTGAACTCGGAAAAGCACGTCTGCATGGTCTCCTGGTTGTCTGGCGTCACGCGCTTGAGAAAGTCAATGTAGTCTTCGGCATGAAATTCGCGGATTTCCTCCTCGGTCGCGCGCCGCGGCTCGTAGACGTCCATGTACTTGTGCAGTCCGTAGTTAAGCACCAGGTGGTTGGTCAGCGTCAGCCGGTGTGGCTTCATCGGGTGCTGCTTTCCGTAGTGAAAATTACCCGCCTGCTCTCGCATGTAGTAGGAAACGCGTGGCCGGTAGTGCTCGACGACATTGCTCTCTTGGCCGTCTAGGCTGGACGCGAACTCTAGCCCGCTACCATTGGCACTGCCCTCGTGCACGGATGTGGAGAAGGTGCCCGACGGATATGTAATGGTCTCCTTTCTCCGGCCCATGTGTCTGCTGTGCGTGTAATTTTTGAATGTGCGTGAAAATAATTATGTTTTGAATATGAGATATTGGAGCGCAAGGTGCTCATTTGTTCGGAGGGCGAATGCTCGCCAGGCGATTTTTTAAACTTTGGCGGCAGAAATTGTCTTGCCAGTATTGTGGGGTCAACGCCACGTGAATAATTTAATCTAAAGTGTGTAGAACGGAAGAAATAGAGAGGAGCCCCCCCCCCCACATACCTCATGCTTCTAAGACTAAAAACATGTGTGTAAATGTGTGGTTTGGGCATTGTTTGTGTGCGGAGCAGAGTTGAAGATACAAATAGCAACGCCTAGTCGACACGCTGACATACAGTTACTAGTTGGTTGCTGTTTTCTTTGTCAATCGATACCTCTTTCATCAAAATACAATTCAACAGTAACTCTTTTTCTATTTCACAAAACCAGACAACTCTATTTTAATACATTCATTCGTTCATTCATATACCCAGCATACTATTAAATAAAATAAAAATGCCAGCCATTATCAAATTAGTCTCCAGCTTTTTTCTTTTTGCAACCATATGCTCAGCAGGCTGCGAGAACCCGGCATTGTTCAAAAAGTGCCTTGCACAGACCCGCGCCGAAGTCAACATCTGTGGTATCAACATGACGTGTAAGTGTATCCGGCAAGGCTATGTTGCGCAGTGCTACGATAAGTGCGGAGACGATGAGCATTTTATGAAGCTCAAGGCTGGTGAAAAAGGGTACCAGCAGATTATTTGCAGCCAGAAGCGCCCAGGTGAGCCCGAGGATATGCCGATTATTGGATCGGAAGGTCCTACTACAGAGCCAAAGAAAAATTCGGTTCCACAACCGCCGCAGGCAAATAAAAAACTACAGTCACCGCCACCGCCACCGGCTGCGGGCCCTGAAGGCCCTGACAGGAGGGGCGATCGTGGCGCAAGCGACGATGATGGCGTAATAGTAAAGGGTGGTGTGCGCGGTAGTAGGAATAGCGGAGGAGCAGTGCTGGTCAAGGATGCCGATATCGATGGGGCGTCGGGGCTCCAGGGAATGTCCGTGGTTGGATCGATTGCCGCAGCTTTGGCAGTCGCTGTTTTGGCAGTAGGGTCATCGCATGCTTTGTAAGGGTTACATAAATAGTAAATAACATAAAACAAACAGGGGCAAGATAAACGAAAACAAGATAAAAAATATATATATCAACCTGCGCCGCACTCTACTCGTACAATATATTTTTTATCTTTATCAATAAAAAATTTTGAATCATCCTTTTCTCATTTTAAGGGCCTTTGTAAAAATAATATTGCAAAAATATGCAGGCACAATTGGACAAAGCAATCGATTGTTTTTCGGTTGAAAGGAAAATAAATGCATACAATATGCGCACGCCCTAAATAATTCACCCATTGTTATAATATTTCCACCTGTATCTGTATGCGTCTGTGGCTAAAGCTGCATAACAACAACAAACCAAGATGGGTTTGTTATGAATTCCGTCAAAGAGAAAGTTTTTTTAAATAAAGCCAATGGAAATGTCAACAAGCAACACAAGTGAAAATATGCACGAGAAAATGCAGGATTATCTCATTCGTTTGCTGCAATTGCCCACTTTAACAACTTTTTTTTTTCAAATATTACAGGGAAAATCTTAATGATTTGTACTTTTGTAAAAAATTTTAAAAAGTAGAAATTAGAGCACATGTACACACACACAAACTGACTCACCCATCGGTGCATGTGCATAATGCAATTAATGCAACCAATTGCGAAATGCCTCATTATAATTTTTTTTGGTAATGGGGTTAAAAATTTATTGGTCAAATGTAGGCAGGACACAAGAATCAAGAGTAAAAATGTATTGAACACATGAGCAACATGAGTGACATAACAACAAAAAAACGGAAAGAAAAGGGAGGGGCGTTGAACTGCCATTTTATTTTTCGTTGTAATCAACAATATCTCGAATTCTTCTTGTACTCCGCCTCCACTTTCCTCCTCCCCTCCTTTTTTTGCTATATTTTATTTTGGTGTGCGAGCAAACAGGCAATGGCTAAGTGTGACCAATGTTAATATGATAATGAAGAAAGCTATATAAAGTCCAATAAATTTTCCTAAAATTTGTACCTTGTCTTTATTCCCAAAATTTATTACTGCAAACACTTTTATCTATACATTTTCTTCTCTTTCTCTCTACTAGTTTTTTTTTACATACTCTAATTCTGTTCCTAACAACAGCATTAAATATTAACCATGCCTCTGTGGGAATACTGTACAGACGATTACGCCAACACGCACTCAATCAGCCACGCCCCAGTGATCCACCCGACTCCAGCAGATATTACCAGCGAAAGCTGGTGCAGCGTCCAATACCCGACTACACCCGCCCGTCAAGCCATACCACTCTCGACAGCACAAACCCAACAGCGGGTAATCCACTGGTTGGAAACATACCATGTTACAAGTCCCTTGTATTCCGTGCGCTACGAAGCTATAAGCAGGAACAGCAACAACAGCTGCAGCGGCGGCGGCGTTGTAATTGGGAATAAAAGACGGTTAAGCGAGATTTCGCTTGTTGATTTTCTTAAATGTTCGGCACCGTATCGGCCGTCGTTTCTAGACCGCAGTCAAAGGAACTACGAGCAAAGCGAGCAAAAACCTCAGCAGCAGCATCACAATTTAAATGAGTGGTGTACAGCTCATACGGAGTCGCCGGTACTGAATTCCAGCAGGCAAAGTCTCAACGCCAATGGATTCAGATGTGCGCATGTGGGGGGCGGTGTGTGGCGGCCCATGTCATTGTCCAACACAAGCAGTGCAGCAGCTACGAGCTTGGAAGACACTCAATCGACGGCACTCGGCGGATTGACAAAGTCCACAAGGTCAACCGCTAAACTGGGCATGTCCTCAGCATCAGCTAATGAAGTCAGCAGCGGGATTGGCAGTAGTGGCAGCAGCAGCAGCAGCACCAACGATAATGATGCTGAGTTTCTGGGCCATGTGTTCCAGCATTTTGTCGCATTCCAGCCGTTGGATTTTGCACCACACACGCCGGTTGCGCGCAGCATTGCTGACGACACTCTTTATGCCAGCAGTGACATTGAAGACGTAGACTGCAATGCGCCAGAAGGAGCCAGCAGCATAAAGAAGTCAAGTCTGTGGTCGTATTTTTCAGAAATGTTCGAGGATTTTACTCGCGACGTGACATTTATCCACTAGCATTAATCCTTAGGAATTTTTTTAATGAAATCCACATATCACTCATATCACTCACATCATTCATATATCAAAGGAAAACATTACATATAAGGAGCGCTAATTTCCAACCGGCGGGAGCGGCAGTACGCGCTCATGAGAGGACTCATCAGCGATCAGCATTGAACGATACAGCGTGACAAACACCAGCAAATGAAGCACAGCAACGTAGACAACCAGAACCAGGCGGGCGCGGCGATTTCCCATAACGAAATGCGAAAACAAGTACACCAAACGATCCAGCACTCCCATCGACCGCACTCTCCTCGATGTCTCTCTCCTATGGAAAACATTAAACGGATTGAGCGATTCCTCATACATGCCCTTATACTTGGCTGCCACGCCCGTGTCCATGTCGATTTGGACACGCGGGTTGTTTGCAGAGGGGGGCCCGGAGGCACTGAATTTGCTGGGCATGGGTGTGCGCGCATCAAGGTGCATCATTGTGGTGGGCGTCAGGGTCGATGAGGATGCCATGGTGGACGTGTAGCTGCGCAGGTACTTGATCTCCTCGTACAGACGCAGGTTGTCTTGCTTCATCTGATCGACTTGGCGCCGCATGTCTGCTACGGACGTGCCTTGCTCGCGCAGCTCGTCTTCCAGCTCGACGTTGCGCTGCCGGAACCGGTCGCGCTGCCCTGTGATAATGTCCAAAAGCCCGCTGTTGCCTGCAGCCGCCGGTTCTGCCTGCGCCTGGGCTTGCGCCTCTGTAGCCTCAGAAAATGCGTCGAAGGATTTTGACGCGCTGGCGTTGTCGCCCTGGATATCTGCCAGCGGCTGGACAGCAAGGAGGTCGGCCTCCAGCCGCTCTGCCAGCGCAGTCTTCTCGGCCAGGCTGCGTTCCAAGCCCCGGCATCTCTCGTTCAACTCGCGGACATCAGCCTGGCAGCGATCCAGGCGGTTGCGCGAGTCAGTCAGCTTGTTTTCGAGCGACTTGTTGCGCCGCACCAAAAGCTTCTCCAACGACTCTTCCTCGGCACCTGCCGCCGCCGCCGCCGCTGATGTGTCGTCCAGACCCCAGTCGGAGACTGAAAACTCGACTGACTTCATGATGTCCAGGTCGCGGTGGATCTCGTCATAGTCAGCACGGCGGCTGAGCTCTGCCCTCAATCGGCGCAGCTCGTCGTCCTTGGCTGCCGACTCGCGCTCGGCGGCTCCCACGGCGGATTCGAGCTTGGACTCTTGGTGGGAGAGCTCGGCCTCGGCACGCTCAAGCTTATCGAACAGCCGCTTGGTTTCGTCCTCGAGCTCGCGCACGCGGCGGCGGTAGTCGGCCAGGGTCTCTGCCACGCCACAGCCTCCGCTGCTGCTGATGCCGGCAGCATCTGTTCCAGTGAGTGTGGCCATTTCGCTGCGCAGCTTAGCGTTCTGCACCCGCATATCGGCAAGCCGGGCGTTGGCATGGTCCAGGTCCGACTGCATAATATCGAGCTCTGCCAGCTTGGCAATAAGTTCGCGGTCGGCCGAGGCCGACGAGTGGCGCTCAGCCTCTTCCGAGTCATACGTGGACTGCAGCTGCACAAGCGTGCGGTTGGCAGCGGATAGTTGGCGCTGGAGGTCGCCCTCACGGTCCTTGAGATGGCGCACAAGGTCCTCGTTATGCTCCCTGATTTCGCGCTCGCGCTGCGCCGCCTGCTCCTTGACGCGCTCCTCGATGGAGCTCTCCAGGGCGCGCACCTGCTTTTGCAGCGCCTCGTTCTCTGAGCCCAGCGACCGCAGGCGCGCATTCTCCTCTGCCAGCGCCTGCGCTTTGGCTGTAGCCCTTTGAGCCTCGGCCTGGGCTTCGCTCTGCTTTCGGCCCTGCCTGCGCTCCTCCACGAGGCCAGAAATGAGTGGTGCTGGGTCGGGCGCGTCGCCGAGGGACTGGAACACGCCGAGAAAGCTGTTTTCGGCGTACTTCATCCGCTTGGTCAGAGCGTCTATTTCGTTTTGGTATGCGCGCAGGAGCGGCTTGAATTCAGTCGCCTTGAGGTCGTCGGGCACTGCGCGGAATTCCTTTGTCTTTTCGGCCAGCTTGCGTCGCTCCTGCAGAGACAACTTCTGGTTGTCGATAATTGCCAGCCCGGCCGTCTCCAGCTCGCGCAGCATTGTGCCGAGATTCACCCCCTTCCAGTACTCAAGCGCGCCGGCGAGCATGGCGTCATCTATTTTGGCTGCCATTTCAATCGAGTAATTTTACAAATGAAATAATATATAAAAAGTATTACAGCAGGGGCAGCAATTCAACAAAATAAAAAGCGAAAGGCGGAATAAAAGAAGGAGCAGGCATGTGGGGCACACGATTTCGTCTGTGCGGACACGCAGTTTTAGTTGGTCATGCTAGCTACGGTGATTAGTTAGCCAGACTGGTCCTGATCGTGATTAGGCGAGCGGCACAGCTTTGTGTGCAGTCTTGCGCACGGTCACCACCACAGGCCGAATGTGGCAAGCTCGCTACCAATCGTGCAGGTTGGCCCTTTTATAGCATTCATCCGGCTTACAATATACCCCATTTGCACGCATTAAGATGTGACAAGTTGATTGATTGGAATGGATAAATGGCCTTGGGGAAGCTAGCTACAGCTCAGCCAGTTTGGAAAAGTGCTTGCACGCAGCTTCGATGTTGGCCTTTGTCAAAGCAGGCTCGACCTCATTATCAGTGGTGATGACCATGATGTACGTGCTCTTAGTGAACGGCTCGATGAACATCGTGTAGTGCTTATTGCGAATCTCCACGCTCTGGAACGGCAGCTGCACCTGGCTGCACGTGTTGCGGTACATTTTGACGCACTGGCTAATGCTCATGTACTTGTTAAGAACCACCTTGGGGTTGTTTGTCGTGTGGCAGACAAGCAGAAACGTCGCGCGCTCAAACAAAATCACCTCCGACGCTTCGGTCAGTCGCCGGAAGTTGTTCAGGTGTGATTCAATGGTTGCCATGTTGGGCACCAGCTTGTAGACAATCTGCGACCACGCGAAATACAGCGTGTGGTCCCAGATGCTGGTGCCAAAGACCTCGGGCTTGAACAGCTCGGACCTCCGCGCCAGCGCACGCCGGTAGTTGTCGATCGTCTGCTCCTTCTGTTTCACATCGCTGATCTTGTCCATCTTGTGCACCAGGCAGTACACTTTGGCATCGCGCGAGTACCGCGACAGGCTCTCCAGGCACTCGTCGTATAGGTGGTTCTCGCTCTCCCTGCTTGTGGTCTCCAGATCAAACACGTAGATAAGCACCTCGACGTTGCCGAATATGTTTTCTTTCTGCTCGTTCAGGTAGTTGTCCAAGTACTTATTTTGCCCGCCACAGTCCCAAATGTTCAGGTTCAAGTCGCCCATAAACTGCACTGTCGAGTGCTCCACGTCGATGGTCGCGCCCAGCCGCCGCGTGTCGTTGGCCGTGTAGTTGGAGAAAATGAGCGACCGCATCGACGTTTTCCCGGCTCCGCTCCTGCCCATAATAATCAGCTACAGGTAGGAAGGATAGGGGATAACATTATAAAATTAAAAGCGTAAGCTCTTTTAGCGTATCGCCAAATGGGACTGTGCCATGCTAATTCGAATTCCGCGCGCAAGAAAGCAAGCGCTTATGTGTGTAGTTGCGTACCTTTTTCTTTACTGCCAAAGTGCCTGAAGCCGGTGCCTGCATATTAGAATAGTTTTATATTATTTGGGTAATGTGTACGCTAGAAAAATTAGAGTGATAAATGGAAAGCTGAATTTGCAAGAATTGAAAAGAAGCTAATATTAAAAATTAAAAATTAAGCAGAATTGTCAAAATTCAAATTTTGTGGAGAAGAAAAGAAAAAAAAGAAAAAAGCACAATGCTTAGCAAACAGGGGGTGATGATGCAATCACAGCCGCCTGTTTTTTTTGGAGCGCAGAAGAGGAAAAAATAAAAAAGTCCAAAAAAGAAAGGTTGGCCAAATCTTAAATCCAAAAACAAACCCGTTCTCTTCTTTTGCAGATGCGGATGCGGCCTTGTCTCTCGGTTCAAGCAGTCGGTTTTATTTTGTCCAAGGTTGCCTTGTCTCATTTCTTCTGTCTCAATGCCTCCAGATCACCACACTTTATCGATACACCAGTTGCACGAGGCCGTCAGCTCAGCGATTCCAAAGATTGATCCGGTCCAGACGCCGGCCACAGTGCGCACGACATTGACCAGCCAAAGCATAAGCAGCACAAACAATATTCTCAAAGCCGCCGATCTATAGAGTCTGGCCCATTCAAAGCGCCAGACGGTAGAACACGCCGATTGGGAATGGCAGCGCCTGTCGACAGATGCTGAACGGAATGTGAGCGTTGCGGCTTTGATACACAACTGAGAACACGGCGTGGATGGTGTCGTGGGCCAGAAACTTGTGAACGGCAATGAGGTGCATGTACACTATCATCAGACAAAACGTCAATGGAATGCTGGCACCGAGCAGGAAATAGCCTGTGGGCGTGGTTGCCAAGGCCTGGCGCGCTGTATGGAATATTGTTTACTTATTTGTCAACTCATTAACAAGTGTTATCACAAGCAATTATTAGCATGTTTATTGGTGTTGCAGCCATTGGGTTCTTTTTTTTAACAATTATTACAACGGCGGTTGTTAAAACAAGGCATTGTTCAAAGGTATGCAAGAGATAAAAATGACATATATAGCCAATATACACATGTATTTATTGGTTGATAGCGATCAACTGATTAACCAGTCTTGGCTGTTTAGCCACACAAACAATAAGTCACACAGTGACCAGAGCAATATGCTCTCTTCTCTTTACCTTTTGCAGTGCATAGCAGTTATTCATTAAATATACTTTACATGTTTATAGTTTATCTACACGTTCATAGAACGTTCCTATATTCCAACAGTATTACATACGTATATAACATTATTTCTACTTGGTTACAGCATCACATTCAACACTTGCATTTAAATACGTTAATTTAATTATAATTTACTGTGAAATAAAGCAAACTAAACTGGATCACATAGTACAAAATATATACGGCTTTTTTATTAAAAAACGACAAGCTTCAAGTATTTCTTTTCAAGTATTTCTTTTTAAGTATTTCTTTTCAAGTATTCCATTCTATTTCCTTTATATTTTATTAGTGCTACAAAATGCAGTATTTGGCTTTTGTATTTTCCTTTTGATAAAAACTACTAATACTCCTTTCATGTAGAAGACGTAAAAAAGAGGGAATGCTCTGACAACAATAATAAAAATAATCTGCCATCGCAATAACATCCAGCTTCCAGCTTCTCATTTTTTCTTTCTTCATTCCACTATATATATATTTTAAATATTTGCTCTATTTTTTAATTGCACCAGTAAACTTTACAATTTAACCCAACTTTTATCCATGTCAGTTAGAGATTATAATTTCTATTTTAAAGGCAGCAATGTATTGTCTGTAACAAAATGGGGTGAGCTGAGTAGTAAAGTGCATACAATCGAGGATGCCATAAAATACATTATAAAAAACAAGCTTTGGAATTTGGATAAAAAGGAAAAAAATCTAGAATTTATGATAAAAGACCTGATATTTCAATTAGGCAAAGGTGATTATATTCACGAACCCCTGGGTATCAAATTGAAACTTGCAAACCTATGCAAATCAACTACTACACCTATTGATATAAGTATTATCATACCTAAATTTGCAGCAGTAAATTATAAAGGCAACCCATATAAAGTCCCGTACACCGATGAGTCTAGTGAAGGTCATATAAGTGTTGTAGCAAAAAAGATAATTAAACATATAGGTAGTGGGTTGAAGCTAACATTGATTGCTCAAGATGAACAGTGTGAGAACCAACCATTTAAAAAGTGTTTGGTCACACGAGAGTACAACTGTTGCATAAACTGAAGATATGGAAGTGGATGCTGAGGTCGAGAATCGCGAAGCAGGTTTCCACCTGCGTACCGATTGATAGGACACTAATTGAATCATGCAGGCGTAAACTAGGGAGGCATTACATTGATGCCCAAACATGCTCCCCATTTTGCAATGCACACGCATGAGCGTACACGCATGAAAACCACAACATTGACTTGCCAAACTACCGGTCTACTTGCAGAAGATCCAGTTCTCACCAACGGAGCGCACAATTGGCAATGTGCACAACAAAGGCGACAAGGCACATATATAAGATGAGGCCGGCCCTAGTAGTATTTTAGAAACATTATTAATAAAACCTTTTATAAAATCACCCCTACCTTTTAACACTAGACAACTAGTGCTCCTCACACCCCCTCTTACTATAACACAGCCTTAGAGGTTAAAAGCAACACCAGACAGCTGCACACCGCAGAGCCATACTTGCTTTATGGTACAATGACTTACATGTTGCGTCAGGCAGATAAAAGCCAACGCTGCCAGTTAAGTTTTGGAAAGCTCTCGTTGCCCCAAATACACGTTACAAGTAGCCTCTATTTCTTTGTTTATACATATATATATATTATGTGCATTAAATTTCTATTTCTAATTTATTGTTTCACCTGTCTTCCAACAACTGATGCATTAAAAGTTCACTTATAAAACAAAAAAGCAAGAAATATTAGTTTGTTGCGTAGCCCGAGGACATGGAAGTGAATGGTGAGGTTGAGAATCCTGAAACATATTTCCATCCGCATGCTGATAGATCGAATATGGACTAGATCATGGTGTATTAAATCAGGTGCCAATATTGACCTCCAGATACGCTGTCTATTTTGTAATGCATGGGCATGAGCGTACACACGCAAAAACCACAACAATGTCATATCAGAGACCCGGACTACTTTCGTAAGAACCAGTTTTCGCCAGCGGAGTGCACAACTGGCGGAATCCACAAGGGCAGCGAGACACATATATAAGACGAAGCCGGCACTGGTACCACCTTAGAAACATTAGTATTAATAATTACTTATAAAATCACCCCCTCTTTTTAACACTTTTATAGCTATGCTCCCTTCCCCCCTCATAACACAACAAGCTGTCATTTAAGGAATAATTCATTTTTTACAATCTGTCTTTATACATGTTTTTTTTGGGGGAAGGGGGGAAGAAGTATTTGCTATTATTTTAGTCCGCATGAAATAAATAAAATAAAAACGAAGGGGAATAATACTTTCCAATATTTATATTTATTTCCATTGAGAGCATGCCATTTGCATTGCAAACTTTTTCTTATTTTTCATTTAAGCTTTTCACTACTTTAATAGTATCAATTATATATTTTTCTCATGTCTAAAAGAGAGTATAAAATTTATTACGGTAGCCAGCATATATGCAGTATCAAGGTGGGCCAGCAGGTATATACCGTCAAGCAAGCCATTGAGAGTGCAACTCCGTTAATTACGGAAGCCAGAGGTAATCAGGATATATCCAATCTGATAATGCAACCAGGTAAGAAGAACATAATAGAAAATTCGCTCAGCCTTAAGACAAAACTTGACAAAATAGACATGGTTAAAGATAATGATAACAAGTATAGTATGATAATTGTAAAGGTTAAATATGCACTAGTAAAATATAGGCTTATAAAGAAAGTGGTTCCGTTCAATGAAATGTACGCCGACCACTATATATGTACTCTTGCAAATATGATGTTTTTTAAATGTTATGAACATTTTGACTCATCAAAAATGGAACTGGTCAAAAATAGCAAGCGTGTTGGCAAGATGTACGAAAATCATTTAATCGAGCGAAAGTACAAGTTAACTATATGAAAACATTAACACTACCGTGAGTTTTCTATAAATTCAGTTCTATATGTGTGACCTAATCAAAAATCGCGCACCTCATGATACTTTCAATACCTTATTGTTTTAACAATATATTTACTTTACCTTTTACCAATTGTAAGAATCTGACAATAAAATGTATACGAAATGCAACAAAAAGCATCACTAGTCAAATATTTGATTGCTTATATACAACATATTCCGAATAATAAATTGCAAAATAAAATAAACTAGTCCGCACCACCGCCACGCCGTCTATTTAGCAGCAACAGGCTGTTAAAGCTAGATGATCGGCTCATCGACAAGCCCTCGGCGGCCAGCGCCCCGCTGCGAGACCGGTGGTCAGCGCTTGGTATTGTTGGTGGCGACGAAGGTCTCGACGTCGGCGACAGCACCGATTGGAATGGCCGAGGCAGCATATCCAGAACAAACATCGATGGCGACTTGCGCAGCTCCTTGCCATTCAATTCATCGTCCAAATCGTCTCCACCAGCAGCAATAAAGGCAGCCTCGGCAATTCCCAACTGTGAAGGAGACAGTGGGAAAAGTGTTGAAGGCGATCTGACTGGCGGCACAATAATCGACAGCGCGATATCGCTGCCATTACCGCTGCCAGACAACTGGCTAACCTTCTTGTACTTGCCCGGCTTGTGCGTCCATAGCCAATATACCAGGCCGGCGAGCACAGTTATGACCGCTGCCACGGTCAGCAGGAGCAGCATGCGGATGGTCGTGGGCTGGAGCGACCACAGTATCAAGAGCCGACGGATGCCCACAAAGCGCAGCGGGGACCAAAGCGAGTCGTCAACCAGCCCAACGCCGTCGTCGTTGGCGCTGGCGCCAGCAGATTCAGACAGCTGGATGCCGGGCACAGTCTTTGCGCGCAGCGTGCGGTAGTTGGCGGGAATCGTGCGTGAGACGCGGAGAAGCAGCGCGCCCAGCGTCCACGACAGCTCAACATCGCCCACTTGGTTGACGGACTGGAACGGAGTCGCAGACCGCGCCAGCTTATCGACAGCGGCGCCGTTGTCGGCGGAGACTGCCGCGCGAGGCACGCCAAAGCCCTTGTGCAGGACATTGACGAGCCACGCGGCCTTGAAGCACTGCATCTGCAGGCGCGCAACGGCCATGGGATCGTTGGAAGACAATTGAAGCAACTTGGCCCACGGTTTCTGGCAAAACTTGGATGCTCGCGCCTCGAACTTCTCGACGTCCCATACGCCGCCCAGCCCGAGGTAGTCGTGTGACGCGTACCAGTACTCGCTGACGCCAACAAAGCTCTGCCGCCCAAAGTCGATCTCGGGCGCGTGCACACCGGAAAAAAGACATGGCTCAATTGGGCATGCAGTCTTGTTCAGCAGGGGCTCGGTCGCTGCGACGCAGGCCAAAAAGTCGCCGCTGCCGCGCAGTACCGCGCTTCCATCGGTGGTCGGCAGCACCAGGCCGGTGGCCAGGCACGGGTCGTTGGTCGCTGACAGGTTGGCGCCGTCGGCCACAGTTGCTCGCTGCCGGAGCTGGTCAACATAGCGCCGGCGTGCCTCGTTGGTTCCATGGCCAAGAAACGTAGCCACAAATACCTGGAACGAATGGTCGGATCCATCGAGACTGCGCAGCGTCACTTGCGCCAGGTCATTCTGGTGGAGTTGGGCTGCGACCTTGGCTGGCTCAAAGGCAATCTGCGCCGACGCACCGCCCATATCCAGGAATCCGTGCGAGTAATGGCCCTGCGGCTGCTGGTCGCGGCTGCTGTCGGCAGTGTCGCCGCCAAAGCCCTTAAGCAGATAGTTGACGGCTACCCAGCCGTAGAGACCCTCGAGCTCGCCCGACACCACGCGGAAGCTCTCTTGGCAGTCAGGCAGCAGGAAGTCGTAGTTGGCGCGCGCAAAAGTGCACGCCGTGTCCATCAAGAGCGCTTGGTGCGACTTTGGCAACAGCCGCATGCCGGCGGTGGCCAGCAAATAAACGGGCGTGTGCGCAATCTGGCGTTTGGGTATGTGGGCCTGAGCGTAGTCCAGCAGCGGCTTGATGTGCTCAACGCCGACCATGCGCGGCCGATCTGCAAAGCTGGAGATTCCCGGCGAGGTCTTAAACGTCCAGTGCTCGCCCGCCCGCTCGATAGTCGGCAGCTGCATCTGCGAAGGTTTGGCTGCGTCCAAGTCGCTGGCCGTGCTGCTGGTCTGGCGCCGCTGCCGCTGCTTCTGCTGGATTGATGGATCATCCCAGGCGTAGATCATAGCGCGCGACCCTGAGCTTCCGGCATCAATGACTACGCCGTACTTGCGCATGTCGCCAGTGCTGTCGTTTTCGGCACGGCCTGGCTGCTCTGATAGCGGCGAGGGCTCTGCATCCAACACAAAATAAAAGAGACCCAGCACACTCAGCGACAAGATGGCAAATACAGCCAGGTACATCATTCGCCATTTTGTCGTCGGCTGCTGTCCACCTGCAGCATTTCTGCTGCTTCCGCTGCTGTTTGGGAGATTGGCTCCGGGAAGCACTCCGCTGGCTCTGTTGTTGGTGTTAAACAGTAACCAGCCTCGCTGCAGCCAGCCAAGCCCGCTCATTGTGACTTTGCTAGCGTTATTGTGTCAAGTCCCACGTGCGCGCTCGCCCTGAAGGAATGACGTGTCTTCCTAAATATATTTACAAAATGAGCAAGACGCAATTCAAAACTAATTGCAGCTGGGAAGAAAAGTATTAGTGGCGGGAATATGCAATATCATTAAACAATCAAACTGTGAGTGAAGAGAAAAAAGCGGCAAAGTTGTGGAACCCAAGAAAGAAAGAATGCGAGTTCCGTTTCTCACTCCCCAAGGTTGTATTTTTTAGCAGAAACAGCAGCCTGCTCATGAGATCACCAAATCAACGTTTCCACTACACTGTAGCATCAGCAAATTATGTTGGCAGGGCCCAACGAAACAAAAACAAAAGAAAACAATGAAAGCGCCGACGTCACCCTTTGTTTCATGGCTTGCGTCTGTTACTTTAATTACTAAAATGATGAGTATGCTTTTGTAACTGAAATACATTAGATATGATAAAACAGCTTCTTTGACAGCTTGATTCGGAGCACAAGAATAATTGCAAACGCCACGATCAGCAGCATTCCCGTGTACACGATCGGCCACGTATAGTCAATGCCGTGGCCGACAGTATCCAGCATCATGCTTGCTGTCTGTGCGACCAGCAGCGAGGAGAAGGAGTACGTCATGTATATCAGGCCCGAGATATATGTGATCCGGCTCACACCATACACGTGCGACAGTGCATTGATGATCATGCCAACAAAGGAGGCGCCGGTCACGCCAAACAGGGACGCTGACGCAATGATTGCTGGAGCCGAGCTGAATGGCAGCCACAGCCCAAGCTGGCTGAATGCTGCCAGGAGCACCCAGATGAGTAGGATATTGATTGGCCCAAAGCGGTCGGCCAACATGCCTGCTGCAAAGCGCCCGAATATGCCTGAGACATTGATGATTGTGACTAGAAGCGACCCCAGATTGCTGGTCTCCTTGAGCACATTGACCACATAGGTTGGCATCAGCAAGTATGGAATGGTGTTGGGGGCCATGGCAAAAAAGCTGGCCGCGGCAATAAGCAAGAATTGCCACTCCAAGACAACCGAGAAATCCAACAGCTTTCTAGGCTTGACACCGCAGCTGTCTGACGCGAGAGACTTTGAGGCCTTTGGTGCTGGGGGACGCCGAGAAATGATCAGCGGCGACAGGCCAGCGCCGAGCACCATGATGATGCAGCCAATGATGCGGTTGGTCCACTGGCGGCCCAGCAACTCGATGCACGACCGAGTGAAAATAGATATCCACATGCCGCCCACTCCCGAGCCCATATAAACAAAGGCCAGAGCCAGTCCGCGGCGCCGCTTGATCCATTGCAGCGGAATTGTGACGCCAAGAATATATGGGAATGACGCGGCGGCACCATACATCATGCCCTGGGTGAGCACCAGCTGCCATATCTGAGTGCTGAACGAGGCCAGTATAAAGGCCAGGCCCATGGTAAGCGATGCAACGGCGCACAGAACCCGCGTGTCGTACAATTGACTGAGAATGCCGACGGCCACGCCGCAGAGATTCAGCATAGTGTTCTGCACTGAGCCAATCCACGAGACTGATGCTGTGGGCTGGCCAAAAAACTCCCTGAGCACGTAGTGCTCCTGGTAGACGCCATGAGAGCGCGACAGGCCCAAGGTTATCATGCTCATGATGCAGCCTGCAAACACAACCAGCCAAGCAAACCAGCTGTCTTGGCCGTGGCGGTGTTTGCAGCCATTGCCGTAGTCAATGGGCGGTTCGGCAATGTTGCTTTCATCTCTGGAGAAGCAGTCAGCGCACTTCTCGGCGGGCTTGCAAGCGCAGATTCTGCCGAGTTTGTCAAATAAATACAAGCAACTTTTATCACTAGAAACAAGGGATGCTGTCGACGGGTTATTGCTAGAGGTATTGGTCATTAGAATATGAGGGAGGGTTTGTGAAACGATGCCGAAAAAGTATTAAAATTTGTGTATGGCGTTTAATGATCCGTTATCAGTGCAATAACTTGCAAATTTTGTCAGAAATTAATCGTTTAGTTATTTAAAGGTAAAAACAAAGAGTGCCAGCTTTGAATTGTTGTAAGGAAATATCACTGGATCATTGCAGTGTCTCCTTTATATATGCGCATTTTGTAAATACAAAATGTTTGTTAATGTATGCCAGGATATATCAATGAGCCCAGCATCAAAAATTGTAATTATTCGCGCAGCTGGTTTGCTCGAATGGCTAACTATTGGTAACTTGAATCAGCCTGTTTTTACAATTTATTTTTCCTTTTTTAAATTGCGTCATTACAAGCAGGGAAATAAGGGCATAATATTAGCCACATTTATTTTGCCACATCCATATGCAGTTCTCCAACCAATGTCAACACATGGCGAATTTCGTCTTCATGCCAAGTTTGCCACCTTTAGTATATAAATACATTACGTACACAATATGCGCAGTGTCAAATAATAATATAATAACACGCAACGTGTCAAAAAATATTTGCATTGCTGGATACATGCAGTTGTATAATATTGTATGGTAAATTAATCGTTATGTTTTCTGCAGTGTCCAATGCTCCAAAATGATTGTTTTTCTGTAGTTTACACTTTGTGGCTACAAGTTACATGTGAGCCTCTATTTATTATATTTTTAATAAGCATAAAGGGTATTGCTACAATATGAAGAAAGGACACACAGGGGTTACTATTGTACACAACAAAAGGTACATTTCAATACATGGCATGGGATAGCCCAAAATGGTATAAAATGTTTAGTTTGAAAGGCGATTTGTTCAACCCCACAAACAATCGACCAGTGGCCAATAATATTTTAACAAAAAAAGTTTTTGCGCCGCAATTGCTTGCATAAGCCACCAACTACTAGCCACTAGTCACTAGCCACGTTTTTTGCCCCCAGTCGACGCCACACTTACACAAAGATTACTTGTCACACGCTGTTAGCAGCAGCAGCAGCGACAGCGAAAATAACATGTGATTTGAAGCTCCGCCTGGAAAAAATGTGTGACCAAAGCACTAAATTCCATGGTCAAAGCTGAGCTGATCCCGAATGATTAACCCAGAAGCACTCGTTGAATTAAATCCAGATAGAGCAATCAGCGGAAGCGAAACTGGAAGGCTCATGCACCGCCGCTGCTTGTGTTTTATTGGTTTTCTATTTCTATTTTTCTCCTCTTTCTAATTGCTTGGTCTGCATTTTAGCCATTTTTTCAATTTCCCTCTTTAATTTATACGCATTTCCAGCCATTGAACATACCCAAATTTATTGCCATGTCGGGCACAGCGGCCAACACAGACACCGGTGAAAACAGGGACGACATGACAAACAGCAATGCGAACTTAAGTCCAGGCGGGCCGTCGCCGCATTCCTTGGGCGTAGAGAACTTGACATCGCCACTGGCGCTATCCACAATTACCAGCGGGGCAAACAACGATAACTCGTTCAGGGAGGCCATAGATGTCGCCGTGGTGTCGCTGGCCAGGTACACCTTCGCTGACCCGGGGGTTGCTGAGGCTGGGCCGGCGCCCTTGGATCCGCCGATTGAGCGGCCGCGGCTCTTGGGAGTAGACCAGCCGCCTCTGGCTGCGGTTTCGGTGCAGCGGGCAGCCGGCAACATGGGCATTGCCCGCAGCGACGGAGACAGAGACAGAGACGGCAACGGCGACGACGGGCTCATTGCCGAATTCACAGAGGATCGGTGCCATCGGCAGCTGGCGATGATAGCAAAGCGGTTGCTTCTGCCCGATTCGTATATCGAGGCGTGCTATGACTTGCACCAGTTTTTGGACACAAACACAGCGATGCTCGACGTCGAGGCAGTGCAGCGCAACGTATTCAAGTGCTTGAAGATATGCGCGCGCCTGTCGAAGCTCCATGGGTACAACATCCAGCTGATGTGGCAAATCATCCAGCAGGCGCACCGAATGATAGCAAGGTTTACGCCAGAGCGCGCGCACACAATTAATTTGTGGCATATCAAGATGACCAACCGCATTCGCATGATGGCTGTGGCGCCGGCTTCCGATGGCTCGGCGCCGCCGCGGCTGCCCTCAGTGCCCCCGCGTGAGCTGCTGCAGGCACAGGCGCGCGAAAAGCTTTTGCCGCTGCCAGAAATGAGCGTGTCAGCGCTCAATGACTCGCGCTTTAACCGTGCTGCGGGCACCTCTAGTGCCTCGTACTATCTGGCCAACTCGCTAGCCAGCCAGCGCCAGAGCCTTGGCCAAAGTCAAACGCAGAGCCAGATTCTGCCACCTATAATGGTAGTCGGCCGGAGCTCGGTAGTGGACACTGGGGTCAGCCAGGGTGCTGGTTTCAATGGAATGATGACAGCGGCAGATTATAGCGGATCTGCATCTTCTCCTGGTTCCGGTTCCGGTTCTGGTGCTTTTAATGCCTCGGCCCTATTGCCGCCGTTGGCACCTTTGGCGCCAGCAGCAGAGCCCAATGGAGCCGGTTCTGAATTCGGGTTTAACCCTGGACCTGTTTCCAACCACTACAACAGAAACAATGTAAGCGAGGGCGCCCCCACCGCTTCGAGCTCAACAACAACAACAACATCATCAGCCTCTGCCTCTACGTCTTCCTCAATGCGAGAGGCCGAGCTGGCAATCATTGAGCAGCAGCTGCGCGAGCTTGAAAACATGCCGCCAGAGAGCATGGGTCCGATGCTGCGGGCAGCACTCAATTTGCTGGTCGAAATGCGCTTTCGCCTGCAGCTCGGCCTTCCGAGAATTGCCATTGCCGATGGTGCGCAGAATGAAAGAGGCGCCCCTGCCATTGGCGCGCCAACATCTCGTCATCATCAGAGTATGCAGGCTGGTGGTGTGGACAGTGACATGGTTGGATTAAGCAACCCGGTTAGAGAGAGTCGCGCAGTGACGTTGAACGGCCACCGCCGCTACAGCAGCAGCAGAATCAATGCCAATGACGAGGTGTTTGGCGCAAACGCAGAGGACGAGAGCAGAGTTATTGAGTACGTGCTGAATCAGATTTCTACCTCTCGCAGACAACAACAGCAGCAGCAGCAGCAAAGTGCCAGTTCTAGCAACGAATTTGGCGCGCCGTTGTACATGATGCCGCACCACACCGGAATGTACTACCCACGCAATAACGGGTTTGCTGGCGCTAACTCGTATTTGAACTTGTTTCCAGAGTCACAGACACAGACGCCGGACAACAGGCCGCGCGGCGCTCGCCGGAGGCGGGGTTTCGATGACCAGGAGGCACAGAATTCGCAAGATGACGGGAGCGAAGACGACGACATTTCTGGCGAGAGTGAAGAGGCTATGGACGATAGTAGTAGCGATGGTGACAGTGGAAGCGGTAACATGAGCGATGATATTCACAGTTTGAGCGATATCAATGCCGACAGTTCCGGAAGCTCTGATGAGTCTGGCAGCGACCACTTTGAGCAAGACATGCAGGGGCGAGGGGGACGTTCAAGCCAGCACTACCAGCGCGATGATGAACACGTGCACCGCCGCGTGCGCCGTCATTAAATGACAAGTGTTCATACCGATAACAGGTATTTCTGCCGTTTGTTATGTATAATTATGCCATAAATAAATCCTGACTACGCTAGATTTAATGATAGGACTGCATCAATATATTTGATAATATGAAAATAATTTATTTTCTAAAACAGCATCGGAATACTGCCGCTGGCAATGGCCATTGCCACGCCCAGACTCAATAGAGCCGCGCTGCCCGTGGTTGACGAAAGCCTGGGTACAGCAGCGGACGAGCTGTCCTTGGCACCCGGCTTGTCACCGCTCTTGACCTCGCGCCCGCTTGGATTGCTGGCACCATTTTTCTGACCAGATGCGGATCCCGAGTTCGGCTTTCCATTGTTGTTGTTGTGCGTGTTGGATCCAGCCCCAGTGTCGCTGTTCTTGTTGCCAGAGTCCTTTCCGTCGGATGACTTGTTTGCATTGTTGTCGTTGGAAGCGTTCGGCGACGGCGTGTTATTCATATCGTCGATGTTCTTCGGCACCGACGTCCGCGTGGCTTCTTTCTTCTTGACAACCTTGTTGTTCTTCTCGTCCTGTCTCAGCCTCTCCTTTTCCTTGGCGATCTTGCCAAACTTTGCGGCCTGCTGGCAAATGGAGTCCTGGTCGCCCTTGGCCACACGCATGCTGTCACCCGACTCCTTCTCAGTAGCGCAGGGAGAGAAGCAGGTAGTCGTGACGCCGGCCCAAATGCACTGGCAGTCGAGGTCTTCTCTAGAGCAGGTGGCACGCTGCATGGCGGCGTGGTTGACGCAGAGCTTGACTTGGCCGAGCAACGGGCATCCCTGAGATTTCTTTTGCGAGGGCGCGTCTTCCTCGTCCTCGAATATGATAGGCGACAGGCGCACCTGGGGCCTAGCCATCGGAAGGTTGGGGTTAAAGCTGGGGTTTGAGTTGGCCATTACCGCGGGCTGAATATTGGCAAAACCGTCAGAAACAATGGTATCCGGCATGGCGACAGCGGCAACAACAGCGGCGGCGGCAAATGATGCCATCAAAACGATAGCGAGACCGCGGATCATCATTTCAAAAAGCCTAATTTATGAGTAGCAAGATGAAATTCTACGTGTATTGTGTATTGTGTATTGTGTATCAGTTGGAATTGTAATTGGAGTTGGAAAAGATGGCTATGCTAGAATGGCAATGGCGGTTATGTGCAAATAAATGTAAAGTAAAATCAAGATATGTATGATGGTGAAATAATAATGGAACAGCAGATGTTATAAAGTATTGTGGTGGACAGAAAATAAAAGTTGAGAACGGAGGAATTTGAGCTCGCTTTTAGCCATTTTATTTTATACCTGTAAACAATAATTATTTTTTGTTACATGTCCTTTGCGGAACAGTGCACCGTGGAGCACTTTGAACAGAGCCACGCTGGGTTTAATAACAAGTTGTCTCACACCCAGCGTGGTCGCCAATATATCCTCCGCAATGTACTAATACAATTAGAGTGGATGTCAGCATGGTCATCTCGATTTTATGAGAGGGATACCAGCGTTGCTTTACTGATGCATACTCGGCTGAATATTAAATGGTATAATGCTGCGCGTTTCATAAATGAAAAAATGAAAAGCTATAAAATATTATAAAAAAGCAAATGATAGAAAGATGAAAAATAGAAAAATAACATTTGAAAGGTGCGGGGGAAAAATGCAGATGTCTTAGTTTTTTTGCTACATGTGCAGCAAAAAAATAAGGAACACTTAGAAGAGAGCGTTGACGACAAAGGGCATAATCATGGCGATGCCCGACATGGCCTTGATGCTCGACGAAGCGGTGTTTTCGTTCAACTTGTTCTTCATCATGCCAAGCTTGGCCTTGGACTCGACCGAACTGCTGGCGGCGGACGCGTGGGAGGACGACGCAGCGGTGTTGACCGTGTGCGCCTTGTCATCAGCAACGGTCGCCCGGACCTTGATGTTGGTGGGGGATGCAGCCAGTATGGGCGAGGAGACGGAGTCAGCAGCCAGGGTGTTGACTGAAGCAACATCAGCCTTGGCCTTGATGGTGGACTCTGAATCAACTGCCTCGTTGAGCTCATCGCCACCAGCCAAGACAGTCTCAGCGGCCACAGCGGCAACAACAGAAATGGATGCAGGTGCAACAACGGCGGCGGCAGCGGTGCTGCTAGCAACGGCCGGGGTGGTCGCAGCGGCAATCATGTCACCGAAGAGGTTTGAGTCAAAGGGGACGACAGCATGACCAATGGTGGTCATCTTGAGCGGTGTGGGTACGGTTGAGACAACAGTGGGCACAACAGCCTTAACAACGATAGTGGTTGCTGACTGTGCCTCCTCGGAATTGGCAGCAGCGAGCACAGTGCTGCTAGCGGCGGTGTTCTGGGCAGCAACAATGGCAGCCAGGGACGGTACAACGGTCGACTTGAGAGCGACAACGTTGGTACTGTCGGCGGAGACGGCGGCAGCCACAATTGTGACAATCTCGTTCTTAACCTCGGCGTTGGCAGTAGCTGTGGCTGTGGCAACAGCGGTCGCCTGGAGAATGTGGGTCACAACGGTCTGGGCAGCCTCAACAGCCACGTTGTCGCCAGCGGGCAGGTTCTCGGCCTCGCCTTCACGGACAGCGGTGACGGTAGCGACATCAGCGGTAGTACCAACAGCAGTAGCAGTGGCAACAGCGGGCTTAGCGATAACAGCCGACTTTTCAAGCACAGTGGTCTGAGCCTCTACTGACTGAGCAGCAGCAGTCTGGGCAACATCAGCTTGAGTAACAGCAGCCTGAGAGACAGCGGTCTCAACCTCAGCAGCCTGAGCCTCGAGAGCAGCAGCAGAGAACGCAGCGGCGGCAGTCTGGATGGCAGCTGACATGGAGTTCTGGGCAATCAGGGCGGCGGCAGCAATTGAGTTCTGGGCGGCAATGACAGCAGACGAGGCGTTGATGTTGTGGGCAACAATTCTGGCCGACTCGGCATGAATAAAGGAAGCAATGGTGGCGTCCTCCTCGGAATTACGAGTGGTCTCGACAACAGCCTCTGTCAAGGCAACGGCGGTCGCGGCTACATCCAACAGCTCATCACTCGACTCATTAGAGTCACCGACATCTCTAGAAATACTAGTCTCTCTCAACTCGCTGGCGTCAGAGACGACGGTGGCAGTAATAGACTCGGAGACAACAACCTCAGCACCAATCTTCTGCGCAGCCGGAGCAAAAGTGAGGGTCTGAGCAGCAGCGCTGGTGGTAATTGGGGCAACAGTCAGAGCGGCGGCAACGGTAGTGGTTTGGGCAACAGCAGCAGCAGTGGCAGCAGAGCGCGCGGCAGCAGCAACCTTAGCCTTACCAGCAGTGACAATGTTTTCGGCAGCAACCACAGCTGTCTCAGCAGCAACGGCTGCCTCAGCAGCAACGGCTGCCTCAGCAGCAACGGCTGCCTCAGCAGCAACGGCAGCAACAACAGTCCCGGCAGTGACGGCGGCAACACTGGTCTCAGCGGCAATAGTCTGAGCACCAGCAACAGCAGCCTGAGTAACTGACACGGCCTGGGCGGCGGCAATGGCAGTCTCAGCGGTAGCAGCAGCAGCCTGAGCGGCAGCGATAGCGGCCTGGGAAACAGGAGCAACCTGGGCAGCAACAGTAGTTTGCGCAAATTCCGCCTCAGCGGCTTGGACAATAGGTGGGATTCTAGCAATAATAGCAGCCTGGGTTATTGGAACAGTGTTGTCGGTAGCAGCAACGTTCTGGGCAACCAAAGGTTTCTGGGCAGCCTGGGCAACAGGGGCAACACCCTGGGCAATGGGTATGTGGGCAGCGGCAGCAGCGGGATCAGCGGTTTCAACAGCGGCAGGGGTACCCTGGACAATGGCTTGCTTAATGGGCTCTTGCTTGCCAACAACAGCAGCGGGTGTCTGGACCTGAGCGGGAACCTGGGCCTGAACGGGTGCGTTGACAGGGGCCTTGGCAACGGTGCTATCATGGATGACTTCAATAGGCAGACCGGCAACGGCCTCCTGAGGTTGGGCCTGAGGCTGAGACTGAGACTGGGCCTGAGCCTGCTTCTGCTGCTGGATCTCCTGCTGCTGCTGGATTTGCTGGATTTGCTGGATCTGCTGCTGATCCTGCTCCTGTTGAATCTGCTGAGGCAGCTGTTGGATCTGAAAGTGCTGGGCATTATCGTTGGATCTCGATTCCTCACGGCCAAAAGGCTGCTGCAGCTGCACAACGCGGTCAGCCTGTCTATCGTTACCCTTAACGGTGGAGCGCTGCTGGCCACCAACTACGTAGTGGGCCTGCTCGGGCCGAGATAAGCGGGAGACCTCGCTTCTGAAATTACCAGCACGCTGCAACTCGGAATTCCGGTTGTTGATCTGCTCGCGGGTGAGAGGTCTGTCATTGGGGTAGCATTGAACAGCGCGCTCGGTCCAGTGGGCCATGCAGTTGTTGTAATCAATGGTCCCGGGGCGGTAGATGCCGCATTTCTCGTGGCGCTGGTTCTTTGAGTCCACAACGCATCTGTCAATGTCCTCGGGAGTGACCATGCGCGCGACAGCTGAGCTGGCTAGGAGGGCTGTGAAAGCCCCGAGGGTACTGAAGGATCTCATGGCGCGTTGGATTCCTAGAAATAGGGTGCGGTTTTTAGGTCCTATTCTTCAATAAAAATATTATTAACCACAAAAAATATCGTAGACGCGTGAGAGACTAGATTTATTTTATAAAAATGGGTGTTTTATGAAGATATGATAAATAACAAAATGCAGTAAATAAAAACTTTCAATGCTGAAGAATATAATTTTGGAGTTTGAAAATGATAATAGAAGGCGGAGTGGCGTATGAGAAAGACTTTATATTATTGCGAATCCAAGAAAAATATTTTTATAAAAATTTATTGATTTCGTATTTTCACAATTTTTTTAGGCGCTCGCTCGGGCTGATGTATCAGTCAAAATAAAAATGCGCAATAATGCAAATGGAGAAACAAGCAAACTAAGCCAGTGTTACTGGTGGTTTTAGAATATAATATTGATTCAATTTGCAAATGAAATAATTGCGGGGGAGAGGAAGGAGTCACAGAGTGAGGGGTGTGTGGAGTGAGTATTTGTGTGATGTTGAACAGCAATTTGTTCTTTTTGGGGGTTTCGGCTAAATTCAAAACATCAAATCAAATAAAAAAAGTGCATTGTAATACAAATAGAGTATCTATCTGTACTAATGCAAGACAAATGTTTTCGTGTTTGACTTGTATTTTTAATAAAACTAAGGCACAATTACAAGATAAAAAATTTGGTTGTTAATATAAGCTGGAGAGTATAATATTTGGGATTAATAAAACATGGAAATAATCTGATACTAAAAACTAGCCGATTGATATATCTTGAGATAAACGCAATTCTAAATGTGGCCAAAATATTGAATTGCATACATGCACGTTCTTGTTTTTGTATGTAGGTCATTCTGTGCGAAATGTTCCAATATTGCGATTTGCCTTGGCTCCAACACAGCTCGATTACAGCTTACACGGTCATTATAATATTCCCATATAATATATAGCTAGAATACTAATGTCTCACCTCATTCGAAATAATAAGAAAGCCCAGTAATACCAATATAATAGGACAGTAATTGTTTTGTCTGCAAACTTTCCATCCCTCTTTTTGGTCTCCCCCCGCACATGTCTTTTAATTGGCAAATTAGCGGAGCATTATTCCTCACGCAGTGCTCATTGACCAACCGAAGCAATGTTTTGCGTGCAATTTTCGGGTTACACAAATCACCGTATTTGATCCACCAGAACGCGCGAGTATTAATAGCCGGGATCCTCGTGAAAGCCAAACAAGATGGTTTATCGTATACATTATGTGCTGGTGCCAATGTCGACGTAGTTTTCTCGATCGAGGTACTCTCCTGCAATGCGGCACAATCTGGTCCCAACTCTGGTTGTATCTGTCGATCCTCATATTTATTTTCCACTGGAAGCAGGGGCAGAAGCGGTAGTTGTGACGGAAGCGGCAGAAGACTAGGTGACAGTGCTTGCGAACTCAGTAGCATTCTGGAATTGGCATGCCGGCGTGCGAGCAAGTCAGCAAACATGATGACAAAGATCCCGCAGTCGGTCCCATTGTCCTGCTGTGGACAGCTGTGCGTAACCATTGGCAGCTCTGACTGTGCACTCCCACACATAAACAGCTCTAGCTTGTGCTTAACACCAACGGCATAGTTGTAATTAGAGCTGGCCGCACTGTCATAGTAGTGAAAGCCTGGGTGTGGTCGGTTGCTGTATACAAGGAGCGACCAGTGGGAGCCGTTACCACCCTCCACGTAGTCGTCGTCGCCGTCGTTGATGGGAATGAATATGATCTCTTTGGTATCCATGCCCGCAGGCAGAGCTGAGCGCAGCGAGTCGATGTCTATCGAGGAATTGGTCATTTAAATGATAGATGATTGTGAGAAAAATGGTATTGCACTGCAACATTAGTAGACATCAGCACAAACAGTTACATTATAGTTCATTTTGGAATAATCCATACCTTGTAGCAGCCAAAGACATTGCACGATTGCCGGTTTGAGAAAAAGCAGAGTGCTGTCGCCGCAAATAACTTTGTAAGGTATTCAAAATAAAAGCTCATTATATTATCGTTGACTCACATGCCTTCGCGCAACGTCAATGTGTCACCGGCAAACACAGTCGTGTCGTTGTACGAAAAAAGCACTATCTTCCATCTCGGGGTTGAAATAATATGTAGTTTAACTTTGGATTGAGTATGTGTAAATATGTGATAAAAAGAATACAACCCAAATAAATAACACGTATTTTAATCGCCATTGCAGCTGCTCGCTTGCTTATCAAAAAGTACAGCCAATATGTCAGTTTTGGGCGGCCAGCTCGTCGGCTGACATATTAATTAAATATGTCTCTGTGGTCTCTGCAAACTACAACAATAATGACGACGATACAATGAACACTGGTTCATTGTGCAAAAAAATGAAATGAAAAGGGGTCACTATGACAACAACAGTCATTAAATTACAGTGTCTCCATCCACTTGATGTGGCCATACACGAGCACCTTCTTGGGCAGCCGGCCAGGTACAGGCGAGCTCATCGTAAAGCGCTTCTTTTCCATATCGACCTTTGTGACGTTTACAAACCCCAGCGCCTGCACGCCCACAACGCCATCCGAGTCATCCTCGCCATCGACAGGCGGCTGCGCATCAGTAACGGCAAGTACTGAGTGCGACAGGGCCTCGTCGGGCTCCACGGTAAACACTGTCGTCTCGGTCAACTTGCGTATCTCTCCCAATGGCAGTGTTGACGATGGCGCGCGCACGTCCTCGCCCACTCGCAAAATGGTGACGTCCTGGAAGTTAACAACAGCCGGGAATGATGCCAGAGGCTCTTTAGCTGTGCCGTTAAAGTACTGCCGAATGATGCAGTCGTTCAGTTGTCGACGGTACGCGGAATTGCGATCGACAGTGCCGCCGGACTTTGTCAGCCTCAGCACGGTCACTGGCCGTGCCTGGGTCTGCAGCCGGGTCGAAAATATACTGTACATGCGCTCGTTGCCGACAACCAGCAGCGCGGTTATGCGCAGGGCCGCAACGGCGTGCTCAATGGTATCGTACTTATTGACGTCTGTGAAGCCGCGCGTATCGACAACAAGGCCTGAGCCAGCGGCAAAATTGTCGGCGGACATGCGCGCGTCTATGGATGCTGCTAGCCGGTCGACGAGGATTTTGAACAGCATCGTGTTGTCGTCCGGCTGCTCGTGGCCAAACTGCAGCACTAGAGGCACGTCAGACACGCCATCTGAGGACGAAGCGGCGCAGCCCATAAATCCGGACTCTGGATCGACGGTCTTGCCCATGGCTGTCGCCGAGACTGTCCCGGGCACAGTTACTGAGCCGAGCGATGGATCCAAGTCAACAAAGAGCGGGCGCTCGCCCATGCGCACGGCGTAATTTACCAGCAGCCGCGCCAACGACGTCTTTCCGCTGTCCTCAGGCCCGACAATCATCACACGTGGCGCAGCCGACAAGTCTCCGTTGTGTGCCTGGACGCGCAGCTGCTGCAGGGCCATATGTACGTTAATATAAGAGTCCATAGGCGTCTCTCCTGCAACGTACGCCGACTGGCACTGGCCCTGGACGCTCAGTGTGCAGCCCTGCCAGCTGAAGATCGCCCCGTTGTCGCCGCTGAACGCGTACTTGGCCTCAGGCGCCAGTTCTGCGCCAAAGTACTCGGCCTTTCCACTCTTCAGTCTGACCTCGACTGTGTCTTTGAACCCAACCTCAAACCGGAATTCCTCGCCGGCTTTGAGCGTCCATTCCTTCTAAAAGTGCGCAAGCGGTTGTTGAGCGTGCTGTTTTTGTTTCTTCATAAAGTAAAATCGCATTGTTCTCAAAGTTCGTCACTTACTGTTGGTGGTGTGGCCATTTTTGACTTTGAATTTCGTCTGTGTGGAGTAGAATTTTGGTGTAGAGTATACAAGTGTCAGGTAATTTAAAATACAAAGTGAGCAATTGAGGTAAAAGAAGGGAAAATATGGAAAAGAACGAATTTAAACGAATTTGAACGCATCCTTTTCTTTCTCTTTTTCTTTGGTGCAGTCTGGGGATATTTGGAGGGCAGCATTGATCTGATTATCGTCCCAAGAATCACTGACGCCTAATAAAACAAGCAGCAAATTGACCAAATCTAAAATCCAAACTGTGATGCTAAAATATTTCCAAACATTTAATTTATCCAAGCTGCACAGTCTCTGATAATGCAACACCGATCAAACTATTACATTTCTCAAAAACATAAAATATTTATACCCAAACTCGTTCGCCTGATGTATAAAAAGAAGCGTGCTCGCCGGGCTGTCAATTTTTGTGACATCTGAAAAGTACTTTTCATATTTAATCTTTATCAATTAACAGAAAACATTTATTTTTAAAAAGCCAAACATGTCTTCCCCAACTCATAATGCAAAAGAAATATTGCCTTCCGACGAGCGCCGCGTCGTACTTATTACCGGCTGCTCTGCTGGAGGCATCGGCCATTATCTAGCTGCTGAGTTTGCCAAGCAAGGCTGCAAGGTGTTTGCATCGGCGCGCGACACAAGCAAAATCGACTGCGGTCTGGTTGAAAAGGGCATAGAGAATGTCGAGCTCGATGTAACCAAGGCCGACTCTATTAGAGCTGCGGTTGATCGAGTCATCCAAGAGTCAGGTCACATTGACATTTTGGTCAACAACGCCGGCTTAATCTCGTTTGGCCCGGCCGTTGAGACTAATATTGACAAGGTTGAGCAGATTTTTGAAACGAATTATGTGAGCATTGCGCGAATGTGTTGTGCTGTTGCCCCGCACATGATGGACCGCCGCCAGGGAACTATTGTCAACATTGGATCGATTGAGGGCTATGTATCCTCGCCGTGGTCTGGTCATTATGCTGCGTCCAAGGCCGCCGTGCACACTTTGAGTGATGCCCTGCGCATCGAGCTCGCACCCTTTAAAGTCAAAGTTGTTGTTGTGGCACCGGGTGCAACACACTCCAACATTGTCGACAAGCAAATTAACCAAGAACTGGTCCCAGCCAACTCGCGCTATGCCAAGGCACTGGATGATATTCGCGAGCGCATGGTTTATTCCCAGACTGGCGCGTCGATGGCCACCAGTCGCTTTGTGCGTCTTGTTGTGCCGCATATTCTGGCTCGTCAGCCGCCGGTGTACGTCACTCGTGGTGGTGGCGCACTCACATCATGGCTGATGTATTATTTGCCGTCAAGCGTCTGTGACATTATTATGAGTCAGCGCTATGGCTTGAACAAATTGACCATTGAGTTGGCTGCTGGTAACTACAAAGGTGCTCGCACTCAGACCTATAATCCACCAGCCAGGCTGTTGAATATTTTGCACACTACCAATCCCCTGACACTACTGGCAATTATTGGTGTTGGGCTGGTCGTCTTTGCGTACTACTATGCAGCAATTTATGCCAGAATCACCACCATGCTGTTCCGAGGCTAAACCTTGAAACTTATTATTTATTTTTATTTATTTTGTCATTCACAATTTATACTGAGTTTTAAAACAAATATGAACAGCACATTACGGAGCTGCTGTTGCAATGACTGCATTATTGGTGCACATTGTTTTTGTTAATTGAATTTTTATATGCCTTGACTTTATTGTAACAGAATATCTCAGTGACTATCACTCCAGATATTAAACTTATTAAGCCTGTGTGTGGGTCAATAGGTTCTATTGGAATTGAACCAGTAAAAATGAACCAAAGAGTAAGGAGAGGGCGCTAATGCGCCGTTATAAGGCCCTTTCAAGCCAGATTCATCGCACCATTTTCTCGCTCCCGCTACTAAAGAGGGCTCAGGAAAGTAGTCCCGATTACTGTTGAGTCTGGGTAAGAAATATGGATTAGGCACTACAAAACTAACAAGGACAGGCGCGTTGACAAGAAAATAGATGGTCACATGGGACGCTTTGTACAATGGCAACATGTGTTTTCATTACACAAAAACATTTGGAGAGTACATTATTCTATAGAAAACAGTTTTGGTTGTGGACAAAGGGGCTGCCATAGAAAATAAAGCAATCGTGCAACTAAAGCCCTGCTTTTATGTGTGACATTTCAATTCCGCCTTAACAGCGTACATCTATAGAGGCAAAATGGTCTTGAAATAATATATTCATATTTCATTTTCATTTTTTTTTCTCATTAATATTTGTCTTTATCTTGTTATGTAAGAGGGAGTATAAGAAGCACTACAGTAGTGTTAAAGATGTGGGGGTATGAATTTATAAAATTTATTATTATCAATGGAACCAAAAGTAGAACCAGGGCTGGCCTCATCTTATATATGTGCCTTGTCGCCTTTGTTGTGCACATTGCCAACTGTGCACTCTGTTGGCGAGAACTGGTTATCCTGCGAGCAGACCGGTATCTTGGCAAGTCAATGTTGTGGTTTTCGTGCGTGTACGCTCATGCGTGTGCATTGCAAAATGGGGAGCATGTTTGGGCATCAATGTAATGCTTCCCTAATTTATGCCTGCATGATCCAATTAATGCCCTATAAATCGGCATACAGATGGAAACTCGTTTCACAATTCTCAATCTCGACTTCCACTTCCATATCTTCAGACTGTGCAACAGTATTATCATTTGCAAATAAAGGCACGACTCCCAAAGCCCCCATTAAAAAAGGGTATCCTATTGTTCATATTTCGAAAATATAGCTTGAACAGCATGATATCCAGCCGCCTGGTTATTTTTTGTTGTGGATGTGAAATATTTTCATTCGGTAGTTATTTTTTAGCCTTTTCCAATAAAGTAAAATATATATGCTTAAAAATAAGTTTAATTTGTTATTCTCACAATATCCAATTGTTATAAATATCACCATGACTAAAATTATTTTTTTTTCGTATTTTTACCCTGTGTGGAGTATTGTTTGTATCCAGACATTTTTATATTTATTTTCATGAGACTAGAGTGTGGAATCATTTTCTACCCCCACATGCATTCCTAGTTTGTTTCTTTCTTCTGTGCAACTTTGAAAATTTATTTTATCATTTAAAATTCTTAAAAATGACTGCTTAAAAATAATGCATATATCGAATATTGCCACTTGATTAGATATCATTAATTAGAAAAAAGAAGCCGCTGGATGTTCACCAAATTTTACACTGGCATTGCGGTATAGGCGCATCTTCTATGCCAACGGTTGGAAAGTGTGTTAACGGGTTTAGTCGCGGATACATGGGTATTGAAAATAGGCCTCAAAGCAGCCGTCCGCAACTCGAAATTGCACAACTTCATGGCGCCGCTATTCACAAGACAATCAGCCAATTTCCACATACAAGAGCTGATAATTTAGCTAAGCAGTACGATTGTTCGGTAACAGCAATGCGAAATGTCTTGCGTTGTGATCTGGGCTATAAAATGGTTCATGAGCGATGGGTCCCTCATTCCCCCACTGATGGTCTAAAGTCAAAGCGCATTGAGTTTTGCCAACAGTTCATCGAGGACTTTACCGGGTCATCCAGAACAAGTATATATAATGTTATTACATGCGACAAATCGTGTATCTAATTGAACACGCCATTCTATGGCTCGACAGCTAAGGAATATATCATTGGGGACTATATGCCACCCACCCAGGTTCGTTCACACTTTGGTCAAGACAAATGTATTACTTTTATCTTCTTCTCCAAAACTGGTATTGTCCACGCCGACCTCAATATCAAACCGCACCCTGTCAATAGTGAATACTGTATCAAGAATGGCATTGATCCTATGGTCGCCAAGTAGAAAAATGCACAAGAACGCCAACCCCAGCAAAATCGTGTTCCACCAGAATAATGCACCACACTTCACAAATCAAAACCTACCTTGGACCACATCTCAAAAATTGTGATGAAACAACTTGCAGCATCACCGTACTCACCAGATCTAACACCTTGTGACTTTTAGGTTTTCTCGCGCAGCAAGAACAAGCCCAGAGGTTGCAATTTAAAGGACACTCGAGCGGCGAAACACGCACGGCAATCTGAGCTCAATTCCCTGACACGCGGTGACTTCAGGGTTTGTTTCAGGCGATGTTTTGAAAGGTGTCAGCATATACTTGAGCAAGGAGGGTGTTGTTTTTATAAATGATAGAATTAAGTAGTTTTATACACAAGGTAGAGGATATAGTGTCACCCTGATATATGGGTCGTCTTGTGTATATTTTAAAAATATAGACGGGCCATTAGTTCGAGGTGGTAAATCGAACAGCATTTGTCCAGCATTGAAAATTAATCCTTGATCAGATCACCCGTTTCAAACGTAAGAAGTCCCAATAAAATAAAAATAAAAGGCTGAAGCGCTCCATGAGAGGATGACCGCACACCCACGCCAAGCGACCATTGGCCAGTGCAATCAATGGCCGCTTACTGCTCTTTTGTTTCTGCGCGTTATATTTTTGCATTATTGTACTCTTTCTCTTGCTCCTTGGCTATTGCTACTTTATTAATATTTTATCCCACACAAACTTTCCATCCATCTATTTCGATTTCTCTTTCCAACTCACATACATAATAATAATAACAGGTTCTTAATGACTATGACAACGAATTCCAGCACACATACGAACCAGGAAGGAAAGCGCGTTGTTTTGATAACTGGTTGCTCGGCGGGCAGCATCGGACACTCCTTGGCGCTCGAGTTTGCCAACCAAGGGTGCAGGGTGTTTGCGTCATCACGCGATACGAGCAAAATCGACAGCAGCCTGGTCGAGAAGGGCATAGAGGCTGTCGAGCTGGACGTAACCAGCACCCAATCTGTCGAAGCGGCCGTGGCCAAGGTGATAACCGAGGCTGGATACATCGACGTACTTGTAAACAACGCCGGCCAGATGTGCGTCGGGCCTGTGGTTGAAGTAGACATTGACAGAGTTCAGCAGATCTTAGACGTCAACGTTATGGGTGCCGCGCGAGTGTGCCAAGTTGTAGCCCCACACATGATGGACCGTCGGCAGGGTACTATTGTCAATGTCGGCTCGGTCAGCGGCTACGTGGCGACGCCGTGGGTCGGATACTACGCTGCGTCCAAGGCTGCGCTGCACGCAATGTCGGACTCGCTTCGCGTCGAGATGCAGCCGTTCAACGTCAATGTCGTTGTCGTGGCGCCGGGCTCTGTAAAGTCCAACCTGGTCGACGCGCAGAGCGAGGTGCAGCTGCTATGCGAGGATTCGCGTTACATTCGGGCAATAGACTCAGTTCGCGCAAGAGCTGTGCTTTCGCAGACGGTCAACTCGACGCCGACTGCGGAGTTTGCTCGCTGCGTGGTCCCACAGTTACTGATGCGCAAACCCAGAGCATATGTGACCTTTGGCGGCAATGCCACTTTTATTTGGCTGCTCTATTTTATGCCGGCATCTGTCCTCGACTTCATCTTCAGCAAGCGCTTTGGCACGCGCAAGCTCAAGGCAGATCTGGCACTAGGCACCGCCGAGAAACAAGAGCAGGGAATGTGCCCAGTGACGCAGCGCAGAGGCGGCCAGTGCCCAATGGGCATGAGAAAAAGCAACAACACCAGCCGAGAGGGTGGGTCCATTTTGGCGTCGATAATGACAAAGTGCCCGGTCACTAACCCTGTTGTCTGGGCCATTACCGCCGGCGCCTGTGTGGCGTGGTACGGATTGAATCACCCCGAAATTTTTAAGCGGGTGGGCGATCTGGCATTTGGTAAATAATAAAATCAGCAAATTAAATGTTCAAAAAAATTATCGGCCAGCCTACTGTCTATCGCAAAGTTGCGTTGCAATAAATACTTAAAATATACAGGAAATGGTTGGGATTTTGAATGAAATTAGTGCATCAACTAATGTCTGTACGGGTTATAAATGTGGCAGTTGAGGATGCCGTGCTCTATAAAAATGGGGGTCTAAATTAATATATTTTAAGTCTCAAAAATTACTTTTGGAACTGAAAAAAGGGGCAGCGCTGTGTGGGCAGCGCTATAAACATCATTATGTTCATTGGTGTTTACAGCAATAACAGAAATATGTATAACAACCATAAAGGCAATCTTGATTCTTGAAAAGGGAAGATAGTGGCTTGAAATGTGTGTTGGGCACCACATACCAGTGTCCCCTTCCTACGATGAACTTTTTCCTGCACTGATCGCTCAAAGGCCCAATGGGCGTGGTGTTCGTAGCATATTAATTTTCAAGAAAGCATGCGATTTAGACAACAATCCCTTCATCATACTAGTTTCGTGGGGGTATAAATTGAGAAGGAATAGATAACAAATTTAGTGGCAATCATTTAAATAAACACAAGTTGGAAGAACAAAACAAAACTTTGAGCAGCTTTAACTGTTTGTGAAAATAAAATTATTTTACATCAATGGCCATCTCATTATAATAAACTTGCACGTCAAAAGATCGAAATTGACATTTAAGTTGCCCAGCCCTTCCTTCATATATTTGGCCATCACATCTTGCTCTCTTTACTGGGTCTTATTTATACTTTTTTTATCTTTCACTTATATATTAATATATTAATATAATAGGCCATATCAGTTAAATAAATTTCCAATGGCCAACAACCAATCCTCCAAACGCGTTGTTCTGATCACCAGCTGCTCTGTTGGGGGCATCGGCCATTATCTAGCATTAGAGTTTTCCAAACAAGGGTGCGAGATGTATGCCTCTGTGCGCAACACCAGCAAGTTAGCAACCAATCTGGGCGAGCTAGGCATTAAATCCATCGATCTCGACGTGACCAAGGATGAGTCTGTCAATGCTGCCATTGCTCATATCTACCGAGAATCATGCCACATTGATATTCTTGTCGACAATTCCAGGCAAGGAAAAATGGGACTGGTGGTTGAGATAGAGATAAGCAGGATGCGGCAATTGTTCGAGTCCAACCTTTTAGTAGCGTGCGCGTGTGGCAATCTGTTGCTCCACATATGATGGACCACCACCAGGGCGTCACTGTCAACATGGGATCTTCAATCGGTTACAAATCACTAACCTGGGCCAGGTATTACGCGAAATTCAAGGATGCACTGCACCCATTGTCAGATACATTGCACGTTAGGCCTGCATTGTTTAACGTCAAGGTTGTGTTAGCGCCTGGAATTATTAAATACAACATCGGCAGTGCATTTAATCCAGAGCGTTTTCTTCCTGCTAACTCGGGCTATGCCCTGGCCTTTAAAGATATCAAGAGCATGTGTGCATTTATGAGTGGTAGATAACCCACGCCTACAGACAAGTTTGCTCGGCATGTTGTGTGGATAATTCTGGCAAAGAATCCAAAGAGATACATGCCGAGTGCAAGGTATTCCAAAAACATGTGGATATTTTACTACACGCCACCAGCCATCCACAATTTTATATTAAGCCGCTCGTTGGGCACGCATAAGCTGGCAAAAAAGTTGAACTAAACGAAAGGTATGCGAAAACATAATTTTCTTACATTTGTATTGGAAGTTCATTGCTCATGGACACCCTTTATATTCAAATATATTGGATTAAATCAACAAAATTAAATGAAATGAAATCATATACTTCGTGTTAATACTTTATTCTTCTGGACAGCTGTTAACATAAGCGCAAGTAAAATCATCACATTGTTGTTTTTGAAATTTTTTGGATACACAATGTCGCTGCAAAAATAAAAGTAATTTCATTTTTTGGAAAAAATACCAGAAGTGAACAAGATTGAAAACAGTAATATTATTTTCCACCGACCACTATTTTGTCAAAAAACAATTTTCTTTTTTTTATTCCACACGCTCTTATTGAGTTGAATTATTTTTATATAATATCCCTCAATAACTTTAAAAGTAATAGCATATTTTATTATTTACGTATATACGAAATGGATATCGCAACCCCATCATCTGCTGTAGTCAACCAATCTACCCAGCGCCGCGTAGTCTTGATAACTGGCTGCTCTGCAGGAGGTATCGGGCACTATCTAGCCTTGGAGTTTGCCAAGGAAGGGTGCAAAGTGTACGCGTCGGCTCGCAACACAAGCAAAATCGACATCAGTCTGCACCAGGTGCACGGCATAGAAAGTGTCAAGCTCGATGTAACGGTAGACGAGTCTGTCAAAGCTGCTGTTGACAGGATAATTCAAGAGTCGGGCCACATCGACATACTTGTAAATAACGCCGGGCAAAGCTGCGTTGGGCCGGCAGTCGAGACGGAATTGCTCAGGGTGCAACAGCTGTTCGACTCCAACTTCTTCGGTGCCGTGCGCCTGTGTCAGGCTGTTGCCCCATATATGATGGATCGTCGTCAGGGTACCATTGTCAATGTCGGCTCGGTGGGCGGCTACGTGTCATCGCCGTGGATCGGGTACTATGGCGCTACCAAAGCCGCGCTGCACTCGATATCTGACTCTCTGCGCATCGAGCTTTCACCCTTCAATGTGCACGTCATAGTGCTAGCGCCGGGCACGATCAAAACTAATATTGTTGACTCGCAGAATGACGAGCCGCTTATTCCTGAGAATTCGCGGTACAATGGGGCGATGAACGGAATACGGGCGATGGCCGAGTTTGGAAAGACCAGCAACCCAACGCCCGCCGACCAGTTTGCCAGTCACGTCGTGCCGCGCATACTGGCAAAGAGGCCAAGCGCGTACTTGACGTACGGGAGGCTAGCGATGGCGACGTGGGCGATGTATTACGTGCCATGCGCTGTGCGCGACTACCTTTTCGGACGCAAATTCGGCACTGCCAAGCTGGCGAGCGAGTTGAAGGCGGGCGTGATCGCATGATTTAATCAAGCTAGTCAGAAAGAATGGTTGTGGTTGTTTAATCAGCTCTCATTTATTAATTTTGTTTATTGCTTGTTTTCACATGCCTCGGCATGTGCTCAAACTGAAAAAAGGTCAAAAAAATATATACGCAGCAGATCTCTGTTCGGGGATAAAAAATAGTCACAAGCACAGGATACAGTTTGAGCGGGCAATGATGTAATAAGTGTAAAAAATAGTTTTCAATTTAGATTTTTTCGGCATGGCTGTCAATGCGCATATATATTGCAAGATACCCAGCCTTTTTGATTGTTTTTGCCAAATTGCGCACAATTTTCATACTCTGGTCATTTTTTATTTGTTTTTCGCTGTGTTCACTGTAATAATTTCGTATTTTCATCTTTTATAATTCTCTATTTTTTTTATAACAGATGCTTGATCATATACTCGGCAAGCCATCGGCCAATATTCGGCGCACACAAGTCTTGGGTACGGCCCTGCTCACAGCAATACTTTTACAGCGCCAAAAGCGCGCTCCCTGGGGCCTACGCTGGCTGGCACAGCTGGACACCAAGCTTCCCATATGGAAGGCGCTCCTGTGCTGGTCAACGATTCTATATGTCCTGCGACACATGGACGATCTGCTGGGCCTCCATGCGCCTGAGCCGCTGCGCGAATACTACAGCCGCAGCTTCTACCGCGCCACATGGATCTTCACAGCGCTGGATGCAGGGTTCTGGACAGCGATGAGCGTGAGGCCACGGCCGCTGCGGCATATTCTATCGCTGCTGTTCTCAGTATATTATCTCATTTTCACCAATAGGGGCGTCGAGAAAGTCAGAAAGGTGAGGGCGCTGATCACGGTTGACCACTTGCGCGTGTCATGGAACAAGGGCGTCGACAACCCGCTGCTCAGGCTCATCATGAGGCTGCGCTCGAGTAAGTTGACGGTAAACCGCGTAGTCAGCATACCGTTGGAGGCGCCCGCGATGGACACGGCATCGGATGGCAGCCAGAGCAGATTGTCCGATGTTGCGCAACTGGAGCCGGCCAAATGCCACATAATGTACGCCGGCCCGGAGGGCGAGTTCAAGTCGTGCCGCCACGTTGTTTTGAACTTTCCGGGCGGCGGGTTTGTTGCCATGGGGCCCGACTGCCACAAGGACTACCTCAGTGCATGGGCCGAGCGGACGCAGGCAGTTGTTGTTAGCGTGGACTATGCCAAGGCGCCTGAGTATCCGTACCCGTACGCAATCGACCAGTGTTACGAGGTGTACCGCGACATTGTCCAGACGAATGGCCGTTGCCTTGGCCTGCAGCAGCCAGAGCCCCTGCGAATTGTGCTGGCGGGCGACTCTGCCGGCGGCAACATCACGGCCAGCGTCATGTTCCGAATCCTCGAGTCGTCAGACAGACTGCCCGTGCCCGAGGGTATTGTTTTTATTTACGGTTGCTTCAACGTTGACATCTGCGCGTGGATGACGCGGCAGGAGACGCGCATGCTGCTGGGAGCGTCGGAGAGTGTGCCCGTTGATTCGAAGCGGTCGCACGAGTCTCTGTCGTCGCTGGTCAGCAACCGCAATCACTTGCACCACGTGTCACCGTTGGCCGTGACTAATCGTGATGACGGATATTGCCGGCAGGACGAGTCTAAGTCGGACAAGCACAACAGCAAGCGTCCAGTCTATGTTGACGACCGCGTGCGCGTGGTGCGCAAGACAGCGGCGGCGCCATTATCTAGAAACAGCAGCGATGACGAGGACGATGAGGACAAAAACAACGGCAATATCAGAAGTAGCGATAGCAGCGGCAGCGACGTTGAGCGTGCATTTGTCCCGGCACAGACAAGCAAGGAAATAGGGTACGTCCCCTTGTCGATGACCAGCAGCTTTACGTACTTCAATGATCAGATTCTATCCCCTGAAATGATGCGCGCCATGATCATAATGTACGTTGGTCCCAACGGGCGTCCAAACTTTCGCACAGACTACTACCTATCGCCGCTGGTGGCACCCGACCACCTTTTGGAACGATTCCCACCGGTCTACTTTATGTGCGGTGAGAAAGACCCGATGGTTGACGACACGGTGTTGTTTGCCGCGCGCATCCGCAAGGCCAAGCAGCGGCGCATGCAGGCGGCGTCCCCAGCGAAAAAGCCAAATAAGGGCGACAGGAGACCATTGGCAGCGGGTGTCGAAAGCAGCGGAGCCAATGGTGTCAATGTCATTAATAGCGCAAGAAACCAGTACAGGGACTTCAAGTCATCCAAGCTGTACAGCCGCAGACACAGCCAGCCGCGGCTGCACCGTGAGACAAACTTTTATATTGGCAGCACGGATGTCAGCGACAACGACGAGGACCAGAGCATGCTGAAGGCACCTGCGGATACCAGCACAACTTCTGCTTCTGCTGCTGCTGCGGCGGGGGCACTCAGGCAGAAGTTGCCGGCGTCCCTGCGCATGTCGCATATTCCGACACCGCAAGCATCCGCTGCACACCACAGCCGTCCAGCTGCGCGCAGCAGGGCAGAGGAAATTGCCGAGTCGGCACCGGCGACAGTCATCAAGGTTAAGCTGCTCGCTGGCATGTCGCATGGGTTTATGCAGATGTACTCGCTGCTGCCTGAGTCCAAGCAAGTGGCAGCGACGCTGGGCGGCTGGCTCGTGGAGCTGCTATATGGCGATCACACGATGACGGCGTACTCGCGGTGCGCATCAATGGTGTATAATTCTGGCCCTCATTGTCAACAACAGCAGCAGCAGCAGTTACATGGTGCGGACTACGTGTCGTCGTCATCATCATCATCGTGGGAGATTGGCCCGAATGTCGGCAACATTGTATTGCGCAATGGCCATGGTCCTAATCGGCACAGAAGTGTTGTGGATGATCTTATTTCAATCGAAATTACGTCGCCGCCGCTGCCATCAACATCACCAACATTAGCGGTGACAGCCGCAGCGGCATCCTTCAGCATGAATGCCGCCGCTCCAGGTATTTCGGCAGATATTTTTGAGAGGGGGCTGCTCGACAAGCATGGCATCGAGATAGTTTCGTCAGCAAACATGGTGCGGCGCCGCGGGCACGGTTTAGCTGATCCATTGAATTAATTTTAAAAATAAAATTTATTCTAGTTTAAAAGATGATTTATGGATTTAGTCTGCCTTCTCGGAGAAGATGGAGATTCCATGGTGGGGGGCATCGAATGGTGGGTGGGTTTGGGAGACGACCAAACAATGTCCATTAATGTGTCGTCGAGCGGAAGTTGCGGTTGCTGCGGTGGTGGTGGCCGGATATCCAGGGCACCAACCCGATTTGATAGCGCGCGTGCCGCGCGGGAGGTGCCCTGGCTAGACGGAGACGCCGCCATTGCCACTTCCACAGCCGCAGCTGCCGGCGACAACGGCAAAGCTGAGTTTTCTCGACCACCCGGCCACATATCCTTGAGGAATTCAAAAAAGTATTCTTCTTTGGCAGCCACTGACAATGCAACAAGCACACTGGAGATGGCTGTGAATGTCAGCTTACAGTCAAACACTTTATTGTTTTGCGCATCATCCGTCACCGCTGCCGCTGTTTGTGCTGTTTGTGCTGCTGATACTGACACTGGCACTAGCACTGACGCCGATGCTGTTGTTTCTGTGGCCTCCATCTCGTGGCCGAGTGGCAAAGGAAAATATGCTGCGTCGGATTTATCGCTGCTAGTAGTGTCTGAGGACATTGTCAATGATCGTTCGAGGTTAGTTGTGCGCGCGCCAATGCCAATGCTGGTACCACTGGCAATGCCACTGGCGCGGTGATGGTGGTGGTTCTGATTGTGCAGGTGGTGGGAAGTCGACGCCGATGCTGAGCGGCGGCCAAAGATCGCGCACCAATCGCTGGTCAGCGGAATACTGCCCTGCGCAGCCAATGTCCTCGGTTCTGATGACGCCAACTTTGCTGCCGCTGTTGCTGTTAGCGTTGATGCTGCTACTGCTGCTGCCGTTGTAGTTACTGCTGGCTCCAACGATGCGCCCCCATTGCCGGCTCCATGGGAATCATCCTCAGCCGGCATCCTACCACTGGCATTCTCCACAGGCGGCATCCGGGTGATCTCGCGTATGATGCCGATCAGCGTGCGGAACCTCTTATTTACAACTTTCTCCATTGACTCAGGCACCAGCGCATCTCTGATTTGTTCGAGCTGCAGGGTGTCCAGTCTGCGCGGCAAGAAGCGCACCATATCCTCGACACACTCAATTTCATGCAACGAAATGCGGAAGAGCAAAGATTTGCGCATTGTGTCTCGGCACATGCCCTTAATGAACATGCAGGCGGCAGCAAAGTAGTCGCGCAACGCCATAGTTGGAGCGCTGTGGGCGCAGGCAGCGAGCATGCCACCAGAGATCATCAGCGAGTGTGCGAGAAACATTGGCGGAACGTTGTTGTTGATCATGTCGGTTGATAGTCGCGCGTACCGGTGCACGTTGCAGGCTGTGCGCAGAAAGTCTGTGAGCAGCCGGTCGACGGTCGCCGGAGAGTTGATGTCGCCGAGCGCGGCAAACGCGTCGTTCTCAGTGATAGCGGCGCCATCAGACAGAGGCTTGGCCTTGTCGTCGGCGACACAGCGACTGCGAGAGATCAGGTACGGTGTGACAACGGACTTTAGGCACAGTGCGGCCGAGAGCAGCATCAGGGTATGCTGGACTTCAGCGAATGTCGGCTCACTGGGCATCTCGGGCGCGGCGCCGACCCAGTCCATCAGCGACCGGTGGGCGTTGGCCACGAGCCTGTCCAGGTGGTCCTGGCGGCAGTACGGGTCGACAACGCCCTTGAGGATGGCATTTCCCAGCATGGCAAAGTTGAGTTGCACAGTGGCGCCGTTGATGCGCCACGGCATGCCGCCCATTTTGATCTGCTTGATAGCCGTCACATACGCTGTGTCCTCAGGCTTGGGCTCAAACTTGGGAAATCTGGATGAGTCGAACGCGTCCATGCCCACGTACCACATTGTGGGCGCGCACGGCCGGTTGACCCCACTGAGGTCGACGGGTACGCACGGCGGCTTGTGCATCATCAGCGAGAGAAACGTGTCGACTGTGAAGCTGGCCCAGATGACACGCCGGATCTGCTCGCGGTCCAACCAAGACGACTCGGAGATCCACTCGTCATCAGAGCCGAAGGCGCTGTCGTCGATCCTGCAGACGCCCAGCTGCTCAAGTATCTTGAGCGTTGCGCCTACACGTGAAATTTAGAACAGTGCCAGTGCCAAGTACCAAGGTAAAAATAGATTAGTGACAGCGACAGCGACAAAACCAAACAAAAACAATCAGCCAGCACGTGCATACTTACTCGAGTAGTGGCTAGCGACGTCCAGCATGCCCTGATGCATGTACGCAATGGTCAGAAGCAGCAGCGCCTGGCAGTTGCACACGCCGGGGTGCTCGAAGGCGTCTGGGGCAAAGGCCTTTGCGCGGTCGATAAACATCTTTGTGGCGGTGGCGACGCCCAGTGCCAAAATGGCACGGTGGGTGCTGTACATTGTGTTGTTGGCCATGACTGTCAGCAGCAGAAACGCGCTGACACGGCCGCCGTGGTAGTCAGTCAAGAACGCGCGCGGGTGAATGACTTTGCTGATCATGTTGAACTCGAGCTCTGTGTGGCTGAGCAGCTCGTCGACAATGTCCTGCGCTGGCAGCTGTGTCTGCGCGTCAAACCACAGAGGCGGCGGCGGCGGCAGCTGTGGTTCGCACCAACCGCCCGGAGCTGTGCTGCGCGGCGCCAGCGAGTACGCTTTCAGCGAGTTGTCATGGTGGTGCCGCTTGCTCTCGGGCCGCCTAGCGTGCCGCTGTCGCTGCTGTTGCTGTTGCTGTTGCTGCTGCAGGTCTTCACCAAGGCTCATGCTGCTCCGCCGGCTGCCGCTGTTATGGGACTCGCCTGTGTCCTGCCGTCCACCCTGCACCAAGTGTGTCGACATTGTTGAGAGCGTTGAGAGCGTTGAAAGCATGGAGTGCGGCTTTGAATAGTCGCACGGGCTGTTCATTGCCGCCGGCCGCTTGGTTCCGCGTTGATCCGAATCATACCGATGCAGAGTGTTGCGAATTTGGGTTTGGGTACTGTTGCTGCTGCTGGCCTCATTGATGCTGTTTATAACTGACGCTGACCGCGCACGAATGCCGATGGGCGCTGTTAATGAGGGCTGCGGCAACAAACCGTATTGCTGTTGCTGTTGCTGATGGTTAGTATTATCGGGGTTGTTCTGCGGCTGTCTTTGCGAGCGGCCAGGCGTGGTTGGCGCTGTCGGAAAGAGTGGTTGTGTGGGTAGCTGCATTTCGCCGAAGGTCTGTGAGAGCGGAGTTAAATGGTAATCGTACAAGAAAAAGTTATAAAATAAAATAAAACAAACCAGGAATTGAAAAACGCAATAATAATATTTATAATAAATTGAAAGAGAGAGCAAGAGCGGTGGAGAGAATGAAATAAACGAACGAGAATTGGATGAAAAAAGTTATCCTGCCTTTTCATGCTATTTTTTTCTTCGGTGTACATGCATATTCCGCTATCCCTTTATGTCCCTTGCTTATTTTTCCACGTCGATTATCCGCTCTTGCATTTGTCAAATAAAAAAGAGGGACAAAGCGTATTTGATAGATCGCTAATGCGTCGGCCCGAACAGAACTCCGAACTTGTAATTTCTTCATTCTTTTTAGTAAGGGAAAATGTTAGAAATGCCCCCTTTTTTAATTCATTATATCATAAATGCCTTTTTCTCCCGCTTATAAAATTTGCTGCCTCCATCCAATCAACGCTTTAATTTGCAAATACTATTGCAAATTTGATTAGAGCACATGCGCTTGGAATATATTTTATTACCCTTCCTTCTACCAGCCTAAACGTTCAATGGATATATTTCTTCTCTCCAAGGTAGCCCTAAGACAATCGAGGCAGTAGATATAGGGCCTTTTCAGACCCCTCATAGGCTTAATTTTAATAAGAAAGGCTTTACTACCACCATCCTCCATCAACTCATTTAATCTTTAGAGCTTACAAAAACTGCACGCCCAGCTCATGGGAGGGAAAACATAGCAAGCAAACTAAATGCGAGAAAAACTAAACAAAATCCTAAGGGCAGGTAATCCACTGCCTTGGTAGGCTTTGGCTACCTCGGATCACAATTCACTGTTCTAGTATTCACAGTAATCCGTCAGACCAACTTACCAGTTGTAATGCCAAAATTTGGCTTGCTCACGTGACAACGTAGGCACATGAAATATATTTGTTATATTTCATGCGCACAGCGATTTAATAATAATGAGATCTTGAGCTCTTTTCGTGGTCTCAAATATAATAATATATATTATACCCAGTAATATTCACATTACGCTCACACATCATCAGTGCATAGCACTTTTACAATACATAATAATATATACATAGCGTTTATCTCTTCATATTCCCAGAATATTCATAGAACTCCCAGATTTCAAGATAAAAACAATATTATCTTGGAACGAATTAAATGAAAAATTAGAAAACACCCAACGCACACAAAACAATGCCTCTTGTGGGGAGACCAATTATACTAAAGAGTTTAAATGATGTGGTTTGATAAAATGGCGAATGTCCTCTGTCAGCTCCTTCCAGCCGCATCTCATATTTAGGTTCCAGCTTCTTTCTCTTGATAGTGGGCGTCCACACTTTTTGTTTCTCCAATATATTATCTATCACGGTGTTCCATACAACTGGAGTCTGTTGACCATTTCAACCAAGTGATCTCATGACTGGGTCTTAATGATCCAAGTAAAGGTTCTCTTACATTCAGAATTTTATACTCCCATCGTGGACATATGAAACATGTGGCTCTGTGTCTCAATTGGTCCGATAGCCAGCCAATGGAGCATAAACGCATCTCCGGTTCAGTGTACGCGTCAGGGAAGCATATTTTTTGCAGCAGTGAATGGCAGGGCCACCATGCTCCCAAAAGAAATAATATAAGCTCAAAATCAATGCGCAAGGAAAAAGAACAATGCCGATTGGAAATTAATCTGTAAATATAATTATTTCTTGTTTCCATATTTCAGCCAATCAAATGCAAGCATAAGAAGCTCAAAGTTTTTTGTTTATATTAAGTTTTTTGTTTTTTGTTTTTTGTTTTTGGTGCAATCTATCGCAACAAATTTTCACCTTTGCAACTTTCCACCTTCTACTTTTAATATTTGCTTTTTTCCAATTCGCACCATTTCGTTCAATTTGTTTTTTCTTCACTTTTTATTACTTTTACCATACCTCAGTGCTTATCACACACACGCTCTCTCTCTCAATGATGTCTGAGCTAGCCCCTCTGAATAAGACCCCGCCGAATCAAACAGGCGTAAGTACTTTTGAATATAAACAAATTATTATGATACTGATGAATTGTTTGTTGTTGTTTATTTTGTTTGCATATAAAATTAGTTCGGACACTAATTTAAAACTTTTTTCTTTTTTATTAGAACAGCAAGACAGGCGGCACTATCCAAACGCCCTCGAGAAATCAAAAAAAGGAGGAACTGCCGCCCGGGGAATCGGAGCCCCCCGAAGTACGCGATAAGCGCCGTCAGCGGCTGCTGAAATGTCTCGGCGATAACATAAAACACAACTATCTGTTCAATGCCTTTGTTGAATCGCTGGGTGTGAAGGAGCGGTATGAACGCTTCATCAAGGATTGGCCTGATCTCTTCCTCAGCATAGCCAGGGGGTCGCCAGTGGCTGATGGCAAAGGCATCGTAGCCAATACAGGTCGCTCGGAAACCAGACTCAGGGGTTTGCCCTTTACTGACGTTTTCATATCTTACCCGAAGTTGATGGGGTTGACTAAGGAAGCTCGCTTGGTCGAATATTTTATCTTCCTCTTTGAAGCGATGATCGATGTGGTTGGTGTCGCAAATGGAGATATTCCAGCAGGCGGAACTCCAATCCCAGACTGCAGGGTTAGTCTGAAGGACCATCAGAGTGATGCTATACTAGGCACTCCGCACAAGCCAGATATCGCGTTTTATCACAACTACAAGAGACGTGACATTCATTCCGTCCATGCTATACTCGAGGCCAAGATGGATCCAAACCCCATTAGAACCCCAGAGGATACTCGTGGCCAGCTCGCAGATTATGGACATTTACTTAATGATCAGCAGGCAACCCGCACGTTTGCGCCTGTCTTCTACCTCCATGGGCACATCCTGACGCTTCACGCATATTATCGTGACAAACTGTACATCGTCGAGCTCGGCGAGCTATGCTTTGATACGAATTATTGGACGTCTGATGGAGCTAAAAGAATTCAGTCATGCCTCATGCAGTTCTGGTTCCTGCTGACTCTTGAGTCGGACATTTTCGGGCATTTCTGCGATGTCTCAGAGGAATCTGACTCTTTCTTTTTTTCGCAGGAAGTCGATGTGGAGAGCAAGGGCGATTCGAAGATCGAAGTCTTATACTCGGTTTCCCAAGATGTCAAGAATGTCAAGGATGTCAAGGATGGCGCTGCTCTATTTTGTATCAAGGAGACAATAGCGCGTTATTCATACATGATTGGGCGCCATGTCCATTTATTCAGGGGGAAATTCAATGGGAAGCATGATGCTGTGCTGAAGCTTTCCTGGACCCCAGTCAATCGTTTGCCCGAGGGCGCCGCATACGCCATCCTCAACAAGAGACCAGTCGAAGGTATTCCTGAGATCTTTTCGAAGGGCCTGCTCATCAGCAACCTCAATGGATACCGGCTGGAGTTCGTGCTCATGGAGTACTGCGGCCAGTCAATGGCCGAGTATCTGAAAGGCAAGACCGACAATCAGAAGGCTGAGCTGGTTCCTGGCTTTGTCAAGCAGCTGACCCTGTGTCTTGCCCAGGCAAATGACACCGGTGTCCTGCACAGGGACATCTCGGCAGGGAATGTGTGCATCAAAAACGACAAAGTGTATGTCATTGACTGGGGCTGTGCCAAGGTCATTGGCTGGGGCACTGCTGAGGATGCTGCCAGGGACACTGACCCAACCCAACTCAAGCACATTGATGTTGCCGAACAGTGGGGGTTCAATGCAACAACAGTGGGACAGGTGGAGGTGGCCAAGGACCCATTTACAGGGACGCCGCTTTTCATGGGAATTCCCATGCTCAGCAGCAGCCCCATCCGGGGAATCCTTGACGACATGGAGAGTGTTTTCTATGTCGTTATGGATGCAGTGCGCCCAGCTGACACTAAGAGGGATGACGTTCAGGGCTTCAAATTCCTGGACTCTCCATCCCTCGCCATCACAAGGTGGGGCTTGATCCAAGAGGATGCTGTCTTGCTGAAAGGGTTCAGTGTTGATGGTATTAGCCCTGGGCTCAAAAAGCTCATTTGTGCAATGCGCCGGTTTCTGTTTGAACCAGAAAACAAGGTTATAAGCCACCGGCTCTGGTCAGACAGCACATTTGTTCGACAGATTAACTGGGACGCTGCTCCTGAGTATATGCACCCCAAGGCGATTGAGCTCCTCAAAGAAGATAATGGCCAGCTTAAGCGACCAGCTGAGGACGAGATCAATGCTGGGTCATTCAAGAAGCTAGCACTTTAGGTTTTTTGTTTTTAATAAATCTTTTTACGACCCAAAAAATCAACTGCAAAGAATTAAAATTTTATTAAACTTGAAGAAAATATGAGTAAAATATAAATATTTTAACTCTTGTCTGTACCTCTTGTTTACAGATCCACCGATCCACCGATCACTTTAACTGTAAACAACAAATGCTTTTAAACTCGCACATTGACCAATTTTACTGAAGGTTGATTATATCCATAATTTTCGATTTCTGCTATTTTGCCAAATGATTCCATTTTAACGTTATTCTTTCTTATTTCTTAATTTACTTTATCATTTTTTCTTTCCTTTCCAATTCACAGTTTGCATTTTACAATTTAGTATTTTTTACACACTTTCAATATTCTTTTGCTAGCATAGATGATAGCCGGTATTACCTCGCAATTAGCGTCGGAACAGCACTCGGCACATACCGGGTACTTTTGCATCTGGTGGACCAATTGCAGTACGGGTTAGATTTATGCTACGCACACCGACAAAAGAAGAAATGGCAACACACCTGTTATTCTGGGACTAATCCTGACGGGAGTGCAGACAGTGAGGCGGCGTTGGACATTCAGATGCCCGAAATGGTTAATTCCTTGGCACAATTGGCGCTGAAGTCGCACAACTTTAAGCTGCAGGATATTGCGTCTGAGCTGGTGCTCGATATGGCCATGCGGCGAGAGATGCTGCAGTTGATGGTCGCGCAGGTTCAGGGCAGTTCCGGACCAGAGAAGGGCCGGTTGAGGGTAGTTGTGTTGCTGCAGGTGCTGGTGATGCCGCCACAGCGGGTCGGCAGGGTGGTTTGGGCCGGTAGCGTTGAGGTGCTGGTGGATGCTATGCGCGCGCCCAGGGAAAAGGAGGCAGCAACGCGGGCAGTCGCTGGAGCTGGGCGCTGTTGATGACATCCCCGCGTGTGTCTGCGAGGATGACCAGGTTCAAATGGGTGTTACAGTTCAGGAGCTATTGGGGCAACCATTTTAATAAGCATTCGCATAATTTGTGCATTACACACCCTCGGCTCTTGTTAGAAAAATAGTTTTATGACACTCGCATCTACTCCCTCCTCTTGGCTTAGAATGAATGGACATATTTACAGCCATTTATTTATTTATTTCTAATATGTATTCTTTACTTCATTGGTTTTATTTATTCTATTCTATTTTGTTCTGCCCAACTTGGCTTTTATTGAAACAACCTTTTTAGCCTTTACACACAATGTTGCACAGCCAAATAACATGGATGTGAATGTTGAGATTGAGATTCAAGTGACTGCTTTTCTTTTGCATGCCAACTGATAGAAGGCAAAGAAGATTATAGAGTATTAGACCAGGGATTCAATAATATTATCCAAATATGATCGCCCTTTTATAACATGCACGCATGCACAAAGATTGCGACACCAAAACACTCAATATTCGAGCTGCTTGCAGAAAAGTCAGTACTCGGCATTAGTGATTATAACGGCTAGTGTGTAAGACAGGGCAGGGTCGAGGATGGCATACACACACATATGCATGTGCCAAACCCGACCTTAATTATACTTTTGATTTCTTTTGTAATAATGCTATGTAAGAGGGGGTGTGAAAAGCACTAGTTGTCTAGTGTTAGAAAAGTAGGGGTGATTTTACAAAGAGTTTTATTACTAACTTTTATAAAATGTTGCTAGCGCCCGCCTTGTCCTGTATATGTGCCTTGTCGCCCTTGTTGTGCACATTGCCAATTGTGCACTCCGTTGACAAAAACTAATTCTTCTGCAAGAAGACTGGTATTTTGGCAAGTCAGTGTTGTGGTTTTCGTGTATGTGCACTCACGCGTGTGCATTGCAAAATGGGGAGCATGTCTGGGCATCATTATGATGCTTACCTAATTTACGCCTGCATGATCCAATTAGTATCCTATCAACCGGCATGCAGATGGAACCTTGTTTTACGATCCTCAACCTCGACATCTACTTCCATGTCTTCAGGCTGCGCAGCATTACATTAACGTTGCTATTTTTGAGCTGCACTAGATGTGGTTCTGCAGAACAGGCTGTATAAATGGGGCCATAGATTATCTAAGTGAATATGCCCATCTCGATCCTAACGAATAACTCCTAATTGAATGTATCATTAGCTGTACACTCTCCAATATCTCCTGTTTTTCTTAACAAAAAGCTGAAGCATTTTTTTGCTGCAACAGCTTTTTGCTGCAATGGTCTCCAATACCAATCGCAATCCCAAGCGAATGTCAATACAGCCACATTGTTTGTATGCTTGCTGTCATCTCTTATTTTATATTTATTTTTACCAATGCTCTCTTATCAACTAAACAGCAAACTAAGCACAACGCAGATTAACCTGGACAGGTGCCCAATAGTTGTACATGTATTCGTGTTCGATGGCTGTTGCACATGATCAACTAAAACACAGACTAAATCAGCGGCTGCAAAAGTGCATGCAAACTAAAATTATGCAATTTATTATTCTAATATTATCTGATTTTTTCGAGCGATATTTACAAAATTCATTCTCTTGGCTTTTTCAGTCTAATTTTTGTAATTATATTTTTCAATGGGATTTTGGGTGTGGTATGTACAGTGGTTTTATTTTCTGCCATGATGAGCGGCAAAGACAAAAATTAGCACAGTTAAAAGTAAAGCGCCATTTAAAATCATCACCGTGCAAATGATAGCTGTTTGGAGCTCATAGAGCTTCGAGTGCAAAATGTCGTTGGACGCTCAGAGATATTTGCAACTGGTTGTCATGTCTTTGGGTTTGGTACATGCGCTACTCTTTCTAGCCATGCCCATGTTGTGATTTTATGAGGAGCCCATCCAGACGCTGGCAATCTGGAGAAGGTATATGGGTAAACCCCGCCCTTCTCCTATTCTGCTGCCTCTGATTTCAGGTCTTAGGCGTATCACCAGCCGGATACCTATTGAACAAATGTTCTGTGGGCCCCCGTATATACCACAGTTACAGGTCTTACGGAATGGAACCGGCCCGATTTTTATTATAAGGGTGTTCTTTAGGTCCCCTTATATACCCAGACATCCCAGACATGACATTGATGAGACCAGTTGCAGATATCTTACCAAGTGTTTACTAGACACATTATTTTTTGTGATGTGCGAATGAGCGTGGCTGTGGTAGACGGCGGATATAATATATGGGCTGGTGTAGTGCAATGGATGACGCTGTGCAAAAACTGTTGTATGTGTCTGATCCCCTCCCACAAAAGTTGTGTATTGTGAACCGATAATCCATGTTGAAGTCAAAGCTGATGCTGCTGCGTGTGCGCGCGTGTACTGTAGTCGTGATGCCCTAATATTAGGAAAATATGTGTGTATTAGAAAAAAGGTGGTAGTATTTTAGAGGAAGTGGTGGTTGTTGGGAGGGAGATAGGGAACCAAAAAATATTTTGGAAAGTGAGCGCCTTTTTTATATGAAATGAGACATGCAAATAGATGGAAAAGGGCAGCAAAAAAGCCCTGCCAGTTGAAAAAAAGAGATGGAAAAATGAAAATGCAGTGGGTTTCTTTGTGTTCTGCCAGCCTGAAATATTTTTTGCACTCTTTTTGTGCACCAAGAGGGTTGCTTTGGGTAATGACACACTCCAAACCTGTCAAAAATGGCATCTGCACAGGCGTCAGCACACACGACAGCAGTGGCAGCAACAGCAATCAGGGCAAGAGTGGTGAATTAGAAGAGCTGCATGTTGAAAATGATGGTTGCTGGTAAATAAAATAAAGATGTTTGCAGTTGTGAGTAAAAAAGGAGCAAGAGTGTCTAAAGAACTACCAACTGAATATTCGAGAAACCATGTCTTATTTATACATGGGATTTTAGCAATAATGGAAGCAGCATCCTGTACATGTCATTGCTGGAGATTATTCATTTTGTGAACATGCCTTTAAAGCACTGACATCCAATGCTATACAAATCAGTTTGTGAATTGACTCCAATGATATGCCACAGTTAAGGCACATGGCTTTGCATGTTGCCTTACTGAGATTAATTGATTACGTGCATGGCAAGTAAGCAATGGTGTAGGTTTTATTATAGTTTATTTACATGCCAGGGAGAGCATATAAGAAGTGGCTATTAGGCAGCCAAGAATTGTTCTTGGAAGAAATAAATATCCTTTTGATTAATATCATTGGTTGATGGTGATCAACTGATTAATCAGCCTTGGCTGTTTAGCCACACAAACAATAAGTCACACAGTGACCAAAGCAATATGCTCTCTTTTATTTACCTTTACACAGTGCATAGCACTTATTTACTAAATATACATGTAAATATTCAGAACAAAATTTGCCCTCCCCCAAAAAAAGATATCATTGCTTATGTGACATCAGAAATGGGGGCCGAGTCACGTGACAGCGCAGACGCGTAAAATATGTTTATGATATTTTACGCGTACGGCGAATTCTGAATAGTGAGCTCTTCAGCTCTTTCCGTAGTCTCATTTCTATTAATATATATTATAGCTAGTCCAAATCGCATTACAACTTGCATGACACTGCTGTTGAAGACAAGCTCATTAATACTAATATTGGGCTGATTAAGGCTACTGGAAACACACACCTAGTAAAAACTGTGACCATCAATATTGATAATATTGAATATTATTGCTCCCTGGTTGCTGAAGCAAATTCAATATTCTCATTTGAAATGAGTGACTGGAGCAGAGTCAGCGCACTCAACATCAGCGGCTACCTGGACAACAACAATAACGACATTGGCAGCAAATCTCAGTCTGATATTATGGACAATGCAAATAAATTTGCTCAGCAAATGGCAAAGTACATGCCAGGTGTGGATAGTTTGGACAATATGATGTATCATGATAATGCCCCTATATTTGATATGGCTGGTCTATTGGCACAACTGTATTCATGCAATTTAAAGTATTTTCACAGCTATCAACCATTTACATTTGCCGAATCAGCAAAGCCAACTGAGTTTACCCAGCTCACAACACTCAATATCAATATGTGTGATGTGCAGTACACTCCACATGTGTGCTGCCAGAAGTTGCAGACACTGGTGCTAAGCAATGTCACTAGCATATTTTCTTGGAGCAAGCTGGCAAATACCAAGCAGACAGAAACTATTGTGTTTTCTAGCCTGCACAAGTTAGAGTTTGAATCATATAGTTCTGATATGCAAAGCATTGGGAGTTCAATTGGATTACAGTTCCCAGCTCTCCAGGAATTGAGCATTACAGTCCCAACATTTGATATGCTGGAAGAATTTATTGATTTTAAGACGTTAAAGTGCCCACACATTACACAGCTTTACATTGGCATTAGTGAATTTAGGGACCCTTTAGATGGTGCTTTTAATATCTCAATGCAGCACAGCAAAAATCTAGCAGCCAGTATAAAACAGCATATTCCAAGTGTGACTAAGTTAAAGATAGGTTATTATGATTGTAATAATAAGATTGCATTTTATGATGAGTTGGTTAGTCTTTACATTGATCAGCTTGTTCACATCAGCATCCCCTCCCCTATGACTTTTACTGCAGCACAGTTTTCCTGTGAGCTTGTGCACTTGTCGCTGAATCTCAAGTTGAATACCTTGCAGAGCCTTCCAAACGTGTTTTTTGAAACACTGGAATACTTGGACTTGGACTATGCAGATCCTAGATTTGCATGGGAGAAAATGCTAAAGAATGATTTGACAGCTGAGAATATATGCTTTAAGCGCTTGGAATACTTGAAAATCAAATACAGAGAGAGTTTTGAGAATGAGGAGGATAATGAAAGTGAGTACATTGCTTTGGAATGCCAGCAATTCATAAGCAGCCAGAAGGAGCAGCAGAAAAAACAGAGTACACTCAATGCCTTGTGCCCCAGACTGAAGGATCTGTGTGTAATAAAACTTATTCGTACTAACTAATTTTATTAAAAATCCACTATAAGGGAGCTTAAAGAGCTCCGCTTATCTATTCGAAACTATCGCCCGTGAAAATAGAAATTGCGATTGTAAACAATCACAATTTCAAACAATCACAAATTCCCAATTGCAATTGTCACGTGACATTGCAATAATTGATGTCACACATGCCCTTCTCACTTTTGGGTGTGCTTTCTTAGGGCAGCGATGCCACTTGTGTTCATCACTGCCACATCCAAGGCACACATCATCAGCAGCCCACTTTTCAAACATCTCCTTGGTACAGCCTGACTACTTGGAGACACTTGCAAATGGTGGCAGGCCACTGCGTCTCCTTTCTGTCTGCACTGCATTCATCATTATTGCGTCCACATTCATAGCTGTATTATCATAGTGGCCATGAATGTGCAGGAAGGCTCTGGCATGGGAAGTCAGTGCATCAATCTCATATACTGTTGAGCTTGTCGATTCACTTAGGATCTGCTGGTTGAGCATTGGCAGTAGCTTCATGAGGAAGGTCATGGTCACATGCCTGTCTGAGAGTTTGAATTCCAGAATTTCCACGAGGTACTTGAATTGCACCACAAACTCCTCTAAGGTCTCTAATGTCCCAGGCTGTTGTAGGTGGTAGTATTTGTGCAGTGTGTCATAGTATGACACTGCACGCGAGTATGTAGTTGTCAGGAACTCCTTGAACATTCCCCAGTTGTGGTGGTCCTTGTTGTGTTCTGTACAGTGTCTGCGGTACTCGTTTTTCTTGTCTGTTGGGATCTTGTGTGAGGCTACAAATACCCACTCACTCTCGTCTAGCTTTGCGTGGATAAAGTGTTCCTCAGTATCTCTCACCCAGGGTCCAACGGCAATTGCCACCTTCTCTGCGTTGTCCTCATCTGGTGCCAGTGTCGGGCTGAATCTCATTGCCGATTTGTATGGCGACATTCCGGCCATGGTTACTGTTTTTTTTTTTTTTTTTTTTTTTATATATATATATTAACCAGTTTGTCTGTCGGTCAGTCAGTCGTTGATGAGGAAGCGCGGGTTTTCGAATTCGAGGTGCTACCAAATGTAATGAGAATTGGACTAGCTATAATATATATTAATAGAAATGAGATTACGGAAAGAGCTGAAGAGCTCACTATTCAGAATTCACCATACGCATAAAATATCATAAACATATTTTACGCGTCTGCGCTGTCACGTGACTTGGCCCCCATTTCTGATGTTACACTAGCCCTAGTAGTATTTTAGAAACATTACTAATAAAACCTTTTATAAATTCAACCCTATATTTCTCACACTAACATAACTAATAGTGTAACTTCCCTCTCATTAATATCTTTAAATTGGATGGAGGTAACTTTATTTGAGAAGTTCACCACATCAGAAAAAACATCAATATCAGAAATCATAGATCTTTTGGCTTGTAGAATGTATTTACCTTTTTGATTTGATATCTTGAAATTTGAAATTGCTCCATATTCATTTTTCAAAAATACAAACATGTTATATATAAGATCATTCTTCTTACCATATAATATAGTTGGTTTTGTCTTAGAAAAATGGTAACTATGTGTTTCTCTAAATTTAATATATCTGTAATGCGATTTGGACTAGCTATAATATATATTAATAGAAATGAGACTACGGGAAGAGCTAAAGAGCTCACTATTCAGAATTCGCCGTACGCGTAAAATATCATAAACATATTTTACGCGTCTGCGCTGTCACGTGACTCGGCCCCCATTTCTGATGTCACATTCGCCCCTACTTAAGATCAGACTCCGTCGGTCTTGGCGATAGCGCGCGCGGTTAAATATCGTTCATATGCTTCTGTCTCATCCACGCTACTCTTGTCCTCCCATGTTCGTCCTTCTATTCCATATCCTTCCCACTGCACCAGGTATTGGCGTTTTCGCCTCCACACACGGTCGTCAACAATCTTTTCGACCTGATACTCGAGGTGTCCTGCAACTTCTACAGGTGGTGGTTCAGAGCGGAGTGCGGCACGGTGATCGTCGGCAGCATGGTATTTTTTTAGGTGTGACCACGAAATGACCGGGTGAATGCGCATGTCGAGTGGGAGTTTGAGGCGGAATGCATTTCGGCCGATCTGTTCTTCGACCTTGTAGGGCCCAGCCCATTTATGTTGCAGTGAGTTGCTGGACCGGTTACGCAGGTAAGGTGGCATTGTAAAGTTCGTCAAGATCATTACTTCATCGCCTGGCACAATGTCGGGTGAGGTTATCTTCTTGTCGTGGTTTCTGATCATGCGTAGCTGTGCGAATTTGATGTTTTCCTTGACTATTTCGCTAATCTGTTTAATCTTCAGGATTGTATCGTCGGCGTCGGTATTGGGCTCAGCAGTTTCCATGTTGAAGGCGATGGTGGCGGCGTTCAATGGTTGGAAGCTATAATTTGCATAGAATGGGCTGTGCTGTGTCGAGCTGTTGCTGCGACTATTATAGGCGAACTCTGCATGCACTATGTGTTGGTTCCAGTCGTTTTGGTAATTGTTGCACGTCGCACGCAGCATTGACTCCAGTATCTGGTTCACACGCTCAGTCTGTCCATCAGTTTGTGCATGGCCGGCAGTGGACATGTTGAGTTGCATTCCAGTTTGCTTCCACAGTGCCATCCAGAATGCAGAGCGGAATTTCGGATCATGGTCTGATATTATGGACTCGGGCAGGCCATGTTGGCGGTAGATGGTCTTGAAATACAGGTCGGCGGTTGTCTGGGCGGTTGCGGCATTGTGTGTTGGTACAAAGTGTGCCATCTTGGACAGGCGGTCAACGACGACCATGATTGCATCATATCCGTCCTTTGTCTTAGGTAGGCTGACAATGAAGTCCATGCTCACACTTGACCAGTTGCGTCGCGGGATCTGTAGCGGCTGTAGCGGTCCATCGCTTGGCCTGTTGCTGCCTTTGACTCTTTGGCACAGGTCACACGTTGTGACATAATTCTCGCAATCCACATACATGCCTGGCCAATAGAATAGTTCACTCAGCTTGTCGTATGTTGCTTTTATACCCGGGTGTATTGCAGCATCATGGAACTCGGCCAGCAGTAGTGATCTGTCTTGCTTTGTTCCGACGCAGCGGCGTCCTTTCTTGAACAGGACACCACCCTGTGCATGGAATTTGTTTGTAATGTCGCGCTCGGCTCTGGATGTTGGTTCTTCGCCACTACTAACCCTCTCCATAATTTTCTCCAACTTGCTGTCGCCCTTGTAGGAGTTCTCAGGGTTCGCGCTCGTCTTCAGCGTTAGCGCTTTGACAGCAGCCATGCGGACTGCTATCCTCCCCCCTTTTCCTGAAGAGCCGAACCCGTTGGCTCCACCGGCTGTCTCCTCAAAGGACTTGACCTCAGTGATGTGTGAGTGTGCGATCTTGGTTGGAATCAACTGTGCTATGCGGTCATGTGCAGCGAACGGAATCTCTATATTGCCTGTGTTGAACAGGAGTACTGAAATCTCACCGCGGTAGCCCCCGTCGACTATTCCTCCGAGCACCACAACACCCTTGGCAGCCAGGCTACTGTGTGGGGCAATGCGCAGGTATGTGCCTATTGGCGCCTTGGCGGCGATGCCTAATGGGACAAGGTGTTGGGCCTTGGGCTCGAGCACAAACTTGGTTATACAGTATACATCAAATCCAGCGTCATCTGGATATGCCTTGCAAGGCATCGTCGCATCGTCGTGTAGCAGCTGAACCTCCATGCTGTTGGCAGTTGTGCGTGGCACAAACAGTGCGCACAGTTTCCATTTTTCAAATTGGTCTATCAGGTCGTCGTTGTGCGTATTGTCCTTTGGCTGGTCAGTCTCCATGGTTGCACTCGTCGTTTCTGCAGCCACTGTCTCTTGTGTTCGTTTGGCTTCTGTTTCGGCTTCAGCGCGACATCCGCGTTGGTAGTTCTTGTAGTGCAGCGACTTGCGCACATATTCAGCACGGTTTAGTTCTCTGCGCTCATCGGCAGTCAAATATGTTCTGTCGACCACGGCTGGCGTTGGCGGAAAATTCGTTGTCTGTGCAGCTGGAGTGGTTGTCTTGATATTGGGCATGGGTATGGGCATAGGTATAGGTACGGATGTGTGTGCGGCGTCATCGTTTTTACTCGTGTTGTTCAGCGGGGCATCATTTAGTGGTATAGCTGGTGCAGTCAGTCCTGTCGGTGGCGTCAGTGCCATGTGTGGCACCTTGCCTGAATGTGACGCTGCGTATACTATGTTGTCGGGTTGCGATTCGAGTGAGCGTGACAAGCCGTCAGCAACTGCATTTTGAGCGCCCTTGCGGTAAATGATTTTCATGTCGAATTCCTGCCAGATATCCAGCCAGCGGGCCTGGCGCGGGGATATGTTGTTTTGCGTCTTAAGGAACTCGATTGATTTGTGGTCTGTAATCACTTCAAACTTGATGCCATGTAGGTAATGCCGCCAGAGGACCAGTGCACGAATGATTGCAAGAAGTTCTTGCTCGTGGACTGCATAGTTGCGCTGTGCTGGTCCCAGCTTTGCCGAATAGAATGCCACTGGGCACCACACCTTGTCATGTCGTTGGTGTAGGACACCGCCAATTGCAGAGCCGGATGCATCTGTCTCGACTCTCGTTTCGCAAGTTGGATCATACTGATGGAGTATTGGTGCTGTGGATAGTTGCTGCTTCAGCTCGGTGAAAGCCCTGTCAGCCTGGTCGTTCCACGAAAAGTCGGTATTGCATAGCAAATCGGTCAGCGGTAGTGCTATTCTAGCATAGTTTTTAATAAACCGGCGGTAGTAGCCGCTTAATCCAAGGAATGCGCGGATGTCTGTAATTGTCTCTGGCGTGCGCCACTCTTTAACGGCATCTACTTTGCGTGGGTCAGTCGCAATACCCTTGCCTGAAATGACAAACCCAAGGAAGTCGACTGTGTCTTTGAAGAATGCACATTTTTCGGGTTTTGTGTGCAGGTTGTGCTCCTTGAGGCAGGC